TTAAAGATATTTTAAACTCTTAATAAAAATACTATAGCTATAAAGGCTTTTAATTATAATATATTATTAAGTAATTAAGTTATAATAACTTAATTAAAGAGCCTATATATTATTTATAGTATACTTAAGAAATTATTATAAACTTTTACTACTACTACTTAAATAAGCTAAAGCTTAGAAATAGTCTTAATAAAGCTTAACCTTAAGGAAAAGAGTATTATTATAATACTAGTATAAGAGAATAATTAACTTACTAGCTAATACTTACTTAACTTAGAAGAATAAGGTTTAAACTCTTCTAGATTATATAAGGAGTTATATAACCTTATAAAGATATCTTTAATATATAGCTTAATCTAAATTTAAGCTTCTTAAGCTATATTTTATTTACTAAGCCTGCCTATAATAGCCCGTTCTAGTTTAAATTAGCTAGATAGAGATTCTATAGCTAGTCTTAGTATTAACTACCTTATTCTATTTATTTTAACTTACTCCTTAAGCCTATACCTTAATAAATAATAGCTAAGAGTTTTTAATTATAAATCTTATAATATACCTTTATTTTAATAAACTTTTAAGTATAATATACTATAAGATATTAATTCTTAAATATAATATTTTAACTTATTTTAGCTTTAATTCTTAAAGCTATCTTTAAACTAATATTTAAACTTATCTTATTATTATTTCTCTAAAGAAGTATAATAATAAGAGTAAATTTTAAAATATTAATTACTAATTATATTAGCTTTTTTAAATTAAAGTATTTTAATATTAATAGAGTTATAAATATTAACTTTAGCTTATTAAATACTTTTATAGCCTCTTTAATTTAAATAAATATTTTAATTTTCTTTTCTTAAATACTTTTTTTTAATAGATTAATTAAAGAAGCTATTTTTATAAAGTAATTATAAATAAATCTTTTAAAAAATCTAATAAATCTTAAAAAGACTTAAACTTTTTAAAAAAATTTAAGCTTTAGCTAATCTTTAATAGTTTTTATTTTACTAGAATTTATCTCTATTCTATTTTTCTCTATAAAGAAGCTAAGGAATTTAACCCTTTTTTTATAAAATTTATATTTAGATAATTTTATATATAATTTATATTTTTATAGTTTCTCTAAGACTTATATTATATATTTCTTATACTTCTTAATACAGTTAGAGAAAATTAAGATATTATCTAAATATATAATATAATAAATATTTAATAATCTCTATAATACTTAATTAATATAGGCTTAAAAAGTAGTAAGAGTATTATATAGGCTAAATAATATAATTAAATATTTAAAATACTTATAATAAGTTTAAAAGGCTATTTTTTATTTATTTCCTTAGCAAATTTTAATTTAATAATAAATATCTCTAAGATTAAGCTTAATAAAGATCTTAAAGCTAATTAATTAATTAAGTATTTTATTTACTTTAAGTAAAAAATATCTATTCTTTATAATAATATTATTTAAGGCTTTATATTTAATATAAAGTTTTAGTATATTATTAGCCTTAAGAATAAATAAAATAAATACCTTTATAAGACTAATTAATAGTTATATCTATTCTTTCTATTATGTATTTTTAAGATATTTATATAAAATATTAAGTTTTTTAGTAAAGAGATTATAAAATCTCTTTTATAAAGATACTATATTATTTAAGAATTTAATTTTATATTTACTTATTTCTGCAGATAATATACTTATTTCCTTTTTTAAAAAAACTTTTATATATTTTTTATATTCTAAAGATAGATTTTTTAGGGCTATAAGATTAATTTAATCTCTATAAAATATATAGATTATCTTTCTTTTTATTATCTTAAAAAAACTATTAAATATTTTTAATCTTAACTTATAGCTACTATAGAATATAATATCTTTAAGTTATTAATTCTTAATCTATAATAAGATTAATAGCTTATAATTATAATTTCTTAAAAATAATAAATAATTTAAATATTAAGATAATATAAAAGTATATATTTACTTTTTTTATAATTTCTTTAAAGTTAATAATATAAATCTTTATCTTAAAGAATCTATATTTTTAAATCTTATATTTATTAATAAATTTAAAATTTATATATTACTAGAAGTCTAGGGAAATTTTATATTATATAATTATATTTAAGCTAATATAATACTAAGCTAAACATAAATTAATAAAAGCCTTATTTTTAAATATATTATTAAGTAAGTAAAGTTATATTAAAATATATAAAAATTCTTTATTTATTTTAAACTCTTTATTATAAAGAGCTATAATAATCTTAAGCTTTTTTTTTTAAAAAAATCTTTCTTTTTTAAGTATAATTTAAATTCTTATATATAATTTTTTTATTATAATTAAAGCAGTAGCTTTTTTTTAAATTAATCTTATTCTATTAATAATTTAAACTTTCTTTTTTAAAATTTATTTAGTCTCTTATATTAATTATTAATCTTCTTTCTCTTTTATTTTAAGAAAAAATCCTTTAATATATTTTATATTAATCTACTTATATTTAGTATAGTAAATAAGTTTAAGGATTTATTTTTCTTTTAATTTATTTCTTAATTAATAGCTAAAGATATTAATTAGTTAAAATTAATTAAGAGGTTTTAGTAGTTTAATAAGCTTATTTAAACTTTAAGTTATAGTTTTATATAAAAAATATAAGATTAAATAATTCTATTATTATTAAATCCTTTATCTTAATTTAGCTTTATATAAGCTTATTTAAAATAATATAAAAAAGCTTTAATAATTTAATTTAAATATTAAGTTAGAGTATAAAAGTAATTTATTATATTCTATTCTTAATAATATAAATTATTAAATAAATCTAGTAATTAATCTTTAAATCTATTTTAAGTTAATATCTAGAAGTTAAAATTCTCTTATTAATAAATTTAAGATTAAGCTAATTTTTTATTTAATAAAGCTATAATATAAGTAATCTTCTTATTTTTTATTTTAAATAATAAAGTATTATAGGCTAAATATTTATCTATATATTAATATTACTAGTAATAAGTATTAAGTATTAAGTATAATAATTTTATACCTCTGCAGTTTTAATAGCTTAAGCTTTAATTACTTATTAATATAAGAAGTAGTAAAAAGCTATAAAAGATTCTTTTTTATTAATAATTTATTTTTTATTTAAATTTAATCTTTTTTTAAACTCTATAAAGTATTTTCTAATATTTATAAACTAGCTTTAGTAATTAATTGCTAAGAATTAGATTTAATAATCTCTAAGTCCTATAGAGTATTTCCTATAGGCTAAAAACTAAGACTTTTATTTTTAAAGTTATAGAGTATATTATTATACCTATTTATATTACTAAATAAAGTAATTTAAATAATAAGAAATAGAGGTTTTTAAAGATTATTAATAAATTACTCTACTAATAATTATAATAAGAAAAATAGTAGCTTTATATATTTAGCTTAGAGAAAAATCTAATAATAAAATAAAGAATTAATTATTAAGATAAAGAGTCTAATTAATATAAAGAAGAGTTTATATTAAAGGGGTTTAATAATAAAGAGTCTATATAAATAAGGAAATAATAGAGTATATATTATATTAGAATAAATTACTAGCTTTTAGTAAGATAGTAATCTAGAGCCTATTTATATTTTAAACCTTAAATACTTCTTAGCTTTATCTTATATAAATCTTAAAAGTAAGAAGTATAAGGTTTAACTAATTACCTTAGTATTATATTTAGATTTAGGGCTTTATTATAGTTCTATAAGCTTATACTCTAGTAAAAAGCTAGAGGTATAATATATATTACTCTTATAAGTAAGTTATATTTATTATTTATTAAGAGTTTCTATAATACTCTATAGTTAATATAAATCTTATTATATAGAAACTTTATAATTATTTCCTTTATTATATTTAAAATAGCTTTTATTATTAATTAACTTATAATATAATTAATTACTATAATAATTTAATAGTTTTTATTTAATATTATTAATAATTACTTAATTAAGTTTATTCTCTATTACTTAAATAAGTATATATTTAGCTATACTTAATATTATACTTTTTTATATTTTAATAATAGTTAAGGTTATTATATAGTTTAGTAGTTTAAGTAAGTAACTATATATTTCTATATATCTTTTTATATACTAGGCTACTAGGCCTATATATAAAAAATACTCTTTAGCCTTAAGTAACTTAAATGCTTAAATTCTTTATATATTTAGTATATTAAGTCTTAATAAAATAGCAGTTCTAAGTATAGTATTACTTCTCTATTATTATAAATACAGATAAGTATATTATATATATTCTATATAATTACCTTAAATTTAAGGCTATTCTCTATAATTAATTAGGCTAATTATTTTTTTAAAATTAAGAAATTCTTATATTAAATAAGTTTAAAGTTTATTCTTAGAAAAAGTATAATTATATATATATTTAGCTCTTAACTATTAAATAAATATAAACTTTTTTTAAAATACTTTATATATAAAAATTATATTTTTTATCTTATATTTTTTATATATTTAATAATATAATAAACTTTATATATAAATTTATTAAATAAAATCTATTTAAAATTAACTATTTTTATAAAAAAGTAGTTAAAAGTTTAAAATATATAAAACTTAATTTTTTTATTAAGTTTTTCTCTATAAAATAATATATAATATATATTATTTTATAAGTTATTCTTATAAAATAAGGTTAAATATTTAATTTTTTATATATAAATTTTTTTAAGAAAGTTATTAAAAAAAATATTTATTTATTTAAGTTTTAAAAAACTCTAAATTTAAAATAGAAGTAGTATATTTTAAAATATTAAAAATATATAAAAGCTTAAATAATTTTTATTATATTTTTTTATAAATATTTATTATATAAATATATATTTTCTTATTTTATTTTATATATTTATATTATAGGTACTGTTAAAAATAAATATATTACATAGTTATTTTTTTATTATCACGAAAACTTTTTACGTAGAACTGTATCCCGACGATCGCTTCTTTTTTTTTAAGCTTCTCTCTACTTCCTCTATCCAGATCCATCCACGCACCTTAATCATGCCACCGAAGCGCAAAGCACCCTCGGAGACCCTGGAGACGCCCCAGCCAACCCGGAAATCAGCCCGGATCATTAATAGAGAACCACTAGCTGGAGCCTCCGCACGCGCCACGCCGGTGGAAACTGGTCTCTCTGCTCTCTCCACGGATGTCAAACCACCAGAAACATGGCCTGACCTCTGCCGCAAAGCGAAAGAGCGGATCGATCGCTATGAAGCTGCTGTGGACGACTCTACTTCTCCCAAGGACAAGGCCAAGGGCAAAGGCCATAAGAAGACGAAGAGGGCCGACCAGAAGCTGAAGGCCTGCATGACAGCATTACTGGATTGGCTACCAGCAGGCGGTCGAGACTCTGCGGCACGCGATATATTACAGTGCAAAACAGACGATAAATTATATGAAATGTTTGAGAACATCTATACATATCTTCTCGCTCCTTGTAAGTTTTCTGGAAAGTGCATAAGCATAAGCAAAATTAAATCACCAACTGACTTCCATGCAGTAAAAACGGCAGGTAGCAACTCCGCTTCCCGGACTCCTATCGACAAGAGAGAGGAGAATAGTATTGAGGTAATCGCCTCAACATTAGGTAATCCGCAACAGCAAGAGGAGCAGTTCTGCGAAGACTTATTGCGTCGTGACAACTACCGCTGCGTGATCACCCAGGACCTTCACTGGCAGAAATGGGAGGAGATAGGAGCCCCAGAAGATCTCGATTGTGATTATATTAAAGCAGCTCACATCATTCCATTTTCGCTAGCCTCCTGGAAAGCTGAACCAGTAAGTATTAACACATTAGGTTAAGATACAAGCGCTGATCAAACTATAGGGTTCTACATATAATATCAGCCAAGTATGGGAAGCTCTTTACCAATATTTCCCTGCAGTCCGACATGTTATAGGCACCAAGAATATTAATGACCGCTCGAATGGTTTTTGTTTGAGAGAGGACATGCACAGAGCTTTTAGCTCTTTTAGTATTGCCTTTAAGCCCACTGTACGTCTGGTATTAATATTATTATACACAGGGTGTGATTTACTAATATATACTATCTAGAATACGCCTAACATCTATAATCTTAAATCATACCGCCGAGCTAGAGCTACACAGGTAAGAAGAATAATCACTAATGTGGGACAAATAACTCTCCAAGCCGCTAATGGTGCAGGAGATATTCCGATACCAAATCCAGTTTTACTAGATTACCACTGGCGAGTAGCTGAGATTTTAAACGCATCAGGAATAGATAAAGAAATAGATAAATATATAAGGGAGCTGGAAGCCGTTAAGATGAGTATGGGCGATGGCTCTCTTAATGAGGACGGCTCGAGTGATCTTAGTCGTTACCTAGACGCAGCCTTCTGGGGCAGGTCGGACCGAGCTGTCTCTTACTGATTCGCAGTTTTCTCAAGTATATCATAGAGCTACTCCGCAAGATATACCGTAACCTGCATGACGAACAGGCATATAAATCGACCACAAACCTGCATTTGACCAAAAATCCTTTGTCTTGAGTTTTACCTCTACACAACGGATCAGGTCTCGTGTCTTTTAATGTAGCTAGGTCATAATATAAATACCAGTTTGAACTAGGAGCTAGTATAAGATTCTTTAATAGCCTTTATTTAGGAGTATAACTTAGCAGTAGATATAATAATTTCGGGTTTGGCAGTTAATATATTAGTATATATTTAGCCAATAGTACTCTTAGGATATAACCTCTATACTTCCTGCTTACTTTCCCCATTACAATATATTAACAACGGCTTAGTTATAGCGTACTACCTGGCTTACCGCCAGTAGGTAATGCTAGATTTATAACCTTTATTAGTAGCTACAATAGATCTTACGAGAGAATCTAACCTTCTTACACCTCACAATTTAGCTACGCCGTAGCAGTAGAGCTAGAAAGGCGTGGGAGAAACCCGGCAGGAGGCCTACAGGCTCCGAGATGTTTTCGAAAAACAACGACCGCGAATGAGAGGGAAAATTGCGGGCAATAGAGGCGGTTCTTGTTAATTGGAGTTTTCAAACGAGGGATATGAATAGAAAAACTCGGCCATAGCTTCAAACTATAATTTTTATGGAAGAAGCCTGGCCGGATTTAAACGCAGCAGACGAAACGTGACAACAAGGCTCCAAACCCCAGCAATCTGATTCTATTCTTCAATAGTTTTCTTTTTTCTATTGCTCTGTACTCTTCTTATCACGAATGTGCTTTAGACTGCTATAGAAATTCAACGTCCATATACTCCAAAGTCCCCGAGCCATCGCGAAAACATTGTACGCTCGCCCAGCCTTGAGAGACAACCCTTCAGACTCCTCGTGGCTCGACCTATGCTTTGCCCTCAATAGTCGGAGGAAGAACTGGCGGCAAGCCACGCCTCAAGCTCAGATTGAGGATAGGGAAAGATTTTCATGTTTCGGGCACCATTTTCGATCAAGAACTGACATCCGTCTTCTTCTCCTGAGAAAACATACTGGATGGTTAGATTCTTCTGGCCAGGCGGTCCAACTCGAAACAGGCATGTCTCCGTAACCTGTTGCCATGAGTTCATTGCATGGTAGACACTGTCTGGTTTCCGCGAAACTGTACCGATCACGAGAATAGCTTGTCTATACTTTCGCAGGTGTAATGGAAGAGACTTTACGGTGCGGCAGAGCCAAATCAGTTCCTTCCACTCATTGCTAGGCCAGTAAATGCATTGGACATCTGATGCTGACAAGCTCTCGATGGCGGCATTCGGAATGCGGAGACAGACAATGACGATAGATTCACAATTAGCGCGCCGTTTAGCATATGCAGCATGGTACTCTGCCACATGGTGGTCCGGCGTAAAGTAGAAGAGGGATCGAGTGCCACTGAGGTCGCTCGGTGCTGAGCTTAGAAGGGTGCTAATGCGATCCAAGGTTCCGGCCTCGTCGAAAAGACCAGCAATGCGGCCCTGATCGAGGCCCTTGAAGAGCACAGTATGTCCAGGAGCGTTGCGGGCAGCGATGGCACTTGTCGAGCCCCAGATATCCAGGCCAATGCCAGGCGTATCCTGTTGTTGAAAGCCAGAGACGGAATGTTGACCTTGGCCGGCTGAAGACGATGACTCTGTAGCAATGTCCGAGCCGCCTTGTCGTCCTCCTTGCTTATCACCTGGACGAGTGGCAATCCGCCGTAGCTGCATCTCTCGCTCATGTGATGATCTCTGAATGTCTTCGAGCCCTGCGTAGCGCATGTTGACAGTGTCATTGACCCAGTAGAGGCATGACTGGGATAGGCGAAGATACTTAAAGCGAGGATCCATGATGGCATTCTGTACGTCAACAGCCACACCACACCTGTTCAGGCACGCTCGCCACTCCTGGTCGTTATCATCTGCAGCGTCAACCCGGTTTTCGAAGGAACCGATGATGAAGTCTTTGAAAGTGACTATCCATCCACCATCGTCGGGATCAGTCTCGCGAAGGGGTCCCTGAGCCGGCCAGCTGGTCCATTGGTTCCACAGCTCGGTAGCCTTTGCTTCAGATAGGCCAACATAGACAAGAGTTTCGTATGAGATGAGGGCCACAGGAATCATGGCAAATGCACCGTCGGCAGCTGGAGAAGAGAGAGAAATGTTGAGAGATATATCATGGTTCTCTTCATCGCTAGAGCGGTTCAGTCGACGTTTGTGCAGTCGCTGGGATCCAGTGGTCCTGCCAGGGCCTAGCAAGCCACAATTGATTAATTCGGCAGAGTCCAAAGGTGCGAGAATTGTGCTTTCGGACATCACGATAAAAAGAAGCTTATGGCTCCGTGATTCGAATATATAGAGAAAGATTTTGCCTTATTTGTATTGTCATGATTCACCAGAGCTTGATTTGCGAATTGAGACGTGAAAATAGAAGAGAAGAGGGATGCGAGATGAAGTATATATCCTCGTGCTGGAGACAAGCAGATGCGATCTTGAGGGTCAGTTTTCGCCGAGTGAGTCAGAACCACAAAAACGCTGCAGCTATTAAACTAGAAGAAGGAATGAATTGTATGCTGATTCACTACGAAAGGGGAATGGGTTGAGGTCCTAAGGTGTATGCAGGTCAGCCAACCTTGGAAGTTATTATATTTCCAGAATAGGCTTAGTATTGGTCGGCGTGTCTGACTCTAATCCTGTTCTACGAAATTAATTTGTTACAACCAGGTTTTACTGTACTCTAGAGTAGAGTACCTAGGTAGAGTAGAGTAGAGTAAATTAACGGATCCAAGGCTAGTGGCATATTTACACTATATCTATTCTACGTCATAAGTTAGTTATTTCCAAGAACCGACTATTAGGCTGCCTCCCGCTTACTCTATACTTCACTCAACTTACAGAAGAACCTCTATATCGATCCATCCCGCCATGATTCTAACCACAACCCAAAAAAATGACCAACAAGTCAAGGAGATCATTACCCGATGATAAAACGCAATGAAGCGACAAAAGAAGAGCTCTGCAAGCCTGCATACAACTCAACCAGACAAGCCAACCAATATCGATGGACCCATCTTCTTCTACATGCCAGATGACACACACGGCGAGTTCTGCCAGTGGTTTCCCTCCCCTTTTACCCTCAGCAAGACCGAGATATCCTCACAGATCGGCTACGCCATAGACGACGACGCCGCCGAGGGGAGCATCACTTTCACCTGCGCCGAACAGTTCATGATGTACTGCAAGGCCGGCCGATTCCACGACAGAGAAACTCAAAGACGAGTCCTTGCAACTACCTCCCCGAAGGAGCAGAAACGACTGGGCAGGTTGACGGCAGGTTTCACAGACGTGAGCTGGGGCGAGGTTAAGAGTCTGGTGGTTGTGGCTGGTACCATTGCCAAGTTCGGACAGAATCCAAAATTGAAAAGCAAGCTGCTTGCTACTGGTGATCGGTTGCTGGTAGAGGCGGCATCAAATGATAGGGTATGGGGTATTGGATATACGGCTAAGCATGCTATGTCGTATCGACAGCATTGGGGGGAAAATCGGTTGGGGAAGGCACTTATGGAGGCTAGAGAGCATCTGCGACAGGAAGATGCTAAGAGGGATGACAATCTGCTAATAGGGCATGAGCCTCGTGTCTGAGAGGTTTAGCAAAGCAGCTTCTTCAACGTGATATATCGCGTTGTGACCCAGAACGTTCACCTATTCTTGCTCGGGTCTCAAATCGCATTCGAGGTGCTCTAGCTGGCAATTCAATGGGGTTCCCAAACGCTAGTGTGGGAAGACGACAAAGTTCAGGGCATCGCGGCTGTTTGAGACGCAGGGGAAAGAGATAGATACAGCCCTCTCGGTACTTGCAACGCCCACCGAACAGCCTTCAGGGGGCTCTCCAGACCCGTTACCTGACCAACCTCCCTTGGATTCATCGAGAATGGAAGATAAGGAAGGTGAAGAGGGAGCAATGCAGAAAAGAGTGTTCAATGGAATGCAATGGTTGCTAGAGGTCGACATCGGTGGAAACCACGAGCACTGCTATGACTGAGGGAGAGCTCTGGCTCGGGATTGAGGATTTTGAGGGCCAAGATAATTGAATATAGCAATATTTAGGAGGGAATGTCGTTGCACTTCCACCTAGTGTCAAAGGCGCACTGCATTTTCACTTTAAAGTATTCCTAGTATAGAAGCGGTGCTCAAGGCAGGCGGCAGCAGGCAACGTCGATTCGAAAGGAACTGACTGCCTAAGAGGGATAGCGGGACTAATCTAGGATCCGCGAGAATTACAGTAGGATAGGATGGATCTATATAAGGTCCTTGCAGGTTTGATGGATCTCTAATCTATTCCACTAGTTTATTTCGCTCCCATTTGCTTGTGGCTTTGTCTCAACTGCGTCTGTCTCCGTGTCTACTCGCCTACTAGATTACTATATCAAGTTAAAACCTAGAGCAGTCATATTAGAGCCCTAGAGAATTCAGACTTATGGGTTAAGTTAAGCCTACAGTAAGTCCTTAGCTCAATCTAAAAAGTTAAGCCCAGAATCTTGGCTTAACTGGGGGCCTTGGTGAGTTAAGTTTTAATTTAACTCATAAGTAACCCCATTAATTCTGTTGATAATTTCTGCTGTTTTGGAGGCATAGATACTTAGTAGTGGGATAATCTTGATTTTCGAAGCGCGAGAAACGTAGTGAGGGTAATTCGCTTATGGGTTTAATCTGCTTAATGGCGAAACACATTACTATTAATGCCTTTACTATTCGCCGGCGAGATGCTATATATCCTAACACCTAGGTGTAAAGATATCTAGGTCTAAGGCCGTCACAATAAGGAATAGCGAGGATCGCAAACGAGACGAAGAGCTCAAACGAAGATAGAACTTAGAAGCGAAAGTCCGAATCCGTAAGTTATGAAACCTCAAATGTCTCCTTATTCCATCCATATACCCTTTTCAGACGCCGTGCGAATATGGGGATCAGGTACCCTTCAATTCGGGACTTGTGTGGCCGGTGTACCGTAAGTGACTTTCTCACTGCCATTGTATCAGGTGGGAGAAATGTGTAAACTGAGCCAAATTTCGGTAGGATGGAGAACCCTAATTTCACCAGTGCCAATTCAAACGCAGCCCAGCTTACTGAGCCGCGTGAGTTCGACTTTTCAAACAGCGTGGAGAAGACACTGGCCGTTGATGGATCCACTCTGAAAGTCTGTGATGGTGAAGTCTGTTCCTCCACCACAGGCGGCTCCACTCGTAGTGTAGTTTCAAAAGCGGACGAACGCGGAGGACGGGTCTTCTCCTTTTCCCTCCGCCTTTCTACTCGAGTATCCAGTGGCTCTGGGACAGAGATGGCAGGTTGCACCGATTCAGCTTGAGTTTGCTCCAGCTTCGCCTTTGCTTGTTGATACTGGATTGTGAGACCGGAAATAGAATCCTCGATCAAATCTCGGTATAGGGATCCCATTCTTGTACCGGTTCCTTCGACGACGAAGTGATCGAGAGTATTCAACGCGCTTTCAGCCATTCCCGGCTCTAGAAGATTGTTGATAGGTGCCACATAGTCGTGCAGGTTAATGTTCTTTCCTAGCCGATTTAACTCGGTATCTAACTCCTGATATTTGGAGATAAACAGCTGTCCCGTCTTACGGGAAGCCGAGGGTATTGGAAGCACTGATGAGAGGTCCTGAATGGACCCGATGATGACAGCCAGATCACACAGGGACTCGGCTTCGAGATCTGCCAATCTCTCCCGCTCCGTAGGATGTGCTTCGTGAAGGCCACTCAACTTCTTGATCCAGTCGACGGCATTAGCAGCATTTGTCTCTGACTGGCAGAGACGCAGCATATAGTGAAGCTGAGGATCCGATCTGGTCAGTTGTTCGGGATTACACTTCAAGATAACGCGTGCGTTGCCAGCACGGTCGTACGCATTAGATACCCTTTTGAACCACTTTGATCCTGCTCTTGCCCGGACATGGCGCTTGAAGAGGGCTCTGGAGCGCTCATACTCAAGATATAGAATATTGGATATCTCTTGAAGAAGAATGGCCCGGTAGACTTTATCCGTGGTCGTGGTTCTGAGGAGCTCAAGGAGACGACAAATGTACCCCCAGACCGCAGCGCCTTTAACTGCGCTATGGATTGCATCAAAAAAGGCAGGACTGATGTACTTATCAGTGTGAACCGGCAATCTGCGCCCTTTCTCGTCGGCAACAAGTTCTGGCCGGCTGAAGAACCAAGCGTTGACAGCGTGAGCAAGAACGGCCGGCTCTGTGGAGAGGAGCTCTAGATACTCCTCCAGAGATTCCTGTTGATCTCGGGCGCTGGCAATCAGGTCCGGGAGAGTAGGCCTCGCTGTGGGGGTTTGATCAGATAACGCAGTAAGAGCCGCTGTGGCTGCTTTGTCTGACTTTCTTGGTCGGCTCCCCCGATCTCTGCCTTCTGAACGCGTGTCCAGGATATCATCGACAATGATGTTGAGGCCCTGTAGCAGAGAAAACTGCCTTAGCAGTATCAACTCGCCGGTTGATTGAGGAACGCAGAGTCCGGCTCGAATGGCGGGTTCAAAAGCAGCCAGAACGTCAGAATGGTCGGATAAGACTTCATACGATGCCCCGTATTGATTACCATCCATGAACAATGTATAGCAGTTATGGAAAGGTTGACTGTGCTGATAACCTTTGGCGTTCATCTTTTGGATGAAGGCATGATCTCCAGGTTCACCATTGGCACCAGTGCAATACTGTTCGAAAAGGGACTTCGTAGCACGGTGTTTGAGGAGGCCCAGCAGGAAATCCGATCCTGGTTCCGTGATATCGCGTAGATTCCACTCTGGTATGATTATGGCATCCCCCAACGACCGGTCCAAAGGGTGTTTCAGAACAACACCATTGATTGCACCAGCCTTAAGACAAGTCGCCCGTCCTTTCTGATCGAGTGACCGCCAGACACACTCAATAGCAGCCGCGTGCCTATTGTATTTCCGGACGAGGTCGTCATGGAGTTCTCTCAAGACACTGGGATCCATAGTTCCTCCCATCTTTCTGAGATTGCCCCAGTTACTGCCTGTGCTGGTAATCGACACTCATGAAATAAATATCGCGATCTCTACGAACCTGAAAGCTCAATCTCGGCCAAATTAAATGATGAAATAATGACAAGTGCAAGGCAACGTAGGGCACTAGCAAGAATTCTCTCACCCTTCGCATTAGGTTTAGATAGCCACGTAGTACCTAGGTAGGATAGCCAGATCACCTAGCTCGCTTTAGCTTCTTAGCTGGTCTCCTGGATTGAGTAATTATTCGAAGCAACCCCAAGAAATTATAAGCGCGAGAGGAAGTGTTTTAAGAGATAAAGGGGAATCAGTCACGGTACTTTGGTTGTAGCAGCCCGTGCTGTTAAAATCGTAGACGACTGTTTCTTTTCTACTTACTTACTTAAGTGGAGTCCTGTCTTCCCCCGCTTCGGGCTACTTAGTGCCGCTGGATTCTAGAATCATACGATTTTACTATGCAATAACTATGGAAATAACTATGTCTTGGAGTAAAGGTGACTCACGCTCAACTGGTCAAGAAGTACAGCTGAATGTGAATAATAATGTGATATTATATTAAATCAATACTTGCCTTGCTCCTGGAGAGGATATCTCTGAGAGTACACCTGCACCGGTAGATCCGGGGCATTCCTCATGATGTATGAGGTCACGAGTCGACCGGGCGCTGGCATGATTCGGATGCTGCTCGGGACCCCGCAGTCTGCATATACTCTGGCCATATATATATATGTAGAACTTCCAACCACGGTGGCTATTACTCCTGATCTGAGTTCCTTGCAATTCTTGTCCTACTGTAAAGAGTCTTCGACATCAGTCATTGACAGCTGTTCTCGCCTCACTGTGCAATTTTACCACTGGCACAGTGTTATCCATCCAAGAGTTTCCAACTACCGGCACACACCACTTCGTAGTGCCTCCCAAAACGATTTCTGTATGTGCAGAGAACCGCAATTCATCAAGAATTTCCTGAGTCGAGCTCCAGCTAGAAAGCGCCAAAGCATCGCTCAACGACTTACGGGCGTTGGTTTGTTGCTACCGGACTGACTTGCATCCATTATTAATGAGTATAGCAGCTGACTCCTTGCCAGGAAGCCTCATTAATTCGACAGCTTGCGCTCTTCCAATACCACTCTTGTACAAGTAAGTCAGCTCATTCCATCGGAGAAACAGACACAATCATTCCATAACAAGTCAGCTTGATGCTTGCAATGACTAGATTGCTTTCCTTGGCAGTACGACTAATGCATGCTAGTGACGCGCTCGCACAAACTGAACGATCGGGACCACACCGGGCCCGCTGAGGATGAACATCTTCCTCGCTACTTTGCAAAGACGGGTCCCGTCGCTGTCGATCCCCACAAGACGAAGAAGAATGGGGCTGGGAAGGGTAACTGGTAAGATCTTCTTCACACATATTCGGACAGCTACAGTTACGCGGTGTCAATTGTTTCGTGAAAAGGAACCTGGCAGGACTAATTGCACATACTTGTTCTAGGGGCCGCTCCGGAGAGGAGGTACAAGACTATGAATATACATTCACCAATACGCGACGCCATTCCAATAGCAGTAACCATGGCCTGACCGACTTCAAAACCAAGTTTGAAACTGTCGAAGCGGAGCCTGTATTCGAAGAGGAACTGCATGGACAGCCTGAGCCAGGTCAGACAGGCGCCTATATTATCTCCAAAGTTGACAGTAATGAAAGCAGCGGTAGCACTACTGAGAGCGCCAAGGACTAAGTATTGAACTTGAAGGACGAATGCGTTGGGGTGCAGTTATCACAAGATATGAAAGGGAAGGTTCTATGTTTGCCTATTATGATGTATTATTATTATTATTATCATTATATGTCGGAATGATTAGTTAGTTATTTTTCTACGGTACTTACTTACATATCTTCTTCATTGGAGCCGCAGAGTTTTAGAATCAGTAAGCAGTCGATGAGTATCCAGTGGCGCCCGGGTAAGCCCCACCAATGAAGGACAGGCCGATGTCAGCCCGAAGGCCCCGAACCGCTCCGTATGGAGCGCTCCCTTGCCTCGCCCATCTGTCTCAGATTCACTTCTGCATACAATTCTTCAATTCCAACATCCTCAGCACTCGAATCACGGTATAAGCAGTTTGCCATCAATCGCCTCAAAAACCTGTGTTTCTTATACCTCGCGCCGCTTCGTGCCGCATTGCTACTGCATACGGCAATCAGACGGTGCATGTGCGTTTGCTCTTATCGACGCCCCTTTCGAATGAACGAGTCATAAGAAGCAGACGCGCAGATAGTCCAAGATACATCGCAATCACCATGTCGTTTTCAAATCTTGTATCCGATATCGCCTTTAGGGACGCCCATCCAGATGACCGCAGCTCCCAAATCTCTCATGCTCCGTCGCGTGCTACTGCTCGGTCGTACGCCAGCACGGCTGCCACAAGTGTCAGCATATCCGGAGACATCTCTAGCCAGCTTCACGCTGGCTACAGCCACCCTCTGACCAGGTCATGGCAAGCAGAGAGGCAGCTGACGAAGGTGCGCGCCGGTTATGATTCTCTGCTCATGTATCGTCACTAATTATCGTCCCAGGAAATGCTCATTTACCCGCTATTCATCACGGACAATCCCGATGAAGAAACGCTCATACCATCATTGCCAAACCAACATCGTCGCGGGCTGAATCGCCTGGTCCCATTCCTGGCGCCTCTTGTACGGAAAGGCTTACGATCGGTCATCCTGTTCGGCGTGCCGCTAAATCCTTCTGCGAAGGATGCCCTTGGAACAGCCGCAGATGACCCCGAAGGCCCTGTCATACAAGCAATTCGTCTGATTCGATCACGATTTCCACAGCTTTATATAGTTGCGGATGTATGTCTTTGCGAATATACATCCCATGGTCATTGTGGAATACTTCGAGACGATGGCACCCTTGACAATGCCCAGTCCGTGGATCGGATCTCAGACGTTGCAATGGCGTACGCTATCGCTGGTGCGCATTGTGTGGCCCCGTCAGATATGAACGATGGCAGAGTACGGGCGATCAAGCTCAAGTTAATTGAAGCCGGTATCGCACACCGTGTGCTTCTGATGTCATACAGCGCCAAGTTCAGTGGCTGCTTGTATGGACCTTTCCGTGATGCTGCTGGTTCTTCTCCCTCGTTTGGAGATCGTAGATGTTACCAATTGCCACCTGGCGGGCGAGGTCTTGCTCGGCGTGCAATCCAACGCGACGTGGCGGAGGGTGCAGATATTATCATGGTGAAGCCGGCCAGCAGCTATCTGGACATCATCAGCGACGCAAAAGAGCTGGCAAAGGATATGCCTATTGCAGCTTACCAAGTAAGCGGTGAATATGCCATGATCCATGCAGGTGCCAAGGCCGGCGTGTTTGACTTGAAATCAATGGCATTCGAGAGCACTGAAGGCATCTTGAGGGCAGGCGCAGGTATTGTGGTGAGCTACTTTGTCCCGGAATTTTTGGACTGGCTTCGTTCTTAATTACAATTGCTGCTTTTTTTTTTCGCCCTAAAAACCATCAACCCCCCTCCCGCTTTATTTCATGCGAATCTAGATTATGTACAACGTCCTCGTCTACCAAGCATCATGTCCTATGCATATCTTCAATGGGTCGCTCTGTGTGTGAAGCTAATGTGCAGTTGTCCACTGTGATGAATATGAAAAGAATTTCGGATTTGATATCTACATTGGTTCTATTTATGCATGATAAGGCCTGTTTGAGTAACTGTCTGTCTGTCTTGTTATAGTTTATGTTTATCTCCTCCTTCCCCTCTTTTTTTTTTTTTTTTTTTACTGAAAATGAAATATAGACTATATCTGCTTTTCTGTTTCATTAGTTATTGTTATTACTATCCTGCGAAGAATGCTGTATTTTTAGACCTCTGCTATGTCAATTTAATGCGCAGCCAGAACTTGGGAGGCCTTAAGAAAACCTTCGTCATTATTCGTTATATTACCCGATAAATCCACATTAATCAGGAAATCATTTATAGAAGAAAACGCTAAGAGGGGTCAAAAGTTGCAAACTGAGCCATCAATAGGGTAAACCAGAAAGTCTGAGCCTGCCAGACTTAATTAATTACACAGTAATATAGACTGGAACATGTGTCACATGAAAAAAGAAAAAAAAGAAAAGAGAGAGAGAGAGATCACAAAAACAAAAGCCACAGATTGTCCAAATAGTTACGCCAATGCAAGTAAGACAGTTGTAGAAACATGTCTCATGATAACTAGTCCATCCACACAAATCATAATATTATTTTGAAGAGAGAACTATGCAATTTCCAACAGTGTCCCCTCATGGCTTTAACAATAATCATATACATAAGCATCTCACATATAACTGGGTTTAAGTCCCTGGAAGCCGTATGCTACAATGTCAGACTTGACCACCTCACCAGGGGCCACATAGGCTCCCCGGCGGAGGCGGACACCTGGATAGATTGTACAGCCTGCACCAACATAACAATCTTCTTCAATGGTGACGGGGCGTCCTTGATAACGGCTCTGACAGCCCTTTCTTTCTTGCATATTGGCATGTGCCATGGAGCCCAGGATGGTGACGTTTGGACCAATCCAGGTATGCGCTCCGATGTTGATGGGGCAGTCGTCAATGAGCGTGCAATTCTCCGAAATCATGACGTCTTCTCCGATATGGATGTTATATCCATAATGGCAATTGAATGGTGCTTCGATCACTGCGCCTTGGCCGATGGACCCCGCGGGACGAGTCACATTTCCACTTGATGGAGAGCCCGTAGCTGCGCTGGGTGATGGGATAAAGATTTCTCTCAGCAAGCGGTTCTTTTCCTTTGCGCTGATGGCGAACAAAGGATTCGATACATTGTTAAACCTCCAGAGAGCCGCTTTACAGCGCTCCCTTTCCTCGATTAGAAGCATATCAAAGGGCCGGTAAAGCTCGCCGCGGATCATTTTATCCTTTTCAGACTCCTCGTGTGGGACAGATCTCGTGGACAACTGGTGCTCAATACTCAGGGCCATCCTTGCCTGCGCCTGCGGACTGTTTGCATCCACAGTCGTCGGATGCACCGTCCGCTGCTCGACCCCTTGGAAAAGTGGCATTCCGGGTTTCGGATGCGAGAGTTCGCGGATAGACGGTACCACGTTGTAGTCGGCCTTGGGAGGCCCTTCTCTTGATAACTCATGTATTGGAGGCACTTCCCGATAATCCGACTTGGCGGGCATGTGCTCTGGCACATATGCGGGGTGACCCGTAGGGCCAGGCCAGCTGCGCTTCGACCACGATCCGCGACTTGCTCCAGTACCTGTGGGACTGGTAACATACTGCGGAGCAGAGCGCTCGCTGTCATCGATGACCATAGGTCTCATCTTTCCCGCCTCCACTGGTTGAGCGGAACTAGGGGGCCTTTCAGGTCGCTGAGGACTCATCTCTTGGACATAGTGGCCAGTGACATCAGGATAGCCTTCTTTCGATTGCAAAGGGATCGGACCCTTCAGTACACTGGATGGCTTTTGCCATGTGCTTCGTGACGAGTATCCTTCACATAAGAAGCCGCCCCGAATACAGTTGTTACCTGAACCACCCATGTGAGCCTTTGTTATTGCTTGATCAGGAAGGGGTGCTCAACTTACAAGCAGGATGTTGTTCGTCGCACTTCTTCTTTCGCCGCCGGCATGTCATACAGCCAGTTTTGGTCCTGTTGCTGAAGACGCGTTTCCTCTTGGGCCCGACTTGAACGGCTGCCCCCGGTGACCGATCTTGCCCATAATTTGATAGAGCACGCTGGTCGAGGTCCACGGAACCTTCTGCTGGGCGACTCACAGTACTCCATCCCTTCTGAGGGGCATCTTGGCCCTGAGCCTCACGCTGCAGAGCCTCCGCAAGCTGAGCGTCAGACGTATCTAGATGCTGGGCGCGTTGCGCCTGGGAAACTAGGTGTGAATCATAATCTTGCCAGGGATTGCCTGTTGAAGCTGGGGGGACTTCGTCGGCACTCTCTACCCGTGGATAATTCGCTGATGGATTCTGAGCTTCTGGAAGCGGATGAGGCAAGCCCGCGTTCGTACTCGAAGCTTGAATCTGAGCATCGCCTTGGTCATCGGAGCGGTGCACTGGGCTTTTTGGCAGGCTCCGGCCCTGGTGCTTATTCTGCGGAGACACTTGTCGCTCTGCGGACTCCGACCTTTTGCGTTTATTCCTGTTGGTGGCTGTTGAAGTGCCTTGTGATGGTGACCGCTGAGATTGTCTGTCCTCCTGATCATGCCCGGCGCTTCCCCCGTCGCGAGGACGTTCATCCTGCCGTGACATAGGCGTATTATATCCGCTCGTAGCCCAGCCACCCTCGTAGACTTCTCGACGTTCTTCATTTCCATGAGAGGTGCCGTTTGAAGACGATGTGGATCCATTCGTGGCCGACGCAGGGATGTCTCTCCCATTCACTGCTGTGAAGCGAGGGGGACTGTGCTCTGCATTGTGTTCTTTCTCTGACTCGCGAGTCCCGTTCGTCACCGGCGTCGGTGCGACAGCCGCCATCGTTATGCGACACGGTTGGATCGATAATATAAAGCGGGAGGACTGACAGCTCCTATGAACTTCCAGTACACGGGAGGAAAGCGACGTTGTCAATGGCAAATGGAAAATTCTTGGACAGCCCTAAAAGATGCGATGGCTTGGCCTCGTTGTTTCTGACGCTGTAGGCGGTTCCCTCTTTCTCTCGCAACAATAGCGACAGCGAGATAGACTCCAACCGCACCACCAACGCACGTCCTTGACGCAACTGTCTCTGTTGTCGATCTTGCTCTTTGGTACAGCAGAGGAAGCTAAATGCAGTAGATCCGGTTCTGCAACGGTGCGACAGCCATTAACCAGGTAGGCAAGAACACCACCACAGTGCGTACTGGTAGCGCGCTGGCACGACTCCACGGGTTTCGGGAAACGACTGGTACTGGCGCAACCCACACAGATTACTTATCGCAAGAAAATGAAGCGTCGTAGAGCAGTGGATTTACAGCAGAGATATTGGAGGTGGCCGGATGAGTGTCGGGAAGGGGTCGTTTAATTGGCCCAGAGATGAGCTCTGCGGGAGCATACAGGACCGGTGCAGGGGAAACCAGATCAAGCCACCACAGTCGAAAGGATGCCCGATCTTATCATCAGACGAAGAGGCTGTGTAGAGGAAATCCACGAGGCCAGGGAAGAGACAAAAAGGGAAGTGGGAGTGAAGAGAGAGAGAGAGAGTGTGTGTGTGGGAGCGGAGGAGGGGAAATGCGTGGTAGTAACGGAGCTTGGTGCAGGGAGGACTGAGGGACAGAGGGAAAGAGAGAGAGAGAGAGGGAGAGAGTGAGAGTGAGAGGGAATGAGAGAGGGAGTTGAGTGACTTGACTACCTCTCCGGCTGGCGGGTTTGATAGGTATTAGCTACAGTCAAGTGAGCAGCTCGGGGCTAGGTAGTAGTAGTAGTAGTAGTAGAAGAATAATCTACCAATTAGTTCGTAGCTCCGGATAGGAACCAGAAGGGAAATCGAGCAAGCAAGCAAGCAAGCAAGCCAGGCTGCGGCAGAAAGAGGGAGGGGGAAGCGGCGGCGCTGGCAAGCGCGCGAGAGGGTCGGGTAAACCAGCGAGCCGGCCGTGTGACTGGGCGACGAGCGAGGGGGCTGCGGCGCTGCGGCGCTGCGGGTGCCAGCTGGCTTGGGTTGGCGCGCGATCGGCAGCGGCAGACTGCCCAGCGCGCTGCTGATTCGCCTGCGTTGCCCGGGAGAGGGCGGCAGCTCGATTGGCCGAGCGACTCTGAGACAAGCTCGACGGGGAGGCCAAGTCGGGCAGCGAGATGGGACATGTTCATGTTCATGTTCATATTTGTTAGTGAGTGAGTGAGTGAGTGAGTGAGTGAGTGAATTAGCTAGCTAGCTAGTTAGTGAATTAATTACCTAGGTAATCAATCAATCACCGCAGAACTCGAGAGGTAAGCGCGGCAGCAGGGACAAAAACACCGCCATCGTCCATGCCAACCCGGGCTCTGGTCCCCTGTCGCGACAATCCAGCGATGGGCCTCTGGTCGCTTACTCGCTGCTGGCCTTCTTTTCCTTGAACTTCCCCCCCTCCTCGGCCTGGCGCTGTGGGGCCGCGGCCGGTGTTTTCGCCAAAGTTATTCGCCGTTGGCGCCGGACGGCAGCAGTGGGCGCGGTTAGAAGGGGGGGCGCGCGCCCATGCCCGCGACGCTTGGGGCGCTGGGAAACCCTGCACGAGCAACTCAGTTGCATTATTGTTCGCGTTGCACAACCCAGTCCGCTGTCGATTGTCCGGCCCAGATGCGCTTCCGGCCGGTCCTGGACCCGGCCATGGTGCCACACAGCGCACCCTCCTCGATCACCCCCCTCCAAGAAGAAGACCCTGGCTGGGAATCGTAACATCAGGATTTACCGCCGTGGTTGAGCGAACATGGGGTGGGCGCGACGCGGTCGTCGGGTCGAGTCGAGTCGAGTCATCGTCTGGTAGATACTCTATCATCTCATATAGCGTAGACTACCTTGGCTTAGCCATAGCAGTTGAACCCATGTCCTCCTGCTTTCCGCATCACATTCCCCTGTTACAGGGCACCCAGAGCCAAGCCGGGTTCGTGTGCGCGGTATAACTACTAACTAACAGGGAGATCCGAGGGACAGAAGATACTCTAACAGTCTAACTGGTGCCTGACCGGGCGCTTCGAGTCGCTGCTGCAAGTCGTCACTCTGGCTGCATGATTCGCTCATCCAATTCGGGGTCATCACGTCTGGCGCGCCATGATTCGCGGCTTGTGTCACTTGGCACGGACTGTTCGCTTTTTCTGTAGTCCTATTATTATTGTTATTATTGTTATTATTTTAGTATTATTATTATTTATTTATTAATATCACTCTCTTTTCTCTGCTTCTGATCCCGACTCGCCAAGCGGGTCGCTTACTTCCAGAGAGATGCGCCCAGAACCGTCACGGCTCTCCGGCCCGGACGATGACGGGAGCGCTTGAGACGCACACGATGACTGGTCCGTCCGCATCGTCAGGCGGAACGCTGAGGCCTCAAGCACTGCGCTTAATGGCCCGCGCAACCGATCATCCGTCTCCGCATTGCAGAATGCAAAGTACCGTACCTTAGTCCAGCCAGCCTTTTCAGCTTTTGGCCTTATCTGCCGCCGACAGTGAACTTCTCTGTCTGCACATCATCAATCATATCAGACCGAGGGGGGGGGGGGGGGCGCGCAGAAGCGTAGCAGATTTCCTTGTCCAGTAACGGTGTCACATCATCTGAGGGCGCCGCTCCTCGATCCACCAGGCATGTGATCAGTTAGTTATCCTGTCCGTATCGCCATTCCTTGTCGAGCAACCTGGGTTCCAACAGAGGCGTGGGATATCTCCTCAGTCAGCAGGAAGTATGATAACTAGAGTATGATCTGAACACTGTCAGTGTTATGTAGATGTTCCTCTCCATCTGTATCATCTATCTAGCGCATGCAACCGGGTAGGAGCTGTAGAGTAAGTTCAATAGAGCGGTTGGCTCACCTTGAGGGGGGTAACGGATTTCTGGGTTGGCGCGAGCGGCGACAAATAAGGCTAGGGTAGAGTACCCAAGGTTAACGAGCTAGCAGTCTACTCAGTAACAGTTACAGTAGGTACCCGCCTTCGATGGCCTGAACAAGTTGACTGCGAAACGTGCCACATGGAGTCGCTCGCACAGGGCAACTGGCGCCTTGCAGCATTGTTCCCTGTCCGCGTCGCATCCCATATTAGTATTATTATTAGACTACATACCTGACTATCACTTCCACGCCAGAAATAGATGCGTAGTAGATCGCGGATAGACGGGGTCATCCGCTCGATCTCCACTGTGCATTGCCACGCATGCGCGTTTCTCTTTCAAGTTTCGGCGTCTCTCCGTTATTCACGGACCCCGTTTCGAAATCAACAGATCGGGCGCTTACTGCTGCCTGCTATTGGACTTGAGGATGAATTCAACCCCCAACCCGCGACAACCCCCTCGCTTGCTGAACATGGTTCCGATTTTTCTCAGAGAAAAGAAAATAATGGGCAGCGGAGAGAAACCATCCGATCTTTCCTTCAATTGGGCAAAGTCCGACCATTCGAACGAAATCTGATCCGCATGCACTGCACTAACTAACTATCCGATGCATCCCAGTAGGTAATTTTAGTTGGCGCTTCTAATGCGGCGCTTGGCCATCATGCAGCATCACTATCATATCATATTCACGTTGCCTTCCATGCTTGTTTCTAACGCCATCGCCTTTGGTGGATTGTTTTCTCGGCTGTATTGGAAAGTTGACTGTGAGGTGTTTCAAGAAGATACTTACTTACTCTGTTTAACTCTAAATAATTGATACAACTGGTTATACCCCGTCCCTCCCTCCCCCGTATTACATATCTAGCCATCCATTATTAGTTATTCAGTATTTCCCTTACCGTAGGACGAGCCCCCAGGATCAGGAATCAAGATCCTTTCCAGGAGATTAATGTCTTTGAGGCTTAGCCTTAAGAGACATTGCAGATTTCACTCGCGTATGGATATCTCAAGCCGGGAAGAAAGAAAATGAAAACATCAAGTTCATGTATATCGGATTTTGAGAAATAGTGAAATAATAACAACAAATAAGGAGAAAAAAACAAGCATAAAATATTCTCATGATTGTTCAATGTAGGGTAATACTTCTCTTGCCGCGTGGAGGAGGAGCATCTACTAGTTTACTCGAATACAGATAAGATCGTCTCCGATCCTACAGTAACTATCAGCTGATGAGATATAGTCGAATATTCATATACGAAGATCATAGCTTCCCATCCTCTTATATACCCCGCGGATTCACGCGATGCAGTATTGTTGATATAATAGTCGAGATCTGAAGATGTGAATTATCGATTATATTTCGACCATCGAAAACTACTACCAAGTCTATGCATCCACCCCAGTTTTCAGCCCTGTGGCAGATATGGAGTTGCCCAACGTTCTCATCCCGCTCGATTCCTTTTACCGGATCGACTGTTTTTTGCAGACTTTTGCTTGAAACGCAAGTCATCGCGGAGATCATCAGTCTAATTACCGCAGTGAGAGAGATTGAAATATCAGTGCAGCATATCTGTAGCTCATCAAGACATTGCTCCAGCTACATGTTAGCGTCGTGGGTGATCTGCTGGGTAGCTTCACAGCGGACCTTACAGTCGCTCGAGTAAATCAAAAGGTGGATAATTTGGAGCAGGATCCTGCTCTGGAAGAGGTAAGCACACCTCATAAAATCACGTTGTTGTGCTTATCTGACTATTTCTTACAGGTCTGGGCCGGTGCTCAGATTCCTCCAAACTTTTCTTGGATAAGTAACTTCAGCGCTGGGTCTGCTTGACCAAATAGAGAATGCGTTAGTCCACCCAGAGATTTTATTCGCATTCTTACCGTGCGGCTTGTTGAGGCGGCCTGTATACATTTAATATTATTACTAGAGCAGGAATCACTTGGAGGTTTTCCCAGCAGGTGGGCTTCCTGTCCGGGTATGATGTAGAAACTGGAGGAATCATCTAAGTGGGGAGTTCCGAAGGAACCTACGGTATGTCCGAGACAAGGTGTGTATTTGCTCAATAAATAATTAGATGTCTCCATGGCGGCCTGGGAAAAGTCATAGTGTTGTCTGTCTCTTTTTTCCACCTTTACCTATGCTTGATACATGACAAGATAGAGGATGCTGAGCGTCTCCAGAGGTCTAAATCATAGATAGAACTTCGTTTGTGGAAACCTTACATACTTGGTACAAAACTAGAATTCCCCTCATACATACATTAATAATGTCCATCGGCTGATGTCTCAATAGCACTGTCACGTCATGTAAGCACTTCAGACGAATTGATATCTCGTCCAGTATGTCACACTTGTTATTTCCCAATAAGATCTAAAAGAAGGGCAAATGGACCATTGTAATTGTTTTGTTCAAACAGCAAATAACAGGGACTGCAGTTCCCTTTTCTGAGAGAGAAGCTAGTAGTTAAAAATGTATGTACTTTGCATCCACATAAATAATACCGGGAAAGATGTACATAAACGCCTTGGTGGGGTTATCGGGAAAAGCAACGCCGATGATGCCTGCGATACCATGTCTGATGCCTGGCGCAGAAACAAGGCTGACTAAGCAAATAGAAGAACATCACGGCCACCGTATACGCCGTGGGATCTTGACCTGCAAGACGCGCTCTTAGTTCACTGTCAGCACTCGATAAGAGCACTTTGGGCTAGCCGCTGACCTACGCAGGAGCTCACACTCTTTCCTCATTTCAGATATCATCTCCTTTAGCAATCTGATCCTAGAAGTGCGTTAGTGCTCCTCACTGGCCCCTCTAGAAGCTTGTGCCTTCCCCGCCACCGGCCGACAAAGAATAACTCGCAACATCGACTGGTTACCGAATCGCATATCACACACTCCTCCCAGAAGAGGACCACTCCACTGGAAGTTGTTCGCTTTTAAGAAGGCGACATCGCCGGACTCGGGTGCGGAATGTCTGTCTCCATTCAGGAACTGGACAACACAGTCCGGGCCTTCTATGAGGGCAAAGGCGACATTGTAAGTTCTTGCAGCTACAATCGTTATTTTACCAACGAGCAATACTGATTGATATTTCTCCATTCTGCAGCAAAAACAAGCTCAGCAATCGTTAACCGAAGTGCGTATGCCATGATTATACAACCGCAGAGTTGATCTGTTGACATTTCTTCCAGTTCAAACAAAATCCCGATGCTTGGCTATTGGTGGGAAACATCCTTCAAGAATCCTCATACTCACAGACAAAATGCTAGTTCTTCTTATTCCTTCTAGACGCCTTTTGGAGGGAGGGAGTATGCTAACTGGATTGATTCAAGATCTTGGCCTTCAAGTCCTCGACGATGTGATTATGACGCGATGGAAGGTCCTGCCTCGGGAGCAGTGCCAGGGTAAATTTCCCATGATCATGAAGTTATATGCTGCTGGTTCTGACCAATTTAGGTATCCGCAACTTCGTCGTCAATTTCATCATTGAGAGCTCCAGTTCAGAAGAGAAACTCAAAAGCGAGCGGACGCTGTTGAATAAGCTGAACCTGGTCCTCGTCTCGATCTTGAAGCAGGAGTGGCCGCATAACTGGCCTACCTTCATCAATGAAATCATTTCCTCCTGCCATACGAGCCTGTCGATTTGCGAAAACAATATGGTCATCCTTAGGCTGTTGTCGGAGGAGGTGTTCGACTATTCCCAGGACCAAATGACCTCGGTCAAGGCCAAGAATCTCAAGACAACGATGACGCAGGAGTTCTCGTCCATCTTCCAGCTGTGCTCGGAGGTCTTGAACACGGCCAATCAACCCAGTCTGGTCAAGGCTACCCTGGAAACTCTTCTCCGCTTCTTGAACTGGATCCCACTCGGATACATCTTCGAGACTCCGATCATCGACACTCTCATCACCAGATTTTTGGACGTTCCGGAATTCCGCAATGTGACTCTCAAGTGTCTCACGGAGATTGGTGGCTTGCAGATAGGGCAGCAGTTCTCGTACGATGAGAAGCTGGTTCAAATGTTCACCGAGACATTGACGAGAGTCTCGAAGATTATACCTCTGTCAATGAACCTCAAAGACACCTACGCCCATAGCAATTCACGGGACCAGGAGTTTGTTCTCAATCTGGCGCTATTCCTTTGCAACTTTTTCAGTGTCCATCTCGACGTAGGCTATCCCTCTCCCACCCCCGCGCCGCGACTGTTCCCGGTGGCTCTTCTATATTGCGTGGTTTACTGACATTGCCGTAGCTCATTGAAAAATTGCCGAATCTCGATTATCTCACCCATGCGCACTTCTATCTAATCCGGATAAGTCAGATCGATGACCGCGAAATTTTCAAGATCTGTCTAGAATACTGGACCAAGCTTGTGCAGGAACTGTACGAGGAGATGCAGCAGCTTCCCATCACGGACCTGAACCCCTTGGTCACCATGGGGGTCAGCGGCCTCTCGAATAGTGGTGCCCCTCACCCGAGCACTCTCGCCAACTATCCTCTACGCAAGCATAAGTACCAGGAGGTATTGTCGAGCTTACGGACTGTCATGATCGAGAAGATGGTGCGTCCGGAAGAAGTCCTGATCGTGGAGAATGACGAAGGAGAGATTGTCCGCGAGTTTGTGAAAGAGAGCGACACCATTCAACTGTACAAGACGACCAGAGAGTGCCTTGTGTATCTCACACATCTGGATGTCGTCGATACAGAAAACATCATGGCAGAGAAACTTGCCAAACAGGTCGACGGTACCGAGTGGTCGTGGGCCAACTGTAACACTCTCTGCTGGGCAATTGGTTCGATATCTGGTGCCATGAACGAAGAGACTGAAAAGCGGTTCCTGGTTACTGTCATCAAAGATCTTCTTGGCCTGACGGAGATGAAGCGAGGGAAAGACAACAAAGCTGTGGTCGCCAGTAACATCATGTATATCGTGGGACAGTACCCGCGCTTCCTCAAGGCTCATTGGAAATTCTTGAAAACAGTCGTCAACAAACTCTTCGAGTTTATGCACGAGACCCACGAAGGTATGTCTGTTAAATGAGATGGGAAAATATGGAAGCTAACTCAAAAAAAGGTGTCCAGGATATGGCTTGTGATACGTTCATCAAGATCGCTAACAAGTGTAAACGTCACTTTGTGGCTCTTCAGCCTGGGGAAAGTGAGCCGTTCATCGAAGAGATTGTCCGCAATATGAGGAAGATAACCTGTGATCTCTCCCCACAACAAGTCCACACCTTCTACGAAGCATGTGGCTACATGATTTCTGCTCAGGGTCAAAAGGGTCTTCAGGATCGACTAATCGAGAACCTCATGTCATTGCCCAATTCTGCCTGGGATGCTATCATTGCCCAGGCAAATCAGGACCCGTCCATCCTCCAGGATGGAGAAACGATCAAGATCATCGGCAACATCATGAAGACCAATGTCGCCGCATGCTCCTCAATCGGTAGCTATTTCTACTCTCAGATCGGCCGCATCTATCACGATATGCTCAATATGTACCGTGCGTCTAGCCAGCTCATCTCGGACGCTGTCGCTACTGATGGTAAATATCTTCCACCAGCATCTATCGGCTAGTCCCTCACTGACGCGTTGCAGGAAATCTGGCGACGAAGACACCCAGAGTCCGAGGACTTCGGACTATCAAAAAGGAGATTCTGAAGCTTATTGACACATACGTGCAGAAAGCAGATGATCTGGAAATGGTGAACACCAACATGGTGCCGCCTCTTCTGGAAGCTGTTCTCCTGGACTACAATCGGAATGTCCCCGATGCCAGAGAAGCAGAAGTCCTCAATGTCATGACAACCATAATTCACAAGCTTCACGTACGTTGGACCCCCCAAACATCACGCTATTCGGTCAGCCTACCTGGCACTCACACTGGCCTTTCGCTAACTGCCCCGCAGAACCTGATGGATGACCGAGTGCCTATCATCATGGAAAGCGTGTTTGAATGCACTTTGGAGATGATCAACAAAGATTTCCATGAGTATCCCGAACATCGTGTTCAGTTCTTCAAGCTGCTCCAGGCTATCAACCTCTATTGCTTCCCGGCGCTGCTGAAACTGAACTCGACGCAGTTCAAGTTTGTCATCGACTCCTGCATGTGGGCTAGCAAACACGACAACCGTGAAGTTGAGAACACGGGTCTCACCATGTGCCTGGAGCTCATGAACAACATGGCCGAAACTGACCCACAGACTTCGAGCATCTTCTTCCGCCAGTTCTACATTCCCATTCTACAGGACGTCTTCTTCGTCGTCACGGATACCGATCACAAAGCTGGTACGTTGCATAGACGTTTCATTTTGGCGTCCAGAGCTGACATGTTATCAAGGGTTCAAATCTCAGGCCATGCTGCTGTCTCGGATGTTCTATTTCGTGGAATCGGGCAAGATACAGGACCCCATTTACTCACCCGAACAGGCGCCACCGGGGACGTCAAACAAAGAATTCCTCCAGGAATATGTCGCTAGTCTTCTGCAGACTGCCTTTAAGAACTTACAGGAGTAAGTGATGAGACCGAGTCAGCTTTATAGCGAGGGAAAAGCTAATCGAATATAGAATTCAAATCAAACAGTTCGTCATTGGTCTGTTTGCTCTGAACGATGACTTCAACAAATTCAAGACTCATCTCCGTGATTTCTTGATTTCGCTCAAGGAATTTGCAGGTGACAACGCCGAGCTTTATGCGGAGGAGCGGGAACAGGCTCTTCGCGATGCCCAGGCCGCAGAAAGAGACCGGGCAATGAAGGTTGGAGGCTTGTTGAAGCCTGCTGAAATGGAGCAAGAGGACGAGTTATGACTTGAAAAAGAATTGCGCAGCGAATTGGACGGCTCGGCGTCCACCGAGGCGGCCAATTCTTCTGGACCCCATCAGCGGCCATTGGACACCGACGGGCTAGATGGCTGGTCTATTTACGGCCTATGAACACAAACCAGAGAGTTTTTTCGACCTCTTCCTAGACGCATCTTGAAGCGTGCCGGGCGGTAGCTTTTGGTCCTCTTCGAACGCTCGCGCTGCTCTCGATGACGTCTGCCATTTTCCCGAGGCGGACTCTGGTGAGATGAGGAGAAGCTTGGCTGGACTGTGGTATAATAACACGAACGTAGCTGATAGGTATCGAATATCTCTGTTAGTCTACCCATGTTGTGTAATTCCCATTTGGTTACAGTTCTTCTATAACTTGGTGATTGTCCAGTTGCTTTTCATTAAGAATGGAGTGAACGGGCGGCGGTTGTTTTGGTATACCAACTCGTGAAGTAGAGAGGGAGAATACTTGTATCCTATCAACGGGAACGGATCACCATAATATAAGCTCTTTCCGTAGCGTGCGGGCGGCGAGTAAAAGTCCATTAGTCATACTCTTAAATGCTGCCCGGTGATCTCCCGATCCCCGCAAAGTCCATGGTCATCGCCTTTCTTCCGCACGAGACAATGTGAATCCTTTACTTTCCCCTGCATTTTCTTCTCCCCCCCCAAAAGTCCTCATAATGTCTAGAACCAGGAGGCAGGCAGAGGCCCTACCGTCCGGCAGCCAAGTTCAGACAGAATCCTCTCGAGAGCCTTCGCCTCTTCCTCTCACGGGAACTCTGAGACTGAGAGGCGCGCCACTTGCGGAAACCACGCAGACGACCACGGAGACAGCATCCACGAGACGCATACGATGGAGTGAAGACGTTGTCGATAATGAGGGGATGGGCAAGAAGAGTTCAAAAGGTAAAACGACACACCATATGAACAGAGGACTCCTCGCCGCCTACTCTCAGGAAATACTATCATTCGAGTGCCTCTTCCTTTCTCCCCTCTTTTTACCCTTCTTAAACACAAAACACAAACCATTATACGAAATAAATCCAAAATCCAACCCTCGAAGCAAAACTAACGAAGGAACCAACCAGTATGCTGCATATACCACAAATCCCACGCCGTAGGCGAGAGCAGTTCCGAATCCGAATCTGAATCCGAATCCGATGACTCCAGCTCCTCCGATTCCGACACCGACGCTCGTCAACGCGGGATAAGACGTGGTCGTCGGAAACAAGATAAAGACCATCATCATCATCATGAATGCGGTTCAGAAGAACATGACCATGACCACGACCACGGATCGGGTCCTCATAAACATAAGAGCAAGCGGAGAAAACCAAGCCCGAATGCTTATGAGAGAGTACCGAATTATACGAAGAAACGACCTCAATGACCAAGGGACGGGACGTAGGGTAGAGAAGATGGTGGAATCGTGCTTTCGTTGCGGTTGTTTTAAGGGGGGGTCACTGCCGTGTGCTGTTCGTGGTCGGTCGAGAATTTGGACATGTCTTGTCCTTCTCGACCATAGATATCCCTTTCGATGGGTGTCGCAGATATGGGACGCTTGAGCTGGTGATTCCCAATGTGTATGAAGTTGCATTGGGGGTGTTTCTCGAGCATTTCCTTTGGAGTCTTCAGCATTACTCGCTCGGGCCATAGCCACCTGAAATCACGGCCGTATGAACTGGTAATGCAAATCTGGTCTTCCTTTGGCGGAAGACTCTCACACGATATCATGGTTCGGTATGAAGATACACTCATGTGAATTAATTATTTTATGTCAATTGTAACATTATTTATCCACTTAACACAAGGTGCAGCGATATACTGCGAATGAATACTGAAATAAGAAAAGTATATAAGATTTCTTTTTGCATTATAAATCGACATGGGGTATCTATTGCCCAGGCTAAACAACGTCGAATATCCAATTAACCCATGATTATACAGCACGATGAACAGAAATGCCCTCCTGAAGGGGCTTGGCACTGTCTAACAAGTACCAATAAGAAGATACTGCGGAAAACAAGACGATCAGAACATCATGCTTCGTCTTCTAGCCGAAACTCTTCCGCGTCTCAGCAGTTCCGCTTCCATCAAAGCCTTGTTCGATGCGCTGATTGCTATTTTCGCGGTGGATGACCCTGCATCGTCCGGCTCAAGAGACCCCCTGGCATCTGCTCGAAGGCGAGTGCCTTTCATGTCATCATCCTCCACCACTTCATTCGTACTTTCTCCACGTCTCCGTCCTCGGTGTGATCGCGTCTCGGAGGAATGAGTTGATGTGAGATACTCAGCGTCCTGATGAGGCGAGCTATCTCGGCCAGACTTCGTATGATATCCAGTTGGGTTTGAAGAGTGTCGTCGAGATTGGCGAGTCACTGTCGAGGACCCTTTTCCGGTTGACATAGCTGAGCCAGAGTCGGTATCTAGTTCAGGTTGCAGCGCATCTTCCGCTGCAGTGCTTAACGATTCTCCACGTCCGGTACGGCGTCTACGGTCCGAGCCTTTTCTATTTCCTGAAATAGTTGCTTGACCTCGTTCTGTAGTAGGTGACGGGGAACCCGGTTCCTGTAGTTGGGACACGCTATCGGTTGACAAGGTCTGTGACTTCCTTCCGTCTTCCATTTCCGCCCCAGGAGTGATGGTTTCCCCTTCTTCACCACGTCCAGCGCTCGTCCGGGAATTGGAGGTTCTTCGAGAATGATCCTCCGGAACCGCAGTAATGAGTTCTTCTGTTGGCCGCCTCATCTTGGCCTTCAAGTTGGGTTCCACATAACTCACGACGTTTCGAGGGCGTCTAGCTGGTCGCGCGGAGCCTCCCAATTCACTCGGGGTAGTTGCAGAGACACTCTGGAGTTGTGGTGAGACGAATTTTGCTGGTGTATGTGAGGTGGCCTCGGCTTTCTCGTTCATGTCGATGTCTGCTTTACCGCTCTTTCCTTTGTGAAATGCATAGCGCTCTGATATGGAGTTTTCATCCTCCTGCTTTATTTGCCGTGGTTTGGCCAAAGAATCAGCCCGAGTCGTTTTCCTACCGTCTTCTGGTACACGGTTTTTCTTATTCTCTGAGGCGCGTTGCTTTTTAGGAGATGTATTGTTCATATTGGTGCTTTCTAGGGGAAAGGTCAGCACCAGCCAGAAATATGATGTGATCTTTGACCTACTTGGCTCTAGCACTTTGCGTCTGATCCTTACTTGGTCCTTCAAGTCTCGAGGAGTCTCTTCTTGTCCGACATCTGGCTGTGGGGATTGCGCAGCTGGATGCCCCAGTACCTTATCTGAAGCACGATCTGTCCGGTTAAATTTAAAGTCGTCTTCAAGCTCGGTCACATCCAACGAGTGGCTTTCATCCTCCTCATCGGCATCGAATTTTCGTTTGTGCCCTGATTTCACACCAGACTTAGATTCTTCCAACGGCACACTGGGGTCCGGTCTTCCCTTGTCACCCTTGATAGGTGCCGACAGTAGACGAGGTCTCCCCCTTTTCCTAGGCTGCTGGCTATAGAGAGAGCCCTTGTAGTCGTCCTCGGGTTCTGTGTATGTTTGTTTGACGTATTCGAAGGGTTCCGTCCATTCTTCACGAGTGGGACTGTCTTCGGGGTCCAAATGTGCGACGGGTGGAGGGCCTAATTCCGGAGAACCTGGCACATCATTTTCCATGTCCTCCAGTTCTCTCGGCCTGCAAATCAAGGTTAGACTGGACCACGATTGAACAGGAAGCAAGACGACTCACTCCAAGGTCTTCCTGGGGTAATATTTATCCTCGAGTATGACAGGAAGTCGCCCATCATCGAAGCCTGCGATAGCTTCCGGTCCAAGCTCTTCCCGTCGATAATTTATGTGTGATTGCCTTTCCTCATCAACTCCCGAAGCCGCCGCCTCAGACACGGTCTTCCTGTTCACTTTACGCGGCAACGCTCCTAGCTCGGCGACCAGATTGCCGAGTTCTGCCAGCTTAGAGTCTAGCCTTGCCTTCAGATTGTGGACGCCATCATTCAAAGCCTTTGCCGACTCGTATCTCTCGATCTCATGGTTCAGCGATATGACCTGTGAATGCAGGGACGTATTCTGACAGAGCAGCCGTGATATTTCTGATTCTAGTGCCTGAATACGCAGCGACTGGATTGAGTTGGCTCTTGCAAGTTCCCGGTTCTGCCTGATGAAGCGTCTCTTCACTGGAGTATAGTTAATAACAGGAAGGTTGATGGCTCTTTGTCGACGACCGAGGATAGAACTCACGAGCTTCGATTGATTCCGCGGGCGGAGCCAGATCATTTAGGCGAGCCATGATATGGCCTCGTGGGGATGAAGTTCAGTCCAGCAAAGAAAGACCAGTGATCCAAAAGTGAGTAAGTAAACAAAGAGCCTGGTGCTCGTTATGGTTATCTTTGAGTTGAACTCTTCGTGCAGGCCTTTTTGAAGAAAGCTCATCGAGGAACTGGACCTGTCAGAAAGCCGATAAAGTTGACCGGTCCCACGAGAGATAGTTTGGTAGAGATATCTAAGATACACTCAATGTTTAGGAACGGGGCGGACAGGATTGCAAGCTTGTTGACATTTCACCGTGTTTGGTTTAGCGCCCCTCACATGGCTGTCGGCCTTTCCCAGATTAGCGTGGGACGTCACCGCTCGGCAGAAAACCGTCTATCTTGATGATTATCGGCCTCATCCCCGCTACGGTGACAGTTAGACTCGATGAAGGACCGTGGCGTTCATATAGAACACGATATGAGAGCACTAATATCTTGATCTGAGCTTCCTATACAGACAGTGATACCGCCAGACTGATCGCAAGGAAGCGTCCACCTCCTTCGACGCGTCGAGGACTCGACATCGACAGATCGCAGTCCGCTATTCTCCACTGCTCAGAGGCCATCTTCGGTTTTCTTCTATCCTGCAATTCTTTCGGATCCTTTCCACACATGGCGCAGGCTCCAAGACCAGCGTCTATGTTCCCAGCAGGGCGGCAGAGCAGCTACCCAGTCGCCCAGCAGTCTTCAGCTCTTGCAGTACGGATAGCGTCAAAAAAGGCAGAATTGGATAACTTGAAGGAGCTGCGCGATCTCAGCGGAGTCCTCGCATCTCAGATGCAGGCATTAGAGGAAAAGCTGAGCACATTAAAGGACGGAACTGAAGGTTGGCTATCTCTTGACATTCTTGGGCCATGTATACTGATATGCCTTCAGCTGTCGCCTGCGTTCTCGCAAACTGGGGTAATGTTTTGCGGGCTATAAGCATGGCATCTGGTGAGTTCCCATAGCCTGCTCTCTTACGGATGACTATCGTTCAGCCTCGAGTTATGACGTCCGTAGTTGCTTTGATCTTGTAACTAACTGTTGAATGCCCTTCCAGCCAAAATAGCTCAACCGAAAGATACCACGGACGAAAAGTCACATGCGGAGATGGAAGACTCCGAGTGGGCCGGTGCTCCTTTACCAGCGACTCTAGTTCGGATTCCTGCGGAGCAGTCAGACAAGAAATAAGGGACATGGGGTCATATCCCTGTACATGCATCCACCACCTTAAATATTCCGTCCCTGGAGAATGCGCCGGCTGAGTGATCTATGATCGGACTTGTAAAGGTCATCGGACGATGGATACCCCCGTCTTTCCGGCGACGTACTCACACGCCTCATCGTGCTGGAGATGCTTCCTTTGGTCACTCGGGGAAACAGTGGCATATCCAGAGTGTGTACACAGGCCGGCAAGAGGACCGGCAACGAAGACATACCACCATGCAACAGCGGGTTCTATGTACTTTACACGGCTCTGCGGAAGCCGACCATGACGTGACGATGCTTTTGATTTCATGATATAATATTCAGAGTGCTTCTCCCTTATTTGGATGGACTGATGTGTATATCAAAATACTGGATTCGCAGCACTACGCTGAAGAAAATTAAACCCGTTCTCATTCCTCCCAGGGTAAGGATAGATCTGGATGAGACGTTGAAGGGACCCCTCTTTCGGTATCCATAGTTTACCGTATGAGAAGCATATCGTATATATCGTGACCACGAAATGTAGTTCATGGGGACATCATATGATTGGGTCGATTCTGGTCGCGGATGATCGCTATGGTAGTATGGAGAGTGGCTCACCTCAATACCAGCCGTGCTTTCAAACGGCCGGAAAGCCGCTGGCGCAGCGTCCCTCCCACCATTCAAATATATACTTACAGTAGATACAATCGGATTCATCACGACAACCGGGTAAGAAAACGGGTAAGACCAGCACCATACTCTAGCTCAACCTACGAATATCACACTAGAGGAACCCGATCGAACCGAGGCGGGGTAAGGTAATTTATCTGATTGCATATTGTCTACCTAGGTAGGTAGTTCAACCTCCTACAGTAGACGACCATTAACTATCTTATGCGCGAATCTTATGTCTAACATAACTACAATAATAACAATGTACCATAGGCGACAAAGGAAAACTGAGCGCTATCGGGAATTATTGAATCCAGGGATTCCACAGTTAGTCAGTCGGTAGTAGTAGTATTTATCTACTGTACCCTGTGACTTGACTTGATGATGTAGGGCTTGGTCGCGAGCGAGGAAATAATAATGGATGGCAGAAAGAAGTTCTGCCGTGATAACCGGTTGGGAATAATACATATCGCGATAAGAAGAATACCGCGGAGCCACCGTACCATTTTAGACTCACTCTCTCCCATCGCTATCTAGATTAGAAAAGAAGCCAGCGGATTGATCGTTATCTATTGTAGTAGTAGTATAAGGTTTTCTATTTGTCAAGTAACTCTGGAGTAACTATTTAAGGCTGTAATAACCATCTGTCTGTGGATACGATAAATATGGAACAAGTATGGGCATTGAGGTCCACCACAGAAGAAGAAGAAGTGATAGATAATGTGTGTGTGTGTGTGTGTGTAGAGACCTGACGCCACCAGAGAAAGAGAAAGGCGTGACCTCGAGGTAATAATTATCTTCGTATGGTACTGTTATCGGTACACCCATTTTGCGCTCTAGATAAGTATGTAGCAGCTTGATCTGCGCGGGTGGACCACCGTTTATCTGGAAGTTGAAGTTCCGGAACGACATCAGCGGATAATTAAGTATGTAACTATCTACCCTAGATAGTGTCAGAGATGCTAGTTAGTTAGTTAGGTAGGTACCTAGGTAGTTCTTTATGTATTATTAGTTGGAGGCAGAGAACTAGAGTAGTTAGATAGTATGTAGTACGGAGTACTCCGTACACACTGCACAGATACGGAACTCCGTAGAGCACTGTCAATCGGCAATTCTCCTGTAGGTACCAATACCGTAGTGTCGAGGAGATAGCAGCAGCAGCAGCAGTAAGCGAGATGATAAGATGCTTACCCGACACCATCCCATCGTCGATCAGCTCGAGCCATTCTTCGAATCGGATGGACGGCGCATACCTAGTGTCATGCCTCGCCAATCGTCACCGCACGGGCTGGTCAGGGGGAAATTCGCTCGCTGAGGGTGTTAGAGAATCCAGGACGGCCAACCATGGAGCCCAGCTGTCTCACCAGCTCTCTCTCACGCGACCGAACCACAGGGTTTCCTCTGGAGTCTGTCCAAAGGTTGATCCAGGTTGGGCCTGCAATCTCAGGCCGCTAGCCACTGGTCTCCGTCGTGCATATCCCGCTAAATCGTGCCGGAATGCATGTCTGCCGGGGCCTTGGAGGACAGTGGACAGTGGACAGTAGTAGTAGTAGATAGTGGACAGGATAATCCACGCAGCCTGGACGATGGAGGCAATCTTTTCTTTTGCCTGATCGGGCCTGCTGCATCGGGTCCTGCTCAGCAGCACGCAAGCGGAACGTGCACGGGTGCTAGTTAGGTAGTCTGGAGTTGAGCAGAGTAATTAATACATACCATACGCAGAGTGCAGTCCGGATCGCATGCCGAATCGAAGAAAAGAAAGAAAGAAGGATAGCTAGTTAGTTAGTAGTAGTTGTCTCTGGACCTCTGGTGTACTACGTGGATGCACAGAGATGAATATCTGAATAATAATAATGCAATCGCCTGTAGCTAGCACCTCATCCACTGGCCCTCTCTCTGACGAACGGACCGGCGTGTTCCAGTCTGTGTGGACAGTCATATTTACTGAGTACATACATACATGCTGCACAGCAGGAACCACTCGACCGGATATGTGGTCTTCTCTGACAAGCTCAGCAATTGACTCACTCCATAGACAATTCCTATGAAATAAAATAAGAAAATGACAGTGGCGAGGGCAGCACATCGTTGACGATCGAGAGCACTAGACATAACAGGCCCCCCTCGTGGATACGAAGCCAATGCGACTCTCCACCAACCGAGATGCACTCCTCTCCCCTGCCCCTCTTTTCGCCCACGCTAAGGAAACTCCTCCAGGCTGCGAACTGACTGCATCGTCTCATGCAGCCAATAATTCCTGCCTCTCCCCCATCCCCAAAGCCACCGAGAAATATGCTGTTATTCTGTCAGGGCCGGGCGCACGGTGGAGACAGAGAGAGAGAGAGAGACAGAAGAAAAAAAAAAGAAGAAGCAGATCTCTGCCTGGGGTCCGCTGGGCGCAAAAAGCTAGCTAGCTTAACTACCTAACTAACTAGCCATTCTTTTACTACTTGAAGCCGTTCACTCCCCGCCCACTTATTCGGATGACTCGAGAGTAGTTATATCTAGTTAAGTTTCTGCTCACATCATCTGCTCGACTATTCTTGTCATTCAAAAGGTTTTCTCTGGCACCCTCCACCGTCGTTCTCAGGTGATCGGGGACAGGAATCCTATTAATATAACGACAACAGTCGAAGCGATGAGGTGATCTTGCTTTTTTTGCCTTCGGGACGTACCCATACCATACTCTAGTCAGATCATATTATTCTTCTTCCAGTCTTTCAATCCTACCTATAATATTACCAATTATTCCATCCAACTCGACCCTTCTTAGCGATTTAGATCTCTATTCCCGTCCTTGAATTCTCGTCTTCCTCTCGTCTGCTACATCTCATCACTCTACCCGAAGGCAGCGCCCAACAACCCAAGAAAGCTTGCTACCTTCTATACTCTCGATCATTTCGATCTCGTTCTCTTTTTTATTTATTTAAAAAAAAAAAATACCATTTTTCATTGATTCCCTCTGCTTGGAGAAATCCTGGAGCGGCTCTCACGACTACATATGCAAAACATGGAATGGTCACTGGACTTCTGTCTGGTCTGTGACCGACAGACCTGCGGCGGAGCATACTGCTCCCAGGCCTGCAGACTGGCCGAGCTGGATGGCTTTTCGACGGGTTCTAGCTTGTCATCCCAAACAATGAACAGCAAACAGACGCCATCAAGAGAACACACCGTCGGGTCGAAGTTATATCCCACAAACACATCGACAGGCCGGTCTCCAGAAACGACGGGATCGGTCGAGAAGTCATCTACATCTCTTCGCTACCAGCTGGTCGACAGCGCCTCTGGTCTCTCACAGCCCACGCGGACCCTGTCTCCCTCATCATCTGAAACATCCTTAACATCGCTCCAAAGCAATTCCTCCCGCTCAACGACGGTCTCTGATCAAGTGTGGAACGAACTCTGTGATTACGCCAGTTGCTTCGACCACGTACGCGACTGGAGAAGACGACTAGCGATATCTTGAGCGATCTCCTCTTCCCTTGAATGACCCATGGTCATCGGCCACCTGAGGGTCGTCGGTGACCGCAGCAGCCCTCTTTCAGGCGACGATTACGATAAAACATACCCCACGACAAACATTGGTGCCCTGGCGGCGTTACGCGCTTTTTTTTTCTCATCTGGTTTTAGGATAGGATACTCAAATTGTGCTGTGTGATTTTGATGCATCTTGTCCGGACAATCCCCCATATCATCATTTCCGATTTAATATACCCCTACCTGTTTCCCGTTCGATCTTGTGTATTAAAAAAAAGGGAAAAAGAGGCTACTCTCTTTTCTTGCATCTCTACTTTTTTTTTCCTGCATTGCATCTATCAACAGGCGGAAGAGGAAGGAAAAAGGAAAGAAAAGGAAAACTTGATTCTTCAATATGTACGATCTTGATGGACTGAGAAAAATCTCTCTCTCTCTGATACTGCTCTCCCAAATCTTGACTCCAATCTGATCCAAAGACTTCTAATCCATTTTTCAACACCCCGTACGCATCTCTACAGTAGTAGTAGTAGACTACACAACTGGCATCTATCCCATCCATCACAGTTACAAGCTAATGCTCTTCTCGATCGACCTTCCAGACAGTTATATGAGACGTAATCACAAACTGAGCAACAACTAACTCACTGGACAAACACAATCTTGGCAGCCGCCTCTGACGACGACGATTGACACCTACCTACCCAGTTACACTATAGTTAGTTAGTTAGTTAATGCTGGGGTAAAAAAAAATGGGTGGGTACAGGGTTCATCTTATTCTCCCCTCACCCCCACATCGGGTCCTGATTGCGAATAAAATATGTACATAGTTTATACCGTATACCATACTACTACGTACTGTATATATACATACGTATACTATGTACTACTCCTAAACCTTAGATACTGGACGCCATGCGGCCATTGCACATAGCAATGCTATTCATCGATCCGCAAACCCCGAACGTTCCGGAACGCATGGAACTGAATCTTTCTTTCCGTCCCCACTTTCAACGTCGCGATAGGGTAGAAGTATCAAGAGTAAACGTCCATTCGAATCTAGAGTATGAGTAAGAGTAAGAAAAAAAAAATCTCTGCTCCGGAGTTGAAGTCGATTCGATTCGAGTCGATTCGCATGCCGCTAGTTAGTTAACTTCCTACTCCTACGTGGCTCTCTCCTCTCCTCTCTCTGCTTCTTGGATATCAGACAGGCACAAGCACCGACAGGCGCCATACAGTACCAGTCAGTATCAGAAGAAGAAGAAAGAGACTCGAGACCCCGTCTCCAAATGACGGTTTCAAACATGCATATGTTATTGTACAGAGGATCCAATCATTTTTTTTTTTTTCTGACGATGAATTCTTCTCATTCCGAGAATGGTTTTCTAACTAAGAAGCCAAAGACAAAAAGACTAAAAACTACCTAAGACACATATTCAACGAAGATGGGTCAGTCCTGACTCCTACCTAAATCCAACCCAACCGTACCACACCATACTACACTACACTAATCACCCCCTTGCCTCCCAGACCAGGCAGGTATCATATTTTTCTTTTTTTTTTCTGTTTCATTTTGCACGGGCCGTCCCGGTCTGGTCTACTACTAGCTTACCATACCATAGGTAGGTGTTATCCTTGACCGTTAGTCAATAATAATAACAGTAGTTAGAGTTTCTTATTCGCGCCAGTAGTAGTTAGCAGCAACGGTGCCAGACATGCAGGAGGGCCGTTAACAGCCAGCTCAGTGGGAAATAGAAATAGAAGTTAATCAAAAAAAGAGCATTCTGCATACATAGTACGCTACGTAATCAGTCCCAAGGTTCCGTGGGGGGGGAGAGAAAGAGTTTAATAGCTATTCGTCGGCATGTAGAGTACTATAGTAGGTTCCTATAGTATCCTCGTTGCCGTTAGGAAGCGAAACTGAATAAATACTTTAAAGATGCGTGTGGTTTCCCCTTCCATTCTTTTTCTTCTCCTCTGACTGATACTCTCAGGCCAAGGAGACAGTAGATATAAAATAAATGGTGCTATATAGCACCCTCTTAGTTTTCTATTTCGATCCTGACCTGACCTCTTGAATGCTTTATCTTTTCACTTTCTTGCGAGTCGATGCTCCCTAGGTCGTACTGCTTAGGTCTGCAATAGCGTATGGAGAGGATAGAGCAAGCAGACTCTCTTAGCGGAATATCCAAGGGAGGGTGGTATAATAATAACCAGGGATCCTATGGCTTTGGCCGCAAGATTCCTAGTAACTCTAGGAGCATAAATTCGGGTATTGACTAATATAGTAAATCGCTGCTATAAAAAGTGAATAGGATTATGATTTGTTTTTTGAGCGTAGATTGGGATAAATTTATATACGGGAAAGGTTTATTAGCAGGAAGGTGAGGTTCATTCGGTTAGTTGGTTAGTTGGCTAGTTTTAACAGAAAGGCAGCCTTCTCGTCAGAAGAAGCAGCAATAATGCTGTTCGCAGAGGGATTTATAGCTAGATAAATTACAACCACAATGGGATTGTCTGCCGTGATATAGTTTTTAAATATATGGTAAAGCTCGTCACTGTCCCGAAGACATGGAGAACCCACCTTCTCGGCACGGCCGGAAACCGGTAACCGTATCCGCATCAGGGCTCCTACCTGCCTTTCCCCGTTTCGATTTAGAGCTATCTATCGTATTTGAGAAATCCCATCAATTGATTGAGGCCTTAGAACCAGCGCAACAATGGGCCTGCGTTCATTTCCCCGGCATTCTTCTCTTTTCTTCGATTTCTGCCCAAGCAGCACCAGGAGTATTAGGACAAGATGAATAAAAACCCACTTTCTGCAGAGATTGTTAGATCTGCAATAAACCATGTAAATCCTAGAAAGGGAACGAAAGAAAGGGAAGAAAGAAAGGGGAAAAGGGAGGGGGCTGGAAATAATAAGGCCAGCTGTCGCTCGCATATGCTCGCAGCTCTCGTGTCGCGTGTCCGATCAACGGGCTAGAATAAGATGGATAAAATAGAATCTACGCTGCATATCACTAGAACGATAAGAAATACTCCTATATTATGATATTAATATTAATAGACTGCCCTAACTAGCAGCAGATCATCCACAGTTCAAAAAGAGAGCGCATCCGGCGTCTCCTAGCCTGTCTTATTGGCGGGAAGAGGTGCGGAAATAATCGAGCACGGTCCATCCGCGAGAGATAGTACGGAGAGAGAGAGTCAGTGCTGCGATCTCGTGGCTGTTTGAAATTTTATAGTCTGTTCTGGGCCATTGTGACCCTTTTGATAGTTAGCGAGTCAGACCTCTAGAGTAAGCAATTATTATTATTATGATTATTGCTATTTTTGTAATTGTATAGATATAAATTACTATCAATTTCTGCCTGACTCGACTAAGTTACTATCTGGCTCCTGACGTCACACAGGCCAGATGAAAAAAAATCCCCCATCTCCAACAGGAAAAAGAAGAAGAAGAAGAATTCAAAAAAGAAACATCACATCACATCATGTTCCTTTCCTGATCTCTTCCTGATCTTGGCAGGAATCCCTGGTGGAGCAACACAACGCGTTCGTCTTTGTTCCTGTTAGTTTTTTTCAGGGTCACATGTACGGCCCAGTTAGGCGAAGATCTTGACCTTTGCGTCTCCACGCCCGCCGAGCCGAGTCGCTGATTGGCGGGGAAAGCAGACCCTACGCCGTCATCTCTCCCCGTGACGGAAGGTCTGCCGGTCGCGCTGCCAGGCTTTGGCGACTGTTGCAAGTCGAGAGCGCAGCGCCCAGAGGTACCTCCGGTCTCCGCGTAGCTTTGCTGGGGAAGCAGGTACCCATCCGCAGTCTAGCCTTGGACAGCATCATCATCGCGTCTCCACTACGCCGTACCATACAACTCTCTGCCTTGCCTCCCTCTCCCCCTGCGCGACCATCGAGATCACTAGCTGTTCGTTTTCTTTTCTTTTCTCTTTTCTTCATTTCCTGTATTTGACCTCATCACTCCTCTCCGTCAAACTCTTCCTCTTCCCAGCTCTTCTCTCCTCTCCTCTCCTCTTGACTCCTTCGGGCCCTCTCTCCCCTCCGTCCCGTCCCGATCACATTCTTATCTCACAGCCATTGTACATTTGCGAGGGTCTTTGTTGTTGACGCCGTTGCTGCTTTTCCCAGGACAATTGCTTGTTCAGTAATCTGTCAAGTGGGTGCTAGCTCCCGTCCGATAATCCAGACGGCTATATAACAACAACTATATACGCCGCAACCTATCTCCTCCTCTCCCTTAATCAGTACAATCGTCAGCCAGCGACCACCTTGCCGGAATGGCCGCTCGACACTCCCGCAAGCTTCTACGGCCCCTTCTCTACACCTCCGCTGCTGCCGCGGCCGGAGCTGGTGTACTTTATATCTCCTACAGACCCCGTAATATTCCCGGCTTGGAAGCCCCTGCGGTCCCCCCTCCCGGATACAGTGAAGGAAAGCTCCTGCCCCCGAACTTTCCCCGGATCAAGAGTCGAGATGAGCAGATCGCAGATCTGAAGAAGAGCTCCACAAAGGAGCAAGAGTACGATCTTCTGGTCATTGGCGCGGGCGCCACGGGATCGGGAATTGCGCTGGATGCGGCCACGCGAGGTCTGAAGGTCGCCATTGTCGAACGGGATGACTTCAGTTCCGGTACGAGTAGTAAGAGTACGAAGCTGGTCCACGGCGGTGTCCGATATCTTGAGAAGGCCGTGTGGGAGTTGGATTACAACCAGTAAGCTTTGGTTTCCCTTTGAGAGACTCCGGTCTCCCTTTTGTCTGACGGTAGATCCGCAGGTATAAACTCGTCGTGGAGGCCCTTCGGGAGCGGAAATACTTCCTGAACACCGCTCCCCATCTGTCCTCATGGCTTCCTATCATGGTCCCTGTGCAGAAGTGGTGGCAAGCTCCGTACTTCTGGGCGGGCACCAAGTTCTACGATTTCCTGGCCGGTTCTGAAGGAATTGAGAGTTCCTACTTCCTGACCAAGAGTAAGGCATTGGAAGCCTTCCCTATGTTGAAGAAAGAGAACCTGTTCGGAGCTCTGGTCTACTATGGTGAGTGCAGCCTCAAGACCTCTTGATATCTATCTAGACTTGACCGGGGGTTAATAAAAGACTAGATGGTGCTCACAACGACTCCCGCATGAACGTCTCCCTCGCAATGACCGCTGCCCTGTACGGTGGTACGGTCGTCAACCACATGGAAGTGACTGGCCTTGAGAAGGGTCCGGATGGTAGGCTCAACGGTGCTCGCGTGAAGGATTGCATCCGTGAGAAGAACGGCCAGGCACCCGAGGAGTTCACTATCAAGGCCAAAGGTATCATCAACGCCACTGGTCCCTTCAGTGACTCCATCCGCAAGATGGATGAGCCCACCGCGAAGGAGATCGTGGCTCCTAGCGCCGGTGTCCATGTCATTCTGCCCGGTTACTACAGCCCTTCGAATATGGGTCTCATCGATCCTTCTACTTCTGATGGCCGTGTGATCTTCTTCCTCCCTTGGCAGGGTAACACGATTGCTGGAACGACGGACCAGCCCACCGCCATCACACCGAACCCCCTCCCCACGGAGCAGGACATCAACTGGATTCTGTCCGAGATCAGAGGTTACCTTGCCCCCGATATCAACGTGCGACGTACTGACGTCCTGGCTGCCTGGGCCGGTATTCGACCCCTGGTGCGCGATCCCAACAAGACTAACACGGAAGGTTTGGTCCGTAACCACCTGATTTCGGTGTCTCCGTCAGGCCTCTTGACTTGCGCCGGTGGTAAGTGGACCACTTATCGCCAGATGGCCGAGGAGGCAGTAGACGAGGCCATCAAGGTATTCAAGCTTCAGCCTAGCCCGCTGCGCGATGTTCCCGACATCAGCGGTGTTGGAGGTGCCGGATTGGTCTCCGACGGTGCTGTTCTCGATGGTTCCTGCCAGACTCACCAGGTTCGCCTGATTGGTGCTCACGGCTGGTCCAAGACGCTTTTCATCAACCTCATCCAGCACTTCGGTCTCGAAACCGATGTTGCAAAGCACCTGGTTGAATCTTACGGAGACCGTGCCTGGCAAGTGGCTGCCCTGTCATCTGCCACTGAGCACCGTTTCCCCGCAAGAGGCAAGCGTATCTCGCCCCTCTACCCCTTCGTCGATGGTGAGGTGCGCTACGCTGTCCGCCACGAGTATGCACAGACCGCCGTCGATGTCATTGCTCGGAGAACCCGTCTGGCCTTCTTGAACGCTCAGGCGGCCATGGAGGCCCTGCCAAAGGTCATCGACCTGATGGGTGCGGAGCTCAAGTGGGACGACAAGAGGAAGGATCTTGAATGGTCCGAGTCTCTCAAGTACCTCGAGTCGATGGGTCTGCCCAAGAGCCGTCTTTCGCTCACCCGGGAGGACGTCGAGAGCGGCAAGTCGGCTGCTATTGACGATGCTGAGTTGCAGCTGTACTCGCGGAGTGGTAAGTTATATTCATCTATTTCCTGCGCACAACTCCCCCGCTGGAATAGTAATACTGACTGGTCTTATAGATGACCCGGCCGAAGTGCTCGCCAGTGACCGACCCGCGATGAAGGAGGACCGTGACCCGCTGATGCAGCCGGACTCTCCCGCTAACAAATAAAACTTCGGATTATTTTTACTTTTACCCCATTCTGTCCGGTTTCTTTTTTCATGAATAGACCTGCAGATATTCGCTAGACTTCTGCCGCAGGGACGGCGTCGATCCTACCACGGTTGCTCACGGTGAGCTACGTTGAGGTTATCGTCTTCTAGGCGGACTACTAAGGCGTGTGGCGTTCGAGATCTGGGCGGTTGTCAGACACGGGCTTTAGATGCGGAATATCGGTCTAGCCGGACATTGTATCTTTATATTCATTTTACCTACAAGAAAAATTAAGTTAATAAGAGCATCATCTGTTCGGATACTTTGGCATCAAACTGGTCCACGTGTAACAGCAAATGTTTCTCCAGTGGTAACTGGTAATTTAATAAAGAAGCTTAACTAGCAGTTATAGGGAGGTATCCTGAGATCTTCTTGACGGCGCCTGGGACCGGAACGAGCCCCCAGAACTAACGGCCTGGTCCCAGAATCGCTGTTATTATTGGTCCTGGGAACATTGACCACAGGAAGCGCAGAGCAACTTTAAAAGAGACCGTTGACCGTCAAAATCAAGTACCATTCCGCCCCGCTTATAGCACTCCAGAGCTAAGGCCGTATAAATTTGACACACGTCTGGTCAACCGTCACTAGACAACATGCCTTGTTCTCAGCATGTCATTAATGCTTCACTTTAGCCTCTAGATTCTCCAGTGCCGCTGTCCTTCCCATACGTTTCAACCAGACCTTCAAATCAAACCGACCTTCACTGAGCTCACTTTTATTCCCAATAAACTTAAACGTAGACCCTTTTTTCCCTTACTAGTCCCTCTTCATCTATATAATTAATCAAACACCACTCTGTCCGATAGGTAATTCCCCGTCTCATAAGTAGCTAATTTTTCGCCATCTTCAACAGTCTTAATATAATAAACGGCCCCTTGAACAATCGAGCCCGGGGCATTGAGAAGAGCCGGATATTGGCCCCATAATTTGCATTCGTACCCGATGATATAAGTCGGTCGTAACTTAGGTTTGTGATTTAATGCGAGGATTTTTATAATTATATATGGGTCAGTTAGTGTGCTGTAGAAGAAATATAGACCTGTTGATGCGACTAGGGAGTCGATTGGCGGTGGTGATTGATTTGGGAGACTTGTAATACCAGTCTAGTAGCGCGGCTCGTAGTTTCTGTATACTAAAAGACGAGACTTTGAAGCGAAGATTCTCCGATGGAGGAGAAGGAGGAGGAGGAGGAGCCCATACTGGTGTCGTTATCGTAATCTCTTCAGACTTAAGGCAAGGATAAATTTAAACTGGCTGTTCTCTGGGCTAGATATCTCGAATTACAACAAGGCAGAAAGTCGAAGATGATAGGTAACTACCTGACGCTTAGTCTATGCTAAGTATGCTGTAGTTAATTAGTAGGTAATCGAGCCGCTGTTATTATTATTATTATTATTATTATTAGTGGCGCTCGATTCAGTTCAATAAAAATCAATCGTTAGTCCAACTCTCACCAAGGGACTTCCGTCTTAAACAGGCTTGCTTTCCTTCCTGTTTCTCCGAGTTGCCGTTTAGTATAGATAGATAGATAGGCAAAGCGATGCGTTACAAACCGTATAGTATAGTATAATATTAAATATACTGATACTTATAAAAGGGTCCAATTAGCGATATAGAGCTAGGTCATGAAAAAATATAGAGGTTTATCACAGTAGTAGTTAATAGAGTAAATAAATAAAGTATTAAGAATTACAGTATCTCGCCTCGTTGTATATAAGAGTTACTGAGTACTTACTTATAGTACTTTAATCTAAGCTGAAAACATTATAAAGTAGCTTAACTAGGGTATTAATATAATACTTAAGGATAATATAAATCTAGAAGAAATAATCCCCAAGTAGCTCACTAAGATCCTATAGCATCTTGAATACTTAATAAGAGGGTGTTGCTGCTAACTATCTATAACCTACCTACTTAATCCAAATGACGGTTAGGATTAGTAGTTTACTTTGTTATCTAGATACACTAACTATCTTATGTATATAAATAAGTTATAAACTGGAGCAAAGTTGTTAAAGGGGCCGCTACTAGAAGGCAAGTTAGATTGTTACTATAAGATACTGCTAGGTATTGCGCTGGCGGCTGCCGCGACCGAATTTCTCGCCTCGAAGAGAAATAAGAACTGCTAAGCTAAACAGACGAGGTAACTATTTCGTGCTTAGTTGCATATATTCGAGCGTTCTTAATAGCTACCATACTCATCTAACAGACTTTCCAGACTTCTATACACTAAAATAAAATAAGACAGAATACTTGTACTGTACTTGGCGTCTATGCGACTCTCGTCCGCGGAAGCCTTTGAATTAGAAAAATGCAGCCTTCCGGATCGAAGGGCAGAAAGGTGGTTTACTCGGCTATAGAATTTAGACCCTTATCAATAGGTTATATATCTAGGTGGTCGCTTTCAGGAACTCCCCAGACCAATATCTTTATATGTTACGGACAAGACCAGTAATAGCAGCCCAGCCATCGACGCTTCGAGATCCGAGACAATACTAGACGGCAAGAAGAAACAATTTAAAGCAAACTCCAAGCTCAATTGTTAAACCTCGAATACAATCAACTACGCAGAAGTGCAGAGTATGTAGTCAGGTGTCGAATCTAGTAGGTTCTGCTCATAGAATAGTATAGCATATAGAGATCCCAGCTGTGAGAAGTGATGTAATAAGCTATTAGCTTAGCTTATTGTGTAATCTTTGTCCATTGACAATTTATCTTTTTGAGAACGAAGGGAAAAAAGAGAAAACAAAAGGGATATTATAATAAAATAAACATTGGTCATAATATATCATGTGCATATCTCCCAGACTTAATGCATAAGGGGAAAAGGAATTATTAAAACCTGAATTATTTTCACCGTCTAGTTCTGTTTTCTCCCTGAGTACGGAAATAATAAGCCAAAAACACAAAAGAACAAAAGAACAAAAGAAAGGAAAAAGCACAGAGTCATAGTATTATTGGAACGATGTTGGTCAATCTATAGTTAGACAAAACAGGTAATAAGATAGGTAGGACATTAGAGGGTTCCAAGAAAAAAAGAATTGTGTATAGTAGCGTATAAGAGCGTAATATCTTTTAGGGGAGTCACTGATCTTTCCATTTCTGTTCATCGACAAACCCATCGGTTCAAGGGTTTGATGGCGTGGAGCAAAACTCTCAAGAGAAGGCTGCATGGTCAAGTGGTCATGGATGTGACTTGTGTCTGAATAGCTCCAAGTCAAGTCGGCAGGCATGGAAGGGAGGTCGAAGGGAAGTATGCGCCGTTGTCCGTGTGTACTGGAGAAGAAAGAGTCACCGCACCAGGTGGAATGGACCGAGCAAAACGTTCGTTTCGCTCGTGAAGGGCCGCGCATCGAAGAATAAATGGTGCCGGCTACCGGAATAACAATTTGGCCCCAGCACCTAGTTTTTTGTTGTCTTTCATGAAAAGATAAGTCGGTGGCCCCCAGTACACTTCGATTCCAACACTCCACACTCCCGCTAGACCTCGAGGAGGCCCCGCCAGGAACAGTATGACATTCCTAGTAAGGAGTTCCCATCGATGACTTAACCGTGTTCATCATCACACGGTGTAGATTCACTTGCTTTTGCCAAGCTCACTCATCCAGGAGAGTTGCGTCATCCAGACAGACTCCTTGAGACAGTAGAACAGTCGGATGGCTCACCGCACTGTCCCCAAGCTAGGCTGCAGGCCCATCAAGCTCCGAAGCATCCCCTTGAAAATTATTCCAGAAACGCTCTACAGCTCGTTGGGCGATAGTAGAGCCGCGAAACCGGTCCCGGAAGTAGTTGAATAGAGCAAACTCGTCACGATCGAGAATGTAGCTATCCGGTTGCGCCTGTATGTCCCGCCAAAGTCGGCTGATGGCAGCTTCGAGGATTGCCGTCGTCTGAGGATTTATATGTCCATCCTCGCTGTTTCTGGCTTCCTCCAGAGCAAGACGTACTTGGTCTCTTCCCGAGTTGGAGACCGCATTGGTCATTGTGGAATGGCGTTGGTAGAAAGAGTTTTCGCCGGCTTTGTCGTGACTGTAGCAAAAGGGGATATAAATAACATGGAAGGTTCATTAGCCTGGATATGAAGAAGCGTGTCAGGAAGTAAGGTGTTAAAGCTGTGCAAGCTTGCATGCGTCTTCTGTCCAGAACGTGTCAATGGTTTCACTTCCTAACAAGACTCCCCTGCGTGAATGTCGACGCAAGCCATGGGAATGACAGCTTGCTTTAGACAGCATCCACAAGTTGCTGTGTGAAGGCGAGTAATAATAAAGGTGTAGTGGGATACCTGCACACCGGGTCCTGTCAATCAGGAGGCAGTCTTTTGTTCTCGGAGAATTTCATGCTGTCTCCTGAAGACCCGTCGAGAGGCACCATCTTGTCCGGACTCAGGAATCAAGAAATCCAATATCCTTGCGGCTTCATTTCCAACGGCCATGTGGCAGGTGGGCCCATGGACGGATTCTCCCGCTGCAGTAGAGGGGCTCTTTTCGCAGGTGGTTCTGTTCGTTTAGGGAAAGGATCAGGCCTAGGCTAAATGTCTTTGCGTTTCACGGTAGGGCTAGCATGGGCATAGCCGAGGTGGTTGATCACGATCAGAGTGATAGGGCTCCAGATAATGCAAGTCCAAGGTTAGCTGATTGTCCGGGTAGGAGATTTCGATTCGGGAAATTCTCCTTGACAAGGATAAAAGCGATGTCATGATACGTTGCGGCGGTATATTGGCAGGGTCTTGTGTCTTATTAGGTGGGGTTCGGGGGATTTCTTTTTCTGACTCTTCATCGACTATGAATTGGTCAGCGTCAGGCTAAGAGAAGCGAACGCCCAGTCAATAATGGAGAGCGCTCAATTCGTCGGGGAAAGGAGGGCGGATGCGATTGCTTCGTGGTCGAACCACTCAGAGAGAGCACTAATCGTATATCGCGGCTCAAGCCCAGAACTCAGTGGCATATAGAGCGCACTCCGCCTGCGATTGATACACAAACAGCGAGCATCCAAAACACCCTCTCCCCTGTTCAGAGTAACCGGTCCAGAATGCTAATTTCCAGATACGCCGGTCAATATCCCGTACTAGGGGATCGCCCATGCGGCAGAACCGTTGCAGTTCCACCGTGTCCACATCAAGTTTCTGGGCAGAAGTTCCGACCTCCATAGAACAACGGTTTAGCCCCAAAATCCATAACCGTCGAAGCCCTATTCGCATGTTAGATTTGCGGACCCTTTCGTCGGTCTAGGTTAGACCCGCCGTTCTCTTGGAGAGTCATCCACATTGGGCATCCGAAGTACACAACGACAGTTTGAGTAATAATATGCTAGCATCCAGCAGCAGCATATCAACAGACTTCAAACTCCACTGGGACGGTAAACAAAAAGAATACAATTATAAAACGGGAACAGTTATAGCGAATAAAATCGATTTCCTGCTACAGGAACAGCGCAGGAAATGCGATGACCACGTCCGGTGACCGCTAACTATTCCCCGTCATATTATGGCGTGTCCCTTTTTTTACCCACCTTGGTCAAGACACCTCCGTTAACGGTCGACCACGCCCTAAGCGGTCCTGAACGGAGACCTGACCGACATGTTTCATCATACGGCTGGTCGTTGGAACGTATGGGGTCGATCGGGAGCTCCGTCACAACATCCCGGAACGGGGAGGAATTTGGAATGAAACGATGGAACCCCGAGAGGTACAGTAGTAGACCCTTTTCTCCATCAAGACCCGCTGCAGGGGATAGGCATACGCGTGGCCGCGAGCATCAACTAGACGTTAGCCAATTTACCACTCCTCCATCCATAAGCGTGTATCTATCCTCCAGTTTTCTCTTCAAACTTCCACACGGGTCCACTGGTCTCGTACTTTAGACACGATTATGTGAGATTTTCCGCGGGCCTATACGCTACCTGGTCCAGGGGTCACGACTTCACGAACCATTCTCCAGTACAGAGCAATCCCTGCGGGTAGGGAGAATGCTTATCGTATCATTCGCATCTGGACCGTGAAGAGTTCCCTGGTTGGACGCTTGGGCCCCGATGAATGGTTGTAAAGCAGCCGCACGTCAACCAGGATGCCGAACATGATCATGGTGTGAAGCGACTTCGGGGTTCAAGGAAGAAATATAAGACGGAGGAAGATAGAACTGCACTGGGCTATCTACCAAAGAATAGCCGCAGTAGACTAGGGAGCAGCCCAAAAAGGCAGGTGGCAGGACTAGATGTCAGTGCAAAGCCCGCAAGCTGCAGAAGGGTTAGCACTCCGTACTTAGATAGGACTTTGGATGATCGTATTTCCTGAAGCAGAGTTGGACGGCGCCTGGAAGCTGTCGAGAGGGAAGTGTTGGATGAGCCGATGTAGGCCAGACAAGGTTTCGGATAAGTCAAGCCGAAGCTGCGGCACGGGGAAGTCGAGAGTGGCAGCCGTGCGGAGAGAGCCTTGTCCATGAAATGACTCCGAAGGAACTACGTATCTCAGGTTCTGTATGGTCCACGGCTGCAAACACGCCGAGAATCTCTGCAGTAGTCACGGAGAGTCTTCGACTACCTATCCAGGCAGGTGTCGGACAAGCTAGCTAGCACAGAACCGGGGGTGGAATAACAAAAGGGTTGCAGTATCGACGGCGTAAAGGATTGATAATTGGCCACCAGAGATAAGTATCCTCTGGCGGATATACGTTATTATAATATTACCAGGTCGACATCTGAGTAGGGTACTGGGCATGTACGTATGTATGTATATATGTATGCACATGCAAGTACATATTTGCGTGTCAACTGTGCACGCATATCCTGCTTTATACCGAGACGTGTTTAATGACACGAGATGATTATCCTACTTTCGGGCGTAAGCCATGTATGAGATGGCATAGTTAATGATAATGAGTGGGTGAGATCCTTTGCCCTCGCAAAAGTCCACCGCCTTGAATCACTATTGAAGCCACTGCCCATTAGAATCATTCAGCATAACTATCCTTCTGATAATTGGTGGCCAATGCTGGTAGATAGTCTAAGCAGCATGATAATCACCCTCTGAGATCAAAGTCAGCTATGAGCTTAAACAGACACGAGGCAGAACACTGAATTAGGAATTTTGAGTTCCTAGACGATAATAATACGACTAGTTAGTTAATAACTGTAATTGTTATTTAATACTCAAGGAACCAAAGCAGCAACTATATACGGATGACTAAGCATACTTTTACCAGATACGGACGGAGAGGGACAAAAAAGTTGATTTGCGATGCCCCACGCTCTTGGATGACCGTCCACCATTTGGCCTGTGCCAGAGACAGTTTGACATCGTCGCTGAGCCGACCGCATCTCTTCTGTGTCCAGTTTTGAATTCTAGGTCAAAATGGTGTACTATTACACATCGAACGTGGTCAGTCCCTCGGCTTTTATCTACGCGGGGAAGGACAAATACGAGAGTACGACAGTCTTTCTTTCTTCGATATGCCTAAGCTTGCTCTGACAGACACCCCTTCAGATGAGGATCTTATCAAATATGGACTAGAGAAGGACGTCTGGTACTGTGATCGAAACAAAAATTCCCGCTGTTTTCTGAGTGCTGGAACTCTGACGTGATGGACTCATAGGGTTGGTTGCCTCGCCCGCAGCTGTTGCGTTGATAGAACCTCGTCTGATATGTCTTGATACCTCTTCCAGTTCCATGTCGACAATCTTTCCAGTGCGCATATCTACCTGCGACTCCGCGACAATGAAACTTGGGATAAGATCCCCCAAGAGCTTCTCGATGACTGTGCCCAACTCACCAAAGCGAACTCCATTGACGGTAGCTATCACGCTCCATGAAACTCCTGAACTGCGGCTCATATCGAACCAGGAAACAAGAAAGATAACATAACCGTGATCTACACGCCATGGTCGAACCTGATGAAGAACGCATCGATGGCAGTCGGTCAGGTCTCTTTCCACAACCCGAAGATGGTCAAGAAGGTTTTCGTCCCCGCACGTGAAAATGCGATCGTGAACCGCCTAAACAAGACAAAAGTCGAAAAGTTCCCGGATCTGATGGCTGAGAAGGAAGAATATCTGAAGAAACAGCGAAAAGAGGAGAGGCGGCTAAGGGAGGAAAAGAAAGCCGAGGAAAAGAAGGCCAAGAAGCAGAGGGAAGAGATGAAATGGCAAAAGGAACATGCCTATGATGACATGTTCAGCGAGGAGAATCTCCAAATGAGCAGCAACCAGGACCGGGATCCGGATTTCCTTGACGATTTCATGTAAAGATACCAACTTATCTTCGTCCAAGAGGAAGACGGTTTGCAAGATTTCTCAGAGCTAGCTTCAAAGGAGCAGCCGGAGCAGGAACAGTCACAGTGATATTGTGGGTCGATGACCACAAGGATTCTCATATTGAGATACAGTGGCGTCGCCGACAAAGCGCAGAATATTTCGCGCTACTTGAACCTGATATCTCTCCATCACGGGGCTTCATTTTCATCCATTTACGAGTGACGACAAAGGCAGCCATCTACATACAAAACATATAAAGCATACAAAAGTCAAAAGGATCAATCTATCATTTTCCAAATATGGTATACTTTTTCAAACCTCGCTGACATGAATATTGGGACCGGGTCGAGTGCGTAGGGTAAATTGGTCTTGAAAGTAGTTACTACAGAGATGAGTAATTACGTATCTATGGTAGGAACAAACAAACAATATACATGGAGTACTATCCAAATCCCGGGGTATAGTAGAGATAAGCAATGCAGAATACAAACGACGAAAGAAATAGCCTCCCCACGAGAGAAACCGCTGGTGAGATTCACCGCGACGTTTATGGGTAAGATTCTCCCATAGTCCACGTAATGACCAATCAACTACCTAGTATTAGTGCCCGAGGAGGATTGTTACTACGATGGTGCATCACCTACCACATTGAGTTGGAGCAGAGAGCTTCAAGCGCGACGCAGCGCATTATTGCAGTACATAAGTAGTTATACGCACGGGGCTTAGTCTCGACCTCTCGAATGGCGAGTGGTCGAAAGATGACAATGATGACTTTGTTCTTGTTCCATTGTGCTAACTACTAGTACCACTGGTGTCTCCCATATTACTTCTTATGTATGGTAGAATGAATGTGTGTCGGAACTCGGACAATATCCATACAGATGATAACCTTTTTTGGCCTCGACAAAAAGACCTGACAAACAAGATTCGAAGCAGATATTTAGACGATATCTATAGACTTTAGAAAACTAGATATAATGAATAAATTCTCCCTAGGACCGTCAAAAGACTCTATAATATGCATTCTGCTCTGGTACATACATATGACATTGAAGGGTGCCTGAGTGGGGCCCCCAATCCGGAGGAGCTCTCAATGACTTCAACCGCGCTAGCGCTGTTGACAGCCGTGTCCTGTAGCAAGTATCGATAATTGTCCGATCAATTCAACAACCACCGGCATCACTGCGAACCGCAGGAGGATGGGAGATAGTATGCCTGCAGGCGCACCGTCTGCTATCGCTCAAGGTTCGTTGACCCCTCAAGCACAAAAAGACAGTCCCGTTCCAGTCTAACAGTCGTCGTCGTCGTCGTCGTCGCAATAGGCGCAAAGTCGAAGAATAAGAAGAACAAGAAGTCCGCGGCGAAGAACAAGGCGAAGAACGAGCAGTCAAATGATACCTCACAATTAGAAAATGAGCCGGGGCCATTGAATTCTGGTGCTGCTGTGCGTGCGGTCTCAGAGATTCCATTTACAACCTGGCGCTGACCATGCGTAATAGGATGGGGATGGCGACTCCGTTAAAGAGAGCGAGGCAGAGACGGTAGAAGAGCAGGAGGATGATGGAGATGATGGGACGAACCATGTCGATCTACCTGTTCGGACGAATCCGTCCTCCAACTCAGATGCGCAAGCCAACAACGATGTAGTCGCAAACAATTCATCTGCCTCTACTCCGCTCGAATCCGAAGATCGATTCAATGCACTAGTACGGGAGAGAGACTCTCTACGAGAAGAAGTGACGCGGATGCGAAAGTCTTTAGAGGAGATCCAGTCTAAGCATAGGGATGAAAATCAAGATTTACAACAGAAATTGGAAGAGTCCGAAAGCAAGAAGGAGCGCGCCGAAAGCCAGTATCAGAAGCTACTGGAGAGAGTCAACACCATCAAGTCGCAGCTCGGAGAAAGGCTAAAGGAGGATGCCGTATGTATTCGCATGCCCCCTCTTGGAGTCCGCTGCTAAGCCGACACACAGGAAGAAATCGGTCAAGCCCGTGCTCGGATAGAAGAATTAGAGGAGCAGAACTCGAACTTGAATGCCGAGTTAGATGCAAAGACATCAGAGTTATCGGTAATGGCGGAAGAAGCCGAACAACGATCGAAGGAGCTTTCTATCCTGCGGGATCGGACGAGCTTGTCGCAACAAAATTGGCTCAAGGAGAAAGAAGAGCTGCTTGAGCAAGAAACCTACCTCCGGACCGAATTCGAGGAAGCGAAACAAGCCATGCACAACTGGGAGGTTCTTGCTATGGAAGAACGGTCCATCCGAGAAAATCTCGAAGGGAAAGTTGTCGACATTGAAGAACAGCTCTCCGCCCTTAGGGAGGCGTATGAAAAGGCTGTATCTGAGCGCGATAGTCAAGCAGTGACCGTTGACGGTCTTCAGCGAGCCCTCCAAGAAATTCAAACAGGCAAGTCTTTCCCCTTGGCATTTCATCAGGATAAAGCAGCTGACCGGTCCTGCAGCGCGTAAAAAGGAACTGCGTGAGCTTGTGGAGAGCTCTGATGCTCAGCTCGAGGAGCTCAGGCAGTCCGTCCGTAACGCGGAGAAGAGGGAGTCTGAAGCTCAAGAAGCACTCCAACACGCCCAGAAAGAGCTGGAGAGGTTGCTACCGTTTGAGAAGGAAGTGAAAGAGAAGAATCTTCTCATTGGGAAGTTGAGACATGAAGCAGTTACACTTAACGACCATCTTACGAAAGCTCTGAGATTTCTCAAACGAGGAAAACCAGAAGACAATGTTGACAGGTCCGTCAAATCTCTCAGGTGGTTCCTATCGAATCTCCGCTAATTTCTTCTAGGCACATTGTTACCAACCATCTACTGCACTTCCTCGCCCTGGATCGATCAGACCCTAAGAAATTCCAGATTCTACAGCTAATCGCAGCACTTCTGGGATGGACTGACGGTACGTATGATGATAGTATGTCCTTACCACTTTACGACCTGGGACTAACAATAAATCGAATAAGAACAACGAGAGCAAGCAGGTCTAGCACGACCAGGCACTTCAACTGCATCCAGCCGCCTAAGAGTTCCAAGCGCCACGATGCATCGTAACCCCAGCACACCGTCATTGGTATCTGAGTTCATGGACAGCGGAAACGCCAGCAGAGAATCACTAGCCGAGTTATGGTCCAATTTCCTCGAACAGGAGGCGCAAACAGGACCTGAAAACCAACACAGAACCGGTACTCAGCCCAGCCCTCAGCTTCAGAAATGAGCCGGTTTGTTTCAATCCGCCTCCGTGCACTCTGTACATGGCCTCTGGCTTCTACAAGGGACCGACGTTCCTTTTTGAGTTGTCTACTCTCAGAGAAATCCTACGCCTTCAGTGGACCTACACAACTGCTTTTTCTGTCACGCTATGATTATGGAATCGTCCATGTTTTTCTTTTGGCAACATTGTTTTCTTTCCCATCGTATTGTACAATAACGGATTTATGCCAGCAGCAACTTGACTATTCTTCAGGGATGTTATATCACTTTTATCTGCCTTTGTAGAAGGATTAGTTTCCAGAGGTGCAATGAGCGCAGCACACCTGTAGCTTCGCCTGAAACCTACGCTGCTATTGAATACCGTAAGGATATCATCTACTCAGTGCTTGCAAATCTTCTAATAGACTTCTAGACAAGACAAGACAACTCGCTTCAAGTCTTAATACTCAGCTGCCAACTAAAGTAAAGAAACCAGGAAGGAAAGACGTGAATGGATATGATTGAGTCACATTTGCCCTCTCAATTAGCGAAACAATAAAAATGAAACATTTGCGCTGTCGCAGCTAGGTTCTTCGGTGGTCCTTTTGCAAACAAAGTCGTAGAGAATAGGGGAAGTCGAAGTGTTTTCCAATAGCACAGTGAAGAAGAGAACAAAAAAAATACTCGCAGGGAAACATGTAATTAAAGTGGATATCTGTAAGCGCCTGCTGGCGAGAATCGGATACGAAGCCTTCTGACTGCCCCACTGCTGGGCTGTCTCTCGACCTATTCTGTCCTTTCTTCCATCCAGCTTCACTGTTCGGCCCTTATGAAACTGAAAGATGATCGCTGCTCGCATCACCCTTCACGATCGAATTAGTAACCATTCATGGTCTGTCTCTGAGAGTTACGGCTCAGCTCCCTTTCAGCAGAGGGGCTGATGGGCCGGCCGCCGGAATGGGCACCTGCAGCACTGCTCTCCTTCAGAGCCAGGAGCTGCTTGGCACGGAAAGTCTCGTAGTGGATCTGGCTGGTGGTTTCGATGAGGTCCTGGAGGTGGGTGCGGGTGAGGAAGTTTCGGAGATACACGAACTCGCAGTGGTTCTCATCCTCGACATTGATCACACCCCAACGGTTCTGACGACCGCGGACTTGTTTTCCGTTGACAATAATAGACTTCTCGCTACCGACAACAGCGAAGGGGATAATGTCCTGGGGCGTCGTCAGCTGATGTTCATACTCATTTTGAAACATACCGCATGTAATGTACCTTAATCTGAGCGTTGACAGCACGTTCCTCGTCATCAAGTTCGTCATTGTCGTAGGGGTACATCTTCAGGTTGTGGAAGGCGAATTCCTCCTTGATCCTCTCCTTGAAGGCCCGGCGTTCGTCGAGCGTCAAAGAGTCTGATTTGGCAATAACAGGGACGACGTTGACAACGTCAGAGAGCTTCTTCAGGACGACAATGTCAATGGGTTTCAAACTAAGGCGCTAGTTAACACGATTTCAACTATGAAGGGATGGTGAGGGAGGTCTTACGCATGGCCGGACGGCTGAATGAAGAAGAGACAGCAGTGGATTCGGGTATCTTGGATGTAGCGCTCACGCTGGGCAGTGAGCTCCTTTCGCAGATATGCTGAGTGCTGGTCCTTAATGTACTTGACAATGGGGTCCCAGCTTGACTATCATTAGCGGACTTGGCTCCCAAAATACTCAGGATCGGGGTTCTACCATCTGTCGTTGTTCACCTGGTCACCGTAACCAGGGGTGTCGACAATGTTCAATCGCAGACGCACACCATTTTCCTCAATGACTTGCCATAACCGTCAGCAACCAAAACTCGAACTTGATATACCAGAGAACGTACTGTGGGACACGGTCTGAATCTCAGTCGTGGAACGCACGGGCTCATTGGGGGTCAGACGACCCTTGGAGTCAATCAGGTGAGAAGCGAAGATGGTGTTGATCAGAGTCGATTTGCCCAGACCAGTCTGGCCTGAAGATCGAAAGGACGATATCAGTAAATAGTCATGTTTGGCGATTAGTGGAACTTTGGACCATTGAATGCGTACCGACACACATCACATTGAACTGGAAGCCACGCTTGAGCAGCTTCTTCTCGATCTGCGACGTGATACTGTCGAAACCGACATGGCTGCGAGGGAAGACCGCATTCTGCGGCGCGGGGGTTGTGCTTGTAGCGGTAGCCATCGTGGATACGAGTCGCGCAGTGTCCTGGGGGTGAAAGTCAGAGGGAGCGAAGAAAAAAAGACAGACAGCCGGTCGGGCAGCTCACGAACCGATACCACGAAGCGAAAAGAGGGACAAGAAAGGAATCAAGAAGATCAATCTCCTGTAAGTTCCCAGACTCCAGGCCGAAGTTCAGGTCGGCTGCTCCCCCTTATTGTTGTCGCGTTGGTCAGGGGGCCCGGCATGGTCTAGGCCTACTTGGGGTTAGCATGGCTCCCCGAACCGTTCGGGCAAGCAGAACTTGGATGCTGCGACTTGCAAGTCTAAAGCTTCAAAAATTCCGGAGTCGCACCGCGGCATCCAACTCGATCACCATCCGCCAGGCCGAGCCATCCACCTCTCACCCTGGGCCCATTCCCCTTGGTCTTCCTTCGGCGTCGAAAATTACCTTCCTACGAACAATGGCGGCCTCACGATCACTCTCCGCTTTCGCGCTTTTCCGCCCGCAGCCGTTCATATCTCAGTCCCCATCAGTGTCGAGATGGCAATCTCTCGTCAAGGCATTTCTGTTCAATCATGATTCCAGCTTCACCCCCGCTGCCTCATCAACCAGTGTCAATGGCATACTCTCCGGTATCTGGGAATCCATCCTCCGTGCGGTACCAAAGAAGAAGACATCCCACATGAAGAAGCGCCACAGACAGATGGCTGGAAAGGCTCTCAAGGACGTGAAGAACTTGAACAGATGTTCGGGATGTGGTCAGATCAAGCGCGCCCATCTCCTATGCCCGAACTGCGTCTCAGGTCGGTATCCTCTTCGTCCATCTACAAGGGCTAGTTGCTAATAGTGCAAACAGAGATCCGACAGCAATGGCGACAAGTCCAGAAGGAATAGATTTACAAGAAGTAAAATATATACCATCATGGGGCAATGTACTTTTATGTAGCATGGATATATGCCATGTTGGTTGCATGACATTCGGCGTCTGGTTATGATAGGAAAGCTTGCATGCTCTTACAAATTAACAAAAATTCAATGTAACAACATCCAAAATGATTCTTCCCTCTCTTCTTCTGTAGTGTCAGTAGCTTCACATTCACTGGTGGTGGATGCGGCATGGTAGATCGGGTGCATGATCTCACCCACTTCCAAGATTTTCCCCAGACCTCACCAAACAGGTGAGCCGTTGGAATCCAACCGCCTCTCAGACACAGTAATCTAGTAGTGCGTCTCCTTCATGCCAACCACGACTAGACTAGAAGGCCAAACATGGTAAGGTCTTAATAGCCATGGTGTTTCCTTTCATTACTAATAAGGGATTTTATGAAGTCAAAACAATATCTGTCGTGGTACTCCGCAGACAAGGGTATGTATTGACCTCACGCCCGGTCACAGATAATGAGCAGATGCTAAGACTTTCCCTTAGCCCACCCTATCGATATTTTCTCTCTGGCCGTAACAGAGAAGCAAATCATTTCTGCCTCTGGTGCCTCAGCACTCAAGGTTCACTCAACCACCGAGCCAGACTTCCCTTTGGCACAGTCTCTTGATGGAGCACATCCGGTAGGTTGCCATCATGTGGTGACCAGCGGAGACGGCTCCAGGGCGGCAAGTGTTGGATTTGGAGGCGAGACGAAGATCTGGTCATTCAAAGAGGGCAAATGGGTGGAGGAAGAGAACCTTTCAGGTAATAGACAGTTGTCGTCCTTCTGCATTAATCACTTCATCATGCGCTGACGATGCGGGCAGTAACCATCGGGAAGACGGCTGGCATCTGGGCTCCAGCCCTCTCCCAAGATGGTCAATATTTTGCTGGTACTACGCAGGATGGCCACATCAAAGTGTGGGACCTGCCTGGCAACTGTGAACAGATACGTGACCATGACACGAAGGGCAGCTTTGGCACCTGCATAGATCTGGTATTGAACAACCTATATTTACGAACCTCTACGATTACGTTGTTCCTTACATAGGCTAACATGATATCTTCAGTCAGCTGATGGCCGACTAATGGCCAGTGGCCATGAAAACGGCAGCATCTTCATCTTCCGCACAGACACTGGCCGCATGCCATTTTCCTTGTCTGGTAAGTGCCTCTCGTCGTCGAGTCACACTGCAGTTTACCGTGGTATTGACCTTGGTACAGGTATAGTGAAGCCAGTCAGGGCAGTGGCCTTTTCACCAGGAGGAAAGCTGCTCGCTGCTGCGGGAGACTCGAAAGTCATTGTGCTATATGACACGGCCTCCGGAGAGCAGGTAGCTAATCTTACTGGACATTCCGCCTGGATCATGTCTCTAGATTGGAGCCACACGGGAGAATACCTCCTCAGCGGGTAAGTTGGATTGGTTTCCCTGGTTTTCAGAGTGGAATGGCTCTAACATAATCTCACACTAGTTCCTTCGACGGAAAGATAAAAGTATGGTCAATCGACAGACGAGCCTGCGTGGCCACTCATTCCGAGAATGAGAAAGCTATCTGGTGCGTCAAATGGTTACCCAAGATAGGAAAGACGGAAGGATTCGCTGTCGCGGGAGCAAACCGCAGCATTTCATTCTACCGGGAGGCTACTGGTGGCTAGTTGGCTTTGCCATAGATAAAATGCTCTTCCTTGTTTAGTCTTATTGACTGATGAAAAAAAAAAAAAAACCGCTTTTGATGTCTTCATGCTGACAATTGTCATGTCTGTAATGCAATTGATGCTTACGCGCTATGTCAGAGGCTAGTAGTTTTACCCTATCAAGGGAATACAATTGAGCCATCTGGCTGAGAGCTTTACATAGCTCTATCCTCTTTAACTCCGTGCCTCTCCAGATAGATTACATTGCAAGGTGTCAATGTCTGGATTATTCGGAGAAAGGTAATTCATTTAACAAAATAAATTGACTGGGTATCAAAATAACTAGCAATTACAGAGAATCAACTCCTTCCGTAAAGAACCTGCTCTGGCGACAAATGAGCTCAGATAGCAAGTGTAGATCGTAGCGTCATCATCGACAAGTAGGAAGTCCGAAGCACCAAGAAATTCCAATCCAACTTCCCACGCTCAAATGTAATCTCAGTGCGTGCCTCTTCACTCGGAAGGTAGTTGGGAGACCTAGGAGTCATCCTAATCCGAACCCATCGAGATCATTTCATGCTGTCCACAAACAGCTTCCGCATTCTCTTCAACAATGCTCCGAAATCGCGGTCTTCGTTGACAATGTCGAGTTCCCGTTCGACCGCTTCCCTCTCGAGCTTCGGTTTTGTATGGTATATTTCATAGTCTCGGCCGCCTGTCCCCAGTTCAAACCACGCCTCCCTCTCCCAATCCTTTTCCAGCAAATGCGTATAAACGATCTTCAACCTATCCTCCCGACCAGCTCCTTCGATTCTGAAACACAGATAATCCTGCCAGAATTCCAATTCCGGGGCATTCAGTCGCGCTTGTGCGTCCAGCCGATTGGCATGGGCTCTTTGTGCTTCCAGTCTCTGGTTGATAGCCTCCTGAGTCTGCGCAATCTGCTGCTTTAGACGGTCTCGCTTTGCTAGACGCGCATCACGTTCTGCAGTTATGGAGGCGATCGCGGTATGCATCTCGTTGGCTTCGGCGATTTCCTTTTGCAGTGTCTGCTTATGCGTCTGGGTCTTCAACTGGAGAATCTCGATATCTCTTTGTTTCATGCGCTGGTCCTCTGTCTGGATGTCAGCTCATGGCCTTTTCTCGTTGCAACGCGAGGCTAAGTGGGGTTTACCTTGAAGCTCAGCGAGATTGATGCGAAACTGATTCCGTTCCTCGAGGACTTGCTTCCGGCCTCTTTCAATGAAGGCATCGAATTTCACCGTAAACTGCGCCATTCTGCTCCGTAGGTCCTCGAACCCGAAGTTGATGCTCGGTAGGGAGTCTGCCATTGAAGGCGCATCGGCAGATGCGAGGGGCGGTCGCATGCCGCTCGTCGACATGGACGGATCGAAGGTCGCCATGACGAGAAGGCCTGATCGAAAGGATCTTTAGACACAGTGATTGTTCTGATATGGGTTTATCTGCGCGATAGTAGATAAAGATCACTGTCCTGTCGCTTGCGCAAGGTTGATTGGCGTCAAAAGTCCGAGGATCGCGTCTCGAAGTGTGGTGGTTGCGGTGCAACGGCGCCAAGAAAACAGAATTCACTAATGATCTTATCAGACTAAAATGAGCTTCCCAGAACTAATCCGACATTCCGATCGTGCGCTACTTAACGATCGAAAAATAAAAAAGGAATCCAGAACTCGTTCAGCATTGAGCTTGAGGTTTTGGCTGAACCAGTTAAACATCCTTTATCGTTCTAACTAGCCATTTATAACTAGCTGTGATTTAAATGAGACGGATTCGAGTGTCAGCCCAGTTTAGACTCCGTTCTGCGATATAATCGTGGATAAAGCTCTTTACTACTCCTATCGATATGCTTGCCTTGCAAGATACGCGCCATTTACTCAGCAGCAGACAGAGGCCAGATGGATGAACACCATACCGATTCTCTGCAATATGGGCAGCTAGGGACTGCGGAGTACGTCCCAGAGTCGCGGTCCTGGAGGTTTCCCCGCGTAATAGGAAGAGGTCAGCAAGTTATTTCCCAGTTCAGAAAGCAGATTGCTGACATCTACTCAAGCGCCTTGCATTTCTTATACTGGCGTAGCTAGGGAAACATTACCTCCGTCCATCGATGCCATACCCGTCAACTCTTTCGATGGAAATCAGGTGGCCTCTCTGTCAGAAGTGCATCCGCATCTTGCTGCCATATCTTCTCTTGGCCGAGCAGAAACGTTATCTCGCACTGTTATAACCGCTACAGATGCATGTGACCCTGGCGTCTCCAATGTTTTCGCCTTAGGAAATGCAGTCGACGTGGAAAATGATCCTTCTGGAACTCGAGCAGTACCGATTGCCGTAGCTGTAACGGGCCGATGCGGAGATTCGATATCGCTTTTCAGAATTGAAGACGAAGTGGCTGAATGGCGACAGGAGAGACTCTACAAAGCGCGAGTTCCATCAGTTGGAACTGCAGAATCAACTACCTGGGTAGGCTCTGGAACTCCCGTCCGTCAAATATGCTTCGCACAAACGACAGAAGCCAAGGCGACCTGGATGGCTGCTCGTCTTTCAGTGTCAACAACGATCTTCAGGCCTCTGTACCATCGCGTTCCTGTCGCTGTCGCCAGAGAGTCGTATTTTGATCCCGAGACTCTGCCGTCTGTTCGGAATTCACGTCTTAATGCAAATCCTCTGGTTGATATTCCTTGTTACCGAACGGGGGGGTATCCTCATGCTGATGTGACGTTCAATCCTTGGTATCAGAAGCAACTAGCTATCGTGGATGTACGCGGAAACTGGAGTATATGGAACATTTCCGGAAGAAACAGACGCAGTAAGGGCAACTGGCTTGCAGACTGTGTCAAGTCAGGTACCCTACCCTCTGTGGACCGCGCATTGAACGGTTTCGGTGAGGGGCAACCACGTTATGATGGATGGGCTTCTGTGCAATGGGCCGCAGATGTCAATCATCTGATCGTGTGCGATCGTCGTTGTATCTTTCTCTACCAACTTGCGCATATCTCGGGTGCTGCACGTCCGATCGATTTAGGGCTGAAACGAGAAACTGAATGGATCCTCGACTTGAAACGCAGTCCATCGAAGCCGTCTCTAATCTTCATTCTAACAACGTCCCGGATCTTCTGCCTCGATATTATCTCTAGTGGCGCCCTATTCGATGGAGAAGAAGGGACTCCGCTCTCTCCCCAGCTGTCATGGCGTCATTTTCGAGACACGGAGGATATCACTCTACGACTCGCTCCTACTCAGATCGGAAATGGTATGACACTCCTTTTATGAGGGACTTGATTTGCCAGCTGACCTTTGCTAGATTTGTATGTCATGCTCTATTCTCGTTTAAACAATCTAGTACAAGCATTTCACCTTTCTTTGTCGACCGAGGAAGGAGGCCAGCTCTCTTTCATGTCCGACCCTTTTATAATGCGAATGCCCGCTCAGGATGTTTCAAGTGAACCTGGAAATCGTGATTCTTGTGCAAGGATTGCAACTATGATCTTCAGAGAAGTGGAGCATGGACCGCCTCCCGGGCAGAAGGATTTCTATGAGCCAAATCTCAGGCTAGGGAAGCTCTTCATGCTAGATTCTCGTTCTGCTCTCCATGAGTCGCTCTACATGGGTTCTATGGATAATGAAAACATCGGTTACACGGACTACACGCAAGAGATATCTCCTGGGGGCGACATCTTGTTAAGAAAGCGAGCTATAGGAACACGTCCTAGTCGCGCAAGTGCTCATGCGGACGCTGATTTTGTCGTCGATGATATGGATGAGTCTGTATTGCGCATGTCAATACAACCTCTTGGTTTGCACTCGTCTTCTGCTATGGGTTCTACAGCTCCTCAATGGACCGTGGATTACTCTGCTGTCTACGCTGCTGTATTCGGAAAGCAAGCATATGTGGGGAGATCCAATGTTGACCCGCTCTCGGAAAGAGCATTTGGAGAATGCCTGGCGGATTTGCGTCATCGAATCTCTAGCTCTCCATTCAGTGAATCACCCACGGCGGAGACATTGTAAGTTAGATCTGGCCCGATATATAGATAGTACTAACAGGCATAGACTCGAAGTTGCCCGTTGTCTACCGTTTCTGGATGACATTGACGAGAACGCTAAAGATTTCCAGCGCCTCAAGATGGCAATCCTCGAAGAAACGGATGGTCCTAACAGGCCGCGCTTTCTTCCGACCAGCCTCTCGTCTCTATTGATCGGGGACAAAGAAGGCGAGAAAGAAGCATCTATGGCACTGGATGTGGTTGAAATATACAACGTTCTGGTCCGCAAATGGCTCTCCATGCTGCCACTCCGCATACCTGGGCGGACCAGAGTTGCAAAGGACAGAATAATCAGAGGAGTGGCAGGAGAACTTTCCTTGGCAGGAGTCAATCTGCTTAGGAACGTCGAAACTCCTGCAGTCGACAATGACGCGATGACCATGAGCAGTCCAGAAAAGAATGAATTCCCTGTCCGGACCGACTTCTCCGCGGAGTCCCAGGGTCCAGCGACCATACGATCCTCACCTCCGCCTCTCCCTTCTACTTACGGAACGTATGGGTCGGAGAGAACTATGCGCGATGCAGCTCACCCAGCACGGAAGTCCGACCAAACGCCATTGTTTGCCAGGTTGTCGTCTTTAACTAGCCTTGAAGAGTCTAGAACTCCACCAAAAAACGTCGCTGAGATGCTCTCACACTGGTCTGTAGGATCAGACCCAGCCACTTATGACTGGCAGCGAACAGTTCAAGAACTGGAAAACGAAGATCTCCGTATACGGGAGAAGTCTACCACTCCCAGGCGCAGAAGCCGGAAACGAGCACCACAGAGTCTGAGCCAGGGTACGCCCACGACTATCCCAGTACTACCAACAGTGCCTGTTGTCAGGCAATGGGGTAGTCAACCGCAGGACGCGCCTCCAGCGGTACAAAGCAGCCAGGTTACAGATGAGCATCTGCCCATGACACAGATTGAACGGGGTCTCTTCGGTGGACGGGAGGCAGCACCGAGAAAGAGTATTGGCAAGGCGAGGAAGAAGCGAGCAGCTGGGTTTTGATCGAATATAAAGAATTACCGTGCATTTCGAACATGCTTGTGATAGCATCCAACTGAATACCCGGCAATTCGAACCATGAAACGGAGGACAAAGAATACAGTTAATAATGTAGCAGTATTAGTGATGAGCTTTAGATCACGGAAGCAAAGATTCCTACTCTCTGCTGAGTACCATCACACCTAGAAATAGAGGATAAATGCATTCTGCTTCAGAGACCACTTGAACCTTTCTACATCAATGGCTATAGATAGCTGAAGTGTTATAACCTAGGGATGGTTTCTCATTCACCGTGCTCATCTTCACCAAGCTTTAAAGGACACGGCATGTGCGGCAGGCCAAAGGACGGCCTGTGATGCTTCACACGTCAAGCAAAGTGTCTAAGGTCGATCCTCACACCGCCACTGTCGTGCTGGGAGATGGCGGGGTATTTCAGGGTGACATAGTTCTAGGTGCTGATGGTGTTCACTCCGTGGCACGTTGCCACGTCTCTGGGAGCGAAATCCAACTGTTCAGCTCGGGCAAGAACGCTTTTCGCTTCATGGTATCTCGGAAAGAGACTCTGGATGATCCTGAAACAGCTGAGTTGGCGAAGGAGCTAGGAACAGTCGACATGTGGCACAGTACTGGTCGTAAAGTGGTTATCTATCCTTGCGTGAATAACGAGATGTTGAACTTTGTCTGCATCCATCCAGATAGCCTCATAAACATCGGCGTATCCCAGGGCTGGGATTAGGGCATTGGGAAAAGCACATTACTCGACGTCTATAAGGATTTTGAGCCGCGTGTCCAAAAATTGTTGAAAAAAGCAGACCCGGAGACACTGAAGATCTGGCCATTGCTTGACATGAAGACTCTTTCCAGTTGGGTTAATGACCGTCTAGCACTTCTAGGCGATGCTGCCCATCCCTTCCTGCCATACCGAGGATCTGGTGGTGCTATGGCTATTGAGGATGGCTTCTCATTGGCCGTGATGTGAAGCGCGAGGAGGTTCCAGGACGATTGAAGTTGTATGAAAAAGCCCGTCACGAGCGTGCCACAACTATCCAAGAATATACTCGGCGGTCTGGGAGGGAGACACTACCCATTGAAGAAAGTATGCGTTATTTGAACGAGAGTGGCTGTTTCTAAACACTGGCTAATTCTTATGTAGCCATGAGGATCGTGTGCGATATTCACGACCATTCGACCCAACTCCTGCGCCAGCATAATTGGTCTAAAAACACTAGCGTTTACTATCGCCAGCCTGTTGTCTTTGGCCCTCAAGACTTCCAAGGCAACAGTCGAAAGGCAATGTTGACTAGCGCGACATTCTGCACAGCTTCTATCCGGTTCAAAACTAGAACCTGCTACCCACTGCTTCTTACAGCTTCTCGGGACCAGGAAGTGTAGCCTACGCTACAGTTTCTCAGACTACACTAGGTGGATTAGACTGGCTAGCCGGTGGAGGCTACAACCACATGGGCCTTTATATCCATGCCAGTATAAAGGAGCTGATGGCAAAATCACCGAAGGCTCATATCTGCCTGTTTTGTTTGAGGACCTTGCGGACCCCATCATATCCGGGCGTGAAGAACTTGGATTCCCCAAACTTTTCAGCGCCATAGACGCCCAAAGGCGCAGAGATTCATATCATGTCACGATGAGTTGGCGAGGAGCGGTTTGGGGCAGGATGAGCTTGACAGGATTTCAAGAAGAATCGCCTGACGTGCAATCTGCGTCTGGTCCCGGAATTCTAGTGCACCGATATATGCCAGCCGTTGGAAAGGAGCTCAAAGGTACCTCTGATGCTGAATACCCTGTTCTCGTCGATAATTCCGAGGACGCCAAGGCTGTTCCATCTGGGATCAAGCGTGTTCTCAACGCTGGACATGGAACGGTACAGATTGATGAGTTGGACTGGAACAAACTCCCCACCTTACATCACATTATCTCACGTCTTGCTGAAATTCCGGTGTATGAGGTGGTGGAGGCTAAAGTAGTAGAAGGGGAAGGCGTGCCGGATGTTTCATCGGCACGGAGGATTCAACATCTGTGATGTTGAATCTAGTATATGCTGGAGTAGGCAGAGCACTGAAGTCATTGGGTCTATGGATGTAAATAGGGTATTATTATTATTAATCCGTAATCCATACTCCGTACTTAATCTCCCCATGCCGCATCTAACACGCGTCTCCCTACAGATCTGCTTCCTTCTTGCATTTGGTCTCGCCGCTCTTGACAAAGATTCCCTCTAGGGTTGCCTCGAATATATTATTGCGCCACATCCTCGCCATGGGGCTAGTTAAGAAGTCGAAAGCTGCGAGATTCAATGCGCATACCTTGAAGCTGTTGCAAGCCGCTGTCAAGCAGGACCCGGAGGTTGACTTGACCACAAAGCTACCTACGAGGTACTCTGATCGTCTGGATTCCATGCGTAACAGTGAGCGGCCGGATCATGGCATGCCTCCCACCCTTTCTATTTTACAAGAAATTTTCTTAACGTTTTGGGTTTAAACATAGACGCTCCTGTACCTCACGAGGAGGAAGATATAAGGGCGTCCCTTCGCGCATCTGATTCTGTAGAGACCATTTTTCCGTTATCGGAGAGGACCCTCAGCCTAATAAGAGACCAATCGCGTGGTCTTCAGCTTCTTCCAGACAGTTTTCCGCAGCAGCTGGTTTACATGATACAAGAGAGTGATATTCTTTGGAGTGGCCCGTTTCCCCGTCAGAAGATGGTCTTCAAGTGTAACAGCTACATAGTCTTGAAGGCTGTTCGGGATATGACCGACTATACTGAATATACAACTTTACAATATCTCCAACAACACAAGTCAAATATACCAGTACCTGAGCCGCTAGGCTTGCTACGAATGAACGGAATATCATTGATGTTCATGAGCTACTTGCACGGCGACACTTTGACTGCCCAATGGGCGATGTTGAACCCAGCTCAAAAGACGTCAGTGAAAGAGCAACTGAATCAAATTTTGCTGGATTTGAGGTCTTTACCATTTCCTCCTGGAAGACCTCTTGGAGGGGTTGGAGGTGAAGGCTGCAAAGATGTGAGGAGACATCTTCGCCGGAACGACCGACCAGTGATGAATGTTGATGATTTTGAAGACTTCCTTTTCAGCAGCCCTAGGTCCGGTGGGCATGTTTTTGTGGAGTTGCTTCGCGGGATTTCTCCATCGCCTTCGTCATCTAAAATCGTTTTCACTCATGGAGATATCCGCCCTGACAATATTGTTGTGGAAGTGAAGGATGGCGGTGATTGCATTATCACTGGGATCATTGACTGGGAATACAGTGGTTTCTATCCTGACTACTACGAGGCCATCAAGTGCACGAATTGCTTATCACCATATGAAGAGAATGACTGGTTTTTGTTTCTGCCTGGCTGTGTCTCACTGGAAAGATATCCCCACTGGTGGCTCCTCGACAGAGTCCGAGAATCTAGAGTGATATAAGCGCTGCAAATACCTGTCGCATTACAAACATTCTAGACACCTTCAAACCATAGGCCCTCTCTTCTTCTTTAGCTCCTTCCTCGCCTCACGATAGTCCCTGCAGTCTCGTCAGGCAACTTGGCATGCAGGTCGGGTGTTACGCATCGCCAAGTCTATGACCCGAGGTTCTCTGACTAACTTCTGCGCGACTTGTCTTTATTTCGCAGCCCTTGCTCTGTGGACGTATGGTACTGCTTTTACCCCGGGATCCTCAGCTCAGAGGGCATCGAATTTTGTTGGACAACAGGGCATATTCCTCTTAGACAGTGAAGTCAACAACGTCGCGCTACATCGATTCGTCGTCTCCGGACAAGGAATTCCGGCTCTTTCCTCTGCAGACTACCCAGTGTGTCTAGAAGATAGGGCCGCAGTGATGCGTATCTTCCAACAAGTTTTGCGGTCAAATCATTTTGACAACACGGTCCCTCAACAACTATACATTCTGCATCATGCCTTTTCGGCACTAGGGAGTTTTGGCATGACAAACTGTTGACTTGGATCGTCGGAGGTGCTAAAAGGGAATTTAGTAGAGCAGTTTGGTAAATTTACTCAGATGGTTCTATATGGAGACATTACATTCTTCACACAATAACCCAACTACATTCCTACAGAAGACAACGTAAGCAGCTAATGCTGAGACCCGAGCATAAACCGCATAAACCCCTCATAGTTAGTTAGTTAGTTAACCTCTCAATATTAATAATGGGCTACATAAACGGCTTTGATTATCGATCTGATACCCTAGTAAGAGGGGGGGGGGGGGGAAATAAAAATAACTAATCCAACAAAATCCGCCACAGGAGTAAATTCACTTAAGAGTTAGTAGTTAACTCCTCATGCCGATACAGGCACCAAATCCCTAATAATAATCAATCGTGGAGCGCGCGATTTTCGCGCCCGCTGCGGGGAGGATCACCAATGGCATCATCAAGCACAGTTGAAACGCCAGCGGTGTCGCAACTCGGTTTCGGAAGGGAAGAAAAAGGACAGAAAACAAAAGAGAGTAGATTAATTAACTAACTACTATATAAAGAACCTACCCCTGGGGAGGAACTACCATATTCGATGTCTTGTTGTTATAGGTATTTATCATTGTGTACTTATCTAGCCCCTCATTCTTCTTCTGCGGGTCCGTTCTCGTTCTTGTCTCGCGAAGAATAATAATAAGTAAGCAACGAACGAACGAACAAACGAACCTCACCTCTTCTGTGACATTAATAATATCACTGCGCCTCTCGTCTCTTCCGCAACTTAATTCCTCTACGAGTTCCAAGAACCGATTCACCGCATCCTCTTTTGAGAGTCCATAGAAACAAATATCAGTCATATCCCAACCATGTCGGAACATCAATACAAGTTCAACGTCTCGATGAGCTGCGGCGGCTGCTCGGGTGCTGTCGAGAGAGTCCTTAAGAAGTTGGACGGTGAGTGATAATATGATGCTTCTGCCTTCCTTCTCTCTCTCTCTCTCTCTCTCTCTCATCTCTCCCTCGCCCTCGCCCTCGCCCTCTCTGGTTCTGGTTCAGCTGCTGACGTCTGGATTTCCTTACTTGCAGGCGTCAAGTCCTTCGATGTTAGCCTGGAGAACCAGTCTGCTACCGTTATCACTGAACCCACGGTGTCCTATGACACTGTCTTAGCTTCGATCAAGAAGACTGGAAAGACTGTCAACAGCGGGGAAGCTGATGGTCAGCCTCAGAGTGTTTGAAGAGACGTCGGTCTCACATCTCTCGTCTGGAGAGAAGGGAATATAGATACTGGTGATATGTTAGGCCTTCCACTGAGGCTACGGATACAGGATGGAAAGATCGCGATGGTGCCCTGCTGCTTTGTCAGGCTAGGTGTGGACGCTACGACCCGTAATGAGCTGCACTCTTGATTACATGCTTTGAAGTCCAGAAATTGCACGCAGATTCATCTAGAACTGCAGCATTTTATAGTTTTTACCTCTAGAACAGGAATCGAATTCGTCGAAGATGACTCGTCTATCAATACTCGTGTCTACGGGCAGACACTGCCGGGAGGTTATGGTCATGCTTGTTGTCGGTAGTGATTATGTCCGTTGGCCAAAAGGTCCCAAGGCAGGGTCTCTGCAAAACAAAGATTCGACATGGTATCAAGCATGCAGCAGGGTATCTATCATTCGAGTAAACCTCCCACAAAAAAGAAAACAGAAGTTCAGCAGCCCGCTCCCAAATGCAATACTCCAAGTTTGTATGATACGTCGGATCCCTACCGCTGACATTTTGCAGTAGTATAAGGGAACGATCGAGGCCTTAGACCAGTCGTAAAAATAACACCTTTCCTCTATAGGTAGCTAAGAATAACGTGGGTCGACTCGTTCAAGGTAGACTGCCTGTGGTTGTTGTGCCGTTCGAAATGAGCGTTGTCGCAGGGGGACGTGTCTAGAGCAACTTGTCCAGTCAGATCATCCTTCACGAACCCAGGAAGTTCCGAGACGATCTAATCGCGAGGTCCTCTATACGAGGCAGGGCGTAACTGTACCGTGTAGAGTCTATGATAGCGCCACGCGAAGCGTCATATTGACTCACGACGGGTGCCGCATACCTACTGCGGCCAACAGGTATGCTATCCTGGAGAATCGGCATCTTCTCTCGGATGCGGTGCAGCCTCTCGGAACTCAGATCGATGGGAGCCTGCTGCGAAGAACGATTTGGATTCAATTGAGAGATCATCTCCCGACGTGGTCTGTGTTGTTCTCGACCAGGAACGATGGGAGAATATCTAGTCGGACGACTAGATACAGGCTCAACCTCCCGATTGGGCGCGGTGTCTCGGTGCGCCAACCTGTAAGAAGGCGCTAAAGGACCATGGATACTAACAGGCCGCACGAAGTCAGGCGAATAGATGTCATTTCTGTTCTGGCCATGGTCTAGACCGCGAGAAGTCGTAATTACTTCTGGCCGGCGCATAGTAGTACCTCGCAATTCTGTCTCTTCGAAGGATATCCTCCGGCTAGTATTGGGAGGTCCTTGGTCTATTTGATAGAGACGATCTGGTCGTGGATATGTATCCAAGGTGTTTAGTAACCTGTCCTGTCTGGGGCCGTAATTTGGCTGAGAAGTGGTCTGATTGGAGGACGCATTTAAACCATCTCGAGACAATGGGATAGTAATGTCCTGGCGGTTGACATATTCAGAGTCAGCATAGCGTACTACGTTGGCTCCAGGTAGTCGAGATGGTGGTGAGACTCTGCGAAGAGGGACCCTCTCCAGGCAACGCGGTGCTCGCTGATATCTTGTATCAGGACTCAAGTGCTGGCTGCGGGTCTGGCTATTGTAACCTGGAACTGCCCGGCGTCCAGAATCAGGCGACAGCAAGGAGATACAGGGAACAGGATCGGAAATATGGCCATCCACTCTAGAGGATCCAAAGCCGGATACATCGCGTGCAGGCTCCTGGCATTCAACTCGTCTCCGTTTTGGCATTACGTCCCTCATACTAGTGAGATCAATAATAGTGGATTCTCTCTCGTGGGGCCTGGATATTGAGGTTAGTGAAGAAGGCTGTATTGCATCTGAACGCCTTTTGATGGAACCGTAAATCCCGCCGTCTCCCGGACTCTTAACTGCGGAGGATGGAGATTGAGGGTCCTCGATGGAAGGTAGTGCCCTATCCTGTGGCTTCATTTCCAAGTTATCCCGATAGGGTATAATGGTCCCTGGTGGGCGCTGGGGTTGGCTCCTGGTTGGAAATGATGTGCCGCGACCATCAACGGAGAGTGGGACACTGGCAGACGGGAGAGGGTGAACATGTCGACTAGTGAAGGGACGCCGCTCTAATGCATTAGCATTTGGTGACAGCAAATCTCCATAGACCGGCCGCTCAGAGGCAGATAGTGGCCCTCCAACATAAGAGGAGCCTGAGTTGTGAACTGTTCGGACATGAGTATTAGCTTGATGATCCGCAAGGGCCTTCTCTCGATAACGAAATCTGGCCCGATTCCAGGCCTCGTAACGACTAAAGCCACGGCGGTCAATCCTGTCATTGCGTGATCTGGTCCTTTTTGGGGGTGCCGGGACAAATCGAAAACCAGGAGGGGCATCATCGTCAGCAAGATCCACGGGAGCCTCTCGGAGAGATCTGTCAGCGTAGTCCAATGGCTTGGTCTGCAACTCCCCGGCAGCGGTATTGCTTGAAAGTATTTCAATACTTGTGTCCCGGTCGTTGTATGCAGTCCCTGGGTCACTTTCTGCATCGCTGTCCTCGTCATCGGAAATTACAATGACTTCTCGAAAGACATCTTCTAGGACAGTCTTCCCGTTCTCATCATCACCTCTCCATTCTACCAGCTTTGCCAATGTAGGGTCTTCGACAAGGCTTCTAGCTTCTTGAAAAGATGTCTTCTTCAGGAGACGGTCATAATTCGTGTAGATATGTCTGATATGAGCAACCACCGCCAGCTGAGCACGGCGTGCAAGGGGCAGCTCGACTGCCGTACCAACCTTTCGTTGGCCCTACATAGAGTCAGTAACCGAAAAGTCTCAGTCGAGCGCAGTACCTTTTGAAATGCTGTCTTGATGATCTGATTCAGATCCTTTTCAGGTATGTTTGGAAACAGATCTCGAATCACATCCCTCGCTTCGGTATTGATTGTGGTCTGGGAGACTTCTGAGGCAGCTCGCATGTGGGACCTATGACTGGTAATGCCTTGGAAAGGCATCACTTTCCCGCTCGAGGTAAGGTACAGACCCAAGTCCATACAGACAGTCGCAACCACAGCACTGGGAAAGTGATACCCAATCCTGTGAACCTGTTGCGAGAGATTATGCATACGTTGATGGGGAGTGGTCTAGAATAAAGCGTCAGTCATGGTCCGGAGTTCGTAGGATCCAGGGACCGGCTGGAAAAAACAGACCGTGACAGCGAACACCTTGAGGCCATCTCTCCGACATATCTCTTTACAGGCATCTGTAAACTGAGGATTACCCGCAGGAATAAACGTATAGCCAGGAGGTGCTTGCGCTTCGAAGGAAATCTAAAGTCGTTAGAACACTGGGAGAAAACAGAAGATCAATAACGATCGGTGGCACAACATACAACGCTGCGAAGCTTCTTTTTCTCTTGAGTGACACTCTCCATGATAACCCTGTGTTTGCGACGTTTTAACCTAGCGAGTCTACTCGGAGGGCGCGTGGCATAGGCCGACGCAGCTCTTCGAAGTACCCGTGTCATGATTCCAGAAATGAACCTCGTAGTTCAAGATAAGAGAGACACTTCGCCTCTCTCAACGAGAGGCCCTTCAAGTAAATGGGAAATCATGAAAGGAGAAATGATTCTCGTCAAGAGCCTCCAGAGCTCTTAGAGCGAAGGCCTATTTGTTAGTAAGAAAGATTCCTACGGAAACGTGCGAAACTGAAGACAAAGCTGCTGAGCTTCGGTCAGAAAAGACCCAATAAGACGAGGCGGAGACAAGCTATGTAGTCCTAACGTTCTTCGGAGTCACGAAGAAAAGACAAGACCTGCGATGTTTCCCAGAACATGCCGCAGGTCAGAAAGCATCCAGGGTGTTGCTTGATGGAGGTGAGGGACAAGAGCCAGGCCGATGTCAGATGGCGGCCCAAAAGCGGTGGGCGGTGGGCGGTGGGCAGTGGGCAAGCTGTCACGCCCCGGGCGGAAACCACGCCCTGCCCGACTTAACTCCCCGCAGGCCTACTACGGAGCAGATCAAGAACATCGCCGATTCTCAGAAGCTGCTCCCTTGTCTAGCCTTCAAGTCTGGGGTTGAGATTCTCAAGGGAACTTCTGTTGAATTGTCACCAGTGGGCTCCAACAATGAACGGTGCCGCCCAGAAGCTCAAGACCGCTGCTCCCACCCAGCAGGCTATAGTTCTCGCATATCGTCAGCTCTATCGACAGGGCCTGAAGGTGCTCAACTACTCTACCCCTGCACGGCATGTGCTGCGTCGGATCCTGCGGACGTCTTTCCGATCAGCTTCCCGTGATGAATTCGACCCCAACCGGGTTGCAAATACCTTACAATTTCTCCAGCGCGCTGCAGACTCTAGGGGCTTGGAACACAAGATCGTGAAGAATCTGATTATGGTCAGATACTGGGAGCAACCCCAGGTAAAGAAAGATGCAAGAGTGTGAGTAATAAGCATATAGATGTCGGAAGAAGGTGTTTCTCTGACAACTTTCGCAGGTTCAAAAACCAAGATGTGAACGATATCTTTCTTCGAAGAAGCTCTAACGCTCATTTCAATTCGACTCTAATGCTTCTAAACGAGAGCTTAGGAACATGTCTTCGATAGGTTACACGATGATGAAGAGAGTGACCTATTTCACACTTGGCGCTGGCGAGAGCAGACGATTAGAAGGTCCATCTTTGGATCGGACTCCGAGAGGATCTCGTAGCGTATCTATGGGTCCTGATACACCGAGGTAGACTTTACCAGATGTATTGGAGATATACAGGATTTATTCTCCTGTTTACGTTCGTTCCAGACAACATCTCGGAAGGAACAGCACGGGCTCCGTGCAGCATCTACACATGACCAGGTTTCAAAGCCAGGTTCTCCTCCCAGTTTCGACAGACCTTACGGCACTTAACATATCTTCTAGGAGGCATCGACCAACGAAGCTGATTATATCAGATGGGGGTTACTCTTAAGATCAGTTGAATAACCGTCTGGGTGGTGAGGCCGCGGAGGCAGCCTGATCTTTGTCACATCGTAGCCCACAAGGCCACAGATAATGAAGCATACAATCAGAAATTAATGGATCAAAGATATCATCAAGTTCATATTTTATCCTTAATAACATGTTACATCTTAATTAAACCCGTGTCCATGTGTTGTTCTCACGATGTACAAGACTTGGTCTGAGACCAAAAGCGGAAGTCACATGCCTAGGATGCCCGACAAGACGTCACATGCGCCCGCTGTGTCAGCGAACAGAGACAAGAGCGGTCTTCTTCGCTTTGGCCTGCTCGCTTCTCATTCTGGACAATATCACTATCTATAACATCACGGCCCCCAATGAGTGGGTTTATTTCGTCTTTGCTCATCGACCCTGTCTTCCGACAAGCTCGTCGCCTTTCTCGTCGGGCGAGCTCGGATCATCCGCCCTCCTCGATCGACCATCCCTCAGTTCAACACGCGAGCGCTCCTAATAGTATTTCATGGCCTTCATCATTTGGAAACAACTACGATACTACCACCACATACTCTCGAGCGCGTACCGGACGGCGAATCAGTTCAACATCTCTCGACCCTACTATCGATCCTACTATCGACCGGACCCTACTACCGTCGATGTCCCCCACTATCGGCCGCCGACAAGGAGTCATTGATGGACGCGGAGACAATGGACACCCCGATACAGGGAATGTCATAGCCCCACGACATTATGAAGACAGTTACACAGACTCCGCAGTACAACGATCGAGGCGTGCTGGTGATATACAGTCGAACCGGACTTCTCTCGAAACAGGCAACCGTATTTCTGGGGAGTCACGGACACCCACGCAACGTTTGGGCTGGGACGGGAAAGGAAAGTCCGCGTTACCAGAGGATGATGGGATGGGCCATCTGCGAATGAAGATCCATGCTATCAGAGATCAAGATATCCCGAGTTCCGAGAAGGCACGTTTGATTCTCAATCTAATGACGGAGGATTACCGTTCCTCTAAGGCCGGCTTCAACAATATACCACGCTCTCCATCAAGTCTTCCAAGTGTCGATCGTCCTTGGACTCCTGCTTCTCACCGAAGCCTGCAGTCCTTCGATCAGCTATCCTTGACACCAGCCTCGACAGTGTCTAATCCGTCCGCGGACAATCCTTATAACTTGACGGCCGAAGATCTGGATCCTACTTTTGTGCCAAGTGACCAGAAATATGAATCTAAAGAGGCGGAGCAGACAGTTTCTGGGAGAGATGTCGACGGCGAGCCTGAAGCAGCCTGTCTCGGCTGTCGTCATTATAAGAGAAACGTGAAGTTGCAATGCTATACATGCAAGCGGTGGTACACCTGTCGATTCTGCCATGATGAAGCAGAGGACCATGCACTGGATCGTCGAAAGACCGAAAACATGCTCTGCATGTTCTGTGGATGCCCCCAACCTGCTTCACAGTCCTGCATGTGGTGCGGTGAACAGGCTGCTTTGTACTACTGCTCCATCTGCAAGCTATGGGATAACGACGAGGAAAAGAGTATATATCATTGCAACGACTGTGGAATCTGTCGTATAGGGCAAGGTCTTGGGAAGGACTTTTTTCATTGCAAGGTAAGGCCGGAAAGCTGTCAAACATATCATTGACTGACTTTCGTCTAGACCTGCAGCGTTTGTATGCCAATATCCATTGAGAATACGCACCGCTGCATTGAGCGTTCAACGCAGTGTGACTGTCCTCTATGTGGTGATTATATGTTCACCTCGCCTGAGACTGTTGTTTTCATGCGGTGTGGTCACAGCATACATCAAAAGTGTTTCTCAGAATACTCCAAGACATCATACCGTTGCCCGATATGCAGCAAGACTATAACAAATATGGAATCCCAATTCAGGAACCTTGACCGTACCATCGCCGCTCAGCCAATGCCCCCAGAATACAAGGACACAAAAGCCTTGATCTACTGTAATGATTGCAGTATAAAATCTGCTGTGCCTTACCATTGGTTGGGGCTCAAGTGTGACCTGTAAGTCTCCGGCGTGCTTTCCTGAGCATACGAGCTAACCAAAACAAGGTGCGAGTCATATAACACTGTGCAGATACAGTTGCTGACTGGCAGCGAGTCCGACGACGCCTCACACGGCCATGTTGATGAACACACACGCCCTTCGCCATCAGTTCAAACGGCCAACGGCAGTGAACAAAACAGTTCTGTTCAGCTCGGAATGACGCCCCAGGAAAATCCATCTCTACTGCCTACTTCATCCTCTGCCAGTCACAACACTGAAATTCCGCAGCTTTTGCGACAGTCTCGGGGCCGCAGGCCCATCTCTCCTGTCATAAGTAACTATTTTGGTTTACCCACCGAGAGAGAGCCGACCAAGTCATCCTCGAAACCCTCAATTCCAGAAAATGAAAGTTGCGATGACGGAGACGGTCTCAATTTTTGGGGGGCCACGAGCCTTGTATCCAAATATACGTTCATCGGAAGCGACACGGAATCTACCGATGGCGAGGCCGAGACAGTAGAGGACCACCAAGGTAGTGCAGGACACACCGGAGAGGAGAGCCAGGAAGAAGAAGAGGAGGAAGAAGAAGAGGACGAGGAGGACGAGGATGATGACGACAGTGACAGCATCGTACTATTTGGGCATCGTTGAAACTTTTTTACTCGAAGCAAGCAAGATGCTATCTTGGCTTAATTCACTTTCCTCTCCTACGCCACATTTTCCCTTGTGTCAGGGACTATTCTCGCCGCACTCTGAGCGGTTCTCAGGGCTTCGGTGCAAGCACCTAAGGGAACAACGGTCCTTCCTCAGAGACCATGTGACAGAAAAGAAAAAGCTGTCCTGTCCTGTCTGTGTGAAGCTGCTTTCTAGCCCTGAATGGGGGACATGAACGAAATTCACCCTGCTGCCTCGTTGGATAAAAATATGCGTCATACGCAAAACTGCTGGGCAGGACGGGCAGCCTGTTGGAAGTATGCCCGAGAAAGAATGGAGCTTTTCTTCTTGGGTCGTGTCAGAATATAACCTGCCTCAGAAGGCGTTCGAGCGCGCTTGTACGTCTTACCTGCGAGTATCTTTTGAGGCCTTTCCCGGTGCTATAGCGCACATGACTGGAGTACTTGACAGGGAGTCCTTGAACATGTCACCTAGCCAGATTGGGAAGTTGCGATATCAGCACCAGGAGAGATCCAATCTATGTCACATCAGACTGATACCAATACGAGTCAGCTTCGTAGATTAAGGTGCGTGGCGGGACGAGATCTCCTATTAATAGAACTAGCAAAGATTCTTAAGTGCTCTTTCCTACATGAAACAAGTAAAGTAGTTAGGTGCCAGAAGGAGATATTCTTCTAGAAGAGTATGTGGTTATTCAACAGTCCCGGCCTCGAGGGCATATACAGATGTGGAGGGTCAACATGTCTGGGCATTCTGGGGCTATTGATTATCAGCCGGGTGGCTCGTGCTTCTGTCACTATCTGACGTTATCAATCCATCCTGCTCTAAAATCATCTATTCTCTAGCTTCTTAGAGTATAGAAAGGACTACTAGATAGCTACCATACTGTAGTTAGACTGGCTTCTTCCTGCCGTGACTAAGCTGCGGATGCCCGCTCGTGACGTTTGGCCCTGCGACTTGCCACAAGCCGGACGGAAGCGGACTTCACTGTTTGATGACGCTTGGGCGCTTCGTTTGCCCCCCTTCTTCTTCTCTTCTTCTTCTTCTTGACAATCCTTTCGTTGATCCTTTATTTACCTATGCTATATATCTTGTTTCTCAGCAGCCTAGCCTTCTTTTGTCGGGCTGCCTATCTTTGATGAAACTGCGTGCAGATCACCTGTTGTCTGACTTTCGTCAGCTGAAACAACCCACCGCTAACAAGCCCCAGCCTGAACGCCTGGATCTGTCTCATCTCTAGAGGAAGGCCGCGGCAATCCTACGCGACTTCTCCTTGAGCATCGACAACGCTATCCTTAATTGTCCGCATTTCCCTTTCCATTCGTATCTATATTTCTCCAGTTGTGTTTTCTTTTCTCGACATATCCCTGAGGCCAGATTCACTACATCCCAGACATGATCCGTCGTAATTCCGATCTTGAGCTCCAGTTACCCGATGCAGGACCGGAACCCCCGGTGAATGACTCAGATAAGGAAGATATCGAGATGCTATCCGACAATCAGACGAACTCGCTATCATTACCGCCTCACATCGCTGCCCGGTTCTACAGAAAATCGAACGGCGTGAGACGGTCTTCTACTGTGTCATCGCGTCGCAGTTCCATATCATCCATCCATTCCCATCATTCAAATGTCTCCGCCCACGGCGGACCACAGAGCGATCACCTTGCACAACATCTGCGGCGGGCATCCATTATCGAGACGCGCAAGGCGAGACTCGCAGACAGGGCCGCGCACGCGGAGAAGGTTCGACTTCGAGCGGCGCTGGCGAAGGCTGCTACCAGAAACCTGCAGAGAGAGGAGAGAGCGTTGGCCGCACAGCAGGCTCGGGAACGTCTGCTCGCGGAAATCACGGCGAAGTGCGAAGAGGAAGTGAGACGGGCAAAGCAGAAGGCGGAGGATAACAAGGAGAAGAGAGCTGCTGAGCATGCCCGACTGCGCCTCGAGATGGCCGAGAAGTTCGCAGAAACTGAAAAGAGACGCTTGAATTACCAGCAGAATCAGCGTCGACGCCGTACCAGTAGCTTGCCCAGCATGGAAGACAAGAAGCCCGTCAGGGACGCAGTTAAATCCCTTACTCCGGAATCTGCGGCCAGAAGAATTCAGAAGGCATGGCGGAGGCACCACGCGAAGGTAGTTATGGAGAGCTTCCGCGCACTTGATCTCTCCCTGGAGCGCATCCGCACCATGTCGTTCGAAGAAGTAGGCTCGTTACTTGCCGAGCAGAGTGTTTTGGATACGATGGCAAAGGTCCTTCGACTGTGTGGGCTGCAAGATATGGAAAGCGGTACAATGGGCGAACGAGGTGCTGTTCGTACTTTTCTCAGCAGCTACTTGATCTTGACACACCCTACGCAGGTCTTGAGCAGTAACGGAGAGCAGGAGCAAGACCTGATTGCAAAGGCGCGGGACTTGCTAGTTGCTTTCGAGCAATTGACCACACAGCTGTCGTCGGATTGTTGTTCTCTTCAGTCCCTTTCTACCGAACTCCAAGCGTTATCCGAGTCATATAACGTATTCTTCTCTGCTTTCCACTCCTGGAAAGCGCGTGACTCTACCGTGTTGATTGAGATCATGCTTGCTCAATTTATCGAACTGGAACTAATCTGGCAGACGGTGAAGGATGACCGTGCCGGTGGAGCAGCAGACGAGTACCAACAAGGCATCAGGCAGAATCAGATCCTCTTGCTCGCCAGATTGAAGCGTTTGGCAGGCCCGGATCGTGCGATGCAGATGGTCAGGGATGCTTTGAAGAAGGCGAAGCGAGAAAAGAAGCGAGCTGCATCCTCCACGCAAGCCATTCCACGTTCTGCTGAAGTTGCATCGTCTTCGGTTCTCCCGGAGAGCGTTGCGTCTCCCCTCAGTGAGAGCTTCAACAATGTTGATGGTACTGTATTGCAAGAGCTGGACAAGCAGAGAATTTCCCCTCATGAGCGCTTCACTAGAGCGCTGACTGCTCTACCCGAAAATCGGGCCCTCGTACATGAACTGTTGGTCAATAAGGAGTACAAGATCGAACAAGAACCCTACACGGAGCCGCGGAAGCAGATCATGAAGCATATGTGCGATATGATGAGGCAGGATGTAGAAGCAGGTCTAGGTGTTAACTGGATAGTTGCAATGGCTACTGTCATACAAGACAGACTCTTGCGCTCTCTCAGGGCAGGAAATTCATTGCACGTTCTGATCAGCGAGGTCCTCGACCCGAAGCTCGTCGAAAACCAGTGCAAGGCCGGTACCTTTTCATACGACGCATTCTTTGATTTCATGAGCACTATATTGCCCAAGCTATGTGCTCCTTACCGAGACCCCGAAGTCAAAGCTTTCGCAGAGGACAAGTCAGGGGACGCAATCGATCGGCTCGCGCGGTTGATGGGTATTATCGACCTTCTATCTCTGGATCACACTAATTTCATGATCCGGGCAGCGGCTCCCCAGCTTATTCAGGAAGCTCCGGGTTATGAGCAGAGGACGTTTGAGAGGGGTCTCCAGGACGGTTCGATAAGTCTGCAGAAGACCCGACGATTTTGGCGAATCAACCGGGCAGCTGTCGTCGAGGAGATGAAGAAGCGTGATCCTGAGAATGTCAATCCTACTGCCGTGCCTCCAGCTTCGAGAATCTACACTCAAGGACTCGTTGATTTGGTTTTCAGCAATGCTGCTGTGTCACCGGAGCTCATCCCGGAGACATTGGACCTTGACCGCGAGCGGTTGGAGAGACTTCACGCCAGCGCTTTCAGGATCGTTGGGACAGCCTCGATCCTGTTGACAGCGAAGAACCTCCTGAAACGTGATGCCCGGTCTCAGTGGAAGACGGAGGCCGATCGTATCGTCTCACTTGAGTTTACTGAAGCCAAGCCGGATCGCGTGCAATCGATCCTCGAGTCAACGCACCCGATGCCGGCGACAGCCAGGTCACAGCTGGCCGGCACCATCAAGCGTGTCCTTGCGCCTGTCGCTGCCGCGTCAGCAGCCTCTGCTTCTTGTCAACAGCGAGCATCTGTCGAAATTATGTCCGAGCAGAGTGCTAGTTCCAGCGATCGGCCCACTTCGTCTGCTGGTGAACCGGAAGCTTCTACGACGTACTTTTCCGACCCGGTAGCACGTCTAATCCTTTCGCGTCTGCGGGCGCACGTATTTGCACGCTTGAGTGCGTCGAGCGCGAATGAGAGGGTGAAAGCCACCTCGACTGCCAGCCAAAGCCTGGCTGCAGCGGGAATGCCTGAATTTGTGAACGAGGTTGGCAAATTAGTTGATGAGCTCGAGAAAGTCAAAGAAGTTGATTGGCTTTGCCATGGCACGTTCTATGAACGGGTTATCAACGAAGGCATTTCTCAGGCGCAGAGTTGAACGCGATTCTTGATTTTTTTTTTTTTTTTGATCATTTTCATTTTCGGGCTGCATGTTCTTCTGGACGGATTGGGTTATATATGCGGTTCGGTCCCTGGGGGAAGAAGGATGGGGAACTGAAGGACGGGTAATCGAGTATAGATACGTAGATGGGTTCATGCTAGTTCCCTCGCGATTTGTGTTCGTTTCGGTTTAAATGCATAATGGCTTTTTTCCATGGCTTCTAAGTTCCCGGTCCCTTTTGAAAGCCACGGTCTTGATCAGTAGTTCCAACCACGTATGTTATGTGAACGTTAACTCTGGGTTTGTATGTAGTATGTGCTATAAATCGATAAGTTAGCGCCTCCTTATCAATCATCGATCAATTACTAACCCCGCAACAACCACCAAACTTTCCACCCGACCTGCACAAGGTCACGCAAGAACCAAAACCACACACACTCACACATACATAGGGTGTTCAAAACCCCCCTCTCCCTCTCTCCAGACATAATTCAATTCAATTACAATTCTTATCATGGCCGGGCGCAAACCCGCCTCGATATCGCATCTCGCCGATCTCACCCCTCCATCGACGGAACGATGCTGGTTAACCTCACCTCACCCCACGCAACCCATCGTCGCGACATGCAGCTCCGACAAGACGGTGCGAGTATACTCGCTAACAAATTTCCATCTCCTCTCTACGATATCAGGCGGCCATAAGCGCAGCGTCCGCAGCTGTGCGTGGAAACCGCTCGTGAAGGGCGAGAGTGTTCTCGCGACAGGTAGCTTTGACGCAACAGTGGGGATTTGGAGACGGTGGGATAATTATGGTCGGAATGCGGATGGGGTGGAGGAAGAGCAGGAAGAGGAGGGTTGGAGGTTCAGCGCCCCTGGGGCAAATGGATCGGGAAGCGATAACGAAGACGAAGATGAAGAGTGGCGCTTTGCGGTCCTGTTAGATGGACATGATAGCGAAGTCAAGTCCGTATCGTGGTCGCCTTCGGGGACGCTCCTGGCTACATGCTCGCGGGATAAATCGATATGGATCTGGGAGGATCTGGACGATGGGGATAATAACTTCGAGACAGTGGCGGTCATGCAGGAGCATTCGGGGGATGTGAAGTGCGTTTCGTGGCATCCGGTCGAGGAATGTCTTGCTAGTGCGAGTTATGATGATACGATCAGATTGTGGAGGGAGGATATTGATGATTGGGGCCAGGTGGCGTGTTTGAGAGGTCATGGTGGTACGGTTTGGTATATTGATTGGGAAGGAGTTGAGAATGGACCATCTGCAACGAACACATCAGGAGAAGAAGAAGGAGAATATGAATCGAAACTCCGCAGATGGAAAGAACACCATGCACTATCTGGACCACGGCTCGTCTCCTGCTCTGATGATCGCACAGTCCGTATCTGGCGCAGACAGCCGAAAGAGCAGCGTTCAGCCGGCTCCGAAATCCCTAGCATCATTCGCCCAACTGGCCTCGACGAGACATGGTATGAAGAGAGCGTACTCCCGAAAGCGCACGAGCTATCGATCTACACCGTCGCATGGAGCAAGCGGAGTGGTCTCGTCGCATCCACCGGCGCGGACGGTAGGATTGTTGTATACGAGGAACGATTCGTTCCTGCGGACAGCACAACCACTGTTCCTACTACTACTGCTTCCTCTGAAGACACACAACCAATGGAAATCGAAAGTGAAACCCCCCAGAATACATCTTCTATCGACCCCACTCTCCGAACAGAGTGGACCGTCCTCGCCACGATCGAGGCCGCACATGGTATCTACGAAGTCAACCATATCTGCTGGGCAAAGCGTCCGCGCCGTCAACAGGGCGAGGAGGTGCTCAATACTTCTTCTTCCTCTGCTGCTGCGGAAGAGGAGATTCTGATCACAACGGCAGATGATGGAAGTGTCAAAGTGTGGGTTGTTCAGAGGTAGAGCTCTATATCATGTATCATTAATTTGGAACAAGAAAAAAGTGCATGCATTTTATATTATATATCTTCCGTCTTTTCTCTTTTACGTCATGTGGATGGCTCTTCTGGTATCGTCATGTTATCTACATATATTGCATATAGAGGGAAAGGAGAGGAATTGAGGGAGGGGGAAATATATATCATATTTTGATTTAGATATTGATTGACTCAGTGACGGGATTATGATCGCAAACTCTGATTGAATTCTGCAAATTGGAAATTTAATCTATTGCTAACCGCCGTGTCCTACCAGTGACTGGTATCAAGTAAGAGAATAAGTAGTCTATATTTCATGTCTCAGAGTACCGCGCCGTGATAGTAGTAAATGCTCCCGATGAAAAGTCGACATATATACAAAAATAGAACAGATCGACACCAAAAAACCGAATGCTTATAAGATCAAGGGTAGCGTTGTATTAAAACGACTACCTCTCGATTCTCCTTCTAAGATGCCTTGTGCGGTGCTGAAGTGCCTGTGGCACCATTACGGCGCGCAGCGGCTTCGTCCTCGCTGTCTTCAGCTCCTACGGAGAAACGATCCTGGTCTGTCCTCGGAGTAGACAACTGGTCGAGCGTGGTCTCGTCAAAATCGCCCGCTTCGATGTCTGTACCATTGCTTCTGCTACGGAAGCGTTCCAATGCCGAGGCCGTACTCCTGCGGCCCCTCTGTCGGACCTCGCGGTAGCCCCGGCGGTTGCGGCGACTGCGCCAGATGAAATAACCCCAGACAGAAACACCGATAATGACAATGACGAGGGCTGTCTCGCCTGATTTAGCATACGCTTTCCACGTCGCTTCCTTTAGCCTCTCCTTCTCCTTTTCTTCCGCCGTCGTACTGTTCGGTTGGCCTCCGACGGAGGTTTGAGGCAATTTCTCGCCGTCGATGCGAGAATCAGCAGGAGTACCACCAATGCTGGCGATGTCGACCTTCATAAATCGATCAAGCATGTCACGGGTCCGGCGAGGAAAATCGAACGGCACCATGTGGCTTGCGTTGTAGAAGAGCACATATGTCAGATTCCTTGCCTGCTGATATAGACCGGCCGGTTCTCCCTCAAATGTCCAGTCACGTCTCGGTGCCCAAATCCCGGGGGACAGCTCAAATCCAGAGCCGCCACCCCACTTCATGTTATGAATCAACTGTTCGGTGCCCAGGTGATTGCAGATCAGGTCTTTGTCTCCACTAAAGAGAAGGATGGGGACGCCCGATTCAAGAATATCCGGAAGGAGGTCAATGGCTGGTAGCGAATGCTTCGCACGGAATGAACTGCTGACCGCGCCCGAGCATTCTTCCCAGCCAGTCTTCTTGTCCGGGTTGATGTTCAACGCTTTGACAACTTCTGGCTGGCGCAGATACGGCTTGACATTTACCAGATCTGGAGGCCAATTCATTCCACATGACGGGTACTCGTCACGCAGACGGACATCGTACATATTATAGCACTGCCCACCATTATCCGCCGTCAATCTCAAGAGTTCCTGCAGAACCTCCTCGCATTTACCGTTATCGACATGCTCGGTTCCGCCTGGAGCGGTCAGAGTAGATATGCATGCAGATTGCAACGCCTCTAGATTATTCGCCTTCTGGCTGCCGGTCTGAACAATGCCCTCCTTGTATGCGAACTCGAGGTAGGACGGGTATTGGTCCGCTGGAGATACCCAGCCGTTTCCGATGAGTAGACCACGGACATTCCACTTCGCCTTGCCACTCGCAGCTGCGTCCTTGTTCCGTTCAAGTATATGCTTGGTAATATACGGGATATGCTGACCGGCGTATGACTCTCCTGCAATGTAAATCTGCAGAATCAGTTCAGTTAGCCAGCACGTCATGACCTCCGACAAAAATATTCACATACATCATCGTTCTCATATTCCGGAAACAATTGAAACCAGTTGGTCAGGAAGGTGATGAACTGAGCACCCATTTCATCCAACTCGTGCAGGAAACTGTTCGTATTGACATAACTGAAGCCAGTTCCGACCGGCTGATCGACGAAGAGGAGATTCGCGAATTCATCCCACGATCCATTATTATACTCCAATGTATGGTCATCCTTCAATCTATAGGGTCCAACTTCCATCAAAGCTCCATCTAGAGAGCTGCATCCCGGACCGCCATTGAGCCAGATCACCGTCCGTTGTCTGTTGGCGATATGTCGGTTCTGGAAATGCCAGAAGAATAGGTGTCCGTTATGTTCCTGATCAACCTCGATATGTCTTAACACACAAGATGTCAGCGCTATCCGGCAACAAGATCCTCCCGGAGACAAGAAGTCTCCTCCGTAGTGATTGACTTACCCAGCATGCATTTTCAGGAGCGGCCCATCCGGTGCTCCTGGAAGCGAGGGGACATAATAATCTGAAGCTGACTTCGCCGTAACCGTCAGAGGACAGCTGAGGAACAGTAGCGATAGCCATGATGACAGAGCAGCCACAGTGCCCTTTCGGCCTCTCCATGGAGAAGTCGAGAACATCCCGGCAACAGAGGACACGATATAATTAATTATTGGAGGGAAACGAAGGGACCACGAATAGCGGGAATGCGTCCTTCGAGGGACGCCCGTTTGTGCGCTCAAAGTATCATGGATATCCGCGATGAACCGGGGGATTCGCCGTACCAGGGAACCAGGCCAGACGGGGAGATGTCGTGTACCTCCGCAAGGGGGCGTTGGCGTTACGGAAGTCGACAAGAGCCAAGGAGGCGGTGAGAAAGAAAGAAAGAAAGAGACCAGAAAGAGGGGAGACAGATCTCTGTTCCACGAAGAGAATGATTAGAGTATTATTAGCGGTGGAGTGGAAGAGGGAGTGAGGGAGTGACAATGATAGTTATGCCCCCAAAAAGATACATGGCCCTTCGGAGGCTGTAGCGTCAGCTGTCTCGACCCTCCACTCTGCGGCGATGTATCTGTAATACCGCCCTGGACGGCATGGCGTGCTGGTTTATGCACTGGAAAATGGTAGTCTGGCAGCAAAAGGAGGGTAATATAACGGTAACGGGAGTGTCCGCTGGGTCTTGCTCATCTCACTAGTTTCCCAGTGGCGATAACTTAGTACTACTAATTAAGTAGTTAGTTCCAAATAGAATCACATCAGATAACCTTCCAGAACATTATTATATATACCAACTCTGTGCTCTGTATTACTTTGCATAGCCAGTCACCAACTGCCATGCTAACTATTATTATATTCTTACAACTCTTACCTGGCCCCCAATCCCCATGTAACAGTGCCAGCTGTTACTTATTACTCCCTCCATACACATTCACCTGTTACAGGCTAAGAGGTCTTCGCCCCGGGGGTCAAATAACAGCTGACGACGCCTTTCTCCACGGCAGATCGAGATATGAAAAAGCTAAGACTATCAGGGCTTTTTTTTCTTCGCGAATAAAGCCATCGTGGAAAAAAAGATGAAACACCAGAACAGCAACAAGCTTTATGGGGGAAAGACCTCGCTGTGGCAGTAGCCTAGTTTGGTGGCCAGACTCTAGAGCCCCTTGTTGGTCCTTGGAAATCCTATCAAATTATCAATTAGATCATCGAGGCTCAAACCTCAGACCTAGTTACTCTAAGACTCTAGTAACTAAGGTACCTAACTAACTACATCGTGCGCAGATCCTCCGCGCGCGGACTAGAGCATGTTACAGGGAGTGAGGCTTGGAAGGTTGACGTTCTACGAGCACGAAATACGCTAGGTCCTATTTATACTCTTCTACTGTTGTGATAGGACACAGGGTCGCATGATCAATATGACCTTTCCTGGTATCCTGTTCGAGCCGCTGAAAGAGCCTTGATGGTGAGTTTAGAAATGCTAAGAACTCCTGTTTCATAGTAAAAAGCCACCACCCAGGCAGGCTAGAGTCTGGAATAAAATTACAGGAGATTAAGCTTTTTGTTTTTTTGTAGATTAGAGCGAGCTGAGCAGGTCTAGGTTCTGGTGTCTTTGCGCCGACAGGCCTGGTTTAGGTATCGGCTAGACCTCTATACTCCCTGGTTGCCGTTTTCTATTCTATCTGTTTTCGTTTTACACCTCGTTATATCATCACTTTTTACACACATTTCAGTCAAGTCGAGGGAGAATGTTTCTTCTCCCATGTGGCTTTTTTGGGGGATTAACCTAGCACTATTGATGCGCATAGGGTGCGAGTCCGCTGCCGGTAGACATAAACCGTGACTCGGATCTCACGCGCCTTTGATTGCTGCCTTTTCCCTGCAGCACGATATCCACTTCATCAGACACCTTTTCTTGCATCCTTACGTGAGAGAACGCAGGAAATTCTGCTCCGTGTCCGCGGTACTTCACAGAAGCGAGAGTATGGGGAAGAAGACTTGATGGTCAATCGGAGAAAGAATTACTTCCACTCCACCGTTGTGCCTTCGTGGGCCGGTTCCAGCAGCTTCCACTTGCAGGAGATATTCTGCGAGGAGAACTTTGCAATGATACGGTCAGCAATCTCTTCGAAGTTTCCGGTCGCCAGCGCCAGAATGGTGGGACCAGCTCCGGAAAGACAGATACCAAGCAACCCTGGCTGCGTGCTCGGGTTCATGGACTGCAGAATCTCCGTCAACCCCGGGATGAGGCCCTGTCGATACGGCTGGTGGACCTTATCCTGCATAGCCAAATAGATCGTGTCGGGATCTGGGGGTGAAGTACCCAGAGCTGCGGGCAGGAGAGCGGCACGCTGCAGGTTAAAGATCTACACGATATGGTCAGTCTTGGGACGACTCAAGAGGATCTCAACCGCTAGAACTTACGACATCCGCTCTAGAATATGACTTGGGCAACACATCACGGGCTTTGGCGGTCGGTACGACGAAATCAGGAATGATGGCGATCGCCTTGATTTCCTTTGCCCAGCCAAACTTCCTGTAGTGACCAATGCCCAGCGGCGGCTCTGGAGGCCTCTTGCCTGTATCGACACCACCAGCAGGCGCAGGCAGAACTTCACTCAGTGGGATCTCCTTGCGGGCGACGTCTTCAGGCTTGAGCTCATTCAAGTATGTTCCAACAAATCCTCCGAACAAGGTTGCAGCCACATTATCGGGGTGTCGCTCTACACAGCGTGGAAAGCCATGGGTTAGTCATTGTCCTTCGAAAAAGTTGAAGATGGGCAGATCCAAGCCATCGACGTACCGATCATCAAACAGTAATCCAGTAACCGCTCTTTACTCAGTCCTAGTCGACCGACTTCATTGCCCAGCATGACCCCTGCTACGACCGCAGTGCCTGACGAACCCAGCCCTCGACTCAGCGGAATGGGATTTACAATGTGAACGTGGGTTTCCACGGGAAACGCTCGCTGCTCATGACATCGCAGAACATAGAGGGCTACGCGCGTGATCAGGTTGACCTCCGGGTCCAAGCTGATCTGCTCCGTGCTCCCACTCTGGTCCTCATATGTGATCACGCAGTTGAGCGGTTGCGACGACGTCTTCTTCGAGGAGTCCACGGTCACATGGAGTTCCATATACAGCGACAGGGCCAGACCGATGACATCGAAGCCAGGTCCGATATTGGCGGACGAGCATGGCGTCCGCAGTGTGAAGGAGGAGCGACTCATTCTGGCTTGATGACCGTCCCGGATCTAGAAGTTCGGGCGTTGATTTTCTGCGATTGCGGCGGGGGACGTCAAAGGAGGGGCTGAAAGAAAAAGGCGATCAGGACGTCCAGCCGATTTCTGTGCTTCCTCGCTCTCTCTCTCTCTATTGCTGATGGGCTTTCCCCGGACCTGATCTCTCAATGTCTTGGGATAGAGAGACAAAGGTCGGTCCTTTTGCTACCAGTATGACTCCAAAGTGTGCTCTTGGCGCTCCAAAACCAAATCGGGTGGATCTGGCGGTGGAGTTGAAGTCAGGCTAATAAGAATTATTACGCGACGACAATATGGTTCTCGATGACCTGCAAACAGTAGTTCAAGCCAGATGGAGTCGATTGATTCTGCGCATGCATCACATCTTGCGTCCACGAGGATCTCCCCCGTCGATAAAGGACTATATGCACCACCAACAATAATGATACATTCCTCTGCGCAGGAACCCGGATGTCTCAGGCGAACAGACAATTAATTATACCGCGGGAATCCAGCAGAGTCTAGATGAGCCGTGGCTGAGGAAAGTCGTGGAAATTTCGCTTCTAATAATGGTTATTCTATTTCTTGTCCCCCTCTTTCCTTTCAGTCTAAATCTGGACCTTAAAAAAAAAAAAAGAACTCGCTATATTAATATTATTAAAGGGCCCATCCGCCCACTAAGCCAGCTTGGGCGCCCGATGTGACTTTGGCCTCCAAACTTGTGGCCCCTCGCTTGCGCTGCCGTGCGCTGTTATAATATTAGTTCTTTTCCTTTTCCCTGCTTTTCTCTTCTTCCCCATCCAACACGCCGTCAAGGTGATTATCACCCTGTCGCATCTTCCTCTTCTTCTCTCTTTTTTCTCCCCCGTCTTCAACAATTCAAATTCTGTCGTTTCGATCAGGACTCGCGCCCGTTGAGTTCCCGGTTTTCTTCAGATCTTGACTGATCTCGATCGACGTTTCGGACGAGGAGCGGTCAGGGAAATCTGTGGAAAAGTCCCTCACCACCACCGAAACACGCGTTGTTAGTTGCCAATTGATATTCCACGTTTATCGCGGGCAATATCGTGACGGCCTTATTGCTGGAGTCTCAAACCCGGGACTCCCTTCGTCAAAACCAACAACCACTACATCCCTGCGACCCTGGAGCGTGAACGCTCCCCTCGATCACACACAGCCAAGTTGGCGGGCATTCGCTTTACCCAGGCTTCCTTCCTCCACCCTCTGCTGGGCCCAAAATTCCGGGTCTTCTTCGGGGGCGACACCAGGCCTCCATAACTACGGTTTAGCAACAAGAATATTCTGGCACCCGGACGTGTCGCGCAATCACCAGGCCCTCCCCTGGGGTCTGGCTGAAGAAGCTCACGGTTTAAACGTCCCGGGGGCCCCCCTACATACACTGTGGATAACCTTATATTGTGCTGGAAATAATCTGTCAACGCTGGCGTGCATCTAACTGCGGCAGCGAAGCCGCCAGTTCTCCCTGGTCGGTTAATTTTGGGTTGCATTTGTGTGCTGCGTCCTTATCACCATGTCGGAATCACCGAGATCGTCCAAGTGCCTGACTCGGTTCAGCACTCCGGTGCCCGAGTTGGATGACCACCGTTTTCAACTCGATCCTTCAACCGCAGCAGACGTCGGTGCGGAGACCCCACAGAATACCACGCAGCCGGCATGTGCAACGGACGCGCCAGAGCGTCCCGATCTGCTAAACGTCAATGAAGCTATTCGAACGGCGGGCTCCATCTCTCGCGATTTTGAGCATGCGGTTGTGGACGATGACAAGTCGTGCCGGGACGTCGATGGGCGCATCTCGATCGACCGTGCGTCGCCTCTTCTGGCAGCTCGTAGATGGAGTCGGAATCAGCAGGAACCTCCGACGCGGTCCCGAGAATCGTCGCCTTCGAGCAGATCGTCCTCACCACCCAATTCCGTCGACGCCTTCGCCGATCCGCGTCGCCGCGAGCGCGCCAACACTCTGGAGAGCCATGCCACTGTCGACGTGGAAGCTATCCTGCAGCGGACCGTGTCTGGAGGCAGCCATGGTCGCCGTCCGACCTTCAGCAATGCAAGCGTGATCAGACCGGAACAGGGGGATGTCAGGCTGGAAATACCGGAGAATGCCTGCGTCACTCCGTACGAGCAGCCTGGCAGAATTCCGGTCATTGATTACGAGGAGCTGGAGGAGTTCGTCGCTCTCAACAAGAAGGCGAAACCGATCACGAGCAGTCGAAAACACAGTCTGAGTTCCCAGAGCAGGACCTATCGGGTCTTCCACGATCTCAGGCCCAATACTTTCAAGCCCGATCTTCCGAAGATAGTGACACAGTCCTGGGGTCCGGAGCGGTCATCTTCAGAGGCCATTGGGCCTCTCGACGAGAAGCTTGAGGACATACCCAGCAAGGGTATGGATGACAAGGACCTGCTTGAGAAACTGCAGAATGAAAACGGACCAAACCGCTTCAGCTTCTTCTCGTCCGAGTCTCAGAGCACAGTGCACGCCTCGGAACTGGGTGACCTGGTCCTGCCAGGAGACACCTTCCGGGACCTCTTCCAGTTGGGCCCGGAGGGAGGTGTCTGGTGGCTAGATGTTCTTAATCCCACCGAGGCCGAAGTTGGTGCCCTCTCTCGCGCCTTTTCCATCCATCCTTTGACGGCGGAAGATATCGTGACCCAGGAAGCCCGTGAGAAGGTCGAGCTATTCAAACAGTACTATTTCGTCTGTTTCCGTACCTTCTACCAGGTGGACAAGACCAGTGAGGATTACCTGGAGCCAGTCAACCTTTACATGGTGGTCTTTCGCGATGGAGTGATCACGTTCTCCTTCACGGAAAATCCTCACGCCGCCAACGTCCGAAAGCGAATTGGAAAGCTGCGCGACTATGTGTCTCTCAGTAGTGACTGGATCTGTTATGCCATGATGTAAGTGTGCAAGTTGTGCAAATCAGACCTATGGTTGCTGAATAGTATACTAACCATATCCAGTGATGACATTGTTGACAGCTTCGGCCCTGTCATCCGGGAAGTGGAAATCGAATCGGAAGCCATTGAAGACCACGTCTTTGTCGCCCGTGTCGATGATTTCGAATCATTCCTGCCCCGCATCGGCGAACTGCGAAAGAAGGTGATGAGCCTGATGCGTCTCCTTGGCGGCAAAGCCGATGTCATCAGGGGTTTCTCTAAGCGCTGCAATGAGCAGTACTCGGTCACTCCCCGTGGTGATATCGGTCTGTATCTGGGCGATATTCAGGATCACGTCGTGACCATGATGTCCAACCTGGGTCACTTCGAGAAGATGCTCAGCCGTTCACACGCCAACTACCTCGCGCAGCTGAACGTCACCAATCTTGTCCTGGGAAACCATGTCAACAAGGTGCTGAGCAAAGTCACGCTGATTGCTACCATGCTTGTCCCGATGAATCTCATCTGTGGTCTGTGGGGCATGAACGTTCCTGTCCCCGGCAGAGACAGCGAGAATCTTGGCTGGTTCTTTGGTATTGTTGGCATCCTTGGACTCATTGTCGTCGTCAGCACCATTGCTGCTCGATGGCTCAAGCTGATGTGACTACATGGCAGCACTCAGCAACGCGATTACAAGTATTTGCTGCTTCTTCCGCTCTGTTTGGATGTCTGCTCTTATATATCAATTGGATTCTTTCTTTTGTCCGTCGGGAAGTTCAACTTCTCTCACCCTTGCATGATGTTTAGGCGTCTGATTACTGTACTGTACTGTTCTGTGTCAATACATACTCTCCATATATATACATTGCCAATGCATAGTCGACTCGGTCAGACATACCAGGCAAAATCAATGCAGTTCAAGATTGGTTTGAATGCAGGGTGTAATTATTAGCATTTCCAGTAGTTTTACAAGGAACTTTCCCATGCTGGAATCAACTCGTGGATTCACCGCGTGAGGTGCTGACAGACGTCGCGTCGAATCTACTTCTGTACAACAGCAAATTCAGACAACTTTGCGCGTCAAGTAAGAACACCATTGGAATTGGAGATGTCCCTTTCGCATGAATATCGTTTCTAGAGTAATTTGAATCTTAAGAAAGTGGACCCCTTTCATCGTTGTTCAAGCACCATTGGCTGTGGCGCAGTTCTGATGAGACGGAGGTCGGAGATGGGAGGCGATCGTTTTCTAGACTTCCAACGTATGTGAAGCGCCTCAGACTGCAAATGGCCCTGGCGCTCTTTATCTCTCTGTTGGCCTCCTCTGCAGTCCCTGCTGCAAAAGTGAAAATAAGCAGTTGGATCTCAAATTGAGCAACACTGCAATCACTCATCTGCGTCTGGGGACAGCTCCCCTTCCACGTGCCAACGCTTCACCCCGGATTCCGAGCACCAGGTTGTCCACGACGTTGATCTTCAGCCTCGCCCCGGTTGATACTGACGCCCTACATCCTCGATGGGGATGCAATTCCCCAGGCTCACCCCGCTGCAGTCTCGGTTTGCTGCGACCTTTACCGCCACTCTCTTCCTCGTCCTCCTCTATCTAATCTTCTCCAGTCCCCGCTTCGCATATGCCGCCGACATCTCCTCTTCTATCGCAGAGACAGACCACAACTATCCGATCTCGATAGGCTCGTTGTCCGATGGGATTGGGGAGGAAAGGATATGGCTTGAGCTGGACGACTTCGACGACGTCTTGGAGGAAGATGAAGCACCGCAGCTGGCCATAGTTCGGAGGGCCCCTCAGGGAGTCACTGCTCTGGGGAACAATCAGTTCAAACAAAACAATATCAACCAAGGAGAAACACAATACTTCGTCTTTCCAAAGGAGGCTGTGGCTGGCCCAAAGTCTCCAAAGCCGAAAGGGCTTCCCCCATTCGAACCGGCTCCAAACGATGATAGTGACCAGGTCGACCTCCGTGAATTGAAACGGCGCGATGACGAACTTGACAAACGGTCAACGACGGTGTATATCTCGATGACCACCTGCTCACAACCCAGTGGTAACAAGAGCGATCCTGACAGCGGATACACGCCGCCCCAGCTCCAGGTTTACATCTCCCGATCCGAATCGCTGCAGAAACCGGGGCCTTCAGTCGATAATTCGAGCCAGGTTCAATACGATGCGGACGGTGGATACATGGGAGTCGCTATGCAGGCTGACGGGGACGTTTACCTCTCTGTGTCGGCACCCAATGCGACGGGGTATTCTGGAATATATACGTACGAAATCGCTGCGTCCATCGATGCCTATTTCCACAGTGTCGTGGAGGATGATCCCTTTCTTTACTTCGTCGATGGCGATATCAGTGCCGCCCTTCTTGTGACGAATAACGTTACCGAGTCAGCGTCGGATTCTGAGAATTACAAGCAATGGATGAACATCACTCCGCCGTATACAGTCTTTGCGAGCAACACCAACGACACGTCTATAATTGGTATGCAAAAGTCGTACTGTGCGCTGGATCAATTTGCGCAGATCAGGAAGAGCAGCAACAACGTCGAGGTGGGAATGACGAACAGAGGCTTGGGAAATAAGCCGAAAGAGCAGTTCTACATCACCGGTCTGAATCGCAGTTCGACATACTATGGTATCCTTGCTATGGATGGCAATTCGACCAGTTCAGGAAACGGGATCATCGGCGGAGGAGGAAAGGTCTGGCGGCCAATGAACTTCTCCACCAAAGCAGGCATGTACTCCTCGATCATGCGTCTATATTGTCGAACCTCACTGACCGTCTGATAGATGACAACTGCGCTGTTTTGTTCAACCTCTCATTCTGCTCAGAGGTCGCCTATGCCGTCCCCTCCAACCCATCACTCAATGTCGCTGAACTCACCGACATCTACGACAGCTACGCTGCCTCCCTGTACAAGAACTTCTCCTATTCTCTACAGCAGATCCAGTGCAACGCCTCTGCCGACTCAGCATACTCACTCGCCGTCGGCTGCGACGACTGCGCTGCAGCCTACAAACAATGGCTCTGCTCAGTCACCATCCCCCGATGTGCCGATTTCTCAAACGACGCAAGTTTCCTACGCGTCCGAAACGCAGCCCAGCCCTTCCTCAACGGCACCCAAATCCCCAGCGACAGCCCTCTCGTGCAATCGCCAGTGGAGAGTCGATCCCGCAATCCTTTAATCGACAGCCAAATCCGACCAGGTCCCTACAAAGAGGTCCTACCCTGCCAGGACCTCTGCTGGGACCTCGTCCGGTCCTGTCCCTCCAACCTGCAATTCTCTTGTCCAGTAGGCCGAGCCCTGAATGCCTCCTACGGCTACCGCGACCCGAACGGAGATATCACATGCAGCTATCTCGGCGCAGCGTACTATCTCAATAACTCTTGGAGTTTCCGCTCTCAGGCCTTGGTTTCTCTTTATTATACTGTGGCTATTTTCTGGACTGTCATTTGGGCGTTTGTGTGAAGAATTTATTTTTTTTTTCTGTATTTTTTCTTTTCCTTGAGTTGGGGAATGGGGAAAGAGACGGTTCATGAGTAAATTAGTTATTATTATCATTGCGCCCCCCCTTTTTTTTCTCTTTTAGCTATCTAGCGGATATCATACCATGTCATGTTCTTTTTTTGTTCCTTCTTGTCCCTTCTGACATTGAATAAATACCTACTGTTACGTGTGCTTTCCCCTTGTCTAGGACGATAGATATCATCGTGCATATGTGAAAATGAAATAGAACGAACTATATTATATAAAGTGAGAGTGTAAACCTCGGTGCTTGTACCTGAATATATTTCATGTTGAGGTTGTGAATGTAAAGTTTCAGATTTTCCTATTCCACAACGAGTCTTAATCTGTAATATCTCAGGAGATATCTATCCTTCTTCTTTAATAATAAACGATACAAGAAGAAACAAATAAAAGGAAAAGAAAAAGGGGGTATCATAATTCGTATCCCATCCATCCAACCATCCAATCAACCAACCAGCAAATCATAAAAATAGAATATTCTGAAAAGCAAACCATTATACTCCCCAACCAATCAATCCTAACTGAACACCAGAAAACATTTTTACAAAGTGAAATCCACTTCACTTCCTCTTCGGAGTCGGGGTCCACATATTCCTCAACCCGGACGACGACGTAAAAGAAGACCCTCTAGGCGTGCTACCTACTCTCTGTAACAATTTCTGCGCTGCAGGCGTCAATGTCTTTCCCGGCGTACTTCCCCCGCTAGGCGTTCGTCCAGAGGTGAACATCGGACTACTCGGGAATCTAGGGACAGGGGTCTTGATTTCGCGAGCTGTTTTCTCGGCGCGTTTGGTGCGTGCGGCGCTCTCGACCATGCGGTGATGGAGTTCTTCGCGTTTGCGGTTCTCTTTGATCTGGAAGGGGTTGGGGGTTGAGTCGCTGCTGGTGGTTGAGGTGAGGAGTTTGAGGTAGTGAGACTGGTCGATTTCGGGTTCGGGCTCGTCTTCGTCGACGAACGTGTAGCCGTTTACTCGGGGTGTTTCGCCGCCCGTGAAGCCGGGTTCAGAGTCCGTACGACGTGGTCGTCCTGCGATGGCGTCTTTGATGGCAGATATGGATGGAGATGGAGGCACTGCTGCAGCCTCGTTGGATTCAGGACGGAGTCGAGTATTATCGTATACGACCTGTCTCGGTCCCGCGCGAGACGCAGCCTCTGCTTTCTGCTGGACGGTCTCATGCGTATCCTCCACGCCGGAGGGAGTGAACATGAGCGAGTTTTCCGCGCTAGATTTCCACGCATCAGGCTTAGCTGGCCTGGCGTCCATATCCGTCGTGATGGCCACCAGTTGCTTATCATTATTATCCGGATTCCGCCCCTGCTCGATCAACTTCTTCTCCTCTCGCTTCCGATGCGCAATCTGCCTCGCAGTCGGAATCTTATTCCCACTCCACATCCACGCGTAATTCTCCCTCCGCTTCGTATTCTGTCTATCCAACAACTGGTAAAACGACTCGTTATCCTCACTTGTATATTTCGCCTGGAAGGCACCAAGTCCCATATTCGACACATCAGGCATGTCTTTCCTCGTACCCTCCGTCTGCGCAGTCGATGCGCTCGACACAACAGACATGGGCGTATCGCCTCCCCATCCAGCAGGTGTGTCGCCCGGCCTTCCTCCTGCGGGAGTCATCGGAGTCATGCTCACGCCGCGTCGACCCCTCGCGCTACGACCGGGCGTCATAACTTCAGATAGTCTCTTGCCTGCGCTTGCTATCCATTCTTTATCCTTCGACTCGAGGGCGTCGAGGTATTCTTGCTTCGTTTGCGTTTCGAGTAAGCCCGGGAAGAAGTCGCGAGCGATGATGTGCGAGAGCGCATCGGTATAGGTATCTTCGTCGAGGACGGTAGCTGGTCTCTTGATCCGTTTGGGCGGGGGAGGGGGCGGCATTAATGCATTGTCGGATTGGCGTTTGATTAACACCTGCTGGGAAGAGGGCGTTGACGACGCCATGGTAATTTGGAATGAACAGGAAAGGAAAGAAAAGGAAGAACGCAAAGCGTCGAGAAGCGACGAGAGAGGAGAACCCCTAGATATAGCGACAGGTCAGATAGACATGGAAAAATAGGATAGAGAGAGGTCGAGTGGATGAAGTAAGTATGGAGGCTGACAAGTTTAAAGACGGAGTTGAGTTGTGGCGGCGTCTGCTGTTATCTGATTGGCTGGTGCGCCAGTACTAGGAACCCCCGTTCTTTAAAGTTGTTTAATATAGAATAATATAATAATAATACAGTCATTAAGCTAGCTGTCAATTGCTTACTGGTATGTATGATTTGAATAATCTATCAATGTTATTTTTTTATTGCTATATGCGACTGTTCAGTGTCCTTCCATAATAAGCCATAGGATGCAGTCAACTAGTGGTCGATTCGCTGGAAATTGCCCAACAGGGTATCTGCGATGAATTTTTGGATATTCTATTTCTGAGGTCACGCGACAACGGGACCGGCGAGTTTCGCCTTCACTTTGGAGAGCTATCGGCGATCCTCATATAGAGCATGCTGTTCATAGGTAAGCCTAAGGCTTCGGGTGCTCTGGAATCTCTTGTTCCTTGTTAGCTCCTGGGTAGCGAGAACCCTTGTCCTTGACCTTCTTCTGCTTCTTCTGCGCCACTGGAGGCGGGTAAGCCTTGAGAGTAATCTCTTGCCACTCGGGGGACGCTTGGTAGGCTTCGTGGATAGGTGCCATGAGACGGGTCAGGGCATCTGCAACAGCAGGCTTCAGGGTTTGTGGTGTTAACTAGTAAATACCTCAGTTAGTATGCCGTTTTGAGAACCGGAATTAGTTCAGAATCAAGAAATGGACTTACAATGTCATTCGAATAATCATCCTTGAGCTTCTGAATATCGGTGTAAATCAAGGGTTCGGCATCCCGGCGTTCCACACGGAATTCTCTCTTTCCAGCAAGGGCGGCTGCAGGAAGTAAGACAAATTCGACGAGTGCAATAATGCCATTGTTTTCGACAATTTTCGGAGCCGCTTGGGATTTGCGGATCTTCTTAGCGACAACCTCAGGCGGGTCAAGGAGATCAATCTTGCTATCTGTTGGACTTTAGTGGCTGTTCTGGGGAGAGGAAAAAAGAGAGAGAGAGAGTCTTCTACCTTCATCACTGGAACTCATTTTACCTCCACTAAGACCCGCAACCATGGGCGTGACAAGATGTGCGCGCTATGCCTTTGGTTTAGCTCGTTGTTCAAGATACTAGCTTGATCGAGACCGGTCTTACCTTTCGATATCCGAGCTTAGGTAGCCACTCCGTCGCCGCCACGAAAAGCTTCCTCTGGTCGACACCTGTCTATTGTTAGATGAAGTATAGAATAGGTAGGAATTCTGCGGAAGCGCACCTCCTAGCTCAGCATCCACATTGAGATACTCCTCATCGAGAACCTGGAGGAGAGGGTAGAGAAGGCCACTCAATGGAGCATTAGTGGACTGCTTGACAATTTCAGCGCCACTCTTCCTAGCGTCGTGCTCAGAAGTCAAGGCTGATAGGCGGTATAAATCCATCGTGTACTTAGGACTCGTCTGGTATGAACTGCCCAGCACGAACTCGAGCTTCTCTGTCGACACGCCAACTGCCTCCAGGATTGCTCTGATGACCTTCTCATAATACTTGACACGGTTCTCCACCAACTCCAACGGCGCCTTCAACGAGTCCAGGAACGCATGGACGTCCGCAAGCAGAATCACAACCTCACATCCCGCAGCCAATAGCTGCGCAATCTTAAGTGCCGGTGTGAAATATCCCGTATGAGGTTTTCCCGTCGTGGCCGTGCCTAATCAACAACAGGTATCATCATGTTAGTCTGGGAATAATGAGGGCTGCTGGTGTGTCATTGACTAACCCCAGTAGACACGCGGATTGCGCCCCTCCGCGAGGACGCTCTCCACCAACTCCGGGTTGATGATCTCCGCGAGGTTTTCGCGTATGAGATCGAATCTTGCCTGTGCGGATGCGTCCATTGTGCAAGCCTGTTAACACTTCTTAACAGAGATATCAAAAACGAGGGGCAACCAAAAAAAGAGTATGGTGCCGCGGGGAAGTCTATTTCTGCCAATGCCTATGACTCCGCCGGATCATCTGAATATCCGGTCCCGGCGGAATCCGTGGATCGGGGATTATTCTGAGCTTCTTAGGTTGACCATCTGTGATAATGGATGAATGATATCTCCAGAGCTTAGAAAATGCACAGAGATCTTGTCAAAGACAGCGCGACAGCTTATTATAACCAACTCTGGTCGAGTCTAATGCTAAATCACAAAGTAAAAAAACAACCCACACTCCCCCAATCAGCCAGATTCCCACTCTTATGTTTTGTCTTCCTTTCAAGTACAGTTCCAAAGTGCCGCCGGCCAACCGGGGAGAAGTTCGCGAAATACCCTATTCCATGCCCATTCGCCCCAATCTATGTATGCAGAAAGTATATAAAGAAATAAGGAAACAAGCGAGGGTTTCCAACAGCCCGCTTTTTCAACCTTTTTGCAAATACTGGACAAAAGAAACCGAGTGACTCTCTGCTTTTAAAGACAAGAAAAGATAGGAGAGATGAAAAGAGAGAGGAAGGAAAAGCACAATTGATGACTGAAAAGAAATGGTGCACAACCGCCAAAAGTTGGATGACGCAAAATCACAGATGCAATGCTAAAAGGGAATTCGTGAAGTCATATAGTATACCGGGAGTGTCTGAATGATGGATATGAGGAGTGAAAGATGATGAATGAAGGTGATTCGGATCTGGTGGACTCCAGGTGTGATCCGTACGCAAAACAGATCACTTTCGAAAGCGCGGTGATGCCGGCGCAGGTGTAGGAAAGAGGGAGTAGCTCCTCTGTTTCTTCTGGCCGATGGCCTTGTTCAAAGCCGCCGACTGCATTCTTGCCGCGAAGGGTAGACCCTCTTCCTTCATCATGCTCGCGGCGGCGGCAGCACTGTGGGCGTCAACCGTCGACACGGATCTACCCTTATGCTGCACTGGCATTGAGGTTTGGCGGGCCATCTCACTAAGGTCAAGGCCATAGCTTCTGGTTGCACGGTGGCGTGGGGACGAGGCTCCCTGGGTATGTGCCGCGGCAGGGCCGCCAGCAGCATAACTAGGAGGCTCGATGGACCCAAAACTGTCCTGGGACATATGCTCGCGACTGCTGCTCGCGCTGGGCACCAATTCAGGGACACTGATGGTCGAGATGGAGGAACGATGCTTGCGGACAATTGAAGCTGCACGAGACAAGATCATGCTCTCCTGCGAGTTGCACTTGCTGATGGGAGAACAGCTGCTCCGGGGAGAGACGGGCTGTTCCAAATACTGCGAGCCCCTCTGGGACCAGAACGAAAAGTGCCGGTCCGATGCACCATCAGCGGTTAGGTACTCTTCATATAGCGTTTCCTGCGAAATGTCCTTTCCCAAGGGCGACGGTAAGAGCTGGCTTGCCCTAAAGTAATCCCCCTGCACGTTGTGCTTTCCGCCTGAGAGATAATCGAGTGCATCCCCCGATGTCGAGGGCGTCACCACGCTATGTGCCGTCATCAGAGACTGTGTAGATCCGGGTTCAAGGTCAGGTGTTGCAAGATCGGCCGGGTCCAGATAAAGGGAATTTAGCGCACCCTTTTCTTGCCTCTTTGAGGACTTATTAGTAGCCTCTGGGTGTTGAAGTGGAAGCTCAGCATCTCGACCGTCCGCTTCCTCGAGGGAGCTGCGATGCCAGTCGAAGTTGCAGTTAGACTCAGCTGCATGTTCATAGCAATAATCGATATCTTCGTCCCAATTGTCAAAGAAGGCCTCGCCGAGGGTAGGCCTCCTGCTAGCGACTCCCCTGCTGAGATCTTCTGCTTGAGGAATGGGTGACTCCTTCAGATTACCTAGGCTCTGCGGGAGTGTAGGTGATCCTAGGGAAGCCGACAAATCCGCGGCCAGATCATCTTCAATATACATTGACAGACCGTCTCGAGATTTCGGCATAGCAGAAGCTCTTACGGCCAATGCTTCGTCCTCCTGGTGGACGAAAGATCGGGATGTGGATGGTCGAGAGCTATGGTCCGAACCGTCGCGCCAGAAAGTTGCCTCTTCCTCCTCCGGTACGTCCTCCAGATCTGAAGGCTGCATCGTAAAATACGAGCTCCGGTTCGGGTCGAAAGACTCGTCGGGTGTAGTGACTGCATTGCCTCCATCAAGTCGGGCAGAAGGATCGAGGATCTCATCGAGACTTCCCATTCGGGAGCGCGCTGGCGGCGACACCGACCCCGTATTCCCGTCAACTGCTTGCGTTGGTCCTTCAGTCAAGTCGGGAGAACGTGCCAGTCTGGACGAGACACGAGGTGGCGGCACGATCGATGGGTACGAAGGGACCTTCTGGTGTTTCGATACCGGACGAGAGAAGTTATCTACCAAGCGAGCAGATACTTCCGGAGTTGATCGCACCGGGCTGGTTGGAAGTGAAGTACCAGGAGACACTGGAGGGCTCATAGCGGAGCCGTACTGGGAATCTTCGCCGCCCTCTTCCGGGCGATAAGTGGACAGGTCGACATCAGAAAAGTTGCGGAAATGGATATCCTCCGCCCTGATACCTTTGAGCTCGGTTCCGGGCCTCTGCGAGGCACGAATGGCAGAGAACTCGGTCACTAACTCATTCCTACTGGCGTTATCTATCGCTTGGAATTGAGCGGGGTTGGTATGGGTAAGATGGTGAAAGTCAAAAGGGTCTGAGATGATACGTTTGATTTGCTCATCTGGGCAATTGAGTTAACAATCTCCCTACACCCGCCAAAAGAAGGGTGACCGAATACTCACGAGATTCGCTTCGACGCGACTTCCTGCTGAACAATTCGCTGACTCTTTGTTTCTCTTTCTCCTTCTCCTTCTCCTTTTCTTTCTCTGTTTCGTCCGCCTCATCGAGAGTAGCCGATATGCTGAACTTGCTTCCCTGCCGTCTGATGATTCGGCTGCCCCGAGAAAAGAACGACTTGGACGTGCTCTCCTGCTTCTCGAGTCCCGCAGTAGAACCAGACCGCTCCTCCTGCGAACGCAGTGACGATGCATCGAGAGAGGTCATCGACGACGCCGGCGACTGGCGGTTGGACATCAGAGAGGTAGTTGTTGACGTGGTCGTATTGCTTCTCGACCGTCCGCTGAAGACTGAAAGTCGCCGGGGACTCTGTGACTGCGCACTGGATCGCGAACGAGTGTGCCATGAGTGCTCGAGGGCATCATTGGCAGCCATTGTTGCGGGTCTCTGTTCCTGGTCTGAATCCTCCTGCCATGCACCAGCGGTGAACTTGGGTACCGACGACGACGACGACGACGTCGATGTAGGATAAGGACTAGACATCCGACTGCTTGTAGGATCGGGGATATTGTTGCCGGATAGTAGATATGCGAGTGACCGGGGTTTCTGACCAGGACCTTAGACCATGGCCTAAGTCCAAACACTTGTCCGCCGAATTGACTAGTAGGTAGTATAGCAGCTAGGCAAAAGAGAGAATAATAATGATGCTGACGAGGAGATTGCTACTCCGCACGCCAGGCTAGTAGTGTATTGGGAGGTCCAGAACAGAGGGAGGAAAAGGAGAAACACGCTTGCGTCTGAGGCTTGAGTAGTAGTAGTGATAATGGTAAGTAAGGAGAGAATGATCGATGCTACTTGTTAGGGCACAGGGCTGGATAACCGTTGACAAGCAGCTATTTTGAGAAAAGGGAGCGGATCCCACTACGACGAGGGTGTGGGTAGGAGAGACAATTCAGAACTGATCAGACGAAGGTCTTGCCCGGGTACTAAAAAAGCAGCAATAATAATAAAACGATAGGAACCCCGCAGGGCAATTGGATTGATTGACAGACCTCCACTTCTTCCTATAAGAAGTAAGGAAATGGAAAGGAAGAAAGAAAGAAAGAAAGACGGAAGATGGAAGATGACAATAATTGCAAAGCGGCAGCACACCTGTCAAATAATAATAATAATAATAATAATATGTGATCGCCTTTTTTTTTTCTCATATCCAATTTTTTTTTATTATTTCTTTTTTTTTTTTAAACCATAACCTTCAGCCCAAATAGCAAACACCGCACAGACAGCGCGCGGCAGATAGTTTGCCGTGCCTGAATGCTGATCGCGTCGAGTGATTGTTCGACCAGCAGCAGGAGGTTCCGGGGAAAGGGCCAGACGCCAGCGAAAACGGCGTCAAACGTGCAAATAGTTGTGAATCCAACGCTGTGGATTTCTCTTTGAGAAAGAATCGGCGTCAGTGGGGCGTAGCCAGGGGACAAGTTCGCTTTTCTGGAGGTTCAGAAGCGAATTAGCTTAACTAGAGCGAGAAGTTAGAACCGCGATCGTTCTGGCTGGTTTGTCCACACGCGCGTTGTTTAGCCCCAAAGTCTAGCTAACTAGCAATTATTCCCTCTCCCCCCCGTATGTTTCAGGCCGGCCAGCCTGTCAGATCCAGTCCATGACATGTGTTTAGAACAAAAGATATACGAGGTATGGTCTTGTTATTATCTTCTTCTTCTTCTATTCAATCTTCTCATGAGTAACCCCATCATAGACTCACTACTCTCTCTCTGGGATGACCCGACTAGCCGGTCTGCCTAAGCGGAAGAATAATAATAATAACAACTCTTGTCCACCCGTGCTCAGGGGCAGTTCCTGTCCGCAGATGATGAACACCGAACAGTGAGGAACCACGGCTGGGCGTATCAGAACACCTCACAGCTCCCTGGGTCAACCCTGTTGGTGCGAGACCGGGTCGATGGTGGCTGAACGAGAAGCATCAGTGGGGGGACGAACGCACTCTAGCTGCGCAAGGCCGTTTGGATTGCGGACTCAATAACTAATCCTCAATAAATCCTCCAGCAGACGTACCAGTATGCGGGATGAGTCCGTGTTCGCTATCATCCTACTCTAGCGGATCGCGGTCGGTTTCCCTACTTTGGTGTAGCATCCCAAGTCCAACCCGATGGACAACCCGCTGTGACGCTGGGTTCTCCATGCGTCGTCAGGATCCAGGCTCCCCCGTCCAGATATTATTATGATCTTATTTGTTTTTGAGGCTACTCGATAACAATAACTTACTGAGAGAAGCTGTTCAGGCTTCCTCACCGTGCGACAAGGGGAGGGATCAATAAATCCGCTGCTGTACACCGGCTGACGCTGTCCTAGGCGCAACGCGGTACAGCAGCAGTAACTAGATGGTTGTTACTTCGCGTCTAGAGTAATATAGAGTCGAGTAGCGTAGCGCAAGATGCTGGGTTGTCACTCCTGCCGCCAGGTATATCCCATCATCCCAGCCTCGGGATGATCCGCTTGACAGAGAGGATAACATCGAGCCGTGCCTGATATCATCCCGGCCTTTTTTCTTTTCTTTTCTTTTTTTTTTCTGCAGAATCTTTCGGTGAAAGAAAACTGCAGAAGGTCCCCGGCGGTGTGACGGTTCCAGTATTGTGAGAAGACCCATGGCAATACTAGTATACCATACTCTATACAACCCCGACGGGTTCTGCAAGGCTGGTAGATCCCATGTCCGCATCTCTCTCTCTCTCTACCAAGTTCCAACGATACCACCCGTTACCTATTCTGTAGACGATATCGCAGATGATCGGATACGATCCAATAATCAAGTGGGGGTGGAAAGCTCTCTTAAGCCTCTGTTCTCCCACGACTGGAGAATGTGGCTTGAGGATGGTTAGTTGCGCTGCTCAGTGGGTTCGCGATCGCAGACGGCGTAAGTCGCGATGATGATTAATTATTTGCGCATTGTCCCGTAACTATGTATGTATGTATATCGCTTCACGAGTCCCCGAGGATAATGAATAATGGCAAGATCAATAATAATACCATAATATGTGTGTGTGTGTGTGTGTGTCCACGGGGAACTGCCGCGTTCCATGGTTCCTGGGATGAACTATTCCTTCAACCGGTGGAGCAATTCGCTGGGCGCAGATCACTCTCTCGAGTCTCGAGGAACTCCAGCTCGGCCGGCGAAAAGGTAAGGTTCACGGCAGCAGCTTTCATCCTCGTGGTCGCTCGGAGCCGTCAACGTGGTCGGAAACGGTCTTGACGATGCACAATGCACGCTTTTATTGTTAGTCTGGTCTGGTCAGGATGGTTCCATTAAGTATTGTCCAATACAGAGCGCGCCAAGGAAGGGAACACGCAAGAATATAGGCTGGGGACGCCGCAGTGAAACCGTAAGAAATAACAATAATCGCTCATATTGACGCTCCTCTGCAGTGGTTTTTTCTTTCTTATCTTTTCCATTGCTTGGGACGCGTTTTCTTTTTTTTACTATTTTTCTCATCCACAATTGGACAGAAAATCCCGTCTACATCGACCAATTCTCCAATCAGTCGACAATAATCCGCCTGGCTTCATTGACTTTTTATGCATCCAAACTAGCTAGTCTTTTCTTTTTCCCCTCACCTAGCGGGCTCCGGCTCTGAGGACCGGCAAGAAGGACCGCGGAGACGTTTCAAAAGTAACTTTACACCGTCTGTCTAATCTGTCCAACGGTTACATTCCGGCTGGGGACTTTGGCCCCAAGCTGACGAGGACGACCGTTGAAAAACCACGCGGAACTGTCAGGTTCGAACTTGAAACCGACGGCATGTGGCAGAAACCAGGTGTGCGGTGCTCTAGGTCCGTTTCGCTTGTATTATTATAGAAATTCTATCGAAGTAGATAGTTAGATACTGATCAGAAAGACACTTGGTGGGTGTTTAATAATATACATAAGAATCTCCATGAACGCCATCTGAGAGCCATCAAGACGGATCTCCGGTTGGAGATCGACTTGCCGTGGGATCATCGACAGGTACCAGGAACCGTTGACAAAAAAAGGCCCGAGTCGGCGCAATTGACATCCCACGACACCTCGGGACCCGATCTATGCCCGGCCCGTAACTATTACGTTGCGTTGCTGGTGTTCTTGACGATCTAACAGCTGTTAGGAGAGAGAGCTTTCATGAGTCAAAGCACCGAAGGCCGTGCAGACTCGCATCGAGATCAATTGAGATATCCGCAGCCAATGAGCCTATTGCAGTGACAGTATTCTATAGAGATCGGTATCGTGCCACGGCATGAAGCAAGGGATGAAGACATGGTTACGAGGTCAAAGCCCACATCGTGATGCTCTCTGTACTACTGTAGATACTACTAGATAGCTTAAATAACAATAATATTCTAGGTAGAAGAAGCTGGTCAGCATTAACGAACTGACTAACTAGTACTCTTCTCTTCACAACCAGACCGTCTCCGTCAACGGTAGATAATTACCTTTCATCCCGTCTTCATAGCAACTCGTCCAGCTCGTCCAGCTTATCTGATCCGACACTTACCCCGTCCGTCAAAGTCGGGCAAATCTCTAAGCCTCCACGAGAATAATACATAATAATAATCCACAAGAAAGAAAAGACCTTCCTTTCTGAGCAATTCGCTTTCTTTCATCTATCCCTCCGCCAGATCTTTTCTATTCCCGCGTAGATCTTTATCCACCGGTCGATCAATAAGTATTCTGGAGTGCAAACAATCCGATATCAACAACTGACTCATATGACCCCCCCCCTCCCAAATTCCATAGAATCAATATCCAGTCTAACGGATTGTGGATAATGGAGAGAAAGACGAAGCGACCGTGTGGAAAAAGAGGGGGGGCAATAATGGGCAGACGAAACCGCCCACAGTGGAGTTTCTGCGACGATGAAATCCGCCAAAAGCCGAGAAGCAAAGCTGAAAAATGATGAACAGGACCTAAACTCGACTAGAACGAGGGTGAACTAGTAGAGTAAAACCTAAACCTACTCCGTGGCTAGCTGGGCGTGATGGAAAATCATTTGAGAATCTTTTTAACTAGTAACAGGAGTAGTTAGCACAGGTGGAGCGATAGATTAAAAGACCACTTGATGATGATGATGATGATAGTAATCCCTTCTCCAGAAAAAGGAACATAACTTATACTATAGTTAACTAGACCGTAGATAGACCAATTTGGATCCATCCTCGAATCTCGGGTTTATTGAATTGGTAGCTAACTAACTAGATAATCGATAAGACGATAACGGCCAGCAAAAAAACTATCTACCTGATACACTCGCAGTTCCAGATGTCAATAGAACATCAACTCCCCCTGGCATTCTAGAGCTGTCGAGACTCGAAAGAGTCGAACCACCCTCCCCCCAACTTCACCCTGGTCAAAAACTTCCGGAATCTTTCTGTGGCACTGTGCTAACTGGTCGTCTGGGGAATCATATCGGAAAATTAAGCAGATCCTTGTAAGTAAAGTAACTTATACTCCGTACTCCCTGCTCTAATGATTACTTACTTTATGCTAAAATGATATGATCGTCTAGCAAGCAAAACAACCATGCATGATCTGATCCAATAGTAAGTGGACGATACATACCCAAATCAGTAAAATTAATCACACAAAACCCAATGATTGATTTTACTTATTTTATTTTATTTTATTTTATCCGGCCCCATACCCGCGCTCGCATGCGTGAGGCTGTACGGGGTAATATTAGTTAAACAGGGAATGGAGACCAGATCACCACCCTCTAACTCCAATCCCCGGATTCGGAGGATTTCTTTCTTTTTTTTTTCTTTCTGCTTACCGTTGTTCCATAAGTACCCTTGTCCGAATTTTCTGGATTTTCTACCAGTAGATATGGGGTAAATATTATTCTCCGCATAATAAACAATTACTCTTAACTAGTTGTTAGATATAATTCTGAAATCTGGGATAGATATTTGATAGTTACTAATAATTCATCCGAATCTTCAGACTGAATTCCTACCGTGCGTGGACTATTTAATATTTATCACTAAATAAATTATACTCTCGTCCGTTATCTACAGATCTTATCTCGTGTTATCCTAGGTATATTATCCGTAGTTATTTCATGCGGTTAGTTCCGGAATAGTTACAATGTAATATTAAATATTATAGTCCCGAGGACAGGTATATGTAACTAAATGCTGCATACTACACCTGCAACTGCAGGGGACGTATTCCTTTCCCTCCCATTCGTCCACTTACTCTACACTACATATTATCGAAGATAAACCCAGCTGCATCACATCGCATTGTAGCACACTACAGTAAAATATATGTAAGTCCCTAATCTGGAAAACACACCCATCCTATCCTATCTCGTTTTATTCTTACTATCGAAAGAACAAATGGATATTAACTCATCAACCACTCTAGATAACTAACTAGTTAGAGCCGGTTGAAAATAAGGCTGACGACAACAAAGAAGGAATGAGCGACTCCTTTCGGGTCCCTGGAACAGATGTTACATGCAGATCGGGATCAACAAGCCCTAAATACCGCTGCAGGCTGTAGTTTTGCGGCGTAGTTTGCGGCGTAGTATGTACATGTAGTATGTACAGTACTATCTACGAGTAGTCCGTACGGTGAGTCGGATAAGTTAGTTAGTCTAGGGGTGTGTGGACAAGCAAACTTATCAGGGATGTGCCACCTGCGTATGTTTGCTGGTTTGTGTTTGTTGGAATCTTATCTTTTTTTTTTCCTTCGCTTCTCAGGGGCTTTTTTGCTTTTTTTTTCCTGCTGAGATGAGCTGGGTTTTTGGGGCCGTTTGATATATGGATGAAGATTGCTTCTGTGTCGTGACACAAGCGGAAAAAAAGGAAAATAGACGGGGAATTGAAGTTCACTCCCATGGCATAAACCAGGGATGAATAGTTATAGGTTGTAAATGAGAAAATAGTAACCTATATAATATTGAGACGACAATCATAGTCTTTCAAATTGATGCATTTAGACAACCGCTGGACAAAATAATATAGTAATTTTCTGTTAGAATACACTGGAAATAAACCCCCAACCTATACAACCACCGACGCCTTCAAAAAGTCAGGGTATTCAAATGCGAAGCTATTTGTTGTGGCTTTCCTTAAAATGCTGCCTGGACAAGCTGGGATAGTTGAGAATGACAAGAAATAATTGATGATGGTAAACGACACCGAGAGAAAGAGAAGATTACGCTTATTCCTCATCGTCATCCTTCATTTCCGCATCCTCATTCTTGGCCCCCTCGTCGCCGGACTTTTCACCAAATAGGTCATCGTCATCATCTGCAGGTGCAGCAGCTTCAGCTTCCTCTTCTTCCTCGTCGTCATCGTCTTCGATCCGGCGTGTGATCTTCCGACGGCTTCGAACAACTCCCTCATCCTCATCACCAGCACCGCCCATCTGCTCATCGTGATCAGATTCAGCCGTACGAGCGTTGTCCACACCACCTTCTTCGCTGTCGGAATCCACGACGATTTCGCTGCTCTTGTACTTGGTATTCTCCTTGGCAGCAGACCTCCGCTCCAGTCGTCTGCGCTTCTTAGGTGCAGACTCGCCATCACTTGGAGGTTCTGTGCTTCTGCCACGGCGTGATGAGTCTCCATCGCTCTCAGCATCTTCGGCCTTCTTCTTGCGCTTGGAAGGCTTCCTCTTCGTCCTCTTGGTCTTGGTGCCGGTCTCCTCATCCGTCGTCAGTTCGGCTTCTTCCCTCGCGCGTTCTTCCTCAGCGCGTTGTTGAGCGAGTCGCGCGGCTTCTTCAACCATCCGTTGTCTTTCTTCTGCGATTTTCCTCTTCCTTTCCTCCTCAGCTTCTCGTGCTTTTCTGACTTCCTCTTCACGTCGCTTAATCTCGGCCTCACGAGCTTCGCGAGCCTGTTGAAGCTTGATAGCATTCTTTTCTTCGTATTCTTTCTGGCTCTGCAAGGCGCGCTCAAGCTGCTTACGGATCGTGTTACGACCCATGTTCGCGCGCTGTTCCAATGCTCCGCGAGGGTAAGGAGGATTCTTTGCCTTCGCAATGCGATCGAAAGCTTCGATGGCTTCATCCAGGCCTGCAGACGCCTCCTGCACATCCTGGACAGTTCTCTGGGTGTCTGGCAAGCCATAGACCAAAAGTGCAATCTGATTCTGGACGAACGCCACGTTGAATTCCAGATGGATTTGTTCCGGTGCGACCTCACGAGCACGCTGGGCGTAATCCAGCGCCGCCTTCATCGCAGATATGCTCTTCTCCTGCTTGCCCTTGAGGAACCAGACTCTTCCAAGACAGGCCAGAATTTGGGCATCTCGAGCTCGGTCCTTCGAGAGTGCCATTTCGTAGTTCTCGATAGACTTTGAGAACTGCCTCAGTTCCGCGTACACATGTCCCAAGTTCAGATAGACGCTGGGATCCTTGAGCGTATCACGGACCTTGGAAAAGATATGCACCGCCGTGCTGTAGTCCTTTCTGTCGTCAACAAGAGCGATGGCGATACCCTGAGCTGCGTAGGCATTCTTCGGATCAAGTTGCAGAGCCTTGTCGAAGAACTCGACAGCTCGCTCGTACATCTTTCTCCTCTTCTCCTTATCCTGATCGGTGTCGCGCCGCATGTCTCGGGCGGTAAGAAGGTGCACGTTGCCCATGCCAGTCAAGGAATATTTGTCATGCTTGTCGAAGTGCTGCAAAGTATGCTTGTAATGCCGTTGTTCGTGGTCTTCCGCGAGGTTTGCCACGCGTCTCTTCGACTTACTGAGATACCATCCGAACAGAGCACGCACTTCCAGGTCCGTGTTTTCTGTCTCATATAGCTTAGCCATCTTCTTGGGGCCTTCATCGGTAGGGCTCTGCCGCAAGGCGATGTATGTTAGTCTTGCGCTTGCCTCCGTGTAGTCTTTGTGCCTCTCCAGCAGACCCTCGTAGACCTTTTTCGCTTCGTCTGGCATATTGGCCGCTTCGTAAGTGCGCGCGAGATTGTAACTAATGGTCGTCACAAGGGCATCAGTGTCAAGTTCCTCATCCCGCTCCCGAGATTTCACGCAAGCATTCAATGCAGTCTGGAACATGTTCCTGGCCTGCTCGATCTTCTCGGACTGATAGAAGAAACAACCGATGTTGTTGAGAAGCTGGGGAGGCAGATTCTCCCGCAGAATAGCGTTCATGGTCTCCTCGTCCTCGACATCCTCTGGCCGATCCTCTTCAGGGATCTGCGCGAGCTGCATCTGCTCGAGTTGGGTGAGACACTGCATGCTCTTTTCTGGAGCAACGGTTTCATATAAGCGAGACAAATAGACCAGCACAGACTCATCGGGAGTGAGCTTCTTCTTTTCGTCTTTCCACATAGCTCGCACACCCTCGAAAAGACTGATAGCTTTCTTAGCCTCGGCGGATTTATCTTCTTTGGTACTGCTTCTCTGAGCTGCAAACACTTCCTCAGCTTGAAGTGCACCAAGCAGCATCATGCACTCCGGGTTCTTGGTCTGCTGGATGATCTTTTCCAGACGGAATTTGGCGCCATCGTAGTCTCGATTCTTCACTTGCATCTGCACCGTACCAAACTTTGCAGGAAGATAGCCCTGTTCCGAACCACCTCTGGCCTGATCGGATCGGTTATAGTACTCGGAAGCCTTTGAAGCATCGCCCTCATAGTGCTCCTTTCTCGCAAGCAGATACCATCCATCACTGGCAATGGACATAACATCGGTTCGCTCGATAGCCTTGCGCGCCAATGTCTCCACCGTCGGGTACGCCTTTCGCAGCAGGAAGTAGCTACCGAACAAGGCACAGGTCATCGGATATTCTTTGTCCAGCTTCAAAGCCTTCTGTGTATACTGGGTCATCGCTATCTTGTACAGCGACCCAAAGGCGGGATCCGTGGTGGCATGACGGGAACTGCTGTACAGGTAGTAGACAGCAAGGAGGACATTGGCGACTTTCGAGTCCGGATTCTATAAGATACGTTAGATATGTTTTTTCATATTGCATAAATGACAACATACCAGAGCTAGAGCTCTCTCCCAGGCCACTTTAGCCTGGTCCTTGAAGCCAAGCTGCCACAAGCAACTTCCAATACCGATTCTTGGGTCTGGATCAGTCAGACTGGGCATCTTCATCAACACCTTCTGGTATCCTTCCAGGGCCTCGGGGTATCTTCCAAGAAGATACAATGCCCTAGCCCTTCCAAGCAGGGCCATAACGTTCCTGCCCCCAAAAGCCTTAGACGACTCATCGAAAGACTTCAACGCCTGCCGCAACGACTCCACTCTCTCAGAAGTATCGACTGCTCCCGGACGAACGACCTTGGGCGGGCACAGAGAAGCACGCAACAGAGAGAGAACACCACGAGCAAGGAACAAGGGCGGGAACGCAGGATTGAGTCGCGAAGCCTCGTTCAGCGTTGACGTCGCAAGCTGCAGATAATGATCCTTCGTCTTGGCCTCCGAGTAAAGTCCACCGTCCGGCGCGACTCTAGGCGCCTGTCGACTCTTCAGCAGCAGCAGCCAACAAACCCACGCCAACAGCCCCAGCTTCTCCTTCGTGGCGCCATGGGAGACTGAAGCAAGTCCCTTGTTCAAGATATCAATCGCATGGTCGATCTGTTTCTGCTTCGCGTACGCGAGAGCTATAATCACCCAAAAGTTCTTCGCAGCCTTCTCATTTTCGAGCAGAGTGCACAGCTCCGTGGGATCATCTGGTAACTCTTCAAGACTGACTTCGACCTCGCTGTCGAACGTCGATGCGGGGATATCGATGGCAGAGGGGATGTCGGAGAAGCGGAAATTCGCAATAGAGGTGGGAGAGGTGAGATCCTCGCCATTCAGGCCATTCCCATAGCCATTCTGCAGAGGCGCCATGATGCCTCTGTCCGAAGACTAGAGTCGCGACAGGTCCGAGGTAGCTGGGCAGGTTTCACGACCTAACTCATGGTCGCCTGGCGACAATGAAAATTGACGTGACGGGCTCGTAGAGACAGCAAGAGCACCGTTCAAGATTGGTGTGCTACACCTGGAAGGATGATGAAGAGCAGAAAGAGCTTGCGAACTGTGTCTCTTGCGCGGACGAGGATTGAGGCTGGGACGTCGGCGCCGGTCGGGGCCACACCGCCACAGACGCCACAGCCCGCGTTTACAGCCTAGCTGACTCTTTTTTAGAGTAGGTTATTATAATTATTAAATGATCGATTGAGAAGTCAAAGCCCAAGGGTTGTTACAGCAAAATTGAAATAGATACTGTATATCTGTGACTCCTTTAGAAAACCCCCGCATGTTGCTCGTCAGTCGAATAAACAAATCGTGTGTCGTAGTCAAGCCTCGAGGCTCACTCCAAGAACGTCCCAGCTGCCACATTTATGAGCGTGACTCGGAAGCTCAAATAAACATAAGAACCCAGCATTTGGCTCTTTACGCTCCTCTAAACAGAAGCTTGGGTATTTTCAAGAGCAACGCAGCGCCCACAAGCACCGTGAATATATGTCCGACTTCAGACCAATGGCCCAATTTGACATCTGTCTCTACATATCCGTGAGCTGCAGCAGTTTTCTGGTCTTCGTCTGTCGAATGGCAGGAAATAGATCCTTCTAGCTCTGTTGGGAATTTGCCAGTCTCAAAGAACTCTTCAAGTAGCTCATCCTTCTCGGCCCAACGAGCCAAGAGCCAGGCTTCAAACTCTTTCTGGTCATCCAAAGGAATTTCGCTCACGGCGAATCGCCTCCAGTGCATGCAGACTGACTTAGGAGGGCGTCCCTGCAAGTAAGTCGAGCGTAAAGTCAGATACTTATCGGGGAGACTGTCTTTTCTGTTTCGTGCAAGGAATAATTAGCACCATTGAGACGGTATACTCAGAAGGCATTACTTACGGTGGTCCTTCATATCCTACAGTACAGTCATATACCCAATCAACCGTACCCCTCAGTTGTTGGAGGCAAAAGAAGAGCCCCGTGGTACGCGGCAGAAGAACGTGCTTGAACAGAGGCAGTCCGTTTTTTGCGCCATATTCCTCACTCCTTCTCTTCGTATTGGCGGATAGATTCGTCCCCTCCGGGAAGATGAGAAGCCACATAGGGTCGTAGGGCTGCGATCCAGACATCGGTCCTGAACACATTGTCTTCAGCTTCTCCAGACGGTGCTGCAGTCGAGGCTTGTCCGACTGCCATTTGCGGGCCATGAAAATGAAGCCATAAAACATCATGCCTTGTCCGATGACGGGGATATACTTGAGGGACTCCTTCAAGATGATAAAGATGTGACCGTGCATGCGATTCGTGTAGGCGAACCACCACAAGTAGAGCCAGTCGGTATATACTTGGTGATTGGCAATCAGGACGAGCCGCTCAGAGAACCCCGATTCCAACCTCCCGTCTTTAGCCACACTTAGCTCTCCTCTCACACTCTTATCCCCACTGACACGGACAAGTGTTGGACATCCCCACTCAGTCATGGCAGTAATCACCAAGCCAAAGCTCTGCTTCGTGATCGCCATGTAGTTATAGAACCATTTCTTGTTTATCAGGTACAACGGAGAGCCTAGTAACTGCGTAGCGACGATGGTGACAGCGCAACAATTAAACCAAGTGGCGAGCAGAAGCGTTCGCAAGAGTTGCATGGGAATGCCATGTTTCAACCGCTGCTCCGCTCCCTTGTCTTTTCTCAGGATCCCATTGGCGTGGTGTGTCTGATCCGGGGAAGAAGCAGCCTTGCGCAGTCGGATGTCGGACGCCTGCATCGTGGAAGGTAATGGCACTGTTAAATCTGTAAGAGGTTTCCGTCGTGGATATAGTTGTGTTAAAGACGCCAATGTCTTATCTTGTTCGGTCGGGGCTCAATCAAACAGCAGACAGCATAATCAGAGTACAGCAAGCGGTGTCTTCGGGAGATCCAACGATCGTTCACTTCGAAGAGACGACCGCGCCTGTTTTCGTTGTCATAGCATGAGCAGACAATATTGCCTGGCAAGGGATGTATTGAATATGCCTGTGATTCCGGCTGATGGCGAGTGTGGTTATGTTAGGGACAGATAGATGCACCAGCGAACAACGGCTTTCCCCGGAAAAGCACCAGGATCGCGTGGACAAGATTGATTACCATAATCATGCTTGGATCCCGGTGACGTCCTCGTGCACGGGCCATAAAGGCCTCGGCTCTGGGGGAAAGCGGTGTGGACAGCCCGATAAGGGTGATTTTGTTCTGCCGGCAGATCGATTGATTACGGGAGAATTCCAGCCTGCACGTGCCACGCTGATCGATCATCATACTCTGTGTCTGTCAACGTACAACAAAAGATAGTGAAGACAACAGCATTTGCACATTTACGTGTCTGCTCAATTACTAACCAGCCTGATTCTTGAAGATGCATTGTACGATCTAGCCAAAGTGCTAGGATTGGTTATACCACTTCTGCCGAGCAGAAGATCACGAATCGTGATCTGTCGGAAAATGGCACATGAAGAGACAGTATAGACTAGACGGTGAACTCGGAAGACGCTCATTTCTTGGTATCCCTTGATTGTCTGTGTATACAAAGTCATTTTGCTTACCTTTCCGCCGCCATGCACATGTCTTTCCGGCCTCGAGGTCACTGGCTGGGACGGACAGGCTGGGCACAATGGCACCGGCCGTTCTCTGCTTCATCATCATATCGAGAAATCAGAGACATCGAGACGCTTCCGCAACGGTATATTCCTAAATATCAAGGTACGTGCTGAAACTTAATGTCCTGTCAAGATCTTGTTGTTGGCCGTTGCTGATCCATGCGATGTTAGAATCGCGACAGAGCGATCTTCTATCTTTGAAATGGCCAGCCCCACCTAGAAATATACTGCTGGTGAAAAAGGACTCAGCTCCAGATGTGACTGAAGCCCTGATTGAATTAGTTAAGTACGGGGACCTCTTCCGCCACCTAACATGGCCTTCTATTAACCATGTATCCTAGTCATGTTGTGTCTACATACCCGTCAATTAGTATCATCCTGGAGCCAAAAACAGCTGCTGAAGTACACTCGTCTCTTTCGTTTCCCGTGTACTCCAGCAAGTCCAGTGGTGTGCTCTCCACTGCTGCACATGAAAAGGTGGACCTAGCCATTACTCTCGGAGGGGACGGGACCATTTTACGCGCATCGTCTCTCTTTGCCACATGTAAAGATGTTCCTCCCGTTCTCTCATTTAGTATGGGCACACTCGGGTTCCTCAGTGAATGGAAGTTCGCAGAGTATAAGCGAGCGTTCCGAGAGGTGTACATGTCCGGTGCTGGAGTCGGAGATCGCACTTCCATTCTGGATGATTCTCCTCCTCATCATCGTCATAAACCCACTATGGAGCAGACAGAAGCAGCGCTTGGTCCTACGGGATGGTCCTCCATCCGTGGCAAATCCATGGGCTCCTCTCGCGGCGCCCGTATTCTGATGCGAAATCGCCTCAAGGTCGGGCTCTATGCGCCTGACGGGAAGCCCGTGCGGCCTCATCGGGACGTGTTCCAGCCCGGAGCTGACGGTAGAACTGAGGGCGTCTATGCGATGAATGAGGTCCTGATTCACCGCGGTAAGGAGCCGCATTTAACCATCATCGACGTGTTTGTCGGTGGACGCTTCCTTACGGAAGCTGTGGCCGATGGCATGATCATCTCGACGCCTACAGGAAGTACGGCGTACAGTCTCAGTAGTGGAGGCAGCATCGTCCATCCGCTGGTGCCGTCTTTGCTGCTGACGCCCATCTGCCCCCGAAGCCTTAGTTTTCGGCCGTTGGTGTTACCTTCCAGCACTCCGGTTACCCTACGATTGAGCCAGAAGAACCGCGGACGCGAGGTCGAGGTAAGCATCGACGGCGTCAACATGCGCCACGGCATGGCTGTCGGGACGGAGGTCCGTGTCTGGGACGAGGAGATCCGACATGGGAAAAACGACTGGCGCGGCGGCGTGCCCTGTGTCATGAGAAGGACGCTCGGGGTTGGCGACGCAGACGACGGATGGGTCGGCGGCCTGAACGGATTGCTGAAATTCAACTACCCCTTTGGTGAAGAGCCATAGGGCCGACTCGCCCTATCTCAGCGGCGTAGACTCTGCAGCGCATGTCTAACAGAAGCTTATGACCTGTCTTCCTGCTCCGGACGAGCGTTTCAGTGAATATACCATGTTTCTTATTGCGAGCATATAAATCCTAGGCTAGCGACTAATATCGGGATTCGGTATATTATAATTACGGCATATGCGTTTCTACTACTATTTAGTTACGGAGTACGGACTTGGCCATGGGTAATATGGGAAGCTCTGTGTCCCGACTATATAGACCACTAACTGGGGAGCTCAAACAGCGTGGACTTGAGGGCGACAACTATCACTGAGGTATCTATTAGTCTCTCCAGCGACTGAATGTGATGATACTCCTTTTTCGCCAAGCAATTTGTATGATATACAGCGAACTTTGGGTTAGGGAAAAGGCAATAAACGCTAGAAAGTTCGGACGGATAGCCGACTCGCCTGTGAAATAATACTTAATAGATTGGTTACTAAGTGCCAACTAAGAATTGAGCTATAATGGCTATTCCTCCGAATACGAGTGCGTTGGTACCTTTTTAGGACCGTTGATTTTAGCTGCTGACATTAAATTAGCCCGTGTCACATCACTGTCACGAGCGCCAAACCGTCTTCTTCAACGTGAAACCTTCAGGGAAGTAAGTAGTGCCTGGCTGGATGACCACCAGCGAATTCCTACCACTAGGTATTCAAATTCTTTTTCATCTTTCTCCTTTTGTATGTTTATACCAGTCTATTTTTGTTGGCTCGAATCAATTCTCCATGTGCGGACAACTCAATCGCAGCCGCCCACTTATTCCTCTGTCCGCAGTTAAGTAACAGTCTATTGAAGTAGAACAGGAACACGGTCGAGACATTTCAAAATGCCCGATCCAGCATCTTTACCACCTGAACTATTCGGGATGATCCTGCACGAGGTCATACGCCAAAATCGCGACAATCATGGTTCTCCCGAGAAGAGGTTCGACCCGGCATTATTGCCACTTGAAATACCCAGCAAGGACCTAGATGCTGCAGTCCGGCGTCTGCCGGACGCTCGTTCTGAAGAAAGACAACTTTCGGACCTTTGCCGGGTTGGAAAGCAGTGGAGGGATCTGGTACAACCAACGTTGTACGAAACGTTCACATATCGCGGAGAAAGGCAATCCTTAAGAAATCTCTGGCTCTACCTCCGAACGATACTCAGTCGCCCGGAACTTGCTTCATGCGTGAAGCATCTAGAAATTCGCGCATGGGGCTGCTGGGTTATTCCGTCAGACGTGGAGAAGCCGGAGAATCAGCTAACTCTCTCGCAGGCCGAGAGAGTCGTGCTCAAGGCCGCCATTGGTGACGCTGGTTTTAATGAGAAAGATGAATTCAACATGTTCTGGGCAATTGAAAAGAATGCCGATCGGACCCCTTTAATGGCTATCTTGCTCACACGGCTGCCGAATGTGGAAAGCATTCAGGCTCACGTCCCGGCTTGGTGCTATTATCTCAGTGAGATCTTCAAAAAAGCCATTGAAAAAGAAGAGGGCACAACGAATCGCAGTCCCAGGTATCGAGCTTTTCAGAAATTATCACGAGCGGAATTCTTCTGTGAGGGCTATCACTGCAATGACACTGGTCACCCGTGGGAGAGATACTACGATCTTAATTTGGACTATCTATGGCCTGTGTTCTACCTGCCGCAACTGAAGGTATTGGGTCTCTACGATCTGAACCCGAGGGGCGCTGCAGCGATATTTGACAAAAATGCCCGACAGATATCGCCGGTGGTAGATTTGACGATTGTGCTCGATCATCCATTATCCGAAGAAAATGATGATCTTTGGACACTTCTTGATCTCCCGGAGACTCTCGACACGTTACGTCTCTCGGTGATGAAGACGTTGGAGACAGACCCTGTGACAACTTTGAAACGGAAACTGTGGCCGAGTTTAGATCGATTCAAAGACCAGCTGTTTCATCTCGATTTGCATGAGCACGTGAACGAGTTTTGGTGTCCGCCGCCGATAGGTGCGTTTGGTGAAGAGGAAGAAGAACAAGACGACTACGACGATGACGATGACGATAGTTACGATAGTTACCAAGAAGAAAAAGAAAAGGTGGAGAAAAAACCAGTTTACTGCTGTCCATTACGGTCATTTCTTTCTCTGAAACACCTTGCTGTTGTCCCAGATCTACTCCTTGGCGACCAGTACAAGCATCAAAAATTGACCACCGGTTATCTCCGGGCACATCTGCCCAACCGATTAACAAAACTCACCCTTTACAGGTCTTACTTCGCGAATTTTTTGTATCACGATTGGGACACTTCTCTCGAGGTTTACGTGCGTCGTCATGAAGACGAAGGTGGACCGATGGACATGATCCTAATTAATGAGAGATTCGTCGATAGCGAGGGTAGTTCGATGTTTACACCCTATGGGTCGTTTGAAAAGACTGAAAAGGCTTGCCAGGAGCAAGGAACCGTTTTCCAAACTAGCGCAGAGGCAGAACATGAACTTGAGAATGGTGGAAGATTAACCAAAGTATACACTGACGCCGAAAATATTCGTGGACATTTTGAATATATGACTACACTGCATCGGGATCCTAGGGCGTACAGCTGGAGCTCGACGGAACAAGGTTACGGTGCAATGACTTGGAGTACTATATGTATTTAGGGCGTCCGCCAGTCTTATCGAGAAAGAAGTTATCTGTGTTAGCTCAGAGATCATAATGTTTACAGTATTTAGTACATAGGTCTTATTCTGTGCTACGAAATGGATCCAAAAATCAAGGCCAACGAGCAGGCCAGGACAATATCGCAGATACGCCTTAGGCATTTCACTCTCGTCCATTAATCATTTCAACTCTTTGCCAAAAGTCTAGGTATAAGGGCTGCGGGTTCATGGAGCCAATAGAATCTATGACATACATCCTGTGTTGTATAACATGCAAGCCATCGTCGAAAATGTTCTTCAGTTATATACAACTTTGTGAAATGCTGTCACCTAGTATGGGTGGTCTAACATGAAAATGACCTGCGCTCCTAAGGGGGTACCTTTTTAGCAGAGCTGCAAAAGTTGTCAAATACGTATCAACTTTGTCCGACCATATCGAAGACCCGCATGATCAGAGAAGATAAGCCCCAACTAGGAATCAGCTTTTACCATTCCCATTCTTTTCAGCAAGCGAAGATGGTCACCCAGCGCAGCTAGATCGAGCTCTATATGTGATTCCAAACTCGATACACGTCCATTTGACAATATTGGCAATCTCTGGATAATATGGCTGATTAATCTGTTTGAAGGATTAGAATGTTCCTTTAATAACAAATAATATTTCGAAAGGCAGGAATCGAAACTGTTAAGGATTGAATAAGCTCACCTGTGGAAAGACGTGATGGACAACCTGATAGTTCACTGATCCAGTCTCCATGGCCGTAATCCTGGGCTGCTTCAATTTGTAGTTAAACCCAGTCTACCGGTGTAATATCGTGATCACTAGCTCGAACCCATAATACTTCCTCGACAACATTGTTTGATTCGAAGACGCAGGGGGCGATCCAGTAAGTAAGCAGCTCCGTACATGAATAAGTAATCAGGACTCTTTGGACGCTAGTGGACGAAAATACATCTTGAAGGAGAAGCATGACCAAGTTAACATCTCAACCGGAGGAGCTATCGTATGTTTTCGCGCCTCGAGCATAGTTTCTAGCTTAATATTGGGTTCTTATTATCAAAAACGACATATTTAGTAAAGTGATGATCTGGCTGCCCATCAAATTGATGACTAGAGGGCCCAATGAATATTGTATAGTATGAAAGGTTTCTCAAGCATGTCCCTAGTCCAAGTAATCACTCTGTAAATGATTCACTTTCAATCGTTGTGCGTCGAATTGAGTGTAAGAGTCACGCTGTGCCTGGGAAGGCACGTAGTTCTGTTGGACTTATAAGTCCGTAGTGGGTGCCGCGACGTTTCTCCTTCTCCTTCACCTTTCCCCTTCCCTCTCCGCAACAGCAGACACGTACGTGATGAACTAGATTTTTGTGTCCTTATTTTTATTGAAATGTCTGGTCTGTCACAACCAGAGCAGCTTCTTTTTTTATATTACACTAGTTCTTTTTGACCTTTGACTGGGTAGCAGATTCGATAACCATGTGACCTATCTGGAGCGAAGCTCGCTGAGCTTGAATTCTCTAGCAACTAGCTCGGCCTATATGTCTCTGTGGATAGAGCTAGAAGGCGTGGGAGAAACCCGACAGGAAGTCTGCCTGTAGGCAGGCTCCGACAAGTTATGAGGATCATTCTCAATCGAAACTGGCCAACCTGATTGAACTTCCTAATTTCAAGTTCTTAACTGAATTCTGTAAGTAAGCAGTGACCTTTGTTGCTATCAACGAGCTAGTATCGCTGACTGATAATTCAATATCTCATAGTCCTAACTTATGTGAGAATATCTTCATTGCAATCTTCGTGGTTCGAGAGACAAGCTTGGCTAATAATAGGACTTATTGAAGAACAGACTATCTGAGAGTGGAAGCTTATTCTACCTGTTCTGGAAGCGCACTGAAGACCAATTGACTAATTAATAGAAAGAAAGCTGAGAGTAGGTAAATCGTCCTGTAACTTACAAAATGCAGTCCGATGCTGACATATGTCTCGCTTGAACTTCAAGACAATGGGCAAGCTAGTCTAGCGATCTATGAGCAGTAGAGCCCTGCTAATATGAAGTCTACTTGCTTTGAAATAGCCAGAAAACAAGGTGGATAGAAACAAAGGAAGGGTCGATGGAAAACGCTAATAGTCCAAATTTATTGCTGTCATCAGAGTCGGAGCTCTCGTCATGTCAGTGTCCCTCGCCGTACTGAAAAGAACTCTGCTAATATACTTGTTTTATATAGTATCGGAACCGTAAGCAGCCAGAGTTCGGGTTCGAATGGATTAGTATTCACGCAATATAGTGCAGACTATGCCACCAGCAAGGCCACAAGAAAGAGAAGTACACCTTCAGGGCAGATGACGAGGTATATGATTCTTTACTTCAAAATACCTATATGGTGATTTGTACTTCCGTTGCTGACAGTTTAGTAGAGAACTGTACGTGATGAAACACTGAAGCTGTTACCATGTCAATTAGAGTATACTAATTTTGGCAAATTGTCGTTGGGACAGACGGAGGTTGAGTTTGTAAGCAAGGGTCTTACATTTGCCATGGAATTAATTAACAAAACATCGTTCTTCCAGGGAACGAAGAAAGTATGAAGCTCTACACAAAGATATCTCTTTAAATTGGGCAGCTAATAGGTTCGGAATGTAGTACTGGCAGAACGTGGCCCATGTAAGCATCCTTTGTACACATTAACTAGGTTATAACACTGACTAATATATAATCAAGGATTCCAAACAGCAGTGGAAGGTACTTCATACTGAGCTTGTTTCGCAAGTATTATTAGACTGATATGCTCTTCTCTGATAGGGCCTCGACTCTCTGATCCAGGTCAGTATTATCTTTATAAATAAGCTTAGACAAGGCTTATTATATTGTATTATTACAGCATATGATGGAGGAGAGAGATGTAAGAGGTCCTAAATGTATTCTTAAAGGTTAAACCAACTGACAATTGTCTGCAGGATGCTCATGAAAAATACCTGGTAGAATTTATCACTTCCGTTCGACTGTGCGTTAGATAATTACTAACGAAGCTACCATATAAACATAGAAAGCGGAAAAGAAGCTAAAGGTCAGCATACATGACAATTATACTTGTATATGGCCTTTCTGCTAATAATTGCTTAGGAACTAGAAAAGAAGGATGCAGTATGTTCTTTGGTAAGAATTCTGTATAACTCAACAAGGTTAACTTGAAATGATTTCATAGGGCGCGGCGGCTGCGACTGAGGAGGCGGCGGAGGAGGCGGCGGCGGACGACGTCGTTGCGGCGCTGGCTCTGATGTCTGGTGGTAGCGGGGGTATGTATTTATCTATGGGGTTTCTGTCTCACTTGTCTCATACTGACCTTTTGACTAGAAGCAAGTGGCAGAGGTATGTACATGCTCAACCACGCGAAAAGATACATGCCAGTCTAGTTCGGCTTACTGTGGACGATGTTAGCCTAGGGGCAACAAATGTGAGACCTACATACTCCCAATTAGTCCTGCTACTGAATTAGAAATCTAATGTTGTCCTCCAAGATCATATGTGTTGAAGCAAGATAGCAATCATCGTACGACGTGAAGTGAAAAGGCATTATACAAACAGTCACATAGATTTCTTTTCGACTTTCCTTTCCTTTTCCCCCGCTTCTTCTTCTTCTTCTTCTTCTTCTTCTTCTTCTTCTTCTTCTTCTTCTTCTTCTTCTTCTTCTTCTTCTTCTTCTTCTTCTTCTTCTTCTTCTTCTTTATCTTTATCTTCTTCTTCTTCTTCTTTATCTTTATCTTTATACATTTTAAATGAGCAGCAATGGAGCTTTTCTCGATGAAGATCATTTCTCCCTCCTCTTATTTCATGTCACGATTGTACATATGAGAGTAAGACTCTTCCAGCCGCCAGCCATCCAACAGTGGCCTACGTCTTAACTCGTTGTCCCAACGTTCGATGTGGCTTTTGCAGTTCAATGACAGCATCCGCCGTCCATGTCCTTGAAATCTGGCTAACTCATGGAGGAAGATATCTCTCCATCTGCCATCCAATCTGTCTGAAGAAAAGAACTTGCCGTCAGGCTGCGCTGGACGCCCCAAGGAAGGATCCCAGTATTTTCCATAATCTAGTCCAAGATACAACAATCGTTTGTAATCCCAAAGGCAAAGGCCCAGATAATCACAGAACCAAAGATCGCGTCTTTCAAGATTCAATATGCTAAAGCTAGGGAGACGACTCTCCCTCTCCCATACCGACCAATAGGAGTCTCTATACTCGGAGTTAGGCTTCTTCGTCCAGCTCGCTGCCTGGCCCCAGTAATAAGAGGGTGTGTCTTCTGAGGGCTTTGGGTCTTCGAACTTCCAACCAGCAGTCTCCTTGAAACTGAGTGCGAACTTGGACCGGGCTTTGGTAACCAATGCTTTCCGTTCCTGGCTGGATATGGCCGTAAAGAATTTCACTGGTTCGCAACCGAGAAATTCATAAACCGCTGCTGATATACAATTCATCTCTTCAACCCTGTGTGATATGATCTTGGCTTCTTCTCGTTCTTCTGCAATTATGCTTCCGCTGAGCTGCCGTATTCTTTTATTATATTGACGGAGGTCAGGATCTTGCACAGTAGCTTTAGAATGGATTGCTTCAATATTCCAGTACATAAATAATCGCCAGAGTGCTCGCTCAATGCGAAACCTTTCGACCCATGATGGGGACCACCAGGCGACGGGCTTGAAGAATACTCCAGGCCGGAACTGTTTCAATGTATGGACGTCACTGAAATTTCTTCCGTCCACGGGACTGACAAAAATGAGTTCATGAATATTTTGCAGAAGAGTGGTAAAACAGATATGTCGGAGATGCTCAATGCGATAAGCTGTCAGCAACACGTATCGCGGACCCGAGGTACCAGTTATGAAGTACAAGGACGGAGCAGCCTTGGTGAGTAGGTCTTTAGGCAGAGCGCCGTATTTAGTGACTGTTTCTGATAATCGACGTGGATTGAAGCCAATCCGGATGTCAAGCGAGCCTAAAAGAGAAATCATGCGAGCTAAAGGCTGAAAGTCTGGTATTGAGCGCTTGATGACCTTATCCAAAATGTGAGGAGCATCCATTTTAAATACCGCATTAGCTTGTGCTGATGCACATATGAATCTATAGAGCGATGGCAGATCCGGTACATTGCGAAGAATAATCAGCAATACTTCCGGAGGAAGATGGGCGAATGTATTATTGGCCATGTTCTCTGGCTCGTAGGAGCTGTCAGAATGCAATGGAGGGCGTGGATCTATCTGACTGTTGACACTTCTCGATGTGCGCGTCAAGTTTCTGTGTGAGAGTCGTGACTTGCTGTGTTAATAATGCAACTGCTGCAGTCAGATCGACGGTGCTGCTGTTTGCAGCTGATGTTGAGGCCATCGCGTCGTGATCCTTTGCTGCGTCGACTTCGTGATAGCGATTGAATCGATTGAACTTTGGACAGTCTAATAAATGGAGGGGAGGCTGTCAGAGGCTTAGACTCCCCGGATCAATCACTGTAGCTATGGTTTCTATCGAAGATCGCACCGTATAGATGTTGATTGAGATCTTGTTTGAGGACGCAATGGGCTCGTCAATTCGATTGGATTCCTGTAACCAGGCCTTGTCCCGACTCTACATGTTTAGAGATGAGGTGGCTAGTCACAATGAAATCAAATATTCACTGATTTCGGTGTTCAGTAATTTATGTGATGTCAATGAATAAAAAATTTGAAGGGTTCCTATGCCTGTTCCGCAATTATCAAGACGCGATGATGTCGACAATGGTCAACGTTCTAGTTATTCGTCCCCTCGAACGTTGCCTTGCCGGTTCCAAGGTTCAGGAATAGGTATGGGATCCCTTCCCACACAATAAAATATGACATTCTTAATTGAGTTGGTAAAATGGATGCCATAACTGCAGACACCAACACTCGGTGGTGAGATTGCTAGCCACGTTGTAGAGCATATACTCAATAATGAGTTAGCAATGTTGTCCTTGATTGCTGTCACCGTGCCCAATAATATATGCGCAACTAGATCCAGAGCAAATGAGTATTGGCAGGGTATTTTATAATCTTCGCCATATCACCAAGATATAGGAATTATGGCATTCTAGGATGTAGTCACGTAGCTTGTGTGGGAGTAAAGCGGCGATGTTCCCGTCCCACTCCCGTCTGGCTTTTACTGAGCTGCATTTTCGCCGACAAGTATAGATAGAGGGAGCGAGTTAGAGTACTAACACCGTCCTAGCCTTCTGTGCTCTCCGACCACTTACTTAGCTAACTAGCAACGCCAATTAGATAAACGAGCGGACCCTAAGCAGAATAGACGTTTCGAAGATACCATTCAGCGGACGAATCAGACCAGCTATAACGGCCGCTATGGCGCTTCCCGTTCGCCATGTAGCAAGTGGCCTATAGACGCTGCTTTTTTCGACGCGTTCCGTGTCGGAAGGGGGGAGCGAACTGAGCAAAAGGGAAAAAAGGGGGTTGTTCCCGAGAGCTTAACGAGTAAGCAAAGAATCCACGCTCACTCTAACTAACTACCATGGCTCTCCCTGAACAGCACCCTGAACCAGAGAACAATGGACGGTTCAGGAACCCGTCTCATCGCATCCCTTTTCTTGTTGGTGGACTCGGACTCGGGGACAATGGGCCGCTTGATAAGACGGAAACCTAACTATCCTATACTCCAGTTAACGCCATGTGTAGTCTACTCCGTACTAGGCGACTGATGGGGCGATGGATTCCGCCCGAGAACTAAGATAATAATAATGATTATTATGTATGTACTTAGTTGTGCTCTGTAGTTGTAATAATCTCTGTCCGGCGACTGAGGGACTGACTAGACTCGTGTCTTGAGAGAGCCGCCACCGTGTCCAGCGTTCGCAGTCAGCATGGCCATTCTTCTGTCTCTGAAGGGTTCAACTCACCTGGCAGTCTCAGTGATAATAAAGGCATGATAATAATAAGTAATCCCCGTCCAGTAGAAACAAACATTGTTCTTTCTCAGCCACGCCAAGATAATGATACCCCGCCACCCAACGGCTGTCCATCAGCTATTCACTGTAATAATTCACTGGTGGTGGTGGTTGGTGGTTTGCAGAGCCTCCATTCGGCTTCCCCCCCTCAAACCAACTTGGGGATCCGCGCAGGTGAAACTGCCGACACGCTGCCACTCCTCTCTCTCGTCTTCCTTACTTGCTTTCTTGTCTTTCTCCCTTTCGTCTTCGCTCACCCCGTTCGTTTTCTCTCTCTCCCACCACGCTGCTCGTGCGTGTCTGCGGTCTGTTCGTTTCCCAAGCCTGTACGTCTCAAGGCGTTCGAGTTGCCTTGAGGTACCTCGAGCGGTGCCCGCCCTGGGCTCGGAGTATCCTCAGATCGATACGAGGGACGCGCCCCCCCGATAACTAACCTGCGGGTATAAGCCAGGTAAGCGAAGCGCAAGCAGCCTCGACAGCATATCGCTCCCTGGGGCAGAAAGTGTTGTAGTTAGCTACATTTCCTGTCCTGGGGAAGCTTGCATTCACAGAGGACAGTGTTGTCTGGTTGCTATTGATGGATAACCCTGTCTATTGTTGTAGTCGATTCATTGAGCTCTTGTACTGATGCTGATCCTCACCCAGTGTTGCTTGCTTTCAGTCCGCTTCTCTTCTCTCCACTCCATCCTTCGATCGCAGAACGTTCCCACTACCGCGTTTCCCCTGACAGACAGAAAGAATCCTAGCCAGAGAGATCGCTGCTGCGGTCGTATTTCAGAATGGCGTCTGGAAAGTACGTTGAATGCTTCCCTTGTCGCAGCTTAATGTTTCTCCCCCACATTCAACTTCCCCGCCGAATTCGCCGAGGGCGGTGGTCGCTAGAGTCGCAATTGACCGCCCTTTCGTCCTGGTGGAGTCTACGGAGAAAATATAATATAATCAGTCTCAAGTCTCTTGCGTCCCGAGCTGATGGTCTGCCAGTTTCTATTCCCCCGGGCAGTTTATGAACCCGGGTCCTGCCCCTCGTCCTCCGACAGAGCGCCCGCCCCTGAGTGTGAACCCTAGCATGTCGAGCGTGTCGACCTCGTTCAGTCAGATGAGCATGAATTCACCAAGCACTCCGTCGCTTTCGATCTTCCCCAATACCAGCAGTATGTCTGTTGGCACCAACAAATCCAATCAGTCTGGCTCAGGAGGTTTCGCCGTCATCAAGGAAGGATATGTCAGGTGCAAGGAGGACAAGTTCCTGGCCAGCTGGAACCAGCGCTACCTGGTCCTGCGCGAATTCCGTCTGGATTTCCTCAAGAGTGAGACTGGAAAGGTCGTCCTGTCAATTCAGCTGTCCACCGTGACGGGAGTGACCCGCTCGGAAGACAGCAAGATGGCGTTTGAAATTACTCGTCTCGCTAATCCTAAGGACGTGTCCTCAAAATCGGGACTGATGACACGCGATGTGCCCACCAAGACGATTACATGTGAAGTGAAGAATGATGACGAGATCTACGACTGGATTGACAAGATCTACGAACGCTGCCCCGGAATGGGAGGAGTCAGTAATCCCACGAACTTCAGTCACCGTGTCCATGTCGGTTTCGATCCGCAGACAGGTGCTTTCGTGGGCCTTCCGTCTGAATGGGAGAAATTGTTGACTGCATCTGCCATTACAAAGGAGGACTACAAGAAGAACCCTCAGGCCGTCATCGAGGTCTTGGAATTCTACTCGGACATCAAGATGCGCGAACAGAACCCGCAGTACTTCCAGAACGGTGCAGCCACCCCTGGCTCCGGCTCTCAGTCGATGCAGAGTGTGGGCAGTTCCATTGCGCCTCCCCGGCCGCCGCCACCAGGGCCTTTGCAACGTCTGGACACTTCCTCATCTGGAAGACTGGGCAGTGTTTCGAGTGCTTCGTCACCTCAGTCCCAGCGACGGCCCTCCGAGGCTGATCAGGAATACCGCCGTCGGGCAGAAGAGGAGGCGCGCCGACGCGAGCAGGAGCGTCTTGAACAGGAGGAATACAATGCATCTCTTCCCAAGACTCGTGTTCCCCTGGCCAAGCAGGAGCTTGGTGGCTACGGCGCGTCGGATAGCGATCCCAGCATGAACAACAGATACAACCCGAGCCGTCCAGCTCCTCAGGCGCCTGGGTCTGCTGCTCGACAGCAACCCCCGAGACAGATGACTGCTCAGCGTCCTGCACCGTCTCCGCCGACTGCTCAAAACAATGGACAGAGACCGGCCAATGGTCAAGCAGCGCCGCATCCTCTGCAGTCAAATGAGCGCCAACCTTCTCCCAACCCGGCCACCCGCGCGCAGAATGGCGTCAAGCCTCAGGGTCAAGGCCCGCCTCCCACGAAACTGCCGACTCCGGTGCAGGCTGTGAAGCCATTGAACATTGCCAATAAGCAGAATGCGAACAAGAACGCTGTTCCCGATGGTGTCCGACAGGCAGAGGCTGCATTGTCGAAGAAGGCGGAGCCGAGCAAGAAGGAGGTCCGCATGTCGAACATGACCGAGAACGAGGTCATGGAGAGACTCAAGGCAGTTGTCTCCAAGGAGAACCCCACCGAGTCATACAGTAAGCAGCGGAAGATCGGACAAGGTGCCTCTGGTTCCGTGTACGTTGCTCGTATCAAGGAGAACGCAACCTCGCCCGTGGCGCGTGAGATGTACCGCACCTATGGTCCTCGAGGCCAGGTTGCTATCAAACAGATGGATCTCCGTAGCCAGCCACGCAAGGAATTGATTGTCAACGAGATTATCGTCATGAAGGACAGCCAGCACCCCAACATTGTCAACTTCCTTGACTCGTTCTTGCAGGAGCAGAACAACGAACTCTGGGTGGTGATGGAGTTCATGGAGGGTGGTGCTTTGACAGACGTTATCGACAACAACCCTGTTATCCAGGAGGACCAAATCGCCACGATCTGTTTAGAGGTATGCTTCCCAGCAGGTATTTGACATATTGGCTATTCGCTGACTTTATTTTTCGTTTAGACTTGCAAGGGTCTGGCCCACCTGCACAGTCAGAACATCATTCACCGTGATATCAAGAGTGACAACGTCCTCCTTGACCGTGTTGGAAATGTCAAGATTAGTGAGTTTCGATCCGATGTTTGTATGAAAGGTCATAGCTAATGGAGTTCTTCCCTTTTCAGCTGATTTCGGTTTCTGCGCCAAGTTGACCGAGTCAAAGAGCAAGCGTGCCACCATGGTCGGCACACCATACTGGATGGCCCCTGAAGTCGTCAAGCAGAAGGAGTATGGTCCCAAGGTCGACTGCTGGTCGCTCGGTATCATGGCGATCGAGATGATCGAGTCTGAGCCACCGTACCTCAACGAGGAGCCTCTGAAGGCGCTGTATCTCATTGCCACCAACGGCACCCCACGACTGAAGAAGCCGGAGAAGCTTAGCAAGGAGCTCAAGTCCTTCTTGAGCGTTTGCCTGTGCGTCGACGTGCGCAGCCGTGCCACTGCTGACGAACTGCTTGCGCATGAGTTCCTGAAGATGGGCTGCAGTTTGGCCAGCCTGGCTGAACTGCTCCGCTGGAAGAAGAACAGCGGACAGTAAATATAGACGGTGGTGGGCCTGTGACAGACTTCGGACAACAGTGCTTGCTCATCGGATATGTTTGCCTGTCTGCAGAACTTGACCACTTCCACGCGTCGAGTCTCAAATTTTCGACTTGATCTTCATATACATATTGGACTCCGATCTCATCCGCCTCATCTTCTCGGGCCCTCAACTTTTTTTTCCCTCTCTCCTTTACGACTTGCGTTTGATAAAAGACTTCTGGCATGATATCCAAACTACAATTTGTCTTCTGAAAACTACAAATTTGGCGTGGACAGTTCGGCGTCTTGATTTGGTTCGCATGGGATCTTGTTCTCTTTCGCTCCTTTTCGTTCGCCATTCCTCCTTCTTTCTCTAGCCGTGTTGGTGGATTACCATGTCTGGTTGATGTGGATCTAAATCATCAAAACCCCCTTCCCTACACTGCACAGCTAGAAGTCCTTGTCTCGATTTGAGATCGCAGTGAAGATGCGATGCGATGCGATGCGATGCGATCTATCCTCCACGAAAGATGACGTCCGGTCGCCATGAATAATATGTCCTTCGTCACATCACACGATATCCCTGATTGCACTTATACCACCTCCCCTCCCCCTTTCCTCGACGCCCCCCTCTCATGTCACCGACGCCTTTTGACGAGACGAGTTGACGATGAAATATTGGTTCATGGAAAGCAAGCGGAACCGTCACATAGACCAATAATACCTTTTCGTATTCATTTTTTTTGTGTTCTTTTCAAGTGGTCATTCGTATTGTAAATTAAATAATCTTAGTAGATCAACAATGCAGATCTCAACCATGACAATCCATATAAAGTACAATTAGTACTATGAAATAGCCTACTTATCGGCATGTTAACCACAACAGAGCCAAAGCAACACTCTTTTGAGCAACATGGAAACCTACTATCTATTCTATTAACTACCCCAGCCCAAGTTTATGCATGTGTACAAACCCTTTCGATTCAGAATGGATAGGATAGGATACATCGCAATCTTTCCAAAAAATTAATTCAATATTAATTAATCCTTTCTTTTTTCTTTTCTCTATTTTTCATCTTTCTCATTTCAGACATTAGTTATCTAGTTAACAGATGCAGATACAACGACACAACACAAGACATACATACATCGAAAGAATCCAAAAGAATCCAAAAAATAAAAAAAATAAAAAATAATACCTCAATGCTTAATTTATTATCATTGAAATATGATAATCATCATCATCTCGCAATCGCACCACCGATTATCTCACCGATCTGACTGAAGAACACACCCTTGAGAACAGCCTCTCCTTCTTCAATGGCCCAGTGGCCCGCTTCGATGAGGCGTTTCTTCCATTTCTCACGTTCCTCTTCGTGGAGGTCTTCCCATTTCCGAGCTGTTTCTTGCTGGATGAGCGCTTCGGCGCCCTGGGCGGTATATGCGGAGATGGCGGTTCCTTCGTCCCGGACGAAGATGGCGGGGGGTTGGGGGGCCGTGTCGGAGGCGAGGTCGATTGCTCCGGCGGCGCGGCGTGCGGAGAGGAGCTTGCGAAGGGATTCGTCTTGGACTTTGATCTGGGGGATGGGGGAAGGGGGAGTAATGTCTGGTACTACGCGGCCGGGGATGTGGTGATCGAACATGTAGGGACGAGCGATCCATGCGCGCACGCGGGGAGAGAGCCAGTCTGTAGCGCCCAGATAGGGAGGAGTGCCGCCGCGGATTTCGGTGAAGGCTTGCAGGAGGAAGCAGGCAAGGACGACGACGAGGAGGGCGATGAAGCTGCTGAAGATGGTGTCCCAAGTCTCCGGGTGGCCGGGCTTGACGAGGAGATAGCGGGGAGTGCGGGATGGAGGTGGCCATGGAATCAGAGGGAATGTGTGGACGACGACGGTATTGCCCATGCTGACGGAGGCCAGCTTGAGATATTGAGGACCGACAGCCGCCGTGACTGGGTGGGCAGGAGGGGTGAACGTCGAGAAGCAGAGCTTGGTCATGGAGAATGGATGGACATCCCGTAGAGTGGTGTATGGCCGTGGTGCACTGTAGCCCTTTTTCGGGCTGTAATCGAGAGTATAGACCCCAATCGACTGATCGCTACCGGACACAGCCAGAACGTACTGGCGTTCTTTTGTCTCGTTTTCTCCCAGATTGGATACATCGAGCCCCAATCCGATCTTCATCGACCTGGGCAGCTTCCGACGGCGGATGACAGTCGCCTGGGCAGGCCCAGAAGGAGGTATAGACAACACCGCCAGCTCACATCCAGATCGATTCGGGGCGTTCTGAAGCACCAGCACAGCCCACGGAGAGAGGAGGCGCAAGGCACGCAATTTCGGCCTCGTCTTGGTTTTCGGCATGGTATAGACGGACCGTATCTCTGGTGAAGTATTCGACTTGCTCTTGGACGAGATATCGAATATGGAGACCTGGACGCCATCGGTATACGCAACTCGGAAGTTGCCGTCCTCCAAATCAATGATATCAAGATCCTCTGCTTCCTCCCCAGCGCCCAGTTGTATCCGGGCTAGAATGTCCGACTCGCTCGGCGTCGTAGTCACATTAAACAGCACAATCTCCCCGGAGGGTGCCAGTCCCGTCGCGACGGCCCCAATGCGCGGAGCATCTGGTCCCCTCCACGGCGACAGCCTCAAGATCCGCTGATACGTATCGATCTTCTGGCCCTTGGCGGGCTTTGTAGTTGGATTCCTGAACAACGACGCTCGCGACAATGGCACCGTCTTCTGCTGCTTAGAGACCGTGCTGGCCGACGTCGTCTCCTTCTCTACCTCTCCTTCTGCATTTGCTTCCGGCCCCGTCACCGCTGCTGTACTCTTCCTGGGAGGATACGCGACCCGAAACGATCGTAAATGCTGATTATTCCCCTCTAGCTGCTCCTTCTGGGAGCTATTGATCCCCGCGAACGCAACGACCGACTCATCGTCCGCATGCGCAGCCGCCAGAGAAGTAACCGAGTCCTCGTCGCGCGAAAGCTCAATGTCCACGACTTCTGCGATCTCATTGCGTTTGGAGGTATCGAGGAGAGCCTATTTCGTCCCATGGCCTGTTAGTCCAACGATGCTTGAATTGTTTGCGTCATCGAGAAAGATGAGAGACATAGAAAGGAAGAAAACAAAACAAAGAAAGGGTCGAGACTTGCGATCTTGTTGCCAACACCACTGCGACCTTCTCCTCCGCCACCACCGACTAGCAGGAAGCCATTATTTCGCGGGTCGAAGTCGGCTGCGAACAGCGGACATGAGAGGGTGATCTTCGCGGAGGCGATGTTCGGCGCCATGTGGCCGCAGGGCAGTTGTTGGTCACAGTCACGGATGGAAGGAACTGAGAGAAACAGTTGAAAAGGAAGTAATCAACCAGGAGTGAAAAGGAAAAGAGGAGGTATCCAGGAGATCTCCAGAGAAGAAAGACATCAATGGAGAGAGAAGATGATGCCAGTTGGAAGTCACGCCGAAACTCTGGCTGGACCGCGGATGCTCTCAGACTCTTGGCGCTCTTCCGATGAAGTATACAACACACAACATCTAGACGTTTAATGTCTACAGTCTAGCATTGCAGTCGAGAGACTGATCGGAAATGAATGATCGACTCATTGCTCTGCACCGGTCATGACAATTGGTGCTTTTGCATTCCGCTCGTTCTACGTACAACACGTATACACTACTCTAGACACCCGGAGAAAAGACAACGTCCACAGGTAATCGGAGCCCTCCATGCAGAAACCTTTCTAGAAGGGTAAGAACGAAAATAAAAGAAAATAGATAATAGATAGCTATATCAGGATCCAGCAGCTTTTTTTTATTCTGTAAACGGCACCCAAGTCCCCTTTTACTCAGCCTCCTGTCCGGTGAACTCGGGCAGGCGTTTCCGAATATCCTCCCAAGTCTCGTCACCGTCGACGAGCGACTTAACGGCCTGCAGGATCTCGTCCTCGCTGGCGCGCACCTGCTTCGTAGTGTCGCGGTCACGGAGGGTGTATGTCTGGTCCTTGACGGACTGGAAGTCAACCGTGATGCCGAGAGGAGTACCCAGCTCGTCGTTACGGGCATAACGCTTGCCAATGCTGGCGGAGGAGTCATCCACGCGGTTGGAGATTCCAGCACGGCGCAGCTTGGAGGTCAAGCGCTGAAGCAGAGGCCGGAAAGAGGCGTGGTTCGACAACGGCACAAGCAGCACCTTGGTGGGCGCAATCACCGGCGGGAAGGACAGAACCTGATGCAGCATTAGTATATGATGAACATACAAGAATTATTTGAGAGAAAAAGAAAAAAAGAGAAAAGAAACTTACACCACGGGCCTCGTCGTCGGGTCTGGACCAGTACACGTGTTCGATCAAACTGTACAGGATACGACCGATACCGAACGACGGCTCGATGACATTGGGAGTGTACTCCCGGATGTGCTCCACGCGCTCGCGCTTCTCGATGGCAACGAGTTCCTTGTCAAGCTCGACCTTGCCATTGCCGACACCCTCGACGTCCACCTCGATCTTGCCGTTCTGCTGGAGGTCCAGGGCCAGCTTCTCGCGCAGCTCCTGGGAGAGCGCCTCGACGGCGGCCTCGACGGTCTTGCTGTCCTTCTTGAAGCGGGGACCGAACTTCTTCTTGTCCAGGTTGACCTGCCATTCCTCGATGCGGAGAGGCTCGGGGCGGGTCTCGCGCACGACGAGAGGGGCACCGGTCTTGTTTTTGTGCACCGTCAGATCGTAGGCGCTGCGGTCCGCACAGCCAACGCACTCGATCCAACCGTAGCTGGTGTGCAATTCAGCATCCCAGCAGTCGGCCGCGTAGTGAGCCATCTCGTTGGCCATGTGCTGACGGAACCGGAGCTTGCTCTTGTCGATACCGATCTTCAGCAGGAACTGCTGGATACGGGCGAGGAAGTAACCCAGGGTCTCGTTGTCCACCAGTCCGATCTCGACCGCCTTGCCGATGGTCATCTGCTCGGTCTTGGTGCTGCCGGACAGCTGGACGTCGCGGTTGAGCAGCGACAGCTCGGTGTCCTTGACCTCCTCGAAACGGGGGTGCTTCTTGCCACCCTCGGGGTCGACAAAGTGCTCGATCTCCGCCATCAGGAACTCACGCACGCGCAGCAGACCCGCGCGAGGCGAGATCTCGTTACGGAAGGACTTGCCAATGGAGGCGGAGGCAAACGGCATCTGCTGCTGGTTGAACTCGAGCAGCTTCTGGAAGGTGAGGAACTGACCCTGCGCCGTCTCCGGTCTGAGATAACCGGGCATGTTGCTGCTGGGACCGATCGAGGTCTGGAACATCAGGTTGAAGGCGACGGGCGGCAGCAGAGGGCCGTCCGTCTTGGGGTTCCGGATGTCGTACTTGGTGATCAGCTGGCCGAGCTCGTCGCCGTCGTAGTTGTCGATCTTGGCCAGGACCTCCTCGTACTCGGCGACGACTGCATCGTCCAGCTTGACCACCTTGGTCTCCTTGACCTTCTTCTTCTTCTTGGCCTCCTTCTCCTCGTCGACCACGACCTTCTGGCCACGAGCCTCCTTGTCGCCCTTGAGACGCGACTCCAGCACCTCCTCGACCAGGTGGTCTGCACGGAAGATCTCCCCGGTCTTGGGGTCCTTGCACATCCAGTCGGCGAACTTGTCGACGTGACCACTGGTCTTGAGGACCTCATGCGGGGTCAGCATCGTGGTGTCGACCTCCAGCATGTCCTCCTCCAGCACGAAGTGTTTCCTCCACAGGTCGACGATGTTCGCCTGCAGAGAGCAGCCGGGGGGACCATAGTCGTACAGACCGGACACACCACCGTAGATCTCGAAGGAGGGAGTGAAAAACAGGCGGCGACGGACGAGCGACTCGAGACTGGACCGGTCGACGGTCTGACCGGTCTTGGTGGTGAGCGTAGCCATGGTGGAATCGACCTTGACGGCCTTTGCGCGGAAAGCGGCGTGTGTGGAGGAAAAGGCTCTGGCGGGGTTGAGTTTGTGGTTGCGCTGGCGGAGGAGGCGAAAGACAACGGACCGATTCATCCACGGTCCAGGGCAGAAGAATGGGAGGGAGAGAGAGAGAGAAAGATGGAAAGATAGAAAGATAGAGTCAAGAGGGGTAGTTATTTTAGTTATTTAAACGTGGAGGAGAAAGAACCAGATATCTCCCTCGGACAGGAAATTAAATCAATAATCAATCAATCAATCAATTTAAGTAAGTAAGTAATTAATTAATTAATTACTTCCCCAGACAAGATCATTCGCATATAATTTCCTTAGATTGATTAATTAATTAATTAATTATTATTATTGCTCATTCTTTCTCTTCGATCTGATTTGATTCCGTTTCGGCCAAACATTTCGCCGTCTGCCTTTTCCCCATTTTTATTTTATTTTATTCTTCTCTCCGTTAGATAAAAAGATATCAAATCACTGCGAAAGCTGCTTCTTTGATTCATTCGATATTGATTCATTTATATTATATTTATTCCCTTTCGCACATTCTCTAATACCATCGAAGGAGAGACAAAAAAAAGAACACAAAAATGCCCAAAAAAACCAGCTCCAAAGCGCCCCCCAATTCCAGCACAGACTACAAACCCGCCAACAAGCTCCGTCGACAACTCTTGCACGTCAAGCGCAAGCGCGCCAAAGATGAAGCGCGTCGCAAGCACCGATTCGCAATCAAAAAGGAAGAGGCCAAGGATCCCAGCCTGCGCGCGGAGCGACTACGGAAGAATATCCCCTTGACCCTCGAGCGGAAACGAGTATGGGATGACGCCGGTAGCGATGTTGAGGAGGGAGGATTGGGGCTCAGTGTCGATGTGGAGCGCATCAAGAGGCAGCGGAAGGAGGAGGAGGAGGAATTGAATCGGCCGTTGTCGAAGGAGGAACAGTCGGAGGAGGAGGAGGAGGATGATGATCAGGATGAAGTCGACAGTATGATCGCGACGAGCGATGATGATGATGACGAAGAGGACGACAAAGATGAAGATGATAATGAAGACTCAAAATCAAAAGATCGCGGCCGTCGCAAATCTTCCATCCCAACAGCCACCGAACGAGCAACCAGTCCGAGTCAATCGACGCGAAGCACGAATCTCAATCTCGCCCCAGAAGCCCTGGCCGCCAAATTCCCATCTCTCTTCTCCAACGAGATTCCCCCGACGCCCAAGATCCTCATCACCACCTCCATCCATTCGACTCTCCATCACGAAGCCGAACTCCTCACCAGTCTGTTCCCCAACAGCGTCTACATCCGCCGCACCGCCCACCACCACTCCTACAAGTTCTCCCTGCGCGAAATCTGCTCCTTCGCCTCGAACCGGAACTACACGGCCGTCGTCGTCCTGCAAGAGGACCAGAAGCGTCCGTCCGGACTCACCATCGTCCATCTGCCCCACGGACCAATGTTCACCTTCTCCATCAGGAATTGGGTCGAGGGAAAGAAACTCCCCGGCCACGGAAACCCAACCGACCATTGGCCCGAATTGATCCTCAACAACTTCCGCACACCCCTCGGTATCCTGACGGCCCATCTCTTCCGCACGCTGTTCCCGCCCCAGCCGGAATTCCAGGGCCGACAGGTCGTCACCTTGGCGAATCAGCGCGACTACATCTTCGTCCGTCGACACCGCTACGTCTTCCGCGAGAAGCGCGAGACAGAAAAGGCCGTCGTGGGCGCCGATGGCGAGCAGATGAAAGGCGCAGAGGGCATCCGAGTCGGTCTGCAGGAGCTAGGTCCGCGATTCACCCTCAAGCTCCGACGTGTCGATAAGGGGATCCAACGAGCCAGTGGACAGGAATGGGAATGGAAGGGAAGAATGGAGAAGACGAGGACGAAGTTCCAGCTATAGTCCTACGCAGTCTTTCTCCTCTAGTCATCGTTCTCCACCCTTTCATGGGCCTTCTCCATTCGGATCATTCCATCTCCTGTGAATATCGACCATTTCCCTTTTCCTTCTTGTACTCTCTAGCATCGGTTCTGGCGGGAGTTCTCTGGGTGTTTTATCCACATATCATACCTATTGTGGTTCACATGAGGCAGCAGTGTATATTTTTAATATATCTTTCCTCCTTCAAAAAGTTCTCCCTGATAGACATAAGTAACTACTTTCAAGAAATGATATGATCCATAATGTATCTAACTTGCTCGAACAAAAGAATGAATGAGATAAGAACCAAATAGAGAGCAAATAAAAACCAAGTCTGTATATATATATATATATATAATCTTCTAATGTTTTATCTTTTCCCTCCTTTCCTTCTAGTTCATGCAACCTGGGTGTAACCAAAAGGAAAATAATGTCTAATCTAGACCTAGTTATGATATGGTATGGTATGGCAAACCAAGCAGGAAAGAAAAAAAAGAATAATAACCAATCGATCAATATACCGGTACGCGAGTCCCGATATAGATCAAAAAATTTTAACGTGAGAAAAAGAATGCTATGTACAGTAGATAGATAGATGAAAGTGGATCTAGGGGTAAGTTAATGCAGAGTTGAATCAATCACTGCGCTTAGTATTGGTAGTTGTTTGCATTTCAGGACGGAGGGCGATACGGGATATCGAAGTTAATTCAGACGTCTATCTCGCCTTTCTATCACTTTGTTTTTCTTGATGGGTGGTGGTGTTGTATGGTTATTGTAGCATGATGCGTTGAAAGGACGGACTAGAATGTCTTTTTTTTTTGCCTCCGCATCGTCATGTATGCCTGGTGATGATGATGATGATGATGATGATGATGATGTCTTGTTGGGAAGACATCTCGTCGTAATTTTTTCTTCTTCTTTTTTTTTTTCAAGTATGAATCTCTCAGATGGACCCTTCGTGGTATTTCCTCTGTTGCTGCAGCTGGCAACTGCAGAATGCTGACCTCTCTCCAACCATCTCACCTCTCACCCCTCTTCCTCTCACGCATCCGCAACCGCGCCAAAGCCTCCTCCAACATCTCGTCATCTGTCCGACCCCTTCTGATATCATGGGCGAAAGGCCTTCTCCCAGTCAAGATTCGTACTTGCGCCGTCATCCCCGTTGCTTTCACCAATTCGCCCTTGACCTTATCGCATAACGCCCTCACTTCCTCCGCAGTCCAGTTGCCGGTATCGGTTAACTGTCGTAGACTCCATGCCTCTAGCCCTTCCAAGATTGAAATCAATGCCATCTTCCCCAGAGTCTTTTGTCGGGGATCTTCCGGCCATACACCCACTGGGATCGTGATCTCGGTGCTGCGAACGGCCGTGAAGCCAATCGACGTCAGGAGGTTTGGGCGTAAATGGTCCTGGTTACGGGGAAAACCCGTCCTCTCGGCGGCCGATTGCATGGCGGCGACGAGGATACTGAAATAGGAGTTGCGAATGTCTGGGAAATTGATCACGCCTGCTGCGGTATCGGCATCGATCACTTCGATGTAGCCGCCTGGTTTGAGATGGTTGAAAGCCTGTCGGTAGACTGAGCCCCAGTCACGGAAAGCTCCTGATAGACTTCGTAGATGGATTAGATCGAATGGTTCGTGATACGTCCATTCGGCTTCGGTGTCGTCTAGTTGGAAAGATACATTGGGTAGGCCCAGACTACTGGGACCGATATCAAAGACGCTGATATCAGTAGCGACGATTTCCGCGTCAGGATATCGTTCACCCATCTCGACGGCCCAGTCTCCGGGGCCTGTACCGATATCCAGGATACGAGCCCGGCCCCGGGGTACAGGGACCCTCGTTAGCTCGCCATCGAGAACGATCAGGTAGACTTGATGAGCGATGTTTAACCGGGTCTGCTCGGCTTCATCATTCGGCATGAAGTAGGTGTCGTTACAATACCTCCGGCCGTTTTCATATACATCTTCGATAGTGTCTTTGTGGCATGACCTGGTTGATCTTCTGTTGCAATCAGTTGCCGGCCAATTTGAGAGACCATGGATCTCACGATTATTATTTATCAGGTGTGGGTAGCCAACATGGAAGTCGAGTCTTCGTCGGATTCTGATTCAGATATCGAAGAGGATTCAAGTGTGGTTTCCTCCTCCTCCTCTAGAGCCAATAATTCTCCTTCTTCTCCGTCGCTTTCCGCTTCGATTTCGATAACAGGGCCATCATCTTCCCTGACCTCGTATTCCCTGGGCCGAAGATTGTCTCCGGACATGACATGACTGTTCTATCAGGAAGAACGGGGGAGTCACGCGCGGCTGGACGCACCGAAAAGGGATACGTTCGGAAGAGCAGCGACGAGTTCACTCCCCTGCGGGGCGTGCCCTTACTCCAAAGCCAGAGGAAAGCCTGGCAGTTTCGTGTGTGGCCAGTGAACCCGTAGCAAAGTGTTAGGGACGGTAGAAACTAGTACGAGGAAAAGGGACGACAGGGAGGGGGCAATGGCAGAGATTCGTGCTTTTGGGCAATCGACAAGATGGTGGGAGGAACCAGAGAAGCAAGGCGATTCACTACTTTGCTTCAGAAAGGCAGCAAGTTTAGCTATGAGGCGGCGTTAATAATAACAACAAAGAAGCTGGCGCTGGACTGTCAACCAACCGCTACGATGCGAAGTCTAAAATGCGTTTCCTCAATCCAGAGAGGGCTCGGGTTACTCCGCAGGGGAAAAACCCACCGGTCGAGCAGGCGAGAAAGCAAACTACGGAAATGGAGGAAGCGTGTGCCTCTTTGCAACGGTCAAGTGGTGGTCTGAGCCTGCGTGGTGAGTTTAACTCCATTCACCAGCGAACTGTCACTGGCGACTACTGGATATTCTCGGCGTCAACCCTCTTGCGCACAGGCGTCCAGTTTACCAACCTTCTCCACTCGCCGAGGAGGAGAGACCCAGCTTGAAGGGGACGGCGTGAGTGGAAAGGCGACGGACAGAGACCGACCTCTCCGCTGGCTGGTATCTATCTAGACCGGAATTGACGGTATCAACCTAGATGCTTTTGACATGCAGGAACGCCCTGGCGCCGGTATTGTGGCACCAATGCTGACAGGTCTTCCGGAAATCTTTATTTTCATTATTAGAATATGTTCCCTCCTGGAAGGCCTGGCATTCGACCGGTGCGTGAACCATGTCAAAGTTGGCTTAAAATATCCTTAATGGTAAGTCGGTTCCTCTGGTCGTCTAATAAAGTGGGACTTTATCTTTTGAAGAAACAGCAGTCATGCAATTCCTGCACCCAGGGCTGTGAGAGTCATATCATATGGTAGTTATGTGTTCTCGACATCTCCAATCCTGCTTCGGACACAAAGCCCCCTCCCGTGCTATACGAGAGTAAAATAATAATAATCCCTGGCTCTTGGTCTCAGGGGAAAACCGCAGCTGCAGCTTCCAAAGGTCGTGTGCTGGTGGAAACACGCATCATGGCCCACGCGCTGAGAGGGGTCCCGGATAGCGGATGGAAGCGGTTCAAGAGGCGTGCTCCGTCGGAACCCTTCTGGATGATAGGCCTCCACCAGGCGGAAACGTTCTAGCCCGATCAGATTTATGCCGCTATAAGACGACTACATGACGGGAAGGGATGCATCCAGTTGCTCGACGGTGTTGCACCTCGACGCGCTACAGCAAAGCAAAGGTCAGCCTCAAGAGGCCAAGTGGGAACGTGCAGACGGGAACGGCTGGCGGACTCGAAATGATTGAAGTTAGTTCATCAGCGAGACGGCTAGATCATGATTAGTATACGAAGCAGCTCTCGCTAAAAGAGACCGAGCTTGGAGGAATGTGGGCAGGCAAGCGTACGGCGTACCTCGCACTCATTATCATGACATGAACAGTCAATAATATTATAATGCTGAGTAGAATATGATATGACTGTTTCTGCAGAACGGTTCAAACTTGCTCCCGAGAGACGATCTGCAACACTCTTGGGGCTCCGTAGGAGAAGCGGCGAATCATGATAATCGGTCGTTTACGCCGGTGATCGTCTAGAGAAGAGGGGAGGACGAGACAAGTCTATCGAGGTCTGGACGACGGCTCCATCTCTCCTAGAGTAGTAATACCCGCGATGTTCTTCCAGGGCTCATTCATACCTCTAATTTTTCCCGTCTTTCGCGACTATTCTGGCCATTGCTTCTGTCTCTTTCATACTGGCCAAGCAATGCGTATTATTAGTTATGTGCGCACCAATTCAGGAAGTGGCTGTCCGCGGAAGAAAGCTGCTCTAACGGTCTAACCCCTCAGAAAGACTCAGACCATTGTCCTGGGACGGACGATCCATGGACTAGATAGACAGCAATCGTTGTGTATGGCTGTCTCCAGAATCCAGATTGTCTAGGTACTTAGTACTAGATACTATTAGCCAATCCAGCAAGTTGCAGATGTCATTGCCATTTCCCGCGCACTTGGCTTCCCTCTCGACTATCTATCATAAATGGTGTTTATCCGAGAGCCCTATGATGATAACTACCAAGGCGGGACGCAGCGTTCCAATTCCTTGGTGCGCTACCCCTCACGGAATCAATAATGTTTAGTCCCTAACTGTATCTATAAGTCAGCATTCACGACATCAAAACTGCTGTGTCATTCGCAAACTCGACAAGGTGGCCCGTTCTACAGAAGACTTTATGGACGATCACCAGGGATGCTTCCCAATTAAAGAGGTTTCGCACAAAAAGCCCAGGTGTTCTTTCCGCGTTCCCCGGCCAAATAGTGGACTATGGATGTTCGTGCAATAATAATAATGATTCCAACCGGGCTAGTCTTCGACTGGTATCATCCCCAGTCTAAGGAAAAGCGCCAAAACCTGTTGGACGAGTGTAACCGACTCTATCGATTCTCCGGACCCAACTAGACGGTTAGGTTGGAACGTACCAGAGTTCAGACCGAGCGGTCTCCCCCGTTGAACCCTGAATTGCCGGCACCAATCAGACGGGCGTCAAAGAGACGGCGGCCGCGACGTTACGAGGTCCAAGCGATGCCAGCGCAGCATCCAGACGCCACAAGCCCGTCACGTCACGGTCCAAACACGGTGTTCGGCGTTGTCAAAGGCGTTTAAAAGGTCTATTCAGCATCGTAGACCCCGCAGTCTAGACAACTCAAGTCTCAAGAGGACGGTAATTTTCCGTTGGCACGCTGCACTCGAGTACCAATGCTGCATGCCGAGCCGTTCTCGGGGTCTGGTGGCATAATACAAGATTCGGCTGCTATCTAGCCTAGTCGTTCCCCCGGACGGGATGTCGTCTGCTGGGCATCCGACCAGTCTTCCTTAGCAGCAGGCACGATCTGCGGCTGAGCCTAGCTCTCGGCATATGCGACATGGCACATATCCCAGGATCCGCGTAGACGAATAGATAGACGAATCCCGCCAAGTAGAAGCCATATATGGTTTACGGATCTCTTTCCCATGTGGATCCTGCCCGCGAAGTTACCAAGTCTCATCGACAGTGTCTTGGCAGCCAAGTGGCAGGCCTTTCCCCGTAAGTACAGTTGACTAGTTCGTCGGACTCCTACTCTATGTCAGCGAATATCCTTGGACCAAGAGCGTTATGGGGGAGTTCTATTTCTGGGGAAGGATCCTGCCAATCACCTGTATCCATGATCCCGCAGACACAGAGTCCCCCAACAGGGGCACGCTAATGTGCAAAGAAAAAGAGTCGGGCCTGCCCAACACCTCCATTCCTTGAACGGGGTTCAGCTCCCCGCCGACACGACTCGGAAATCTGACTAGTATTTCGTATTCTGTTCAGAATCGTCAGCACGATGATAGCTAACAAGTTATCAAGATAACATGACCCGTCGCAACCTTGGTTGGTACATACTTGATTGCAAATGCTGCTACTCCGTAATTCGAGTTCTATGTTTCCAACACACAATCCTTGAGTCAGTACCGCGACGAATTGATCGACAGTGCACGTAACCGATCCCCTTCGGTCCATCGTGCGTATCCTCCTCAGAAGGCCATGGGCCATGTGGAGTTAAAACGCCGGACAAGCGGCCCAGTCTCGAAGTGCTGACGGGCGATTGAACTTGTCGACACATCCTAGATCCAGTAACTTACTACATAGTCTTCTTCACATACGCCACCCATGTCTGTGGAAAGCCGGGTCCTTCGTGACTGCGAAGCGGCTTCCAACAACAAAATCTTACAGTAAGTACTTCGAGCACCAGGTAAGGTAAGATTCAGCAGTGGTATACCCGCCATGCGACCATCTGATATCGAGGGTAGACGGTTCTGAACAGGTCAGACAGCCCCGCCAGTAGATAGTCTAGTAAGAGGATCCGGTACAACGGTACCGCCTGCATCCAAGCTCTTTCGGCTTAATGCATGACTCGTCGTTCTGAATCAAGCCGTGCGACAAAGCCACTGCAGCATACCGCGTTTCTGGATCAGCAAGGCGGTGGAACGTGGAGGGCGTCTCCTGGGCCCAAACTGCTGGAACAGACTCCCGCGAGAGACGCCGTAAAAACAAAGGCGCGTCCGTCCATCACAGAATCAGAGTGATTGATATTCCCACTACCTAGATGAGCTGTCATTCGCTAGAACGTCTAATTCAATAGCAATAATTCCTTTAAATCCCCCAGGTCCCTTTTATGGACAGCATCAATCCAGTACACTTTCAAGCTGGGCTGCTGGAGTGTCGATTTACGCGTTAAAGACTTCTGCAATCAGTCTAGAATGGCTCCCGTTTCCTGTCAAACCCGTGGCACTGAGACAGCATTTTAGTATAGTATCCAAGCGTCGATGAGACGTCCAGTAGTGGGTCCAGGGGATTCTCATCCAGGATTATTAGTTATTATTGTAGCGCCCGTTTTCAAATGAATCCCGGACGGAGATCAGCCCATTTTGGGTATTTGTGCTAAGGGGAATAGATAGATGCAACTAGTTCTTGTCGTGGGATGAAATAATTGCACGTTGAGATTTCTGTGCCAAGGTTGTGTTTTCCAGGATATTCCTTACAACGCTGTTTAGCTTATTCGCGATGGCCAGCAGCCACGTAATATGTGCAGGCGGAAATAGGCAGGAGAAGCGGAGCTCCGGGGTCTGTCAAATGGTGAAAAGCCCGAAATGCTAAGTAGATAGTGAAAGATGGGATGGATGATCCCAGAAATAATAATCCTTGGATGGAGAGATAGAGGTGACCCCAAGATAAGGCAGCAACGCGATACCATCCAGGCATCCATCACTGAATAGCAATACAGCATCACGATAGCCATGGAGCGTGATTTTCCCACTCCTTATTCAACTAGATTTATTCAGGAACAAAACATTCTTCTATACTCCGTAGTTAACGTTACAGCAATCGATCTATGTTATCAGAGAGCCAATCGGGGCATCCGCCCAGCTTCCCCGCGAAATGCTCGGTAGATCTCCCGACGCAGAAAACTCGACTTGCTACGAACTGCCCATACCGAGAACAAGAGAATAACACTGATCTCTCGCCACAAACTGACTTCCATATATCTCTTCTCGCATTGATTCCGGAGAATTATTCGATCTAAGAAGATCTAAAAACCTCGATCTGCACATCGACAAATGCAGCAGAGCCGAATTTGGAGGGAATACGAAACCCATTAAATCCATATAACTACAGGTCTAAAATATCAGAAAAACGCCGCGAAAAAAAAAGACAAAGAAAAAAGAAACAAGCTCGAGGCGGATATCTAGTCACAGAACCTCTTCACCATCCTCTTACCTCTATCGGGACCTAGATATATCTTCTCAGAAGGTCTGACAATGGGCGAAATCCTCCGCACCACCGCCCCGATCCTCACACCACAAAGACATCTCTTCATCGCCTCGATAGGAAACAAAGGACCATACCGCACCACCCGCCACAGCGCAGGCCACATCCTCCTCGATGCCGTGAAGCCCTTACTACCAACCAAAATCCCATTCATCTCACCAACCAAACCCGGCCAACCCGCCTTCTACCAAACATGGACCAGCCCCTCATTCATGAATGAATCCGGACCAAAACTCACCCGACAACTAGACGGATGGCTCTCCACGCAAAGAGAGACATTCAATCAGATCGTTCGACGAGATGAACCGCTTCAGATGTTTCCAACCAGTGAAGAAGAGGCGGGGGGCTGGAAAAACCATCCCCGCGGTGTTGATCCTCGGGGATTGAAACGGTTTCAACCGACTCTGGTCATTCTGCACGATGAGCTCGAGGCGCCTCTTGGTCGATTGAAAGTGCGTCGTGGTGGTCCTCAGCAGGCTAGTCTTCGTGGTCATCGTGGTCTGATTAGTATCATGGAGAGTTTGCGCGGGAAGGGTCTTCTTCGTCCATCTTCGAATCAGAGCAAGGGTGACGACGTGCAGTTGTCTATCATGCGAGTAGGCGTTGGTATTGGACGACCAGAGAGTCGAAAACCGAAACACGTCGCGGATTATGTCCTCAGCGAGCTGAGTCGCGATGAGCTGGATGCCATCCGCGCAGCCGCTGAGCCGACGGTGAATCTTCTGGTTGATGAGTTTTACAGGGAAGGGGAGTTGCCATGAACTCCTCCGACCGGTTGGCAAAAAGTCAAAAAGAATATTGATAATAATCTGGTTATAGCGGTGGCGTTACGATCCTATACTGGGGTCAGATAGGTTGACTAAGATGATCCGAGAGCATTTCATATACCCTGGACTAATGTACGATCAGATCTTTCTTTCATATCAAACAATGTACCATAGAGCATATAGAGAATAGGAAAAAGACGAGCATCCGCAGACGCTGCATTTCTAGTTGCCACCAAGAGATCTTAAAAACCATGTCGCAGATCCTACGAATTACAACTCCAGATATGCATATCATACATACTACCGTCAATCTCGATAGCTGACAACGTACCTAATCAGACAGGATCATGAGAATGACCAGAGAGAAATTCCCTATTTCCGCACGGTAGCAGAGAAGAAAAAAGCCACTATTCGCTATTTCGCTATTTCAACAAATACAACGTAAAAGCGCCCCCGAAAGATGCAATGTAGACAAGCACAACTCAACGTGCCCTAGAACAATGTACGGGAATGAAGGACCGAATCGAAGTACACTAAATAAACCGCCATCTAGAGGAAGTTTGAGAAAAGAGCCGATGGGAATAAGAAAACATAAGAACGACAAGCCTAGACCGTTCCAGCGATGCTGAGGTCTCTGATTTCCTGGAGGACCTCTTCGACCCGGTTGTCCAGATCGCCGTTCGCATATTGGTCTCTCGTGTCAGCATCGAGGTACTGTTGTACCTGGGCCATGCGTGAATAAGCTTCAGCACAGAAGCGCAGCTGGATCTTGACGAGGGCCTCGAAACTCGGGTCCAGGTATGGCACTCTCAGGTCGATAAGTTGGGGGAGTTCGGTGAAAAGCTGCTCGTTGAGTTGCTCGTAGGCCTGTTTGGCCATCTCGGCCTCCCGCTCCGCCCGCGGCAGCTTGGTGACGTCCTTGTCGGGCTTCTCTACCAGCTTCTTGACCTTGGCGCGCATCGAGTCGTAGTCCAGCAGCTTGTGATTCCTCTTCTTGATGCACTCGTTGACGTCCGGGAAGTAGGCGCAGAAACGAGAGATCGGCTCGAGAACTGTATTCCGGTATGGGCCATCGAGCGCCTTGATAGTCTCGGCATCTAAATCTTCCACAGCCTGTTTGTAGCTTCGACTGACACCATCCTTGGTGCCGGCATCGCCGTAGAAGGCATCGATCGTTTCCGCAATCCTCATCTGAGAGGCAGTCATCGCTACCGCATCATAGCACGTCAGAGAACATATCCCATTGAACAACCCATTTCGCTTTCGTCATGACAAACCTCTGAGCGAGTCAAGATATCCCTTCGCTTCCTTCTGCAGACGGTTCGCAGCGGCCTCCATTGTCCGGTACCGTCTATATCAGGCCCCATCAGTACATATCCCAACCTATGGACAACTGCAATCTGAGTGAACCATACCGTTCCTCGACTTCATAATCACGATCATTGGTTCTTTCGACATGACCTGTTCGACGTCGCAGCCAGGCGTTAGCCAACAAGTCGCGATTCGACATTGGCCCTCCAGCTGGGCGGGGTAAAGAAGACCAACGAACCTGTCTTCATCATAACCTGCGTCGTAGCGCGGTTGACATTTTTCTTGAATCCTTTACATAAATCGTCAGCCATCGACTTCATCCATAGCAATTCTTCTCGCGGGTAATGGTTGCTTACCTGCCCACGACATGGCGGATGCGCGGCTCAGCTACGAATCCGGAAAGACTTGGTGAGAGTTGTACTTAGGTGCGCCAGGCCAGTAAATAGAACAGCGAGACTCTGAAGAGAAGCAGGACGCTCAGTGATGGATATCACTCTGGGGAGATAGCGATATCGTCGAGATGGAAGAGAATGCCCTTCTTTGGCACCAGACAACTTGCGACTCGATGCGAAGTACCTAGGTCGGTAGTAGTAAGTTAACCTTGGGAAGATGGATGGATAGCGACGCCTGCCTTACGGCCCTACGGGTTCGTTAGGCGGTGGAAAGTTCGGGCTGTGGCTGAAGTTCGGAAGTGTGGCGATGCTCGGAACTCCGCGTACGGCGGCGTACGTAAAGAACAGTAATGACCGTATCGAATTTCCATAATACGGGCGGTTTGCCGGCGGCTCGATTTGCTTCCGTCGCGCTTCGGAGTTGGCCATCTTCATCATCACATTCACGGCCAAGTAGTATTCCCTCGTCGACGTCATCGGGACTAGAGTAACTAACTACCTAGTATCTAGTGAGGAGTTGGATGAGAACGACACCGTTAGAGAACGGAAGGATCGGCCTATTTCGAACTATACTAAATATTTAACTTACATCGTAGTTACGCATGGCGGGACGATCAGTTTCTATGAACGTCTGGATCATCTGGGCTGATCCACGTGGAAAGAGAGCTTTAGTTATGGTACTGACGACGAAAACGACCAGAGAACTAACTATGGTATACAACAGCTAGATATAGATTATATTGTCTTCAGCCATAAAGTTGTACTGTATATCAGCTACCCACGAACCCAAAGTCATCTGAAGCCCAAAATCATACATACACATACATTCGATATCGAACATATTGCCAACCCAACCCAATAAAATCAAAAACAAATCCTACATTTCTCACATTTCCAAATCCCAATACACCTCTTCCTCGGCACTCTCTTTCTCACCAACTTATCTCCAATACGCGCCAACGAAGCCTCAAACCCCTCGAAACTGCTCGCCGTCCACCTAGCCCCTTTCTTTCCCGGCACAGCTGACGAGCCAGTAAAACCCAGATAAAGCACATCGTGGGCTTGATGGCCATTATCCGCTGTGATATTCCCATTGGGGAAACAAGCGGTGGCCAGCGAGATCGATGCCTCGCCGGTATCTACACCGCCATTCGTATCTCCCCAGACGCCGTAGAACTAGATTTTAGAGGTAAAAAGTTAGATAACTTTTCATTGTTACATTTTGTTGAAAAAAAAGCTTATTTTCAGGTATTGAAGTCTGCATTTTGTTCGTTGCTGGAGTATATGCAGAAATGATCAAAAGGGGTAAAGAGGGGGGGAGGGGGAAAACTCGTGTTAAGTATGTGCCGGCACGTACCAGCTGATTGTTACAGATCACAGCCATCACGCTCAATGGTCTCATGCCATGGGCCCGTGGGTTGAAAGATGGGACGGCCCCTTCGTTCCCGAATACGATGTAGCTGTGGATGTTGGCGTTCAGGTCTGGTATACCATAGGACTGGGCAATATTCTTGAATGCAGTTTTCCCCTGGCCAGATGGGTCATTACCGCATCTCCCAACTGTGTTATTGGCGCCATCACAGTCGACGTCCATATCGGCTAGGAGGCGATGAGATCTAGGACCTGAGATGTATATGATGCCGCGTTTGCTGTAGTCACCGCAGTATGTGAAACCGGCTAGTTATTCGCAGGGTATAAAGTTAGCATAAGTTATATCCACGAAATGGGACTAAGGGACGTATGTATGTACAATGTCCATGACCATCCTTGAACCCAGTTGCTAGGGGCATTCTACAGCCCGATCTCTGAAGGCAGCGAGTCAGCAAAGGCACATCAATACATCTGAAGATGAGAATACCTTCACTTCACGATAAAATGACCGTAGACGTAAAGGAATATCACGACCATCTACGCAAGTAGGGTAGCATGCCAGTAGGCAAATGAAGAAAAAGAACAGTCCGAGATGAAGTGTTTTCATATTCATGTTGTCTCAAATCCTCAGTAGAGTGTTGTAGAAGCAGAGTGTTGGTAAGTAGAGATCGGTTCCTAATTATACTCCAGTCTTGAATCAGGCTTCACTGTAGGAAAAAGACATCCATGGGAACTATCTCGCCAGACCACGGTTATGGAGCCCAGATTTCTCATATTAGATGCGGCTGCCCAAGAGCATCATGGTACTATCCACAGTTCAGGGGTGATTTTAAGATCTTATTATCATCCTTTAGTAATCTACCAGCATGTTTCTTGCCGAATCTAGCTTTATGCTGATGATACCAGGTTCCGGAAAAGCCTGAGCAGCTTTGGCTGCCTAAGCGGAAGCTTGATGGGCATTGAAAGAAAATCAGAAGAAAATGATGTTTATATACATTTGCAAGAAAGTATATACCGCCTATAGTACATGACAGATGTTAAGGAAAGATTGCATACCGCATAGCGCTCAAAACACGACCTTATAGCGGGGAACATAGTTCGACAAGCATGAACGCCCAGAGAAACACACACGCACCAATACCATAACACCAAAGCTGCAAGAAATAAAAACCGAAACATGCCTGAACGGTCAGAGAAGGAGAAAGAAAGACAGAACATAATGATCATACCCTCCCACAACTCACTATGTCCCAAAAGTATGCCGAGTCCGAGGTCAGAAGAAACCGTTGTGGTCCTGGTGTGCGTTCAAAGCCTTGGGTGGACAACAGAGGCAAAGTCTCCAAAATAGAACGAGAAATAGAAAAAAAGGTCATGGTCTTCGTTGCATTTAAACACAGAATGTGGAAGTGAAGCTAAACCGTAACGCTAACGCCACAGGATTGCACGCATGACGGCCTCGAGACAAAGGACCTCCGTCTATAGACGTAGTAAAAAACAAAAAGAAAAAAAAAGGAGATGGGTTTCTAGAAGGCGTATAGGATAACGTAAAGCTAGCCCGCTTGACTTCCTCAGAACACCAAGAGCCAGAAAGCGCAAGATGGCTGGAACACAAATCCTGAACCCATAATCTCGTGGACAGCGTCGCTAACTTCCAAAAATACCAGCCATTGCTATTACTGTGAACCTCCCACAGGGAGGCTTGCACAAGCAATTATATCATTCAAAACCCTTCCTCGCCAGCCTTGCACAACTTAATCTCCCGAACCCATTCGGATTTGAGAACCTGCGAGGCAGTGATGCGACGGGAAGGGTTCGGATCAAGAATGGAGTAGATGACGTTACGGCAACGGGCCTGTTGCATGTCAGTCTGGGAACCCTGATTGTACGCGGCTATCAGGCGGTTTTTTCTTACCCTGTGCAAGGTCTCAATGGGAGCGTAACCGTCCTCATCTCTCCGACCTTCCAAATACCGGCGGTAGAACTCATCCTCCTCCTTACGGGCCAACCGCCAGAGATGTCTGCCAGTCCTCATTGCCATGTAAATGACACCGGTCGCCCAGACATCGACAGCTCTCGGGTCAAATTCCTTGTCCACGTATTCTTCAGGGGCAATATAAGGAGCAGACCCGCACAGACCGGCAGTCATGTGAGCTTCCTTCTCCCAGGCCATGCGAAAGCACTCGCCATTCCCAAAATCCGTGATTTTCAAGGCACCGTGAGTGGTCAGCAGTAGATTCTCCGGTTTCAGATCGCGGTGAGCGACTCCCATTTCGTGCATATATTCCACGCCACGCATCAACTGTTTGAAATAGCAATCTGCTTCAGCAACTTCAAGCTTTCCAGCGGCCAGGACCAGGGTATATAGATCACCTCCGGCGCAGTATTCCATGACCTCGCAGTAATCACCCTTGGAATCTTGGAGCAGATCGAGGGTGTGGATGACATTCGGGTGACGCAGAGAAGAGGAGATGCAGAACTCTGAAGTCAGGCGCTTTTGATATTTCTTGGCCGTCTCCTGCGGCCGACGACGGAACTCCTTGACTGCGTAGAGTTGTTCCACTTTCGAGTCCTTAGGGTCCACCTTGTGGGATATACGGACGATGCCAAAGGCACCGCGTCCGACGATCTCCTGGCATTTGCCGTACTTGTCGACTAGGGATGCAGTTGCATTCGGACCTCCCTTCTTGTCCGCAGCCAGCTTATCCCGCTCCGTCTTCAGCTGATCGACCCATGTCTGCATGAGCGACAGCTGTTGGTCATCCACGTAGTCGTCCTTCTTTTTCCCGCCACCTAGCATGTCACGCAGCAAATTCGATAGTTTCTCTTGTCTCCGCGCGCTCTTCAGGAAGTGAGCATGAGAGCCATCCTGGTATAGTTCGAATCGTTTGTGGACAAGAGCGCCCTCTTTCTGGCCGAAAAAGCCAGGCTTCTTTTCGCCATCGCCTTTCGTCGACGTCTGTCGCGAGGGGGGCTTGGAGTTGGGTTTGGAGGTTGGTCTGGACTGTCTTGCAATACCATTGGCAGAGCCCTTGGCACTGTCAGATCCGCTATCTGACACTTGTTCCTTCGGGGGCTCTGGTTCCTTTTGTTCCCTGGGGGACGATTTTCCGGTCTGAGAGAACATGCGCGACAGGCGATTCGCCATACTAGCTTTGGGAGGCTTGGACGGAGAGGCCGATGGCAGGACATCACCGGTCACCGGAGCGCCCAGGTGAAGGTCCTCCACCGCGCGTGCTAGCTGCGGCTCTCCATCTCTGCGATCGTGTGAAGCCTGGGATGTCGCTGTTGAAGAGAGTGCGGAAGGTACAGGTGAAGCGGGCGGGGGAGTCATGTGCGGTCGATCAGGCGGGGTCTGAGATTCAAAGGCACAGAAAAAGTGCCCTGAGGATGGAGAAGAGACAAGAGAAAAGGCGAATTAACACAGATTCAGCTCACACGGAGGAGGAAGCTGAAGCTGTCGAGAGAAAATTGGCTTGGTGCGCCGCCCTGGGCGATGGGGAGGTAAAAAACGGGAGGTTGTCTTGAGAGGCGTGGTCCAGAAGCGCGCCGCCAGAATCCGCCGGGGGGGTGGAGTGACGAAAGCGACACTGGGCACGAGAGCACCGCGCAACGAGGCACGGAATGCTCAGATGGGACGAGCCCTGTAAAGGGACGGTGCTGGCTGCACCCGCAAAACAAGGATTTTCTGGTTGTTCAAGTTGTTCTCTGTGTGTCGGGGGAGAAGATATCTAGATAGTAGAGGGCGGAGCAGGTGTGTACTCGGTAGAAGGAAAAGGGTCCAGAGAGAAATGGACGGGCAAAGAGGATGGGATGCGATGGGTGGCTGAATGAAATAACTAATATGCCTTTTTGTGCCGGAAGGGCTTCAGCAAGAGAGAATGGGCCCTTTAACCTTACGGTCGAGGGTGGGAACCCCCAGCGGACGCCAGCCAGAGAGAAAGCTTTTTTTTTTTTTCTTTCGTCGAAAGGAGAGCAGCCAGCCCTTTGTCAGGATCGAGTAAGATAATTTACATGCTAGTCTAGTTAACTAGTTAACAAATATGATTGTTACCCTTACGAGATTCTTCTTCTTCTTCTTCCGCCTTCTCACGGTAATACCAAATCCCAAATCTTGTTAACTCTGGACTAATACCAGTGTAGCGAAGCCGGGCCTTACCTTACCATAACCGTACCGTACCTTACCGCCCTCCCTCGGCTGCCGCTGCCTGCCGGTTTCTGCTCGGTAATGAATTAGTTAATTGTCTCAGTGGCAGATTAGTTAACTAGTTATCTGCTGCCTCGAGAGAGGAGGGGTCCAAACGATGGAGATTCCTCGGGGGAAAGCTTGAAACCTTCTGCTTTAGGGAATGCCTGGCGGCAACTTATTAATGATTTAGCCAGAGATCATACGTTTCGTTACAACAGAGCAGCATACATATTAACTTGAGTTATTCGTTAATGAATTACTCCGGGTGGCACGATTCATAACGGTCCTGCCCGGGTGACTGAATGCCTGACATCGGGTCATTCCATGCTCTCGACCTGTAACTATAGTACCTACGTATGGTATATGCTGTACATCCATACATCCATACATACTAACTAAACTACTGCGAGTGTTCTCGACAAGATCGCGATGGTGTGACGTCGTTCGTCAACCGACACAGAGGCACCGGATCCCCAGCAACTGGAAGTTTCATTGAGGCTGTGCAAGCTCACGCGGTCTTATTCGAGGGTTTCCCGGGCACATTAACTCGTCCCCCTCAAGGACGCTCTGCTACGGATCTTCGAACTGTGGCGGCGCTGGTGATTTGTCCCAATGAAAACACATCGTTTATAACTAAGTCCAAGTGCCGCCTTGATTTTATGTACAGTACATATATACAGTATGCACATGTAGTACGTACATACAGTACATACCTGTTCTGCAAGCCACGGCCATTCCTCAGTTCAAACAAGGGTATTTGTATCCCTTAGACCGTATCAACTTCATGATATGCTGATTCCAATAATGAGCCAACGATTGATGTGATTATATTCGAAAGAAGATGTCGTTTCCCTTTTCTCCGTGACAGTGGCGTTTATTTCATATGGTACGACGCGCCGACACTATAGATCGTCAGCATATGGCGGGGTAGCATCGTCATCTTTCGTGCGCTGTGATTAATAGATAATGACTTCCAAGGCTGGCATGAAGGAGGAAACCTCAGATGACCGGTCGTGTCTCGAGCGATTAAGCGTATGGGCGTAGGCGGGGAAGCACGCGGGGTACGGATGATTGTCTTGACTAAAGCGCCATTCTTCTTGTCTTCATTCCTTGACGGCCTCGTCCCGAGGACGGTCCTCTCTGGGCAATTAGTCCTATTCAGTCATTGAAAAGACGGGGTCAAGATCCTTGGCCGAATGCACATGTCCCTTTTTGGGTGTCTGTCACAGACAAGCTCTGTGCGCGGAAGATGACCTGCACGTAGACATTCCCTTGACGCCCGCAACATAGTTGGTAATAATATTGGTATACATCTCACAGCAGCAGAAAATCTAGACCTGTTACTTGGAACCTTTTTTCTTTTCTTTTTTCAACCTTGGCAGCTCCCACATTTAATCGAAGATGGTCGAGACCATCTGCCGTGAACTATTACTTGTACTATGGCTGAGTACCGCCGCCACTGCCGCCAGGGGTGGTGCCTCTATCAGCAGAGTATAGTAGATTTACTGGTGAACAACAATGTTGAAACCGGAAATAACCGCCAGGCAAAGGAGATTATTATTATTTCTTGATCTCGTCATGAATCTTATCACGGGAATAGTTCCCTTGGCAGGCATCTATCCGAACGACCGTGGTTTGACGTAGCCAGAGGTTGAGAACGAGGGATTTCTCAGAGCCTATCACCGCGGCTCCCTTGTCTCTTGGCTACCTTGTTCCATCCTGGTCATTATTCACCACCTCGGGACTGATCTGTATGCAATTATTACCAAAGATCATGACAACGGTGGATGCGCGAATATTGGTCGCATGCCGTGTCCCAGGAGCCCACCAAAATTTTGAATTATCCAAGAAGGGCGCCTGGAGGAGTACGTAGTACCATAGAGTAAGCTGTTAGCAGCAGCAAGCCTTTCCTGCCTGGGAAGGTTGAAAAGCAACGGTTTGTTTCCGTTCCGAGATCGCCGTGCCGTTTTCTTACTGGCAGCGTTAGCTAGATGAAATGCCATGGCCGTCCGGCAAATGGCTGATCCTGGCAACTCTCCACGTTGGGACAGAAAAGACCCCAGCCACACCGCAACGATGCCAGTTCAGCTTATCAGACTAAGATCTTGAAGACACATGTGCGCGAGCGGCCGGTTGTATGGTTGCGGCGGGTGTTGCGGTGAGCTCGTTTCCCGTGGTCTTTCGTTCGGGTAACAATAATAATGCTTGGTTGTGGTAAGTTGCTTCGCCCTGCGGTAGTGTCCGGAAGCCACAAGGGAGCGGCCGGACGATCGGGGCTCCGTTTTTAAGTTGAACTGCCACAGATCCACAGGGCTACGTCGACTATCTAAGTGGGCATTCAATTATCGCTGATGCATCATTATGAGAAAACAACAATGTTATTATGGAGCTTACCTTTCCTACAAGTCACCTAGGTGAAAAAAAAAAGGAAATATCTACTGTAGTAACTGTACCATGCATGAGACAGGTCGTCAGTCTTTCTGCGCCGCATCCACCATATGTACAGTAACTATGTACTGTACTTGCTATCAGCTCCCAGGTTACACCGTATCTACCATCCGACAGCGAGTAGAATGTTGCATTCTCCAACGTGAAGTCTAGAAACAGTTTCGAGAGGCTCTCATATCTCATGTTTTTGACCTTCAAATCTCGTGTTTCTTTCCGGAAAAAGGACTAGGTGTCTTTTATCTCTTACATACCCTGCTCTTGCAGCGTCAGATCTAGCAAGCTGCGCTAGCACTACTTAACTGTGTGATCTTGGCGGCACTACTTTGAAGTTTGAACACATAGTGGAGTAGCTCATGAATCGTTCAACACCGGCGTTGATTCGTCTCCCCTTCCTTTTTTTTTGTTAACTGAGTGTCTAGAAACACTACCGCACAGAAAATTATCCGCATTAACCTATTAATAATAATAATAGGTGAGTGAGACTGGTTGAATTGGGTATATAATAATCAGTTAACGGTCAAGTTCGAGGCACTGTACCTACCAGAGTCAGCGACTCAGCACAGATCATTTCAATAGTCAACGCCCCCTACGGACGAGCTCCATTTAGGTACATACACACAACTGCGGCTGAAACCGCATATCGATTAATAAAACCTATCAAGAATAGTCTATCAGCCACAGAGAGCTATCTTTGGACGCCCTATGTCGCACAAAAGCTGAATTTAACCGTTGGGAGGGGGGGCGCTTGCATAGAAAATGAAAAAGTTAAGGTAGTCGGATTTGAAATCTGCCGCATATCAAGGGAACTTAGTCCCCTTGCTTTCAGGAACTACAGTACAAATTGCAGGGGCACTTATCTGAAGTGTCTTACACCGCAGTAGTAGTTAGGATGAAGTGAGATGTTGTAGTTGTACAGTACAACAGGGCGCACAGTATGTGCAATAGAGTATGTACAACAGCAATCGGCGGCTGCTCTGCTGTGGCTGAAAATGCTACTTGCTTGCTTATTATTGCTCGCATGGTCAATTTGTGCCCCACAAGTCGACCAACAATGCTCTGGAGCAAATAATACTTCCTTACTCTCTAGCATTGGCAGGAAATTACTACGGATTCCGAAGTAAATGGATTTAATTTTCCAAATAACCTCGAGTGCAACTGGAAATTATACAAGGCTGGACACAAGCTAGTTAACTAACTAACTAGCAACGTCCAGCCCCTCCATTCAACATAACTGCGGACATACTCGTGAATAAATATCTCTCACCTACAGGGTCTATCCCGTTATGAAAACAGCAGCAAGAATCCAAAAAAAAAAGTACATACATACATACATAGACCTATCTCACAAGCTCATAAGCAGTAAATTTTAAATTCAAAACTAAGCTGTCCCAGTTACTAACTAGTCAGTATCTAGCTCGTCACAGCATTTGCTCAAAGGAGAAAGTACATATATCAGTCGGAAAAAAGAGCATCAAATTCAACATTAGCAGTAATTACATTGTTTCTTCGAATGTTGACATTTTAACTATTTATAATTTCGTTCTGTTTTCAACTTCCACTGACTGCTTGGCAAAATATCCGCGTCCGGGGAAGGGGGGAGAAGAGTAGTTATTTCCTGGTTCGTTTCTTATTACATACAGTACACACTGTGGTTATATGAATACGGACTTAAATATATAATTACTTGCTTAGATATGCTTTATGTATATGCCTGTATGGTAGTATATACTTTACCTACTAGGTATCTGAGGCTGGAGGGGGAAATTTGATTATTCCCTTCAGCTTTTTTTTTCTGTTGATGTAATAGGGTTGATGTTCTTTTCTTGGCTGTAAGATGGGTATATCCAGTGTAGTACTCAGTTTTTATCGAAGGAGTGAGGACCGCTCTGTTCTTGACACGAAGGCACAGAGATGAAGGCAAGATGATTCTAATAAGCAATCGGAATCAGGTCCTTGCCTACAGTACTAGATAAGGTAGATTGTGTATAGACCAACGAATATGGACGATGACAAATCAGCACCAATGGGAAAGTGTTGTCAACTTAAGTAGATTACAGTACTTCGTACTCGCATTACGTGTACAAAAGATGAGGTCACGCCACTGGTCATAACAGTGCTGTGAGCCAACGATGTATCCTGAGGAGAACTGTAGGAGAAATGTAGGTGGTTATCCTCTAGGAGACATGTGAAGATTGCGTAGGACTATTGTACTACTGCTGGAAACAGATAACTTTTCAAAAGCTTGATTTTGCTGCTATCTTCCCCGTCCCCGATTATAAAGCTATCCTGTTAGTTAGACAGGCATTGATGAAACACCCTTGTCATCCCAACACAAACGTTCGTTATCCATGTCGCGGGAACTGCCGCCAGTCCAATAGTAGGTGAGCAGTTTCTCCCCGTCGACATGCGGCATCGACTGGTCAAGGAGTATCGAACAGAGGGGAAACGACTCCCCTGTCATGTATGGAGTTCCGCTCGTGCGGACCATTCATGGTGGACTTTGGCCCCAAAATATTTTCTTTGTCCTTTTGTGATCGAAGGCCGGTGCGGGATTTGACGCTTCCGCGGGTCAAAGAGACTGGCCTTGCTGATGAGTATGTCGACAGCTTCGAAACGATGGCATGGACATACACAGGGAATCCATATTTCCAACTTCCTGACGTTCGTAAACATGATATTTCCCATAGAATGTTGAGACCAGAATCCAGCGCTATTGGTCAGGAAATAGTCGTGGAAGCCCATAAGGGTAACGGTCATAACGGTCATGACGCTTGTTGCCGCCCGAGTCCAATAGTTGATCCTTTGGCATCACGGCAGATTCCAAAAAGACGAAACTTATTGAAGATGCTGAGCGGTCGTTTCACCGTCTTTACATACGCGACGGGATACCCCATCTGACCATCGCATAGACTCTGGATATCCTTTCATGCGTCCGGAACAAGAATCGCAGCGCAGGGTTAATGGTGAGAGTGCTTACGGGCGACGAGCGAACTTGCGATATAGGTGCTTCGCGCCTCAGCTCGCAAGGGCCTTCTTTAAGACTCGAACATATTGATCTTATGTCGCTGGCACAGATATTGAGAATGATAATGCTGTAACCAGCATAAGCGTATTCGGTGGAAGTGCTGCTAGAGGCATTTAGGCAAGCACCCGAGTCTACAAAACAGTCAGATATCAGTCATCGATTTGAAGAACGAAAGTCCTGGAAAATAACAGGCTAACTGGCACATACCACAAACTGTTCGAGGGATTCCTCAAAAAGCTCATTGTTGACACCAACTCCACCAGGGTGCTCTATAGGTGACAGTGGATTCTTGACAACTGAAAAAAGCGAAGAGTTAGCATGTGAACATAGACGCCTATCTGGACATGACACATCGAACGTACCATACTCTACGTAGAGGTTGACATAGATCTGCTGGAGGGCTATGCGCATGCTGGGTGATTTCGTATCTGTGAGCATGACAAACTTGATATTTGTAGGCGTCTCGTAATAGTGCAATTTGTATTGGCTGGTGCGGTAGGAAATAAAACTAGTAACAAGAAGTTTATGTTAGCTGTATCCTTTTTACGCATTGACCAGGAAAGCTTTGCTGAAACAGGAGTCTCACTTATCGTCTTCACCACCCAGCTTGCGCACCATATTCCGCAACGAGAAGACCGTGCCGAAGATCAGTTTGGCATCGTCATCCGCGCTGCGGGGAGGGTGTCCGGGGCTCTTGGCCACTCCATTGCTCATAGCAGGTGTCTCAGACGTAGGACGCGATGGTTTGCTGCCAATGGACACTGGACGGGAAAGCCAGCGGCGACTGTAGATACACTCCGCTGCGACACGGGTTAGCACACGTGTTCGACCAAGTCGCATTCAGGGGGGCAGCGGGGAATCAGAGGGGTGATGTGTTTACCATGGCGGTCGAAAATGTAGAAGGAATAGACAGTCATGGCAGCAACGGTGAAATTAACGAGGACAGCCTTGATAATTGCACCAGCAACGGTAGCTGAAGAATCTCGAGAAGAGCTGGGAGTGGTTTGGATAGGAAAACAATGATGGTGTGCAACTGGCGTCCCCGTGGGCGGTGAGAAGTCGAGAACACGTTGAGCGGAGGGGCGCCTAGTCTATCGATAGACAGCTCTTGGTCTACTCTAAGTCTCTAACTAATAGATGATAACTCTTTCTCACTAAAGCTTGACTCGGTCGGAAGTCCCTCCACGGGATTAATATTATCTAGAGAGACTAGGAGGGAGTCAATCCGACCGAGAAAGTCTCCGGCGGTGCACCCTTCGATCGGCCTGTCTTTTAAGTATCTTCCCCACACTTCAGCCTTACCATCTGAGCTGAGTACAACAGCTTGGCCCATATCGCAGCTGGAAACTCTCCAGCCCTTCTTCCAAGTAATTTCTTTCGCCCGGCGAACCTTCTAGCAGTGCCAGCTTGGTTGCTCCCGCAGTTCAATGGCCAACGAAGGCCCCCCAGCGCAGCAGCGAGATCCCGTCCCGCATCCTATCCAGGGCGCTTTGATCGACGACGGACACTCTAGAGTTCCAAAGCCTATCCGATATGCGTATGTTGCAGCCCTAGCAATTATCTACCCGTTGTGTGTCCGGGCTGGGCATTCTTCACCCAGTTCACAGACAATTACCATTTCCCTTTCCCACATTAGCATGACTTGCGGCTGACTGTTGGTGTTGGGACTCTTCAGTTCGACTCCCTCGTATGAGAGCCATCGACGACCACGTCGCGCCAACCCTTCAATTCCACGCCGTGTAAAGGTCCGTTTTAACCACAAATAGCCTTATACAGCATGAATTGGAGGAGCTGACAAAGGGCCTGGACAGGAAACTCTCGATGCCCACACGGAGTATACCACCAGCCAAGATGATGGCACATCAGAACACCGTATCAACCAGTACGTCATTAAGCAGGAGATTGGGAGGGGCTCTTTTGGGGCTGTTCACGTTGCGGTAGATCAATATGGACAAGAATATGTGAGCCCCCTTGCCCCCCTGTTGACAGGACGTCTACCTCAATATAAGCGGAATTGGACCGTTCAACCCTCAGGTTAGCTGACATACCATGTATTGCAGGCAGTCAAAGAGTTCTCCAAGTCACGACTACGTAAAAGAGCGCAATCCCATGTCTTGCGAAGACCCCGTGGCCCTAGGCGCCCGAGGACGGACTTCAATGATGAACAGAGCAAGGATCCTCTCTATCTTATCCGAGAAGAAATCGCTATTATGAAGAAGCTACATCACGATAACCTTGTGGGCTTGATAGAGGTGCTTGATGACCCCACCCAAGATTCTTTGTACATGGTCATGGAAATGTGCAAAAAGGGAGTCATCATGAAGGTAGGGCTCGAGGAGAGAGCTGATCCTTACGATGACGAGCATTGCCGCTGCTGGTTTCGCGATCTCATATTAGGGATTGAATATCTGCACGCTCAAGGCATCGTCCATCGGGACATTAAACCGGATAATTGTCTTTTGACAGGTGACGATGTGTTAAAGGTGGTCGACTTCGGGGTTTCAGAGATGTTCGAGAAAGACTCCGATATGTATACGGCGAAGTCAGCAGGCTCCCCCGCGTTCTTTCCCCCAGAGCTATGTGTTGTGAAGCATGGAGACGTTTCCGGCCGAGCAACAGATATCTGGTCAATGGGTGTTACTCTGTTCTGTCTTCGATATGGGCGGCTGCCCTTTGAGAAGCATAGCATATTTGAGCTCTATGAGTCCATTAGAAACGACGAGGTGGATTGTGAGGGTGAAACCGACGAAAACTTTAAGCATCTGGTGTCAAGGATCTTAGAAAAGGACCCAAAGAAGAGAATAAAGATGCAAGAATTACGAGTGAGGTCCTCAAATATCGATGCAGGGGAAGTTTGGCTAACCGTCCGAAGGAGCACCCGTGGGTCACAAAGAATGGCACAGATCCTCTTCCGTCAGAAGAAGAGAACACAGCCGGCGTAATCGAGCCTCCGACGGAAGAGGAAATGAACGAGGCTATCACCAAGAATATTAACAACCTTTTTGTAGTTGTACGTTGTCCACCCCATCATCTCTGTCTGGCTAAGCTAACTGTTGTATTGCAGGTAAAAGCTGTTCAAAAATTCAAACGCCTCCTTGACCCGACAAAGGAAGGACCACCAATGCAGAGTATTCTCGGTTCGGAATTTGAATCTCACTTTGTGCAGCCCCCTCTTTCGATGGAGCCTGAAGAGGACCTTGATATACCCGGAATGGATTTCACCGGTGCCACCAAGGCCCAGAGCCTCGACACTTATGACAGACCATTGAAAGGACGTGAATTGGTTGTACAGGGCTACCACCAGCAACCTCTTGTCTCTGAAAGGACGGAATCACCGAAAGGGGTAGACCGTCCTAGCATATCCTCACGGCAAGGGTCTAACTTTGACGAGAACCGACCTTCTCAGGGTATTAAAAGAAGAGCCCCATGCAATGGGGAATATCCATTCGCGGAAAGCATTTCTGGTGAACCGTCGGAAGATAACCGCAGTATCTCTGCCTCGCAAATCTCTAGAGCTGGTACTCCCTCAACAAAACAAAGCATGGAAGGTACTCGCGGCCACGCTCGGGACCCCCTGGAAGAAGGGCATCCCTACTTGTTCATTGGACCGTCGACATTTTCAGGACATATAGAAGAGCATGCGGAGCAATCCCAGGGCGGTATTATTATTCCAGTCCTCGGAAAGACGAATACATCCGACACTGGATTTCCAAGTGACGACGTTCCGATCGTCAGCGAATCCCCTGGCGCAGCAGACATTGATATATACGAAACTGCCTATAGGGAAGAAATAGAGCGTATTCGGAAACGCAGGCTCGCTCGAGAGGGCACTCACCCCAAAGTCTACCTCACCAGACGAGTTGAGGGTAAGAACGTTGATCTTGGCGAACTAGCAGGGGCCGAAGCTAGCCAAGATGCAGGCATCGGTCGAAGACGGTCTATTTTCCCGAGACCAGGGCTGAGCGCCATAGCGACTCAACTTGGTTCGCAGCAAGGTGCGCAGCAGGATGATGAGCAAGCAGAGAATTCGGCCGTGGAAAACGTCATATCGGCGGAGCCGGAGTCAGTTTATGAATCTCCCACTGCTGAGCCTGGAATATCTCCCGCAGACGCCATCACACACCCTGAACCTGCATTTATGAGCACAATACAAGATAGGCGCAAGAACACACTGAAATCCTTCCTTGCACGCATGAGGGGGACTTGACGACCAGATGATCCAGATCCCGGAAGCTCGCCACATAGGTCGCGACGGTGAGACGTCTGATCGATCAGTTGGCAAGCAATTATCTGGGCTTTTTTCCGTTCCTTTTTTTTTTTTTTTTTTTTTTTTTCAACGAATGTAGGAAGCAAGCATGTATCTGCCAACAGGTTTGGTTTCGATAATCACTTAGATGGAGCGAGCGCGTATCTTTCTCCTTCGATCCCCTTTTCTGTCCCTTCCATTGTTGAGTTTACAGTTAACTATATCATTATCCATATAACTTTGTATCTATTAGGTATATTTGAGATGGGACGTAATATAATTTAACTATTCCTTCCCTTCCCTTCCCTTGCATTTCAAGTATTACGCTTAGTGCAGCAGTGGTAATCAATAGCAACAAGAGTAAAGAAACATCCCTTGAATAGCAAATGGTATATTTAACTATGCCCGTTCTGCTTTATGCAGTCAGTAGATTAATATACATAAATGGTATAATAACAAAACTTGCATGAGAAATAAAGATAATACCTCGTTAAAAAATGGAGGTCATAATGTTACATTCCAGGACCCGAGTACCTATGTTCAATAGAACAAAGCTCGACGCGCCGGAGCGCGGAGAAGAAGAGAAGAAATCGAAAGGATAATAGAGAATAGAGAAAAGAGACGCCCGCAAATACTGCCGATATAAAAAAAAAAGGGAATAAAGATGTTTTCGAGAAGTGGAAAAGTCCTTTCTGGAATCTGGTACGGCCGTGAATGAAAAAAAAAAAAAGCATCCATGATAATTGGAAGAATACGATAATGAATGCGCCGCGGAAACAGAAGAAATAAGTAAGGCAAACGCCGTATCTGTTCCATGCATATCGACTGCAATGAAGAAATGTTGGAAGTTCAGTCGTAGACGTCACGCTGCCAGATGCAAAATGAAAAAAAAAGAGAAATGGCGTCTGGGACGAAGATCATTCCAACATGCAACGTAATCTGAACTGTAGCAGAAAGAAAAAAAATGCTCGACGATATCGCTTTGCGTGACAAACAATAGAAATATGAGTAGAAAAAACGAGACGCCTGCCGCCGAAAAATCCTCAAGGACTAACTTATTGAAAGACATAACATAACATGTGCGGAAAAATGCTAAGAGCAAAGTTCCTAATTATGCCTCGCTCTTCTTACCAGGCTTCTTCCTGGCTTGCAAGATGTCGGAAATAGAGTAAAAATGCAATGCAAATCGCTTTCTATTCGGTCTGCCGTTGAAGGGTCGTCGCACATGGCTCAGATAACGTCGCATAGCGTAACATATCATGTTCCGCTTTCACTTGGTCCACCCTCACGTCGTGTTGTTTCCTGGTTTCCTCCGGTCCCCCCTAATACTTCGAGACTTGGTCCTTGTTGATGTCCTGGATTGGACGTACCTGTGACACTTGGAAATGCTCGGTTGCTTCCAGGATACGAAAATGGAGGCGCACCTAGCGGCCTAACCCCCGCAGTTCCGGGAATCGTTCGCGGTGTATCGCCCCCAAATACCAGTTGCATCGACTGTATGGACGGTAATGTCCGTTCCGTTTCAGCTTGAGGCCGCATCTCTCCTTGTGGTGACGTTAATTCCGTCTGATCTTGTGCTGTATCCTCTATGGGCCGTTCTCTCCATGCCTGTGTCGAGGTTCCAGCCGCTCCTGAAGATTCTCCTGATGCTGCCTCCGTCGCTCTTGTTTCTGGGTTATCTACTAGCGGTCTTGGTGAGATCACCCATCCCTCACTTGTTGTGCTTCCCACAGCAGACGGCATGGGTTTATTTCCTCGTCTGGTTGCTCCCTGCCTTCCGGAAGACGAGTATTCTTTGCCTTGTGCCTGAGCTTCTGCTTGCCGTCGTGCTGACTCTGCCTTAGTTGGCCTCCCACGTCTTGGCTTTGGTGGTTTCTCTCCTCCAGAAATTGGCTCAAGCCCTGGAGTAAGCTGCGTCTGCACAGAACCTTCCGTGCCAGAGGGGCCAAGTAGCCGTGGCCGTATAGCTCGCTGGCCGGCGAAGGCTGTCCTGTCTAATGGTTGAAGCGGTCTTTTTTTGGTTGTATTAGCATCCAGTGTTGGCGCCCGCACTGTTGATATTGCCTGTGGAGCTAATCCGAAAGGCGTTTGCATGGGAGAAGACTCTTGGAACATGATGCTGTATGCAGTCTGACAGGAGTTGAGGGATCGGCCTTAAAAGAATATAATCAGCGGGGATTCTCTTATGATATCATCTAATCCGTGGACCAACTCTCTCGAGAGAGATAAGGAGGTCACAATTCAATTTATGATATGTTCACAGAAACAAGATGGGGAACTACTATACCTGGAGGCAGAGGAATTTCCGTCCAACTTGGCGAGATACGGAGATCATTTATCATCTTGAACAGATAGCTAGAAGGAACGCCGGCCTTCTTGAGTATCTCGGTGAGTAAGGCGTACTAAAACAAGGCAAAATTATCCTCTGTCAGTCTGTATGTATCATAGCCTGAACTACCACCGCATCGTTGGTGTTGGTTCCATGTTGATGTAGAATATCATGTTCCATACCTTCTCCTCCTCAGTCCATGGCCTTTCCGGTGGACTCGACATGTCCCGCCCAGCATGGAAATGAGAGGGTTCGTCTCTCCAAACCGGAAGGACTGAACAAAAGTGATGGCTTTGCGATAACTTCAAAGGACCCCACGCGAAAAGACCCCACCCTATAACCGAAGAAAGACGGAATAAGAAATGGGTCACGGAAGTCGTAAAAAAGACCAAGAGGGCCAACAAGAGCTACTATAGAGCCCACCAAGACGGGCCCTGGGTTTCTATTCCCGCTTTCCACGCGGATACGGTTGGAGCGCGCCCAGTAGGCACACCAGGCTGACGAAGAACGAGTGAACAGAGTGTGGCTTGAGCTGAATAGGCCAACCAGAGAGGCATAAAGAGAAAAGGGCAAGGGTCGGGTCGCACGCGAGAGCGTGGAGTAAACATTGATGGTTCGCCGACGGGGAACAGGATGAGTCGTTAAAACTAGGATAACAAAGAATGCACGGGAAATAAAACGCAACGGGAGGCAACAGTGATGGGAAGGACCGTTTAATTTAATCTGTATCGCCTGTGTTGTCCCGGCGGGGAGAGAATATGTGAGAAAGCGACGAGGCCGCGCGAGGGGCGGAGATAGGAGGCCAAAAATAGCCCAGAGCCTTCCAAAGAGGACAGAAGACAACACCGGACGAGAGAAGGCTTCCCAGGAACTACTGAGTCAGGAGAGAGAGAAACCAACAGTAATAGAGGTAGCCTCGTCTGGCCCTTCGTCCGCAGAACCCTGGCAGCACAAGAGGTCGTCGTACGTAGTTAGATGGAGCAGGTCGCCCGCAACCAGATATGTCCTAGATGATCGAGCAACGGTCCAGTAGTGAGCAGATCGGTAGGCGGCACGAATCAATGTTAGGCGAAACGGCCAGTCGACTCTAGGAGCATACTATGCGCAGACCTTCCGAAAGAACGACTGCTCCAGCCAAACAGATCTGGAAGGCCCGGTAGTTCTTTAGGCCAAGCACCAGGCGGGGAGAGACCCGTGCAGATGCAGATCTAGAGTAATTGAGCCACGAGCGGTAGATCGAGAGAGGCAAGACAGAAGCCAAGAGAGGCTGCAGGGGAGCTATCCAAGGCGATATGACACGGCAGTGGATATACAAAATAAGTGGGTTCAGTGCATGCTCGCTTCTCGGGACGGCTGCACCATACTGTACTCATTTAATCATAACAATTCCTTCTTGATCGCAGAGCAGACGGCATCACCGCCACCACCAGGATCCAAGAGGGGGAATACAATACGCCTTGGACGCAGCCGGGGCGAAGGAGCGAACAGGGTGGCCAGCCGGAAGGTTAAAATCGGGTCCTGGAAGACAGTGGAACATCCGTCGACGACTTCCCAGACGGACATCCGTTGTGCTTTTCCCTTTTGCTCCGTGGTCAGTATTCTGACGGAGGTTCTTTTAACCAGGTTGAGATTGGATTCTGGCCATCAAAGCCGGTTCGGGGGGGGGGGGGGAAACGATGGCAGAGCCCCTGGCGGGATAGCGCGTCTGCGGTGTGGTCCTCTTTTCTGGCGAAGCAGAGAGTACAGAGTATACCGAAATCAGATGAGGGCACTGGGACTAGAACACGTCTGGAGCTCTACTCTCTTTTTTTTTCCCGAGAGACGTTTGACACTAGAGTAGGTAAACTTAGGTTGGCTCCGGGGCAGATGGCACAGGCGATCCGTCCCCAAGCAAGGGACAGTGCGAGACCAGCGACCAGAAGCGACGAGGAACGATGGGGTGGACCTGATCAGCTCCTTGCGGTCTCAGAGACGTCCACGAGGCAGAATCATTATTATTGCTATTGAAGTCGTCCGGAGTGCCGGGGAGAATGTCCATATTGTCCATCCTGTAACCGAGGAATCGACCCGGCCAGCCAACCCCCAGCTAAACCACCGACGATGGAGGATCGGTAATAGTTCAACTAGATGACTCCTAACGATTCAAGTAATGCTGTTGGTGGAACTTGCTGCACAAGGAGAAATCAGGGAGGGCGATGGCCTGCAGCAACTGGAGCTCGGGTGCGCCACTTGCATGCAGCCTAGTAGGGTAATCATAATACTCTTTCTGTCCTGAAAAAGACAACAACGATATGATGATAGAGAGAACAAGTCGAGCGCAAGAGCACGCAAGCTGCCCTGCGTGGAACCTGACCGCCGGTGTTGCTGGCTTCACTGGACAGTTGGACCCCCGGAAACATCCCTATGTCATCAGTGCTATTATTATTCTCTTCTGGCGTCTAAGAGCGCCGTCAACCATCCCAACCAGCGTTATACAGCGGCAACATTGCACAGAGTACAGCGCCAGGAAGTACAGGGTACGTCGCCTTCGGTGGACCCGGAATGGCGCCTGCAAGTCGCAGCAACCGGGGACGTTAGTACCGACTCAGTTTAGCATCTCCATCAAACTTCGCCTGCAGACGCGGGAAAAGTAAATTAAATGCAGAATGGAGCCAAGAGCAGTCGATGTGAAACCAGCCGGACAAGCAAAGGCGGGACCTCCCTGTTCCTGCGCGATCTGCTGGCAAGGAACCATGGCCCATGATTGTTGTTCCGGACAGACGATATCCTGCATCGATACCATGGATATCGTGGATGTCTGAGAAATGCGCAGTTGCTCGCTCCCCAGCCCCTCTCAGCCGGATGTCATCCCCCTCTCTGCGCATCGCCATCATGGCGGTTGGGGATGGGGTATGTATCATCATGGGACGGTGTCTGAGCGATACGCCCCGATGGAGGATCGAAGGTAACAATGGATGCCTTCCACCACCAACCGTTGCAGACGCTCTTTGGTTGACTGACCCCGATGGGATGATATCGAGCCGTCTGTGCAGCATTCTAGTCACGCTGAGTCGTGCAGTATTAGCTCCATGACGCCTCTTGGTTCTGCTCCGGGAGATCGATGCATAGATTTCAATCAACCATCACAGCTTTAACCAGCAGTAGCGGCTCCCTGAGCGGCCCGTTCCACGCACAGCACCCGTTCATGCCGGGCAGCATCCAGATCTGTCGAGACCTCACCATCCAGAGCCTCTCTATCTAGCTGCTGTCGTCCAATCTAGGAGCGTGCGGATGATCGCCTTTGCGACGTATCCCCGCCAGTTCTGCGGTCCCCAGCAGCTCTTAGCCTTGCCAGAGCAGCATCCCGACCACGAAGCTCCTCCCAGACTGCTGTGAAGTTGATTACTCTTTTCAGCTCAAAGACATTTCCCCTCCAACCCCGCGTTGTTGGGGGGAAGGCCTACCAATGAGCTCATCTCGTGAAGCGCCCTCTGTCAGAACAGACCTCACGAGGCCATTTCTCGCCGCCACATTGTCCCGAATCTCGGATACCTCTCAACCACCCGTCTGCTGGGTTGGACTGATGCTGTGAGTGCATAGCTGACAAACGCAGATCTAGGGGCGTCTTCTCTCTCTTCTCGGGCACGGGCGTGCCCCTCGTGGCTGGCGGTGCAACAACCCATAAGTACGACGTCTTTTTCCCAAATAAGTTCATCTGAAACGGACAAAGAAACAACATCTGATGGATCCAGAAGGCAAGGTAAGTAATAGATGAGCATGAGCCATGGTCTTCTCCCTGTCCCTTCTCCCTCAGGGTCTTGCTCAGCCATCTTTATATTTGGGAGAGCCTCTCTACACCGCCCTCCAGGCTTTTGCGGCAATCACAGTCCCCAAAACCATGATTGTGTGACGCACGGCCACGTCGATGGCCTCGATAGAATTAAAAAAAAAAAAAAAAAAAAAAAACCTCCGATCTTCCGCCGCAGAATAATCAGCCTGTGTGGTTAGACGCAGCCGCGGCGGCTGCAGTGCCGTGCCAGCGATGACCGGAGCATCTTCGTCTACGCTTCATCGACTGGCTAACAACAGTTCCAGTGGAGGTGCAGGGATAGCGGGTTGGCACAGCGCGATTCTCATATGTACGCTGCAGGAGAGTACGGCCAGTTCTTTCTTTTGTCGTTTATTTTCAAGTGCCAGCATCGCTTGGGATGTCGATCTGTTGGCGTGAAGAGCCCAGAAATGCCCTATAACTATGGACTCTTCGCTTGCTTTCTCCTAACCCTTTTCATTGGGGGTTGATGTTATCTATTATCATTTATCTATCTGCTGCTGTACTGCTATTGGAGATATTGGATATATTTATTTTCTTCGCGTTGAAATTTCTGATGTGAGCTGCGAATATAGATGCTATCGTCGGGGCAGGGGAAAATGCTGCAGAATCCATTCGGCATGGCAACCGTATATGTGGTCCAATGTGAGCGTGCAAGACATCTTGCGCATAACGAGGAAGCTCTGCTTTAGGTACACAGTCAGATTACAATGAGAGATGAGCTCGTGCATTGATTCACAGCAATTGAGGCGGCAATTGTATGTAGGAGCGCAAAGGCCAGCGGCGAGTCGGAAACCGCCAGCGCAGGATCCGGCCGTTTGGCTCTCTCATTCCCCCATCTAGAACTCGCAATCTCCATCCTCCTCTCTTTCATTTTGCAGCCTCCCATCTCCCTGCGCCACGGACTATTACCACCTTGACCAGGAGAAGTCATGCGAGATCCATTGTGACTGTGCTGGCCTGTGTTTTTTCCTTTTTTTATTTATTTCCTTTTCTGTTTTCATCCCGAGGTGTCGGGAGCTTGCCGAAGAAGCGCGTTCATCTGCCAACGGATTTTTCTTCATCTTGTCTCCAGGAACACTGGAAGTCATTCTCTTATTATCTATCAGTCGTGATTTGAGTTTGCTATAGTTCCGCTGCTGTTCTACGTGAATGCTCAATTTTCGTGTGGCCTGTCACTGAACTTCTGGCCTGTTTCTTTTTCATCGTGACCGGCGACCCTCTCACACGGACGCTTTGAAGGGACCGATCAGATATCTACGCGACAGTTGCTTTCTTCTTTATTTTGGGACTTCTCAGGTCACCATCATCGCGACACAGAGATTCTGATTGCGCTGCTGCTCGTGGTGGAAGCTATTTGGCGGCGCGTGCCGGCGAGGCTGACGATCCCTTTTTCGCCCTTCGCTATCCCTCAGTTTTCTTGGCGCCAACCGCGACGTCCTTCGTCAACCTTACTTGCTCGTCAACCTCTTCTTCAAGCAAATCGATCCAACCCCCGCTCCGTGTGCTGAGCATTGGTTCTAACGCGTCGTCCGTTTCGTCATGTCCTCCCATGACCATACGGACGTCAAGCCAGAATCCGTAGCGGCGGCCGTAACAGACATCAAGCTGGAAGATTCCGCTGATAGCCCCGACGTTAATGGAGGCTCCCGAGATGAGTCCGCGAGCAAGGGCTCGGAGTCACCTGCGGGCTCCAAACCCGCTGCTACGGCGGCCACGAACGGAGTATCTTCGTCCTCTGTAAAGCCAAGAAGCGCCCCGCGTTCTCCTGTCAAGAAAGATGGCGATGACAGCGAGGTCGAGGAGAAGGTGGGCGGCGACATCACGGTCAAGATGGAGCCCGGCCAGCCTCCCAAGCTGTCTCGCAGTGCCTCACAGAAATTTTCGCGACCGCCTCAGCTACTCAATCATTTGCCAGATAGTACCGCAGAGGCTCAAGCTACCTTCCAGATGATGGAAGAGTGTACCTATGCTAACAAATATATGGGATACACGGAACACGCGATGGATTGCGATTGTGCTGAGGAGTGGGGTAAGCTTCATAACCCCCCATGTCCATCATTGAAATTTTCCCCAATCCCTTCTGCGGCCCGACTATCATTTTGCATACCGCTTCTACATTTGTATTGACTTGTCCTGATCTGGTTTTTGGTGTATTTTCTATTTCTGACAGAACCGTATATTTAGACCCTGTGGCCGGTAAAAATCATGCATGTGGAGAAGACTCCGATTGTATTAACCGCGCCACGAAGATGGAGTGTGTTGGAGATTGTGGCTGTGGATCGGACTGCCAAAATCAGCGATTCCAGCGCAAAGAGTACGCGAAAGTGGCTGTCATCAAGACGGACAAGAAGGGATTTGGACTCCGCGCCGAAACTGACATGCGGCCCCATCAGTTTATCTTCGAGTACGTGGGCGAGGTGATCAATGAGGCTCAGTTCCGACGTCGCATGCGCCAATATGATGAGGAAGGCATCAAGCATTTCTATTTCATGTCTCTGAGCAAGGGTGAGTTTGTCGATGCGACAAAGAGAGGCAATCTGGGCCGTTTCTGCAATCACTCTTGCAATCCCAACTGTTACGTGGACAAATGGGTGGTGGGCGAAAAGCTCCGTATGGGCATCTTTGCCGAGCGGCACATTAAAGAAGGCGAAGAGTTGGTCTTCAACTACAACGTCGATCGTTATGGAGCGGATCCGCAACCATGCTATTGTGGCGAGCCGAATTGTACAGGATTTATTGGCGGCAAGACGCAGACAGAGCGTGCTACCAAGCTGTCAAACGCGACTATCGAAGCCCTTGGAATTGAAGATGCAGATGGTTGGGACACCGCTGTTGCGAAGAAGCCGCGCAAGAAGAAGACCGGTGAGGATGACGAGGAATATGTCGACAGCGTGCAGCCTAAGTCGTTGGACGAGGACGGGGTCACCAAGGTCATGGCAGCCTTGATGCAGTGCAAGGAGAAATGGATCGCCGTGAAGCTGCTTGGCCGTATCCAGCGTGGTGAAGACGAGCGTGTGCGCAATCGCGTGGTGAAGATGCACGGATATCAGATCCTCAATTCGCAACTAAGCACATGGAAGGATGATCATAATGTCGTGCTTCAGATCCTGGATATCCTGGACAAGTTCCCTCGGCTCACTCGCAATAAAATCATCGACTCCAAGATCGAATCTACGGTACAACCGTTGACTCACTGTGGTGATGAGCGCGTGGAGAAGAAAGCTGCTGCCCTTCTATCCGTTTGGGCGACGCTTGAAGTGGGCTACCGGATTCCGCGGATGAAGAGAGACCCGACCGCGAATGCACCAGCTTCAGCCGTGAATCAGTTCGCACGTCGTGAGTCAACTCATGACGAGCGAAAGAGATCCAAGTCGCGCTCACGGTCAAGATCGCGGTCTATCGAAGCTCCTCGTGGCCCTGCTGCACAGGGACGTGGCGGCCATGGACATCGCCCCAGGCCCTTCCGGCGCCAATTCAATCCCCTACCTCCAGGCTGGTTTGCAGCTGAATCGAATGGCAGGACGTACTATTACTCTGCTCGAGGCGACACTACCTGGACAAGGCCAACCGTGCCCGCACCGCAGCCCCCTCCGCCTCCTAAACCGGAATCGAAGGATAAGGCACTACAAGATATCATTGACGGTATTATGAATGCCAAGGAGCACACACCGAAAGAGAAGACTGCGACACCCGCAACACCCCAGGGAGCCAAGCCATCGTCAGAGAAGAAGGATAGCAAGGAGAAATGGAGGACTTATAGTGAGGAAAAGCAGAAGAGGCTTTACGAAAATACAGTGAGTACATCACTTTTGCTCTATTTAAGACTATAGACTGATCTCTCTCTAGCTCTTCCCTCATGTCAAATATGTGATGGACAAGTTCAAGCACAAGCTTCCGAAGGAGGAACTTAAGCGCTATGCGAAAGAGGTGAGCCGATCAAAGCAAACCAAGAGACATAAGAATTAACACTAACATCTGCGCTGCAGCTAGCAAAGAAACTTGTTAACTCGGATTTCAAGAACAATCGCGTTGAAGATCCAAATCAGATCAGTGAAAAGAAGCAGAAACAGGTGAAAAAGTTTTGCAAGGAGTACTTCGATAAGGCTGTTGTAAAACACCGCGAATATGAGAAGAAGAGAGCCGAGAGGAAGGCCAAGGAGGCTCAGGAGAAAGGGGAGACTCCGACGGGCAGTGAGACCAAAGCGGAGGCAGACTCTGCAGCGGCCAAGGAGGATGGAAGTGATGATGAGGACTTCAAGATGTCCGATAATGAAGGGGACGACCCTAAACGCGAAGGGGGAAGTCAGACATCGACACCTCCAGCACCTCCACCACCGCCAGGAGATCCCGAAGACGAAGCTGAACAGGAAGGCGGCAGTCTCAAGAGAAAGCGTGATGGCAACCACGATGATAAAGCTGGAGACGGCGAACACTCTCCCATTAAGAGGCCGAGATCGCAAACACCTCCGCCGCCGCCGCCGCCTCCTCCCGAAGAAGCCACCGTCGACGAGAATCGTGACGAAGATCATCAGATGGGTGGGCATAACGATACATCAAATGGCAAGATGGTCTTGGATCATATAGCTTCGGGTGATTTCCCACCCGACCGAAAAGACGAACTCAAGCCTTCACAAATGAGCATCGAGGGAAAGGTATAGCATTAGCCAGTTTCCCTCGGCCAGTGCCTTGAAGATGACTTCCATCTACGCCATCCACTATATTTTCTCCGATTCTAAATCTCCTCCTCCTTATACCCTCTCATCCATCCTGGCCTATCCCATAATTACCTCGCGAACACCATGTCTTTCTAGAATGTGATTAGACCATATTCTTGGGGAAAAACCACTCATGTATTATCATCCATCTACAGCACTAAACAGTTTCAGTGCCGGATCATTATCATCATCATCATCATACCCAGGCGGCGCAAGTTTTCTTTTCTCTTTTTTTTTCCTTTTCTGTTTTCTTTCCTCTCTCTTTCTCTCCATTAGCTGAATCTAACAGGGGACGGCTGATGGTCTTTTTTCCTTCCTCCCTTCCTTCTTCACATTATATGTCTTAAAAAGGAAGAAAGAAAGGATCAAATTCCGCTATACCCCTCCCCGGCTCCTCCCATCTATCTCTTTTACGTAGGTGGAACTGTGCTTGGGGTTTTTATTTTGCTTTTTGTTCTTTTCTTTTCTTTTCCTTTTTTCTTCCCGAGATGTATTAACGCTCTTGTAATCTTGAACCAAAAATGAAGTAGAGAGAGAGAGAGAGATAAGGGAGGGAAGGAAAATAAAACAAAAAGCAGTGTTGATTTTATTTTATACATATGTGCACTTCACTTTGCAGCATTTACGCATAATACTAGTAATAACTACTATTCTCATAGAGTGTAAGAAAGAGAGAGAGAGAGAGAGAGAGAGAGAATGTCAAGGCTCCCAAGTATTAGATATTCAACCGGATGTAATCTATATAATATAGCACATAGCATGCCGGAAATAGTTCTAATATGCATAGATGCGGTGGTTCAGAGCCAGTAAGTAAGTAGATGACAACGGGTTTTGGAACAGGATATCTGTTGAAGGAAAGATCCTCCCTCTTTCTCCCAGATATGAAAGATGATGGATAGTAGGTTAGGAGGGGAGCACAACATGCACTGGTGTAGGCCACGGCGAGAAGGTGGTGGTCTGGCATGATGCACACACACAAAGTGGATGGAGTGTTATGAGCACAGCCATTTCAACTCCCAGACTTTCTCCTGGCCGTGTTTCTTTCTCAGCTTGAGCTTCCGTCACAATCCAAGCTATTGCGGGGCTCATTCTCATCCTCAGCCACTGAAGTTCCCGAGCCGTCTTTTTAGAACATTCATCGTCATCGTCATCATCATCCGATCTGGCATGCGAGAAACGAGATCCGCTACGCCCAAAGGAGAGTTGAGTACATTGGAATCCAGAAGGGTTCCCTTGCTTTCTTTTTTTAGTAGAAACTCTCAACCAGACTTTCCTTGTTGACATTGCCCATGCCCAGACCCTTCGCCTCCATCTCACCCAGGCGGAAGACACTTTCGACGACGCTCAGCTCAGTGGCAGTCGTATCGAGTCCAGTAACAGCCAGCCAGTCGTTCACCACCATACCGGCACCGACAACGGGGCTTCCGCGGTTGACACTACCAGCAACGAGGGGAACCTGCAGAAGCGAAGAGAGCTCGTCTTGGTCACGAATGGAGGTCTTGGGATGGACGATACCACCCTGGTTTGAAAGGGCCATGTATGAACCCGTCAGGACGTTGTCGGCGATAGTCTGACGGAAAACTTCGACACCAAGTACATCGGCAATACTAGTAGCGGAGAATGTCAGTCCGAATCTCTTTTCTGGAGATGAACTTCGAGAGGGGGAAAAAAAAAACACTCACATTTCCTCCGTCTCCCTCTCCAGATCAGGATGCACGAGCGCGACGTGATCGTTGCAGCAAATGACGTTCCCGAGCGCTGATAGACGCTCTTCTATCCGTTGTATTTTGACTGAATCTGGTAGTGAATTTCGCAGATGCTGCAGTTCCTGGTCTGTGGTGGAGGTTGGGACGAGAAGACCTTTGCGGTTTCTGCATCGCGGGTATTCCGTCAGTCTTTCGATTCCAGCTATTCCTCCTATCTTCAGGAAACGAGCAATGTAATATAGAAGGACCTACCCAGCAGTTAACCGACCGACAATGCGGGTACCGGCGATGGTGGCATGGCAGATAGGAATGACATCCTGGAGTTCGGCCTCGAAAACACTATGTACGAAAGAAAAAATCTCAGTATATTTTGACCCCCAAGTAAAAGTCTCTCAGGACGAATAGTCACTGAAGGGACCCCCAAAAAAAAGGCGGATTGGCTCAATAAGTACCTGTAAAAGTTCTCCGACGCACCGATGGCCACGAGGGCGTATGAGTTGGTGAGAGTCGCAAAGACACCGACCCTGCAAAATCCCGTCAGTCACATACTCCATATATATATATAATCCCATTTTGAAAAGTAGCGCAGCATAAACGAAGGTCACGATATAGAACTCGCGGGGTGTACCGTACTCGTTGGAATTCTCGAATTGCGCACGCACAGCCATGATTGCTATTCGTCCTGGGCTCGAGTTTCGATAAACGACGGAATTATTATAGGGGAAAAGAAGGAGAGATGAACAAGATCGTCGAAGGCCCGAGGGGAGATGAATAAGAACGTAAGAAAAAGATATGAAGTTCTTTCACAGAGGTTCGTCAAAGAGGGGCAGTGACGTCGGGAAGCGACCGATTCGATTCGTCCCGAAAAAAGAAAAAAGAAAAAAAAAGTGCCGTTTGAGTATTAAGTATCTCAGCAGCAAACACGGGCTGTCTCTCACAAGAAGAAGTCTTCTGGATATATATCACTAAGAATATCTGGTATTAATTTAATTCTCCCGATTTTTTTGCTTTTGTCCCCGCTTTGTTTCTTTTCTTCGTTCGGGTGGGGGACGCTAGACCGGATCTGAGTCAGAAGTAAGAGTCATCGTGATCCAGAATGAGAAATTCAAGTCTGCATTAATATTGCCACAGATGGAGTCTTGGTACATACAGGTAGGTAGTTAGTTAACTCCCTCTGGAGTAGACTAACTAACTATGACTAAATACTAAGTTAGCCAGCTACAGCACATCTCCGTCAGATTCCAAGGTAGAATATTCGAAATGCTCTGATGCATGCCTGTGCCCAATTACCGCTAGCACGGCTTGACGATAATATACACACGTTCTGTTGATACAGTGATGCCCATGTAGACACATGTAGAGAGAAAGGAACAAGCAGGACGACAGAAAGACAGGAGAAAAGAAACACAGAGACAGATAGACATGCAACCGAACCATCGCCCCCCTTTGATTGTATGGTACAGGGCAGGAAAGACCAGGAGAACCGCCGCAGTAAAAAGAAGATCAGAACAAGACGTAAAAGATCTCGAAGGAACAAAACCACCATCAGCACGAGCCCAGCTATGGTACAGCGGACAACGCCCCCTTTCCCGCCAAAGAGCACAACCAACAAGAAACGGAAACAAAACAAAACAAACAAGACACAGGAAACACGAGTCCTGTCCCGGACTCGGGGAGAGTGGGACAGGATGGGGAATCAAAAGAAAGGGACAGGACAGAAACAAAACAGAACAAAACAAAACAGACAAGGCAAGACAACCACATCATACCACACCACACAACAAACCACCACGGGTCCCGTTACCCCCTTAGTAAGGGGGCCGGTGACCCGGGGCCGCTGGGCCAGGCGGCGGAGGCGGCGGCGGAGGGTAGTAGAGAGGGGGCCCAGGGAGGTACCCCGGCAGCGGACGCTGGAAATTCGACCCCTTCGGAGGGGGAAGTTGGGGAGCTCCGCCGGGAGCAACGAACGGGTCTGGGAGCCCGAGTTGCTCGTTGATCGGCGGAATCTGGCCAGCGGGCAGGAGGCGCCGTTGCTGCTGCTGCTGCTGCTGCTGTTGCTGTTGCTGTTGCTGCCGCTGGGGAGCCGCGAAGAGGAACGAGCGCGGATCCGTCGGCCCATGAGCCATCTGCGGAGTTGGCTGTGGCAGAATGGCTCGATGGGCCGACGGACGCGCCGACTTGGCTTGTTGTTCCTGCTGAGCTCGGTGCAGCTCAGCGGTCGCGGCGTCCGCCAGGGCGAACATGGCAGCCGGCATTGCCTCTGGTTGTTGAGGCTGGTTGTTGACTGCCTCGCTGGCCCGGATCAACAGGGACAAGATATCGGCGCCGTGGGGGCCCGGGGTCTCCTGGTTGATCTCCTTCATCTGGGGACTAATGTCCCCTCCCAACTTCGCCCGCTGAACGAAGTCGTCCCAGCCGTAGCTGGCCCGCTCGTACGCAGCGGCCCCAGCGGGGTCCCTTACGAAGGAGGAGTTGTACCCTCGCTTGAACTTCTTTCCCGCGGGGGGAGCGAAGCCGCGCTCAGGTTCAGACTCCGAGTCGTTGGTTTCCGTGTGGTCGTCGTCCTCCGCCTGCCGGTAGCCTTCGATAAAGGCCATATATTCGCCTTGCGCGGCCAGCAGGTGTTCTTCTTGAATATGTAGAGCCGAAGCCTGTTGTCGTGAGAATTAGCAATAATCTAAAGATGGAAAGAAGGGAAAGGAAAAGGAGATCAACTCACTCTAAATTGCCGTTCGAGGCGCTCCTTGTTCGCGGCGAAGAGGATCTCTGCCTCTTCCACCTTCAGCTCGTAGCTGCGGCGGAGGATTGCTTTCCGTTGCTCCAACCGCTTCTTCAGGTCCCGTTGGACCTCTTCGTGCTCCTTGACTTGCAAGTGAGCGTTTTTGTCGCGAGCCAGGCGCTTGTGAGATTGCGTTGCCAGGACGGACAGGGCAAGTCGTTGTGCAGCAGCCACCTTCTTGAACACCTTGTCGAGTTCTTTCTGGCGTTCCCGGAGTTTCAGTGTAGCAGGGCTAGGAGAAGGTGAACGAGAAGGAAAGTCGTATTCAGTGTCACTGCCATCGCCGCGTCTCGCTCCTCGTCCGCCGCGTCCTCCACGGCCACGGCCACGTCCACGAGCGCCTCCACGCTTCCCACCACGTCCTCCACGTCCAGTTGCTCCGCCGCGTCCACCACGGCCGCGTCCACGTCCACGTCCGCGGCCACGACCTCGGCCTCGATTATTGGCCGGCGCAGTATCATCTTCAGGAGTGTTGCCGACTTCTTCTGTGATCTCGCGCGACTCAATCTTTTCTTCGTGTGCAAGTGAGGGTGAAGCAGGACTCTCATCATCGCCGTTCTGTAGCTGTTGCTGCAACGCATGTTCAGTCTCGTCTTCCTCCATTTTCGGTTTCTTGTTAGAGTCAGGAGAGTAAGAAGGATCGGCATCGTCTTCATCTTCGAGTTTCGCAGCCCTACGCTTTCTCAACCCGGATGCAGTGGTAGGTGTGTTCTTGAGATCACGTGCGCCAGCAGTAGATAGTTCTCCAGTATCGGAAGCCCGACGATTCTTGGTAGAGTGCTCGAGAGCGTCATCAGACGCAGGTACAAAAGAACCAGGAGAAGAATGATGTTGGGCGTTTTCAGCAGTGTTGGCAGGAGGCGCAGAAGTAGGAGATAAGGAATCACGAGTGTGATGGTTATGAGAAGTGTTGTTAGCCTCTGCAGACTTCGCGGCACCTTTGTTCCGCGTTTCACGACCAGGGAGGGCCTCTCGTTCTTCGGGAGCGATCATCTCTGCCTGATGGTCGTTCGAATGATCTTGGAAGTCTGGTTGATGGATAGAAGAAGAAGAGTTCGTCACCACTTTGGAACCCAACCTTGCTGACTGCCTGGTAGTACGAGGAGTTTCCTCCATAGCAATGCTCCGTCTCGTACGCTTGGAACGAGGAGTTTCAGGTTCGGGTTCATGAGAAGTAGCAGCAGTAGCTTCAGCAGAAACAGCAGCTCCGCGTCCACGGTTTCCGCGAACACCGCGAGCAGCACGATTACCACGCGTGCCACGTGCTCTAGAACCACGGCTGCGAGGAGTGGAGCCAATTGTAGAATCTGAAGATGAATGTTAGCCATGAAGCTATGAAGACCATCGTCATGAATAGTTACCGAAAGTGGACTCGGGACCTTCAGCAGAAGCAGTAGCAGCGTTGTTGCGAATCTCCACGGCATGCTCTTGAGCAGCCTCTGATTTGCGTTTCACGCCAGCCATGGCTGACTTCCTGAGCGTTGAAACGATGCAGTCCTTGCGTATTCTGTAGAGTCTTTAGAAACGATGCAGTGTAGAAGAAATTTTGATGTTGGTTCTGGGAGAGGGAAGACGTGGAAGAGTTGAAGAGTTGAAGACAGAGAAGTAGAGGGTTGTAGGGATTTAGATACAGTAAGTAGGAAGTCAGTAGTGGGGGACAAAGAAAACACCAGCCTCACTCGGATCCACAAGAAACACTTTCAGGAGAGCCAATCAAGACTTGGGTAGGAACACATCAGAGATCGAGGTCTAGCTAATGTGAATGGGAATGAAAATGCAGGTGGTGAGATCTGCTGGGGAACCAGAAGCGTCTGGGACTGGGAAACAAGGAATTGAGAAATATGGGAACAAGAGCGATGCGCGATGAGAAAGTAGAAAAAGAAAGGAACACAGTTTCTTACCTTTAGACCTGCCAGTAGAGCCGTCGCGATAGAGGCTAGTTTCTAGTCGCAACAATGCGTCTAAGAAAAGAAGCAGTATCGCCGAAGCAGAGGTAAAATTTAGAAAGCCGTGGCAAGAGTAAGTAGAGAGAGAAGATGGATCAAATAAGATGGAAGATGTTGTGACGAGGCGCGACGAGAATGTGCTTTCTCGCGAGATCTTCAGGATAAAGTACCAGTAGAGCTCTCAGTCGTAATTAGGTCGATGAGAGGTATTAGATCACTGGAGCTGACACGATCAGAGAGTATGTCTAGCGACTTGGACTAGTGTGGCGTAAGCAAGTCGCGGCTAAAGAGGTCGCAGATCCGCTCCAGTGCTTGAGAAGCGTATTAGAGCGATGCTGGCCGCGAAGAAGCTGATCGATCGTGACGGGAGCGACGATTAGAGATCCACGCAAAAGAACACCATGCTGCTGGCAAAAGACGATGTTGGCAAAGCAAGGGTGGGTTGCTGTTAGATCAATAACGCGCACTACCGGATCCAGGAAAAGCTTGAGGTTCGGTCCGAGACAGGGAGAAAGACCAGTAGTAAGAGTAGACACGAGGGTGTAAAAAGAGGCCGGTAGAACACAATCTACGGAAGCAGTCGAGTTCAAGGACAGCGTCCACTCGAGTCGCGCTTTGATTGAGACTCTTTCTCTTGAAACGAGAAAAAGAAGTTTTCACAGAGAGAGAAAAGACGATGCAAAGGACGACGTGGTGAAGTGTTGGACTGAAGCTGGATCACAGCAACACTGGACGGCCAGGAATAGTTGTAGTAAGAGTTCTTCTCACCCGAGTCAGAAAGCTCAGGCCAGCGCGGAAACCCACTACAGCTCAGGGACAGGAGTACCCCAGAAGATGTAAGCAGCACGCTCTGCGATGAAAAGAGCTCAATCCTATGCAATAGGATGTTGCGATTTGCATAGAACAGTGTGTTCCAGCCTTGTTATCCTGCAAGAGATTTGCCCAGGACGCCAGACGAGAAGACATGAAAGGCGCCGAGAGATGCCCGTACCAACTGTACGCCATACCGTACCGCGCCGGAATCCGTCCACACTGGTAGGCTTTTGCATCGTCTGATTGGCTCACCCTAGCCGCCGTGACAGGACGTTACCAGGGCGCCACGTCCCCCGTAATCTTCACCATCCTGTCTTTTTTCCTCAATGGCAAGACAGATCCCGACTCTGCGCTTATGGAAAGATATCATAATGTCCAAAAGACACGCAATCAATGCCAGATAGTCTAAGATATACCATGTATCTCACATTACATATTGATATACTCTTACGTACAGCTACCAAACACCCTGTAACGTCTACTGTTATAGACAGACAACGTGGCCATCTGAAGGAGATCAATCAATACTATCGAACGGAAGCAGAAATCAAAGTCGAAAGAAAGACTTGACGCTAACGCATCTATAACATGGCGCAATCGGGACACAATCCGTCACCACTGATTGCTAAATAGAGGAGGATAATAATAATAATAATAATTACCACAGTCATAGTATCATTATTATTCCTGCACCCCCGGAGAGCCGGACAAAGTTCCTGTAAGCAATCTTAGTGCCAGAGCTACTAGTCAATTATTCTCCCAGATGGCTCCACAAACAGGCTCCGGCCCACTCGGCTCTCCCGCTTTCGGTGCGAGCAAAGGTAATAATGATTAGACCTTGCCTTCGTAAAATAGATTAATGATTATCGTAGCGATGGGTTTTTAACACATAGATTAGACATAATAATACAGGAATAAGTATCATAGCATGTCCTATTTCTATAGCACGACAATTCACCAACTCTGTGTACTGGTTCTCTGGGGAATTATCAGCTGTCCTCCGGAACCAGGAGGAACAACTATAACACGTAACATCGGCGAAGACTGCATAGTGCTAAAGTAAAAACAGAGTAAAGGAAAAGTAGTGCCAGGACAACTAACTAAATGTTGACCGCAAGTGCACTGCAGATCTAGTTACATTTCTTCTGACCGTTCACGTGGACCCGACTTTCTAGCTCTCTTTCCATAGTACGAATTTTCGGAAGAGCAAAGTCTGCTTAGCATCTTGATTTGAATATTTACACGACTCATCCTTTTTTCACTCTCAAGAGATTCGGATGGTATCCATGCGTAAAGCGAGTTTGTGAGCCACAATGAACAGTGCAATATGAATATACTCTACAGGATACGGGGCCATGATTCCTACTGCACAACAAGGCCAATGAATGAAAGTTGATATTTATGGGTGAACAAAAGAGTGGCATCTGTACACTACACATTATACCTCACGACCTATAGGAGATTATCAAACCCTTTCAGAAGGCAGATCGGGTTCCTCGGATCCAAACTGACCTTCCGCGGGAATGAACAATAACCATCCCTCGTGGCGCTATATACCCAAGTACTTGACTTCGTATTCGTAAAATTTCATTATGGAAATGACAGACTGCTGCACATAGAATGTTGCAGCAAAGGGGATTGTACCAGGCGTCCTTTGCAGACTAGATGAAAAGACCCGTGCTTCTATCGTTGAGGATTATACTTCGATGCGTATTTCCGCTTCTCGTAGTCCAGTGCGCTATGTCGAATTCCAGCAGCCAAGACGAACTCAGGCATGGAGGAAACAGAATTATGATGAGCTGGTCGAGGGCGGCGACGGTCTGTCTCGCTCAAGTCCTCTGATGAGTCGATACTAGGAAGCGGCTGGGAACTCTGAAGAATACTGCTGGATCTTATCTTGCGCACTGTATGTGTGTTGATGGTCTGGCCTGCAAGAGGCGAAGCTGTCAGGACTGTTCCTGGACTAGGTGTTGGCGATGGTGATGGGCTATCGGAACGAAAAAGTGGATGTATATGGCTCTCCAAAGATACTGTCCGGGGTCGAGAGACTCCTCGAGGAAGCCCACAGCGTGGCCCTTGCGGTGACGGCGGCAAGGTAGTTGATGAACTGCTCAGTATCGACCCTGTGAGCGTATTTGCTGTTTGTGGCCGACTGCGATTAGGAAGTTGAGGTAGGGGCTTGGAGGACAGCATGCTTGACCGCAATGCCGTCTCTTTATTTTCCCGACTGACACTAGAGGTGTCCCAATTATCAAAAGCACGCTCTCGAGTGTCATAGTCTCCTGAAGCAGACTCAGGAAACGTGTGCTTGGGAACGCGTTTAGAGTTGGAGCGTCCCAGCGGGGTCATAGGCGTGATAAGCCCTGTAATGGAAGAGCGAATTGAATTCAATCGCTCAGAGCTCGACTTGAATTTCTCACGAAGAGAATATCTGCGTATTGGCGCAGAAGGTCTATCTTGTCGAATATCACTCGTCGAAGCAGTCGTTTGCCGTTCCAGGGAGGCGACCACTCGCCGCCCATTGTCTTGGTTGCTATGCTGCATTAAGGTCGCTATCAACGTGCCACAAACCAGTCCTTGAAAGAAAGAAGACATAGCCCACATCACAGTCCAGGCGATGAGAAGCGACTCCGTTCGACTGGGGAATTTCGTGGTCGATGTCTTTAGGAATTGGACGCCACTCCACGCTACCGCCCCTCCAGTGACCTCTATCGTGGCAAAGAGGTATGATACAATGGCAAATAATATCCCCTTTTCCGATGACTTCAAAGTTGTCGGTAAAACGTCTCCTCTCGCAAAAATTAACGATGTCCATGCCAGCAGAATAACGCAGCTTATGGTATTGAGCCCGACAGAAGCGAAGTCGAGAGAGTGTGGTGTTGATAGACGCCTGAGAGAAGCCGCAAAGACGCCATTCAAAACAGTCGCAGTGAAAGTCGATACAAAGGCAAAGAAAACGAACGAATAAAGCACTACGGCCTCCCGTGTCATGGCTGCTTGAAGCAAAAGTATTAAGAAGCGTGGAGGATCAACGTAGCAAGTGAATGATCTATAGAGATATTTGGAACGAGGATTATCCCGCGCCCCAGGGTCGAGGACTAATCAATGCCTCAATCAGACTGCTAGGTCTATATAGAATCATTCATTGCCAATATCGAGTTGAGAACGTAGGCCGGGTATTAGGATATCAGGCTCAGAGACAGTTCGCAAGTCGGCAATGGATATTAATGAGGCGATACGGCGTCGAGTGAACCGTAAACAAGCGGCTTCGAGCTGTTGGTATTGAATTATAAGACTAAAAGAGAGTAGAAGAACTTTCTGAGCACAGTAACTGACAACGAATGTATGGCTGCAGGGGCAACTGTAAGAGAATGTAGAAGCCCAAGGCAGCGGGGCCGTATAAAGATGAATATTATTATCTGCCTATATAACGAAGGGATGGCGAACGGTAGGTATAGATTTGAGCTCTATATATATTATATAGATTAGAGAACTCTATAGAAATTATAAGGTGATCCCGGGAAGTCCAGGATGCCTATCTAAGAATGCCATATTCCCTACCATGCAGGGTTCATGTCAACGTTTGCTCGCGCGAACAATAAATAGAGATGAAGACTAGGAAAGACCGGCTGATACACGGTTCTCTCGACGGGAACTGACGGCTGAGCCGTCCCCCGTACAAGAGAATTGCCGTCCTACTAGAATAGATGGGCTGAAACTGAGTTGAGGTTATTCGATAAGGGCCGTTCTTTTCCATGGAAGTGAAATCCTCTTGGATCGAACCCTTCTACAGATCTGCTGGAATGTTTTGGAGTTATTCCACGCATACGAACCCTGCCAATATCTCCTCATCAATAATCAGCACATCCCCAGCAGAAACTTGACCTCTGGCTTGTGGTAAAGAAGTACACCCATGTCGACTCTGTAGAGTAGAATATGCCGAGCATACCACATCCCCCGGCCATTGGTTCCGGCGACAAATTCTCCACCAGACCCCAGTGAAATCAGTAGCTCCGTGCCACGAGGATCTGAATGCTTGACCAGCTAGATGCCTGAAGGGCAGCATGGTGTTGGACGCGTCTCGCGATCTCGTTGATAGCGGCTGCTCCTAAGAAGATCCGGAGACGAACCCGAGTTCCCGATACTTCAGTGATCACCGATAAGCCAATAGTATTCTCCGCGCTGTCCACAGCCCGACTTAATAGTCTATAGTAGTACTATAGGCTAGCTTTTCTCTTCCGGGTCCATCTTCCGCTACAATTTCGAGACCGCAGAGCGAGGGTTGAAAAGCAGGTTCTTTCCCAACGCGATACCCTCACCAAGAGTCAAGGGCTTGAGATACACAATTGAATGGTGGCGGAGCCGCACGGGTCGGATATGACAGCCGTTGAGGAAAAGAACCCGCGAGTACTGGATACGAACCTCAAGCAATCAAGAGCGAATATGTCATACTGCAGATCATCGGATAGGGCAAGCGTGTCTTTGTCTAAAAGGCGACAAGGTGATATCCGTTTTTGTTTGTGCTATAGATTTTGGGAATAATGCTTAGCCTCCCACGCAGGGTTCGGCCTCAATTTCCGGGTGGCAGAATTTGACTTAATAATCATTATCTTCCGGATGCGAGACCGTGGCTCCCTAATGGCCTGTTTAAATCCGTAAGAAGAATGTAGTCATCCATTGATATTTGAAAGACGCAACAGCTGAGGTGGTGGTTATACTTATGGACCTTCCCATCTGGGTATTTGTTTGAGGATATCGTAACAAACATATGCGCATTTGCGCGATCCTTTGAATACCTAATTCAATCGTGCTCGAGGTTTCTTAGTTGCGGAAAGGCCACTGCTATCAGATGTTGCATGAACCATTCGATGAGATTGTACCCTCCGACATAACACGGAGAAATACCATAAGAATATTCTATTTCCAATACATTTCTGGTATTACGAGTTACTGAGAAGAGGTTTCTATCAGAGGCTTCGATCAGTCAAAGCGCAATAGGCAATCTATATATATTTCATCATGTTCTGGTCAACTCGATTACGACCGACATCAGCCAAAGAATTCACTAAAGCCATCTATCCAATCGACTCCCGTGGCGATTACTTTTTGCTTTATTCTAAAATCCTCCTATCGGACTAAGAGGAAATGAGGATGAGAGGGACTGTCGATGCAACGCTGCCAGGGGTTCTAACGGCTACAGGCTGCTGGATTCGAGGTCGCATTGGTCGCGAATAAGCCACCCACTGCACGTCAGATCTCTAGCAATACGAGCACAGTTAGTTAATATAGGGCACGATGTGATACCATCTCTGCTCTCTTGGCTAAACCTTCGCATTGTGTTGATGCAGCGGTAGGAAGTACGAAAGTCGTGCCTTGTTTATTAAAGAGAGCACAGCAAGAAGAAATATAATACACCAGGTGTTATTTCTCGAATTAATATGTTGCTCCTTTGCTCTGCTTATAGCAGAAGTAAAATAATACGTGATAAGAGGTGAGTAAGCCCTAGAAAAAGAGTTGAGTAACCAGATGCCATATGCACTCTGAATAATCTTCTAGGCAATCTGGTAGGTTCAGAACGCGGAAGTAGAGGTGAATACCATGATATATAGAGCCAGAGAAATGAGCAAAATAGTTATAGGTACTTATTGTTATGTGTCTGGCTCTTCTGGATAAAGATTATTCCAGAACTGACAGTTCTTCTGATCTGCGCTTTGCTTTGATTGGTACTACAGACGCTCTCATCTATTTTTGTTCTTTTGATTGGAGAAGAGGAACCTATGCTTTTCCTGCGGCTAGAATTACCTAAATATGTGCCTTATTATTTTTCAAAGGAAGCTCTTAAGGTACTTTTCAGTGTAGTAAGTAATAGCAGTGTCACTTTAATCGAAAGCACGTCGGTCAATGCAGAGTGAAGTTATAGAGCAATGACCACTAATTATAATTATACTGTTGTTATGGATTCCGTATCCAGCTTTGAGCTGTAGATGGGTAGTATTTGACTGGTTATGTAGAGATATCGCTCATAAACCTTCATGGGCTGTATTTCACATCATCCAGCAACTTGGGGACCGATGATCTATTCCAAGATAGATAATAGCAAATCATCCCATACTAGAGTTAAGCATTGTCACTGTTGCAGAAAAGAGACAGCTGATACTTACCGGCCAGTAGATATATAGCAACCTCATGGTAAAGCCTCTGTTGTGGCACAGCTGCTGGATACCCGATGGATAGAACTGGTTATCTCCGGCGGCCGTGGCGCATGAATGAATGGGGTTTAGGTCGATGTTAGCGAGGGGTGCTACGAAAGTGGAAGGCAGCGACCGCCTGCCTGGCCAACCTCATCATTATCGTCTTCTCCAGTCGCCATCCTCTTCAAGCTCACTTTGCTTCCCTCTGCCTCTTCCCGTACTGATCCTCACAGCTTTGCGGAACCTCAACTCGGCTTCTACCTGCTTGCATCTGGTCGTGGAAGCGCCTGTACTGTTTGATACTCTTCTCTTCGTGTTCATCTCGTCGGTGGCGCAAGATGAAGCTCACCTTCAAGGTATGCCAGCTTCCTGCCACCACAAAAGCTGCACCGCCAAAACTGACAATCTTGACCCTAGGATCTGAAGCAGCAAAAATTCGTCATCGAAGCTGAGCCTTCGGAGACAGTATGTCCCTCATCGTTTCTACAACCAGCGCACTGGGATTGACCGAGAGCGGGGCTAACTCTACTTTTCAGGTTGGCCAGGTGAAGGAGAAAATTGCGCAGGAGAAAGGATGGGATGTTGCTCAGCAGAAGCTAATTTACTCCGGTAAGTGCTTGATTTGTTGGGGACTCTTACTGCTGGCCAGAGATATCTTGGCCAGATCGTTTCTGCATTTCAGTGACTGACTCGTATGACTTCATCCCGCAGGCAAGATCTTGCAAGATGCCAACACTATTGAGTCGTATAACATCGAGGAGAAGGGGTTCATAGTGTGCATGGTTTCTAAGGTATGTGTGGATTGTACTGCTTGTTCCAGGAGGTCATCTAACAAAGATCTCTTCGCGCAGCCCAAGACAGCACCCTCTGCCGCTGCCTCAACTTCTCAAGCGCCCTCAACTCCAGCCAGAGCTGCTGCCTCGACGCCTGCCGCTCCCCAAGCACCTGCTCCTTCGACCTCTGCGGCCCCAGCCCCAGTTCCCGCAACACCCTCGCCTGCTGGCGCCGCCGGTGCGGCTGCCACGGCTGCAGCTCCCTTCAACGACCCGTCCGCGTTGGCCATGGGCGCTCAGGGCGAGTCTGTGATTTCTCAGATGGAAGCAATGGGATTCCCGAGACCCGAGATTGAGAGGGCCATGAGAGCAGCTTTCTACAACCCCGACCGCGCCGTTGACTATCTACTGAACGTGAGTGAGACGATGTTGTGATCCGATCCTTCACAATCTAACGTTGCTCAGGGCATTCCGGACAACATCCAACAAGAACAGCGAGCCGCTGCCGCGGCACCGGCAGAGCAACCCGCTGCTGCCCCCTCTGGTGGTGCCACTGCCACTGGCGGCGATGAGCCCGTCAACTTGTTTGAAGCTGCCGCTCAAGCTGGAACCGGACAGGGTGCGGGACGTGGAGCGCGTGGTGGTGCTGGCGCTGCTGGAGGGGAGGCATTGGCTAACCTTGACTTCCTCCGAAACAACCCGCACTTCCAGCAGCTGCGTCAGCTAGTGCAGCAGCAACCTCATATGCTCGAGCCAATCCTGCAGCAAGTCGGAGCTGGTAACCCTCAGCTCGCACAACTGATCGGACAGAACCAGGAGCAGTTCCTCCAGTTGTTGAGTGAAGATCTGGACGACGAGTCTATGCTTCCTCCCGGTACTCAGGCAATCACTGTTACGGAGGAGGAGAGAGATGCTATTGAAAGAGTACGTATTGTTATATTTTGTCTCAGTGTAAATTTCTTTCTCTAGCTAACACTTTTCTAGCTCTGTCGACTAGGCTTCCCCAGAGACTCCGTCATTCAGGCTTATTTCGCGTGTGACAAGAACGAGGAACTTGCTGCAAACTTTCTCTTTGAGCAGCCAGACGAAGGAGATGAGCAGTAATCTGTCCACCATCATTTCCCGTCTCACTCAAGTTTCCTACATCCGTGATACTCTTTTAAGGCAACTCTGTCCTCTATGAATTATGTCTAGTTGCAAGCCATCCCTTTCACGATGCAGTTCGCTGTTTCGGAGCCATGTCCGGGCCGACGTTCGTGTTCTACACCGCTTAGCTGGCTTCTCCCCTATCTTCCAACTTGCTCTCTCAGATCCCCCGAACAAAATGCAATGTCCGCCCGGTATTTTCCCCATCTGTCCACACAACCTCTCTGGTGTCGAGATCTCCTAGTGGAGACATTCCAGTCTCCTGATTATGTACTTAAGGTGACGGCCAAAATGAGCATATCATGAAATCATTCAACTTCTACCACCATGGTTCTAAGAGAAGAACAGAAATAAAACTAGCAGCATGTAATCTACTGAGAGCTCATATCTGCAGTTAATCTGCTGAGCTCTATTTCAGTCCAGCCATCAACTACCTAGCCAGTCGCATTTCGTAGACCCATAATCAGTAGCTCTTCATCTAGGATTGATAATCGATTCGAAAGGCGAATAGCTAGCTAACATAGCTGGTACAGTTAGATAGTAGGGCAGGTCTAGAAAGAAGTGGAGCTAGGATGTGGTCAAGCGCGCAGATCTGATGACCATTTCCGTCACACGGTTGTTGCCGCCGGGGTAAGTCTCAGACTCAATCTCGTTTTAGGCCCGTTGATATAACGCTCTCCCTAAGTATCTATCTAGTAGTATAATTCCAATCAAGGGAGAGTTGGGACATCTCTATTACTGTGATTGGGTAATGGACTATTAAATAAATTATGTCTTCGAACAGACGAATAAGTTAGGATATGATGGATTAGATGTCTAATTCTGAAAATGGAGGGATAGTTATAAGTTAGAAGAAGAGGATTTCTTCTCAAAAGCCTATATTAACAGGCATGCAGCAAATCCGAATTCCAATTCCAATTCCCCGTGCCGGTATCTAATGCCTTCCCACCTGTTTTCCCCTAAGTCCAATCCAGGTCCCCTGTCCTCGTGCCGTCCTTTTCCCATCCAATCTTGGTTAAGGAGCGTAACGCTTCCGTTAACCACCCGTGGTATCAATGAGGAAATGAAATTAAGGAGAAGAAAAAAAAAAGTGAAATAAAAAAAAGAAAGAAAGAAACGGAGCTGGTGATCATCAACAGCCTGCTTTCTTCACGGCCCAGACACTCAAACCTCGTCTGCCGAGGACGCGTTTCAGCGTCGGGATGACACCGTCGTCACCGAAATCGAGGTCGTCGAGATTGAGATGTCTCTCGTACGTCCAGACGTTCTGGAAACGGAGGGCTGAAGGGTCAGTTGGAGATGGCTGAGTGTATTGGTCTAGAAATGTAGCTGAGCGAGGGGCAACCAGGAAGACAGAATCCTGGTCAGTGGGATCGTCATGAGTGCTCTCTTTTGATTCGGACTTGCGGACTGCCGGACAGCTTGGAACAATCCTTTCCAGCTCCTGAACCATGTCCGGTCCGGAGATACCCATCAGATCGCGAGTGGTCAGACGGAAGGGAAGACTGCTGTTGTCACCGAGTAACCATCGCGGAGGCGAGTATGTTTTCCACCATAGCACGGTCGCTGATGGGACTGTGTCAAGATTCGCTTTAAGTGCAGGCGAACTTTGTATGTTTGTTGAAACAATAGATGGGATCTGAAGCTGAACAGGCACGATGCCTCCTTGGTGGTATATGCCCATCAGAAATCCTAGAGCAGCATTGAAGATGATCCATGCCACCAAGAATATTTTTGACTTGCGTGGTCTTACGCAAGTCAAGAGAAGAGGAATGCATGGAACCAAGAAACGAGCTTCCTGGTGTGGGAAGATCGATAAGATTATGGTGGCAGATATGGCAGATAGAGCACGTCGGTTCCTTAAGCGGACAGACACTAACGACCGCGTCAAGGGTGCCAGGCAGATCATGATGTATACCGGACCAAGAAGCTCTGGAAAATTCACGAGGAAGTGCTGATAATGAGGGTGGAGGCCATGAGTAGCTAGGTTGGCGGAATTCGAGTTGTAACGGAGATTGTTCAGAGGAGTTATAACGAGAGAACGAAGAGAGTCAAGAGTCGATATCGAGGGCGGATTGTAGAAGAAGGTGTCGGTAAGAATAGCTATCACGGTGAAGATAGCCCCGAACACTACGAGAGAGATAATGGAGAACGGTCTGTGATACGAAAGGTCAGCGACAGACGGAAACCACTTTTGCCGGGACAAACGCACTTTCGAACAAAATGGGGCAGCAATTGTAACCCGGGTATCAAGAGAAAGGCAGGAAAAGTTATTCGATTAAAGACACCAACGACCGCAACGAAGGAGAGAACGACACAGGAGAAGAAGCCCGAGTGGTTCTGTTGGCGTCCAGGTTAGCATATGACCATCAAATCAGTGCGCATAATCAAACCTTGTTTTCCACGATCCTTTTTATTAGCACCAGACCCCAGGCCACCGAGAGCGTCTCTAATGAGTTGGAGAAGGTGTGCGTCTGATATGTCCAGGTGACATAAGATGATGCGACCAGAGCCAACGTCTGGAGGCGATGGCGCGGCGAGGAGACCAGCTCGTAGATGGCCCAGTCCTCGAGAACAAAGCTCAAAACGAACATCACTCCACGCAAGACATAGTATACGAGCTCTGGAGGGGGTCCCTCATTGCCGGCCTCGTTGTAAAACCACTTGAGAACGCTCATCGGCAAGCCGTAGACGATCCATAGCGGAAAGACGCTGCGGATCGGATGCGCAGATGTGAACTCCCATGTCAACTCTGCTGGATACGAGTAGATTCGCCCTATCGAGTGGGATTAGTTGCCAGTCGCATATTGGACCACTGCGGCCAAAGAAAGGCGGTCGCCAGTATTTGTTTTGTGGCTTTCGGGGCAGGGAGTCGGGCGGAGGTGGTGCGCATCCGATTCTGGGAGTGAACTCGAACGGCGACATACCTGCGAACACCTCTGGACCTTGGAAATTCTCATCAGGGTGCAGATAGCTCGGCGAAAGGGCGAAGTAGACACGAACCAGCAGGAGGAGCAAGTAGATGCGTCTCCACATTGCTCAGACGAAGATGGCAGCGTTGGCAAAGCTCCAGGGGCGCATGCTGTGTGTTGCAGAGAGGAGGTCAACGGTTATACGTTCTGAACATTGCTTGGGGGTCACAGGGATAAGTTTGAAAAGTCCGTTAAGAAAGGAGTGCAGGGAGACTGAGCGGCGGCCCGGGCCTGGTGGAGGAGGGAGTTGGTGAACTGCCTGATTCGGCATTAATTTCGTATCGGACGCGTCCAAGAGGCATGACGTCGCGAGCAGGGCGCTAGTTGTCCGTTTTAAGCGGCTATAATAATGATTAATCTCGCAAAGTTCTATCTAGATTTGCTTATAGTCGTACTAGCGAGTCAACAGTCATTCAGAGGGGAATTTAAGATGGATATGCCCTGGAGCACCGATATGGAGGACTGTTCATCCTGTCGATCTCTCAGTCTGCTGTCCTTTTCCCCTTGAACAAACAACCAACAACTCAACCAATTGTACGCAGTATTTACATGGATAAGCAACCTGGAGCAATCATTGACCATATAAGCCGGTCGTGCGAGGCAATCCATGACACTGATGCGCCCCTTTCTTTATCTTATATGCATCTAGCCAAGAAACGATCAGCAAAAGCAATATTTATGCCAGTATAAGGGACAATAATAAGAGTGTGGTCAAAGACATGTTACAGTTTCTTGGTCAGGACTTTAATTAGTAACCATAACTATTAACTATTACTCCTAGTAGGCGCGCAGGTACCCTAGTTCCTTTGCTCCTTTGTTCCTTTGTTCCTTTGTCAAAAGACTGCCATCCCAGAGACGACTGTGAGAAGAATTATTATTATTATTGTTATTCCATCACTGCTCAGTGTCTTTACCAAGAATGAGGCTCCTGGCGCTTCTAGGCAGGCGGTGGCCTGCTGCCAACCACCGGCTTCCCTGGGCCGCCGGGCGGGGGCGCAGTCCCCAGACAGTTCAAAGGCTCTGGTCGGCAGTTCAGTATTCTCCGTCACTGAACAATCACCGCCTTCTTGTCACTGCTAGACTCTAGGCATCTCCGACAACACTTGACGCCTTTGTTCTCCGCTGTCAGGTAGAAATTCTGCTCTAACCTCCATCTTCGGTTCACTTCCACACCGTCACGAATCGTCACGCTGCGAAGCATCTAGGTAAGCTAGCTCAACCCCGCCCTCCATCTACTGGGGCAGCTGAATGCAGAGTAGAGTACTTGGAGACAGGGTTGACATATCGAGCAAACAGAAACCGAGACAGAAAATTTATTGTCACCCGACCGTGCTGCAGAAACAGCATTTCTTTTCAAAATGGCCACTGCTACTGGTTCCAACATGATCACTTTGACCAGCTCTGATGGCGTCGATATCACCATCGGTGGGTTTCAACAAGTGGTTCTCGACTTCAGACTTGTTGCGAAGTCGCTGGTTGATCTAGGTTAATTGATGCTGACTTGGATGTGAACAGAGCGCGAAGTTGCGGAGCGGTCCATTCTGATCAAAAACATGCTGGAGGATCTGGGTGATTCTGGCGAGGCTATTCCTATTCCCAATGTCAGTGACCTATCGCAGGTCCATCCGTCGAAGAGAAACATACTGAGACAGATCGCATAGGTCAACGAGTCTGTCCTGAAGAAGGTCATCGAATGGTGTACTCACCACAAGAACGACCCTCCCAGCACCGGTGACGAGGACGACTCCCGCCGCAAGACGACGGATATCGATGAGTGGGACCAGAAGTTCATGCAGGTTGACCAGGAGATGCTTTTCGAGATCATCCTGGTATGTTTCGAACGATGTGGCACTCTGTCTGGGTCGTAGGGAAAGCTGACTTGAGTGCAGGCTGCCAACTACCTCGATATCAAAGCTCTTCTCGACGTCGGCTGCAAGACAGTTGCCAATATGATCAAGGGCAAGTCCCCCGAAGAGATTCGCAAGACCTTCAACATCCAGAATGACTTCACTCCCGAGGAGGAGGACCAGATTCGTCGCGAGAACGAGTGGGCTGAGGAGTAAGAGCTTCCTGTTTAGCCACATGTCACCATGGATAATTTAGACTGACTTTTTTTTTTCAGCCGCTAAACGACTCCATCTCGATTTTATGACCTCGAAATCATGCCGTTATTGCTATGTGACTATGCAGCCCCCGGTTGATATGCCGTGCCTCGATGGAGAGGTCTCTGATATCCCGGGTGATGGATAGTCCACGAATCTCACATCTCATCGGCGTTCTACGCATTTCGCCTTGACCCCTTCTAATTCCCGCTTCTACAAACACCAACTACACACCATCATAAATTGTTTCCCAATCACGGGTCGTTATGCTTGCTTTGCCTTGTATTGCTTGTATCGGGTTCAGGAGATTTTACGAATACATACCCTGCGCAACTAGCTTTGCCAAAGTAGATAGCGTAGATGCTGTTGGGATTCTTACCAGCAACATAGCACCCCCGCAACTTCCAATAAATCGTTAAGTCACAAGGTACGTCAGATTTAAGATAGAACAAGATGCTATCTTCGTCTGGCGTAGTCACAAGTGTATTTATATTCCAAGGAAACCACCTTACTGTGCTACCATGTGTATGTTGATGGGCAATACTAGAATACTGTTACAACTAGACCTCCTTTATGTCTTTTTTTCAAAAGCCCTTAGCATATTTCAACATTCGCCTAGACAATTACCCATATGCGTAGTTAACAACCGCATACGACAGGATGGATTCGTTGGAGAAGCCTTTCTATCATAAATTTCTCAAGACTGCATGCATGTATGGCATAGAAGCAACGACATTTTCGAATTCGACGATAATTCTTTATTCCTTCCTTTCCCTGCCGATAAAACTGACATGAACAAATATGTATTCACTTGATATGTCGATCACTTTTTTTTCACCGCTCATTACCATGAAATTTTCTTCTTTTTGGGTTCTTTAGAAATAATCTCGATTCAGTACATGCAATGTCCGAACCAGAGATCTGACCTTTTCGTCGCATACGTCTCATATCCATTTCCACAAAAAGTTCCTATCGGAAACCCCTCCTCCCTTCATTATCCTGTCGTCGCTAACATGAACCGTATTCCGTCAACCCGTCTTGTTTTATTTTTGTTCTTTTTTCCATTGCCAGTCCTTCCTTTTTTTCTTCCCATGCAGTTCCGTTCACACGATTTAAAGGAGAGGATTTCGGGAGGCGGAATCGGTCATCAAAGAGAATCCATATACGAGGTAGCGAGACAGATGTTCAGAGAGGAGCCCGTAGGGGACGCATGTTGACTCAAAGCGAATACATATCGGGCAGAGAAAGGATGCGAAGAGTCGTCGAATCTAGATGCCGAGGCGAGTCTTGCGCCAATGTCTCCTCTTGGCGTTGTATCTGTAGTCCAGAGAGATACCAGTCAGCGATTTTATTCTTCATCGATAGTTTTATGTGTGCGTATTTCTCGTATTCGACATCCAGCCCCATGTTCACGGACGGATGGACGGAGGGGTATATCTGTCGAATTCTCGAGGGACTTTTTTCTTTGAAGAAAAAGGAACTAGGAAGTTCATTACCTGATGGTGTTGCCAGTCCTGAGACGAATCCACTGAGGGATGGGACGGTTCTGCTTCTGAGCTTTGGCAAGCTTCTGCTTGGTGCGGAAAGACTTGTGGCTCTATTTCATATATAATCCATTAGCACTTTGCTCAACTTGCGAGTTTCGACGACTGAGAATCAGATTTCTGATCCTGCCGTCAATATCAAGGGATAAACAGGGCGCTGCTAACCGGCATCTTGAAGGCTTGTCGCGATGGCGAGCTTCGATATGGACTTGGAGCGGTGGTGATGTTGTCGAACGTCGGCCAACTCGAAGCCCTTTCCGGATGGCGATTTTTGTGTGGGTAATTAGGGCTTAGTGGGTTCGCTTGAGGGAGGTCATGTGATGTGGAATTTGAATGTCTGCGCGGACTTCTGCTGACCAATCAGAGTCCGCGGTTCTGTTCTAACTACTCGTCTGTGCCAATTCAATAATGGTTGTCTACTGCTTTTTGGTGTATTGCGTGTTAAATCATCTAGCGAGAATGGGACCGTAGATCTAGCTTGCTCTATGTAGTCGGAGGATTTCGAAAGAATTATCTATTGTTTGGCTATATTGGATTCAACAAGATATCAGCTCTCGACCCCATCAGGAAAAGGTGTCCTTTAGGTGCAACGTTTGGTCTCACGGTGCATCGCAGCGCCAACAAGTTTTCTGGTCTCTCTTTCCGGGGGAAAGGACCACCTACCGCGGCTGATGAAAGAAATATGGCATTTGGAGAGGCGAGAATGGATATGTATATACATAGGTCAGTAGCGAAGCCTGTTAGGAGCCAAGTATGGTATGAGCCTGTGGATCGAACATTATAAGGGGCTCAGTGATTCTGGGACTGTAACTAAGTTAGTTATGAATCAAATGAGGGCTGATTAATATAGCTGCTTGTAGATGAGGGTATGGGATCTGGTTTTTACTCTGGTTGGTAGTAGTCAATAGAAACTTGCTTGAGTCAATAGGATGGAAGACCTCGTCGAACCCATTGATTCCCTGAGCAAAGTATTAACTACTAAGTAACATGTCATTTCCTCAAGGACAAGGAAAAGGAGGCAAGATAAGCCTCAACCATGATGTAGATGTGCTCTATATCTTATCCGAGCCCTGACTCCTACTGTATCGTGATGGCCTTATGAGCCATTGAGAAAAGTGGTAGTAAATATCGTCTTCCACATTTTCTTAGTTATACTTAAGATCATTTGCTCGAAATGGAACTGTTGGCCTCGAAAGGAACGTGATATGCTTCGATATATCAGGAATAAGTCGACTTTCTTCGGTAGTCTGCTCTTAACGCAGCAGACAGTCGACTATAACTACAAGGCAGAACCAGTGGTAAGGGACATCGAACCTATGAATCTATGATGACTTGACGGTTTTGCAAGAGAAAATAATAAACCAGGATGTTAACACAGTAATTAACTTGGTTCTTCTTCTCTATATTCCCCTTAATAAGCCATACCGGAGGGTCGGCGTCCGGAATCCCGATGCGGCATGGCGACGGACGGTGATGATTGATGGATGCCCTAATGCTCAAAAAGACAAGGCGCGGTAATGGGAAATACCTACAATAAACCTTTTGGGCAGTGACGGCCGAGATGGAGAACGCAAGCATATCCAGGTTCCACGCTAGAACATTCTAACTTGATCGCACACATTACTCGAAATAATCGAGACTTGAATTCTGAGTCAAAATATACGAGGTTACGAAGGACCCTAAGAGGTTCAAGTGACTCATTGTGAATCATATCGTCGGGAATTTATTGAATTCGGAACTGTAATCTTGCGGTGTACTAGACGTCAGGGATTATCGTTGGAAATAATACGTACCAGCATGCAATAATAATAACTAATTGATGTGGTCTGTCTTGTGTCAGATGGTCCTAGCGCATTACTTAGATCTTTGTTTCTTGGCAAGACATACTATTAGATAGAGTACTCCGTAGAGTCTACGATAGTTATAGGCTCTCCGTTCACCCTAGCATGCGTAACATCGCTGTTGCCTGAACTATAGAGACCTGCAGATCCAAGTGCTGAGAAAAAGAACAGGATAATATGCGATTACGAGAGATTCCTGAACTAGCAGGAATTTTCAGGACGTCTTTGGACCAATCTATCAACCATGGACATCATGTGGTGATGATAATACTGTAATGAGCTACTTATTATTATTAGCCTCGTAGTCATTTGTTTTTGGACATACGGAGTACGCTTAAAGTATTTTTATTATTACGGAGTAGACAGTTGCGGGTCGATCTCTACTGGAGACCCGCTTGTTCTGGTGGGTAACATGTGCCGTGTACACGAACGCACTCGTTTCATGTACCTAGTGTACATATATCTGCTTGCTATCGAAGTAAGATGTGGCCTGGTAAAATCATGGGTTTGATGACTTGTGCTTCAATAATCCCCGCCGATGTTACGCTGCGTTAGTAGTATAATAATGTGGAAGACATCTCCGACTTTCCGACTCTCCGAACTTAAAAGTCGGCTGAGACTATAATGTAATAATAATACAATACCGAGTTTTGCTTTACTGATCATCTGACATCCTGCACACCGACAACGACGCTGTTTCTGGCGTCAAAACAACCTCCTGTTGAAGAACAGCTGTTCAACAATGACGGACGAAATAATAGCCCCGAGTTGTGAGGGAGTCTTAATAAAACTAGCGTCGAACGGATCTGGTCTGTAATTTAACCAGTCTTTTCCCTTATTCCACCACTGTGGCGGGGGCGGAATCTGCTATGACTCGGGTATCGTATTTCTCGTATTCGCTATCTTTCGGCGTCATCAGCAGTGCTTACGGGCCAGCAGATCGTCCTGGTTTTCTCCTGCGCCAACAATTAATTCACCATCGTTTCGTCATGGATCCAGACTAGATCTAGATATGGTAAGTTTCTGCAGCACAACTTGTTCTGTTCTAACTTCTTACTCAGCTGTTGTATATTAACTAGTTACCGAGTTACTCATTTTCCAACTCTATGGATCTTGACGACCCTGGAAGCATCCCTTCAGGCCTTAAACACGTTTAAGTGCGGAGCGGGATCCCGACTGGGGAAGGTCCATATGCTCTAGCTCAAAGCACACGGACGTATCAAAAAAAGATGCCCCTCTTTTTTCCAGAAAAGCTCCCCAAATGTCTTAATTTTGTTAGCTAGCGGGCGGACGAAAAAGCCTAGAGATAAAGTTGTGCATAAAAAGCGTCGGGACTAGACCCTCCCGAAAGCAAGACATCTCTATCAGGGGCCACTCTTTGATCTGGTGTTTTTGCTCTGAATCCACGGTGAAGCGATCGTCCGGTTCGGTAAGCGTCTAGAATTATTCGCAGGCATCCTTTTGCGCCTGCTATGAACAAACAAATACCCCATAATAAGATTAAGGCGTTCCCCGTTCTCCTCGACGGACGGTCCGATCTGTGGTTGCACTTAACCCCCCTTCGCCTCCCTCCCTCCAGACAAGAATCATTTGGCCAGCTACGCGCCTGTTGACTGCATCCCTCTTGTCTGCACGCGTACTTACTGCTGGAGATGTCGTCTTGATAGGACTTTATCAGAGTGGCGGTTCATATAGATCTTGAGTTGCTGTCCCGTACTATCAGAAGACCGGAAAGGTAGCAACACTGGTTCCGCCACATCGTCTCGTCATTAGCAGCGTCAGTTCTCGAAAGAGGCTGCTATCGTCATTGTTTTTTTGTGTTCAACGACTGCAATCTGCTGGATCTGCAATTGATATCAGCACAGGAAAATCCACCTCGTCATGGAGGGGGAGAACGACGGAAACCCCGCTTCCCTGGAGAAGCGCGTGGACCAGGCGTTGACAAAGGAAGCTGAAGAACAGCCTCGAAAGGACGCCGCTGAGAATGAGAAAGTGATTGAGCAGCAGAAGTCTATATCGGGATCAACCGTCACGGGCGATGGGACGAAGGCAAAAGATGCCGGGTCGGGCTCCGCCAATGCAGCTGCTGTGGCTGATGCTGATGCCGTTTTCGCTCACCTCCCGGAGCATGAGAGAGAAATCTTGAAGAAACAGCTTCACTCTCCGGATGTCAAAGTGACATTCTTTGGTCTCTACAGATACGCTTCCAAGCTTGATCTCTTTATCATCTTCGTTAGCGCCATCTGCTCCATCGCTGCCGGTGCTGCCTTGCCCCTATTCACAGTACGTGGTTCATTGTTTACCAGAACGGATATCTTGTGCTCGAGGACGTGTTTACTAATACCATTGGCAGATTCTTTTTGGGCAGTTGGCCTCTGCTATGCAAGGGATCGTACTGAACTACATCCCATATCATGAGTTCTACCACCAGCTTACACATAATGTTCTCTACTTTGTGTACCTTGGAATTGCAGAGTTCGTGACCATCTACATCAGTACTGTGGGCTTTATCTACACAGGCGAGCATGTCACCCAGAAGATCCGAGAGCATTACCTCCAGGCTATCTTGAAGCAAAATATCGCATTTTTCGACAATCTTGGATCTGGCGAGATCACAACCCGCATCACGGCTGACACCAATCTTATCCAAGATGGTATCTCCGAGAAGGTTGGCTTGACGCTAACTGCCCTCTCGACCTTTGTTACGGCTTTCATTATCGCCTACGTCAAATACTGGAAACTGGCCCTTATTTGCTCCTCCACTATCGCTGCCCTTATTCTCGTTATGGGCGGTGGTTCGAGGTTTATCATCAAGTTTAACAAGCAATCTCTGGCCTCGTATGGCCAGGGGGGAACCGTGGCGGAGGAGGTGATTAGCTCGATCAGAAACGCCACTGCCTTTGGAACGCAAGAAAAGCTCGCTAGGCAGTATGACATCCATCTGGAAGAGGCCGAGAAATGGGGAACTAAGCTACAGATGATTCTTGCGGTCATGGTCGCTGCTATGTTCGGTATCATGTACCTGAACTATGGTCTCGGCTTTTGGATGGGCTCCCGGTTCGTTGTCGACCAGAGTGTCGGTGTCGGGCAGGTACTAACGATCCTGATGGCTGTCCTAATTGGTTCTTTTGCTCTGGGAAACGTGTCACCTAACGCTCAAGCATTCACAAGCGCTGTGGCTGCTGCTGTCAAGATCTACAGCACCATTGACCGCGTGTCACCCCTAGATCCGTCGTCAGAAGAAGGCGACAAGCTCGACCATGTAGAAGGTCACATCGAACTGCGAAATATACGGCACATTTACCCTTCACGACCGGAGGTAACTGTAATGGATGGTGTCAGCCTCGTGATACCCGCAGGGAAAACCACAGCGCTTGTCGGTCCTTCGGGTTCTGGAAAAAGTACAATCGTCGGGCTGGTAGAGCGTTTTTACATACCTGCTGGAGGTGCGGTATACCTTGATGGCCATGATATTCAGACACTCAATCTTCGCTGGTTGCGTCAGCAAGTTTCACTGGTCAGCCAGGAGCCGACTCTCTTCGCGACCACCATCTACCAGAACATCAGATATGGTCTCATTGGTTCCCGATTTGAGAATGAGCCCGAGGAAAAGATCAGAGCGAGAATCGAAGATGCGGCTCGCATGGCCAATGCACATGAATTTATCACAAATTTACCGGAGGGTTATGACACCCATGTCGGAGAACGCGGGTTCCTACTCTCCGGCGGTCAGAAACAGAGAATTGCCATTGCTCGTGCTGTTGTCGGCGATCCCAAGATCCTCTTGCTCGACGAAGCGACGTCTGCATTGGACACCAAGTCAGAAGGGGTTGTCCAGGCAGCTCTGGACAAGGCAGCTGAAGGAAGAACCACCATCGTCATTGCGCATCGTCTGTCGACTATCAAGACTGCTCACAATATCGTCTGCTTGGTTAATGGCAAGATCGCAGAGCAAGGAGTCCATGATGAACTGGTTGACAAGAAAGGAACTTATGCTAAACTGGTCGAGGCGCAGCGCATCAATGAGGAAAAGGATGCACGGGCTGTGGCTCTAGAAGATGAAGAAGATGAAGACGAGGCTCTGGCAAATAAAGGACTGGCGAAGACGAAGACCGCAGCAAGCTATGGCGGCGTTTCCAATTCCGAGGATGAGGCGCTCAAAGAGCAAGTGAAGCGGGTTGACACTAAGAAATCCGTATCCAGTCAGGTGCTCTCTCGTGAAGCTCCCGAAGCCGCTGAAAAGTACTCATTGTGGACATTGATCAAATTCATCGCATCATTCAACAAACCGGAACTGAAATTCATGTTCATTGGTCTCTTCTTCTCGATGCTGGCCGGTGGTGGACAGCCCACCCAGGCTGTGTTGTATGCCAAAGCCATCAATTCGCTCTCTCTGCCGTCGAGCATGTATGCACAGCTCCGACATGACGCCAACTTCTGGTCTCTGATGTTCCTTGTGGTGGGTATTGTTCAGTTCTGTACCTTCTCTATCCAGGGTATTGCATTCGCTTTCAGCTCCGAGAAGTTGATCCGTCGCGCACGCAGCCAAGCGTTTCGGACAATGCTTCGCCAGGATATTTCCTTTTTCGACAGGGAAGAGAACAGTACTGGTGCCTTGACTTCTTTTCTTTCAACGGAGACTAAGCACCTTTCGGGTATCAGTGGAGTGACTCTGGGTACTATTCTAATGGTCAGCACAACCCTCGGAGCAGCCTTGATCATCTCCCTCTCCATCGGTTGGAAACTGGCTCTTGTCTGTATGGCGGCAGTTCCTGTCCTCCTGGCCTGTGGATTCTACAGGTTCTGGATGCTGGCCCAATTTCAGGAACGAGCCAAGAAGGCCTACGAATCGTCTGCTAGCTACGCGTGCGAGGCAACCACAGCCATCCGAACGGTGGCATCGCTTACCAGGGAAAATGACGTGCTCGAGGTTTACCACGCCCAACTTGAAGAGCAAGGGAGGAAGAGTCTCGTTTCTGTTACCAGATCTTCTATCCTCTATGCTAGCTCTCAGGCACTCGTTTTCTTCTGCGTTGCACTTGGATTCTGGTGGGGCGGAACTCTTCTCGGCCACCACGAGTACTCGATTTTCCGCTTCTTTGTCTGCTTCAGTGAGATTATCTTCGGAGCTCAGTCCGCTGGTACTATTTTCTCATTCTCTCCTGATATGGGCAAAGCAAAGAATGCGGCTGCACAGTTCAAACGGTTGTTCGACCGCAAGCCGACGATCGATGTGTGGTCACCCGAAGGAGAAGTACTTCAAAGTATGGAGGGTACGATCGAATTTCGCGACGTGCACTTCAGATATCCGACTCGCCCGGAGCAGCCTGTCCTTCGAGGCTTGAATTTAACAGTTAAGCCGGGGCAATATGTGGCTCTAGTCGGCGCTAGTGGATGTGGAAAGAGTACGACGATTGCTCTCCTTGAGCGTTTCTACGATGCCCTCGCCGGCGGTGTCTTCGTGGACGGCAAGGATATTTCCACTTTGAACATCAATTCCTACCGCAGTTTCTTGTCACTTGTCAGTCAGGAGCCTACCTTGTATCAAGGAACGGTCAAGGAGAACATCCTTCTCGGCACCGACAGAACGGATATCTCTGAAGAGGCGATCATCAAAGCGTGCAAAGATGCCAACATCTACGACTTCATCCTGTCCCTCCCGTAAGTTCCAGCCCCGTCGACCCTATCATACATTGCTTTCATGGTACTAACATTCAACCAGAGAAGGATTCTCCACTGTCGTCGGTAGCAAGGGAGGCATGTTGTCTGGTGGTCAGAAGCAACGTGTTGCCATTGCTCGTGCCCTTCTCCGTGACCCTAAGGTTCTCCTGCTCGATGAAGCCACCTCTGCTCTAGATTCCGAGTCCGAGAAAGTTGTCCAGGCTGCTCTTGATGCCGCTGCTCGCGGTCGTACGACCATTGCTGTTGCCCACCGTCTCAGTACTATTCAAAAGGCCGACATTATCTACGTCTTTGACCAAGGCCGGATCGTCGAAAGTGGCACCCACAGCGAACTTCTCCGGAACAAGGGCCGCTACTTTGAGCTAGTGAATCTGCAGAGCTTGGGAAAGGCCCACTAGTGTCTCTTGCATGATTCCTAGCCATCTCCCCTCACTTCACCGACTATATATCTTACCTAACGCGTTTGGGTGAACGTTGTGCTTGATTTTTTTTTTCCAACGCATATATAATGCTAGATACCATAGACTTACTGTTCTTCTGTCTTCACGGCTTCATGTGAACATGCATTTGGAATTTCCTTTTTTCTGCTACTTTCCATGTTGTGACTGCGGTGGTTTGTCTGTTAAGGCGAGCAGTTTGTATCTTGATACCTTCACGTGTCGTTGATATTCGCATTTCTGGTCTTATACATGCTTCTGGCGGCCTTTAGCTGTCATCGAGTGTCTATAAATAATCCCCCTCTCAAGCAGACACCCCGCTCTCTTCCTTGGTGTATTATACCTTGGGACCGCTTTGTTTGGATGTCAAATGTCGGATCCTCTTCTGAGGATTGTACAGGTCCAATCTTTTCCGAATTAGATAGAAATAAAAGTACGAGATTCATTACGTTGAAATATGCTGCAGCAAACTTCCCCAACTCCTGCCCTTGGTGTAGTACGCCTCCTAACTCCCCATCCCACAAATCAAACAGAACCGAACCGACACAAATTCAACACCCCTTAATCCTTCTCACCGATACCAAACTCCCTCTGCACATCCACATGTCTCACCCCGCGCGCATCCGCAATCAAGCCCATCAGACCTTGTCCAACATCCTTGATCTCGTTATAGGAATGCAGAAGACGGATATGTCGTTGAACGGTTCGGGAATCATCTTTATCTCTGTTGGTTTTTCATGTCAGAAACTGATTCTTTTCACATCATTATCCATTTATGCAATTCATTGCTGGATGGGGATGGGGATGAATACTTTAGCCTGGATCGCGCCTCCGCGAGCTGAGACTCTGTCTCGGAGATCTGAGATTCTAATTTCGCAATTGAAGAGCGCAGATTCGCCTGTCAGGAAAATAAGCATCAAAAAGTTAGTTTTGTTTTCGCGTTTTAACTTTGAAATCTTAGTCGATTAAATTTTCTTATGATTTTTGGAGTTTATGCATGCAAGTGGGATTGATTATTGTATGTAGAAAGGAGAAGGAATCGGGGGGTTGGGGGGGCACGGACAAGTTTCCTCTCTCGCTGAGTGAGTTGTTCTGGGGATAGATCTGATGGAAGGACATGATCATGAGCTTGATCGTTATGATTGTTATCATTAGCGCTAGACAATGGCGTTGTCGTCATACTGTCTGGTCAGGGTCAGGAGAGGATGTTGGTTGGATAATAACAATGTCAGTTAGATAACTAGTTATTTAGATATTGCTTCTTTCTTTCTTTTGCCCAGATCCAATGATAGATTTAAAGTGGTTTGGACCTTTGCAGCAGTTTTAGTTTAGTCAGACGAGTTCAACGGGTTCTCGTTGGAGAGAAATAGAAGGGGGAAAAAGGGACCGACATTAATTAATCTATTTATTGACATTAGTTATTCATTATTATTTCCCCCCGTTCTAACTCGCTGCTGGGCTTACGCAGTTAACCAACTAGTTAGCCTGGGTTAACTAACTTAACTTACACGATCTGTACTCTCTCCAACTTTCCCTTACCCATCCTTAAGTTAATTATCCCTCCGCCACGGTCGCGAATATTATTGCGGAACGAACTTCCAACTGGTGGGATCGCATGTGGTGACATGCGAGCATCCGTTGGCTGCATTTCTTTCTTTTTAATTTATGATTGTCTGATCGTCGCCACTTGATTGCGCGCGCCTAAATTACTAACTCGGTCCCTGCCGCGCAACTCCGGCCTGGGGGGCAGGCTGATATTGCTCCGACTCCAATTCCAAACTCCATCCCCGACTTTACACTCGTTACGTGCTCTTTACATTCTGATTTAACACCGCCATGGCGATATCGGACGGCCGCACGGCGCTGCTGACGCTGCTGCTGCTGGCCAGCACTGCATACGCTCATGGAGATCACTCTGCTGTGCCCGAAGGCGTGGCTATCTCAGACGACCCGATTGTATGATCCTCCGGATGCTGAGTTTTAGGATTTGGGATGGGTGGCTGACTGTGGTTCTACGATGCAGGATTCTACGCTATGGCTTCATATGATTCTGATGGGCCTGACCTTTGGCCTTGTGTTTCCTTTCGGCATGGTTCTGGGGGTATGTTCCGGCAGAGGCTGCGGGGGACGATTTCAAAACCATCAGCTAATGTTTCTAGATTGTGCGCTCTCGATGGCACGTTCCTGTTCAGGTCGTTGGAACCGTCGTCGCCGTGGTGGCCTACTTTATGGGCCACGCTCATAAGGGCAGACGTTTCGCCAAGAACATCCACGCCTCCTTCGCCAACTCGCTGATGCTAATGCTCATTCTCCAAGTCGTTCTGGGCGCATACCTCAAGCTGCATCTCTCCAAGGGCGTTCATGGACGGATCCGTCGGTATATTGTGGTCGCACACGGAGTGGTGGGGAAGATGATGCCAATTGTCAGCTGGGTGCAGATGGTTTTCGGTGGCATCACGGCCCTGGGTTTCTGTCGGGAAGACCATCTGGGACAGTGTCTGGCGCACTTCATTATGGGCAGTGCGTTCATCGCCTACGGTATCCTTTTGACTATCCTGCTGCTCGTCGGTCAGTACTGGCTGCGCCGCACTGGTCGAAGCCAGGAGTTCTTTGACTCGCTGGTCATCGCTGCTTGGGGATGCGTCAACACGTTCACCGAACACCGCTGGGGAGGCCCATGGGTGCACAGTGACCTCCAGCACACCACGATGGGTATTGTCTGGTGGTGCGCCGGTCTGCTGGGTATCTGGCTCAGCAGGAAGCGGGACGGCCGGCCGAAGCGCAATTTGATCCCCGCCATTGTCATCTTGCTGACCGGTTATGCCATGTCCGCACACTCTCAGCAGTTGATGTTGAGTACCATGATCCACTCCGTCTTCGGATATACCTTGATGGCCGCAGGTGCCGTGAGAATCATTGAGATCTCTTTCGTCCTGAAGGATCAACCCACGCTCAGCCCAGATGGAACAGATCCCAACAGCTTCCAATATCTCACGCCATTCGTATGTTTTCACCCCAATTCAATAAAACTTTGTCTGTCTTAAGCCTTTCCCAACTAACGGAATCATACAACAGCTTCTTTATGCCTCCGGTTTCCTCTTTATGGGCGCGACCGAAGAGCAGATGCAACTTCTCAGTGACGCTGGCGTTACCCACGTCTCTTACGTCCTGATCCTCTACAGCATTGCTTTTATTCTCTTCCTCTGTAAGTTTTCTCTCCTCTTATATATACTTATAATATCCAGCCAAACCCAGTATAGGGGAAAAAAAAAAAAAAAAAAAAAAACTAACATACCCCTTCCCAGTCGTCAACGTCCTCCTGCACATCTACGCCGTCCACGCCTGGCCCGAAACCGCCAAATACAACCCCTCCGGTCCCCGCGCCGGTTCCACCATCCCTGGAAGCAGCCGCAGAGGCCAGCGCTCTCAATCCGAAGCTCAACAAATCCATGACGCTGAAGCCTTCGAGCTCCAGGGTCTCATCTCCGAGGAAGATGAAGACCCTTCTACTCCGAAAAAGGTTGATGACGAGGAGAACACTCTCGTCCACAAAGAGCAGAATGGAACGGCATAATTGAATCAATGCCATAAATCAAGGAACGCATGGGGGTGGTTGATATAAGAGAGGAAAAAAATATCGAAACGAGAATGGAATTGGACTTCAAACCAGTTTTAGTGGGTTTAGTTGATTAATTCCTGGAAATTTTCTTTTTCGCTTTTTAATTAACTAGGGGCGGTGTCTTTATTATTATTATTCTTTCTTTCTTTTTTTTGGGAAGGTATAAATGAATGGACGTTGGAGGCTACATAGTTACTCCCCGCTTCTTCATGTATCAGTGGCCTGCAGCCTACGGGTTTATTTGTTTTTTATAGGTGATATAGATGGGCGGAAATAAAAACAGATAAAAAACAAAAAAGCGACTAAGAATTTCGAAGAATGCTACAATTTGAAATTTGGAAGTAACTTGGATTGTGGTAGATCCTTGGTTTGAAATGAAATTCGTATATGGCTTCCTCTCCATTTCTCGCCTTTCCTTTCCGTTCCTTTCCGTATTGTACAGTACATGACTAACGCTCGTGATTACATTAATGTGAAGGGTTTTGAAGGGTTTTCAAGGGGGTGGAGGTAAGAAAGTAGGGTATCAACCAGATTGGGACGGCTGATCTTGCCTCGTGTGGTCCAAGAGAAAGAAATATCGATAGGTGCGTAGATTCTCCTTATCCTGGCCTGCGCTGCCTCAAGGGGCATTTGCAGTAATGCCTCCAGTCATAACCGAATTTGGAGCCGGCATGCCCATAGGAAGTGCGGTTTCAGGAGGGAAGAAAGGGTGCAGAGGGTAGATTGGAGCCACATTTCTCTCGCCGTCGAAAAGCAGAAGATTCTGCAGAGGCTGTTCTCTTGCGCTGAGGACATTGATTACATCCTGCGCAAGGCTGCCACCCAGGAACGCAGCGACCGGACTGAGCTCACTTCCAAGGTTCTGTAGAAAACTGCGCAGGAACTCGGAGGTCAACGTGCTTGGATCGAGCTTCAGTTCCTGATGACGCTCATTGGCCAGTTTTGTAAATAGTTCTAGATCTGCGCGGGAAAAGGTCGGCAGGGGACCGCCTGAGAGCTTCTGAAACTCCCACAGCGCTCGTAAGCTTGTCAGCAAGGGCGTCACCTGTCTCCGCTTGCGAGGAATCCGGGTATATTCCTCCGGGAGGGGCGAAGTATTGGCCAGAAGCAGCGGCGAATAGATCTCCCTTTTGGTCACCATCTCGATGATCTTGTCATTCTCCTTCTTCGTCGTGATGTTTAGGATGCTGCGCGTAGGTGTCTCCTGCGGAACCGACTGGACGTTCGACTTCGAGCGCTCGATGACGAAGTCGTGCATGATGAGATCGGCGAAAACAAACCCGTAGAAACCATGCAGACCTGCCGCATAGAAGGGACGGTTTGCGATCCGGCATGATGCATTGATAGTGGTAAGTGTAGCAAAATCGAGCTCCGTCGCAATTGTCACGTCGAAACCTGCAAAGAACTCCGGGGGCTTCGTGCGGACATTGTCGGTGTCAATATGTAGCTGCACTCTGGGGTTCATGGCATGGATTTGAGGACCGGCAGCTCTGGCGCGCTATAGCCTTCATCAGTATACAATCCTAGCGCTCATCAGCAAAGGATGCTCACGCACATTTTGGCCGATATGCTCCTGTGATACGAAGAACTGGGCACCGAGGTCTTCTTCTGTGACGACTTCGTGATCAATGATGGTAAGAGACCCAATACCAGCCAGCACAAGGTTCTTAGCCACCTCGTTGGCTAGCGCTTTCACAGTAATGAGAAGGATGTTGGCCGATCGTATTCTGCCGAATAGTGATGCTCAAATTAGCTATCGTATGACTGCGCGTAACTGTTAAGGTAGTTTACTTTTCCTGCGCCTTGACACCCCAGAGGCGGATCTGTCGGTCATACAGGGCAATCTCATCTGTAGCGGTCAGCTCCACAGTCTAATCTGTCGGAATCATTGAGGTTGTGAGCTCACCGGCGCTGATTGATTGAACTGTAGAGTGCGGAGCTTCCTCTACAGGCACGGTGGCCTCGGATGTTGCCATTTTGTAAGCGCGTACTTATGTTGGGCCGGCAAGTTCAGAGCGAGGATCCAAAGCAGTGGAGTGCAAAAGGGAGAGAAGGCTCAGGTTCCCAGCTGAAACGAGGCAGGAATGTATTCTTGAAGGAGAGTGACCGTATGGGGATCAAGGAGGGGAAATGCGGAGGTGCGAGAAGCTAAGATCTCAGGTCAAAGCCGATGAGATGTCAACTGCGGTAGGGAATGAGGTTGCACAGACTCCACTTGATCTGTGAAAGCTGCCAGCACCCGGGCAGTCCCCTTGCTGTGAGAGGTAAGCAGGCAGAAGAACAATCCAGGCCGATATAAGCTGTGTTATCTTCATCTTCCCCTCCGAAGCTGCCCGTCACGTGCTTGCATGACGCCGCGGAAGGTGCTCCGACTGTCACCCCGGCTTGTCCGCCTTCTCTGCAACTCTCAGCTTTGTCCAGCTCATCTTCATCACTTCTGTCGATACGCTGTGGCGGATCACCCGTGGGAATCTTCTGGCGGGTTGGATTCTGCTTTTGTTGGTTGTCTGCTCTGGTGCAGTTCTCTCTATCTAGGTAACTAGGTACTTACTACTAGTTAAGTACTTACCGGCAGCCTGGGTGACCGCACCACACCGCACCACACCGCACCCAATGATGGTATGTCTGCACTTACCTGGCCCCTTTGTCTCTTCTATCCGTGATATATATTCACCTGAAGGGAAAGGGATCCGCTCGATGACATATGATAATATTGACCGTGTTCCGTTGACTTAGTCGGGCAATTACGACTTCCCACCTGCCTCCACCCGTCCTCGCCGAAGTAGCCCCGAGCATCAAGAAGACCGTCCCAACAGCGTTACCGCACGGCTACAACATCTACGGGAACTCTTGAGCTCTGAGAGGCTTCGTGAGCGAGGTGGCTACACGACAGCTCGAGCCCTGGATACTCTCAACCAAGAAATAGAAGACCTTCGATCAGATCGTGCTCAGGATAGAACAAACTACGAACAGGCCAGAGCTGCAGTCGACCGGCAACTGCAGCACTTACGGTCAGATTTGACATCTTCGCGGGGTGATAGGATTAGACGTCGTGTGTCAGATCGTGACCGTCAAGGGCTGACTTCCCCGCCAACATCAACTCCCCCCCTGATGGAGCAGGAACCTAACCCGGCTGGCTCGCAGCCATCGCCAAGTCGACCCCGACGTCGCGCTTTGAGACCCAGTGAGGCTCTTGCAAGGATAAGAGAAAGAGACGGTAGAGCCAGAGGGGGTAGCATGGACACGAGTGGATTGCAAGCATTCCAGCAGGGCGCTCGGATGAGGGAATCTGATTCCCCGCTAAGCTCGTTGCTTGACGAACCTACCCCTCCTATTGCCTCTCCCAGTCTTCTCGCAGACTACACACCAGATAGAGCATCGAGTAGATGGACAGCTAAGAGACGGAAGCTGGATTCCGATGACAAGAGAGAAGGGCTTCGAGGGTTCAGTTACGGTCAATATGGGCAGGTTGTACCTGGGCCGTTGCAGATGGAGATAGTAAGCTGCGATGGCGGCACTTATGCGGAGCCTGATGGGGAGACCTCATGGCCCGAAAACGTGCTGCTCAATGACTCTTCAGTGTACTGCACCAAATCTGACCGGTGCAATCTGATCCTGAGACACCGCGGAGAGACACCGTTCTGTCTGAGAAAGATAGTCATCAAGGCCCCCAAGTCAGGTTTTGATGCCCCGTACGTTATTTGCCCATCCTTCCTTGGTAAACGTGTATTGACAGCCGCGTGAAGTATCCAGGAAGGGATGATATTCGTCTCCATGTCTTCGGACGACCTACTGGCGCGCACCGCCAGATACCAGATTCAATACTCGCCTTCGCGACGTCGAGCCCGTCGCCATAGACGAGTTGGAATGCGACCTTCTGAGGAATATGCGAACGCGTTCCGATCCCCGCTTCGATCTCTAGAAAGGGCGCTTATTAGACACCCGGGTTATCCTGACTCGGAGTTCGATTTCGCCGGACAGCTTACATCTACAACCAGAGCGTCAGTCGATCGTGATCCCACCTCTGAGTTTAGAGTCACCACAGAGTTTGACGAGAGATCTGACGATGGTGACGATGACCAAGAAAACGACGACGACTTCCCCTCCGCGGCAGAGATGGAGCGGATGCAGATGGTGCAGATCGAAGATGATGTGCTTTGTTCGGAGGATGAGGACAGCGAAAGTGACGAAGATGCCAACGAGATGAGTGCTTTCAATCGTGGACGCTTGGACATGCGCAGGCGAATGAGAGCGGCTCGTCGACAAGATATTCTCGGTGATCATGACGTCCTACGCAGACGCCGGATGGCACCTAGTTTGATTGAACCAGTTATCCCGTCTTCCACGGATAATTATTATCCTGACGGGAGTTCAGAGGTGATGAAACCTCATGCGCAGTTCTTCATTGAGCGAGAGAAGAGCATGGTCAGCATTAAATTCGATCCACCACCGTATGTCTCCTACCTAACTCGATCTCCTACGTTACTGACTGTCCAAATCAGATCCGGAAGATTTATCTTGATCAAACTCTGGAGTCCATATAGTGGAGGAAACATTGACATCCAGAGTATCGTCGCATACGGGTACGCTGGTCCGAGATTCTTCCCGGCAGGGGACTTTCGGTGATCGAGCACCCACCGCTCCCTTCGAACCAGCTTCTTCTCGGTCTCTGTGTTTCTTTTTTGATCTCATTCATACGTATGGTCTACGAAGGGAATATCCAATACGTTCTCTGATATAATGTCATGATATGCCAGTCTCTTTTCAATATGTGATGATTTTGGACCTGCTGTACTTGTATACAAGCCCATCATCAGGCCTGTCTGTAGTAGTTAAATGGAACCCCAACAGTCTTTTCTGAGATAATGCTCCCATGCATTAGTTACCATTGCTAGACCACAACTATCATATCACATCTACGCTACGCACAGACACAAGGAACTAACTGGAAGAATCCACTTCAGAAAGAAAATCGTCTATGCACTTGAACACAATCGTCGAAGAAACTGCGTTTCCTGACTGACATCTAGCCAGCGACTTTCACCAAACGAGTCATATGATATGAGTCCTCAACCGCTTCGAATTCCTCTCCAAGAAGGAAAAGAAAAAAAAGAAAAAGACAAAGAAAAAGTAAAAGGTCCACTGTCACGGAGATATTGACATACATGGATTGATTGCTCAACTGCATGTAGGAAAAAAAGAAAAAAAGCAACAAACAAGCCTAGAAGAGAATAAGTTAGAGGGAAGGATGGGAGAAATACTCCAACAGAGAAAAAGAAAGCGATGGATAGAAGAAGACGAGTTTCAAGACTAGAGACACAATAACATAGAGAGTTGAAAATGAAACTGAAAGGAATGAGATACTCAAACGGAAATAATTAGCTAAAGATGAACAAAACGGCCATCATATTACAGGGATGCAAAATCAACTCCATAAGGTTAGAAGTAAGCCTGAAGACAGCAAAAAAGTTGAAATCAGCCCGCCAAAGAGGCCTTCTCAATCACTAAAACCAGGTCATGTTCCAAAAGGACGACGTAATCAACGCAGGTTCGAACCAGTAAATACGTCAGCAGACAGCGAACCGGGGAATCAAGAAGTGAAGTGAAATGAGGCCGTCGCAGAAAGAAATTCGTCAAGAGAGCCATTGGAAGCTGCTGCGCGCCACGACTAATCCAAATCCATATGTACAGGGACGAGAGCGGGCTCTAGATGTTGAAGGGTGAAGGGAAAAAAAAACAAAGACTTCCACCTCCTTATTAGACGCGTAATGGCTGGCTGATCCAACCGCTATCGTTTCCATTGACCACTTTCAAAATCGTGCTCGTTCATCATGCCTCGTGCAGGTCGTTGATGCTTAGCGTCCATTTCTTCGTCGATGAGAATAAGAACCTTTCGCCGGATCCCAAAAATGCGCCAAATAGAAAACCAACTCCTCATAAAAGCAAACCAAACCAGAACTTTTTCCTTTGCTAAAGAGAAGAGATGAGATAATGCAGATATGATACCAAGGCGTGAGTAGATTATATGACGACAACATCGCCCTCAGCATCGGCTGGGTCTGAAGCCATCATGTCGCCGTACTTGCCAACAGTCATCAACATAGAGTCGTCGCCAAGGTCGATAGCACTGTCATCATTATTCATAGCCTGAAGGGCAGCAATCCCATCAGGGACACCGGGCTTGTCGTTCACGATATTCGCATTATTCGAGTGATCATATTGCGTGTTTCCCAGGTCCTTATCGCCTTGAGTACCGTTGTTAGCGTGAGGACTGCACGTTGTTCTCGATCTCAAATCGTTCTGGGTCATATCTGTTGACATGAAGGACTCGTTTTTCACGGGACCCGAGAAGCTAGAAGACCTGGCTTGCTGGTGATTGAAGGAAGCTCTCTCACTACCAAGGGATACATTCAGCAGTGAGCTCGGCGTGCATTTCATGAAACCACCTTTCTCCACCTGCCACAGCATCATCTCGTGGAAGAAGACCTTTGTCATCCACCAAGCGCTGAAGCTCTGTGCGCCTCCCAGAGTCAATCTATGGAGGATAACATCCCATAGCGCATCCACTTTATCGACTATGCATTGAGCGCGATGATTAGGGAAAGCCAGAGGTATATTCAAGATGAAAGATATCCACTTGTCAGGGAAGTTGTACCCATCACCCACAGTAGGCTGAACAGCGAATTTATGCGCATTGATATCCTCTTCTCTATCCGGCTGGTTGTAAAAGGGTTGAGCTGGGACAATCTCTTCACTCAGAGGGGTAAGAAGGGCTCGGACGTCATGTTTGAGGATCTGTTCCAGTGAGCGCTCTGCACAACTGGGAATGTTGGCTCTTGCAATGACCTCCTTAGGGTCAACGAGAGATGCAAAGTCCAACCACATCTGGTTTCTGTTATCTGGATGGCAGAGCCAAGCTGCTGCTGCATTAGCCGACTGATTGACGTCAAGCATATGTTTCAGGAGGTTGCAAAAGATATGAGCGGGAACCAATCTGGCCAGCGACACATGGACTGGCTGCGCCTTGAAGGTCTCAGCAATGTGTACGGTCAGCCGCTGCGAAATAGAACTGAACGCGTCTAAAACCGGCTTTGGCACAACTTGCGTTGTGAGCGGGGCGATGAACGCGATCATCTTCTGGTACATAAGCCAGTCGCATTCCTTGATCCATGGAGCGAGGTTTGGGTGAGTCAGGAGCTTCTGGACTGGGACGGTTAATGTGCCATGGAAGGCAGAGAAGTATCGAAACAGATTCCGTTCCTTGCAGAATCGGAAACTATCGATAACAGAAATACAGTGAGACCGGTAGAGAGCTGCAAGAGCGGCCGCTACCTTGACATCGGTGTTTGCTGGTAGATATCCGCGAACGTCGGGGAGCTGAAGAGACTCGTTGTCGACTGCGGCAGAGTCGCCATCAGGAAACTGCAGCATCTGGCGTATCATCTTGGCAGTCTGGCCAGACACGTTCTCTAGGGTAATAGCGGATTCGAGAGTAGAGCGGAACGGAGGCTGGCATGGGCAGCCCGAGGATGATGAACCAGCTGCGGTGAACTTCGGTGTGAATGATGTCGTTGGAGAAGGGAACACTGCGGTATCTGCAGGTGGCTGCGGGATACTAATACTTCATGACTGTCAGTTTGGCTCGGCGTTCCGCGTATTCGGACGTTTCCTTACCTCCTTGGACGTGCTGACAATTCGTTTGCTTTTCCGTCCATACCACCGACAGTGCCGGGAACGTTTGCTAGTCCTTGAGGGTTCGGAGCCGTCGAATGTTGCTGCTGTTTCTCTTCAATGACAGAGAGATCCACATAGTGGTATTTCGATTCTCCACGGACACCAAGACGTCGAGTCTGCACGTTGGGGAAAATAATGCGTACAAGCTTTCCAAAAGAGGCGGGATTCAGTACAGAGACGCGTTCACTTCCACACTTCTCAGCATAGCAGCAGTATACACGATCGCGTCGCACAGAACCACTGCTCTTCCGGCAATTCTCCTTCAGCCTAGAGAGATGTGAGCACGAATCTGACCAGCAGTATGTCGCTTTGCTTACCAGACCATGGCAAATACTTGCTTGACCTTCTCTGACTTGCCTCCAGCACCTTCATGTTTCTGGACCTCTGCCGCCATTTGCTTCAGAGAGTAACCTTCATACTGACGAAGAAGCTTACGCAGCTCGTTATCATTCGCAACTGTCGAGCTGGATCCTCTCTTCTTTCGAGCTCCAGCTTCAGAGGTGTCGTTCTCATCGACGATATGGTCCGGGATGTGGTTTTCCATGCCCCCATCGTACATCGGATGATACTGTGGCATATGAACCCCAGACATGCCATGCGCCGCCAGCTCCGGTGGCAACGAATGATGAGCCAGTGTATGGGCATGCATCGATTGTCCTTGGAAATCCTCTGGACGTGGCATCATGGAGTTGTGGGCTTCATGCAGAGAAGCGTCAAGGCCAGCATTATTGGCTGAATGAGCCAGCTGCTGACCAAAACGCATTATCATCTCCTCAGGATTGGCACCAAAAACATGGTGACTTTGGGGGGGTTGAGCCTGGATGAACTGAGGAAATCCATCCGCGATATTTTGGTCTTGTGTTTGTTGTGTGGTGCTGGAATGGATGCTAGCCGTCGAACCTCTCGACCTTGGACGACGAGCGCCTTTGGAGGCCACGGTATTAGATCGCGACCTCATGGGATCGGCTGTACCAGGACGGCTCTGGGGCACAAGCTGGGTTGTCTGGGAGGCGGTGCTAGAGCCCTGAGAAGGAGCTCGACCTATCTTTCGCATTAGCAGCTGTGGAGATGGGAGCGCAGGGCAACAGGGCTCGAACTAATGGCGAAGGGTTGTTCCCAGTGCTCACCGATATCAGGAGGCATTTCGGTGTTTCGAATATCTGATAAGTGTCCTGGTGATAATCTGCAAAACTTCAACGCAGGACGGATCCAACTGGGTATCGCTTAGTGTTATGACCTCTTCACGCCCACATGAACACGACGGCTAGCGTGACAGCGACGGACAACCAATATGGGCAAAATGGATCTGCAAGAAGAGAAAAGAGGCGAGTAATTAGTATGATCAATTACTCTAGGCGATCGGTCGGGCTAGAAGGGCTCGTCGCCGCCGCGTTGGGTGTCGAGGTTTCGAGGTCTAGGAAGAAGGATAAACAGAGATGCCCGTTCCTCAGACAACGAGATCCGATTGTTTGGGTTGGGTGGCTGGCCTCACGTGATGTTTCGTCCCAAGTCGTGCGTTCGCTATGATTATGTCAGCATTCCAAAATCAGGTGACATCATTTTTTCTTTCTCGAGCCAATGTTTGTTGACACCGCAGATCACCGAGTATACCAAGCAGTGTTTCTTGTTTTTCTCCTGTGTACCTGGATCGTTTGGGACAATTTAAATAAGCCGGACTTCTCCACATACCTCATTAAAAATGAGCTATACAAATGTGGCCCTTGATTCTAATTCCAGTTGCAATTGCAACATTTCTTTCTTCAAGTATCGAAAAGCAGGATAGAAAGTGTACTTAACAACATTGGACGCAATTCACATAATAAAACGCGGACAGCCATGTAATTATCAGTCTCTGAATAGGTGCAATTCATAAACGACAAGGTTTCAGATCAGCTCTAACGATATTACTCCATAGGGAGTCCTATGGACATGTTCTCAGAGAGGATAATGGAATGTGATAGACTACAAGCAAGAACTAACTAGCTGTCTTGAGTAAGTAGGCATGGAAGCTGGAGTGCAAAATATAAAAGTCGCTACATGGTTAATTTGCCGCTCCAGCATCTCAACGCAGGCTCTAACCTAGAGACAAATGGTAGGGACAACTCCGTGTTCTATATAATTTGAATAAGCTCCTTAGTTGTATATATATAGCCATCAGGTTGATTTGACAACGTCTTCTATCTATGGTCTTGCAACAATTCCGAAAATATAGCAATAAATAAAAAAATAAAAAAAAACAGTATTGTCAACCGTCCCTGTAAAGACTCCATTTCCTGCGCCGAACATGCCAAATTTTGAGAAAGTGCCAGACCTCTAAATACCGATGACGTACGCGCCAAACCCTAACGCTAAAATTCAAACAAGCGTAAATGATAAACAGTAATCCAAGAATCATAGAACGATTGCAGTGGGTTTAAATGAGAACGATTGGAAAGGAGCAAGCGGTAGTAAGATGCAACAAGAACCGGGGAGGGGGGGGGGAGGGGGGTAAGGGGGAAGGAAGAAGAAGAAAATAAAAGGGGAAAAAAAAAAAGAAAAAACACCGGGGAAAGAGATAGAGACCATCGCCATTCCGTATTTGATGGCTGATACCTAGATCCCACCTCTTCTGATTTTGTTGATCTTTTATCGTCGCAAGCGTAACAGATTGTCCTGCCTGTCTTACTTCCCCTGCGCTTTAGCATTCAATCTCTGTGCTCTCGCGGCTCGCCAGCCAGCACCCCATTTCTGTTCAACCCACAACAGCGGACTAAGAACTGCCGTAATTCCTGCCAGCAGAAGAAAGGTGTATCTTGGTGTCAAAGCGTCGATCATGGGTTGGGCAATAGCTACACCACCCGCCCCGATCAAGCAGCGCATCAGGTTGTTGACCGCAGTTGCACTGGCACTTGCTCCAGGATATAAGTCAATGACAAGAGCGCTGTTGATACTGAAGACGGCAGTAGCGGAGTAAGCAGTCAAAAATTGTAATATGATCGGAACCGCCATGTGAGTCTCGAGAGAGAATCCGTAACCCACAGTTGCGATAATAAAAATAGCAGTAATCCACCAGGTGTTGCGCATTCGAGCATACTCGATAGGAAAGTCTGCATGTGTCTTGCTGTTGACAGGGGTATCGGCCGGATATCCATGGCTGTTGCGGTACTCTGCTTCCGTCTTTCGGTGGTTAAAGTCCATCAGGTAGCCTGTGGTGAAAGATCCTGTCATGCAACCCGCACCTATGAACATGAGTGGTCAGTAAAATTTCCGTCTCGGAAGTTTGGAGGACAAACGAATACATACCATTTGCTAGAAAAGTCACCCCGACCATTAGTGAGTTCAAATGGTAGATCTCCTCGAAAAGGGCCGTAGTAGTTGAAGTGATCATGCTCCAGACAGTATATACAATACTTCCAAAAAAGAGAGTGATAAAGACATCTTTCTCCCCCAGAAAGCGTAGTGGCGCGAAGATAGTGGTGAATGTGACTTTTCGTTTCGGTTGAACATCGTCGGGCTCTGGATCTTTGGCATCTCGTTGACCAGTGATCATATAGATGACTGGTTTATGTATACCGGTAAGTGGGACAGTGCCGTTGCCCGCAATTGATCGCAAGGTCTCAGGCAGGAAAAAGACGATAGTAGTGAGAGACAAGCCTCCCACTATTGTCAAGAACCAGAATATGGCACGGAACCCAAGAAACTGAGTGATGATTCCACCAAGAACAGGACCTACTGCCTGACCCAACATTCGAACTGGTGACTGTCAGCTTCCTCCTCTAATTGTCCGGGGAGGTTTTCTTACCGCCACCGAAGGCGCCAATGAGGCCACCTCGTTCCGCAGATGTCGTGATATCTCCTATTACTCCAGCGCCTGTATTGATCAGTGGGTGGTTCTCAAAATGCGATTTGATTATCTTACCGATCGAGATCGTAGCGGCACTACCTGCGGCTTGCAGGGCCCTAAATGCCATGAGTTCCCCATAGTTCTGAGATACGGCAAGCGCAATGTTCGCGATAAGGTATATCGCGAACGTGCCCATAAAGATGGGACGTCTACCGATAACGTCTGAGTAGGATCCCCAAAAGGATGGCGCTATGCCTTGCACGATCATGTAAATCGTGATAGTAAGAGTGGCAAGGGATAGAGAGACATTGAGTTCCTATAGCCAACGTTAGTCAAGATTGTAGATAACTGGAAGACACAAATTTTCCCCATACCTTTGCGACTTCACCAAGAGCAGGGAAATATATATTAGACGACAGAGGAGAGAACAAGGCTGCAATTGAGACCAAGTACACCATCTGTTTCTTGCGAGCGCGGGTAAAGACATGATATGGCGGTGGTTGAGGTTTTGATTGACTCTCTGGATCTAGACTGTTGGCTGTACTGGGGACCGATATTTGGATCGATATTTGGTCCTTCTCTCGAGGTTCGAACTTTGGCGATCTGATCGACTGGGCTGGAGTAGTATCCTGACTGTGGATAAACCTGGCGTCTAATGTATCGCTTGGAGCGATTTCTCTTTGAATCTCCATGATGGGCTATGTTCGTTTCGTTCATCAAAAAAAGAAAATAAACTCGAAAAAATGTAGAAGATTGAATAAGGAGAGATATCCGGTCTTCCTACCTAAATTGCATGCTACTCACCAGCCAACACACGGACGCAATCGAGCCATATATAGCATAGAATCGGGGGCTCCGTGTATCTGGGAGGCGATAAGGCCGAAATCCACATGGGTCTATGCGAAGAGGAGCCGTGAGAGAGCGTTCTCCACAGTGGGTATAAACTAACAGCCTAGGGGAGAACGATATCACGTCCAGAGGATCTAGTCTAGAACGGTTGACGAACTTACAGGATGAGTCTCACCAGACGTAATTTATGTTCCCTCTGGTACCGCTATCCCTTTTGGGTGAACCCAGGGAGTATGTCCCTACTGGCTAGTTAGTAGTTGCCTGTACGTTGTAGTTTACAAAGTTATCTCACAATCCTTCTTGATGCGTAATATGCGAGGCACAATCTTCATCTCCTGAGGCAGCATCAGCTGAATTATCCATCAAGACCGGTCCACCACCGTCTCACTTGGCAACAGATATAGTATGTCGTAGCGTGGGCGGATTGAAACGCCTACACTATCCTGGCAGCACCTCCTGCATAGGTTCTGGCATAAATCTACAGATAGTTAGCTTTGTCTCTTTCACCATCCATGTCCACGTCATTTAATTTTCCTTTCCGAAACATCGCTATAGGCGGACTCGATGAAGTATCGTATACACTAGTAAACCGTCATTATTTGGGGCCGGTCAGGCAGCAAAAGACTCTAAGTGCAACCAGGCAGTGATACTACCAGGGTCTACATATCCCTGGATGGCTAAGCTGCATGTAACAGAACTTTAAATCGGCCTTCTCCAGTCTCATTGCTGAATATCGTTCGGATACCAAGGGGTAGAGAACCTTGGTATGTCACAGCTCTTCCGTGGCTTGTCGGATCGAGTAGGCTTACGGTCTGCTTACGCTCGATTAACCATGCTTCATTTCCTCCGTACTCCGATCCTTCTTGGCTCTTTCTCAGTGACTGACAAGCCAAGCAAATGCTAAGCAAATGCTAAGCAATTGTAGTGGGCTTGGCTGCAATCGTCGTTGCGACGTCAAACGCAATCCGGCAAAAGCGGAAAGGAAAGGACTGAGCGAGATAACCATGCTGCATGTGCTACGTCAAAAAAACAAAAAAGAAAAAGAAAGAAAGAAAGAAAGGAATCCCACTTCCTTCCTGAGGTCCTCGCAGCGCACACATACGCGTCTGTTCCTTGGGAATGTAACGGCTTTGATCATTACCGTTCGAGGCAAGAGATACCTAGATATCTCGAAAGATGGAGTGACGTGTCTCAGCACACAATGGCTAACACCCGGATACAGCCGATTCTTTTAACTAATTGTTATTAGTTAGTCAACTAGCTGGACACCTGAATAATAATAATAATAGTCAGCACTATTCGCAGTGCGGGTGTGGCCATTGATACCTATCTCTTTCTCGTAAGGAGTCTCCTACCTAGACTAGATAGCGTATCTAGCGGGAGTTCCTGGAGGTAGGAAGAAGCTACGGAACTAGCGCGAGGATCTGATGGTCAACGAACGCCACCTTTCCATACAAATGGACTCGATCTGCGCACTAAGTCTGAATAGTGGTCGCAGTTCCGGTGCTCGAGGACGGGAACGCCGATCAGCGGGTTCCTGTCAAAGCATGCCTTACCAGGTACAACGAACAAAAATAGGCGCTACGGAGCCCGAACTTGGCGAACCAATCTTGACCTCGGGAAAAACTGCGACAAGATGAATCGACGCGAGAACATAAAACACATTGGAATACTCGTCACAAGGATGGCAGGTCGGCCGAATGTCTTGGATCTCAGTCACTGCCAAGACGACGATCGAAGGAGGTATACTCAAACGATCTGCAGGAGTTCCTGGTCAACAAACGCGTGGCTTCGAATTAGGGTCCTATAGTCAACCTCGGCCAATCGTGCCCACTCTCATGTTCGACAAGGAGAGTCCCTGGACCCATCCAGAATCACGTAGTTCAACTTCATGGTGGCCATCTCCAGATATGCATCAGGGACGAGATTATGACTGGGTCGATCGCTCTCCTTTGCGAGATGCTTGCGCGGCCAGCTCAAGAAGAATCTATGATGACTGTGGGTAACGGACAATTATTAATTAGTTAGTTAACTAGTTAGTTAGTTATTCTACGGGGTAGTTATGTAACTATGTATGTACATACCTAACCTGGTCAAATCTGGAGTTTCGAATCAGGGATTCACGTACTTACTGTAATTTAGGGGTCCTGAGGTTTCCAATGGGCGGTGCACGGTGACATGCTCATCTTCGGAATACTGCAAGCGCGGGAACCAGCCTCTATTTCGGTAAAGCCAAATCTTGATTCAAAGACCTGATTTTTTTGGGGGGAAGGGGGGGGGGCCTGTCTAGTAGTCTACCTACCTAGTCTATAATGACTTCTGCACAAAGACATCAAAGAGCAACCCAGTCGGTTCTACGAAAGGAAGCACGAGCTACAGGGCTTAGAAAGCGAAGATCGACTAGTTAACTACACATGCGATGTCACCCGAAGTTTCACGGAGACATACCGAGAGTTCTAACTAGGTAAATTATTAGCCATCAGAACGTCCGGAAACAAAATCCTTGCCGATTCTGCTAGATCGATCCGGATGCATCCTGCGCCAAGAATGCCGTGACACCGACTGGTCCTCTATCCTGAGGTCAATGCTACTAGGTAGTAGGTACTAGGTTCAGAATAGCTTGTACTTATGCTCTGTATACTCCGTACAGTGTACCTATAGAAGTCAGTATAGTTTAGGTAGTTACCTCTCATCTCGGAGTTTATGACGGCCTGCGAGGTCCTCTTTGGTACGGCAAGAAACCAGCAAGTTCTTCACTGAAAAAAGGGAAAAAAATAAAAAATAAAATAAAAAGAGCTCTAAACTAGATGCTGCAGGAATGGGCTGCCAAGATTAACAAACAAGAATCTCAATCACACTACGAGTTATAGTACCCCCCTGGTGCCAACTCCGAAAACCGGCTATGGCCTGACTCGTCGACAAGGCCGGCGTCCAAAGACAGAAAAAAAAAAACAAATGTCGAGTTAGAATTGCTTCGGTGTCTGAAGTTGAGCACGTTCTATCATTTCGCGCCATTCAGACATTGAGCCATAAGGCTAGAGGTCTCGACCATGTCCAGTGCGAGGAACTAGACACACCAACGTCTGGTAACAAAAGATAGTTGAGATCCACATCTGTGACAATCAAAAGCTAATTCACCACTTTTAAAAAGTATAGATGGTCAGTCAGACCTGAAGAACTTGCCACCTCCAACCTCCGTCGCCTCCAGCTCGAGATGCCAAGAAAGACGGCTGTACTCATTCATGCATGAGATGAGTCCTACCGGCCCGAGTGAAACTCGCATTCTCCGACGGGATACTACCGCTTGTCGGCTGCATAAGTAATAATAACTAACGGATATGTGCTTCTTGGGATCAGTGTAACATCGCACATACATAAGCGTGATCGAGTCCAGCAAACCCACCCACCCGCGAGAGTAGCTTGGGAGTTTCTCTTGGCTGCATGGGCTTGTAAGCAAAACACTCAATATTAAGACTATCTAGATGGTTCGAGGTGGTTATCTTATTGGGTACAGATAAAACTCTCATTCACTACATAAGGTCCCCATGATCTTAACGATCTGGTATGGTAAGAACCTCTGGATATCCCACAATGTCGGATTCGGATCAAAGGAGCTGGCTGGGCAAACCCACCCCCACACCCAACCCACCTCGGAAAAGATAACGCAGAACCGTTCTCGATCACGATATCTTCCGAGAAGAAATACATCTCATGGAGCAATCGGAAAGTTTATCGCAGTGGAGAAGAGTCCAAAGCGTTCATGGAACTGGAACGTGCAATACATGACTCGACAGGGATTCTTGAACACTGCCACCAAGACATGTTGATCATCTGCTTGTCAACCGAACTGCCTGCATATAGATCTCATCGGAATTTTTCAGCAAGATCGAACAAGACGTCAAAGAAATATCCGATCTCAAGATGAAAAACACACAGACCAATTCCAAAGCTTGTTTCTACAAAGGGGTTGATAGGGCAATGCGCAGCTCTTCTCTACTTACTCAGAGTGAGTGTCTGCTTCCAAGAGCTTGGCAAACAGATCATGCGAAATATCGACGCGACCGAGACCTGCACTGCACCAGTAAGGCATGCTCTCAGTGTCACTCAGGCGAAGACAGGTTTGACACGTCAACGCGCACGAGGCCCGATACTTACTGTCGAGTCCTGAACCACGAAAGCAAAAGCCGAATCTAGACATACATTCGGGATAACATGCACTACTTAGCTATCTCCTGTTGATATAGGATTCCACAGGTCCATGAGCCCGGAGCCTTGTCAGATCTCAGGTTTTGTATCGATTCCTGAACGGGCACGGAAGCAAACAGTATATTGAACATCTAGCCGGCCATGCTACTTGCTTGCTTGACTTTGTCTCGAAGAAGGGAGGTTAGCCCCCTCTTCATCTCCTAATTACACAACGAATCCGGAATATAGGGATCTAGCAGGCTCTATCATGCCAAGAACGTGACACGAACAGACAATAAACATGACACGTCGCGCGTCCTTTGTGCGCTGATGTTTTGATCCTGATTTCCAATTATATTCTCTCTCAGGTAAGTTAAATATCACCTCTATTTTTATTATTGTACCTTGAAAATCTCCAGATGGTTGGTGTATGATTCGAGAGGATATACTGTCGAGCAAGTTTACTGAGGTAAATGCAGTCCATGTCCTTATTCTATAAAACCATATAGATCAATACTACACACTACGCTACACCACCAACCAAAACAATAAATAAAAAAAAACCCCCCCAGAACCTCACAGCCCCACAACTCCTCTATTTCATAGAGGCAGTTTGGATACCACGAAGAAAAGAAAAAACCCTCCACCCCTACTTGTGGCAGGCAGGGGCTTTCAATCTCCTTTATCTCCAGTAATCCCCTAAGGCTGCATGAAGATTTCGAATAGTTCATAGCTAGACTTCAGAACCTACCTAGGCAGGGTCTAACCACAACACTACCTTGGCTCCATGTTGAGAGGATAGACCTTGTTGTGATATATATATATATATATATGGAGTGGTGTGTGGGGAGGGTTTCTTTGTCATCACGTGTTTATGGTCTTACGCGCATGGCAGATATTTGTATGGTATGAAACAGTCCGGATTGCCAGCTTGTGTGCAGTAGAAGCGGTTGAGAATGAAATTATTGGCTTTGAGAGAGCTATGCAGCATTATTATCCCTTCTTCTTCATACGATTTTCTCATAGGAGAGGACACCCTCCGAGAGGTCATGGTATATTAGGATATTACTCTTACTTTGTGTGAGTACCTGCAGTTTGTTTTGGTACTCGAAGGAAAAGGTGGCCTTCTCTTGACTGTCAGTGAGGCAGAAGAGCTCGGCTTCGTGTCTTGCATATCTATGGGCTACCGATTTCGCCATACGAGCTCTATTTACAGATACAGAAGCATCATGAACCACCCGCTCTCATAGTCGAAGAGAATTCTCTATCAATACGTTTCGTTTCGTTGGGAAAAAGTATCGAGATCTAGCAACGATGATGATACACCAGAAGTTGAGCAAGGGAAAAGTTGAGAATTAGGCGGCTAATCCGGGAACAGCCGCTACTGTCCGTCTGGCTGAGGGTATGTTCCTGACCCGAATTCCTCTCTCCGACAAGATACACATATCCGACATGGCCAAAGAAAAAAAAAAATGTAGCATAGAAACGGTTACCGGCACGGCGATAACATCTTAGACGAGATCTCTCTTCACGAACTCATTCAGAAGGGCCTTGCCCAGGGCAGCAGGGCTTCTCTCAACGATGACACCAGCAGCCTCGAGCGCGGAGATCTTCGAGTCGGCGCCTCCCTTGCCACCGCTGACAATGGCACCGGCATGACCCATTCGTCGTCCGGGGGGAGCACTGATACCGGCGATGAATCCAACGGCGGGCTTGTTGTATTTGTTCTCGCTCTTCAGGAATTCGGCGGCGTCCTCCTCAGCGCTACCACCGATCTCACCGATCATGATGATACCGTCAGTCTCCTCATCCTCGAGGAAGATGCGCAGGCAGTCGATGAAGTTGGTGCCGCTGAAGGGGTCACCACCAATTCCGACGACCAGAGACTGACCAAGACCAGCCTGGGTCGTCTGGTTGACAGCCTCGTAAGTCAGAGTTCCGGAGCGAGAGACAATACCGATACGACCGCGCTTGTGAATGAATCCAGGCATGATACCAATCTTGCATTGGCCCTATATAAGTCATAATTGTTAGATGTCGTTGGGCTGTGGGCCAAAGTGCGGAGGTGATGGAGAGTGGGGACGCACGGGAGCGATGATTCCGGGGCAGTTGGGGCCGACCAGGCGAGTCTTGCTCTGAGTCTTCAGCATGTCGGTGATGCGAACCATATCTGTTGAGCGTCTGTAAGCATTTATCCGGGTAGAGTAACTGTAAAGGGGAGATCCTTGTTACCATGTTGCGGGATTCCTTCCGTAATGCTGTCAGGGTATTGTTAGTCGGTGAGCTGAATGAACTATACAACCCAAATAGACGCAACACGCACCAAACAACGAGGGGAATCTCTGCCGCAATAGCTTCTTCGATACCCGCAGCGGCCAGCGGTGGGCTAGCGATCTATTAGCAATCGAACGCGTCTCGTCCCAATATGTCTGCGAGTCCTTACGGGACGAAGATGGCAGAGGCCGTAGCACCTGTTTCCTTTACGGCATCGCTAACGTTGGCAAAGACAGGCTTGCCCAGATGAGTCGAACCGGCCTTCTTGGGGTTTGTTCCTCCCACGACCTTCGTGCCTAATGATGATGAGCGCTTATCGACCAGGGCGACCGTTGGAGACCGTACCGTAGGCGATAGCCTGTTCAGCGTGGAACCTGCACGTAAACAGTGTCAACACCACCAAATCCAGAGCTCTATTCGCATTGAGGGGCCTTTTTGATTGACACGTACGTTCCCTGCTTACCAGTGAAACCCTGGAAGATCACCTTGGTGTCACTGTTTATCCGGAGATTCTTGACAGTCTGAGCATACGCTGAGCTGGCCTGTTGATAGCTGCGTCGCTGCACGGCAGCAGCGTTCTGGAAGGCCGAGGAGACACCGCGTCGAAGAGCCTGCATGACTGCGATCTGTGAGAGACGAAAAGAGCCGGGATGAAGCCAAACAAACACGAAACGAAGGAAGAGTGATGGATATGGGAAAAGCAAAACGGACTTGGTCAGTCCTGGCGCGCCCTGGGGATTCACCGAGCTGCGCAAAGGGGACAAAGCTTAGGCGGCTCCCGACTTCTGTTCTTAGCCGACAAACAGCCTCGGCCCTCCTCCACTCTATTTTTTTTCCCTACGAGTGCGACTGCTGCCAACCAACGCCCCACGGATCTTGCGGTGCGGGATAGATAGCGTCAAAAGTCTAGCTCGTTGCTATATCTGTATTTGATCACTGACACTATTTTTGTTCCTGTCCTGCGACCGCCGTCACGCGGTGACTCCACGATGGCGACCGAGACGATGACCATCCCCCCACCATCGCAGCACAAGCTGTCGAAGAACGCAAAGTTGGCCCCGGAAAATGAACGGTACATGCGGGCATGCTCAGATATCGCAAATGCCCTGATCCAGGAATATGAGTCGCAAAAGGATTTCTCGAAGCCCAAGCGGGATATTAACTTGAACAAACTGCGGAGTCAGGTGTCGAAAAAGCATCACTTGAGTACGCAGCCATCTCTCACGGCGATCATTGCGGCCGTGCCTGAGCACTATAAAAAATACATTCTTCCTAAGCTGATCGCGAAGCCTATAAGTATGTGTGGCCTTCTCCTCTGATATCTTCCTGGTTGCTAACCTGTGATGAAGGAACGTCTTCTGGTATCGCCGTGGTGGCGGTTATGTGCAAACCCCATCGATGCCCGCATATCGCCTACACCGGAAACATCTGCGTCTACTGCCCGGGTGGACCGGATTCTGATTTCGAATATTCGACCCAGTCGTATACCGGATATGAACCGACATCCATGCGAGCAATCAGAGCGCGTTACGATCCTTTCGAGCAGGCTCGAGGACGTGTTGATCAGATCAAGTCTCTGGGACACAGTGTGGACAAGGTCGAATACATCATTATGGGTGGAACGTTTATGTCGCTTCCCGTCGACTACAGAGAGTCGTTCATCTCACAGTTGCACAACGCTCTGAGTGGATATCAGACCGATAACGTGGACGAGGCGGTTCAGGCTGGTGAGATGAGCAACATCAAATGTGTGGGGATTACCATCGAAACACGACCGGATTACTGCCTGGATACCCACCTTAGTGATATGCTTCGCTATGGATGTACGAGATTGGAGATTGGAGTGCAGAGTCTTTACGAGGACGTCGCGCGGGACACCAACAGAGGCCACACAGTTGCGGCCGTCGCAGAGACTTTCAAGCTGGCCAAAGATGCAGGATTTAAGGTAGTCAGCCACATGATGCCCGATCTTCCCAACGTGGGTATGGAGCGCGATCTCGACCAGTTCCGCGAGTACTTCGAGAACCCCGCCTTCCGAACCGATGGCCTGAAGATCTACCCGACGCTGGTCATTCGAGGAACAGGTCTCTATGAGCTCTGGAGGACAGGCCGATACAAGAACTACACGCCCAATGCGCTGATCGACATTGTCGCCCGTATCCTTGCGCTGGTGCCTCCGTGGACCCGTATCTACCGTGTGCAGCGTGATATTCCCATGCCTCTGGTCACGTCAGGTGTTGAAAATGGAAACCTTCGAGAGCTGGCTCTGAGCAGGATGAAGGACTTTGGCACGACTTGTCGCGATGTACGGACTCGTGAGGTCGGTATCAATGAGGTGAAGAATAAGATCCGTCCGTCTCAGGTGGAACTAGTCCGCCGTGACTACACAGCCAACGGCGGCTGGGAAACTTTCCTGGCATACGAGGACCCGAAGCAGGATATCCTCATTGGACTGCTTCGTCTGCGAAAGTGTTCTGCCACGCACACCTTCCGCCCCGAACTCACCGGCCAGCAGACCAGTCTTGTTCGAGAGTTGCACGTATACGGCTCCGCTGTGCCTCTGCATGGGCGCGATCCACGCAAGTTCCAGCACCGTGGTTTCGGAACTCTGCTCATGGAAGAAGCCGAACGCATCGCCCGAGAAGAGCACGGCAGCCGAAAGATCAGCGTTATTTCTGGCGTTGGTGTTCGCAGCTACTACGCCCGTCTAGGCTATCACCTTGATGGTCCTTACATGTCGAAGATGCTTGATCCGATTGAAGATGAAGAGTAGGCTCTCTCTTCCAATCATTTCACGCGCATATATCTATAACGGTGTTCATGACATTAGAATTTCACGTATGTGAACAAAAAAGGACTAGACGGAAGGTGGGCCTCTCAAAAGAGCCCTGGGCGTTATATCCTGGTCGAATCTTATATCTTTGCATTTATTGGCGTTGGTCTTGAGGAGAATTAAATCCATTTGGACAAACGAAAAGTATTACGCGTGTCATGTATATAGACTAGTAGTATCTCGACGGAATCAAGATTGCATCCATCACATCCATCCATTAACTAGCTACTCAGTTTCATCTAGAGCATTAACAATCGGCCATTTTCTAGATTTTCGTTATCATCCAAGTAACTATAATCCAAGCCGGTTTTAAATATAAGCACATCCCGAACATGCACCGCATCGGCTTCCCGAGCGGATAATGAAACTGCCGGAAAGCAGACAAACGAGTCAGTACCATAGCACGGATGTGCAGTAAAGAGACAAGCCCGCACAAGCCTACGAGTCTTCCTATCGTAATCTCGGATTCAGAACCAACCTGTAACTGTAATAATAGATGGGCTTATTCCACATACTCTTCGTATGGACAATTGAAAAAGATCTCAATAACTACCAGACTTGCTTACTGTGAGTTCTCCTGGCTCATAGTTAACCTGTCAAATCCCAGGATCACGGAAGCCAAGTGGAAAAGCTGAACTCTATTACAGATGAATGGAATTAAAATTATACAAAGGATGACCTTAGAAAGCAACTCAAGCAAATGGCAAGGCCAATGCCAGTTGTGTGGGGCATCTCCTCTCCCGACATGCGGAGGGGCCCCAGTGTGTTATACATGTAAGAGCGATAATTGATTGCGAGAAGTGGTGGGTTCGAACATTCATCTTTCGTTTTGTCTAGTTTCTGATCACTCGATGTACGAACAGCAAGGCAGCGAGACCTAAGATATCACCGGAAGGAAAGAGCGAGGAGGGAAAAAGGAAAAGGAAAAACACCATGAGCAAACAGATCGCATAGACGCCTGGTATGTACCATAACAATAACCAGCCAATGATTTAACAATAAATAGAAAGCGTGTAACCCATAACTTGCAGAAGCCGTGTGATATCGAGTCCACGCTTGTCCATGACACTTTGAATGGGGATAGATCCGATACCATCTTCCCCGTAACAACACGGAACGAACTCGTATCCCACTTCAATGCCATACGCTATCCATTCCCAACAGTATAGTATAGTAGCAATTCTTTATTGGAGTGATATGGCTCCTCTCCGACTGCTCCGCAGGTGGAGGTATGCTTGGAAACCACAAAAAACGAAGAACGCCTGTTTCATTAGGATTGACAATCAGCAATTGCGTTACCGAGATGATGTTCCTAGGACGAAAAGAGTGAGACGCACCGCATAGACAATCACGGCTGTGAAAATGGACGCAGCAACCGCCGGGCCGTCCTCGGGGTCATTCTCTGAGCCGGTGAAGGAGTGGTGGTTTTTCTGTTTACGTTAGCATATCATATCATTCTAGTTATCATTCCGCAAGTCATGATGGCGTCAACGATATCGATCGCAGGGGAAGGTCGACGAACCCCGTATAGAGAACCCAGGACGGAGAGGATGACGATCGCAAAGAGCGAGATCACAACGCTGTCCCATCGTATATTAGCAACCACATCATCTCATCCAAATTGATAAGGCTAGACTCACCAGCTCCAGGCATTCAGCGCAGAGACGACAGGCTTCATCGTGACGGACTGTGGAGGGACGTCGGAGGAAGGTAGCTTGAGAAAATTGGGAAAGCGATAATATCGCGCCGCGACACGGGATAACAAGGAACTTAAGGCTGGGGTAATATATAGCTCGTAGATTTCAATCGCAGGAAAATAGGCGGAGTGTGATTGTAGATGTGAATATCTGCCCAGATGCTCTGGAGCTCTGAGGACGTTACGATGCGCTCCGTTGCGGACGAGGCACGGGGTCGGCCTGGTGGGAGCGTCATTGGCTAGCCGTTTTGGGTCGCCTCCGCCGATGCCGCCTCAGGAAGCACATCGAGTACTTTTCTTTGTACGGCGGACAATCGACCTCGAAAACGATGGATTTGTGCTAGAAGAAAAGAAGAGCTACATTATTTTCATTGTGGGCCTGAAAAGAGCTTTGGATAAGCTCATGACTCAAAATTATATCTACTGAGGATAAATTTTTGACAAAGCCGAACCGGTTGATAAAATCTGGATAACTTCAGGTTTTCCTATCTAAGAAAAACACAGTTGGGCGTGCTGGTGGCTAACTCAAGGGGGAGTGTCAGTGCGGAAATGTTACCTGCAGGTGGTCTGTCTTTTCATCCTGTTCCAGCAGGATCTAACGTTAGGACACAACCTGCTTAGACCCTTCGGATCTATAGGAGTTGAACATGGGATCGGCTTCCCTTAGATCTCGAGTTAAACAGAAAACCTAACTACTCGCTAGGAGATTCGAGATAACTGTGCCGCCGTGCCATTTAGGATTCACTAATCTCTCCACGGGGTGAACTTGCCATTTCAGATCAGTTGATGAATGCAGAGTTACATTCCCATCAGAGCGTGACTGTATTTCCCCAGGGAATCGTAAAGTGTGAAGCTACATTTTTTGGTCTTTTCCTGAGATTTAAAGTATTAGAAACCTCACTATAGTTTCTTCTCCATCAGTTTCGCTTTTCCTCACTCTTCCGGACCAACGCTTATATCGTCTATATACACAACCATCACATTAACGGTAATTATAATTCAATAGACATTCTTGTAATATTCTACAAGATCTCCAATATATATGCTTCAGATACGTCATTACTGCATTTCTAATGCAGCTATCATCCGTGATGGTAAAACGCCGATTTCGTCTAGACGCCTGTAAGGGACCTTCCTTCCGCGCAGGGAAAGGGATACTGCTCTGTCAAAGTCAGTGCGAGACATCCTTTCTCTTATTTCTTTTGATTTTTGGTCACCCTGCGAATCGTCATTTTTGCTGTAGGTGATATGTCTCACTTTCGTGTCCCTGAACTCAACGATTACTTCGTCTAGGACTATAAAATAGTCTCTGTTTCGAACTATATGCTGACAGCTAGCTAATTAATGGCAGATCCCTGTCTCTCCACTCCCTCATCGACCCAAAACCAGTCTTCACGATTCCAATGGGTAAGTTACTCCCATTAGTAGTTACGGACGTGCTATTGAACCTTTATTTAGCGTGCAGCTTTTGCGGGGAACTGGGCCATACGGCCAAACGATGCCCGCTAGGAGCAACAGAGAGGGTATATAATTTCTTTCCTTTAGTACTTTCTTTTCAATATTGAATGTAATCATTCGTTTCTCTATTATTGACCACTTATTAGGGAGAGGTATGTTATCTCATACCGAAGCGATTGCTATATCAGTTGAATTGTTCATATATACTAATTTTCGGGAAATCATTATTCGAATAGGTCATCGGGGCAGTAAGTAGTAATCCTATGTTCCTCAATTGTTAGGGGGATTTTCTAATATCCTCAAAAGGACGATAAAAAGGTAAGACGCTCTAGGTAAAACACTTTTAGCAACTACTAAGTCTCAAATTTAGTACTGGCAGCAAGTTCTGGAGGTGAGCGGCCTTAAGGCAATGTATTAGCTTTATGGACTAACAATTAGTTATACAGAGTCATAACGAAAGCCTTAAGGTATTTACCAATCCTATCGCATTAGTATACTACACTAATATATTGTTGATCGATAGAAAATAAAGGCAAAAATACGCGTTAGTTATATCGTATCTAGAAATAGACTCAAACAGGGAGCTTATTTAGTTTATATTTCTTTAGAACCTTAAACAGTTGCAAACAGTAAGGAGTCCCACATCTATTCTTTATGCCAGCTGACAATAATATCTAGGAAACAGAACTCCTCATCCAGGTATTGTCTACTATTTCAGTCACTCTTATCTGTTAAATCGTGAATGGTAAAGGATTACTAAAGAAAGCTATTGTACTATAGAATGCGGCGAGGAAGATCCGGGTAAGTACTGCCAGTATCTCCTATTATACATCTTATAGTGACTTCGTAGGAAAAACACAGCAGGGCCCGCCTAAGATACAGTTATACGCCAAAAGTTTGGATTCGCCTTACTAAATCTAGGTGGATTATAGAGCAACTGTCGATGACCTTTTCATTTCCAATTAATCAATAACGCCTTGTTACGGGCTTATCAAATGACCATTGTGTCGGTGCACGAAGCGTACGTCCAGGTGATCTGTCATATCATCCGCTTCCATGAGGTTCTAATTATAAGATAGGACCTACTAGATCACTAGGATCTGGATTCTTTGTATGATCAGGAGATAAATATGGGTGCAACCCCATTCCCCTCGAACTAGAGTCAAGCGATTCAAGAAGCTTAGATATATCAGCTAGATGGTTCAAATCATACCCATGCTTCTGTACTTTGGATTCGACACATTGTATGAAATAAAAAGGTGCTTCTTCACCTAAGCTAGTTTGGATTGTCCTAATATACCGCATAATAGTCTATTTTTTCTATGTAACTAATTCTCCTTATTCCATCTAACACACTCCTCAAACGTAACCCCCTGACCACCAAAGATATCCAACGCGCTACCAATAGTCAAGTCAACTTTCCCTCCACTGCTCGTCTTCACCTTCTCCAAGTCCTGGAGATGACGCGCTCCTCCAGCATACGTGACGGGAATCGTACACCATTGGGCGAGTTTGGATACCAATTCCTCGTCAACGCCCTGCTGTAGGCCCTCGACGTCGGCTGCGTGGATTAGGAATTCCGAGCAGTATGGCTCGAGCATGGATATCGATTCTGTAACAGAAGAGTAAGTGGCTGATTTAGTGGGTAGACATAGTATGGTGGGTGAAGTGAGACTAACCTTGGTTGATTTCCATCTCGGTGATGGTCTGCCATCGATTCATGGCTACGAACCATGTGTTATCCTTTCTTCGACAGCTCAAGTCCAAGACCAGCTTTGACTTGTCGCCGCCGAGAGCGGAGAGGACGGCTTCTAAGCGTTCTTTGGAGAACTTGCCCTCGGGGAATAGGAACGATGTGATGATCACCTGGTAATCTAGTTAGTATACTGCCTCTGCGTTGTTGCATAGCTGGAATTCTAAGAAGAGAAGAAGGCAAATTAAAAATAAAAATAAATAACCCATCATAAACATCAAGTATACACCCCAGAAACATATAATCAATCACAACCTGGTCACAGAAACCAAACCAAAAGACAAAGCCCATCTAATATGCAGGATACACCTCACCTTCTCAGCTCCCTGATCAATCCAATACTGTGCATTTTTATCCGTAATACCCCCCGCCACCTGTAATCCACCAGGCCAAGTCCTCAGGGCTTCTTTTGCCGCCTCGTCATTCCCCGGTCCAAGCATCACGACATGGCCTCCGCGCAAGTCGTGATCTCTGTACAATGCCGCATAATGACTGGCCGGGAGCTTGGATACGTAATTCGTCTTCAATTCGCTAGGGACTGTACTTAATGTTCCGCCGACAATCTGCTTCACCTGCCCGGAGTGCAGATCAATGCACGGACGAAAGCGAGTCATTTTCGAAAAAAAAAGAAAATGAAATTGGTGGTCGTTAGCGATTAATTCGTTCTTTTTAATCTTGATTAAAAAGTGGACGTGGGGAAGGGGAGAGAGAGGGACGGCTAATCTTATCACACGTGACCGCGACATTTGATCGCGAGAGAGAAAAAAAAAAGTTCACTTGGGGAAAAAAAACCGACAAAGCTGCGCAACGCGTCTTTATTCGAACCACACGTGTCGCACAGATCGTGCTTGAAGAAGGAAATGCCTGGGAAGAGAAAGAGAGAGACAGCTGCTGTCTCCCGGAACGTTGTTGCTGAAACTGCAGAGGCGCGATCGGAAGATACGACCGCCGGTGATGCTCATGATATCTTCCGGCGGTATTTTGAGAGTCAATTCGAGCCCCTGGATCTACAACCTGTAAAAAGTGCGCGAACTGCAGAGTCTGAGGCTTCTGAAAGCGAAGAAGAAGAACAAGAGGATGATGGTAGTGATGAGGAGAGCGGATCCGAATGGGACGGTATCTCTGATGCAGAAGGCAATGGCACGAAAGTCGAAGTCGTCGAGTACACCAGCTCGCATAACAGCACGTCGGACGCTATCGATAAAAAGGCCCGTAAAGCCTTCATGGTACGTTTCCTAAACTAATCCTCTACGTCGTCTCGACATACTAATATGATATTGGCCGTCTAGAACGCAAAACCACCAGACCTGTCGAAACCCTTGACTGCGAAGTTTACGTCAAAGAAAGAAGGAGAAGAAGCGGCAGCAAGTGATGACGACGCTATGGATCTCAAAAATGACCTGGCTTTACAGAGACTGCTCAAAGAGTCACATCTGTTGGAATCCGCGAATGATCTTGACCCGACCGGAAAGAATCGGCACAAGGCCCTCGACTTGAGAGTACAATCGCTGGGAGCAAAGACATCGTTATTCAGCCAAGAGAAGATGCCCATGTCCCACCGGAAAGGAATCAAGGAGAAGGCTGCGACCAAAGAGGACCGGAGAAGGCGCGAAGCCAGGGAGAACGGTATCATCCTTGAAAAGCCCACCTTCAAGTCGTCGAAGTCGTCAGGGAAGAGGAGGGAACGCGGCATTGGAGGTCCATCAATTGGCAAGTTCGCCGGTGGCACTCTCAATCTGAGCAAGAGTGACATCATGAGCATTCAAGGACCGCGCAAATCTGCCAAGGGCAAGAAAGGTCGTCGGTGAGAGAAGCAGATTCAATGTCTATCCAATCCAGAGATGCCATCATGAGTGATGCACCGAGCAGTATCTACGACCTCGCCACCATCTATTGACAAATACTCTACCTGCTTTGACTTATCACGATCACAACGCAGCAGGATCGTCCTGATCTCAATCATGCTGATGACCACATTGGTGGGCGATATGTCCTATTTTGGTAAAAGGATGCTGTCTCAGATTACCTTTCGCCCAGACCTGTTTCAGACCCCTTGTCTGTGGGCAAGTGGCAACAGCAGTTTGCGTTGGCAGCTGATCTCTCTTTACATCATTTATCATCTTCTAGAGCAGGGAAAGATACTGCGGTGAAATCATCATTGAGTGCGCCGGGACTTACCTTACCATATGTCCTGGCGGCCTGCGCTCTGCACAGCCGTGTAGGCACAACCTGAGACAGCCCGATCTCTCGGATGGGCCCGATATGAATCGGATATCATCTGATGTTGATGATCGTCATGACGGCTAGCAAAGAGATCTAGAATGAAAATATTGTTCACCTCGCCACTACTGAGCGTGCCGTTAGTCACGCAAACGCTACGGGATCTCAATTCATCACCGGCAAGGCTTGAAACAATACCAAGTGTGCTATTTTTGTCGAAGACAAAAAAGAAAAAAAAGGTCTATCAGTATGCTATCCCGCCTCGTTGACGGCCTACCGGCGGCGATAGATCATTTCGCCCGCGATCGAGAGATGTTGATACAGTTCGCACTTAGCGTGGACTATTCTTTGAGAATTTCCTGATCAGGAGAAAGCTCCGATCGCTGCAGGGTTTATCAGATGGAGGATGCTCTACTGGACTGATTCTGGAACAGCCATGTAGCTTCTTCCTGCAGGGGCTGTCACTTTCCCCAGCGGGCGCCGGCGCAGAGATCATTGCTTCAGATTGTCCACTCTAAAACAATATGAGCCTTCTTAGGGCTTGATGGCGATCTGGATAGCTCGAAACCGTCCCAAGTAAAATTGGGCTGAAGATCAAAGACCGGATTGGATGTATCAGGAAAAGTTCGACTTGGACCAAGCTTATCATTAGAGTAGATTCGTGACGGGTATAACTGGTATAACTGGTATAACTGGCCGGGAGTTGGATAGTCGATAATGGATCCCTAATCATACCTGAGGCAACTTTATTATCAATCTCAGTCAAATCGATCTTGAGCCCCGCCAAAATACGACGTAGAGGCTGAAAGCTAGATCAGTAGCATGGTTTATGTGGCTTGTATAGTTAGCCTTGTTCGCTTCGAGAGGTCGGAGTGAAGCGCAGTACGGAGTACTATGAGATGCTTGTTTCCCATTGCTCTTTCGGCAGTGTACCTGCATTGGGCCCCGCCCACCGGTTTGTAGCTGGCGCGCCGTTCTGCTTGAAAATGGATCTTGTCCCATTCTTTCTGCGCCTCCTTGACGAGCTATGTTTTCACGCGGGAAAAGCTGTCGATCGCGAACCTTTATTATTATTCAACAAGAGGATCATAACTAGTCATCGGTAAACATCTCTAGACTGACTGTATGATCAGGAGCTCAAGTGCACAGCAACAAGAACCGTGCAATTGCTTAAATGCGCAAGTGGCATGTTTCAGATGCTGCGGTCCGTTTTCGACAAATTAGGGGGAAAAGTCAGGGTCGATCGGAGAGAAATCGGGAAGATCTGAAACGCGGATGGAGTGTAGCAGCCGTCCTTTCCCGTTGCAGAAAGGTGCACATACCACAATTGAGATATCGAAATCTGTTGATGGTTATGGTTGTCAAGGTGAAACGTTCCCTCGTGGCTGGTGGCTGGGAATTGGTCGTAACGTGGGAGTTGCCACGAGGTGCAGGTCTGAAACCGAAAATGCTCGAAACAATGCACGATTATTGGAATAGATAGGGAGCTTAAGCGCTGTCCAGCCGCGTGCATTCTTCACAGAAGGCTCAGAGAATGTTCTAAAGCTAGCCCGTAGGTTGGACGTACATTTTTGTCACAGTCCAAGTTCCTACGGTCATCCAGAGAGATCCGCAGCTATCTAGAGCAGAATCCGTTGCTTATGACGGACCAAGTTGCATCAACTAGTTACGTGAAAGGTGCCTATTCTTCACGATTCAGAGCATGTAAGATGTCCACCATTAGATGCAAAAGGGGCGATTGTACACCCACCGCGATGGTTTAGAGTCTCGAAGTCTGCAGGAGAGTTCGAACTTCGAACTATGTACCAACTCTTGGCGCTATTATTGTTGGAGGGAAACGTCTACTTACCCCATATTTTGAAGAAATACTCGATTAGGCGATCTGGATACTCTGGAAACTTTCTCACAAGGCAAACTGCAGCGAAGACGATGGAAGTTAGACCGATGGTAGGTTCTCCTTTTTGAATCCAGCCAGCCCATCAAGCGCCGATTGCAAAGGCCAGAAGCTCTGTCGACCTCTTTCGACTAGGGACGGACATCAGGAAGAGAAACAAAGGCAGAGGAGCCGTCGAAGCGAGATGCGCTATGATGTTAGTGTCCAAGTCCGCGTTGACGCCGGTCATATCATATCAGCTGTCAGGCGTCGGCTCCTCGCCAGGTTCCGTGCCGCTCAGCAAGAAAACAAGCGAATCCGATCCAGCACTAACCATGGACTTACCAATCAATCATAGACCATCCAAACGGTCGAATCGTGTCCAGACGTATATTATTTATTCCTGTGCCGATCGTACCTGACAGTGCCTCCTGCATGTCCAGTGGCCCGCGGAGAGAAATGTGGCTGGTAACACAGTTAGTCTGACATGTCGGCACAGGCACGAGGCTATCCACGATCAGTCTACCTAGTCCGTGAATGCTTTAGATTTAAATCGAAGAAAATTTCGAATGTCTTCTCTAGTTCTCCGGCACCATCGAAAGGAGCCATCTACGATCGAATTCTTTTGGAGTGTCGATCTCAGCCAGAGCAGAAGTTAAAAAGAAACCGGTGCACAGAAGACTACATTGGAACGATAGCCGGTTAGCCGTCACTCATCAAACAGACAAAATCGAGATTGCAGCAATGGGCAATAAGCGAACTGTGGACAAGCTATGCTCCTAGAGTACGGAGGTAGGGCTCCAGGGGCAGCAGAGAGAGCATCCGCAATAATGGAGACGGATCCTCTTATCCAGGAGCTGGGCTTCGTAAGAAAGTTTCGCGGAATCGCAAATTGAGATGCTAGCTGCAGTAGCTAGTTAGCAAGCACATGTTCATTCTATTTAATAAGTGGACAAGCCGGGAGCTTTGAAGCAAACACTGCGCTGATCCGGAGCTGTATTATAGGTAGGGGTTGTTTTACTATAGCACATGCCCTGTGTCCTGTTCCTGTTCCTGCATCAGGAGTGTCAGAGAACCAGCTCCAATTTGGGAAGGAGCGCGAGACAGAAAATCTCCCTTCAGTTGAGCTAAAGAGAGTATGGAATAATTAACTACACATCTGTTTTGTTGCCTTTTTAATAACTTTGATGGATAGGCGGACGGACGGGCCAATATACTGTACACCTCCATGATTGGGCATCGCCGTGCCAAATAACTCCTGTCTTGGGGAAGATAAATCATGTATCTGGGCATTCGGAGGATTCGCGCCTCCATAGCACCATCCATATCTGATCTGATCATTCCGGAGATGAGAGGCGACCGCATCCGCGCGATTATTGTTCTGAAGGGCCTGATCATGTTCTCAAAAAACGTTGCCTGTCATATCTTCACCGCTGGATCTCTTCAATGGACTGTCCTCCGCTCGAGCAACTGCCTGCCCCGCCGCATTGAACGAGGCACGAAGCTAGTTGGGAGACCGATCATTCGCAATAATGGCCGGTGGTGGCTGCTATCGATTGCTTTTCAATGCAGATGGCCGCACCGCCTGTCATTTTGGGCCATCGGGATCCGCATCTTACGCCGTTTAGCAAAAGAGCCGTGATCTGCGCACTTCCTTCGGCTGGGGAGCAGATCGGTCATCCAAAAAAGGTTCGATGCCTGTGCTTCAAGAAACAAATTGGCATTTTGCCGCTGTAGTAGTCCCGCCAATCTTATTATTACAGTAGTAGTATTATTATTATTAGTTATAATTATAATTATTATTATTATGATTATTATTATTAATTATTATTAAGGTCGTCTAGATGGCCAACAACCGCTATCCACCGCGGCTAATGAGACGAGGCGGTATGTATTATTGTTATTCCACTTTGGTCCGGAGCTCAACGACGTTCTCGACTCTCGGAGATTTTCTTTTCTTAACGCTCTGGGAGCCTTAGCGGTCGGTCCAACCCCACTGCGCCTTCCCGGTGAAAGGTGGAGCGTTTGCTCTAGACGAGTCGCGGCTTCGTATACGAATGATTTCTGGTTGTCGATGGAGAATTATTAAGATTATTATTATTATAATTCGGAGTATTATTATGGTATTATTATTATCATCACCACGGAACGGGATCGATAGTTAGTCTTTGCAATTACTCTATATCGCACGGCAAGACCTTTAAGAGTATGGTACTTTGCATGGGCAAGTCTAGGTGGGTAAAGCGAATAATAATAATGGATCCGGATCTCGTGCCTTGCGGGCCACCGCATTCTTTTCCGATAGCTCAGCTCGTACCGTCCTGGACCTTGTTTAGTGCTTGAGGACATTATGCTCATTGGATTGCTGTCCAAGAATGCGCCATTAATACCGAGCATTATCATGCTGACTACTCTACTCTACGCATGCCTGGACGAGAGTTTGCCAGCGCGCCAGTTTCGATCCATAGTCTAGTGCCCATCGCCATCGGTCATTGTCATGGCCTAGAGTATGCCGCCCTGGAATGGCGATCGTGTCTGGCCAGCGACTTGGCAGGGCGGGAAGAGAGGCATTATTTTTTATTATTATTATTATTCACAACTGTTTGTCCTGGTACAAAGCCAGAAGTGTCATGAGAACATAGAGTTCAACGGTCAACACCAAGGGAACTTTCATGATGATGATGAAAGGTGCAGGATGATGATTATTGATGCCTGGACTAGTAGTTAGCAGACCACCAGCCTCAAGGGAGCCGACGATCCCCGTTGGCGGCGATGGGGTCGTGCTTCCTCCCCTGGACCGCAAATTCTGAAACCGCTGGCGGATGCTTCAGAATTCCCCCCCTTGGAATCCTAGACGTCCAAAGTCCACTCGCGCCAGTTTTAGCCCAGCTTGGCAGGCCAACGTCCTCCTCTCCACCACCGCTCATTCATCATTATTCGTCGAGCTGTCCAGAGATCCCCTGAGGAGAAGAAGCGTTTGACCTCCGACCGAGACTCTCCCCAATCCATCCATTTCTCGTCCCCCTTGTCGCCCTGCCCCCAATTGACCATGATCCGGGAAGCTCGGTCCAGGTGATAAGACCAGCCATCATACGAGCAGCAGACGGACTGTCAGTCGGGGTAGCAATAATAATAATAATGGCACGGAGTATAGAGCAGATAGTTGACGGTTAGCCCTCCTAACTCTCCTGCTAGACCGCGGGATCACGATGGAGTGACCAGAAGAGCAGAATAAATAATAAATAAATAAATGCAGCAGGTTCTCTTCAGGGCCCTGGTTGAGTTTGTAGAGAGACAGACACCTTGCATCTTGTCCTCTTAGGGTTGTTTGTTTCTGTCAGGAATCATTTTGATTTTCTCTCTATCTATCTATCTACGGCTTGTCTCTTTTCGAACCTCGTTCCCGCCAGCAACTAGAAAGAAGACGAGACACCACCACCTTTCTTTCTATCGAGACAGAACGTCTGTCTATCCACCAGTCTGATCAGATTATTATATTATAATTATATTACTGGTCAACAGACAGCAAAGGAGCCATCAGCATCAGGCATCATCGTGATTCTCTTGTTTCCACCCTTGTCGAGCAGCACTGTCCATCGACTCTCCTCGCTCTCTCGATAATTCCAAGCCTCCCTTGCCCGACTTGGCCAGAGACATCCTGTCTGCTCTATCCGATTTGGTCCAAGTGGTTCGACCAGGGGAAAAGCGTCCTGTCACTCGAGGACTAAGTTACCTACCCTAACAGTCCTGGGAAGATCCGAGCTCCCGGCCAGACAAGCCAGCAGATCCCCAGGAAAAAAAAAAGGCTCCAGTCGGGACATCCTGGTCTCCCTAGTTGTTATGGTATTCCGCGAATATCGGACTATAACGACCAGTGTACTAATTATACCATACGGATCAATAATAATAATATCGACCACTCGCCCGTAAGCCCTTTCGCACCCGCAGCACCAGATCCACTGGGCGCCACCAGCAGCCGGGACCACCGGCGAATACTAGCTGACTCCACGGGCGCTATCCTGTTCCCCTGCTAAGTTCCTCTTGGTCGAGGTCTTTCCAAATCCACACCCCATCCCCAACACTAAACCCGGACGCGCTGGCTCTCTCTCTCTCTCTCTCGCTTGCTTGCTTCTCTCTGTCTCTCTTTCTTCTCCCTCTCTCCCCTCTGAGCCGGCCCCGATCGTCCTTCTCAAACGGAATCCTTCTTAACCCCTCGAACGACCGCGACTCCCCCCGGTTGTGCTCCATCCCACCTGGGCCGTTCCTCTTTTCTCGCAGACCACCGGTGAAAAAGACCTGTCTTCCCTCCCGTCCAAGCCCCTCGCGGTCGCAGCCCTGGAAGTGGCCTGTTTCTTTCTCAACCACCTCTCGTTTCAATCCCGCCGTGCGAGCACCGGAGATCTATCTATCTCTTTTTTACCCCTCGGGCTGGCCCATCTCTCCTGTCGTTGACGGTCACATCGCATCATCATTGTTCATCACCCGTCATCTTCATTCCAGCATCTAGTTCATTGGAGGCTGGTACCTCTGGTATTATCGCTTGGATAGCTGTTGCGCTCGGCTGATCGCTCTTTGAAATTGTTGGTTCAATTATCTTTGTCTTGCAGTCAAAAAGACAAAACAAACAAAAAGAAGGTTTGCGCGACTGGGTATCATTTCGTGTTTACTGTCAATTCATACAACAAAATCACCACACACGCTATCATAACGAACGGTACGTATTCATCTGATCTGATCTCTATGGCTGATGCCCTTTTACGCTTCCGGAACGCGTGGTTCATGGTAACCAATCTATACATCTACATCTTTCTCAAGATGCGCTTTGGATCAATCCCCAATGCTGACTGTTGATATTAGAATCGCGCGCAAAGATGTATCCACAACACGGTGCCGCAATGGCGCCCCCGCAAAAACCGGAGACTTTCATGCTCTCAAGTGAGGCCCAGCAGAGCCTGCCGCAAGACGCTCAAGTAGCACTACAACAGGTCGACAACCGTAAGCTTCTCTCCGCGCGACGAGTCCTCTGCCTATGAAGATTCCCCTTGCTCACAAGAAGGACAGTCAAATATTTTTTAATCTCTGCTCCAGTCGACTGGTCTCCCGACCAGCTGATCAGACGGTTCCTGCTCCCCACAGGCGATTATGTCTCATGTGTGCTCTGGTGCGTGACTCTGATAATTAATGGCACGCGATAACCGTGGCTGACTGGTTGTAGGAGCAACCTCTTTCATATTTCCGGAACGGATATTGTCCGATGTCTGTCTTTCCGATTCCAGGCTTTCGGTCGCCCAGTGAAGAATTCCAAGAAGTTCGAAGAGGGTATTTTCTCCGATCTTCGAAATCTCAAGTCGGGAACCGACGCGTCGCTGGAGGAGCCCAAGAGCCCCTTTCTTGATTTCTTGTATAAAAACAACTGCATTCGGACACAGAAGAAGCAAAAGGTCTTTTACTGGTATAGCGTACCTCATGACCGCCTCTTCCTGGACGCCCTGGAGCGCGACCTGAAGAGGGAGAAGATGGGACAGGAAGCGACGACGGTGGCCGTCAGCGAGCCCGCCTTGTCATTCCAGTTCGACTCGTCCCAATCGCTCTATGAGCAGCTCACCAAGGCACAGCAAGCAAACTCTTCATCGTTTTCTGCACATGCAAGTACGACGTATGGCCAATCTGCATCTCCGGTGGTTCGGACCGTTGACGCTATGCCTCCTCCGCAGATGGCTCCCCCGTCGATGCCGCTCCTCTCGGACGAGACTGGCGGCTCAGGGATGTACAGCCAACTCGCGATGTCGAACGCGATGGCCCAGAGTCTCGTTAAGCGCGAGCAGGACTTTGGCCAGCTCCAGTACGATCGCACTGGACTGCCCCTCTCTCGCTTGCATCAGCGCCATGCCTCGATGCCCTCCTACATTGAGTATTCTCCTGCTCCGTCGTTTGTCTCCTCGCAATACGAGGACTACAGCAACCGTGGTATGTCCTTCGAGCCAATCACGCCGCCCCAGCAGGCCGTTCCCCTGGGGGCTGAACCGGCCTACATTGCCAACGAGGACACAGGACTGTACACAGCGATTCCCGACGTCAGTTCCACGACCTCCTTCAACCCCATGATGCAGCTGCCACCCTCGAACCTGGCCGGTGGTCACTTCTCGACCGTTACGCGCGCATTCCCGCCCAATGTCTACTCGGTCATTGAGGGATCTCCGACCTACAAGCAGCGGAGGCGGCGATCTTCGATCCCTTCCAGCATTACTAACGCGATCGCCGCGGCTACCGCTAACGGCGCACCGACCACAAGTTCTCAGGGACAGCAGGCGATGTATGCCGTGCACAAGCCAAGTGACCTGCGACGTTCCGTTTCAAGCTCTGTAGCTCCCGTGCTCGAAGGGGACGAGTCCAACCAGGAGTCGCCTTCTGGTGTTACAAATGGATACCCTTCTATGACACAGAAAGATTTACTGCAGGAGATGTCACGGCATGGTACTCCCTTGGCCAGTTTGGAGGAGGATTCCCAGCTTGTCTCGCCGCAGGATACCCTTGGTCCGCTCACCACGAGTGAGTCGCTCGAGATGTCAGTACAGAACAGCGCCGCAAATCGGGCAGATCGACCGGGGCCTGTCCGTCGGGCTCGGAGTGCCACCATGATGGAGATAGGCCCGTACCCGCAGAAGTCGCATTCCTGCCCAATTCCGTCGTGTGGACGCCTTTTCAAGAGACTAGAGCACCTGAAGCGGTAAGTTTCACATCTATTTGTGCATCACGGATCCGGGCGCTCTGACTGGCCCGTCACAATTTCTGTAACCGCTGGCTAACTTGCTGGGCGGCTAGACACGTGAGGACCCATACCCAGGAACGACCATACCCATGCCCTTACTGCAACAAGGCCTTCTCGCGCTCTGACAACCTTGCACAGTAAGTTCACTTTGCAGATTTCCTTGGGCCCAGTGTGACTGCGGTACTGATTGGTCGTGTCTAGGCACCGTCGCACTCATGAGACACAGCAAGATGGTCAGCAGCAACACCAGACGCTGAGCGACGAGGACCTGGAGAACGAGGAGAATGAGTTTGGTCCGCTCGAGGAGGGCTCTCCCGCGTCGGACCCGAACTTCCTCACATCGACGGTCAACATGGCCAGCGTTACATCGATGCCCACTACTATGGGGATGCACTCTGTGATGCCCAGTATGGTCAATCCTCAGATGATCAGCCCGCAGTTCCTGCAGCAGCAGATTTGAACCGGAGATCTAGACTGACAGATGATTGAACCGAGAAACGGCCGTCTTCTCTTCTGATTCGCGCTGCAGCATTTTCAGACGCAAGCATGGTCTCTTGCGAGGCTCCGGAGCGTCTTACGCGCCCGGCGCCGCTCTTTCGCTGCAAATGTTTATGTGTCGTGGTACTTGCAGTAAACCGATGATACCCTCTGCCATCATGCGTCTAAGCCTTCTGTCTTCCTACCATGACTGTCCTTGCGGTGCGGTACCCCTGGGTTTTCCGATCAGATAACCGAGTTTCTGAAGGAATGGGTATCGATGCGCCTTTTGTTGCTTTTGTCCACACACCTGCGTTGCACCCTTACTCGCATCCCTCCTGGTGAGCATCACATCAATTTTTGTTAGCGCCAGCCATAACATGCAATTTGCTGCATGGATTCATGGAGACTGGCGCTTGAAAAATATGGCATTTGTCCATTTCACAGTTCTGATTTCTCTTTTTTGATATCCATTTCCGACGTGGACGATTTCCCGTCATCTGGCTTTTTTTCTTTTTTTTTTTCAGTTCAGTTTTGCTTTCTCAGCTTTGGTTTCTCATTTCCGCTTATATTATACACTTGATGTGCTACGTTCTATAACAGCACCATTTTGTTTCTACATCAGTTTCTGTCTCTAGGGGGCCTCGGGTGGATATAAGGAACCGGAAGGGAAGGTTATGCCTGCTATGGACAGGGGACGTGTGCGGTGTTATATTTACTTCTCCCAGTGTATCCCACGGGGCCCCGTGAGGTGGGGTCCACTGTGCTCTCCTGCGAGAGTTTGGGTATGGTTGAGAGGCTGGGATTCTGGTTTCGCGTGCTATAGACCTCATTTGCGCAAAATGATAATTTTGGTTTCTTATGTTCAGTCATTTACGACCAATTCCCTTGATCGCATAGACCTCAGATCTGTTGTAGGCTGGCCCCTTACTATGTCGTAGTTCTGTCTTTTCCCTTGGTCTTTGTGAAAAGATGCCGCATCTGGCTCTGGAAGCTATCACCGTGGGCACAGCTCTGCTGTCATAGTTATTGGGTGGCCTGTGGAGAAGGCACGCATGACCTTGATGTCTAGTTGCATCCGTCAGTGACCAATGTTGGAGCTGTATCATAGGATGTCCTCCGTGTGTACCAACAGACGGCGCTTTGTACGTGGCTCGTGTCAGAGAGACAGGCTGGAGACGCCCAGCCGTTACTGTCAGGATAAGTATTTCCAATAGTTAATGGCTGTCTTGTCTACTCTGAGAGCGGTCACGGGTCACGTGGGCGAGTTCGCTGACGTCTGTCCCCGGATGTCTAGACGTTTCTCCAGGCCTGGCGTTTTTCCCCAACTTCACTATTATTATTGGACTGTAACTCTGTATGATTATTATCATTTAACTAGCCCACGTTTCCATGCGGGACTAAATCGAAGTTTCTCCGCTGATTGCTCGTACGATTCCTTTTCTGTGGTTCGTCCTGTGCAGGTTGGTTTTCGCCCTGGTGATCGCCCGGATTTACCTAGCTACCCCGGGGTCAATCACAGATCCAGTGAACCTGGCCCCTACCGGTACTCTGGCGGTCGCTTTGCAGGGAACTCTGTCAAGACGTACCTTTGTAGAGATCTGTTCGCCACGTCTGGCTCCTCCGTTCGAAGAGGATTCAATTATCTATCATTCTTTTTACTGCGACACGCCTACTTTCGTCGCATGCTGAAAGGGCCGCTCGTTTTAGACGCTATCACCGCTCCTAGCCGCTGGTACTGGAGAACGCCATACCACCTGACCTAACACGGTGGAATTGTACTCAGCCGCTGGCATTAGTCGATCCGATATATTTCATCAACACCTATTATTACATTCGTGCTGAGTGGGATTGAGCGTTTCTGCTCTTTCAAGCCCCCTTGAGACGTTGAAATCGCCTGTTCCGTGGCCGATTTCGATGACGGCGACTGAGGAGCATGTAGATGAGAGGTCACCATTGGTGACTGCTCCTACCAGCCCGGTTGAGGGTGCCAGCTCTCCGACGGGACATGGTGCAACGTCGAGAGGCGGTGATGCTGCTGTGTCGGAGCATCGACACCATGAAGATGATACCCCGAAGAGCAGTTGGTATCTTTTCCTGCTGACGCTTAGTATCGGAGGGTGGGTATTCACTTCTGTGATTCATCGCATATGCTTTCCTCCAAAGGATGAAAATCATTGACGGTGTCTTTTTTTATAGGCTGCAAATCGTTTGGTCTGTTGAGCTGTCAAATGGATCGGTACGGGTTCCTCTGTCTCTATTTGCGTTCTCTTCCCGCCGTGGTACAATGGCCAGAGCTGATTTGAAATAGCCATATCTTCTGTCACTTGGGATGAGTAAATCCCTGCTCGCATTCGTCTGGATCGCAGGTCCTCTCACCGGTACTCTCGTCCAGCCTTATGTGGGTATCCGTAGTGACAATTGCCGTATATCATGGGGTAAAAGGAAACCTTTCATGATTGTTGGTGGTGCGACTACGATGGTGTCACTTCTTGCGCTGGCTTGGGTTCGAGAGATAGTCGGTGGCTTTGCGGGCTTGTTCGGCGTCAATGCCGAGTCAGCTGGGATGGAGACGACTAGGATTGTTGTAGCGACACTCCTCATGTACTGTCTGGATTTCTCTGTCAACACAGGTGAGTGGGAATCAACTGTTCCCAACTTGTTGGCGGGTTTTGCTAACATTAGCGCTATAGTACAAGCGGGCATTCGTGCTTTTATTGTCGACAACGCTCCTCATCATCAGCAAGAATCAGCAAACGCCTGGGCCAGCCGGCTGACAGGCGTTGGGAATATTTTGGGCTACATTTCTGGTTATCTTGATCTACCCAAGTTGCTTCCGTTCTTTGGAGATACCCAGTTCAAGGTTCTTTGCGTGATTGCGTGTATTGCTCTGAGCAGCACGCTCGCCATCAGCTGCTCGTATATCAAAGAGCGTGATCCGCGTCTGGAAGGGCCCCCAAAATCCGATAACCCCGGCCTTCTGGCGTTCTTCAAACAGGTCTTCAGATCTATACGCCGTCTGCCACCCCAGATCCGCAAGGTCTGCGAAGTGCAGATAGCAGCATGGATCGGCTGGTTCCCGTTCCTATTCTACTCTACAACCTATATTGGACAGCTATACGTTAATCCGATTTTCGATCAACATCCAAATCTTTCAGATAAAGACATCGACAAGGTATGGCAGGATGCTACGAGGATCGGGACATTTGCCCTCCTCATCTATGCGATCATATCTTTCTCTGCAAGCATAGTTTTGCCCTTGTTCATTGAGCCAAGCTACAAGCACATCCCAGTTTCTGGTCAGGAGGACACTGATAGTGCTTCTGATGACGAGCCAGGCCCAGTCCGACGGCTGTCCTTTTCCAGCATGCCGGTTGTTTCGGAGCCTCTGCTGGAACCTCCCAGTGGAAAGAGCGTGGAAAAGAGTGGGAAAAATGGAATCTTGGCTAAACTTCAGATCCCTGGGTTAACACTCCGACGCATGTGGTTTTGTTCTCATCTGCTTTTCGCTGCCTGCATGTTTAGTACGTTCTTCATCTACTCACCGCAAGCTGCAACGGTCGATATTGGGATTGTTGGCATTTCCTGGGCATTGACTCTCTGGGCCCCGTTTGCCTTGATCTCGGCGGAGGTGGCGCGGCGTGATACCGAACGGCGTCTTAAGCGTCGTCAGGCAGAGATGTCCGGCCCCAGGGAGCCATATGCGAGCACGCAGAATGACACTACAGCCGACAATCACGATCTGGAGGGTGGCCGGGGGAATGGGGCGATGGGTAGCCACGAGGACGAAACGGGTCAAGCGGGCATTATTCTCGGCCTGCATAACGTGGCTATCTCGTTCCCGCAGATCCTGTCCACTCTGATCAGCAGCGCGATCTTCAAGGCGCTGCAGAAGCCCCGGGGTGAACCGTGGGATGACAGCGTCGGATGGGTGCTAAGATTTGGCGGATGCGCTGCTCTGGTCGCGGCGTGGCTGACGAGGAGACTCGATGAAGGAGCCAGCCGGTGATCGCGCAGGATAATTAGCATTTTGTACAGTTCTGTTGGATAGTATTGTTACAGTATTGGTATTAGTACTTGAGCATCTATCTATATCTTGGTGTTTGGCGTCGGCGGAGTCTTGGCATGCTTGGTTAGGGATGAGCCGTCTGAAAGAATACCATAGGTCAAGACTGCAAACGTATATACATAGTCGGTAGTAGGGATCATCGCGGGATATGAATTCACTACGAAAGACCAAATACTATGATAGAATATAGTTATCTGGTACTTAACTTAGCTATATCATATGTTTACTTACTACTGTAGCTATTCTAGTAACGAAGGACGCGTCCGCACTGGCTACGTAAGCGCCTTGGTCTTGGCAGGTCAAGAGACGGACGAGTCGGAGAGGCCAGCTCTCCCGGATTCCCCAAACACCAGATCTATCTATCTATGACTTCTTCCTGTCTGTCTTTGGTCTATCCGTGGGAATCTGTTTGACCTGTCGAGTTGTCCGCCAACGGGTGATATGCGCGCTGGGTTTTGGGCGCCAGCGACTCTCCCTTAGAGCTCGTCTGCCTCTTGTCTTCCTCGCTCCCCGCCGCCTCGGATTCCGTCTTGAGAGCAATGGCCGCAACGCTGGTCAACGAGGCCTTTGGCCTGCTGCTGCGTATGTCTCTCTCCTTCCCTGGCATCTATTCTGTTGTTCTGCGCTCTCTTACTGACTCTCCTCAAGGCAGGGCCGCCGACTCTGGCTCCGATCCCGATGATGGTATGCGCCGTTCCGTATCATGCAATATCCCCCAAGCCTAAGCTCCTCTCTCGATGGTTCAACTTCTAACAATCCTTCCTTCCGTTTAAGCAGAGGTCCCCGAAGCGACCAAGAAAGAATTCTTCAGCTCCTGGGCCCTCTTCATCCTGATCGTTCTCCTCATCTTCGCCCTGTTCACGAGCTATATCCTCCAGCAGAGGAAGATTCAAGCGGTGCATGAGACCGTCCTGTCGATCTTTGCGGGCATGTTTGTGGGCTTGATCATCCGGTTGAGCCCCGAGTCTCCGATTCAGGATAGTGTCACGTTCGATTATCAGTTCTTTTTCAATCTGCTTCTGCCGCCGATCATCCTTGCGTCGGGGTATGAGTTGCATCAGGCGAATTTCTTTAGGAATATTGGGACAATCCTGACGTTCGCGTTTGCGGGGACGTTCATCTCGGCTATCGTGCTGGGATTGATTCTCTATGTCTGGACGAGGATTCCGCTGGATGGACTGAACATCTCCTTCGTCGAGGCGATCTCCGTGGGCGCGACCCTTTCCGCTACCGATCCTGTCACGATCCTCGCCATCTTCAACCTGTACAAGGTGGAGCCGAAGCTGTACACGGTCATCTTCGGAGAGTCGATCCTCAACGATGCTATCGCTATCGTGTTGTTCGAGACGGCGCAGAAATACGCCGACAGCGAGGCTGGTTCCTTGACGATCCTGAACCTGTTTGAGGCTATTGGTCTGTTCTTACTGGTGTTCTTTGGTAGTATGCTTGTCGGAGTGATTGTGGGCATTTCCACTGCGCTGGGTCTGAAATATACCCATGTTCGCCGCATGCCCAAGATCGAGAGCTGCTTGATTGTGCTGATTGCCTATGCGAGCTACTTCTTCTCGAACGGAGTATATCTGTCTGGTATGTTTATGTCGGAGGGCGATTGCTGTTGACGAGTTATGCTGACGACTGATAGGAATCGTGTCGCTCCTTTTCTGTGGCATTACGCTCAAGCACTACGCTTACTACAACATGTCCCGACGGACACAGCTGACGACGAAGTACCTGTTCCAGGTGCTGGCGCAGTTGACGGAGAACTTTATTTTCATCTATCTGGGCCTGGATCTCTTTGTGGAAACGGAGCTTCAGTTCAAGCCGCTCTTCATCCTGATGACAGTTTTCGGTATCTGCGTTGCCAGATATCTCTCGGTCTTCCCTCTGTCAAGGGCTATCAATTGGTTTATCAGATACCGTGCCAGACGCCGCGGAAAGGACGTCGCAGACGAACTGCCATTCAACTACCAAGCCATGCTCTTCTGGGCCGGTCTCCGCGGTGCAGTCGGTGTCGCGCTCTCTGCTGGTCTGAAGGGTGTCAATGCGCCAGCGCTGCGTGCGACGGTGCTCGTGGTGGTGGTGTTGACCGTCATCATCTTCGGAGGCACTACTGCTCGAATGCTGGAGATCCTGGGCATCCGAACGGGCGTCGTTGAAGAGATCGATTCCGACGACGAGTTCGACATTGAAGTCACGCACGGGGGCACATATTACAAGCGATCTGGCACCGGACTGGGCTACACTCCTCGCCGCAGCGACCTGACCATTCCTCTGGGCAGCGTCGGCGGAGCACGACCGGGGCTTGGAGACAGTGCGGACAGCTACTCCAGTGGTAACAACCGCCGTCCCAGCCCTCCATCGCATCAGTCGTCACAGAGCCTTGGTGGAGGTATTGCATCACGGAAGAACTCTGCCTTCAGCCAAGTCGACCGCCATTCTCGACGAGACCGGTCGTCAACGTTGACTCTGCTCGGCAACGCCGGCACTGGCAGCCCCAGCAGCGTTGCCAGCGACGATGACCATGGTGCCGGCAAGAAGGACCGGACAGGAGTCCATTTAGACGCTCCCGACGACTTTGAACTGGATATCGACGGGCTGTCCGACGACGATCTCCCGCCCTCCGCAGCATCGCGATACCGCCGACCTGCCTCGCAGCCGCGTCTCTCGCCATCACGGGCTGGACCCGCCTCCGGTGGCGTATCTCCAGCGATGAGACCGGAATCAAGCGGTCATCTCAGCGCCAGGGCCGCACTTCGAGATCTCTTCTCGGGCGGACCCAACGGCGACCATGCCGCGTGGTTCAGGCAGCTGGATGAAGATTACATCAAGCCGACGCTGCTCCTCGATCAGTCGAACCACAAGGGACCTGGTGCTGTTTGAGATGTGTTTTTTGTTTTTGTTTTTGTTTTTGTACTTGGAGTCCGTGACTCATGGTTTTTGTTTTCATTTTGGAGTCTTGTCATATCATTTCAGTCCGTGTATCCTCGCAGAGAGAACGTGCATGGCTATAGCCACGGAACAAGTCTTGGGAAAGAGAGAAAGGGAAAAGAAATCAAGCCGAACGTCTATCCTATCCTATCATATCGCTCGACTCTAACCTCATCCCCATCCTCGTGCTTTCTCTTCCAGTTACCTCGACCAAACTAGAAGAAAGAGATAATTCTAAACCCAGACGGCTTTGACCATCTTCGGTTCTCACATCTTACCAAGACACCGTGACCAATACAGCACGCATAGATGTACTCTATACCACCACCCTCGATTCCATTTCTTTTCTTTGCTTTTTTTTTTCCGTTTCATTTTCGTCTAGTCTTGCAGTCCTCATATCACCTTACCTTGCATGCACGCATTCATCTTAAGACGTCGGCAGCTTCGTTTTCATTGTTCACTTGTCATTTGGGAAAAGAATTCCACCAAACCCAATCGGATGGAAATCAGGAATAGGCGTTAAGTTGCTAGTCATACGTTACAAGCTATATACGAAGTAAAGTAATGGCGCGAATTTTAAGGGTTATATTGTTATTATTATCGTTTACTGTTTCGCTTGCTTGTAGTAGTAGTATTCGAGGATAAAAAGGAAGAAAAATAATAATTTCACACGGATTTGGATTTGGATCTGGATCTGATATTCCCCGCCTGCGAGCCAGTCTCAACTCAACTCAACTCAACTCCTGCCTTTCTTTCTTTCTTTCTTCACTCCCCCGTTTGTTTGCTCGCTTGAAAATCTTGCCAACGCCTGTTTCTGACTGATCTGCTTCGTCTCTCATCTCATCTCATTTCATGAAAAGTTATCCAAGAACAAAAAGTAAAAGGAAAAGGAAAGGAGAACGCTTGTAGCCGGTAGTATGGTATGGTACGGTACGGTATCTGTTGTAATTCATTCATCCATTCTCTTCTCTTCTCTTCTCTTCTCGCTCTCCGTACTACTTCCCCCTTCTTGTATTTCTATCGAATGGGTTGGAGGAGAATGGATGGAGAGGGGAAGGGAAAGAGAGAGAGAGAGAGAGAGAGAGGGATGAATGAATGAGGTGACTGAGGGGAATAAAATCACTGTGGCATCTCGAGGACGTAACGGCCAGCAATCTTTCCTTGTTCTGTAAATAGTAAAAAGGGGGGATAGTTAGTATAAAGTACCATGCCAGATCAAATAGATGTATCATATATGATAATCCAGATCCTAGATAGATAAAAAAAAAACTCACCCATCAACTCATAAACCTTCGGCAAATCCGACAACGGCACCGTCTTAAACGGACACTTGATCAAACCACGAGCGAAAAAGTCCAACGCCTCGACGCCATCCTGGCGATTACCGACGTAGGAACCCTTGATGTTGATCATGCGCACGACGGTGCTGAAGACGGGGGCCTTCAGGTACGCGTGGGCGGGCAGACCGATGGCGACGATGGTTCCGCGAGATCGAACGTAGCTGGCGGCTTGTTGGAAGGGGAGTTCGGAGACGGCGACGAGGATCACGGCGTGAGGACCGAGTCCGTCGCTGGTGGCGGATTGGACGTCGTGGACGAGGTCTTTGGTTTTGGTGAAGTCGACGTAGGCCTGTTATTATTATGTTGTTAGTTGATTGGTTTTATTGGTTTGGTTTGCTGGGGCATAGGAGAGAGGGAATTGCTGCTTTATGCACATACCTCAGCGCCAAGCTGCTCGCAGAGAGCCTTCTTCTCATCACCACCATCAATAGCAATGACTCTCAAACCCATGGCCTTTGCGTACTGCTGAGCCAACGCTCCCAGACCACCACCAGCACCAACAATAGCCACCGACTGGCCGGGACGAGCACCAGACTCCTTCAGACCCTTGTAGACGGTGATACCAGCACAAAGGATCGGAGCGACAGCATCGAGCGCAACACCCTTAGGGATCTTCGAGACATGCGCCGCCTTCGCAACACAGTACTGCTGGAAGGTACCGTCGACGGTATACCCAGAGAGCTCCGCATGAGCACAAAGAGGCTCATCAGCCTTCTGACAGAACTCACAAGCCAAACAAGAGCCATTCAGCCATTTGACTCCGACTTGCTCGCCGATGTCGACTTCAGAGACGAGTTCACCCCTCGCGACGACGACGCCGGCACCCTCGTGGCCACCGATCAAGGGCAGCTTGCGGTCCAGGGGCCAGTCACCGTTCTTGGCGTGGAGGTCGGTGTGGCAGACGCCGGAGTATTTGATGTTGACGAGGACTTCATCTGCGCCGGGCTTGGGGACGGGGATCTGCTTGTAGACGAGAGAGCCGTTGGGCTCGATGACCTGGGCCCATTGCTGGTCTGGAATAGCCATTGTGAGAGATGTGATTAGAGGGGGATATGAAATAAATCGGTGTAAAGTGTTTTGTAGTAGAAAATGAATCACAAGTCTGAGATGTAACCAAGTATAGAGTGAATCTCAGTTGATTGATTGATTGATTTCTTGATCTATGAGAGGAAAACTGACTGGATCTGATCTGGAGAAACACAAAAGAAAAAAAAGAACGGAACAGCAGGTACTTTATATCCCTCGAGTTCTATCCCTGACAGCCATGACGCCTGACGTATTGTTGTTATTGCTGGGAACGAAGCCGGACAACATACGACCAGCTCGGAGTATCGGACGATCCCATCACGGCATCATCTGGCGAATCGTGTCGGGCGACCCTGGTGGAGATACGCGGGGGGAGGCCGTGTGGATAGGATCATGCGCAACGGTATGGTATACAGTCGAGTAATAATAATGTCTTATGATATGTATGTAATTTAATTGTGACGGGCGAAAAAAACCTCATTTCTGGGGTTTGGGAAAATTCGATATGTATCGTTCGTCTTAGGCTGATGGATGACGCATGCTCTCTACTTACTCTGATCTCCCTCCGACGAAAACAGTTTTTTCTTAACGAATCGGAAGGGCTCTATGAACCATGATCTGGGGCGCCAACCCGGGGAAATGTGGAGGGAAAAGGCGGGGGATGGTAGCACCAGGGGGCCGTTTCGGGCAAAAGGGAGACGAGTGAATGAGGATAATTGATTGAGTTATTGTTGTGTCTCCCCCGCACTGTGAGGCGAGGGATGGTTCATGCTGGCCAGATCGTGGAGGGAACGAAGAGAGAAAAAGAGGAAAAGCAAGAGCGGTTCCGCATGGCTACATAAGTTAACTAACCTATCTAACCTAACTAACTAACTAGATAGTCTACAGGACGGTTTAGATCGACGATGGACCTGCAAGATGGGCGGACCCTTGATAGCTCTGGGCGATCAATCAACAAGCTAACTTAACAATTTATGTATGTATGTATGGTATAAGACTATCATTAATTAACTCTGTAGACTGCATCCATCCTCCTTTCCGCGGACTTCTTGGCGAAGACTGACATCTGGACGGCGGACGAGGTACCTTGGGAGAATCAGCGGAAATGATAACTATCTGGTGTCATATAATAATCTATACTATACTATACTACTTCTATAACATATCGTATTCAATCAATACAATACCAAGAATCAAACAGACACGATAATAATTCCACAGCCCTCGAGTTTCCGCACACGCAGCGAGTCGGGCCCGGCCGACTTGTCAGGTGCTTCGGATCTTTTCTTTTCATTCATCATCATACATCCTCAAGTTGCCACGGTTAGCCATTCGATCTAATTTATTATCCCAGGGCTGTCTAGACTCTTAGTTACTCGAGAATCGAGATAGTAGCATTACCGAGCCGGCCATCGGCTTCTCATCTGGCTTCCCCCGCAGTACTTAAGTTAGTGATGATGTTCGCAGTGGGGGTCGCAGCCCGGCCTTACCCCATCTCCATCAAGACATCGAATATGCAAGCTGGGGACGGAGTAAATGCATGGAACAGAGCCATGGTCGCAACATTATTGCGGAGAAACTCTGACACGATGGCTAATCATGAATACCGTCTCCGTCTAGAACAATAGTTAGCTCACTACCCTAGTCGGGTACAGTAAGATGGCTGGCAAGAATGCCAATACCAAACTTATTGGATACAAGACTCGGTCCCCCACGGACGCTACCTATTGGGATCATCCAGTGCGTCCTCCGTCTCTAGTCAACTTGCTCCCTTCGCCATGCGGCTCCGCGTTCATCGTCCTTTTGATTGGGACAAAACGTCCTCGTCGCGCACATGGCTGAGATAACTACCTAGATAGAGTCACTAACTAACTATTCATACCAGGTGGGTAGGCGATGATCTGTACCTAGATAGACTAGATAGATTGAGCCTCTCTCTCACTTACCTAAACCGAGTTACTGTGTTGTGTGTCCACGGATCTAGTTATAATCTGAAACTATGCTCAAAATAACTAATTGCGCTCCCTTCAGCTAAAAGATGACGGTTTTTCGGATCCGCATTCATCATTCAACTCAACGTAGCGCTCTGGCGGGAACTATACTTATGGCTATTATTCAAGATATTCTTTTTTTTTTCCACTCTAAACTTCAACATAGATTCATGTCTAGTCTAAAGACAGGTAGGTACCTAGGTACCTCCCTCAAGCGGAACCCTTCTGAGATCTATGTATACAGTAAGTATGTACATACATTAGACAAATTATGCCTGTCTTATCTATCTATCTATACACTACCAGATACCTGAAACCTGAAATCACTAACTCATATCTATCACGAAAAAAAAATATCTATAAATCAACTAGTCGCATTAAACCCTCAGGAATCAGGATACACATATCGAATATACTTTTTTCAACCCAAATCAAAGTAATAATATAATATATTAGTTTGACGGGGTAAGTATAGATTGCTTTCCAAGGACGAGTTACCCATAGAGTCAATCTTATCGTGAATAAATGACAATAAACAAACTCTTCCTAAGCATACAAAGAATCTGGACTCTAGTGGATTTATATATGTAGTAAGTAAGTAAGTAAGTTCTATCCTATGATTAGGTCACCAGATGTAATCAAGGACAGGACCTGCTGTGAAAGGATACTATATTTAATCGATGTGCGTCGATAACTCGAATATATTATATCCTCTGGAAGAGATAGGATTCGATGGATAAATAATCCAAGATTATATGTTAATTATTTATGTGGATGATAACTACCATGGACACTACGAAATTAATAATCTTGCCATGTTACAATCAGCTAGTACTTAGAGGACTCGATTCAATTTGAAAAATAAATAGTAAAGTATAATTTTGAACTCCACGCTTTTTTTGATCTTCAATGAAATCCAGTTTCGAAAGAAAAAACTCCGAGAATCTATCTACATGTACTGTACCTTGGGAACAAAAAGAAAAAGAAAAAGAAAATAAAACCGCAATTATACGGACATCATCCACTCCTTCCTATACACGCAAATGTACTTCTATGTATCTCCTTCTATCTCCTCCCACCGCGGCTCACCTTCGGGAACTCAACGGGCACACGCAGACGACACACCCGTCTAGCAGCTGCTTCGACCTTGCCACCCTTGATGCCCCATTTGGCAAACTCGCTCTCGCGAGGCCTGTCGACGCGACAGCCCAATTCGCGGAAGTATTGCAGGATGACTTGGTTGTCGAGACGGAGGTCGTCGCGCAGGTCGGATGGGTCGGTAGCCAGCTCGTTGGGCGAGTTGCCGCCCTGGGAGCTGGAACCGCCATCCTTGGCTGGAGCCGGGGGTATATGGAGAGAAAGAGCACAGATGGTAGTGTGGAGGAGGGTGATGTCTGTCTTGGTAAGATGCGAGCCTTGCGGAGCGTGCTTGCGACGGATGGAATCGATGACGGGATCTGGGAGCACAGCTGATGGTGCTATCTTCTCTGAGGGATTTCCACCAAGCGTAGACGATAGAATCCGGCGTAGGTCGTCGCGAGGGGGAAGACGCTTACTGCCAGGCGGAAGAGTGCCACCGGCTTTGGCTCCGCCGCGGAGAGAGCGTGCGAATTCGAGCAGTAGCAGGATATATCGCAGAATTTGGAGTTGAGTCGTATTTCCCGATTCCACAACCGCATTCACACGGTTCACCACATATCGAGACGTGACACGTACTTCCCTACCGGCGGCTACTGAATCCTGCCACTCCTTAATGTTAGGCAGCTGCCGCAGCGTAGATACTCCGCCCGCCACAAGCACGTCGAGCGTATAGACATCGGAGGGATGCGAAGCGGATAGGTTCGCCTGCGGTATGGGTTTCGCGGCCTGGATCTCTGCCTGAACAGCCTTTTCCTTGTCCTTCATGGCGAGCGTGTCCACAGGCATGGACGACAGCAGAGCCGACTCGGCCGCATTCGTCTGCCCAGCAGGAGCATTGGACAGCGTCGCGTTCTCCGCCACAGACTGGGCCGCCTTGCGAGATTGTTTCGTACCGAAGGCATCGGTAAGGGCATTCCGCTGAGCACGGATGGTTTGCTGTAAACGTCAGCATTTTACCCTGCTCCTATATCGATGATACACCGCAGAAAAGAACAAGACAAAACTCACCACCTCATCTTCTTCCTCTTCCTCCTCCTTATCCCCTCTCACCTTCAACCTCCTCACCACACCTCTCAGTGTGACCTTTCGAGCCTCCACAAACTGCCATGTCTTCTGCGCAGGGTCCACAACGGCAATATAATGTTTCAGCTGGGCGTCCGCATCATCATCGGCCTCGCGACCGACAAAGTCGAGCTTGGGGTGTTCCGACGACTGCAACAGGATTTCTGACGAGACGATACCAGGGTTGCGACCGCGGGAAGACGACGAGTCAGTATCTCGACGAGACTTAAAGTAAGGGTGGAGAGGCAGTTTTCGGGGCGGTTGAAGACCGGGTGTCGTAACTATAGATTTAATCCGTCAGTTGTCTTTTCTGCAGCAATTGCATGAAGTGGGGATATCAGATGATAATAAGAAAAATTTCTTTAATCAAGCAGAATAATACCATATCCAAATACGATAAACTAGACTTACCTATCACTGGAGCCAACTCGCTCTCATCTTCGACGACACTGGCTTTGAGCGGCGGCAGGTCCTGAGGGTCCAGAGCCGGCTTCTTGCTCGGGCGCTCGTGTCTGTCGGACGCGCGCTTGCGCTTTTTCTCAGCAACGTCCACGGCCATAATTCTTCTTCTGTATAATCAACAGGCTGGGTATCGACGACCGCCTGCGTGGCTTGTGGTGGACGGAGCTGTCAGATGTCCAAAAGATGCCGGCGCGGCGGAGGAAGAAAAAAATTCCTTGGGGTTTCCCGTCGGCGGTTGCTCCGCTCCGCGCCCCGGCGGAGAGCTCGCGCCACAGAAAACGCACGATAAGCTACACAGATCCATCTATATTCAATATTACTTATGCCCAACAGCAAGCCAATTGAGCTCTACAGGGTTCAAACACGCAAAAGTTGGCTCTGAAGATTCATCCATTCCACTAGCAGTAGCTATTCTAAAACGTCAAATCATCAGAGCGTGACCAGTCTTAAGTAAATTCCCGCAGAAACCGCTCCATAACCTCCCTCATCCGGCCATCAAGGTCATCCCTCGACAGCTAGACAAAAGGAAGCTGGTAAATTGACCAGCTCATGCCGAAACTCGAGAGGTAAAAACAAAAGAGAAGATATGGGAAGATCATGCAATCCGGAAATCCTTGACTTGATCCGATCCTCCTCTGTTACCCCTCCAACCCCACCGGACACACGGACCCTCCGACGAACAAAGATGCACGTCGATGAAAAACGCACATTCTGCCGGACTATGCTCGAAAATAAAAAACGGTTTTTGCCCGAGGTTGGATAAAAAGATATTTTTTTCTGAACGAGGCACCGTTCCGAACTGTCCCCTGCGAATGGACGAGTCCAACAGCTTCGACGGAGTGGTAAAAACCACGACGGATCACCAATCTTTCAATCGATCATGACATCGTGGAAATCGTAGATAGTAAAAAAGGATTTTTTGGTCGTTAATTGTCGTGTTCGGCATTCAGCTCAAGATCCGACATCAAGCTGAGATGGAGTGGGCGAGTAGTTTACTTCCTGGAGGATTGTTAGAGACCAATTCCAATGCAATTGAATCCTCATGGAATTGATTTCCAGTCAGACAGGAGAGAAGAAGGAGACTTACGATCTGGCTCTGACCTTGCGGCGCTTACGCTTGAGACGACGAACGCGCTTCTTTCTCCACTTGGCTCTCATCTTCGCAGACTGCAGGAGCGGTTAGTAAACGATGCAATGCATAAGACAGGAGCCCAGCTCGACTGCCAGAGCCCGAAAGCCAGGGAGTACTCACAGTTCCTTGAGGATGAGGAGATGGTTGCAAGAAGTCACGATGAAGCTGAGCCGGCGACGTCTTTGTGTGTGTGGCGGATGACTCAGCAGCCGCTAAGGGCAAGCGAGACCCCGCTAACCGCTATCGGGGCCAATGATGTAATTAATACACCTGCTCACACCAAAATAATAATAATAATATTAATATTAATCAATTAAGAGAAAAGAAAAGAACGAAGAGGAAAGCTTTCGTGCCAGTCTGCTGCCTCACGATCCAGCTGATTGCAGCTATATTATTACACTATTACCATACTCTCTCTCATGTCTGGCTGCTGCAAGTCTAAAAGTAACACTCCGTAGTTCAAGATCTATCGCAATCCATCGTGGCATGTATCACAGGTCTGGAGATGTAGTGTAGCTGCAACTCTCGAAAGAAAAACAAGATAGAAAATGGAAGGAAGAAACATACATCTCTTGCAGATTTTCTCAAGGGCAAGTATAATGGTACAGAAAAAGCTGCGTAAGAAGATTAGGGCCATGAGGCCGCTGGCCATGGTACGCGTGAAGAAGAGAGAAGAGGAAGAATTCCATCAGTAAACGTCCATGTCCGTCCATCCGCACCGTCGAAGGAAGCAATTATTACCCCAGGGCGCATCACATCAATCCGATCAGGCAAGAAACAAAGACGCGAGCTAAGCCGTGCACAAGAAAAACAACACAAGAAGAACAATCCAAGTCTATCCAGTTTCCCGGCTCGATGGTTCCTTCATGCCACGCGGGTCCCTTTTCTCTCTTCACTTTCGCCTTCAATTGTTTTTTGACCCGTTTTCCCCCTCGGGTCTTCTTTTCTAAACCCCACAATAAAGCAGCAAAGTATGGTAGTACATAGGCAGACAGATCCGCCAGTCATCAAATTGGCCGTACATGGAGACTATCAACTCATTCCGCCGTCGCCGTCAATGATCCGGAGCCGTTCTTTCGTGGTCTTGGCTCTCTTCGATGTGCCTTTACCCGGTCCGCGGCCGCGGCCACGTTTCTGTGCCGGGCCAGACGACAGGGCCGGATTATCGCCAGCTGACAGAGGCGTTGGCGCTTCAGAGGGTTTTGCACTGGCATCGTCGAAATGACCTTCGCCTAAGTAGAAGAGAAACATTAGTACTTAATCGTCGAAAATGACTGACAAACGCTTTACATACCTTCGTGATACATATCGTCCAGCGTGAGATCCTTCTTCCTCTTCGGTGCGGCCTTCTTTCCGCCCTTCTTGGCACCAAATTCCTCGCCGCGGTCCAAGGCCTCTTTCTCCTTCTGCTCGATGAGCTCGACCTGGTCGTCGTCGGCAAGCCACATGGCGATGTCCTTGGTGCGGTTCTCGCGCGTGCGAGTGTTGAAATCGACTCCGCCCGCAGCACCGCCAGAGATGACGACACGCTGGACCTCCTCCTTCTGCAAAGCACGCTTCCGGATCCGCTCCTCGATGGTACCGCGCGTAATCAGACGGTACACGGTGACCTGCCTCGTTTGACCAAGACGGTGAGCACGGTCCATGGCCTGAGAGTCGATGGTAGGATTCCAATCCGAGTCGTAGAAGATGACAGTATCAGCGGCCGTCAGGTTGATACCCAGACCACCAGCACGGGTCGACAGCAAGAAGACGAAAATCTCCGGCCGCTGCTGGAAGTCAGACACAGTATCTCGACGATCCTCCAATTTGGTACTTCCGTCCAGACGGCAGTACTTGTAGTTCCGGTAAGTCAGGTACTCTTCCATCAGATCGATCATACGCGTCATCTGGAAGTAGAGCAGCACACGATGACCACCCGCCTTGAGTTCGCGGAGCAACTCGTCCAGCTTCGCCAGCTTGCCCGAATCGGTGACGAAACGCCGCATGGATGGCACCTCGATGTGCGTGTAGCGTCCCTTGGCTGAAAGTGGCTCGGGCAGCATAGGAGGCAAAGAATACGGCGTAGGGTCCAGTTTCTTTTCCACGATCTGCTCCTCCATCTTCTTGGATGGCACACCAAAGAGTGCATGACGCACAGAGACGTTGAACAGCGTGTCCTGCGTTTCGCGGATCGCAGCCTGGCCAGAGCAATTGATCGTGATCGGTGGGGCAGAGGCTATTGGGCTGGCGCACGGCTCGATGATGCTGAGACCTTCACGCTCAAAGGTCATCCTAGATACATTCATGAGCTCGAGCATGCGACCCTCCAAGGCGACTTCGTGTGTAGCCTGGCGATCGTTGCGCTCGACGATATTGAATAGTGAATGAGGTAGGACAGAATTCACGTTCTCCTCTTCGTCGTAGACAACATTGAGTCGCGAAAGGCGATTGACCTTGCCGCGACGGCGAACAGCGCGCTCAAAAATTCCAATGTGTGACATCTCGTAGGCCTCGCTGGGCGATGTGTCCGCGAAGCGCAAGAACGAGAAGGCTTGATTGTCTTCGGAACTCTGCTTGATATTCTCAGGCGACCAGATGTTCATCAGATGATTAAGATACTTCCCGCGGAAGCCAGCCCGACTGTTCCCCGGGCCTGGAACGTCAACACGGCCATCAGAAGCGCACAGCATGCGTGGCAGGTCATACTCGATCAGGCTCCGTGTGGAGTAGCCAACATCGACATTCTGTCCTTCACGGAGGAAAGAGGCTGTCTCTGCGAAGTGTGCAACGGAGAAAGGAGACCTTGTCTCAGCGCGCTCGAACAGGTCTGGATGGTTACAGACCTTCCGGAATTGCATCACTAGGTTCATCAGCGTAGTGCTATCTGTATCGTCACCGACGGCCGCCTTTTCGATGAGATCCATGATGCTGACGCGGTTTCTCAAGTTGGCGTAGTACGCGCGCTGACGGTAGGTCAGATCACAGAAGACATCCTTCTCGACCTTGTCTCCAAGCTCTTGCTGGACATGTTTCTTGATACGGCGCAGCATGAAAGGCTTCAAGATCATGTGGAGACGCCTCAGCTGATCCTCGTTGAGCTTCGTGTTGCTCTGCGCATGCGACTCGATATCCTTAGAGAACCACTCGCTGAACTCATCGTGGGAGTCGAACAATGTTGGCATGATGAAATGAAGCAACGCCCAGAGTTCCTGCATGTTGTTCTGGATGGGAGTACCAGTCAACAGAAGACGGTTACGGCAGTGGAATCCCAAAAGGTTCTTCCAACGCGAACTCTGCGACGACTTGATGGCCTGTGCTTCATCCAGAATCATGTACTGCCACTTGACTTTCTGGAAGTATTGTGCGTCGAGCACGACAAGTTGGTAGGACGTGACCAGGACATGGAACTCCGATTCCTTTGTGTAGGTGATGTGCTTGCGGTCCCAGAACTTTCGTAGAATCTTTCGGTCCTTGGCAGAACCCCAGTAAGGCAGCACTTTGATATCGGGAACGAACTTGGTGATTTCCTGCTGCCAGTTGTGAAGCGTGGAAGCTGGTGCAATGACGAGGAATGGACCCCAGATATTGTGCACCTCTGCTAGATACGCCATGACGGAGATGGACTGGATGGTCTTTCCTAGACCCATCTCATCTGCAAGAATACCGTTGATACCCTGCTCGTACAGATTGACGAGCCAGTTCAGACCCTTCAACTGGTATTCCTTCAGCTGAGCCGTCAACATCTTAGGTTGGGAGATGGTGATGTCACCCAGACTAGTGGGGTTCTGGAAGTTCATTTCGCCTTCATCAAAAGCGGCCATCTGATTATCTTCCTTGTTGAAAGCACGAGCACGGTCCTGGGCCTGTTGAACAGCATTCTGCGCATTGGCCATGGCCGCCTGACGCAGGGCAGTCTCATCTTCTGCATCAAAGTCCAGGTCTTCGAAGTTGGTAACTTTTGTATTCGGATCGGCGACACTGGGAGGGAGGTCGACCATATGTTCTTGGCCTTGACCGGGCTGGACAGTCTCGCCGGTCGTTTCCGTAGTCGTGTCTGCAGTTTGCTCTGCCTCTGCGGTCTTGATCTTGCGCCCGATGAAGTGAGAGTACAGTTCCGTCTGGGAGATAAGGAAGTTAAGCTTCCGCCTCTGTCGGTTTGCCTCGCGTTCAGCCTCGGCCTTCTTAGCATTCTCAAGCTCCTGCTTCTCGGCCACACGGCGTAGATCACGCTCCTCACGCTCGTTGCGCTTCCAGAAGGACATCATCTCACGCATAGTTCTCTTGGCGCGAGCCTGTGTATCCTTCATACTCTTGTTCGTGCGTTCCTGCCATTTGCGGGACTGCTTACTAGCCAGCTGAGCGGTCTTGCGAAGGTTCTCCTGGCGTGTACTGAGCGACAGGGCTTTGATACGGTAAACCTTAGGGATGTCCTTGCGAGCAATGTCGCGCCAGATCTGTTCGTAGATCTGATTGTATCCCTTAGTCTCGTAGGCAGCGAGAGGAGATGGAGTAGCCTCCTTCGAACGAGCGCCCTTGCCCTCCTTCTTGAGAGACTCTTTTCGAGGATCTTCCTTGGGAGCGATAGGCACGAGTTCGTCCTTTTCCATAGCCGCATAGGCCGCCTCGGCCGCATCCTTCTCTGCCTGCTTCTTCTCCTTGGATTTCTTCGGACGCGAAGAGGTTCCAATGCGACCAGACTTCCTCCTGGAAGGAGGCGAAGAGCCGCGGCTGATGTGGAAGGAGCTTGTAGTGCCGCCCTCCAGATTAGGTGCCAGCGGCGTGACCTCGCTGATCTCATCAGCAGCGGTGCCTTTCTCCAAGGCTCGCTTGGTAGTTCGGATCTTCTTCTGAGCCTTTTCAGCCTCTCGGAGGAACTTCTCCTTCTCAGCAGAGTCTTCCGCCTTGTTGGCCTTGCGCTCGGCCTCGAGCTTTTTCTGCGTCTCCAGACGCACGGTGTTCTCGCGGCGACGCTTCCTCTGCATATCCTTCTTGCGTTCCTTTTCATCTTGGACCTCTTTGCGTTGAACATCCGCAACTGCAGCTGCTTCATTTCTGATCCTGAAACGCTCGGAACCGGCCATAGCTTGTCTCTCAAACGTCCTTCCCAGTCTGACGAGGAAGTCATGTCGACGTCGCTGACTTTAAGTCAGTATACTGAGAAGAAGGGAGGAAAGAGCTACTGTCACATACCTTCCGCTTCAGTCCTTCAGAGATCTCTGATTCTCGGGCACGCTTCCTACTCTTCTTCAAGTAACGTTCATGTTCCTTCTCGAAGCCGGGACCTTCAACATCACTCTTCTCTGCATTGTCGATGTCGGCAATGATCTTGTTGATCGCTTCCAACTCACGCTCCGACAACGTCTTTCGTGCCTTGCCCTGCTGTTGGGCTGCCGCAAGTTTCGCTGGCTCTGCAGCACCATTCGCGGCAGGCGCCGGGGTCTCTTCAGCGCCAGTATCGTAATCGACAGTGCGACGCTTCCTGTCAGATGAAGGCTTTTTCTCCAGCTTGGGAAGAGAGGCCGGAGTCTGTTCAGTAGTAATTTGGCCACTGACAGCCGGGGGAGGAGAGGGTCTGCGGGAAGAGCGTTCCTCCGTCGGTTCGGAGAGGATACTTGCAAAAGACATGGGGTCGTTAGCCCTGGAAGGTTTCTATGTAATCCAATGATCAGCCTAAATCAAATGAGAACTAAGCGTCAAAAAAAAACGTACCGTCTCCTTGGGCGACGCTGGTCTCGTCTCCCGCATCATGGGGGATTGTGAAGAATATGCAGCACCGTTGCTTCTAACGTCGAAAGACGACTCTGGCTCTTTCTTCGGAGATTGTGAGAGAGCTTGCGGCCGGCTCGAAGGATGAGCGTGAGAGGTATGGTTATAAGGCGCTGAAGCGTTACCGGGAATCACGGACCCAGCGTATGGAGGTGGAATAGAGTACTGCGGAGGCCCCGTAGATGAATGTGCTGGATACTGCGATGCGGCCTCTGCATGAGGAGGAGGTGGAGGAGCACTTCCATTCAGCGGAGGAAGGGTGGTGGGCAGAGGTGATGGCGCTTGAGAGAAGTGAGGACTCCTTGCGAGAGGCGCCTGCGGGGGAAAGGCCGAAGGCGTCTGGGCAGCGGGTTGCTGGTAATGTTCATTGTTGGGATAGTAAGGGGAGTTCTTGTTCGGTGGTGAATATGCCGTGAAACGAGCCTGCTGGGTCGGCGATTGCACACCGTACGGCGGAGCCCCCGTCATGGTGGCCGCGTTTTACGGGAGCACGGAGCAGACAGCGGCGGAGTTTGATGAAGCTGGAGGACAAGTATGAATGTTGAAATTGGCGTTCTCGTCGTGAAGCAGGACGGTTAATGCACGCGACGACTGCCCATGAGAGATCGCTGATCGAATCTGACGCTGCGATAAATCCGTGTCAGTGGGTTGGACCCTCAGTATCACCCTGGACAGACAGGTCCCGGGTTCGTCTCTCTAGGAGAGGATGAAGCGCCTGTGGTGGGACGTTGGGAGAGGTGTTGTACCGCCAGAAAAGACCGGTTTGGCCGCTCTTTGTCCCCGTGAACGGGAGCTGCGATCCGCGGATTAGCGAACCGGCATGGAAGGAGAATCTTGGCTCGCTGCGACAGACTGGGAGCGCAGTCCAGATCGGGGCGGATATGGCGCAGTCCGGTTTATTTGGTGGATATGGACGCAGGGCCGGGATGGGGATGATGGAGATGGGGGATGATGATGGGGGAGAAGGAAAGAAGATGGAGCGACGTGGCGGAGAAGGATGGATGGTGGAGAGGGCAGAGGTTCATGGAACGAAGCGGTGTTTGTTGCGTGCTGAGCCTTTTCCAATTTTCCCCTTTGCAGGTCCAGACAGCTCTTACTGGTATTATCGGTACTGTTTCTTCTTCGCGCGGGCGATCCTGAGCCGTTCCTCGCCCTGTCCGTATTGGTATTACCGTGACAGTTCAGTGTATCTTACTATCCCCTGCGACGCTGAATTGGAGATCATTTGGCCTTGACAGCCGCATCACCAGGACCATCGTCAACTGACCGCTGCAAGTCTGCGCAGGTTGGCATCTAATGTGAGATAGCAGAGTATTATTATTTACTATTATCTCACTTATCCACCGTTCTTTTTTTTAGTGGAATTTCCCTACGCTGCCAAATTGCTGGACATCTCAACTTCCTCCCCAGCCATCGCGATCCCCAGTCCACATTCCCCCATACCGCCTCGTCACCGTCACTGTATTATTACCCGTGACGATCTACATACGCTAGCGCGCCATCTCTTCTCCAGCTGGCGACTGCGACGCCTGCTGTCTTTTGTATAGAGTCATTCAGTAGTTGCAACCATCACTCTGGATATAGGACTCAAAGAGTTGCATGTTCTACAGTGGTATCGATCTCTGATGTTTCATCCTCTAAAAACAGCCATCTTGGGTGTTGCCTTTTTCGTTTTCTTTCTCTTTTTGAAATCCCACGGTCGCGGGTTCATGACATCAAGGCGACCGGAGCTCGTCGGCGGTCCCAAGCACTTAATAAAGTTACTCAGCTTTCGCCCTTTTTCCACATCCAAATCTGATTCATTATTCCCTCCTTATCCGCGCTGACATTGCCCCCCTCATTCTTCCTAACTAGAATCGCTGCCTTTTTCGATCACACTACCGAGGATACAATTAATATAATTGTCCTCGAAACAGTGATACTATCATAATGATTACTGCTATACGGATATGTAACTATCATCATCACTCAATGATCCCTAATGCGGTAAGTATCATGGTGGGTGTAAAACCCAGTCAGACGAAAAAACGAATCCTCGTAAGAAACCAAAAACCACCACCACGCAACCGCCGACCTCGCTACTTACGGTCGGACCATCCAACTTGACCGCGTAATCGTACCTCTCCCGCAATGCAAATCCATTCACTTTTTTGCCTTTCTTGTCCCTAATCTTCTAATAGATGGAGTTGCCATGGGGTGATTCTCACAATCGTTTTAAACCAAGTTATTAACTGGGTATCTCTTACCTAGGTATACATTAGATAGACAAGTTCGCATACTGCAGGTTTAATAGTCATCGATATATTCGGAGGATGGTGGTTCCTTGCCAACCGATTCCGGGATCCCCGCAAATCATTCAAATATTCGATCGATCTCTTAAGAGTCCAGTTAATCCGCGGCATCATACTATCACTAGGATAGTAGAGAATTAGCTTGGGACGGCGTTCAGGGTAAAAGCAACAAATGCCAGGGGGGCAGGCTTTCTCGACGGCCGCGTCTTAAACACTTGATGCGATTGATTTCGTCTGCAGAGCTACCAAATCTCTTGCTGCCTCGAAATAAAATGAATCATCTTACCAAGGAACACCAATGATTATTAAACATATATTTCTTGCGACACAGAAGCGACACGACCATATCCTCGAGTTATTCCTGAATCGTGGTTGGGATATCAACGCTTCTCGATGTTCAGATGCTGGATGACTCGCGGAAGCGGTTTCTGTTGCCATTGTTCGTTCGCTTATTGAATCATACGTCGACAAGAAGTAACGTACAAGAGATGGAATCAATGCTAGCACGGGGCCGTTATTAGAGATCGCCGCTCTTTTCTCTGAGTGGGAATTAACAACTGCAGTTGAAGTGGGAAGCCTATCTAGTAGCCAACGCGTGGTTGCACCTAATCGCTTCACAAGGTAACCAGTTGTGTCTGTGTACATTACCAACCCATAAGGAAAAGGTCATATGCGACCGAATAAAACCTCATCGACGGCTGAGAATGCGTTTTGGTTGTGATGATCTGGTGAGGTTGGTCATTATGCGCGATAGTGAGGGTATGGTAGGAGAATAAAGATAACTATGTATATATTTTAACGGAAGTTGCCTTCATCGTCTTAGCCACGAAGAAAAACCTGGCAACACAACAACAGCCACTGGCCACGATTTTCGTCCATCCTGCCGGTTGTACATCGAAATATCCTCGGTCTATAAGATAAACGCGACGGTTCAAATAATATGAGCGAGTTGCTAATGATCTTGTTCTCTCTTGAGAAGAGGGGCTGGAATTGGACCGTGCGAGTTCGCCTGACATGAAACTTATTTAACTTACACATTCAGTAGCTCCAGTAGAACGAAACCTCATGAACTGTTCTCGAGAGCTCACTTGATCTTGAAATTACTTATGTTCTGTCTGTATCTACTCTGTAGACCAATAGTCACGTATTTGTACTGGCCGCGCACAAGTCGTCAACCATGTTCAATTTGTGCAGTTACCCATATTGAGCTTAAAGGTGGTCGACTGATCTAAATATTAATCAGTAGGTCGGTTTGACCTATATATGGATCTGTAACACTGTAGTTTTGAGATGACCCGACCACTCTATTTTAGTGCACGACCAAGACCAAACCTATCCTGGCTCAAGGGTGATGCCAGATAACTGCATTATTATTGAATCGTGCACGGGCCAATACAATACTTCTTGTTCTAGAATAGGCTTAGTCTTGGTGGTGCACTAAAATACCTAGTATGGTCGGGATACCTCAAAGGCTCAACCTGGCACCATACTCTTAATCCACGGGGAGAGGTTAAGTGAGCTAATTAGGTGAAAGATCAATTGTCCCCAGCATGGCATGGATTGATACAATTGCAATTTACATTTATTCTACTCCACTAATCTTTGAGATAGAATGGGCCAATAAGACACGTGAATGGCGCGAAGGGTTTGATCCATCTCGCGTCTTACCATTCTGACCAATCAGATATAAGAGTAATTAGACGCGATGTCAACAACCGGAACATGGTAAGGACATTAAGGGTGGCCAGACATTTGAATTTAGAATAGATGCAGTATAAAGCATGTTCAAAGTAAGCCGTAAGCGACATAATATACTTGATATTGGGGTGTTGTGAAATAGTATTCTGTGTGGTTTTCTTGCAACTTGCGCGAGATAGAACACCTTAGATACTCTATGACAACAGTCACGACCTACAGAGTAGTTAAATATGACTGTAGCCACTTAAACAGGCGGAGATCAGAGGTACTTGTATCACTACCCCCTCACCACTAAATGCTCTTTGATAGATAGCGAGTGTGTACCACTCAGGGGTTCTGCGAACCGCTCACTACGCGTCCGACATTGCCGCTAATTTTATTCCCATATTCTGGCTGCTTCTCTCTGCTTATCTCTTAACTAACAGGGGAAGCCGGGTTAGTGTTATACGCAGACCGTCTTTCTTAATTACCTCCAGCACGGGCCAAATTGCGACAGGGATCATACGTTGATCCAGGAGATCTTCCCCTTACACGTTGCCATTGTTATTGTTTTGATTTCGCTGGCGTCCATCACGTTCCATATATCCGCTCGTCGTCTTGAACTTCGCGAACCTGGAGAGTATCGAACACTGCCAGAATCCCATATCGCCTACTTTTTGACCAATATGCCTCGCAAAGCGCTGGCTGAGACAGACGCAAACGCCTGCATCGTGTCTCCTGCGAAGACCACGGAGAAGAAAGACGGACTCGAGAAAGTAGCAAAGGAAACATCCGACCAGCCTAGTCTAAAACGCAAATCCAACTCAAAGTCGGATGAACACGAGGACGAACACGAAGAGGAGGACGAAGATGTAGATGGCCCACCGAGCTGGTACAATGCGGCCGCACACCCATTTGGCTACCACATTACCGACAACTGTGATCAGGTTCGTCGTAAGATCACCGCCTTCATTTCCTCCGGGGAGATGAAAGTCGGGGAATTCCAGCGCTTGCTTGACGTCTCGCCGCGCTCGTATCAGCTGTTCATGCGGCAGAGGGGGAAATGGAAAGGCCAGGGTTCGATAACATACCAAAATGCAGCGTGTTTCTTCAAGGAGAGAGAAGAACAGGGTCTTCCGCCACCTAAGAAAAAGAGAGCTACCACTGCGACCACCAAGAAGACCAAAACTGGCAAAGGAGAAGCCGAGGAAAAGGACAAATACGACGTCTCCAACATCCACCTCGACGGTGAATCTGAGTTCGAGGTCCCTGTCTTCGATACCTGCGACGTTGTTCGGCGCAAAATCCGGCACCACCTGCGCCAGGCAGGCGTCACGCAGGCTTCGTTCCTCCGCAACATCCTCCGCGCTGCATATCATCCATATGATCCCAACAAGAAAATCCAGTCCAAACAATTGAACGATTTCCTGAGCAAAGAAGGTTCCATCTCAGGGAATTCCAGCAGCGTCTTCTACGGGGCGTATGTCTTCTTTGAGAAGCTTCGGATCCGCGACAGTAAACCGAAAGATCAGTTCCGGTTGGAAATGGAGGATGAGTGGTGGCCCGATGGGTTTGACAGGGAGTGTTCGAGCAGACAGTGCTTCATTGTGCCGAGAGGAACCGAGGTCTTTTGGAATAAGTATGGGCGGATTGAGACAACGAGAGGATTTCGTTGGTGAGTCGTCTGTATGAGATGTATGCACAGAGGCGCACACGTGTTGCGACAACTAGAAGTGGAATCATGGACGGATTCTGAGCTTCGGGTTAGAATGATTTCTGTGCATAGACAAAGCATTCATCGACACATCTCGAAAACTGAATGGTGGTTCTGCTCGGGTCCGAGATTCCCAATTCGGACCGTCGACCCCGAAACTTGACCATATGATATCTACTAGAATCAGTGTAACTAGGTACTCGAATAGGGGGTTTTCACTCTTTCCACTCTGATCTATATAATCAATACTTTCTCTCGACAAATCTACCTCAGCTATAATTCTTGCACGTGCGGTCAGTTACGGAAAGCCACCCGGCGCATACGAATACGATACTGTCTATCATAGTTCAAGACAATCTCTCCCTGAGGCACAGCAAACATGGCCCAACAAAATCGGTTAAACACTTACGTTCAGGGCTACTCCAACTGTACCCTCGCAACCCATCAGACGCGTACGGCCGAGTCGGATGCTGCCTTTCTCTTGCCACACATCAAAAAGACAGACCACATTCTCGATATTGGCTGCGGGCCAGGCACCATTACCACGGGCTTAGCCAAATATGCTAGCGAGGGCAGAACAGTCGGAATTGATATTTCAGCAGACGTTCTGCAGAAGGCGAAAGCACTGGCAGCTCAGGCCAACGTCCCCACCCAAGGGCCAGGCTCTGTTGTCTTTGAGGAAAGCAACGTCCTGGAGGGGCTTGCCTACCCCGACGATACATTCGACATCATCTACTGCGCTCATCTCTTCGGACATCTGCTGCCATCACCAGATATGCCACTCCGGGTGCTGACTGAGATACGACGGGTCCTGAAACCGGGAGGCATCGTGGCCACGCGCGACGCAGCGGACCAGCACTTCTACCCGCGGAGTCTGGACCTGGACCGGCTCTGGGTACGAAATTTAATGCGGGCAGTGAGTAAGGGGGCATCTGATGCTGAGCCCGTGGCTTCGAGCATGCCTGCGCTTTTACGTCGCGTTGGCTTTGACGCTGACGGCGGCAAGGTCCGTATCGGCGCCGGAACTACGGTATACTCAGGCCCTGAAACTAGGAAATGGTTGGCCTGGCGTGCCACCGGCCAGCTGAAGCAGGGAGATCCCTTCTACCAGAGCTGGCTGGATGCAGGTATCACTGAGGACGAGATCCAGCAGACGCTACTTGCCGTAGAGAAGTGGGCGGATACAGAGGATGCTTGGTTTGCGGCGCTGAATTGTGAGATGCTCGCGTGGAAGTAATCTGGACGGGTTCGGAGGGCAACAGCCAGAGACGGGGAAGATATTTACCAGTTTATGACCCGACTCGAGAATTAATATAGACAGATAGCTCATATGTCTGCTTCCCATTCATTCTTCGCTGTACTGGTGAACGTCACGTGACTTATACTTAGAAGATAGCCAATCAGCGTGTCCTGCTAGTTATCAGTTAGCACATTCTGAAATGTACTTAACGTGTCATTTCTGTTGGCGCTCAACGTTTATTAATTGCATCTGCCTGGTTTATATTCTTTTTGGACTAGAGAAAGCAAGACACATGCTAATATCGACAGGTCGCGAAAGCTGTCAAGATGTGCCTCTAGATTCTAGACTGTTTCTGCGGGGCAGCCTACTTATCTCGGGTCCGAGCTTCCCTTTTCGTCATAGGGCATTTGTGCGACGACGTCTACATCTGGGCAAAGCTCCCTATTAACAATCCCATCAGTCATGTGGTGGCATAGTATCAAGGCCAAATAAGACTTTGTGGGGAGAGATGTCGGCTGCGGTAAAGCGGGCTTGTGAGTTAGTGCCCTCCCTTGCCCTCAATCCTGCCATTGCCCTCGTCTTTGGATGGGAAGGTAAAGAGTCCTCTACTAAAGCACTTGGACTTACGATACTCGTGTTGCAGCACATGTACCAAGCGTAAAGTTAAATGTGACAAAGAGGACCCGTGCTCGAATTGCTCCAAAGCTCAAATTGAATGCTCTTATCGATCGCCAGTGCCCTCACAAAGGCATAGGAAACGAGTCGCGGACGATGACCTCCTCTCTAAGATCAACGAGTATGAGGAATTGCTCCGCAGGCACAACATAAATTTCTGTCCTCTAGATAACTCATGGATACCCTCGCCGTTGGAAGAGAAGCTGCCTTCGAGACATCAGTCTGGCTGCGTCGGTGTGGGTGTCCGAACTCAAGCTTCCAGTGAGACCCAAGCACAGAACTCTGAAGCTTCTGTTCTTGGGAAACAGCTACAGCCACAGACCCCAGGTGGACGAAGCATAGGAGCACCGCTTTGGCTTGGGCTGTCGAGAGATGTTTGTTCACCAAGCTACTGCTTGCCTTGTTCTTGCGCTCTGTACTAATAGTCCACGATAGCTGCGCGAACCTCCCATCGAACAATTCACACAGAATAGCAATGATGGGAGAGAAGGACCAGTTGACTTTAGCTCCGGCATTATGGCTCTGCCACTGGTCCCTGTATATTTACCTGCTGTGTCGGGGCTGCTCGAAATGCATCCTGAACCGAAGCATATTTTCAAGCTCTGGCAGATTTTTGCGGAAAACGTCCACCCGCTGATCATGATCATCCACGCCCCTACTGTTCAGCGTAGGATATCGGAGGTCTGCTGGAGCCTAGATGCAGTTCCAAAGCCATTCGAAGCAGTCATGTTTGCCGTGTACGCTTTGGCTGTCTCCTCCATGAAGGAGGCAGACTGCATACAATTGTTTGGGGAGACGAGGTCAATTTTGCTAAATCGGTATAGCACGGGAACAGCGCAGGCGTTGGCTGCTGCAAACCTACATGTAACGCGCGATTTGGAGGTCTTGCAGGCCTTGGTATTATTCATCGTAAGCTCTTTCCCGTTAGTCCTTTTGCTCTTCCCTCACCTTTCCAAGAATAGCTCCTTTTATATCTAACATTGAATAGTTACTAGATTACCGATCCGATGCTTCAGTGACACTTACAGGCCTTGCAATACGCATTGGCCACAAGATGGGGCTACATAGAACGGGCACTGACTCCAAGACTCCCTTCTTTGAGGAGGAGATGCGCGTGCGCATATGGTGGAAGATCCGCTGCCTGGACTCGCGCTCTCGTCGATTAGTACTGGGTTTACCACCGTCGCGGGCTGAATTCGGGGACATACGAATGCCGCTCAACATTAATGACGCAGATCTGCATCCGTGTATGGCCAGTCGGCCTGCTGTTGAACACACTGGTGCCACGGAGATGCTGTACTGCTTGATGAAGTACGAGGTTGCGCACTGGATGCGCACGTCACCCACGCTCGCCGCATATTCCGTCAATCCCCTTGATATGGTCAAGTCTACCAGCCTCGAGGCAATGACCACGAAGAGGAAGGCGCTGGCTGAGATACGACAGATATACGAGAACAAGTATATCCGCTATTGCGACCCCACTATTCCCCTTCACCACTTATCTGCTACTGTAGGCCGCCTCTTCATCTACCGCACGGTATTTTCGTGTTTGCATCCGAGGAACCAACCCGAGGGTGGCCGATTGATGTCACAAGCCGACCAGGATGAGGTATTTGAGAGTAGCGTTCAGGTCCTTCAGCTTGGGTATGAAGTCCGTAGGACCCCATTCTCAGCACATCTGCTCGAACTTCAGGCAGCAAAAACGCAAGTCGATGCGCTGGTGTACATGGTTAGCGAGCTGCGGCAGCGCGTAAGCGGGGATTTGGTGCGTACAGCGTGGGTGCTAGTAGAGAGGATGTACAAGGACTATCCAGATCTGTTGCAGGACGATGGCAAGTTTTCTACTGGACTAGCAGATTTGACGCTGGAAGCGTGGGATGTTCGCTGGCGGGAACTGCAAAGGCACCGAGAAGTGGCCGTACCGGAGTTTATTGGCTTGCTACAGGCGGCGAGAGGGAAAGCCAGAGCTTATGATGGGACTCTCGATCAGATCGGAGGAGCGATGCCAGGAGAAGGTACGCAGATTGGGTTTCTGCATGAATCACTGGATTGGGAATTCTGGAATGATTTCCTTGAAATATAAGGTGGAAAGCTAGGCAATCGAATTAGGCGACGAACTTGCCTTCATTTCCTCGGCCTTTTCAATGGGCCGATTCTACTTCTTGTTCTACCACCTTGCGATCTCATGCATGCAATCACTCAAGGTATCAGCAAAGAATCAACGAACGAAATTCCTCACCTACACAGAAACAGGTCTCAGTGCCACACAAACACAGCCTCCAGAATCAGCTTGCTCGACTAGGAAGTGTGAGACTGATAGGTAGAAATTCCGGCCACGAGACTTCCATTTCTGCACCAATTTGCATCCAGCCACGGCAAGATGGAGTGTGCCCTGAGAAATCTGCTTGTTCCTGAGCCGTGACGCCCGTCAGGCCAGATTCCATAAGCCAGACTGATTTAAGGTCATATTGTCAAAGAGATAAATATTCTGTATTTCTTTTAGCAAAGCGGTGGTCAGGTAGAGTATCATCCCAAGATAAGTCAGGGAGCTAACCCAAACAGGACATTTTGACTTCGGCGGCTGGTTCCGCTTTTTTTCTGTTGAACAAAGGAACAGCATTGCCTTTATCGATAAAATGATGGCTACTGTTTAATGCTTCGTTCAATAATATACAACGTACAACGTGTATTTGCACAAGGTTCCGTGTCCTAACGTTCATTGCCGGTTTTCAATTCGCGAAGACTAATTGGACCATCTAGTTGTGGCCTCTCCAATATCTCCATGGTGCATCACGAGATGATCACCTCAGCTTGGAGAAAATGGCACTTCCGTCTAGTATCGGTCAATCTGGATGGTCAACATTAACATATATCCCCGTTGAAGTCCTGGAATTTGTGATATCGTACCTACCAAACCGCGATATCAAAAGTCTCCGTTTGACATGTAGGACGATGAGCGAGAGGGCTCGTCTCCGAATAAAAAGAGTGTTTTTATCTCCTAATCCGCGCAATATCGAAGTTCTCCGTGCGATTGCTGGTCATGAAATGTACCGCCGTTATATCATCGAGATCATCTGGGATGACGTACAGTTAGTGGATAAGATTGAACCGACTCGGAACTGGTCTCATTTGGCCCTGGGGCATTGGTTCACAGAGATCTGCGAGTGGAACATCCAAGAAAGAGTCGAAAGACGAAACGAGGAACCTAATCTGTCAATCAAAGAATCATGGGAATACTACCAGCAACTTGTGCAGCAGCAGAAAGACGTGATAGCGTCCGGGGCGGATATTGAAGCATTTAACTATGCCTTAAAGCGTTTTCCGGCGTTGAAAAGGATCATTATTACGCCCGCAGCACATGGGATATTGGATAAACCGCTATATGAGACACCAATGATCCGCGCATTTCCACCTGGGTTTAATTACCCAATCCTCCATGACGACATACGTTGTCAGTGGTTTGATTATTCCAACCTCCCTATTTGGCCACTTCCAGATCATACTGGGGTCCCTCCATATTTATTACCGTGGGACGAGCAAGAGAGATTAAGATGGCGAGGGTTCTGCATCATTATACGGGAACTGGCAAAAAGGAGTGACCACCGAGTTTCAGAGCTTATAATTGAGCCCCATGGACTTGAAACGGGCTTAAATTGCCGCATATTTGACAAACCTTGCGAAGAATACAACAACCTCATTACAATATTCCGACGGCCAGGGTTTACTCGTATCGATTTATGCCTTGCTGGTTACGGGCAATACAATGAAGACCAAGAATGGTCATCTTTCCGCAGCGGCTATCTCAAACGTGCACTTAGCCAGACATCATCAGATCTAACGCATTTTAGCCTACGGACTCAAATCGATTACGATCGAATTCAAGAACTTGATGTACATTGGACTATGCAATTTACTCGGCATTGGATCCCATTACAGACATTCCTACCTATCGAGAAATGGCCGAAACTACGGCATTTTGGTCTCTCAGGATTTCTCGTTCGAGTAGACAATTTGCTTTCGGTGCTTAAAGCATTACCGAAAACATTACGATCTGTCGAACTAAGCGCTTTGAAATTTACTGGAGAATGGGACAGCTGGTATGATCTATTTGAAGATATGCGCGAAACTCTGGCCTAGCATGAACGTCCTATCGATGAAAGACCACTACTCAAAGTGCGCGTCCCACTCCCTGGAGGCTATGGGTGGTCCTGCCTAGATCGCGAGGCTGCTGAATTTTTCTATGGCCAGGGGGAAAATCCTTTTTCGCCTTACTTCGGTGGTGACCTAGTGGAGATTGGAAAAGGCATTATTCAAGGACCATTCCCATTAGACGTGGAGACAGAGACGGTCGAGTGAAATCTAGAGATGATGAATTCGTCAGGATCGGAATTATACTGTACAAGCATTTGTGTTACGATGCGGGGATATATACAGGCGTCGGTTGGTCTGCAGGGTAGCAAGGATTTCAAGTTGCATATTGATTATCATTTTGTTTACCAGCGAGCATTTGCATACTGGAATAGAAAGTTCTCGCGTAACTGCAACAGCAGCTGAGTTTCCTATATATGTATGCTCTAACTAATCAATTCTGGCAGATAAGAGAGCCTAATGTTGCTATCTATCTATCGATGCCTCCGAAAACGATGGGCATCTATCTTTATAGGCTGAATCCAGTAAAAGAAAGCACCTATGTAGTCTAGTATACATTCATATATCTCATAATACGCCAAGTAAATCAACAAGCCCATCAAAAACAAGTCCCTTTCCCTCTCCTGCACAGCAACTCTCTCCTCCATATTTCATACAATACAACCACCTACCTCCCCCCAACCCTAAAAGCCCTTAATCTCTCCCACGCCTCCTCCACATCCCTGGGAACATCCACATGGGTAATAAACCCCTTTCCATTCGGTCCATACCCCTCCTTATCATCTCTCAATCTCGGAATCTCACCCATGATGAGATCATAAAACCGCTCAAAATCCCATAACCCCTCTGGAGGAGGCGTGGTATTTGAATATGTTATCGTCATCATTTCCGATGAATCAGAACCAGAACCGGAAGTATATGTTGATGTTGATGTTGATAACTTCACCTCAGGCACGAACGTCGGAAAACAAATAAACTCTCTCGCGGGAAGTATATCCTGATATGCTTTTTCGAACGACGCTTTCGTCCGAAGCATCATTGTTGGATCTTGGATTATTAGAAATGTTCGTGGATGGTGTCTTTTTTGTATTATTTCTGCTGCTGCTGCTGCTTCTGCTGCTGCCGCTTTTTCTGCATCTTCCAAAACCCCCCTAGTCTTAACAGCGTTCTCTCCACAATTCGTCGATTCATCTTCCACCAACACCTCACATCCCATCTGCCTTATCTTCTGCCCATTAAAAAACACATCTAAAATCCTCTCTAGAACCCTCGCTTCTGGGAATCCCTTAATTTGCTCCGCAATGTCCCCGAAGCGCGGATGCTTCGCTACGGCCTCGTACATGAATTTTGTCGAGTGGCCGATTCCACCGCATAGGACGAGACGGGGTGTTAGATTGGGATTGGATGAGAGGGCGCTGAAGAGGATTTCGGCTTGGTGGAGGATGGCGGAGGCGCAGATGACAATGCAGTCGGTTGGAGGGATTGGAGGGTGGGTTGGTGATGTTGAGGAGGAGGTGGTGGCGCGGGGGAGGGTGTTGGAGGAGGAGGAGAGGAAATGAGAGAGGGTGTTTATGTCGGCGATTGTTTGGGCGGTTGGTGGTGGATTTGGAGACATTTTGGATTGTGTTGAGGTTTGAGTTGGGTTATGGCGCATATGGTACATGGTATGGAGATTGAATTGCTTCTTATCTGATTGAAGGATGGTGGTTGGTGGAGCTTACGTTGTGTCACATGATTTACTGCATAGTTATATCTCCGCACGCTTCATCGGAATTAGTATGTACTGGAGTGATGGATTTATTGGAATGAGATTCGCAGGTGGTCCATTGGATAGTCTAGAAGTCAAGCTATCACGTCACGGCGTTGCATCGACTAGACCCACTACACGACGACTACAAAAATACTCCAATTCAAGACCGAAAAAATGTATTGTTAGAACCAATGCCGCTTCAGACATCTCACTTCTTGACACACCAAGCAGTGCACAGACTAGACGCTGGAAGCAAAGGGCAAGTAGCTCCAAGAACACATTACTACGCATTGAGACTAGGCACAATATTCATGGGAAAGTCATCACCAAAGATAACGGCCTAGGGCCTTCGTAGATTCATTGGTAGAATGTATGTAAACAAGCAACAGGGGATAAATCAACCCAGTTGCATTGACTATAATATTGGTCGAAGAGAGCGGACACGAGATCATCCCGCAGAGACTAGAAGAAGTGGCTGCTTACGCAGCAGCAACGCCAACAGCGGCAGAGGCAATCGCAGCAGGCTGCGCTGGAGCACCAGTCTGCATGCGAGGGATGACCTTCTGCTTCTCCATGGCCGCAGCATTCAGCTCGCGCTGCGCTGCCGCCTCAATGGACTCACCCTCAACGAGACCCAGCTGGTGGTTCTCCCAGATGGGGGCATTGAGAGCCTCGGCGCCCTCAACACCGACGCCAACGAAACCGCCCTGGGCCCTCCAGTCGCTGGTGCGCTTGATGCCCAGCTCATTCCAAACGCTGTTCAGCGCCTGCACGAGATGGTCGCGGTGCCCCTTGAGGTGTCCGGGGGTAGGGGTAATGCGCAGACGTTCCTCACCGCGAGGGACAGTCGGGTAGTTGATCGCCTGCACGTAGATGTCGTGCTCCTCGAGCAGCATGTCGGAGGCCTTCTTGGCCAATTCAGCGTCTCCGACCAGAACCGGCACGATATGGGACGGGTTGGGGATGACGGGGATGTCCATCGCGTTGAGGGCATCCTTCACCGCGCGGGTGTGCAATTGCTGCAGCACGCGGTCACGCTGGTATCTCGACTGGTACTTGATGGCTGCATCCGCACCAGCCATGGTGGCAGGCGGAAGGGACGTAGTGAAAATGAACCCAGGAGCCAGCGAACGGATGGTGTCCACCATGGCGGCAGAACCAGCAATGTAGCCACCCACGCAGCCATACGCCTTACCCAGCGTACCAGTGATAATGTCAATGCGGTCCATGACGGTGCCCTTTGTGCTCTGCGGCTGAGGAGTGTCCTTGGATGCATAAACATCGTAATCAAGATGTTCCGCAACTCCTGCACCGTGAGGACCGTACATACCAACGGCATGCACTTCATCGAGGAAAGTAATGGCGCCGTACTTGTCCGCGAGATCACAGATCTTCTCAATGGGCGCGATAGATCCGCACATACTATAGACAGACTCGAAAGCAATGATTTTGGGAACGTGTGGTGGCAGAGAGGCCAGCTTAGCTTCGAGATCCTCGAGATCGTTGTGCTTGAAGACCATCTTCTTGGTGCCAGAGTGGCGGATACCCTGAATCATGGAAGCATGGTTCAGACTATCCGACAAGATGACACAATCGGGCATCTTGCTGCCCAGGGTCGCGAGAGTAGCATCGTTGGCGACGTAGCAGGAACTGAAGACAAGCGCAGCCTCCTTCCCATGCAGATCAGCCAGCGTATTCTCCAGAGCGACAGCGTGGCGATTGTGACCGGAGATATTTCGAGTACCACCCGCGCCTGCACCGTAGGTATCCAGAGTACGATGCATAGTCTCGAGGACTTCCGGATTGCTACCCATGCCCAGGTAGTCGTTGGAGCACCAGACCGTCACACGGTCCTCAGTAGTAGCCATATGGGCGCGGGGGAACTCGCGGGCGAGACGGTTGATGTTGTTAAAGTAGCGGTAAGACTTGTCCTGATGCTTCTTCTGGAGTTCGCTCTCGTAGAAAGCCTCATAGTCGAAACGGGCCACAGACGGAGCCTGGGGACGGGGGCCAGGGAAAGTCGACGCCGCTGGCTGCGCAGTCTGCGCACGGTCTGCAGTCACAGGCGGAACTGTCCTGGTCAGTACATACATTGACCCAATTGACTCGGAAGTACCCCCTCAATGAGTATACAAGGTCGACATACCACGCTCATTCTTGCGATAAGTGCCCGTCTGCACACTGGCGCCCTGACCATTGGTGGTGTGGTAAGCACGGCGTGCCGCAGTCGGGAAGCGCTTGGTCGTGGCAAGACGAGCGCTCTGGACAGCGAGCGCCTTGCTCATGACCGGACAGCGACGAGCGAGCGTCTGGAGGTTGGAGATGGTTCCACCACCAGGACTGGGACGAGTAGCCGTAGAGAGAGAGCGCAACGCAGAGGGCGAGGTGCGCTTGAGGAACGGACACATCGCGCGGGACTGATTGAGAAGAGCCTCCATGACGGACGACGAGAGCTTCTCTGTCAGGAATATGCTGTGAATGGTTTCTAGATGACTTTTCTGATGCGAAAGACGCCCTCTTCAACTGCAGAGAGAGGAAGATGAGACGGATCCGGCGGGAGGAAAGTTGGAAGTTGAGATGTTTTATCAGTCTCTGCAGCCGGCGTTTGCTCGGGACGGCGTCACGGCGATGCAAGAACTCCGGCCCTCGGCCAACCAGATGCCGTGAAGTCGCCGCTGACCGGCCTGATTAGAGCGCGCTGATTGGCTGATAGGATCCGAAACAACCGCGGCGTGTATTACATAAGCCGCCTCCGCGTTCCCCGCACGAAATGACAATACAGTATCACCGGTATTATTGATATGATCGGTATTATGAGTATTATTAATGCGGTATCTATGTGACCGAGATCCAGTCCCCAAGATAATAATAACTGCATAATCATGCTCATCCAATTGTTCGTAGACTCGTGCATTTCTGTCATATATAATAATAATAGTTACCCTGATCTGACCGGATTTGATCGAACATCCACCCCAAAATCATGACGTTTATTATCCAGCTAGGCCCCATTGGCCCATGATCTAGCTTAAATATGAGAGGACCTAGTAATTGTAGCGATACGTGGGTGCCAGATCTCCCAGTAGCGCCTCCTCACGCTCATCGATCTCCGCCGCCGCTGCGGGGTGCATGATCGTCGCCTTGCGATCGCGCCGGCGGTTCTCGTACCACACAGCCAACAGGTACGCCACGCAGGACGCCGCCGACAGACAGATGAACGAGATGCAGATGATGTAGCCGGGTCGGTAGAGTGGAGCGTCTTTCTGCAGAAACGAGAATGTGGCGATGATTCCGCCAACTAGAGGAGCACCAGTTAGTATATAGTTATAGGCGGGATCCTCGAAGTAGTAGTTAAGAGACACATACTGTTTCCAAAGCCAACCTGCCACGCGGTTCCCACGCTGCGGCGATGATGACCTCCCAGGTTCATTGCGAACCAGCAGACAATAACGGGCATGGCACTGCAGCAGATTAGCGAATGTCCAGTCTCAGCGGGTGTACGCTAGAGCCTACCTGTAGGAGCCACTGGTCACCAGGAACAGCGCTCCGTACTCGACTGACCGGTGCTCCTTGCCATGTACGTTCATCAGGATGGCGAAACCAGCAATTGCAACAAGAATCGGGAACAGCGCGAATACAAAACGATGCCGCGTGCGATCCGACAGGTAGGCGATCACCATCGAGAAGCCAAAGGCGGCAGCCCACGGGGGAATCGAATAGAGCTGCGTCGTGATGTCTGCAATTGTCAATTAGTCTGAGTTGAAAGAAATACTAGGAGAAAAAGCAATGGACTACTTACTGCCATATCCGTAAGTCTTGATGATAGTTGGTGCAAAGTACGCGTATCCTATAGGAATCGTCAAAACAAGGTTTCCAGAAGCACCGCCAGTGTAACTCACCATAAGCCGGAACAATGAGACCAAAGTACATCAACCCACCGATAATAACCTTGTCTGTTCCTCGTCAGTGTCGAACCCCCAACCTCCTCCTTGAGATTCAATCACTCACAGTCCTTGAAGACCTTCACCACGTCTTTGAAGCCGATCTGGATGTGGTGCGCGGAGTTGCCCGAATCAGCCGCCAGTTTAGCCTTGATGAATTCCCGCTCCTCCTCATTCATCCACTTCACGTCCTCAGGGAAGTCAGGAATGCAGAAGAACCAGACAATGGCGAAGACACAGGTGATGGCGCCCTCGATGATAAAGATCCAGCGCCAGCCGCGGTACCCACGCACGCCGTCCATCTCACCGATGCCGCTCGCCAGAAGACCACCAAAGGCACCGGCCAGCGTCGTCGAGCTGAAGAAGAAACTGAATCGCTTTTGTGCCTCGCTGCGCTTATACCACATGCCCATGAGGTAGAAACCTATTCGGAAATCCAATCAGCAAACTGACCGTCCTGACGAACGAGCTTCAAAACAGAATGCCACTCACAGCCAGGAAACATGCCCGTTTCAAAAGCACCCATGAAGAATCGCGTAGCCATCAATCCGCTCCAACTGGAAACCAGACCCTGGCACCACATGCAGAGACCGAATCCGAACATGCATATCGACACTGTTGAATTCGCGGTCAGTTAAGACTGACTGTCTTCTCGTCCCAGAACATACACCAAATCAGAGAGATATCAACACATACACCAAACATGCGGCTTCAGCTTCTTCAGCAGGACATTCGACGGAATCTCAAAGATGATATACGGCACGAAGAATATCGTCAGCGCCGTATTATACTTGGTGCCCGCAGGATTAATGTCTAAGTCGTCCTCCAGTCCGAAAATGACTGCATTACTGATGTTCACTCTGCATTGCACACACATTTCCAGTCAGCACAAAAGAAAACCAACTCAATTACTACATAACCGGTCCGAAGCGCGCGCACATCTGCACCAAATACCAGACGAAAGAATTCCACATACCGATCCAAAAAAGCCCATAGATACAACACACACAACACAGGCAAAACGTGCCAGTCGATCTTCGCCATGAGCTTTCGCTCCGTCGTCGTCCTCAACTGCGGCACATCATCATAGGCCGGCGGTGCTTCAACGGTGCGTCCGTTCTTCTTCTCCTCCTCGAGCTCGCGATCTGCATACATGTTCGTCATCAGTTATGTATGTACTTCCCCTCACCTGGTTTAAACAACAATGCATGGAACTCGAATCACAATCGCAACGAACCTGAAGCCCCCATGATTTCCACGCAAATGAATTCGCAACTGCCTCAGGAAAAAAAAAAGGGAGGAAGAAGAGCGCAATCTTCTTCCCGGTGTGTCACAGATCGGAACGACGTGTAACTGTGACAGCGCTCAATTGCTCCTGAGCTCCCTTCGGAAAGATCCCAATTTCACTCCGCAGGAGGAGGAGAAGAAGAAGAAGACGAGAAAACTGGAAGAGAAGAAAGAGTCACAAAGAGTCACAAGACCAGAGCCAAAAAGACACCGTCGTCGAGACGCAGACGCCTCGGCTCAAATAATACAGCGCCCGTGGATAGCTTGAGTAGAAGCTAAGGGCCCCGACTTCGGCTTCCAACTAGGAAAATAGTTAGACAGATCGAGTCACCGCGGCCGAAACTCTGTCCGTTCTAGATCCAAGCACCGACAGCAGAATTGGCTTGAAAACCGCTTTCCTTTTCCTTTCTTTCTATTTAAATATTTTTTCGGAAAATAAAAAAAGAATCAAGGCGAGCAAGAAAGGGAGACACCGCCGAAAATGAAGCCGAAGAACAAGAGGGGGTAGGTAGGGTATTATGGTTGTGCAATGAATTAATTATTCGAACCGGGGCTGCAATCCGATGATAATGACATGGGCTGGGTTTCTTGCAGCAAATAATAATACATAAATTACTTTTGAGGCCTCCCATTGTACTCGGCACTATTTTCTGACTGGAGACGATGATCTTCGAAACTTCCCGGTTCACCTCCTTTCTGCTCTCTCTTCTCCATGGGCCATTCCTTTCCCCGCAAATTTCTTAAAGACCCCCGCAGGGCTGGAATGCCCAAGCTAGATTTGATCAAGCTATTTTCTTGTTGGCTCCTTTCCTTGCCTGCCGCGAACAGTAGTGGAACTTTATTGCTGTTTAGTAGGATTGACTAACTTTTAGTCTGTTTTAGCTGCTGTCCATCATCCCCGTTCCGGGCATTGACGCGATAACATTAACCACGGACCCGAGTGCTAACTTAGTTATCGAGTTAACTGGGTCTGTTCTATGTATCTAGTTATGTACCGTAGATGTACCATAGTGTAGTAGTACTACGCACAAAGCTTTTATATCCCAAATTCTTTTTTATTGGCTTTTTTCTCTCCTTTTCTATCTTATCCAGGTTCAGTCTAGTTAGGTACATGTAGTAAAAATCAAACTCCAGACACCATGTCTATAGAGTAATCTCACAGTCTATGCGTTGGTTCCATCCCGCCACATCTGTCGTAGGTACTGCACGTCGATCCTCGGGCAGTCCACACTCTCACCGACCACGTCCAGCACCGCATCCGTGTTGGTGCGGTCCAGCGCGAACATGGTATGTCCGTTCATGAAGTAGTCCTTTGTCACCGCCCACCGCAGCTGTTCCTTCTCGTCGGCTCCCTCGGCTAGCACTCGCAGCCACTCCACCAGCGGGATCGCTTGTCCCACGGATCCATCTCCCCGGATCTCCCCCAGCAGCTCCGGCAGCTCGTTCAGATGCAGTGGCTGCTTGTTTCCAATGTGGTAAATTGACAGACCTGGTTGGTACACCTCCTCGTTGCTCGAGATGTCGTACATTGTTGCCGCCAGGTAGTTGACCGGCACGAAATCGATTACGAACTCGGGCGACGTGTCTACCTGCGGGATCAGCTTGTGCTGAATCATGTTCATCACGACGCTACGTATGAAGTCGTCCTGAGACTCCGATACCCCGGTCGCCGTACTTCCTGTCGCGGCGGCGGCGCGATAGATCGACACAGGAAAGCCCCGTTCAGCTGCTTCGGTCAGCAGCATCTCCGCAGCCCAGCGGGCCTTAAAGTAACCATATTCATTCGTAGGCGGCGGGGTGAAGTGTGTGGCACTCTCTTCTGCTGTGATAATGCCCTCACGGGTGCGCTTAGTCCCCTTCCAGGCCTGAAGATGCGGTACACTCCACGTGGAGAGGTGGTTGATCTCGATGAGGTGGTCGCCGCGGCGCGCCAGCTGGATGAGGTTCAGAATGGAGGTTGTGTTGATCGCCTTGAGGTCGCGGTACGTCTTGAGCAGTGACACCTCGGACGCCAGGTGGTAGATGGAGTGCACCGAGCGGGCGAGCGAGTCAAAGGAGCTGTCTGTAAGACCGAATTGCTCCTTGGCTAGGCATCCTTCAACACAGCGGGTACGAGTGATCAGTGCGTTCTCGTCGATCTCGCCTCCGAACAGCTTAAACTTCTCCAAGGTCTCTTTGAGCGTTTGGTGTTGGATCGGCTGGTGGGTTCCCAGAACAAAGACCGTAGTCTGCGGCCGGGCCGAGAGGATGGTAGCCAGCATGTGGATGCCGATGAACGACTCGGCACCGGTGAGTAGGACGTTAGCCACATCGGAACGGTTTACACGTGGCACTCCATAGGGCACATTGAAGCGTCGGTCATTGGGCAAGGCGATCTCGTCCTCCCAGTTGATCTCCTGAGCCGGCGCGCTAGCTTTGCTGCCAGTCGAGCCATCCTTCAAAGAGCAGATAATCTCCGCAATGGCTAGAGGAGTAGGTGAGCGGAGGAGGTCTTGCAACTTGGGGTTCACCTTGAATGTTCGCTTGACCTTAGACTGCAGTCTGAGGAGCAGGATGCTCTGACCACCAAGCTGGAAGAAGTTGTCGGTCGCTGCGATGTCCCGGTCAGTGTTCAGAACACTCTTGAACAGGCTGATAACAGCATTGAGGACACTGTTGTTGACCTGAGGCTTCGAGTCTGCAGGTGCTTCAGTGGGAGCAGTCGCTGCAGAAGGGTAGGTTAGATCCAGCTGGCGGCTGAGAAGATTTTGACGGTCGACCTTTCCTCCAATCGTGACAGGGAGGCTGTCCAGGAATTGGTAGCCGTTGGGAAGCATGTAGGCATTCAGATGCTTCTCAACTCGGCTCTGCAGAGTGGCAGCATACTGCGCCTTCTCTGCTGGTGTCGACAGTGGGCGCTTCGTCACCACATAGGCCACCAGCTGGCGGTCGTCGGTGAGTGAGGCATCATCGTTGACTGTTCTAGCCACGACGGAGATATCGACAATTCCCTGTCCGTCAGTGGTGAAAGACTCGCGGTAGAGCATCTGCTCCACCTCACCGAGGTCGATCCGGAAACCTCTCAACTTGATCTGCTTGTCACCGGCGATACGGCCATGGAATTCGAGTCGGCCATCAGGAAGGAAGCGTCCGCGGTCTCCAGTTCGGAACAGTCTGTTCCATCCCCTTTGGCAGTCCTCGTCAGAGCAGAATGGGTCTTTGATGAAAGAGCGTGCGTTGACTTCGGGGCGGTTAAGGTAACCAGCGCCGACTTGAGCTCCTCCGACACACAGTTCTCCGATAAAGCCGACTGGCAAGGGGTTTAGGCATGAGTCGAGGACGTAGTGGCGGCAGTTAGCCATGGGGAGACCAATGGGGATGTTGATGCAGTCCGGAGCCGGGTATTCAACACGTTGAATGGACGTCTGCACAACCAACTCGCTAGGACTCCAGGTGTTGTACAGAGTAGCTGGGGTTCCGAGATCGTAGAAAGCCTTAGCCACCCGCACAGGCAGACGTTCACCAGCGGAGTAAGCAACGCGGTAGTTCTTGCACTTCCGCAGAGCAGCGCTGTTGTGCTCGAGAAGCAACGCGAACTGCGTAGGAGTAAAGTAGGTCACGGAGACGAATGCATCTCGCATGAAATCAGCGAGAGCAATCGGATCCTTTCTCGTCTCTGCAGTTGCAACGCAGACCTGGGCACCGGCAGTCAGTGCAGAGAAGATCTGAACGACCGAGAGATCGAAACAGATCGAGGACTGATGGAGAAAGTTGTCTTGGGCTGTAAACTGATAATCAGTGTTCAGCGTAGCAAGCATTTGCTGCGTGTTGGCCTGAGTCAGGAGAACGCCCTTGGGCTTTCCCGTACTCCCCTGTAATGGAAACAGTTAGCGCTTATCATTGAAATTGGATGCTGGATCTTACGGAAGTGTAGATCATGTAGAAAGGATCATTTGGTGAGTAGGTGTATTCCTGCAGCTTCTCTTGCGCAGAAGCTGCCGCGCCAATCTCCATAAGCTGATGAGAAATGGGAGACTTCGAAACCACGTCTGTGGCCAAAGACGTGAGAGGAGATTGAAATAGAATAGTCGCGGAGCTAGAGTCGGAGGCGATGAATGCTAGTCGGTCAACTGCGAACTCGGGGTCCAGAGAGACGTAGCAGCAGCGGTTGAGCAAGATACCGACCATTGCGGTGATAGCATCAATGCCGGGCTTTGACAGAAGTCCAACTCGTTGTCCGCCAGTGATGCCAGACTGCTTCAGCGAGAAAGCAATTCTCTGCGCACGCTCCACCAGATCACCGTAGGAAATGCTGTCACCGTCGGATGTCGTGATGGCATTGGCAGCTGGCTGCTTTTCCGCGCTCTCAAGAATCTTCTGGCAGACGCTCACATCATTCCACTGGTTAGGAGTGTAGCTCATATTCCAGTAGTTCTGTTTCAGCAGCTCGGTCTCCTTCGGGCCGCAGGCCTTGATTTCTTCAATTGGCTGCCGGTGGTCCCTGATCGCGCTGCTCAGGAAGGCCATGAAGTTGTCAAAGAAGCGCTCCATATCATTCTCCCCGTAGAGAGTCGTCGAGTACTCGAGTCTGAGGTTCAAGCCCTTCTCTGGGTCTTCGAGGGCCTCGAGGTTCAGCTCGCATGCACTTGGAATGTCCTCCGCCTCGACGTCATGGATGCTGTAGTCCTGGGTGCGGTACACAGGGAATGTTCCGTGCATCTGGTAGTTAACAACAACCTGACCAAGAGGGAAGTGGCTTGTAGTCTTCTCCACCTGCATTACGTCCACAATAGCGTCGAATGGAACATTACTGTGAGACATGGCCTCCAGAGTGCGACCCTTGAATGTCTCCAAGAGTTGGTCGAACCTGGCCTCGCAGTCATCCTGGCAGCGGATAGGGGTCATGTTGACGAAGAAACCGAGAACATCTTCAACGTCTGGGTGAGGTCGGTTGCCATCAATAACCAGGATGGTCAGGTCTTTCTCTTCAGTGTAACGGAACAAAAATGCGCGGAAAGCCGTGAGGAGGAACTGGAAAGGAGTGGCACCAGATTGTGAGCAGACTCTCTTCAGACGGTTGAGTAGACCAGTCTTCAGTGTACCGGTAAATGTCGATCTAGAGTAGTCATTGTGAAGTGGTCTCTCAGACTTGGCAAAAGGCAGAAGCTTGCTGGCACTGGGGATGCCGGCTAGCTTCTCCTTCCAGAATGCGATATCGGGCTGGAGTGCCGCAGAAGCGATCAATGCATTGTGCCACACTGTGAAGTCAGAGTAAGTGACCTGCGGCTTAGGAATTATCGAAAGATCCTTCTTGGTCTTGATGCCGTCATAGATAGCAGTCATTTGGTCCAAGAATGACTTAGCACTACCACGATCAATGGCAATGTGATGGCAAATGAACACAAGAGCGTATTCGTCATTACCGAGATCGATCAGCGTCACTCGGAGAACATCACCCTCTTCGATATCGAGCTCTGTTGCCCTCAAACGAGCAGAGACCTTAGCCAGTGCCTTCTTAGGCTCTGCAGCCTTTGAGCAGTCCTCGAACCCGAGTCTTGAATCGCAGTCTTCAGTAATCATCTGCTCGGCGAAGTCATCGCCCTCGAAGTAGCATGTTCGGAGAATTGGATTGCGTCTCTTCATCTCATCCAAAGACTCTCGCAGGGCGACTCTGTCTGGTTTACCCTTCAGGTATGCGACAACAGGGAGGTTGAGGTATGTCTTGTCCTCGGAAAAGTTGTGCAAGAACCACAATCTGCTCTGGAAAGTTGACATCGGAATGGGCAGCGATGTGTCAGCCTTGGGGATGACGCTGACTGCCTGCGATGTAGTCGACTCGGTTTCCTTCTTGTCTTCAGCTTTGGGGTTAGCTTCAGAGGCTTCAGAAGTATCCTTGCTGGACGAGGTATCAAGCTTGATCAGACCGACAGCCTTGTTGACCAGGGCAATGATGGATGCGGCTCCAAGGACGTCGAAAAGCGCAAGGTCGACGCCAACAGTTTTGGCGAACCACTTCCGGAACTCCACAGCAACGATCGAGTCCAGTCCGTACGCAGACAGCGGGTTGCTCGGTTGGATGGTGTCAGCAGGCACAGCAAGGACAGCGGCAATCTTCTCGATGAAGGCGTCGAGCAGGAGGCTCGTCCGCTCTTCAACAGTAGCTGCGGTGTGGAGCAATACGGCGAGGTTCTTGCTGCCCTCGGTCTGACCACTGCTCTGGTTGAAGTCGTTGTTGGAGTACAGATTCCTGAACAAGGGCTTGAAAGACCAGTAGAGGTCGTTCTTTGAAAGGTTCAATCCGGTAATGGTCTGGTGCAGTTCGACATTACGCGGCGAAAGTTTCAACGAATTGTCCGAGGTAACAGCTTCTTCAATTTGGTATAGAAGTTCCTCTTTGTTGACTGCATCATAACCAATCCGCTCCATGACCTTCTGAAGAGCCTGGTTCTCTGCGACAGCACCAACGCCAACGATCATACCACAGTTCATTGTGGATCCAGCGAGACCAATCTCCCTTCGATGTCTCATAAGCGCATCGAGATAGGCATTGGCCGATGAGTAGTTGGCCTGACCCTTGGATCCAATAGTGCCAGATGCAGATGAGAAGCAAACGAAAAAGTCTAGTGGCTGAAGCAAGGTCGCCTTGTGCAAGTTGTAGGCTCCGAGGACCTTTGGACGCGTGCAGGTCTGCCACTGCTTGTGCGTCATGCTGTCAAAGGGAGCATCCTGGAGGACCATAGCAGCTTGGAAGACACCACCGAGGTTGCTGATAGATCGGACGCAAGACTCAACGTCCGCATATTTTGCAACATCGCCTTTGTATACGGAAACCTGTACGTCCCTGGCCTGCAGCCAGTCGACCGTGGCCTTGGCTTCCGCTCGTTCAGCTCCCGAGCGAGAGAAGAAAGCTAGCTTGCAGGCGCCCTTTCTGACCATCCACTCGGCCAGAGTACGTCCAAGGCCTCCCAGTCCACCGACGAGAAGATACGTCTTCGCAGAGTCAAACAGCTTCTTGTTTCGGTAGGTTGCCGGGCGAACGGGCACCACGTCCTCCTTGTGCGGAACAAGAACAACCTTTCCAGTGTGCTTGCCCATCTGCAGAAGACGGAAGGCCTTGATGACATCGGAGTAAGGAAGTTCAGCAATAGACTCCGGAGGAGTGATGTGCCCATCGTGAACCAACTTGCAGCAATCCTGGAGCACGCGAGCGCCAAGAACCTTGTTGCGCTCGAACATAGTGATGAGGTCCACTGAAGCAAAGGTGACGCTCTTCCGGAAAGGGTCCATATCGATCTTAGTATTCTCATGGATATCACGCTTTCCGATTTCAATGAATCGACCAAACGCGGCCATGCAGCTCCAGGTGGCGTGAAGAAGCTTGCCAGCCAGACTGTTAAGGGCGACGTCCACACCACGTCCGTCGGTAACGGACATAACACCCTGGACAAAACTGTCATCGCGGGAAGAAAAGATCTGCTCATCCCTGAGACCATATTTGCTCTTGAGGAGGTCGCGCTTTGCCTGAGATCCGACAGTGGCAATGACATTGGCTCCGATCATCTGGGCGATCTGAACAGCCATCTGCCCGACACCACCAGCAGCCGAGTGAATCAGCACATATTCACCGGACTGCAGGCGGGCAGTGTCCACAAGTGAGTAGTAAGCTGTGGTCAAAATCAGTGGCAGAGCTGCCGCTTCAGCGAATGGCATCGGGCCAAGCTTGTAACAGAGAGAAGCTGGGTTGCGTACTATCGTACGGTGAGCACCCTGGCCAGGTCTCCACGCGACGACACGATCACCGACATCAAAGGCTGCCTTATCAACATTCGAGCCGACGCGCAGGACCACGCCCGAGCATTCATCACCGAGCTTGAAGTCTTCGATGATACCCATCGAGGCTGCAATATCTCTGAAGTTGATAGCGGAGGCTTTGACTTCGATTTCGATTTCATCGTCCGCGAGTTCATGGTCCAAGATTTCGTCATCCTCCTCGAAGACCAGAGTCTCGAGAAGACCTACCTTACCGATCTTGAGAGCAAGTGGTCTGCTTCCCAGTGGTTCGAGTCTCGGCTGGGAGTTGACGCCGTTGCGCAACTTAGAGTTGAGGCTGTCATCCGCTTCCACTCTAGGAATGAATAGAGACCCGTCGCGTTCAGCAATCTCATCTTCCTCAAGGTTGCGGTCGAGCACTTCAATGACGCGCTTTGCCGTGAGGTCATTGGGGTGAGCAGAAGGCATATCGAGAGTTACGAGCCGGAGCTGGTCATTTTCACTGCGAGCAACTCGCGCGAGACCGACAATCATAGCATGTTCCGGCTTTGAGGACTCCAGGGTTGCGCTCTCCAAGACCCACACGATGTTCTTGCCTGCGCTGGTCAATAGACTCTGCACCGCCTTGTATGTCTGCTGGCTGTCTAGCGCCTCATCGAAAAACAATGCTTCATCGAGATTGGAGAGAACTATGACATTCTCAGAACGGGCTGGCTGATTGGCAAGCGTAGCGAACGACGTGCATGAGATGGACGGGTTGCCATAGATGGTCTTGATGCGTTGAGCGAGATCTAGAGTGCGTTCCGAAGGCCGAGATGGCAGAATAATCGTCAGTGGGCCCTCGCTGGAAACACGCTCGACTTCCTTGCGCCAGGCCGTCAGGTCTCCGGTAGTGAAAATAGCAGTCAACCCATTTCCATCGATGGTCTGGCCGTCAGTGATAACATAACCACCCTCTCTCACAAAGGCGCTGACATCGGACTGAGCAGCGTTGCTCACAATAACCAAGTCATATTCGCCAATCTTGGGCTCGGAAACGTCGATGAGTCCACTCCTCTCTTGAGCCAGGAGTTCCAGCTCCTCACTAGGCAGTTCCTGTGAGAAAACAGGGGTGATGGACTTGAACCGCCTGCGCTCGTTCGAGTCGCCGCCCAGAGAGCGCAAGACATCTCGAGTACGCTGCACACTTGGGGTAAAGTGGAGAATTGCGCTGTTCGGGTGTTGATGGGCGAATATATCCACTAACTCACTGATGTCACGGTTGGAGAGTAGAGGAGAATCCGATTTCAAGAGATCGAAAGCTGGTTGCCACCGGGTGCGGAAGAACAGTGACCTAGAAGCGGCGTTTTCATTGCTGTCTGCGCCAAGAGACGTCACTTCCAAGCCCTGGAATTGTAACAGAGGCTCATCGCTGCCTTTATCAGCGACCAGCAGGTCACTGATGGCAACACGCGGTCCGGGAAGACGCGTGAAGGAGCAGACTTCGAAGTTTTGCTCACTAGATGCAGTCATCACCTTAGCAAAAGAACCAGAAATCTTGAACGAACGGATAAAGGTTGGAACGAGAGCCTCGTCGAGTGGCCGACCGATGATGGATTCAATAGCCGCAAAGATGACATGGAAGGAAGCATCGAGCAACGTCGGGTGCATGATAGTCAAATCGGCCTGTTCAGCAGCGTACTGGCTTGGCTGGAAGGCGAGAGATCCCAGTGCGAAGCCAGGGCCGGTCTCGAGATTTCCCGTCAACAGCGAGAAATTCTTGCCATACTGGAGACCAAGATCCCAGAGATGCTGATAGAAGTTGTCCGCGGAAACACATTCGTTGCATTTCTTGTGGAGCGCCTTGAAGGTAGGATGGATGTCAAGGCGTTTGAACGCAGCAGGAGCCCCAGCTTCAATGGAGATGAGACCACAGCAGTGCTCAGTGCATCTCTGGTTCTCATCATAGGAGGAGATAACGAATTCATACCAAGCATCAGACTTCGATTTGGCTGAAATAGTGGCCGGTCGCAGCTCCAGTATGATCTCGGAACCGACGTCGGACTCGTCCAGAATCAAAGCTGACTTCACCACCACATCTCGCAAGGAGACCTCTTTGAACCCAAGGCTTCGGTCGATAGTACTAGCAACAGCCTCGATGGCCATGCTGATATAGCCTGCTGCTGGGAAAATGACCTTCCCATCGACAACGTGGTCAGACAGCCACGGGAGCTCCTTCTGGCGGATGTAGTTGCGCCAGCGCGGGTACTTCGCCACGGATCCAGGAACCACAGCACCCAGCACAGAGTGACGCTGACTGCGTAGACGATGCTCCTTGATAAAGCGAGTCTCCGACCAGTATCTCTTGTGGTCCCAAGCGTAAGAGGGCAAATCTCGGAGTCTCTGGCCTCGTGGGACCTGGTAGATAGAACCGGTCTCCGAGATGAAATGGTCGCTGTTGACTGCTTCGAGGTTGACGGGATATCCAAGCTGGAAAAGCTGACCCGCAGTAGTAAGAATCCCTTCGTAGTCATGGACGCCACGAGTCAATGAAGCAACGTATGGGATGTCAAGCTTCAGAGACTGCACGACCTGCCGGGCCGGACCCTTGAGGGCAGGGTGAGGTCCGATTTCAACGAGGATGTCAACGTTCTTCTCCTCCTCATCATCAAGGAGTATACCGGTCAGGGCATCCGAGAACCGAACAGCCCCAGTCATGTTGGCAGTCCAGTACTCAGCTCCCATCTTTTCCGGGTCGGCAAGACGAGCAGTAACACTGGAGAACATGCGAATCTTGGCAGGCTGGGGAGTGAAACCCTCGCAGCCATTGAGAGCCTTTTCATAGGCAGGAGCAAGAGGGAGCATGTGGTGGGAATGGAATGCCTGAGCGACTTGGAGCTGACGGGCGAAGATCTTCCTCTCGGTGAGGCTCTCCTTGAGTTGAACAATCGCATCCTCGTCTCCAGATAGCGTCATGCTAGAGGGACTGTTAACGGCTGCAATACAGATCTTGCCCTGGTATGACTTGAGTTCTCCGAGCGCTTCCATCTCAGTCAGTCCAACTGCCATCATGGAACCACGGACAACAGAATCGCCTTCGACTCCGTTCGACATGTATAAACCTCTGTAGTAAGCAGCAATCATGGCATTGTCGAAGGAGAGAATTCCAGCAGCGTAGGCGGTGGCCATTTCACCAGACGAGTGACCGACAACGGAAGAGGGCTCGATGTTCCATGTCTTCAGCAGATCGAGGATAGCCAGTTGTAGGGCAGTGCAAATTGGCTGGGAGAAGCGAGTCTGTCCGAGGCGACTCTCTTCCTTCGAGCGCAAGAGCTCCTCAATAACAGACCAATCAGGCCTGTCAGGAAGACGCTGCAAGACGGTATCACATCTTTCGAGAGTCTGCTTAAAGAGCGGAGACTGCAGAATTAGTTGACGTCCCATTGCGAACCATTGTCCGCCCTGTCCGGTGAAGACGAAGCCAAGTCTGGGCTTCTCCTTGCTGGCGGCTGTCCACTTAGCATTCGGAGACGGGTTGTTCAGGCTTTCCAATACACTCTCTCGGTCGTTTCCAATTGCGAAGGAGCGCTGTTGGTGCAGCGAGCGCCGCGACGAGAGGCTCACAGCTAGGTCCGAGACACTGCGGTCTGGGTGTTCCTGGAGGTAGCCGGCGAAGCGGGAGACCAGCAGTTTCCCAGCATTCTCGGAGTGGGAGGTGAGCGGAATAAGCAGAGGTCTTCCGGAGACCATTGGTGCGAACTCCTTTGGCAGCTCAATAGAACTCACGGAGGCTCTCACTGAAGGCTGGTAGGCCTCCAGAACAATGTGTGCATTGGTACCTCCGTATCCGAAAGAGTTGATACTGGCTCTGCGCAGGCCCTCTGTTGCAGGCCAGTCAATCATAGACTGAGGAACGCTTAGCTTCCACTCGTCGAAATTGATCTCAGGGTTAGGGTTCTTGAAGTGCATGTTCGGAGGGATCTTTCCAGACTCCAGAGCCATGGTAGTCTTGATGATCCCAGCGAGTCCCGAGGCACCCTCGAGATGTCCAATGTTGCTCTTAACAGAACCGATGTACAAGGGATCCTTGCGAGATTTCGAGAAAACTGCTCCAATTGCCCTTGTCTCGATTGGGTCACCACGAGCAGTTCCTGTTCCGTGTGCTTCGAAGTACTGAGTGTCCGCTGGGTTGAGGCCAGCATTGCTGTAGACCCTCCTGATCAAATCCTCCTGAGCTGTGGAGGAGGGGAGGGTGATTCCCTGCTTCGTACCGTCATGGTTGGTAGCAGAGGCACGCACGACGGCTCTGATGGTATCGCCATGGTACTCGGCCTGACTCTGGCGCTTCAGGACAGCGGCGCAGATTCCTTCACCACGGACATAACCGCTACCCGATGCATCGAACGTAGCGCAACGTCCGTTGACCGATAACATTCCGAGATCGGTCATAGTGATGAAGATGTTCGGGTCGAAGTGGAGGGCTGAGCCGACAACAATCGAGATGTCACACTCATTGTTGCGGAGGGACTGCGTGCCCATATGGAAGCAAACCAAGGAGGAAGAGCAAGCCGTATCAATGGTTGCACTCGGACCGTGGAGGTTGTAGAAATAGGAGATACGGTTGGCCAAGATGGAGTTTCCGGTTCCTGTGACCGTGTACTTGGGGTAGTACTCAAGGTCCTTGTTGGTCATGGAGTCGTAGTCGTTAGTGAAGCAACCGCAAAACACAGAAGTCTGTGAGCCGTTGATTTCGTCTAGTGTAATGCCAGCATTCTCAAGGGCTTCATAGACAACCTCGAGGAGTAGTCTCTGCTGAGGGTCCATAGCCTCAGCTTCCTTGCCAGAGATGTGGAAGAAACCCGCATCAAAGTCGGCAATGTCCTGGTCCAGGAAGTAGCCATACTTGGCATTGGTCTGAGATCTAGTTAGCAAGAGGTTCTTCTCTGGATATCCCAACGTCCACTTACAGTTCCCTTGTTGGTCCCATCCGGGTGATAGAAGGCGTCCACATTGAACCGGTTGGACGGCATCTTCTGGCGCAGGTCCTTCTGCGCCTCTATGTTCTGCCATAGCTGGCTAGGGTTCTGTGCACCGGGCACACGACAAGCCAAGCCTACAATCACGGCTGGGTCCGTCTCTGGTGGCGGAGAAGAGAGAGACGATCCCGATGCCCGGCGAGACAGAGAGAAGTTCGACGGAGTCGGAGAGATGCGAGAGGCACGGGACATTGGAGACGCCATGATTGGTACAGATTTGGTTGAGGTGAATCGGTCTATAGTGGTATACAGTATAACAATAGAGAACAGAAAGTCTTTCACGAAAGCAAAACCTGGAGAGATTCGAAACCCGAGCCGACAGTGCAAGTCAATCCGGAGGTGAGGTACGAGGATGGTCTCAAATCGCCGGAGAACCTTGCACCCTTTGTATTCTCTGTGTCCCTACTCTGCGAGCTCGTAGATGAGACCATCCACAGCCATTGTGGCCATGGCCCCGTAGAGTGCTTACGGGCCATGGTGAGCCTCCCGGTTAGAGACGCGGTATTCGAGAGAGCGCAGGGACGAGTATCCCGAAATGACCGCGCAGACACGGGATACCTGAAGCTGAGTAGTTCGAACAGTAATACAGAGATATGCTCTGGATGCAGACGATGGCAGGAACAGGCATAGACTGGCACGCTAAGCAGAGATCCTCGCCGTTGTTGGACTGGGGAACTTCCGCCCCGACTCGGACCTTTTGATGAGGCCGACCAGCTCAGTTCTGCCCGACTAAGTAAGCGCCGTGATTCCCCGCCGGGCAGAAAGACTCGCCGTTTCCTGGCGCAGCAGATGCGTCCATGGCTGCGTTGACCAGCGCTGCTTGAAGGGGGCCAGATGCCCTTATTAAAGGGGCCAAGAAGCCCAGTGTTGTCTGTTTTTTTTTTTTTTTCTCTCTCTCTATCCAGTTTCATCCAGATCGAAGAACACGAAACAAATTACGCTTTATACACCCCAAAATAACTGACTATACCATTCACAACAATCATCCACAATGGCTGGCCCCAAACCTACTCTTGCTTTCTTCGGTGCGACTGGTGGCAGTACCATCTCGTGTATTGCTCCAGCCATCGAAGCTGGATACAAGTGCAATGCTCGTGAGTTCACCTCATGGTGGAAACCAACCTTATCCCCATAGTGGCGTACTGACTGGCTGACTCGATACTACTAGTGGTGCGGACCCCATCGAAGCTGGAGAATCTACTCCGCGAACGCAAGGTCTCGGACTCTGCCATCGCCGCCAACCTCCAGATCACCGCTGGCAACGTTACCGATGTTGAGGCCGTCAAGAAGACTCTCGTCCGCGACGGAGCCAACGTTGACATTGTCATCTCCGGCATTGGAGGCAAGCTGCTGTTCACCAACCCTCTGAAGCCAACTCTCGACAACCCGACCATCTGCCAAGATGCTATCTCCACCATCATTAGCGCCCTGAACAGCCTGGCGGGTCCTAAGCCGACCCTCGTGGCGCTCAGCACCACCGGCATCAGTGACAAGAAGCGCGATCTCCCCGTCGCCATGATGCCCATGTACCACTGGATGCTCAAGGTGCCGCACAAGGACAAGAAGGTCATGGAGGCTGCTATCCTCAAGGAGGTCGCCAACCCGGAGGGCGAGCGTGCCATCAGTGACTACGTGATTGTCCGTCCTAGCTTGCTGACGGATGGCCCCAGCATTGGTACCGACAAGATCAAGGCGGGCACGGAGGAAAAGCCCGCCGTGGGCTACACCATCACCAGAGATGATGTCGGTCTTTGGGTGTTTGAGAAGCTCATCAAGGAGAATCATTCTTACCATGGCCAGATTGTCACCATCACTGCTTAGAATCTGCCTACTCCACGCTAGCTGCACTGTTATGCCCTGTCTGTCTACTTGTATCGATGATATCCCCTTGAATCATGCATAACGCTCTTGAGACTTGATCAACCACCGTTTTACATAGATTTTGCTTTTTTTTCGGTTCTCTTTTTGGCCCCCATGTTAGAGGCTTAGAGCAGTCCTAATGATAATTTAATTCCTCCGTTCTGCTTCTATGAATAGCGAAAGTATGGTACAATCATGCACGCTGTCGATCTCTGTCGATCGTGGCCCTAGTAATTCAGCTAACTGTGAACACTGAACCCATTCAGGACCCAGCCCTGTCACATCTCCTCCAACCAATGAAGTAATAGACCTCACTGTTGATTTTCAGTCCGCAACTATGGTACGAATGAGAAGGTGAGATAGCAAAGCAAGTCACTGACTGTGCCAGCGCTAATACAAGGCAGGCATCCTATCTAGGAACAACCCTTTAGAGCTAGCTGGCCACGTTTTGTTCATGGCATGGAACGGTATAGTAGGAGGAAAGAAGCTTGGATTCTCCCCTCCTGTTGGAGAGGTGTACTAAATACTAGCTAAGCCTAAGGCGGTATAGGATACTGCCACTTGACACCTCTGTGCCCCTCCATGGGGTAGCTCCCTGGCTACGCCCCGTTCTGTAACAGTTCACTACCTAGGTAATTTATGTCGTCCAATGGCTTTGTATATTATTATATCAATAGTTATTATATCAATGGGAATAATTGCAAAAGTGAACAACATCTCTATTCTATTTCATATCATATAATCTATATGGGTAACTGCGATGCAATCTATGATAGGAAAGCAGTGTCCAGTTCAGTCTCTGAATAGTACATGATTCTGAAAAAAGACAGACGACATAATATTCATGATGATGATAATGATGAAAGGAATTGCAGTGCGCATATCCCAATTTCAACTGGACCCAGACCAAAACAAGAGAAAACAAGAGTCCCAAAACGAAGCCTAAACCTGATCCTGAGCCTGAACCTAGAATGTAATCAGAGAGCATGACATGGAAACGATGAAAACAAAAAAAAAAAAAAAAACGCCATGGATCTGTCCTTGGGACGTATATCTCGTCATAATGCCTTATTCGTGTCGCGGGTATATATCAAGGTAGATGATGTGATGTTGTAGAATGACATGACAGTTCGTATGGAGGGAAAGGAGTTGTAGAATGCATGCTCTTATGTTCGAGACATAGCGGGGTGGAAAGGGACGGAGAACATGGATGGCTCTGGGGTCGTATTTGCCCTTGCCTTTTTACGAGGAGGGTGCTCGATCTCGCTTGGGACGGGTGTTGGCATGCCAAAGTTCAGATACATACTGGGAGCGAACGTGGGGTCGTTGTGGAGAGCGTCCATGTGAGCGCTGTTGTCGACGGTGCTGTAGCTCATGTTTCTTCTCTTTATGCCACTGCTGAAGTCGTCAACAAAGGCGCTGGTGTAGAAGCTTGGGTCCGCTGCGCTGGTGGTCGATCCACTGGTGAAGCCTAGCCAGAGATCGTGCGAATGTGCGGGATCGTTGAGAGTCGCGTTTAGCGGTACTGACATGACATCCTCCTCTAGGAAAGGCACGTCGTCTGAGAGAGGAAGGCTTCCGCTCATCGGCATCATTGGATTGTCAAACATTAGTGGACTTAGATTATTCAAGTCGACTGAAGACCCAAATCCGGCGTGGAGAGGTGTTGTGGTGGGACTTGCAGCGCTGGTTGCGCCGGTGGACAACGTGTGGACAAGAGACTCGTCCGTCGTGGTTGCATATGAATCGACAGAGGCTGTACGGCTGTGGCCAGGGCGATGGAATTCCTCCACGCGTTTGCGGACGCTCTTCAATTGTTTCTTGACAGCTCTCCACCGCCGGTCTTGGAGTAAGACGTCGTCGTTCTTGAAGAGGGCATGCATCGATTGTGCCAAGTGCAATAGCTCCGACAGGTTCTCAGAGAGGATCTTGATTTCTGCCTCGGTGCCTTCCTGGAAACGTGTGCAAAAATAGTCCAGTGCCCGTCCGCAGGCATCTAGCCCAAGAACATAGGAGTGAGGGAATGGACAGGGAGATCCAGCGACGACTGGACTGGCCACTTTGTGCATCTCCTCTCTTACTGGGAATACACTCAGCAGGGCCTTCGCTGACATCGTGAAGTCATCCATCAATGTCTCACTGACTTCAATCTCCGCCCGTTCCTGATACGAATGGGGAAACAGAAGGTGGATGAGCATAGTGTGGTAAACCGTCAGCATCAATGCCTGTGACAGCGGATCGTCGACTTTCGATTTCACGAGAGAAACGACGTGGAGCAGAACATCCCTTGCGTCTGCGCAAAGAGTAGCGATTCCTGTCTGGCGCGTGTGTAGGCCGCGCAGTCGCTGGACAAGCGTCGCCTGCCATGACACGGATTGTGGGACCGTCATCGCTTCTTGTGATCGAGGGTATATGGCATATAGATGACCGGCAGTAGAGGTGATGTGGCTAAGGAGCCAGACTTCGCGTATAGTAGCGGACTGCTGACGCAAAGTTGATAGGTTGTCGGCAGCCTTGTCCAGTTTGATCAAGACAGACCAGGTTTCATCCATTGGCGGGAACACACTCAAGGTGGTTGCTGGTAGAAGGTCCGAAAAGGGCATGTCCATCTGGATAAACGACCAAAGGGTAAGAGAGAAAGTCATCCACCAAATGTTGCCAATCATCTCTTCTTCGACTTCTCCGACGTCGATGCCGTTGATCCTGCTGAGACCTTTCTGCGGTGTCTCGAGCAATCGATTCTTCAGCTTCGTTGTCACTCGACCGGCGTACCCGATATAACAGATGGCACGGCGAACTTTTCCAAGACATGTGTGATGCCACCCGAGAAGCATTAACGCCTGAGCAGTGGAAAGGTCAGCTTGCTGGACTGTACGAGCTCGAAGACGCGTTGACGCCCAGTCGAACAGTCTTTCCCCTCGAGCACGAGAAGTATCATCGCCTGACGCGAAATGTGCATCTGCTAGCATCGTTGCAAGCAGTATCTCATCATGCGTATTGCTCCGATAAGCGCGGAGGAACAATGTCTTCGAGATCATGACAGATAAGGGATGCATCGCAAACCAGACGTCGATCAATTGAGTGGTACGATGGCTATCGTACTCTGACAATGGATTGGGGCCCGTTGGCTCAGGAGGGAACATGGCGGGAGTACAATCTTGAGCCATGCCAGCGGTAAAGAACCTTCCTTCTTCAGCAAAGAAGGGCTGACAACCCAGACCTCCAAATTTGGTTACCAGTGTCTCTACCAGGTCCTGTGTCAACAGAGACAGCAGCCCACGATAATTGAGTGGGCTGAGGGGTGTAGAACGTGGTGAGAGTGTCTCGGTAGATGCTGACCGTTCAGTGCCTTTAACCTTCGCGTTAAAGGCAGAGAACCTCTCTTGGTATGTATTTGTCTTCGGTGCATCGCATTCGGTTCCGAAGTTCTCTTTGAACATTATCTCGAGCTCCGCAGCAATGCTGTTGGTCATGTCCATGTCGGATCGTGGAGGATCGTCGAGAAGGAAGCAGTCCTTCGGGGAACCAGACCGCGAGCCAGGCCTCGAAGACAGGTCATCGCTCATCAAGAGTGAGCCGCTTGGCGATACGTAGCCTCCATCCATTAATCGAGGTAAGGCTGGCCCTGTTGTTGATCGGGTGCTGCTCCCTCTCGGGCGTCCCTTGGATGCTTCCAGGTCATAGACGCATTCAATGTTTCGTTCTCGACAAGCTGTGCAGATGCTTTCTCCTGAACAGCGAATCTTCCGAGACCTACAGAAGTGACAGCTCCGGCGCATGTTCGGCTTTCGTGAGGCCATTTCCATGGTCCAGTTGGAACGATAACCGTACCGACAGGCGTTGTGATACTGCACAATTCACGGTGATCACGACGTTTCCTGTCTAAAGAGTGGATGTTTGGAGTTATTTAAAGCCAAGGTGGGATAAAAAATTGAAAGACCGATAGAATTTGGACACAAGAGGAATCCTCTGGGAATAACGATGTGCACAAATGCATGAGCTACACAAGGGAAGTCCATGGAAAAATAAGAGAACAATGTCACTTATGATACCAATCGGGCCCCCCCCCAGCTGACACCAGAAACGGATTGTTTCAGAATTGTCTACTCGTATTCTGATATGGTACTAGATGCTTACTCTGGTCCTCGGGCCTTACCCCATACGTCTATTCATAGCGATCGACTGCCCATGGGAGATCCACAGGGATTTCAGACCCCACGAGGAGAGCGGGTTTCCAAACCAGCGTCTCGAAAGAAACACAATGGCCAAGGTTCGACTAATGTTAAAGTGTACCTCAATCCACTTCAAAGCGCCGAAATCCTGCTTGGCTGTGCGGGTATTCCGCGTATTGGCGGCTCACCATGTGGCTATCTGGGTACCTCGTTGCCGTTCTGTTAGTTTGGTTGCTTCCGTTCATCTACGGCTGCTTCGGCATCTCCACATTCCTTCGAGGCTTCCAGAAGGGCCCAAATGAAGTCTTAGTCAAGGAGTATTTTGTGACATTGAATATTTACTACTTCCTCACGGGCCAAAGGGTGTCCTCATCACGACAGATCTAGCAGTAAGAAGCATTCAGTGTATTTGGTACTATACAGGAAGGGTCCTAAGCCACAACCCCCATATCTTATCTGGAATATACTGTACCAAGCGGTGCCTGCATGTGGAGCCTCATATTTCGGGGGCTAAGGGACAGATTTTTGAGCTCTGTGATGGACAGCTTCATACTCCAGTAACATGGGTTCTGGGGAGAGGAATGCGATTGGTGTATCTGGCGGGAATCCTTCCTGCCGCACTTACTGGCGTCGTCTAGTGGCAAAGCCTCGTGCTATTCAACGGGCAATCATTTGCTAGGCGACGACGCCATATAGTTCTAATATAGAACAGCTGCCTTGCATCTGGCCCGAGGTCTTTGCGGTATATGCAGCTTGGCTGTGTCAATTGTACAGTCAAGGCAGTGCAGTATGCTCTTCCGAGCACGAGGCATAGACAACATTAGTTCGAAAGATACCTGCCGATCGTGGTTTAGAGAGAGGCGAGCATAACGGCATGATCTTGCCCGTAGAGCAGGTTCAATCAACTGGCTCTTGCTCCATCTCCGCAAATACACATTTCGATTTCTGCGAACCATCTACATACTTCAGCAGTTGGCCTAAGTCCACTTGAAATCACACGTCACAGTAGTTGCGTGCAGATAACCTCAGCACGGAAGATCATCGCCACAGAGACGGCGTTGTCGACAATACAGCACACGCGGCCACGAATGCGGGATCCTCTCCGCATTAGTCACACAACATGAGATTTGTGTCTTGCCTTCCTTGCAGACCTATTAATATTGTCAAAGCATTCTGCCCAGATACCTTTTGCTTGTCTGTCTGCTCTGAATTAATGTGCCTGCAATACCTAGCGCACGGTAATTCCCACAACACCCTGTACAAGAACACGCCCTCGACTGCAAGTACGGCATCACAATTGAAACCGATTCAAAGCGGAGTGACGAACTTCCCGATCGCCGACATGGCGGAAGTCCTTTTTGGCCCGATGGTCCGTGTGTTCGAACCGAACTGGATCACGATGCGAGAAATACGGCTTGCTACTTGATACATCTATCTCCCTGACCCGTTCATGCGGAGAACTATGAAAGCCAGGTTCTTATGTCAGCGTTTCAGAATGTTCCATAGTGCTTCTTATGTCTTCCCCACCCGCAATGAACAATCTAGAGCTGATAAACGAACCACGGATATTATTACACGAGCCAGAAGTGGCACGGATAACCCATTCGGAGTCAGCTCAGGCCACGGAGAATGGGGCTGTGGGGATCATACCTACTGCTACATAACGATCTATCTAAGATAATCGCGGAGGATCTGATTACCACCGCGACAGGATCTTAGATACCTCCGAAATCCGTAGGTCAATGGAACTGAGAGCGGAGCAACCAAGCTGGTGCCAATAATACGTATCCCTCCGAACGGTAGGATCTGGACAGTGCCCACGAGACGTCCGTCGATTTGCGAGAGATCGAGACGCTAAGAGAAAGGACTAACTTGAAGTGACTAGACTAATTTGATCGGCCCCGGGATCGACATTCCGCAACAACCTCATCGTTTGGCCCCCACAAGGATCAGATTAACTTGAGAACATCGGATCGGAGGCGATGGCACCTTGGGTGAATAGTTACGAGCAGAGAGTGACATCACGTAGTACTTGATTCCTTCTGCGTCTATACTCATGGATACATTGCACCATCATGCGGCACTTAGGAGGTAGAAGGAGGTATGTACTGTTTAGAATTTAGAAGCGATCCACTGTCGATATCAATTGAGTTGGCTAAGTAAAATAGAGGCCGAAATATGAATGACTTCTCTAACTTTTCTAAAATAAGCCTAAGGCACAGAGATATGAAAGACAGCCTCCATGTTGCAACTATTGATATTGAATACTCAGTTCCAAGGCTATGCTGGAGCTTCTCAAAAAGTCAAATTTCAAGAACATGGAGAGAATTCTATTCTATTCTAAACATAGACCAACAATTTGAAATAATCATTGGGCAATTGCCTCCTAAATACGCTCACCACAATAACATTCTCACACATACTCTCCGCATCTTACTTCGGCCCGCCTAGGTCCTAAGCCTTAGCCTTTCCATTAGGCCATTCGAGCAACTAAAATAAACGTAGCATCAGCACCTGATTAGCCAGAGCTCTCAATCTCACCAGAATAGTTTCTCGAAACAGTTCATCGATTGGTCAGGGAAGAAAAGCCACAAGGCCACTTACAGCGTCGATCATCGGCTGATAACCGTACAGCCATTCTAACGCCCATCGCCAGCCCCAGATCGGCATGTAGGCATAAACGAACTTGCGCACAAAAGGGCCCAAACCATAGGGCAGTCGCGCCATGTGCACCTTGGCGTAGTTGCTCGAGAAAGTAACTAGATCCTTAGCGCGGCCCTCGCGTTTGGTGCAGTATTCTCCAAGTGCATCCTCAAGGCGCGGAGATTGCGCGCCGATATTCTTTGCTGTTTGCTTGTTTGTGAAGTATGCATGCAGAATATTTCCTAGTTCCGTAGCATCTTCGATAGCTTGACAAGCACCCTGAAATACGTCGTTAGCAGCGGAATCCGAGTGTTGGTTAAAGGTAAGGTAGATCCTTACCTGGCCGAAGAACGAAGTCATTGAATGCGCAGCTGTTGGGTTGGGGACTCCTTGTTAGCGATATCATCACGAGTCATGGTCCCAAGAAAGGCAAATTTTGTGAGAAAATGGGCTGAGATGTCTGCAAGGTTGTCTTCTGCGCGTACAATGCCGGTGCGGTTCCATACGCCATCGAACGCCAAATGAGGTGCTTAAGAGGTAGAGGTGGGGTGTATAAATACATACCGTCACCTAACAAGGCTACACGACCGTATGACATCGAAGGGAAGTCTGTCTCTTCAAAGACATCGCTTGCGACCACGCGCTCCGAGCGATTGACGACTATCAAAGATGATTAGATTCACTCTATTCAGTATATCAACGTCCGCAGTAACATACTGTCACGGAAATGTCCCGACTTTGCAAAAGGGTGGAAGTGATCTCCGTAGACATCATTGATGGTATCTCTCGTGGCGCCTTTCCAGACTGATCGGTCGGCTTGCTTAAGCTCGGAAGCCTAGGTAGTTACATCCAAGCAGTTAGCATCTAGAAATCGGCAACCTTGTTGAATACACACCTTGACACCGATAAACCATTGCCTGTTGTCTTTGCACGGCCATGTCGTGAGGATCGAATTGTCGTACAGTAGCCAATTTCCGACCCCAAGCTCCGCTGGTCCTAGATTCTCAATCGGCGCAGTGTAACCCGACATGTGCACACGACCTGTGAATCGAATGGAGTTGATAGAATCCAAGCCCGCTTGCCGGGCAAGAATCCTTCTGGTCACGGATCGAATACCATCTGCGCCGACAGCCACCTCACCGGTGAATTCGCGGCCATCAGCGAGCTTGACACGTACGCCTTGCTGTTTCTCATCGCCAAACTCGACGATGTCAGTCACATCAGCGTCGAGAAGAACAGTCTCGGAGCCCCCGGCAGCATTATAGAGCAGATGGTGAAAGTGATGTCTCTCGATCGAGATAACAGGATATCCAAACACCTGCTCCGTCCACTGGAAGTCGATTTCACTCCACTTGGTAGTGTTGCGATGGACTTGGATCTTCTTGAGGGGCTGGCCTTCCTCTAGGATATCACTGTAAAGACCCAGTTGATCCAGTACACGCAGCGCATTAGGCGCGAGAGATATTCCAGCCCCCGCAGGACTGACTTGCTTGCTGCGCTCGAGGACCTTGACAGAGATACCGGTCTTCTTGCAGATTGTAGCGAGGGTGAGGCCGCCGAGCCCGCCGCCAATGATGAGAACTTGTGCGTCAAAAGGCTTGTCAGAAGCCATTGTTGAAAGGTATCAGAAAATGACTATTTCAGTGTTCCTGGTAGAATATACTATAGTACAAGTGTCTGTATAGTAACGATCAAGACAGACAGGAGATATCTGTAACCAGGCCAGTTCGATGTTGATAGATCTTACGCCTGAACAAAGAAAAATAAACGAAAATATAGCAGTTTCAACGCCATGTTCAGCGTAGATGGAACCACGCTGGTAAACATAGATCCGATCTGGAAAAATTCTCCGCTGTAGGTGTTCCCTCCGCTATATACTCCGCCGGTGCGCGGCGGCGTGTTGAATTTATTGAACTACGGCTGCACAAAAGTAAGACATTATCGACGAAAGTATAGTATTACTGAAATAGCTTTTGGAGCCACCTAAATCGCAGTCATCAGTTTCTTTTCCCCTGGTACAGTCGAGGACGTCGAGCAGCGTTGCTAAGACCGGGTGAACTCTGGATCCCGGGGTTGGATTTCAACTGGATTAAGATTGATAATTTTGTTTCGATCCACAATTTCTAGAACAATTGAACACTTCTATAATTAAACCAACTAATGCACAATATTTCTCGTTAAATCCAGCTTATCATCCGAAATCCTGCCCGGAGATATTGTGTGGGTTACATTACTTACTCTAAACTCAATGAGACTCGGCCCCCAACGCCTCAATGTAAATGAATGGACATCTGTCCGCTACCGGCTCTTGTTCCTAAGTATCGGCCCACGTGCACAGCTAGTGTTTCAGATTTCCCATCACGGTTTCTTTTTCCAATGATGTTAGATGAGGTGCGCATTGTGTTACCTATGTGGCGGCCACATAGGGAATCTCACAGTAGATGTTATCGCACCGTAGTCTCGCGACATCTCGTCATCTTCCGTATCCTCCAACCGGAAGCCCCAGGCACTGGCGACCTGGTCATTCGGCTGATACTCCGAATATGATTCCCAGGTGGCGGTAAATACCGCAGTAGATGAATCATAGACAAAGTGAAATGTGCTTTCAGATTCAAAATCGCCAACAAAATTGATCTGGGAAAGACGCGGCATCCGTTGTGCCGCATAGCCCATCGAGGCAAATAGTCGATGGAAGTCATCATAATTTATCAATTCCCGATAGGACCAGCCTCTCTCCAAGTCGCATATCTCTGCGTTCCAATCGTCAATTGCTGCAACTTCAGCTTGAAGCTCCGCCGTATAATGAAACAACCATTCACCTGTTTTGTTGACGAAACTCTGAGTGCTGATCTTGCTAGGTGAATAAGAAGAACATATCAACGTACCTGATGGAGTGAACCGGGGAACTAGCTCAAAGTTCAAGATTTCGAGGTGTGGCCAATATAAAGATGATAGGTCACCTATCGGCTTCAAATCTCTATTCAAGGGGCATAGAAAATCGAGCGATAGTGCAGTTTGCTCTACGTTCAATTCTCGAAGACGGAAGCTCAAGGCCTGCAGGTTGATAGACAGTGCGTCTGTTCCGGAAGGCGGCAAAACGTTCAAAGCAGGCATGGTTTCCTTCCAGTTCAACTCTGTCTGATTCTTGTACCTGAACACTCTTAAAGTATCAGGCAACCTTTTGAGACCTTCTGCCACATCTAGGTACGGGAAATAAATGTGTCAATCACGTCAGAGATCAAGCTATAAAAATATTATACCACAAACATTAATATAGGACTTCTTACCTTGACGACGTTGTTTAATGAGACCTTCATGATCTGGACGAATATATTCGTCGAGATCGAGGTCCAGTTCTGTGAGCGTAGGACAGTGCACAACGATCTCAAATATTGTGCTAGCCCATATGCGATGATTTCTATTCCCGCCCTCTCGATCAGCACCGTTCAGGAAAAGGAGTCTATCAACGCATAAGGCGCTTGGAAACTTCAGTGAATCATCCAAGAAACGGGCTCTATAGGGTTGGACAGCAGTAGTACGCCCGTTTGTATAATCCCAGTCATAATCACCGGCGTGGGATTGCCCGTTGGTATCCGGCTCTCCACATACTTCACGTCCAAACAGACCTAATTCCAACGAGAGCCGATGGGTTTGGCTCCAGGACTTCAGTATCTCGAATAATCTGATCACACCTGACTGGAATGCCTTGTTATTTTCTTCTCGAGTAGGGTTCTTGTAGTTGTAGTGTTGCCCTTTGATTGCCTTCCAATCTTCGATAAGAAACGGGACAACAACTTTGTATTTCAAGTGCCGAATCCAGGCTCGGCGGGTGGCGTTGGCGCCAGATGTGAGAGTTGTAAACAGAGACAGAGAGAGAGGCTTTCTGGATTTCTTCGCGTTTTGATCATCTCTACTCCAGGCGGGTCTAGAGGGATACTTGAACGTTGCCGTATTCCATATTTCGCGCAATTTGCTGTGAACTTCAATCTTGTCTTCGTAGGCTTCCGGATCTTCAACGGTTTCACTATACACGGTCAGGTTGGAATAAATAAATGATTCGAATGCTGTCTGCCAGTGCCGGCAAACAACGGTATAGGCAGCAAGGGGATAATCATCAGCATGTAGATATGCCGCAATTTGAGATAGTAGCTCAAATGGCAGATTATTGGCCATTGTTAGTGAATAGGATAGTGCAAGCGAACTCGGAGGTCAGCGTATGTAGTTTGTTCTTAGCGTAGCGATGGGCAGCGTGGCTCAAGCCAATAAGTAGTCTTCTTTTACTCTTCCCGCTTGCTGCAGCAACACATGTTCGGCACGAGATTAAGTCACGACCTGTTGCTTGGAAAGTGATAAGCTGTCAACACAATTCAACCTTATGGATATACCCAGTTCCTTGAATATATGGGATAGATTCCCCGAGCCTACGCTTACTGCTATGAACAACTCTCAATACCGTCCGCTGAGCCGTGATGGCTTCGAAATAGCGATAATATGTGCGCTACCCCGCGAAACCAACGCTGTTCTCTGTGCCATGGATGAGATATGGCATGATTGCCGCCATTACTACGTCGAGCCCATCAACAAAGAACAGAACTCTGATGAAGACATTCTGTAGACTAAAAATGCACCTTTGAAGAGAAGAAAATAGTTCCAAGTTGTTCCAATCAGCTAGCGTGGTTGAAGGCATTTGCGCGGCGCTCCATCTCATATCATCAATTACCTCTGACATCAGACCCGGTTTCTGTTTAAGAATTTGCAACAACAAAGAACGCAGAAGACCTTCCAAAGATTTTTGTAGTACATTCCCCGGGCTCCAAGAGAAGTAAGACGCCCGGATTACAGAGCAGCCCTGAGCCCATGGGAGCATGTGTTCTTGGACATCAAGCCTCTCTCCCAAAAACTTCATTAGAGTAGACTTCCCGGACCCAGGTTTACCGGATATCCAGTAAATCCATCTTGTTTCGGTGCTCGACGACAGCCATGTGACCAGGTCATCCCACGTGTGCACATTTTTGTCCTGGGATCGTAGAACCCACTCATATGTTTGCTCGTGGGCTGCTTCAATCTTCTGTGCGCGTTCTTGCATTTGGGGAAACTGGAGACTGGCTAAAATTCGTTGCTGAGCGTGTCTGTTATACGGATCTTTTACAGAGTGTTCCTCAAGATCATTGATAGCACTATCAAAGGAATATCTTGGTGTCAACATATGAAAACTGTGAACATCTCGGAAACTGTCTTGTCTGGAGGGGGAAAAGAGCTCCCGAACCGAGTCTGTTTCCAATTAGTCGAATACTTAGAAGTCTGCCATGGGGGCTCACCGTTGGGAATCGTTTTCTGTGGCAGCTTTTGTGGCATCACATATTGCTTCAAAACCTCTTTTGCAACCGCGGCGGCAGAAGCAGCCGCATAATCCTGCCAGACCTTGCTTTTATGGCTATCTGCATAGTCACAAACGCCTTTGATGACAAGGCAGTTAAATTTGTCCCAAACACCAACCCCCTCCATCTCAAAAGCAATGATACCCTCTGATTGTGCATGCTGATCTCTATGCCGAGCTGACTTTATGACGGCGTTCCCAGTACCAATGGACCCGATATGTATACTAAGATCCGGGATTTTGCTGCCTGAGTTAGCGGCCTCCTCCAACCGATATCGAGTGACTAATTGTCTCTCATCGCACAGGGTATCGCTGCATGATGCGGTGAGAGCGGATTTGCATACAGTCCCTGCAGTGTCACTGCATCCCATGCAGTGTCCACGATGTTTATGTATGTAATCAGATTGGAAAAGCATGTCTTGACTCGCGCCCGGATAGTCCATATTCAGGCGTTGCAGCAAATATCTCAGATGCCCCATGGGTCCATGCCGTAAGGTTTCGAGAATGGCTGGAATTTTCCAGCGCTGCAAAAGCCCAAGTATTTCTTCGTTTGGTCGACCGTGTACGTCAAGTACTGAATCCTTGCGTTCGAAGCTACCGTGGTACTGCCGCCCGTAGTCTAACTCAACAATCGTCTCACTGATGATAACATCTCCGAGTACAATTTCGGACCCATCTTTCTTGAATGGGACCGCACCGCAAATACCAACAAGCAAGGCAAGTTTGATAGAGCTGAAACTCATTTTGAGGGACTGAGAAGCGCTTGACGCTTTCACTGAGCCCATTGTAGGCAATGTTACAATGACCACGCAGTGCACGCCGATTTTCCCGAAATCATACGAGTTATCATCCCCAGTACGAAGGCACGGATGAGATCCGTCAAGAGCTTATTGCAATATTCAAAAGATTAGCCTGCACAGGGAATGTGAAGATATTTCTATCAAGCAGGCCTTGGAATATCTTCCAAGACAGTTTCAGCGATATTCCTAAGATACGACTGGAGGATCTCACGCGAGACGATATCGACCTGTATGTTCGGGCAAATTTCCTCAACAATCCACGATTCCAATATCTGCTTCGTTGTGATCAGAAGGCTGCAGAAGCGCTTATATTCGCGGTCACAGACAAGGCCGAGGGAGTTTTTTTATGGGTACGGCTTGTGGTTCGCGATTTGCTCAAAGCAATGCGGGATGGAGATGGCATTCGCACTTTGTACCGGAAGCTCGAAGAAATACCCGCCGACTTGAATGACTATTTCAAACACTTGTTTTCCTCAATTGACCCTCAGCACATGCGAGAAGCGTCTATCATCCTGCAGACTGCATTACATGAAGAACACGACTTTGTCGCGCTACATCCTCTCCGTTTACTTGACTTGTCGTTCACCGACGAATCGAGCCCTGATTTCGCACTAGCAGACTCCTTCAAGCATGACAAAATCTCCATTAATGACCGTGAAGCATTGAGGTTTCGCCTAGACTCAACCATTAGGCGGCTCAACAGTCGATGCATGGGCCTACTTGAATGCACATACAACCCTGACAGTTTCTTTGACTTATTTGATGAAGAGTCCACAGAAGAATTCCAGGATACTTCGCTCTATCAAGGCCGGAAATTTGAGCCGTCAATATACTCACATGTCTTTGATAGCCCCACTTTACTTCGCCCCTTCATGCTTACAGTCGACTTTTTCCATCGGTGTTGCCGGGACTTTCTCCTTTTCCCACACATCCAGAGTCTACTCCACCAATATACTGGGGGCCGATACGACGCGAGAATGTTGATCATTAATGCCAGGATATCACAGTTTCTAGCGCTACAAAATATCGAATGCGGCCGCAGTATCTCCTTAGGGATAGCAAGCTATCTTGTTAGTGCTCTTTCAGTTCCCGAATGGAAAGAAGCAGCAGTATCCATCAGAGCTGCACGTATACTCCAGCCAGCTATCGAGGCCTTCTCATGCTATGATGTAGCGTCTTCTCCGGGCTGGTACATTGACTTCGTGCTGGCTAGTTGGCAGGAGGAAAAAAGCAATTTTCTCACACTGGCAATCGACTTCGACATGCGGGCTTACTGCATGGCATATCTCACTGAAGACCAAGTCCAAGCCAAAAAAGGTCGTCCGATCTTAGATTATATTCTCCGGCCAAGGTTCGCAACAGAACAATTCCTAAATATCGGTAGCCAAGTCCCCAACATCGACCTTCTGCACCGGGTTCTTACTTTTGGAGCGGACCCTAACGGTCTCTATCAAGGCGTCTCTGTCTGGGCACTCTTTCTTTCCTCAGTAGCAGAATGGTTGCAGAGGGGTTTTCATACTTCCGCCACCAATAAGGAAGCATACCTTATGGCGCTTAGGATGATGATTAACAGAGGTGCTGCACTGGTTCTCCCGTGCTCCTGGGTTTTGAGCGAGGGCCGCTGCCGTTTACACCGTTATGGATTATTTGAGATTGGATATAAAAAGAAAGACCGTTGGCCAAAGGACATTCCAACAATTGAGCAGGCCGTGACTGGGCTATCACAACCGAGTTATGCTGTCACCGATCTCCTTGCAACATTTCAGGTCCACTTTGGACCGGAACTCAATGGGCTGATTGAACTCGCAAAGGCAGATGGCTATCAGCATCTACTATCTAAATAATGCTTGCTTTTGCAGCAAAAAAAAAATAAAAACATACAACAGCAGGGATTCGCTGGTGGTCACCCACCCAACTACTAACCTGCCGGCGTGTGGCTTAAGTACGGCTGAGCGGACGGGAAGCCCTGTTTTCCACACCCTATGGTCGTATGTGCTAGTCAGCTGGCTGAAAGGGAATATCTAGTGGAATACGAATAGGAAAAAATCCGAGATTCTGCGCTTCCTCTTGAGATAACAAGGAATCTACATCCTAGCGATCTCTAGCAGGTTCTATCCTCTAATTAGGATATCAGAGAACATTCTGCAAATGGATGATATGTTAGATCACTTACAGACTTCTTTGTACGCTGAATTTCTGCAAACAGTAATAATGTCGAATCCTAAACAGCACGGAAGCAGAATCTGAATTGCTTGCTTGACTCTAGGTCTAGGGGGGGATTTGACCCCATATTTATCTCTAGCATACAGAGAATCCAGTAGGTTCGATCCAATTCCATGCGGGAACCTGGTGTAACGGTTGATTGCAGATCACCTGGCGTTTGCTTTGTACGCCGACAAATAACGGGGTTTATTATTTAGTGAAGTGTCTACTCCGCAGTAAATATATATTCTAGTAAAATATCTTAGAAACCCTAGTACACAATTCGCAAACAGGAGTCTGACTAAATACCATCAGGCGAAATATACTGCGTATATTGTATGCTCATATGCCGTCTATAAGATTCTATATAAAATTCATCTATGCAACAAAGAATACATCAATCTTGTCTTTTCTCATACATGTCACCAATAGTTAAGAAAACCACACGTAGAAGAAAACACAATTCCACCTTCATCTCCAGTTAAGGTCCGCCAGACCAACCTTCAGCTTCTCAAAGTCGAAGATAACGTACTTGTCCTTGGAGAAGGTCTCTCCAAAATTGCCAATAACCCAATCACCGTCACCAAGGGTCCGAACGTTGAGAACGCAGACGCCATTGTCGAGCTTCTCAACATAGTTAGATGGAATAATCTCCCAGACCTTACTTGATCCCGAGAATTGGTACTTCAGAGGGGGGAGCGACTGGGTTTTGTTGCAGTCGATCTGGTACCACGACTGGTTACCATTGTTGGGAGGCGAGTCGAGCTTGATTGGCGTAGCACCGCTGAGGTTGATTAGCTTCTGGTACGCGTTGACGGACATGGGAGCACCACGTCCGTAACTGGCATGGTCAAAGACGGCAGCAGATCCAACTGTGGTGTTCAATGGCTGCACCTCGTCGCCGATGCTGAATTGAGTGAGGCCAACGGCCCAGTATTCCAATAGAGCGGGGTTGTAGACGAAATCGACCACGTTAACTTCTGGGAATTGGATGACATCGTACCATGTCACGCTGCCCTTGACGAGTCTAGAGTTGTAACCGCCAAGTGTCTGGAGACCATCATGGCCGCCACAAGTGGTCTTGTTGGTATCCACAGAGCCATTGTAGCAATAGTGGAAAGCAACGTATGGCTCAGGCCAATCTCCTGCGCGCCAGGCTTGGTAGAATGGGGATTCTGTAGTTTCTGCGTGGAGAATGTTAGTGTCATATCACTAGCATGAAGATGAGCATAGAACATACTGTTGTCGGTTTTGAAAACTGGAGACAGTCCATAGACTCCAGCGAATGGGAAAGCGGCTGCTGTCTCATTGAACTGGAAGTCTGCAGCTTGAATGATCATGCGTGTGCTGCTAGGACCAACGGTGACAATGTCGGAACTGATATCGACAGTCAAGGGCTTCCAGAAGAAGAAGTGGTTCGGGTCCCAGGACAGGTCCCCGTACCGAGAGGTGAGGTTGCGGAATGACGAAGACAATGACTGGTTGAACAAGGGTTGCTGCGTAGCGAGACAGTCGTACGTGTTACTTGAATTGCCATGGCACAAAGTCGTGAGGAGGTATTGCCCAACCCATGTCCAGTCGACAAAGACAGGGAGCTTCTGGGGAGGTGTTCCCACAGAGATTTGGGATAAGAAACCGTACGAATTCCACGTCAGAGGCAAGTTGTAACTTCTGGCATTCTGACGAGATTGAACAGTGGGTACGGCACCAGCTAGATGGCTGGTGACCGTCAATAGAACGGCTAGAAGCGTCTTAGAAAGGATCATCCTGAACTAGCGGTGGACTTTTCGCTGACGATAGCCGGATCTGGATATAGAAGACTCTGGATGCTTGGTTATGAGCATGATTTCCCAAAGGCACAAAGTCGTTTATAAACTTGGGAATCCATACACATCAGCAATTTGGCCCCCGTGCCCCATTTGACTCGCCACCTCCATTGATATACAAAAAATCTCCGTTAAGCTCCGTCTGATTATTCTCCACTCGCAGAACGTGGAAGCGCGAGATCTATATCCGCTACCGAGCGGAACTAGACCGATAATGCCTAATTGGACCGTCTATAGACGGAGTATGAAGTGGGTTGTCGCGGATGGAGTCCGGTGACTAAAAGCATTGTTTTGGGATCTGAAACAGATGTCCTCGGTCTTGGTATATGTAGGGACAAAAGCTTCCAATTTTCCCCGGACCAGACTCATCCAGATTAGAACTCGAGCATCTTCGGCTTTTCTACTCCCTGCTTTTGCGCAGTATACTCCTAATCATTCTTCTGTTTTCTGCCTTACAGTCTTGCTAGAAGCAAGTACCTTAGAACCATGGAAACAGTTCTGCACATGCAGGGAAGCACCAGCTCTCCCCTGACACCTCTATTTCTGATCCACGCAGTCTCAGGGCTTGCTTTCCCATATCTCACCCTGGGAGATCTCAGCCCTGCAGACATGGAGCCCGAGAAAGCTCGTCCAGTGTATGGTATCTCCTCTCCTCTCTACAACTCCTCCTCGTACCGTGCGCCCGGTTCCTTCGAGGAGCTTGCGCGGCAGTATGTCTCCATGATCCAAGAAATCCAGCCGGCTGGACCTTACCTTCTTGGAGGCTGGTCCATGGGCGGGATGATTGCGGTAAAAATGGCAGACCTCCTGCAGGAACAGGGCGAGACGGTACTTCACGTTATTATGATTGATTCTGCAAACCCAGAACAGTACCCTGCTTTCGTGGATAACGAAGAACACGATTTTATCGCAGATATGGCCTACAGCGCCGTTGCTCAGAAGATGAATTTGCCAGGTAGCTCCCATTCCGATGGAATGTCCAGCGACAGTGACCAGGACGACGATGCCGACGTTGAGCTCGAGAGTATGCTCCTCAAGATGCGGAAACACATCTGGGAGAGCATAGGGGTCATTTCGAAGACCGAACCGGGCCAGCTTCTGCCAGGCAAGTGTAACACTTCCGTGACCCTGATCAAGTGCATCAAGCTCGCACCCGTGGTGCCAGCCGTGCGATTGGAGAGGAAGAATTTTATTCGCAAGTGCTTCCTACATCCAACATTGCGATGGCGGGCCAAGCAGTTCAACCATTTCCGAACCATCCTGTTCAATGCAGAGCATGACGACGTATTCGACTCAAAGCATGCTCCTGAATTGACGCATATTCTCCGAATCGTCCTTTCGAGAATTTGAGACCTTCCCTCCTCCGTCCCTATCTCTTTCCGTTCATTAATCTATGTCGACTTTTTTTCCTTTGTCTCGGGGTCCTGGGAGCATTTGCTTTGGAAGATTGAATTGAGAGCTGGACATCTCCGTGGAATGGCTGGACTAGACGATTCAGCATGTATATAGACTCGAGGGCACTTTAGACAAGGGCTGTCCATTTCTAAGCAATATATCACTATACATGCATCAAATCCTTTGTCATACACTTCCTGTAATTGGGCATTATGTAGCGGCTTTGATGTTTGAAGCAGTCTACCTGTGATTGAGTGACGAGTCCTCTTAAGCCCTCTTCATGTCAGCACCTTGCCAGCCATAATTCGAAATATATAAGAACATAAAGGATAAAACAACTTACGAACTCTGCCCTTTCGTCACGTTTCATCAAGCAATCTAGATTGTTCATTTCACAGCAAGACATGACATGTAAAAATAATCTCTATATTCAATCATAATCATAATCTCACATAACGATAAATAAGTTCTATAAATCAATATGCCAGTCTACTCAAGACGTCTAATACTCACCGCGGCATCACCCACAAGCCAAGGGCTACCAATCTTCGTAAAGTCCAACTTAGAAAAGTCCTTTGGTGGACCGTGAGTTCCCCACTCAACACGGTAGTTCTTGACCAGTGTTGAGATCATCTCCCGAGTTATCATTCCAGCCATGTTTTCGCCGGGACATCTGTGCGAACCAGCGCCGAATTGAAGGAATGTCACCTGCCTCGAAGAGCCCTTCTGCTCCGGAACCTCACTAGGTCTGAGCCAGCGCTCGGGGTCCCACAACTCGGGGTCCTTGTAGGTCGCAGGGTCATGGTGGATCAGATATGGTGAAATGGAAACCACGGACCCGGTAGGAACAGTAATGTCTGTTCCCGGAAGCTGCACTGGCTGGCGTGCTAGGCGGAGCATGTTGACTCCAGAATAGCGACGACCGGTCTCCTTGATGACTGCCAGAAGCTCGGGTGACTTGTGGATGTTGGGACAGTCAGAAAGTGCCTCGCGCAGCTGTTCCATGTGAGCTGGAGATCGAAGCAGCTACAGGGAGGTTAGCGGATACAAACAAGTAAGTAAGGGACAACGGTCTTCATACCTGGATGATGGTCCACGCAATACTGGCTACCGTGCTAGTATGAGCAGCGAACATAAGGAGAGTGTGGTGAGCAGGATAGAACTCTTTCAGGTGTGCGGTTGAGGCATCATTCAACGTGTAAGACACGTAGTCGAGAGAGTTGCGCCATTTCTCGGGGTTCTGCTCCCGCTCATTCAGTCTCTCGTGGAAGATCTCAGCGACTCTATCACGGGCCTTTCCCAATCGCTTCGCAGGGGGGTGAGGAACCCAGTCTGGGAAGAGGAAGTTAAAAGGGTGTCCAATGTCTGCTTCCATACGGTGAAGCAAGTCATAAAGTTCGTCGATGTTCTTCTCGTAGAAATCTTGGCCCATCAGACACCGTACGATGACCTTGTGCGCAAACTTAGAGGCTTCTTCAAAAATCTCAACATCAGTCTTGGAAGCCCAGTTCGAAAGAGACTTTTCCGCTTCTTCAGCCGCGATGCTGCGGTAGTGCTCCAAAGCAGCGGTTCTGTTGATCCCGCGGTTGAGAGAGCTGACCATCCGCTTGAGATGGGTAAAATAGCCAGGAATCACGACCTTGTTCAAGAAAAGGCCCTATAAAGTGTGAGAATCCACTATTCGTCGTCTAGAAAATAGGAGCTACTTACCATACCGTCGCCGAATGACCAGACGTCTTCCCTGGTTTCCAAGTACATCTTGTTCAAATCGTTTCTTCTCAAGAAGATGATACTATTGAGAAGCATGTTGATACGAAAGACGGGACCAACTTTTGCGGTTGCATCCCTGACGAAGGTGATAGGATCCTTTCCGTACGCCAGTGCATCTCCAATGACCGGCAAGCCGAACTTGGGAGTCGGGATGCTCTTCTGGAACAGCTTTCGCAGGACAGAAAACGAAATTGCAATCACGAGTAGAAGAGGCAGACCGAGAGGCACAACTCGTGTGATCGCAGGAGTGTCGCCCACTGTAGTGGGTAATATGAAATGTCCCATTCTGTATGTTTGGGGGCGATAATGAAACCAACTATAGGTACCTTCTGCACTCGGTGCTCGCAACTATCCGGAATAAAGTCGTCTAGGAAGTCGGCATCCAAACGCTAATCCGCCGGGAGCATCCATCTTGTTATACTAGCCTCCAGATCTGGTCCCAGTCTTGCGAGCCACGAGGTAGGTGATCCCTTGTCAGACATCCTGTGCTGGAGTTAGATTCGCCCGCCCGCACGGCAGCGGAGGGTTTCTTGCGCCGTGCCGATTGTATGAGGAAAACATCCGTCTCTGCCGAATCGATATTTTAGGAAGTATAGAACCCGGGCCAGAATGGTTTAGAGTAGCATGCGCCGGCTAAAGTCGATCTTCAGAAGGACATTGATCGTTTCATGAAGTCGACATTCGTGATTTCCAACGCATAGACGCACACCTCTTTGGTAAATCGCCAAAGATGGACAACAACAAAAGACACAGTCGAAGATCGTGGTTTGGATTACCCGATATTCCAACGTCAACCTTTCGACCCCAATCATTCTATCAACTGTTCCAAGATGATCAGTTTCGCGTCGAGATGCCAGAGAAGGCATACTTGTCTCCTCTCAGCGCCTCGTCGGAAGAAACGCTCTATCCTCACCTATCTTTTCAGGAGCTCTCCGATATAGATTTATTTGGCAGCCAAAGAACGATAGTTACAGATTTTCCAGATTTCCCTCCATTTTACCCACAATCCGAAGAATCCCTGATTCGACATGACAGCATTTCAGAAGAGAAGGACGCAGTGGCTGATGACAGGCCTCCAGATGGAGGTCTACGAGCGTGGCTAGTAGTCATCGGCGGATTCCTAGCATACTTTGCAACTTTTGGTCAGTCCAGAAATTGAAAAGGGTTCATCTAGGAGACCTGATCTAATATATTGCAGGTTTGCTCAACACCTTCGGCACTTTCCAATCATACTATCAAAGAAATCTTCTACCTGATATGTCTGGCAGCGTAATTGCATGGATAGGTTCCTTACAAGTACGTAGCCCCTGGGCATACAGAAACCACAACCCCAGGCCAGCCAGTCTAACGCAACTACAGATCTTCTTCCTATTCATCGGCGGTATGGTCATCGGGCCTCTATACGATTCGTATGGAGCCAGGCCACTCGTCATCCCCGGATCACTCGTCTACGTTCTCTCCATCATGTTCACCAGCATTTCAACGAAATACTACCAGCTCATGCTTGCACAGGGCGTCATGTTTGGCATTGGAAATGCAATGCTGTAAGCTACCCTTACACATAACTATATGCAGCCAAACGTATACTCATAGATCAGATTCTACCCAACAATATCATCCATCACACAATGGTTCGACTCATGCCGCGGCCTCGCTCTCGGTATCGCCGTCTCAGGCTCCTCTCTAGGTGGCATATGCTGGCCGCTCCTAATCCAATACCTTCTAGACCACATCGGATTCGGCTGGGCGACGCGGATCACCGGCTTCATCTGCGTGGGACTCCTAACTCCAGCCTGTTGGTTGATTGCTTCTAGACCGGTAACTTCGCATTCACAGCACAGTGAACCACCCCCGAAGCTAGACTTTATCGGTATTCTCAAGGACTGGAAATACACCCTTTTTAGCGCCGGCATGTTCTTCGTTCTGTGGGGGATGTTCATCCCGTTCTTCTATCTGCCTACTTATGGCCAGGCGCACGGGATGAGCGAAAGTGCCGCGAATAACTTACTTGCGTATTTGAATGCAGGCTCGCTGGTAGCGAGAGTCGTGACGGGTTTTATTGCTGATAGATTTGGGAGGTTAGTCGTCGACGACAAAAGAGAAACCCCCATTACTCATTCATTCTCAATGCTAAAATCACCCCAGATTCAACGCCATGTTCGGCTGCGCTCTCGGCTGCGGTATCCTCCTCTTCGGTCTATACGGCATCACATCCATCGCTGCAATCATCGCCTTCGCTGTCCTCTACGGCATTTTCTCCGGTGGTCTAATCTCGCTCCAATCCGCTTGTATCGCTCAAATCACCCCAGACCACAGAATCATCGGTGTCAAGATTGGTATCATGATGGCTATCTGTTCGTTTGGGTACGCACCCCCATCCTCTGCCCTCTTCAAACCATTCATCGTTCAAAGAGGAGAGACCAAACTAACATATTACTCTTGGTGATCAGAGGCCTAACAGGCTCCCCCATCGGCGGCGCCCTAATCACAGCCAACCACGGCGGTTTCACAGGCATGATTGCCTTCAGCGCCGTCATTCTAACAGCTGGAGGATTCCTTGTGCTCCTTGCTCGATTCATAGCCGCTCCGAAATTACGCGTATTTTGATTTATTTCAAGTTCTGTTTTTGAGAACAAGAAGAATAGAGTTTTCGGGAAGTGGCAGCGTAATGAACATACGATATAGACGGATTGATGCCTTTTTTTTTTCTTTCTTTCATGCACATTTCTATCTTTTCTTCATGTGACTCGAGGGATTATAGACATTACCTACACAGGATTGGGTTTGCGGTTAACTAGAGGGAAGAAACTCTATCCACGATACACGAGGGTCATGACAGGCGTTGCTGCTGGGATTCTGCATGAACTTGTCGATTTTACTGTAATCTACGTTAGAATGGGACATGCTTAACAGTGAAATACAAATAATATTACTATTGATATTCAATTCTAGAAGACCATGTACTGAATGTACATACATACATACTGTACACCCACGCCGCAGAAAAGTACCTTCCATCCCACCGGAAATAACATGAACATAAACATCTAAACTAAAATACGTACCTGCATAAACAGAAGGAACCCCGACCTCTAGACCCTCCATAATCCCAGTGAGAAAGAAGATGATCATCGCCCCCAAAAAACAAAACCCACATGGCCGCCACCGTGAACGATCCGAACCCCCGATCCCACGTGGGAGTTAAACATACTTGAAGTACAGAGTAAGAACAAGAGACAAAAATTCGACATCTTCTAATTTTAGCAGAACTAAAATTCCTCTTCTTTTTCCCTTTAATGTCATGCGTTTAACTAGCCGAGTGGAATCAAATCATTGGACGCCTCTCTCACCTTTTCCTACCGCTTACTAGTTATGTATGATACATACTATCTATATACTCTACCTCCGTCCCCGAACGGATCGAAACGGGGAATTTCATTTTGAACCACAACTAACTATCGCCCCCAATAGCGGATTTCTACCGTTTGAGAACGGTAGTTACTACCCCCTGGAACTTCTACCTGTATCCGATCCGAAGTGGTCTGAGAAGGCGAGTTAAGGCTGAGGGCTTCGGGGGGTGCATAAATCATGTACATATATAATATAATAGTATAAGGATGGGAGATCATCTTCTTGGCCTTTGTTTCCTTTATTGCTATTAAGCAAACAAGCAAGCAAGTGGTCTTTGATTCCTCGAGAGAAGAAGCAGTGGTATATATCTCCAACCCGGGAATCAAAGCAGACCAAAAAACCAAAAAAAGATGAAACTCCCACCCCTCCTCCTACCCATCATGGGCCTCTTCTCTTCTTTCACTTCTGCCGCCCCCTCTGGGGGAAACTCATCCATCGCTCTCAAAACCTGCGTGCAACATGTTTTCCAAACGCAGGGCGGAAACCCCAACCAGCGCATCGTCGATCCCAGCATGGACACCTACACGGACTCTCGAATGGGTGAGAAGATCCAATTCGATGAGTTCCCTGCCTTGCTTGCTTATGCGGTGAATGCCGATGAGGTCGGTGCGTTGGTGAAGTGTGCTCGGCAGACGGGGTATAAGGCTGTTCCGAGGACGGGGGGTCATCAGTGAGTATTTATATATATGATTCTGGTTGTGGTTTATTTTTATATCTTGAAATGGATCGTTACAGGATATGGGATGTAGGATATGGGAAGATGGCTGATGGTATTTGATAGCTTCCTCGCATACTCCGCTCTAAACAACACTCTGGTCATCGACATCGCGCACATCAACTACGTCAATATCTCGACCGCTGGTTCCGTCGCTACTGTCGGCGCTGGTATTCGTCTCGGAGCTCTATACACAGCCCTCGATGCATACAACACCACTTGGGTCGGAGGTATCTGTCCCACAGTCGGTCTATCCGGCCTCGTCTCCTCCGGCGGGTTCAACATGCAGATGCGCGCGCTGGGCATGTCAAGCGACTATGTTCTTGCTGCAAAGGTCGTGACCGCAGACGGAAGCATCATCACTGCCTCGCCGACGTCTCACTCTGATCTATTCTGGGCTCTCAGAGGCGGTGGTGGCGGCACGTATGGTATCCTGGTCGAGCTGACCTTGAGCCTGCGTCCTCTGCCTCGCTCAGCGATGGTTGCTATTTCATGGAACGACAGCAGCCTCCGATATGACGTGGCCAGACAGTTCCTCGACTGGGCTCCGAAAGCAGACAAGGAGTTCACTTCCCAGGTGAACGTGTACAAATCCAACGTCCAAGTCTTGGGCTGGTATCTCGGCAAATCGCAACAGCAGCTCCAATCGCTGATCAACTCCTCCGGACTTCTCCAGATCGGAAAGCCCCAGGTCCAAATCTCCGGTAATTGCAACACTGATAACTCCCGTGTGTTCGGATACACAACGACGGAATGCGTACCGGACAACCAGGTCAATGCCGCAATCATGAATGTCGTTCCGGACCCATTCTCCCAGTACGACAACTACCCGCAGTTCAAGTACAACGAGGTTCCTGTCTCAAGTTCTCGTGGTGTCGCACCGGCATGGAGTCGGTTCAGACGGCTCAGCAAGTCGTTCTTCTTGCAGAAATCGAAGCCGCTGCCGGATGACGACCTGAAGAAGGTCGTTGATATGATCGGCCAGTTGGACGATGCGTCGCAGGTCTGGGGAGAGTGGCACGCGTGGAACCTGACCAGCACCATCGATAGTGCCTTTCCCTGGCGAAAGGAGGCGTACGCGCACCTGGAGTTCCAGGTCCATGGATCCAATGATACAGCCACGCAGACGAAGTATGAGAACTGGTTTGCCAATCTCGAGAGCTTCCTCAGACCTATTGTAGGGTGAGTACCTTTTAGCCTCCCTGCCTTTATCATGCATAAACTGTAGCTGACCGTGATGATACCCAGACCCGCCTCCTACTCCGGCTACATGGACAGTGGCATTTCCACAAACCCATTCGAGTCCTACTACGGCTCGAACGTCTGCCGCCTGGTCCAGATCAAGAAGGCGTATGACCCGAACAACTTCTTCACGAACCCTGATGCCATTCCTCCAACGGTGCCCCAGGGCATCTCGTGTTGATAATCAGACACGGGATGTAGATCTGCAGATGTTAGCGTCAGTCATGTGTCATTGTCCTTGTCATTATAGATTAGATAGTTCTGTTTAGACGTTGTTTATCTCATGTCTCACTGTGAGTGTATATGTATGATTTCGTGGTTCTACTCGTATTTCACCAGTTCCGCATCGTTTAATGTTAATAAGTCGCCTTCTCTAGGGTATGGAGTTTTGAGGCGCACTCCATTCGCCCTCATGTCTGATACGACCTTACACATGCAATGACAGTAATATAACACAACCGTGAAGCCTGGAAAAGGCAGATACATAATAATAAACATGTCTGAGAGATGGGAGATAAATCGACGCGCATAGATATCGTATGATCATGTCTACGGAGCAACGGCCGGTTCATGAGCCGCCGTGCTCGGGGTTTCTTCCACGGCCTTCCCCCACACCTTCTCGAATGCCGGGTCTACGACCGTTCCGCTAGGCATCGCGGATGACGGGCCCTGGGTTTCCTGCTCGGACCTTGAGGCAGCTTCTGATGCGACAACCTGGCTCAGGTCAACGAGACTCGAAACGCCAAGCTCACTGGCCCTTCTGTCTTCGTTCTGGACGCCGAGCGGAGCAGAAGACGAGGTCGGCCCCGATTCGGGCATCTGAAGATCAAAGTTCGAACTATACACGACTGCCGCAAAGGCTTCGAGCTCGCGGACGCCCTGCTCCATGGCCACCAGGTACTCATTGGGCGGGTGAGTTCCGTTTCCAATAACATGCGCCTGTCGCGTCATCACTGCAAGTACAGTGGCCAGCTTCACTTTCGGCGCTGATGGGCTCGATGCCGGGATAATGGTGACACTAGAGGAAAAGTTCTGTACAGCAGGCTTCGGGGAGCCGGGGGTGGAAGGAGAGGCCTTGAAAGCCTGGGAGGCACAGTTCTGGTCAACCAGAGTCGAGAAGCCCTCGTTGTTCAGCAATGTCAGGATGTGCGTGAAAGAAGGCGATTCGATCAGATCGGAGGTCTCATCCAGGAGATGTCGCAGTGTGGCGGTCGTCTGAGGAGACGAAGGAGCCGAGGTGATGACCCCGGATTCCTGAAGGACAGTATCTTCCTCCTCCCGAGGCGGCAGCAGGTATGGCAACCAGTTCTTGGACCTGCAACAGTTAGTTAGTATTGCAAGACTCTATCAACAGCAGGTTGACGTACCTTCTCTCTTCTTCCGTGGCCCCTTCGATCTTCTTCCGAACCTGGAGCGTCAATTCGGACAATTTGCCTATGGTGATATCCTCCCTCGGGTTCACCGGGCCGAAGGTCTCCTTGACAGCCGCCTGGACCTTTTCCATCAGGTCCTTCCATCCCCGATGGAGCAGCCACCAACTGAAGGTGAGATACCGCCGGTTGGTCTCGTAATCATTGCCAAACATCTGTCCAACCCCGTCGTCATGGTCTTCCAGACTGATGGTCTCCGCATTCGCAGGTGGCGTCGCTAGTGAGACCACGCTGGAGAGGTAGTTCCGACGACCGAGAAGGTTGAGCTGGATGCGAGTGAGAAGGGTAAGTAGAGACAAGGTGTAGATGAGCGTAAAAGCACGTGTCAATGCTGCGATGCATTAGTATTGTTGTTTATACCACAAAATCATAGTTACTCTCTCGGAAGACCACACATACAGCTAATCTTGACCTCATTCCAGAGCTGCGTCTTACTCCGCTTCGGCCGCTGTCCATCCGGGTCTATCTGACTGGTATGGAGAAAGCTCTCGCTCTGAAAGCTCGACAAGCTCCGACCATCATCTTCCGTAGTGCTGGGCGGTGCTGAACTGAATTCCGACCCTGTTGCATCCCCACTCATACGGGACAGTCTCTCCGCCCGCTTCCGCTGCAACTCCTGCGTGAGCTCCTCGACGGGCAGCGCTTCGAGGATATTCTCCGTCGCCGTAGGAAGCAGAGCCAGCACTGTAAAAGTACAGTCTGTTTGATTCTGTTCGAATCGTCGTCGAAGACTGTTTGTTCATGGCACCAATCGTCAGTCAGTTTTTCCATTGTCGTGTTCTGCAATGCGCACGCGAGCAGGATGACGATCATCATCCAAGCCAGCCCCATCCATCTTTTCACGCTACCACCACAACGAACAGAAACAACGTACTTCTCCTTGGCGATTCGATCGCTGCTCATGCGCTCTCGCGCCTCTGCAATCTTGGACAGCACATACTGTCCGGCCAGATAGCCAGCTCCGATGACACCGAAGCCGACAGCAAGGCCCTTGCGATTGCGCCGGAACCAGCGCTTGGTAGCACCGATCATCGTTCGAGGGACAATGATAAACCGTGGACGGAACGATGACGAGTGTTCAGGTCATGGTATAGAAATTGAAACCAAGAGTGCAGAATACAGCCTCTGCTGAGATCAGAGACTGGAGATAGTAGTCCAGTCAGCCAATCTCTCAGCAGGAAATAATGAAGAATGAGCTCAGGAGTAGAAAAGAAAGAAAGAAAGAAAGAAAGATGCAGGATGAATGAACTCGCAGCTCACTGATGATGATGGCGCGGAGAGCTGGTCGCGGTGGCACTGGGGGAAGGCGAGCTAGCGCGACTCCTCGGCAAATGGCTGGAGTTCCCTGTGAAGGAGAATGTCGCGGGGATGAAGAACTAGTAAGACAGTAAGTACAGAGTAGGTAGTAAATGGTAAATAATATCTCATCTATCTCACAATCTGTGTTTCTTCTTCACGCCATCTTACCATCACATTGAAAGCTGTAGACTCCCCAGGATAACTAAATAAGATCCCTCTCTCTCTCTGCCGGCACTGAGACTCGCTGACGTTCCCGGAAAGCAAACCCAGGCGAGACTCTCTTTGGAGGGGCAATTTAATCCATCCCATCACTCCGTTCGAATTAATCAATAATGAGCTGCTAACTATCTCCTTTCCCAACTCGAGTTAATAATACCACCTTAGTTAAATTATTAAACTCTTTAACTAGTTTCCTCTTTTCTTTCCTGACTAGCTAAACCAGTCCTAGAGAGACGCCTCACCGTCTTCCCCAGTCAAGAAAAAAACAGATTGATTACTACTCTAACTACCATCTCTCTCTCCAGCTTCAACCAACGCTTTTACTCTTCTTAATCTTCCCTCCGCTCTCACTCCCAGCCCAAACCTTGCTTACTCACATCATCGACATCGTCCCCGTTTTGATCCTCGAGTCTACGGTTCTACGGCCCAGCTGGCCGTCTAATACAGCTGGGTCGCCCGCAACGAGCGATCATTAAAATACCCTCTATCGTCAAGAGACGATAAAGCAAACCGATACGATACGATACGCAGAAGCGGGAAAAATAGGAGGAAAGGGAAAATTCGAGTTGAACATACATACATATAAATTTCCTTCCTTGATCTTGATCTCGATCTCGATCTTGTTCAGCATGGAACCCCGCAAGACCCCTCCGGAATACTTCCTGGAAATATTCGCAGACACTTCATCCGTCAAGGACGTTTTAAAAGGTTGGGTCCCGTTCTGATTTCCCTTTTTTTTTCTCTTTCGCATTTATCGCGATTCTTTCACGGTCTCGAGTCTCGTTGCCGTGTGTGCGTGCGGGGAAGATGGAGAGAAAGACAGGACACAGAGAGAGAGAGAGAAATAACTCGCAAGCTTAAACAAAAATCAAAATCAAAAGTGTCTGCGCTGACAGTGGCTTTTTCATCACACTTAGGCGTCCTCAACCTCATCTTCTTCCACCGCTACTTCCCCTCCATCCGTCCCAGCACCGTCGACGTCCTCGATCTCACACTACCCGTGATCAACGATGTCGAGCTCGAGACCCTGATCGACTCGCGCGTCACCTCGCTCGTCCGCCAGCATCTATCCTCATCGAATGCCTACGGAGGCGGCGGCGGTGGTGTCCGCGGCCGCATCGCCGTCGAGTTCTTCGAGAAGAAGCGCAAGCGTGCGGGGCTCTGGTTCGGCGGGTTGGCTGGAAAGGGCGAAGAGGAGGTCTGTTGGGAGATTTGGACGCTGGATGTGACGATCGCAACGCCCAAGACTGAGTCGGGTGAGTATCTAGTGTCCAGTTCCCGGACGGGCTTAACTATCGCCGGTGAGCCTCGAAAGCAAAAGTTACTGACACCACCTTAGAAAGGGCCAAGGTCCGCAAGGCGATGGAAAACATGCTCCAGAAAGCCGCTTTCAAGATCCTTGCCGTTGTCAACCGGGATAAAGACCACATCCCGCCCATCACTACCAGCGATGCCAATCCGTTCCCTTATCGCATCGTCTTGAACCCCCGCACCGACAGCTGGGGTAATCGCATCGGTCTATATTAAAGGATGGCATCTCCATTAGACATAGACACGAGCTAGAGTGACATGATGCCATTAGTCGGCTTCCATGCCATCGAATCATCTTATCGCCCGCGTTCCGGGAGAATATCTGAACGCTGCGCCACGGGTTATCAGGAGTCTTGGAGTTCAACACTAGACGGTGCACCGGGAGAAGAGCGCCTTGGTCAGGAAATGTATATTATTATTTGCGCTACTACTACTACACTACTTCGAGACCGCTACAGTCGGGAAAGGACCAGATGGGAATAAAGAAAATATCAATAATCGGCGCTGTTGGATTTCAGGAAAGACGCAAGCAAAAAGCATTTATCATCCTCGCAAACCATGGATTCAAACAGAAAGGGACTCGTTCCTATCCATACATTCACCGGTCCGACCAGCAGCCGCGGTCGACCCTAACCACCGTCCCAACTACCACCTATGTGGCGTCTGTACCACACTTCCGTTTCTATCTACTACAATTGCCAAAAGGAAAGCCCAAAAAGCTATGAGATACTCTCATCCAGAGATAGCGCCTAACTCAACTGACTCGTCACGCGCGGGAGAACAGAATCGCGGGATTATACTGGCGCAGAGCTCATGCCACCATGTAGACATCCCAAAACACCCTTTGCGATTCACATCCATCCCGGCCAACGGCCCCAGACTTACTGGTCCTTGGCGGCAGCATCGGCCTGGGAGCGGAGGTTGGAGGAAGTAGAGCCACCCTGGAAGAAGCGGCCCAGCAGAGGCTGGAGGAAAGAGTGGAAGACGATCTGAGCACCGCTGTGAAGATTGTCAGATCGCGACTCATCGAAGGCTTGTCATTGGCTGATTACTTACTTGGTCTGGGGGAGGGCCATCCAGAGGACGAGCACAAACTTGAAGATGTAGTAGAAGGCTAGATAGCTCGCAGGTCAGAAAATGAAACTTGTCAAGTGGCCCATTCCTGGACTGCAATCGAAAAAGTTCATATGGTAACTTACGGAACCAGTAGGCAGCACTGACAGCGCTCTCCAGGACAGTCAGGAAAGCATACACAACCCAGTACTGTTGATTCGCATGTGATTAGTTTCCGTTATCACGTCACGTGGGTCGATAGCCGGTCGCATGAGATGCCGCGGCCAACATCACGCGGGCTATGACCATCATCAACGAAGGGAACTTACGGTGAGCCACTATATCAATCACAGTCAGTCATCAGTCATGCATGAAGGGATCCCTCAGAAGTGAGAGGGTACGCAAGTCAACTTACCTGAGTGTCATCGGCGGTACCAGCAGTAAACAGGGCATGAAGCGAGTAGTAACCTGGGATGAGGAAACCAGCAAAGTTGACCAGGAACTGGCCAGCGATGTTGAAGAAGACGAGGAAGAAGTAGATGCCAACGAGACCCAGGACGACATAGACCTTAGGGACGGAGGTCTGTCTCTCCAGGTTGTTCAGCGCGGCATACTTGGAGAGCTAATTATATTTTTTTTTATTTCTTCGTCAGCAAAAAAAGCTCCTATCCCTGGCCTTTCTCTGAGCGCGGAATTCCTTTTCCAAGACAAGCTTCCCGTGTAGGAAGCTTCAAGGAATAGAAATGCTCAGGTAAAAGAAAACCGAATTGTCGGTCAAGAACAAGGTATACACACCTCCTTGTCGAGCTGGGATATGTGGTGCTGGGCACGATCCTGCAAGCTGGCCATTTTGTCTTGGCTGTGAGGTTTCTGATGCTAGAATCAATGGGAGACTTGGGTATTATCTCAATCCAGTTGCTGCAGGGATGCTGGAAATAGGAATTGTGGCGGTGCGGACTCCAACAGAGACAGGAAAATGTTTAATGAAGAGAGAGAGCTTGAGAGTCGAAAGGAAACGCTGGCCCTTCTTTTGGGGAAGAGCTAACTTAGCGGATGACGGTGTGTCCGGTCACGTGTGGTCATGACGTTACCACGCGGCCCGTGCTCTCCCGCTGTCCTATTTTTGTGCTGTAAGCCTGTAACTAACTTACTCGCTCACAGTTTACCATTCTCTGTCCACTTAGGCTCATAAAGACGCGATACAAGAATAAATTAAGATTTAGATATGATGCGGAAGTTAGCGGAAAAGGTAGAAGATCAAGAATAGATAGGTCCATAAACTACACTGAATCGTACACAAGCCATCATATACGTCGAAACAAATGGTGCAAACCAAGCAGAACGGGAATAAATGAGTATCCTCTGATCTAGTAATGGCTAACAGTAGAAGTGAAGAGAAAATTAACTTCCCAATCTCAAATTGATTGATTGCGTATTGCACCGTAGCCACCAACCGTCATCCTATCGCCTGTTTCGTTGTCACATAACGCCTTCCTGAATGTCAGAACCGCAAAAAAGAAAAGTTCAGCAACGAGACTGCACGCGCGATACTCCACCAACTCCCTCCCAGAGAGAGAAACCGATAGCCTCGACTATGCGTTCGCAGAGAAGGTCACCGAAGACCCGCGTTGCCGATGATTGAGTGCCCAGTCACTTCATTCTTCGTCACTCACAGCACCGCTATTTGTTTCATTGGCACTGTCTCGGTTCCCGGTGTTGAATGTGAGTTTCAACTTGGGCTGGCCCGACGGTGTCCCGGCACCGGAGACAGCAGTAGACTGGCCATCCGCAGCGTCAGCCTCATCAGGGTTGGCAAAATCAGGGTAGTTTTCCAGTTGTTTCTTGATTTCACTGATAGCAGTAGACTGTAACATCCATTAGCAAAAGGCTCATTGAAGACTCATAGAAAAGACTTACTTCAATCTTGTTGGCGTCCTGGAACAGAATGCTGCCATCCTCGTTATAGGTCCGCGCATTCTGACAGAGAAGGTGGATGTCATCGCGGAACTCTTTCAGACTCTGGTACTCCTCGCGATTGATCTTCTTCTTGATCATATCCATGGCGATCGGGTTCTGGATGATCATGTAATAATCAGGGTATTGTGACTTGGGCGGAGGCTTCATGAACGGCTCAATGATAGCGCGGGTAACCGTCTCATCCTCGCTGTCAGACGAGTCAGGAGCAAGCTCCTCTTCGAGATCCATCAACACCTGGTAGACAGCGGTGAGGATCTTCTGCAATGTCGCGCGGTCAGCCGGACTGAGGGTCTCGACAACCTTGCCCGGTTTGCCCCTCTTGCGCTTGGTAGGCGGCGTCTCTTCGACCAGCTCAGATTCTGCCTTGCGTTTAGGCGCGGGCCCCTTGCGACGCCTCTTGGGCTGAGGAGTTTCTGAGCTTTCACGAGAGGGCTCAGGAGATGACTCGACGATGCCTTGATTCTTGCGCGCCCGCTTTTCTTTGTTGTTGCGACGGCGCTCGATCTTAGCCTCTTTCCTGGCGATAGCATCCTCGATCGTGTCATCATCAGCATCAACCGCCATCAGCCACTGCTCCTCAGTGAGGCCATCGTCATATTTAGTGACCTTGCGCTCACGGGCACCGCGTCCGGCCAATTCATCGACTGGCACCTCGTCTGTAACCGGCGCTTCTTCCGTCAGATAAATGTCCGGCAACTCGGACTCGCCCATCAGACGGGGAAGGGGACGACCAGGCCCATACTGATCGTTCTTGAGTCGCTCCTGGTCGATGCGCTGGAACAGCGCCAGCTCATCTTCGGAGCGAGCCATGATCTCGTTGAGATCATCATCATCCATTTCGTCCTGCTCGCCGAGCTGATCGGCTGCCTCGGCACTCTCCAGGAGAGTTCGCAGAAGAGCATCACGCTCTTCGTTGGTCGATTTGTTGTCGAACTTTCCTGCCTGGATGACCTTACCGTCCATGTCGAGCTTGAACTGGGCACGCTCCAGGATCTTCTCCTCAACAGAGTTAGAACTGATCAGACGGAGAATGCGCACTTCATTCTTCTGACCGATACGATGCGCACGGTCCTGGGCCTGCAGATCCTGGTGAGGGTTCCAGTCCGAGTCATAAATAATGACAGTGTCTGCAGTCTGCAGATTAAGACCCAAACCTCCGGCACGAGTAGAAAGAAGGAAACAGAAGTAGTCGGAGTTCGGTGCGTTGAAGATCTTCAGCAAGTCTGACCGATCGTCCGACTTTGTAGAACCATCAAGACGCAAATACTTCATGCCACGGAGTCTGAGGAAATCTTCCATGATATTCATAATCTGCGTCATCTGGAAGAACATCAACACACGATGCCCCGAAGCCCGGAACTTGGGAAGGATCCTGTCGAGAAGCTCAAACTTTCCTGCCGTTCGCCACAGCAGATCATTGGTACCACGACCAGGGTTCATCTGATCTTCAACGGGCTCGAACACGAAGGGATGGTTGCAGAGCTTTCGAAGCTGCATCAGCATGTTGCTGAGACCACGCATACCGGTCTTTCCTCCCTTGCCATCGCTGACAACCATCTTGTTGTGGGTGACAAGCTGCTTGTACAACTTGGCCTGCAAGGCAGAGAAACGGCATTTGATGACACGCTCCTGCTTGTCCGGCAGATCTTTCTCGACATCCTTCTTGAGACGTCTCAGCAAGAATGGCCGAAGAACCTTGTGCAGACGCCGGATGACCAGCAGCTGCTCTTCTTCGCTAAGTTCCATCCGATCTTGGCCTCCGGTGTTGGCGAATGGAGTATTGAACCACTCGTCAAACGACTTCACGGACTTGAAGATGTTCGGCAGGACGAAGTTCAACAGGGCCCAGAGTTCAGGCAGGTTGTTCTGCAGAGGAGTTCCGGTCAAGATCAACCGATAGCGGCTGGTGTAATATTGAGTCAAGGTGCTGCTGAGCTTGGATTGGGCGTTCTTCATACGATGTCCTTCATCGACGATCATATGGTTCCATTTCACCTTGCTCAGAACAGGTCTGTCCTTGATGATGTATTCATAAGTGGTCAGAAGCACCTGAAAGTTGCCCCAGCGAATGGCCTGCTGTTGCTGCTTTCGTGTATTGGGAGGTCCCTTATATACGATCCTCGCCACAGATGGGGCCCACTTCTCGAACTCCAAATTCCAGTTGGTGAGCGTACTGAGAGGTACAATAACCAAAAATGGACCGTTCTGCTTCTTGAATTCGATAAGGTAAGTGATCAAACTGATCGTTTGGATGGTTTTTCCAAGACCCATTTCATCTGCCAGAATACCGTTGAGGTTGTTGTTGTAAAGAGAGATCATCCACTGCAGACCCTTGAGCTGGTACTCCTTGAGCGTACCACCAACCAAGATAGAAGGCTGCACCGTGACTTCTTCTTTGATGCGGTGAGCAACAGCGTAGTAATCGATCTTCTTGCCACCCTCTTCTTCATCAGTTTCGTCTTCGCCTTCTTCTTCGTAGAACTGGTCTTCTTCGCCGAACCGCTCGGCCACGCTGCGCTGCTGCTCCCTGACGGAAGCGGCGAGCTGCTTGAGGAAACCATCGGTCTGCTTGAGCAAGTGTGAGATACGGGAGTCCTTGGCCTGGCCCAGCAGCTTCATATAAGTCTCCTCGTCGTTGGCCTTCAGCGCCTGAAGACGTTGCTTGGCAGTACGCTCCACACGCTTCTGCTCCTCACGCTCCATGTGCTGGTGGTGCTGAAGCATCATGCGTCCGAGCTTCTGCATGCGGGCGCGCTGCTGGTTGGCTGCATTTTGCACCTCGTGGCTGTGGTTCACGATAGCTTGCAATTGATCGTACTGCTTCTTCTTCTCGCGCGTCTCGCGAGCGTCCCGCTGTTGCTTCTCGAGCTTCTCGGTAATTCTTGCCTCCCGCAGAGACTGCTTCTTCATGCGGCGGTGGCTGGAGCGGTTCGCGGTCATGCCAAGATTGTCGAAATGGAACATCTCATTCTGGATCTGCTTACGGAAGGCTCTTTGCTTGGGGAGCAGATTGAGCATCTTGTACTCAATCAAGGCCTTCAACTTGAGAGAATCATCTCCGGTAGGAGTCTCACTCTTGCTCGCATCCCAAACTCCTAAGTTAGCTGGCAGCTGGGCCAGCTCGGCCTTGCGAGCAGTGATCCTGTTATATAGAGCCATTTCCCTGTCTTCTCGTACCTGCTCGAGGTCGATGCCCATGGGCATCAAGCTAGGGATGTATGGTCGATTGGTACGAATGGAGTGATCCGCATAGTTGATCGAGCTCGGAAAAAGTTCGTAGGGAGACTCAAAGCTCTCGTACCAGCTCTTCGGCTGCTCGACCTTCTCTGCGCTATCAGCAGCCTGTTCACTGCGACCGCGGGAGGCATTCTCCAGCACAGATTCTGCGGCAGCTAGATTATCAGCGGGAGTGGAAGGCTGACGTTTCTTGGAGGCAAAGAGCTGCTGTTGGAGAGACGGCGGGATGGCAACGTTCTTCGTCAGCATCTTGAATGCAACAATCTGGTTTCGGAGTCTAGCCAGCTGGTCCGGGGAGAAGCTTCCATTCGCAGCTGGAGCACCCTTCTGCGCGGAAGCGGCAGTCTGCCCTGAGGGTTGAGACTGGCCACCTGCAGCGGTAGCATTCGACTCTTGTCCGCCAGTAGACGAAGCAACGGATCCATTGCGGGCTAAATGGAGCGCGACGAGTTAGTAACAATAATATGGGAGACGTCCTTGGAAGAACCGATAAAACTCACCATGAACGCCGTTGGGGGTACCGTCCTGGCCAGCACCGTTCACCTGCTGCAGGTGCTGCTGACGTTGCTGCGCCTGAAGTTGCTGCTGCGCGAACTGTCTCTGCTTGTTGTAAACCGTCTGGCGTTGCACAGCAGTGAGGAGATTGTGAGCCTTCAGGTACTCGGGGTCATCATGGCGGACACCCTGTTCTTGCATCTGCCGAAATTTCTGCAGTGAGGTTAGCGCGATCCATGGGAGGTGGTCTCAATGATCTCATTGTTGTTGAAAGTGGCCCGCTGAGTGTTGGTATGGTGTGTTCTTTTCAGATGGGAAAAGCGCCTGTTGCGACATCTTCTGAGGGCAAGAAGCGCGGTCCTGGTGGCCGGGAAACAGAGAGAAGACTCACCTGATAGACCTCCTGGACGTGTTGCTGGGTCAGGTTCGGGGGCAAACTCATGTTACCAGCGCCCATATTGGGCACTGACTGGATAGAAGCCATGGTCTAGCGCGTCTGGCCGTCAGTCATGAGCAGGCGGACGCCTGTACTGTCGAAGAAGCAGCGGCAAGAGTGACCGCGCCAGGTGAAGGAAAACGCGTGGAAAGGACCGTCAGCGGCAGCGGAGGACAAGTCGCGCCTGTCCAGCGATGTTACGCGTGGCTTTGTTGCTATGGCGGGGCGGCGGGCTCCGTTTGACGATGAATGCGACAAGCAGAGGTTGATATCTGGATGCTTGGCGGATGGAGTCTCGTTGTTGCCCGGTCGGCAGAGGAACTCACGGCGCCCGGGAAGGAAGGGGAGGAGCGGCCAAGGAGAGGAGAGGCGCAATGGCAGGGACCAAATGCGCCCTACAATGAAGGGTCGCGTTGGGGAAGCGCGTTGAAGCCTTGGACGGATGAACTGGGGATGGAGGGGGGGGGTGGCCGTCGCGACAAGTTCCGTCCTGGTCGGATGAACTTGGCTGTGCTCAGCCTGTGCCTGTGAACGAGAGGAGGCAGGCGGCGAGACGTTGAAAGAAGATTTCGCACTAGGCACGTGAGCAGCCTGCTGACTCAGCTGCCTGTCGCCGCATTGGGCTTGGCCGGGCAGAGTCGATCCCACTGGGGATTTCTACAGTCTATCTGGATTCTACAGGGTGTGAGGTCGATGTGAGCGTGAGCTTTGACGCAAGCCGGACGCTGAGGACTCGACGTTTGTTTATCCTTTCTCCTAGCGACTTGTCGCCGTCACGGGTTATGCTCCAGGCGGTCTGGGGCTCTGCATTTGGGCCGATAGTCTCGATCTTCGATCGCCCACGCGGGTCCTTCGGGTAGCGTCTCTGGGGAGTCGACTAGGACATTCCTCCACGTCAGAACGGTTCATGGTTGATAGAACGAGTGTTGCAGCAGTTATTGCAGGTTAATATTACCCGCGAAAAGTGGCCCCTACTCTGTCCACTAGCTCGTTCAAAAAAAAAAAAAAGTCCTCAGATGAAGGTGTTTGTGCAATATGCAATATCCCCCGACTCGAGTGAGTTGAGTCATTGTTAAAATGCTTAGGAATACCAATTATTACTATCCTTGGTTCGCAAATCGGCTCACGGCCCTTTTTAATCCTGTTCCTATAAATATCTAATTACTGATCCTACCCCTCCAGCAGAAAAGAGATTTACAGCAGTCCACACAAAAGACATTATTGCCCTGTGGGTTTGACACCTCCTCAGAGGTCAATATCACTATTCTTCACCACGAACAGGAGAGCTGATGAGCGGAGGAAAGACGAAGAAAATTACCAAGACCCTAAATAGAATCCACCATCGTGTATCTATGAACTCCCAAACTCCACGCATTATTTCCATCCGATGAGTTATCCAAACTAGTAGGCGCCAGCACCAACAAGGTTTCTCTTCATGGGTGGCGGTGGTGGCGGAGGCTTCTTTGCACGGGAAGGCGGCGGTGGAGGTGGTCCCTTCTTAATGATGCCAGCGCCGTTCAACGTCGTAGAGCTGGGATTGCGAGACATGACGCTTCCATGTGATGCGGCTGGGGAGGTAGACAGAGGGCTCGTGGTACTGTACGAGCCAGCCTCGTCTGCCGAATCCGCGTAGGGATCAACATAGACCTTGCTAACGGGGCGCAGCGAGGAGCGGGTTGAGCGGATGGCTGTGTTGTCGTTGATTACCCGGGACATCCGAGCAGGCGACTGATCTCCCTGCAGCTGTGTGGGCCCTTCGAAAGAAGGCGTGGAAGAGTAAACAGGCCTCTGGTATGCGTAGTCGGTCGAGTAAGAGTCATTGGGCGATTCCATCACGCTGTTGGAAGATGGCGTTCCCATCGATCTGAGAGACGGACGGTGTGTCTGGAGCACAGGTTCCTCTTCCACCGGTTCATACCTTTCCTGGTACGAATGCGCTGTATTCGCGCGCGGGCGTCCAGGGCGACGGCCTCCGGGGTTTGGTGCTCGACCTTGTTGACTATTTGGAAGTCAGCATTATTATAGAACGCCTTGTAGAGATAAAACTGCACTTACCTAGCCGGCCAATCGTTCCGCAGTTGCAGGAGCGCTTCGCGACACCGCTCATGGTACTCCAGCTCAGCATCCATGAATGCGGTGAGGTCTGCCACGCTCTCGGGCTCGGATTCTTTGATGTCCAGCATTCTGCGATAGACATCATCGCTGGCTTCTTCATATTTAACCTTCTGTGTACGCAGTTCTTCCTCGACGCGGAAGTCCTCTTTCTTCGCCTTCTGCATCTTCGCGAGGGAGGCGTCGTACGCCAGTCGCCGTGTGTCAAGCTTCTTACGAGCATTCTGTATTTCCCGAATCTGTCAGTCCCCAGACCCAGAGTAATCAAACTTCATCGACGTCACATACATGGTACTCTTTCATCTGTGTCAGTGACCGTTCCAACGACTCCAGCCAGGTGGATGTGGCCTGCGCAATGTAGCTCTCCTCGATACGGGCTATCCGTTCCTGTGTCCGTCCGAACACTAGATAAGAACTTTGTCAGAATCACGGGTTCATGAGAAGGGAGCTTATGGTGAGTCGTTAAGATTCTTACAGCTCAAGCACTGTCCAAACTCCGAGTACATGTCAAAGTCGCCTCCATGGGCGACCATACTGCCACCCATATATCCGATAGGCAAGTTTCTCTCCTTGTCATCGCCTTCGCTTCGTTTCGAGATAGCTTTGATATAGACGGTCATGGCCTTGTGCATGCGCTCCAATCCTTTTCTGAGTGTCAGCGCTGTAGACCCCCAGGCGTATTCAATATGCGCCCTCATACCTTCTTGTCTCACAGCCATTTCTGTCTCGAGAGCTTTGAAATCATCCGAGAGGTTGGTCTTAGCCTCTCCGCCCATCTTCTCGCCCGCCCATTGCTTGAAGCGGTCCAACTTCTTGTTGACAATCATTGTGTATGGCTGGTGTTATGGAATCGCCCTCTAGCGGCACTGATGAGGAACGCAGTCGCAATGGGCAATCGTAGAATCAAGCGATGCGAAACGTCTGTCGAGAATACACTTGTTCAGGCCAAGTGAAAATAATAATAATAATACTGCTTCAATCTGTCCAGTTGGCTTTAGGGAAGACCAGGTGTCGCGTGGTTGCGAGATCTGGCAGTATGGCTGCTTCAAGCAGCGCAAACGAGCGGTATTGGTTGGTTGGATGGATGAGTGAGGAATGTCTTAGTGATGGGACAATGAGAGTCTAAACAATCTCATTACCATCAACAAAAAATATTTATGGGATCCAAGAGACTGAGAGAGCGACAATAGCTCGCGACAAAAGACTACGCTAGCATTCAGAGGGAGTATCCGCAGGTTTAATAAGTGGCTGTGGTTCCCTTGGGGATTTGGCTTTGACTTCGAGGAATGGCACGCAACCGAGACAAGACGACATCCCCAATCAGGAGCTGTCGCGATCATGATGTGCACCCGGGCCTGGAAGGATACGACGCTTGGGGAGGTGCGCCACACGGGACACAGAGCGATCTTTCCTGCCAGCAGGAATCCCCCTTCTTCCCTGCCAAGCGGATGGCCGTGGGGTTTTTACTCCCTGTCGGAAGAGCTGGAGAAAGAGGGCGCGTGCTGGCATTGCTGAGCAGCTCGTTCGATGGAGGTGGGGTGACGAAGATGAGGATAGATAGCGCCTGTACCTGAAACCCGACAGAGGATGTTAGCCAACCGTCGCAGACTCTAATCATCATTTAATCAACCGCCACCAGAATGATCCCAACCGGGCAAAAGAAAGACGTTGACACGCGTTCATGGGCCGTCGGTGGACCCTGGCTCCAATGTTCCCCCCAAGAAGCCTCTGGAGGTCTCTCTCTCTTACCACGGATCGCCAGCTATTTACAGAAACCGCTAATGGTGCTAGTTGAATGGTTATCCAAACTCCAGAGGGCCCTGAACTTCTGAAGTTTTAACTCCATTCAACTTTGTGAGACTCGACTCGGCGCCTTCTGAAACAGCATGTGTGCGTGGGAATTTAGAGCCAACGGGCGCTAACATCTTATCGAAAACCTAAGGCTGTTGTTGGTGCCGTAGAACCTTCAGAACCGGCCGATTTTAGAACGTCTGGGTCTCGCAGAAGTTCAGAACTCCCACTGATACACTGCGGAGGCCATCCATGCATGCACAGCCCCCCAGGTGCAGATCGAGCAGTGGATTAGTCTAAGGAGAAATCTACTCCGTATGTGAGCAGGCCTACTAGGCCATGATGAAGGGTAAGATCGGGTCCAGAATCCAGATACTCTAGGCCTAGGGTGGTGGCTATCCGTACCATATGCACACGAACACACACCGCATGGTCCTCGTTAAGTCGCACAAATACCGTATATAGACCAGCTTAACTATTGTTTTCGAACATAATCGATATTACTCTGTAGAGGAATAATATGTATTAGTATCCAGAGGTCCGGGTCCCTTCTCAACAGGATGAACTCGACTGCGACAGGGATTACGCAGGCCGGTGGGAGATCTGGCCGATCGTCGAGAATCCCTTGTGTCATCTCGGGGAAATTGAAGGTCCAGCAACGTACGGAGTATCTAGATAGATCGTGCGCAAATCATGTCTGATACATCGAGTCTTCTAAAAACTCGAATATATCTAGCTCCTGCCGTGATCCTACCGCACTAACAGCATCACCGGAATGGCTGACAGATTCCGCGGCAGGACAGTTGCTGCCCGTTCCAACGATCATCTGGGTTGTCTCAGGAATGTCTATGACAGGCGGCCACAGACCGTTTAGGAAGTCCCATCCTAATCTGGAGTCCTCCGCACTCATGATGGAATCAAAGTCAAACATGTTCCAATCTATCTCATTATCGAGGGTCACATCCGTCCCGTGGCCCACGTTATGAACAAGATCAATCCCTTCGCCATTATTCTCTAATGGACGAACCCTGCCGTGGTCATTACTCATCATTTCAGTCCCTGGCGGCTCCTTCTCGACTCGAGTATATCTTTTGTGGATATTCATCGCGTACTGACCAGGAGTGACGCCAACATACTTCTTGAACACGCGGTGAAAGTGACTAGGAGAAAGCTTAGCCTCCGCTGCCAGTTTGCAGAGCGTCAGCTTCTCCCCTGAGTCGCACGTGGAGGAAATCGTCTCACACGCCTTCTGCACAGACATAATGTGTGGGTCAACGCGCACATGGAGTTGCGGACAGCACCGTTTACACGGTCTGTAGCCAGCCGCCTCAGCCTGTATGGGAGAATCGTAGAACTCGACGTTGGCTCGACGGGCCAGCCGTGCAGGACAGGATGGTCGACAGTAGATACGAGTCGTGCGAACGCCGTAGACAAAGGTGTGCACGGTGCTGTCTCGATTGACAATAGCCTGCCAGCGCGCTGAGGCTGTGGATGGTGAATGGGCAGATAGGCGGGGCAGCCGTGGAAGAGGTGCCTTTTCAACACCTGCGGTCTTCATTGTGAATCATGTTCAGATAATCCTTCTTTTCTTGAATCGAATAATCGAGAAAAGAGATATCAACCGCTGGCAAGAAGAGATAACAGACGTCTCGCGATACATGATTCCTGCACGACGCCTCCGTAGCGCTAATCCCCATTTGAGAACTCTGATTGGTCACTTTGGCGGCAAGATCGATTGAGCGTTGAACGCATGGATCAGTGGCACTCAATGGCAAGGTCGCTTTCCTTCGTGCAGGTATTATCATCTTGATCTAGTGATTTCTACTTGTTTTGTTGATTAGACTTGGTGGGATGATGGAACTCTGATCGTTATCGCGCGATGACGCTATACCAGCACATGCACTATATACATATATATATTCAAATGTGAGGGAAAGATTGACCTAAGTAATGCCAATAACAACCATGCAAGCAATACAGAAAACAATATCCAGCAGAAGAGAAAGAACATTATATCCAACAACAAACATTGATCCCAACCAAGTCTAGCACGTGAATGTTCCCGGACATGAGCCCTTTCGCAAGGGCAAGAATTTGACAATTGATAAATAGAACATCAAACATGTCTGCTCACAAAGCGTACGTCTAGGTGATCTGTCAATTGTCCGTTTCCAGCAGGTTTCTTGATATTATAATCATAGGGTAGAGCCTACTAAATAAGCAGACTCTTTGTATGCTATAGAGATAAATATATGTTCAACCCGAACTAGAAGCAAGCGAGCAATTCAAGATGGTTCGAATCAGACTGTACAATTCAGGATTCGACAAAACAAGCAATGGAGATTCGACCACCAAGAAAGACAAAATGCTAGTTGGTCAACCCCTAACCTGCATTACGCGATAGTAACCGCAGTAGCTCGCGTGTCTATGATTTCTACCACCAAAGCAATGTCACTCCGCACATTTGTAATCGATTGAACATATTGGACAGTACTATAGTCTATCAGCCTTTCTTCCCAAAGCTTCGTGATTGCTGAGTTGCTCAGCAATTCTGCGCTAACCACTATTCAGAGCCATAGATCGTCTCCAGGGCTATCGTCTCGGTCCCCCGAGTAGAACGAGGACTCAGCTGACATGGGTTCAAAAATAACCAATCAGAGGAATCTGCTGGCTATTGTCTTTAATATATCGCCGAGCGCTAGCGAAGGGATAAGTCTGTCGCCCATTGTTCCAATTGATTATCTCGTTGGATGGAAGGAATCACCGATTGAACATGTATATCAAAATCCTAAATCCCCTCACGAGGAAATCAAGCTCATTCGCTAACTGGATCAATTAGGTCCAGAGGGATGTTGCGACAGGTACAATATGCCAGGGATTTACAGCCGTTTTACATTGACCAACTCTAGCAGGATATGGAACACAAGCAGGAAGTTCCACTACCCATTGCGTCTATAATCGCTGCTACATTACCAATAACGGTGCCCCGGATAAGTCGTAAGCATCAAGAGATGCATTGTGACTAACAGCGTGCCACGTTCTGCGTGAAGGAGGCCTCGACCGAGTCGTTGGCGAGAATCAGAACAAAGAGGAATCGACGAGACCGATCCAGCCGATCCAGAGAAGAATGGGATCAATACCTTGGTGAAACGAATTCGTGACGAATAACCGACTTTATCATTGACATTGATGAAAAATTTTTAGCCACATATTTGATTGCTCACTAAGGACGCGTGGGTAGCTGTCCACAGTCGCCTAAGTACATATGCTTCGTAGCAGAAGAGCATTTTCAACCCGTCACAAAACAAACTCCACACCATATCAGGTTTAATCCTTGGTCTTCTGGGTACCACGGAGCAGACCGGTTCTCCGGGCAGCGATAAGACCGGCCTTTTGACCGTGGGCGGCGTAGCGGGAGATGGTCGAGGCCTTACCAATGTGCTGGTGGTTACCACCACCGTGAGGCTGTAAAAGAAAAGGTGGTTAGATACCCATAGCCTGCCTGAAAGGGAATCGAGGAAACTTACGTGATCGACGGGGTTCATGGCAACACCACGAGTCTTGGGCCAGCTGTTGCGCTTGACAGCGAACTTGTGCTTGGCACGAGAGGCCTCTGTCAACGGATATTAGTCCCAATCCCACTGCCATTTTTCCTTATAACATAGGGAGAAAAACGTACTCAGCAGAGGCTTGTCGGTACGACCACCACCAGCAACGATACCGATCATACCACGAGCATCGCTCTTGATGACCTTCTTGGCACCAGAAGGAAGCTTGACACGGGTCTTGCCATCCTCAGGGTTGTGACCAATGACGGTAACGTAGTTACCAGAGGTACGGCCGAGAGCACCTCGGTCACCGACCTTCTCCTCGACGTTGGTGACGACGGTACCCTCAGGAACGGAGCCCAGGGGCAGGATGTTGCCGACGGTGAGAGCGGCGTTCTTTCCGGCGTAGACGAACTGACCGGTGTACATGCCCTCGTTGGCGATGAAAGTCTCGGTGACATCCTTGTACTTGTAAGGGCTGCGGAAGGAGACCTTGGCGAGAGGAGCACCACGGCCGGGGTCGTGGATGATCTCTCTCACGATGCCGCGAATGTATCCATGTCGCTCAGCGTAGTCGAGGGTACGGAACTGAGCTGGCGCCTTGTTGAGACGGGTGTGGGCCGCTGAAAAGCAGATTCATCAGTATTCCTCGATCTGGGATCAATTTTCGAGATTGCTGCTGCGGTCGAACTCACTGAAAATGGATCCACGACCCTTCCTCTGGTTGCGGATCACGCGACCCATGGCGGCTGTCTATATGGTGTCCTGGTGGTTAGTATCGAACGTCAACCGCCGACGAGGTTGGAGAAGAATTGAAGTGCTCGTACCTGAAATTGAAGATGGTCTGGTCGGTTGGAGTTGTGAATTCGCGACGAAAAGGGCTGTGTGGGCTTTAGGGTGGGATCGCTAATCTAGCCGAGTTGGCGCTAGCGCGGGTTGCCGTTTCCCGCGCGGCTCCTTTGGGCGTACGCGAAGTCACGACCAGCCGCCGCCGGACCTCGCGCGTTAAGTATGTCTATCGTCTTGGTGATGCATCGTTGCTGATTGCTCTTGTCCACGGGCTGTTGGACTTGGCCTTGGGATTCTGCGATTAATTCACTGTTCACAATAGGTTTTGTGGGTCATGAATACTGAATGTCTAGTTACGGTCATCATGACTCGAACGATTCTATTCGGATTGTTTCATGATTTCTGATGGCATCCCCAGTGCCCTTGGTGGGGGTTGAATGACTCGTCTATAAGTTTTGTTATCAATATAGGAAGGCGTTATCATTCACAGGGCCGGTCCGGAAGAAACAAAGTGAATCTACTGCTGTCCGCTTCCACCAAGCCATTATTCCCATGAGAACTCTTCTGCAGTCTTCTTTCATCACTTTTCTTCTACAGGCAACAGTATCTTTACGTATATTACTCTTATATCAGGACTCTCATTGAATCTTCATTTCCAGGCATCACCATGACGTCGACGAAGCGAGAAAACCCTGGAAAGGGGAAAGTAGCTGCAAAATATTGTCGGATGAACAAAATGCAGTAAGGCTTATTATCGCTTCCATTTCAAAATTTCAGTTGACTGATATAAAGAACTGGACAGGCATTGTTATAAAGCACATATGCGTTATACAACAGGAAGACGAGACAAACCTTCAGGCCTTTCTAATTGGAGACCTGTTTACTGAAATGGAGCCATCCCTGAGGAGAGTGAGAAATCAGAAAGGCCTCGATTCCCTTTCGTACCTTGATTCTTTACATGCCGATGCAATGCTCGTTCGTTCAATAGAGCTACTTAACCTCAATATTGACCAAGATGCCACTTTGGAAGAAAGAGTGGAACGGAATCAACTGGTACATGGAGCCAATATATTTCGGGATCTGGAAGCTCTTAATTACTACAAAATTCGAGATCCTCCAAGAGTCTATCGAATGCAGAATTGTTTCGAGGTCGGATATGAAATATCGCCGAGTATATTCGACCAAGAAATCGGAAAAGTTCCTGAAACAGTGATTTTCTCTCTAAACCTCAAGAGGGACTTGAAGTGTCTTCGCGTCTGGGCCAGAGTAAGGAACCATTATCCGAAAGTCAAGACAGCCATGATTGAACTGTGCAATCTCATTATTGAAGCCTGGCAAGAGTCTATCCATCAAGGCCATGCTTATCCCGAGGATGAGATGAATCAGGTGTTCCAGATGCTACATGATTTGTATGCGAAGTGGATTTGAGAAAATGTTTGTGGTTGAGCTAACTTAGGGGTCCCTATGCCTTTCTCTTCCTTGGTTCCGCCTTTCAGCTGCTGTCGCGCTGACCATTTAATCCAGGGCCGTTGGAGCTCCTCTGTGTAGAGGATAGTTTCATTAGGCTTCCTGCGCATTCGTCAAGGAAGCCACAAAAATTTGTGAATTACTCTGTTTTTGCTTCGCGCTGCATGGGTTCTGGCTGCTACGCTGTTCTTCCTTGTCGCTCTCGCTGCCCAATTGACCATTATTCCTGTGCTAGATCCAGAGATGGAGGTTTATGCGGGCATATATGGTGGTTTAGATAGATTGAATGAGAAGTCCCATAGTATCTTGGCGCCGATCATGTCGTAGTATGTCATTGCTTCCTGTAGACAAGCCACGCGCGTGATAGCCGCGCTTATTGTAGCATCAGTGCTCCAGACTTCCTGCCGTGCGGGCTCGCCCAACTTCCTCCGCAGCAACATCATCACCATATAACCAACCACCATGACTGAGATGTCACTTTCAGACTCGGATCTATCCTCGCTGTCATCAGCACCGCCGACAGACGATGAGTCCATCTTCCAAGCTGTGGAACAGCCTGTTGGCATCCAGAAGTACTTCAAGAAGGGTCCGTCTCCAGAATCTCCGCCGCCGCCCAAACGCCCTGCTTCACCACCGCACGAATATGTTCTGGCAGACAATCCAGATATCGCCGTGAGTATTAGGTATCCAATGTGCTCTCACTGCGCTGTTTGGAGCTTTTCGACGCGCAGCTGAGTCCTTTCACGCGCTTGCTTACCCGTCGCATTTTCCGCAGTTCATCGTCATGTTCCGCGCGCGTTTCCACGACGTGTTCCCTCGATCACTACCACACTACGGTCCTCAGGATATTGAGAGAGGTGTCGCAGATATAACACCTGGAGATCACATAGAGAGGTTACTTTGCGCATTACTGGGCTTGGTGTTGAACAGGAAGAAAGATGTTGAGTATGGTCGCCACCTTTCCTTCAGCAACCAGCATTCACCGGCGGGGGAGAATTCGAGCTTCTCACGGCTTCATCCGAAGCATTAAGATGCAGAAGTGAGCTAATATGTTTTTGCAACGCGCAGGAGAGGCCATTTCCAGCGTGCCCTTGAGGAAGCAGTTCAAACTCATGTCTCTCAGTGGCCGCGGGCGTGGGAAGGAAAGAACCCCCTTCATGGCGGGCGCACTTTTGCGACCATGTCCCCAGAAGAACGTGTACGCTGCCCACCATCTCCCATCCGAAAATACCGCACGCTCTAATGATTACTAGTTGCGATTGTTGAAGACCCTAATTCTCTGGTCTTTGTCATCCTCTGATGCGGTTCAGGCTAAAATCAAGGAATCATACAAGCAGTCGCGTCGTGACGATGACTTGAACCAGCCCTTGTCTGTCCAGCCTTGGGGAAGCGATGATCTCAAGAGGCGGTATTGGCTTATAGAAGGTCTTGACGACACCCATTTTAGACTATATAGGGAGAGCAATCCGGCGCTGAAGACCAACACCTGGTGGAGTGTCGCGGGCACCATCGACGAATTGAAGGCAGTGGCGGATAAACTAGAGAAAGACAGATCTCAACAATCAAAAAGGCTGAGTGAGAAGATCAGACTTGCTATACCCCGTTTTGAAGGTTCTGAAGAGGTAAGATGGTTCGTCTCGCAATTGTTATCCTTTACTGAGACAATGGGTCTAGAAACGCAGACGCCGCGACTATCGCCTGGCCCGGAAAGCTGCTTTCTCTCGGCCAGAGCCTGGTTTCTCCCTCTACGAGGGCCGCACTCGTGGAAAAAGATTGAAGTACACCTACTCTGATGATGAGGACATTTTCTCAGATGGTCTCCCTCCAAGCACGCGCCGGTCAACGCGGAACGCTTCGGGGGTGTCTACGCCCGGTGAACCTGCAGGACCGACATTCACGGCGAGCGGGCGACAAGTACGCACTCGAGCTGGAGGCATCTACGGCGAATCTATGTTGAGCGGGCAACGCCGTGACGATGACGCCTCTGCCGCGCAAAACAGCAGTGAGACTGGTAGACGTACTCGTAACGGTTGGTCTTCTAGAGCAAACCGGTATGGAGACTCCGATGACGAGATGGACGAGGGGTCAGACGGCGCATCGAGCGGCAACGAATGGCAAGGCGGGGACGACGAAGAAGAAGAGGACCATGAGTTCGACGGTGACGATGAAAATCTCAGTCAGGATGAATTGGCGAACGGTGAAGAAAACCCAAGTCTCGTGGTGCAGCTCAGATACGGCAAGGGGAAGAAGCTAAGCAGCCCCGGACTGGAAAACGGCACGACGCAGACTCCTTCTGAGAATGCTGCTGCCAACGAGGCTACGCAGGTCGAGCCTCAAAAGATCCCACAGGAGACTACCCCCAAGAATCTGCAAGAGCAAGAAGTCAAGCCAGCAATGCCTGCTGGAGAGCCGCTTGTCAAAGAACAGCCTCAGGCTAACGAAGAGAAGCCTTCTGAGGCGAGGCCGGCTGAAGAAGCTCATGCACAAATCCCTTTAGCACCATCTACAACTTAAAAGACCATGGGAGCAGGCGTTCTGGTGGCGAGGAGTAACTTTGTTAGGAGATTCGTTAAGAAACAATTACAGAGTCTTCGAGTAGAAGAACAGGCTATTGCTAGATAGAATGGGGAGAGGTATCGATAAAAGCTAATCGACAATATTTCCTTGACCGTACACTTCTTCAATGAACGATGTCTTGATGTTAATTGCACGCTTCTCCTTGGTGAGCCGTATTTTTGAAACGTGCTCTTCATAATTCTTTAAGAGGAAGTCTCCACCAATCAAATCGGTGCTATGGTCTAGGAGCAGGACGCCACGTTGTGGATGCACAGTTAACAAATCCATTGGCTTCTTGGCCTTTGGAAAAGGAGACTGTTAAACCAACTTCCGTGTCAGCCCCGGTGCGAATCCGGGTAGCGCCACATTTCTTTTTTTCTTTTTTCTTTTTTTTTTTTTGGCAGAATCCTTTTCGTGTATCAGGTTTAATTCTTGAAATAAAACAATGGAGTTAATAAATGTTTTCTTCCCTAGCATTTATTTATAGACAATATAAATGCAAGAATTAGGTTTGAATCTGTGCTACAATGTATGTATATTGTAGGTTATTATTGTCTGTGGGAGCCTCTTTTGCGGCATTACATGGATCTTGAGACCAGTAGAAATAGCAGGATTATTGTTATGCAGTGGACTAGGAAAATAGAGAAGGAAGGGAAAAAAAGAAAAAAAAAAAAGATAAGTCTCGAACATTTAGATCTATTGCCTTGTTAAGTTACCAAATGGTATATCGAACCTGTAGCAGAGTATGCTATGTAGGTAACTTTTTGGCTTGTCTAAATGTAGACAGCGGAGGGATTCGAACGCGATTTTTATCTTTATACATGCACAATATCTAGATCCTGGAGATATAGTAAGTTCAATAGCAGAATAAGGAGGGGTTGTCTATCATGAACCAATGATTCTACCATTCTGGCAGCGAGTAGCTTCGCCTCTATCTGACTTGGAACCGACTGCAAGTGGGAATGAACTCGGTATGTCTTGTATCTCTTACATGTGATGACCTTTCAGCAGTCAGTAGTTTTTCTGAGTTCCGTTATAGGAAATTCATTTAACGAAGCGAATCCGATTTTATATTGTGTCCTTCTCTATCTTGAACCAGATACGCCCGATCCATCATTGCGAAGATAGATATAATCAACGATGACGTATAGGAATCCGTATAAGAAAGGAGTTTCATGATAGATCGGATTTCGCTTTCCACCGTATTCTTAAAGAATGATATTTATGAAATTCGCAAAATATCGCGCCACCAACTCCGAACATGCAAAACAGATATCTAAAAGCTCTTTCCCAGTTTAATGGCCCGAGGGCCTTGATTGCACGGGTATCCGGTGAACGGTTCAGTCCATGGTAGCATTCGAGAATTGGCTCACATAGTACTGCCAGTAGATTAGAGAACGTTAGAGATCCCCATATAAAACATTTTATTGGAATTCTTTTCAAATCCCGAATCCACACTCCTCCCGATAGCGACGGAGGGAAAGACTCACGTCTTGTACCTGACCGGCAAGCTTACGGTCCCTCAAGACATTGCGCGGGCGCGGCAGTTCCCAGTTATTGACTTCGTACCACCATCTGCGAAGCCTACTTCCAAGCGTGTGCCCCTGCAGGGAGGCACCGCGGTTCCAGTGTCGCCATCCGGCCAAAGCTAGTGTCCAGAGGGTGCCCTGCATCAAGGGGAGGATGACCTGCCATACACGCAGAGAACGTCAGTTGGAGCCCTCCCCTCAATCAATTCAGACAAATAATGTATGCATACCTGATCCCTGATCGTAATCCATGCAATTCGTCCCCAGGTGTCTGCGCCCCTAAGGCTGGCCAGATAGCTCTGCTCGAACCGCAAGTCCGGCAGCGGAGGCAAGTGATGCCGTCGCGTCAACGGCCTGATCACCCGGCTGGGATCAACAATATCTGAGGGTATACTTCCAGCTTCAGAGGGAGCTCTGGCGATCGGTATCCTTTCTGATGCTGCAGTTGGCGGATTGATATCGTGTGTCGGTGATGGGTCGTGCTTGATGGAGGCGGTTTGGATCGTCTCCGCGATCTCGATGGCTGGATTTGACATTGCGGCTATGTGTGAATGTATCTCTTCTGGGCGATTGCACTTAGAAACCCGGAAATAATTAAATCGAAAAGTTTTTGTGTGAGTTGTTGACAGTCGAGGACCAGCTCAGGTGAAGCTCGCAAGGTAGTCGGCGGAGAGGATATCAGCAACTGCCGGGATGCTTATGTGACCTCAGTACTTAAGTTAAGTAGAGATCCCCACCGCCCGCTCCCCTCTTTAATTCTCACCCCGCCAATTCTCACCATCACAGTCTACAAAAGCACTCTTTAAAATTAGGAGAAATGGCTGCCCCTGAAGGATACCCTCTTCTGTGTTTGGAGAACCCCCTCCTGGGTAATTGGACCCTTATGAGCCCTTAGATGTGGTACTGTCGGCTAACTATGATTTTCCGAATGAAGACATCCAGGCCGTGGGGTATGTTCACTTTTCTTCGATCTTGAATTGACATGAGCAATTCTCACTGACGGATTTCGATAGTGACGAAGCTCTCCTGAAGAAGTATGATGTGAAGGCAAACGATGCCATCCTCGCGGAGGAAAAGCACATGGGTCTCTATGAGGACCTTCTCCAGAACTACGATGCTAAGCTGATCGCTGGTGGTGCCGCTCAGAACACTGCCCGTGGAGCTCAGGTATATATTGCCCTGCGAGCATACATCTTGATCATTTGCGGTCTGAATCATCGAAGCTAATGCTTGCATTTGGCTAGTACGTCCTTCCTGAGAACTCCGTCCTTTACATCGGCTGTGTTGGCCGCGACAAGTACGCCGACATCCTCAGAGACGCCTGCAAGCAGGCTGGTGTCCACACTGAATACCGTGTCGACGACACCCAGCCTACTGGAAAGTGCGGTGCGATCATCACTGGCCACAACCGTAGCTTGGTCACCCACCTTGCTGCGGCCAACGAGTACAAGCTTGACCACCTGAAGCAGCCGCACATCTGGTCCCTGGTTGAGAAGGCCAAGGTCTACTATGTCGGTGGATTCCATCTGACTGTCTGTGTGCCTGCTATCCTGGCCCTTGCTGAAGAGGCAGCTGCCAAGAACAAGGTACGTGACCACATGAGAGTTGCAGAGCATTGAAATCGCAATGCTAACTACTAAACACATAGACGTTCATACTCTCCCTCTCCGCTCCGTTCATCCCCCAGTTCTTCAAGGACCAGCTTGACAGCGTTGTTCCCTACACCGACTACCTCATTGGCAATGAGACGGAGGCTCTCGCCTATGCTGAGTCTCACGGCTGGGGTATCACCGACATTGTCGAGATCGCCAAGAAGCTCGCTACCCTGCCAAAGAAGAACACCAACCGCCCTCGTGTTGCTATCGTCACCCAGGGCACACTACCCACGGTCGCTGCCGTTGCCAAGGAGAACGGTGAGATCGAGGTTAAGCAGTTCAGTGTGCGCGCGATCCCGAAGGACAAGATCAACGACACTAACGGTGCCGGGTAAGTCGACTGTTACAATTCAGACAGCAATATACCGTACTTTGGTACTGACTGCATCTTCTAGTGATGCCTTTGCTGGTGGTTTCGTTGCCGGTATCGTCGAGGGCAAGTCTCTCGAGGAGAGCATCGACATCGGCCAGTGGCTGGCCAGTCTGAGCATCCAGGAATTGGGACCCTCGTAAGTCACCTAAGGATCGATTTTTCTCGACATTCATTCGAACATTGGCTTACCTGTTATCCTAACGCAGGTTCCCCTTCCCCAAGCAGACCTACGTCCCTTCTAAGCAGTAGAGAAATCGCATTTTCTGCATCCATGTCCATGATCCGACCATTGGATCATCACTCCCATCTTCCCTCTTCCTACCTGCGAAACATTCCACAACCAAATTCAATTCAACCTGATGATTCAACCCATATACCCGCTCTAGTTTCCTTCCCCTCCAATCATCAACCGTCAACCGTGTAAAGAGAAAAGAAGAGATCTGACATCTTCCACGCAACGAATCCTGCGCTCCAGTGAAAGGTTTGTTGCATTTTTTCGCATTTTTCGCCATCAATTCATCGTTCCTCGGCGGGGAGAAATGATATCATGATAGAGGACCAGGAAACGTTTTCAACAACGATTTAAAAAGAATCTCTCTTACTCCTAGAAAAAGAAATTTATGAAATGGATGAATTTATTTCATGTTAGCTATATTTCTTAATTTAAGAATTTCGTATAGGACATGATGTGTAACACAAAAAAAAAAGAGCTATGATTCATTGGTTGAACTAGAATTCGGGATTCGGAGGGACACGGAGACAATGCGCTTGTCGAATAAATTGGATTATTTCTAAGCTAGTACACTGCTTGCTTCTCTTCTCCCGGGCGGTAGAAAATCGGCAAGACCGAATCAAAATGGGCGCCCTCCCTAAGCTATCATCAAGACGAGCAAGTGCATGATATGTCAAGATGGGACTGTTTCCCTCCTAACTTGTGAGTGTCCCGCGGGGGTCGATGCAATCATGTAATGCTCTCCTCAGTGTCGGTGATGCAGGGAACCCAACTGATGTTCAGGATAACCGTCCAATTTGGCCCAAAGGACGCAGGTGGAAAGTGCTATCTGTTTTAAGACAGCAAGATAGCTCATGCTACCTGATGCCTTGACTTTCGTTGCGCTGCCTTGCTCTTTGATGAGGTCCAATCTGCTAGCGATGCGTTTTAGGGTACATCGGTCATAGAGGACTCCCGTGAACCCGTGAGGAACAAGGTTGATATCATCCTCTTTGGTCAGATCTCACTTGCCGATTCTGCGTAGATCGCGTCCTTGTTGATCAACCACCTTGTCCGCACGGGGGTGTCTGGCCAATGGCGCCGAGCTGTGTTGTAGACTTGCGGCCACCACTCAAGGTGGAATTGGGGCAGTTCGAAGACGGAAGACTGCTTGCAATGAAAGCATTGTTCGCCCAAGAGGCACTCCCAAGACTGCTAGATACTTGTCGCGGGTGGAAGTTCGAGTCGTAGTATTGTCCACCTGCGGGGATCTCTTGACCCCAGGCTGCAGTCGCTGTGCGGGCTTGGAAGACAGCAGGATTCGGAGGCGTCCAGCTTGATTGGAAGGGGGAAGACCTGGGTGACGAATTGAAGAAATCCTGGCGCTGTAATAGCAGGTTGTTCCGGAATGCGATATCACTCGCGGTCGTTTCCTGTGATGGAATACTGAAACCATCACCAGTAGCCATCGGCGACTGTGACGGTTGCTGGCTGAGTCCAGGAGGACTGAGTTGGCGGGCAGTCGCCGGACGGGGCTGTGGTGATCGAGCCTCACCGGGTCTGGGGGCGAATGCAGAGTTCCAGATGCTCGGTAGCGGTGGGCCTGGGGTGTAAGATTGAGAGAGAGACAAAGATGTCGCGTTATGGGCGTTAGGCGGACCTAGCCCAGGAGGTGGCATAGTCACTCGGGGCACAGTATCTCTGTCCTCGGGAAATGGCGATACTGAATCAACTTCGAAAGTGTGACCAGGAGGAGTTGGGGGGCTGCCACCAAGGAAGGCTGGCAATTCGTCGACCACTGGTGGGTTCTCATAGGTGTCCGATTCGACCAACCGCTCTACCCCTTCGACTATGCAGTGCATATTTGCCAGGACCGATGCCGAAGCTGACTGCGAGCCTCCAAAAACACTTCTGGTTTCCGCAACGTAGGCAGGGTCTTGCTTCGCCTTTTGGATATCCTCCCGCTCAATACTGGTGGACGACAGGGTGTGCTGATGAGTTGGTGGTGCTGCAAAGAACTGGGAGGGCAACCCCTCCTCCTGATAGATGAATGTCTTCTTGTCCTTCTCGTCGACCAAGGCCACGGGAATTCTCTGCTATGTAATTAGCTGGTGCTATACAGTCATAACTGGAGTTCCTCTGAGACATACACCGCTAACCACGAGGTCAAGGCCGTCAATAACAAATTCTCTAATGCGATAGAGCATTTCGATGTTGGGATGGTTTCTCTCAATCCCCGGATCGGCCATGCGTGGCTTTTGCTGACAGTTTGCGTCGAGATACCTACGACTCGTGAATTCATTGTCCAATGGCTTGAAACCAAGAGTTTCCTCATCCTCCTCAAGGAGATAATCGACTTCCGGCAGGTTTATCAGGTCGAATGTCGACGCAAGAAGGGTTAACGTGTTGGCGTATATCTTCCAGAATTCCTTTATCTGAACAAACAGCGGTGATTCCTCCTTTTCGGCCACTAGCATATCGCTATTGGAAAGTAGCCAGGCACTATAATGACGAAGGGCGGGAAGAACACGTCGGCCAACGACAGTTACTTTGTCAGAACCGGTCTTATCAGGATCTTCGGCGAATCGTTCCAGTTCAGCCAGCAAAATTTGAAGGAGAGTAAAGAAAGTCTTCACATTGATACGCTGGAAGAACAATCGAGCAAAGTGTGTTTGTTCCTCTGAGGGTAATCAGCAATTAGACCAAGATACGTGCAACTAGGAGGATACGTGCAACTAGGATTCATACCCTTCGATCTCACTGTCGCGAAATATTCCGCGGCGATATTGACCAAACAAAACTTCTGTAGAGTGCCCTCGAGGGAGCGTTCCTTCAGATCAACAGCAAGCTGACTCAATACTTCATTTTCCAGCTCATCGTGTTCCGGAAAATCCTTTCCCTTATAGCACTGCGCATGGAGGTACACAAACCAAGGAGTCAAGGCCTTTCCTGGAACACCCGCATCTTCTGGTGGAATCAATTCTCTCTTGGCCCAGGCGTTCATGATTTTCCTGAATTCGATTTCCAAGTTTCCCTTAGAGGTAGGATAAGGTTCCGGTGCGGACAAAGCTCTATAGAGATGGTACATAGCTCGGAGATGATTGCCATCAGCAAGGGCAATAACGGCTAACTGGTTGTGCGAGGCCCCAGAGGCCGGGTTGATGACGCCTGCTAAATCATAGTAGCCGATTGCAGGACCCCAGTTCCGCCCTTTGGTCACAAGTTCGGTTTCACGGTAGCGAGAGAGATCCCCCAGACGGATGAGGGTTGCATGGCAGGAATGAAGAACGCGCTTGCGGAGATTGTTATCCGGCTGCACAGGGGACTGAGCCGAGAGTTCTAGTGAAAGATATTTAGACTGGTTACCAGGCCCCAACGCTGCGATGGATATATCCTTACGGTCAAAGCTGAATTTCTGCGCGATCTTCTCCAATTCCGGTACACCCCCGTAGTGCGACGCTAGACGTTGTATGTAACCTCGATAGAATCGCTGACTGGATTTGATAAAGTCGAGATAGTGTTTCTCGAGCTTGCGCTTCTCAACTGGTTTCTTCTTGCCGTTCTCTTCGCGGAACTGGGCATACATCAGAAAGACGCACTCATCGACATACTTCGACGGATCGCGTTAAACTCACACGAGCAAGCAGCTTGCGAAACCGGTTATTGATCTTAACATGCGCATCCCACAGATGACCCTCTACGTTGGCGGAACGGGCGGCCTCAAAGTCTCGAAAAATCGCATTCTGGCAAGAAGCTCGGAATCTGCGTCGGTCAGACCACATACGACCCAGAGCGGAATTGCGGGGAGATAATAGACCACTGACTCGGAGAGAAAATGTGTGATCTCAGCAAAGGTAGGCTCTTTCTCTGCCAGAGCTTTCAGAAGCTCCTTTTCCGAGTGGAGCGCAGTCCTGGTAATGACCCGATGGGATCAGCTCGTGGATTTCATATCGTCGTCGGACCGTCGTAGCCCAACAAAAAAAGTTATTGCGGCTTATACTCACTGCCACGCATTTTGAAACGCAGACGCCATGCTCAGAACCAACGCTCGTGCGCCCGCGACCCCGCAGTTGACCTCGCCGTCAGATAGCTATGGCTGGCTGGAAGTCTTCGGGCCACAGCAGCAGTGAACGATCCATCAGTAGTACCGAGTGTTAATGGCGGATCCGATACTGATTGAGGGAAGAGTGAGATCGCAGACCGGCGCGGGAAGACGACGATCTGGCTGCGAACTGAGGGGGAACTGAGGGGTCAACCACGAAAGAGGCGACCTTCCGCTCGTTCAGATGATGAGAAAGGAGAAAGGAAGAATGGAATGGAGATGACGGGGGACAATCGAGCCAAAAGTGATGGGGGAAGTCTGGAGATTAATTACCGGCCAACTGTGGCTGGTGCCGCCCCGGGAAGCTGGCTTTGTGGCTGGTGAGTGAGCAGCAATTGTAAATAGTCGAGTAGTCTACCGTAGTAGGAAGAACAAAAAGTAATTGAATTTAGCGGAGATTTTATTAGAACGTCTATGGCCTCTAACTCTATTCACTATTTCAGAGCCAGAACAACAATCGACATGTAGCTAGACGAGACATAGGTGTGAATCTCTTCAACGCGCAAGCCGGCACTATCGGCCACTGACTTCCACTGACGACCAGTCCGTTCTTTTCCACCGAGATTGATCATCATGGTGATATCTGCCATGGTTGCCTGCCAGTGGGCACCCGTGTCCGGCAAGACCACTTCATCGATCAGAATGCGAGAATCGGCAGACATGGCGTCGACTATGTTCTGGAGAATCTTTACGCATTCTTTGTCGGGCCAATCGTGTAGCACACGTCGCAGGTAGTAGAATTTGGCACCTACCGGTGTGTCGAAGATCAGTTTTATTTTCTTCCAGGGTCGAGCAAAGAAGAGACGGGAACACTAACCAGCAACAGGCTGCTTCTCGAAGAAGTTATGAGCCTCAGCCTTGACTCCCTCCATAGGAGAGAGTTCATTGATTGCTGCAGGTAGATCCTGAAGGACGAGACGTCCAAGGAGATTGGGGTATCTCTTTCCCAGCTGAATGCATTGATGCCCATGACCACCTCCAACATCCACGAAAAAGGGCTTCTCCGATGGCTGAGGAGATGTTGGAGACACCTTCTTTGCCTCGGATCCAAAGAGGTCAAATCCAACGGTCCAGTCAGCACTCTCAAAAGCGGCCATAACTTTCTGCATGGATTCAAACTGTTTCGGGTTCTGAACGAACCAGTCAAAGCAACTCAGCGTCGTATTATGGGCCTTCTGAAACGGAGTGTTGATGATGCTCTCAATGTCTTGGTATCCGTTTTCTGCAAAGAAATCTGGCATTGCCAGCACAGAGGGCGCATGGGCATCAAACCTAGATTGTGACTTGGTCAACTGCGCAGGCCAAACAAATGGAGTATGCTTCAAGAAGAGCTACTTACATATGATATACCATAGCCTCTCCTTTGGGATCAGCAAGAGTCTTCGTCGTGGTGTTTGCTTGGTATTCATCGACTCCGACTTCTTTGATAACGTTGATCGAAGCCAGATAGCGGAGCAATCTCTCTATTTAAAAACAATACATTTAGCCACATTACACTCTCGAAGAGAATATAGAACCAATAGCTCACCTAGAAGCTGGGAGGATGCACCGGTCATATCTGCGAGCCGAGCAACAGTCAAAGAGCCGTTATGAGACGCGAGATGGTGGAAGAGCTTGAGATCTGCTGCAAGACGATTCGTTCCAAGCATGAGATTCTAGCGTGGATTAATATCAGGAGAGACATTTTTTGAAGTCGAATAAACCAACAGCGTTTGCAAATTCAATCAAAATATCCTTCGGGCTCTGGATCTCCGTCTGAATATCTCGTAGAGCCTTCTGGATCTGAAGCAGGCCAACTTCGTCGGCATCCTTGGCCATAGTGCGGATTTGGGAGACGATTGAGTCCATTTTGAAATGCGAATTTAGACAGGATGATTGCTAAGAGCGAAAAAGTGCTTCCTGTTGCTGCTGGTGAAGAATATCATTTGATTCAGCTTGAATGGCTTGTTTCTTTATAGTTGCTGCCAGCCAGAGATACTCCGCGGAGATTCCGCGGACCAAAACGCCCTGTCATTGGTCGACATCGGCTTACTCCCATTTCACCATCTGTTGAAGATCCAAGTAGAGCAACTAACTTAGGAGTTCTCCTTTTTGGTCGACTGACAGAAAGCCATCACCATTCTATTCCCAATCGTGATGTAACAACTTGGAGTCTTACGCAACACAGTCCCTGGTAATCAGCATGGGTCGCGTCGAAAAGAATCGCACACGATCCTCTCGCTCGCGTCCTGTTTCGTGCCAGTCCTGCCGATCGCGCAAGTTAAGGTGCAGCCGACAGTTTCCTTGTGCCAATTGCACCAGTCGCGGGATTTCTTGCCAAATAGAAGGGCCTTCAACTCTATCCGTCAGCAGTATAGACGAAGCTGCCGACCCCCCTTCCGAACCATTCCAGGAGAATGTATTGGCTCGTTTGCGCAGGCTCGAGAGTATTGTGATAGGACAGGGTGGACATCCCCGTACTCCCCCGCCTCAGACAGGTTCGCGGCCAGGACCTCCCCGACCTCGAGGCAAAGGCGACTTGACTGCATCATTGACAGGAAGGTCTTCTGTCGTTGATGTGGACTGGCTTGAATCCCAGATATCACATCCAGGCTCCGCCGTAGGGCTATGCGTTGCGGAGTATGGTAAGAAATAGAACCCATAATTGTCAACAAATTCACTGAGCTGTACATGCTAGAGTTCAAAACATGCGCCATCAGAGACGCCATATCCTCACCATCCACGAGGAACACCAGCCCTTTGGAGAAAAACTCAACAAGATATATCTGGCTTCCACTCTATGAGGAGTCGAAGCAGATAGTTGAAAAGTATCTTACTGAGATCACTTATCACCATCATGTTGTCCACATTCCCTCCGTCCGCGCGCTTGTGGATGATCTATATCGGGATCTGAGCATGAAAAAACCCATAAAACTGGGACAAATGTCCTTGCTCCTGGCGATGCTGGCTAGTACTGCATTCTTCTGGACAGAGCGGGATATGGACAAGTCAGTATTCTCCTCTCTCGCAGAGGCAGACGTACAATCCAAGACTTGGATGAATATTACTCTTGAAATCCTGGAATACTCCCGCTTTACGAATTCGGAGTCTCTTGAGGATATCCAAGCACTGATAATTATTAGCTTCTTGGTCTGTAACATTGTGGGAATCACCTCGCAGGCTCGATATCTTTTCGGTACAGCCACTTCAATGGCATGGCAGCTGTCTCTGCACCGAATAGATCATCCAAATAATGCAGAGCTCGATCTTCCCCCGTCAGATTCGGTGCGTGCGGAAATATCCAGAAGAGTATGGTGGTATCTAGTCTCAACAGACTGGTATGTTCCCATTGAAGCCTATAATGCCGTTCCTTCTTTACTTAGGGAGTTCAAAGGCAAATATCCCAAGTCGCAGGTCTACAGAAGGGCACCTACATGATCAATCCTCGCCAAATGGCTACCGCCAAACCTGCCAATGCAAACGATGAAGATCTGTTCGATGGCATGACCGATGTCAGTAAACCTTTTGATCAACCAACATCTATGTCATACTGTCTCCACCGGATCCGACTAGGGGAGATCTGTCGAGAAATCAGTGACAGTATCCCCTTTCTAGAAATCGGGCCCGGGGATCCAGATTATCGACAGATAAAAAAGATCGATAAAAGAATCTGCGAATGCGCCCAGGCGATGCCGCCATTCTTCTCCCTGGATTATAAACCGTACCAACTTCCGGATACCGACCCGCGCAAATCTCCCGGGATAGTCATTCAACGATACATTGCCAACACCTTACTCTATACGCAACGTGTCAGGTTACACTTGCCATACTTGTCTCGGGCATCATCAGAGCCCATGTATCGTTACTCCAGAGACGCATGTCTCGAGGCGGCACGCATGGTTATCCGCACAGAAGAACAACTTTCCTCAGAGAAGTTTCCTTTCGTTCTAGTACGACTTAAATTCTCCGCCGTCATCCACTGCGTGTGCATGGCCATCATTGTTCTCTTGATGGATCTTTGTCTGAATAAGACCCTCTGGACAGAGGACGACAGAGAGCGCCGAACTGAGATCTTCAATGCATTTGGCATTCTAGAAGAAGCCAAGGACCAGTCACCATTTGCAGGAAGACTCCTCGAGTCTTTTTACTCTATTCTTCGACGAAACAAGGCAAACACCGACAGAAGTTCAGAAACCCAATCGAGCAATGTTATTCGACAGTCTCACGCAGAACCCTCCACGTCGCAGATTGCTTTAACTGAGACTGACATGGAGAGCACGTCCATGGAGCCGAACGTGCCCTTTTTCGATGATTTCTGGCAAACATTTGATACGAGCGTGGACCCGTCTAATCTTTTTGATTGGGATACTCTATTGTCGGAGCTGGATAACCCGTCCTTGTCGATTTAATCAGCTACTAGAGGCTGACGTTATGATTTCCGGCGCGAATTGCTGCTCATCCGGTCCCGAGGTAGGTCGAAAACCTCTCATAGCCTCGCTGTTTTATTCCATGATATCATCCTGTGACTGGGCCACTTAAGGAAATACAAGGGCAGAATAATAACATTGTCCTTATCGTGTTAGAAAAAAGTGTAAAATCAACCTGTATGTATCTATGAGGTCATCTCGTCATTATGATATACCCAATCGCAACGCAATGCAAAAAGAAACCAAAAAAATCACCAAGTCTTTTCCCCAAGTCAACTTCTCAACTCCATTCAAAAAATCAACATTTGATTCTTCCTCATCGATTCCCCTTCCCCCTATTCCTCATAACACTAACAGGAACAAACCTCAAAGCAGCCATAGATTCTTCCAAATCCATCATTTCCATCTCTGTCGTCGATGACGACGACAGCGTAGGCTGAGCTTGAACCTGATCCTGATCCTGAGCCTGAGCCGAAGAAGAACCAGACGTATTACAAGTCAACGATGCCTTTCGACGTCTCAGCCGACCTTCCTGCGGAGAGGTAGGAGGAGCTGCTGATATCCTTCGTCGATGGGTATTTGTTGTAGATGATCGTAGCATAGAGTTCTGCTTATCGATTCCATCGTTGATGATGTAGAAATTGTATGTCTGGTTTGGTTACGTATGTTAGGATTGGTAGCGTCGTGATTTTAGTGTTAATTTGGGGTTGGGGGTTGGGGGTTGGTTTTGGTTCTGACTTACTCGTGGAAACATATGTTTGTCAATCAAGTGCATCCTCCTCTTTTGCGGGGTAGAGCATTTTCGATCGCACCCTTCGACGAAGCAGCCGTACTGGGGTTTTCATCAATATTAGTAACGTAAATATATTTAATGTATTACTACGTAGAAAAATATAATTGGGGAAATGTATTTATAATATAAAAAGAGAAAGAAATACTATAAAAACATACCGTCTTCTCACCCCTCTCCCTCCTCGCAGCAACCAACGCATCATGATTCTCCTCAATATGTAAATTGAGAAATAACTCTGTGGGGAAATTCTTGCCGCATTCCGAACACCGGTTCACATGCACCTGGACATAATGGACTTCGTACTCATCGTACGATGCGAAGGAGAGGGTTTCTCTGTGCGGAGGGAGTGAGCACCGCATCACGTCGGTGGAGGAGGAGGAGGAGGGATGACGAGTGTCGGGATCATTGTCGAGCTGGGGAAGCTTGGAGGGCGGTGGAGTCGAAGGGGCTCGTGAGGAGGGCGATAGTGCCGAGTACGATTGGTCTGAGAGTGATGAAGAGACGGATTCTCGTCGTGAGCGCTTGGACATGGTGGGATTATTATTGTGTTGGACGAGTAGGAAGTACAGTACTTAGTACTAGTTAGTTGAGGACTTACTTAAGTCTCGTTCGCTGCGTGTTGTCTCTGTTATGCTCTGGAAATGTGGAGCCGTACTTACTTTTTGTTCTGCTTCCGAGGGCCGATTTTAGAGTTTCGATTGCACTAAGTAAACGGCATTATTTATGCGGAAAATGATTTGTTTGGAAGATCTGAATACTTCCTTTTCCGTGCGCCAGTACCATCGCATACAAGCAGTCGAACCCGCCATCCTGTAAAACAATCTGCGTCACATGAGGGGCGATACAACAGCATACTATTACTATGTCGTAACTACATAGGTAGTGTCTCTACCCCAGACATAGAGCGAGAGCGTGACAGATCAGCCAACGGTGACTCAGCAACTGGTTGTTTTATATTGGTGTGCTATCCAAAAGAAAGAAAAAGAGAAGAGTGCAACATTTCGTGGAGGATGGGATCCGAGCGCCAGCTTAAGATAGAATCCAAGAAGCCACTAGGCATGATGTGACCACTTCGCCTCGCTGAGGTGAAGGAAGGGTATAATTAAGAACAAGTACATTTTTAGCACGGAGGTGGAAGGATTATTGCCCACGAACTCTCATGCCGTTTTTGGGCCATTCTGCCCGGTGATGATGGCGTGTTGGCCATAAGAGAAGTTAGGACAAAATGTCCTAAGATAAGATAACTAGTATATAGCCATCAAATCTACCTAGGTAGATGTAGATCTCAGTGTCTCGCGACTTGTCGTGGCTCACAAGACCTACCGTGCTTGCGGAAAGGGAAGGCACAATGGCCAGCAGTGAGCTTCCACCATAATAGCTGCTGTGCTAGCTCATCGATATTTCCAATCAGGTATACTGTACCAGCCAACATACCCAGTTCGTGGTCTCGTCTGCGATGAGATCTAGCTGTTTTCCAGGTAGTCGGCATAGACCTCCAGGCTGGCCCCTACCAAGTCGACAATGGCCCAGCTGGTGTTACCCTTGAAAGTCCGAGCCCAGACCCTCACCACAGCGACGCTGAGTTGTTTGACCTTGTACGGGTCATTGAGGAAGCTTAGCTCGGGCGAATCGGTCGGGTCGACAGCCATATCGGTCTCATCCATCATACTCTTAACCCAAAGCACCAGCTTCCTTTCATGCTCGGAGAGCTTTTGTTCAGCCTGCGTCGCTGGTATCGCGAGAAGCCACCGACTCAGGAGAAACGCGCACTCCAGACTGCAGAGAGAATGCTGGATACTCCAGAAGAAAGAATGAGTTCTGGCCACAAAGTCAATACCAAGCCGCACAGGTATGGACAGAGCATGTGCCGAATGCAACAGGGCCATGATGAGTTTCGGGCTCCGCGTAATCGGCGGAGATTCTCTTAGTGCTTTGGCAATCTGCTGCGGGTCTTGAGTAACTAGATGTCGACATGGACCCAGGTCAACATGAAGCCTAATGTATGCTAGACCCAAAAGCGCAGTGGAAGTGAAAGCAATCGGCCCGGCAGGGTTTTGGGGGTCGATACTCGACTCTGGAGTCCGCTTCCACCCAGCTTTCCATGCGCTCAAGGAATTGTCCAGCACAGCCAAGTCCTCCTGCCTGAGGCTTGTCCCTTGCATCAGTGGTGCAGAGAGACACAGCTGGCGCGCAAAGAATATCTGTTGTATAATAGCATGGATGAGAATGTAATTGCCTAACGGAGATATAGGGGTCGAGGCGTTGAAGACGGGCCCCTTGAGGAAGAGCTTGGCAAAGGCCTCCTGGAACGAGACATCGGAGCTATGGCGCGATCGATAGAGACGTCGCCACTGAGATGCATTGTTGGCTTTCCACACGTCATGGGAACAAGGCATGTTTAGTTTGAGCTCCGAGTTCAGGATCAATGGAGGTATATTATACATGATCGAATGGAGATTGAAGAAGCAGTAGACGAGAAGCTTTGTCCGCCTATTCCCCTCTAGCCGCACCCATTCTTCCCAGCTGATGTTGTCCGAGCTCGGAATGGGTTCAGAGAGGCCATGCTCACGGACGAGCCTGGCCAGAGTACTCTGCAAGGCAAGTATCTCTCGCAGCAGCTCTGGGTGTCTTTCCCATGACGCGAATACAGTGAGCAGCAGAAACGTCTGGATGATTTTCATATGGGCATCAGAGTCATCGATTGCGTAATTCATGGGATCGAGCGTCTGCATCGGAGTGAAGGACGGCGGTTGGAATGGACTGCTAGCCTGGTTAGAGACTGCAGAGGAATCCCGGGAGCCGTGAAGACCGGGCTGTGGCGGAACAAATGTCCACGTTGGCAGAGGAACCTGCTTGCCGTCTCTTCTACGAAGACGTTCAAGCAGGACGCACTTTGCCGCGTTAAACAAGTCGATACCTCGATTATTCTCAAACCGATAGTGAGACCCAGCGGCGGCAAGAGCCAAGGTCAGCTCTGGCGGCGATCTGGCTACCGACAGGGTCGGTACATGGATGAATGGAAGGTGCTCATTCAACCCGTTGATGTATCCTGCAAAGAAACGCGACAGAGCATGTCTTGAGGGCGGAATGAAGCCCTTTGGAAGGACATGAGAGAATTCCTCCAGCCGTGAGACAAATAGTTGGCGGTCTGCGTTGGTGATATCCCATGCTGGCCGTGGGTTGGCGGGATCGTCCGAGAAACCGATCCGATCATCGGAATCGTGTGGTTCGGGCTGGAGCGACGGCAGGCGAGATCCAAAGTTCGAGAACGAGGGCGGTTCTTCAACAGCTGCTCGTTGATCGCTGAGGATATCTCCGTTGAATCTTTGCGGCGCGACGGGAGGTTTCGAGTCGAAGGGTAGGTTGGTCGGGAGCATGGGCTCCTCGACCGTGGAGAAAACGCCAGAATCCCAGTCAGATGAGAGACCAACGCTCTCCAGAAAGACGGTAAAATCCTGAACTGGATCTCCCAAGTCTGCAAGATCCAATATGGACGGCTCGACACCGTAGTTGTCCGTTATCGCTTTTTCCGGGACATTCGGTGGCATGAGAGGGGGCGCGCCGACGTGGCCCGGCGGCTTCCGCATCGAATCCATGCTCTCCTGCTGGCCCTCGAGCGCAACATGACTGGCAGCATGCGATAGCAGATTCAAATCGTATCCCCAAGAAGGATTGAACTGTGGTGGCTCGACCATCTGAGGCGCCTGTACAGGCACCTCTGGCGGCGGCGGTTGCGGTACCTGCGTCGGCTGGACCGGGACCGATTCAGGGATGTCCAAGACGCGCGAATCGTGCTGGGAAGGCGGGATCATTGACGCAGGAGTTGGCGGAATATCGTGAGCCTCGCTGTTTCGATGTTCTCCTCGATGGGTAGCGTTCTCAGCTTGATGTACCAATCGCTCATGGCGCACGAGCAGGTCACTGCAGAGATTTTCCCATTCATTAGTCCGGGATGGCCAGGAGACGACAGAAGCGGTTGGTCTTACCTTCTGGCAAAGGACTTGCTGCATACTTCGCAGGAGAACGGCTTCTCCTTTGTGTCTGCGGTGGTCTGTCAACATGGTCCCGAAAGAGGAATATGGCGCCAAAGCCGAGGGCTCCTGAGGGCTACTCACGCGTGCGGAGATGGCGTTGGAGATGCTCCAGCCGAGCAAAGCACCGGCTACAGAAATGACATGAAAGCGACTTGCGATGCTGTGTCGTGGTCTTCTTCTTAACCTTCTCCGGAGAATTAGCCCGCTCAGCCTCCATTGCGTATTTATTTATGGGCCTGGAGTAGGAACTGTTATGGTTGAGAACAATGGGGGTTTAAGCGGGGAAAAAGGGCTGTGGGGGGTTTGGCATATGAGGGGACGCCTGATTGGGAAGGCCAGGTCACGTGGCACCTCGCCCTGCCCCGGGCGGGGGCTGGAGGAGGCCAGAGCCTCAGCAGGCGATGGGAGAGAGAAGATGCAACACCAGGGAGCTCTGGGGGGAGTTTATACTTGACTGTCGCTGGCGGGATCTGGTCGCCAGTCTCGTCCTCTGGTCTTGTGGATGGTCCAGGAACGGGTTGTATGTTTGTCCAGCTAGGGCATCAAGCTAGCCATCTCCACTGGTGCGGAGATGGATGGAGGTTGTCAGTTCTCCTCATTTTGCCTCTCCAGCTTCTTATCGTGTTATCGGACGAAAGAGTCTCTTGATCGAGCTACTGACAAGGTAAGGGAACACCTAGGAAGCTGGAGCACACCCGATTCGACTTTAAAACCCCGGTGTGGTGCAAGTTGTGGTGCCGCGAGCATGTCTACTCCCATACATTCCGATGGGCTCCTCAATTGCCGTGAAGCTGAGGGAGCGGGATTTGGTCCAACACGTGGGATTCTCGAAGTCCTCTAACATTGGCCTGTCTAGACGGTCCAGCCCCTTGTTTCTCGAGCATAACAATTGCGCCTCTGGCACGAGAGTCAGAGGGATCAGGGAACGCATCTGATCTATATAATACTTCAGCGTTCTGGAGTTCCCCGAACGCAAGTATCTCCGTAGGTAATGCTTTATCAAGTTGAAGGCAGCTCACTATCTAGATAAAATTTGCTGGATGACGTTTGTTGTTTATATCATCCTTGTTAGAGTAACTACCACAAGCGTCGATATGGTTGAAGGCGTATGGTAGGGTCTGCTATCACAGCACGCCGAAATAGGAAAAATAAATCGCGTAATCTATTGAACAAAACACCAAATCGAGACGTTATGGAGGTGATGAGAACTTGAAACTGCAAGGGGATTGCAACTAGGAGAACTCATAACTACATAGTTAACTAGATAGTTAAGTTACATCTACTGATTATTAACCAGTGGTCCATGAATGAACGGTACGTATAACTTAATAAGCCTCCAGGAGGGATGGACGGATAAAGGGTTCCCGGCTATCGGCCGAACCAATACTGAAGAAGCTAGAATTCTAGGGTCATTGTCTGCAAATGTCAATAATAAATAACAACAGTAACAGTAACAATAGTAATGGAATAACCTACCCACAGCCTCCGGATAAAATGATAGACATTGAATGCAAAGTTGGAAGTATATATGTAGAACATCCAATGATCATTGCTTGCTTTTTGGTATTGAGAAACAAAAATATTCGGGACCTGAACCGACGGCAATAGCCGTGCCACATGGGCTGGTATAGGATCAGAACGGCGTTGACGCAAGGCGCATGTTGACTAGACTGGTGGCGAAAGAACGAGGTGTTTCACGGTCGAAACGCTCCAGCAAGGGAGAGTCTGTGCGAAGATGCGAGCAGATATAGCGTGCAGTGATAGTTCAGTACTATAGTTCAGTAGTCCAGTGGGACAAGCTGGCATTGCTGGTTGCCCGGCAGTGAAGGTAGAACACAAATATTATTATTAGTGAAGGCTGTGCGCAACCCAGAGATCCTTCAGTATTTTAGCTTATATTATTATTATTATTATTATGGCATCAGCAGAGTAATTAGCAGCCCTTCACTGTCAGGGAAATGTCAATAATAATAATCATAATCGCTCGATCCACCACAGTAAAACAACGATCCCCCCAAGGCAGAAGTTAAGAAGTGAAGGCCGCATACCTAGCCAACTCCGCTAATTGTTTCACAAGAGCCGCTTGGCGAATCACCGGCGTTGTTCTTTGTTTTAGAATGCTTCAACTCAGCCCTCACTGGTGCCGACCGCGCTAGAACCCTCTTGTCCCTCTTGCTCATCCCCCACGACCACCTTGTTTGAGATCTAGCCAGGCGGAGTATTTACTGTTGACGGCATCATCTCCTTCTCTCTCTCTCTCTCTCTCCCTCTTTTTCTCTGCCTGTCTACTTTGGTGGTAGCTGCTGCTGCTTGTGCGGGCAAGGGTTCTATCCTTGCAGCGTTATCTCAACACGAGATAGCGCCTCCGTAGCGCCCTTGGATCTCCTCAGTCAGGCCAAGCTCAGAGGGCTCCTTGCAATATCTCCGGCGAGAGATATCATTCCAGTTGCCCAAGGCTTTTTCTCACCAGAATTCGACATCGTATACGGACCGATTTCCCGCTATCCATCGCCCCGACCGGTATCTGACGGCCGCCATCATTCCACCCAGCCGCGACCAGCGTTGTTCCCTCAGTCGTCCACACAACTCGTCTTCGCAGTCAGCCTGAAACAGTCACCAAGCAGGGGTTTTCTGCCATGCCATCAACTGACGCTTGACGCCTGACCCCTAGCAGAAACCTCCAGACCGACGCGTCCAAGCGATAAGCTGATCGGCCTCCACCTTTAATTCAACCCAACGTCCCACCCCCGGGTTGCCGTCGGGCCTCAACCGATATACGTACTGTGGTGGAAAAGAAGCCTTGTGCTCACTTTACCTCGCCAATGCTAGCATCCAAGGCTGCGTTCTCCGCCTCGTTGGGGATGCCGACTTCCCAAGCGTCAGGAACCGCATATCACTCGAGCCAGCCTCTGAAGGCTCACGGGGCCAGCAAATCGGTCGATGGAGTTGCATTCACAAGCCCGACAGAGTCGGAATTCTCCGATGCACACGATGGACTCGATTCCGTCCGGTAAGTTTGCATTCGTATCCTTATGACGGATCTCTACCACCGAGACGGACTGGCGCTGACCGCTGGGACTAGATCTTGGGATGAAAAGAAGGTGGTGGAGTGGTTGCACAGCATCAACTGCGGTCAATACGAGTCCATATTCAAAGGTATACTCCTCTGCGACTACGCATGAATATAGCCGCTGACTCATGGTCTAGCCAATAACTTCAACGGCGATAATCTCCTCGAATGCGACCAAAAAATCCTTCAAGAAATGGGCATCAAGAAGGTCGGGGATCGGGTCCGCATCTTTGTGGCTATCAAGCAGTTGAGAAGCAAGGCTATCTCGAATCGGAAGAAACAGAATATTGTTGGTGACAACCTCCTTCGGGCCATGGTGCATAGTCGCTGACGGTGGAATAGAAAGCTTTAGCCGCCCTGGATGCTTCGAGTGTCACATCTTTGGGCTCATCCCGTTACTCTAAAGGATCTAGTGGCCGACGCCAGGAGTCATCCCCGTACGCAACGGATTCTGAGAAAGGCGGGCGCTCCCATCGCTACGCAGCATCTAGTCCCATGGAGAGTGCGCGCAAAGAGCAAGCGAACAGCTACTTCGGCTATACACCTTCTCCAGGATCGGTCCCCGCTCGGAATCCTGCAACCCCCGGTGAAAATGGCAACAAGGGAACATCGCACCTCAGACAAAACCCCAGTGTTGATGGCCTCACGATGGGCCCGCTCCCGGCAAACTCTCCGGTCATCAGAGTGATTTACACGGGTGGCCAGACAAAGGTTCTGAATATCAGGAATTGCAAGACCCCGGATGAAGTCTTCCTCTGTGTTCTGAAAAAGCTACAGCTTCCGGAATATCAGTACAGGCACTACTGCTTTTACGTGCTGGACGGCCTGGAGCCTGACCCAGCCTACTGCAGAAAGTTGACGGACTCCGAGATCATGCGCATCTGTGAAGGAGGAAACAGGTCTGAGCGGGGCCGTCTTATCCTGAGAAAGCTCCACGCTGGAGAGCCAGATGTTGATGAGCTTCGTCGTGCTTCTCAGCTCGCTGTGGACGAGAGCCAGATGGCTCATATGAACGCTCTGAATAATTCCAACCCCCGCAATCAAGCGAAGATCCAGAAGCTGACGGGAGAGTCTTGGCACAATCTCAAGCAACCCATGTCTCCAGCTAACGATCGAACAAGACAGAGCTCCCTTGACGATCATGAACCCTCGTCAGGTGGGCGTGAACGACAGACATCTAAGCTACGGTCGTTCTTCGGTGCTAGGCCTCCTAGCGAGATGATTATCCATGAATTGACCTCCTACTTCCCAAGCCATCAGCGTGAAGACATCGAAAGGACAATGAGAATGTCTGTTCGGAGGTCTCAGCGGATGAGTCGGGCGGCGAGCCGTTTGAGTGTTATGAGCAACTCAAGTTACGCATCTAGCTTGAGGGATGCTCCTCCGATCCCTAGCATTGCCGATACATGGCTGAACCCGGGAGCGCAGCCTAGAGCCAGGCCGCTCTCCGTGTCCAGATTCAATCTACCCCAAGTATCCTTCCGTGATTCCGTCGCGTCCAGCTCCCTACACCCACTCCAGGAAGAGGCGGCTGCGGAACCAAACCGGCAATCATACGTGTCATTCGCTAGCAGCTCCGACCAGACCTCAGCGGAAAATACGCGGCAAAGCTTCATGTCCGATACCCTGAGCGTCCGAGGATTGGACACTGCAAGTTCCATAAACCAGCGATTGAGCATATTAGTGGCCGAGGATGGAGAAGAAGAGGATGATGGACTGAAGGATTTCCTTGCGGGCGACAATTTTGCGCCTAAGAACTGGATGAAAGGATCTCTTATTGGTGAAGGTTCTTTTGGAAGCGTCTTCCTCGCTCTTCACGCAATCACGGGAGAACTGATGGCGGTGAAGCAAGTCGAACTTCCGTCAGCGACAAAAGGAACGGAATTCGACAAGAGGAAGAACAGTATGGTCACTGCGCTGAAACATGAAATTGATCTGCTTCAGGGTCTCCAGCACCCAAACATCGTGCAGTATCTCGGTACTTCCGCAGACGAACAGAACTTGAACATTTTCTTGGAGTATGTTCCTGGAGGCTCTATTGCGGTGATGTTGAAGCAGTACAATACGTTCCAGGAGCCGCTGATCAAGAATTTCGTCCGGCAAATTCTTGCTGGCCTGTCCTATCTCCACAGCCGTGATATCATCCACCGGGATATCAAGGGCGCCAATGTCCTGGTCGATAACAAGGGTGGTATCAAAATCTCGGATTTTGGTATTTCAAAGAGGGTGGAGGCTTCCACTATGCTTGGCTCTGGGGCTACCGGGGGCGCAGGCGGCCATATGCACCGCCCGTCGTTGCAGGGCAGCGTGTATTGGATGGCTCCGGAAGTGGTTCGCCAGACAGCTCATACGAAGAAGGCCGACATCTGGAGTTTGGGTTGTCTCGTCGTCGAGATGTTCATTGGCGCCCATCCTTTCCCAGATTGTAGTCAGCTGCAGGCTATCTTCGCTATTGGCAGCAACCAAGCGAGACCGCCTCCACCCGAGAATGCTAGCGAGGAAGCGAGGGCTTTCTTGGACATGACATTTGAGATCGACTATGAAAAGAGACCTAGTGCGGACGACCTGCTCAAGAGTCCGTTCTTGGCCGTGCCGGTTGCCTGAAGGCCGTGCAGGCGCTCTAATTCGAATATTGTCATTGAATAATTCTTGGACATCAAGCATCTACGAACATAAAAGACGGATGTTGAGGGAGTTAGCACTTTTTGGAGTTGAACACGCGAAGATGGAAACGGGGTTCAGATTTAGAGCATTTCGCGCACATCTGTCGCGGTTTTGATCATTCTGAGGGGGGCCTGTGGCCTCGAGAATACAGGCTAGCCCTGGTTTATGTTCACTGTGTCTAGTTGCAGCTGTGCTTGCGTTGATTTCTTGAAAGCGAAAAGGTCCTATGACGATAATAATGAATGCGTATTGACAGCAAGCAAGAAAATCCAGCCCTTTTAATATTGATATATCCTCTCCATCGTCCAATCTTCGTATCATAACTTGTGTCTCATGTAGTGTGCCTCTGGTACTAAAACCAGGGAGCTGCACCGTGAGGCCTCAATTCAACTTTTCTGGCGGTAATATCCTCGAGGCTATCGACCACCACACGCTGCTGGTGACTTCTTTCTCTAACGATCAGTGATATACAAAGAAAGGGAGTCCCGTAGCGGTTTATTTTCTTTTTCAATTGTCTCATTTTTATCGACAACTTTCTCATAACGATTATCTCCCAAGTGCTCTTCTTTTGCAATATATATTGTATCCCCAATACGATATGCAGATGCTATTTATGCGTGATGGGTAATACTGGATATCGAGTCTAATAGAACGACGTATTTCTCAAATTGTTTTTTGAATTTGCTCCAACTCTGTTATAACACCGTATGTGTGTGTGCATTGACCAACGATCGCTGAGGCATGAGATTTATAGTTGTACATACATTTCGCAAAACGACTATGAAAAAAAGATAACAGTACAATCGGTCCTTGGGTATGATGACAGAGGACCTAGGGCGTAGTTATGATTCGGAGATTTCCATAAGTTGTGTGTCTAGTTAACGAGCTTTCCGTAGAAGGGAATGCCCATAGCGCTCAGAAGGAGTCGAGCATCCTTATCGGTAGTGGCGGATGTGTGGATGGTGATGTGGCAACCGGGAATCATCTTGGCCGGGTACCTATTGCAAAAAAGCGGGTTAGATATTGTGATTGTATAAATGGGTTATGTATACTGTTGTCCATGACTCACATGTCATAGTTGACCTCAATCTCCGGGAACATGGCCACGTTCTCCGGCTCCAGACCGAATGTGATGTTGCCGCTGCTATCACCGCTGCTACCCTTCACGCCCTTCCATTCCTTGATTCTGGGCATCACGACGTCGATCAGCTTGCCAAGGAAGTGGTACATATTCTCTCCCCGCAGCTCCGCCTTGACCGCAACGGTGTCTCTGCCCGGAGCGATACCCCAGGGTGCAACACTGCTCTTCGACTTGAAGGTCTCCACGCGGACGTTAGAAATGGCCTGAACAGCCATACCGGCAACGTGCAGCCAGCCAGAGTTTTCCGTTGCGGCTTCCTTGATGTAGCTGTGGATGGTGACCCGCTCCACCTCGGGGATGTTGTTGAAGCCGATGGGCTTTCGCAGCAGTCTCAGGACATCACCTCCACGGGGTCCACGGAGGGGTCTGTTCTTGTGGTAGGGAGAAGATTCATCCCAAGAGCGGAGACGATTAGCTGGTGGAGGAGGCTTAAAGCCGGGCGGGTTGTGAACATAGCACAGGGTGAGGATATCCGAAGCGACGGTGGACTCGTAAGTCTGCTGCACGCGAGGCAGCGAAAACGGACCTGGAACGAAAACTCGAGATGACGGGTCTGACGGCGGGGGAGGTCTGTGAGGATGAAGAGGACCATGATCGTATTTGGGTGATCGGTATTGATAACTATGGGAGGTTTGTCAGTCCCCATGTGCCAGCCAACAGACCGAAGCTCCGGGTTTGCAGAGCGTGCTACGTACCGACTCTTGGGCAATTGGGACTTGCGAGCCTTTGCCCGCGCGATTGGATCAAAGGATTTCACCACATCCTCGGGAACCGACGCTGCCAACGAGGTGTTCGATTCGACCTCGCTGAGAGGATCCGGTGTATTTCCGGAGGCGTAACGACGAAGACTGGGTTGCTGGGAACGCGTTGAAGGGGCCAAAGGCCGTGTGAGGGCCCTCGCCAGGGATCTTGACGGCTCACGAACAGCCATTGCGACGTAACCGGCGATGTGCTGTCTCGCGGGTGCTGCTGGCGTCGGCGTCTGGCCAAAAAATTCCAGATCGGAGAGCATCGCGACGATGTCACGTGGGAATTTGATTACTGAGGCAGCAATCAGGCACACACTCCGCGGCCTAACCGATAACAGTATAGCCGATCATCTCTCCGCCGCTAACCGGATGTGTGAGATTAGTAAGGCACTAAGGCCCCATGCAGTAGGGATGGCATTTGAAATTCAAAATTTCAGAAATTTCATGAAATTTGGGGGTCTGAATTTCATAAAATGAAATGCCTGAAATTTTGAAATGTTACTAATCAATTAGTAACCACCTAACTGAATTATTATTAGCTGACTTGCTCTCCTGGTTTCCTAATTCGTAATAAGTGCGCCCCACTTATGGTCCGTGCGTTTCGAATTTCGAAACGAAAAAAAGGGTTGAAATTTCACGTTTCGTGAAATTGACCCCCCATTTCAATATTTCACCATCCCTACCATGCAGGGACCTCCAACCCCGCCGAATCGAATCAATCCGATCCGTGCTTTAGATCTGCCCGCTGTACCAGTAAGTGGCTTCTTCCTGTGACAAGGACGACGGCGCCCGGAATTATTATCTTTCATCGCCACATTTCTAATACTTCACAGGCGTCCTCTCTCTCTGCTCGCTGCAGGTGACCGCTAAACGACTGAGATCGTGGATTTCTCCCCGGTGCTCCACTCTTGTCTGGAAACATCACGGTACTCCACTTCCAAGGCTGGTGATCTACTCATGTCATCCCGTCCCCGCGGTAAATGACAGCTTTCCACCAGACATGTTGATCAATGTCACGACAAGTTCTCGAGTGCGTTGCATGGCAAGACTGAAACCTGGAGGTGAGTTCTTCCACGTGCTGTTCTCTTTCGTCGGAGCCTAGGGGACTCCACAAGTTACGCAACCAGCCACCTTCGTGCTAACCCAACCATCATTTCAGTGATCCTCGACAGAGGAACGGGAAGAACTTGTGTGAAGACGTTGAACAATAGTCGGCACCGTGGATAGCTGCCAGAATGAATGGAATTCACAGATTCCTAACCAGAAGGGAGCGACGGAGCAGGCGCGATAAAGAAGAGGTATGGCGCTAGTTTTGGGCCCGCATCCATGCAGATTCACCACAAAGGAGTCTCCCAGACACAAGAGACTGATTTGTGTTCTTTAGGCCTCGACAATTCTTTCACGCCCCCTATATCGTGGTCTATTTGCGTCGGAGAATTCTGCATGCCAAGAACAGGAGGAAGAACAGAAGGTCTGCACTCCGAATGATCGATTTTTTTTTTGGCACGCATACTGATCGAAATATAGGTCAAGCTCCTGGAACAGCGGATTGCTCTTGTCGGAATTACGGGACTCAAAAGCGAACACATTCAATATGCCCTCCGGTCAAAGTCAGCACAAGGAGACGTGGACAAGGCGTTCGACTTGCTCCTGCTGCTGGAGGACTCGATCGAAGGAATCATACGCGATTACACACCGAGAATGAAGCTCCTCGGAGCTGAGAACCGCCAGGGAGTTACATGTTACTTGGATGCACTCCTCTTCGCCATGTTCGCCCGTCTAGACTGTTTCGAAGCCATCCTCTACAAAGTGTTTAGCGATGAACCGCGTCGGAAGCTGGTGATCATATTGAGGCTATGGGTGAATATGCTGAGGTCAGGAAAACTGATAACCACTGACGTTGTATGTCTTCCAAATATTTCCATCTCACGCGTTTGCCCCCCCTAGAAACGTCAGTTCCAGTCAAGCCCTGCTGACATACGACTAGACTAAGCACCTGCAAGATGCGCTTGCCGCTTGTGGATGGGAGGATGCGGCCCGATTACGGCAGCAGGATGCTTCAGAGGCCTTCACATTCATCACGGAAAAGCTGGAACTCCCTCTTCTCACATTGAAGATGGATATTTATCATACCGGTAAGGAAGATGTCAGCGACGACCACAAATTTATCAATGAGCGACTACTAGAGGTAGCCATACCACCTGAAGCCGGGGACGGACATTCTGTCACTCTGGAGGATTGCCTGGAAGCATATTTCAACAACCGGATAGAGGTGAAGAGACATATGGAACGACGAAATACCCTTAGGTCCGTGCGGTCATCAGATTCTATTTCGAAAGGTTTAACCACCCACGTCGAAACAGTGGAAATGGGGTCTTCCTCAAGTCAATCCCCGGTTCAACCAGCGTCTCCGCAAGCAGATGAGATGACTCCTTTGTCGTCAGTAGTTGAGCTCACGCGTTCTCGGACTGCCACCTCTGACACGATCACTCGCCGACCGAGTATCGTACAAGAACGCTTTATACCAGAATCAGATGAGCAGGATGGCGACGGTAAAGAAAGCCTGAATGGCAATCGTCAACTACGAGGGAGACGGGGGACCGTTCGAAAGGAAGTCATGATGCCCGCTTGGCAATTCTTCAGCCTGATCCGTAAGTCAACCTTTGAGCTTTTTGGAATATGGTACACGTGATATTAACCTTCTTGAAGCATGGTACACAGACAATACACCAACGAACGACGCTCAGGTCGCAGCACACTTTTCTTCGAAACGACCGATCCTTGGCATGTGTCTGAAGCGTTATTCGATGTTACCCAATGGAAAGGCTGTTCGACTGAACACATATATTGACATTCCGATTGAGATCGGTCTTCCTCATTTTATCCAAGATGACAACTTGGAGGCTGAAGGCCCAATATACGGAAATTTCAAACTGTCGCTGCAGGCAGTCGTGTGCCATCGCGGGACGTCGGTCGATTCGGGCCATTATATAGCCCTCGTAAGAGGGACCAGCGCAAATGCAGTTCCCCAGAGTGCCAATGGCTCGGATCCACCATCTTACACTCACGACGACGAGGCAAACTACTGGATGCGGTTCGATGACCTGGCTGCTGAGCGCATCACTCTCGTCGACATTGAAAAGGCATTGAAAGACGAATCTCCGTATCTTCTATTCTACCAGATCCTCCCTATCGATGAAGACCCTGCGGAAGCAAACCTTCGGGACAAGCCGCCTTCTTACAGTGAATCGGAGGGTGGCCTGGACATGAGCGCAGAAAAGAGCTCTTTTTCACTTCGTGTGTCGTCAGTGAGCACGACTAGCGAGCATGACGAGTATGCCGTGTCGACTACTGAGAGACGGAGTACCGAAATGAGCCCCCCTGATAGACCGCGTACACAGTCTTCCGAACAAGGAGGCGCCACACATAGCGTGACATTCTCCGAGCCTTCGGGTAACAGCGACTCGGGACATCTCCCAGTGGTCACCGTCTCTGGGACGCCGGCTGAGTCCAAAGGCAGCGACAATCGAGGATCCTTTTCATTCTCGAGGAGAAGCTCTAGAGCACGCAAGAGCCAGTCACAGAGCCGTGCAGGAAGCCAAGCTGGTGAGAACCGGATCAGCGCTACTTTCTCACGGCTTGCGGGACGATTGAGCAGGGAGAAGCTGCCTGGTGACGGCAACGAGACTGATGGAGAAGGCGACGCAAAATTCGAAGCAGCCATTGAAGAAACGGACGGAGAGCCTGTACCGAGTGAAAGTCCAAATAAGGATAGGGGCTCATGGGGCCGCTTAAAGGACCGAGACAAGGCCAAGGGACGGCAGAAGGACAAAGATAGGGGTGAAAAGAACCCGGAGCGTGAGTGTATCGTGATGTGAAGAAGTTGAGAAATGGCTGCTTGGAAGAGACAGGCAGGTGGGATTCTTTTTTTGGTGCTTACAGTAACGATACCCGTTTTTCGCAATGATGGTGGATTTTAGAATCGGCTGGTTTTATTGGACTCTTCGAGTAGACAGATTTTCTCTTTTGGGTCTTGGGCTTTTGTTGTAATTAGCGAGTTTGTAATGGCTGAGCGTGCGGTTCATGTAACAACTAGTGACGAAGTATGCTATTAGAAGGATCAATAAAAGACCAAAATTGGGTACGATTAATTGGTGTGTCTAGATATACTGATATTACTAGGTAGCAGCAGCTAATAGATTATCTTGGATAATATTCCTACCAAAATCGAAGCAGACAAGTAACACGAACAGAACAATAGGTAGTCGGCACACGAGGTGAATAATGATGTTTCTTTCTACCCACAACCATGAAAGAGAAATCTTTGAGTTCCATTCTCCTGTCTTCCTTAAATGCGAGAACTATCAGCCTGAACACCCATCACTCCATTCTTTCTTTTCATCATCATCAGACACTCAACCCAGACTACATATCCAGACGAAACACCAACTACGACGCCAAACCAAGACTTGGATTCGACCCCAGACACCCGACTGCAGACCACAAGAAATAGAACCCATCCATACCTGCAAGAAACACAACAATTACCAAATCCATACCCATACCCATAACCATGTCTACTACTACGACCGCAACCCCAACCCCAAACCATCATCAACCGGTCCCGCATCCGATCCTCATCCCGCTCATTCCGTTATTAGCGCTCCTGGCGGCGTTTACGTTGGTTGTTTATTTGAACCGGGAGGCCTTTTCGTGTTTGAGAGCTCGGTCTGATGGATATGTGCATGCGGATAGGGATGAGGGAGGACGTGTCTATGAATCTCGAAAGATGGGGAAGAAGAAGAAGCAGCAGGGGAGGACCAGGGGCGATAAGATGGCAAGGCTAGGATTGCGATCGAGGATGAAGTCTAGGTCTGATGAAGATGATGGGATTGAAATGCGGCCGCTTATGAGGAATGGAATGGAGAATGGAACTACTTCCTCTTCTATGATATACAAAAAAGAAGAAGAAGAAGAAGAGGCAAGCGAACAAGAGCATGAATCCGAATCCGAATCCGAATCCTTCTTCATACCATCCGATTCTTCATCTCTTGCCTCTTCCTCGAACTCAGGCGATGATATCCCCACCGACCCCTTATCGTCCCTCTCGAAATACTTCGATCCACGAACCCACGTCCTTCTGTCCAAATATAGAGATCCTCCGTCCCCCGTTACAGAGGTCTGGGAGATAGAACTTCGTCAACGCATTCGTGAGGGAGGGAGTGTTATAGCGTGGGTGGATTACGTGGTTGATTGTGTCGCGGAGTGGTGGGAGGGTATGAGTATGTGAGGAGTTATGGAGTCGTTTTGTTTAGATAGTGGAATCGTTACTGGTTCTGGATGTGTAGGGTTGTGATAATTGGTAATTATGATATTAATAATAATAATAATTGATGTGTGATGAGCATGCTATGTATGTATATATAATCGTGGCGGCACGAACCATGGGAACCGGAAAGTAAGTATCCCGCGGAATCAACGGCAGGGTCACTTACCAAACCCCAGATATCGGCTCCCGAAGTAGCCGGGTGGCCACTTTCAGGAACGGTTTATGGTACCAAGGTCTTGAATTTAGGTTGTACCTACGGAGATGGTGCTCTGCTTTGGGATTAGACTTAAGCACCACCAGCAGTATTCGGATCCCGCGACTATTGGAGTATAGACAATGCACATTGATAGCACCTGGTACTTCATTCTTCAGTTCGTACTAATATTTCCCGGAACGGTTTTGATTCCAGAACTATAGGCTCGGTCGGCGTGAAGTGCGCACATCAGGAGATAGGATATCAAGACTGTCATGGAGCTAGCTAAGTCTGTCTATGTCCAGTGTATATGGGTATTCTCAAAATCTATCGTCACATGGCCTCGAGTCAGACCTTCTATCATCACTGCAGTTCATCGTGCTCGAGTCGGACCCGGTTTCTTCTCCGCTTCTCTATGTTTATGTTTTCGCTTCAAGCGAAATCGTTGCTGACCTGTACCCGACGAAAAGAATAAACGAGCCTTTTAAGGCAGGCAGTAACCGCCGTCGACGATAATGTCGGCACCGGTGGTGTAACTGGAAGCATCCGAGGCAAGGTACAGGTAGGCGCCTTTGAGCTCGTGGGCCTCGCCCTCACGACCCATGGGGATCTTGTCCTTCCAGATGTTCTTGGTCTCCTGGGGCACAAAGTTGGAAATCTCGGTGGCCATGTAGCCAGGAGAGACGGTGTTGGCACGGGCAAACCTCACCCACTCAACGGCCAGAGACTTGCCTAGGATTCAGTCAGACCCAGAAACCAGTTAGTGTTTCCTCAGGTAACTTACAGAGGTGGATAACACCGGCCTTGGCGGCGTTGTAGGCAGCCTGTAGCTGAGGGATGTTGACGATGTGACCGCTCATGGAGGCAGTTGCAACGAAGCTGCCGTAGGTGAAGTTCTCCAGCTTGTTGCCGTTCAGGTCGGTACCCTCCTCCTTCTGGCGTCTCCAGTGAGCAGCAGCATACTTGGCGCAGTAGAAAGTGCTATCAAGGTCGGTGTTGATAACGTCGTGGTAGTGCTCGTGGGGACCGTCAACCATGGGACCCTTGGTCCACGGGATACCAGCGTTGGCAATGAAGACGTCGAGACGACCGTTCAGCTCCTTAACGGAGAGGTTAACGGCCTGCTCGACGGACTTGATGTCCCTGACGTTGACCTGGTAGGCCTTGGCTATGACAGGAACAGCAAAATTAGCATCTTGTTTCAAACTGGCCAGAGACTCAGAGCTCCATACCAGTGACACCGTACTTCTTAGCAATCTCCGCAGCACGCTCAGGGGTCTTGGTGTTGCTGCTATACCAGAGAGCGACATTGGCACCGGCCTCTGCGAGAGCGTCGGCGACCTGCAGACCAATACCAGCGCCCGCACCGGTGATAATGGCCGTCTTTCCCTTAAGTGAGAAGAGAGAGAACACACTGCTGCCATTGGGAGCAGTGGTGTTGTTATGCTGGAAGAGACCGTTCTGGATCGGAGGAGCGGCCATTGTGAAGACTGAAGCGATTGCTAGTGAAATGAGGAGCAAACAAATTCACAAACAGATCTGTATGAGCGACAATGAGGCGGAAAGCTATCCTTTATTAATAGATAGACAGGGCCGGCCCGAAGCGAATAATATACAGAAGAACTCCAGTGAAAATGAGGGGTCAACCCGAAGCTTTGGCGGGGTTATCGGAGTGGGCTGCGACAAGTGCGTCGTCATAATATACGCTAGAATGATACGAGCAGCGGAGTTTAATGCGTTGCTATCCATCCTGACAGGCCAACAATATTATTGACTAGTGCTCGAAGTCGGTGGAAACATTTGGTCTGCCGGTATCCCCAGACTCGGTCAGCATAGCGCGATTACCTGTTATGTGTGGCAGCGGAGGAGTCGCGAAGTACACAACTCTTGATCTGCACCAAACCATGCGCATTGCTCCCCACGAGGCTTTCTCCGTGCAGCTCGTCTCTGCATTGGGGGAGAGGGAACACGAGGCGATGGTCTCGCCAGGAGAGACGGTGAGCTGGAGATGCGGGTTCAATAGCACGCAGTTCTTCTCCGGTCGGAGTGTCTGGTGTATCCGGCATTCCCACCACGACGTATAGAAGCAACAACACCTCGTCCGAGTATGGTACATCATCCAAGGTCCTCTATATAGCTAGAACTTCTGGATGAAATCAGAGGCGTTGCAGCTGCAGACCCCAGGAAATTTTGCAGACCGCTCTTTGAGTCCGTACGAATGTGCCGGGCGAAAAGCGGCGTGGTGTTCCCATTTCTGAAGCTCATCCCGTCTGGAGGACAGCCAAAGTGCTCGCTGACACCGTTAGCGATGTCCCCAGAACGAGAGCGGCGACGTCAGTCCGGGATAGCTACCCTCTAGAAAGCAGACTATTATTTCTCTCATCCGGGGAGCTGGTGAGCGACGTAGGCGAGACCAATACAAGTAGACAAACCGGGCAAATAAACAGGCCGAGCAAAAAGATTGGGACGTGGCGCAAGAAGTGGATCTAGCGACAGAGACGGGCTGGGGATTAATCTTATTTGGAGGAGTTGGATGGCGATAGACTTGGATGGAGGAGCAGAGGGAGAAGAGATGGCGGGGAGTGCAAAGGTGGTCACGGGGTTGGGCTGGCTTCTCCGCTCGAACTACCTAGGTAGCAGAATAAGTAGAAAATACAGTAGGCGATAATTATTGTTGATGGTTGTTCCTCGCAGCATCGAGTCAGACAGCTTCGATATGACAGATCTTATCGACCCGATAACCCCATTCTGCTTGATGTCTAATGATAATCCCGATGGCATTCCGCGGCATCTGTCCAAAATATGCGATGTTTCGTGCATCCCGTGCTCGAGCAAGTACAGTAGTGATGTGCCAACGGCCTACGTACGGTGCCGTTGATCAAGACGAGGCAACCGGTTTCTCGTCTGATTGGTATCGTCCCTTCTAGCATTCCTAGTATATCCTTTCCATCTTGAAGACTCAAGATGCAATGGATTATGGTTGATCGCACTGCTGTCAATGGAACCGGCCGCCATCGGTTTCTATCCTCGCCCCAGCCTCACCCTCCATCTTAGGTCTCTTCCCTGGGATAATCAATGGCACGGGATGCATAACACACTGTTTCTTCCCTAATGCAGAAATCACATGGACCGTTCGTGAAGAAAATGATGTTATAGGGATGTGCCGTCCGGCTGTGACCAGCATTCTTCACGCGCTGAGCCGACGCAACCCACATTCCAACACATAGACTGGAGGAGCACCGGACCACCACAACAAAGGAGTCAGCGCACTGTGTTACTGCCATGGCCTTCGATGTTTTCCTCATCAATCGTTTCACGCCGCCGCCGCCGTTGTCTTCCATGACATCCCCCCTCCAGCATCAAAGGTAAGTACGGTACGAGAGCTCCCATTGAGCTCCGTCGAGTACGGAGTTGGCATGACCACGCCATCCCGCCTCTGAGAACTGTCGACAAGAGAAGGAGTGGAGAGAAAGGAGCGCGGAGCAAGACAAGATGGTCGCCGTCACAACCGTCATCGCCATTGCAGTGAGCTGCTCGGTCCTGTTCATCGTGGCCGTGTCCGTTGGGATAGTCGTCTGGTTACGCCTTCGACATGATCGACTATCACTGGCGATGGCTGAGGCCAGAGGAGTGAGATACACGCGTCGTTCTCATAGCGCACTCGGCAGTATCACCGATCTCTCACGGGACATCTCTTCATTGCGATCCCACGGACAGCTCCCCTATGCGATCCCCTATGAGTGGACGCTGCTGGGGTCCAAGGAAAGCTTTCATTCTCCAAAAAAGTTACAACAAAACAGCGGTACAGAGAAGGTCCAGAAGAGAAAATCTCTGCGACATACACTATCCAAAGCAAAATCGCAACGGGGACTGCTCCAGAAGCCGATCCCTCTTAGTTCCCTGACGACAATGCCAACCATGACAACAATGACAGACATGTCAGAGAAGGCCCCAACAATCAAAGAACCCGACCCAAAGGAAAAGGAGCCTGTATCGACTATAGAAGGCGTTTCAGAGCTCCCTGCAGAACAGACTCCGCCGCATACTCCTGGCAGGGAGAAGGAAAAGGAGAGCGTTCCAGACCTTATGTCAGGTCGTCCAGCATCAACCGCCTGGCCTCTAGCCGTTCAAGCACAACGGTCGAGTATGATGCCGCAGTTTGACAGTCAGTTTGGGATGCTTGAATGTCCATCTTTGAGGGTACACGGGGGCAGTATTACTGCACAGTCTCCAGGAGCAGCCCCAGAACAGCCAATGCCGCCTCCGCCAGTTGCTCACCTACCAAACCGCTATTACATGACCAAAAACGATTCCCTAATGCGATTGTCATCGTTGAGTTTGGACACCGCTGATAGTTCCATTCTGGACGATGGCAGGAGAACTTCACTGTCGGGGGACAGCGAGTGGAACTCGCCAGCTTTGCCACCATGTCCAACATTCGGTTCATACAATCAATACACTGCAGCATCGACAGATCGAAATGCCAGCCGCTTTGCTGCAGAGAGAGGTTCTCTTTCTCGCAGACAACCTTCGCTCAATCTCCAATTCACTCATCCCGCGCCTAACTATCATCGCAGAACGGACCCGATGGGATATTCTCCCCGTAGGAGTCTGACGACCCGACAACCTGGTTATCCGCTGGAAAGAATCAGTGAGATTCCACGCAGGAGCGGCACAGTCCTCGCGCCTCCACGTCGCCGGGAGACTGCTTCTACCCGACCGAGATCGCAAACCACCAGCGCACATCCTTCTCCCAACTCGTCACCCATATTCTCAACCACTGTCGGTCGAGATACATTCACCCAATACCAAGTCCCTCCGCCACAAAGACATACAATGTACGACGGCCACCGGGCAAGAACAGACCAATTAATTGATCCCGCCATACTCAGAGTCATCACAAGGGGCGATAGTATTCCTGACAATACGATGGCAACCCAATCATTGAATAACAGCGGCTTACGCTTGAGAGATAGCCCAGGAAAGGCGCCCCTCCATTCGGCTCTGAAAGGCTCACAGGCCGCCCGGAAGGGACATAGAAGGCAGAACTGCGTGCGCATATCGATACATCCGCCAATCACTTTTGGAGGGCCAGTATTTTCGCCTATGATCGAAGAACCCGAGGATATCTATGATCTTGAAAAGGGCAAGGGTAGAATATCCGATCCGCCTGGTTCGAACCGCAGTTCATTCGCCTCCCAGAGCAGTCCATCGAAACGACGTAGCCGACACCAGTCAGCTGATGTTGCTCAGATAATTTCTCAAAAACTGGCAGAATCTCCAGACGTCAACTCTCACCAAGCATCGTCGAATACGTCCCGCAAAAGGCGACATTCGCCGAGCGAATTTGGCGATGACCCTTTCAAGGGCGACAACGGAAAGGGTGTTCCCGAGATGTTCTCTTCTGCTTCTTCTTTGGGATATAGCCTGTCGAGAACACCATCTCCGCAGAAGACGGAACCTTTGTGGACAATTCCCTACGATCCGATTTCTCCCAAGTTGTTCACCAACTCTCCCGTGGGTAGTCCACGACGTTCGGCGGTCAGAGGGCCTCGAAGCCAACCCGCCAAGTCAGCGAGAAATAGCGTTTCCTCTGTAGGGACAGTGAATTCGGCAGCAGTGTCACCACTTTTTGGATCAAGGAACAGAAATCCTCCCTCGAGACGTCCGAGCAACAAGGATAGCGGCAAACTGACCATAGCACAACGTCGATTAAACACCGAAACCAAGGACCTGACTCTGGAGCATATCCGCAATCTGTCGAAAGGGAACAGCTACACCCCAAGCCCTCGTATGATGCCGGGTATGACAAAGAAAGGCCTTGCCACAAGTGCCAGTGATATAAGTATCTGGGAGGATGCCAGCGTAACGACATCACCCACTAAACTGTCACCAACGAAAGGGACCACGTTGTCTCCAATCGGCTCGGAAGATCTAGACACCTTTAACACCAACGCCATAGCTTCACCCAGGACCGAACCACCACCCATTGCAGGCAAGAAAAGAAGCAGAGCATCTGTCATGTCGACGGAGAGCAGCACACCTCAAGGCTTTACGCTCACAACGCCCAAGGGCAAGACGATGGGCCTAGGTATTGGATGTGCAACGCCGGCGAGTCTATACGATCGAGACGGCTTTCTGAAGGAATAATCAACAACACTCCTTTTTTTTTTTTTTTTTTTTTTTTCTTTCTTTTCAACTGATTGCATCTGGAACCATGTTTGGCTTCATATTTTCTTGCTAACCCAGTTGGGGTCTTATCGGCGCATGTCAGCCGGAGTTTATCTCTTCTTCTTCTTCTTATTCATTGTGTTCTATTACCCCCATTCTGTTCACTCCCGATTTTATTTTAATACTTCGAGTACTTGCGTTGCAGCGCTTGATTTGTGCTCGTGTCGAGACTTCAGTTTTAACAAGAATACGCTTGCAACATCTTGCTAGTGATGTTCAGATAGGTGCATCGTATGTAGTAAATTAAATTATCTAGTGTCATATGCTAAGAAGAGCCCAGGAACCAAGTCTGTAGGAGGATGTACTTAGCAAATTGCCTTTCAGATAATGATAAGTATACTCTTTTTGAAATTGCTTACTCAACCTCAGCTCAATATTATCTAGGTCCAGAAAATGACGCTTTTTGAGAAGTTTCTTACCACCTAAAAAAGGAAATCTAACCACAACCACTGAAAAAAGCTCATATTATCGCCCGCTTCTTTTCTCGGGGGAAAGTAGGCTCGGATACTAAAAGACACCTCTTCCTGCTTTTGGCGGGTAAGGTTTTACTCCTTTACTGATGCCTTAAAGAAGATACTCGGGGAGAATTCGATAAATATGTAGCCAGTCATACAACCAGATATAAAACAACCTCTCTACTTCTGGCAACGTAGATCTTACTCTGGTTTCCTACCATAAACCGCCCAACTAAGAAAGTTAGCAACATTCCACCCGAACCAAAATCACTCGATCATTGCCTTACAAGTCCATGATTGCGTGAATATCGCGATTCTTCAGATCGTTTCTAGCTCCCGCAGCGAGAACCTTTACCTCCTCTGGCTTCCATGTTTCGTATCTCGTTAACACGGCCATAGCCCCTCCCTCGAAAGCTTCTGTGACAGCTATACGAAGCCAAGCACCGAGTTCTTTCTGTTGATTGTTAGTGGAAGTCTGTATTATTCCTGATGAAGATAGAAAAAGATAATCACGCACGTAGTGTTTGTTCTTCGGCCAGACGCTCATTGGTATAGGGTATTTCTGAGCATGGATATCGACAAAGCCAGCTTCGCGGAACCACTGCTCGAGATATCGACCGGGACTTGCTGGATATCCTGCCTTTTCGAACGCGTCTAGGACTGCGTCGTAATATCGTTGAAGTGCAGTGCCCTTTAGACTACCGTCTTCTGATCGAATCCGGCAATCCCAGTCCTGAAACTCTACGTAGCCGCCTGGTTTCGTGCAACTTGTAATTCTATTAGTATCAGGATATCGACAAAGAGAGAAAGAGAGAGATATGGAACAGCTCACTTGTAGGCTTGTTGTATCAACTTCTTAAAATTCTTGATCGAATGACAAAGGTATCTGGCATGGATAAAGTCGAATGGAGTGCTTTCGTAACCCCATTCATCTTCAATGTCATCGACCAGGAACTTCAGATTAGGGGGAACACTTTAACGTTTTGGTATTAGTTCTCTTGTATAACGACCCTTCTTCCATCATTGGAAGGCAAGGGAACTGGATACGATACTCACAGAGACGGTTGAATGGGGCTCAAGTCATTTCCAATGACCTAGTTAAAAGGAATATCAGTCATGTTGTGAGTCTGGCGTAGAGAAAGAAGTAATTATTTAATTCACCTCCGCAGTTGGAAATTTGTCGGCTTCGTAGTAATTCAGTACTTATCAGCTGCAGAACAGTTTAGACGGAAGGAATAATTGTAGCCTACCAAAGTCAATTGCCCATATCCCAGTTCCGGTTGCAAGATCAATAACACGCTCTGGGGAAGAGATGGGCGCTAAGAACAGTTTCCCTCCCATCGCCTTTAAGCATAGCTCATGCGCTAGATCTAGACGGTCAGACTCGTCTTCGTCATTTGGTAGAAGGTAGCCTTGCAGATAGAATGCAGTTAGCAGGGAACTTTATGTCGTGCATAGAGAGAGAGAGAGAGAGAGAGAGAGGTAATTAATATTACTTCCGTCGCGGTAAGCGTGATAGCGTCGTCCATTCTCAATACGGTAATCCTGGACAGAAGAGGTCAGAGACGCAGAGTAAGTAGATCTGGCGAAAGAGGTATCAGCTATATTCGAAATATATGGGTTATGACAAGTCGCGTACATCTCATCTCCATAAGTAGAGTCATCGTCTATGGCCTAGAGTTTCGAACTGGGGTTAGAATCCAGAGAATATCAACTTGTCGCGGTGGATTCATTTACTAACATGAGAGTCAAGTTCAATGGCAATGGCGTTCCTGCTGTTGTTCTCCCCGCTAGAGCGTTGTAGTCTCTGGGTATCCGCCATCGTCAAGTGTTTCAATCTCGTGCCTTGCACTGTGCAACCCTGTGAAACACAGAAGTATGAAACACTTCGAATCCCTGACAGCAGGGGTATAAGAACTGACGTGGCTAGCAGATGGGAGGCCAATGCGGACAAGTGTAAATAAGTGTGATGGTCCGTGAACTAGGGGCATATAGAAGAAGTTGTTCATGCCAAATGTGGAAATATACTAGGCAGTCAATTGATAAGTTCAGTAGTGATCGTCCAATGTTCGTGAATGTCATTGGCTCCGGATAGCATTGGCCTCTCGACAATGGCAGAGCCCCGATTGATTCTGAGTTAACTAACTTAGTCCATCGCACTCCAACTGTGAGAGAAAAGCTTCGCAATTGCGATTCGTCCGGGGGACTTTTCCGAGTTTCCTACGAAGTAGGTTACGCGACGCTACTTATCCCGGGGCCATGCTACCGGACATATATAGACAAAAACATAGCTCTCTGTGGTATCTACGCTGAGTGAATACTGTAATAAAATACACGGTAGATTGAATGTGTCGTCTAATAAGTAACGAAGGCTAAATTGTTCCATCCAGAACAGATCTACTGGTTCGAAAGAACCGACATTCTGCAGTCTGCAGTATTCCAGGATAAATCTTTAATAGTGATGATAATAATCAATTAGCATTGGGAACAAAATAATGGTTGCCAGGACCATGAAGATACTATGCCAGTTTGTTCCTGCTGAAATTCCACGCAGAGAAAGTTAGCTGGGGCCAAGATGTAAAAGTCGAAGACAATACAGGTCGCTTCAGGTCAGTATGTATTCTCCAATTGATATGGAATTTTTTAATAAGCAGAAAGGAGTTTGCATTGCTCGTCAGAGATGTCGTTGTTTTTTTTTCCAAGGAGATCAAGCAGTAGCTATGTTCGCTTGCCCAAGACTGGGTCGAATTCCCGCCGAGCTCAATAAATCTCGTTGGTGATGCTTCACATCATGAGTGCTTGTAACCAATGCATATGTGATACTTATGTCAATATGGCAGCACTCTCTGGTGCTTTGAAGAACAATACAATGGCAGTGATGGACTCGTACAGATGGCTAACTAAGTACTCCTCCATGCTCTGGCGCAGGATTTGCTCTGGAAGAAGTCTAGACTCTAGGCCAGGCTCTAGAATAGGCTCACGAGAAAAGTTTAAGGGCAACCGAATGTCACCAATGCAGTTAAATTTTGCGTCTAAAGACTCTTTACTGGCACCATCTGTAATCGTATTGATTTAGAACCCACATTAATCATAGGAATTCTGGGATGTGCACTATACGAAGGTAATTTTTCTGTTTGTTCTTACTATGTGATACAGGCTTATATCCAATTCAGCGGGTTTATACACCAATGCAAAATATGAGAATAGGTATGTGCTACCGGATTGAAAACAGGAAAGGAATCCTATTCGAACAGAATATTGATAGTGCCTGTTTCAATAGTTGGCTTCCAATCCTCAGAGGTCTAACCTGCAGCATTTAGTTATTAGTGGAATATTTCTTTCCACGGCTTCCGGAGTCGTTAATCTCGTTTGTACGATTAATATTATACCTACCTAGACAACCATACGACGAGCTTGAAACTACTCGAACAGGCTTATTCAAGGATACATTCTTGACAAACGTTCCCGGCTGCGATTCACACGTGGGGGAATTGGAGTTTACCCTCTTCGTCATAATCTGTACATTGACATGTAAGACCAGTCTCTATAACTCGAAGACTGTCTAGACATTTCTAACAGCGATATAGGGATCTCGGGTCTTGTGGTTCAGTATAAATATGATCATCGCGACGTAAATCAGGCAATTGACATTGAGGATACGGTTGTTGCCAAATCTCTACTCTTGTTTTTATATTGCATTGATTGATTGCCAATTCTCCAATGACAGCCCAGTACTGGATTGTTCGGTCTCTTGGATTTGGACCTGGGCAGCTTGCGTCGATTGTTGGTCTTTGGTAAGTATGTACATAAGCCTTGCTAGGTTGTTTCTCCGTCGTTTATTTGCTGATATTCCTCCGAGAAACAATATATACCTAATGAAAGCTAGATTAGTTAGATTAAGTTGGGAAATTGAATAAACCAGTATATGTTGCTCATGGATAATACCGCGTTATAACTGCCCGACGGAGCCTGTTTCTTTGTATTTATTACATATCCCTAACTACAATTTATCTATCTCGCACGAGACGATAAGATTAGATCCTATTTTGGCCATTTTAATCCGGTATAGTCATTGTTGGTGACACGATTAGCGATTGGTTTTTATGATATCTGAGACCAGTTTCTCCTTCGGAATAAATGCATAGTAATGGCACACATTAGAGCTTTATTTCCTCTTAAAAAAGTACTTTCTTTTCCATATCCCGTAACCCCATAGAACACAAAACAAAATTAATCTGTTCTCCTCCACTTCGTCTCCTCTCCATTTCCTGTCTCTTCATTTCCATCCGATGCAGTTTCCTCCTCTCTGGTCCTAACAGATCCCGCTCCCGGACCAAGCGACAAGTTGGGCTCCTCCCCTCCACCGATCCAATTCCCCTCCTCGTCAAAATATTCATGCATGTTCTCCGCCGTGATCCATCCTGAGCTTCCATTCGCCGGAGGAGGAAGGCCACCGTCGCCGCTGCCCGGCGCGATCAGCCCAGCCTGATAAAGCGAGGAACCCTGTAGGGCGCCCCCTTCGTCATCCTCGTCCTCTTCACCTGCGGCGGTTGGGTCGGGATGTAAATTCGAACACGCAGATACAGCAGCAAAGAGGAGCTGCGTAGGAGTCTCCGGCTTCTCGGTGATGTCTTCGATGGCGCGTTCCGCGGCCGTCACGGTGGATGTCTCCGCAGAAGTCGTTACGGCCGTTTCGCTCACGGGAGGTGGGACGACTGTGAGGCTAATACTTTCTTCTTCTTCGTCTTCCTCGGTGGGGGCTGAAGATGGGTGCGCAATCTGCATGTATAGACCCTGGACCTGGTCGGACGAGGGGTCGGAGGAAGGGAGGCGGAGGCGCTGGATTGCGTGTAGGGAGATAGAAGGGTAGGGAATCGCAACGCCGGTGCTGGTGGAGGGCCTGTAGAGGAGGAATTTTCTGCGATTTTGTTAGTTTATGATCTGTTCCTCGAAGCTGAGTATTTCGCGGAGGACAGGCAGATTAACGCGAATCCGTCCTATCTCATCGTGCCCCGTATTTTGCTTAGGAAAAGGAAGAAGGGAACATACTCAGACGTAACCCAAACATCGATACCATCAATGACGATCTCCTTTCCTTCCTCCTCTTCTCCATTCTGCGACACCGCAGCTTGACCCGAGCCGTTCACTCCGTTCTCGTTGCCAGTCGCGGTAGTGTTGCGCAAAACCTCACCGCGCATAGCATTAATGGCCGGCGCAGCGAGCAGATCCCTCTCCAGAATAACGACCTTGCATCGCTCGCTCACATAATGCAGGACAGGCGGACCGGAATAGAATGACGCGGGGGTGTGCGCTTGGTGTTCCGCCAGAGGGACGAAGGATGATGTTGAGGGGGGCGAGCGGAGGACTTCCATGGTGGTAATTTAGTTGAGGGATTGGATTGGATTGGAGAAAGGAAATCCCAATACCCAATTCGAATTTATAGTGCTGTATTGGTTGAGAGTTGTAATGTTAACAGAGGGGTTGCTTTTTGCGCGGGGAGGTCTGCCGCAAGCTTGAGAGCTCGCGAGATCTGATTCGGGGATGGCTGTTGCGGGATCCGAGCTTCGTTGGTCTTGAGCAGACCTCAACGGACAGTCTGGGATTGTGTGCTGATATTCCCTTAGAACAAGTCTTGGGTGGTTAGATTGGTTTATTGTGAGAGAGAAAACTTAATATTCGCAGTATAGCCTTTCTCTTCTAGTTCAATAAGTGATAATTTCGAGGGTTGTACTGAGATACGAAGCTTCCACCGCAAACAAGTCATTTCTACAGCATACGAGGCAGAATTCTATCGTCATTGAAAGAATCGATTAAGATAACTTCAACTGTTGGGTCTTATAAACTTACTAGGTACCCAAGATAGTAGGCCGACCAGGAAGGTATACAGACAGCTTAATTTCCAAGCTCTAGTACTACCAGCAAGCTGTCGTATACAATCGTTAATCTCCATGCATGCTGATGTATGCAATCAGAAACGGTATCAATAAACCACTGAACAACAGTGGCATAAGACCGATGGGTACCCTAGCTCGACGTCTTGGGTGTCTCTGGTATTCTAACGCAGAGTAGGATCCGAGGAGCTACCTCCAGCTGCAATCCAAGTAGTAATACTCCTGTCCGGATCACAATCCCACATGCCATTGTAGAAGAGACCCTCTGCCGGTGTGATGGACTTTCCACGAGAACAGACATCAATCTATGGTCCATGGACGAACCTGATGCCGCCATTGTTTGCATTGGGCGAAACGTAACAAGGCTGCAGTGATCGGGGTGGTTCGAGACATCACAACCGGTGACGCCTTGAGGAGACGCTGTCGCTAGAATCGACTGTCTAATATCGTCCAGATATTGTCCCGGGCAGTTCTCCATCTACTGCCCAGTACACGTGGCAGCTAGAACGGAATCACACTCATAGGCTTCCCTTGAGATATGTCCATCCTTGCTCATAGTACGCGACGCAACGCTCATAATTCACCGATGATGAGGTACCGCTCACTTCATATTCAGACCACCAAAGGCGCGATCAAGCTCTTCACCCTCATCCTTGGGTGCCACCACCGGCACTTCGGAGACTGCCTCATCAGGCTGACTATCCAGAAGACTGGGCTGTCGCTCATGCTTCGACTGACCCTGGGACGAAGACGGTTGCATTGGCTGGAGGAGCTTCTCCTCGCGATCCAGCCAGCCAGGAGCAAGACGTCTCTTCTCCGCGAGTTCTCTTTGCTGAATTGATTCCTCCCATTCCTTGATCGCAGTCTCTGCGTCTTGCAGGGTCTTCTTCAGGTGATCCTCCAGGGATTGACAGGAGGCGATGATCTCCTCGGGATGCGCCGCGTGACCACCGCTGGAGGAGACAACGTAACGGGCTTTGGCATCTGGATTGCTGGGATCGACAGTGACAGAAGGGGGAATGGTCGACGGAACCGACTTATAGGTGTAAGGCAGCGTCACTGCCGTGGGGAGGGAGATAAAAGGGGAGACAGTCAAAGGCACCTGGGCGAGAAGCGGATGGGGGCCTGTCGCGGGAACGTCATCGGTTAGTTCAGTTCAGTTCAGTTCAGTGTGAAACGAAGCATGGCGCAGGGAGACACTTACGATATGAATCGTACATGTTGAAACACGACGAACTGCCTTCTGGAAGAGGGAGAAGCGCCAGATCTGTATGGAGAGTACGAGGCCAGCTCTGGGGGTTGTTTGTGCCAAGCGGGGGGTGGTTTACTTATGGTATAAGTAGTAGATAGTTAACTTGACTTGCAACGGTGACCGCCAAAAGAATCCCCGCAGCTCCACTGGCAATGAATTAGTTCAACTAGTTATTCGAGACACACGGAGTTGAGCCTCATTCTGCGGCCACGAGTCCCTGTCGCAGAGATAATCTTATCGTTTCCTTGCCGGCTGAGACCTCTTCATTTCTCCATCTCTTTTCTTCTTCTGCCTCAGACTGCGAGCCTCTCTGGTCTCACTCAGTGACTGACCGGTTCTGTGTGCTGAAGCGCCCATCGCGTCGAGAACGGAACCAGCCCCTTGAGCGCCATTACATATCGGTCTCAGCAGCGGCCAAGAAGTTCGTTTTCCAGCTCCCGCCAACCCTTTGGCCATTCGCCTCTCTCTGCCGGACCCTCTGCGATTTTTCTTTCGACAGAATCTCGCCTCTCTACGTCGGATACGTCGATTGTGCCTGGTTGACTGTCCCAGAGCCCCTTTGTTTGCCTTTCTCCTAAAGTGTTGGACGGTCTTGTGCGAAGTCCCGCCGTTCGACTTAAACCCCGCCACAGCAGTCTTCCAGCGCAGTGGCAAACACAACCGGTCACAGATTCGATCTCGTAGCACGCAGAATCTCGCAGATTGAGCTTCACTGGACAGGGACTCTATCAGTATGGCGCAAATCGAGCGAGCGGTGACGGAGAAGAAGCCGGTCCCGGAGATCGACTTCACTTTGCATACTATGGAAGATGGCACACAGGTGTCAACGCAGGAGAGAGTGTGTAAAGGTATATCCCGCATATGGAGATTCCCCCTGATCGCGTGGAGATGCTGATCTGATATGTCCAACAGAGGTGCAAGCACCCGCTCTGAACGTCCCTAGCGATGAATCCTTCTGGTCGCCTCAGGACCCCTCCAAGCCTAACCTTCAATTCCTCAAGCAACACTTTTATCGCGAGGGTCGCCTGACAGAGGAGCAAGCATTATGGATCATCAATACCGGAACTCAGTTGCTACGGTCGGAGCCCAACTTGCTCGAGATGGATGCGCCCATTACGGTGTGCGGTGACGTGCACGGTCAGTACTACGATCTGATGAAGCTGTTCGAGGTCGGTGGAGACCCGGCGGAGACACGATATTTATTCCTCGGAGACTACGTCGATCGAGGTTATTTCAGTATTGAGGTAGGTGACAGGCCTGAGCAAGCGTGAGGATGCAGCGCTGACTCCCCGCAGTGTGTGCTGTATCTCTGGTCGTTGAAGATCTGGTATCCGAACACACTCTGGCTGCTTCGTGGAAACCATGAATGCAGACACTTGACAGACTACTTCACATTCAAACTCGAATGCAAGCACAAGTATAGCGAACGCATCTACGATGCATGCATGGAATCTTTCTGCGCGCTGCCGCTGGCTGCCGTCATGAACAAACAGTTCCTGTGCATCCATGGCGGCCTGAGCCCAGAATTGCATACGTTGGAAGATATCAAATCCGTACGTTGTCACAAAGTTATCACTTTGCTGTTTTACGAACCTAGCCTAACTTAATGATACAGATTGACCGCTTTAGGGAGCCACCGACGCATGGTCTCATGTGCGACATCCTGTGGGCGGACCCTCTGGAGGAGTTCGGCCAGGAGAAGACCGGTGAATACTTTGTCCACAACCACGTCCGAGGTTGTTCGTACTTCTTCTCCTACCCCGCCGCCTGTGCTTTCCTTGAAAAGAACAATCTGCTGTCCATCATCCGAGCACACGAGGCTCAGGATGCTGGCTACCGGATGTACAGGAAAACTCGCACGACGGGTTTCCCTAGTGTCATGACTATTTTCAGCGCTCCAAACTACCTGGATGTGTATAACAACAAGGCCGCCGTGCTAAAGTACGAGAACAATGTCATGAACATCCGACAGTTCAACTGCACCCCTCACCCATACTGGCTTCCGAACTTTATGGACGTGTTTACCTGGTCGCTCCCATTCGTGGGGGAGAAAATCACAGACATGCTGATCGCTATTTTGAACACCTGCTCCAAGGAAGAGCTCGAGGACGAGACGCCGTCCGAAGTATCTCCCACCGCCCCTGCATCGCCGCCTCTTCCTGGGGACCCAGAAAGCAGCGAATTTAAGAGACGAGCGATCAAGAACAAGATCCTTGCCATCGGCCGTCTTTCTCGTGTTTTCCAGGTGTTGCGTGAGGAATCTGAGCGCGTCACTGAGTTGAAGACTGCTTCTGGTGGCCGTCTTCCCGCCGGTACTCTGATGCTTGGTGCAGAGGGTATCAAGCAAGCTATCCATAACTTCGAGGATGCGCGTAAGGTTGACTTGCAGAACGAGCGCCTGCCTCCTACGCAAGAGGAGGTTTTCAAGAGAAGCGAGGAGGAAAGGCGGGCCGCTCTCGAGAGAGCCACCCAAGAGGCGGACAATGATGCTGGTCTGGCCACCGTCGCTAGGCGAATTAGCATGTGAGTGCTGGCCTCAACCTTTGCCCTTCGACAATTGACGATTCTAACTCTTGACAGGTCTGCTGGTTCTGGCAAGAGCCGTCGTAGCAAAGATGCCGCCAAGGAACCTAAGGAAGCCTGAGTGCATTGCCCAAACTAGTTATACTCTTGACAAGCGGGTTAGCATTCGGTCATATATGCTTCGCATCAGATCCCGTGTTATTGAATCATTCATAACGGCTCATTCTCCTATCTAGACATGGTGGCGGTGCATCCGGCTGGCGGCGTCAGCGGATGGAGGGCAGGTCTGGGGCATGGCTTCTGTTCGACACCTGACGAATTGGGATGAATGAGTCGTTCCTTGATGATATTTTACTATGACAGAAGTGCAGTGGAGCGAGATACCAGTATTCTTGGACAGTCTCCCGGGCGTCCGTGACGTCTCGGGCATATTGAATTGACGATTACATAGCCGAAGCATCTGGATTAGTTACCTGGGCGTATATATGCGCTGTGGTCGTGTTTTAAGTTTTATCCCGGAAGATTCCCGCGTGTTAGAAAATCCCAGCATATTCAATTGTAGCCTCTGATCTTCATTTTCCTTGTAGATAAGTATGTTCCTGGTAAGCCTTGTTCATTCTCCACGGCTGGACGCGCCAAGCACTTCCGACGCCCGCCCGATTCGGCCATGCAAACTAACCGCCAAAGCTTCCGCAACTTCCCTGCCGTTCCTGGCCATCTTCTCCCTGGGGGAGGGACAAATCCCACTGACGCTGCTCTCCTTCTCACAGGCATTTTCTTGCCCTCTACACCTCCAATGCCTCCCAATCTGGGCGGCCCTCTCCGGAGGAACCTGTCGCGTCTCACGACCGACGGGGCTGTTTTCTACTGTCCGTCCTGCGCAACCTGGCGACGGACTCTGTCGACCACAGCCGCGACGCGCGCCGTCACTCGACGAGATGCCACTTCCTCACCATCTTATTCCATATATCGCCGTCCGGCCTCGACCCTAGCGACATCTTCAGCTATCAATGCAAGCAAGAATGTGCCCCCGCAGTACAAGGATCTGTATGATGCGCTGGATGAAGTGAGGGAAGCCGCTGCGGAGCAGGTCAATCTAAGTCGATTGCAACTTGCGCAGAGGGGGTTGGAGTCGGAGACGCCGGTCATTCGGATTGCAGGTATGTTATCTTGCTATGGGGAGAGTTGCACTATCGGTAATAAGGACGGCGTTGACTTTTTTTTGTTTCGTATTCCAGTGCTCGGTCTCAATGATGCGGTTGCGACGCGCAGGCTGGTCCGATTGCTCCTTGCAGACCCGTTGAAACCGAGAGAAGAATGGGAGGATTTCTTAGAATCTTACGAGGCGGATACTTCGAGAGGTCTACTCATACGGTATGTATTTCATGAATGACCCGTCTGGACTTTGACGAGTGATTTAACATGGAGTGCAGATACGGAGAGGAGTCAGAAACACTCCCTAACGATTTAGTACCTACCATTTCCGTGCCATCGAGGATCTTACAGAAGGGGAATATTGAGATTCTAGTTAGCAGTTTGGGAGCGAGTGCAGAGCCGACTGGGGTTGTCACGGCGGATACATTCCTTGTTCCGACGGTTACGATTCGTACCTCGCACAGCGGTCGACACAATTTCGTCCGATATCCAGTACACAGGAGTCTTCTGTGTGGACGAGGTGTTGACGGTTTCTTCGCTTACAGCAGACTCATTTCTCGGTCTGTTCTGGGGAAGGAGGAGGACTCTGTCCATGCAGCAGTGGATCTGTCAGTCAAGGACAATGAAGCGAGGGGTAGCAGATTTTCGTTTGTGGACATCGACCAGGCCGAGAAGGCCCTTGAGAAGTTCCGTGAATCGGTCCAGAATGCCACTGAGTACGAGCGTGGATGGAACGCAAGCGGAGTTCAGCCGCTGGTAGATTGGCTCGCCTTAACGCAGATGAGCGAGAAACTGGATCCATCGCTGCGGACCCTCATTGAGTCGTTGCTCGATGCTGCTGAGGAGGGAGTAAAAGCTAAAGAAGCCGCAAGAGCCCGACGGGAAGAACTGCAAACCGGTCCTGATGATGAGGTACGGGACCAGCTCGACCGTGCCGTCTCGATCTGGGCGGAGAGAGCACACACTGAGCTGCGTGACGCTCTTGGAGAGGGTTTCGCCAGCAAGCGTTGGCGCGGACTCTCCTGGTGGAAGCTCTTCTGGCGTGTCGACGATGTCGGCATGATCACGACCGATATCCTTGAGAAGAAGTACCTCCCCCAGGCCGAGAAAGAGGTCATCTGGACGGCAGGCAAGCTTCAACAGGCGGGGCTTCTTGACGAACCTCATAGCAACCTGGAAGATCTACCCCTCGAGAGTGTTTCAGAGGGCCCTGAGACAGGCGAAACCGTCGTTGCGGAACAGGGACAGGAACCCGTCCCGGTCCCTGAAACTGCCACTACACCCCCTTGGCCAACACTGATCACAACCAGCCGCATGCAACTTCTCGACACTACCGTCCCATCCCTCCAGGCTCTGGCCCAGCGCCTCGTCCTCTTCAGCGTTTCCACCTCGACCATGACGTCCGCTCTCTCCGGACTGATCTACATCTCCACATCAGCCACCTCTCTCTATGAAGCCTGCACTGTCGCTGCGGTCGGGCTGATCTACTCTCTGCGTCGCCAGCAGACGAAATGGGAAGCGGCCCGTCACTTCTGGGAGGAGGAAGTGCGTGAGGAAGGCCGTACTGCGCTCAAGGAGACGGAGCAATTGCTGAGGACCTTGGTTCGCGAGGGAGGAAAGCGGATCGCGGAGGCAGACGAGGAGGATGTCTCTCTGCAGCAGGTCAAGGCTACGATTGAGAGAGCGAGAAAAGCTCTTGAAGATGTAAAATAGATAAGGATATCATGTTTCAATGGCATTGAAATTTAGGTTTACCTTTTGCACGTGTGTCCGTATTCCCCAGATGTGACGAAGTTTCTTTTTCTTAATGACAAGCCCTGCATATCGCATCCCTATCAACCAACAATGCATATAATAACCGTCACATCATGGATTTGCTCGTCGGCTCCACACTTAAAAGGATGATTCAATTAAGTAATCTCAACCGCATCCTCCGGCACGCCCTGTCGACTTCTCAACCGTCTCGCGAAGAACTGCATAATAGGCATCATCTCCTCCCGACTACGAGGCATGCCATCACCTTTCCTAGCATAGCGATGAAGTTCCACAAATTCGAAGACGTTTTTGGTCCGTTGCACCGCAGTGTCCGTCACGACGGGTGAGTCGCGGCCAGCGACGAGGAGGACGGGCGTTCGACTCTTGGATCCCATCGTGCTACCTGAGAGGGGGTAGGGCGCGCCAATGGATATGATTCCTGAGAGTTCTTTATCTGTTCCTGTTGAGGATGTCGTCTTGCTTAGTTCTCGCGCGGCGACGAGACCGGCCATTCCGCCCTGGCCGAAGCCGAGGATCATGATTTCGCGGGGACGGTAGCCGCATTTTTGAATGAGGATGTTATGGATGACGTCGTCGAGGATGAGTTTCACGGCGCGGTTGAATCCCGCGTCCATGTCGAGACCGCCGGTGGTGGAGTCGAAGGACACATCGTCACCCCAATGGAAGCCGGGGAGGTCGAATGGTAGTTTTGTTGGTGCTTGGAGGGTGAGGATGGTTGTTTCGGGGAGATTGAGGGCGCGGCCGAAGGAGGTGAAGGATGTAGCGGTGTCGCCTAGTCCGTGGAGTAGGAGGAGGATGTTTGGGGATGGGGACGATGACGATGGTGGGGGAGGAGTGATGGTCACTGTGAGGGAGGGAGGGAAGTCTGATGAGAGGGGAGCTCTCGTGGGCATGGTTTTCGTCGCGTTGTTTTTTTATGGGCTTTTTGCCCTTCAATTGATTGCTTAAAGGACTTGTTTCTTTGCTCAACTGCCGTTTTGATAGTGGCGTCAAATCTTTAGATTGTAGCTGTGAAGACCACCGAGGGAATTAAGTGACAGCTCGTAGCCGTCCGTGCTGTTTTGATGCTATGCTACTTGAATGATGATGTCTGACGCCTGGTTAGTGTGAAATTACAATAGTTTGGTCGACTCGAAGACGTACCTTTGGAAGCCACAGATTATTTACTTAGTAGTACTACTAAATTGCTGCTCACCAGCTGCTCTAGAACAATCGAACAATCGGCAGGGCAAAGTCGAAAAGCTGAGCCACAGCTGAGGCGGTGCAACTCCACTCCACTTCTGGAATTTCTTGGCTGATCTGTTTATGACTGCACTCTTCTACAGCTTCAAGCATAATAACAATGATATCGATAGGATAAATATGATAATCGACAGTATACCAAACACCCTGACAAGAGGCACGAATCGTTCGAAGAGCAAGAAGGAAGTGAGAGACGACGTCAGATTGGAGCGCACAGCCAAGATGTCGGCCGCTAAAACAAGCCTTTTGGCCAACTGAGCCAAGCTGACGATCGATCGTGGCCAGTGAGACGACCCATCGAAACTAAAAGTAGACGCCACGAGGTCCACGATCCGTACCTTCGAAGAGAGCAGCCGTTGGCATTTCGGTAAGTAATAACGACGACGACTGGGGTGCTGGCATTAGCCATGGTCACTCGACCATGGTACTTTGACAGCTTCCAATAGGAGTGTACAGAGTACCTTACGACGGACCGTGGATGATAGACACACGACATCGTGGATACATTCTGCTTGCTTGAAGCTGAGGGAGGATGCTGTCGACCAAGTAACGCCCTCCGTTGAATCCTGATGACGACGCGGGGCCATGATTACCACTGATCCCCAGGAGTAGTGCCACTCAGCCATACGCCACGGCGCCTGGTCAATTCGATTTGACCTTCTGTAACTGACCTGCGATTGACGAGCTTTCGAGCAGAGGTAGATAGTGGGCCTGGAGCACGAGGATATGAACTCAATGGAGCTCAGGGAAGATGATGTAGACGAGGGGCAGCTCCGTACCTATAAAAAGACTGCCCCTGCCCCAACTGCCCTTCTCCCCCTCGATCAATTCTAACGCTTCATCCATCATAAACGATCTGAACAAGCGCCACGAGCGGAGCTCCGTTAATTCCCTTTTCTAACACATACCGCATACCACATACATCTTCCATATCCTGACAAAATGGGTTTCGGCTGGGGTACGTAATATCACATGCTTTTATGTCCCTCGTTATGCTTTAGGCCTTCTCAATTCACCCATCTATCATCGACTTTCTGTTTCCCATAATAGAATGCCGCTAACATTTCTACAGGAGAGTCCGAGGAGGCCCACAGACAGGTCTACCGTGGTGAGGGCGAGCAGCACGAGGGCAAGTTCTCCCACGAGCTCATCGCCGGTGCTGCCTCATTCGAAGCCTTCAAGAAGTTCGAGGACCACCAGCGCAAGGAGGGTATGTTGTTCTAAACCTTTTGTCCCTTTCGATCTATATGCATCCAACATACTAATGTGTTCACTTTCGACAGGCAAAACCGTTAACCACACCTTCGCCAAGGAGCTCCTTGCCGGCTTTGTCGGTGGTGAGGTCGACAAGCTCGCTGAGACCAAGGGACTCGACGAAGTTGACAAGATCCGGGCTCGCGAGCAGGCCAAGAAGAATGCTGAGCAGATGTACGATGACCACTACCGTGATGCCGATCAGTATGACCCCAACAGATACGGCCCTCCGGACCGCTTCAACTACTAGGCTGGAACATGATCTAGATAGAAGTGTGGTATTCACATTATAATGAATGGAATGAATGATACATTATATGAACTTCTGAATTTGATAATGGCTGCGGAATAAACCGTAAGATGCTACTATAGCTGTCACTACTCCAGATAATACTGAAGTATGATTTGTGATCGCTATCACCATCTATGAATTCAATGCATAAAGGCTCAAGATTACGACCAATTCATGGCAGAAGTAGTGACTATCGCTGCCAGGTGAACGAGAACGATATCGACAAGCAGTGACTGGACTGGGATGCAGGAACATGCCACCAGAGCCGAAAGCATTCACAAACAGCCCCTCAAGGAACCCCGTTCAATCCGGTATAAAACCTATCCAGTATCCCAGGAACCTGTCTTTCCATCTCTCTACACTATGGAAAGGCTTCCCATAAACTGCTGCTATACTAGTTATGACCAGTTAAGGGTTAAAGTAGCATATAGCCGTTTGTATAGTTTTGAGCAAAACTCAACAGCTCCTTTTGAACTATTTTACCGCTGGTTTTTAGGTCGGCCTATTAATGCGCAACCGTCGGAACCAAGACCGCGTTATACGTTCGTATCTTCTTACATTCTTTGGGCTCCGACACCATCAATAAATGGAAGAGTCAGTAAATGGAAGAAACTGCAGAAGCGAAAGCAGCCCTCCACCATGAGAAGGAGGATGAAGAAGCAGTGGGACTTAGGAACTTGTCTCGGAGCATTCTTCAGAAGATTATTGCTCAGGACATCCGGGTCTACTTGATCTGGTTGGCGTTATACGGTCACGGCGAGCGGTATCTCAGAGGATGCAAGCCGAAAGCACCAGACACAGAGACTGCGATTCCCAAAGGAGCAATAGGATGGGGCTTCGCGACCTTGGGGACACAGGAATGGTTCGACAACAGAACGTACCAAACCAAAAACATGGTCAAGACCAACGATCCATTTCTTTTTCAAGTAGCATACAATGCTACAGATACTATAACTAGTAAAACGCAAGGGTCAGATCCGATCTGATATATTCCTCGCGACTGTGCGACTGCGTCGCGCCATTATATCAGGAAATGGATCATTCAGTACCTCGCTTCCTTATGATGCATTAAGAATCGGTTACCAATCTTGATTTTTCCAAGATCCGAGTTCGATGTTGGGGACACAAAATTTAAATATTTTTGGTACCCTCCCCTCCCTAATTTACGAGTATTAATATATGCTAATCAGCTATCATTAAGCTGCTAGTACAGATCACAGTGAAGATGTTGAGATTTGGATCACAGAAGCAAAGAGTCCTGCTGAAAACGTAGGTAAGAATGAAAGATCTCAAATTGTTTGCTATCTAAATTGACCGGAATCTAACGGATATTTATGTTTTCCTAGACCTAATTATCATGATGAATCCCTTTCTGCTGCTGCCTGGAATATGGTTCACCGGAGTTGAGCCATGGTACGGTTAATTAATAGGTGATACTGCTTATCCGTTGTTTCGGATAGCTGCGATAGCAGGTACAGCTCGGCTTCATACAGAGGTCTGGGTTCCGACAGAAGATGATGATTTACAACAGGTTAGTATTTCTCAATTATCAAAGTCTTCACTATTACACTTATCTGATATCGATATCACGAGTACTGAATATGTGTATGCATTTCGGGCAGAGTCTTTGGCTCTAACAATAGAAAACACGCGATAACAATATCTTAGGGATCCGCATTATGCACAAACTATTATCAACAAATACCCTGTTAACATCTCTAGCTGATATGAACTTGTCCATTTAGCACTAATAAAGGCTAATGGATATGTTCAGTTATCCGATTAGGGAGCAAATAAATCTGCTATTCTACAAGAGGTTGTATTATAGGCTGGCGGTACTTATTTACAGTATATCCAACAATAGGTGTGTCTGGCCCTCTAGCGTTTGGTGATGTGGTAGACTGAACTAGACGAGGTCGACACCGATTTTGGGGATTTACTTTGGCCCAAACCAGAGTTATATAGTAACTTGGACCTTCTTTTGCTGCATAAAATCTCGCTGCTACACGTTCGCCGTAAGTTTATTCAAAAGCTCTCTTTCGGTTCACGGTCTTAGCCTTGGGACTAAATAATTAACGTCAAGTCCGCGCTGATTTGGCTTAAGGAGCCTCCTATCCATCCCAAAGCCAACTCTCCCCTAAATTATGGCGTTCTTACCAATTTAAGGATATCGCCAACGGCTCATATATTATTTATGATCAGCTTCTTTTCTTTTCTAAACACCAAGTCAAAAGGGAATTGGGCTATCGCAGTGCCTAATGCAGACACGCGAGACATATTCTCTTATCTACTCCAAAGTGTGGCCAGAAAGAATAGCTTGCTATACTCAGCAAAGACTTAATGGCAGATCCGGATCAAGAATAAACGTCCCTGGGGGGTAGGTTGGATCCTTAGTATAGGATGCCGTTGGATAGCGCGCCGCCGCGACCGAGTCTCTCGCTTCAATGGGGAACAGGAGCTGCTGAGCTGAGTAGGTGAGGTGTTCAATCGAGGGTCGAATGAGGGGGGGGCGGGAGCTTCAAGAACAGGCAATGTGTAGCCCTACTGAAGGTTCATACCCCCATGAGATCACTGTTAACTCCGCCTGCATCGTCCTGCTACAAGCCATCTCACATCTGGCATCAGGTGAGGATGCCGAATGGTTCCTCGAACCAGCACAGTTCGTGGCGACCTTTGGCAAAGGGAACTATACAGCTGTGACGGATGGACAACTTCGCACCAAGTCAGGAAAGACAACCAGTGCGATTGTTGAGGTGAAAGCAGGACCTCGCATTGGTTGTTCAGGGAGCAAGAAGTTGTGAACGCAGATAATGCAAAACCAGGGGTGGCGGATATTCAAAAACAGCTGTCCTTTGTGACTGCCCTGGGGGGGGAAGCTATCTTATTATCTAGGATTGCGATCTGCGCGATCCTACCGATAAACGACTCTGGTAATTTCTTCTCTCTGCACAGAACCATTTCCTTAAAGTGGCCAACAAGAAGACTGATGTTCTGTTGTTATGGTATATAATTATTAGCACCACGGCATGACTCACCATAAAATTCCCTTTTTGGCAGTTGATTGCTATCTACCTACATTTCTGGGATTATCGAATACGTGCCTTGAGACGGTCCTTGTATTCCTTGGTGCGTTCGAAACTCTCCTCTGCAAATGCAGCTTGCACCGATATGTGATCCTTGACCCGTGTGGCCTGCTCGTGGTTCGTGAAGTCGACGGCCTTCAGGGCCTCTAATGACAGCGAACTTTCAGTAACTACTGGGGATGGCCATGGAGGAATCCCGATCGGACCTATCAGTAGGAGATCTGGTATTTGTCCACCAGAAGAACGCCCTAAAGCTTGAGCCCAGGTGGAGGGGTCCATTTAAGGTGGCTCGCTTGGGAATCAGAGCATCAGTGTGGCTAGCCCATCTGGACGGGCGGATTATACCACGGAACTATCATAGGGACGACCTCAAGAGATTTGTGAAGAGAGAAGGACGCCTCGAGACCGATGAGGATCGCCTACTAGTCCTCGTCCCTGACCTGACAGTTCGAAAGCCTCGACTTAAGAGGAGGATAGCTCTTCCATCCTCACTTTGACCTCACCTCTCGTCTCCTCCTCCCCGTACCATTGAACCCCTCTAGCAAGCTGTCTGCGAGTACCTCATTACTTCAGGTTATAGCACTTCAGGTCATGGCATCGTATTATATAAGGAACTATTATATTAAATCACTTCCCTCATTCCATCTATTAGTTCGGTCTCTATAGATATAACCGCTTCTATGAGACGTTTTTTTTTTTTTTTTTTTTAAACCGTGATACATACAAAATACCAGGCTAACAGCCCAAGTTGGATACGTGCCCGCAGAGAGGCCCTGAAGAGGCATAGTGACGCCAGTGCAAACGCAACACTTGTTGTTCTTCTCAGTTTCGCCGTGACGCGTGAGCCCCTTTCGTTGTCGAGGCACATGCCCTCGTCTCAATCCAGGGAAGAAGTCAGACTTCATGAAACCAACCATCATCCAGCAACTCCCGTGCAGTCGGCCTATCTCTTGGGTCGAGTTTCATCACTTTTAGTACAAATTCCTTGTCTTCCTGAGAAATCTCCTGTGTAGTCGTGAGATGAAAGGGCCTCAAAGTCTCTGGAGGGCTATTCTGCATGACCCATATGAGAACTGCCAGTCTCTCCTGGTCCGCGATTTCTTCATATGATTCTGGAAATGGACCGAAGCAGCGATGATGCTTCAGGAGAATCTTGATATCGTACTCGTCATGGTCTGGAGATACATCAGGTTTGAAGATGTGGAATCCTTCCCCGTACAGGAGACTGATAAGCTAAGTATCTCGCAAGTGGGGCGTTAGCATTCTGTCGGGACCCAAATAGCTTTGTGAGAGAATTGAAGACTTGCCATCGCGCCAAAAGACCATATGTCTGTTGCAGTGTCCCATTTCATTTGAAGATGAGCTTCAGGGCTTCTGAAAATTGGTGTACCGATAGAGTCACCACTTTGAGCATAAGACGAGTCAACGTGAACGGTGCTTCCAAAATCGGCGAGTTGGACATCTCGAAATCGAATATGGCCTTTGCCATAATCCATCAATACATTACTAGGCTTGATATCTAGACCCTGCCCTGATCAACCGAGCCCATACTGTCGAGAATCTTGCATGAGTGGAATATACCAGTATGAACAAAGCCCTCACCATGTAAAGTCGAAAGGGCTTCAAGTACTCTTTTTGCAACATATTTCACTTCTGGGCGGGTCAGACGCTGTTTGTTAGATGCATGTAAGGCATCATCATCCAGATGTCTCAAGATAAGCGCATGAGCGACTGATGGTTCTTCGACTTCATCTAGAAGTGGGCGAATAGAGGCTGTCCTATCCTGGAAACGAAGTAGGATATCCCGTTCATTTTGTAATCGGAAATGGGAAACACTCTTAGCCACAAACCTTTCCTGGTTCTCTCTTCTTTGACCATCAGTAGGTGGCTGCTCAAGTAGGGTAGGAATCTAAGAGACATACGTTGCAAGCCAAACACAGTCCTGCAGTTTCTTGACGATGGTATAAATCCCCGTTCTGCCTTTCAGAACCTGGCCGAGAGTCAATGATGCAGCCATCTCGGAAGAATCCTGAGATGAGAAGCCTGAATAAAAAAGGGCCAAGCTGAAGAAGATATGTCGAAGGCCAGAATAGCCAGAACAGTCACATGACTGATATCGATGCCAAGCCACAAGCGATACGTAGACAAGTAGGTAGACACGGAGGATTCCATTAAACCCCCAGGTTTAGTTGACTTAGTAACATATGACAATTTAGCTTGCCCGGAAACTTACTCGATACTAGGCCCACAGGGCCGTCTACTCGCTGCTATGGTCTATTACTTCAATTCTGACCTATCGTACACGTCCTCCAAGTAAACTACTTCAGGCACCCACTTTAGCAAGCCTTCTAAACGCCTTGTTCGACACGGTTCTTCCCTCTCCACTGATTCCGTCTCCATGCAAAGGCTCCCCATCACCCATAGCGAGGTCTGTAAGGAAACGTGCCAAATCCGGCGTTGGGGACACCATGCCTGGGTAGAGACACCTGAAAACAGGTCCGAGGCCGTTATTAAGGACTTTTCTCTGGAAGGTCTGCTGGTTTGGGCGGGAGGAGATGGCTTTGAGGACCTCCGGGTGACTATGCGCGTCGACGAATGCTGGACGGACAGAGTATGGCTTTAAGGTGGAGACATCTTTGGATAGCTTGAGGAGAGCTTCTTCAGCTTGGCCTTTGACGGTGCCGAATAGTGGTGTTAGGAAGCCCGGGTTCGTGGTGGCCTGTTGCATGATGTCAGTTGTGTTCAATTAGGTGTTCAATATTGATGGGGATCATGAGAGCATGGTAAGACGTACTCCTTCGCCTGGTACAAAGGTCAGTGTCTATGTCAGTTTATTATCACTGTCGGGATGGAGAACATACCAGAAACATATACGAACTTGAAAGAGTTCGAGAGACCTGAGAATGCTTTCGCAGCAGCCAGGGGATAGTCTAGAGTGATCTTGATATATTCTCTAGTAAAGGAAAAGAGTTATCATGAGCTATGCACTTTATAGAATTATAAGGCCCGCCTCAAAGACTGTGCACTACTTACTCCTTAGACACTTCACTTTGTGAGATACCCTGCGCCCAAATGCAGCCACTGGCACCCTTGAGCTTGTCCAACAGCTCCGAGGGATACTGAGAAAAGTCCCGATGTTCAATCACGGTCACATTTGGCTTGTTCTCGGCCATAGGCACCGGTCTGCGACTCAAGATGGATAAGTGGGATACCGACCCAGCAGGCAAGGAGAGGATATGCGCCAGGGCGGCGGAACCGACCAACCCAGTCGCACCAGTCAGGATGAGATGCATTTTGGTCAGAGTATGAACGCCAAAAAGAAGGAAATAAAAATTGTTTGTGTTCGAATAGCATTCATCACGTTCTCTGGTCCCTCTTTATAGAGGCGCATGCCTAATATTGGCTGTCATATTGGTTTCCGCGCTTAACTCCGAAAATAGTGTCAGCAGGCTGCAGATGGCGGTTCTTCTGACTGGCTGCAGCGGAGATTTGGATTACTTCGGCGGACGAAAACCAGGATGATGGTGCCTTGTCTCATAAACCAAAGATATTGAAATATGGCGAGAAAAGGCAGAAAACAAACGGGGGTGATGTTTTGTTCTCATCATGGTCACTCACGTGCCCCCGGATCTCCCCAGAATTTGAAGTGCTTAAGTTAAGTAGCGGTGGATCACCGCCCATTCGCTAGAGTCTAGACTAACCGTCCCTTTTGCTCTAGTTAACCTCAGTCTGGATAGAATAGGCATGACGGATGGTCTGGTAGAGTCAGGTTATAACCGTTATAGATACTGGAATTAGAACTATGGAGATGTTTGCTGAATTCGATGTACGCGTACATCCTACTTAACGCGCTGCACAACATCTGAAGAGCGCTGTAAGTAAGATGAAGAGAGGTGCTGTGCAGCATCGTCTCTCACACGCGTAACAGATAGACACCAGGCATCGGATCGCGCCCTCTTCGTATTCTCCATGTGTTCTAGAAAGGACTCGAAGGATCAAGCAACAAGATAGTAGCTTCTACTGTACCCAGTAAATAATAAATAATATTCAGGGGAAGATCGAATGCTTTCTCCAACCAGCTGTGAGCGATCCATGACTTCACCGCCTCGGGGAGCGCACGTGCGTGGACGGCACGCTGTCAAGGAACCAGATTGATGGATATCGGATCGGCTATTTTGTTCCTGTGCGACGCCAATAATGTCATGCATTGATCTTCTCTGTCCGCGGTGATGCCGCAGAGCAGTCCTTTCACTGATTGGATTCGCTTATCCTTTTTTTACTGCTGTCGATATCGTTAGCATTCACCGTTGCTTTTTCTGCTGATCATGAACCCCCCGGTTTGCATGCCAGCATGAAATTCGCCAAGTCCGTTCCCCTTCATCCCTGTTTAGACGAGATATATTGGCTAACTGGTCTCCAGGGAGCTCGAGGAGCAGCTGGTTCCCGAATGGCGAGCCAAATACTTGGACTATAAGGTCAGGAGGACTAGCAGATGACGAAATCTCTCTGGACATCTCACTGACATTCCCATACAGGCTGGCAAGAAGAAACTCAAGGCCCTCAATCGCGCCTTGCAAAAGATAAACCGTACCCCGCGGACCCCGCGAACGCCTCATACACCCCTTGCGCGCCGTTTCACCCAAAGTCTAGCTACCAACGAAACATACACTCCCACACGAGGGCCAGACCGCTTCTCTGCGGCTGATGCCAATGGCAATGGAACGCCTCGAAGTCGCGCGACACCCGTGCCAGTTCCCGAACGGCAGCCGTTGAGGAGAACGGCGTCACGGTTTGTGAACTCAGTGGGGTCCTACGGGAGTATCCTGGCGACACCGCCAGCAGTGGCTGAAGCGCCGGAGCTGCCGTCTCTGGAACTGCCCGATCCTGCGATAGATCCTCGTGCCAGCTACACATTTGAGGAAGACACTGGTGACGACAAGTATGATAATGCGCCTAGGCCGCCCTCGCGAATTCGGAGAACTGTGACTCTGGACAGTGAGACGCGGCTCTCTGGCGATGGCGGCTCGACACCCGGTTCGAGTAAAAAGAAAGGCGTAGGGTTCAAGGGCGGTTCGTCGCCAACAATGAGCTCCGTCAGAAAACCTAGTCTCTTCAAACGAGTCCTCACCAGCGCGGGTGAATGGGAGTCACCACGACCGGGAAAAGGGTACCAGGATGCCCCTACAGAATTTGAGCGACGACAGGACGAATTCTTTGAGTTCCTGGATAGCGAGTTAGATAAGATCGAGACTTTCTACAAGATGAAAGAGCAAGAAGCGACGAACCGTCTGCAAATTCTGCGGGAGCAACTTCATACAATGCGCGATCGCAGGATCGAGGAGGTTCTCGCGGCGAAGAAGGGCATCAAGCAGAACAGCACCGGCAGCGGCCATGGAAATGGGTTCCCTGGGCTTCATGGTGCCAAATGGAAGCTCCCAGTTGGCCCTCGCTTTGGAAAGAATTCCAAGGCGCTGGCGCAGATGATGACACCTTCCGCGCCAGCACCGATGGAATATCCAACTGTGGCAGGCCGCAGAGACTTCACGCGCCGACCAGAGTCTGAAGGCCAAGGTGTACCGTATCGGAGCGCAAAACGGAAGCTCAAGCTTGCATTGCAGGAGTTTTACCGGGGCCTGGAGTTGCTGAAGGCCTACACGTTTCTGAACCGGACTGCATTCCGGAAGATTAACAAGAAGTATGACAAGACGGTGTTTGCGCGTCCGCCGATGCGATACATGACGGAGAAAGTAAACAAAGCCTATTTCGTGCAGAGTGAAATCGTCGAGAATCATATAATAGCGGTCGAAGATCTCTATGCCCGTTATTTCGAACGTGGAAATCGCAAGATCGCAGTGGGAAAGCTGCGCAATGCGATACAGAAGTCAGGAGATTACTCTGGCAGTACGTTCCGGACCGGCCTCATGGTCGCCGCAGGTCTAGTTTTCGGCATCCAAGGCCTGGTTTATGCTATACAGCTTCTTCGCGACCCTGATCCTGCGGTTCATAGCCAGACAAGCTACCTTCTCCAGGTTTGTTGCCCACTACAATTATATCTTCTTTTAGCATGGGCTGACCTGGCACAGATCTATGCGGGTTTTTTCCTTATTATCTTTCATTTTTTTCTGTTCTGCCTGGATTGCATGATCTGGACAAGGACGAAAATAAATTATAGCTTCGTGTTTGAATTCGACTCCCGCCATGTCTTAAATTGGCGTCAATTGACAGAGGTAAGCCCAACAGAGTCTTGCTCCGATATTGTGCGTACGTGCCTAACGTGAAACAGTTTCCAAGCTTTTGCCTTTTTCTGCTGGGTCTTTTCATGTGGCTCAACTTTTCGTGGGTCAACTGGATGTACATTTATTGGCCAGTTATACTGCTATTCTTGATTCTTTTGATAATCTTCTTTCCGGCTCCTGTCATTTACCACAGAAGTCGAAAGTGGTGGGCATATTCAAACGTAAGTCGAGTTGGTTTCTGTCCCGAGTGCAGATACTGATATGAGACAGTGGCGTCTTCTTCTTGCGGGGGTTTATCCGGTCGAGTTTCGCGATTTCTTTTTGGGAGATATGTATTGTTCCCAGACCTATTCCATGGGGGTAAGTCACGCAACCATGATTACGCCGGTTACTGCTGACACTCTCAGAATATCGAGCTCTTCTTCTGTCTCTATGCAAACCGCTGGCGCAATCCAGTCCAATGCAACTCATCCCATTCACGCTTATTAGGCTTCTTTACCACTCTTCCATCCATATGGCGCGGCCTCCAGTGTCTTCGCAGATACCGCGATTCGAAAAGCGCATTTCCCCATCTCGCCAACTTTGCAAAATACACATGCGGTATCCTATACTACATGACACTGAGTTTCTATCGGATCCATAAATACACCAGTTACCAGGGCTTGTTTATCACATTTGCATTTGTAAATGCCATTTATACTTCCATTTGGGACGTTGCGATGGATTGGAGTTTATGTAACCCATACGCAAAGAACCGATTTCTGCGGGAAATTTTGGCCTTCCGCAGAGCTTGGATATATTATGTGGCCATGGTCCTGGATGTGGTGATACGATTCAATTGGATATTCTATGCTATCTTTGCCTCTGATATGCAGCACTCAGCCGTCCTGAGCTTTTTCGTCTCACTTTCAGAAGTTTTTCGCCGAGGCATGTGGACTATTTTCCGTGTCGAGAACGAGCATTGCACCAACGTCCACCTCTTTCGCGCGTCCAGGGATGTACCACTCCCTTATCCGATTCCCTCAGCAGGTCCAATAGGTCCTGCTGAAGATCGCCCATCGGCGGAGGATGTGCAGTTGCAGGAGAGACCAGCAGCCGGTGCAGCTGCAGCAGAAAGTACAGCCATTGACGTCGAGCACGGTATACAACCGGCCATGCGTCCGTCCATACGGCAGCGCCATATGTCATTTGTGGATGGCATTAACCGAATCGGCAACATCGTTACATCTGCTCACGCTCAAGATTTCGTACGCAGAAAGAAGCCTGATCCATTGTCTGGGAACGAGATGCGTCACGAGGAGTCACATAGTCCTGACACCAGTGAAGAAGAAGACGAAGGCGACTCCGGTCCAGCAGATGAAGCAACAATATTAGGAGAGCTGCCTAGTCCGCACGCACTAGACGACAACTTCTCCAGGCACTAATGATCATATATTGCTTTCTCCGTATGCATCTAACGGCATTCTTGCAATATCGAGCGGGATGACTTGCTATATCCTCGTGTTCTTACATATACCTTTTCTATTTGGAGTTATCTAAATCTACATATAATGATCCCAAAGACCAAAATATGGTGTAATTTTCCCTATCGTGCGCTTCAATATTCCTTAGACTACTTAGGAGACTTGACTTTGAAAATATCAGTTCGTAATTATCAAATCGAGCTTCCGATTCAGCCTAGTGTACACTCATTATCTGAACCAGAGAAACTATAACCGAACCTCCCTTCTAATTATTCTCAGTAAGATCCTGTTAGAACTTAATCTAAGAGAACTATCACAGCCATAATATAACTGCACCGTCAAGAACTATTTTCCTCAACTCCCTGAGATCGGGGGAATCCAGCGCCGTGCACGGACGAAACGTGAGATGATACGTGAAATAAAGCTGGCAATAACCAGGGGAGAAGAATTTTCTAGATAGCTACAGGGATCCCTTCAGACTACTAGTCAGGGGTGTAATGATTCGTTCTAATCGAATCTATCTCCTACCTAAAGAACCCTCTCTGCGCGCTCTACACATACATGACCGACTTCTCGAGGGCCGTCTTGTTCAACTGATACCTTTTTGGCGGATTCCCGAACGACCTGGACTATGATATGATGCGGTAATGGTGAACTTTCTACGATGAGTTGGTTCACTTACGACAACGAGATTCCACAAGTGCCCGAGAATCTAACATAAATAATCGGTACGATTATTTCTTTATAAAATACGCTCTTCAAATACTGACCAGGTGTCCCTAGAACCTGATCACGGCCGACGTCAAGGAGGGTGCTCAAGGAGACACGCGATAGAGCTTGTTGGGTGTTTGATAGGAGGGTAGCCATTAGAAAGAAGACGGCATTAGATACTCATTGTCGTGAGATTTTCAAGAAGGGAAATATTTCTGGGAGAAGAAAATAGTTACATATAACGAACCTTCCCTGTTATGCTAAAAGCAGCAAGCAGAGTATGCTAGTTAATGGATGGGCCATCTGCGCATTTGTGCTCTCAAAAGACGTCCAACCAGCTAGGGATTTCTAAATGGGTGTTCTGGATCAAACACGAATAAGCCCTCAACGTTCTCTTTCGAGTATTTAATTGCACTTTGGTGTATCGATCAAGAAATAACTTAATAGTCTAGAATAGATCTGGCTTCCAAGATTAGACTAGAGGATTTGAGTAAGATGGTTTGTTTTACGCATTTCCGGGATAAAGCACTGGTGAAAGTACGAGTATCTAAATAGCCGCCTGGTTTTTACAGGAATAGATCTTTATTAGAGCCACGATAGGGACCGGTCGTAGTCTTGCTGGAGAATGGTGGAAGACAACATTCAGTGGTCATTTCCGGTAAGAGAAAAAGAGAACTTAGATGAGCTCGTTGTCTGTGTGGCAGTGACAGACTCAAATTAAAGTTCGATTCTACGAAGCTAGTCAAGGTACGAGAATACTCTAATTGAAGTCAGGAAATTCTACTATGGTGTGAAGTTTCTCAACCGCGAGACTGGAAACGCCCTTCGCCTTTACTTATCCTAATGCTCCCCAACAATCGACTATAATTCAGCTACACGCCGGTTAATCACCAGCGAATCCCAGGAACCCCGGCTATTATATGGTCTGATCTTCTTTTCCTCCTTTCCTCTTTTTCTCCGTTGCTATTGATCCTGTGAGCACCCATGGCTAGGCTGAGTGGCTTAGCGCAGGTGCTCTCTGCCTAAACTGCGCCGTTATGCTTCCTGCACAATTCCCACTACAATTCAGCCTTGATGACGTGGCGCTTTCCAGCACTCAATTACAGCTGCTTCCTCAGGAGAATGCGAGAACTCTACGCTATTGTGGAAATGGGCGGTGTGATAAAGTATGTACATACTCTTTTCTCGGCAAGAAAAATCCTTCTAGATACAGTACATGGCTAGGCAAAAGTACTGCAAAAAAACCAAAACTAGCTTTCTTTGCTACCAAATGTCATCATACACTCGTTGAAACAAAGCCACAATTGGTCCGTGCTCTATACGGGTGAGAGCTCAGCCTTGTGATAACGCCCATCAGACTGACAGGGGTCCGAGCTGCGAGGCTGAGTCCCTCTCCGGCGTCCGCCGCTGTGCGAGACAATAACTTCCAGCAATTTCTACATTGTGCAATCCGCTGCAGATTCGTGTTATGCGACGATGAAATGTTAGAGATCCAGGCAGACCAACTAGGAGTTCTCCTTTTTGGTCGACTGGCAGAAAGTCATCATGAAACGAACTCGTCCTCGGACTGAAGACTTTACGGTAGGATGGATATCCGCTTTGCCTCTCGAGTACGCCGCCGCCAAAGCAATGCTCGATGAAGAATACGAGGGCGACGGCCATATGGTCCAGTACACACTCGGGCGTATCCACGATCACAATGTTGTCATGGCCTGCTTACCAGCAGGGCAGATTGGAACAAATGCAGCAGCGACAACCGCGGCACTCATGCGGTCCAGGTTTCCAGCTCTTCGATTCAGTCTTCTTGTAGGAATTGGAGGGGGAGTTCCGAGCAAAGATGCCGATATTCGACTTGGTGATGTCGTGATAAGCCAACCGCAAGGGGGATACGGAGGTGTTGTCCAATATGATCTAGGGAAAACGCTCCCGGGAGGAAAGCATGTTGCAACAGGTCTTATGAATGCGCCATCACGGGAATTGCTTACCGCTGTATCAATTTTGCGGTCGGAGCAAACTGCGGGAAGGAGTAATCTATCGCAGTATCTTTCCGAACTATGTCAACTTACCGAGTTTAGTCGATACAACAACGGCCCCGACAACCTTTTCAATTCTCTATATAACCATGTTGGCGAAACATGCGATGAATGTGATCAAGCAATGATCATACCACGAGCGCCACGGATCAGTGATGAACCCCGTATTCACTTTGGTACCATAGCTTCAGGAAACCAAGTCATCAAAGATGGGACAACAAGAGACAGGCTCAGTGCTGAGTTTGGAGGTGTTCTCTGCTTCGAAATGGAAGCTGCAGGTTTGATGAACCAGATTGACTGCCTTGTCATCCGCGGCATTTGCGACTATTCAGATTCGCATAAGAACAAGAAATGGCAACCATTTGCTGCTGCCGCCGCCGCCGCTTGCGCAAAAGAGATTCTATCATCTGTTCCTAGCGGTTCACGTGGTAGCGACCTTAACAAGCCTCAAGATGAGCTTCCCGTGACTGATATGGCTCACTTGAATCAACCCAAATCGGTAGAAGAGCGGTCGTCCTATATGGACTCATTGAGATTTGAGCAAATGCAGTCTAGACAGGAAACAATCAAAAACGCTCATGTCAACACATGTCGGTGGTTACTTAAGAGATCTGAATATCGGGAATGGCTTGACTTTAACAAATTCGACGATCACAAAGGCTTTCTGTGGATCAAAGGCAAACCAGCGACAGGAAAATCAACCATCATGAAATTTGCCTATACTCAGACTGTCAAGAAGATGAGAGATAAAAATATTATCTCGTTTTTCTTCAATGCCAGGGGTGACGAGATGGAAAAGTCTGCATTGGGAATGTACCGATCACTTCTATGGCAGCTGCTTCACAAGCTTCCGGACCTTCAAATTGTATTTGACGCATTAAAATTAGTACAGCCGATGACTATCGAATATCACAGATGGGGGCTAGAAAACACCCAAAGTCTTTTGAAGGAAGCAATTGAAAGACTTGGACAGCGGCCCTTGGTGTGTTTTGTTGATGCCCTTGATGAATGCGAGGAGGATCAGGTACGAGATATGATATCATTCTTTGAACAACTTGGACGAGTGGCTCGTAAGTCACATTGCCAGTTAAATGTATGCCTTTCCAGCAGGCACTATCCTCACATTTCAATATCAGCCGGGATTGAATTGGTCCTAGAAGGCCAGGCAGATCACACCCAAGATATTGAGAAATATATAAATGCTCAACTCAGGATCCAGGAGGCTCAACTGGCTGATACAATCAAAAAGGAGGTACTTAAGAGGTCGTCAGGGATCTTTTTATGGGTCGTCCTGGTCGTGCAAATGCTCAACAAACTGATCGATCGTGGTCAGATACATAAAGTTCGACAGGAGCTACTCAAGATTCCTAATGGATTACATGAACTTCTGGAGGATATCCTGATGAGAGGAGAGCGCAACATGGCAGAAATGGTTCTGTGTCTGCAATGGATCTTGTACGCAAAGCGCCCGCTGAGTTGCGAAGAGCTCTACTTTGCTATACTGTCCGGGATAGAAACTGAACTCGAATCCTTCATTGAGTTGAATCCAAAAATCGCCAAAGCGCTTATGAAAAGGTTTATTCTCGATTCATCCAAAGGGCTGGCAGAAGAAACGAAATCGACAAACCCTACAATTCAATTCATTCATGAATCTGTCCGTGACTTTCTACTCAAGGAAAACATTCTTGATAAGATTGGGATTCATTCAAGCAGCAATTTTTCTGCTCTGAGCCATGACTCTCTGAAGAAATGTTGCTTAGCTTACATGCGACTTGGCGGATCATTGGACCTAACGGAACCTTTCCCAAAAGCTTCATCTGGCGACGCAAGGGTTCTTCGCGAACGAACAATCGAAAGACTCCCTTTCCTTCAATACGCAGTGCAGCATGTCCTGCATCACTCCAATGCCTCTGAGAAGTATGGAGTCTCACAAGACGCCTTTCTAGAAGCATTCCCTCTCGACATATGGATCACTTTGAATAACCTGTTTGAGAGATACGAAATACGTCGATACACTCCTCACGCAAGTCAGTTATACATTTTCGCAGACAAGGACCTAACAAGTCTTATCCACGTTGTGCTTCAACATGTTCCTGTGATAAATGTCGAAGGCGAAAGATACAGGTGGCCACTGCTAGCAGCTATAGCCCACAAAAACGAAGATACTGCAAAAGCACTTCTGGAACCGGACCCTAATCTGAACACCGAAACCGCAACACCTTTTCCTACTGCTACAGAATACCAAGATGCGATCAATCATATGCTTAACCTTGGAGAGGCAATTGCCACAAGGGACTTCTCTATTCAGTCCTATGCCATACGGCAACAAAATTGGGCTATGCTCAAGGTCCTGTTTGCATCTAAAGCATATGCAAATTCTCGAGGGGAGTTGGGGCGTGAAATGCTCCTTTTCGCCGCAACACGTGGGAATGCAGAGATGGTCCAAATACTACTTCAAAACGGTGCAGATATCGAGGCTAAAGTATGTGGTCCCAGACTACTTTCTTTGGCAGTGCAAAATGGACATCTGGAGATTGTTCGACTCCTGCTTTAAAATAGTGCAGATATTAATACTCAAGATAATCAATCTATACCACTTTCTTTGGCAGTACAAAATAGATATATAGAGATGGTCCAATTCCTGCTTTAAAATGATGCAGATATTAATGCTCAAAATAATATTATACCACTTTCTTTGGCAGTATAAAATAGATATATAGAGCTGGTCTAACTTTTGCTTCAGAATAGTGCAGATATTAATACTTAAAATAATTAATTTATGCCATTTCCTTTAGCAGTACGAAATATATATATAGATATGATCTAACTCCTCCTTTAATATTATACAGATATTAACGCTTAATACAAATAATCTATACCACTTTTTTTGGCAGTATGAAATGCAGATATAGAGATGGTCTAACTCCTACTTCAAAGCGGTGCAGATATTAAGGCTAAAGTATATAGTCCCAGACTACTTTCTTTGGCAGTGCAAAATAGATATCTGGAGATTATTCAACTCCTGCTTTAAAATAATGCAGATATTAATACTTAAGATAATTAATCTACACCACTTTCTTTAGCAGTATAAAATAGATATATAGAGATGGTCCAATTCTTGCTTTAAAATAATGCAGATATTAATGTTTAAAATAATATTATACTACTTTCTTTGGCAGTATAAAATAGATATATAGAGCTGGTCCAACTATTGCTTTAGAATAGTATAGATATTAATACTTAAAATAATCAATTTATACCATTTCCTTTGGCAGTACAAAATACATATATAGATATAGTCTAACTCCTCCTTCAATATTGTGCAGATATTAACGCTCAATATAAACAATCTATACCACTTTCTTTGGCAGTATAAAATGCAGATATAGAGATAGTCCAACTCCTACTTCAAAGCGGTACAGATATTAATGCCCAAAACAATCAACTTACGCCACTTTCTTTGGCAGTACGAAATGGACATATAGAGATGGTCCAACTCCTACTTCAATATAGTGCAGATATAAATGCTTAAAACAATCAATCTACACCACTTTCTATCGCAGCGCGAGGAGGACATACAGAGATAGTCCAACTACTGCTTCAGAACGGCGCATATCTCGAGGCCAAAGATAGTTCTGTTCAGGAAACACCGTTATGTTCGGCAGCCCGACAAGGATATACGGATATAGTCGAGCTACTGCTTCAGAACGGTGCAGATACTGAAGCTAACGACTATTATGCATATACACCGCTTTGTTTGGCGGCACAAAGAGGACATACAGATATAGTCCAAATGCTACTTCAAAGTGGGGCATATATTGAATCCAAGGACAGTCTTTATCAAGAAACACCACTTTCATTGGCAGCACGAGGAGGACATACTGATACAGTCCAAATACTACTTCAAAATGGTGCATATATTGAATCCGAGGACAGTCTTTTCCAAGAAACACCACTTTCTTTGGCAGTACAAAATGGACATACAGACGTGGTCCAAGTGCTACTGAGATATGGCGCAAAAATTAACTTTATGGATTCAATCTTAATGCAAGTGGGATATACAAATAGTTAGAGTAGTGCTTGGAATCTGTGCAGCAACTTGTTCCGACGAGTCTCCTAAAGTTAGGACCTAGCCCATTCTATTTCTTTCACAGCAGAAAAGGAGCAAAGGCATGGGTCCACTGTCTAACGTAAACTCGGCCTCGCTGATATCCAGGACATAAAATCGGAATGTTAGGCTAGAAGATTCTAGGTTGGACACTTATGTAGCTCAGATTTCGTGGAATACTTGAAGCGTGTATTTTCTTAACTAGTTTCTGTGCATTTGCTTTCTCAACTTAGATTAGGGTCGTTACGATTTTGGACGGATTGGCCCCATACCTATTTTCTGATTGCACGAAAAAACTAGATCCTAGGTATCTAGTATGTTCTATCCTATATAAAAGAACTTATCGCGAACGGCGATATAACAGGTCACCTGGTGCGTGTACTTTGCGCGCCGACAATGATATGAATTGGTTCGATCAAGAAAAACAAAGGCTTCGCTTCGCTTGAATGGCCTTAATACGGAATGTTCTCGTAATGGTAATAAGATGATAAACTTCGTTAGACGAATATTCCTAGACTCCAAGTGTATCTACAGCCTATTCGTTTCTTGGGGATGATCTATGAAGAATAACTGATCTTAAGCCTCGGGAGTTTCCCGTTTGTCTTGTGTGACATGATATATATCATTCCGGGCATAGTGTCGTGGAGGAGGATAGGCTGTCATTCTACATTCTAGTCTTCTTCGTAGATCCCGCGTCTTGTTTCTTTGGTAAGGTTAGAATTCGAAGCTAGAAATGGAGGGTGGGTTTGTGTGCTGAGTACTGCAAATGCTATCTAGAAGCTTTGAATTTTGATTGAATTCGTGAGGATCTATGGGAGAGATGGCTGTTCGTATTCGGCTCCTTAAGAGAAAATTCATTTTATAAAGTATCGCCTCGTACGAGAATGCGTAGTTTTGTTGAGTATTGTTAGCACGTAGCTTCATGGAACATTGGGAAAGCCTATACTGTTATTTGTTTGTCACTACATAATAGTGTCAAACATGCTCAACTCTACTTCGCTCAAAGAAATCGCCTCAACGAGGTCGCCTTTCGACTTCCCATCCCCTGATATGCTCCCGATCTGTATCATCCAAACTCATGCCCCATGATCCCCGGACTTCCTTAGATCCTGGCAGAGGAATGAACACGTTGGAATCAATGCAAGGATCGTCATTGTTCCAAGGTAGGAATCCTTGACCCCAATCACCCGAGCAGCCCAGCCCGACCCCAATAGAGGTTTGTCCTAAGAACGGTTGCTGGCCTTCCAACTCATAGTCCCATCCATTAGGGGAAGAAGCCGCGAACATTCGCACGCCAAGTACACCATACCAACTGAAGACCTCCAGGATAGCTGGGACGATTGACGTTTTGCCCTTGTGTGTAATCTCACGTCGCGTAGGAATGAATTTGATATGGAAATAGTGTCCGTTCTTGCTGTCTGCCAACTTGTCATATACCCCGTTGGACTGGTACTGTTTCCAGATGATGGACTTGGGACCTGGACTGCTAGTCGCTGTGCGGACATGGGTATGGAAGTAAAGATACTTTCGGCCGTCTTTGCGCTCGTGAAGTGCGATCCGTAGGACATCCAGCCCCTTGCCCGTACAAGATGGAACGAGAGCTGTAAGGTACGGACGAATCAATTTGTCGTCGCAATAGTCACCCTCGTCGAAGACATTGTGCCCCGCTAGTGTGAATGCGCTCGATGTGGAAGTCTCTAAGGGGCGGCTGTATAGCTGCATCTCTGGGTTGTTGTAGTCACCGCTGATGACTACAACCTGGTCATTGCCCTGGCCGAGCACGTCACCAACCTGAGATGATGATTAGCAGGGGGTTTTGTCAACTGGGAATGACAGATCTTACCAGGACACTAGAGTCACCTTCCTCTTCGCTGTTCAGTCTGCACTCGAGCTGGGTATGTGTGTCAATGACTGTTGTCTGCTTAGGATCTGCTGCACCTTCGAAATGATACTGGTAAAGATCCAGCCTGGACTTGCCGCCCGCGAAATCCGCGCTAGCAAGTAGAAGATCCTTTTGGTGCGGACCTGCTCTGATAGCCTTTGCAAAACCAAAACATGGAGACTTCAATAAACGGATGGTGCTGAAGGGTGCCTCTAGCCACTCGGCGCGATGGTCGTTACAAAGCGCAATCTGCACCCTTTTACCTGGCAGCACCGAGACTGAAATGATTTGCGGGGCGTCTTCACCATCAGACATGTTTTCGGAATGTTCTCCATCCTCACAGAGGAATTGATCGAATAGGAAACGCGTCAAGTTGGCTGATGTAATGGGAAGGTTGCTGGAAAGTGTCTGCGGTATCAACCTTTGGGAGTTCCTGACCTCCCACGACTCAGAGAGGTTCAATTTTTGCCGTTCGCCCATCTCTCCACTCCAGCTGTGGAAACTGGTGTTAGTAAAGGCAATATGGGCGTGTTTCTTGTCTTCGTCAGGCACCCAATAGAAGCCATACAGGGTGGTGGTCGATAGGTTGCTGCTGTTTTGCAGAGCCCAGTGAATAGGAAGCGCCGTGTCAGGTAACTCTCTGATATCAACGGCATCGATTGCGCGACTTCGGATGGTGAACGTTTCCTGGATTTTGGAGTTGACCTCAACCAACGCGGGACTCCAAAAGTTCACGCAGGTCAGCTTGCCCTGTTCGGGAGCTGCCACATCCCTGACCAAATCCTGGACCTGCACGAAGCTACCCGAGAGCAGTCCATCCATGACAGACTGTTGTGCAAACTGGTCATCACCACGGAATGGAGCACCCCGCACTCGCTCACAGTCTTCATTTGCTTCAGGAATAATCAATGCTTTTGCAATCGGTGCAGGGCTGGAAGCCACGCGCGCGAAGTTGGAATGATCGTTAACATCCTTGCGCAAGGTGAAGTCATGGTCTCCGACCCGGTCCTTATCATTTGGGATTCCAGCGACCCAGAGGGGTGCTGGGTTGTGCACATCGCAATTACCCCATTCCTCGGTCCAGTTGCTTGATTTCAGCGCCGTCATGGGCAGAGGCATCAATTTCTTCGCCACAAAAGACGAGGAATACTCTTTCCAACTATCCTCCTCCTCTGAGGCATCAGTTGGAATTGGATTCCAGCCTTGCATGAATCCTTCATTGTAGACTTCGTCTACCGACTGCTGAAGGCAGTGAGCACTACCATATAGGTTAGTGGTTTATCGAAAGTAATAGGAAAAGGGAGGACCTAAGTGGGAGACGAACGCTCTTGCACGGTTCACCGCATTCTTTGGCTCGAAGAATTGTTTATCTCCATATGCAATCCACTGATCGCCATTCTTATTCCGCACTAGCAGGCCTGTCGCACAGTCGTCGTCATGCATCTGAATAATACCAAAGATGTCAGTGATGAGACAGGAGAGTTGACTCTAAAAACCGTCATCGACTTACGTAGCGTCCTTGATAATCCCAAATGGGAACTTCGTGTTTTCCCCCGGCCTGCGGCAGACCTGCACCCGCCATCTCTTTATGATCCTGCGTGTGCAGATATCGACGCGCAGGCCGCAGGTGACCGGCAGAAAACAAATCTGTCAGATAATGGGCAGCAAATGCTTCATGCACATAAGCTTCTTTCAGCTTTTGGCATTTCCTGGTAATGTCTTGTTCGTAGTGTGCCTCTGCTGCAAGTTGTATGGCAGACGCATGGCCAATGCAATACGCCTTGACGGCATCTTCGCCCTATTTATATTATTAGATCTTATGTTATTAATTTGCGGGCATGGAGGAGGGACGAACAAAGTGATCCACGTTTGTGAAGGCTAACCAAGCGTACATGCTGAGCATCAAGTTATAACTAGGATGTTTAATAAGCTCCCAGTTATTCTTTAACGCATCAAAGTATTCTTTATCGCCAGGGAGCTTGCAATTATCGGGCTCGAAATGATCTTCGATTCCTCCTTCATGACTAGAACGTGTTAGTCTTTGGGAAAGCTGCAATGGGCACGAGAATTTGAACATCGGGACGTACTATGTCTTTGAAACACTTTTCCCTAGCTCTCTAGCATGAGAAACGGTGCGATGCTCGTGATCTAGAAGCTTTGTGATGCGGGCCAAGTAGCCATCACGGTCTTGGATCAAGCTGTTCACAGCATTCTCAAAGCGTTTGAGTGGCGGAGTATTTGAAGTTCGCAGCGCACCACAAATAGGGGCATAGTCCAGCTCAATGTCGGATCCCTTGGTTGGTTCACGATTGGTATAGAAGTCACCAGCCAAGGCAATGATCCGTCCAAATGTTAGTGGGATCCTTTCCTTTTCTCTAGTCTCCACAAACACTAAGGGCTCCGTTGGTGCTGTAAGAATGTCGTTGGTCTGGCGGATTTTCAGGTCTTCTGCTGTTGCTTGGTGCTCGTCGGCTGCCAGATATTATTAGCCGTGGTCCAGGAGGACCGTAATGAACCAAGACATACCCTCCAAAGAACTCCAATGCCCCTCCCAACGTGGACGTTCCGCAATCTCTGCATCGCTCACAGGGATGACGAAAGTCGCTGGCTCGAGGTCAATCGCCCGAGGAGGCTCGAGGTAGCGCAAAGAAGCAGCCGCCTCAGCGATCTCGTTATCCGTACACATATTGCGTGGTCTTAATGTGATGAAATCTCGTAACCAGCCCTCTGCATTATCACGTATAGGATACTTTTATATGATTTCTGTGTAGTTTTCCGTGACTCCATCTGGTCGGCTGGATCGACCTCAATTCGCTCCACCCACAGCTGGAGGCAACGGGCGTTATGGAAAACATCTTGTGATACGAGAGGGCTCGAATCGAGACCACAAATGACTTTTTTTTGGCGGACAACTAGCTGAGGTGAGACCCCAGAGAACGTAGAGAACGGTTAGTTTAGCAGACGAGGTTGATTCAGGGGAAGTTCACGTTCGGAGATGAGCGACGGGGTCCCGCAGAGAAAGTATTTGGCAGCTGAAAAAACAAGCCACACTCTAAGCGGGCCGTTCCTAGAGTCCATCCAGACTTCTGGTATTCGCTTTAGCTACACTATTAGTGTCTTGTTCCTGCTGGAAACTTGGAAAGAGCCACAATCTTCAACGAGATCCAGACCGCACGTGGCTTTGAATCTGTTAAGCGGGGTAAACAATGGCTTGCAGATTTCACACTTTCTCGGCGCCAGAGTCATATCTAGTTAGCTATCTACAGCTGTTATCTTGGTGGCAAAGTCGTCGCTAACTATCGCCCAGTTTGATTTCAAAGGAAGATATAGCTAGTCAGAAAGGACATATTGTATGATATAAAATCAGCGTCCATGTTTGTGGATCTAGCAACAAAAAAGACGGAAACAGCCAGGAAATCATCCATTCTATCTACCTATCTATCATTCATTCTATCAATTAGATATCCTCATCTCGAAGAAAACTGCCATAATGGGTGAATTCACTTTGCAAGTTCCCATTGACAGCCCAAAGCTCGTCCAAAAGGGCTGCGATGCTGTAAGATCCCTTTTGTTCTCACTTGCACCACTATCTGAAAACCCTCGCTAACATCTAACCTGTTCTCCAGATGAAGGATGCTCCCACCATCCCCGCAGACCTCAAGAGCTATTTCCGGCCCATCTGGTTTGTGCTCAAGAACAAATCCCAATTTTCTATCAACCCAGACGGCACAGACTTCTACTCGGGGTGCTTGTACGGTCAGTCTAGCAACACGGGTGCCTACGGTGTCACTGGATTTGGTGCCCGAAACTCGTGGGCGGGCACGACCGGAGCAGCGCGTTTCAAGATCAAACTGGACCAACAGAACGATGTCACTTTCGTGATTGTAAGCTCTTTTCTGTCTTTGGTTCTGCGAATTTAGCTGATTCTTTATGTCAAGGGTTTCTCCAATCCGTACATTGGCTACTACGGAGCCCATATTGAGGAGTCTTCGGACATGAAGAAAGATGGATATAACAAGATTCAGGAAAACGGCAACAATATTGAATCTGTCCATGTATACAAGGGAACTTCCAGTAGCGGTATCCCTTTGAAGTTCAAATTGCGCCTGTCTATTGTGTCGGGTCAAACCATGACCATTACCGTGGTCCAGGAGGTGTGGGAAGAGGAATGAGCGTTGCAATAGTCTTTGTGTCGATTTGTTGGCTTCTTCCTGTTACCAATTGCCGTTCTCCATAGTTGTGATAGTTAAAACCTTCGAACACGCTTTTTTGATTCTGGTTAGCCAATTTTCCGAACCGACTATGTTAGTCCACTAATTAAATGACATTAGAAGATTCAATGGCCTACTGATAATTGAGTATGCTCGTACTGTAATTTTAGTCTATCTTTCGTAACTGTTATTTCCGAGCGTAAGGGTGCATACAAGGGTTTCAAATCACGATTCAGGATTTCGTGTGACTCGTTGCTAATGGATATATATATATATTTAACTTCAACTAAGTGGGAAGAGAGGCATAATTTACTATTTGAAACGATAATGGAAATGAATTATAGGTCAAAAGCTAAGTTCGGACTTGATCATCCAATGTAAGTCCGTGGAAGGAAAATTGCAGTGTAAAGGTCCTTCTCAGAAGGCACAAAACCCAGCTCCATATCGGGCTTGGACCACTGCGATCCAGACTTAGGGAGTTCTCCATCCTCGCCAAAAGAGGCAACGACACACCGAGGTCGGCCGCCACCAACAGTGTACGTCAACCAAACTGTCTTGCTGCCTTCGTGTGCCCGCGCAGTGATAGGACCGGGCTGGATATTGCCAGATGCAATATCGTAGGAGTCAATATCCCGCAAACCTTGGAAATCGGCCTTGTTCTTGTCCAGAGAGCCGTCTTGGCGAAGAGGAATGTAGAATGATTTCACTTTGCATTCCGTAGAATCGGCAGAGTCCTTGGTGATATAGAAGATGTACAATCTCCATTTCTGTTGGTTGTTGCCCTGATCAAAAAGAAAACAGGAAGAAAAGTTTCCGTCACGGACCCCGAGACTTGCCGAGTTCGGAATTTCGACGCTTTGCCAGAAAATGGAATTATCCGGTGATAAATCCATGAAGAACGTGTCCTTCACGGAATCGATGAACAATGTCCCATTATCCGCCTGGCAGGCATGGTGGACGTATTTGAAGTTTCCTTTGACAGAGGATTGGGACAGAAGTTGCGAGCTGATTGCCTTGGTAGATCGAGTCGCTTTCAAAGGTAAGGTGGTCCATTTCGCATTCTGCGTTGAAGGACGAATTGACAAGGAAACACCCGACGGCGCTTCTTGTCTATCCACAGTAGTCCGCGATACATATGTTTGGTTCTGGTAGTAGATAACACTGCTGCTGCCGAGGTTCTTGGGATAGGCTTCGAATCCCGTCTCAGTGGCCCCAAGTGCGAAATAGGATGATAGGCGATGGAGCGCTAATGTGGAAGTACTCGAAATATTGCCAACTTTCTTCCACACAGAGATAAGAAGCTCCTTGTGAAAGAAATCAAACGCGAGATTTGGACAGCGATAGATGCTAGGAGTCAAGGCAGGGTGTGACGCTTGGTATTGCAGCTGCAGCGGACCCGTGATATTCGGGGAACAGCTGTAAAACTCCAACTGCACGTCCGAATTGTGGCGGACCAGAACAAAAGACAGGTCCATAGCTATCGAATCTAGTGGTCTGGGTCTTCTGTCTGGCCTCCTGGGAGTGGAAGCATTTTTATGGCCAAATATCCAGCTCCAGCAACTTCATAGTTCCTCAAAATTGTTAAGCTTGGGTCTCGGCTCGGGGCGAACTCACTAGTTCGCACAGCCTGGATGTTAGTGTGGGGACACGCAGGTTCCAGAGTCTCGGAAACTGGGGTTTTAGCAAGTGCGTCAAGTAAAGTATCTTGGGATGGCACTAAGAAGTTGAGCTAATAACAGTGGCTGATACTAATCAGGATATACATGCGTCGCAACGGTTCTTTTTTTTACTACTTCAGAACTAGTACAGTGGTGCTAAACTAGTGATATATCGGACTCTACTCTCGTTATCCCGTATCTCAGCTCTCAATTGCCAAAGTAAAAAGCCTCCCTCGGCCGCTCCGGGGGTGCTTCGGCTCGAATACCTCTCTTTGAAGCTCTTTAGCCCAGGAACAGTGATAGGGATGTCACTAGCAAAGGAAATGACAATGCTAAAACACCTTCAGCTGAGCACTCGTCTGATCTCAGCTTCTAGATTCGAAAGATTCTCGCGTGATCATGAGAAAGACTTGGCGTCAACAGCTCAAGGACTGTGGCAGGAATTCGAGAGAAGGTGGAAATAAATATGAGCGCTATATAATAGATTCTATGTTGTACAGGCCAGCATAGACCAAGCAAACTCACAATCCTCTCTATCGTTTTATCTATGGCGAACGCAACTGCCTTGCCTGTTGGCACCTTCAATGTGGATGGTAGTGGTATTGCAAGATACTCATTCACCATCAGCGTACCCCAGGGCATCACAGCCACCAGCACTCCTCAAATCTCGCTCGAGTATTGCCAAGGTGCCCCAAATGCCATCCTAGGGACTGGGTGGTCTCTTGGGGGCTTGTCAACAATTCGCCGCCAAGTCGCAAGTTTGGCCTTGAACAGTATCAATGCGCAGAAAGACTACGATCGTACAGTACCCCGGTTGGCGTTGGACGGCAGCGAGCTGTTGCTGATCCAAGGTGATTATTACCATGCCCCAGACGCCGTGTATCGACAAGAGATTGATAGTCACGGAGAGACTGTTTACGCCACTCCATCTGGTTTCACCGTTCGAGACACTCTCGGAGCTCGCAAAGAATACGAAGCTATTCCCTCCTCTGATCCTTCTGCACAGGCTACTGAGTGGCGCATGCGAAGGCAAATCGACCGATATGGCAATTTCATCGAGTTCAACTATGAAAGTCTACCGGGTGACAATTCTTCCTATCTCACCAGCGTCATATACACATCCAACGAAAAGACTGGTCTGGCTGGTACCCGATTGATACTATTGGAGTACTCCCCAAGGGAGGATCTTATTGTGCACGCATCCTATGGCGATAAGATTACCTCCGTCTATCGCTTAGCACGTATTCGTGTTGCGATGGGAACTCTAGACCAGTTCGTGGTAATCCGTTCTTATGAAATGGAGTATATTTACTCCCCGAGCTCTGGATCTTCTTTGTTGCAATCGATTACCGAAGTCACTGGCACGGGGACGCGCTTGATTCCAACTCTATTTGAATATACCGCTTCTTCTGAACAAAATGAAAGCTTCTCCAACCAGGAAAGGGAGTCTACTACCTTGGCCGAGACGACTCACAACGTCACGCTGCTTACTTTGAACGTGAGTGGGCGATCTCTGGGAGATCTAGGCTGTATTTGCTATGATTCGGACACGGGGAATTTCAGCATAAAGACATATCTGGCGCAACGTCGCAAAGTGACGCAGAAAGACCAGCCTCCTACCATCGAGTGGTCGCCATCGGAAGGGCCTGGTGCTGAAGCTATTCTTCCACCCACTGCCATGGGCAAGACCACACCTACGTTTCTATCGGGAGATTTGAACGGGGACGGGCTCACGGATCTGATTGTCCCCTTCGAGGACACGAATGGCAATCTGTCATTCTCAATATCCTCCTCGACAGGTAGCGGGTACGAGCACTACACGCTGAAACCGACAGACTGCAGCTGGCACCCTGACTCTCGTTTTCTGTCTCTAGACCTGACGGGTAATGGCTGCACAGATATTTTGCAGATTTACCCGCACGCTGAAAAGCTGCATTTCCGAGTATTCACCGCTATTAATGAAGGCGGACAAACTACGCTCGCAAATCCAATTGAGACGAAGACTACATTTGACTTTTCACACACTGTTGATTGGTTGCAGATGACCACTCGTCGTGATGGATCGCATAGTCTTGTCCGTGTCTGGGCCGATGACAATGGGATGGGTGTTAATCACTTGAGAGCCACCACGTTCACGTTGCCATCGAAATCCATCGATGTGTCTCAGGGGACTCTGATTCCTTCATCAGATATGTCGCTTGGCGAGTTCGACATCGACCAGACCCCGGGGATCACCGTCCTTCCTTGTGATATCAACGGCGATGGTGTAGAAGACCTCGTCGTATCTCTCGTCGAGACAGTAGATAGGGGCACAGAGACAGCCATTCGCATGGTCTTTACCACATTCCTAAACGATGGTGTGGGCAGCTTCACCCAGCAAGGTGAACCCCAGGTTTATTCTCACGTCACTGACTCGGGCCATGCACCATCGGGCACGGGGAAAATGTATGTCACGGACGTTCGAGGTACCAATTATCCATCCCTCGCATATGTGTACCAGGAACTTCACAGCGGCAACTATGTCTCGTTGATATCCCAAGGTTCATCGTCCGGCCTGGTCAGGCCCCCGAAGTGGTATCACATCGCTGAGCAGAGTCAACTGCCAATTGGAAAGCCGGAGTTGCTACCAGCCGATCTCAACGGAAGCTCCTTGGCCGACTGGCTTTTCTACAGTATTGTCAATGATGAGGTTACCGTCCATCCTATCTACAATACGGGAAAAGTCTGTGAGGACTTTCTTGCGTCGGTCCGTAACCCCATGGGCTTGTCCACATCTTTCTCTTATGCTCCCATGACCAATGCCGACGTCTATGAACCCACTCCGCTGTTATCTCACAGTAACACATCTGTCAAGCGAGGCGCACACGTCGTGAAGGGAACGCCTAGCTACGTTGTCTCCGAGATTCGCAGTATCAACGATCCATCCATCAATAGCATTCCATATCATGATGTCGTTCAGAAGAAATACTACGGAGCCCGAGTCAACCCTAGAGGCCATGGCTGGGAAGGCTTCTCGCACATCTCAAGCTACTACCCCTTGAGCGATGATACAAGGATCGATCATTATAAACAGTCTTGGCCATTGGCGGGATGCAAATGGAAAACCGATCAAATCCAAGGCCGTGAGCATGAAGGAATGCTGCTGCAGTCGACACAGATCGCTTATGAAGAAAGATCACAGGAGCTGGGAGGCAAGCAGATTTACCGGGTGAACAAGACTGCTGAAGTCCATACTCTGATGGACGGAGGATTGCCTGCGCGGACATTCAATCGCACCTATGAGTATGATTCCGAAGGAAACGTTCTGCTCGAATGCTCAAAAGAACTGGATGAGCACACTCTGTGGACGAGATACGACTATACCACTATTGGATCCTCAACCGGCCTCCCCATCTCCAAAAAGGTGTCCACCAAGAGGTCCAATACGAACATGCATTCATTTGAAGACGGTGACTTGAGTTTGTCGCTTTTCGAGTACGACTCTGAGCAGGGAACAGTGTGCACCGCTCGAGAGTGGCTATCAGACCATTCATGCTTTTCCCAGCAGAGCTTCGAGTACGACACGTACGGCAACGAAATTCTCAACAAACGGCCGTCTGGGTTGGAGGTTCGAACTGAGTACGATACCGTGTTCCATTGCTACCCTGTCAAGATCCATGAAATGGGGCCTGGTGTGGACCATGTCCGTCTAGCAGGATATGACGCCCTTTTCGGCCATGAGGTGGCTTGCCGGGAGAAAAATGGTGCTATCAAAATCAGCGAGTTCGATGCCTCCGGTCGCTTGCTCCGCTCTGCCAGCACCGGAGATGAAACAATCTCCCAGAAAACTGCACAGGCTATGTTGCCAGTCTCCCACTTCATTGCTGAGTCCGAGTTAACGAGCCTCATGTTGACTGCGCGAGTTTGTCCTAATCAATCTCTGCAATATGATCGGCTTGAAACTCCTTCTAGCACACGATACCTACGTACCACCACCATCACTCATTTTCAAGAAGGCACCGAAGGACAGTATACCCGAGAACAAGCAGTGGACTGCACTGGACGCGTATGCAAGCAGCGCGAACAACATGGAACTTCTCTGCCAGTATGGAAACATTTCGAGTATGATGCTCAAGGCTACCTCACAGCCCAAAGTCTGCCACAACAGCGAGTCGACAACGGTTCGTCTGATTGGGATTGGAGTCCGGCCTCTGATCAGCAGATTCGATGCCAGTATGATTGCCTGAAGCGGCCCGTCAGCATCACCAAACCTTGTCACCGGCAAAGTGACAATGCCACAGTTGTCACCCGCAACGTATATCAGAAAGGAGGATCCCATGTTGAACATGTTGTGGAAAGAGTTCCGTCTGCTATTGAGGAGGGACAGTTGCCAGCTGTCACTGTTCTTTCCAGAACTGAGAGCTTCTTTACTCATATCAACGGGAACGAAACTCTGAGCGCCAAGATAAATGAAAAGGGTGAACGCACTGAATTCACGCACGATGCTATGGGCAGATTGGTGACCGCCACAGACGCAGCAGGCAAAACAGAAACTCGAAGCTACAATACTACAGGAAAGATCCTGCAGACCCACGATGCATACCAAAATGTGGTCATCCGCACATACAACCCTTCCGGTGATATGGTTAGTGAGCGAAACAGCATGGATGAAGTCGCAACTCACGACTACGATGCCAAAGGGCGCCGCACTAAGTCGGTCGCTGCAAATGGTCGCCAGATCCTATATGAATATGATCGGGCTTGCAGCGACAGCCTCTCTCGCGTAACCCTTGCAGCATCATCTGATAGCCCGACCAATGATGCGACTTACGAATATCGATATGACTCCCAGGGACGCCTGACAAGATCGGTCCTTTGCACTGGTCAAGATGAGACGTTTTCCGTGGATCTATCCTATGATTGGCAGGGTCAGATCATTTCCCGTCGCTTCTTCGACGGCTCATTATTGAAGATCGACCATCAGGGAAGTCGAGTCGGACGGATTGCATTTTCCGGTGAAGAATGGAACGTAGAAACCAAGATTCAGAGCTACAATGCGTTTGAGAAGCCTGAACAGTGGTCTATTCATGGTTCCGGGCTGAAGGATTTCCAGGGAACGATGCAAGCCGATCAGATCGGATTCCCGCTCATAAATTCACTGCGGAATTCAGACGCATCTCTGGTCCAGAACCACTTCATCTATAATGACCTTGACCAATTGAGCCGACTCCACGAGTTCATTTCGGGAAGAACCGCGGACTACTCCTACGAGGGTGGTCGTCTGGTCTCCTCTAAAGGGCAGACAGGACCATTGACCCAGTACGCCTACGATCTATCCGGTAACATCACTCAGAAAGGGACTACGGTTTTGCGCCATGGACCTAGATGGACTGAGGGGACAGACGGCGACCAGTCCATTGTTCGAGTCCAATACGACGAGGCCGGTCGGATGATCTCGCGCGAGCTGCCGCAGCAGTCCAAGGCCCATTCCTTTTCGTACGATGGATTTGGGAACATCGCTACCATCACAGATACCATAAAGGGAAATACGAGCCATATTCTTTCTGATGGTCAAGGCAATACTCTCATCCGCACATTGGCAGATGGATCCCGTGAAATCCAATTTACTCGCGAGCTCAGCGTGTTGATCCGTCCAGATCGATCGCGACAGATTCGTCGCCGGATGTTTGGTGCAGACAAGAAGCTACTGGCCACAATTACGACCGAGATGATGCCTGAAGAGCACGCGAAGACTACTCATATCGTTCGAGTAGCATTCACGGATGCTAAAGGAAATGTAACACATCTATTCGGTGGCGACGGAAAGCTCTGCCACAGTATGGAATACGATGACTTTGGAAATCTCTCCCCTTCTGATGCTCCTTTGTCATCAACATACGAGGCCAACGCTGTCGACGCCGATACATGCTTGATTGACTTTGGTGCACGCTGGTACGATCCATTGCTCGGTCGTTTTGCGACTCCAGACGACATATTGGATGAGAAATCGCTGTCAAACGTAGACGGCATCAATCGATATGCATTCGAAAACAATGACCCGATCAACCACATCGATCCTACAGGTCACTGGGGCGCAGATTTCTGGGGTGGTCTACTTCTGGGTCTGATTCTATTGGCAGTCGGTGTAACGATTATGGCCACGGGGGGCGCTAGTATTGGGCTCGCAGCGTAAGCATCCAACTCACATATCCTATTTACCCATCAGCCTTCCCTCTAACGTGTATTTGTTGCAGGCTCTCGGGTGCTTTATTCAGCGGCGGACTAGCTGCGGTGCAATATTCATGGGAAAATCGGGACGAAAAAGACTCGGGCAAATTCTGGGCAGGCTACGGGGCCACTTTGGCAGTATCATTAATCACAGGAGCAGCTTCGGGGGCGTTTGGTGCCTACATATCATCTTCAGCATCGCTGACAACGAGCTGCAGCCGACTATTTGCCAAAGGTGCAGTCGAAGCCATCAACAAGCCTGGGAAAATCTTAGCCACGTTCGTCATTGTGGCATCCAAAACACTTGTCAGCGGTCTCACCGGAGCTGTCGTTCAAATGGGAAAGAACCTCGTCCAACGTGAAATTTACGGAGCGAAGGTTGGACTGTGGGATGGAGTTGGCTATGCAGGTCTAATCGGACTTCGTAACGGCGCGCTTTCAGCACTGGGTAACTCGTACTGGACTTGGAAGGGCCAGGATCAACTCAATCGTGTCACCGCAACAGTCAAGGGAACTTTTAAGTATGATTGCGTGAATCTGAACGTCTACGATGAAGACTTTAATCATGTCTTCAAGGTGTTTGGATATGGAAATCCGGTGGGACAAAACGTGTCGGCACAGGCTGGGAAGTCATTTGCCAACGTAAACTGGGAGAATCCTTTTGGTCCATAGTTTCACTGTCAGGTTAATCCCATATCAATTTCACTTGGTTATTAGTGACCACCATCAGTCGTATTTATATCTCAGAGCTGCGCTAAGTATCTTGTGGGTTATGGGTGGGCGTCAGCGAAAAGGGGGACGAGGAACACACTGCCCGCATATACTCACACAGACCAGAGCACTTATAAGTACAATATAATTAATACGTCCAGATCTCAGGGATTTTTCTATAGACATTTTCACGTCTTAAATTTCATATCTTATATCTCCGTTAAGCGCTGGTCCTAGGTAACAATTGATACCAAGCTGACAGTTCAGCATATATTGAGTCTCAACGCTTTAGGTTATCCCATGCTGAAAACTTTGGAACTGGGATTTGATTAGAATCACTTGCGACGAAACTAATTCCTACTGAAGTTGTAATGGGTAGCGATACTGGGAGCAGGGTACCTCAACTAGATACCCTTAAGAGGTCCCGACAAATGATTTATATAATACGGTAAGCGCCCATATACTGAACCTGCAGAAGTTATATATTCCCCGTCTGAATGAAACATGCAACTACACAGGCTAGACTTCAGTAACTATACCCGGCTGTGCTTTGAACGGTCTACTCAATAATACAGTGATCATTAAGGCATCGCCTGAGTTAAATCCTCGAGGGATTCATGTAATAAGACGCGAATGGCTAATTATCACTACCAATGGAAAAAAACTCTAGGATATATAACTTGGGGTGTGGAAAATAGAGCATCATCCAGTCCGATCTAACACTGACGACCTGTACAATCCTGGATAGAGCCACGGCGTAGCCTCTTGCCATCGTGAGAGCAAAGATGAAGGAGACACGGTTGATGGCAAAAGTACCTTCCATTCACAGTAGAAGGTTGACAGTGCATTCCTTCCTTACCTGGGTGGGTGATACAGTTTGCCCGTGAAGGTAGTTGCGCTGGCGGTTATGGCCACCTGTCTTCTACCTGGTACTTCCATCATGGTACTCAGGTACCCCCCGGACTTGGGAAACTTCTTAAGCACGCTCGCAAATCCTATCGAGACAAAGACTCCTTTTCACTCTTCACTTTTCACTTTTCATATACACTTGATTAGTTTTCAGATTACACACTTATCATGATGGATTGTATAATCTATTCTGTGTCTGGGTCGATGACGATGGAATGGGTTCCAGTCACTTTGAGGGCCGCCACATTCACATTGCCATCGAAATCCATCGACTTTGGTGAATCCAACATCAAAACTATCATCAACAGGGGGCCTCCCCCATCAATGGGTCTGCATACTTAAAGGGAAGAATTATCCCTCTCCCCTCTCCCTCGATCAGGGCTCTTCTCGAAAAAAAAAGGCGTGAGTAGTACATCTGCCTTTGTTACTACTGCTTGTTTCTAATAATGTGCACACTCCAAGGTTCATAGAGGTGCGCCGCTATGAGCCACGGAATGTTGGTAGAGCAGACGACTTTCGGATTTTCAAAATTATCTGCATCTCGCAAGACTATGATGAGTTATACGTCTTCCGCCCGACTCCGGGCACAGGGCCACCAAGGGCACCGCGCCAGGCAGCCCCTCCGCCGGGCAATGATTCTGTCCACCGCTGGGCAATATCCTGTCCTCCAAGAAAAGTACGTTGATAATCTGAAAGAAAAACGTTAGAGCTAATGTATAGAAGGAAAAGATCTGCCTCGTGCCCGCCGGCCGGGGCCAAAACCCCTCCCCCCCGCGCCGACGAACCCCCCCCCCTCCGGTGGACGACCCCCCCCCCCCCCCCCCGGCCCGGCGACGACCCCCCCGCCGGCCGACGGCCCGCCGGCCCAAAAGAAAAGTCCGTTAATAACCAAACTATATCCGAAAGAAAAACATTCTAACAGGAATTTAGAGAGGGCCAAGTGCTCCCACTGTGGAAACCTCTCCCACAATGGTGACTGCTGGGCGGCGTGCTCGGCCTGCGGCCGCCGCCATCGGCCGGGCACCTGCCCGCCGCGCCGCCCCCGCCCGCCGCGCCGCCTCCCTGGCCCCCCCGCGCCGGCCGATCTTCCGGCCGGAACTATAATTAGTTACGGGCATTATTATTATTACCATCAATATTGATGGAATATTATAAATTTTCTTATATTGTATGTATTGGTGGAAGCATACAGAAGCAGCACGAGAAAGGAGGAAAGACTGGTGCCACTGGTGCTCTCCCAAATGCAGACTGAATTCTGGATCTTCTGTAACCGAAGAGTAGTTTCTTACCTTCGGGGTTCTTTGAGCCTCCAAGAGTTGTGACCGCGTTTACGTTCAAGAAAGGCAAACGAAATCCTTAACCAGATAGCTCCTTTCCAGTCGTATATTGAGCATGTCAAACGAGGAAAGAAAGGCGTGCCGTCGTTCATAAACGGTGGGATAGATTAGGAGTTTTCACTATGCGTCGAGGCTCCCTGGCAGTTTTATATCAGAATACTATAGATCTCCTTTCCCTAACCGTATAATAACCCAGCCTAAAGCTGAACGTGGCAGGCGATTGCGATTGTCTGCAGGTCCTAGGAACGAAGCAAAGCCATTCTTGATCCTATTTCTAGCTAACGCGCATATATCATTCGATCAATTAGAGTTCATTGCCTCCAAGGAGCCATACCAGGACTCGAGCGCTCCACGAAACAGACACATCGTTATATCTCTAGACTTTTGGCACGACCTGTCCTGGGGCCGCTTGGGCCGTGACAGATAGTGTACGCATTTAAACGGCACGTATTTGTGAGGAGCCTATCGAAGCTAACGGATAATAGCTTCATAAATACTGCCCCATCAATCAGTGGCCGGGAAAGACCCTGGCTCTCTGAATAGCCTAATAAGCGAAAAGATGATAACTAAGATAGCATTCGAGTACACTGAATCTGGACCAACCTGTTTCTGGGGCTCTGAAATACCAGAAAGTATACTATGCTATCAATGGATAAAGCTGGATCTCGACCCTTCTCAGAAAAGACTAGCCCCCGTTTATCTTCTGTTGATTGCAGGGGTGTCCTACCTCCATATTAGGCGTTACCGGAAGACCTTGTCACCAATACCTTAGCTGTACGCATGACCATTTAATGAGAGTTCTGGAATCGAAGATTGGGGGCTGCATTTGGCACTATAGCATGGGAATGCATACGTTGTGACTGTTCCCGCCGTCTGGGCCGATGCTACAAAGGCTAAGACCAACTCATTTGGCCTCCACGAGGACCCAAAAATAATTAAGCTATTACACCTTATCTAACTACTCTTCCCCCTCATTAATTAATTGCTTAGAATCCGCCATGTCTAAGTCAGATGATCTGCAAATAGCTCTGCTTCTATATAACCCATTATCTATCATATGAAGTCCAATTCCATATAGGTCCTCGTGCGTACTCATCTGTTTAGTCATTCGAGCTCAACAGCACTTCCTACGGCTTTGGCCGCACCGCCATAGAAGCTCTGGTATCCTTGATTTCAGGAGCTCCTAGAGCCCCCTCCTCAGGACAGTCTCCTGTCCACTAGCCATTTGCTCGGTTATCCCAGAAGTTAGTTAGCTACCTATAGACGATACCTAATCAAGCATCGAGCAAGTTCAAGATTGATCGCCGTAGAGCGTTAAGGTTGGGATTGGATCGTTTTCGTAACTTCAGCGTAATATGAAATCGGGGTCTGTTAAATCTCACAGTTGCATTGTCAGATTCTTGGAGGGAAGCATCGCCAACATACACCGTCTAGCTCTGCGCTGGAACTGACTGGAGAGAGTTTGCAATTTTTCAATTTAGCAAATAATACACGTAGCGATAACTCAGACAGTATTCATCTCACGACTAAAGTGCTTGTAGATGATGCGATAAGATAGCTAGTCATATAACGAAGGAAGAGAGACACCGTTGCCTCAGTATCACAAAAGTTCACCAGTGGCGAGTATTGCAGCACCAATTTCTGTCCATCGTGATGAGCTTGGATAATTCTTCCTTTTTTCTCACCAAAGTAGGACATGAGGAGACACTAGATTAATTAGCATTAATTGTATCAAGTCGACTCACTAACTTACTGGTTTAGTATCCTCAGATGGAGATGACTCCAACTTAAAATTGTCTTTCAGTATATTTAGAACACCAAGGACCTCGCCTCTGGAAAGGCATGTATCTTCCGCCCTTGAACAATTGTGAATAGAAACGATACTATGCGACGAAGTGCTGTTAACCGGATGAGGGTACATTTCCCATGTCGTTGTACCCAGTCGAGAGAATATTTGATAGTCTCGCGGATCGTACCTTTTAAGAAGATAGTCAGCTACCTGGACGATTCTTAGATGAAATAGGAGCTCAAGCAAATATGCATACGAGTAATCAATAGGTACAGTCTCATCAAGAGATAACAGCTCGTGAGGAAGACCATCGCGGACCGCTTCAAGGTGTCTCTCAACGAAGTCACTCAGCCAGCCTGCGTGCTGCCAGAAGTCCAGGTCTTCGAAGTCACGGAGCTCGCAAAAATATTGAAAATCGAATTCTTCATAGTTTGGGCCTCCTCTCCATCTATTATCTAGCGAATCTGCACGGAGGGGATAATCAGTCAATAAAGTTTTCGAAAATTGAGGCAGGAAGAAGCATGGTTCAAATCCCAGGATGCCCTCCTCATCGAGATCGACCTTCACTGCGTGGATTCCCAGCTGATAAAGGTCATCAGTTTCAAAATGAGGAGCATCGCGTTCTGAGAGAATCGAGAATACTCGAGAAGCATGATTGCGGACGTTTGCAATTCGGTCGTTTATAGTCTCCCTTGTATGCATATTTAAAAAGAAAGATAACAAGAGAGCAATTACTTTCGTCTGATGAAATAGATGCGGAAGAGGAAGTTGAGGAGAGATTTCAGTACACCGTATCCAAGCCGCTCAGCACAGGTTCAGGGTCGCTTCGTTTCTTGTATCATTTTCATCATTTTCAATGAGAAGATGAATCCTGGACGCGGTGGCTTATCGTTCCTAAACCATAGAAGACTTGAGTCGTTTACTTTCAGTTTTCGTCATAGGATACTCAGTCCCACGGATCGTATCTTGTTGAAAATCCTCAGCGATCGCAGCCTACGCAACCGCCCATGATGCAATCTACGGTCGGCTTGAAGTATGTACAGTAGACTTGACTTGTCTTGGTCAGACTATATTGACTGTTATTTCATTACCGCTTATTTCTACCTAGTATAATACGTCTATGACTAGTCTCCATTGGACCTCGCGCTCCAAGGTATCTACCAAGCGATCTCACGACTGAAAAGACGAGGGCACCAAACATGAATTAATTCCACGCTTCTATTATAAATGAGAGAGCAAACTAGGTAGATTACTCTAGCTAAGATCGAAAGGCGTTCTGGGACGTAAACTGAAAATGACCGAGAGGGGTTCCCTGATGAGGCATCTGTTCTGTGCCTTCCTCAAGTATTTGGGTGCATCAGGAAGGTGCATCAGGAAGGAAGATATTCCTAGTCTACAGGACTGATCAAAATGGACTCTTCAAACTGCAAAGCATCCGAAACACAATCCGAATAGCTTATAACGATTTCATCATCGCTTATTTTCGAGCAAATAACACTGAGAATAGATTCGAATTGTCTGTTGGAAGCTTACTAAAGCAGCGGAACCATGGCCTCCAACAACCAAGGAGGTGCTACTCGTCTCCCAAAGAACAAGGAGGAGTGGGAAAAACGTTTCCCTGCAGGATCCAAAGCTAAGTCAATCACTGAAATTAAAACCCTGAATTCTGGATCTTCTGTAACCGAAGAGCAGTTTTTAACCTTCAGGGTTCTTTGGACCACCAAGAGCTGTGCCTGCCTTTACATTCCCAAGGCCTATGAAAGAGATGCAAACGCTATCCTTGACCGGATAGCTCCTTTCAAGTCATATATCGAGCATATAAAACAAGGAAATAAAGGCGTACCCTCGTACACAAACGGTGGGGATAAATTGGGAGTTTTCCAGATGGTGAGATATTACCAGCTGCAGGTTCAGACTAATCTCCCGGCCCAGGAAACGCAAGACGATTCTATGAGCCAGAATGTTCGATTCACCCCTGTCCGAGCGACACCTTCTTCAAGCGACGGCTCTGCGTCTGCAAGCGCCCTCAGTAATATGACTGCAGCTTGTGACCAGACATGGATAGATTGGAAGCCAGCAAGTGATGAACAGATCGTCAACCAGGCGTTGATGAAGTTACTTACTGCGCTCACAATCAATATCCCCAACGTTAAATGCGAGTGGTCAATTGCACGGTTTCTTTTCAAACACCAGTTTAAACATACAACTATGGAGGCAAGAACCGACGGCTACCTGCGGCTCTTACAGGATAATGGCCGAACAGTGATAGCAATTGTTGAGACAAAAGCTCATGTCCGAAGAGATAACAGGGTTCGCATGCAGGAGGCTGCAGAAATGCTCTTATGGATATTGCATAATCACGAACAAGACCCAGGAATCCCAGCCAAGAAGTAAGTCTCAATACCCAATATAATTTGGAATATGACGGCTTCCCGTGCTGTTCTTTGTTCATCTCAGCTAATTTTGACATCAAGGCGTTACCTCATAGCGCAGGATCGACACGAAATCTTCGTGGTCAAAGCGGAGTATGATCTGAATTATATCGAATACCTCCGCAATAAGGAACGAGACACCTTTATGAGAATAACTGAATTCGGCCCATTTAAGACAGACGAGTCCCAGCACATGAAGAAGTTTGCAAATTTCATCGTGGCACTATGTCTGCAAATTGGAGAATGAGCTGTCCACCTGGAAAATCACTCTTGACTTTGACTACTAGCCTGCACAACGCTGCGGAGCAAAATTGTGGTCTTCCCCTTCCCTTGACTGCTAGCCTGCACGACGCTGCAGAGCAAAACTGTGGTCTTCCCCTTCCCTTGACTACTAGCCTGCACGACGCTGTAGAGCAAAACTGTGGTCTCCCCTTCCCTTGACTGCTAGCCTGCACGACGCTGCAGAGCAAAACTGTGGTCTTCCCCTTCCCTTGACTACTAGCCTGCACGACGCTGTAGAGCAAAACTGTGGTCTCCCCTTCCCTTGACTGCTAGCCTGCACGACGCTGCAGAGCAAAACTGTGGTCTTCCCCTTCCCTTGACTGCTAGCCTGCACGACGCTGCAGAGCAAAACTGTGGTCTTCCCTTGACTACTAGCCTGCACGATGCTGCGGAGCAAAACTGTGGTCTCCCATTTCCCCTCCCCCCCCTAGCAACAAGCTCGCACCTCATCGTGGTGCTAGGGTCTAGTAGCCAGGTCTATATGGACAGGTGAAGCCAAGACGAGCTCTTCGTAAGTACCGGTTGTATAGACTGATTGTATTCATTCTAGATATGCGCATAGCTAGCTCTGTATTTTGTCGGATAGAAATTGCTGCGAAGCATGGTTATGATTTGAAATTCCTAGTGATCAGCCATCTTGAACCTGAAGCTAGGGGTAGTTAGCCTCCATATATATTCCCTTTAGCATACAAAGTGTCTAGTAAACTCTTTCATACACCTTCTACAGAAAGCGTACACTAGTCATTGGAGATAACAAGTAATATCACCGTTGTTACCTGTTTCCTTGGACTTCGACGGACTATAAGCTGTGGAGGCTTGTTGATTACTCCAGTTTCATCGAGGGAGATTTTCTCTGTAAGATATGTAGAAGATTATCGTTCATTCCTTGCTATACTATCGCTAGCATACAACACTGTCAACTTACCCACGAATAGATTATTTGATGTCGACTCCATTTGACAAACCATACGCGCGATATACCCCGATGATTGACTAGAGAGGATAATCAATTTACAATGGACGGACCGCAGTACTAGGTGCTATCGTTTATCAAACATCTGACGTCGAGTAAAAGGGCCACGTGTGATTTGCGTCTAGAGTGACCCAGACATCAATTCAAGGTTTGGCTATCTACTGAATTCCTCGCCTTATACTACTCTATCAGTACATCTCAACATTAAGTTGAGATCATCACCTGATTAATATGAAAGGACCCCCTTCTGAAAATGGTGGCAGCTTAAATAGGAAAATTCTCACTTTGAAAAAGGCTCAACAGACACGTTATGCTCATAAAAACATAAAGGTGTGAATTGAGAAACTCTGATATAATTTACAAGCTTTTTAGAAATAGCAATATATCAGTAAACATATCTCATCAAGACGAGTTAATCTCTGTGACTACTAGAGTCCGCAAGTGCAGCTTCTCTCTGCGCTCGAGCCTGCTTCTGCCACATGGCCGAATAACGACCGCCAGCAGCTAACAAGTCATTATGAGTCCCACTTTCTGCTACTCGACCATCATGCAAGACGATAATGTTGTCACTAGCGATGATGGTGCTCAGTCTGTGAGCGATGATCAACACCGTTCGACCTTCCGAGAGTACAGACAAGGCATGCTGAATGTGCTGTTCTGTTTCTGTGTCCAGTGCTGCTGTTGCCTCATCTAATAAGATTATTTGGGGGTTTTTCAAGATAGTTCGGGCAATAGCAACGCGCTGTTTCTCTCCACCACTTAATCGCAAGCCACGATCTCCAACCTTAGTCTCGTAACCGTCGGGAAAAGACATGATTTTATCATGTATGCTAGCTGCGCGGCATGCGTCATATACTTCCTCATCTGTGGCGTGTTGGTTGGCGTATTTGAGGTTGTACATGAGAGTCTCGTTGAAGAGAACAGTATCCTGCGGAACAACTCCAATATGTCTCCGTACCGAATCAATAGTCACATCTTCAGTGTTGTGTTCATCGACGAAAATCTCTCCTTCAGTTGGATTATAGAACCTGTAGAGCAAGCGGAAGAGAGTCGATTTGCCAGCTCCAGATTCGCCCACAAAGGCAGTCGTCGAACCCGGTGGACAGTTAAACGTCAGTCCGTTAAGGGCAGGTCTCCGCGCATCGTATGAAAAATGCACGTTTTGGAACCTGATGTTTCCCTGACAAACGGACAATGGCACAGCAGACGGCTTATCAACTATGGATGGCTGGACGCGGAAAAGTTCGAGTAGACGTTCTGCATTGATCAATGCAGACTGAATATACCGATAGAAAGTTCCGAAGATGTTCAATGGGGCTTGAAGCTGCGTCATGTATGATAGGAGAGTGACGAATTGGCCAACAGGACGCTCGCCGCGAGCTACTTGATATGTGGCGATGAAACAAGTAACCAGAAGACCGAGCATGAATATTGTGTTTTGGCATATATTCATCAGATTCTGCGCAAAGAGGGAGTGGTATTCAGCCTCTAGATAGTTGTTGACTGCGCCCCGGTAGCGGTTGAACTCATATTCTTCCGCGTTGAAGTATTTAACTGTTTCGTACGATATGAGGGAATCGTTTCTGCATCCGTTAGAATCATAAAGACGTCAATAGATCAAGAACATGGAGTTGGGGAGGCGACGGGAGACCAAAACTTACTTGACAGCATCTTCCTGTCTCGAAGCGTTGACCATCTGTCGCCGCATATCTGCTCTCCAGGAAGCAATCTTAATAGTCATATATAAATAAAAGAATGTCATGATGGTGATCGTTAGAGCGTAATAAGCATCAAAGAACACGAGGAAGTAGCCAATGGCAATAGCCAGGTCAATGAACATGGGCAGGACCTGAAAGGTCACTTGCTCAAGGAAAGTATTGATGGAATTGCCCTTGGTGAGAGCGGAAAGCACCTCGCCCATCTTCTTGTTCACGTGGAAATCTAGACCTAGGCGATGTACATGTTCAAATGAAGCGGTCGATAACTCCGCATAGGCGTACTGGCTGATGGAGATCCACAGATTCGAACGGACCGACTCGATCAAACCTTGGCTACCCTGGAGCCACCGATAGAAGATATACAGGCATATGTGTGTCCACGGAACACGCAGCTGTCCTTCCCTTATGGATAGCGAATCTGTAATTACCCCGACCTGGTACGGCACAAGGAGATTCACCACTCGCTGTAAGACCAATAGAAAGAAACAAAAAATGGCGATAATCTGCAGCCTACGGGACTTGGATGGCCAGATATAAGGAAAGAAAAGTGAGTAGCCACTGAGATACTCCCACCAGTTGGTAGTTGGGGTCTTGAGTGGCCTTGTCCACGGCTCTGGAAAAGTCTGTTCAGCGTCGGTTGGGCTGTCACTATCTTCTGAACTGGGATCCTGCGTGGAATCCAGCAGATCAGCTGTTTCCTCTGAATTGACCCCTTCGATCTCTCTTCGAACACGACGTGTTGGAACCACAATTTTGACGATGTAGCATACGACCAGTAGCGTGAGGATTAGAACTCGAGCGGCCCCGACAGTGATCTCCAGCGTTTCCCATATAGTCAACCTTGTACGCAGAGGTCCTCCAAAGGAATCACCAACTGTGGGCTCATGGTGGACATTGGTATAGGTCGAGATCGAAGTAGCTAGGATAGCCAGCTCCACGGGCAGGGCCAAACACCAGGGGACAAATTGCGCAACGTTGGGAGAAGGATCCATATCAAGTAAAGAAATCAGAACCACCGAGTGCGCGAAAAAGGAGCCCACAACGAATATCTATCATCGTTAGATCCTTTTTTGTTTTTGTTTTCTTCTTTCACAAAGAAATTGGAGACTCACCACCACGGCCTGACCGCACCACCATTGCTGCGACTGGGCGAGCATGACATGTAGCATATAGATTGCCGCCTCTGCAATGTATGTGGTCAAAAGGAATAATGCTAACCACAAAAACAGAGTCCTAGATCTATTTTTTGCCAGCTCTGCTGCAAAGTCTCTGGATACCATCATCATGACCCGAGTGCGCTTTGGCAATGGTTTCCCATTGGGGCCATACTGCACCGAACCGCTGTGCCCGCCAGCATCTTTGGCAATATGTGCGGAGTGAACGATAAACACGACGAAGAAAACAACCAGCAGGACAATTGGATAGCTGATGCGGATGTAAGGAAGGAATACCTGAGCAGCGCTCGGTGAATTCATGGCCGGCAACAGGTGTTCATGCGAATTGCACCAGGAGCTATCTCAGAACAATCCAGGTAACATGAGGGATTGAAGGGAAGCAAGAAACATCATCGAGCTGCTGCACGAGCCCTCTAAGATTATCAAATAAGTGCGCAAAATAACTAACAGTTAACAGCTCTGCAGGCTGAGCTGAAAGCGGAGACGATAGCTGCGAGTTTAAAAATGTATCAAGCGCTAGTGTATTTCATCCGTAATACAAAGATCGCAGCCAGCCACATGGATATGCCGCCATGTCTACACTAGTTATACGTGATGATCGACAGCCTGCAGATAACTTACTCCAAGCGGCAAGTGTTCACGAGACGATTTACGTACTTGCAGAGGATGCTTCTTTGGGTACGATCTCCGTCCCCGTCTATGTGGTTCCCATGGAACTGCCCTGGAACGGGCCGTGGAGGGCGAGCCTTGGTAAAGGGAAAACTCTCGGTGATGAAATAAGATGGGGAAAAAGGCAAAATACCAAGGTAAATCATGGAAGGAAGTTGATTTTCAGTAGATTTACAGATGCAGTCACATAAAATTTGTCATCGCGGATAATTTGACAATCAAGGCTACCTAACTCCGAGATACATATCGTAACTATAACTACTTCTTTCTAAAACACAATAGGTCATGTACAATCTTCACCTGTCGGCCTAAATCCGCCGCTTCTTCCCTCGCCGAACGATTCAAGAATGATAGGGCCGAACACACCATCAGCATCCGAACGGTTTGCATGCTCACTGCTGTGTTTTCCAAGCAAGCATCCATAAAGACTGTAGTGCACAGTTCCATCTCCTTATCTGACATTCCGTATTGCTCTCCTGTTCGTCGCATCATATGCACAAAATGACTAATATCTCGCTCCAGAGCCCCGGCCGGTTTACCGTTTTCATCTAGAGAGGTGTGCAAAGTCGTGGTGTCAATCATTGTCACCTGGCCCGTTGCCTGATCGTAGAAGAAGTTTCCGGGATGAGCATCGCCATGGACAACAGCGGTGCGTGGGTTTCGGGTCATGTCTTCCTGGCAGTGAGTAGCCAGCTCCTTCATATCTGACGCTAGTTGATCTACTTCGAGTCCTTCACGACGGAGGATATCCGCGTACAATGAAGCTGTCTCAACTCGCTGTGCCAAAGCACTGAAATACCACTCGAGATAGTTAGCACTTGACTTTCCCTGGAGTCCAAAGGAATGTAATCTTTTTAATGTCCGTGCAACTTCTTCCACCCCCGCTTTGAGGACGGCCAAGATGTCATCTCTCATTGCTCCTCGTGGCGTGGAACCAAGCTGCATCATAAGCTGATACAATGACATGCCTTGAGCAACTTCGTATGTGACAACTCCGGCTAATTTGTTCTCCCAATTCATTTTCCAGACTGCCAATGGGGCTGCTATCCGGATTTCACCCTTGGCTTGAAGCAGGAGCCATTCCAAGCTGGAAAGTTCCTCTGTGATTCCATTGTCCAGTCCGTGAACGAAGAGCTTTACCACAGCAATTACACGGCCCTGGGATGTCTCAGTAGGCATGACTGGCAATTCATTTTTTGTATTGCAGTCTTCGGTATAAGCAAACAAGATAACGGCCCCTGAAAACCCCTGCGGATGTGTTGTGTCCATACTTCGAAGACGGACGGGACATCCTAGAGCAGTAGAAACGTGCTTCTCGAGGGAGGTAGTTGTGGGATGGACTTCTGGCAAGCTATGGAGGACTTCTGCTGCCCGCACAGGGTCTGGAGCTCCAGTTCGATTTCGCGTGCGCGCTGCTCGATGCATGGCGGCAAGGACATCTGGTGAAAGAGACGGAACAGACGACTGCTCCATGGGAGCAATGACACCATTCGACCTCTGCACTGTGTCCGTTGTAGATTCTATCGCAGCACTAAGGAGCGCTTGGGCGGCATGTTTCCAGGAGTAGCCTCGCATGACTTGTTGTAGCGCTCGAGCGTCTTTGCAAGCCTGGTCTAAATGACGCCGCACATGGTCAATACGATGTGCCCAAATAGCAACACGCTCGCTTTCTGGCGAGGGTTTAATACCATACGCGCTCTCATCCAACACCACACAGGCCTGGCCCACCTCTACGGGGATCCGTGTTCGGTCAAGGGCAAGTTGGCCAGCACCACTATCCTGGGTCACCAGAATAGGTATGCCTAGTCCAGCGACTTCCGTGAATATCATACCAAATCCCTCATGGGTGGATGGCATTATCACTAAATCAGCCATTCGATAGGAGCGTAGCACGGTTAGGCGGTCGTTGGAGAACGGATGAAATTGCACCAGACCCTGTGTGCCGGTGATCTGGTCGGCATAATTCTGCCAGCTATTCATTTCATTGATTGGGACCCCCAGAACATGTAGAACAATTTTATTTCCAAGTGTCGCGACTTTCTGCACTGCATAGATGGCGTCATCTAGTCCTTTAGCTGGGTCGTCTGCTCTACCAGGAAGGAGAACACGGAACACCCCATCTAGCTGTCGATGGGACTGGGTACTTTCATAAATGTGTGCACCAGGAACCAGCTCATGAAAGCGAGGTCCTGTCTGGATTGAGCGTCGCCGACTGCACTGTCCTATCCATTCGCGTTCACGGGCTTCAGCGGTAAGAGCAGGTCCAACGCCTACGGCTAAGTCCGCCTTTGGAAGGATCTTCTCGTCAAGCATCGCCAGTCGAGCGGCTTCAACATATCCCAATTCTCGAGTCTCTCCGTACCATTTCCAGGCGACGTCTGACTTGCGGAGAGGGCTAGTATGGGTAATGAGCGCCAGTTTCGCTGCAGGGTACCACCTTTCACGGATCAAGGTCGCTGCGGCGCTGGAATATCGCGAGTGACCAATGATGAGATCAAATGCAGTAGTACCTTGCTGATCTGTCGCTGGAAGACAAAATTCATCCGGCTGGTGGACTTTGGCGACATGATAGAGAAGACTGCTGGGATTGCATTCACCAGAAGAGATACTGACTACTTTTGCTTGTCCATGAGCTGTAGCAAGGTCTGTTTTCTCATCTTCTGACTTGACCACAAACAGAGTTACTGATGTGTTTGGTAGCTCAGACATCGCTCGGACAAGCTCCTGGTTGAATAATGGTAGACCTCCTTTGCCTGGCCCGCTGGTGCTGGCAACGAAGAGCACACGCCATGGGGGGGATATTTCGGGAAAGATATTTTGGAAATAGTCCCATTCGAATTCGACCTTTGCACGCAATTGGGCCAGGTGACGCTCATCGCAACTTTTCTTCAGCTTGGAAACAGCAGACCAGAGTCTGGACAGCTGCGTACGCGTTCGAAAAAGCTGGACTATTCCTTCACTAAGTGGGACACCTTGGGCTTGATATGCTTTCCAAAATTCCTCTTGCACGGTAGCGATATCACTCTCTTTCATCCCGAACTGTCCAGAATATTTTCGCAACCGCTCATAAAAGCCAGCCACGTCCATCTCTGCTGGTCCAATGGGATTCCCTTGGCAATCCATCGAACGAGCTAATCCACCATAATCAATCATTGTGATGCCACGGATTGGCTCCCAGAAAAAGTTCCCAGACGAAGCATCACCATGCAGAAGTGATGCGTGTCCTTCCTGTCTTGACTCACTGATAGCACGGTTAACTAGAGCAACTAGTCGCTCTATTCGCTCATATCCGATCGCTTTCATGTACTCGTCTCGTGAAGGTCCCTGGATTTCTTGAACCCAGCCGCGAAGCTTATCACGAAGCTTTTCAACAACACATTCGCTAGCGTCGCCCCATTCGCCTTTTATGCGGTGCAGCTTTGCCAGAGTCGAAGCCACCGCTTTCACGGAGGATACTAAGCCGGACATCAACTGATCAAATCGACGCCCTATCATGTTGCAAAGGACTTCATGGTCGGTCTTCCCTTCCCCCAACTTGTACTCGGTCAAGGGCAGACGCAGCTCGCTGGCAAAAAAGCCCTCCAGCACATCAAACCTGAGCTGTTCATCATTTTGTGCCAGCTCCAAAATATATCGAACCGTTGTAATGCGCCCAATATCACGGATCATAGTATTGAGTGCTTGTCCCGGGGCCAGCTGGTAAACAATCACTTCGGCCCATTGCCCCGTCCTGTCATCTATACATTTGCTCCATCCAAGCACACCAGCTGCGGCGGGTGGTTCAGGCAGAGATAGCAACGTCTGGTGGCTCGAGACTTCGTCCTCGTAATCGGAGTGACAAGAGGGCGGAAACACCTTAGCGACCGCGACGGTTTTACCGGCATCACGACGATCTCGAGCAAAGTATATGGAACACCCAGACTGGCCTTCGGCACCGGAGCCTTGAAGATGGTGCAAATCGATCGGGAGATTGAGGATAAAACTGACGATGTCAGTCACGGAGGGACTCTCGGGCAAGGGAGAAAGAAGGGTGTTGACGGTTTTCTCTTCTTTTCGGATATATAGTTCTTGAGAAAGAACGACAGCCATGGTATCGATATCGATCAAGTGCCAGTTTTTTCCCACGGCTTTCAGACGTTCCTCACTGACATGAGGACATGAACAGAATACAATCCACGAGCTTAATTAACTTCGTTAACGCACTCATTTTCAAGTAGGCGCAATGCTTCATAATACGCTAACTCAAAATGTGCCCTTCAATGAACGATTTCGTGACCAAATGACCAAATGGTAAGGCAGCCGTCCCTTGATCCTCCTTCAGCTAAGCCATCGATCATCTATAGTCAATCTTGATCAGCTAGTGGAATCCTGTTTACTGTGGCGTGAACTTCGTGCTGCCCGAGATTCTCCATGAGGTTATAGATCGGAAGACCCGTAACGTACCCACTCAGAGTAATCGACTTCGTGCAGATCGGGATCATCCGCTCGATCCCGCTGGCCAATGCATTGGAAAAAAGGACCCCGGTGAGTTCATGCGCTGGTTCAGCTCCTAGCGTCCGGTAATCGTATTGTACCAGAAGCTCGAAAACTAGCTTCAAAACAAGATGGAACATTGCGGTAATCCCGGTTTCTTAAATCGGTACTACACTTAGAGTTAGGTCTTTCCTGCGCCTTGAACAAGACGATTTGCCATTTTGAGCTAACAACATGTCATCTAATAAATTCGCAATTACCGCCGACCTCGGTTGGCACATGGAACCTATGCCTTTATGTCCTATGCTTCATGTTTCACGAAAAGAGTGCCATGAAAAGGCTGTCGTTGAAAACCGTCTTCCTCTTGTTTCAACCGCTTTGCCATGCAATTCAGCCCTCTGCACCTAGAGCGATTCCAGCTCCATTACGAGACTTGCAATGGGGGCAGCTGAACATCTTGCACACCACTGACACCCATGGCTGGCTTGCGGGGCATTTACATGAGTATGCTGTACCACTCCGTGCTAAATCACCGAAGTTTCTAATACCTTTAGGACAGGCCTTCTTATTCCGCTGATTGGGGTGATTACATATCGTTTGCATATCACATGCGCCAGAAGGCCGAAGCTCAGGACCAAGACCTGTTAGTTGTCGATACTGGTGACCGAGTGGATGGAAATGGCCTTTGCGATGCGTCAACGCCCAAATGTGTTTACATCCCAGAGATATTTGCACAGCAGCAAATTGATGTGATCACAATTGGAAACCATGAGCTTTACAAGCGTGAGGTTTCTGAAGCAGAATTTACAAATACCACTTCAACATTTGGCAAGAGCTATCTTGCTTCAAATCTCGATATTATTGATCCTGTCACGGGAGAAGTGGTCCCATTTGCTGCAAGATTCAGAAAATTCACCACAAAGATCCAAGGCATCCGGATTATGGCGTTTGGATTCATTTTCGACTTTGACAAGAACGCCAATAACACGATTGTTCATAAGGTGGGTGAAACTATACAGGAGGATTGGTTCCAGGAAGCGATCCGACAACCAGATATCGACCTTTTCCTCGTCGCTGGGCATGTTCCTGTGAATTCATATGAAATTCGGTCCATTATCAGCGAGATCAGAGAAATCCGTGATACGCCCATCCAACACCTTGGTGGCCATCTCCATGTGCGAGACTATGCGCTCTATGATTCTAGGGCAGCAGGCTTGGCAAGTGGTCGATTCATGGAAACAATTGGCTTCATGTCCATAGATGGTCTAGCTACTCGCCACGGACCAGCCAGATTGGATACTCCACGTTTCTTCCGGAGGTATATTGACAACAATCTGTTCTCATTTCACCATCATACCAATTTGGACGACAAGAGCTTTCCTACGGAGCTGGGACTGAATACGAGCCAGCTTATTGCGGACGCTCGACATACTTTGGGACTTGGCAAGGTGTATGGATGCGTACCAAGGTCTCTCTGGATGTCTCGTGTGCCGTACCCTGGGGAAAATAACATCTATACTTGGCTCAAACAAGTCGTTTATGATTCGATCAAGGATCAGTCAGGCCGCCGGACGGTTTTTGCCCTTGCCAACACCGGATCTATTAGATTTGACATTCTTCAGGGACCTTTTACCAAAGATACAGCCTTCATCGTGGCGCCATTCACGAGTGGCTTTCGGGTTTTGCCTAGTGTCCCCTACAGCAAAGCCCAGCAGATTGCAACTATATTGAACCAGTCATCAAAGAAAAAACCGAGCGGAGCTCTTACTTGGAAATCTGGTCAGCCCGAAGAATTAATTTATGACGAGGACTTCATCTCCGAAGAAGCAAGACAAGGCTTTTCATCCCAGAAGGGGCAACAAATTCTTGACTCTGAAAACTACCCACTTATTCCAGGCTACACAACGGTCGACGCAGGAGGTTCGGATGGTGATGATACTATACATTCGCCTATCAAGGAATATCAAGTACCGAAATGTCTGAGCATTCTTGTTAGCCCTAACAATGTGGTTCCGGACGAAGTGGACCTGGTATATGTCGATTTCATCGAGGCAAAACTGTCCTTCGCCGCTGAAGAAGTGGGCTTAGCAGTCAATGTGTCGCGTGATAGTGCCCCTTACATGGCTTCGAGACCTTTGTCAGATTTGATGGTAGACTGGATCCAGAAGAATTGGGCTTGTGATGATAATGCGTAGGCCGTGTCTTAGTGTAGATTTATCGATCATTATACGAGAATTAACATGAGGAACAACCATCTCGGAGCTGCTGAACGAGCTGCTTGGTCGTGCTAACCATCCAAGCTCTTAGAAAGCTATCTAACTACCTCACTCCAGCTAGGCACCAAAAAAAAACCTTGTGAGCTTTCATGGCGTAACCACTCTAGGCAATAGTGCATGGGGAAGATAGCTGTTTCGGGGCGACTTTGTGGGGTAGTCCCTTTTTTTTTAAAAGGAAAATAATTTCTTGGATATAAGCTAGTTTGCTCTTCCGGACGTAGAATTTCGCATTAATACTTACAGTCCAGCCAGCCACAATGCGCTCGGATACAGCAGCCGGGTTCATCACAGCTGGGATGGGGCGAGCTATGTGAACACAGCCTGAATCGAAATCTAGGGTAAGATATTTCCAGTCGATAAGTAGCTTAAGTTACACTATGGTTAGAGAGTTACACAATGAATCGACCACTGAATCTGCCTCCTGCAACATTTACAGTGACGGTTTATAGTTAGGTCTCCGCTGTGCGGTTAAGTGACCTACTATTCGTCCGAAAACATCGCAGATCTACAAGGTAGAATGATAGTCTAAATGTAATATATACAATACCTGTATTGTGAGCACCCAGCAAGGTAGCGCTATGCATATGCTGATCCGGTCCTGATCTAACCATGCCAACTCCTTATGCGTCAGGGCCCATAAACATTGTGTAAAGAAATTGTGGCATTTTATTCAGCTCATAGTGTCAGCCAGCCAGGCCACAGCCCGCGTCTTTGACCTCACGAATTGTTTTATCACCGTCGCACTGTCGGGTATGTAGTAGTAAAATCCAGCTCTCAGAAGGTGATCTTTTCTTCGAAGGGACTGTAGCTCTGGCTATGAAGGAGCGCGTTCTCTGGCTTGACGGCCTTCGAGGCGTCGCATCTGCTATAGTAGCTTTATTCCATGCAAAGTCCTTCGAGCCTCAGAGCGTCCTTGGGTTTCTGTTCAACTCCTACTGGGATGAACCAGCTGAAGAGAACCGGCGTTTCATCCAGCTCCCTCCCATTCGGCTTCTATTCTCTGGTGCGTCAATGGTAGCTTTGTTTATGGTTATATCCGGCTACGCAATCTCTCTCCCACTTCTCCAATCCCGTGGAGACACTCTTACCAATGTCCTTGCGAACAATGATGGCTTTTTTCGCCGCCTGGCTTCCGCTGCAACCCGTCGAATTTTTCGCATCTATTTGCCTTGCATCGTGATCATCTTTGTCTCCCAATTTCTATACTTCTGCGGTATCTACCAATGGGAGCCCCCGAGCGACGACTGGGTCTGGGGTCTAAAGCCCTTCACGGCGCCGCTGTCGCATATTCATTATGCGCTTTGGCATGTGCTACATCTGCTGGATATCAGCAACCACGGAATCGATATCAACTTTGTCCGCCCACGACCTGACTTTGCAAATCTGAATTACCAGCTCTGGACTATGCCTGTTGAGATTCGTGGCTCATGCATGGTATATCTGCTGATCTTGACCTTTGCATTCTGGAGACCTCGACCCCGATATCTGGCTCTAATAGCCGTGGCAGCATATTGGCTTTATATCGGTCAATGGGATCTATTTGCCTTTGTTGCAGGAATGCTTCTTGGAGAAGGACACGTCTCAGATCATTGTGGACCAGCTGGCGAGATTGAACTGCCCTGCAATCATTCCGAGACTCGGAGAGCTGTGACTGATGTCTGGACAAAATTCAAGGTCCTCATCGGTCGATTTCTACCAGCAGCCAGCTTCGTTTTAGGCATCTACCTCCTTTGTATGTGCCACGCCGATAAAGTTTCGCCCGAGTATCGATTTCTCCTCGCGATTCAATCTCCTTCCTGGGATCACCCGGAGATGTTCTCAAGATGTTGGAGAAGCATTGGAGCTACTCTCGCGATCTATGCAATCCGTGAATCCGCCCTTCTACAGTCCCCACTTAACTCGCAGCCTGTGCAATACTTGGGGGAAATTTCATTCCCACTATATGTGATTCATGTGATGGTCTATTTCATTTTCAAACGGCCAGTTAGAAGTATGTTATGGTTCATCGTGACACAGACGCCTTATCCAGGCACTGTTGAGGCAAGCAGGACGCATCCCGTGGCATTCTGTATGGCTTTTGGAGGATCTGTTGTTGTTTGCCTTATGATTATGGTTCTGGTGGCAGAACTATGGAATCGTTTTGTTGATAGGAAATGCATGATGCTGGCACGAAGATTTGAAAAGTGGGTTACTTCTTAAGGATCGGTTGTTTATAGGTCATCCGTTTGCTTCTCCTACAAATCTGCTTGATTCTATTACTTTAATATTACTTCATGCTTTATCAAGAAGAGTATCCTAATTCGTCAGTAACTTAATCTTTGCAGGAAACTAACGGTTCCAATTTTTAAGTGAGAGGAACCTCGAAGCCGGAAGTCCCACGAGGATTGTCCAGTCTGATGCGCTCCGATATTATCAGCCCATACGCGCAGCCTTCCCAATTTATCTTCCTAACGCCACAGGGATACTTCTGTCCCAAAGCGGGCAAGGTGACCTGAGTTCAGCAGTGCAGTGAATGGTTTCAAGAAATTCTTGAAGACTAAGGCAATCGTCGTCATAGCTTTTGTCAAGTTGAAATGCACGCTGACACACCCCGACTAGATAGGCATTTATGGGTGCTGACAGACTTTGCGATCTCTCTAGCAAATCGAAGGGAAAGAGTTATCAAGTGATATTATACAATCCTGGCGCAATTATAGTGTTATAAGCCCAATCTTTAGTATTAGGACAGTAAGACTGGAGAGGAAATGAGAGAGCATTGAATATCAACCCCGCAGTGAATTTTGTCAGAGCCTGCGTACAGACAGACCTCGGGTCGGGTTTCTCCCACGCCTTTCTAGCTCCACGCACAGAGATAAACAAGTTGAGCTAGTTGCTAGATAATACAAGCTCAGCGAGCTTCGCTCCAGAAATTTGGTTCTCTATGCACTAAGCCAAAGGGCCACCTTTCAAGAAACGCTTACTTATCAAGCAGCAGTATCAAACAGGAAACGACGTCTGATCACTTTCACACATCTTCTACTCAGCAGTTGAAATACTTGTATCCTCTTTCCACGGCCAATATATCAAACTCCGCCGTTGATACTGTAAGCTCAGTGATATATCCTTCCTCGTCCTAGTAAGTCAGTTTTATGGAGGGGTTAGTCAGAGAACTGAACGTCACGTATTTAATAGGGTGACCATCTTCTAATGCTTGCTGAGTCCATGCTTGGATCTGTGTATCTGATGCAATATCACGCCCTGTTCCGCACGGAAGCAGTTTGGGAGAATCTTGAAATTTCGCTCTCCATGTCGCAACCTTCTTTACCCTCATCTGTGAGAACCACGCAGCGGACTTCGATTGGCTGTTTAACGATTCTTCATCGAGTTCTCACTAACTACTCCGAATCTACAAAAGAGAAATCTCGTTTGGGTTACAAGAAATACGAATGAACAAGTATCCATCCTACAAAAGGTGATTTGTCAAAATATCTACTTTTATACAGCCCGACAGGGCGCCCAGTGGCACTGTGCCGCCATTTGTGGATTTATTCCCACTAGCCATGGCTCTCATTGAACTTTCGTTGGGCCAGACGATGTCGGCATTATATAGGCCTGAAGACAGGGATGCAACGGATGATCTCACACAATTGAAAATCACCGCCAGAGTCCTCCCGGCGGTCTACTGAGAGAGTGGCTCGAATTATGGAGATGTCGTCAAGGAGTGTCTTTACTGGTCTAACTCAAGAGGTGTGGCATTCGAGGACGATAAATTTGAGGAGTCCGTCTTCGAGTCTGTTGTGTCTCCATTAATCAAAGATTTGGCATACTTTGAAGGTTTATCACGTGTGGACTAGGTTCCAACAAGTCATCAGAGAAGCTGGGAAGTGAAAGATCTAATTTATCAGGATCAGAGGACACCTGTATTCAGTATACAAAGTACACAATCTGGACATGTAACCCTAGTCTAACGCGTTAAATGCCGCTGCCACTGCTTCCGTGTATGGGTCTTCACTGTAGACATTAAGGTCTTGAAGTCGAGGGCATTTAGCTTTGAGTTTGGCCGCGAATTCCCGCGGATCGTTTTGGCTACAAATTGATGTTAATAACTCCTCCAATAAAAGAAAAGGCTAGGAAACGGACGTATTCTGATCATCACCATCGTTGTCAAAACCACCAATCCAAAGCTCTTGCAGATTTGGGAACCATATCTCATCACGATCCGGCCACATGTTGAAATTGAAAATTTGAGGCATCTCGCATGTCTCCAAGGAGCGACAATGATGGCTCAGCGATGCCACAGCGGCAACAAATAGTGGGCATTGGACTTGCAGCTCGAGATGCCTTAAGCGAGGCATATGTGAAATCGCTGCGTCAAAGTCTGTGTCTGTCCAGTCCATTGCGTGAATGGATGAGGTATTGAGACCATACCAAGAATCGGTCACAATGCTGAGCTTTTGTAAGAGGGTTAATTGCTTCAATGAAGCGAGATCTCTAGAGGATAGTTCCGCCTCCTGGCGAAATTTGAGCTCAAGTTTTTCCAAGCTTGTTAGTCGCGAGATGTGGGTAAATATATCTCGCGTCGTCCCGTCGATAGACAAAGATAGCTCTCGGAGAGAATGTCGTGGCTCGAGGAGTGTTATCATCGTGGGAATAGCAGATGCTGTGATAGGCAGAATAAGTCGCTCGATCATAGGGAGCGGAGTGTCAATAGTAGCTGATATCTGATCCAGAAGATCTTCTTTGATCATAGCTGAGATCTCCAAGCTCCTCAGATTTTTCCGTGAAAAGAGGTGTAATATGGTTTCTGGAGGAAGTAGATGTTCCATTCTGACGACGAAGGTCAAACTCTCCAATATTGGGCAGCTGCGAAGGAAATTCAGAAAGGCCGTAGGCGTAATATCGGAGCCAGGGGAATCGATTAAAATAGATCGTAGTCGTCGACAATTTGTCCGTAAGTGATCCAAAACTTCGAAGCCAAGGTCGCCTCCGTAAAACGAAAATTCCTCTAAGGTCGGGGGAAGCAATGGCAATAGATTCGGCCGATGCCCATTTTTGGGACGATATGAATCGATTGAGACTTCACGTAGGTTGGTAAAAACAAGGTCCTGAAACGACATGTAGTATGCTTCATCTCCAGGACCATTGAAGATTAACTTATGGATGCATGAGGCATATATTTGGCGACGCTCCTCAGAGACCTGAGCGAGGGCATCGGTATTTGCCTTCTGCCACAGAACGGCTATGCCGTTAAGGAACCACGTTTTGTTGACTTGGACGACAGCAAATAAGGACGGGCCATCCGAGTCAAGCTGTTCGAAGACATTTTGGAGAATTTCCGGAAGCCTCAAGAGATCTCGCGCTTCCATTTGGAGGGTTTGCGGAAAGAAGTTGAAGTTGTAGATGTGTCCTCGTGAGGATGCTCGAGTGTTAAGAAGACATTTATGGTGGGGGCTGAGATCTGCTGTTCGTGCCTGGTGATACTTACTTATCAACTGGGCACAAGCAGCCGAACCTAAATTTGATCGACGGCAAGGTACAAGCCATGCCATACATTCGCCCCCAATTACAAGGCCCCTTTCAGTTTATTATCTCCTCCAGGAAATGTCTTGCTGGAGGTAGCTCCTCTCTGTTGTAGTTTACAGTACTACTCCGCTCAAGTACGTGTTAGTTAGGTACCTACTTGATTGTTTGCGGGCGGGATAAATGTGTGCGGACAGCTTAAGCTTCTCAAAAATAGAAATGAAAAAGACATTCTAATTGCGAACTACAAATACATTTATTTTTCTTTCTCCCCTTATGTTCCTTTTTATCCCCATAGCACCAAAACTATCCTTCTAATCCTCTAATTTAACTGCACTTGCCGCTGAAGCAGTATCCGCAGTCCTCGCGACCGATTCCGTTCTTGACGTCGATACCACCACTGCCATCCGAGTTTGTTGCACAGCACTTGCCGCCAGAGTTCTTGCTGTAATTCCCCATAGTATTAGTATTAATTCTTGATAAAAATCCGCACGGGCGATTTGAGCTCTCACCAGTTGTGGAACGAGTTCTGAATCTGAAGCTTCTTGCCACCGCAGACGTCGTCCTCGGTACGGTCACCACTGCAGCCCTTGCGAGTTTCAAGGACATTGTCGACAGGGGTGAAGCCAGTAGGGCTTGCCGCAGAGACGGCAATTAGAGAGAAAAGTGCGGCGAGGATGGTAGTGGTGAACTTCATTTTGTAGGATGTGGAAGTAGAGTAGAGATAAGATCTTGATAGAATGTTGTCTTTGTTCAGATGATTGTTTGTGAGTTGATGGTCTCTCTCATGGCATGGAATTCGCTCTACCTTTATACCTTTTACTGCATCTATATTTGAGACGTTGAATGTACTCAATAGCTCAGCAGTCTCAGAGTAATAGTTCGTGGCCCCCATCGTGCTGATGGTACTTGTCCTGTAGAGTTGGGGGCCAAGGGGGCTAGTTTTGTTTGAAGCTGACTTAGTTATTACTATTTTTTTCTACATTTACTCCACTCTTTCTGCTGAACATGCTATTCTGTCAGATCTTAAAATAACTACTACTTGATTATCGAGATTTGGCTCTCTGGGGAAAGGATCTGGCTGAGTAGATTTATTAGTATCTACTTACGGAGTACATAGCCTCCCGCCCCCGTCAATCAGTCCCTAATATTGAGTAGACTCCTGTACTTAGCTCTCCTTTCCTGTACAGACGACTTCCTTCCGCCCCCAAACAGGTCGCTTGAAGGCATGGGGTGCTTACTTAATAAGTTACAGCGACAAGAGCAAGTTACATGCAAATTTGAGTACAGGCTTTCGTTTTCTTAAGTAGTTCATCTCCATTATGCACTACAGTCTGCGTACAAGTCGCACACGCTTCTAGCCAACATACTAGAGCTCTTCAACTCACACAGTTCATCCAGAGCAATGGCTGACAGTAAGAAGCTCACTATTGTCGTTATTCCCGGTGCTTGGCATGTTCCTGCTACCTATGCAAAGCTCACCGTGGCCCTTCGAAATGCTGGGTACGAGGTGCATATCCCAACGCTACCCTCTGTCAGCAACGAGCGTCCTCCTAAAGCGGACTTGTACACAGACACGGAAGTCGCCAAAGACTTCGTGAGCAAGCTGGCGGATGGAGGACACACCCTCATCGTGATCCTGCACTCCTATGGCGGACAGGTTGGTACCAATGCGCTGGCGGAGTTGAGTCTCCAGGCGCGTTCTAAGGCGGGAAAGATCGGCGGAGTTGCTCACCTCATCTACATGTGTGCAACCGTGAGCCTGGAGGGCGGAAGCATGATTGACCATGTCTGGCGTTTCGGCCATATGGACTTGGTGCCTCTCGCTTTTGACTTTGCTGAGGATGATTCGGTGGTGGTTCGCGCCCCCAAGGTGACAATGGTCGGCGAAGGTGTTCCCGACGATGAAGCAGACGCCTATATCAACACATTTCTGCGCTGGAACGGAAAGTGTATGTACCAGCCTATCTCACGCTGCGCATGGGGCGAAATACCGGTCAGTTACATCTACACGACTATTGATATGACTGTGCCGCTCGACTATCAGAAGTCGATGGTGCGGATCCTCGAGAAAGAGGGACGTCCCGTCGATACGTATGAGCTGCAGACTGGACATTGTCCGAACTTGACGGCCACTGATGGAGTTGTGGATGTGATTAACAAGGTAACGGCCAAAGTGCAGGTATAGCTTAGATATTTTTGCTTCGGGACAACCAGCTGTAAATGGAACCTTTCGTCAAATTTTATTTCGAAATCGTATTTAGACATATTTTGCCTTTATATTCGATTCAATGGAGAATGGGCAAGAAACACACGTCGAATAGGCATCCGGATCTACTTCGAAAAGAGAGCGAACAGAAATGAAATAGACGTCACATTCGTTTGCTCTACCCACGAGGTCATTGTGAAGGAATACAACGTCTTGAGGAAGATTATCGTCCCATCCGCTGGGGGAGAACTGGATATAAGGTCCCGAGGAACTATGCAGCAGCCGCGATAATCTTCGAACGCGACACATCTTTACCCTACAGGAGTACTAATACTCGCTATCGAATACTTAAGGTACCTTCGCGATCCCGGATTGAATATTTTCATTGCCTATATTTTTCCACCGCTGTTACTCCCATCAAGACACATTATTGTTCCTCCAAATGCCTCTGTCCAGGTGCTGTCTGCTTAATTCGTGTCCAAGCGTATAGATCTGTTATACCCCTTACAGTTCTCGCAGCGGGCCGCAACCAAGTTCCCAGGCTCAATAACACGTCCCCATTGGATAGGTGGCATGATTCCTGAATGCTGATTGGTTTCGAGCTATTCGAGCTACTTGGTGAACCACGGTACGAGTTACCGTATATTGAACAAGAGCATATCCTGTCTTTCAATGTCCACAATACACACATCCATATCCAGGTTACGTTGTATCCTTGGCAATAGTTCTCCTGGGGAAATATCGCCTCCATAATAACACTTGGCCGGAGTTAATCTTTCAACACGCCAGTAGCTGACTGACATGACATACGTGAGAGACATGGCTGCACCCTCATAGAGTTTGGAGGGGATAGGATATTTCTCACTAAGGATTACACGCCGCTGACGAAGTTCATCAGAAAGAACGCGAGTGATATCGTGCTACCGAGGCTACTGGTGACAGCATTTACATACACTTGCCAACGAGAAGTTTCGCCATGAGAGACTGGCTAGGAAGCCATTCGTCAAGACCAGGAGCGAATAACACATCGAGTGCTTAACGCGAGAGCGCGGAGCGTTCACATGAACCTTGCTGTTTGAAATCTCCACAAGGCTGGATCAGGCTGGATATTCAATGGGGAAAGGAGTGGACAGCTCACGAAACTGCTATCTTGTCTTCGGCATAGAGACACGTTCCTGTGACGAGGATACGTTCCTTATGCTCATTGGTAAATCATCGATTCCCCAAGAGGTTAATTAGGTAAGTGGTGCTGTTCAATAACACCTGTTACATACATTAACCGCTCCTTTGGCCTGATTATGACAACACAAGCGTTGTGAGTTATGCAGTACTCCTCCCTCACATTCGATCCGGAGTCGCATGGCATCCAGCTCTTGGCCATTCTTGTAGCCATTGTCTATTTAACAATTTCCGTTTTCAATTTCCCTACTGGGTGGTGTGCCACAGTACGCTCCGAAGGCAATATGAGGATATTCGAAATCAAACCCAGGCCGGAGCTTGACGATTTGACCGCTCTCATTCAGTGGCAAGTGTATGACAGTCATATCAGCGTCACGGAGCGCCAAAAGACTTTGCTTGCCTCCATAATAGGCAGAAACTTATAGGCAGCCCTGAACTGCCCGTGTGATGAAATCTATGCTAAGGAACATGCTTAAGCAGCCCCGCCGCGGGGAATCGATGGATATCCGAGGAGAATCACATGTCAAAGGTAGATACTGTACTAATCATTGGAATCCCATCTCCCCAACAGATTTTCAGGATATACTATAAATATCTGGTATCTATTTCAACGCCCTACTCACCCCTAGGTTCAGTCTGACAAGCCAAACAGGCACCATGACTACCACACAAAATCCCAAAGACTCGATGAAATCTACGTGGACAACCTGGCCACGAGAACAATGGAATTATCATCACAAAATTTTGGATTTCCTCGATATATATCCAGTTGATCCGAAAACGGAAGTACCAGTTCACTCTAAAGGAGAGAAGATTCCATATTTCAACGAATGGTCGGTCCATCTTTGGATACTTTTTCACGCTGCGATTCCTCTTGTCCTTCACCAACTATGCACTTCTTACACGGGCCACATCTTTAGCCCCATCGCTGCTTTTAATCTCTATTTTATGGCATTTAATATCATCGTTGTTCACGAAGCACGCATCCTTCGTCGACTTGGGCATGCATATGGATTCTTGGACGGTGATAAACATGAACGCGATGGCATTCCAGATGTTGGTGTGGCGAAAGTCGCAAAGTCTCTTTACAAGACTACTGGCTCCAGGCTTATTGCTGCGGTCTATTTGACCTACAAGCCTGGCGAGTTACCTATTGATATGAATTGGAAGTGGCTCTTCTTAGAGATCGGTCTGTATGGGGTTGTCCTTGACTTTTGGTTTTATTGGTAAGTTGAAATATTGTAATACAATAGCCATCAATGGCCTAATGGCGAAGCTGAGTACTGACTCTAAATAGGTATCACCGTCTCATGCATGATGTTGGCGGCCTCTGGAAGTACCACCGCACTCACCATTTGACCAAACACCCGAATTCGCTATTGGCAGCCTACGCAGACCACGAGCAAGAGTTCTTCGATATGGTTGGCGTTCCTCTCATGACATATTTCACGCTGAAACTCATGGGCTTGCCAATGGGCTTTTATGAATGGTGGGTATGTCATCAATATATTGCCTTTACCGAGGTCCTAGGACACAGCGGCATTCGCGTATACGCCCCTGCGGCATCGACATTCACATGGTTATTGCAGTATTTTGACGCGGAGATTATCGTCGAAGACCATGACCTCCACCATCGCAAGGGTTGGCGGAAGAGTCATAACTATGGCAAACAGACTCGTGTCTGGGATCGACTATTTAGCACCTGCCATGACCGTATTGAATCGGCTCGAGACAATATCGACTATGAGAAGCCTGTTTCGATCCCTCTTCTTTGAATGATGGTATTGCTGGCTCTTTTGATGATCACGGACATGGTTCATGAATAAATAGTCTCTGGAATCCTGGATAACCAGTCTGGCTTTCCGAGAAGTATATATAGCTAGGAATTTAGATAATGTATTCCTCAATAACTAATATCCTTGCAGATTTAGACAAACAAGGACCAAGTTCCTCTACATTAACTTTCACTTACTGTTACAGAACCAACAGCAAGAAAGAACATAGTAGTTAGTTGACAACGACGTATTATTGGTCGTTGCGGTTGACCGATTGTATGTGACATAGAACAGGGACCTCGGTAGCCGCGGAGGAGATAGCCGCCTATTACCGAAACATTCTTTCACGTGAAGTCAAGGACAGTTGAGCAAGACTCGGTTATGCTGATAGCAGATTGTTGATGTCACTTATACATTTGCAACTCGATAAATGGCAATATTGGACGGTGATCATCAAGTATAATTGTTGCAAGGTTAAGGAAATGGTAAAACTAGAATCCCAGCGTTCTGGAGCGTATACTTTATGAAGACGCTATTAAATCTTGCCCATGAACAATATTCAGATCCAGATTCTTGTGTATTCGGTATTCGAACTGCAATCCCATCAAATGGAAATATTGTCATCACACAATCACTAATCTCGTTCCTTGTAAGTCCCTGTGCATGTTAAGGGTCGCATATGTACTTGTTACGGCAAGTATTTAGGGACACCCGTCGAAGAATAGTAGACTAGAATAACGGTCTCACGAATGCGTTAGATAGTAATAATAAGCTGATTCATAATGGCTCGATTCAAGCGTATTTGCAACTTCTATGTCTGTGTGATAAGATTCGTCACTGCCGCTCTAAGAAGTGTCTCTCCCACTACCCTGGGCCTTCTGGTGCACTGATTAAGACTTGGCTGGACTGTCCCATGGATGATGGAGTGTCACTGACCGTCCTGGCTGTTTATAATGGCTATCTTTACAGACATGTTCCCAGTCTGAAAAGGGATCATTAGCCGACAAGATCAGATATAAACATTGCCTGTTCCACGTTGATGCGGTGGTGCGAAGGGAAGTCTGTACCAGGCCATTTTAGAAGACGCCAGAGCGCGATTGGAAATGTGGAGTATCAGCTCCAAGACTGCTGAGCATATCGTGACAATAAACCCTTTTTTTTTTACATGGGTTCACTCCGAGGGAACAAAAGGTCTTCATTCAGTACGGTCCACCGGGGATGTTAGTTATATGTTGACTTCATTGATACGGTCAGGTGAATAGAAGATATGTTATCGTGATGACTTTCCCTTGTAGAGGCTCCTATAGTTTAGTTCTTGTGCACGTGAAAAGGAAATTGTATACGTAGAACAAGGAGTCAAATGGAGATATTTACACGGCTTACTACGCGCATGGGTAGGATATAGGGAAATAACTGAGAAATGATAACGCATTGTGGCTTTACGGTACGTAGTTGGAGATATTAGAATATCGAATAACTATATACTTGCTCTTGTTGGGGTCTCGGTGGGAATGTAGATTCAATTTACCACGTCAAACATTTACTTAGTCCGTCTATTTGTTAAGTAAAATCAGCTTTAGCATAATATGCCGGTGTAGTATTGCAGCCGAGACTCATGAGCTCAGTCGCCATAGTCCCGAACTTCGAGAATAATTGTTGCTTTCTCCATATCTAAACAATAAGCTTGCGGAGCTATATGTGCATTCAGCGTGCATTGACTGTTTTCTTTTTCGGTAGCGGACGTGGATTTAAAGTACGTAGGTGTATTATTAGTAGTACACTGTGCAATCCCTTTTAAGTTTCGGAGGTGTCATTTAGCAATATGAGACAAACTCATGTGGTCACTCACTTCTTTTTTTCTTTTTCTTTTTTTTTTTCTCTTTCCCCCTGTTAGTCCGAGTAGAAAGGGAGAAGGAGAACGAGTGTGTGTGGGCGAGGGATGCACGCAGACGCAGGCACACCTCCGATCCTCGGTGAATTAGAGTTTTCATTTTTTTCTAGTTTAATTTCCTTTTCTTTTTCCTTTTTTTCTTCTCTATTGAAGTTTGATCTTATCTGATCCTGAGCCACGTGTTGAGTTACCCACTCGAGTCATTCTTGTCCGACACCAAGCGCATTTTAGTCGACGATGGTGCACGGAACCAGATCCAGATGGAGTAGGATCGGCTTGTTCCGTGCTTAAGTGGTAAATTTAATTAGGAAGTTCTTCGTCATGCGGGTTGATGGACCCCGATCGATCCTATTATGTCCCTTGGGTCCTCTACCCTGCGAGTGTGGCACAATGCCTCGGTCCTCCTCTGAAATCGGTAAGTCAAGGTCCTCTGGGATGGTGGTAGATGATATTCACGTTCTGATCGTGATCCTGGCAGGAGATTCGAATGGGCTAGCCACACTTTGAGCTCAATGCAGGAATTTCTACCGATGGGACGAAAGGAAAAAAATAAAAAAAATAAAAAGAAAAAGAAAGCAGGCAGCGGTTTATGGTACACATTCCTCGTATATACTGGGGCCGTCTAAGGGCAAAAAGGAAAGCCTGAGTCTTTTTGGGGCCCCTCATGACGACAAGTTCGCCCACCTCGACGGAGCTTCACGATGCTTAAAATGAGGATGCCGCGCTCGGCGCGTGGCTGGTGGAGAAATCGAAAATTGAAATCCCACGCAGACCAGAAAGAAAAGTTACCCAACGCTTGGTATCAGGGACGTATCAATATGAACAGCGATGGAAAGAATCGGACAGCCCCAGCCAGATGAGTTAGTTATCTGATCCGTTCCCGTTATCTGATCCGACCCGTGAGTGTCTCGACGGTCTAATTTCCCACCCCAGCTCAGTGTAACCATGAGTGGTCAAGGCTGGACGCTGCAAGTGACCCATGTACGTGACTCGGCCTCTCGACTACGACATAACTAACGCCTTAGTGTCGTGCTTGGTGGATTTCATGTGCTAATGGCCATCATGACAGGCCGTTATGCCCGGCCATCCCCGGTGTCGTGCGATCAACCCCGGCCATGGCCCTGGTGGATGGAACGATCCCCGAGTCTTGGGGCCATTTGGGTGCAGGCCCGTGTCGGCTTTGGCCGAAACATGTAGTCGATTAAATGTAACTGTCGATGTCCCTCGTGCGATTCTGCCCGTCTGGATCTGAACACGCAGACATCACTACTATTCGAGTATTCAGCGCAGGACGAGTCAGTTGTTCGCTGCCTAATAAGGCGTGAAGATAACTAGTGATTCCTTTTCCGCCACTATGGGTGTGCTCGACGTCGTTCGAGGGAGGAACGATACTCGAACTGTCAGGAATATAGTGGGGTCGAGAGACTCTACTTTCAAATTCAAAGACGAGAAAGATGGACTATCCGGGAACGATTTTGAGATCAATTCTACGACTGTGAGCTCAGAGGCACAGTCGAATAACACGGAGATTAACCGTCATTCCTACGGTGAGACGGATGGCACGACAACACGGCGAGCTCAACCAGGTGTCCAGAAAGCAGAGGCTGCGGCACTGGCTTGGAGTAAGAAAGCTGCTTATGGGACTTATGCGATGTAAGCATGGACAATGATATCGGCCCTAATACAGAATTAGGTGAAGTCGGTTCTAACGATTGGGATCAACCACAGGATCTGGTTGGCCTTCTTCATGCTAGCCCTCCAGTCCTCAATTAGCAGCAGCATCATCCAAAATGCCTATTCGACCTTTTCCGCAGCACCTCAAGTCAGCACGGCCAATATCTTATCAAACATCGTTGCAGGAGTCATGAAGCTTCCGGTAGCTAGAACCCTGAACCTCTGGGGCCGATGCGAAGGGTTCTTAATCTCACTTGCGGTCTACTTGATTGGTATCATTATTCTAGCATCGTGCAATGGTCCGAATTCCTATGCAGCAGGATACACTCTTTACTGGGTTGGATATGATGCCTTATATTTGATCCTGGACGTCTTTGTCGCCGATACCTCCGGCCTGCGCAACCGGGCGTTCGCCTTTGCGTTTGCCAGTACGCCTTTTATCTGTACCGCATTCACCGGTCCTTTGGCAGCGCAGTCGTTCTTGAAGACGGCGTCCTGGCGTTGGGCGTACGGCGCCTTCGCCATCATCATCCCTGTCGTCTTTCTTCCAGTCGCTCTGATCTTCAAGCTCTATCAGCGCAAGGCTGAGAGAATGGGCATCTACCCTCGCCGGCCAAGTGGACGCACGATGATGGAATCCGTGATCCATTATATTCATGAGTTTGATCGTATGTGGAGATCTCACCTAATTTATCCCTTACCTTTCTGACAGTTGGTTATTCTAGTCATTGGCGCCTTCCTCCTCATGGCTGCATTCATCTTGATCCTGCTCCCATTTAGCCTGACCAGCTATGGTCGTGCAGAGTATAAAAGTGCCACTTTTATCGCAATGGTAATCATCGGATTCTGCTTATTCTTCGTTTTCGCTGCATGGGAACGCTTTGGCGCACGCACACATTTCATCCGGTACGAACTGTTCAAAGAACGCACCGTGGTCGGCGCGTGCTGCCTCGCCGCCATCATGTTCTTGAGCTTCTACTGTTGGGATCTGTACCTTTTCAGCTTCTGTATCGTCGTCTTCCGCCTCTCGGTCGGGATGGCTGGCTACATTGGACAAATCTACAACGTCGGCTCCTGCTTCTGGTCCGTCCTGTTCGGTATTGCTGTCCGTGTAACGCGACAGTTCAAATACTTATGTCTTGGATTTGGCCTCCCGCTTCTCATCCTCGGTGTGGGCCTAATGATCCATTTCCGCGGCCAGGGCTATATAATCGACGACAAGAATACATCTCCATCCTCCCACAGCGGGATCGGCTACATCGTTATGTGTCAGATCTTCATCGCCTTTGCTGGCGGCACCCTTGTCATCGGACAAGATATGGCAGTTATGGCAGCTGCAGACCGCGAAGGCGTCCCCATGATGCTCTCCATGCTCAGTCTGTTCTCTAGCCTCGGCAGCGCAATCGGTTACGCCGTCTCAGCCGCTATATACTCGAACACATTTGTGGATGCCCTTACCGAGGCGCTTCCTGCCGATGCGAAAGCCGAGGCCATCGCTATCTATGCAGGCGGCTACGTCAAGCAAGAGCTATACCCGCTGGGTTCAGAAATCAGAACTGCCATCGACTACGCATGGAGTATTTACATGCGAGACGCATGTATTGCCGCCACAGCCATCTTGGCTCTGGGATTTCCTGCCATTGGGGTCTGGAAAAACTATCGTCTTGATAGGAAGCAGAATAAGGGCGTCGTCATCTGAAGCAGTTCCCCCATTTCTTCTTCTTTTTTTTTTATCTCTATCTAATGACTATACGAACTATGTATCCGAAAAGTGGCTCTGGTATGTATCTATGGGAGGTATTATATATATCCAAATTATGTTCACAATTGGTCCGCAGGATGATTCCTTGTCGTTGTTAATTTTCCTCGCTGTTGCGATGGTGTATACAGTTTTTTCTTTTCCCCTTTTCTTCTTCTTCCTTTTCTTTTTCTTCCTTTTCTTTTTCTTTTTCTTTTCTTTTTTTTTTTTTTTTTTTTTTTTTTTTTTTTTTTTTTTTTTTTTTTTTTTTTTTTCTTTTAGGTTTGCACAATTATAACCCCCTGAAATATCAAAATCGAAGTATATACGAAAACCCAACTTTCTAGCCTATTTCAGATGTGGAAAAATATTACTTTTATTTTTACGTTTCCTCGATAATGATTTCACATGAGATCCGGACCTCTACTTAGTTCTTAAATGATTTTACGTACCCCTCAAAGCAACAACTCACTTGCTCACTATAAGTATGGGCTCTGTTCAAAAATTTGCTCAAATAGCACACACAATAGAGAACATACCCCCGGAACAAAGTACAGGGATATGTGTGTGTGTTTCCGAGACCGTACAATACATGCATACATTCATGTACAGTATAGTATAGTAGATGTACGGAGTACATACATACATACATACATCTCATATACGCTGTATACGTGTGCATATTATGCCGTCATGAGCACAGCTTTCTTTCCTCCCTCTTCTCATGTAATTATTATCGGTCTTTTAAGGTTTTAACGCGAAACTAATGCATTCTTCGTTCAGTTCAGGATCCTTGGAACGGGTCTAGTTAAGTAGTTGCCTTCTGGGAAATAGGTAGGGCCGGGGTGATTTCTGAGTGGCTGTGAGGGGTTTGAGCTTTGAGGTGGTGTAGATCCAGAAAGTTGTTGTTGGATTATATGCGATATCGGAGTTTGGTATGCATAAGCATCCATCAGCAGTAGTGAGTTCCGGATGGAGGGATTGGATTGTCGTACGTATGTATGTACAGGGAGGGATGGCGCGTGTGTGTGTGCGTGTGTTCTTTTTTTTTTGCGGCGCTGCTAATTTTCTACTGATGGGAAAAAGGTTTCGGTGGCATCCAGCCTATAGAAAAATCAAGCTATGAGGTTTGATACAGTCGAATATCGGAGCCGTGCGGGACAAAGACCGTGGGGGCTAAGTAACAAGGGCGAAGGGAACTGCGCCGCGATTGCAGATGCGTACAGTGCGCTTCTTTCCGCAGAAACTACAGGATGACAATGACAAGCACTACGCGTACAATCACTGTCCCGATTAATATCTACCCGACCAGTCATCGAGTAGATGCGCATGTTGGGAGGTTGGGTTTGAGCAGTTCGAGCAGCTTGTGACGCGAAAGAGTTTAACCGTTGGTGGTGGGACACCGAATGCTAAACTTTCGAGCAACTCCGTGGCGCCAAATGCGGGCCAGAGCTATTGACTGGACGACGATCGAAATGGATCGAGGGAGATCCGCGCACATAGGAAAAAGAATCCAATAAAGTATTTCGACTACTTCCTAACAGTTTCTGGGTATCGCTAGTAGGAAACTTTGAAAACGCCCGCACCAAAAAACGCCGTGGGTGCCCATCGTAGCTCATTGCGGTTATCGCATCGCCATACTGGCCATCAAGAATGCACTCATATGGCTGCCGGTGGAGACATACGGCACCTCACCACCATTGTTCTCCTCCTGCGGCGTTCTTGGCTCCAGCTGCAGGCTTCGCTCATGCATTTCGTTAACATCGCGAGCGGCTTGGAGATTGCCGACGATAAACTCCTGCAGCTCAGGGACGGGCTTGAAGAGAAACGGCGAAGTTTGAAATCGTTGAATATCTCGGATGACTGCAGCTGCCTTTCTGCGTTTGCTGAAGTTGACCATCCCTGAAGGTGTCAAGGATGGATTTCCGTCCTCAATGAATGTGAGGTCCATAAGGTAGACTCCTGAGTTGCAAACAGGGTCATCAGCAGGAGAATAGGATTCGATCAATCCACACAAAAGAGAAACTGAAAAAGAGACTGGAACTGGTCACGGCCGAAAGGAAGAAGTGTCTGGCGATGAAAGCACGTACCCAGAAAAGGAATACAAGGTGGATTGGCCAGGCGCAACGTCTCACGGTACTCATAAAAGTTTTTAGTGCTTGCCACCAGTTGCCGTACCGGTTCCAATACTGCGCAAGTGCGTTCGCTGACTTGGGACCAAGTCCGACCGAGTCGATATACCGGAGCTGTCCCAAGCCCTGAAATAATAGAGATCGCAGTTGAGTAATTCTTCATGGAACGGCACGCCTATATACAAGTCAGTGACAGGACCAAGTGGTGGTGCGAGAGAATTCGTACATCTGCAACTTCCACAAAATGCTTGATCACCCGTACACGCTTCTTCAGGTCATCCTTGGCGAGAATCATTCCTCCAACCCAGTTAGCGAGTTGATTGGAATGATGAATCAATGCTCTGATATTGGGAGCAGGCTCCCGTGCCCCAGCATCTGCCTTTTTCTGCCATGCTTTATTCAAGCATTCATCAAGCCGGATTTTGCTGTATAATTGGAACTCAATGAGAGTTAACTGCCGCGCAATCTCGATAGGGTTTATTTCCACCAGTTTCAATTTCTTCATTTTCTTTGGAAGAAGCGGCGCTGGCATGTTCACATTATGCATGGAGACTCTCGGACTGGTAGTCATGCCCTCCTTTCGACGTCGCTGCTCAATCACTGCGAGAAGTGCTTGTGATGCTGGGGTTTGACCCGTAGGAACTGAAGCTTCTGCAAAGGTGCGAATCTTATCCAGTAGAATTTCGGTCGTCTCGTCATCTGGTTCGACCCAGAACTGCTCAAGCCAGCGTTTTAAGATGTTGATCACCCGAATTCGAATCAGCTTCTGCTTCTGCTGAGTCCATACTTGCAACTCCGCATGGGTCAACCCTGCTGGCGGCTCAATGTTAAACCGTTGAACTAGCATCTCAAAGAGCTCTGCAGAAGACGTGAAGGACCGGTACGTGAGGAGGAAATCGTGGTTAAAGGAAGTATCGAGCTGGTCATGGCGCGTCAAGTATTCCACCAGGCCGCTCAATCGGCCAGCTTTCACGGTGGATACGCCATTCTCGGTGTCGTAGAGCACTTCAGCTTCATGATCTGTCCGTAGGAACCACGGAGTCTCTTCCGTAATCGGCTGTCCAGCAATGATAGTTTCCGGCGACCCTTGATCCGACGGTCTCACTGCTTGGCTCATGCTGTGCCAGGTTGAACCATCTCAGACTGCAAAGAGACGTCATTCTCAGACCGCCCCCGTAAAGCCTTTTTAAGGCGGGGGATTGCACGCGAGTACGTACGCTTACTGTTTCGGAGACGATGTCCCCTTGATAGGCAAACTTCACCTCGAGGGAAATATCGGCGGATGTCTGCCAAAATGGTAGTCATGTGCATTTGACCTCTAGATGCAAGAGTCGCAGGAGCTGGCTGGCTCTGCTTCATATATAGGTTTCCAGGTAGGTCAGGTAGTCGTGGATAGCTCCGCCCACTCGGTAGTCTCTACGAAGAGGGCCCGCATGGGGAGCTTGGGCTGACTGGACTAGAAGCCTAGACTCCGTAATCTAGCGAGACCGATCCTCACTGCACGCGACAGACCAGGGGCCCTGGGCTTTTCTTGTCGGTGACTTGAAATAGCCATTGAGAGCTGCGTCCGAACTCCAGCTAACATGCTCACAGAATGCGCGAAGGAGCTAAGCGCGAGGGTTGCCTGACAGTCGTCCGTCTCATGTAGCTGCGTACAATGTACCCCACATGAGGTAATTCCGAAGTAGATGAGCAGCAGGACATCAGTATAGGATGGTATGAGCAACAGATAATCAAATTGAGTGATATATCCTTGCTTTAGCTCAGCCCAGGGCCTGCTGGAAAGCAGGGAGATGAAACACCATGGCGGGGTGATGTTCATGCCATACGAGTGTGATGGTACACTGTGCAGTTACATGTAACTGACTTACCGCCATCCCACATCCAGCACCAGGTCACCTGACCTGTGATCTGCGGCAGAAAGTGCTAGACGGATCACGTGCTCGAGGGCAGCTCTTCCACGCGCTGCCACGTGATGCGCGTCATGCCTCTGGCGGCTGCGGATGTCAGTCAGTTTCCTAGTCTAACTATCTAGCCCCAGCTGAAGAACACTCTCCCATCCATCTACTTACAACAGACAGGCAACCAAGTGATACCCAGACGAAGGATAGGATCCGTCAGGTACATACAGACACGAAGATGGCTGCGAATACAAGATACGAGCCCGCTCCCCAGCGGGACTCCCTCGAGGGACACGGATACGCCCCGCCATCGTATGAGGCAACAGCGGATTACAGCGCTGCTCCCCGGGATGAGGATGATAATGTGCCAGACGATTTCAAGGTATGATCTCTTTTTAAGGATGTGGTTTGGATAAGATGGCTGACAGAAACGTCGCATAGTTCGGTGGTACCGTTGCGGAGGCGACTCTACCCATCCGGATGCAATTCGTCCGCAAGGTCTACTCTATCTTGTAAGTACCGCTCAAGGCGTTGAATAAATAAAATCCTCCTTTGGAACAGAATCTAACATCTTTTCTTTTTATAGAACTGTTCAGATCCTTCTCACCACTATCCTGAGTTCGGTGTCTTTCTTCAGTGACCGCTACCGGAACTGGATCCAGACGAACTCATGGCTGATGTTCGTGTCCCTGTTTGGAGCGATCGGATTCATGCTCCTTACGTACTGGAAGCGCAAGAGTTACCCTACGAACCTCCTCTTCCTCTCAGTCTTTACAGGGCTGGAGGCCTACGCTATCAGCGTGGTGACATCCTTCTACGATGCCCGAGTCGTCGTCGAGGCCCTCGTCATCACCCTTGGCATCTTTGTTGCTTTGACTCTTTTCGCGTGCCAGACCAAATATGACTTCACGAGCTGGATCCCGTACCTTTTTGGTGCGCTATGGATCCTCATCATCTTCGGCTTCATGGCCGCGTTCTTCCCGATGAACAGCAAGGTCGAACTGGCGTACGGTGCTGTCGCCGCGATTATCTTCTCAGGATACATCCTGGTTGACACCCAACTTGTCATGCGCCACTACCACGTCGAGGAGGAGATCGCAGCCGCCATCTCCCTCTACCTTGACGTCCTCAACCTCTTCCTCTCCATTCTCCGTATTCTCAACAGCCAGAACCAGAACTGATTCCACATCTCCATTCAGCCGCGTTAACTGATTCTATCAGCAGACCCAGTTAAGCAGTTTGATTTGTGTACGAATTACTTATTGTTTCTCTTTCAGTGCGTTGTTTCCTTTTTTTTCTGGGAAGCTATGAACAAACCACCAGTTCCTTTTTCATGGTAATTGTAATCGTTGACTCTGCGTCTGTACCAGGTGTTCATTCCTGCATACACTCTTTTAAGCCGAATACAAGATTAGTGTTCCACTAAACTCATTTAACGGGTCTTAAGTGAACAGAGTTGAGTCTACTATCAGTTGATCAGGTGGCCAGCTGGCATTATAGCGATGAATAGGAGCTTGAAGTCAATAACAATTCGAATCCTGCCAAGAGAATAAAAGGTCATCATGAGTAGAATATGTACAGAAATACGAGTAGACAAAAGAGAAAACCTAGAAAAAGGTAAACATCAGACCGAACAAAATGAGCAAAAGCGATCTCCTAGCCAGGAACATGCCAAATCTGAAAAACCAAAAAAAAGAAAAAAAAGGACATGAAAAAAGCCCTGTAGAAAACCCAAGTAGAGAAAATCCTGCAAGCCTGCACAACTCTTTGTAGTTTAGGATCGAAGCTTTTATCCAAATTTAGAAATTAAGGTATAAAAGAGCGCTCATGGAAGCAAGAGCAAATCATAGAAACTTCATAGGCCACTTCCCGGACGCCGGTGCATTGTCGTTAAAGATCTGCTCGTAGGCAGTCGAATTCGTGGTCTCGTGGCTATGGATCAATGCTGGATATAGCCACTGAATCGGTGTACTCTAATCTCTTAATCCCAATCATATGTTTCGACTTGTCGAGAATCCGTACAGGAGACTGTATATCAATGCGAGGCAATAAAGAACGTGTTGGTAATCAAACAAACGATCATGACCACGACACCATAGATGGCAAGGGCTAAGCTCAGCTTCCGGAGGACAGCTTTTTTCCATTGGCGCTTGCCACGACGAAGGATGCCGCTGGACGTCAGAGAGCTCGCTAGGAGGCCTTCTCCACTCTCTTCTCCATCGTCCTCTGAGGCAGATTCCGCTTCGTCGTCCTCTTTCATGAGGCGCTGGTGTGTGTCTGACTCGGGCGAGGAGATCTTATAATAAAACAATCCAGGCAGGATGAAGCTGATGCTTGTGCTTCCCGTACTTCCAACGTACGCCAGCACAGCCTCTAGAGAAGTCACGGTCATGGCTGTGATGTAGCTCAAAATGATGATAATAGTCGTAATGACCGCAAAACGAAGATCGCTCATGGGCTCAGCAGGTCGGTTTCCACGTGGTCCTAGAAGCGGGTGACGATGAGGTGACACCTCGTTGCCATTGGATCCTCTTGACTTCCACCGCCATTTCAGGACAGCATCGACAGACGCACGGCACGGATGGGCCTGCAGCGGATATGAGAACATGACTAGAACAACAATCGCAGCACGTCCAATCGTAGCTGATACGGAAGGCGCATACATGGCGATAATGTTACCGCCGATGCTGTTCCCGAAAGAGAGGTATCCGGTGATGGCCACTAGGATATAGGTCGAGGCTGCACTGCCGATACTCGCAAAAACAACACCGGTGGTTCTGAAATGGCTGTTGTTGCTGATCTCATTCAAGATGGAAAACATCTATAAGAATGTTAGAGTCAAGTATCCGTTAAAGGTGATTTGAACGTACGTTCTGGTGGCATGTATATGCGAACACGATAACGGGGAAGCTGCTCAAGGCAGGAAGAGGGCCTCCCCACTTGAACACCCGGATCGGTCCACGATCAGCAATCGTATCTGCTTTGATGAAATGGTATAGCACCAGGATCACCAAATATCCAATGGATACCAGAGCGATGATACTGGTGTATTTGAGAGAGTCCAGTCGTCTCAGAAAAGCGAGCGGGATGACAACCAACCTGGAACTTTCGTCAGCGCGAGCACTTTAGTTGCCAGGATTGTTCGAACGAACATAAACGCGGTGATCCAAAACTGCCTATGCGCCAGAAAGTCATGTTCAGGAGCACTCCCTAAGAAGCCCTCTACCACTCCAGGCATAAGATCCCCAATAATTATAAGATAGCTCACACCGACACCGAAACATTTGATGGCAATGGCTGCATCGAAGATGACGGAGGCATTCGGATAGGTAATCTGAGACAAGGCAAAGAATGACGCAGAGCCTCTGTCCAAGTACTGTGCACATCTAGCCTGCAGATAGAGGCCCAATCCAGACGCCATTCCCGACCAGATTATAACGCAGATACCAGGGACAATTCCGAAATGGGACATGGCAAGGGGCATTGCTAGGACACCAGCACCGACGACTAAACACAGAATCAGCATCATGCAATCAACCCCTATAGGGTCGTCAGATCCATACTGGTATTAAGCAGGTTGATAACGCTGCTGATCCAGCTCGCTGAGCCTTGATATCCATTGTCTCGCTTTCCTCTCAATAGGCGCCTATTAAAGGGACCAGTGGTTAGCCCAACGCCTTCAGACTATAAACCCATTGCATGAAAACATTGTCCAGGGATTATACCTCCGCGATCTGTTCCGCGGTGCGTCCACGGAGGCACCCACGACCGCTTCGTCGTCGAACATGACGGATTTGTCGGTGACACGTGCGCCCGGCGGAAAGGTGGTTATGGAAGTGCTGCAGATGAAATCGTCAACAGTGGCATAATGCGACTCGAGCCAGCGGTCGACGATGCTTTCAGCGAGGATGGGGCGTTGATGGGGAGATCAACAACAGCGCTGAGATGATGAGAAAGTTGTCTGGTTCGGAGACGACAATCGGGCGCAATGTGCCAACGACCGAGCGGAGGTACTTCCGGTCGCCACGGACCACCAACACTGTCAATTAATCTCTCCACGCTACGTACGATACTATGACATGAGATAACAGCACAGGATGAAACACTTTGCAGAATTATTGTTCATTAGCAACACCGATATCTTTCGTCTAGAAGCATTTCTACAAACTTGATATATCGCCAACTGCAAAATGAGTATAATACATATGTGCTAATAATCTTGCGCGACTCGTGGATGATGTTTATATTAAGTTAAATATGTGACAATGTCTCTATCATCTTGTATACTGCATTCTTTGCTATCGTCTATGACGAATGCTTCGAGTCTCGTTATTAACAGGTCTTACAGTTTAGACGGTGTAGTTCCCCAGCCCTTCTGTGATAACAACCCAAAGGCCTCTTCCTCGACGACTTTCATATGAGACACCGTGTTTCCCGCAAGGCCTACTGGGCCCGGGTCATTGAATGCATGAACAGCTCTAGCCTTCTTCCCCACCTCAATTATAGTGCCTCCTCCCACGGGATACGTTTTGCCTTTACCCTCCTTGTCACCAATAATCTCGCTGACCTTATCTTGCTGTATGAGAGCAAGCATGACCTCTGCCACCTCGTCCGGCGTGACCCATTCATCAACGTTCTCATCCACCATCTTCAGCTTCTCGGGATGCTCGGTCCACAGAGGAGTCTTGATGACACCGGGTGCGACAGCCGTAACACGGATTCCAAAGCGTCGATCGAGCTTTGCCAATGATCGAACCAGACCGCTAATTGCATGTTTCGTAGCAACATAAATAGGAGCAGCTAAGGAAGGGTTTTGTCCTGCAACGCTGGAGATATGGATGATATGTTTCGGCTTGTCATTTGTCCTGTGTTGGAGAAAATGAGAGATGGCAAGCTGTGTGGTCCGGATGGGATGGGTTAAATTGATATCGAGCAGGGCGTATCTGGAACCTGACGCTGAGTCTCGACTTTCGGGGCTTCCAGGAGGTCGCCAGAAATTGCTCCAGTGCTGTCGGTCGAAGAGAGCTTCTATCAGTATTTCTGATGGTGAAAGGTATCCACGAACAATGAGAGGTACACACCGGTTCATAGACACCTGCACCCGGACACACAATATCAATCTCCCCAAACTCCTTCACGGCAACATTAAACATTTCCTCCAGCTGCGGCCAGTCTGTTACATCTGTCTTTTGGAACATGGCTCTCGGGGATGAGTCAGTTTTAGCAGAGTACTTGTCGACAATTGCTTGTGCTTCAGGGCGCAAGGCCAGATCCGCAATAAGGACATTGCAACCATTCACAAGCAGCAACTTGGCAAAGCTGAAGTTGATTCCTGTCCGGGTCAGCAAAGAATAAATACCCCAGTCTATTATGGATATGTACCTGAGCCAGCTCCTGTGACTATTGCGGATTTTCCTTTTACAGAAAAAGCCATTGTGACGACGCCGTACAAGTAGATAATCCTCCAGGTGTGTCTTGAGATTGGAAAGGCAGCCAGCCTGTGTCCAGCACGAGGCTTCCCTTGGCCTCTTACATACCCAATTTGTTCTCCATTTCTTCTCGGTCGGCGATGTTCCGGTGGCTTCTGCCACGATGCTCTGGATCGTTCGTGGAGAAGATGTTGTCCGCGGGGCTCATACTTAGTTCCCTGCAACGGGGAAGATCCCCGAACCGAGTCTAAACCAACGATGGAGTCAGGCGACCGAAACTGCAGCTATGGAGATTGTATTAACCGAATCATCTTCTAAACTGCTCCATTTCAGAGTTGTTTGCAGCATCCCCGTCTTTCGGACTGCATGTACTTGTACATACACTAATCGTTCGTCCAGACAGCGGGCGTACAGGAAGTACCCAGTGAGCATAAGAGCTCAATCCGGCTCCGAAGACAGTCTGGTATCTATGCACAGCACGGAGTAACAGCGGAGTCGCTTCGGGCAGAACTCCGACTATCAGTGAAATGAAATGTTGAAGCAGAATTTTATAGCAGCATCCAAGGATCAACACTGCATGCTCCTGGTTTCGTCCAAGCCAAATATGCAGTACCTGACTGTAACCTGTATCTCCTCCAATGTACTCATCTATACAAGGATATAGTGACTTATCGTGATCCTGCGCCCCATCCACAGGCATCATAGACCCAGGAGGGCATCTCTCGTTCGGCTCTCGAAGAGGATAATGTGCCTCATACTGGTAAATTGCACCATCTCCAGCGTCAAAACCGTTCAGCAACTGTACGGCGTTCTATGGCCCCCGTCGCCCTGGAGAGTCACAGTACTTCCTGTGGCCAAACTGCCTTGACCGACTTCTCTGTATTCTCACGGAGTATTACTGAAAGCCGGACTTCCCTATCAGGCATATAGAGTACCTGCAAGTACTATTTTGTCTCCAGTCTCAATTTGAAAGGTATAAGAAAGGTCTATAGATGTATAAAACTTTCTATCTAGAAAGTTGCCCAAATATTCTTTAAATATATCGAATATCATACTAAGTCTTCTTTTTAATGATATCACTATCTACATCCTAACAATCCGTTTATCTGAACAGCATCACTGTTGATTAGGTTACAGCCAGAAAGAATCCGTAATTAGTTCGAGAACTGCTATATCATACGATTGGCTATCTCAAGCTCCCACGTGCAGTCACATGAAGTTCGCGGAACTCACCGGATACAAAGAAGTTCGACTCTACTAGGTTTACTACATTCCAAATAAACGTTTGCCCCCCTTTGGGGAAAAATCAATGTATTTCCACACTCTTCTTGGGACCCATTATCCCTAAAGTTAACAACAATGTTAACGCTGCTGGTCTCTGCGACATATTTTCTTTGCTTGCTGGTGCAGTTAAATCAACCAGTCATAGGACAGTTGCATACCTCTTCACGATGGATTCTGGATTCGGATAACCACCGCGTCAAGTTGCGTTGCGTCAACTGGGCAGGGCACATGGAGGTGAATATCCCCGAGGGCCTCCAGTACCAGTCCGTGGATACCATCTCCACATTGATTGCCAACTATGGGTTTAATTGTGTGCGACTCACTTATTCTATCGACATGGCTCTGGCCCCTAATACTAGTGTTTCTGACGCCTTCACTCTCGCGGCTGTGTCTGCGGATGTCCCTGTCTCCAACATGACAGCATTGTATCAGCAGACCCTCACCAAAAACCCCTTCCTTGCATCCTCAACGACCCTGGGCGTCTTTGCTGCAGTCATCGACACCCTTGCCAGTAAAGGTATATATACAATTCTCGATAATCATGTCTCTAAGGCCAGCTGGTGCTGTGACCTTCTTGACGGCAATGGCTGGTGGGATACAGCTGCAGGTACGAACAGCTGGAATAGCCGCTACTTTCATACCGGTGACTGGCTGAAGGGACTTGAGTTTATTGCGCGTTTTGCTACAGAACACCCAGGAGTTGTGGGAATGTCATTGCGCAACGAGCTTCGGCCATTCCCCCTGCTACAGGATTTGAACGGCCACAAGGACTGGTATAATCTAGTCACGCAAGCGGCAATTACAGTCCACACTGCTAATCCAGATGTACTGATCATTATCGGCGGTTCTCAATCAGCCACTGATCTTTCATTCGTTTCTTGGAACCCGCTAAATACAACTGCCTGGGCGGGTAAACACGTGTGGGAGTTTCACGCATACTCATTTACCGTCACCAATCCCAATCCAACTCAGTCCTGCTGGGTAGCAAAGGCCCAGTATGGCACACTCAGCGGATTTGTGCTGAGACGGGACGAGCCGTACACCGGACCTTTATTTCTCTCAGAGTTTGGCGTGGGAATGACAGGCGGACCGAAGCAAGGATTATCAGATCGGGAGTATAAGTATTTGAGCTGCTTAGTGCATTACATGGAGTCGAACGATGCAGACTGGGCAGTGTGGGCTATTCAAGGAAGCTATTACATTCGATCATCAGTTATTGATTATGATGAAAGCTATGGTTTATTGACGCATAATTGGAGTGCGTGGAGAAATCCCAAGTTTTCAGCGATGTTAGGTAGAATGTGGCAGGTCACACAAGGTCCTGACAAGAAACAGTTACTTAGGGTCAATTCACGGCCCTAGTGAGTTGTGTCAATTGAGAGAAGTCTGTGTTAGTTAAAAATCATTGTAATATTTATTATTGGTATATCTTACTTGACTCTCTACACTCTAATAACCCTCGTTCTACTTCGTGTATCGATGATGCCCCTCGGGGAAATGGACCCCGAGCGGCTGCAGTACCAGAATAGGAAATCGGGCCGCTTACCAGATTTGGATTCCCGACTCTGGGGTCTCCGCACTGTCCATAGAACAAGTTATATATTGAGCAGTCAAGACCGACGAAATGATTGATATTGTAGGTCTTCATAGAATTTCGAAGATGCCTATTTCAGGACTCCTTTCAAAATCAGCTGTTCGAGCCGCGTCCACTGCGACTGCTTCGGCGCGTATGACGAAGGCGGCGGGTGATATCTCCTCGGTATTTCCTAGCTTGCGACCAGACTATAAACCAGAGCCGTTGCCGGCACGGTTCCAGAATCTAAAATTGAGTCTCTTTCAGAAGAATGAAGAGGCTTTGAAGGATAGTTGGAAGAGGTTGTTGAGCAGTTTAGAGGATGAAGTGCAGGAAATTAAGAAGAGAGGCAGTGATGTATGGTTACGGGTTTATCTACATGAGGAACATACTAACTATCTCTAGATTGTTCCTTCCATCTCGTATTCCGACGTCGTGAATGGAAGGATATCTGACGATGTCGTTGCAGAGATTCGTCGTCGAGGATGCGCGGTAATTCGCAATGTCATTCCTAGATCGATGGCGTTGGGATTGAAGGAAAGGGCCAAAGAATACATTGATGCCAACCGTGACAGAGTGAAAGCATTTCCCCCGGACTCTCCAGCTGTTTATGAGCTCTACTGGACGCCCTCACAGACGGAGGCGAGAGCACACCCGAATATGCTCGAGACGCAGAGATTCCTCCAGCGTCTATGGCATTCGAGTGACCCCGATACTGAACTTTCAACCACTTACCCGCTGACATATGCGGACCGTTTCAGAATCCGTAATCCAGGGGATGCCAAGTTCACACTCGGTCCACACGTGGACGGCGGGTCTCTCGAGCGATGGGAGGATCCAGAGTACTCCAGCGTGTACGCCAAGATACTCGAAGGGAAATGGGAGGAATATGATGCTTGGGATGCTAAGCACCGCATGAAAGCAAAAATGGATCTGTATAACGGGGCCGGAGCTTGTTCAATGCTGAGATTCTTCCAGGGCTGGCTCTCGATGTCAGATACTGGACCCGGAGAGGGGACTATGCACGTTTGTCCTATGATCACCCACAGCACGGCATACACGATTCTGCGACCGTTTTTCAACCTTGAGACGTTGATTCCTGCAATGGACAACACCTTCCCGGGCTCTGTCCCGGGTGCCTGTCAGGAATTTAACCCGACCACACACCCTCACCTCGAATTGGAGGCCACCATGGTGTCTATGCCCCGTGTTCAGCCTGGTGATTACGTCGCCTGGCACTGTGACGGAATACACTCTGTCGACCGGGAACATCGGGGAGCTGGCGATTCTAGTGTGATGTACATCCCCGCCGCTCCTCTCTGCGAGACGAACGTGGAATATCTTGTGCGCCAGCGGCAAGCAGCGCTCGCATACTCGCCAGCGCCGGATTTCCCAGGCGCAGGCGGGCCTGGAGAAAGTGGTTTCCAAGGCGCGATCAACTGGTCATCGTTGAATCCGGACGGACTCCAAGCAATGGGCATGGGGACGAAACGTTGGGAGATCACAGACGATATGAGCCAGGGTGAGAAAAGGGCTATCGAACGCGCCAATGAAGTCTGCTTTGGGCAGTTGTGAACGGTGTGCTGTGGTTGAGATGCGAGTTTCGAAGCAACTTAACGGATCATGTTATAATAAATAGCTTTCCATATATATATAGTCAGCAAAAATTGTCATCCAGATATTTTATTACCATTCCAGAACGAAATTGACTTGACCCAGCTATGGAAGATCCGATGTGATTAGTTTTGGCTTCATATCGAGCACATCTGTAGAACAAGATCCAGCTAGGAAAAAGCACTGTTTTATTTGTTCTCTTCACGATTGTGCTAGTTTTTTCGAGCAAGCAAGAAGATTGATTGCACAGTTATCTTGGCGTTGATGTCAAAATGCACTTTAGCTTACTTAGTGCAGCCGGAGCTTGTTGTCTCGAATGTCCGCGCGGAGAGTTGGGGAAGCTCCAGCATCACCGCACTCTGATCTTTTGATCCCTCTCCACCCCAGCGATTCTCGCTCTCAAATGCTCGTCGCGACGAGCAGGTAATCATGCGGCTCCAGGCGGCGCTTCTCCTGGCATGGTGTGTGCCCTCGTCCTTGGCCTTGTTCGCCGATGAAGCCTACCACATCGACTTCCACCATGCTCTCCTAGGCATTCCCTCCGCAAAGACGACATTCTTCCACAAACCCGCTTCCGCTTCGAATGCTTCCTTGCTGTATACTCTCTCTGAGAAACTAGTTTTGGGTGCCGTGAATCCGCGAGATGGATCGCTCGTATGGAGACAGAACCTGACACGGTGGTCCCCCAACGGTGAAGATGCGGAAGGGTTCCTGCGCGCTGGCAGCGGAGAGAATACAGTCGTGAGTGCTGCGGGTGCAAATGTGTATTCTTGGAACGCTCTAGATGGCAAGCTCTCGTGGGAGAGTCAGTTTGCAGATGGGATTGCGAAAGACCTGGAATTACTTGAATTCGAGGACGCTGCGGCGAAACGCCAGGCTCGCGATGCGATTACACTCTTCGAAGAAAAGGGCGGGGTTGTACGGAGACTAGATGGTGCTTCTGGAAAAGTCAAGTGGGAATACAAGGATGAGAGGTTCGAATTGAGCTTTAAGCGTGTTGAGATCTCTGCTAACGATCTGCAGTGGTGATGTGCCGTTCCAGGTTTCCTCATCCTCTACTGAGATCTTCTATATTTCTTTGCAATCCGCTCTTCTGAAGGGCTACAAGATCAAGGTCACCTCTCTCGATCCGGTGACGGGCCGGCAAAAGGGCCAGTACATTCTGAGCTCCGAAAACGATGTGGCTGGTCCGGATTCCGTTCTCTTCGTCGGTGCGAACAGCGCTTCTCCTCTCATCGTCTGGGCCGACAAGTCTCAGAAGACTCTGAAGATCAACATCATCGGTTCTAAACAGGTGAACTCCGTCAACATTGAGAATACCAGCGGCACGGAAATCCGAAAGATCGAGGTCCACGCACCGCACGCTCTTAACTCACTTCCGCATTTCCTTGTTCACTACGAGACTGATTCGAGCTCTTGGGCGGAGGTCTACCACACCAACCTCAAGTCTTCGGTGGTGTCCAAGGCATACAAGCTGCCACAGGTAGCTGAAAAGTCCGTTTTCGCACTGAGCAACATAGATGCCAATGTTTATTTCACCCGCGTCACGGAGACTGAAATCAACGTCGTCTCCTCCAGGGATGATGCTGTTCTTGGGCGATGGATACGCAAGGACCCGAAGCGTGAGCGTGTTCTTCATGCTGTGTCCGAGGTTGTCACCAAGGGCAACTCAGCGGCTGTCCGCTTCGCTAGTGTCTTCGAATCTGGCGATTGGGAATTGACTCGAAACGGCGAGCGTGAGTGGACAAGATATGAAGCCTTGGCCGGTGCGTTGGCAGCCGGCTGGGTGGACAAGAACGACCAAGAGGGCCTTGTGCGTGAGCTTGAAGAGGAAGGTCATCAGAGCTTGTTGGAGGCGTATATCCACCGTGTTAAGCGTCATGTCAGGGATCTCGAGCATCTGCCTGAGTGGCTCCAAGAACTACCAAAGCGCATCCTTTCCAGCTTGGTGACAGACGAAGTCACTAATCTCGATAGCTTTGGCCTGTCGAAGCTGGTTATCGTTGCAACGGAGAATGGTCGTCTGTTTGCTATCGACACTGGAAAGCAAGGTGCTGTCGCATGGAGCGTTAAAGCTGCTGAGACTGAGAAGTGGAATGTCAAGGCCATCGCTACTCAACCCGGCTCTGCCACTGCGTATGCAGACGATGGCAGTTCTGTGACGGTGAATGCAACCTCCGGGGAGATTATCTCTCGCACCCCTGCCACTGAAAAGCTGAAATCTGTCGCGGTACTGAACATGGGCCTGAACCCTGTGCCGGTTGGTATCAAGGAAGACGGCGCTCCAGTCGGATTCCCCACTGAATCAGGCTTCATCGTGACCTTGAGCAACGACGGACGAGTTCTGGGCTGGAGCTCAGAGAACCAGGAGACCCCTGTCTGGGAATTTGTGCCTCCTAGGGGACAGAGAATCCTTCATGCGACTGCACGACCTGCGCATGATCCGGTGGCGTCTATTGGAAAAGTCCTTGGCAACCGTTCTGTCTTGTACAAATACTTGAACCCCAACCTTGCTCTGGTGACGGCAGTGGGCGATACCTCTGCATCTTTCTATCTTCTTGACGGTGTCTCGGGCAAGGTCCTCCACGCGGCCACGCAGACCGGGGTCGACACGACGCAGCCTATTGCATCTGTGATTTCCGAGAACTGGTTTGCCTTCTCTTTCTGGGCAGACACCTCGGATGGCGAAGAGGCCAAGGGCTACCAGCTCGTGGTCTCCGAACTCTACGAGTCTCCTATTCCCAACGACCGAGGCCCTCTTGGCTCGTCGTCAAACTACTCGAGCATCCACGATCTGGACGCTCCTCCTCGGCCACACGTCATCTCTCAGGCGTTTGTCATCCCGGAGCCCATCTCCCATATGGCCGTCACCCAAACTCGTCAGGGCATCACGAACCGCTTGCTTCTCTGCACTCTGCCCGCCTCCAACGCCATCGTCGGCATTCCTCGACCTATCCTCGACCCGCGTCGCCCTGTCGGCCGCGACCCAACCGCAGCTGAATCTGAAGAGGGCCTCTTCAAGTACAACCCCTTCCTCGAATTCGATGGCCGGTGGTACGTCACCCACGCTCGCGATGTCTCCGGCATCCACACCATGCTCTCCATCCCGACTCTACTGGAGAGTACGAGTCTGATCTTCGCGTTTGGCGGCGACGTCTTTGGTACCCGTGTGTCTCCCAGTCAGGCATTCGATATCCTCGGCAAGGGCTTTTCCAAGCTGCAGCTCGTCGCGACGGTGGTTGCCTTGGCAGCCGGCGTGATCATTTTGGCACCAATTGTAAGTACATCTTAACTTATCCAGCGCGCCCAAAAAGCAGCAGTATCATCATCAAACAAGATCAGATAAACTAACAAACCCCCTAGGCCCGCGCCAAACAAGTCAACCTCCTCTGGAAGGGAACATAAGCAGGAATTCGAAAGAAACAAACAAACGTACTTTTGTTCTCCTTTTCGCTATCATCCTCATAATGACATTATCTATCCGTATTGATTTTATATAGACGAGGAATCAAATAAAAGAAAAGAAAAGACTAAATTCAAGAGAGTAAGTTATACTTTAACTTAAGCCTATTAGTCAAATAATTTAATAGTAAATATAACTTGTCCAATTGACAGAATGCCCACCTGAACCTAAGTAGGGCGTTAGCAAACCATCAGTAACTATATCGATCGAAGCAGTAACATCTCACATCCCATCTGCCCCGTCGCCAACCTTCCTCTGAAATGATCAATAATTTTCTAGACCAGGCTTTCAGATGTGGAAGAGAGGCTAAGGAGAAATCCCTACGATCTTTGAATCGAAAGCCATATCAGGTAGGCAAAGCGCAGTCTCAACTTGGGCGCTTACCTGGCTCGGCCCCGTGACCTTGGCGTTTCTACCAGAGCTGTCAATCCACTTGGAGAATCCAACTCCATTCTCTGTATTCCCATAACCCATAGCGTCACACAATGCTCCTTCAAGCTGCAAGAGGCCCTCGGACCATACTCGAATCCATGAAACTACCGGCTCACCACATTACCACTCGAAAACTCGCCATGTCGCCTAACAGAGGCGGAGCACCTGAAACTTTGCTTGTTGGCAAATCTCCTTATTTCGTGCCATTTTCTTTGGTTAACCAATAGCAGGCTCCGACCCAGAGCCTTTATTTCGGTATTCAGCGCAGAGATGGCTATGGAACGAGCCAGAGCAATTACGACGAAGATACGTACAATTAGACCCAAACGCCCTCATCCATATCGCTGAAGAAGCTGCTGGTCATGATGCGGTCTGTCTCGATTTATCAAGGTTACCGGAGGGGAACTTCAATAAAGCTTTTCTTACGACAATGGAAGATGGGAGGCAGCTGGTCGTCAAAATACCCAACCCCAATGCGGGACCAGCTCACTACACTACGGCATCTGAAGTAGCAACCATGCAATTCGTGAGAGATTCTCCCGTCGAAGAATATTTAGCAAATTACGCTAATTACTTTTAAGGCCCGAGAAAAATTGAATATTCCTGTACCCAAGGTTCTTGCTTATTGCTCCCGGGGCGGAGAAAGTAAGCTTGGAGCGGAATATATTGTGATGGAGAAAGCTCCGGGCATTGAACTGGGTCGCATTTGGGATGACCTCAAGGCCCGTGAAAAATTGGCCATTGTGAAACAAGTGGCTTCTATTACGTGTAATCTCGCTCGATTCCAGTTTCCGTGCTATGGCGCCCTATACCGCAGGCAGGATATCAGCTTCGAGAGCCAGGTCATTGACGACGATTTTGCTGTGGGTCCTACAGTTGGGCGGGCATGGTTCGATGATAGAAGAGGCGACGTGGATGTTCCTCGGGGTCCTTGTATGTTTCTCACCTAAGCAGGGGTATTATACTTCTAACCCTTTGCCTTTAGGGAATTCGGCGGAATGCGTGATGGAAGCACTTGTCCAACGAGAAACAGCATGTCTAGAGAAATTCAGAACCTTCCCCCAGGACTGCCAGCAAGGGATATTTGGCGGGCCCGGCTGTTATCACCCATCCCACAAAGCGAAGTTGTCTGTTTTGCAAGATTTTCTCAAAATCCACCGCCATATCATCCCTCATAGCAAGGGTGTCGCTGGTGGTGTCATTTGGCATAATGATCTTCATACAGACAATATCTTTGTCGACGCCGACAATCCGTCTCAAATCACAAGCATTATCGATTGGCAAGGCGTGCCTATCTATCCGATGTTCCTAGCCTGTCAGCATCCCTCCTTGATAGAATATGATGGGCCAAAGCTGGATGGCTTTGTCCAACCGACGCTTCCTGATAATTTCGATTCATTTGACCCTCAGGCCAGAAAGCGCGCCAAGGATTTATTTGCTGCGCAGTCATTTTGGCTTTCCTATGAGATTGAGGTACAGAGAGCTATACCTGAGCTCTTACAGGCATTTCGCTACAAAGATTCTCTACCAGGCCAAATCTTAGGAATGATCGGATCTATCTATGATGACGGAGAACCATATGTGCAAAGCCTACTTGCGGATATAAGTGAGGAAAGCACCTGGAAACAAGTTGTTGGGGCGAATGAAACCGGCCATCCAAAGGTGCCGTGTCCTTTGCATTACTCAAAAGAAGAGATTTCACACCAGCAAGTGGAATACTCTAAGTGGCAGAAGGATGTCGAGAGAAAGGCACGAGTGATCGATGAGATAGGGGTCTATCCCGGCTGGAATGGGGCCGTGTCTCCTCACGAGTATGATGAAGTGGCCAAACGACTCAGTGTATCAAAGCAAAACTTTTTGCTTCGAGAATCAGCAAATGAGCAGGAAAAGGCGCTATGGGAGAAACTTTGGCCCTTTCAAGATGCTGTCATTAGATGAAGCCGGGACGGACGCAGAAATGCACTATTTCGAAGATACCTATATTGACGAGATTTCTACCGGCACAAACTATCCAATTTTTGTTCGTACCACCTTGTTTTCGTTGATGAATCCGGATGTGATAAACGGGTGGGACAAAGGCGGACTGGCTGGTCACCACTGTCTAAATTTCATCGAGGCCAACGCTATCAGATACTGCTAGCATATACTCAAGATGGTATTCTTTTGTCTCGTATTTTTAAAGGTTCAACGGATGCTATGTTGCCGTCTTACTCTCCTGATTTCAACCCTATCGAGGAGTTTTTTTTTTTTGCCGAGCTAAGTAAAGGCTTACATCAGGAAAGCTTGGCCAACTTATGAAAAGGATCCCGACCAAGGGTTTCATGTCTTCCTTCGGCAGTGCGTACACACGATGTTGGTGCAAAACAGCAGAGCGCTGAAGGCCATTTCCGACATGCAGGTATAATCATAGAAGAAAGTGTAAGTGGCCGCCATTCCAGAAAGCGGGGCGTGTTTGTTGCGTAATAAGTATCCCTCTCATGATCCAATATCGTGCCAGTTTGCCTTTTTTCCCTTTGGGTCCCTCAAATCAATAATATTTAGTGTTGGGGGAGTAGTATGTACATACAGTACATATGATAGTTGAATTCGGGCTACCGGCGTCGTTTCGGGGAAGTGATACTACGTATGTACCTACTTAAGGTCCTTCCAAGGCTCGCTTCCTTCGCATGGGCAGTAAGTAAGTAAACTGCATGTGCTCGCTCGTCTTCAAGACTCTCGTTATTCCAGGTCCCATCTAGGCCCAGTCACAGAAGCCGTAGTTACTACTCTACTGACTCGGGAGGAAAGGGATACTTAAAGCGCAACCTCGTCGGGGTAATTGGGGTAATTATCGGCGGGCTGGTGCATCCTTCACCATTACTACTGTGATAATACTACTACTGTACAATGCAATAGTTAATACTGCTAGTTATATCAAATATAAAACCTAGATATAAATATTCAGACAAGATAAAAATATATTACAGTAGTAACAGACAATCTTAATCTTAGTCTTAGTTCCTTTCCCCCGCCCCCTTTTTTTCTTCTAGAAAATCTAATCTTTGGGGGGAAAAAAAAATTCATAATTAACCATACATACTAATATGAGTATTGACTACTCAGACTCTCAACTCAACTCAACAAGCTCATGTCACGCCATGCCATGCTATTCTATGCTATGCCATGCTCATACTCATGCCATGCTATGCTATGCTACGCAGAGGTCGTAGCAGCTTGTGGAGAAACCGCACCATCTGCAAACTCCTTCTCCAGCGCGGCTTTCTCGTCCTCGTCCTGACTGGGGAGCGGGTTCGTGATAGGCGCTGCTGCTTCGTCGGCTGCTGTGGCGGCCGCTGCAATATCGGCGTTGGTAGTATCGGTAGTATCGGTAGTGGTGTTGGTGGTGTCGGTGGTGTCGGTCTTCTTCCCCACAGGAATCTCACGTCTTCGGGGCTCACCTCCTTCCGAACCTAGGACTTCGATCTTATCGCCCTTGAAGAGGACAGGACCTTTGAGGAATCCCGGTTTTCCATTATTGTTTTCAGCCGGGGTTTCGAGAGCACCGATCAATTCGCGTGCGGGCTCGTCCAGATTCGGCAGGTCGCCCCATTCCCAGTCGAGTTCACCGCCGTATTTCTTGGGGATGCTGGAAAGGGGCATGAAGGAGGTCAGGGTGGGTTTCACCTCGTCTGCGGAGAGGATGAAGATCTTGGATGTCGTGACGGGGTCGAACCATCGCTTGATCCAGCCCCAGACGGTGGGGAAGAAAGAGGGAGCGCCGATGAGCTGGGTGTATAACGTTAGCATTGTTGAGCGCAAAAAGCAAGAAGGAAAGCAACAAAGCTCAAGTAATAGAAGACATACGAAAATCCTATCCAAAGTCTCTGGATAATGCGCCGTCGCCAACACACTCGCATCCTGCATGTGGCCCTTCAAGTTCCAAAACTGTCTCAGCCCAACACCACTGACATCAACGATATTCGTCGAGGTCACGATAGGCGTTTCGGGATTCGGTCGCGGCAGCTGCGAGCAGAGCGGCATGACGAAACGGAGCAGGTTCTCGTAGAGCGCAAAGAGACGCAGGAGACGCGCGGGGACAGTCGAGGACTTGTGCGTCTCCGCCGTGGTCGAGTGAGACACCTTGGAGGTATACGCGGCCATGGCCTTGCTGTCGAGGTGTCTGATAGCAAAGACGTAGACGGGGATTCCGCGACGATCACGACGTCCAGTCCATTGGGGATACTAATCCATTCCATCCCATCAGTTAGCCAATGTTTCAAACCCTAAATCCCACTTGCTTGCAATCTATCCTTGCAACCCGTACGGAAAAGAAGGCGAACTCACCATCCTCCTCGCCTCATCATATGACTCGACGTCTATATTCTCATAGAGCGCCTCGATCTTATTATCCTTTCTCCATTCCTCCGTATCCTTGAACTGCTGAAACGCCGCGTTGATATCGAATTTGCGCGCGCGAAGGAACCGCCTGAAATCAAAAAGCATCAGCATCAGCATCAGCAACACCGCATCACATCACATCACATCACATCCAAATTCTTGAATCCCTTCACCAATTGACCCAAACCACTCAAAAAAAACAAACAATATAATCCAAATCAATCCAAACAAGAATAGGAGAAAACAAAACATACAACAACGTCGCATCATCATGCGTCGCTTTCCCCCCTTCTTCCTCCCCCTCCGCCTTAGCCGGTGTATAATACCCCTTCTCCTCACACAACTTCTTAAAATCCCGCAACGCACTCTCCTGCTCCTTCGTCAAATGGTTCAGATGGCCCGCTAGCCATGCCTCGCTATTAGCCTGTCTGGCTGACGCCTGGGGGTCATTTCTGGACAGATTTCCATCGAGGTTGGGATCCTGCCGCGACGTGGGTCTGTGAGGGTCGGGGGATTGGTCTTCGGGCGCGGCGGTCTGTTCGGTGGTGCTGCTCTTTTGGGATTTGCGTGATGATGTTCGCCAGAGGCCCATTTTCGTTTTTGTCTTTTGGAATTCTTTTGGGAGGAGAGGAGGGGAGGGGTTGTTCTGTTTCTGTTTCTGTTTACTCTGTTGGTTTAGTCGGTCGAGCAAACCCGTCCGTCGGTCGGTAAGGAACTCCGTGAGTGAGGCTCGGGAGTCGGGACCCTGCTTAACTACCTAGCCGTTTCGCGCAAGGAAATGAACAATAGATAGATAATTAGTTAGAGCACGACCTGCTCCAGGAAAAAATAGATAATAATAAATATCCTTTTCTATTCCCTTTGACAAAGAACCTCCCAGAATAAACTATCCTCGGAGACTTTGTACAGTAATACAAGCATCAAGTAGAAAGCAAGAAATCAAACCTCCGCGGACTTTGGTCTCCGGTAGTTAGTTAACTCAGCTAGTTAGTTAATTAAGGATTAAGTAATCCAGTCCCCTTGGCTTTAACTAGTTAGTTCGTTCGTTCGTTAACTAAATAATTAACTAGTTAGTTAACTAGTCGAATAATTAATCAGATTGGCTTCCTAGCGATCCCGTAGTTCAGCGTTCGCCTTGTGACTGATCGTCGTTTTTCATTTCTAATCGTGGCAGACAGTAGTATGAGGATATCTGTCAGCAGGAAAAGATGATCGAGTGGGTGCAGGATAGATAGAATTATACCATAACTAGATGTGGTATTAGTGCTTACTTATAGAGGAGTTACTTATAGAGAAGTGCTTGATGTCCCTTGGATATGTATGTACATCAGGCTATGCAAAGGAGAATGAATAGACAAAACTATGCATACTGCGAGTTGGATACGTGGTATATCGAAAGGAAAAATGCAAAGACAAGAAAAAGACCGCTCACGATCACTCTGATATACAATGTAAACCTATACACGGCCACCACCTGCTTAATCACTCCTCTAGTCCTCCGTCAGATCACCGTACTCCCACATGCCCTTCCGCTCCTGCTTGGCTTCCTCCTCCAGCTGCTTCAGGTGCGCCAGCGTCTCGCCCGCTGCCCGCTCCCACGCCTTCAGCTTCCGCGGAACCATCGCCAGCCCCTCCCGGATAATGTCCGCGTTGATGCTGTCCTCCAGGTTCTTCGACGCCGACGGGTCCAGGAGCGTAACGTGCAGGGTGCCCTCCGGAGAGACATAGTCCACATTGGCCACGAGCTGGCGGTCAAAGGTGGCCTCTTCGATGTAGCTGACAGCGTCCGCCAGGTAGCCAGGAGAAGTGACGGGGATCTGGACGAAGGACAGCACCGCATCCACCGCCTGGCCCTTCAGCTTCTGCACGGAGAATTGCGGCTGGTCCAGAGGACGCAGCCGAGACCAGGGGAGGACCTCCGAGTTGCCGTAGTCAATGTACAGAACCTCGGCCTGCTTCTTCTCGCGGTCGTTCCGGCGGATGCGCGCACGGTACCACTCGTGGTCCTCGCTGAATTGCGCAGCGACGAAATCGCCCGCCTTGGGAGGACCGGGCAGAGGCTTCTCGTTCGCCTTGTTGATGTGGAACGACCGGAAGGCGTTCATCAGTTCAGTCAGCGCCGTCGTGCCGGCTCCAATCTGCTGCACCCTCAGTCTGCCGCTATCCGGATCAACGTACGTGACCATCACGTCGCGGTAGTCCTTGCGACGTTGAGCCTCGTCGGCCTCGACACCGTTGCCGTTGGCCGGCAGGGCCTCCTCCTCGTCCACCTCCTTGCTCGGGTCCCAGTCGTGCCAGAGACCCTTGCGCGCATCCTTGGCCCTCTGCTCCGCAGCGAAGTACTCGTTGGCGTGGCCGGACTGCTCCGCGGAGTAGGCATGGACGGTGGCCAGACCCTCCTCCAGAAGCACCTTGGCAAAGTCCTCTCGGTTAACGTAGAGCGTCCCGATGAAACCGCCCACCTTGTCAATGGTCTCGACATCGATCTCGACGTCCCGCTGCAGACATCTCCGGTTGGCCAAGTCGTGCGCCTCCTGACCAAAGGGCTCGCCCGCCTCGCCAGGCCCGCGGGCAGACCGCGGAGCTCGGATGCCCCCGAGGACAAAGGTCAACTTGGCGTTCTCCCGGGGAACCAGCACGGTGAAACGAGAACCGGACTTGACAAAGTCGACAATCGCAGGGACGCGCTTCTGTCGTTGCAGGATCGACACCTCCATCTTCGCCTTCTGCAGGTTCTCCGAGTAGTCCTGGTACTGCTTCACCTTGGGCGGCTTGGGCGACCACATCCCCTTGCCCTCCTTCTGCGCAGCTTCCTCTGCCGCCAGCAGAGCGTCATACTCAGGGGAGCGGTCCTCGTCATCACGTCGGTGACGGATGACAGAGGCATATCCGGCCTCCACCAGAGCAAGGGCCATGTTGGTATTGCCCTGGATAACAGTAGCAACCTCTCTCTCCTCGTAACCCTCCGTAGCCGGCTTCTTGCCGTCAATCGTGACCTTGACGTGCTTACCGATGAGCTTCTTGCGCAGGAATTCCTTAGCTTCTCCCGCATAGGGAGCCTGCTTGGGGTCTGACGGCTTGGGCTGCCGGACACTGCTCAGGCTGATTCTCTTCTCCTTGCCCGCCTTGTTCCTCAGGAAGAGGGTGTCGGCGTTGAATACACGGCTGACGATGTAGTCAGTGTCGCCCGCCCCGCCAGCAGGGCCCTTGGGAGCGACGTGGCCAGTGAACAGGCCCTTTTGAGCATCCTTGGCGCTTTTCTCCGCCTGTCTCAGCGCGGCCATCTGAGGACCCAGCATCGTAGAGTGGTGGTCGTGGCAGCGGGCCAGGCCCGCCTCCAGCAGGAACTTGGCAATGTTGCCATTGGGATGAAGGACGGTTCCAACCAGCTGGCCCTGCGGCGTCACACCCACGAGGGTCGCCTTGACCTTGCGCTGCAGAAGTCTCGACTCGACGAACTGATGCGCCTGGTCCCCGAGCGGCTCCCCAGGCTGCTCCGTGCCATCAGCATTCACTCTCCTGGTGGACGGCGCCCTGATTCCCGCAATCGCCAGGATAGTCTGCAGATGCCGGTTTGGCGCGAGGAGAAGACGGATCAGCACGCGGTCACCGTTCAACACCCTCTCGATGACAGCATCGACCGATTTCCCCTTGAGCTCCTCCACCAACGCCTTCGGATCCGCAACCTCATATGTCGTCTCGACTCGGCCATTCTCCGCGCCAGCCCAGACACCCTTCCCTTCACTGCGCGCGAGGGCCTCCAGACCTCTCAACCGCTCCAGCAAAGCAGCAGCCTCCTCGGACTCGTCACCCCGCTTGCCAGCCTCTTCACGGACACGAACCCATCCCTCCTGCGCTGCCAGATCTGGCAACGAGGCATCCGTCCCGGGCAGTTTCACAATGCCATATTCGCGCTTGGCACCGGTAGGGATCGAGTAGACGACCTGGAACTGGATGACCTTGCCGACGAGAAGCTCGCGGAGGAATTCGCGGGATTGGAAAGAGAATGGCTATATAATGGAACGCAGATGATTAGTCAAGACAAATCCAATCACAATACTCAAGAAGCAAAACGAATAAATAAACAAACAAAGCCAACTCGAACACAACGTGCAACATAAAAATTCGTGCTTTGTTGTCGTCGTCCTTCCGCAGTAGAGGCCACCTAAGTAAGTAACTAGTAGTAGCCAAGCTTCCCCAACGAGAGAGCTTCACCCTCGTCCAATTTTCCAGGATCGCAAAACAAAACAAAAAAAACACCCTCCTCAATGGCACTCACCTCATCGTCCTCCCTCCGTAACCGCGGCGCAGACACATAGGCCAAGCTGAGGATACGTTCCGCCGTCGGATTGGTAACGTGGGTCAGGACCAGAGTGTCGCCTGACAAGACGGACTTGACACGCGCTTCGAGAGGCATGGTTTGGAGGAAAAGGGTAACAAAAAAAAAGAAGAAGAACTTTTCTTCACTCCGGGAATGGGATGAAGGGGGGGGGGGAATGAATAAAAAGGGAAGAAGAAAGAAGAAGAGAGGGTGGTTTGTTTGAGGTCGGATACAATGTGAATCGATGGTTATGTTCCGATCTAACTAGCTAGCCTAGCTAGACTACTAAGCAAGGAAGGCGGAAGGACAGCTTTACGTTTTGTGGGGGAGAAAGTAAGTATTATTGGGACAAAGCGGTCTAGCCCCCTAGGCCCAAGTAAACAGATCGTTTATGGCACCATCAACCACGGATTTGTATGGTCTATACTTATAGTATCGCTTAACTCGTCACTTACAACTACACAGCAGAAGAAACAGAGTCATAATAAGGTATTGAAAAGACTTAGGATTCATTGGATCAGGCTAACAGACTAGGTACTGACGAGCCTTTTCCTCGCGATTATCCTCGGGTCATGTCTCATTACGTCCTCCGGCGTAGCACCGCTACAACTTGGTGGATGAAGTACGCGTGGATTCGGTCAGTTAGGCGGCAATACCAATGACACCTTGGTTCGTCTCGATCAGCATCTGTCAATCAACAGGAAGAAAACAAACTCGAGAGCTTACCGCAAGCAGGGCGGGGACCAGCGTTACCGGTCTTCTTGGACTCCTCGTTGCCACCACGGCCGAGGTCGTCAGTGCCGGCGTGGACGACAATAGTGCGCTAGAAAGGCGTCAGTCTCGTGGTCTCATAGCTACACTCCTTCAGAGGATCTCGAGGAAATACATACGCCCAGGATGCTCTCCGCACCAATGACCTTGATCAGCTTGTCCTGGACGGACCCGACGGCGTTACCCTCGGCGTCGGTCTTGATGTTGCCCAGGTCACCAACGTGACGGACCTCATCGGTGGGAGCGCCGTGAGTCTTGCCGAAGGGGTTGTAGTGAGGACCGGCGGAGGTGCAGCCGTTGGTGTTGTCACCGAACTGGTGGATGTGCATACCACGCTCGGCGTTGGGGTCGTGGCCGGTGATGTTCCACGAGACGGTGGTCGGGGCGGATTCGTTGGCCTGCTCGAAAGTGACAGTGCCGGTGATCTTGGAGTCACCACGGAGAACAGCGACTGGACGAGCCGGTCAGCAGGTGGTTTCGTTTCGTTTCCTCATTCTGGAAGCATTTTCGACAATCATAACAAATACAACATCAAGAACAGTTTCAGAGTTCCAGATCTGATCGGATCGGATCTGATCAGAAGGTCCTCCTCCACGCAGCAGATCCGGGGGAACACAGCAACGATAACCATCCAGCAACCAGTCGAAAGGGATTCTCCCCTGGCAGCGTGAGGACCTTCGCATACCGGCCAATAATGGTGGTCCGACGTGGTTCCCAAGGTGCTCAAATCTGCTCACTCCAAGGTCCTCTGGCCACGGTCGATCGTGGAGAAACTCGCTCAAAAAGCGGACCAACAGAGAGAAGAAAGAAAAAACATATAAAGGAGAGGGGAGACTACCTACCGGCCTTGACCATTGTGACGGTGTTTTTGTTCTGTTCTGTTTTGTTTTTTAATTCTTCTACAACAGATTGATCGATGGGAGGGGAAAGTAGTAAGTCGATTGAGAGGAAGATGAAGGTCCCAGCAATAATAATAATAAGAGAGGAGGGGAGGGGGATTCGACCGGCTTCTCTGCCCTGAGGGGTTCGTTTCTCTTTCCCTCCCCTCCCCCCACCAGAGTGAGTTAGTTACTCACTCTCTGGACTACGTACTTTCTTCTCGCTGGACTCTAGACTACTATGGTACTACCATACTACTACTGCTGCTGCTACTTTCTTCGCACTTTCGCACTCTCAGACTCTCTCTCTCTCTCTCTCTCTCTAATCGACTGGCTGCCCCTCTTCGCTCATGGTGACACCATGCCGATTCATAAGCCGTCTCGGCCCAGACCGTTTTAGAGTACTTACAGATTATTAGCATGCTGTGAACTAATCGCCTACTTGACTCGGTTTACCATACGTGCCAACGACGGCATTCCAGCTCTAGTTGGGTAATAATTCGTTGCCAGTGGAATAATTGAACTTCTTCTGCATCTTCTTCATAGCAATTATCATCATCATCATCATAAATAATAATCATCATAAAGAATCATCATCACCGGAAAGGTCGGAGCTCCACCCGCAGCTCCCCGATGACGCGATCCGTTCCCCCACCTCGTCATCCCGCTGACTTCAACCGGCAGTCATGATTCCTTATGCCAGCCGGAATTCTTTCCGGCCAATACGCTGCTATTATCATCATCATCATTGTTATTATTATTATCGTACTTCTATTATTATTCTTCTTCTTCTTCACTTACGCTTGGCTTTTTCTGTTCGTAGATACGCTTATTTCCAGTCCCTGTTATCTACTACCGCAAAGAGAGAGAGAGAGAGAGAGAGAGAGGAGACGGGACACGCAGAGTACGGGAGAGAAAAAAAAAAGGAAAAAAGAAGAATCAAAGTGACAATGGTAGACCACCAGAAAAGAAGGACCGAAAGTCCATCTGCCATTGGCCCTCAATCCCTCGCTTCCATGCTGATATATATCAATCAATCAATCATACTCATAATAACAACTATGTATGGTCATTCAATCTGACTCGTGACATTTTCCATTAAATGTAAGGTAACCTGTCCTGGCGTGGTAAATTTTTTAAAACGTCGCACCGCAGTCCCGCGTCTACGCGGTGATCTTCTGGCGCAGGATCTCCTTCAGGGTGACCGCATCCGCCGCGAACTTGGAGATTCCCTCACGCAGCTTCTCCACGGCCATCTGCTCCTCGTTAAAGTCGAAGCGGAACAGCGACTCGTCGTTCAGGTAAGACCGCTTGGGGATGTCCAGCTTGGTCGCAGAGGCGGCGTCCAGCTTCTTGGGAACGGGGTCCTTAGAGTTGTACAGCTGCTCGAGCAGAGCGGGCTGGTCGTTCGTTAGTCATTGAGGGCGGGAATATAACTACGCGGGACAGCTGTAGGTACGTACCGCAATGGTCAGGTAGTCACAGCCAGCGAGCTCGGTGATCTCGCCAGTGTTACGGAAGGAAGCACCCATGACAATGGTCTTGTAGCCGTGCTTCTTGTAGTAGTTGAAGATGTCCTGGACGGACTTGACACCGGGGTCCTCGGCAGCAGTGTAGTCCCTCTTGTGGGCAGCCTTGTACCAGTCGAGAATACGGCCGACGAAGGGAGAGATGAGGAAAGCACCGGCCTCGGCGGCGGCAATGGCCTGGACCAGAGAGAACATGAGGGTCAGGTTGCAGTTGATGCCGTGCTGGGACTGCAGGATGTGCGCAGCCTTGATACCCTCCCAGGTCGAGGCGATCTTGATGAGAACACGGTCCTTGGAGATACCAATGGACTCGTAGAGCTAGTTATTGTTAGCGGCCAGTTTCAGAGCGGGAACCATCATAATCGTCCATACCTTGATGATGTGAAGGGCCTTGTCGACGGAGGCCTGGGTGTCGAAAGAGAAGCGGGCATCGACCTCCGTGGAGACCTTTCCAGGGATGATCTTGAGGATCTCCTTTCCGAACTGAACCAGGAGGTTGTCCAGAGTGGCATCGACCTGCTCCTCGATAGTCTTTCCCTGTTGGAGCTGTCAGTCCCGTTCTTTCGTCCAACTTTTTTCCCTTTGATACGGAGATCAAACGGGGCAAGCGACGAACCTCCTTCTTGCCCTGAGCGACGGCAGCGTCGATCAGAGCAGCATACTCGGGCTTCTTGGAAGCAGCCAGGATCAGGGACGGGTTGGTGGTGGCATCCTGAGGCTTGTACTTGCCGATGGCTATTATGATCTGTTAGAATCGCCTGTCCTCATGGAAACGAATGTATACGGTTTTGTCCATCACACATACTTGCGAAATCACCTAGTAAAGCGCTGTTAGCATCCGGTTCATCCGATCACAGACGCATTGAGATGGGTACTACTCACCAGAGTCGCAAACCACGACCTGTTGCAATGCGAGAAAAGACGACCGTTAGCAATTGTTCCACAGACTCCGACATGTTTCGGTTCCGTTGTGCAGCGTCATATGGATGGAAGGGCTTCGACTTACAGTGCCAGTGGCCTTGAGCTGCTCGAGAGAGGAAGACATGATGATGGAATCGGTGCAGGGGAAATTGGGTATACAACGGCAAACAAGAAAGATGGATGAGAGAAAGGATGTCAAGTTCTTCAAGTGGCGGGAGAGAAAGAAAGGAGATGAAGTAGAATAATCGAAAGTCCGGTGGGATCGAAGCCTCTCACCGGCGGTGGGATGGTGGGGCGACTATGACGCTCTCCCTAGGCGGGGGAAACAGCTCCCTCTTTGTAAATCCATATTCGAAACAATTCGACAGTCAGCTGGTGAATTATGGTAATACCATAGTTAATCGTTATTATTATTATTATTATCCGGAGCAGTTGACATTCACTACTATCTACGGGTACAACTACAATGACTGTGATTGAATTCCCACCTACTATACCGATTTCCTTTTCCCGTTATCTAGGTACAGTACTACTTACTGGCCGTATGCTGCGCATTTCCGTCTGCAATACCCTTCATCCCATCGCTGTCCCGTGCAGCTCGGGCAGCTCCCCTCCGAGCTCCAATACTAACTACTAAAGCTGTTCCCAATCCATCCGAGCTCAACAACGTTCCCGGCGCAGAGTGCTCCGGCCGCTCCCAATCAATAACCGTCCCATCGCCACGCGAACGTCTTCAGGCTAAACGGCCTTCAACAACAATTAAGCGCTCGATAAGCAGAGGCATTGGGAGAGCATAACTAGTAGTTTAACTGTGCTCTAGCTAGCTGCTAGCTATAGTTCTGCTCAGTAACCACGTCGGTTACTTAGCCCTGCGCGGGGGATAATACATTTGCCTGAACTATAACTATAAGGAAAAACTATTCGAGTCATGCGATCTCTAAATTGAAAAAATAGAATAATCTCAATCTAAATGTTTTTAAACGATCCTCCTCCCTCTACGGAGGAGCTTACTCCGTACTTCCATCTCCATGCGAGTACTTTACTTAGTAACGACGTACTCGAATGCTATATGTGGTATAGGAGTATAATTATCATCTATTAGTATTATTCATTATTATTGTTTACCAAGTAATAATTCCTGCCACATAGAATGATAATTATTACAACCTTCTCTCCTAACTACGACTTTACCATATTTATGCGCGTGGATAAATCGGAAAGCCACACTGCAAAATTCTAGACCCCTCCTGACCTTTTGACCCCACCATGATTTTCAAGGAGAGCACCTATCCGTGACTAAGCTGTCACCCACTCCTATCCTATGATTTTATTCGGCTAAAGAACCACACATCCCTCACGTGCTAACATGACTAAGACAGTATGGCCGAGTGGTCTAAGGCGACAGATTAGAAATCTGTTCTCTTCGGAGGCGTCGGTTCAAATCCGACTGCTGTCGAATTTCTTTTTGTTTTTTTTTTTTTTTTTCTGTATCCCTACCTTATGCTGTAATAGTAGCTTGAGTATTTATTCTAGGTGGTTAATGTTCAACTTCCTTTTTTAGATAATCGAGGTAGTAATGTTTTCAGTGTCAATAGTAATATCAAGAATCTGTATTTGTGGTTCAATTGAGCGACACTTTTCGGTTTTATTATGTCGTCGCGAGGCGGACTACTTAACCGTAAGGAAAATATATATATATCTGAGTTCCATTTTCACACAGCGCACAACCCGACAAGGTTGCCACAATACTGGCTTTGCAGCTGCGAATGACTATTCACCACAGGAACAGCTAGATACCGAAATGAGACTCTGGTACAGTACACTTTTATTGATTCACAGGCCGGCTGGCATATCTAGGATTTCTCTAGGGACAAACAAACAAATCATCGACCGCGCTGCGGGTTCGGTCTAACTATGTGGATGGGAAAGAATAGCAGGGCAGAACAAATGACAGCCGACTCCATATCTTGCAGATGAAACAACGCTCGCAGGCCAGAGAGAACAACCCGAACAAAACACATGCTCGATGCAAGCGTAACGGAACGCAGAAAGACACATAGTTTTGGCCTTGACATACAGTCATAAGGGTAATGGGGATCAAACGGAGAAAAATCTAACAATTGCAGTGTCCACTTTGGTAGAACAGATAAGCCCTCCGACGTACCTCCCTGGGCAAATGAGTACCCGGCAGATTCACTGCGGCTGTCAATGCTGGTACCACACGAGGTCGAACGTAGTACCAGTCTTGGTTGGAATGCATGTAGGAGCAATGACGAGTCTATCAACGACGCTGAATGCAATCCCATTCGTACTAGATAGCAGAAGTTAGAAACTCGTTTCACAAAATGGACGCTCAATGGACGTACCACTCTACCGGCTTCGTCACCTGTATACACGATATGTGGAAGCGGTAGGATGTAGCTGATTCCTGAGCTGACGTTGGCCCCTTCACGACCAACATCAATGTGATGGAGCTGACGGATAAGATCGAGTTCGAACCGTCCGTCACGGATTGTTTTGCTCCAGATCTGTTGAGTGGCAGCACGTTAGAAGATAAATGCAACAGAATGGAACGTGTCCTCATCCACACTTACATTGACCAGACCTCTTCTATGTCCGGTAAACAACAGTTCTCTCTCGAGCCATTCGTTGTTAGCTCCCTCGTAAAACGCGCACGAGAGGATGCAATCATCTGCAGCTTCACAGACCGCCTGTTCGAGCAAGATCGCCCCGTTGAGGGAGAAGAGGCTGATACGGTTACCGCGACAAACCATGATGTTGCCAGTCACGTCATTGATCCGCGCACACTATACCCTCGGTCAGAGAGTGGAATCGCAGTATTTCTTTCGTAAGGCCTACTTACCTCCACTGGGCCACTGGCAGGAAGCTCCCGCAAAAAGCACTGTCGATTGAGATCCCACAGCATGATGCGCCCATCAGCGGACGCTGATAGAACGGTACTGTAAGACCGTGAAACCGCAAGAGTCGTCACAGCGAACCGATGGCCGAACAGGGTCGCTTTCGGTTGCAGATCCACGGACTTCCCGGAGGCAGTGAATGTCCATATTGAGATCGTGCAATCTGTGCCTGCGGTTATCAATGTTTGCGAATCCGCAAAAAGAGCGCAGGACAATTGGCCAATGTGTAAATGCTCAAAATGCCCAAGCAACTACAACCTGTTAGCATCCCCTCGTCACTGATAGAGTGAGATAGGACGTCCTACCTTTCTACTGTCAGCAGCATAGAAGCGCACGCTTCCATCAAAGAAACCCCACTCCATGTATTTGTCGAAGGTCGGAGGGACATTCAGTCTGAACGCGGCAGCACATAGTAACCGATCTTGCTTCATAGATAAAGATGAAACGCGTTCTTGACTGTCTGCTGTGGTGTTAGAAAGGACTCGATTTTGCTTGGGAAACAAGGGGATATCATACCGAGCAGTTGGATGGGCGTCCTGGTCAGGGACTCCGCAAGGACATCAAGTCGGCTGTCTTTGTGCTGGAGCTCTTCCCTCTTAGGGTGAGGCTTCTGGAAGACCTGGTACGGTGTTTGCCCGAAGTTGTGTATAATACCAATGGTGGCCAACCGTTCAACAGGATCGTCAATGTTGTCCACGTCCTTGGCTCCCTGATATGATAAGTGATGGAAAACGTTCACTGCTTCAAGGGCTGCATCTCCCTTCTGCTTGAATCCAAAGACCAAGTCGATCCAATGGTGCAGATTCTTCGTCACGTAGGGGCTTTCTAGAGCTTCTCGATGTTTGGCGATAAATATTTTTGGATCGCCTTTTGCCCACGGCGGTAATTCTACAGCATCGATGCTCTCGGTCATGTTCTGGCGCAGTCCGAAATCATACTTGTTCACGTTGACCAGAAACTCCGGAAGATAGTAGAATTCCGGAGTCAATTCCCTCACGTCGGACATGTTCCCGCGCGAAGCTGAATCCCAAGCCTTTGCCACGGAATAAAACAGTCGATCCGCATGGTCGAAAGTCCCACCTTGAAGTATAAGGTATGACTTCACAAACGGTTGCAAACGGATAAGGTACGAACTGACTATCATCGCGGAGGAATAATGGGTGCCGTAGTGGAAGGGAGGTGCGTTCTCATCGCCCATCTCTGCAAACGACTTGTATCTCTCCTTGAACTCGGCTTCACGCTCGGGCGTCTGGCAACCCATTGGTTTTGATAGATCGCGGAAAGTTTTGGGATTGGTCAGATCCAGTTCTTCACTGGTATAATCCGCCAGGACCCACGGGAAGACCGGATATTGAGTGAGGTCGTTAAATGTCCTCCCCGCCAAAGTGTTGATCAACATCAGATAGTGGAAGTTTGATATCTCCCCCTTGACCCATTTGCGTGTTGCGGGGTTCGATGACTGGCCGAACACGCTGGCAAATTTGGACCCAAATGACTGGGGTTCATCATCTTGACTTCTCAGTGTCTCGAATCTCCAAACATCCTCTGGTCGCGAGAGAGCGATGTTTCCATTGATCTGAGGAGCTTTGGCGGATAGCTGGCTGTAAAGTTCGTTCCGGGCTCGTGAAGATATCAATGTCAGAAGATAACTGCGACCGTCCGTGAAAAAGATCTCGAGGGCCACATCACGGAAGAGAAATCGGCGTTTAGAGATGCTGATCAAATCTGCCCACTTCCAGCTCCTCGTCTGATGCTCCTGTGATTTGCGTTCACTCGACTCGCGACCAGCGATCATGCGAACATATGGATCTCGTTCTTCCGCAGGAGCCTGCCAGACATTGACAATCTCGCCATCCGCACGTTGAAAGAAATTGTCTAAGATGTAGATATGGTCCTTTCCCAAAATGAGAATGCCTTCGCATGCTTCCAGCCCGGTGATGCGAGACATATTACAGACGTTTTGAACTTGATCGCCTCGATGTAGACTTCTCATAACCTTTCTGTTCTTGTCTTCATAATCGTCTATATCTTCCTTGGGATCATCAATCATTTCAAAGCTTTCTTCGAGCATGCTCTTATCATCAGAGTCCACGCCCTGAGACCCATTGTCTGCAGACTCGCCAACCATAGCGGTGGGAGTAATCCCGACAACTTCATTGTTGGAAGCAGGAGCAATCTGTGTATTCAGCTTTATCGCAGGAGGCTCAGACGCTTTTCTCTTGGGCTGATAGTCCTGTCTCTCCCCCGAGTCATCGGGGATCACTCGAAGCCGCATTCGGCTACGCCCCTCTGTCTGGTCAAGTCGCCATTTTCTATCTTTATCCTCAGACAATACGCCGCCAACGCGTCTTAATTCCTGAGAAAGACGAGCAAAGGCAGACCACATAAACGTGAGAGTATCCTGCTGGTCCTGAAGAACCCTCTGGTATTTCAGGTGCTCGGATGCAGAAATATTGGATACCCAGTGATCGAACGTGATACTGTGCTTGCGGAGAACTTCCTCACGGGACTTTTCCTCCTGGGCCCACTGCTTGAGGTTCTCTTTCCGTTTGGCAAGTCTGACTCTTGCCGTCTCTTCTGTTCTGGCATTCTCCTCCTGCACGAAGGACTCCCAAGACTTGGATAAACCGCCGAAGAAAAGAGCATCAAGATCATCGCGTTGCTCATCGACCCATTGTAGGAAACCGGCATCGTCCATTCCCACGAGCCCGCCGAAACCTTCGGATAGTCGTCGCTGCAGAGAGGCCGTGGCATGAGTCAGGATAGCAGACGTTTCAGAAGGCTTTTCGACAAGGACAATTCGCCAGAGGTTAGCAGCCGCCACACGGATATCGTGGTTCTCACTTATAAGCTTCGTGTAGAGTAAATAACAGAGCAGTTGCAGATATTCAGAATGCGTTTCTCCTTCAGACAGAAGCATTGCTTGCCAGTACGCAAGGCGGCTGAGAAAAGTGAGACAGTCGGATTCCTCCACTTCGGAAAGCTTGATTAGAACCATCCGAAAAGCTGTAGAGCGAATTGTATCTATTGCTTGGCTGCAAAGTCGAACACTCTTTATGCATGATATGTCGGGTCTTTGAAGGTACTCTAGGACAGACCCAGCAAAGTCGAGGGCAACAGTGGCACCATCAATGAACCAGCCTTCGTACACTGCCTCCCCGATATGTGTGAGGAAGCGTGCTAAATTAGTCAACGTTCGAGGCTCCAATAACAGTTCTCGGTTCATAACTATAGTTCCCTCCATGGTCAATATGGTGTTCCGTAGCACCCATGATTCAAAGTAGGTCTGGTGTTCCAGAAAGCCAGGCGGTGTTTTCAGATACAGCCCAAGACCGGAGAACTCTTTGCGAGCAAATAATTGGTCCATGAACACAGATGTCAGAAGACCTAGAATAGACTGGACGACAGGGTGGGCCTCCAAGTCCCCATCCCTTTCCACCTTTGGTGTAACAATATGCCGGAGACGGGCAGCAGATGGCGAGTATTTTGCTCTGTCGGATGAGACCAATATAAAAGATGAACCGCGTCGCAGCGGCCTTCCAGCATGGTCCTGACCACTCGAAGGTTCCACAGTTGTGGTTCGCAGTACGGGTGGTGCGGTAGAGAGCGGCCGGACAATGTTCGTATCCTCGAAACTCAGCCCGCCGTCGCGGGAATTTAGCTCAACTTCTGGGCTGATTATATCTGATCCGACCACAACGGGGAACAGAACGAAGAGGAGCCGTTGCACATATGTCGAACTCACGGAAAAGTCCCGAAAGTTGTGTGATTTGGCATGGACGTCCGAAAGGAACCTGACAACGCTCTTCAATATGCATTGGTCTCTAGTAGCATTCTCAGCCGGCGAGGAATCTGTTCGAGCATTAGGCATGGTTAAGACTATTTCATAGGCTGAGGAGACGGTTGTCTTACTGGTCAAATTGGACGACGACATCAAGACTCTATAGGACTGCGGCAGTGGTACCTCTACGGTCTTACCATTTACCGCCGCTGCTCTTTTCAGACCACTTTGTAGCATCTCCATAATCACCGGTAGGATCTCTGGGAACACAATCTTTGGTTCACCGTTGGATACAAAGAGATCCAGAAGCCCAGAGTGGTCGAAGGGTCTCTCCAGGTCCATACAAGCAACGTCGAGTCCGAACAGAATACCAAAGCAGATCGGCCACAAGGCAGGAATGTTCCACCACCTTTTCAATCGATGTCGCATTATGGTATATCCTCCTGACTTATCGGCGAGTTTCTTGTTATAGGCGCTACCGTGTATGATAATCAAGCGAGAAAGGATTTTCGCCGCAAGTACTACAACCTCTGGATCATCTTCGCACATGAGGTAGAGAAGCCACTGGAATGTGCTATCAGCAGCTGCTCGAGATAATCCTATTACTTGACGAACCTTATTCGTGACCGTCCTTGCAAACTTTTTGACTATTGCTACATCACCTGATGCGCAAAGTAAGGAACAATACATTCGCAGCATCTCCACACCTATCTTAGAACTGGGTAGGTACTTCCCAGCATCTCCGGTCGACGGCGACCGATGCCGCAGGCGAGGATCTAGACGAAAACTTTTCTTCTTGCGGAGAACAGAGGGTGATTTACTCTCCTGTATCGAGTAGGTGATGAAAAGAGATAGTGATCGAAGCAGCTCCGCCGATAGACAGCTGTCCAGGAGGGATCGAAAAGCAGGGACGAAAAGGGCGAGAGACTCATTTGTGAAGCGTTCTCCTTTTAAAGCATCCAACAGTTTCTTGTTGACACCTGCAAAATTGTCAGAAGAAGTCAGAAGACAGCCTACAATGAGCACCCACGCATTCTAGCCAGACGCTTTGAATTGAAATGACGATATCGGCTGTTTCTCGCAAAGGTCGAGAACTGAGAATAATACATCTCGACTAAATCAGGCTCACCGAACCGCCAGATATCCAGGTCGACAAGCAAGACCCGATAAGCTAGCGGATTTGTGATTATCGAACGGGAAGGGTCATTAAAATCGTATCCGACAAATGACAAGGTCAATCGCAGAAGCTCTCGTGCGAGCGAGGATCGTTGCTTATTATCTGGACAGATAGATGAAAGTTTGGACGCTGTTGTGACCTGGCCCCCCGAAGGAAAGCCAATCTTGTCGCGTAGCAGTGTGGCAAGAATCCCATATCCGTTATCTCTTTCCATTGCCTCACTGTTCCGCCAGCTATCTTGTATAGCCTCGTACAGGACTTCTAGTGCTAATGTGAGGCTCTCAGCTGTAGTCGCCGCGTGGACAATGCTAAGGTGCAGGGCTGCGCAGCCGCCAATCCGCCAACCCGCATCGTCAAGAGACTGCGGTACCGTTACTACAGGGTCACCAGTGAGAATGGCAACACCATTAGTGTGTGTTAACGCATCGTTGATTGCAGGAATAGCCCCATTAACGGCGATAGCGTTAGCGCCCACTTTCGTTAACTGATACAAATTCTTGGAAGCCCGCTTCGACAGTGATTTCACTAACTGAGATTCGTCTATATTGTTGGTGTCATCATCGTCGAGCACAGTAGCTGGGGCTATGTTCAGTAGGACGGAGCTTTCTGATACCAGCGTGCTCGCCTTCTGCCGGATAGCGGTTACTATATCCGACGACTCCTCTTTGCCTGGATGAAGGTTCTCATTTCGTAAATTGAGTGCAGCGGAAGCCCGATACGTTTGGAAAGAGCCCAAGCAATCCTGGAAATTGCCATGGTAGCGAGGCCCGATATTGTAGAATACGGCCACCATGTCATCAGTGAATATGTCTTCGAAGAGGATCGCGTTCGCCAGAGACCATCGAGACGTTGATGCTCCCTTCCCCAGTCTCATGGCGAGGTCTTGTGGTGTACCCAAGAACGCCTGCACACGGGCTGCCTTGTTGGGCGCTCGTGGTGGAGGGACGGATGGATAATCGATCTTCAACTGCTCAACAAATTCGCCATCCACAAAAAGAGAAGCCCGTGCAGATAAAGGACCTCGAGCCCTCTTGTGGATCACGCAGATATGATACCATTTATTTGGCTCGAAGACGAAGGATTTAAAGCGTACACTGGGACGCGGTCCTCGGATCGATGTTTGCAAGATGAAATTGCGGGTGTCCTTCTCCAGGTATGCAAGCACAAAACATGTCTGACTGGCATCAAAGGCCCCAAAAATGGTGGTATGAACATTGGGGTCGAAGTTATCAAAACGAGCCCAAACCGTAAAAGTGTACCCAGCGGATGCTGTGGGAGGAAATGGGCGACCTAGTGTCGAGAACTCGACCGAGGAGTAACCGTGCACGGACAGATCGAAATGGATAGATGGCGGACCTTTGGAAGACTTCATGGCATTCAGCAAGAACCGTAAGACCTCTGGAGAATCGTGAGCGCGCCTATAAATGTCCACTGCATCCTCGAGGCCATTAATGCCTTGCACACAGAGGAGCCCCGCAAGCTTTTCGTAAAGTTTTCTTTCTGACTCGGGTCTGTCACTATTGATCAGAACCGGTAGCACTGATTTCAATGTTCCTGTGGCGTGCAGAGCTAGAGTATTCCTCTGAGACTGGGAGGCAAGCTGGCAGAGACACGCAGGAAGAGCTAATCTCAGAATGGCATGTCCGGTCACAGATGAGGACTGCGCCAGCCAGACTCGCAGAAACGGACCTAAGAACTCAGGAACTTCAACAGTCACTGCTGTACCCAGAGATCTATCTACAGCCAAGCAAATGTCTTCCGGAGACAGAGAGTCGGCCTGAGGCCCCAGCTTCAAACTCAACGCGGTGAATATCCCTGAAACTGTCTCCTCGCACAAAGCCCCAGCCAGTAAGCCCCCATATAATTGCTCTCTATCAGAAGTCGACGCATCGTTGTCGTCGAATTTCGTAGCCAGGACTGTCAGTGTATTCTCCAGACATGCTGTTCCTCCGCCGGGGATCCTTTTAGAAAAGTATCGTTTGTTCCCCGAGTGCTCCTTCAGACATTCTGCAATGACCCCGAGGGTGTCCCTGAATAGAGCCAAGAGACTCTTGCGTTCCTCCTGGGACAATGTGTTTGTATCGTAGAGTTCCCCGAGCTGCCGGACAAATTCGAGCAGTATCTGGAACCCGTACAGATGACGAAATGCATCCTTCGCTTCTCTGGGCTGTTGTGTATCGATAAATGTATGACGGAGGCGGAGCAGGCTTTCTGTTCCGGAGAGGACATCCTGCAGCGTGATCGGGTGCTGTTTACAGATCGCGTCGAGGCTCTCAATAATCGGGCCCAACTCGGCGACCAGTCGCCCAGCGGACGCGGAGGGCGGGGAGGAGGGACGTCGCAGCGGGGACGACTTGATCATGGTGCCGCTGGAAATCTTATCTCAAGCTAGCAGTCGCAACATTAGTCCTGAAGGTCCGGATGAGAGTATCGGAGGACACATAGGACAGAGGATGAGATCTGCATCTGGCGTGTCGGATTGGCTGGTCAGGCCATGGTCTTGCCGGACGTTGATTGTGCGAGTGGAGAAGGCTTTGAGAGTCGAGACTGAGCACTGAGCACTGAGCACTGATGCACTGTCGACCACCGTCCTTGCTCTCCAATGGACACGAAGTGATCAGGATTCTCTCTGGATGCTGGAGTATGGGATCGAACTGCCAGGGACACAAGATGCGCCAACTGCTCACATCCTCCAACCAAGCTTGAAACACTCCAAGCAGCTCCGATGCAGCGACCAGAGCACAGCCGGATGTCTGTCACGTGCAACGTCACTGGCGCCTGCACCATTGGCCCGAAAACAGCGCGATAAGGCGATAAGGCCTGTTAGCTGCCATACCGCAGCCATACTGGGCCGTGACCATACCGTGCTATTCTGTACACGCTATACCACTCGCGGCAGCGTCCTGTGCCAGTTGTGGTCAGAGCACGCGAGCCCACCGCTTGCAAGCATCGCGTTGCCACCATGCTGATCAGCCTCGTTGTTGGACTTGTTGAGTACTTAGCAGGTACCCAGGCAACACCGCAACTTCGAGTTGGAGAGACAGCTCACGAGACTCTGAGGCTTGTACCGCCCTGTATCGGTACTGTCCTCTGCAGCTCTCCACTGGTGGGGCGGTCTGCTATCGGATCGACGCTGCCCGGCGAATCAGGGTCCGTTGGGAGCGCTAACCCCCGGGCGTATCTGTAAACTTACCGTATTGGCGTTGCATCATCTCCCCCGGGCCTTGCCTGCTCCGTTGCTCACCTGCCTCCCCAGCGACCTACTTCTATCTCGCCAGCTCCAGCTCCTCCATCTTCCTTCCTTCAACCTCCCTCCATCCCCCTTCCCCCATCTCATCTTCCTTCATCTATCATCAGAATTCTCATCGAACTGCCGGCCAGCAGCGTTCTTTCATTTCTGTGCCATCATGAAAGCCGTTCTCGGCCTCCTTCTCCCGCTGCTGGCGGCCGCGTCACCTGTGATCGTTGACTCGATCCATAACGGTGCCGCTCCGGTCCTCTCTTCTGCTAACGCGAAGGAGGTCCCGGACTCCTACATCGTGGTTTTCAAGAAGCATGTCACAGCTGAAGCTGCTGCTGCTCACCACAGCTGGGTGCAGGACATCCACTCCGATGTTGAGAACCAGCGGATGGAGCTCCGGAAGCGCTCTCAGTTCCCCTTCCAGGATGAGATGTTCGAGGGCTTGAAGCACACCTACAACATCGCTGGCCAACTGATGGGCTATTCGGGTCACTTTGATGACTCTGTTATCGAGCAGGTCCGCAGGCATCCGGACGTGAGTACCTTCCCAACCACCCTTGGCCCTCGAGGTCCTTCAGGGCAGCACGGCTAATTCAACCTAGGTCGAATACATCGAGAGGGACGCCGAAGTCCACACGATGGAAGACTCTTCCGTTGAGAAGAACGCCCCCTGGGGTCTGGCCCGTATCTCCCACCGTGACAGCCTGAGCTTTAGTACCTTCAACAAATACCTCTATGCCAATGATGGCGGTGAGGGTGTTGACGTCTACGTCATTGACACTGGCACCAACACCGACCACGTTGACTTCGAGGGTCGTGCCTCTTGGGGTAAGACCATCCCTACTGGTGATGACGATGTCGATGGCAATGGCCACGGTACCCACTGCTCTGGTACGATCGCTGGTAAGAAGTACGGTGTTGCCAAGAAGGCCAACGTCTACGCCGTCAAGGTGCTTAGATCCAACGGTTCTGGTACCATGTCCGACGTCGTGAAGGGCGTTGAATGGGCCGCTACCGCTCACTCCAAGAAGATCGAGGCTGCCAAGAAGGGCAAGGCCAAGGGCTTCAAGGGCAGTGCTGCTAACATGAGTCTGGGTGGCGGCAAGTCTGTTACTCTCGACTTGGCTGTGAACGCTGCTGTGGACGCTGGTATTCACTTCGCTGTCGCTGCTGGTAACGACAATGCCGACTCCTGCAACTACTCTCCTGCTGCCGCTGAGAAGGCTGTCACCGTCGGTGCTTCCACCCTCGCGGATGAGCGTGCTTACTTCTCCAATTACGGAAAGTGCAACGATATCTTCGCTCCCGGTCTTAACATTCTCTCCACCTGGATCGGCAGCAAGTATGCCGTCAACACTATCTCCGGAACCTCTATGGCCTCTCCCCACATTGCTGGTCTGCTGGCCTACTTCCTCTCCCTCCAGCCCTCGAAGGACTCTGCCTTCGCTGTGGCCGACATCACCCCGGAGAAGCTGAAGAAGACTCTGATCTCCGTTGCTACCGAGGGTGCTCTTTCTGACGTCCCGTCCGACACTGCCAACGTAAGTTAAAACGGTTCCCATTTCCTGATCTGTTCATCTTGCTAACAACCTTAATCAGGTCCTCGCCTGGAACGGTGGTGGCTCTGCCAACTACACTGAGATTGTTGCCAAGGGTGGATACAAGGTCGCTACCTTCGAGGAGAAGCTCACCGGTATCATGGACAAGGCTGAGAAGTTCACTGAGGAACTCGGCGCCATCTACAGCGAGATCAAGGACGCTGTCGTTGTGTAAACTCAATGATTCTTAAGCTTATCACGATCGGACACTATATAGGTGCTGGTGCATGGGAATGGCAGCAGAATAGACACGCGGCGCAGGTTATCCATATTTCTTTTTGTTTTTCCCCATTTGACGTCTCTGAGCCCTAGGTTCATCGGTTGAATCGGCCTCTGTATGTGTTGCTTTTCGGTTCTAGCATTAAGTTGGCACATGTGCTCCTTTGCCTACTCCCACCACTTGAGGAGTGATCTAGACAGATCGTATTAGTTTGTGACAGACTGGGATATTGGAATTTTTCGTGTTATAGCCTTCGAGCCCTGGGGCGGCCAGGTAACAGAATTTTGACTATCATCTATCCATTTTATTGCTGTCGTAGTTTCGTTGTAGCTACAAAGTATTTCTGTCGTTGGACGGCTTAGCCGCTGCGGAGAGCTCTCCATTGCTATCTTATCAGTTACAATACATCCGAGAGCAGATAAGGCGAGCTTGGGAGAACGCCTGCAGCTACAATCTCAGTACTGTCATCGAGGATTGGAAATCTTCCCATCTATCTTGAGTTGAATGATCAATCACGTCACCCGACCAGCTTCTGGTCTCAGGTTATCAGCTGGATAGCGGACTATTGAATCGACTATCGGCTATCAGCAGGATGTGAATCACGCCCTCCAGTGGTATCTAGACCCAATCAAGACTATCCGCGTCAGCCACCGGTGGGTTCTCTCGCAACGAACTCCGCACTTGTAGATCCATCCGTTAATTATCACAGCCCCATTTATGAAAGCATGACAAGTCTGATTCATATCCCAAGAGCGTCTAGCAAGATTGAAAGGAGGGGTAACTAGATGGAAGACAGATGACGAGACGATAAACTACCTGCGGGGGCAATAGTATCCAGCAAATTGCGTGCTCCCCCCCTCATTAGACTTAAAACCCAAGAAGCTTAAATCGCCGTAAATGCCCGATATCTTACACCGAGATCGGGGTATTGTGAAATATGGTAAATGTATTGGAATCGCCACGCCAGGCCTTGATAATGTACATACTATTTCATTATAATTTACCACCCAAAGAGGGGCGGGGGTTCAGTTGAACTTTAAATAGATCTAACGGGCGTGAAGGGTACTATAGATATATTAATATTAGGCAATAATAATACAGCTAAGTACTGTATGTACATTCAAGTGTAAAGATTCGAAGTCGAAGAACCCCGCTTTCTGATGCTGTGAATCTTGCAGTTAAAACATGATTGGTTAGCTAGTTAGTTGAGATACTTACTCTTTTTGAGTCTTCTCCAGATAGCCAACCATGCTGTAGACGTCGATGACGCGCGCGGAAGGCTCTTCGAGGAAATGGGTTTAGTCCCTATCTGGCTTGAATCGAGGTACTTGTTACTTGGGTTTCTTTAATCTCTTCAGATATGGCCTTTACTGGAAATGTCTCTTAACAGCTCTTTTTTGTCGTCCAAGGCGATAGAAGTGCTTCAGAGCAATTCTGAGTCTTTGAAACAGAGGTTATGGGTACATTGAAATTCACGCATAGGCATTATTTCATGAATTGTTACGGGTAAAATAATAGTATGATTCATGCTATCCATCATTTGTTTGAATTGTACTTGCTTGGAAAGAGCTGTATCAACCCTCATTTTGTGCGGTTGAAAAATTATGAAGACTACCCATTCCTCGCCAATGTTGCTCTTCTCCATTCTTTGCTATCCCATCAATGTAATTATTTCCAGGTGATATACCAGAATTTGGGAGAGCACCCCAAGCTCCGCCACCAGGAGTGTGGATAAACAATTGCTCTCCGCGTCGCAGTTTGATAATACCTTTCCCTCCAACGTTAACCCACCTATCCCTCCCATCAGGTAGCTTCAGTAGAGCCAGATTCCTACCGCTCTTCCCAGGGCCACCACCGGCCATTCCGTATGGTCGATGAACTCGTCTTTCGGTGCTCAGAGAGAAAGTTATCGGCGCCCGAGCCTCGAATCCACGAATGGCCCCGTCGCCGCCTGGGTGTAGACCTTCTCCGCCAGATCCATGTCTCAGTGAAAATTGTTTCACAAGGATGGGATATCGCTTCTCCAAGATCTCACAGTCACTGACACGGGTATTGGTCATATGCTTCATCCTGTGTTAGCCTGGGATCAGAGGGATATCCATAGTTCCATACTTACCGTGTGTACTCCTGAAACTCCACGCCAGGTCGCTCCCGCACCACTACCCCCACAAAGGGTCTCTCCATACATAAACGTGAAGCCTGCGAAAGGCTCGCCAGGTTCGGCTTTCTCACCTCCGTACATCTGTACACTATTCATGCAACCTTGGCTGGCAGCACATGCCCCGAAAGCTTTGAAAACAACGTCGGTCAGCCTCTGGCTCGTCAGAGTGTTACCGGTGTAAACTGCAGCACCGGAAGATGGAGAGAGGACTGTGTTCTCCGGTATGATAATATTTACTGGCTGAAGGCATCCCTGGTTTAGTGGGATTTCTTCATTTATCATTGCTCTCAGGGCGTAGATGATCGCCGAGTAGACCAGACTGGAAGGCGCATTGCGATTTCCGTACGTCTCTGGCCCCGTTCCTGTGAAATCAAAATCTGCGCTTCCGTTGGCGGCGTCGATGCGGACTTCAAGATGAATTTCGGTCCCATCGTCGAGATAATCAACCGCTTTCAGAGAATCCGGATGTGTCATTGCGACCCTCTTCAAATAACGTCGGACAGCGAGCTCGGCAGTACCCTGTATAGCTGCCATGTAGGACTGTACAACTTTTGTCCCATATGCTGCGAAAAGCTCCTGGATGAGAAGCGAACCGCGCTGGTTTGCGGCGATTTGTGCCTTGAGGTCTGAGAGGTTGTCATTTATGCTGTTGGATCCCACGCACCCTTCGTATTGTGCTGGATCATGGACCAATATTTTCGTGATTCCTGGAGCTATCAGCCCTGGTCATCAGAGTAATGGGGATTATGAAATGCAAATACCTTCTTCGTCGAACTTTCCCTCTGAGGCGAGTTTAAATGACTTTATTCGCGCCCCCTCTTGTTCCAAAAAAATGCAGTTCGGATTCCCGGATATGCCACCTAAGCCACCGATATCTCGGTGATGTCCTCGAGAGGCAGTATAGAAAATGATATCTTTCCCTTTCTCATCGAACACGGGAGAGACAACGGTTATGTCTGGAAGGTGCGTCCCACCAGCTTCTATAAGCCAGTCAGTTAGAATCATATGTTGCCTGTCTCCAGGAAATTTGGAATAAAATGCATACCAGGATGATTGGTCACCAGGACATCTCCAGGTTTCAGTTTTCCTAGGTTGACCTCGTGTTGATATTTCACTGCATTCTGCATGCTACCCAGATGCACAGGAACATGAGGCGCATTTGCTACAAGGCCTCCGTCAGGCCCAAAAATAGCACAACTGAAGTCTAAACGTTCCTTAATATTAAGACTGACACTCGTCTTCTGTAATGTTCTGCCCATCTGTTCTGCAATGCTCATGAAACGATGACCGAAGACTGAAAGCTGCACTGGATCTATAGCATCGGCGGAGACTTCTTTTGGAGTAGGTACACCGACATCGATCACTACGTGTTTGTCAAGGATAATAGAAGTCGCACCAGGCACAACGATAATTGTCTGCGTTTTGTCAAGTATTATTGCTGGCCCCTGCATATTGGATCTTGTGTCAGTAGATATCGACTTCAACATTTCGAAACCATGGTCTGTACTAACTGCAACTGCCACTCCACTTGGGAGCTTATCCAGCATATACACTGGGCTTTGAACCCACCCGGTCTCTTCAAAATAGACAGTTGCTGTATTTTCTGCATCTGTAATGTTTGCATCCCTCGAATGCTTCTTTGCTGCCCGCAGTTGACCGACGAAGTGTACATTCTGAATGGATGTGCCGTCATTCGCGACCCCTCTGACTCTAAGATCATCAACAAGAATCGGTCTTCCAGGTACGGTGAAAGTGAACTCTCTCAGATGATTTGCGAGGAAAGATTGTTCGAAATCACCATTTTCTGGCTCCATAATCATCATTGAGGTATCAGTACCCTGATAACGCATATTGAGATATCTTTCATATCGTAGAGATGATTCGTCAAACCCCTCTTCCTTCAATTCTTTTTTTACTTTTGCTTGCAAAGCATCGAGACGTTTACGAATCTTTGACAGGGCCTCTGCACAGTAGACCTCGGAAATCGGTTCGAGTCCCTCATGCACGATCTCCGCCAATGCCATTCCGTAGGCAGACAGAACGGATGAATATTTATGGACAACCACACTATTGATGTTCAAATTGCGTGCTATTGAACATGCATGTTGACCTCCTGCACCCCCGAATACCGCTAAGCGGTGATTGCGCGCATCATAGCCTCTGCCTTCTGTCAGGGAGCGAATGGGACGACACATCCCTTCGTTTGCAACCTCAATGAAGCTGTGATTTATTATTAGAAACCGGAAGAATCTGACGGAATGCTGGATATCCATACCCTACTGCCACTTGTTCCGGCGTCAAGTGTTTCCCAGTTTCTTCGTTTATTTCCTTCGTGAGATTCTGAAATTGCTCTGCCACGATACCATAGTCAAGAGCTTGATCTTCATTCGGGCCGAATATCTTAGGAAAGAACTCTGGAAGCAGTCTCCCCAGAAAGAGGTTGGCATCCGTCACAGTTAGTGGACCGCCCTTGCGATAGCATGATGGACCTGGATGAGCCCCTGCACTTTCTGGACCAACTTTGAAAAGTCCATTTTTCCAAAAGAGAATCGAACCTCCTCCCGCAGCCACAGTGTTTATGTCGAGTTGCGGAGATTGGATTGTAACTCCGGCTGTTGTTGTTTCGAACACATGTTCTAACTGTCCTGCATATCGGGAAACATCTGTGCTAGTACCGCCCATATCAATTCCAATGACAGGTGTCCCATCTTCCGGGTCATAGCTTGTTTTTGCATACCCAACAACTCCACCTGCTGGTCCTGAAAGGATAGCACGTAGGCCTGAGAACCTCCTGAAGTCTGCAAGGCCACCGTCAGATTGCATAAATTGACACTTGGTCTTCCCGGGTTGTTGAAAACCCCCTTCGAAACCCTTGGTGAAGCCATCAATGTATCGCTTTACTGTTGGTGTAAGGTATGCATCGGCTGTCGCTGACATGCCCCTCGGGACGAGCCGGATCATGGGCGCGACTTGGGATGAGAGAGAGATGTGCGTAAAGCCAATCTCTTTAGCGATTTCTGCAATGCGTAGCTCATGCTGGGGATAAGTATAAGAATGCGCAAGGCACACAGAGATTGATCGAAAGTCTTCATTATATAATTGGAGAAGAGAGCGTGTTACTTCTCCCTCGTCTATGTATAAGAAAAAGAAAAAAAAAGCGCGTTAGATAGTATATCTAAGAAAGAGGCTGACTACACTCACTGAGAGGTTTAAGTATTCTCACAACATCTCCACTGAGTCCATGCACAGTTGTCCCCGCATCTTTATCTTCTGCAAGAGGGACGTCGATAGTGACTCGTTCGTCAATCTCAATACACTTGGCGTATAGGACATCAGGTTTTTTGATATCGAGATCAAAGAGCTTAGGGCGCGTCTGATGTCCGATTTTGAGCAATTCCCCGAATCCTTTTGTGATTAGCAAAGCGCTCCTTTCTCCCTTTCGCTCTAGCAAAGCATTTGTTGCTACGGTCGTTCCCATGCGAATAGAAGCTGTGAGTTAACTCATCAGTAGACGAAAAGGCATCAGCCGTAGGGGGACGGATTATTGACCTATATTGGAAGTATCGAGTTTGCATCCACGAGGGATAGGTTCACCTGTAGCAATCTCTAGAATCCGACGAATTCCCTCTGTGGGTGCATCGTCGTAGTTAGTAGGATCAACGGAAAGGAGTTTGACAACTATGTCCTCTTTTCCTGGAACTATTCCTATGCAGTCGCAAAAAGTACCACCTCGATCTGTCAATCAAAATCACGATTTGTCAGAAAACATTGGCGATTCCGGGAAAGACTATATTAAGAACACAGGATGTTACCTATATAGATACGGAGCTTGGTCTGATCGGCTCCTGTGATGTGCGGCATGATTCCAGAGGAAATTATATTATCTTGACATCCAAATGAACACTCTGGTTCATACAGTCAATAGGAGCGAGGATATACGATTTATATCTCGAGCCTTTTGTCGGAATTGGACGACCTGTGTCCCTATCTGCTCTTCGGCTCATCTCCGACAAGGAGGATATCACTTCGTAGGATCGTCACTAGCTACAAAAAGATCGACCTTCCCTGGAAGACACAGATAGGGATGTAACCCAGAACGGACTTTCCTCCGATCGATCATGTGGGAGGGTGCGGTATGTGCCGACCAGCTCGAGATAAATTCGACGGGAAAATGGTAATAGGGACAGGGATACCTGCGCCCTTATCTTAATGATATCGTAGACCATGCGAGTCGGTTATAGCCGATATTGGCTCATGTATCTACAAAACACGATATTCCTACAGAAAATAGTTCGATTTCGAGACGATGTCACTGTTAGGCATAAAATTTAAATATATATAGCTTCAGCAATCTAGATTCCTATAACTAGATACAGACATCTGGTTCTCCCTTATTGGCTCTTGAGCAATGGGTTCTACACATGACCGAAAGGATGTTATGCCACTTGCTACTCCCTTCATTTCCCATCTGGACGGTGGCTTTTTCGACAGAAACGACCGCGATGTCGATGTCGCAGCGAAGATATTGGCTGCAGCACGAGACGAAAGACCTGTCACTGAAGAAGAGATGGAAGCAGTGAGACGAAAGATCGACTGGCATATGGTTCCGATGCTATTCGTTTGTTACCAGTTATCGGGCTGGGATAAAGTTATGTGAGTATCTAGATCTGAAATTGACCTGGTGTAGAATATCCTTACTGAGCAAGACAATGGATAGTGTCGGGACTGCTGCTATATATGGACTAAAAGAGGACCTTGGATTGACCGGCTACCAATATAGCTGGGTAGGATCTATTATGTACATCGGTATGACATGTCAGAATTATGATAGCACAGTTCGTGTATCTGGTGCTAACTTACTGGATTAGCATTCCTCATTGGTATATTCCCAACACTATGGCTCCTCCAACGCCTTCCGACTGGAAAGTATTTGGCCGTAAACATTTTTCTCTGGGGAGTAGTAGAAATGTGTCATGCAGCATGTACTAACCCTGCGGGTATCCTTGTTTGTCGCTTTTTCCTGGGTCTGTTTCAATGCTGTGATCTTCCAGCAATGATAATTATCGCCACTATGTGGTGGAAAAAGTCCGAGCAACCGGTCAGAAACGCCATCATATGCTCTGTAACTTCATCCATCGGAAACGGATTGATCTCATTTGGGTTTGGCCACCTTAGACACAGCGCAATCGCAGTGTGGAAGTATATATTCCTTTCAGTTGGTGCATTTACCGTGCTGTATGGCGCGCTGATGTTCTTCGTACTACCGGACAGCCCTGCAGATGCTAAATGGCTTTCAGACAGGGAAAAGGTGGTAGCTGTGGAGAGACTAAGGGATGAGAAGCTGGGGATGGAAAACAAGACATGGAAGTGGCCCCAGGCATACGAGGCCGTTACAGACTGGAAGAACTGGATTCTGTGGTTCTTCTTCATTTCTGTCAATATCCCAAATGGGGGTCTCATCGCGGTATGTTGAACGCAGAGTACGTTCTCATATGGTGAGAGGACTGACAATATTCTAGTTCAGTACAATAATTATCAATAGCCTTGGATTTAGCGCTTTGGACTCTTCTTTGATGACCATCCCTACAGGTAAGTTTCTTCGTTCTCGTTCCACTTGCGTACGAAACTTATAAGATTTAGGAGTCATATCGACTATCAGCGGTATTTTCTTCAGCTACTTCGTGGGAAGAACCCGAAAATACCGCTCCTTGGTCACTGTTTCGAGTTTGATCATCCCGTTAGTCGGGACTATCGTCGTTTATGGTATCTCTCTCGACATTGCATACCATTATAATTCATCAAACCTCAACTGGAATCATGCTGATAGATATAAAAATAAAGTACTCCCGAGAAGCAATGCCGCTGGCCAACTAGTTGGGCTTTATATGCTCTACGTTTACTGGGCACCATACGTCTGTGGTCTTGCCATGTTCCAGGCAAATACAGCAGGTCACACGAAGAAGACAACCGTAAACGCAATGGACTACGTCGCATATGCTGTCGGTAATATTATTGGTAAAGCCTTCTTTATAGTTCCATGTGATATGCAAGACCTTCAACTGATTTCTTTTTTAGGACCCCAGACCTTCCTCGAAGACCAAGCACCGAAGTATATTGGAGCGACAGTCGCAATGCTGCTGTGCTACGCAGTATGCATAGTCCTTGCTCTAGCTTACGGTATCGTATGCAGAATGCAAAATGCGAAGAGAGAAAAATCATGCGCGTCCATATCAGAAGACGCTATTGATGAGCATTCAGCGGATTTCTTGGATTTTACAGACAAGCAGAATGTAACGTTTAGGTATACAACTTAAGTGTGGGAATTGGAAGGTCGTGTGGCAGTATCTATCTCAATAACATATAAGAATCTTCGATTCGCTCCCATGATTCCGACTCGTTTTATAAGGGCTACGTAATGTCTGCGAGGCAGTAATAACATAGAGTTGGTTCTGTAGTCCATAATAATTTATCACCGGTTATATAGATCGCAGGAACATATAAAGACTACAGAAACACTAGTGTGATGTTCAAGAGGTCAGGACAGACGTTGCTTTAGTGCCATTCAATATTCGACATGATGAGATCAGACTTTTCAGCAGACGCTGGACAGGAACCTTGTAGTGTGATCTATTATTGGGCGTCGTCCTTTAGTTCTGGCGACATCCCTCAATTCTTTCCATAATACACTCCACCGATTTTATTTTCGCTATCCCCATTGATAAGATGTGAGTCGGAATACTTATATAAGGATAGGATATTATATTTCCTCAGCAAGTAACTAGCAAGATCCATTTATTACTGAGACAAGACAACTAACTACTATCCATATCCATAAACAGACAGCATTATATATAGCCTTTCCAAACTACTAGAAACTAACAGGCCCATTTCATATTCTATGTAGTTACATCCAACAAGTCATAACTAAGCCCATCTCCAGTGCGACAACATTCCTAAGCCCAATCATCAACAAAACCTTCTGTAAATCCGGGGAAACAGGGGATGGACACCGTGACGTAGATAAAGTCTGTAGATCGCGAGCACTTTTACGGAGTATTTATTCCAGGGAAAAAAACAAGATTCCGTTCCCAGGAGGCTGGTAACTTACGCTTAGAACCAGGTTAGGGATCGGATCCCTTACATGTATGGTACCCGCAATCCCGCGTCTAATCTCGATGGTCTTTTGGATAGAGGGTCAAAATTAGATAGATGTGGAATGTTTGTACCCACTGCGCGATCTTTGGAGCGCGGATAAGAATGGGTACGGCGTGGAAGATCAGGATCGTATTTCGGTACACCCACTATTTAGAGCATGTCGAGTCAAGGAAAGAAAAATAGGAGTGCTATATCTTTTGCCTTCAATATCAGCGCATTTTTATTCAGATAATGACAGCTAGGATATCTACAATCTGGAATTCGATTTTGGGGCACGTGCTCACAACTAGTCAGAAACAAAGGACAGGGATAATCGGATTCAACCCTTGACGGGCACGATGCGCGGGGCAGTAATGGTCGTGTGATCGGTCTACTGCATATTATCCCTACTACGCGTGTGATAAGATAAGAGGGGATGGTATGGGCAAGCCAGATGGAGGTTGGTGTAGTCAGTCTCATCCGAAGTAAGACCTGTAAAGGGGGAAAACACTTGATACTTATCGTACAGCGACATCGGATGAACACCGTGGGGCGGGGGAACAGGGATGACCTGGGCGGTACCTGGGACGATGCCACTAGATCGGATGAGACGGGAACAGGTACTTGAACGTTCGGATAAAAATCAAAAAAAGGAAATTATTCTAGTAAATTAATGGAGGTATCTAGTTGTCAACGCTTGAATATATGGAAGAGATCCCGAACAGAACAAAACGCCATCTTCTCAACGCCTTTCCCTGTAATATGCCGCTACCGATGATAGGAAAGCTTGAGATGAGGCATGGGCGTCTCTCAACCTGGGAATGAAAGAAAACTGCAGATGCCAACCCATGAGCAAAACCTGATGAGGGACAGGTGGTATCTGCGGAACGACATGGAGTTATTGTATGCATGCCCGATCCGTATGCGCCTCCCGCTATGCAATTGAAATGGAAACATCGCCCATGGACTAACTGTCGAGAATTACCGACCGAGGACGCAACGGTAGCTGCGAAATAACTACTGACCACCCCTCTGGACGTGAGGACCTGCGGAGTAGCATCAGTTAAGAGCTCTCCTCTTCGTCCTCACTGTCGAAGTTCATTTCCTCATCAGAGTCGCTGCCGCCAAACACATCGTCGTCGTCGCTGTCAGCCCAGAAGTCGAGATCATCCGTCTTCTCGACGGGACGCTTCATGGTAGATTCGTGGGTCGGCATGACGAAGCCCTCCGGGATGTCCTTCTTAGACGCCTCCACGTTCTCCCTCACGATCTCCTTGTATTTCTCGGGCTCACGCCGCAACATCACTCCGGCATCCACGTTCGCCGGCGAAGACACTTCTGCATCATCCAGGAGCGACAAGATGGATATCAGCACCGACTCCACCCGCTGCGCTGGCGACCACCGTTCTGCGGCCAATTCACCCGACATTTCATCCTCACCTGGAGCATGAAGGATCGATATGCACAGCTTGCCGTCCTCGTAGATGTTCGGGTGGTAAAGGGGGCGCAGGAACCGGAATTCTAGAGTTACCCTTGTCAGCGTGCGACCTCACCGGTTGATCCTAGAGCGTAGTTCCTTACCTGGTGGTGAGTACGGGTAGTTGTTGGGAAAAGTCATCTTGGCTTTGAAGTAACCGCCATAGTACAGAGAATCCGGGTTGAGGACAATAAGTCCAATGTTCCAGTTGAAGATGTCATCCTCGTTCAACTAATAACCCCGCCGTGTTAGCATAACCGACTCTTTGTGTTCCTCGAAGTTCCTAACAGGAGGGATAGACATGACGGACCTCAATATTGACCCATTTCTCTTGTGCCAAAGACTTATACTCGTTCATGAGTATCCGTTCAGCCATGGCTGCTCCGCACGTATTCTAGTTCCCCGCTGCGTGGCTGACCAGGGAGCGGAATGTGACCGATTCAGGCACAGACTTCCGTTGAGACCAACGGCTGGTACGAATTATTTGCCCTGACAGCAGCACAGTAGCCCTCGAAGTGGCTGGGAGAACAGAATGGGGGGGGGGGGAAGTGGGAAGTGTTGCAGTGAGTGAATGCGTTAGTGGCGATAGGAACGCAGCTATGTTATCTTAGAAAAGCCCGGATGGGCAGGAGGCCCTTATTTAGTGGCGATGGGGGGTGGAGCGGTGAGAGTCACGGACAAAGGGCTTAGCAGATCATCCGGCCCTTTCTTTCACCGTTCATTAATCAATAATAATAATTAATACCTTTTGCAACCAGATGATGAACAGGACAAATCATCATTATTTCTCCCCAACAACTGAACCATCGGGAACCCACAGAGCCTCCGCTCCTATTGAGATGTATGCTCTCTGCAGACTTTGCTCCCATCGGTCGCCACCGCTGAGTAGAGACTTTCTCTTGCCGGGAGCGTTGCAGAGTACGGAGTATTATTTTTAGTCGCGCAAGCCTCCATTACTGTATGTGGACTCCGACCAGATGAACCATTAAACGGCCCGTTCCCACCCGAAGACCTCAAAGGAAGAATGTCTTGCGCCATTGACGTGACGGGGCCTTGCGTCGGACGATTGCTCTTGAAACCCTCATTGCAAAATACTCGTAGGTAGTCGATGGCATCACGGGGGATAGAACGCCCTGCAAAAGAAGACGAAGAGAGTCGGTTTGAGTCGTTATCGCCTATCATCAACGACACGCCCTCAGCTCTAGTCTAGCCCAACATCGATCGTCCTTCCAACGGGTCCCCTTGATGCCAGAGTCGTAGTGTACAGTACTTAGCGTCGCTAAGCGAAGTCTCTGGCTGGGGGAACTTTTTGTACTGACGGCGTCTCCGGCTTCCCCGGTCGACTGATAGAGCATAGAGGATTAGTAGTGGTGGGGTAGTTGTTAGCTAGCAGGTTCTGCTGCTCAGCCAGAAACGCCCTGGAGAATGTATGTATGTACTTAAACTATCTATCGGAGATCCATAGAGTCATAGTTAGTCTCGCGCGGTCTGGAGCAGAACCATTGCCCTTGGGAGCAAATACAGTCATAATAGGTATCAACCTGTCCTTTTCTCTGGTAGACTAGCATAGAGCTAGCATTATTAGCAGATACGGGATCGTAGAATCCTACTGCGGACCCCTTCATAGCGGTGGAGTTGAGAAAGAAAAAAAAGAGAGACACAGTTGGGTCGCTCGTGACGCCCTTCGGTTGCCCGTCGATCCTGCTTGTAGTCTCGACCTTGGCCGCTCCATTATTCCTGCGCGTCACTCCAACTTCTCCCCCATCGTTTCTCTTCTTTTCACACCATCCAATCCCAACAGGTGCGATTTTCAACTGCTCGATCGTCGTGCGGTTGATCAGACTGACGCTCCGCGACTCCTCCACAGTCCTGCCATGCCAGTTCTGTCCGGGGTGTCCGTTGCGGAAGGTAGTTGGCAATAACGCCGCTTACTGGTTGAGACGGTCTTCACTGGAGGGTCTGTAACACCAACGACTCGATGCCAGAGGAGTAGCTGGGAAAACTTCAATTTCCTGCTCGTACTCTGTCGCCATCTGTGTTGCCCGCAATGGTATCGCAATGTCATGGCCCCGTCTGGGTCATTGACGACCTTAGCCGTTGCTTTCAGCGCAAGTAAGTGACCTCATCCTGCATCTTTGCGTCGCATAAGAACCAAGGGAGCTCTAACATCTAATGGCAGCTATCTGCAAACTATCTTTCCTTTGACGGCCTGCGGAATCTCCTTATTTTTCCTTCTCGCCCAGTTCGTGTACCGCCGTTTTTCGTCATCGAAAGGGTTCGCATACACACCAATCGCAAACGGTGCAGTCCCAGAGACCAGCCATGATGGTGAGGAGGAGGAACCGGTGCTGCGGAAGGCGGAGCGAGACTCGGATGTACACTACGAATTGGATCGTCCGCGGGGAGAGCTGACCTTCGTGGCTTTGGAAGCGATCGCTTTGACCGGAGAAGTCGCCATCAGCATCGCAGCTCTTAGTACTCATGGGTGGGGACGTCATGGCACCGTGCCAGCCATAGCCAGACTGGTCTCATGGTCTTATTTGTTATTTTTGGTCTCGCTGAGGTTTTTGCTCTCCGCGCTGAATCTTCGTTCATTCCCAAGGATCTGGAACCATACCGCCATCCTCTACGGCATCCAGTGGCTCTTGACCGTCAGCGTGTTCCGATCGGCCATTATCCATCCGCTGTCCAAACGCGCAGTTATCCTTACATCTACAGAGTTCGCTCTATCAACAGTTTTATTGTTAATCGCCTTGACCACGCGAAGAGGAAACAAGAGTGTTTTGGTTCAATATGAAGATGGACTCGAGCCGCCAAGGGATCCGAGGGCGAGCTTGCTCTCGCTGGCTACCTTTTCATGGCTGGACCCGCTCGTGCTGAAGGGATACAGGAGGGCGCTGGAACTCGAGGACGTATGGAACCTGACAGTTGGGCAGCAGGCGGCTACGGTACTCGAAGACTTCCGTCGTGCCGGGAGGACAACAGCACTTGTCTGGAGACTGTTAGCCTACTTCCGCAGAATGCTATTGCTGCAAGGAGCGTGGACGATATTCTCCAACCTGTTCACATTTATGCCGACTCTGCTTTTGAAGGCGATCCTTGAATACGTGGAAGATCCACGCTCGACCCCACGCAATGCGGCTTGGCTCTACGCCATTCTGCTCTTCTGCTCGGGTGCTGTACAAGGTACGGCCGACGGACAGGCTCTCTGGATCGGGCGAAAGCTGGGTGTGAAGCTGCGAGCGATCATTATCGGTGAGATCTATTCCAAAGCGCTGCGCCGGAAGGCGGGTGTGTCCCCTGACGCGCCGCAGAAGAAGGAAAATGAGCCACAAAAGTTGAAGAAAAAGATCCTCTCTTTTGGGCGAAAGAAGAAAGCCGATGTCAAGACGGATAGTGAACTTGTGAAGAAGGCCGAAGACGTCGCGCAAGCCAACGTGGGGACTATCATCAACCTGATGGCGATCGATTCTTTCAAGGTCAGTGAGGTAGGCGCTTACCTGCACTTCTTGTGGGCTAGTGTCCCCGTACAGGTTATTATGGCGGTGGTTCTGTTGTATCGGATCCTCGGGTTTAGCTCCTTCGCCGGCATCGCATTGATGGTCCTGATTCTTCCCGTAAACGTCTACATCGCGCGCATGTTCAGACAGGTCCAGAATAAGATCTTGGCGAGTACGGATGCCCGAATTCACTCCACCAACGAAGTCCTCCAGAACATACGAATCATCAAGTACTTCGCCTGGGAGCAACGGTTCGAGGATATCGTCAACGAGAAGAGGAGAGCGGAACTCAAGGCCCTACGCCGACGTTACATTATTTGGTCTATTGCTGCGACTGTATGGTACGGGACACCAATCCTGATCACATTCACCTCATTCTTCCTCTACACCGTTGTCGAAAAGAAGCGCTTGACTCCGTCGATTGCTTTCCCGGCTCTGTCGATGTTCTCCCTGCTTCGTGTCCCATTGGATCAGCTCGCCGATATGGTCGCCCACGTGCAGGAATCCAAGGTCTCGATTGACAGAGTAGAGAAATATCTCAATGAGGACGAAACTGAAAAGTACGACCAGCTCCGTGACAGTGTGGAAGGGCCGCCTAAGATCGCCTTGGAACGAGCCACGCTAACCTGGGCCGCTCCGAAGAAAGACTCCCATGACCGCTCGGGTGAGAACATCGCAGACTCTTTCCGTTTGATCAACCTGGATGTTTCTTTCCAAATTGGAAAGCTCAACGTGATTGCGGGCCCAACTGGATCAGGGAAGACATCACTACTGATGGCTCTGTTGGGAGAGATGAATCTCATCGAAGGAAAGGTCTATCTGCCAGGTGGTGGTCGCAGTCGCGCAGAGATCCCGTTAGACCCCGAGACATTGCTCACAGAGAGTGTTGCGTATTGTGCTCAGGAACCGTGGTTGGTCAATGACACTATTAAAGAGAACATTGTTTTCGCGTCACCTTTCGACAAGCGACGCTACAATTCTGTGATCAAAGCATGTGCCCTCGAACGTGATCTTTCTATTCTAGATGCTGGAGACCAGACGCTCGTCGGTGAGAAGGGAATCAGTCTCTCTGGCGGACAGAAGCAGAGGATATCATTAGCTCGTGCCATGTATAGTAGAGCCAGGCACCTTCTTCTAGACGATTGTCTGAGTGCTGTCGACTCTCACACCGCTAAACACATATTCCAGGAGGCAATAATGGGGCCACTGATGTTCAACCGGACTTGCGTGCTCGTTACGCACAATGTTGCCTTGACTGCCCCCCAAGCTGATCATGTTGTTGTTCTTGATAACGGCAGAATCTCGGTGCAGGGTCCACCGGATGAAGTGGCAGCCTCCGGAGCTCTCGGAGAAGACCTTCTCAAGTCAAGGCCAACTTCAAGAGGCGGCTCTCATCTGTCATCGCGGGTCCCGTCCAATCTTGAGGAGCAGTTAGAGCATGCCAATGGTGAACACGAACCGAATGGTGATGCAGATGGTACAGCAAATGGCTCAGCATCGAAGGCAGGAAAGTCTGCTTTGACGGAGTCGAAGGCTGTTGGCAGTGTCAAGATGTCAACAATTAAGATGTATCTTGACTCCATGGGCCCCTGGTATTTCTGGATTATCGCTGTCGCCGTCTTCTGTGCCCAGCAGCTCGGCTCTGTGTCCACCAATATCTGGATCAGACAGTGGGCGAACGCGTACCACAATGAGAAGGCCGAGCCGGATGCTGCTGGCACATATGCCGCCGTTGCGAACTTCAAGTTCCCGTCTTTCATCTCTGGGAGTGTGCCACGAACAACGTCATGGGGTGCACACCAGCTCAATATGAATTCTAACGGCTCAACTGATGGCAATGTTAACGTCTCGTACTACCTTGGGGTCTATGCACTTCTGGGTATCGCATACGTGATCATCTCCATGACTAGGGAGGCCGTCCTGTTCTGGGGTTCGTTGCATGCATCGTGGAAGATACATGGGCGTCTCCTCAAGGCTGTTCTTCACGCTAAGTTCCGATTCTTCGATTCTACACCCTTGGGCCAACTGATGAATCGATTTTCAAAGGACGTGGAGGCCGTGGATCAGGAGGTCGCCCCTGTCGCAATCGGCATGCTTCACTGCATGGCCTCAGTGATCATGATTGTGATCCTCATTTCCGTCATCACGCCGGGGTTTCTGATAGCAGGCATCTTTATCACTATGGTATATGCAGCGCTTGGAGCGGTCTACTTAAACTCCTCCCGGGATTTGAAGAGACTTGAATCGGTGCAACGGAGCCCTCTGTACCAACAGTTTGGCGAGACTCTGCATGGAATTGTCACTATTCGTGCATACGGGGATGAACAACGTTTCATTCTGGACAACCATCGCCGTATAAATTCATACAATCGTCCTCACCTGTATCTATGGGCTTGCAACCGTTGGCTCGCATACCGCGTTGACATGACAGGTGCCCTGGTCTCTTTCTTCTCAGCGACATTTGTGATCCTGAGTGTCGGCAAGATTGACGCAGGAGCGGCTGGTCTGTCACTGACATACGCCGTTACCTTCACGGAGAATATACTTTGGCTCGTCCGACTTTATGCAGAAGCTCAGCAGAACATGAACTCGGTTGAACGTGTTAAGGAATACCTCGAGGTGGACCAAGAGGCAGACGCGGTCATTCCTGACTCCCGTCCACCACCTGGCTGGCCGACTAGGGGTTCTCTGCAGTTCATTGACTACACTACGCGGTACAGACCAGACCTTGACCCGGTGCTCAAAAACGTCACTTTCACGGTCCAGGCAGGCGAAAAGGTGGGGATCGTTGGTCGCACTGGCGCTGGTAAGAGTTCTCTTGCTCTTGCTCTTTTCCGCGGTCTTGAAGCCGAGAAAGGGCAAATTATCATCGATGATGTGGATATTGGGAAGATCGGCCTGCAGGATCTGCGCGAGGCAATCACCATTGTCCCTCAAGATCCCACTCTTTTCACGGGAACCATCCGTAGCAATCTTGATCCCTTCGGTCTGTTCACGGACGAGCAGATTCTCACGGCGTTACGCCGGGTGCACCTGCTCGGCTCTGATACATCAGGGTCAGCAACACCGACGACCAGCAATTTGTCCGAGGCCGAGACCGCCTCTCCTACACCCAACGGAAGTGACGGTACTGCTGCTGTGTTTCAAGACAATAAGAACATATTCCGCAACCTGGAGACCCCGGTGTCAGAGTCTGGTTCTAACCTCTCTCAAGGCCAGCGTCAGCTGCTTTGCATGGCCCGAGCTCTTCTGAAGAACCCGCGGATTTTGATGATGGACGAAGCAACAGCGTCCATCGATTATGCCACCGATGCCAAGATTCAAGAAACTCTTCGAGAACTAAAGGACAGCACTATCATTACCATCGCTCATCGTCTACAGACGATCATTGATTATGATAAAGTACTCGTGTTGGACCATGGTGAGGTCGTCGAGTTCGATCACCCGTGGACGTTGATCAGCAAGGAAGGAGGTAGCTTCCGTGGCATGTGTGAAAACAGTGGTAACATGGATGTCCTTCTGGACGGTGCAAAGAAGGCCTGGGATCAGAAGAGGCTTGTTGATGATTCTTAGATGCACTGCATATTCCCTGAATATACCGTACCATCGTTTATACGCGTCTACGCCTGCTGCGTCTGTGTGCGGGTACGATGACCTTTTAGTTTCATGACGTTCTTCGTTTCCTTTTTGAATGTCTATTTCTGGGAGGCTGTTTGATTTTTAGCTTGTTATTCCTAGCCGCCCATTGGCGCACCCTCGGACGCTTGGTCGATTCATGTCTAATCTTTTTCCAACTCTAGCAGGGACGTTGTTTGAGGCCAGTATACTTCCCGGCTTTATCACCGGAACTTTCGCCACCGCCAGACATGTCTTATATAGATTGATAGACCAGAGCTGATAAGGGAAAAGTCAATAGTAATGAGAGTTCCATTCTTCTAACCATGACATCCCTACGGATTTGCTATGATATTGACCCCTATGCCCATTCTCTTCGGCCATTTCACCCCTCGATAGTATTTACCGCTCGCCGAATCATGCACACATAGATAAGATTTCATCAAATCTTCCCTTTAACCAAAAACTTCTTCGGCAGCGGCACATATCTCGCACGCAAATACTCAGCCACATTCTTCCCCAAAATATCATATGTACTCGTACTATTCACACCACGATCCAAATGTCCATTTAACACGAAATGAACACCGCGCAGGCCAGGAAACTCAACCCGTTCAATTCGACTCCCTGGTTTATACTCCGCTCCCAATAGCTCCTGGATCCGGCGAACCGTTAGAAAACTACAAAGCCAGGTATATTCTTCGTCGTCTCGGGCCCAGAAGCCGACGTTGGCGTTGGAGCCTTTATCGCCGGAGCGGGCGTGGACGATCCATCCGATTGGACCTGGGATTGTCTCGCCGAAGCTGCTTATGTCGGGGGGGTTGAGGGGGTCGTGGCTTTTTTGTTCTGGTGGGTAGGTTTGTGTGAGAGGAGGGGGTGGGATAGGGTGTGGTTGTCCGTTGATGTGGACTGTGTGGTTTAGTTTGTTCTGTGGGATGAGTGTAACGTGGTATTCACTGTATGGTTGGGGGAGTGCGGATGCGAGGGACTTTGATAATGAGATAGATGTTAGCATTGTCTGTGGGATGAATGAGTGAAAGGGTTTAGTTTAGTTTAGAGAGGTGTGTGTGTGTGTGTGTGTTCATACCGGTTGCATTGTTGCTCCGGGATATCTAGAATGTAGTTCATCAGTATTGACTTCGAATGCTATAGACTAAGTAAGTAAGGGCCGGGACTCACGAGCACATGATCACATTCAGTATTGGCTGCAAGAAGAACTCTGGCGATAGAGCTTCTCTCGACGCAGCTTGTGCAAATACTCTAAAATCGACTGTAGCCGCATTCTGTGAGTCTGGGTTTTCGGGACACACGCCATAGGTATCGAACTTGAGCAGAGAGATACGCGATATGGCTTCTTGTCCTAGACTGGTCAAGATATTGGCTTTGAGCAGCTCTCCCTTTTCAGCAATGTCTAGGCCAACTAATGACCAGTGGATTTCGGCTTTGTATCGTCGTTTCCCGGTAAGGCCGACCTTTGTCGTTGGTGGAGGTGGTAGGGCACCAATTCCCTGGACGCGGACTTGATCGAGGCCGAGTTGTGTTAGGGATATATTGTCAAGTCGGGCTGTGACGTCTGAGTTGAAGTAGCTTTTTCCATAGGTTAGAAATTGGATTGGGAATGTTTCTTCTGTTAGGGCAAGTATTCATACAGAGGGCCTTGGATCTCGTAGAGAAGCTGTGCCGTGACGGTATCTGTAGTTACGTGTCCCCCTGTTTTTGCCAATTTAGTGATGATGATATCTCCATCATGGCTGATTTCCGCGATGGGGAAGCCTAGGTTTCCTAGACCTGGAACAGACTTGAAGCCTGAGAAGTTCCCCCCCGTCACGTAAGTGGAACATTCGATCAGATGGCCGGCCACAAGGCTAGAAGCGAGTTGCTGATGCTGATCGCGCGTCCATCCATGCCACCAGTTTGCCGCTCCTACTACAAGACTGGCGTCTGCGACACGGCCACAAATGACAATATCGGCACCTTGACGAAGCCCCTCGGAGATCCCAGCAGCTCCCAAGTAAGCCTGGGCGTAGACGATGTCCTCTGGTAGGGACCGGAGAGGTTCATGTGTCTCGAGACTGTAGAGCACCGGCTCTCCGCGTCTCAGGCCATCGCGAATCTGGTCGATAACTTCGTCCCCAGTGACCCAGGCTGTGTTGAGACTCAGGCCTTGTTTCTGAACGACCTCAGATACTGCGACGGAGAGAGCCTCTGGATCACTAGCGCCAGCGTTCACAACTACCTTGATTCCCTTTCGGGCGATTGTCGGTAGGGAGCTCGCAATAGATGGTAGGAATGACTTTTCATATCCAGGATCTCCCTGCCCGTCGTCTGTGGGGACCAGTTAACATCGTTTCTCGAGTTGTGGAGTTGCAGTAGGTCTATTTACTTACCTGTTCGGCCCAACTTGCGAAAAGCAGCAGAGACCATATTCCCCTCAGACATCCAGTCACCAATGATGACATCAATTTGCTCTTCAGCTTCTGCTGCCATTTTGAATCCATGACGCCGGTCCAGCACAGAGCCGCTTACTCCCTAGCGTAATATGGTCAGAATGTCGTGGCAATGAAATACAGAGGGGAGTTCATCGACGAACACATATTCTCACGGGTCGCTTCACGATCGACGCGGACATTCTGGAGGTTCAAAATCTATGTCGTTCGGTATAAGTTGAATATCCGGGCTTGTTTTCGACCGCGTCTTTAGTTTTTTTGTTTGAAATTGATAGCTGTATTGAACTTGTAGCATTTAGTTATAGGACTGTGAATGTTGTTGATCTCAATTGAGTTACTTGTTACCCCATGTGAGTACGCGGACCTCGGTTGCCCGCACGGAAGGATAGCCTCGGAGAGCGTACATACCTGTATTAACTGCGAGTCGACTCTCACTATATACAATATATCAAATCCCCAATATCTTGGAAACCTGGTCATCACTGATTTCCGATCCAGCAAAGTCATCGAAGCTCGATTCCGCAACAGGGAATATGTGGCTTGCTATAAACTTAGCCCCCTCTTCAGCGCAGGTCATCTTGTTCTTAAATGCACATTCAGACTCCAAAACGGCCCATCCGCTATAGCTGTTCTTTATCAGTCTTGTGAAAATGCCTCTGAAATCTACCTGGCCATCTCCGAGAGCCCTGAACCGACCGGCTCGTTCTGTCCAGGAACTGAATCCACCATAGACACCTTGGCGTGCGTCTGGCAGAAACTCTGCGTCCTTGACATGGAAGATTTTGATGCGGTCGTGATACAAATCGAGAAAGCCAAGGTAATCGAGCTGCTGCAGTACGAAATGGCTAGGGTCGTAAAGGATACAGGCTCGTCGATGCCCACCAACTGCTGCGAGGAATCGCTCGAAAGAGACTCCATCATGGAGGTCCTCTCCCGGGTGGATTTCATAGCAGAGATCAACGCCCGCTTCATCGAACGCATCAAGGATCGGCTTCCAGCGAGCCGCAAGTTCGCTGAACCCTTTCTCAACCAATGCCTCCGGCCGCTGTGGCCAGGGATACATATATGGCCATAAGAGTGATCCGCTGAATGTGGCATGAGCTGTCAATCCGAGGTTTTTGGAAGCCTTGGCTGCTGAAAAGAGAATCTTTCGAGCCCACTCTTCCCGTCGCGGGGGGTTTCCGCGGACATCCTGTGGTGCAAAACCATCGAATAGGATATCATAAGCCGGATGAACAGCGATCAGCTGCCCTTGAAGATGTGTGGATAGCTCTGTCAACTGGATGTTGTGGTGTTTGAGTGTGGCTAACAAATCGTTGCAGTATGCCTGGTCGTTTGCGGCTTTCTCGATATCAATCAACCTGTCGTCGACGGGGATCTGTATTCCTTTGAATCCGAGACTTGCTGCCCATTGAGCAATTCCGTCTAGGCTATTGAATGGTGCTTCATCTGAGAGGTATTGCGCCACAAAGATGGCGGGGCCGTTGATTTTCCCGAAGTTGGGCATGGCGGAAGCGGAGATGCTGGAAAAAGCAGAGAGCCGGAAACCAGGCAGAGTGAGTTAGCTGAGAAGAGGGAGAAGCCTCAGAATTATATATCGTTCAAACATACAGTATATGTATGTATGTGCTTTGAATTTAGGCCATAGTTACACGTGGTTATCGCAGTCTGTATTTCTAATACTGTGGGGCTTCCTTTCTTATCTCAGACTTCCCCGCTTGATGTTGTGTAGAGAGAGTGTTTTCATTGTTATGTCGTCCTTGCTGGTGATGTGTAAAGTGAAGTGATCTAGATATAACTCTAAGAAATGGTGTAGCGACAGTTTCTCTTTCGCCTCGAGGGGTGGCTTGCGCACAAAAAGCGAACTTATGGTTACTGCTTCTCTGGGATCGATCTACTCCTGGCCGCTCAAAGGAGCGATGTTGCTATCCTAGCCGAGTCAATCCTCTCTAGCTACTTTGATGTCGTGGATGTGTATATCGGACCGATTAAGATTCTGTCTTATTTCTGCAGAGAACATGCAGCTAACAAATACACTCAAGCATTTCTACTGGGATGGCAGAACCTTTCTTGCAAACTCTTCCAGTTTACCGACGAGTCCCTCCGTCCAGCTGAGATACGGTGCGTGACCAGATGGTGCATAATACATGGTAAAGGGGGGTGTGCCTTTCTGGTTCTGCAGGGCCACCATGCCCTCCTGATATTCTGGGGAAAGAGTCTGGTCTTTCTCAAGAACGAGGTATGCGCAGGGAACAGTTGCATAGGCGTTGTTTGTGAGGCGCACAGGCATCACAGCCCCCGCCGTCAAGGTTGCAGCCCATTTCTTTGCAGACTCTTCGTCAAGGTCATTGAAAAAATACTGGCGCGCATCTGTGACTGTGCCCAGGCCATCAAGACCGTGCTTCTGCAATAAGCGCACAGAACCATTAGCATTGATCAAAAAGGAACGACACTGGAACAGAGACTCACATGGAATCTCATGAATGGCGGAGCGACGACGGGGCGATCCTTGGGTTGGAAGAAGCTATGCACCGATTCTCCAACGGGGATGATAAACGCGCCCATATAGAAAATCCCAACCACGCCGCCTTGTTTTCCTTCAGCTTTGCGAGTGGTTGCTTGTAATTCTGGCTTGGCCGCCTCAGTAGCCACCCAGCCGCCAGACGAGTGGCCAACTAGCAATACCCATTTGCCCTCCTCGTCGATCAACTTTTTCAGAAGTTCGACGATAACCTCTGCATCGTCGGCTTCGGTGGGATAGCCTCCCTCGGGAGGCCCCCGGTCGAAATCGGGATTATTGACATCGCCAACATTGAGCTTGCTGAGGTCGCTGGATGGACGCTGCGGACAGTAGGCCTCGATGCCGCGGGCCCTTATTGCCTGGAGGAAGGCCTCATAGGGGGCAGGCGTGTGGTACGATCCATGGCAGACGACCACAGCCAGATTCGCAAGAGAACTGTCCATGATAATGTCAAGCAACCGGTCGACAACCAACTCGATTTGACTGGTCTGAATGTAGGTGTGCCACTGACAAGGGAGAAAGACACTGGCGCGGGGAGGGGAGCTCAATATATGAGTTTCATTCACCCAGTCCCTGCGCCTTCCTGCTTCCTGCAACGCTGACCTTGAACTAGTTCAGAACAAAGGACCGAGCCTTGGAGGGGCAGACTAGAGTTCGTCTGGTTTGTGCGATGGTTATTAATGGTCAATAGTCAATGATTTGCACCGGGAGGTCTATCTGTCGAGGCAGAAGGGCATGGCCTGGATACAGACAAAGAACTTCACCCCATGCATGTGGCTCCTGTGACTATCAGAAGCACTCGAGGCTTGTGAGGGGTTCTGATCTGATGTCCTGACACTTGGCCCACCTGGCAAGAAACTAAGCAGGGATTCAAATTCAAAATCTCACTCCGCATGCAGACACAGTTTGGGGCTGAATTATGGAGGAGAAACAGTTCCTGTCATCAAACCCACAGAAACACATCACAGCGTCAGGTTGCTCTATGTGAGTCATTGGCCCCCACACTCGCTGAAGTCTCAGTCAGTTCGTCTCGACGAGTACACAATTGATCCAACGCATGGGCCATACTCTATATAGACGACTCAAAGACCAACTAGCCAGGATGTGGACTCGATTATGGGCGGCGCCTACTGCTATCAGATTCGCATATTGCTACAGACTGGGACAGGATCTGTCTCTGATTGTTGGAACCAGCACAGTATAGTATATACAACACAAGAGCAGGGGTGAAAAAAAGAAAGACAGAAAAAAAGAAAAAGAATCATTCCCATTTTTACACGCTATACTGAACTTCTTGGGATTTCCATTGTCAGCGGCTGTAGGTCTATGCTCGAGACATCCAAGTCCCTTGTCACGACTATTTCACAGGGACCTCGCCCGCCTCCCGGCTTACCCGGCTCAATGTGCGCGCCTGGGCCTATCTTGTTTGGGCCTTGCATCCCAGGTGATTTGATCGCAAAATCGTCGTCAAACGAGAACTCGCCCGGTGGAATAGGTCGGTCGCGGCGGCGTTTTGATCCAATGGTTGGGGGTGCGTCGTCGTATCGCGGTAAACTCTTGTCATTTTTGCGTCGGAATAGTACTGACCCAAAGGTCGGAACACAAGCAACAAGGATCCCCGCGGTCATCTCGGCGATGACAAGAATCGAGCTGTCCCGCGCACAATACGTGAGATCGTCAGAAGGGCAGACCTTGGTCTGAATCGCCCGGCCAAGGTTGATGCCCGCCGTTCTGTATCGCTTGGGATTAATCCAGACGGTCCATCGTGCGAGTAGGACAGCAAAGAATACGTACATAATTCCTAGCGCGAAGGTGCCCGTGACGCCCAACTTCTTGCGGTTTGCCATGTGCAGGCGCCATACCATGGGCAATGGCAAGGAGACGACCCACAAGTCGATTCCCATGTTAAACCCAGCTGATGCATATTCAGTTAAGACGACCTCTCCACAAACACCATGGATCGTTCGGTCCCAGTTATAGGAAATAGGCCGGCACAGAAGCGCGATGGTAAAAACGGTGGCTACCCAATAGAGGAAAACTACAGTGCCGGTCCCCATCGCGACCCAGTAGAAGGTAGTTATTTGGAAGATTTCAACGTAGAGCGCAATAATGGCCAAACGGAAGGTAGCCACCGCGATCGCCCAGAGCCATTCTGACACAAAGAATATCTGAAATGTCAGCAAGTAAGCCGGCTAATGTGATACACGAGATGATGACTTACTTTGAGGGCAACTGTCAACTTGTCAAGCGGCATATCCGAGACATGGTCGCCATACCCGCCCTCAACAGCTCCTGTGGATGGTCAACAAAGCCTACTACCAGAAAACATGATGGAGAGTCATACCGACGATAACGTCAATTACATATCCTGTCAAGCAGAACTACAACCGTCAAGGCGTCAGTAACGATTTGGAGACCGGAATCGTCCTGGGAAACCTACCAGTGATAGAAAAACGAGATAGTCATGGACTTTGAAGGGCTTTTTGCGAATGTGACTAGAAATGATGCGAAGAATGACAGCGGTTGCGGCCAGGACGAGCAGCACCAGGCTGGCAACAATCAGTGCTGGTCCACGCGAGCCCATGTACGCCATGGTTGCTCTCTTCTTCCTAGACAGAACCTTGCTCCCCGTTTCGAATGAACATGATTCCAGAAAGTCGACACCATATTATCAGAGATATATCTGTCCGTGAAATGATAATCAAGGTGATCGACTGGGAAAGCGCAGAGTGTTGGGGGCCTGAGTATGCAGTCTGTACACTATGTACAACATCAACTGTGCATAACGGCCCCCACGTAACATCCGGGAATACATGACATTACGTCTCATATCCATGTCAACAGCAGTGTATGCAGCATGCATACACTACGGTTGCACTAGCAATTGATGCTTGAGTGTTGGTCGGAAAGAAGAGATGATGTCTTTAGTTTGGGGGCCATATGCACCCTGCGGCAATCTGCATTAAGAACCCCGGATCAGGAACTATTCTCTGTTTATCTGATGTGCAGAAGCCGATAGCGCAACTTGAGAGCTTAACACCCCTTACCTTTTCGAGTTTCCATTGCGAACATACCGCCGCCATGACCCGGAGCAGATGTATACCAGGAAACCCTGGCGGTTAGTAGGCATTCTATTCTGCGAGTGACGGGGCATATTTAGGAACTGTTGCACCTTCACGGGAGTCTAAGTTCTTATCCATCAACTATACCATCCGCATCTATTCGTTGACTGGTCCCTGAGTTATCCACCATGTCCGACTCGTACGTGGAAGTCATGAGTCGTCACCAAGCTGAAGCTTCTAGACTCGATCAGCAGTTTGATCTGCTCACCAAGTGAGTTCCGTCGGAGGCAGGCCAAATTTCTTCATCGTTACTGATTAGCAACGAGCACAGAAACCTGAGTTACCTTGTGCATCCTGAAATCGCCCAGCGGCTGCCCCCAAATCCTCGGATCGCCGATGTGGGCACTGGCACGGGGATCTTCCTCCACATGTTAGCGCCCGTTTATTCATCCGCCACGCTAGATGGATATGATCTTTCGCCAGCCCTATTCTATCCTCCCTCTAGCCGCCCACCTAACGTCAACCTATCTACCCTGGATGCTCGGCAGCCCGTGCCTCCGGCATTACGTGGCACTTATGACTTAGTGCATGTTCGCTTGATAGCAGCTGGTCTGCAGCCAGATGAATGGAGCAGCGTAGTACAGAACTTGGCACAGCTTTTGAAGCCTGGGGGTGCGATGCAGTGGGAGGAGTGCAATTTCATTGGAGTCCAACACTATCGTGGCCAGCCGGAATCGACAGTCGCAGCGGCACGCTTCATGGGACGTTTGTTCCGGGATGGCCTGCAGACTCGGTTCTCACACGGCTGGTCTACTCTGCCGCAGGATATGAAGGCCGCTGGATTGGAGCAGGTGCAGGAGGACATTGTCAGCTCGGATCGACTCCCGGAAACGCGTAAAGCCCTGACAGCAAACGGAATGACTGCGATATTCTCGTGGGCACGACTCATGGCCTCGAAGGGCGCTCCCGGCGCCTTGAGCTCAGAACGGCTGGACGAACTGGAGCGTCAAGCAGAGGCAGATATCCAGTCGGGTTGCTACGTGAGGTTTGACATTCATGTCTCGTGGGGATTCCTTCCAAATCCGTAAACAAGGAGATCTTCTATACTCAAACTCTGTCATTATAATGCAAGAACCAAGAAACAATCATATTTTATCAAAATTCCTATTCCCGGAAATAGCTATTGAACAAGACCTTTACTTTCTTCATTTCCAACAGGCAAAGTATCCATCCTTCGTGGCACAAAAATGAGATGGAATCGTCCAGGCCGAGCGGTAAGCTGATCCTTCATATCTCTTTCGACTGCTTCTCCACTACCTTCACCGGGAGCAAACTCGATACGATACCGAGCGATCAGGTTGGCAGCAACAAGCCGGATCTGTGCGATGGCGAGGTGTTTTCCGACACAGCTCGTGTGACCTAGTGTTGTTGTTATTAAGAGTTGTTTCGAGGGGGTCATACAAAAGAAGAAGGGAATGAAGAGAATGCGTACCGACTCCAAAGGGAGCAAATGCACGTCTGTCCTTGATCAGTTCTGGCCGACTATACCATCGCTCAGGAATAAAATCATTCGGTTGCTCATAAGCACACTCAACTATTCCAGACAATTAGTCATACAATCTTTGTTCGAAGCAAGCTTCACTCACGTCTTCCAATCGTATAGCGTGGGGCGCAGATTTTAGTATTCCCAGGAATAAAGGTGTTTTCAACGGTGATACCTTCAGGGGGCGTTACTCGAGAACTGAATGTAAGCACCGCTGGCAGAAGGCGCATTGCCTCGTTGATAGTGCCGTTGAGATGCGGCAAGGCCGCCAAGGCATTTGGATCTTCGTGGTCGACGGACATGATCTCCAAGTTGATCTTCTCAACATGCTCTGGATAGCGTGCCAGGAAATAAAACAATATAGAGAGACTGGGGGCAGTTGTGTCACTATCATAGATAAATCAGCTGCTAGCTTTGCTTCAAGTGATCTGTGAGAAGATACTGACCTTCCAGCCACGACGAGAGTGGCAGTATCACCACTAAGCCAGCGATGTCGATTACTATCATGTTCGCGGGTTAAATGATCCTCGATAAACCACGACGCGATATCTTTGCTCTCAACCTTCCGTTTCATCCGTCGTTCCATACACTTGTCACAGAAGGCCAACATTTGGAACCAGTCTCGTACTCTCCAAAGACCAGGAATGAATGCGAACCCCAGCCGTGGAATCCAAATTGCCGGGCTCAAGGGCCCCAATAATGCGAGAGCAGAACGCAGCATGACAATGTTCTGGTGCCAAGCCTTGTTCTTCATCATACCGAAATCTTCACTAAAGGCAAAATCTCCCATGGAATCGAAGGCAAACCAGTACATCAGCTTGTTGATATCCACTGGTCGGGAGTTCTGGGACATAACTAGACTTTCTAGAGTATGAACCTTTTCCCGAACTCTTTCATAGTATTCCATGAGAGCTTGACTCTTTGTGTCAGTACAGGCGTGGTTTTGGCTACTTAGTTACTTAGTCGGGCTGAACACGACTCACCTTTCCTGCTTAATGCCCGCTCCCACAACTTGCGGCGCGAGCTGTGCAGTTTTCGGTCCCGAGTAAAGATAGATGAAATCCGTGGATAGAGAAGATCATACCAGTCGGACCGAGTGTTCTGGTTTCCGGGTCCATCCATCGCCTGGTAGGCTACTGGATGGAAAATTGTGATTTCTGCAGGACCTGTGCTAAGTTTTTAATATCGAAGTTTTATTGAACACTCGACAAATACCATACTCACCTGTACGCACGAAGGTTCCGTAGCTCTTATGCCATTCATCCAAGACATGATGGCCGCGGGAATCACGGCACTTCCAGACGTGCCATAGTTTGGTCAATGCTACTAGTCGTGGACCTGGAAAGTGCCTTAAAGGATGGAAAAATAGACGATAAATCGAGATACTTGAGAGGAGAGAGGCAAGATATAGACAGACGAGAACAGTGGCAGACAAGAGCCCATTCTGTTCGTCTTTCGATATCTCGGTTGTATATATGAATATACCAATAAGAAAATGGACAATGACGACGGCCGGCGCTCTCAAATGCCATTCTCCGTGTATGAAAACAACTTGATGTGCGAGCACACCTAGGGCGGCTGCAAGTACATTATTTCGCAACATTTTTTTCGTACAGTAACTATGGGAACATTAAGATGGATGGTGAGGAGCTCTCTGCTGGTAGAATCTCTAGATATATCGCGGCAATTTTGAGACATTCAACAATCTCTGTCCAATCAGGGCCCCAAAAAACAAGAGCATAAATATTAGGCTTAGGCTCAATAGCTCATACATTCACATTGGAACCTGACTCGTCGATCCTATCCCTGCAGACCGATGCTGCAGATTGGGGGCCCTTTTTCTTAGAATATCCGCCGGCATGTTACCATGTTAGCTGAAAATCGAAAAATAGTGGCTATGTACACCGATCGGCATGATGCATACATTAGTGCGTAGACTGCGGATTGGCAATTGGCAGCTAATGTTGGGTGTCGACTTTTACAAACTAGGGACTTAGTAGGCGCTGAGACGAGCACTGGCGCTATGGTATTCCAAAATATCTGGAACTAAGTCTATCTGGTACCATTGCATATATTATTAGATAAAACGGAAGTTGCTAGCATGGTGCACGGGTATTCTGGTCGTCTCCATTATGTCGGCGCGACGCATTTTGGATTGAGATATCATGGCCGCTAGAGAGGAAAGGACTGGTCAAGGGCTTGTATTCCCTAGGAGAGAGCGAGCTCCAGCTCCAGCAGCTATCTAGCTATAACTATAAGCTGTGCTCTGGGCTAGGCCCCAAAGTGAAGGAGGTAGGCGATTGCCTACTAGGCCATGGGGCCCAAGAACATACAAGAAAATGAATGGCTCAGTGTACTTAGAACCCATTAATAGGCCACCTACCTCCCCCTGTTAAAATAATGAAAAACAACCTTTAGCTCAGAAAATCAATAGGAACGAGCCGCGGCATTCTGACTCTTCTGGACGGCAACATGAGAGAAAAGGTCCGTATACATTATTTTATCGCAGGCGTCAGTCAGAGCCTGATCGGACTGTTCTCCCACTCGCTATACCATTCATATTCTATCTGGCTCTTCACTTTCAGTGACCTCAAGACCATCTTAATCCCGAGTACTATCTTTGGGATCGCAAACTCGTTGGCAGCTCCGAGCTATGGCCTTCCCTCGTTATCACTCCCGCCGACGCTAAAATCCAAACTTTTTTATATTCTTTTACAACAGACCCCCGCTGTTCTTGTTTGGGTCTGGATCAATCTTCTCCCGTTCACGATAAATAACCAGCGCGATATCTCTGCCATTGCTGAGGATTCTGTGAATAAACCTTGGAGACCACTTCCGAGCAAACGCATGACGTCGGGACAAGCAAAGTACACGATGTTGGTCTTCTATGCTGCAGCTCAGACATACAGTCTGTTATTCAGCGGAGGGCTTCGCCAGTCGCTGGGCCTACTCGTCCTCGGCACCTGGTACAACAACATGGGTGGCGCCGACTCAAATCCTCTAGTTCGGAACCTCATCAATGCTCTGGGGTATCTATGCTTCATATCAGGAGCGTTGGAGGTTGCTTTAGGCGGAGGTCCTCTTCCTTTCTATTCCTCCCAACGTCTTTTGCCGTGGCTGCTCGTTGTCGCGGGAATCATCATATCGACAGTCCATACGCAGGATATTTATGATCAGGAAGGCGACGCAGAACGGGGACGTCGCACAGTACCATTGGTGATTGGCGACAGAGCAGCACGATGGAGTATTGCTGTCCCAATGCTAGCATGGGGCCTGTTCTGTCCGATATTCTGGAATGTCCATGTTATATTTGCCAGTGTAAGCTGTGCATTGGCGTGGGCCGTTGCCGCTCGAACACTCCTCTTCCGCAATGTGAGAAGCGATAAGAGAACATTTATTATTTGGAACCTCTGGATTACGACTGTATATGTCATGCCATTATGTGCTAGAGTTGCATAGGAGAACCTAGGGAACTAATGGATACCTGTGAGACCTTCATTCTTCTGTCCATGTCTATGGGAGAAGATGGTTATCCGCTTATCGCAGTCTGTGGTATTATTGACAGGGATGGAATTAGAGGAAGAAGCTCAAATCTGCTAACATAAATTCGGAATTGTCATCTTATGTACTACCTTGAATAGATTTGCAGGATCAACTCAAATTATCTGCCTTCTACAACTTACATAACCTCCCATCTGCCTTCTGTATCCACCTTTCACTACCTACTCCGGTCACTGCGTAGAAGATGTGATCTGGATCATACTTCTCTTTTATTGCGGAGAGGGCCTTGTAGTTCGACCCATAGAAGACCCGTTGCCAGTGTGGCTGGTCAGAATCCGCCTCGTTGAGGTAACCGCCCCCTCCGGGAGTTAATCTTTCGAGGATAGGGAGAAGTTCATTGGTGATTAGATTCCGATCAGCAAGGTCGTGATCCCAGTCAGTGTAACTCCAGGGTCTGCATATGGGAATCAGTCAAGTTCAGAGAATCTTTAAGGAGGGAAAAAAACATACGTCCCAATCACAAGGTCCAGTACAGACTCACGCCAGAAAGGATTTACAGCGTTGTCTGGCGCGTCTTGTCGCGAAACGTTTACTGAGATTCCCGAAAGGACCACACCAGTCTCAGAGGCGAGAATTCTCCGGAAGGCGGTCGTGAGCGCTTCAGCATTCGAATCTATCAGAGAACGTGGAATGAGTCGTCCTCCCATCTGTGCTTCAGTGATATTCGCGACTGGGTTCATCACTTGGTAGCTTTCATAATAAGTCGAGAACTCATCAATGAAATAAGCTGCGAGAATCAGCGATTATCCTTCTATTCAGGAGATTCATTCATGACTTACTGTAGGTGATATTGCTCTTCTCTAATGCTTTGAGGGACGGGCTCAGAAGGTTCTGTAATTCAGCTTTTGTCCCCCCTGGAAGAGTGGTGGGTGTCGTGGAAAACGATGAATTGGTCAACAACCAGATGCTCACCCCGCCAGCATCCAGTATGGGATTGAGACCAGTAACGAATGTCTGCACAGCCTCAAGAAAAGTCTCTTGAGAGACGCCGGTATTAGTAAAAGTCAAGTTTGCTGTCGCCGTCTGAAGTTCTGGGTAGGCTTTGCTAGTCATAGACAAGACAACCCCATATGTTCCACCTCCACCACCCGCCAGGGCCCAGTAAAGGTCCGCATTTTCTGATGGCGATGCTGTCACAAGATCTCCATCTGCTGTGACAACCTCCCATTCCAGTACCTGGTCTGCTGCAAGACCAAACTTGGAGGCGAGTTGACCATGCCCTCCTCCTTGGGAGTAGCCTCCGGCAATGCCTACAGTTTGGCAATTGCCTCCCACCACCACGAGGCTTTGGGCGTGCGCAGCTTCGTTTACCTCAAATATCTGCACGCCGGCTCCCACTTTGACTGCCTTCCCGGTATATGATGGAGACCGGTAATCGAGGAATTCAATATCTTTCATATGATGAGTCCAGATACCGACAGCACCTGCTCCCGTCGATTTCCCGAGATAATCATGGCCTGTATTGCGGATGACAAGGCGAATGTTGTGCCCTTTGACAAAGGCGATCGTCTTTTGGACATCCAATGCGCTACTCGCATTCACTGCATACTGGATATAGGTCCCGATGATGCAGCGTGCTTCTTTAGGAAGGAATGGATCACAGCTCTGGTTCGCGAAGAACGGAGCCATGATCGAAGAGGAGCTTTCATAATGAGTCTCTGGAAATCCCCAGACAGATTGTAACTGGGCGCATTGTGTTTCATTGTACGGCGAAAAACCATCGTTATGGCAGGCGCTGGCGATGGGTATCGTGGCAATCAGTCTGCCTCCAATTGTCTCATTGAATTGCTGCCATTGCTGAATGGTTGGCCAACAGCTGTCGCCCGGAAAACAGCGACATGTCGAATTAGGCGATGTGGAATGCACCGCAAGAACCAGGTTAAGGAAGAGGAGGAGGATTGGCCTCCATACCCGGAAAATTCGCGAAAGCATCTTCGAACTAGGTATATCGCCTAAGGAGTTTTAATGAAGAGACACAACAGCAGGGATTGCGCAGTTATATTTAAAACAATTGTAGCTGCTGTTATCCAGCAGACAACTTCTCCGTGGATTAATAGGTCGCGCCGTTCCTGGCCTCAGCTGAAGGTTGCTGTTTATAGCGCCTATGCATGCGTCTCCGATGGCTCAAGGCCATCTGCAAATGGCAAGTTTCGGCCCCCTCGCTTGTTGAAAGAGCGGAGGGAAATTGGCCCCCAATGGTACGGTATATTCAAGCAGGAAATGCAGTAGAGATGGACCGGCCGAAATGCACATGCATTAGCTTCGTTCATTCGAACAGACCTAGACTAAGTACTTAGCGATCTTAATCACATGCAACTAGCTACAGGAAGATACCCTTTGGTAAGTCTCAGCCTCGATGTCTTCCATTCCATTCTCATCGATTTCGAAGGCGGCAACAAGGGCGGGCATACAACTCGGGAGATGCTTGGGGTAATAATCAAACGTACGGCCTTAATTCTATGCGAAACAATAAAGGCTGCGAAATTCAAAAAGAGGGTCAACACGAAGGAAAATAAGCCTTAACAACTTGTCTTTTGTTGACCGTAGAAAAAGAAGATACTACCAATTTGACTTGACACACTAAGTCATGTGGCCTTTAAGTAAGGCCCTTACCCTTCTCTCCTATTTTGCCTTTAGGCTTTACCCATCTCTTGTAGCCTTTAATAAATACAACAACAACAACAACATGAAAATTTCCTCGAGAAGCAACAATAATGGCAGAAGTTGACAAGGTAAGTACAATACACAGCACAAGCATGATTACAACCTAACCGTCTCATAGCCCACCAAATATAATGTTCGAGAATATGTCTGCCATATATTATCCTCGCCTATCGACGTTCGTTTTGCCCCTTCAATGAGAGACCAAGCCCGACCTATCGTTACTTGTGAAGAAATTCGGAATGGGAGAGACCTGTGCCCCCACAGGGTTAGTGGTCGTAAAATCCTGGAGATTAGCGGGTCTATGATTTTGAAAATGGGGTATGGGGTTTCAATGGGAGAAGCGGAAGCGATGTGCCTTGTCCCGAAAGTTTTGAATGCTTATATGATTGAAGATATTGGGTTTATTTTAATGGAGAGGATGCCAGGTATTCCTCTCGAAGAATGCTGGGATCGTCTGTCTATCGCTGCTCGAAAATCTATCGTGCAGCAGCTCAAAGATTACGTACAGCAATGGCGCAGAATTGAAGGTACTTTCTTTGGGTCTGTGGATGGCGGCCCTTGTGAAGATGTCATATTCAAGCATCCCTGGGGAACCAAGCCCTATCGATACGGCCCGTTCCAAACCAGGAAAGAGTTCAATGCAGGCATTATTCTTGCTCTCCAGAGATCAAGACCAAATGATCGACTGATTGGTAAAAGAGATTGTATCCTAGCGGATAGGATCCTTTCCTCTGGGGAAAATGGCCAAGATGAGAGGAAGACTTTCACCCATGGTGACTTGCATCCCACCAACATCATCATCGACGATGATAAGATAACTGGTATTATTGACTGGGGTGCATCGGGGTACAGTGTCGCTTCAAGGGAACACTTTGGATTGAAATGGGCAACTGATGAGCCATCATGGAGAGAGCTTTCATCTTCGATTCTCGCCTCAGATGAGTATGAGTTCTGGGCGGAAGTAAATAACTCCATGACAGACTACACGGGAATCTGACTAAGTACATACATAACCCAGTACTTCCAACAAGCATCCCAGAAAGAAAACGCGATGAGGGCGCAACATGGTAATGACTCAGTAGGAAGGAAACCTCCGCTCTAGCCCCCACCCTCATCGCGTTCTCGCAAGCAGATCAAACTGTCGGACTGATCCCGAGCAGAAAGTCCTCAATATGCGTTTAGTGTTTGGGAAGGGAAACCGCAGCGGCGGACACAGAAGTCAAGGGTATCGGAGCTTCTGTCTATCACTCCGTCAACTTTCCCGAAATGCGACGCTTGTTTTCGAAGAGGCTACAGATGCTCTGGAGGCAATCCCTGTCAACGTTGTCACAAGACGAAGATGATCTGCGTAGATGCCACTGAGACGTCCCTGAATCAGCCGGGCCTTTCGCGATACATCAAATTGGCTAGTAAGTAGTAGGTATCTATCTGGGAATGAATGTTTCTGAATTGGAATATGCAATTACTAAAAACATCTATTGTGGCCTGGAGCTTTTCGAAATGATATCTGTGCATCAGTATCCGGTTCTATCCACTTGACCTCTATTCTACCAGTAGCTTGGCGTGAGACAGCATCTTTTTGTCGGCAATGTGAGTAAAGCCGCTGAGAGTCATCCAGTTCTCGAGGTCTAGTGGAAGAAATGGACCTTTAATCACTATTATCCAAGAGGTGTTGTCCTGGGGAACTTTCCTTGGACGTTCTGCTTGGAGTTGTGCGTGCGCTGAAATAGTCGACGTACCGCTCTCTGTAACCGCCCTTACCATCAGGAACGCGCTTCGTCGAAGGCGCCCTACGGGGTTTAGACGATTTCGAAGCAGTATTCTCGTTCTCGCCACCGAAGAGGTCTCTGAATGCCTCGTCGTCCAGCTGCTGTTTCAACTCTTCCGAAGCCATGTCCTTGGCCCTGGCATTCAGGAACGCATCTTGTTCCTGAGCGCCGCCGTTAACGAATTTATGGTACTTTTGGACGAGCTCGGTGTGCTTCTCCTCAGGGATAGAAGAGTTTGTAGCAGTTCTTCTGACAGTCGGGCGTACTTCTTCCATAGCCAGACGTTCGATGGCGAGACGCTCAATGGTGACATGTTCGACGGCAGGTGGTTTGCATTCGCAATGGCACGGGTGACCGGTGGAGCAATGCTCACGACAAACATGCCCACATGCAAGTGGTTTCCCACAAATCTGATTGCAGCTCACTTGATCGTGGGAGAAACTATTGAGACTCGTCAATGATGCATCCAATATGGGAGTCGCGATATACCTACCTATGACAACGAAGTTCGCAAGTGTGACCGCAAGAGAGAACTTCTCCACACTTGAGCTCGCAACCTCCATTGATAGCATGCCACTCCTTTAATTCTACACAAAGTGATTAGTCGCAAATCTAATTGAAAAACGCAAAATATAGAAGTTACCTCGAATATAGAACCTTCTCCCGTGTTTGACGCATGTCAGCGGCAGACGACGACCCAATCTTCGTTGACCTGACTGATCTTCCCCCATAATGCAGACGATTTCCCACCATAGTGGATCAGCGAGGGAAACTGCCTCTCCATTTCCGAATATGTAGAATCCTCTTTTCGCCCTGGACAGAGCAACGCAAACTCTGTTCTCAATGGACAAGAAGCCGATGTTCGCACGTTCGCTACTCCGAACAAGTGATAAGATAACAACTTCGTTCTCCTCTCCTTGGTAGGAATCGACGGTGACAACCTTGACATACTGACCCTGAAGGTATTGGTGATCTTTTAGTAGTTTCAGTATCTTCTTCCTCTGACCATTATAGAACGTAAGCACAGTAATGTCATTCACCGACATTCCATTCAGCACGAGGTAAAAGTAGAAACCGACCATCATTTGTGCTTCATCCTGATTGTACTTGGACGAAAGGTTATCGGAACTCTCTGGCCATGTGTGATGAAAGAAGTAGGTATTGATATCTCCCATACCTGGGATTTTGGGGCGATCCAAGACGGAAGGATGATCCTGCAGATCGCTGTAGATCGGACTCAGTAGTTTGCGAATTTCGGGAGCCATTCTCCGCTGTCTGGTCAGGGTCCTGAAATCAATACCATTGTGGACGAGCCTTTCAAACATGGATACATTGAGGAAGAAAGGTTCCCCTTCAAGCTCCTGTACAGAACAATGGCCCTGGAGCTGCTTGTGGTCGCCGACAAGTATGAGATGCTGTAGAGACTCGATGCAGGCCACTGCGACTGGACCTTCAATCACTTCTGCAGCTTCCTCAACCATAACAATCTTTGGTTTGAGGCTAGAGACCAGGGCTCGGTACTTGCTCAGCCCCGTAGTAGTCATTCCGATTACTTTGGCGCTCTTCAGAATATTGTAGTCCCGCTCCCATTTCCCAATCTGTAGATCAACACAGCAATCGTCGTATAGGCGCAAGAACTGCCGAAGTTTCCCAGTTATTTTCTCCTTGGCGAGCCTTCGAAGAGTATTGTACACAGAACCGCGGACATTGGCGGGTATTCTCCACAAGTCGTGACGTCTGAGGTGTACTTCCTGAATCGTCTTCTCAGAAAGAGAAGGTATTCCGCGGCCCATAAAGTTTTCTTTCAGATGGGTAAATGTGCCTCGAAGGATCTCCAAATCATCGTCCTCGATACCCTGTTCCGCTTCTAGCTCTTTGAGCTGTTCGTACTCGAGGTCAATATCATCCTCCGAAAAACCGAAATTCTCGGTGTCATAAACGACTTCGAATTTTGATATGTAGTCACCCAACCAGTTTACTATTGGGTCTGAATCGCTTCCTGAACCACCTCGTACCCAACCTTGGGCTCCTCTTTCGAGAGAATCGAATTGTGACTGAGACAGAACACCCACTTTTAGGAAAAAAGACGCTGGAAGTGGTGAACCAGAACGTTCCTGATTGAATGGCTTGAGGAGAGCGGAAATCTCATCAATCAGTCTTCTAAGTTCTTTTCTTGCAGGTCCCAGAAGCCCCCCAGGGACTACTTGAATTGGTAGCTTCTTCCTGATTTCAAATAAGGTGCGTTTTTTGATATCGACATCAGTGCTTCTTCCGCCAAGGCGGATGTAGTTTCCTTGAAACATAGACACATGGCGTAGAAGCTGATCGAGGGCATGATTTGTCTGGGCAGCAAGAATGACAGGCGGATCTCCTTCCCGCATGTGGGTGAGTATGACTTTGAGAGCGACTACCGATACAAACGTCTTTCCAGTGCCTGGGGGTCCCTGAATGAGGGCCAATTCCTTCGTAAGGATTTGGTTGAGAGCAGCCCATTGAGAAGAATCTAGATTTCCCATGGGTGTCTGTGGCCATGCTTCCAGCACATTGATTTCGTCCGTTCCAGCATCATCCGGGAATATAGGCTCCATGTTAACACGCGGATCAGCGGTTAAGTACTCTGGAGGTTGCAATTCCAGACCAAGACGACAAATATGTTCCGCAAGAGGAAAGCTGATATATGTCAGCCGCATCCTCCCAAGTGACAATACGGGACTCACCTTTCTGTAGCCATCTTTTGAAGAGCTGTCATTGTATGTCTATGCGCCTCATAATAACCGGTTTTCGCTTCTACCATGATCCATTCCTGCTGAGGATCGAAGTCCGCATCTTCTGCACGAGCAAAGAGTAGATCAATCTCGGGAGGTTGCTGCTTTACTCCCTCAAGAGGCCTGGCAGCCACCACAGCCACTACACATTTTGACTGAAAGCAGTCATTTGCTGGGGACAAAGCAACTATAGTGCCGCTCATCAGCCGTTTCGTATATTCCCACACAATGTTCTTTCCTGCTCGTGCAGTGGAGAAGCGGACCTTTACGGCCACACCTTTCTGCGCAAAAGTAATTCCTGTAATATACACCTGATGTCCATCAGAATTCCGAATGAAGATCTTTGTACTCGCTTCGCACTCCACGTACCTTTTCGTAGATGTTTAGGAGCGGTGAATCCATCATGTGTGGGTCGTCTTTGACGTAGGCGACTGCATCTCTCAAAGGAGCGACTGCATCTTCCCTTAGAAGCTCATAATGTGCTCTCAGGTATGCGCCACTTGACGGCCATGGACCAAGTATTCTATTAGGCATCAAGGCGACGCAATCATCGTTTTCCATCTCTGTGCCCATGATCTCATCAGAAGAAGGAAGTTCTTGCTTCGATAGCCATGGCTCATCGTCTCTCCCTTCTGCGTCCTTCTTGCGAACGTACTGCCGTATGTCTTTGTTCAGCCCAAGCAGACCGGCATCCTCAGAAGGTGGAGGGGACGTCTCAAACCCATATTGACCTTTAGGATTCGGCTGATCCCTCATCGTGATACCGGTATTGGAGAATCAAGAGGAAGTGTAGCACTGAGAGACTGAAGAACGCCCCGCGCAGAAATGAGGTGCTGGGAGGAAAGACCAAGACGGTAGGTTTCCACCTGAATATGAAACTCAGTTCTTAGTTCCTTTCCGATGAAAGGAGTTCGTTTAATAGCTGTGTCCAGATATTGCAGGAAGACCAGTAATAAGGCTAAGGAAACCATGAATGGGTCATGATGAAGCGGCTGGCAGGTTGCAGGTTGGCAAGTGCTTTCTGGTTCTCAGCGGGTCACAGGTAAGACAAAGGATTCTGTTGTGGCTGGAAATCTTGCTGGGTAAAAGGACAACCGCAATAAGATGTGACTGATTCTGGTTCATTCACTGGGTTCATTATCGCTTTCTATCTCGAGATATCACAGAACAGCACACGCGGGTCCCTGCAGGGTAATTCCATTAAGGACTCCCCCTGGGGAGATCAACAAAGATCCAAATCTAACTACATATCATATATACCCCCCTATGATCCTACACAGTATATTTATCAAGCTATGTATATGGAGCCATGAGACTGGATGCTGCCAGGTCAAGAATATGTCCAGCAAGCTTCATAAGTTCATATGCAAGTGCAATGACAAACAGAAACGGGTAGCGACAGCGGTAACCTGCCTTTTGGGTTTACCTGCCCGTTGTAAAATATCTCTATATGATTAGAGAACCTGTACTTTGCAAAGCAAACAGAGTTTTGGATATGACAGTACGACGAAGAGGAAATTTCTCTTTCTGGTTAAGTGGTCTTAAAATCTGATACTAACTGCTCGTGACAGCCAGGTTGCAGACTGACTCCATAGTATGGTCTATGGCTACATGCAAATATCAGCTTAGGAATCGGGTTACAGTTAGAGTGCATGGGCCAAAAACAGTACAGATGAGAGGAATTCCAGAGCTGAGGCTCATGATCAAGAATAATTCATCAGGATCCAAATCCTTCAGAACTACAATCATGACTAAGCATAGACACACTATTCCAGAACGGGAGATTCAAAGCCTCAGGCCAACAGCGGAGCGGAGAGAGCGCCTGGGGAAGTGGGAGAAATCAAAGACAACCAAGGATCAAGGGTAATCACAGCGCTTTTCTCTCTTTTGATCGATTTGTTAGAGCGCTGTGCCAGTCTATGGCTGGCTGGCCTCATACACGCCTTCACAGAAAGAGCGCACGCAGATGGCTCTATAATCTATCTGCATTGTCCCTGTGAAGGGCCGCAGTTCATCCGCTTTTGCGCCGGTATCAGCTCCGCAGGCCACGACCAAGAACAACGTATCGCAAGATTCGACATCTCCTCAGTTGTTACTCTGATAGCAGCGTGGTCTCACAACACTATATCTGAGTACCTAATGTGACCATGCCTTCAATTGGAGAGGAGGAGGACGACCGCGATCTCGTGGGTAGGTGACCAGTTTCCGCGCCGTCTCTTCGGAAGGCTGACCCCGGTGTTACATTGCATAGGATCGCAAGATGAAAGTTCTGATAATGATATGGACGATACGATGAGAGATGTGGACGATGGCGACGGCGACGGCGATAACGACCCAGACGCTGACGCTGACGCCGATGCCGACCAAGAACCAGATGCTGAAAGCCCTTCGAATGCCAGTCAAACGTCTGAAGGAGCGGGCGGAGCGTTGCAGTCGAATGCTGCTGCTGGATCTCCAAATGCTGCAAATATTTTATCAGATCCGCTCGCTGCGTTTCGTCCTACTGTGCGCGCCGAATGTCTCACGGCATCTACATACGACATCGTACCTACCACGGCGGCCCCTCACAGTACGTCGATCAATGCGGTGACGGCAACGGCTGATATGAGATGGGTTTTCAGCGGAGGAGCCGATGGCTATGTTCGGAAGTTCAACTGGGTAGATTCGATCAACAGCAAGCTCATGTTGACCGTCGCGCAAAGACATCCCTTCGTTGACAGTGTGATCAAAGCGGGCGTGTTGATGACATACTGGGAAAACATGGATGGGAATGTCCTATCTCCAGTCTACTCATTGGCGGCCCAAAGCCAGGGTTTGTGGCTGCTTTCTGGGCTCGAATCGGGCAACATTCGTCTCCAAACGATCCGTCACGAAGAGAGCAAGGAAGTTGCTCTTCTACAGCAGCATACATCTGCAGTTTCGGCCTTACATCTCACCTCGGATGAAAAATCGCTCCTGTCAGGCAGCTGGGATAAAAAGGTTATCGATTGGGATCTAAACACGGGACAGAGTCGGCGTCTCTTCAGCGCCAGTGCTGGACAGATCTCTGCTATCCAGATACGTCCGGAGTCAAGCCTACCAATACCGCAAGATATTCCAGATGTTCCGCAACCCAATGGGACGTACTCGTCTAACTACCAGGCTAGTGGCGGAGGCAGCTTTAGCTTTACAAATGGCGTAAACGAGAGCCAGGAGGGTCAACTAGGGGCAACCGCAGAAGCAGGTTCGCCAGCTGACTCACTTTTTGGGGGAGCAGATTCATTATTCGGGGATGCCGATGGGGGTGCTATTGACGGCGGAGCGCCTTCAGGGGGCGCTTTTGGAACAGATGCAGAGGACGAGCTCAGTCGCGCGCTTGCCAACGGAGCCCAACACTCGGAGGAAGATGCGCATGGCGAGCCTGATTTTATGGACCAGTCGAACAGTATGCGGGACTCCACGCTTCCAACCTTGGAGACATCGACAGAATCTGCAGGCCAGGGCCAAGAAGCGGTTCCTGGTGCGGCCCTTCCAAACGGAATATCTGAGCCTGTGGTCAATGGTCTACCCCATGCAGAGCAATTAGAACCGTCTTCCATGGACCTCGATCTCACCCAACCATCACTATCCGAATCCAATATCACAAACGACACCACCTTCCTGGCAGCCTCCATTGATGGCACGATCCGCGTGTGGGATAGGAGACAGCCAGACCCTGTAGCTCGCATCAGCCCTCGCAACGTTCCTCCATGGTGTATGAACGCCTGCTGGTCTCCTGATGGGAACTACATCTACGCGGGCCGTCGAAATGGAACGGTCGAAGAGTTCTCTCTTCACAAAGGATTGCGCAGCGCAGAGCGCGTATTCAAATTCCCTCAAGGGAGTGGCGCAGTGACTGCACTGCATCCCATGCCTAATGGACGACACCTTGTTTGGTGAGTAGCATCCCCTTGTCGTCATAATGCTACCGATACACCCTTATAGCGTCTGTGTCTGCAATCACTAACCCACCTCGCTCAGCGCCTCTCACGATATCCTTCGTCTATACGACCTCAAAGATGAGCAGTCCTCACGCCACTCGACCGTTCCTTTTCTTATCATACCCGGCCACCGGACCGGCGTCATCTCACAGCTTTACATCGATCCTGCATGTCGATTCATGATCTCGACCAGTGGCAATAGAGGCTGGGAGGGTAACTCCACTGAGGTACTGTTGGGTTACGAAATCACCCCGATTCCATGATAATCGAGGTCCAATCTCTTGAAGTGGAAATTTGGTCTTGGATTGTCGCTTTTCTTTCATGCGGCCTAGTTCTATGCATTTTCATCCCCATACATCGTGTCGCTTCCGGAAAGGAATTTGGTGGCGCGGAGGAGGAACGGAAAAGTCGATTACCCCTCAGGAGAAAAGATAGTTCTTTACTCCTTCATTACATCATTTTAATATGAATCTTAGAAAGGGGCTCGTGATACCCGTAAAACAAGAGACTCCAGGAAGAATATCATACATTATACGAAGTGCATGTTTTGTGTGGTTATACATGTTCTCTTGACATGTACTATATGTTAATTTCTCATCTAATCCATCGTACATAAAAGCCTTCCTTGCTGCTGTCACAGCGTCCTTCATAAATCATATTCACAAAACAAAACGAAGTCCCTTCAAATATACCTTAAAAAGAGGTATATAGAAATCGCACCTGGCCCCATAGGGGAAAATATATCACGCGTGTAACAACGCCAGCATGTTACAAATACGTCCTTTCCTTTTCCCCCCAATCTCGTATGTTCACAATTGTAATTCCGAAATGAAATGCATATAGTCCCAATGACACATCATAAGTGCAGTGATCGCTGTAGGAAATTCCTTTCCCAAAAAAATAAAAACAATTTTCAATTCACATCCAGGTTTAAACCCTCGCAGACCTCATTCTGCTGCGCCCGCCAGGTTCCAAATAGTGGATTATCTTCCCAGCGTACGTGTCCGTCACGATCTTTCTCGAAGAACACGTACGCTGCATCGGGGTTCTCTCCGCCCCAGGGCCCGGTAACCAGTTCTCCGAATCCTGCAATGGCGACATTTGGAATATGTGTTCGCGCCTCGACGTGGTCTCCCATGTTGTTCACAGCAATGAGGTACACGGGCGGGAGATTAGGTTCTCGTTCCGGCCTCAAAGGCATAGCGATCCAGGCATCATTCCTGTATGACTCGATCCTATCCTTGTTATAAGTTAGAGGAAGAGGTCGAGAGAGCAGTACTTGATCTAACTTCTCGCCATCGAGAAGCAACCCCGGTGATTGAAGATATAGCACGCTGTCGTACTGGAGGAATTGGATCTGGCCAAGGCGGAGAAGTTTCGAGTCCGTAATTTGATACCCGTGCTTAGTTGCTAGCGACATGTCGATGGGGAGCAGCCAAAAGTCATATTTGGTACTCGCGTCGCGAAGTAAAGAGAGGGCCGTGGAAACCTGTTTTGAGGGTTCGTTCATCATGTCCCAGACCTGCGGGTACATGAAGAGACGGTCATGAACGGACGAACGCGACTTGGAAAGAGTCTTGAAGAAAAGAATTGCAGAGCAGATATTCGAAGGATCCGGATCGGAGACAAGTTGCAGATAGGCATAATTGCCCTTTCCTGCTGTGTCTCCTGTTGGATTGGAGAGTATATCGTCCTCGTCTCGTGTCCCTGACAGGACATCCTGCGCGTAATTGCTGCTAGCTTCATTCAGGTACAACTGGTCATCTGCACCCCGATCTCTCGCTACCAAATGCGGGGATATCTTATGCGGAGAGTCGAGTGGTGGACGGATCGCATGTTGTATACTCCGTACAGATTGCTGCTGGAGCACGTAGCCTGACAGGAAGAGCAGGAATGTGAAGATGCATACCACGCTTGATGATAGGATGACAGAGATAGTCGAGGACGTTACGAGCACCATTGCTGTGGGCGCATGCGTGACATGAATGCCCCTAGACTTAGAGGTATGCCAGATTTGAGATCAGCGCAGGATGAGATCAACAGAAACGAGGTAATACGTGAAATTGATGGATTAGAGACGATACAGAAAGAGTTTTGATTTTATAGACTGTCTGATTAAATGTTTAGAAATAAACCGACCGACTCTCGACGCCCTCATGGCCGTCTCGATCCCGCTGTGAAACCGGATGGCGTTGTGTTTACCCTGATCGGTTGTCCGCGCGACTATCGATAAGCGGCGTGGCGTTTTCCCCAAGCAAAAAAGCTCGGTCCACGACCGCTCCAGACTTTCAGCTTGCGACATCGATCTTGACCACAGCCCCAACGTCATTTGGCTAGAGAGAAGCTGCCGTCTCTCTCTCTGGGTGTGTGCGTGCTGCTTCTTTTGATCCTCACCCCTCTTTACACGGCTTTACAGAGCAGTGACCGAGAAGCCACACAGAGAGCTTCAGCCCTCCTTCCTTTGGACCAGCCTTGAACGAGCTTCTTTGCAGTCACAGACTCCAAGAGACAAGGAGCAGAGCCAGCATCAAGATGGCAACCCACCGTGCCGATGCCAGCGCACTCCTCGACAACCGCGGCTACACGGGTCCCCTAATCCGCGGTGTCAACCCCGCGACGCTATTCGAAAAGGCTGTCCGCGACCGCATCACGGACTCATACTACTGGAAAGAACAATGCTTCGGTCTCAATGCCGCCACTCTGTGTGATCGCGCAGCGGAACTGACCTCTATCGGAGGGACGTATGGCGTTGGGCAAAAACCAACACCGTTCCTGTGTCTTGCGTTCAAGATGCTGCAGCTCGCGCCAGAGAAGGACATCGTGTTGGAGTATCTGAATTTCACCGATCCAGGGAGTGATGCGGAAGGCGACACAGCAGAGGACGCGGATAACGGTGTGGTGAAATCCCGTGGCGATTTCAAGTATCTGCGCGCACTGGCAGCGTTTTATATCCGACTAACCTTTGATCCTGTCGATATTTACAAGTCGCTAGAACCGCTGCTGTTGGACTACCGGAAATTGAGACGCAGGATGCGAGAGGGATTCGTGCTGACAACGATCGACCAGTTCGTGGACGATCTGTTGACCAAGGATCGCGTGTGCGCGACGAGTCTTTGGAAAATTCCGTCTAGACAGCAGCTGGAAGACCTGGACTTGTTGGAAGAGAGGGTCAGCCCGTTGGCTGATGAGCTCGAAGAGCTAGAGAACGAAAGCGACCACAGCAACGAAGGCAGTCGACACAGTGATGCTGAATCCTCCGGACACGCTAGCGAGGACTGATTTTTTCTGAATCGAGTCGCGGGAATCTTGGACTCCAAGGCGTAACACTACGAGGGAGTAGAAACTCAGACTGACGGGCTACTTCTTTTCTCTTCCGACCTGCCGCTTACGGTTGTCTTGTCTGTTGCCGTTGACAGCACTGCATGTCCAGACGCTAGTCACTCAGCTACAGCTGTGTGAAGCCAATAGATCGACACTCTCCAGCGTCCTTCCGTTCCTGAGCCTTACTTGCTCTCCCACAGCGATATCCCAAGGTCCCGGGGATCCGAAATCAGACCATCATTCTGCCTCGGAATGGGGACATATCGGGGAAAACAAAGACACGAGCATCCAGGCTCTTCATGCGGCAATTCCATCCGTACCATTCGGCCTGTCAGGGACATCTCCAGAACGTGAGTTGGCTTTGCCCGAGAACATCTGGAACGCAGAAGCGAACAATGGTCCGATGTACTTACTGTACATGACAGGTGGCGCCGTGAAAGGATTGTCGAGCAGAGGGGATCTCTTTAGCAAATATCAGGGAGCTGATTCACCAAAAGTGGAGACGAAGCTTCTGCTTATATAGATATACCCTGTTCTAGATATCTATCACTGGAAATATAATATATCCATATTCCATAGTCATATTTGACGCAGTACACAAAAGACAAGTACCAAAATGGTATCGAGAAGTCCCCGACTCCTACAAAATAGCCACCTATACAAACAAACGAATCCGGTATATTCTTCATTGCAATAAGAACCAAACGTCAATCGTCATCATGGTTCCATTCCTCTCATTTTTCCCCCTCATCATTGAAATAATCCCTGATAACCAAACCAAAATTCATCAACCTAATACCCCTGCTGCCGATGCCATTTCTCCTCCCACCCCTTAAACCACGGACTCTCATCCAGCGTCTCAACCTTCCACCCTTTCTCCATGAGCCCATTCTCCTCCTGCTCCTTACTCCACTCTTCCATCTTCGGCAAAACAACATGTTCCACATGCCATGTACTCTTATACTCCATGAGGCTCTTTTTCCCTTCTTTCAGCAACGTAGCCACTAGAGCAGGGATGCATGGCTCGTTTCGGAATTCCGTAACGGGCGTGAAGAGGGCTTTGAAATTGAATACGATGGCGGCCGAGAGAGGGAGGCGGCGTAGTGTTTGCCAGTCTACCCGGAGGTGGCAGTCTTCGAGACGAAGGTTGGGGTTTTGGACACTTCGGAGGGCTTCGTGAGGGTCGCCGGGAGGCATGAAGAGAGGCTGGTCGACTTCGAGACCCCAGGAGCCGCGTTGGATGGGTTTGTCGGTGGGCATTTTGGAGAAGAAGCTATTGAGTAGGTTAGATTATATACATATACATATACATATCATGAGGAAGAAAAATGATAGTTGGGATTTTGGGGGAGAGGGAGGGGGATCATACCGATCCATAGAAAACTGCATTTTCTCCTTATAATCCGGAATAGGGGCATGAATCTCATGCAACTGCATCCCAATCTTCGTGGCAACATTCCATCCCAACGACGAACAGATCACACCAGCACGGAAGAAATAGAACCCCGTCTGATCGTCACGCAGCACGATACCAAAGTCCTCGGGGACATTATCCATGAGGATCTCCAGCGGATGCTTGCTCTTGATAACGACTTCGGTGCCTAGGATCCGGTTCTTGAAAATCCGCTTGTCGATTAGACTGAAATACTGCGGGTAGCGAGCGCAGATGAATTGAAGGACCATTTCCATGAGTTCTTTGCATGCGAGTTCGGAGCCGGGGAGGTAATCGAGCACGGCTTTGCCGTGCTTTGCGTATAGGGCTTTTCGCTGCGCGAGTCGCTCCTTGTAGGTGTTTTCGAATTCGATCCACCAGTCGGGTTCCATTTTCTTCAACGCTGTTGAGAGTTGAGATGTTAGTCTATTGGCCCTGGAAGGGGGGGTGTTTCGAGAGAATAACGCTAGCAAGACATACACATTGTCTGGTGATAGGCCCATCTAAACGGACGATAAGGTCGTGGGCGAGCCTTATCAATATCGAATTCAGCATAAGCCTGTGGTAAAGGTACACCACTGAGTTCCGCATAGTTTGGGAAATCTCCCATAGCTCGGATCTCTTCCGCCGAGAAGCCAGTTGGGGTATATTTGTTCGGTTCACTCGTCATATAGTTCGCGGTCATCGGGAGGATGTGTTTTTTGACTTCCTCCTCGCTGACAGCCCTGCAGGGCAATTTTCCCAGCGTGTCGGGCAGTTCTTTCGCAAGAATTGGAAGAACCTCCCGGCGCTGAGGCGGTAGAGTATCGCTATAGCTCGGCGGTGATACAGGAGCTGTACTGCCTTTCTTCTCGGGGGATAGCGAACGCGGTGGTGTAGCGGCCGTCGAGGCTTTGCGGCCACGGAAGCTGACGCGATCGAAGAGGGCAACACGCTGTGCTTTATTCGTGATGAAATACACTGTGCTCATTGAAAGCATGATGACCCCGATTACCCACATGGGGTCCAGCATTTTGAGCGTCTCCAAGTAGGCCATCTCGCCGGTGCGGCAGGCTGCCGCGGAAGTGTATATGTATAGATCAATTAGCGAGGGAGGTATGAACAGCTAAGCTAACATGGAATATGATAATATATTATAAATGATCAATCAAGAATAATCGGCATCAAATCCAGAGGAGTCTCGTCCTTCGGGCAAGAGTATAGCAGTAGCGAATGGCGCAGGAGCAGATATGTACATTCTGTCGGAAAGCAAAGAGCCGGAGACGAGGACTTTAAAGACGGTGTGTAGATTGCAGCCTCTCGCAGTCTAGCTACGATTGAACGACAGACGAATGTCCCACCGCGGTTGCACTGGAAAAGCGTCCAGCGGTCCTGTCGAATGGTTTTACTATGTTGGGTGAGGAGATGCAGATAAGAGATGCTGATAAGCGCAGCTCCCCACACGTAAATGGCATCAATTACCTCTTGAGGGGTTAGCCCCAGCGGCTGGCTGGTTTTGTCCAAGAGAATTGATTGATTGACCTGGGTTGACCTGCGGAGGGATAGATAGCGGAAAAAGAATCGAGCGGATGCTGGTGCTGGTGCTGGATGGCATACTGCAAAGATACCGCTTGTCGTGAAGCGTATGGCCTCTCTTGGTTCGCATCATCTCATTCATGACATGGTTTGCTAATGCAGTACTGTGCCGTCGTACACTGTTGAGCTATAGTCGAGCAGAATCTAATCACCATCCGATCGCAGCATTCTGATTCAGGCGCGCGATTGATTACTCGTCGACTGAATCTCCTCATTCTCTCGCCATCAGCTTCTCTCCATACCAAAGTTCCGAGTCGCATTATCCTTCCATTTCCTTCGCATTCGAGCGTCGTTTGTTGCTTCAAATAGCCGGTCATCAGTTCCCCGTGATTCGACAACGGTGCCCCTTCGCATCGCACACCCCCGGACTGGCAGGTGCGCGGAGAGAGGCGAATATAATGACTTCGAGCATGGCGATTGCTTGGACGTGGTTCGAATACAGTTGGCGCTGGACCGGCTGTACCAAAGAGGAAAAGTGCTGGAGGGGAGCCAACTCCCGATCCGGTAAAACTGTCCCGTGAGCAATCATTATCAGGCCGATCGCATACCGCCATGAAGAGAGCTGTGCAAAATAAATTGATAATCATTGATAGCTAGTTACCGTAGGCCGGAGTCGTGAAGGTAATCAGGAGGGAAAAAAAAGAAGAAAAAAGAAAGAAAATAAAAGAAAATAAGAGAAGAATTATATAATACATGGATACATCCATACTAATCGACCTTTGTCATATAATGCTTGCAGGTTATAGCTTTTCTATGACAAGCTCTCAATAAATTAGTAGCATTTTCTCTTGTTTGCAATAACACGTCGCTCAAGCGTAGGGTGCAGGTGAGAGAAGATGTCAGAGAAAGTGACACCCAAGTTCTGCATTTCCGTCGTCAGATCATTTTAGCGATCCCAAACAACGGCGCGGACAAGTCCCTCGAAGAGTTGAGACAGACGATGTTCTTTGACAAAGTCGTAGTGGTCTGCTGCTGCAGACCAGCTATCGGCGGCGGGTCGACCACCCCAAGGTTGGATCATGAAAAGGACAAGATCAAACGAGATGGAATCGCCATCTCCTAGATCCTGCACCGCTCAGTCAAGGCATCTTCCGATGCAGAATATCCACAGCGTTGACCTCAGTTAGGTCTGCCTCGAATCTAGCCCTCCAATATTTGTAGTTTCAACCACGGAACTTTGGGGCGACTCTCTCAGCAGCTCCCGATCCTCCGCTCGCAATTGCGCTCTCAGCTCTTCTGCCCCTTGACGTCGTATAGATTCAGTGACCTGACGTACGTCTTGGATCCATCTTTTAATCGCCCTATCGCAAAGAGCCTCAGGCCAGTTAGCAGTCTCTGCCTCGATCTTATAGTACGCATACTGAATCCCATCAAGAATCTTGTGAAGTTCAAACCTCCGGCGCGGAAGTGGCCAGATCTCTTCGTCAAGCTTGACATCAGCTTGTTTTCTTTTCGCATGTACCTGAGCGGCGTTGTGGATATCTTGGATATTGAATTTCGTTCCACCAGCGGCGAGGATAGCTTCCCGATTTCCGTTTTGGGGGTTAAACAGCATCTTTTTGACCTCTGCAGGTTTATAGCCTTTTGCAACCTCCTGCGCAGCAAGCTGTCGCACTGCAGTGGTGGCTTTATGCGCCATTAACTCATAGTCGTGATTATGAACACCAGCAGTCAGTTCAATCACCACTGTCACCCCATTATCCTGGACCTTCATCTTGAAGGGACAGGCCTGCGGCTTGCGCGATGTCCGCTGCCGTTGCCTCTGCTCGGGTGGAACAGTCGGACGCTCCGTCTTCCTCCATAGCCGGCACCAATAGTAGTGTACTACTCTACCATCAGCCTTCGGGGTGACGCGATTTCGGGTAAACATATTATCGACGAAGGGGAACAGGTGGTGGAATTGCGCGGATGACATCGTATATGGGGAATGTTTATCCAAATGGAACAGCTTCTCTCGAAACGTCTCGAGTTCGGGGGGGATAGTTATGAGATTTGATGTCGGCGCGGTCGGCGTCGCGGTCGACGCGTTCGAGCTCGGTGGCTCAGTCGGTGGATTTGATGCCATGATCGTTATATTAATATGAAGGTAAGAAGATCAAATAGCAAAAGCAGCAGTCACGAATAGCTTCAAATAGACCCAAACAGGTAAGGAACTGTTTGCATAGAAAGACGCGTAGAACAGTAGTTGGCGCGTTGGACTCTCAAAAACGACATGCGACTTAAAGCCGGCTAGACGCGATCTCGTGGACCCGATCCCTTTAAACCCTTTTCGGCGGCGAGGGCCGAAGAGATCGATCGGATTCAGCTGCACAGTCCGCAGCTATTTTAATTGCTCAATAAGAACCAAATATCGGTGGTCCCAACTGACCTGGTAACAGGGACCTATGAGTCTATGACAGTCTGCGGACCCCCGCGGCAGGTAAAGATCTTTGATCACGTGACATAGAGTTCAGGCACAACAGAGGTAGTATACAAGTAAACAAGTAGCTCTAGCCTAGAGGTTAGTATTCTGGGAGAACATTAAATGACTCTGTGTAGAGATGGATGAAGATATCACCCATTAGGATAGCGCATCAGTGTCTGAACTGGGGTCGGCTACATCTAAATGCATATGCGCAGTAGACTTATCTTTGCAACTGCCTCGGCCCAGAGATTTACCCTGTGCTAGATATACTTTATGAAACTTCTGGCTTTCGTTTAAGAGAAAGAAAGAAATAATACTTATTGTTGAAGAACTCCTACTCAAACTCCACAGCTTATCTACATACATAGTCCATTCACAAATTCATTTCTCCCTCTCTAATCCCTAGCACAAGTAACTCTACTCAAATTAGCGGAATTAACGAAATAGATATAGCATTGCCAGATAATCCCACAAAATCTGTAGTATAAACAATATAAAAATAGTCAATATCACTAGTAACTTAAACTAACCCATCCAACAACAAAGGAGAAGAGGAAAAGAAGGCAATCTCCTCCTACCTTTATACTATCATTCATAGCATAGCATAGCACAAAGCCAGACTTATTCATTCACATACATCTTATTATCTATTCCTTCCATGTATACATATACACATATATACACAATCAAGATGTTGTCGTTATTGTTGTCCTTGTCCTTATGGTGATTGTTGTCCCCGACGATACATATAGCGGGTCCTATAGCATATCATGGCGGCTGGGAATACCGTCAATTTCTATCTGTAGGATGTTATGTTCAGGATGCTTTGTTTCTTTTCCTTCCTCATCGTTGGCTTTTTCCAAAACACATATTCACTTTTCTTTTATTGTCATGTGAAGTTTGTCGGGGAATTCATCCCCCCAGGGTGATTGATAGTGGTGTTGTTCATGCTATTCTTGTCTTGTCTTGTTCAGAACTGGACTTGAACATACAATAACAGAGCAGAGCAGAGCAGATCAGCAGGGCCATCTTCTTGGGAGCTTCATATCTTGAACCAAACTTGAACTCGAACTCGAACATCTCGAAATATCCATACTGCATTACATCTGCCATCTGCCATCCTCATCCATCCATCCATCTATCTATCTACTCGAACCATGCAAAAAATGGCCACCTTCACTAAATTCACCTCCCTACCACCAGAACTAATCATCCTCGTCTCCGACTACCTCTCCGTGCAAGACCTATGCCACCTCTCAGCGACGTCTCGTCGGATCAACCATCTTCTCCGCCCTTGTCTCCACCAAGCAGGCAAGCTCTACGCCCTCGCCAGCCCAGCCGACTACGAGAAATGGGCCCTCCTAGCGACGACAGCTGGTGGGCGTCGAGCCAGACAGGAAAAACACCCCGTTGAACCACTAGTCACCTGCATCGTGGATGGGCGGTACGGAAGCGTGAGGAAATTCCTCGAGTTTGGCGTCGATCCGAATGCGTATACGGTTACGGGGGTGAGGATGTTGAAGTGTGCGTTGTATCATTTCCGATTTGATATTGCGGAGCTTTTGCTGGAGTTTGGGGCAGATCCGTGTCTGGGGGATGTGGGACAGAGGGATAGTGCTGTTCCGTTGGGTGCTGCGGCGACAGCGGGCTCGGATGAGATGGTCAAGAGACTCATTGAGGCTGGGGCGGATGTTACTGGACCTGGGGTGATGCATGCGGTTGCGGAGAATTGCGCTCTTGGGATTGTCAAGATGGTTGTTGAGAAAGGGGCGGATATCTGGGAGGTTGAGGAAGGGGGAACGGTTCTTCATTCTGCGGTGAGGAATTCCGATCATCGAGTGACGGAGTATTTGCTCGGGTTGGGACTGAGAGAGGTTGTGTCTGCGAGGAAGCCGAATGGGGAGACGGCGTTGTGGAATGCGTGTTATGCGCAGAACCCCAAGACGATTCAGTTGTTGTTCGATGCGGGGATTGTTCTGACTGCGAGGGATCGATGGGGTGGAACGGCCGTTCATCAGGCTGCGCTGAGCCGTCAGACGGAGGCAGTCAGGTTCATGCTCAGGGCCGGAGTGCGCATCAATCTCGCTGGGGAGAATAGGGACTCCGAATTGCACTATGCCGTCAACGGGGGAGATTGTGAGATTATCCAGCTGCTGATCCGTCGCGGCGCATGGGTGAACTGGCCGAATCGGTTTGGGGAGACGCCGCTGCATCTGGCAGCCATGTACGACCGCGGAGACATCGTCGAGGTATTGTGTGCTGTTGGCGCGGACCCGACTGTCAGAGACCGCCACGGCAGGACTCCCATCGACCTGGCTGTTGAGCGTTGTCACGAAGATAGCGTGCGGACCATGCAGTCTCCCTGGCAGGCGAGAGCATGGTTGTGATACGCGGAAGGATCGTGGAAGACTGATCGATTGGTTTGATGTACGAGTTAGATACCCAAGGCGCAGTTATGACAGCGGAATGAATTGAATTATTTCCGGAATCCAGTTGTATATTCTTCAAAGGATGCACTCGAACAAAGGGTCCACTATAATAACTGCTCGGTACATAAATCAATAATTCAAGGGCATAGCATTCGTATGATATGTAGGAGGTATGTACTCGAAAAACGCCTTCTGGATCCCAGGACTATCTGCAAAGAAGCTCCACCTCGGTATACACCATTATTCCCACCCTAGCAAACCACCAATCCGGTTCGTCGTGTTCAAGAATTCTATGTTCTCTTGGAAGGAATGAAAGAGGGTTGAAAAGAGCGGTCTCAGGAAAAGATAAATGCGCGGATATGCTGCAGTTGTGTTCCCGAGAAGCGATTAAATGCCACACATCGTGGAGTGCGGCAACAAGACGGGAAGGCGAATAGCCAACCAAGTCATCGACAATCCCGACGAGGATGCGAAGGCACATGAGGTCGTAATACACGTGTCAGGGGAAAACAACCTCCCCTGAATGCAAAAGGATAGACCACAGCAGTAGACTACCAGCTTGCGTTTCTCGGAAGTCATCCGCGAAAGAGAGTCAGTCAAAGCGATGACTGCGCACAAGCAGATTGGAGCAAGGAAACAAGTTGTGTTGGAAAAGAAGATGGGTATCATAACACCACAGTGTTCGCCATGCTGTGCAAATCAAATAGGGTAAGGAAATTGATTACAGTGGTAGGTCGCTACCGTAATTGAATACGTTGACTTAGTCGGGGTTCGTAAGCTAGACGAACGTTAGCATGTCGACTTCACGAGTAGTAAGAAACATCAGTGTTACTTACCCGGAGGACGGGTCGTGAGTAATCCTGGTTATCCTGGAGGGAAACGTTGCTGAGGCGATGCCCGTTGGGATACAGAGTCGCCTCCTTGTTCATGCGGTTATCTGTGAAGGCAGCCGCCCCAGTTGGTGATGAGGGAATGTTTCTCATTATGCTCATCTGCGAAGTCTTGCTGTGACGGCGTCCATCGAGCAGGTTGCCTTGGATGCTGGGGTCGTATGAACCGTCGCTAGCAGCGGAGCGGCGGCGAGCGTAGCAGAACCAGAAAAGGAAACCGAGGAGAACACCAGCTCCAGCGAGAGAGCCGACGACAACTCCTGCAATAGCACCGCCGCTCAATGCAGAGCTGCTGGTGGACTTGTGGGTTCCTTCCTGGCCAGCCGCCATTGTCGACTCCGGATTTTGGATGGTGACCGTCACTGGCTGACCAGCCACCGTCTGCACGGAAAGAGATGGCTTGCTAGTGGTTGCCGGAACAGTCTGTGAAGCGGTAGTCGACTCCGAGCTGGAGCTGCTACTAGAAGACGACTTGGATGTCTATGGCACAAGTTAGCGCTTACATTCCCCAACATTCATCACAAATGATTTGGTCCGTGCGTCGTGCGAATTCCAACATTCGAAGGAGAGTAACCCGTACAGTAGTAGGCAATGTTGAAGTTGAAGAACTAGGGGTCACTGTGACGACGGTGTTCGTCTGGTCATTCGACGCAGTCACCGTCACAGTCACGGGCTCAGGCTCAGCACTAACAGTAGTACTCTCCTGGTTGTCGTCAAAACCATGTACAATGACGAGAAAGGAAACGCTTGGGTATCACATTGCAGAAAGACTCGCAAGAATCGCACGACGCGGACCAAAAAAGTTAAAAGGATCTGGGGTGAAACTAACCGCCTTGGAGGTGGCAGCAGCGGTTTTACTGCTGGATGATTGAGTACCCGAGGGGAGAACGTTTGCCATCTGATAATAAACGTAGAGGCCTTTTGAAACGTTTCCACATTTATCGCTTTGGTAGCCGGGACAAGATTCGGAGCAATCGCTGGCCGAGGTCGTCTCGCTCGGGGCATAGTTGGAACACCAGCAGTCATGTCCTTGCAAGATAGCATAAGCATAATCGGCATTACAGGTCTGCTCGCACAGTCCGTAGGATTGGTATGTGGATGCCACTGTAGATTCTTGTTAGCAATTTACTCGACCGAAGGGGATTTTCGGTACCACATACTAGCATCGAAATCTGAGCCTGTGTTTTGCGAGGAGCAGTAGGAGATGTCTTCCGAGGCTAGCACGCTGTGCATGGCCACCGCAGCCAGCAGCGCCAGCCGCATTATCGAGATCGGAGCGACAGTCATGGCGGACAGTGAAATCCCGCGCCGCGTCACAGAACAGATCCTGTTTTGGGAGCTGTCGACCCAGTAGATGTCGAGAGCACCCGTCCCTCACGATACGGTGACCCTTGAACGCCTCCAATCGATGTTGGCAGTCTGTACCAGTAACCCTTTGATCTTTTTCTTCGAGAGTTGAATGTTGGACGACACGATCGGCTAGCACCTCAAACGGAGCGTGGCTTGGTGAAAAACAATGACCCAGTCCGGACTCCTGCACGTGTATCAATGTCGTGAGTGTCGGAGAAAAGAAACAATTTTTTTTTCTGTTCCCTTTTTTTTTTCTCTAGGTGGTGTCGTCAAACAAAACAATAACGAGTGTGTTCTGCGCCAACGAGGATCCCCTTCAACATTGAGAGCGGCGGTGTTAGCCCAAGGTAATATTATCCGCTATGGTGCAGTACAATCCTCCAACCTACCCTGTGAATAATCGTTGTTTGTTTCCTTTTCGAATGTGCCTGCCACCCACCTGCCTGCACTGATACCTGGACTTTAAGGCGGAGGCATTCGATGATCGACGATCGCGGACAAGCTGTCAGAAGATCGAGGGCATCGTCGCCCGGGACGGCACCTAAACGCAAGAAAACAAGCGTAACGAGGGTACAGCCGGTGGGAGACGACGGAACCGGGAAGGAGGACGACGAGAAAGAGTGGGTGTGGCACGCAGAAGGGATCGAGGGATCGAGAGAGAGAGATAGAGTGAGAGAGAGAGGGAAACGAAAAAAGGAAGAGAAGAAGATCGTGAGTGGAGGAGGAGGGGACGAGAGAGTAGAGCAAAGCAGAGCAAAGCAAAGCACAGCAGAGACGGGATGAGGGCTTGTTTCTGCTGTGAAGCGGGAAGTGGGTGCTGGCCCAGATTCTGATTTCTTGGTCTTGGTTTGGTGACTACGAGCGATGCTTCTCTTCGTCTGGTTCACGGCGTGCGAGGGGCCGCCGTCGACCCGATCCCGGTCCACCTGGCGTTCTTGTAGACGATTCTACCGTTCACTAGATTGTGCTAACAACGTACCGCTGTCATCGTGGTTCTGCTTTGTACTCGACTCTCTTCCTAGTAGTTGTCTATGTACATTTGATTAACTCTACATACTACTACTTACTCTAGGTACACAACAGTCATCATCACACGATCCCCCAGAGACACACCATTCTTCCCATGGTACGACCGTCAAGGGATAATCCCGCGTTGGGGTACGATGCAAAAGAGAGAAGAAAAAAAAGACTGCCACCAAGTCTGACCGCATCGGGAAAGGGCGCCAGGCCTGTCACATTATTGCTGAGTTGCTGGGCGCGGCTGGCCCGGATATCCCTCTCTCTCTCTCTCTTATGGTACAGACCGGGGGAGTAGTTATTTGCGGTCTGATTAGTCTGTTTACCATACTTTAGTTCTGTTTTTCCTTCTATGGTACTCTATGGTTGAGCTATCTGATGCTTATTTTTCTTTTTCCATACAGCCAGGCAATTTCACATAGACAGAGAGAAGATCACTCACTCCTGCTAAGTCTGATTATTTCATACTCTATTTATGTACCATACTGTGCTACACACAGACAACAAGTACGCGGCCCCTTCTCGCTCTGGCCAGCTGGAACAGGCAATCCCCAGCGGTGAGGTTGGCCATCGCGCTCATCTGGTACCGCAGAAAGCTCGATCCACCGACCCACGCTCAGGGCCAGAACCGGACGACGCACCGATCGGCCCTGGAGTTCTGGCATCGGCTCTAGCACCGAACGGATTCATGGATCAGGGCTCGTACTAGTATCGGGTAAATTAGATAGATAGATAGATGGATAGATAGGAAAAGAAAAAGAAAGTATCATATTATTCTATCATAAACAATAATAAGATCATAAAAGACAATAAGGTTCATACTACATATTACATAACCATTCCAACAGCAATGTTAACTATAAAGTCTCTTTTGTTTATTCTTCTTATTTTATTAGTATTCTCCCTGAATAATAATATCGGCTGGTTGAACCATCTCCGGATCTGACGTGCCGCCATGGTCCGCCAGCAGGGGCAAAAAGTTGGCATTTGGCAGCCCACGGGACATTCCAAGTTGGCACGTCAGCAACCATGGCGCCGCCCGCAAGGGAAATGATCGGTTCCGCGTCCCCCCAGGAATGATGCGACTGATAGGGTGCACGTCAGCCCTTGACACTATGTACTACTAACTATAGTATGTATAGTTACTCGGATACTCCTATCATACTACTTGAGCCCTCAGCAGTCACATTGTCGCCCATGCAACTGTTTGAAATTCTTCCATAGTTCTTCTCTCGCGGGCGGCTGTACCGGCATCCGAGCAGTGGCTGACGCTCTAGAGGAGAGCTAGTATCCCCGAGCGACCCTAGCGACCGACATGGCTGGTGAACTATTACGAGTACGGTCCCGTCGGTCAGCGCGACCAGAGAGCAACAAAAATAATCATCATGGTCAGTTCCCAACGAGACTGAGACGAGTATTATTTAAATAAATAAATAAATACCATCAAGATGGTCGACAGCAGACCTGATGTGTGGCCGGAGCATGGCTGCACACATTGGTACGGGACCCCAAGTTTCACCCAGACCAGTACGAATCTCTGAATGGCCAGGCCGGATTTGCCACAGAGGTCCATTCAATATTAATCCCATCCTCAAGTTCGATGATGAGCATCGCGCACTCGCGGGGCTGTCTCCTCATGTCTTCCGTCTTGGTCATACTCTTGCATATCCAGATGCATACTATTATAGTAGTACTACTATGGTACTACAGAGGCTTCTGCCGCGAACTTCGGCACATCACCGTCGACGATAACGACTTGGGCGCGGGGGAAAGCCCATCGAGTCGGCCAATGGAAACCAAACAATCCAGAACCATCTGCGACATGCATGTGCACGGGTTTCAAACTCTCTGCGCCATGTTGCCAGGATAAGGCCAAGAGATCATTGCTGATTCGTATCGTAACTATCAGTTCGAATCTTAAGAACTGCGACAACTGCGACTCGACCACTGGTTTTACCTCCCGTCTATCGTTTTTATTCTTAGCTCCCTCCCCTTCCCCTCCTCGTCCCCTCCCCAACCATCCAGAGAAAGGGTGTGTGTGGGTGGGTATAACAATAATAACAACAAGGTCTTGTCCTGAAAGTATGTATAATCCGAATCATAATAATATTAATATTAATATTAATCCTGCGACTCCGTGAATCCACCGCGCGGATTCTGAGAGTCGACAACTCTCAGCTTACCGGACGCCATCGACGTAATAATAATAAGGGGAGTGTTCAGTGGTCCCGGTTAAACAGAACGGGCAAAAAAGAAAGATTGCGGTTCCTGACTCGCGTTGGCTTATATGGTAAGCCATTATTTTCCCTTCGGACGGGAAACACCGCCACCAATGGTCAAGCCACGGTTGCAGTGCCGACTAAGCACTTTAACCAAGTTAAGGATTAAATTAACAGTAGTAGTACCTACCTAGGTACGTCAGGAACAGAGTATAAGCTGAATCGTTCTCAACCAACGGAGTCTTCTGTAAAACTGGCTAATAACGAATCCAAAATGAAATATAAAATATGCTGTATGTACCTTACAGCTGTCTCATCTCCAATTGAAAAAGCTCCAATCGCCCAGCCTCAAAGCAGCATCCAAGACTAATTTATCATTCGCCCGCCATATGATAGATCTCCCGCGGGCGTCCACAACGCCGCGTTTCCCAGAATGGCTTCGACTCCTGATGATCCCTGGCCGGTGCGGAATTCCCGTCCAACCACAGATCGCCAATCGATCCAATTGTCCACTTGGCTATCGGACTTGGCTCCACGAGGTGAATCGACAGGAATCGATTCCATCGAAGATCCCACAAGCTGTGTCTCAGCCATCGCGAGATTCGCTTCGCCTACGGGCCTGGAGAAATTCAAAGCCAGTGCCACACACGCACGTCTAGAAGCAAAAGCAAAACCCGGATCGTGAGGCGCGATGATCATGGTGGGACACACTCAGAAGCCGTCACGCACGCTCCTCTCTCTTTCTCTGTGTGTGTCTCTCTCGCATGCGCGCGTCACAGGAGGTTGGATTTGATTCATTTTGAGTAGATGATGATAATAATAATACTTCTTCCCTTCCTCATGACCACGCAATAAGACCTTGCAGCTCATAGATCTGGCTAGCCCTCTCAGGCTGAACAACGTGGTGAGCGGAGATTCGATCGGGGATTTTTCATTATTTTATTGTGCTTTAAAATCCCCTGCGTCGTGATCATGCTTTTTTGCCACCCGGAACAGGTATTAACCAATGCTCAATGATGGAAGCATTGGCAATCCATTCGAATCACCCGTCCGTTGGAGTCGATTATTCGCTCGCAGTTCTTGATGATGATGATGATGATGATGATGATGATGATGATGATGCTTCTGCGCACGGTAGGATGCAGACGCCAGGATTAACCCCTGCTGTCGTCCATGAGGGTTGAGCATGGGCATGATGCGGACTTAAGACTACTCTATATAGCTGCATTCGACGAAACTAACAGTCGTTATTCTGCGGAGTACGACGCGGCTTCTTTATGGCTTACTTCCCTCCCTCAATTTTGTATATCCTACCACATCAATCAACATTGACAAGACAAGAACAGCTACACCACTTCAAGAACTATATGCGTTTTCTGGGACCCCTTCATATTATTCTTCTTGGCATAACTAACGTATTCTTCTCTTTGAGGCCGTAGTGCACATTAGTTAACTACCAATAGATCATGAAAATCAGATCTAGTGTAGTTCTTATAGCTGCCCTCGTCCAACGGATGACTTTAGACGGAATAAACAAGGGAAACAGAAAAAAATAAAACTTGCCAAAGGCATGAAAAATGAAAAAGCGCTTCCTACCTACAGATAAATAGCATACCTTTATCAACGAACTTCGGGCCTGGAATAAGTCAATATATCTGCAAGTGGCGCTTTATAAATATAAGAACTAATTTTATTAAAATCAGAACAAAATCCTCTTAATGCCAAGTATATTCTGAACCTTGACTAATCGCCTACACCGGGTTCGGCCTTTTTTCAGAGAGATGCACCTAGGATTGTATTTCGGATCGGGGGCCCTTACATTACATTAAGCGATGAGGGATCTCCTTGATCTTATCTAGAAAGTTAGGGGCTACCGATTCGCGCATAGAAGACGACAAAGTATTTAAGTAGGCCTGGTATATGAATACTATCTATTGTAGCCAGGACAGCGCTAGGGAAGAGGAAAAATCTGCTGCGGAAGAAAAACGCGATGTCCGGCGAATAATATCTAGAGCGATTTCTACTTATACTGAAAGCAAGCTGAAGTTGTGACCATCTCTCGAAGATCGCAGTTGTATCAGGGTCTCTCTCGGATGAGAAGGGTCCGGATAAACTCAACATTCCTTCTCGCCGACTTAGGAGATGGTTATCGTTGCTCGACATATGTCTCTAGGAGAACGCGCGGATTTGCGATATATATTCGCCATTCAATGGCCAGGCTTGCATCGGCGAAAGGAGTTGGCGATGGATGCGACATATGGTACTAATACAATGCCGGGATGGAATTATATGCTGTGCTTGCTGAACTCGATGGAAATTAGTATGCCATTGGCTTATCTCTTCCTTGGACAACCTCTTTTGGAAGATGGCTTTAAGAAATCAGAGCTAGGAGCGGTCATTTAACTATATTCTTGAACAGTTTCCTGGGTCATTGAAGGCTAAGTACTGGGGGGCTTGGTGGGATGCGATAAGAATACTTCCGAGATCAATGCGGCACGATTTGTTTGGCTATTAACAACGATCTCACTGTGTTCATAGCACGTGTTGTGTGCCATCCGAAAGAAATTAAAGGAATCGAACGAAAACGAGTACGTAAAGTCACTACTTTCCTAGTAGTGAGGTGTAGGAATTGATCCCAGACCTAGAAATATGCTGGGGTTCCGAGCTAATACGTCGGCCTAATGGTGTCTATCTATCGGTGTGGCAAATGGAACTATGTAACACGAAGAAAAAAGGTTCGATGAGAGAGGTTGGCTTATATGCCTAGTAAGGAGCGAGAAATGGTGTTGAATACCTAGGTATGCTTAGACGTCAGATAAAGAGTTGTGCTATTACCCCCCCTTACCTGTAGCAATACATCTAACTGAGGTCACTAATTCAGATTTCCCACTAGTTGGAATAGAATTATTATGCTCATACTTTGTAGCAACCCTTTAAGGCTTTCCCTGGCTAAGTTAGAAACATGTTTCGTCAAAATTGAGATATTTGCAAGGCCAAAATTGTATATCCGGATTAGACTATTAAGCTTATAGAACTACTCATTAATATATAGTACTTTTTCAGCATTAAATTGCTTCGTCTCCTTCTGCTTTTAGGTAATATAGGTATAGTTGTTGGGCAGGCGCTTTATATTGAGACAGTAGGTAGGTAGGTAGTTGGCGTTGAAGTAGCGGCCACGTCAACCTTCGCTGTGACTAAGTGTAGGTTTCTTTCTTTATAACCTTTGGCAAGTTACAAGTGAATCAAGAATCAATAACTCTTCATTCAATAATCTTCAACTCACATAATCATGCTTGCCCGTCTCATAAACAAATTTACCCCCTCTACCACTCCATCTGTGCTCCTTGTTGTTGGCAACTTTGGTGCCACAATTAATGTTCTTCATCTCCTTCCCGAGAACGGCACCATCGAACGCTTCAGCATTACATCCTCCAGGACCACCTTCCGCGACGGCGGAGCCAGAGAGCAAGGGCGCGAGCAAATCGGCGCGGTCACACTTCACGTTGGAGATGGCGAGACTGCGAACAGCTTCCTTGATGACGTTGAGACACGAATCCGCAAGCTGCGGAATGGTTCCCTGGGCTCGAGCCCGGCGCAGCTGCAGACAGACAGTATTGAGGTGACTCAGCTGGTGCAAGAAGTCCTCCAGCCCGCGGCGCTCGATGCGATTCACGAAAGAGAGACTCGAGATCGCTCTATGCGCGCGACGCAGACGTACCCTGTTTTTGTTGTCTACATCATACGCTCGAGGGCAGGGAGGATCCTGACTGAGCCGACGAGTTTTCCTCAATGAGTTCCCATTGCGCTCAATATACGAATAGTAGGTAGTTGTGGTGTTTTGAAATAACATTACATGCATCACAGGAATACATTATCAGATACTCACGCACAGTTGCACGACCTCGGCATTCACGGTGCTGATTTGAGGATGCATCATATGTTTCTTGGAGTAGACAATGTTCGAGCCCCCGACTTATAACATGCCTATTGATACCCTCGTTGGATTGATAGAATTCTACGAATAGATAGGGTTCGAATGACTTCCTGTTCGACGATCTCGATCTCCACATCAGTTAAGTGAGAAGAGAGAAATCAAAGATTTTCATGGAGCATCTCCATCCATATTGGAAATTGTATGGACTAGAAAAATTCCCGACTGGAACAGTCACAAGTTGTGTGCGTGGTCGCTGTGTTGAGCCTCAGTCTGGTTCCATTCTACATCTGGCTTCTCGAACCAGCTTAAGCTTCCAGTAACGAGCGTCGAGAAGAATTCTTCGTGGCGCGTATGGACAGCTCTCGACCGAGATATCACGTCTAGCCTCGACTTGCTCAAGGCGTGCTATTTATGGGAGCAGTAGATCCCCTTTTGGGATAGGCCTCACCGAGCTGCATTATTATCAAAATAGTAATAAGCACTCTCAAGCTGAGAGTGACATACCTTCGAGATTTATATGGCTGCCTGGTATCGTTTCAGGGGCATTCTTTGATGACCTCGCCTTGCTCCATCTGTATATGGCGTTGGTGATCGCACGAAATGTTCGAGACGAGTATAGAAACGAATCCCATGGCTCCAATAAAAAACCACCAACATGTCACTGGGACGCTCAGAGCAAAGCTTGGCTGTTGGACGATGGCTTCACTAGCGCCCAAGAAGGCAACCCGCACGGTGACGCTGCTATTATTTCTGGGGAAGCGCAAAAACAGACTTCCTGTGTGGCTGGCCAGAACGCTCGCCCCAGTGTTTGGCGGAGCATTCTTCTGATGAGCTTTGGTACGGAGTATTATTACATAGTAAGATGGTCGAGAGTGAAACGGAATGGAATAATAAAAAGAAAAGGTTCTGCTTGAAACGCGCCGGATTATTCACCTTGGCGGAATAACTACGTGTTTCGCCCTGCTCCGCCACAGCATACACTGGACGATCACAAAGTTCTTTCTGTCTTCCAAACCACTTGGACTCTGGACGATACGCAGGATTCGTTTCGACCATTTCATTTCGTCGCATATTATTGGCAATGATCCGCCGTCTGGGACGAGCTTAGAAGATATCTTTCTGTCGCTGGTTTTCTCTGTTCGCATCGAGCTCACCGCTATGGACCGTCTACCGTCCAAACTACCATTCTCTAAGAAGCGCCTAAGGGCGCGCGTGGTGATATCGTGAGTCTTTATCGCATCTGTAACGCTTGGTTTCTGAGCTCGATGGTCTTGCTAATACTTTGCGCAGATACATCGCCGACTATGTCATTATTATGTTTGTTCTCCCCCCCTCCTCCGCCTTTGACCGACTTGCGACCACCTGCTGCTTCAAGCATCCCTGCCACGGATCTCAAGACTAACAGCGAAATCACCGCAGCGCCTGCGTCATAGGCTTCTATATCCTCGATGCGATCGAGCCGTTCCATCAGCACTTCTCCCTGCGAGACATCACGCTAATGTACCCATACGCCGTACATGAACGGGTGCCCATACAGGACGCGATATTGATCTCCCTCGTTTTCCCGGCGGCGGTCATAGTGATATACACCCTGTTCATCGATGGCCTCTTTTCGCACAAAAAGCCTTCCACGACGTCGACATCGGGGAGGAGGAAGCTCTCGGGTACATACAGGTGGAAGGACAGACTGTGGGAGCTGAACTGCGGTATTCTGGGCCTGCTGCTGTCGCAGGCCATGGCGTTTGTTATCACGCAGATCTTGAAGAATGCCTGCGGCAGACCCAGGCCGGACCTGATCGATCGGTGCAAACCATCGGTCACTACGGATCCTACGCCTCTCACTCTGTCCGACTACTCCATATGTACCGGCGACAAGGCACTGTTGAAGGATGGCTTTCGCTCGTGGCCGTCTGGTAAGCTCCTTCTTGTGTTTCTCGATGGGTGGATATGAAAGACTAATCTCGATGTATAGGACACAGCAGCTGTAAGATTCCGTCTACTTCTGGCGATGGTATGATTCATTGTACTGACCTCGATAGCCTCTTTTGCCGGTCTTTTTTACCTGTCGCTATACCTTTGCGGTAAACTGCATGTCATGGATAACCGTGGTGAGGTCTGGAAGCTGGTCATCGTTGTCACTCCCCTGATCGCGGCGTCGCTCATTGCTGTCTCCCGTATCATGGATGCCAGACACCACCCATTCGACGTGATCAGCGGTTCGCTTCTGGGTGTCTTCTGCGCCTGGGCTTCCTACAGTCAATACTTTCCTCCAGTAACGCAGCCGTGGAAAAAGGGCCGGGCGTACTCCATCCGCACCTGGGCCACTGCTCCTATTGAACCTGTCGCTCAGATAAAGCCGTACGGAGACAGCAACGTGGCGCTCCGGAACCCTGATGAGGAGCGATTGGAAACAGGTGTTTACTTGCAGCCGGAGAGGTCCAACGATCTCTCGGTGCCTAGCGGAGTGTCTGTCGCTCCAACCCCTCCTGCATACGAGAACAACCCCTTTGGGCCCGGTGCCTATAACCGGCGACGCCGTGAGGGGGATGAATACTCGTCTTCCTCGAGTGAAGATGTCACGGACGGATATGAGATGCGCGAAGGCTATACCCGAACGGCCAATTATGCTGGAACCGACCAGGCCGCCCGGTACGAGCCTGATACGACGTACCATTCTCCGGCGTTTCAAGGGGATCATCTCGCGCAAGCGGATCACTTGGGCGCGCGCCCACTCACCTAACCCAGCGCATGAGGAGCTGGTTCGATTCTCTGCAAGACCTCATGATGAACTTCTCTTGGACATGTGTGAAGATATATCCATTTCTTCTCCTGGATGTGATCAACGAGCATTGTCTTGTTGTTCTATTCTGTTCTATGACGACTTGAGCCTTTCTTCGCGGGCTGTTGCCTCTCTTGATCGAGTCCTCATTTCAATCTTGCATCATGTTTCGTGTATGTTAAAGATTGCAGGTCGGTTATTGTTTGTTTCTCATAAGATGAGCGGTAGATTTGTTGCAGCATTTGGATACAATTATCATATACCCCCTTGTTGGCTTTCCATCTGATCTCCTTGAATTTGAATAGTAGCCGTGTTCCTTTTCATTAGACATTGAAGAAATCCCAGCTTTTCTCATCCTGCGAGGAAGATGGACCTGTATACTACACAGTATATACCGCTGCCTTAATTCAAGTGGATACAGAAAGATGTGCGCTCTGTAAGAGTATGCGCTGGACAATACCATGTTAAGTACCTATACCACGCAATTAATATTCTTTCAGCTGTCTCTGCATCTCTTGTAACCAAGGTAGCTCTTCTTCCGATGAATAATCCATAGAGTAGTATAAAGATCGTCTACTAATACCTAATACTATTATTACCCTCTAATAGAGGGCCTCTATTAAGAACAGAACACCAACCAAGACCCACTTCTACTTCCATCAACCAACGATACCAACATCATCATAGAGCCGTTATTGGGATCATGTACTAAAGCTAGACTAGCTATGCAGAGCCACTAACTACCTATCTAGGTAGCTGAGGCTAACTACGGAGTAGGTACCTAAGGCTAAATAAATCTAGGGGACATCACGAGCAATTCAAACGGTCAGTTTATCATCATAATGGACCGGGATGATGAGTAGCCGATTATCACCCTAGTAACCCATCGATAAGCAGCTGTACTCGGAGTATCTACTCCGTAGCTTGTCTATCTATGAGATATTTTTAGTTTTAACTAATCCTCCCACTTGTGTTACGGGAAATTTCTGGTAACTTTGTCTGCCGCCCATGGTTCACGGTCGGTTCGGGTGGGTTTGCGCCATGGGAGGGAAGAAGAAGATAATAATAATCAAAATAAACATGTACATGTCATCGACACCCCGAGGGAAGCCAAACTAGATACTTAGATGGCTGGGAAGACTCTAGATAACCAGGTTGACAGTGAACGGGCCAACGGCAGAGTCCCGGACAACCAACCCCCCGCCATTTCGCCCAGCCTCCTCGTAAAGTAGAAGAAAGAAACACAATGAGGGGCGATCGCCGATTTGCACCCTGTCCTGCGAGAACAAAGGGCGTTTCTCGTCTTTTCTTTTTCTTTTACTCGTGATCGACTGCATATTTCTCTTCTTTCCTTCCTGCTACTGCTGGATCGCCCCCTTGCAGTCTGCGTCGTCGTGGTCTGGAGTCTCGAACAACTTACATACTTACATAGAGTCCCCGCCTGGGTGTACTGCTCTACCATAGTTGCGCATTGTGCAACGAAGGAGATACACCATCGCACGTCGCGGAGCTCTGCGATTGCGATCGCAAGCTATCTGAAAGCGGATACATTCATTCCGCGGTCTTGCGCATCTTTTTGAGAGGCAACCTCTGATCATCTGGGAGGTCCGACGGGAGATGAATATCTAGACAACGAAACAATATCCCATCGTCAAGTAGAAGAAATCCTCACCCATATCATCAGATAACCGCAAGGAAACTCGAAAGAAATAAATCATCACGATGATCGGCGCTCTCATTTTTATCTTCTGGCGGATCGTAGAGATCGTCTTCTTGATCCCCATCATTGGCATGATGGTAAGTCTTTTTCCTACTTCTATAATATCTCATACCACACTCCACTCAACAAAACTAATCACATTCTACCACCTACCCAGGCATACTTTGTCAATGGCTTTCTCAACAATAACCAATTAACGCCAGCCTACATCCTCGTCCTCTTCATCGTCAGCGTCGTCGCCGTGTTCTGGGCTCTCGACACCACCATCCGGTACAGAACCACGCGGCGCTCCGCGATCTTCGTGGCCTTTATGGACCTCTGCTTCTTCGGCGCCTTTATCGCCGGCGTGTATGAGCTCCGCTTCATCGCCAACGAGAACTGCTCACACTGGGACGGCGGTTCCGTCATCGTCTCCCTCGGCCCGTTCGGGTACTGGGGCATTGAGACACACAAGCCGACGGTCGATCTGAACAAGACCTGCGCCATGCTCAAGACCTGCTTCGCGTTCGGAATCATGGAGGTCATTTTCTTCTTCTGGACCGCTCTAGTTGCGTTGTTTATCCATCGTCATCACCGTGAAGAGGAGGTCGTTGTCAAGGAGACCGTCCGCCGGAGAAGTCATAGCAGTCGTAGGGGCCATTCGTCGCATTCGCAGCATCGCAGCTCGAGTGGAAGGAGACAGCCCTACGTGGTTTGATTTCATCCTTCTTTCTGTGGATGAATGCGTGGCTGGTCTGGTCTCAACGACCCAGCCTCCAACCTGTACTAACCAAAGTGCAGAACCAGCTGAGATACGCCAGGAACGAATTTCATTACGATGTGACACGACACATAGTTAACTGCCTTTTTACCCACACAAGTTCAGGAAATAGATCTCATACCGACGCCAATCTTGGAAGAAAGAAGTACAAAAAAGGAAGAAAAAAAATTAGGACTTAATACCGTTCTGGATACTCCCCGTGTCTTGCTTCTCACTACACCATACTTGGACTGGAAAACGACCGAACCCGATTCGATTCTATATTATACCGCGCTTGAAACTAACATGTCAAGAGCGCAGATATGTTTTGGACTATTTACGCATAATGCCGGGAGGAAATCTGTTTTATGGATATGGATATGATATCAGTGCCAAGTGCTATGCCGCTATTTTATGATTTTATGTCATGTACCTGATGTATGTATGTGTGAATGTATGTAATGTAACGAGATTTAAATGAACAATTATGATTTGGACCAAATTTCGAGAAAGAACTTGTGGCATCTTGTTAAGAGTCGAGGTTAGTATATTACCACCCTTTGAACAACACGCGCTTCAAAACAAAATATCTTTCGCTGTTTAGTTATGCATGTATCTCGCCTTGGCAATAGTGATAGTAGGATTCAGTAGTGATCACTAGATGTAGAAGTGTTTACTTCGTGTTAGAGAACACTACTGTATGTATCCATGTACATAATCTATACATATCTATTTTTAAACCGTCACGTGTCTTGTATGCCTATGTATGTATATAGTTCCCCCCTCTCCTAGATATACCCAGGACAACAAGAAAGGAACTAAACATTCCCAGCTCAAAACTAAATAATCATCAATAACACTTATTCCCCGCCCTCAAACCGTCCGCCCATCAAACAATAATACTCCTCGACATAAACAAGCTGACTACCTACCTACCTAGACTAACCGGCATCCGGTAAAGCACGGCCCCAGCGATGATGATCAGCATGAACACCACACCCAAACGTAATACTAATAAGATTAATCTGGAATAGATAGGGGTCCTCTCCACATATATAGCTCGAGCTGACGTTTACCTGTAGTATCGCTCATACTGATTTCGGCATGGTGGTTCTCCTGAAACTGGAATCAGCAGGGTCGGATCCGAACGGAAATAGGAGAGAAGGAATATGGTATTAGTACTAGGTAGGTAGGTAGGTAGTTGGTTAGTTTGATGGTGCTGGAAACAGTAACTGGTTATTTAATAACCAGGGTTGGATTTCATCATCAACTTCCAAGTTATTGTTATTATTTAAGTTAAGCTACTGGAATAGAGGAAAGGAAGCAAAATGATCGAATTACCAACATGGACCTTCATCACATACTGAGATCGGGCCGTGAATTATCCCAGGATTACAATTACAATTACGATCACGAGCAACAGACACAGACACAGACGCGCGCTGCGAGATCTCAATCTGAATCTGAATCCTCCCCGCCATCAGAATCTCACTCGCCACCATCATCGTTGTTCTCCCAGCCGCCAACAATGCATCGGTTCCCTACTTCCTCATCTACCAGCAGACGGCGGTCTTCATCTTCGTACTTCTCATTCGGGTCTAGAAAACCGCGCGCGTTCTGGTCCGAACAGGAGCAGATTCTTATTATGCGATGGTGTCTGGGCCACAAGAATCATTTTGCAGATAAGAATTACACGAAGAGGGAGTTCTGGAATGCATGTACTGGATGGATGCAGCGGAGGTTCGGCAGGTTTATTGTCCGTCCGGACAAGTCGATTCAGACGTGGGAGACGAGAAGGCGGAAAGAGATTGAGATGGAGAGAGGGACTGGGGTGCCGTTACCCAAGACTGAATGGAGGGGGGTTATGGATGAGTGGTTGGAGTTTCTTGGATGCGTCAAGATGGATGCTGGGGAATGGGGGCATAATAATGCGGATGCGGTGGACGCTACCGTGAAGAAGAAGAGGAAGAAGAAGAATACGCCTAGGTTGGTTGTTGAGGAGTCTCGAAATGAGATGGTAGACGCCATGGCAGAGAGGAGAATTCTTGAAGAACACGGTCTCATCACGCCGTTGGGGACGGTTGTTTGTGACTCGGGAAATATTCGCAGCTCCCAAAGTCCCAGGACCACGATACCGGCGGATCCTGTCAGAACAGATACCACGGAAATGGAAACTGGGCCTTGCAGCGCGGCGGAAAACAACAGCTACAGTCACGAAAGACCAGAGATGAGAGGATCCGAAGAATCGAACGATATCCCGGGAGGAGAAGATTGGCCGCTTCGGATAGACCTCGATGCGGAGGGCGCAAAGTGGTTCGCGCTGAGTTACATCATTAGGAACGTGGAGATGCTGAGAGACGAGGTCGGGGAACTGGCAAAGATGCAGAGGCAGTTAGCAATCATGGTGGAACAGAAGATAGAATCGAAGCCTGATCGGTAAAGAGCACCGCGTCAACAGCTGACCGTCAGTCCTGTGATGTCAAGAAAGCTGTCGACCATATCAGCACTATTAATACATTTCTAATACAAGCATTTGAAGGCGCATTTATCATCTTATGAACCCTGTCTCGTTGCCGACGAGGACAGTTGATTGAGGTCAGGTCTTTCCTGTGACGACATCCGAAACCCTCTACGCGTCTTTCCTACGAGTCATAGGAGACATGTCCGAGGTTTTCTCCAGCATGAGCGTTCCAGAAGCCAGCTATACTTACAAGTTGAGGTGACTGAATTGCGATCCGTCATTCGTCAACTGCTACTTAGGAGAGAACATAGATCTGCAAATTGGTCTTCGACCCTGCACGAGAGGACCGAGATAGGCTGCATTTGCTGGATTCAAATATGAAGCAGGTTAGTTGAGATGACGATAATCTCGCGGTAAGCCCTTACACCATAATAAGGCGGACGCTGGTATCAGAGCGTCTATAAATATTAACAGAGGCGGGAATACCCTTACATTAGGGAACCCTGGCTCGATGTACACCCTGAGGTCCGCACGTAACAGCAATAGAAACCGTAGTTAAAATGTCTATATCTGATGAAATTTCTGTCCTTTACTTTCCTGGGTCTATCACTCTGGAGATGGATCATTTCAAGAGAACATGGATGATTAAATTGCAATGCGATAACTATAGTTAGAGTACTCTCTGCACTATGGTACTTCTATTATTATAGATTCTCCCAGAATTGTCTTTTTTTTTTGTTCATTTTGCCAAAGCATATAGCGTTTTATCATCAGGACACTCATCAAATAAATCTGGAGTCATTGGGTCGATGGGGTCTTCGGTATCAGAAGCAGCTACTATCCCCCACTCTGTCTAGTCGAGACGCGGTCTAAATCTCTTTGATGGATCAACCTTTTTGGCATCCAGCTGAATGAGACCCAATGTTAGTGCTGTGTCTATATATATATATGTGTGTGTGTACGTATGAGGAATACGTACCATCTGTCCGATTTCTCATCCCAGATTATGTTATTTCTTCGCGGATCCTCGTGGTCGAGACCATAGGAGATCACTTGATGACGGATCCTGTAGATGAACTTGCAAAGATAGAGAAGTATTTGATAGCCATCGTGTCGCCAGTGGACAAGCAAGAGAAGAGAAACCCTTTCTCGAGACCAAGCGTCAAAATATTTAGCCCGGTTAAAAGCAAGAACTGATTTTTGGCTTTACTGAAGTTTTTGCAGAAATATATATATATTTCTTTGCTTCGCTATCCACTCTAGTTCTCGATATCGAATGACTTGTGATAAGTAAGCCCTTAATTAAGTTTATTTCTCAGGGTAGAAAATACTTGGTGCTAGGTGAAAATTCAGTATAATCTATTATGGAATATACCGCCGGGAAGATCTGTAGTTGTGAAGATGCTTCGTTGGGGTATTTGAAATTAACAATATCTAACGCGTGCATGCTTGTCTATGAATTGTGCGCATACGTATCAATGCCGAAGGTACTTGCATAGATATCTCTAAATAGATCTCTTGATAGGTTCGGGCGCGAGTCAGCATGATGGTTTATTCGACATTGCGGATAGTACACTGCCAGTTGGATGTCCAGATTCGACGGGATTGGCATTTTTTCAAGAGAAAGTCGTCGGGACGCTTTACAGCAGTAGGACTGCAAGATCGGCTCCGGAACGATGGATGCAACTGAAAGACAAAAAGAAATTGGTATTTCCTCGGTACGATCTATTCGACAGACTCCCTGGATCTCAAGAAAAATCATATCCCATTTCATGATTCTCTCGAGATGACCCGAGGAGAAAGATAGTGGAACAAGACAAGAGTACCTAAGTGGGTTGTTTTTTCATCAGGATCTTCGACATGGAAAAGATTGCTCGCCGAATGGTCCTGCTGGACGCCAAACAACCGCACTTTTCCGTCCCTTGGAAAGAGAGCCAGCATCTGGAACGCCCTATCCATTATCTCAGTCCGTCCCGCTTTCTTTTCTTTTTTACCAGGTTGGTTTCGCTGCAACAGTAAACTCCAGTCCCGGATCCAGTTCCCCTACACCGTCACCCAACAACCCGCTTACGCCTCAGTGATGGCACGGCGGATCTGAGCACCACGCTGGCGAGAGGTCAGACGGGGCTCACGCTTGGTAACGGCAGCCTTCTGGACAACCTCCTCACCCTCGGTAAGGATGAGCTCGATGTGGCAGGGGTTGGTCATGTAGGGGTTGATCTGAAAATTTGATTAGCATGCGGTGAGAAACCAAGCGGGCTAAAATGATCCACATACACGACCGTGAGCACGGTAGGTACGTCTCCGACCCTTGGGGGCCTGGTTGACCTGGATGTGCTTGACGATGAGGTTGCCGGTGTCGAGACCCTTGGTGTCGGCGTTGGCCTCAGCGTTCTTGAGGAGGTCAAGGAGGAACTGGGCGGACTTGACGGGCCAGCGGGCCTTGGAGACACCGAAAGGCTTGCCTGCAGACAATCATATTGTCAGCAATGCGAGGTCCCAGAAAAACTTGGTCGTATAACCCATGATTCCCGCGCCTTCGTAGCGAAAAATCAAAATTCCACCAATTCACAAGTCTCATATTCCATAAAGATAATGGCGGTTCCCCCACTGATTGCTGCATCCAATCCATCCATTCCATCTGAGTTCCCGCTCCAATCCGTTCCACAATTGCGACCTTGAAAAAAAGAATGTAGTCACTCACCCTGGGCAGTGCGACCAGTGCTACCGGCGTACCGTCTCATGGGGATAGCCTCCTTGTGTGCGATGACATTCTCGAGGTACTGAGTGGCGCGCTGCAGCTTCCATCCGTTGATGGCCTGGGCGGTTTCACGGGTGTTCTTGAAAGAGACACGCAGGTAAGAGCCCCGCGAACGGGCGCTCTTTGCGGCCGGAATCTCCTGTGCAGCGTAACGGACCTAGACGAAGCACAACGGCGCATCAGCTATGGCTCTTTTATTTCCTTTTCTTGTAACGCATTGCGGTGGTGCATGTGCATGGTCGGCAGGTGAAAAATCGGGCGTGTGCGCGAAACATCCAAAGAGTCGACGATCTTGCTGGCAATTGGGATTTCGACACGACGGATCATCGGACGGCATGCAGGAATTCAGAATCACTCACCATCTTGAAGAGGTTGCCGGAGAGAGATGGTCCTCGAGGTCGGGTCAGTGGTTGTCGCTTTTCGATGACGGGTCGGCCGCTGGAACTGGAGATCTCGAAGTTGTCTGGTGTAGTGTGCTTTTTCGCCTTGGCACCGCAAGCCCTAAGCGAGCCCTAAGGCTAGCCCGCATTGGACGGTCTCCACCGGGGATGTATTGCCGGGTTCACCGCCCGGCAGTACTTCACTGACTTTCTCGAGCTTCAAGTTAGTTACTGGGCTATTATTATTATGTGATGCCGACTGAGACACTGCGCTACGTGCTGAGCGATTATTGATGATGCAGATCATGGATGAATTGCTTTTTCTAATCTCTGCTGGAATTGGATAACTTCAGGAACATGCTGACATACTGATCACCTCCTAACTTAGGTACTGCGCACTTACAACGAGATAAGATCATGTATTTGGGCAAGTTATCCCGGCGTACGAAGCACTTGGCTCCGATAAGACTGGCATGGCCTCACGGAGGCCATTCTCTCAGAGAGACTCTCTTGAAACCGATGGCCTTCAGGGACGCTCTGAGATTGTCTGCAGTTCTGTATCCAGAGTACTTATCAGATCGAAGCACCCTAGATTTCCACGCAAATCTGATACATGATTACGACCAGAGTCTGATACTGATCTGAATTAGGCGGGCTCACATATCTTGACCTATATTATTTAGTCTCAAAGTTGAAATGGCTAAACTTGTCGAGCAAGTGGACCTGTCCAACACCAAGGCAGCGTATTATGCGCCAGTTACTGTCTCGAAAAGCAGCAGCAGTCTGATTCACATGTCTGGCCAGCCTGGCACGAGCAAGGATGGCCACGTACCCTCAGACTACGAGTCACAGATTCACCTGGCTCTGCTGAATTTGAAGAAACTCATTTACGCTGCGGGAGCATCCATTCATCATATTGCCAAAATCAACATCTATATTGTCAACTACAATCCAGCAGAACGAAAACATGTGCGCCACATTCAACGATTCCTGAGAGGCCATCGTCCAGCGATGACTCTGGTGCCCGTTCAGCAGCTCGCCCTCCCGGAATGGTTGATCGAGATTGATGCCGCTGTTGCCGGTCCATCCACTACTCTGGTCCCGGCACCACGGATGCCAACTTCTCGACTCCACTCTGCTGAAGTCATAGATGTTATAGTTATAGGTGGCGGGCTATCCGGCCTTACGGCAGCTGAGAATGTTCTCAAGAGCGGCTTAAGCTGTGTGGTTTTCGAAGCCAGAGATCGAGTGGGTGGTAAGACTTGGAGTTCACCATTAAACATCGGAACCGGCGTGGTCGAGCTCGGAGCGGCCTGGATCAACGATACCAACCAGAGTCGCGCGTACGCCCTGGCGAAACGGTTCAATGCCGAACTCATTCTGCAGAATTCGAACGGAGACTGTGTTCTTCAGAGCTTTGACGGGTCCTGCAGTACTTTCCCGTACGGCGAACTTCCACCGTTCGACGAACTTACCGTCAAGGACGTCGCTGCGATCCGAGACACTGTTCAGGCGGACTGCTTGGCCGTTGATACATTCCAGCCGCGAGATACTTATCTCGACTCACTCACCTTTGAAGCGTACCTGCGTTCCAAAGGCGCTTCAAGGGAGGCCCTCGCTACCGCGACGGTGTGGTCACGGGCAATGCTTGGCCAAGAGCCTCGCGACATCTCGGCACTTTACTTCCTCAACTACTGCAAATCTGGTGGCGGGCTGCTTCAAATGCGCTCTGATCGGAAAGATGGCGGGCAGTACCTGCGCATTCGTCAGGGAACCCAGTTCTTGGCCAAAGAGCTCGCAGCAAGGCTGCCTGAAGGTGTAGTACGCCTCTCCACCCGCGTCAAATCTATACGTCAGGTAATCTCCCGCGCCGTTGAAGTCCATGTCTCTGGACAGGATGGACCACGTGCCTACATAGCTCGCAAGGTCATCTGTTCCGTAGCCACGCCGGTTCTCAGGACGATTGAGTTCTCGCCGCCGCTGTCACTCGAGAAGAAGATTTTAGTAGACTCAACCACGTACGGCTACTACACCAAGGTCTTGCTGGTCTTCAAGTCTCCATTCTGGATTGCAAAAGGTTTCTGCGGCTTAGCGCAATCATTTGTTGGGCCTGCTTCGTTAATCCGCGATACTTCCAGTCCTGAGGATGACAAGCATGTGCTGACTTGCTTCCTCGCTGGGGATTTTGGTCGAGCCTGGGCTCAATTGCTGGCCGAAGAGCGCAAAAAGAGACTGCTACAGCAAGTCAGCACATTGTTCAATGAGCCAGAGCCAACCCTTCAGGGCAACCTTGTTCAAACCCTCCACTACGATTGGTTGACAGATGAGTTTGCTGGCTGGGGTTGTCCATGCATTTGTATGGGCCCAGGCGTGCTTGATACGGTTGGTGACGCGCTGCGAGAGACATCCGGCGATGTGCATTTCGTCGGTACAGAGACGGCTGGTGAATGGAAGGGTTACATGGAGGGAGCCATCCGTAGTGGAGAGAGAGGGGCGACCGAAGTGCTGGCAGACTTAACTAAAGACTCGGCTAGACTGTAATATGCTCGGGCGGCATATCAGATTTAGATATTTACTGTCATTCCAGTTCTAGATCTACAACCGGGCATAGGGTTTAGAATTTGTAAGACTCTATTTTTACATCTTGAACTAGTTCAACTGATTTCTATTTATCTGTAAACTTGATGTTAACATCAAATCTTAACGTTATTCCAACCACATTGTATTTCAGTTGTCGATTGACGCTGGGTTTGCTGTAGGATACAGATCCTGAAGCCTCCAGGCTAGCCAGACGAACTCCCTGAGGCAGCACAACTGTTCAGCAAATGCCTTAACCGTAATTGGAAAGTGCACAGGAGTGCTTGCAGATGTAGTCATGTATATTGACTGCACTTCAGAACACATCCAAGATCGGCAAGTTGTTGTTCGAGTCCGAATCGGTTTTGGAAGAGAACGTTTACAGGCTCCACACGAGTGGGCAAGATCATGATTAATCAATGTAGTGATACTTCTAAGGAGCTCCGTCTTCAGTTTCATGACGCGGAGCTGGAAATAACCGCGGCTGCTGTAGTGGCTAGGAAGATCAAGGGATCTGGCGAGGGTAGCAAATATGGTATTGATGGTTACCTATAGCCGAAAACGGCGGGTTTGGGCAACATACGGCAACCATATATGTCAAACACTGTGCCTTTTGGTAGTATCCACAAGAAATCCAATAAAAAGTTCATTTATAACCCCAGACCAACTTGGGCTTGAAATGCTTCCAGTGCTTCGTACTCAGCGACAGAGTCGCTTATCTATACACCTACCTACTCACGGCTCATAGATCACCCCGATTCTAAAATGATGCGAATTATTCAATTTATCCTTGGCAACATGATGCATTCCAAAACTTTTCCTGATCAGCTAGTTAGGGTTTTTGGTACATAAGATTTCATATTGCCGTTTGGTTATATCTACTACTCAGTTACCGTTCCATTTGCCGTGTTCGTGAAGTCCTTGGGGGCGGGGATTTCGACTAGACCTCTCTCTTCCTTGAGTTTCCACTGAAATGCCTTCAAAATGTTGTATATGACCCTGAGCGTCGGCATCGGGACACCCCTGGCGGCACCTTCTTTTAGGGGCTCACCGACAATAACCTCGAACTCGCAATATCGACGCTGTGCAGAATCAGTTATTACATCTTTATATTTGCCGACTTAGCATCTCAAAGCTAGAACTTACTTTTCTGATATCCACCAGCATACTGGGTGGATTGTACATGGGAATGGGATCGAGACGAATCATGAGCTCCACCAGCTCAGCAGGCAGATCGTGGCCACAAGCTTTGGCCGCGGTCCGGATCTCTTCCATGGCTGGCCGAACCAGGCCATCCAAAGCGCCATCAGCGAGTTGGAGCCTTCCAGTATCAAGGCCTGTAGCCGCACAGATCGAGTTGAGACAGGCGTTATACATCAGCTTGCGCCATCTCGTGAAGCCCACGTGTGGGCTGTATTCCGGCTTACATTTCCCACCAGCGCCGTATCTAGCCACGAAGTCTTGTGCTGCGGCATCCTCGGCCGTGGCATCTAGAGATGGGTTGCGAAAAGCACCAATATATAGTTCGTCGTCATCTTCGTGGACTATTTCGCCCGGCGAGATCTCGTGGGAGCCACAGAAACTCACACCAGACAATACAACATTCTCAGGGTACGCTTTGATAACGGGCCGCTCGATGTTAAGACCATTTTGAATGAGCACAATGTTGGAATAGCCAGGAGTGACGGCTGGACGAATGATATCCACCAACGTCGGTTGTACATCGGGCACATTCTTTGTCGTACACACGATGTACTTGAATGGTGTAGTTCCCTCCTGCTTGATGTCGGGCACTGTGTTTCTAACTGCATATGAAGTCAGCGATAACATGTAACGAGCAGATGATTTCGGGTTGCCATGTGAGCATACTTGCGGTTGGGCGAAAGTTCTCAATCAATCCGTGATCAACAGATCGAATGTGGAATCCCTTGGCCTGTACGGCATCGTAGTTGGACCGCAGCACGGCAGTCACTGTAGCTCGTCCGCCAATCTCCAGATTCAGCGCCGAAATGGTGCCTATACCACCACAGCCAACAAGAAGAACATTCGCTTTGTCAGCCATTTCTTTTCATATTTTCTCTTTTCTTAAATCCGGATTCACTTTCGATCATTTTCCCTCGCTATCGTCGAGTAATTTAAGATGGAAAACAATATGAAGAAAAGCCGGCTGCTCCATGGTTATCGCGGTTCCGGGATGACTTGCCTCTTTACTTTATCTCCTATCTAAAGATATCGGCTCTCTAGAGCACTCACCCAACTGTCGCACGGGATATTCTGCTCCTTAGGATTTTTAACAATCCAGTCAATATCCAGAGAGGCATCTTTTACCTTGGATAATAATACTTGATAGAATCCATGAGGCAAGGATTCCCTATTGAAAGAGACACAGCCACGAGATGACTTCAGTTACCAGAAGAAGAGGGACAGCCGCAGCGCAACGCAGTCGGTCTATGGGAGGATGCTCCACCTGTCGCGAGCGACACAACAAGTGTGACGAGACGCGGCCTCGCTGTCAAGTTTGTGAACGTCTTGGTCTGGAATGTGCTGGCTATGACGCCCGCATTTCCTTCATCTTCGAGGGCTGCGAATCCACTGCCGACTGCATCAAGGATACTGCGCACAATGGCCCTCTTTTTCGCCGACCCCTCTACACCGAGCTGGGGCGGCAATCGATGAGCGAGCAACTCATTCTGTCTTGCCCGCGGACTGTTAACGAAATCCTCTCGCTGTTGGACTTTGAAGGATTCGAACGCGACGAGCCAGCTCCACGAGATATCGACATCGTTCAAGGACCATTCGGTGTCTTCAGTCTGGAAAACTCGGCGTCTCATGCGGTTGACCCGGCTTCCTCTGACACACCCTCAAGCTCAATGACCCCGGTTGCCCCAATTGATCCCTTTGCGGCGCAAATCATAGAGACAGCTGTTTTCTTGGACCGTAATGAGTTTCTCGGAGATGGCGTTGATCTCGAGAGTGATAAGGACTTCTCTTACGAGGAATTGTCTTCCCCATTAGACCTATTATGCGACCATCAAGCTGATCAGGCGATGCTTACATCCGAAATCGATCTTGGGAATGGGGATATCTGGCCGAACGAGGCGTTTACGCCGTCATTACCTATGTCCTCTATCAGTCTTGTGCCTCCCGATGCTACGTTCCTACTGTCCCACTACCGCGATGTCGTCATCAACTTCTTGTCGCCACTGCAGTATAGAAAAAGTCCGTGGCAAACCATGTTTCTTCCGAGTGCCATGAATACTCTTGCTACTCTAACTCTGGGTAAATCTCCTAACAATGCTAGCTTTTGCATTTTCAGTGCTATCCTTGCTACCAGTGCATCCCATTTGGGAAACACTGTATTCGCAGCTGCAAACCAATATTGGAATAACAGATCAGAACGTTACTTCAGCATTGCCCAGCAGAGTCTGAAGCTGGCATTGAAAGACGAAGCCCAAAAGTCCCCACCAAAAAAAGCAAAATATAAGGAGATACTGATGACTCTGCTATCCATGACAACCGCTTCCGTAAGGACCACCTAGAAGCTTTGGTTCTGGGCCGGAATACAGTCAAGGACTAATCATTAATCATATATGTATAGATATTTAGCGGTCTCTGGAAGCACACTAGGTGCTACCTCCTTGATGCTGAGAAACTCATTCGTCAGCGAGGACTCCCAAAGCGACACAAGTCTCGCAAAGTCAGACTCTTGCACCACTGCTATGCTTACATGCGAGTGATGCACGAGACGACGGTTTTTGCTTCCGCTGAGCAAGAGATTGAGTCTTCACAACCGTCAGAGCGATGCGTAGACAAGTCTCCTTTACGAGTTCAGAAATGGGATGGTCGATTGGACCAAAGGCTTCTGATGAATAAGGAATCTGACCTTGGAGAAAACGATCTTCTCCTAGCCGTTCCTGGTCGATGGGATTCGACGTTATACCCGTCTATGTACGGCCTTCCTGAGTCTTTCCTGGTGATGCTATCCGAGACATTGAGACTCGCAAATGAGAGGATCACCCTACAACGAACTCCCAACGATAGTAAACTGACATGGAAACAATATCTATTCCGGGCCAAGATCCTGGAGAAATGCGTCTGCAGTTGGGAACCGACAGTGCCCGGCTATCCTGAACCCAATAATACCTCTATATCCGATGCATTGGGAGCTTTAAATCACCGACTGGTCGATTGTATGCTTCATGCGATGCACCAGGCACTGATTATTTACTTCTATCGCATAATTCACGATATTGATCCATTTATACTACAAGACCGTGTTGCGGAAGCGCTCGAGTACTTGCTTGAGTGGGAACAACTCAAAGAGGACGCAAGAGAGTGTGCGGCCCCTTTCGCATGGACAGGCTTTATAGTTGCGTGCGAAGCACTAGATCAGGCAACCCAGGAAAAGTTCTCGGCCTGGTTTAGCACCTGTGCCAAACGGAGTGGGATCAAGACATTCCACGTCGCTCATCAGATTGCACAGCAAATCTGGACCAGAAGACAAGAGGCAAGTGCGGCTAATGTGAGCTGGCCTGAGCTGATCGAGCAAAAGTCGCCACTATATTTTATCTGAGTTACAGAGCCTTAGTGAATTACATCATTCAATGGCCCAAAGGTATATCCATAATTAACACATAAGCTTTATACAACAATGAAGCTAATATACTCTGAAAAGGGCGAGGGACAGCATTTCTTTTCTGCTTGCTCTCATCCTCCAATCGAAATGTTCATTGAAGAAAGTCGCCCCCAGAGACAGCTAGTTCATACTCATAGTCTGGCTGAAACTCGCAATAAACTGCCTCCTAGAGGCACTGTTAGCTTGAACTTTTTCGGGAATGGGGGAAAGGAATCCCTACAGGGTCAGTTGTCATTTTGAACGTAAACTCGGCGGCATCCCGATCAATCAAGACTCTTGGACTCCCAGCAGCGGCTGCATTCTCCACCTTGAGCTGAATCTCACAGCTCCGCTCTGCCAGAGTGTAGAGGTAGGCAGCCTCGTCGACGGTGTGGCCCACAGTGAGGAGACCATGGTTGCGAAGAATAAGCAGTTTCCCTCGGGGGCCGAGAGCAGTTCCTAATCGTCGTCCTTCTTCTGGAGTCAAGACTACACCCCCGAAATCCTTATACACCGCTTGGGCATCCCCGTAAAACATGGTGACGTCCTGGTTAATCATCTCGAGCGGCCTTGCGAATGCAGACCACGCCTTGCCATTAACTGTATGAGCATGACAAGCGGCATTTACGTGCGTGTATCTCTTGTGTAGTGCGCTGTGAATCTGAAAACCAGCCGCGTTTGCGGGCCGAGATCTGTTGCCGCCTACTACCTCGCCGTCATGGTTTAACAGAATCATGTCTGAAGCCTTGATGAGGCCGAAATGGATACCAAGCCTGGGATAAGTTAATTCAGTGAACCTCCAATGCTGGAGGAGAAACTCACGGGTTGGTCCAGAAGAGGTTGCTATGTTCGGGATCTCGAAGCGAGATGTGGCCGCTCATGCCCTCTGTAAATCCCTTGCGAGAAAATATCCGGAAGGCTCCTGCCATGTGCTCAAGCATCCAACGCCGTTTCTTGTCCATGTCTGTAAATGATGGGATGCCTGGGAGCATCATGCCTTGTGATATTGCTGCAATGCCGGTCTTTTCAACGGGATGTTGTAAAAGTTTGGCATCTTCAACCAAACCAGCCCTCTTCTTGGACTGAGTAGTCAAAGTTGGTGTCGCCGTCGTCGTCGTGGTGCTCATTTCGATGATTGTGGTAGTATGTTCCCAGTAACTCGGAAATAGAAACAAAATCAATGTCAGCGCAGTGTATTGAATGGTACAAAACAGTCTCAGAGTAATCCCAACCGTATCGGACACTCATCATTCATTATATATGTGATTGGTGCTCCATCACACAAGCGACTAAGTAGGCTTTCTGCTTCTATCGCCGGTTCTGCTTGCCAATCTTGTAAAATGGGGAGCGGACCAGGCACGCGTTTGCTTGCAATCGAAGGCAAATGTCTAGAGGAATTCCAAAAGATAAGGATTCAGAAAGAATTGTCCAATAAGGTTACTCTAATTCGATCAGATTCCTTCACCTGGACTGGGCACATCGGATCACTCCGTATGATGCTAGGTTTCTTTTTATTATCAACCACGATGTTAGTGAGCTACCTAATTAGTGCGTTGTTTCTTCGGCTCAGCTATTTGGAAACACGGGCATTAAGTACAGGTGTTTTCCAGTTCTGCGCATATTTCCTTACAGCATCCACCAACTTGGTATTGCTTCCAGTAAATACGGATGATAAATCAAACCTGTAATATAAAAAGCTTGATTTTTGTCTTGCCTCTGTGGCTTACAGATATAAGAGATGTAAATGTGAGCACTCATTAAGTATGTGATGTTTACTGTTTCCGATCTATGGTACGGCCATCATCCTACAGAACTACTAGTCGAAGGACTACTGCAAGAATGAAACAGCGACATACAGTTTTCGGATATATAGATATTGTGCTGTTAATCTCATGTCCATCTTGAAGAGTGACGTATGTACATACATACAATGTCTCTCTCATGCTTAATCCAAATCCTCATAGTATTGAGCCTCGTCGGGCTTCCATCTACCATTGATAATATGCATAGGACTGACGAAGTCGATAAAGCCCAGATTCGGAGACGAGATATTGTACCCAGTACGAATTTGCTCCTTCTCCGTCCACGAGCGAACCTCCTCCGTGGGAAATTCGAGGTAGAAGTTCTCCTCTGCACGGTGCGTACCGCGACAGAAGAACAAGCCGTGCACTGGACGGTTGGTGCTGGTGCTCTGATTAGCGCCGCCAGCGTGATACATGGAGCCTAGGAACAGAAGCGCTTCGCCTGGGACCATGGTCGCCCGGGAGGCTTCTTCTCGGCGAGGAGCACGCTTGTCTCCCCAAAGGTGGGAGCCAGGTAAGACCTGATTTTGTTTCTAATTAGTCCTGTTTGGTGTTTTTGGGGGCGCGGTGAAAGGAAAAGCTCCGCTTGTCAACTTACCAATGTGGCACCGTTCTCCTCTGTAGATTCGACACCAGGGACCAAAAGCGACATACTAACGTCCGAACCCAGCTTATAGCCAGTGCTGGTCATGTCCTCATGGTCAACATGATGAACCTTGTCGTCTCGATGGATGCGTTGGCCAATGGCTCCTGGTCTGACATCAATCGTGGCCGCTGTGGACAAGATGGGAAGGGTTGTGTGCGTGGTTGGTACATCATCGTAGAAAATAGTAGTGGTTTTGGACAGGAAATGGTTTAGGATATCGAATAGTCTATCGCTGCCGACCCATTCGCGACGAGCTGTATTGCTGCGGCCTAACAGTCGTGTGCAACGGCGGGTCTCTGGAGGGAAAAGCTTGCCCTGTTGCCGTCGACATGGTGAGCTAGGAAAAGAGGAAGTTTCGGCAATTTGGCATATACTAACTAACCTTCCAAGGCTTGTCGTTATTCAAGTAAGGCTCAACCTCCGAGTTGACTTGCGCGACCACTTCGGGAGTCGTGAATCCAGTCAGGATCACACCACCGTCCTGTTCAATTGTAGAGATGACCTTGTCAAGGTCGTTAAAATCAACACGACGAAGACTTGCAGGGGCAATGGCTGAAGGCATGATGATAGTTCCTGTCCACAAAAACCAAATAAATAATGAGACTCGTCGTCTTCCTTATATCAAATTGCGATGCAGCAAGATACCTACGTAGTATATCAGTCATTCTTCTTATCTCTCACCATACCGGTGTAATATCGCCCTTTGCGTACGCTAAAACAGACCCAACTAGATAAGAAAATCATAATCGCCCCTCGTTAATGATTGATTATCAGCACACACCAATTCATAGTCTTAGGAAAGTGTCCCCGGTCACGTGGAATGTAGACATCTGGAGGTAAGTAAGTAACTACCGTTCACTTCGTTGAGAAGAATTATAGATACCCGCAACTTTCTAAGAAGCTTCAAATTAACTATGCTCGGCAGCTTATCAATGATGGGACTAAGACCGGAACCAACCGAACTGCTGCACCGGTCGCTTCAGGAAGCCGGGTTTAGTTATGGATGTGGTCACTCAAGAGTATGATAATACGCTTGCTGCTCCGCAACTAAAAGAGAAATCATAGTAGAGAATCTCAGTTACAAGGAATCTTTCTGTCCTACAAAGTACTTTTGTCGACCCGAAGCTATTAATAACAAAGGCCGTTTCCAAATCTGTGAGTCCTGGCAGTCAGACTGCCGAAATGGGAAAGTAGTCCGCTAGTACACCATAATCAACAGTATTCCGTGAACAACGCTGAGCATAAAGCAGCACCCCGTCCGCCTAGAATGGGAAGGGAAATCATATTTGCTATCTAGGTGGTCTAACTAGCCCGCGAATATAATGCTAAATAACTGCAGGGAAATATGAAGACCCCAGATACTCCAGCATCACGTCCCCTTCACCGAAAATCTCTTAAATTTCAATTGCCATTTGCCTCATTGCTGAGCTTCTTGTTACCTACTCTTCTGCTCCGGCACCTGGGTGATCAATTCTCCTTTCTCCACCGCGGAGCGCAGGTTGTTCAGCACGAGCAGTTCCATGTCCTTCTGAGTTTCATATGTCATCGTTCCGATGTGAGGGAGCAAGAAGACCTTCGGGTTCTTCAGGAGTCCCTCTTCGACCTCGGGCTCGTTCTCGTACACGTCCAAGCCTGCGGAGCTGACCTATGCGACGCTTAGCATAGATTCAACCTTTGTCACATCCAAGATTTGACGAGTCATACCTTTCCAGATTCAAGTGCCTGGACAAGTGCCTTCTCGTCAATGAGCGCGCCACGTGCAGTGTTCACGATAACAATGCCTTCCTTCATCTTCTGGAACTCCTTGGCACCAATGATATGGCGCGTCGACTCATTGAGGGCGAGGTTCAAACTGAGGACATCGGAAGTGGCCAGTAGGTCATCGAAGGACACGTACGTAGCGCCTCCCTCTAGTTCGGGAGAAAGCCGTGAGCGGTTGTGGTACTGGATCTTCATGCCAAAGGCTTTTGCACGGTGGGCCATTTCCTAGTATTATCTGTCAGTAACGCTTGTCGCAATATTCGTTGCATGATAAGATCTTACCCGACCAATGCCGCCCATACCCAGGATCCCCAGAACCTTGCCCTGAGGATCATGGCCGAGGGTGGTCTGTCCTTGCCATTTACCTGTCCATCGCATGTCAGGTATTGGTTGTCTGGGGTGGACTACTGCTGTTAAAGACACCCACCTTCTCTGATTGCGGAAAGAGGAACATAAGCATGGCGCAAGGCACCGATCAGGAGGAAGATGCCGACATCTGCTGTCGCGTTGTTGACCGCCACGGGAGTGCTTGAAACCGAGATACCTGGGGGACAGGACAGCGATTAGTATGAGTTCCTGGTTGGCCGCCCCAGCATCTCCGGTTTGTAGACCGCAGACTGCGAAGAAATCTATAGACAAAAAACAAAACAAAACAAAAAAGCCTCAATGCCTCACCTTTCTGCGAGCACGCAGCAATGTCGATATTGTCGTAACCAGCTCCGTTATGGCAGATGTACTTGAGAGATTTTGGCAGAACCGATAGGAGCTCCGCATCAAAGGGCCCCGTTACCTTCCGCCTGCTGTTAGCCCTCCTGGAGTTCCATGTTCTCGACTATTCAGACCTTGTTTGAGGCATTGGATCTGTAGATGGCAACGACATCGTCGTACTGTCCGCTCTGGCAGTTCTTGATAAAGTCATCCCGGTTCCCATCAGGGTATTCCTGTTCCTTTGGGTCAGCATGTTCCTTAGTTTCTCGACTGCATTCTGGCGACCTCACCTTGAGAGTCAGGGTCGAGGAGAGAGCCTCCCACTCCTTCCGGGCGTGGGTGATCTTTCCGATGAGGAGGGCTGCTCGGGACGACATCGTGAAAGAATATTCGAAATGATGTCACGCGGGGAGTCCAGACAGAGGATTTCAAAGGACGGGTGAGCTATCTACCGCCACGACCCAGGGATAGAGGAAGATTGTGAAGCAAAGAGAGAGAGGGAGATATTGAAGGAGAAAACAAAGATCAAGTTGTATTCAAAGAGAGAGCAATAAAAGATAGCGCAGGGTATGGACGGGGAATCGCGTCCTCCACGAGTTTATCCATGCCTGGCCTCGCAATCCTCACTCTCTAGTGTCGCATCAAGTCCGCCTTTCTCGTGAAGACCTCGTCCAATTCCCGGACGGTTGGTGAGATCGTTGAGGACAGCTTCGAATATCCACTATGAGTGGCGGACGGTTGCGTGGGGTAATAATTAGATGGACGGCGTACTTTGCCCCGGATCTGATCTAACTACTTTACGGAGTTTTTATTTTTCAAAACCTCTCAAGCACGTCCTCTACATTCATCTCTTTTTAATTATTGTCTTGATCTCTCACTTGCAACCACAATATCAACACTGCAATTGTTACCGACAATCCCCGTCGACCAGCAAATCTGCGGAACAACAGTTACCAGACGGGAATTACATTAGCCATATATTTTACCCAGCGGCTGATCATTAGTTAGAGTATTATCATCTGTAACATTCAACATATTTCCGGAAACACTCCGAGAGGTTTAACCATCTCCCATTCATTACACCTGATACCGACAGATACCGACAGATCCAAGTCCAACTCCGCGCGGATTTCGATAGCCGACAGAGTAATTCCATATTACTTACATCCCTGCCAATGCAAGAAAAGAAAACTCGGAAACCAGATGATCATGACATATTACATCTAGCATACAATCCCATTGCTGGATTTATTCGTTATCCCTGATAATTACAACGGTGGATATATTATTCTAGAGTACAGACTTTTGTGTATCGCTCACTGCGGGGTAACAAAACCACCTGATTAGCCACCCCCACGTTGTCCTATACTACTTACTGTTTCAATTGCCGATGCGTAAATTACTTACCTATCTGAGCTTGACTTCTTCTAGAGTAAATAGCTCAGATGGATTGTAAATTACTACTCTGTACTGCTAACTAAATTGAGCTCCACTGACACAATCCGTGTGCTTCGTTTTCCACATCACATCACTTTACTTACCTACTTGGTTACTTACTCATGCTAGCTAATTAGCACCTGATCGTGGAGCAGCAAACGGGACCTATACCTATGCATTCGTTCGCTCTTCCTTCTTTGTTCTTGTTTGCTAGCTAGCTAGTTAGCATCTTTCTCTCACTTGCTTGCTTGATTATCTATTTATCTATTTCGTGGGGAAAGGAACAGGACAAAAAGAAAAAGGAACACTAGCGAATACTTATTGTGCAAGACAGACGGAAAGGAAAGAAGTACTACCAACAATGGCATCCACCACGACAGTACAAGGAAGTAAGCCTTCAAAGGCGCTCGTGCTTCATGGTGCTAAGGATCTGCGCTTGGTATGGATACCCCATATTTTGTTCTGCTCTGTTCTGTTCCTCTGTTTCTCGATTTTGGGATCTATGGTTATCCTAAACTCCCCACGCGAACAACCAATGTGATGTGCCTATCCGTTGCTTCTTCAAATATCATATAACTACATTTCTTCTTCTTTGATGGATATTGTTACTATACGTCTACAAAAGAAAATTCTAATCATCCCGTCCAGGAGTCTCGAGAGATCCCCTCACCCACCGGCTCCGAAGTCCAAATCGCCATCCGCGCCACAGGCCTCTGCGGTTCAGACCTCCACTACTACAACCACGGCCGCAATGGTGACTTTGTCGTACGCGAGCCTATGTGTCTGGGCCACGAGTCCTCCGGCACTGTCATAGCCCTCGGACCAGACGTAACGAGTCTCGAGATCGGCGACCGCGTCGCTCTCGAAGTCGGCATCCCGTGCCGCAAATGCTCCCTCTGCAAACAGGGCAGATACAATATCTGCCCGGACATGAAGTTCAGAAGTAGTGCGAAAGTATATCCGCATTTCGATGGCACGTTGATGGAATTCACGAATCATCCTGCTGAGATGTGTCATAAGTTGCCTGATTCCGTGTCTTTTGCTGGTGGTGCGTTGTTGGAGCCTCTGGCTGTGTGTCTGCATGCGATCAGGAGGTCGCATCCGCCTAGTAAGGAGGTCGTGAAGCTTGCCAGTTCCCTAGGTGAAGAGACGGCGGCGTTGGTCTTCGGAGCTGGGGCGATTGGTCTTCTTCTTGCTGCTGCGTTGGCTACGTCGGAGAATTTCACGAGGATCATCGTCGCGGATATCGATGCCTCGAGACTCAAGATTGCGGAATCGCTTGAGCTTGGGTTGAAAACGCACCTTATCACACGCTCGTCAACCCCGCCTCCGGCTGTGGATGCTCCGCACGCTGAGCAGGTCGCTTACGCGCTGGGAAATGCTCAATCTCTCGCAAAGACGCTGAAGGAGACGCATGGTGTTCCCCAGGGATTTAGCCGTGTGTACGATTGCACTGGTGCGCCTGCATGTGTGCAAGGAGGGATCTATGCTGCCGCGGCAGGCGGAGTTGTCGTGCAGATCGGAATGGGTCATCCTGTGCAAACGCTCCCTGTGGGAGCGGCTGCGTTGCGCGAGGTCGATATCATCGGCGTGTTCCGCTACGACGGATACGCATACCCGGCTGCTATTGCGTTGATGGCGAGTGGGAAGTTCGGCATTGTCGAGGAGAAGGTGGTCACGCATCGTGTGCAATTGGCTGCGGAGGGAGGGGGCGAGAGAGCCTTTACCTTGGCTGGGAAAGGGGTGGATGAGAAGGGCGCTCCGGTCGTGAAGGTGATTATTGAGAGTGGGAGTGCTGATCAGGTGAGCAGATGTCCAGTGCTGCTGTCCAGGCTATAATGATAGTTGTTGTGGATAAGATTGATTATGCTAATGGTGAACTTTTACGGGTTTAGCTGTAGAGATGAATACGCGGATTGTACAGCATTACTGGAGAACGAGGAGTTGATGTTAGGGGCGTTGAGTGAGAAGAGTCGACTGATTGTAGCAGTTGCTTGATGTGATGACTTATGCGATACTCCATGCTCCATGCCATACCACCGTGACGAAATAGAATAATGAGATGCGATCAAAAGAGCAGATTCCGGGAATGAACATGGAATGGGATGATATTCTATATCCAGCGGGTATTAATTGTTCATTTTAGACCGCCAGCTAATAACAGACTCTGTCCGGTCATATATCCTGTCGTGGCGAGCATCGTGACTACATTGCTGGTGTACCGAGTCTGCCCAAGGGAATGCTGGCCGCAACCTCTGGGATTGCCTGTGCACCGGGAATCATGCCAGTATCCCCAATCATGGCTGGAGCGACGTCGTTGACGCTGATGTTGTGTTCTGCTAGGCGGGTTGCGAGATTCTTCATCATCCCGGTCAGGCCGCCTTTTGAGGATGCGTAATCTGTATTGAGCATGCCGTTTAGCTATATGTACAGTAGGAGCAGGGCAGGTCATGACTCACGACATCCGTTGATCCCACCGCCGTAGCCAGCTATCGAGGACATAAAAATGATCCGACCCCATCGCTGAGCTTTCATGTGTTCTACTACACCTTTGACAAGGATGAAAGAGGCGCGCAGATTCACATTGATCGTGTAGTCAAACTCTTCCAGAGAGATATCCCAGACCTGAGGGATCCGTTTGCCATAACCAGCATTCGAAACCAGGATGTCGGGTCGCTGGCCATGCTCTTTGTCTATCTGCGCGAACATTTCCTGGATCTGCTCCGCAGAAGCCACATCCAGCTGGTGCACGGAGATGCGGAGAGATGAGTTGCCATCCTTGGAAGCATGCTGCGATTTCAATTCATCCGCGAGAGCACTTATGGCTGCTGAATTGCTAGAGTATGTCAGGGCGAGATGGACTCCGCGTTGCGCAAGCTGGCGAGCACAAGCTGCCCCAATTCTGGATCCGCAGTCGTGCCGTCCGTCAGTAACAATATGTGGACACATTGAAGGATCGTTTACCCTCCAGATGCTCCTGTTATCAGGGCGAGGCGGCCCTTGATTTCATTGAGATCGGCCATTGGGTTCTGGCGGCGATGTTGGATGCTCGAGAGAAGATCGTAGAGTCAGACGTGATCGCCTGTACAATTGACCTTTCCAGCTACTGTCTGCGATCTTCAATTTCCGCTTACTCTTGGGCCTTTTTGACGGATATCCCGCACTCGTATTGTACAGTACCTACCAGGTAGGAGGGGCTGTCGCGGGGTAGTTCTCGGTTAAAAGTGTCCCGAAGGCAGCCCGCCTAGTCTCTCCCCGCAGTCCCCCACGGGGCTCTCCCCGGGTCAGCTCAATAAGCAGGCACTGTCAAACAAGGCAGTTGGCTCCGATGGTGCCTAGTAGCACCAAGATCGCGCTGATGATAGATGGACAGCTCCACGCGACCAAATCGATGGAGGCGCCGATTGTAGGCTCAGAAGGGCAGATTGGCGGACATATCATTGGCCCACGCTGGCGCTTGCCATAATGAACGTTCCTGCCCAGCAGTATAGACAGACGGGCTCTGGAAGGAGTCAAAACCAAGGATATCCGTTCCAGTCATCTGTTCGGGGTCAACGTAATCCCCAACTGCTTCGAGGTCAAGCCAGGAGAAATCGTTGGCAGGGCTGAATTGCATGTAACCCGCTTCAGGAACACTTGGTATGGGTGCAGGCACTGGAACATCATTGCTGAGGTGGGTTTCCTGAGGAGATGGTAGTGCGGTAATAGTAGACTTCGGTTTCCACAGGAGCTCTAAAAGTCGAGCGTATCGAGACCCAATGTCGTCGGGTCCCAGACTTGCTCGATTGAGCTTTTCTGTCGTTCTGCTCACGAGTTCTCGAACAACAAGTTCCTCTTTCGGTCGTAATACACCGAAAGAGCGGGCCTAGCTAGCGGTCAGATTTCGTGAAGCGGTTGGACTGCAGCACATTTACTTGCCTTGTATAGGAAAACGGCGGCATATATACCGTAACTATAGCGGAGTCAGTTGTAGGAATTTTCACACATAAAACGAGAAATCATACAAATAAAACCTCAGAGGCATATAGCGAAGGTGACGTTCAGGGTCCACGTCCCTGACTAGGAGGTTCAAATAGGCTTTAGCAGCGTCGACCGAATCATATATGAAACGGGCATCTTGCATCGATGAGAGGTTGCTGAAGGTAGTTCTGAGATGTTCTCTCAGTGGATGGACATCATCTTTTGGCTTGGACACAAGCGTCTGGGAGATTGCAGCTTGGAATGCAAATGCATTTGTGTAAAGCCGCAGGTACTCGTAAGACATTCGGAGTGTCGCTTTGATATGGTGGGAGCCTGTCACACTGTTAGCTCATCGTCAGAAAGAAAAGACCACAATTATCGTACAAGCCAAGTTGCCCCATTTTTGGTTCCACCGTAGGATGCCTGAGCGGAAGTCATCCGCATATTTAACGTAGTCTCCCATGAGCATCATCTGATTGCTCGTACGCATTCCAGAATAGAGGACATCATGTACGTTTCCATAAAGCTGAGTCAGGTCCAACGAGGCTTGGAAGATGTTCGCATAGTCCTCGTCTCCCTCATTCATGGGCTGCAGAGAAGGGAAGTCCTGGCTGACTAGCCCCGTCATCGGGCCGGGTCCTCGAGACCAGAATGCCCGTCCAATGCGGACTGATATCAGTCGATCTGAGATATAACAGTTGGCCCATGCCAAGCGCTTGCGCTCATCAGTTTGTGGATCGCCAGCGCAGTCGCCTCGAAACGATGTCCGGTCCAGACCGAGGAAGTATCCTGTGCGCAGTGCAAGACCAACGTGCATCCACGCTGCTCGATCTTCTTCTCCTCTTCCAACAGGCGTCTTTCCTGGCCGTAGCCCATGCGGCTCCCACTCCGCCAGAAGAAGTAGAGCCTCAACGGCTTCAACACCGCAGTCCGCACCGGCCGCGATTCCCGATATCAGCTCATGCATATACTGCGAACAATGTTCATGGATATCTGGGCGCTCCACGAGGTCTTTGGTAGCAATCGTCAGAACTGCTGTTAGTAGATGCTTCTCTTTTGTTGCGAACGTGCCCAGAGCGTTGCGGTCAAAGTACCTCCTTGGAACTAGAGGGAAATAAGGATGGAAATGCTCAGCATAGCGGCTCACCAGAAACCATACAGTCTCGGGGTCGAGCGAACGGTTTTGGACGAGCGTATACTCATTGATGCGACTCCTCGCATGGTAGTCCACTCTTTGCCCGTTCTGGGTCCCGTTTGTTGACGGGAGATCCGAGGAGTCTCCAGACTGACGGTCTTCAAGTCTTTCCGCATCAGTAGTCTCCGCACCTCGGTTGGCAACTCTGCTCAGACACTGCCATGCATCAGAAGGGTTTCTGGGGACCTCCTCAATCGCACTGTCAGCATTCGATGCAATCTCGTCATCCTTTGCAGTTGTCCCGTTTGCCACGGCATGTTCCGACTGGACGTAGACGAAAGATCCGGGATAAACAGGAAAGTGAGAGCGATCCGAATTGGGAGAACTGGATGTCTCCTCCAATTGCACCGTCGTCGTCGGTGTAGGCACTGCAGCTGGTGTGATGTTGCTGATCTTGTTCTTCCGGATACGACGCCCACCTCTGTTGGAACTGCCTAGGACACACTCGCGCTTGTCTCGTAGACAGCGCTGGCACGGTGGTGTTCCTGGATTAGGACTAATATCTCTGTGTTCTGGTCAGTAGCGCATCTAAGTATGGAAAGAATAATATTTTTGTCATGCAGAATTGCTTGTCTTGAGCGCGGGGTCTCTCGGCCAGAGCAGACTTACAGATCGCATCTCGACTTGCGCTGACGGCAATGCAAACAAGCTCTCGAAACGCGCTTCATCAAATGTTCTGCGCTCGATCTGGACTTTGGTTTGGTGGTCTTCTTCGAGACCGGACTCTGTCCTTCGGCAGCCATGGTTTTGAAGTATAATGCGAAGCTCACGTTGACCCCAAGGCGAATTCTGGTGCAACCACATTTTCCAACGTTGACGATCAAGCAGTGATTCTTGATGGACTGCTCAGCTCCTTTCCTTACCAATCAAAGAGACTTTTGAATAAAGGGCTCTCTTATGAATACACCTGTCTCGCTTTCCTGCAGGGTCGTCTTCAACTTGTCGCATACCAGTCATCACCAAGAAAAGAAAGTAAAAAGAAAAGAAAAAAAAGTAGTGTTTCTGCTGGCAACAGGGAGATGCCCAGCGCTTAACAAGGACAATTGGCATCAGATCAGACCAGGCCTTCCCCACAGCAACCCCAGGGTCTTCTCGCCTTGTCCTAAAGGGGATTCTGGGGTATCCGCGTGTGTTGAAGTGCGCGGCGTCCCCAGGATGTTCATTCGATTGGGCGCCCAACGCGGGGGCGGTGACGCTCTCGGGGCTTGTCCGTCTGACTCTCCCGGCCGGTCACAATCATGATACTCGAAGATCACCAACACAGACGGTGCCTGCCTATGGACCTATGTACTTAAGTGAATCTAGATATTATATCGCTAGACCAGATGTCTGCTTCCGTCCCGAAGGATCGTGTGGAACTGCGGCCTGGATTGTAATAAGGCTGGCTGTGAATTACTCTGGAAACTGTGCGCATTCTAGCAAGCATTGCTGATGATCAATGTGATAATTCAAATGGACTTATATGTTGAGATGCGTGATCGAGAGACTGGAGTTGATGGCGCAATCAATGAAAGATCAATTCGACGATTACTTCACGAAATGGGTTGACGCAAATGGAAGCAACTAAATCGTCCTGAAATCAAGTCTCTCCACGCTATTAAACTCCTTGAATGGGCCCAGCAATATCAGCATTTTCAGCCAGAAGATTGGACCCGCGTTAAATGAAATAATGAATGTACAGTACCCTTGAACGCGGAGCTGGAGTACGCCCATTTGGACCTTTCGCCCTCTTCACGAGCAACTAGTTGAACATAATATATAGATACGATGAATTGGGAGATCAGTTAAACAGATAGTTTGGGCAGCCTCTGGAGATAATATGAGAACTGGTTTCGTACCTTTCCTTAGAGGTTCAAATGCTGCACGAGGTCGTTGTTACTGAGCAGGGTCATTTCTTCCATGAGATAAATCTCTCAGAAGACTCTAATGACCCCTGACTTTTATTCCTCTCTCTTGAATGTATTCTGAGTCGATCTTGGCCTTCTATGGCTATTAATATGCTTCAGATAATAAACTGTTTAAAGACAAGTTTCTCTCGACGGATTCTATAAGTGATCTGTAATGGTTATGGAAGGTAGTATATATGCAAGATACAATCACGCGGCAAATCAAGCAAATATCACCGGGTGTTAAGAGAAAGCAACTTCATATTTTGCTCGGAAAAGATCTCTTCAGTTCCACGGATGACATAAAAAGACAGGTAGCAAACAGTAATCAGTCCAAGAAGAATAATTAAAGTGTGATACTGTGCATCTGCCATATATGTAGACATCGTAGTTCATCCTTGAAGCTATCGAACCCGTAACAATAAAGACTAGGCTGTGGCTCGCCAAGTAAGTACTATCTACTTTCATAGAATGGACAACGCTTGCCCCATTTAAGGCCTTCGCGACTTGATCATATACAGTACCATGGTGGATTTTTTCATCCTGGAAAACCTCCCACGAGCACATAGAATTTCACATGCTTCTTCAAAGGCTAAATACCCATTGCCACTCTCCAGGATTATTCTTTTCTCTCCATTCAGCCGAAAAGTCACTCACCAAATGTTGAGGACAGGTGCTTCGCTTCGGCTATTCCGATTACTCAATACGGACAATCAAAAGCCGATACATCAATAGCCGACGTATCCCCACCAAGGTTCAGTAACCGACAGTCGGCCAGCCGCAAAATTACCGTAATGGATCGATGTACTGTAACTTTAAATTACCGCTTGCGTGGGGGGAAGGCGTCGGCGATGGAAAATTCCTAATCTGACGACGGCAATTGAATGGCTTCGGTTTCCATGGGTCATTGTTGTTGTTTCTTCTATCTTGTGGAAACCTAAACTCTTTGCCCCACTGAGCCAGAAGTAAGGCCCGTGGGGTATTTTGTATGATGGATAATCACAAGGTCTTTCCTACTCTGAGAATTGGAGTCTCGGTTTTAATTTTAGTGGGAGCTATCTATGACTGCAGTAACTGCCTGATAGGCAGGTACAAGTAGTTACTTGTAGGATGATGTATAGCGGGGTAGAGTCGGCCGTTTCAACGATCTTTCTGTGTGAGATGCGGGGCACCGACATATATCCATAAGGAAGAGCTATCGTTTCGGGTGGGTATGATAGCTTGTTAATTTCTCCAATTGAGACATCTTCTCTTCTTCCCAAGTCATAGAACTCTGTAACTGTTACTGTCACTCACTGTCTTCCAGAGTGAGAAGTTCCTAAAAGTTCCAATTGCCATTGGAGTATATCCTGTCACAAGACCTTACAAGCTTGATCTCAGCGATTAAAGACAAATCACGCCACATTTGTCTGCGCAATTATCGAGTGTTTGCTTCTGACGTGACCACGCGAATACATTCTCGAAGGATATATATTTCATATAACCCTGCTGGCAGTAGATCGATTCCGTTTATCAACTTTCGATCCAACTACACGAATTCACAATGGCAGCTTCTCTTTTCTCATTGAGCGGTAGAACCGCTCTCGTCACGGGAGGAACAAGAGGAATCGGACAGGCTATGGCAGTGGCCCTGGCGGAAGCTGGTGCTGACGTTATCCTTATTCAGGTATGCAGGATGTTGTCGTCGTTTCTCACTCTGATTCCATGAGACGAGATGTTGCAATTGGTGTCTTATGGGATGGCATATGCTCGTAGAAATACAGCATTTGGGAAGCTTGCATGCACTTTGTACTTTATTTGTGGCAAGATAAAAGGAGCAAGCGACTAACAATTTCCTCAGAGAGACGAATCTAACACCGCAACTCGCGATGAAATCACCCGCCTAGGCCGTAAAGCTACAATACACGTCGCTGAACTATCGAACCGCGAATCCGTCAAGGGTATCATTCCCGCTCTGCAGAAACAGGGACTCAAGCCTGATGTTCTCCTGAACTGCGCCGGTATTCAGAGGAGGCATCCAAGTGAAAAGTTTCCCGATGAGGACTGGGATGAGGTTCGTTTCCCCTTAGTTTACTTTTTTTTTTTTTGGCGTCAAGGGTCGCAACTCGCAGTGTAATAAACTAATAGGATGGTGCGCAGGTCCTACAAGTCAATCTCACATCTGTTTTCACTCTATCCCGCGACTTTGGCGCGTACTTACTATCGCGGGACGAGTCTGAATTCCCATCTGGTCGTCGTGGTTCTGTTATCAACGTTGCGTCACTGCTCTCGTTCCAGGGTGGGATTACTGTTCCTGCGTACGCTGCATCGAAGGGAGGTGTGGCGCAACTGACCAAGGCTCTCTCGAACGAGTGGGTTTCGAAGGGTATCACCGTGAATGCGATCGCGCCTGGGTACATTGACACGGATATGAACGTTGCGTTGATCAACGATCAGAACCGTAATGCGGGCATCATGGCTAGAATCCCTGCGGGACGGTGGGGGAAACCGGAGGACTTTAAGGGAATAGTGGTCTTTCTGGCCAGTCGTGCAAGTGACTATGTTTCTGGAGAGGTTATCTGTGTGGATGGTGGTTGGATGGGACGATAGGATGCTGATGGTGGGATTATGCTCGAGGTGTAGCTTGAAGAAGCTCTACTGATTATTTACAAGAGACCATGATATGTATTCTATTCATGAAAATAGATCTATCTACAGTATCACGGTGTTATTACTATATGATAGCTGCTCATTGTTCCTGCCAGGACCGACCGAGGACCTATAGTAGTGTCTCGGGGGCTAATTTGACTCCTGCTTAATTTCTGTGAAAAAATATCCTACAGGTAAATCGATCATTATGTATTCCTCTGTGAGAATATGATCTCTGCGATGTAATGTTAACGATGGTGGCTAGGTAGCCCCGCGATGCAACCTCACTTCGTCTTTCACTTCTTCTGAGAGGCAAAGAGATTCTTCTGCTGTCTTTAGAGGGGGCCCGGCCATTGCTGTGAGATGTTACTAAGCTAGGCTACCATTGATATGAAGCTTGTGACTACTGCTAAGTGCGACACTGCAGACTCTGACAGCATAAGGGGAAGATGACTCGTGTTTATTTCTCGCGTGGCTGACAATATTACTCTGAATGCGAGGTAAGTAATAAGAAGGGACGCAATAGAGATCTTATCGACATACTTTTGCCGGATGGAAAAGGTATTATTGTTGTCGGACAGCCGTGTGCCATGTTGTGGATTGTTTCAGTGTTTCGAAACGAAATAAGCGCAGAGAACGACAGCCAACCATACGGTAGCCATAGCGATCTCGTCAAGGAGAAGAGAAACGACAACAGAGGTTTCAACTCTTGAGGGGTTTGATGCTGAAACGAAAGCCCTATATCGGTTTTAGGAGTTCTCTAGACCATAGAACTGACCTTATCTGAATCCATGGCAGTTTCCCCCCTTCCAGCTCTCAGGGCCATAAGACTCGATTATCGAGCTGTAGTTCAATACTGGCTATCTTTGTGTGGTGGCAAACTAGTAGTACTTGCGACTTGTTTCAACTACTTAGGTAGGGTTTAAGACAGTGATCTGGAGTTCTACCGATAGATAGGCTGGATCGTCGCTTGACTACAACGCAGGGGGCAGCTGAAGTGCGTGGTGGAAAGTTAAACTATTTAGTGGAAATAGAGAACTTGCGGCGTATTTGGGGCCGGTACAACGGGTATTGCGGTATGTACACAACATACTCGGCTAATACCACGGCAGACATCCTCAAATCGCTTGCAGCCACTGGAAGTTACTGGTCACCGCCGTCTTTCAGCGCGAGACGTGTGAATTGTCGTGGTCCAGTAGACTCACGGAGATGATGTCTTCCTGCGGCTTCGAAGAGCTCATCCCGAGAGCATCTGCTTCGGACCGTTCCTTTTCCGTGGGCTTATCTGCAAGGTGATTTTCTCACTCAGCGACGCTTAAATTACTGTTGGTCCCCTCTCTCTTGGCATCATATCTTCTCCCTCAAAAGGTTGCTAGACTGTCAGTATTGTGGCTCCTCTACTCCGTATTTATCCTGCTTGGTGTTCATCATTGTTGGCTTTTCCTCTTTGAATCTCTCCACTGCTGCCGCTTCCATGTCCGTCAAGCCCGGTGCCTGACACTTGAAGATCATTTCTGTTATGAATAAACTATCGCAGATTGAGGTTTGTATATTCTCACCATTCTTATGTCCTTGATGACACTAATAAAGTAACACTTGGCACTGGTCAGAAGTGCTAGACCTACAATACCTCTAGACTCCCCTTGTTCGCCAAACAACTACTGCTCTGGAATGAGAATTCCTGCCGCTCTTTACAGTGACCCCATTGTTTGGGGAGTCATCCAGTCGTAGCTCGTGAACCTACACAGCTACTATATTCTACACAAAGAAAAGGCGCCCCTATCAATAGGAGCTGGTCAGCTATTGAATAGGAAACCTCCGTCCATTTGTCCTGTGCCTGAGAATCGAGGTTGTCTGGCTCCTGGCACCCCTTGACTGAGCGGAGTAGATCCCCGCGTTCCTTTCGTTGTCCCCAACCACCTTGCATTCCATATCTACGCATCACAGGCACCATCTGCACAGTCTCATTTCTTCGATTACCTTCGTTGTGACGTCTTGAGTCTTTATCGATCAACGGGTCTTCCCGCATACCTTATTTCTACCAGTTTTCGCTTTGTCATTGACAAGCTCGTCTTGCGCTGGTCGTGAGCTCTGTTTTGGAGGAGTTTTTACATCACTGTCGTGTATTTCTACTGCTTTGGAGTGACAGGGTTCGATGGGCATCTTGTCGGGGCCACGAGCCTCCGGCCCGCACGGAACAAATGCGACCTACATTTTTGAATATTCCAGAGGACTGGGTGGTGTCGATGTGCCTCTCGATGTCCTCATTACGCGGATCATATACACCTCGTTGACCCTTGTGGCTGTCGTCGTCCTCTGTTGCCGTATCGGCCAGATGACCCTGGTATATGCCCGTTTACTGAGCTCGCTGACGGCCACCAGACGACAACAGACGTACTGGGGAGTCGAAGGGTCTAGACTATGGGCAACCATCAAGAAACACCTTCTATATGCGCCTCTGGGAAGCAAACGACACAACAGAGAGATTCAACTCTCGAGCGCGGTCAACATGGGGACCGTTCCGTCAAGATTCCACGTCATTTTGATCACGTTGTATGTCTCGAGTCAAATCGCCTATTGCGGTTTCCTGGACTACAAGGTCAACGAGAAAGCAGCCCTGATCGCGGAACTTCGAGGAAGATCTGGAAATCTAGCAGTGTTGAATATGATCCCCCTTTTCATTCTTGCGTGTCGGAACAACCCACTGATTCCGCTCCTCCATGTGAGCTTCGATACCTACAATCTTCTACATCGATGGCTGGGCCGCATTGTCGCGCTGGAAAGCATCACACACACTGTGGCTTGGGCCATAAATGCATGTGACGAACAGGATTTTAATGATATGTTGCACCGTCTGAGCACCACCCCTTTTTTTACCTGGGGTTTCTTGGGGACATGTGCAATGGCCTTCCTTCTTACCCATTCTCCGTCCCCAATCCGTCATGCCTTTTACGAGACGTTCCTACATCTTCATCAGCTCGCTGCTTTATTGGCGATCCTCGGGGTCTACGTCCATTTGAAACTGGACGATCTTCGCCAGCGTCCATGGATCGAGGCTGTCGTTGGGATCTGGGTCACTGAGCGCTGCACTAGACTGTTAAGGTTGTTGTATCTTAACGTCTCCCGGAAGAATGGCAGCACAAAGCTTGTTGTCGAAGCTCTTCCTGGGGAAGCTTGCCGTGTGACCTTCCATCTACCGAAGCGTGTCCACGTTGATCCAGGGAGTCATGTTTACGCTTATATTCCAAGCATCTCACTTTGGATGTCTCATCCGTTTTCTGTTGCATGGGTAGAACCGTTCAGCTGTGTGACTCCACCGGCACTCCCGCCAGCTCTGCTCAACCGTGAGAATAATGGGATGCTAAGTCCTTCGAGTATCGAAAAGCAGTCCTTTATTGATCTTGAGGAGCCTTTCGATACCCGCAAACAGCCGACAACGGTGTCATTGATCGTTGCAGCTCGAACTGGCATGACTCGCAAACTCTACAACAAGGCCGCTGCTTCGCCGCTGAAAACACTTCGTATTGCGGGATACATTGAAGGGCCTTACGCATCCCACCCTTCCTCGTTGGGCAGCTATGGAACTGTCGTCCTATTCTCTGGAGGTGCTGGCATTACCCATCACATGCTACACGTGCGCGACTTGATATTCCGTGCCTCAGAAGAGCGCGTGGCTACCAGACAGATATACTTGATCTGGTCTGTCCGCAGTACAGAGAATTTGGCATGGGTGCGCCAATACATGGACTCGATTCTGCAGATGCCGAACCGCCGCGAGATGCTCATTATCAAGCTCTTTGTGTCGAAGCCAAAATGTAATCGCGAAATTATTTCCCCTAGTGCAACTGTACAAATGTTTGCTGGCCGGTGTCGACCTGATGTGGTGTTGGATGAAGTAGCAGCACGGCGTGTTGGCGCAACAGCAGTTTCAGTCTGCGGGCCTGGCGCCTTTGCAGACGAAGTCCGAGCAGCTACTCGCCGCAGAGTGGGACACGGGATGGTGATTGATTTTGTCGAGGAGGCATTCACATGGTAGATATCTTTCCTCAGCTCAGCCCATGGTGGCAGGTTTTGTATTCTAGCTTCTTTTAACTTCCTCGTGAGGCACCAACAAAAATAGATCTGATTCTGTTTACACACCCAAACACACATATATAACCTTACTTTTCGCATTAAATCCTTTCAGAACATGGAAATCGTTTAAAACCAGAGCTAAAACCGACTCTCATCCATACAAAAAAAAAAAGAAAGAAAGAAAGAAAGAAAAAGAAAACCCAACCCGAAACTAATAGTTCAGTAACGGTATGACAAGACTGGGATTCGAACCCAGGACTCTCTCGAGAGCACGGATCTCTAGCCCGCTGTTTACAGCAGCCAAGATTTAGTTGTTCAAAGTTTTTGAAGATTTCAGCTTGAACGTGCCGCCTTAGTCCACTCGGCCATCTTGCCATTTGTTTGAGCGAGCTTTTGCCGATGAGAGATGATGTTTTTCCTTCTGTAAAATCCCTACAGATTTAAACCTGCTTAGAGCTTCTATATAGTTAAACCCCTGTATCCTTTATTTCAGAGTCCGTAAACATATATCCACGGTCCCCTGAAGCCCATATTTTACGGAATGGAAATACATTTCCCCGCAACATTTGAAAGCATCCAAACTCTTCTGAACGGCGGAATTTAACATTTGATATGATGTCCAGCAAACCCCTGAGTGTGGCTTGGAGCGCCAACCAGAGATTACGGTCCGCGGTTATCATCCACTGTCGACGAAGAACGAACATGAGATCTTTTTCGTATTCTCGATCGAATATGGGAAATCTACCACTCCTCCCCGAACTCTGCATGGAAAAGCCGAATGGCGAAGGTGATTTTCATGATATTCGTTGCATTTGAGTCAATTAAGTTAGTAATAGTGCGTTTTACTTAGAGGAGAAAATATCCGAAGAAGACCTGTATCGATATACCAAGCACCGATGGCTGTAAGCTAAGCTAAGCTGCGCAGTTAATGTTTACATGAAGAACTCATTTTCAACCGGAAACTCAGATTCAACGAGAAGAATGAGCTTTCAAATCGCTACGTGGAATTTAACTTGCAACAACTTATCAAGGTGGCTGTCAATACTTGCAATGGAGCCCAATCATGTACGAACATTGTCCCCTTGAGATTGCACGCGGGGAAGACCAGATCGTTGATTTCATCGAACAGGCATTAAAGTCACGAAATGCTCAGAGGGGTTATATAATAAGGCCTTCATTTTGACAATGGATAATGGATTCGAGGTCGTTGCGAAGCTCCCTAACCCTAATGCCGGGCCTGCACATTTTACCGTCGCCTCTGAGGTGGCGACACGTGAGGTGGTAAGATGATTGATCGATCTCCGTATTCTTTAAATCGGCTAGTTGCTAAAAGTTTTTAGCTTCGAGACATATTCAATGTTCCTGTTCCTCAAATACTCGCATGGTCTAGCGACACTGCAATGAACCCGGTCAAGGCGGAGTATATCATCGAGGAAAAGGCACCAGGTGTACGGCTGGGCTCAGTCTGGAATCAATGGCCTCGAGAGCTAAAGCTCCAACTGATCACCCAGGTGGTCGAACTCGAGAATAAGTTGACCTCTGTCACCTTCGATGGGCATGGCTGCATCTATTTCAAAGATGACCTACGTTCATTGATCGGGGACGTAAAGGAGATACATGCTGCCAATGTCGCGCCTGGGGCCCTTGAAAGATTTTCTATCGGGCCTATGACCTCAAACGAACTGTGGAAGGGAGCTAGGAGAGATATGCTTCTAAATCGTGGGCCTTGTAAGGAAACCGATGATGATATTCTCCTATTGACGCTAATCTGCTGGCTGGGTATAGGGACAGACTTCCGTGAATACGCAGAGGCATTGGGACGTAATGAAATGATATGGATTAAATCCCATGCAGTTCCTCGGATGAACTATTACCGGTCTAGCCAAAGCAAGGAGCTCCCTCAGGATGGTCTCGCACTTCTGAAGAAGTATATCAAAGTGGCTCCCTATCTTGTTCCTCCACCGACCGCCGAATCGGGATATGCCAACGTTCTATGGCATCCTGATCTTCACCTGGACAATATTTTTGTAGATCCAGGCACTCATCAAATTACACGCATTATTGACTGGCAATCAGCATGTGTGGCACCTCTGTTATACCAGTCTTGTGTCCCAAGACTATGCAGGCATCCTGGCCCTGTTCGGGAAGGCTGGACTGTTCCTGACAGACCGGAAGGGTTCGAAGATCTGAGCGAAAGCGAAAAGAAACGAATCGATGACGATTTGGAGAGCGAGACCCTCCACAAATACTACGAAGCCCAGGTGTGTAAGCGAGCACCTAGGCATTGGGAGGTTCTTCAACAAAAGGCAGTCCCTATCTTACGGAAACCTGTCTGGCTTACAACCGGAGCATGGGAAAATCGCGATCTCTTTTTTCTTCGCAAATCTCTCATGGAACTTATGGCAGATTGGGAGGATCTTTTCCCAGGCGTTGCATGTCCAATTGAATTCAGCAGTGAGGAAGTCGAGCTTCAGGCGAAGGAGCAAGAAAATATCAGTGGTGTCGGGCGCATGTTGACGTTGTTTCGGGACCAAGCAGTCCTCCCGGTGGACGGCATGGTTGACCCTAAAGACTTTGAAGTCGCCCGCGAGAATTGCAGCAAGTTCAAGGAAGTTTTTGTTCGACTGGGGAAGGATGATAATGAAAGGGAGTTGTTCCGAAACTTGTGGCCTTATCAAGAGCCTGAGGCCGGAATACTATCAGGCGCATGAGGTAATTATGCTACGCGGAAGATAATCTCTTATCTTTCTTAGGTCCTTGTGCTTTACTCTTTTTGGCCTTAATCTGTACTACTATTTTATTGTTAATAGCTTAAAAAGAAAAGAAAAAAGATAAAAAAAAGGCAATCGAGGGGAAATAGGCGGTATTGACTCGGCGAAGGATAACTTCCAGGAAAGAAAGTATCTTTCGGTCAAGTTTCTCAAGCTCCAGAAAGTCAAGGACTACTCCTGGCGGAGAGTTTATAGTATTTAGGACCTGATCAAGCAGGCATACGGCTTGCGCTCGGCGGCCAAAGCTGCTCACGTTTTGGGCCTGTATTGCGGACAGTGGAGGTGTATTACAACGCTCATGGCTGGATATATGTTCCTCCTGTTTCTGAAAAGGTATTAGGTCAGACGGTAGAGGCGCGTTCTTTCCTGGATATTCGGTCGTAGGCCTTAAGTTCCTGTGTGGAACCTCACACAAAACTATTCTGCGTTCATGTCAGTTTTCAGTCCATTGGGACTAGGGGCATAAGAATACCTTTCCAAGACCACAACGCCCCACCATATGTTCCTTTCCTCAGGGGTTCCGCGTATGCGCTCACCGAGACATTGCTGTGCACTTCCGATCCTGCTCCCCTTATCAATGCCAATGCTTTGAGCCATCCTTGAGCAAGTTGCCACAGATATGAGAGCCATCTCTGGCCGTCCACATGCGTACTCGTATGCAGCAAGGAGGAGACCGACTTGTATGAGGGATGGCGAAGCGCAGATTACGCTCTGAACATGGGCGAATATCATTCTCTCCATCAAATAAATGTCCTTTGATAAAGACCATTTGGAAGGGCTTCGGTGAGCTGCACTTTCGGGGGGAAATTTTTAGATAGTCGGACTTGACTTTGTATTCTCCAGCTGTCAATATTCCTCCTCGTATGCAGTTATCCACTAGCTATTCCTTCACGGATGTAACTTCTTCAGCTAGACAAGATCTGTTGATACCTTGTAGAATTACGAGAGGGGGTTTATTTATCACGGTGTTGATGACGACTGCTGGAAGAACGGGACCCTGCCTCAGAATGCGAGCGTGTTGGCTCGACGTACTTTATGGGAATCATTCGAATTGTTCGACGTATGCGAAACAGTCCGATTGCGGGGGAATCGGCCGATTAAGAAGTACGGGAGCACCTCCATTGCAAACATGGGATTGATGAAAGAGAAAGACGTGCGATGGATAATATAGAATCATCTACCGGGACTTAGAAAACAAAAATACTGCTCTGCGTACTCACGTCGGATCCTATACATCAGATCATATCAACAATGAATAAGGATATCACATGAACTAATGGGCGCCATTCTCAATCCAAATGACAAAGACCATTTGTAAAGGGAAAATCGAACAGTACACTATGTAGACGATGGAGGTATCACGGAGCGAAGGAAACCTTAACAGGGGTATGTATGCCGAGAATACTGAACATATCGTGAAAGGAAAACGGCGGGCTGTACAAACTGGCAGACAATCGCAAGGAATTAGAAGGACCAAAGACATCAATATCAAGACTCATAGCTGTAGCGCCTGCAAGAAAGGAAACTCTTTCATAGGCCTTCGGAAAGACTCATGCTGTGATTACTTCTCCCGGTCGAACGTGGAATGGGGTGCAAGATCTTGCAAGGGGTATAATGACGTAGATTCAACCACCATACGAACCAAAGCGGCATCATCGATCGATTGGTCTCACACAGTAGGCCATTCTCAGCGCATGGCACGAAGTGCTATGACAGTTATACTGGATGCGAGGCCAATGGCTGTCCGTAAAGACCCGACGAGCCAGCATGGGTTGTCGCACTCTCATAGGCCTGCTCTGGCTGGGAACCGTTGGCGGTCGGCATTTCCTGGGCATTGTTGTCTGCGAATGGGTTCTGCACCTGAAACTCATCCGCGTTGTATTCATATCTACTAGGGTTATCCGTAGCAGAAGCGGCCGCGGAAGCACCCGGCAGTTCAGGAAGTTCAGTAGTTGCGGCAGATACGGTACCGTTCTGTCGAGGAGGAACAGGAGGTGGAGGGACGGGTCGTGTAGTGTCTGATGACGAAGATCCTCCGACAGACTGTTCTCGCGGAGTATTCGTGCCCATGGCTTTGCGCGCTTTGAGGATTCCGCGTTGGTATATTGACAAGGCGACAGACAGCTCGTCATTGCTTTCGATCAGTGTGACAAGCGTGTCCTCATCCGGCGCCGGGTTATCTGCGCTGATGTATCCCTGGATCGAGCGTACAGCAGCTTGGCAGCGCTCCGCAAACTCCTTGATGAGATCGTTGCCGATAATCTCCGTTGGCGGCGTAGACTGGACTAACTGCTGGAGCAGGTTTGCGGAGTTTCTTGCCTCCGATATCCGTGAAGCAAGCTCATCCGCGGGAGGCAGAGTACGCTGGGGCTCGTGTTGAGGGAAGCGAGTGGGGTGTTGCTGAGGAGGAGCTTGCTGCACAGGGGCCTGCTTGGGTCAGCATCTGCGTGATGTGCAGGTAATCCTTCGAGAAACTCACCTTTCCAATTGATTTGTTGAACCTCTCCTTCTCCTTTGACCACATCTGCAGAAGGGCCTCCAAGTCCGGATCGGCCGCCCTCTCTGTCTCAAACGAATCCAGGGTCTCCCGCAAGATGTGCTGTACATCCAGACCCTTCCCCACTCTCAGCATATCTCGGATTACTGACACAAACTTGGCATCGATATTCCGCGTGAAGGTGTGGCCGGGGTTGTCGGCCAGAATGCGTATGAGCATGATAGCATTGTAGTGAACAGAGCTAGGCGGGGTGGTGGGCTTGGAGAGATATTTCCGTATTTTTATGGCTGCTTCTCTGGCGGCATTGGGACTCGACTCGGCGGCCTCGACTATCGCGGGCAAATGGAGATACTCCTCGTTTTGCTACAGTAGAAACCAGTCAGCAGGCTGTATAGAGAGTGCAGAAGGGCAGTTCATACTCCATTCCGGCCAGGCCCGCTACCTGTTTCGCAGAACAGTTTCTATAACTTGTTGCATCAGTTATTGTTTCCTCCTAAGGATCGCTCCATCGCGAACACCCACCACTTCCTTCAGCACAGTTGCCTCTGGCGAATCATCAGGGTACACTGGACTGCGCTCGCGACTCTGGCCTGTCCGGTTGCGGAAACTCATTGTTAGCATTGACTCTGAATGGAGAAGCTGCTGCCGGGATACGATTCCCCTGAACAAGGTCTGGACTTACTCGTACGCCGGTTCAACGACCCCAGAAAGCGTTTCATCGTGTCGACCGTTAAGTGTCTGGCGTGTTCTTCGATTGCGGAAAGCTGCGCAGCAAATAAAGCCCAGTAGTCTAGAGGATTTGCTGAAACGCAGACTGCCGTCGCGCGTTTGTTTTGCTCCAGGCAGAAGAGCTACTTTTAACTCCGGCGGAAACTCCGACGGCGCTCAGAAGCTCTCGAGAACGTGGGAGAGAGGCCAAGTGCTGTCCGACGCGTTCAACGCGCAAGCAGATTATCTGCTCGGTTCTTAGATGGAAGATGTCGGCCATCCATGATTTGCCCAGATCTCGTGCCAGATCAGAGAGGTGGCGCAGCAGACGGCGCGACGCTGATCGGTCGGGGACTTAGATATGGGCGTTTCATTGTCACTGATATTCTGGTGAACACCACCGACAGCCTTGCCAGCGTCGCACAGACTAATAATTGGAGCAGAAATCCAGGGCAAAAGAGACGCAAAAGTCCCGGATTAGAGTCGTCATGTTCGAGGGTAGCGGCACACGCTGCTTTCTGGCTTAAGAGCGAACATTCTGGCTCTGGGTCAATGTACAGAGTAGAGTACGCTTCGTTCCCAGACCCCGCGCTGCACTACGAGTACAAGCGAGTAATACGCAAGCACAATTGCTCCAAGCTTTCTCCGCCTGTCATGTCGATCACTGCGTTGAGGAGGGGAGATTATGCCATTACTGCCTGATCGCCCAGGCATTATTCTGCAGGTAACAGGCGAGCAGAAGATCTAACCCAACAAGTGAATGGTCAACCGTGTAGGTTTCCAGCATGGAGAAACCTACCTTATGAAGACAATATATGCAGGGATGTAGCGATGGCTACTCGAGTGAATACGAACATGACCAGCAGTGAGACAGAAACCATGGTAGCTAGACAGTTTTCCTCTCAAGACAGTATTATGATTACCAGATAATAATTGTGAAAGCACATCTCCTAGCGGTTAAGATGGAGAACATCAAGGAGGGTGAAAGGATAGAATATGGATCTAGAAGTGCTTGCACCACAGACATCGTTCGGAGGCTCTTAGACGGCGACAAGGCTGTCGCCTTCCAAAAATGGGAGCAGCTTTGGCATCTACTGGACACGGTACAGGCACAAATAGATGTTTCCATAACACCGGTTACGGAGCCTCTACACCATGTGTTAGCACGGTTGGTAGAGAAGACGAGACTGCTTTGCCATGAGAAGCTTCAAGACAAGCAAGCGCATCCTGGGAACCCAGAGCCGGTGATGGAGTTCATTCAACGACTGTCGCAGCTCAAGGAGATCAAGGACATGTATATAGGCCAGGATTCACCGCAGAATCCCCAGTTCCTGGCCTCGTACGATCGATGGACCCGGGAAAAATTACAAGAGAGATGGACGGAGAGATATGCAAGATCCCAGGAGCGCGCTGCCCTCCGGGAACGAGAAAGGCATGCGCAAACGGAGAAGAACCATGGTGCGCTGCAGGCGATACGTGATGAAAAGAGGGGGCTTCAAAGACGGGTCTTCCAAGACTGCGTCACGGAACAGCTATGTGAAATCCAAGAGGTGCACGAACAAACAGTAGCAGCCGTCACTCACGAGCTCGACGAGACCATCGTCCTCTATACTCATCAGCTAGGTATTCTACTAGAAGAAGATGTTACCCCGTCAGATGCAGTTTCTGATGTTATCGATACCCGCATCAACATCGCAGAAACTCTCGTATCTGTGCTGGAGACTATTCAAGTCGAGACCAACACCCTCGACGTTCTCCTCGATTCCATGGGCCAGCGTATGAGGAAGATGTTAATGCGAATTGACCGACTCAACGCAGGCGATGTCCAGAGCGGACCGGACCGAGAATGGGAGCAGCAGCGTCGTCTGGTGCATCCCGAAGCTATACGATACATCCTCAAGGCGGCTCAGGACGCTGAAGACATCTGCTCAAAAGCCAAGGACGCTAACAAGGCTATCACCGTGATCGACGGCCATCTGGCTCGAATGTTGGGCCATGCCAAGGATCGATGGCGGCCTCTGGAGATGCAGACATACTTGGCCTGGACTCTCTTGGAGAGCAGACAGACGGCGAGTGATCGAACAGACCTGACTGACCCTATCCTTTCTCTTTAATCATGGCATCATGCCACACATGGGAGCGCAATAGGGAAATGACGATGCTTTCCACGGCGGATGAAACATCATCAAGGAATCACCGACCACAGAACCAGCGAAATTGGTGCTGCCTGGAGGACTCGACGTAGGGTCTTTCATGCGAGTCAGTTGTTAATTCAACATGGTTGGGCCCTTGCATGAAACAATGTCTGATGATAATCAACGATAGATAGTTAACGGGGGAAAACAAAGTTGATCTGGAAAGTCCTGCCGGTTCGATGGTGGATTCCTGACCACACGGGATGAATTCCTTCTTGACCATAGCAATTCTAACTCACGTTGATAGTTATTTAGTCTGGAAGCTAGAATAATAGTCAGTTAGTTATTAGTTATTATTGTAGATTAATCATCCTGCTAACTTCCCCCGCTCCGTCAACCTCCAATCGACACGCTGCACGAGTTCACCGCAATGCAGAACGCATAAAAGACATCCGCCGCCCGCCTGGAATTGCTCAACCGTCTATCTTGACAGCCCCCTGGTTGCCCGTCTGGTTTCGAGAACAAAGTGGGCTCAATTGTCCTTCTCTTTGGTTCCGCCTTCACGTCATTCCACTCCAGTCTACTACTGAGTAGTAGTTACCAGCTGTCCCGCACGCACTCGGTGAGGCGCTCATCTTGACACGGCTGCGCTGCTACACAGACGCTATACCAACCGAAAAAAAAAAAAAAAAAAAAGACGAGCTGAGCGGTGTTGCTCCACGGATAAAAGAAAAGAGAACTCCTCCGCCATGGAGGACTCATCGCTTCGCCATAGCATCACCCTCCATCCGCACCCCTTCCATCTCCATCCCAATCGCACCGACACGCCCACGCCGTCCAGGATGTCGCTGCCGTACCACGAAGCCACCAGTACGGGTGTCGAGCCTGTGGACATAACTCATTACCAGCATCGAACGCACAGCGCCGACGAAGAAAGCCAGCCTCCCCCGCAGTACACGCCGGAGAATGATCCGTTTCAGCTATCGTCAAAGTTGAAGTCGGCCGAGGAGATCCGTGAGATCAAGGCCAACACGTCGCGGAAGCGAGACTGCGCCCCGTCTCTCATGAAAAGGACTGCAGACGCCGTCACGTCCAGGAGACTGCAGGGATTTTACGAATCTCAGAATGAGAGCATTCAGCGGATGCTGAAGCCCGTCGAAGAACATGTCCGGGATGCCCGCGAATTCACCTCCCAGAACCAGCTCAAATACAAGATTGCCGTCTGGGGCAGTTTTGCTGCCAATGTTATCCTCTCGATTGTTCAGATCTACGGAGCCGTCTCGTCGGGATCGCTCTCGCTCTTCACCACCATGGCGGATGCCATCTTCGACCCAATGTCCAACCTGACGCTACTCCTCTGCAACAAGGCGGTTACCAAGGTCGACCCGCGCAAGTTTCCTGCAGGCAAGGCGCGCATCGAGACTGCTGGTAACATCTGCTTTTGCTTTCTCATGACCTCTGTGTCGTTTATCCTGATCGCTCTCTCTGCTCGCGAACTCAAGGCGGGCAGCAGTGACGAGACTACCGAATTCCATCTGCCCTCCGTCGTCGCTGTTGCGGTCGCGTTCGCCACCAAATTCGTCTTATTCCTTTACTGCTGGGCTATGCGCAACCAAGTCTCCCAGATTCGGATCCTCTGGGAAGACCACCGCAACGACTTGTTTATCAACGGATTCGGTATCCTGACCTCGGTCGGTGGCAGTAAGCTCCGCTGGTGGATTGATCCGATGGGAGCCGTCATCCTGTCGGTTCTGATCTCAGCGCTGTGGCTGCACACTGCTTATTCGGAGTTCCAGCTGCTGATCGGAGTTACAGCCGATATTCAGACACAGCAACTGATCACGTATATCTGTAAGTTCTTCCCAGTCGACGTTGTTGAAGTGCACTCAGCTAACAGGGACAGCTATGACCCACTCTCCACTGATCACGGCCATTGACACTGTGCGTGCTTACACGTCGGGTCCCCGTCTGCTTGTCGAAGTCGACATTGTCATGGAGCCCAACGAGAGTCTCCAGGCGACGCACGACGTCGCGGAGGAGCTCCAGATGAAACTGGAGTCGCTCCCAGACGTGGAACGCGCCTATGTCCATGTGGACTACGAGACGACGCACAAGCCTGAGCATTTCCTGAAAAAGGAGCTGTAATTGGAACTATACTGTGATATCCTGATACCCCAACTTTGTGCCCACGATAAGTGGCTCTGAGTGATGACCATGACTTTTACTTCCTTATTCGGCGCATGCGGTTAGCCTGCAGATTATATGCTATCAAACTGCTGTGGAGTATTTTTAAACCGATTCATGCCGAATATTTCTCCAATCTGGGCGGCATAGGAATCAAATTTTGACAGACTGCATTCATATGACAGCCACAGTACTTGTAATATGTATGAGAATAGAATAATACCGTACGTGGGAGAGAATCAATTCCATTATTTTAAAGCCGCAGTTATGTCAATTATGCACGCGCACGGCATTGGCCAATCGGATCGATCGAATAAATACACGAGGGCGCGTTGCTTCTCCGCTGACATCATCTGGACCGATTGGTAATCTTGGCAGATCAAAGTTGAAGATAAGAAAAGGACATCGATACAAGACTCGAAGACAATTCCAGAGTTCCCGGACTCTAACTATTATTATTGACTCCATGTTCTCTGCGTCTGCCGTCTTCCACTCGCTCAGACGAACAATCCCTTCGAACTCCCGCGTGGCGCTTAAAAAGAACACCTACAGCACGCGTACCTGGTCATCTACCCCTCGATACTCACCACTCGGTTCTGGTCAACCGAGAAATAAAAACAGTGCCAAAATGTCCCACGCAGATACTGGCAAGGATGTCCCAGCTTCCAGACACCCAGACTTTAAGGCTGTGGAGGCCTCTCGTCCGTCCTGGCGCGAAGATGTCTCGCCCAACTACACCAAGACCCGCAAACCGGACTGGAAGCCTGGTGAGGGAGCTACAGATGGCGGGGAGAGCTTGAAGAAGAAACATGTGGAAATTGACCCGTATGCGGAGGGGAGGCCGGCAACTTTCAACTATAAGCTGTTGATTAGTGCGATTGTGCCCAGACCGATTGGCTTTGTGAGTACAACATCGGCGGATGGTAAGTGAGGATTGATTCAGAGGGGCTATATTCGAAGACATGTAGCAAGTTCAGTGGTTGACTTTGATGCAACGATAGGAAAGGTAACAAACCTCTCCCCGTTCAGTTTCTTCCAGGTCATGGGCTTCGATCCGCCTTTGTTCGTGATCGGTTTCTCGTGCAGCTTGGAGAACGCAAAGGATACCTTAAAGAATCTGATTGACACCAAAGAATGTCAGTTCTTTCGTTCTCACCGTTTCCTTTGTCTACGTCGAATCAGAAACTCATAACAAGGCTCCAGGCGTCATCAACATCATCTCTGAAGATTTCCTCGAAGCCTCCAACATGACATCCATCAACGCTCCCTACGGCGTGTCTGAGTTCCCGATCTCCGGTCTCCATCCTGCAGAGTCTCGTGACGTGAAGGCACCGCGCGTCAAGGAATCAGTGTTCTCTGTTGAGGCGAAGCTTGTGGAGACCAGGGAATACAACAGTCGAAGGACTGGAAAGCCGACGTGCACCATGGCCGTTATCGAGGGTCTCCGGTTCTGGGCTCGTGAGGATGCGGTTAATGAGGAGCGGAACTTGTTGGATATGAATGTAAGTTTGAAGCGTTTCAATCACTGACTATTTCTCGAACATTGGCCTTTGATCAGATTCTAACGGGGTCTCAGGTTCTACGCCCCATCTCTCGTCTCGGTGGCATCAGCTATGGTCGACTGACTGACTGCATCGAACTTCCCCGGCCAGAGTGGAACAAATTGTCAGCCGAAGAGAAGGAAAGGTTCCAATCTGCGTCCAAGTCTGTTTGAGTGCGTTTCTTTCTTTGTATATCGCGGTCATCAGCAGGGTATAGGATTCATTAGACGTGAAGTTAGGCGACTTATTGCAGGTATGTCCCTTAGATTAACATCCCCTAGAGGTTTTATACCATAATATTATTCATGTGATATCATAGAATCAAACTTCACATATACCTTGTAAGCTTATACGGCCTCAACGTAAGTATTAGAACTATGTTCTATACTCGTACCATCATGCGCCGTAAGTTGCCACCCATGGCTTATACTGCTCATCCTGGAATATCTTCTCCATCTGCCGTCGTCGAATACCTACATTACCACCATCAAACAAGGGCAGACATATAGCATCATTGAGCAACCGTGAAAACGGTTGATCCTTATTATACGACGTCCTTTGCATTCACGTCAGTTGTAATATCCACCAGACACTCTTTTCAAGACAACATCAGCCAAAAAGAGAGGATACTTACATCCCTACAACCTTCATCCCATCCATCACACACTGCACCGCCGCTTCCGATCCAAAAATCTTCGCCTGCAAGCACCCTTCAAATCTTGCATTGAAATCCACCTCTGGCCCACTACTCTGTAGACAATGCAGTGCTTTCCAAGTAACAAGCCTCGTCGAGTCCGCTTTCATCTTCATATCCATGAGGAGATCAGCAACGCTCTGGTGATAAATAATCGGGTTTGCGCCCCCGCGAGAATCTTCCTTCGCGAACTTCAACGCAGCTTCGAATGCGGCTCTCATCAATCCCACTGCCATCGCGCCAACTAGAGCTGCGGAGGATGTGAATGCTTGTTCCACCACCGCAGCGCCAGTCCCGGGTGGACAGAGCAGATGCGATTCGGGGACGCGAAAGTTGGTAAAGCGCGTGTGAGGATTCGTCACAGCGACGTGGCCGGCTAGTTCGGGTTCAGAAAGGATTGTATATGCGGTCGGAGGATTCTGCGCAATGACTTCACGGGTGACGATGAGGATAAGGATAGAAGATGCTGGATCGGCGGAAGGGTCCTGAGGGCTTCCATCTGGTGAATATCGACATACGACGCATTGGAGATCGGCGCCTTTTCCATCCCAACCGCTGCTATTGGTTGTCCACAGCTGGTGATAGTTAGTCTCATACTGATACATGCATCTCCAGAGAGATGTAAATATATTCAAACAGAACAACCCACCTTCTCCCCATTAATCACCCACCCATCCCCACCATCCTCCCTCCTCGCCGTCGTCTGCAACCCCTTTCCCCCCTTCTCTAACCAATTCGCCGTCCCCTCAGGCTCCGAATGCATCAAACTCGCCAACGGCTCCCCATCCTCCCTCAAAAACGGCTCTAGAAACTTTCCCCTCTGCTCCTCGCTCCCGGCCAATATCAACGGGGTTAATCCCAACCCATTCGCAAAAATAGTTAAACTCACACTCGTCTCGACGGCGTAGAGTTCCTCGAGCTGGATCGCAGCATCGATAAGACTAGCGTTCGTCCCACCGAATGGTATGGGGATTTGGGCCTTGATGAGACCAGAGCACACGGCGCGGCGGTATAGAGGGAGGATGGATTCGAAGCGCGATCGTTGATCGCCGTGAGAGGAGTAGAGGGATGGTGCGGTAGAGAGGTGCGTTTGAGCGAAGGTACGTGTGGATTGTTGTAGTTCCCGTTGGGAGGGGGTAAGTGTGAAGTCGATCATTTGGTTCGGTGTCTTACTTGCAAAGGTGATGGTGTAAAAACGAAGGTTACCTATATATAAATCCTTCTGCGTGAAAAAGAAATACCTGGATGTATGTAATCAAAAAGTATATCGATACTTCTGCTAAGGAGATAACGCGTTTATGTATAATATCCCTTGCACACGCGAGTGTTCGATATCATATCTGTATGAGGTGAGATACTACATCAAGAAGCTTCTTCGAGCTCGGCTTGAGATAAAAAACCATATTAGATTTAGCCTTTTAAGTACAACCGATCCAGAAAATGCTTACCAATCTTCTTATATGTGATTAATGGATCTTTTAGAACCTCGTGATATATCCAAGCCCAGTAAGCGCCAGGTCTGCATGTAATCCATATCATGCATGATGTCTAAGCGTTCTGCAGCGGAGTTGGTGGTTATATAGATAGGCTGGTTGGTTGGATATGTTGCATTGCATTACCCCGCGGTTGGGAAGGGTCTAGATCACAGCAGGGGTTTACCCATGATAATTGGAAAAATAGACGGGAATTTACTTTCCATTCTTGTGAAATTTCCCGTCTGGCGTCTTTTTGGAAGATGGCAAATGTGAGAGCTTATGGTAGCGTAGTGCTTAGCTGTTGATTACGCAAGAACCGAAAACTCGAATGGTTCACTAGTGAGTATGACCCGAAAGAGGAAACAGTAACTTATATTACCCTGTAGTATGAGTGATGAGGATCTATTGATCATAAGACGTAATTTCTGGTCATCATCATCTTAATGCCATATATGTACGTTGCTACTTTGCTTTTCTCGACACTATATACCTTCCCCCGATCTAAACGATAGTATCATGCTGCGATCTATCCGGTAGACCTTCTGCTTTCTGCAACCCCCACATACTCTTCGCAATCTGCTCACCGTAGAACTTCACCAGGAGACCGACACAGATCGGACCGATGATGGTGTTCAGTACGATTGCCCACACTCCGGTGATGAATCCATCTTCGCTAACGTATTGTGTCTCGTTGTATCCGATTTCGATGATTAAGAGGCCGATCTCTCCGCGAGCGACCATTGCAGAACCGAGAAGTAAGCCGGAGGTCCACATCTTTCTTTTGCTGTTTCCCTCTTCTGCTTTATTCTCCTTCTTCTTGTTGTTGTTGGTGGTGGTGGTGATAGCCCCATCTGTTTCTTGGCCTGATTCATCAGGCCCGTCGATTGGATATTGGGTCTTTTTGGATGACCTGCGAGAGAAGCTGGTCCATATTGGAATCCAGATCCCGACGATGAACTAGAAATTTGTTAGTGGGTACATTATACTGTTTATTGCTAGAAAACAGCAAATCATCAATCTCACTCACTTTGGCAAACACCATGAGAAGAGTAAAAACGATACCTCTCCAGATTCGCTTTCCCGTCCACAGCTGCACGAATGGAATGGCAAATCCAATACTAGCAAAGAAAAGCGGTTCCATTAAGTACTTCTGCACATCGAGCAGATAGGCTTCAAATGTGTGCACGAATGTGGGACTCTTGTCCGCCTCCCTCTCCCCTTCTTCCCGACTCATCACCACGAAGGGACCCTCCGGATGCTTGCTCGGTAGATACGTGAGGAAAGTTCCTGCAAGGAATGCGCCGAACAGGACCGATGTCCCTGTAAACGCAGCGATGCTGATGAAAGCCGATAAGACCAAAGTCATAAGTACGATATTGGAAATATGATCATAGCGAGCAAATGCGTGTTCGATATAGCGTCGGAAAACAGGCGCGAAGAAATATTTCGTGACTATCGGAGTGACAATGGCCATGACAATCGAAGCTGTGATCGGACGACCGATTATCCAGCCGAGATTGGCATGGCCGGAATTGGGGCCTGAGAGCTCACCAAGGTCTCCGATTGTACTTGTCATACGTTAATGCTAGGTCGAACTACAACCGGTACGGTTTTCTACATGGAATGTGCTCACCTGGCCATCACAAGGCCGACAACGTCGTCAATGACAGCAGCGCTGACGAGGACTGAACCAACTCTTGTCTGGGAGAGATCGACTGATTTGGATGCCGATGAGATGACAGCAAATGTGGTCCCTAAGCTCCATGTCAGGACATATGAATACAGCATGTTGAACTGCATTCTTACCTAAAGAGGTCGCAGACAGAGCGGCCCCAATAATAAACGTCTCCACCGCCCCTGTACAGAATTTGTTAGAAACGTGAACATCACTGAGATTGCAACAAAAATGGGAAAAAAACTCACCATATCCAAATCCCAGATAAAGCAAGAGGTACGAAAGACCAATGGGGAAACAGACACCAGTGGCAGCCCCGAGCGTGCTGAGCAGTAAATTCTTCCGAAGTAGATCCAGTCGTGCTTCGAGACCACCTAACACCAATCTCTACATCAGCAACGTCTCTCTCAATAATTCCGTAGCGTCGAGAAGGAAATGTTCGCATACCCTGGAATATGATCAATATCAAGCCGATATATCCCAATGCGAGGAATGTCTCCTGCCAATGCATATCAAGAATATTGGCCAATGGTACACCGTATATGATCCCAACGGCCATCTGGCCGATGATTCCCGCACGGATGATCTTTGCAGAGAGCCATTCTGCTAAGGACAGGAAGAAGAAGAAAGATACAAGAACCAGGATTTTGACAACTGCGGTGCGATCAAGTCAGCCATCGAGCAAAAAGAAAATCCTAGAGTGGATGCAGGGAGGATTATGTATCCAATCGATACATAATCGACCTGGGAAGTAGCCAATTCCCGAGACGATGCTCATTAATAGAATTGCTGCTCGGAACAATGAGCTGGTTATGTATATACTTACTGCTAGGCTCATGGTACGGAAGAAAACCACCAGCCATCATAAAAAAGAGACACCACTACTTTGGAGCGCGCCAGGTTGACGTTGAAATGGCAGCTCTCCATGATATCACGTACCTTAAAGCTATCCATCATCGAAGTGGCGGATTTTCCGAATCCGGCCTTTCATCATTCATCGGTAGCGAGCTCCATACCAAGCCAATATCCCGATTTCTGTATGTCACGCGAGTCTTGGCCCTCTTGGCTGTTCGGTCCGATTTGGCTGTTCAACCTCGTGCGACAGTTTTATACTTGGCAATAAGTATCTATGTCTTCGGTCTCCTCTTGGCTAAGTATTGTAGTGATAGGGAGTGAGCGAACAGTCCGGTTTTCTCCGGAAGACAAGGCTATTTCTTGACCGTGTTTTATGATTTCTCGTACTAACGCTCTTGGCGTGAGGGACCCAGACATAGACATCTTGACACCTAGAGGTGAGGATATCCAGCGCAAACAGTAACTACTCTAGGATCACTAGATAGTTATGAATCTCTTGTAGTAATGTACGCCAATGATATATTCGGTTAGACCACGGCCAGTTGTGCAGGGATACCAGCCGCCTTCCTATTGGTGCCACGACTTATTTCAACCTGTTTCACTACTCATTATTATTATCACTCACCTCCATCCTCTCCTTTTATCCATCCTATCTAAGAATATAACGCTCTATTCGCTCTCATAATGGACGTTGACACCCTTGCTGAACAACAATCGGACCGTTTTTTCAGGATATGGTTGCAGAACTTGATTGGGAATTCCCCAGAGCAGTTGGCTGGTAAACTTGCTGCCAAACACCGGCAGGGCACTCCGGTCTCTGCATCACAACCCTTCAACGGTGCCTTTAATGTCTGCTATCGGGTTACCTACGAAGACGGCTATCGCGTTATTGTTCGGTTTGCTGCTCTCGGTCGGGTTACCTTCCGCAATGAAAAGGTTGAGGATGAGGTATCGATAATGAATTACCTTGCTCAGCATACAACAATCCCTATTCCCAGAGTATTAGGCCACGGAAAATGTGCAGTCGGCCCCTATATCGTCATGACCCTTGTTGAAGGAAACCCGCTATCTGATTACCTGCGGGACCCGAAGCAAGAAATGATTAGTCTGAATCCCCAGATTCCTCTGTCCCTTCTGAAGAGGGCCTACTCTGGTATAGCAGAGATCATGCTTGAATTGTCAAAACCGGCTTTTCCATATATTGGCGCGATAGGACAGGACGATTCAGGCACATGGGTTGTACAAAAGAGACCCCTCACCTTCAACATGAACCGACTTACCCAATTCTCCAATATTCCGCCTGGAGTATTTGCCAAACAACGCTTCACAAATGCGGCTGACTACTTTGAAGAACTCGCGAAACAACATTTCTATCATCTCGAGTTTCAACAGAATGACGCAGTCACAGACGAAGCCGATTGCCGGAAAAAATACGTGGCTCGCCGTCTTTTTATCAAAATTTCACGAGAAGTATCCAAAAAACATTGCAAGGGTCCTTTCAGACTCTTTTGCGATGATTTTCGTCCTGAAAATATATTTATTCACTCCGCCCAAGCGATTGTCACTGGAGTAATTGATTGGGAATTTACATATGCTGCCCCAGTCGAGTTTTCATATACTGCACCATGGTGGTTATTGCTGGAGCGGCCAGAGGAATGGGACCTTGACAGCCTTTTGGCGCGATACCTCCCAAAGTTTCGGGTTTTTCTCGAGGCTCTTCGAGAGACTGAGAATAAAAAAATTCACAATGGTTCATTAACCGAATCACAGCGTCTGTCAGAGGGAATGGAGGCCTCGATGGAAAATGGATTATTTTGGATATGTCTCGCTATGAGACATAGCTCTATGTTTGATGAGATCTACTGGTCCTTCATCGATCCTATGTACCATGGGTCTTTTACTTCAATCGAGGATCGCATATGTCTCTTGTGTGAAGACGAACGAACGAACCTCGACGATTTTGTTCAAAAAAAGCTGCGGCAGGCAAGCGAGAGAACCCTAACTAACAATTTCAGCATTGATGAGCTTGTTGATCTCTAGGGGCTCTTCTATCTTGGACAACGTACAGCCATAAACATTGTACGGAGCAACCTGTGAGGGACTTACACTCACTTCTGACTCCCCCGTCAGCGACTGTGCAGCTCAGCCGGCTAATACTAACTGGAGAGACCCGGAATCGTCTGTTATGACCAGGGTTGTAAGGATAACTGTTGGCTGCCAATTTCAGCGGTCCCCTTCATAGTGCAGTACAGTGCAGTACAGTACCTAGACGCCGACCGAAAAAAGTCATCGTGGTTCAAAAGCATGATCTTTGAACCACGAGCACCCCCTTTTCCCTCTCAGCCCACGTATTGCACGCCAATATACAATTGCAGCGGCTCTCCATTAGTGGTAGTCGCAAGTTCCACTAAAGAACGGGAATTTCCCGTCTCATCGGAAAGCGTGGAGCGGTAGTACCTAGGTGCACCCCCCCGCCTTGCCCACTACACAACCTCATCTATTTTCGTGGGTCGTAATGAGGACTGTATCTCAAGCAGATTTTCTGCTCCCGAAATACTGACCATTGCCATATCTGAAATTGTTCCTCTGTGCCATAACCGCTACAAGCAGGAGCTTGTTATGCGGCGGGATGGAGGCACTCGGTGCTGCTTCTAGTGTCATTGCGGTGATACAAATCGCAGGAGGCATCATCGATATATGTGGAGGATGCATTAACACTATGAGAAATGCCAAAAAGGACATCAACGACCTTCAAAAAGCAGTCAAAGATTGCCACGCTGTGCTTCAAAGGCTTGCGCACATCGCGTATGGCCCAAACAGCCAGAAGCTCCTGGCCACACAGGAGCTGGTTTCTTCGATTTCTGACTGTCGCTACGACCTCGAAGCATTGGAGGCAAAACTTGCCTATGGGGGAAGCGACGACAGAAAGAAGGCAAATCGTATGAGACAATTCTGGTTCCGGACGATAAAATGGCCCTTAACAAAGAGAGATGTGGAAAACGCTATCAATACTATTGAGAGGCATAAGCGGCTCTTCATTCTGGCTCTACAGGTTGACCAAACGTCAGTCGTCTCCGCGCCGTTTCTTCAGGTAATGAGAATAATAATGATATTCTGATATAGGGCCTTGACGGATCATATAGACCAGAAGACAGATTTGGCCACATTGCCGATCGCCGATGGAGCGGCTTTTGATTCATATTCAGATCAGTATCAAGAGGAATTCCTGCTAGACACGTCAGGAGGAAGCCTATGGCTTCCTCCAGAGTACCGTTGGAAACGATACCTTAGTTCTGGGTCACGCATCCGGCAGTATCTCATTTATGGAATTTACGACAAAGTAACCATCACAGCATGCTAACTCATGAAATCTACAGTCATTTCCGTCGCGAGAGCGCCAGAGAAGCGAGTTCTTCGGAAATGGATTAATTCACGCTCGCCAAAAACGACAAACTTCCAAACAAACTCCGACAGCAGCATTTTCCAGAAAGCTCTATCAAATACTCTCGGACTCAGTAAATGAAATGAAATTGCCTTGAGATATCGTTGTCTCAGATAGAATATATCGTAAGCATTAGAAGCAGACTAAAGATCAATAAAACTTCCCCTTTTTCCTGCCACAAAACCCCCCGAATATATGACCTGGCATCGAAGATTCTCCGTAGTTTAGTTATTAAGGGCTATGTATTTTATTTTCTAGGAAGTATAGAGTATGGCATTTTGCCTAAACGGACATAGGAGAAGTGGATGGGAGTTTGTTGAGATGAGGTATTAACTACTGTATCGACGTAGGTTCGATCGTTCGGCTACTTCTCATTTCTCAACGTTAGGTAGTTCAAGTATTCTTCAGACGTCTGAATCAACAGTAAGGTTGAACTTGACACGGTTAAGTTACTCTCAGAAATCCTGTTCTTACAATAATAGCCAATACTGCCAAAATAATTCTATCAAGAGCTGTTCCACGCTGAAAAAGGCTGGTTCTTTTTTCGCTATCTACCTAATTAGGCTACCTACATACATGCAAGGGCGCATTCGTACAGGCTCAATCCGATCCAATGCTGTCCCATTCTATTCCCTCCCCAATGATGGCTTGATCTCTAGTATCTTGTACCCTCCTTGAATGGGGTTTCCCATCGAATCGATAACCTGCTAAAACCCGGGGAACAAAGGCTTTGATCCGCAAAATGCACAAAATGTGACTCTTCTTGTCGCATGAGAAAAACCACAAGAGAACAGTCCTTGTAATATGTACCAGTGGAAAAAGGGGGCAAAGACATAATAATAATAATAAACATGGTGCTCTACAACGGCACACGAAGCAGGGAAATACGCTCAGTGCTCATGGAGGAAGAAACGAAAATATCAAAGATGCGAGAATTGGAGCAGCGGCTGCTGGTCATTCACTGCGCTGACTGCTGGAATAGCGCAATGGTTGAGCAGAAGTTGCTCACGTTTTCGATTTGCGGGACAAGAGCTTTACCGCTCGAGGAAGTCACCATGTTGGTGCTAGCCTTGGTGCTCAACCCGTAAAAGTGCACGTCGGAGCAGTCAACCTGGACAATGTTCTCCTGGCAGGACTCGCCAGCCAGACAGGTCTGGCCGTAGTTGTCAAAGAAGCTGTAAATACCAGCGCCAAAGACGTGGATGTCAGAAGACCCGAAGACGCGCACACCCCAGGCCTTGCGGCAGGAGTTAGTCGTGCATGTGGAGAAATCCGGGTCGTTCCAGGACGTCTGGGGGGTGAAAGGCGTCAACGCGTTAGGGTTGCTCTGGTAGTACGGCGTCTCCGTCTGGATCAGAGCCATGTAGACGTTCTTAGCGTTGGCGATCTGGTAGTTGTACAACTGGCTGTGCTCCGAAGCGGTACCGTACATCCAGACAGGACCTTGGTTCTCCAGCAAGACACCACGGCCGTTGAAGATGCTGACCTGGTTGTGGCTGGAGCTGTCAAGGTCGTGGTCACTGACCCAGTACCAGCTGTTCTCGTTGTACAGAGTAGCATCCTTGGTGACGTGCATCAGCATGAAGGCACCGAAGCACTCAGGATTGGGCGTAACGGTAGACTTGGGGTCCTTTGCGCACTTGTTGTCCTGAAGCTCAGTGCCAGCGGTGCCACCAACACGGAAGTGAACATCCCACATGCCTGCAGATCCCTGAGTGGCCTGCTTCACATTCCACTCCATCAGGATAGCACCAGGAGCAGGGCCCTTAGTCGAAATGACGAGATCAGAAAGCTCCACCGAACCAACATCGCCGGCCTGACCAACTTGGATCATGGGGATCGGGTTCTTCTCGTCGGAGAAGGCCTTGCCAGATGCCATCAGGACAGGCCAGATCTCACCGGTGATCTTGATGTTCTTGGGGACCTTCAGGGTCGAGGTGATGATGTAGTTACCATGGTCGAAGTAAACGATCTGGTCCTCTGTTGCACTGTCCAAAACCTTCTGGATAGCGGCCGTGTCATCGGTGCTGCCATCACCCTTGGCGCCAGCAGACTTGACACTGACGAAGGAGGAAGCGGGAACGGTCTCGTACTGAGGTTTGGAGCGCTCGAACACATTGCCCTGGCTGTCAAGAAGTTCCTTGGGGAACTGTGAAGTGGACACCTTGGCTTGCGATCGAGACTTCACGACAGGCGAAGCAGCGCACTGACCAGCGTTGGTGGTGCTGCTAGCAGTGGGGATAGGCAGGATAGATGAAAGGGCGGGAACACTTGGAGCAGCCGTTGGTGTAGATGATCCGCCACCAAGACCAAGGGAGAGAGAAATGCCGATCTTGGGCTCCTCAGAGGGAATAGCAGAGCCAGAAGCGGAGGCTGCTGCGCTCGTGCTGGCTGCTCCCGAGGCGGAGCCCTCGGCAGGCTGCTGGCTCTGGGCTGCGGGAGAGGCAGAAGAGGAAGACGCAGGCTGAGCGGCGGGGACCTGAGACATGGCAGAAGAAACAGGAGCAGGAGCTTGAGCCGCAGATGTCTGAACAGAAACTGGGGCTGGTGCTTGAGACACAGCGACTGACGGCTGAGCAGCTGGCGCTTCAGAAGAAGCTGGAGCTGGAGCGGCTGGAGCCGGAGCTTGGGTAGAAGCAGGGGCAGGAGCAGGAGCTTCAGACTCAGGAGCAGGGGGTTGAGCGGATGGCGGAGGACGGGCGATACAAACATCACGTCGCACCTTGGGGGGCTCGGCTCTAGCCTTGAGAGAGATCGACAGCTGAGCGTCTTGGGGTGTATACGTGTTACCCTGCATCCAAGAGTCGATGACAGAGCCACCAGCAAGGATAGTGTTGCCAGAAAGCCCAGCAACAGCAACAGTGGAACCAGTGAAGTCAACGTTGTTGAGAACCAAGGCACCACCGCCGATAGGGATGCTGTCGGTTGTGAAAGCAGTGATCACTCCCTTGGGGGTGTTGGTGAGCTTGCTGTCCGCGATCAAGACCGATCCGACAGTCTGGTTCTGGGGCGAGTTCGACATGTTGAGACCAACCTGGCAGTTGTTGATGTTGAGAGACTTGAAGGTCCACAGCCAGTTCCAGTTCATGAAGATGGCCGTGTTGCAGTCGTTGAAGGTCATGTTGCGGGTGGTGAACTGCTGGTTGCCCAAGAACATGCCGTAGTTTCCACCGTTGAAAGTCAGGTCGGTCATGAAGCCACCGGAACCGTTGTCCATGAAGATACCCATCTGCTTGTTGGCATCACCGCCTCCCTTGACCATCTCGAAGCGAATGTTCTGCAGGCTGGAAGCCTGAGCAACCTGCCAGTGGATACCGGCTCCCGAGCCCTGAGGCATAGCCGTGAGATCGATAACGAAGTTGCGAACAGAGCGGAAGAAGTTGTTCTGGTTGGTGTACCAGTTGGAACCGTCATTGTTGTAAGGGTCGGCGTCGATAACAGCAATACCCTGGAATCCAGGAGCGGCCTTCAGAGTGGGAACATCGAGCGCATCACCAACCATCTGCGTGTAGTAGTACTCGATGATGGGCTTGGAGACAACGTAGGTACCGGGTGGGAAGTAAACCAGAGCAGGAGTAACAGTGGACGAGTCGCAGTTTTCTCCACAGCGGTTGCCAGACGAGATAGCCTTGTTAATGGCATCGGTGTCATCAGTGGAGCCATCACCTAATGGCCTGTCAGTTTGTACAGTGAATACATGGAAAATGAGTCTTACCCTTAGCACCAAAGTCCTTCACGTTGCGGTACACCTGGTAGTTACTCTGTCCGAAGGGAGTAGTACCCTGGCGCTTGATCGTGGAAACCCAGAAGTCGGATGTCGCAGCGGATGCGCTGGCCTGCGGCATGGGAGCAGCGTCCACCAGGAAGGTAGAAAGCCCCAGCAGGAGGAGAATATGCACAATAAACAGCATGGTGGACTGAAGAATAGCCATCGTCAAGATGATTCCACTCAAACGGAAGATGCGAGATTGGAAATCGAACAAGCAGAAAAACAGATGCTTCCAATGTTGACGTTTTCACGCGTTGTCTGCAGCAACCAGCACTGGAGACTCGAAATATACTCTTGCGCTCACTTGGTTGATCAGTTGCGCTGAGGGAAGCAGCGTACTGATAAGCGAGCAGGGAAATGAAGGAGGGAGTCGCCTGCGAAAGAGGGTATAGGTAAGTACAGAAAGACAAAGAATGTAGGTGACAATAGAAAACGACAGTGTGAATATGTTCTTTGCAAGAGAGCAGATGTGATATGTTCCTTGTGTTGTACTTCTGTAGGAGTACTCCTCGAGGAAGTTCAGCGCGCAAACAAAGCGCAGGGAAAGAGCGAAAGTGTATGAACAGCAGCCAGTCAAAACTGCTGGCAACACAACAAGTGAATGAATATGAGACAAACGAATGGGCGCTCAGCAAACAATGAGCAGGCGAAGTGAAGGTGCGCGAGGCGACGAGAGGAAGAGAAAGAGAGAGAGCAGATGGCCGATGGCGAGTCCGCTCAAGATAAACTTGGCGGATCGGATCGTGGCTCTAGGGAGAGCGCCTCCGTGTGGCCCGGGCGAAAACAAGACGCCCCTAATTAAGTATTGACCCTAAATTAATATTTAGGGCGCGTAAAAAAGCAGCCTCTGGGAACTGCCCAGAGGTCAAGGATGAAGGAGAGCTGGAGCCTCTTGAGGCACCGGCTTATTGCTGGTACTCCACACCCGGCAGTCCAACTCCAACGCGCAGAGACAGACTATGGATTTCGTTTGATAGAACGGGGCTCTCTCGTCCTTGATTCCCTGCAGTAGCCAGCGACGGCGTGCAAGAGAAGCGCAGCGGCTGGCTGGACGATTGGACTGTCTGGGTTGCTGACAGCGCCGGACTGGGCGATCGCGTATACCTGAAACACTACCGATGACCCGGACAGGAAGATCAGAAGTCGTTCGAGGGTTGGCCGGTCTAGATGCAGAGGGACAAAGAGAAGAATAATAATCGAGAGAACGCACAGATGGCGGCTGGAAATGCAGTTCGTGAAAGACTGAAAGACGCACGATATGCAGGGAGTTGATGTCTAGATAGATAGATAATAGACAGTCTAGATAGTACTCTACGAGAAACAACAGTCTCTCTGGAACGGGCTTCCTATATACCCTCGATTGGTGTTCACGATCAACCAGCCATTATGCCTTTCTGGTGGTCGGTATGTCTTCGTTGTCCTGCCCCCTCCACCATCTGGCCTGCATCGTGGGCTCGATATTGCCCCTTCTGGTAGACACGCGTGGTGATGGAATGCCATTCTCAGACGTTGAAGACGCGGTTTCGAGGGAGACCGCGAAGCCTCCACCGTCATCTTATATCCCACGCGCATAAGGACTTTGACTGTGTCTCCGCAGCAGTGGGGGAAACACGCTTTCTTCCATTCCGCCCTTCTTTTTTCCTCCGTGCCATATGTGAGGGTCATAGAGGCGGCATGGCGACGGCATGCCTGTGCTGCGGGAATGGGATTCCTCCCACAGAGCCAAGCATCGCGGAATGTCAGTTCCCATCGCAATCTTGATTTTTCAAGCCAGCAGAGGCATCACCACCTGGATTCGAGGGGGATACCAGCCTCGTGGCGAGAGTTTATTAGAATATTCAATATTCGCAGGCATCCACCAGAATCCAGATCGATAGATAGCCAAGGTTCTTCTCCAGGCGACGGCGTCCGTGTGATTTCCCTCTAGCCACCTGCAGGTCTGCGAAAGGATCATCAATGATCAGAGAGACTCATCTCCCAGTTGTTTCGTGGACACAGTGAATCAGAACGATGCGAAACGACGAGACGAGCCGCTTTTCCCAATAAACGCAAAGGCTCTTGAATCCTCCCGACCGCAGAGGCCAAGCTTTTGATCCAGCTTCCCCACCGAGTGGAGAGTTCCAGGGGAAAAATAAACCGCCAGGGGATTTCATTTTCGCTTGCCGAAACGTGCTATCTATCCTCTCTCCAGGAACAATAACCACATTATACGCCACTGGGCGTCGAGTCGTCCAAGAGTTTCGAAAAGGGCTGGAAACAATAAATCACATTGCAGATCGTTTCATAACATTTTGTGCCCACGCGACATGAGCTACCGATATGATACAGACAGGGGGGCGCAAATACAGCAATATGGGATGAACAGCGCATATCGGCCCGTTCGTTCGCGTGGAGATATAATCGGAAAGCTATCCGACTGTTGGTGCCTGAGCTCAACCCGTCGCCAGATGTCTCAATAGTACGGAGTACACGGAGATCTCGGACGGTCATGTCGTCCCTGTTCATGCGAAAGCTGTATGCGCACAGGACGACCAACGGATTGAGTCTACACGGCCAGCATAACTATCTAGTTAGTGCAGTCGTCTAACTAGAGGTTCCAAGCTGACAAAACACTGCTTTCATGCTCGTCGAAAAGTGGATCAAGTCAGCAGAGTGCCAGAGAAGACCTTTCGAACTGCCGTGATGCGCTACGTAGAGAAGATCAAAGAACCTTTCGGGATCTCGAATGCCGGCCTACTTCAATCCGGCTTGCACGCATCGAACCCTGGAGAAACCTCTTGTGAGGTCTATCTGGTATTCTTGAATATGCTTGGGAAGCGAATCGTGTCTTGGAGGAAACTCTTCGGATGGAAATCCGTAGGCCGTAGTTGGTTTCCACCGTTGTATAGTAGTGTGTTAACGTCGCTGAAATCAATCACCACTCTCTTTTTTCGCCTGCAACGTTTCGGTTATTTCTCTCGCCCACAAAGATTACACATTTACAATTATTATGTCAACTAATTAGGACTGTAACGCTATGCAGAGTACAAAGGCATATAGGTTAGACGCTGCATTATATCATCACCATCACGAGTAACAATAAGACACAAAAAGCTCACATCCCCCCTCTCCTTTATCACGGAGAGCTGGGTTCAACCTTAACATCGGTAGTTCGGCGCTCCAAGTTTTTCGGCTCGATTTTCTTGATCAACTCAAATATCTTTTCCTGGGTTTCCATGATGTCCTTTAGTATCTTCCGGTTCTCTTCTAGCCCTTTACGAATGCCAGCAAGTTCGTCTTTTTGGCGGTCCATTGTTTGCCTGACTTTCTCATCGTGTGACAATCTGGTCGCTAGTTGCCTGGCCATCATCAATAATATGCTTCGGAACTCGCTGTCGCTGATCCCCTCGTCAGACGAGGCGCCAGTTGAAGCAGGAGTGGGTTGACTTTGACTCATTTCCTGGGAAGGTCTGATTTGCTGAGGTCGAGTTTGCGGCGCAGGTCGGTCTGGCGAGGACGGTCGGCTTGAATCATCTATATTTCGTTTCCTCGAAGCAAGACTCGACAAAAGCGGCGCTCGTCCTTCAGCTCTAAGGATCTCATTTTCCGCTTCCCTAAGTCTAGCCTCCTTTTCTTCCTTCTTACGTTGGTATATGTCCTGAACATCTATCCATTTGTCGATCAAGTCCATCATGGGCGAGTCCCATACCCTCCCATCCCCCTTCTTCGCGTGCTCTATTTCCTCACGCCGCAACCGCGTCTTGATATCAACATGCCGTTTGCACGATTGCGGACTATACGGACGGTTTATTTTCTCGCTGACTCTAGCTGCAACCGCCATCCAGAACTGGTTATGAGTAGAAAGCCCGAGATATCGCCGTTCGTAAAATAAACACGCCAACCATATCTCTGCCTCTTCCCTCTCGTTCAGCTTCTTCCTTGATCGCGATACATTCCTCGGCGGCTGTGCTGCAGTTCCTGATTGCTGTGTATTCCCTGCTGGCTGCATGGACCTCGGCGGCTGTGCTGCATTTCCTGACGGCTGTGCATTATTCCCCGCTGGCTGCGTAAACCTAGGTGGTTGTGGTGCATTTCCCGATGGCTGTGCAATAATGCCTGGTGGTCGTAAATTCCCCGGCGGCTGTATATTCCTTGGAACCTGCATCGTATTCCTCGACGCCGGCGGTAGTGCCCCAGGCGCTGGGTTTGGAGGGGAAGCAATAGCAGCCGTCGCGGCCTGCATATAGAAAACAATAGGATCTCGCTGGAAATCAACCCTCGAAGAAGACGGTGGTGGCGGAGCCGGCGCAGCTGACGTTCTTATGCGGAATGGGGGCAATTGCCCCGCGCGGAGAGGATTATTATCTCCCATTGTCAACGATACTGGACAGCTAGAACGCGGTACATGCCTAAGAGGGGGAAAAAATCTATAGATAAGTTCGATGTTGACGCGTTTGAGTCGCGCAAAGTTCTATTTCCGCTAAGTTGGAGAAGCTATACTACTTCAGATATCGCTCGAAACACCCATGGGGACGGAGAGATGATTGAGTTATTTCATTGGCTGTCGTTTTCGATGTCATGTGATTGGTTCTACCGCCTTCCTATTTAGAAGCGACTTCTTTGAACAATACTACCTTCCTAAAACAGAAATTAACCTACCACCAGAAGTACATGTTTGAACAGCGTGGACTACCTATATCAAAGCCTGGTAGAATTTCATCTTTTACATTCACTGGCTGAAATAACAAGACTGTGTACCTAACACAGTAGGGAAACTTTCAAGCGGAAGCCAGATTTTGCGCATAAGTATAGCGAAACAACGATGCCGTGGCACGCGACAAAGACTGATGGTATTGAGATTGCCGTAAGAGCGAATATCGACAGTCAATGAATGGACTTTACGGTAAAACTAAAACTTATTTGTCGAGTCTATTTCGTTGCTACATCGAGCTAGATAGAGCAATCTCTACAGACTAAATATATATATATATAACCCAACTTGCCATCCTCGCCCAGTTAATAAGCTCACATACCACAACAACACGACGCCACGTGTTCCAAGATTTAACCAACACGTGGGATAACAACGATGAGATCGATATGTTAATTCCCGGTTAGATAGTCTAATCGAGATATCAAAGATAAGGTAGAAAGGATTAATTACCCGGAAACGGAATGGTGGACAAAACGCGCAGCCACAATGTTTATCTGCCGAGGTTATGGCGTCGACGGATCCTTGATGCTCGTTCTAGACTTGACTACTTACTCTAGAGTCTAGAGTATAGTGAGGTTATGTAAATGACTGCTGTCGGATACTAGTCTATAGATGATGACTTGTATAGTGCAATGAAATCTGTGAAGTGGACCACGGACTTGAAATGATTATGGAAGAAGGATCCATAATGGTGAATGGGCTAGATATTATATGAGAAGGGGAATGTCTTTCTGGGAAATAGAAACAAGTCTGGATTGATATTGTAGTCCTAGTTACTATTTAGAAAATTGTCGCACTCAAAACGCATACAGTACAAGCCAGCTGCATTGCCCCTTTGAACCCCGTGCGGATTGGAGACGTCCCGTATCGGAGCAATATCCCAGGCTGTACCAGGATCAGTATCTGAATCGCGTACAGTCTCTAGGGGATAAGTAGACCATAGATAGACGCTGGATAGGTTTGCTTCACGGCTATATTCAGTTCCATGTTTCGCTTCTCCGCTATAGAATTCGACACGATGTGCTCTGGCCAATTTTTGTTCAAATACTGCTCTTTCGTCCTACATAGGATAAGTAGCAATGACGTATCCCCTGCAGATGTTGCTTCTATTCGAGTCCTCTTGATCTTGTCTTGAGAGGTTTTGACGGGCCAGACAGAGCATCGTCTTCATCGTCCAAACTCCGGATCACACTTCCTGGAGGCATATCGATCTGAAGTGCATCTATTGATACAACAATACATTTTTCAGTTAAAGGGTAGACTGAATATCCAGAACAATCTTTCATAGTAACTGCTGCTCCCGCCCGGTGGGCCAGATCGCACCATCAGGTGACTGATAAGATAAGATCGACTCCCCAGAGTCCAGATCTAGTTACAAAAGTATTAGGTACTTTTACGAGGGTCCGGTTTGTGCTACATGTGGGTTACTCCTGGTGTAGGGGTTGTGGTATGAAGTTGTTCTGTGGCTATAGCTGCAGTCGAATACTACAAGCACTGAGATTCAACCCATCCATTAAAAGCGCAGCTCGTGAACGTTAGCAATACAGCACATATGCCATTTCATAAGGATATAGAAGCTTGCACAGCTATTATACTAACGCTGGCCAATGCATATGCTGCTCTGCGATCATTCGTTATCTATTCATGCGACTTCTCCGCTGCAGAAGCCATGGCCCGCTGTACAACTGCAGCGAGCCTTTGTATCCCTTCTCCCAATTTATTCGGTTCCTCCCATGCAAAACAGAGGCGCACACTGCGCTCGAAGTCATCATGGTGGGGACCGTCTTCCCCCGGCACCTGGAACAGGTCACCGCTGGCGATCAAAAGATTCTCCTCTTCCATAGCGCGTCGTGCCAGGTCGCTGGCTCGCAATGGTTCCGGTAAATCAAGCCAGACGAAATAGCCCCCTGCGGCTTCGTGTGGGTTGGGAGGTATGGTGAGTCCGAGCGGAAGGAGATACTCCTGGATTGCCGACAGCGTGCGGTGGTATCTGTCAGCATAGGCGGGCTGAAGGACGTTAATGATATGATTCTGGATGACAGACGTCGATAGCAGCTGATCAACGAAGGTTGCGGTCAGCTGTGATGGCGCTCCGCCCGATCGCGAAGAGCCTCTGCATTCCAATTGCGTCAGCGGGCCTCTTGGCCGTCACAGATAAAAGGCGGCTGGGCGAGTTTTTCAAGGTATCGAGATATCTTACGTCTGGGACAAGCCATATGAGAACTTTTCCGTACTCTCTGCCCAGCCTGTTCTTGCACCCGGTCCGATGAGCTTGCTAAAACTGCCATTGCTAACGACATTGCCCCATTCGTCCTTGGGTCCACCGTCCAGATAGCGATCAACGTCGATAAGACGCGGCATATACGCGTGGTCGGGGCGAGCTAGGGGTGTATTCGGAGTATTTGACCATTGCAGGAAGTCGTATACGTCGTCAGTCACGATTAGAGCATCGAATCGTCGCGCCAGTCGTGTCAGTCGTTCCCGCCGCCGCAGCGACATTACCTTCATCGACGGGTTGGAGAAGGTGGGCGTAGCGTAGATTACATATTTGTATATCTTCCTCCAAGGCCGTGGGGGTTTCAATTTCTTGATACAGGATCAGATTAGTCGTGTGCTTGTCTGGCAGAAGGCGGAGGATTACGGATGATACGCGCAACGGGAATACCTGGCAAAGGGCCCACGTATTTCTCCGCGTATCTCTCCACGTTAGCAATCGTCTACCGTACCGGCTCATTGTTTCCCTCTGAGATCGCCTTCTTCTCTGCTTCTTCCAGCCCCCGTTCGAGGAAGTCAAGGTCAATGCCTTCTTCGTCTTCAGGGATGCCTCTCAGACGCCCTGCGAAGCCTGAATCATCGAAGATCCGGCCCGCAAGGTAATACATCGGGGCCACTATCCAAACATTGCGAGTGTACACGGGATCAGTGAAGGCCTGAAGAACGCACGCTAGATTCTGGCTGGCACCGCCAGTGATGCAGATACGATCTTGCGTCACTGGGTCGCGAGGTTGGTAGAAGCTTGTCAACCACTCCGCCACGTGCTGGCGCAAGGGCTGATAACCTTCGTCTGGACCATACTGCAGCCCTGGTTCGTAGATGGAGGGCGTGGACAGCACGGTCCTGGATGCCTTGGAGAGATCGGCAACTGGTAGCAATGCGGGGTTTGGCCAGCCACGGAAAAGATTGATATGATCCTTGACCGCAGCCGGTAGGGCTGATCCCGTCATGTTGAAGATCTGTTGTTGGCAAAGACCCGCTGACCTTGACAACTGACCCAGGGAAGCAGGAGGAGTCTAGTGACATACAATAATAAACATAAACTGTCCAGCCAGGCTGAGAGGAGGGATGCCTCGTATCATGTAGTAGGAGGTATGGGCACGTATCTGTGGGTGGCTGGGGAATCCGCGAAGTGGATAAGAGAACGACAATCCGACTTCCGTGAACCCTGGCGCGGCTTCGAGAACAAATGGCGAAGCGTCGAAATCGTTAGTTAGTTAGTTCGGGCAGTGCTGTCTGGTAAGTATCGTTGTATCGTTTTGTCTGCGTTTGCCTGTGTCTGTAAGATCGGATCGTCAGCGGTTGAGTTCTCCGAACGGGTACGGATCTCACGGAGTTTCGGCCCCAGTAAGGATGGTAGATAGTTAGATAGTCTACTCCGTAGTTGGTTCAAGAACAAAAATAAAAAAAAATAATTAGTGGATTCAGCCTCGCACGTATGGACGACACAGCTGGCTAGACTACTAGTTCTATTTTCGAACATTCTGCGAGCCACGGATCCGACCTTCCAAGCCAAAAAAAAAAGAAGGAAAAAAAAGAGAAAACGGTCCAAGCCTCAGCCGTGACGGCGGCTCACAGACGTGTTTTAGCGCTTAACCGGCGCACCAGAGTTGGGGATTGTGGAATGGCGTGCGCTTTCTAGCGGCCATTTGGCGATGCGATCAAGAGCCCGAGGACAGGCATTCCACGACGCTTGAGGCTTTGCAGTCAAGCGCTGGTGGTTTAGACACATTTAGGACGTTGTTAGCTGGTCAATCTCCCACGTCATCCGGCAGCGTTGGCTTGTTTCTCTCCACATTATTTATATTTATTTATTATTATTATTATTATTACATTACATTACATTACATTATTTGTTGATGTCTCAAAAAAGGACAGTCATGACCGACTCATGAGTTAGGCACAAGGCTCTCTACCAAGGTAAGTTATAACTAAACTAACTAACTACTAACATAACTAACATAACTTCACTACTCGTGGGCCTTGGATTGCGCGACGATCCGATCCGTTTGCGAGGCCATGCTGGGGGATTTTCTTTTCTCCAGCCTGGAACTGCTCATCCTCTCATCCCCTAACTACTACTAAAAGTGGACGACAGCCCGAAACTTCCTTCAAACCGCCCCTGATAGATCTCTGTTCTTGCGGATCAGGATCGTCTGTTGCGCAGCATTCCGGACTGCTGGGAAGAACGCCACACACACACACACACTCTCTCTTGTTCTCCTGAGTCTTCCGGGCTCAGACTGACTGCTCCATCCCTGGGCTAAGCTTCGCGTCGTTTAGTCGGGCCCATCGTCCAGCGGCCTCTCCACCCGCTCAGGATTTATCAGAACCTGCTAACTCCCGGTCAATGCCTCTCCTCAAAATTTTCTGATCCTTTGTCTCACGCAGCGTCTTGCTGCATCTTTCACGCGAAGACGCCTTCTCTGTCTCTCCCACCAGTCGTGCTGCTCCTGGCAGTGCGCCTCCCGCCCCGATCCCGCAGCTATATCGTCGATCCATTCCTCCCTCCCACCCCCCTCCTTTGCAGAGCGGCACTCGAGACCGACGAATTCGATTTCGAATTCCTTCTTGAATACTACTAGTGGGAGCAATACATGGTATTCTAACCCGTCCCTGTTCGGTTGTTCCTTTGTCTCTTAATTCCGGCGGTATCTCATTCTCATTGTTTGTGCAGTGAAGTCTACGATGTTGTCGGCTCCTGTCAAATCCGCCAAACGCATATCCTCCCTCTTCAATCTGGGAGGATCGACCAAGGACCACGGTTCCTCGTCCTCCTCGCCCACGGGCTCCCCAGATCACATAGCAGTCGACGCTCCCCGGGGCAGTTCTCGCTCCGCCCGCCATGTGTCATCACCACACGTTCTTTCCAGCGAGTCGCGGGCCAGCGGTTCAGGCCCTGCAGATGACCTGGACTTGAACGAGCCCCTTCCTCCTCCTCCGTCTTTGTTGGCAGTGAACCAGGACCTGGCCAACAGCGCAGGCAATTCTTCCAATGGCAGACCACAGAGCAGAGGCAGACCGTCGACATCGGGAGGCCTGGCCCCTCCGGGGTCACGATCAGGGTCCCGTCCGGGGACTCCAACGGACCATAAGAACAAACGCCGCAGCTGGATGCCCGGTCGGACACGAGCGAGCTCGGTTGATAACAGACCAAGCGTGCCAATGCCTGCAGACGTGTCCACTGCGTGGGTGGCTGGGTTGGAGCAAAAGGTCGTCTACGACCTAGGTCCTCTAGCGAGAGGTGAACCGGTACGTGGATTGACAGACGTCGTTGCGACACCCGTTGCTAATCATTGCACCAGATTGCGGAACTTTGGAACGAACAGGGAGATACCTTCGTCTACCTTTTCCCACAGACCACCAATAGACCTCCCTCCTTCAAGGTCGACTCGTCCGTCTTTGCTGCCTCGCCCTTGTTGACATATCTGGCACACGGAAAAGATCCGAAAATGGATAGTTTGAGGCAGTCAACGAAAGACCTGTCCCTTGGAGGACCGGCGTCACCCCCGCTTTCTCCGCAGGAGCGTTTCCCAGACTTCGACACGGATAGCGCGGGTAGTGGTAGGATAGAAATGGTGGACGACGCCGCGGATGAGCAGCCACTGCATCTCTATATTCCTATCCCCTTGGAGAGCGACGTCTCAAATCAGGAACTCAAGTTGACTCCCCAGGACACGGAAATGTTGCTCGTTATTCGAAACCTCTTCGCCTTTCTTCTGGGACAGGCTCTGATTGCGACGCCTGGATATCCAGACCTATTTACCATCTTTATGGAGGTGTCCCACCAATTGACACGGTATGAATTCTCCAATCTTGATGGCTCGAACTTTGGCGAGACAGCGACATCGAGTTTCGCCAACTACTGCGACGAGCTACGTCTCGCGGATGTTAGGCATAGTCGGGAGAAGACGATCGAAGCCATGATCCTAGGAGAGGGTCTGCGCTACTACCCGCTTTATCTCGAGGGATTCGTGCATGGAGTGGGCAAGCTTGACGAGCTGAAGCAGTTGAATAGTATCAAGTACGCGGCCTTGAATCCTGTGACCAAGAAGAGACTGGAGCGGGGCTACATGGACTTGAACACCCGCGTCAGGACCATGAAGTTCAAGCTCGAAGATTTCGATTTCCCTTCTTTGTGGGCAGGTATTGCGAATTCCAACATGGCGGCAGAAAGCAAAGTAGTCCGGTTTAAGGCGTGGAAGGCGTCCTTCTTGTCATTCAGGAAACATATCATGCAGTACTACAGGCAGAAGTTTGGATCATGGCCGCCGAAATCGAACGCGAAAAAGAACGGTATCGACGACAGTGGCCTTAACCGCCTAATCCTAAAAGAGTTGTACGATGATTTTGCGGATCTATATGATATGATTGTTGATCGGACTTCTCTCACCACTCGGACTACCGACAGCGCAGGCGACACATCTGATTCGCCTGACCAGACGGAGCAGATAATCCGGGCCCTGCGGCAGATGATGAGCGAGTACGACAGAAGCTCTCCGCCTGTCCTCCCTCCCATCCCCTTTGACATACCCCAGTTACCGAATCTCACGGCTGTCCGACGGAAGCCAATGGATGCTAAGAAGGAGGCCAAGGAGCGTACCAAGAGGCTCAAGGATTCTGATATCAACGAGATCCTAATGGGCTCTTACACGCGCGAGAGCCTGAAACCGACTCCATTCGTGGAGAGTTTCATGCAGTTTGAGCGCCGCTCCGCTCACGGAAAGAGTCTGGACGACATCTGCGATCTCCGCTGTGGCCAATGGCTCTTCCTGTATGCGGTCATTCAGGCTCTTCCCATGCTTGTGGTAGACGCCGCTGACGTGGTATACACGGAAGGCGTCGAGTACTTCCTGTGCGTGGCACCTCGCGGCGGTGCGCCATGGATCCATAATGACGGCAAAGCGGCGCGCAGCTGGTTCGGTGTTGCTGGTGGCCAGGGTGTCGTTAGTCTTCCGACCGATATTGTCACTAACGGTGTGGAGGGTACCTACCGTCGTAGCCATTGCTGGCAGGTTGCCATGCAATGGGCCGAAACGGACGAGATCATGGCTATGCCCATGCCGGATGATAACGACACCTCGTCTTTCTCGTCGCCTCCTCCCGCTCCTCTATCGTCAGTCGGCTCAGTCTCAGACGTGCAACCCACTCCACTCCTTTCCCCCGGTAATCTTCCGATTCCTCGCTCAACCTCCCCCGCAGGAAGCATGAGGCAGAGCCGCCGTCTCTCGATCCATCCGGGGCTTGAAGCATTGCCTCTCCCTATGGGTGTTTCGCCATTAGAACCGCCTGCTCGTCCAGTCAGCCGTGGAAACCCCGGCATGAGTTTCGACGATATCCTCAAGGATATGCCCCAGAAGGGAAAGAAATAATGATAGCCCTTAGTGCAGATGTCATCACACGAGTCTATCGATTATCAAGCTCTTCAACTGGCTTTATACCCCTTTCCAAGTACTTCCCGAGAGTTTTGTTTTACTGAATCTAGCATCAGGGACCGTTATTACTATGGTTGCCTCTCCCTACATCATAATCTGCATGTTGTCCTGTTTATGAGAATCTTTTGGAGTCTGCCATCCGGTAACCCCCCTCGATTTTACTTTCTTGGTACTTACTACTATCCCTTGACCTGTTTGCGTCCTTGCTGACTGTAATGAACCATAATATCCTTTTGCCTTCTGTGTGTGTAGTCTTTTTTTCTTTTTTCTTTTTTTTTTTTTTTGTTTTTTCCTCTCTTTTCCTTTTATAAGTGGTCCGGAGGGGTGGGTGGCCCGGCGCAAGGTGACATGATCTTACTGATAGAAAGGGAAGAGACGAAAAAAGAACCGTTTAATTTGTGACTGCATTCAAGGCGTCGTTGGGATGGCTGCTCTGATCCAGATAGAGAAATAAGAAGCATTCATTCCATCAGGTGTTATGGTATAAGTATTGCGCAGAAGTGATTCTCATCGTCTAACTCCCGTCGGTACATAGTACATGCCATAGAACTATAGCAACCTCACGAGCCAAGTAATCAGCCCCAGCAGGTTAAAATTGAAACACTCATAATTGAGGTTTCAGATAATCCTTCAGATTGCTCCACTGATGTTAAATAAACCTGCGGCGGGGAAGCAAACAAGGTCGGGGCCGCCGCTAAAACAGCATCTAATTCTAAGTAGGCCATGGTTCGATTCCACTGCGAGTTCCGTGGTTCTACGTATCCATGCTTAAGTTTAATCTCGCAAAGGTTCTCCCCGAGATGCGGTTCCAGGAACAAGAAAAGGTAGAAAAAGACGACAACATCTACTTAGCCTGCGTCATGATTGAATTTACATACATTGGCTGAAAATAATTTCTGCGAGATGTATCTATCTGTACCTAGGTAGGTCGTTTCATTTTTCCCGCTCTGTTCTAGACCGCTGACGCCGGCTCTTCTCAGCCGCAGAAGATCGTCCGCACGGGAAGAATACGAGGCGCCACTAAGTAAGAAAAGAGATGACCGGGGGTACTTAGGTCTGAGGCGCCATTATGGCATCCAGCTTGAGAAAGTGTGTGCGAGCTTATCTCGACGGTTTTGCTTCGATGTTGGACTGATTTGTCCTGGTGAAAGTACCTCTGCTGCGGATGTTTTGTGCGGTTTCGATCATCTCTGGTAATATTGTGCAATTGCTGATAGGCGACTGTCTACGGTACACTAATCTGCACACAGAGCGCATTCGAGTATCGTTGTTTTCTTGCGGGGAGCGCACGATCCCCAGCCGCCGAATGACTTCCTAGCTGACGATAAAGATATGGTGGTGAGCCAGGCTCTCCAAACAGGATAGGTAGGGAACTGTGTATTATGAGAATGGCGAGGTCGAGGTCCAGGTCAACTATTGGAAGCGACAATAATGCCCGTTTGGAACCGAAGCTGCTGCGGGCGGCGGAGCAGGATGATACAGACGCTCTGCGGCACATTATCCAAGAAGCGCGCAACAATGGGCAATTCAGCGACGACTTCTTGCGAATCGGGCTCATGCGAAGCGCGACGCGAGGATGCGTCGCAACGACACAGTTTCTGTTGAGTCAAGGCGCAAAGACCGATGTCGAGGGCAATCAACCTTCTCCGCTCCTGCGAGCCGTGGAGCGGAACCATATCAGGGTCGTGCAAGTCCTGCTCGATTACGGAGCATCGCCGGAGACGCAGGATAAAAAGGGTCGCACTCCGTTGATGACGGCTGCGTGGCAGAATCACTGGCATATTCTTCACCTGCTGATCTGTAGAGGTGCAGATGTCAACAGGACCGATCACAGAAGACGGAATGTCTTGCATAACCTCGGTGCAGATAAGCAGTGCGACTGGGGTGAAGATATAATTCGTCTGCTGTTGGATACAGATTGCAAGATCGAAGCGCAGGATGAGCTGGGACGCACGCCGTTGCACTGGGCCTGCGCTACCGGCAAAGTACGTCTGGCGCAGATGCTGCTTACCAGACTCAATGGCCCCAAGGCTGATATCAACGAAACCGAATCGAGAGGGAAGACCGCACTTCATATTGCAGCGGCTCACGACAGAGATGACATGGTAGACTTGTTGCTCAAGTACAATGCTGACATCAACGCGAGGAGCGATGGTGGATGGACGCCCTTACACAATGCTTGCGATAAAGGCTCCGAGAAGATCGTCCGTATGCTCTTGCGCGCTGGTTCGGATGTCAACAGTCAATTGCTCAACGGGACTACGTCATTGCATATTGCTGCGCAGGCTGGTCACTTGAAGGTTGTCGAGTGTCTGTTGGAAATACCAGAGACCAAGAGGAGGATCCGTGACACGTTCGGCAGTACTCCTTTCCTGCGAGCTGCCCAGTTCAGGAGGAAGGAGATAGTTCGACTTCTAGCTCCCTTTAACCATGTCGAAGCTCTCTCAGAGGATGCAAGAGGCGCTTGCGAAGGATTCGATGCGACTGTAGTGGATTTCGGAAACTATCGAAACGAGAACAGAGTGAGGAAGATAACCGTATTCGACCTATTGTATGGTAGGGATCCCGAGAATCCGCGAAAGCAGGCTTTCACGACTCTCCCGGATGAAGACAGGGCAACTGATTTCCGATGGATCCATCTCCCTGCGAACAACATGGCGTGGGTCGAAGCGCTTCTGACGAAGGCTTTTATCGAAGAAGGCGCAAGTGATGTGGAAGCGTTCAAGGGTCTTGAAAAGTCGTTCAACTACCAGCATCGCGGACAGCGGACCCATTCCGTATTCATGAGGCCTCTTTGTCAAAGCACCCCGCGTGCGCCGCGGAACAGGGACGAAGAGGAATCGGACAGACGAGAGGAGCCTACCATCCCAAGTATCCTTATTGGCGGCCAATCCAAGGCGATGACCCAGACCAAGTCGATAACGCTGCAAGAGGCCCCGCCGAAAAAGTTGTCAAGGACTTCGACCATGAAAGGAGAGCGGCAAGATTCATCATCTCACGACGATACCGGCGACTCGCAGGGAAAGAAAGGAAAGGGGTCTGGAAAACGTGGCCGTGCTGGACAGGACCATATGAAAGCGGACCAGAAGAAATTGAATGCCGGTTCAGATCATCGGCGCGCTCTGCCTTCGCCTGCATGGAAAGATCCCACTTCTGTTCCAAGATGTAATGTCTGCGTGTTCATGCCGTATCTTCACTTTGAGACCGCTGAAGGACGACAAAAGATGCAAGAGGCCATCCAACGAGCCGAGATGCGGACTTTTCACCCGGGACTATACAAACCGCGCACGTGCGATGAGATGCTTATAAGGGCGCATCTTACATCTTCAACAACTTCATTACATGTGCGTCGAACATTAGATCAGTTCTTCTACCCGAACATAGACACCAGGAGTCGCGACCAGGATCAAGTCGTCTATCGTTACCAGATCAAAGCCCAGGGTACCAGCAGATGTCCAGATGAGCCTAAGATTTTCATGGTAGACCAGTTATGGATGTGGATTTTGGGTAAAAATGTCGTCGTGACTAGCTTTCCGCAACGGTGGGAGCAGCCAAAGAATGATCCGCTGAATGTGCTCGACGGTATCATCGAGGACATCAACTCGAAGACTCGAGATCCTGTCAAAACTGTCTACGACCTCGCTATGACGATCACAAATCGGTGCTCGGGCGTGTTCGACCGCTATAGAATGGGCGACGAGGAATACCAGTTTCTCGATATGTTTGAGTCGTCTATCGGCACGGCAACAGATCGCGAGACGGTGCTGTTCAAGGAGTTCAACGAGGCGTCAGCCCAAGCATCTGAATGGTTAAAGCATCACCGCAAGCCGAATCGCTTTTCCCGGAATCTCGAATCTGCATCCAAGAAGCACGACCGCAAGGATGACAGTAGAGACGGACTGGACGACGAAGATGAGAATCAGGAACCCCTCTTTGTCGATAAATTGCTCGATATCGGTCAGGAGACGGACCTTCTCGCCGAAGCCAAGGATATCCGTGACGAACTCAGGATGATCCGGACAGTGCTGGAACACCAGGAACAGGTCCTCACGGCTCTGCAGGATGCCATATGCGATATCTATCACGGAGAACACCGGTCCCAGCACGAAGTAAAGAAACGATTCAAGGACCAACAGAGGACGATCGAAATGCACGTCAAAGACGTCGACCGGATGGACAAGCAAGCGGAACGAATCTATGCTTCCATCACCGACTTACTCGATCTCAAGCAGAAACACGCCAACGCCTTCGAGGCCCGTTTCGCCCGCGACCAGGCCGCTGGAACTGCGAGACAGGGAAAGACAATCATGGTCTTCACTCTCGTGACGATCATTTTCCTACCTTTATCATTCATCACCTCCTTCTTCGCCATCAGCATCAGCGAACTGCCCCACGACAATAACGGCCAAGAGAGCCTCCCTATATCCTACGTCTGCAAATACGTTTTTGGCATCGGCTTCGCCATTTCCATCCCTCTCATCCTTGTCGCCCTCTCCATTGACGACATCCGCGACGCTTTCCAGCGAGCCTTACGCGGAATGAAGCAATGGCTCTCAATACGGAAGAAGAAGAAGAAGAAGAAGAAACCCCAGCATCAAAACTGCGGCCAGGGCGAATCGGCTCGCACGCTACACATGGAAAAGATCCTCAGTGTGGCCAGGAGCCAGCGCGGTAATGACTCAGTCTTCTCTACGAGTGTCCTACCGGTTTCAACACGCGAAGCATCCCCGAGCGCATATCGTTACGCGAATGGAGTAGCGAAAACGAGTTTTCTCGCTCGAAGCAGTAGGGAAGTTAGCCGTGGGGAGTCATGAGTAATGAGGTATATGTATGGGTTTATGAATATTTTGTGATATTAGGTATATATGATGAGACTTTGGATCTGGAAAAAGAAGGGGGGGGCTGTATATATTCAAAAGTTGTTGTCATGAAATTTTTATGAAGTTATGATATTTGGGACGGGCGGAAGCAGCCCAGTCATTGGATTCTCTTTATCCGCCATGTGTGGTATTGGATATATTATTATTGCTCATGACTTACAATGGAAGTAATAAAAAAAAACCCCCAAAGGGGAAAGCCAATAGATTCAAAACTCCGAACTCCTAAACTAAATAATCAGAAGATCATAAGGATCTTCAGTTGTATATTTTCGATTGTATGTTTTTGCCTTGATGTTCCTCTCTTCATCCTTTGTGTCTTGTACAGTACTTTTCTGCATTGTTTCCCTGTTTTGGTCTACTGCACGTCGACCTTGACGTACTCGTGACCTTCTGCTTCTTCCTCAACATCGCTAAAGTCGGATTCGGGACCGGGTGTGTGGACTCGCTCACCGTCCTCACCTTTTTCCGTCTCGCTGTCCACGGTCATGGCGTCTAGTTGCGCGGCTGGTGGACTCTGTTCTTCATCTGCCTTGCGATCCTCACCTGTTGAGTCGGTCTTATCGTCAACCACCTCGATGCGGATTTTCTTTGTTTGATTCTCAGGGTCGACGGCGATTTTGGGTAAGACCACGACGAGAATACCATCGTTGAGAGAGGCGGTGATTTTATCGCTGTCGATATGAGCTGGTTCTCGTCGGTATCCGAGTTTGATTTTTCTTTCAAACGCACCCGTCCAGTAGGCGTGTCCGTCGAGGACGAGCGCGTCCTTCATCTCTTCAGTGATACCAGGTCGGTGCACGACGCCCTTCAGACGGAGGCTGGAATGATCAGCATCATACTCGACGCTGATGTCCGACTTCTTGGCTCCAGGCAGGGGAACATGGACTACAAACTCATTTGCAGTACTGAAGACGTCAGCACGGGGGATGAAGTCGATCTCTTGATTAAGAGTAGGGCCGTGGAAGTGGCCTCCACGTCGGCCAAAGTGCGGTCCATGACCACGAGGACCTCCGCGGTGGCCGTGGAACCCGCCCCGGCCACGAGTAAAGTCAGTAGAGAAAGCAGCAAATCCATGATGACCTGGACCGTGTCCACGGAACGCACGAGGACCGCCATGGTGGTGGCCGTGAGCGTGACCGCGGCCGCGGCGTCCCTGTCTACGTCCTTCGGGGCTTCGCTCGCCCGCTTGGTCACCTGGACCTGCGCGGGGAGCTGCAGTTCCCTCGTTTTCAGAAGGCGAAGCATCATCAGCTTCCTCAGAAGAAGGGTGGTCTGAGCATTCCTGGGCCTGCCAGGAGCCATGAGCATGTTCCCAGAAGGGAGGTGGGCCGTGATGGTGGTGACGATGATGATGAGGGTGACCATGAGGACCAAAGAAGGGACCACTTCCCATATCCATGGGAGACTCCCCAAAGCCATGGAAGCTATGGGGATGATGGTGGAAATGGTGCACAGAAGCCATCCTGTTGTTAGTGAAGTTTTGATTGATTGAATGTGGTATGAGCAGATAGCACTTTTTCAGATTTTTCAGATCAAAAGTCCGCTTGGACTGCAAGAGAGCAAGATAAATTTGCTTTGTAGGAAAAAGCGTCTTGAAGATGATGGAGAAAAGAACATATCCAACATGGAAGAATGGCTTCTTATATAGACGACTGGGCTCTCCAGGCAGACATAAAATGCGACATTCACTTACCCATGCTCCCACCGCCACCGTCGCAGTGCAGTTTCGCCATTGCGCGTTGTCATGCTAGTAAAAGTGATACTATGATCTGGAACTGCGCCTGTTCATACAGGATTGGTCGCAGAATCGCATCGGAGGCGAATAATGAAGCCTCAACGAGAGCAGAAAGGGTAATCTGCTCCTTTTGGCAGCTGAAGCCGCTGCGATTGTCCGATTGTCCAATGATAAAGCCGGAAGCACCGAGACTAAAGGCCGACGTGACGCGTCGGAAATCTTGCTGCCTTGAATTCATATTGATCAGATCAATTATTACTCTGGATGACTGCGCCACTGTCAGTATGATCACTATCTAGTGGTTAGTGTTGTTCCTGTGGTCGTAAGCGTTTGAGGCTTGTCTCGCAGCGCTGAGAATGAGGGGCGGACGCTGGATGCGATGCGAAGATAGGCTGGCAGCAACCGAATCAAATATCAGTTGAACTTCGGGGAATAACTTCAAAAGATGGAAGGAGCCATAAGAGTTACGATATTCATCGACAACTTTCACTGGACAATACTCCGGAGATTCGCTCATCCGAGCTGAAGGGGCGAAAAAAGCGGTTACTTGTCTGGTATTCACGGCGCTGCGGTCTGATTCAATAGGCTGTAATACTAATTAAGCACTGCTTTTGTCTTCTTCCCTCTTCCTCTTCCTCTTATTTTATTTCTTCTACCATGCTCTCCCTTCCCGCAGAAGCTAACCTAGCTGGCTGGCTTTTACATATCGTTGTCTTCCATAAATACTACTCGGGATTCTAAGGAAAAATGAACGAGATGGTCGTTGCCATCGTTTCTTATGGTATATATAATTATCAAGAGTAGTCACAACGGATAAAATAGTTGCTATACACTACGTATATTCTACGGTTTTCTCTATAATCTATCTCTTCTTGCGGATGAGCGAACTGCCACAATTAATTCATGTATATCGCAAAGGCATACCTAACGCTGAACCGTAAGATGAACCCGAAGTCATCTGCTATCAATTCAGCTTCCTTTTCTCCAAATTTGATCAGTGGCAAAGTAATCACACGAACATTTCCAAATTGCCGTCCGGTAAGGACCATCATGCAACATCTATTGCAATATATACCGGTTATCGGAGCAATGAAGAAATTGTTCCTCTCTTGAGCATCGATCATTGCATTAGTGGCAGGTCTTTCGAATTACGAGCAGGATTTTGAATGGATTCTATTCCTCTTTTGCGGACTAAATGGCATCTATTGCTGCATCACTGGCCTTCAAATGGATCCAAGAAGATATTTTCGACGCAAAATACTGTTTATGGGGGTCTATGAACCGCGTAATTCGCAGAAGCACCGCGGTATGTCATCTAACCAATGATATCTATTAGATCACTAATTGTTTGCACAGAGATAGCCGGGAACAAACGATTCGAGTCCGAGCTTCCGTTACGCTGTTACAGAGTGTCTCTATTAAGGACAGCTTGTGCAGACTACAGCCTGGACAAAGAGATAGTACACACTTATTTTGACGAAAGCGGATCAAGACCATGGCTCAGAATGGCAGAAGAACCATTATCAAACACTCACTGCTGATATCGAAGGTGTTATAATAGTTATAGTGAGGTTACAGAGAAAGAAAGCGGAAAAGGGAAACGAACGGTCCAATGCGCTTTGCTAGTTCCAGATGACAGTGCCCACTCTGGGACTGGTGGTGCTGGACCGGCTGTGGCCAGTGCTTCTAAGGGGAAGCGTGTCTTGAGTAGTAAGTGCCGATATCTAGTCGATTGCCGTTGGGAGTCCTGTTGCTTAGCGGGCTAGAGGTGGTTAATTTAACTCGCACTATCCCAGATACTTACTGATAATTACATGCTTACATTTGCAAGGATTCGTTGTGGCTGGCAGTTTATTAGCACGTATCGCGGAGAGATCATCGCCAATGTTGAAGCAACAGGTAATATAACACCATCGTCGCTACGATAAATACCCTCCTCCCACCCCTCGAGATCTCTTCTCCTTTCTCTCCTCGGCCACCTACAGACCCGGGATATGGCATACAGACCATAAGCCCTTACTACGGTTCGTCCAGAGTGATAACCACGAGGGAGTGTATGCGTATTGGGTTGTCAAACTTCGTGAACTCAGTCTAGACCTCGTCTACATCCCCGGACCCAGGAACAAAGTCGCCGATGGGTTGTCACGAGTTCTGTTCTACGACAAAGACTGCCAACCAGACAGAATAGTCCAAGACGCCCACAAGGCCATGTCAAGAGACAGCCAGTGGATCTGGAAGGATGGCAAAGGAGGGTTTGAATGGTTCCTTCAGTCCCTTACCGACCGAGAGCAGCAAGAAATTGCCACCCAAGACACCTTCCACTGTCGTTAGGCGGATTTTGGGCGGGGAGGGCACAGGGGAAAAGAAAGTAGACAAAATTCTGATGAAATGATTTGTGTTTCGATGAGGGGAGATGCCACTAGTGAGTGGCGCGGTGATGATCGACGGCGTGGAATCCCCACGGCTAAGCCTGTACCAACAGGCGACTGAAAACAAAGTACAAACGTTAAACTTGATGATAGGAGGTCTCAAATCGATGAGGACATGCTACCACTTGATATGGCTTGATGCAGGAGAACCCTGCGTGATGACTACTGGCAGACGTGGAGGAGGTAAGATGCTTGCTATTTCCCCTCCGCGAGGATGAGCTAGATATGCTAACTAAGGCGGTGACATACTGCCAACTAGCAGTGCACCTCTATGCCCCTCATCAGGGCGACGCCAGGGTAAATCCACAGGTCTCTCCGAATTCGTGATCGTGAACTTGTCGCCATTCGCAGGATTGGGAATTTGGAACTTTCAGACTCCATACCTTGGATCGAGCGTGATATTGCATCCCAGCAGCGGTTGACTGTTCTTCTTCCGCTGTGGTACTTCGCTGTTCCCGGTCACTTAACGGAGACACCAATTTTCTACAAGATATTCTTCTTATAAGCCCAAATGACTAGGCGTTGTTGAAGATTAAATTAAAAAAGGACCAGAGAGATCCTACGGAGGGCACTCGACAATAGCGATTGGTTTCCACCGAGGGTGACCAAAGAGATATTGCAAACGGTCAAGATGAGAGTCACAGCGGACTTCTTCCTGGAAGAGATCTCAGAGGACGCGATCATAGATGCTCGGATAGAAGACTTGGGAGAGAAAGTCTTCTAGATAATAGATCTTACGATCAGCGACGGAGATGGGTAGGTAGTTACAAGCATATCTACAACGGCTGGTCCTGCAATTCGTCCTCAGATACGAATTCAAATCCAACTTGTTGATGCGAACGGCGTGGAGATTACACCCTGGTTTAGTGAAACTGCTGTGATTACTCCAGACCAAGCGGGATTTCATCGGCTTTCAGGCGTTGCTATGCGGAATAAGCTCTATTTCGCAACTGCTCCTGGGAACACCACTCTGTATAGATACTGCGGTGAAAAAGAACGGGATTGTCAGCCAGCTTCCGGTTGTATAGAGGGGGGATTGTTTTTTTAAATAATAATTTGCTTATGGCATGAGTCTGTAGATCCATGCTTTAGTAATAATACCTCCGTTCCTCCGTCCGTGCTTAGAAAGGTTCGGGAATTATTATTATTATTAAGTTAGGGAGTTCAGGAAGAATCCAGCATCCTTTTCAACACTTCAGCAGTGCAATTTGGAGGATATCACGTAGATGGCGTATCGTCAACCTGTTTATCCTCCATGTCCGCTGTACTTAGTGTTTCCGTCCACCAATGATAATTAAACCGTGACTACGCAACTGGCATAGACATTACTTATTAGCTAACTCTCGATGAGGTCTCAAAAGGTGTAATTGAGTCAGTAACTAATCGAAGAAACTGGGATTACTAACTAACCACCACTGGATAACTATGCGACTGCTGACCAAATCGTTTCACGTCTCTCGGTCTGAAGGAACAAAAAAAGAAACACTCTTCTAGATCCGAACCCGAGACCGTGACTATTTCTACGGAATACGGGTAATAATAATAATAATAATAATATTCTATTCTATTCTCATTTATCATTTTTCCCCACCCTCACTGCCAAATGCTTATCTGTCCTTGTCTGTCTGGTTAATCAACTAGGGTCGGTCTTTCTTCGATGATATCTTGGACTTTTAGTCTCCAGCGGGGCCGATCGGCTCGGAAGCGTCGGACAGAATTACAAGACTCGAGCTTGCTAAGGAGACAGCCTGGAGAGTAGATTTGAGATCATACGAGAAGGATAGAGGCACTAATTGAGCTACTTAAGAGTTATCTAGAGAACTTCTGGAACAGCCATGAAGCGGAAGCAACAGATTAACAATGGCGTGACCTGAAGATGTCCATGGTATATTATTATAAGATTCAGCGGTGTCCCGTCTGCGTTCTGATTTATTAATAACAATACCTAGTTAACTAACTACTAACTAGCTAGCTAACTCAACTCACCACCTGCCAGTTAACACGAACTAACTAACTTATTATTATTCTACACTACTACTAACTACTACCCTTGACTCACAGGGACAAACGACGATGTCGGAGCGTTCTACCTGCTGCGGAACGGACTGTTCCACTCCCCCTTTCGGGCCTGTGCACCGAGATGGATAGACTGGAAGCATTCCATTGTCGGAAGCCTACGGATCCTCCCCGTTCCAGGGGACGTCGTTCAATCGACAAGAGATGCCCTCCTCCACTCGCTGCGGCGGGCAGGCGGAGGAATAGGGACTCTACCATGCCGGACTGAGCGAATGCGAATCGGTGTTTCTTTGCATTGCTCGAACTCGCTGCCTCCTGGTTGGCTGTTCATGAGGTCATGATGTGTTCAGCCGGATAAGCGACTATCTGTCAACCAGTTCCGCTGAGGAGATCTCGGCACAGCCAGCCGTTGCGGTGCTGGATAATATATGAATCATGCTGCCCTCATCTCATCTCCGTCCAATATCAATGCACTGATTAGGAACCCGCTGTCTGTTGTCCAGATCACTTGCAGCGCGCAAATGGAGGCCTTGACTCTGCGCGCGGTCCGTCTCTCGGCGAGGAGACCACAGCGTCTGCTCGCGCTTCGCACCCCCTCCGCAGGGACTCGAGTGAGGCCGGCTCGATGGGCCAGTACGTCTGCTCTTGTTCTGGACAAGAGAGAAGGTTCTAAACGGACCCTGGCCACCAAGGCCACGGGTTCTGCCGCCATTGCCGACCAGCAGTCTGGAAAGGAACGAGTGGTTATTTTGGGCTCCGGATGGGGAGGATATACGCTATCTCGCCATCTATCACCTACGCAGTACAAGCCACTGGTCATCTCTCCCCGTTCGTATTTCGTCTTCACCCCTCTCCTGACGGAAACCGCCGCGGGGAACCTCGACTTCTCGAATATTGTGGAGCCGGTGCGTGATAAGAAGAGCCAGGTCGACTTCATCCAGGCTGCAGCACGATCGGTGGATTTCAAACGGAAAGTGGTGGTCTGTGAAGCGAGTGTGATTCGGAGCGGAGTGACTGAATCGCCCCGAACCGATGAGCACGAACGCCCCTTCGACGAGGGACCGGAAACGAAGAAAGGATATGAGCAGCTACGGAAATGGGAGGAGGGCCAGATATTCGAGGTTCCTTATGACAAGCTCGTCATCTCGGTCGGCTGTGTCAGCAAGACATTCAGGACTCCTGGAGTGAGGGAGAATGCGATGTTCTTCAAGGACATTGGAGATTCGAAACGGGTCAAGCGACGAGTTCGGGAATGTTTCGAGCTGGCAGTGCTGCCAACAACGACACCTGAGATGCGTGAATACCTCCTCCACTTCGCAATCGTCGGAGCTGGCCCCACGGGCACTGAACTGTCGGCTGCACTGCGCGACTTCATTTCCACTGAGATGATGACACTCTACCCGAGTTTGAAGGGTATCCCCAAGCTTACGCTGTACGATGTGGCTCCCAAGGTTCTCAGCATGTTCGACGAGTCGCTTTCCAGATATGCGATGGAGACTATGACCAAGGACGGAATTGAGATCAAGACGTCGCACCATGTCGAGAGCCTCCGTTGGGGTCCCCCGGGCAAACCAGGCCCTCACGAAATGGACCCGAAGTACTGCCTAACCATTAAGACGAAGGAAGAAGGTGAAGTGGGTATTGGAATGTGTGTTTGGGTGACCGGTAATGCGATGAACAAGTTTGTTGGCCGTTCCCTGACGGACGTCAACGAGTTCCCGTCCTCGTCGGTGGTCCTGAAAGGAAGTGAGATCACGCCGGAAGTTGAAAGTGCTAAGTGGCACGTCAAGAAGGTCCCTCGTATTGGAGCTCTGCTCGTCGACGGCCGCTTCCGTGTCCAGCTGGAGAGTGAGGATGGCAAGACTGCGGTGCTGCAAGATGTCTTTGCCATCGGTGACAATGCCATGCCGGAGACTGGAGCGCCTCCAGCTACGGCCCAGGCTACCAACCAAGAGGCTAGATGGCTCGCGGCCAGGTTGAACAAGGGCGACCTTGAGCAGTCCCCCCCATTCTCTTTCCGCAATCTGGGAACCCTGGCTTATATTGGAAATGCGAAGGCCCTGATGCAGATTCCTCACGAGCAGGTAGATGGGAACCGCAAGAACTCGCTACTGCCACACGGATTGAAGGGGCGAACGGCGTGGCTGGTCTGGAAGTTCGCCTATCTGAGTATGACTGTCAGTTGGCGTAACAAGACTCGCATCGCCTTTAGATGGGTGGTCAACCGTCTCTTTGGAAGAGACGTCTCACGTTTCTGATCGCCTCATATCAGTGAGGTCGCATCTATCTAACATTCTCTTCTGCCGAGAAGTTACCTTCCTTCCATGGACAGCGTCCAATTTCAGTTTCCCTTATAGATTTGGCTGGCATAGAGTTTTCGGATCCTGCTAGGAGTTTTCCTTTGTATTCATTTTTCTGCCTGGACAGTTGCCATTTACATTGTATAGTTTAAAAAAGCATGTAGCATTACTTAGCTTAGCGCACAAATTCTGTTCCCAGGCTTGCTGGTTTCTATCGCTTCAGGATTCGTAAAAGACGCAGTACAGTAGATCTGTACCACTGGATTTTATTGATTTCGGTATACAGCACATGACAGGAACCTGAATGGAGTTGAACTTGACGTGATTTATCTCAAGAAATCTCCACTCGTCCTCTTCAGAATCTCATCATAATACGGTTGGAACGCCAACCACCCCTTTGCCGGAATCCCGACCTGCTCGTACGAATATTCCGCTTCTTTGTCGCTGATCAGGATCTTCCTGTGGCCAGAACCAGCCGACGCAGCATCGGCTAGGAGCTGCGCCATGCAAGTCTTGTCGAGACTGATGAACCAGAAGGCCGCTTCGTCGACAGATTGTCCGACCTAGAATATCAAAAAAAGTCATTAGACAATTTGTCCTGCAAATTAAAATATATGCTATAATAATAGAACGATGCCGAATGAGTGAGGTCGTTTCACTCACCGTCAACAAACCATGATTCTGCAAAATAACAGCCTTCCCATTCCCCAAAGCTTTTGCGATTCTCTTCCCTTCTTCTCGATCCAGAACCACCCCGCCAAAATTATCATATACGGCATGACTCTTGTAGAAGCGGAGTGCATCCTGCGTCATCATATCCAAGGGCTTTCCGAAGACAGAGTAGGCTTTTCCAGCGACGCTGTGAGCGTGACATGCTGCGTGGACGTCTGGTCTGGCTTTGTGGATCTGTTATATATGATATATGGGTTATGATTTAGTGGATTGAACTCTAGAGGGATGAGATGGATTCATATTACCTCGGAGTGGATTGCAAAGGCAGCTGCGTTGATAGGTTCGTCTCCTATGACTACTTGGCCGTCTTCGTTTACGAGAATCAGGCCAGATACGCTGATTGTGGCGAAGTGTTGAGAGAGTGGATTCAACCCTATCGTTATTCATTGTATGAGTAAAAGGAATGCCCAGTATGAAGGAGTTCAAAAACTTAGTTAAGAAAGGGGAATGTATGTACAGAAATGATCTGTTAGAATCGGATCTCGAACTGAAATATGTCCAGCAACTCCCTCGTCGAAGCCTCGATCAGCAAATATCCGGAACGCTGCAGCCAGATGTTGTTTCCTGTACAGACGCTCCTCTTCCAGGGAGGCGAATTTTGGGTATTCTCTGATCTTGAGCTTCTTGCCTGAGGTTGTCATGCCGAGGGCACCGACGTTCTTGTTGCTTTCAGACCCCTTGTCGATTACTGTTGCGGAGGGGGCCATTGTGGAGGGTAGTTTAGGTACACAGATAGCTGCTGCTCAGGTTATATCATATAAGGACCAGCGGATAGTAATTATGGAAATATTGTTAAGGGTAAGCCAGTCTTCTAACTATCACCAATGACTAGAGATTCATTAGGAAGATAAACAAACCCCGCAATTCGCCTGGCGAAAAGGGAATAACTTATAAGAGCCCTGGTCAACACGGCCTGCTCGGGTTCCCCGCATAAGTATCGTCTAATCTTGATCCCGCTATGGTATATTTCGACGGCACTAAGGGATCTTGATTGGCAATCGGCGAACCTCCGTTAGTATCGAGAGCGATGCGTTGTTACGGTTGGTGGCGGATAAGTATCCGACGTGCGTTTTTGCGGCGGATAATGAACGCATCTTGGCTTCGTACTCGAGTATGTTTGCGATTGGGGATATTTGGGACTGTGACTTGTATACAGTGTGAAGCGGAGAAGAGCTTCCCGGGTGGATTCAATGCGAACTGGATATTCTCACTAAGAAATCAATATGTACGCATGATACACTATCGCGGTCAAAGTAGAATTTGTGAGCGGCAGTATTTCAGATGGAGTGTCACTCAGTTCTTCGTAGTCATGCACATAAGACAACCTACATCCAGCTTCACTTAGAGTGACCACGAGAACTTATCTCCAGCTCACGGATCTTCAATATATACATCACAACCGACCTTTCAGCATACTGCCTCCATCAGTCACAATGACCGATCCATTCAAATGGCTACCCGCCCGACTTGCCAAAAACACAACCAACCCCGCGATATCCTCCTTCCTTCCCAGACGCTGGTTGGGAGAGAGCTTCTCCATCGCTTCCAAGCCGCCCTTCTTCTCAAGCAAACCGATCGCCATCTTGGACGGGTAGAAACCAGGCGCGATCGCGTTGGTCAGGATATGGCGGGGACCGAGTTCCAGAGCAAGGTTCTTAGCCAGATGGATGGCAGCTGCTTTGGAGGCGGAGTAGCTGAATGTGGCATTTTCGCCTCCCTCTCCGGGAACGAGACCTGCAATGGAGGCTGTGATGATGACTCTGGATGGAGATTCCTTGGTGGCTTTGGCTGTGAGAAGGGGAAAGAATCTGGAATCCTTGCATTAGTCTTGCGTGACAGGATAATGCTTACCCGGAATGCACCTGAGATGATTGACAAGCGCGTCGAACTGAGAAGGGGACAAACTCACTTCTGGATCGAATAAAAGACACTCTTCACATTAAGGTCCATGACCTTCGAAAAGGCATTCTCAGGGTGTGTCTCAAACTTCTCTCCCCACGTGGCGCCAGCGTTGGCGAGAAGGATATCCACATGGTCAGTCGTCTTGCGCACTTCCTCTACGAGCCGATCAAGTTCCTGCATCTTCGAACTGTCTGCAGGAACAGAGATAGCCTGAGCGCCAGGTCGCTTGTTAGGGAGAGCATTGAGCGCTGCGACAGCTTCGTCGCATGCAGATGCTTTGCGGGATGTGATATAGACTTTGGAGCAGCCAGCTTGGAGAAGACTGCATGTTTTCAGTTAGCTGTCGAATCATTGCTTTTGGGCAAACAGATATCGCTGGAAACATCTTCGCCGCAGCAACGGCGCAAAATGCAACCTTGCTCGTACAGAGGCCCCGTTGATAACGAGGTAACAAAACTCATATCAACAACAAAGGTATGACTTACCCACTAGCAGCATGAAGACCTAATCCTCTAGATCCACCTGTGACGACGGCCACCTTTCCCTCCAGGTCGAAGATGCTGCCGAAGTTTTCGAGCTCGACCTGTTCTTTGGCGGACATTTCTTCTACACTTGAAACTGTATGCCAATTACTGCGATGCTCTAATTCTTGTGATGGTATGTATCTGTTAGTTTTATGATGTTGCGAGTTGAGGTTAGGGGTATTCGAACCTTAGCCGCGTTCAAACTCGCACAATCCAACGTGTTGAAAACGGGCCTTCAGTTTATGTTGATGATAATTTTATATATGATAGCCAAGGAATGATGCGTGAGATACGTGCAATAGAATTATGTTGGCGATGAAACGCAGTCGGAGTCTAGGCCGAGGTGTCGTATTTCCGGGAAGATACCTCGGTTGTTCACAAATCAGCCGGCCAATCAAAGTGATTCATATCATCACTATTTTAACCATGGATAAGACGCTTTTTGAGATTTACAGATGCTTCTGAGAGTGGATATCAAAGAAAACTCATTTCCAAATATAGGCTATAGCCGCGATACACACCAAAGCTGACATTTCGACGGTCTTCTCTAGTCTAACGGAACGGCGCTTCCTCTAAGTACCAAGATTCAAAGCTTGGAATCGCCGCGCTTAGCTCTAGACACTTCACCCCCGTGACATCGTAGAGCTCTATCGATTATTTGCATCGCCTGAACCAAATCATAATCATGCAGTTTGGGCGTCACCACTTGAACACTAAGCGGGGAGCCCAGGTACACTCTGCGATCGACCGTCTTTTCGCTCCCTAGTGACTTCGTTAGTTTTATATTATTCAAGGGGGAAATGTCATCCTTACAGAGTTCCCTGTTTCTCTTGTCCCAGCTTCCTAGAACCTGCGCGGCCATTTCCTTCCCGATCTCTAGATCAGACTCCTTAAATGGCCGCACGGGTAGCGTACCAGCTGGGTAGTCCAAGAGGACAAAGCTCGATGTATATCCGACAGCATTGTACCGATCAATCTCTGGAACAGGGTGAGGAGCGACCGGGCATATGATCGCATCGATGCGTCTTTCACGACTGTCGTCATCAACATCACTTCTCCCGGTTGTTGTCCATATTTTGAGCATCTCTTTTTCAATCCTCGACCGTTCTGCTTGAAGCTGATATAGCTGTGTCACTGAAATCGGGTCTCTCCGTCCCACTCTGCCTTTCAGCCATGGGATCAATGGTTCAGAAGTGCGGTCAAGCAAATCCATCATGTTTGCACCGCCATCGACATCCATGAGTCGACCGGCTAGGCCCTGGCATTTCTTGAAGATAGGAGGGACTGGGACTTCGACCACCTCGATACCTTCAGTCTGGCGAAGTACTTGTGCTACTTCGTCCAAAACCTTTGCGACAGGCGGGAGAGGCTCGACAATGCCATCCGTTCGAAGGATCCCGACCGTAAACTTGCGAGAACTGCCATGGAGCTTTGTTGCCGTCTCACTCTCCCATTTCCCGGGAATGCAATCTTCCCCAAAGAGTTCCGCTCGAGGGACAATCTCCTTCATGACAACATCAATATCTTCAATCGATCGCGCCAATGGCCCTGCTACGGGTTGCAAGGCTACACGCCATTTTCCGTTCAATTGACCGCTCTCCTGGCCGCCATACGGAACACGTCCACTGCTTGGCTTGAACCCGTAGAGGCCATTGCACATGGCAGGGATGCGAATGCTGCCACCGATATCTGTTCCAAAGCCAACCATCGATCCACGCATCGCTAGCAGGACACCCTCGCCGCCAGAACTACCACCAGCGGTAAGTTGGCGGTTTAGCGGGTTGAGAGTGCGTCCAAAAACGTTGTTGCAACTGTCGAGGGCGCCCAGCGTCTGGGGTATATTGGTCTTTGCGATTATAATGGCACCTAGAGATAGGAGCAGGTCCACCAGAGGCGCGTTTTCCTTGGCAGGCTTGAACGCAAGAGCCGCGATGCCAATGCTAGAGTCCACCCCTTTGACATTGAAACCGTCCTTAACGGAAACTGGTAGACCATGGAGCGGACCGACTGTCTTCCCAGTGCGTTTCAAATACTCATCAAGCTCCCTTCCTCGCTTGATCGCGCTTGTGAACAAGGGCTCCGTCAAACAACGCGTAAGCTGGTGAGCAATAGCTGCTCTCTGTGATCGCATATTATTAGAATTCGCTGCGATAGCCATAGATAAACCTGGTACATGAAGTAGCTGACCTTGCAAAACGCCGTCGCAACTTCCTCTGCACTGAGCCGTCCACGAGCCGCCTCTTCCAGCAGTCCTTTAGCGTCCCATTTCTCTGTAATCTCTATCTCTTTGGAGGTTAAGAGACCACATGTGCGAGGAACACCAATCACAGTGACTCTGCCATACTCCCTGGCTCTGGTGATCGAGTCAGCCGGTGACAGCATGCTTTGAGGAATTAAATGCGCTGGCAGTCGCCATTCTGGCGGAATGCAGGCGTCTAGTTGATCTTGTTTCCGCCGCGCAATGGACAGATAAGGCTGTTCAGAAGACTGAGAGGACATGTCGCTTGACTTTATGATGTCAATGCCTATCGACTTTCTTTGCTTCGCGCGGCAATTCTAGTCTCGCAGAGCGCAGGAAAAAGCACGCTGGCTCGAAACGATAAGACTAAAAAAAGCTTTTGTTGACCAGCAACAGATGCTAAAGACCAATGCGGATAGTCAGGTTTTGATACCTATCCTTCGTTCCAAATTGGAACTAGAGAATCAACTGCAGATACTAATCGAGGTTTGTATGTTCCTTCAACCTGAAAGCATCATAGTTGTACCTAGGATTCGGGGAGACACTGTCCTAAACTGTGGGGTACGATTTACTTAGCGGCTAGAAGAGCCTCGGCAGTGTTACTTAACGCGTCCTCGATGCTATCCATAGATCAGGTTAAGTTGATCCTCTTGACGTCCTTCCTCTTTTCTTTGCGCGATGAGAGGGACTCCCCTGTCTTTCGTTTAAGACGTGGATTCGCAAAGTTCGCCCGCCCTTCTTTCACCATCCTTCGTCGCCCCCCACCCCCTTTTTCTTTATTCTTGAAAGCGACCGAACAGAAACCTCTTGGTTTGACCGCGGCTAAGAGCATGGACGCAGATTGGTATCGTCAGGTCAATATTGCTAGCAGGTAGCCTTACAGTAGATGAGCATCAGCGGTTACCCTTTCCAGAAGTAGCGTAAACGGTACGCTGCATCGTTCTGTATACCGAAGCCGGATGCACTTTTCAGTACGTACCCATGAAGTAAAGAAAATGAAAGAGGCGGCTATTACCCGGTACGATGCATGTTTCAGTTGCATCTTCCAGACAAAGCGGTGGCTTAGGTGGCTGTTTATAACTTGAAAGACTTCTTTCATCATGGCAGTAAAATGCGCGTTTTTGCACTTCCGTTGTCCGGACACCTACGTCAATTAACATGGCCACTGCCCGCATGGCAACTCCGACATAGTAGTTTCTTTGTCCAATCTGGGCTGATACCGACAACTCAACTTCACTCACTAGGTAACTGCATACAGTCGGCTCTCTCAAGTACGACCTCTTCTACTTGGCAAGTCAGCAAATCTTCTGCACTGAGATCCTCATTTCCGCACCGCCAGCTTCCTGCAGCGCTGAAGCAGCCATGTCTATCCGTATCAAGAATTTTCTTACCTATCTGCGCAAAGATCAAAACAAAGACCGTCAATATGTTCGTGAGAAGACCTGCGATAGCCTATACGAGATCTTTCTGTCTGTCTACGATTATGGAGGTCAGCACCGGTACCTCGACGATGAGCGTGCCAAATCCTTTGGGATTATAGTCAAGGACATGGAGCTGGATAGCAATGGTGAATATACAATGCGTGCTGGCGAGGAATTTTTCAAGCCTCTTCGACGCGAGCTTTTGGAAGCCGCTCCAATCGACGAAAGCGATGAAGAGATAAGAAGACACTTTACATGGTTCCATGAGTGGCCGGAAGAGGTAAGACGCCTGGAGAATGGGGGGTGTGGCTCGATTGCCATGGACTTGCGATACAAGCTGGGCCAGCTAGTCCATTATTATCGTCGAATTGGCCCTGGAGAGAATGCGAAGAGAGTGAAGCTCATGAAATTGACAGGATGGAGGGATCTGTGAGTCACCCGTTATTTGATGCTCTCGAGCGCAAACTCTAACTTTCTCCAAGGGGGCTCTGTCCGGATATAGTGAACGAGGTGTACATGGGTATGCTCAAATTTGGCGGTTCTGTTAGTCAGGATTGCAGGATAGATCAATCATACTTTTCTGCACACCGCCGTGAAGAGGAGCCGCATGTCATAATCATGCTCGAGCATTTCTACGAAGGCAATGAGAATATCTCACGTGCAGAAGTCCTAGTGGCGCTTGCAGCGATGGTAACGCAGATGGAGCATGATTACCTTGAGAGTCACTGCATCGCTCCTGTAAGTTATAAGCTAAGCATTTGTCTTCCTTCCAGATTATGTCCTTGGTCTATTACATGGTTCTGTACTAGTTGCTGATGGAAAATTTCACGCAATTGTATAGGTCCTAGTCGTCTCGTTCATGGAATCTTTTCAAGGGAGGATCATGCAGGCTCATGCCACGGAGGATGGACTTCTTATCCAGAAGACTAAGCTCCATTCTTTCAGAACGCAAGACGAATTCGACCAGTCAATGCCCTTCTTTGTGAGATACACGGCGAGTGATAGGGTTGGCGATACAAAGCAGCGAGTATTACTTGATCTCCCCAGGGAGGTGCAAGAACCTGCAGATGTCAAGCAGGTTAGGGACAGTATGGGAAACCTCTCTTGCACATCACCCACGGACAAGGTAGAGGGGAAGGCGCCAATGAAGTCTGCAGAACGCCCGCTCAATAGAGACAATGTATCTTAATGTTATGGAGCCCAACTTTGGCCGAATAAATTCATTAGCACAAATTAGGAATTTATTTTACTTTCTAGGCTTGTTGAAGAAGTCCATGTATGTATAATGTGCAATTACCTTGCTCATTGCAATTCCATGCTATTATCCATGCTAGGAAACAGGACATCCTGGATTCATGACTCGCACATTTGCTGATATTGCATTGTCAATGCTAGAAACAAAAACAAAAAGTCCCTTCTTGTGTTTATTATTACTGGTTTCATTATGTACAAAAGATAGCTGAAATGTCCAAAATCTAAGCATGCCATATATATTTGTATCACGTATCAGGGCCTCGGACGAGGGCTAATTCTTGCCCCTGCACATGCCTCTAGCACTCCGCTCAGGGAGTCAGAAAAGATATTCAAGTATATTGAGATTCTTCTCATTATTACTATTACTATCGCTCGAAACGGAAATGGCCTTTCAGTGGAATTGCTATAGAGAAGTCCAGCTGCAACACCTCTACTACCCGACACAACGGGTATGCAGTTTCATCTGCAGCTATCCCTTTGAAGTTTGAACTATATATAGACCAAAGGGGACACTGAGGCTGCAGGCTACTGCCTGAGACATTTGATAAAAGAGTAATGAGGTCCTTTATGGGTTACGGGTCCTACAACTCAAATTGACACGATATTGTGTTGTGGAAACTACCCTGGACATCCTTCCTGTCAGAGCACAAAGAACGTACCTAATCCCGTCATATTGTCCTTTATAAAGATCAGAGACTTCCAAGGGACCCCCCTGGAGAAGATTCTGGTATCATGTACCTACCCCTGGTGCATAAGACGAGCCCTTCAACTACTTTCAAATGCGCGCAGAGTCCGCTCATAACATATGTCGAAGTTCAAGTACTGCACATCTACCTCTGCCACTCATCTTTATTCGCTTCCTTCTCTCTTGCTTCCCTAACACAATAGTCCACAATATAGATCCCATCATGACTAAACCCGGAGAAGATTCCAAAGTCCCGGGATTTTTTGTGCCTGGTGATCCAGAAGACCTGAAAGATCTGGTCGCAACTGCAAAGATGCAAGACATGTCACTCTACAATCTTCGTGGTGAATGGCTAGAGTCTGGCTCAAATATAACTCAGAAGCAATTTGTTGCCTTCAGAGCAATTTGGCCCCAGCCTAAGAGGGCGCTGGATATATCCACCGCAGATGCACATCTCTACGGCATCGACGAATTCTGGAACGATGCCCAAGTGATTACAAACAATCTACCCGAATTCCAGCAATTCCTGGATATGGCTGGAAGCCGAACACCACTCAAATCTTTTCAGAGGAGTGATAACAGGCACCCATCGTCGCTTGCGGCAGTAAGAGACCTTCATGAACTCGTTGGATTCGATACTCTTGAGCCTCGCCGTTCAGGGAGATATAAAAGGTCTCCCTCTGTTACAGAGCTAGAGCCATCATACGCAAGACGCACCCTGAAGAGAGTGAGGAAGAACGCTCGTGGAAGCGTTATGCAAGCGTTCAATCATAGAAGCAGTCACGATACAGCAGAACGCCCACGTGCGGAATCTCAACCGGAGCAAGAGATAGCACCGCGAGTTCCGAATGAAGCCCTCGAAGCACCAGATGAAGCAACCGTTAACGCCGCTCTGGTAATTTTTTTGAGGTCGTTTTCTAATCTTGTCAGAGAGTCAAAGTTCGAATTCTTCTTTCAGCGTGTTTCGTTCACACCAACCTTTGGGAAATGTTCTTTTACGGCATACACCGACGGAGCCTTTCGAAGCTTAGAGCAGATCCCGGAGCAGGTTTTGGCAATCCTGGAAGTAAAGAAAGCATCAAGACGATCGAAACGGATGTCAATACAGATGCAAGAAACTGCAGAGATGGTCGGCTGGTTGATGACATCGACTATAGACCAGAAGTTCATGAATAATCAGTATGGTAACCTCCTTTGAACCCCTATAGATACGCCGATGCTGATTTCTTAGTCCTGTCATTATCTCGCAGGACTACAATGAACTTTACATCACTTTCGCATCCTATCACCAGGATTATCTCGACTACCTCAAAAAAGAGAATGCAAAGATCACCGAGAACACGTACTTGAGTCTACAGACCTACGGACCATTCTTTACAGGAAACAGGGATGATATGGAGAGATTTGCAACTCTTATTGTTGCTATGACGCTGGCTGCTAAATAGCCTCGTGAATTGAGTACCGAGTACTTCGAACAAATCCGGACGTCTATCGATGCAAATACAGCTACTCTCATAGAGGAAATTTAGTGATGATTATTACTCCCAGAATCCCACCGTGATGAGAAAACTGCTACTATCACCAGCTTCAATGTATGTATGTCGTATGTCAGATCTCACTGTTACAGCGTTGGTTGGGGAAAGCTCTAGATGAGCAAAGCTCATGGATTGTAATTCGAAGTGAATCTTGTGCCCAAATGAAGCCTCAGCCTCTAGTTTTCCATCCAGAACTTGTCCAACAACATCGACACGATCTCCCCGTATGTTATACTCACTGCCCCCGTGATATCTTCGAACAGGAAGAATGGGCGAATGTAAAGACTGTAATCATCGCGAAGGGCCTGTGCTAGTCTGGCGAGGCGTCGATGGTAGGAGGGCATGCTTGCGAACTGGGGAGTCGTCAGACCAACAGTTCATGCAGAGACGCATCTACCTCGACCATGGGGCACATACCTCCTAATTCTGCAACGCCACTAGACATTGAGCTTTTTCGTGCGCTTGAGTGGGTGTTTTGATTATCAATGTCTCACATATTTGAAATAAGTAAAAAGCGTCACCTCTTCCAAGCTGGACGCAGCGGGCTTGAATACTTACGGAGCCTTCTGGCGCGGACGTTGTAAAATGAAAGGTATTGATTTTGACCTGGATCATTTCAGCATTCATATCTTTCGGCACTTGTTCTTTTCACGACTTTTCAGGTATAACCCAAATGATGACAGCCAATGCTATCCTCCGGCCACATGTGAGCAGGCAACAAATTCATAATAAACTCCTGGTAGTTTTCTGTCCGGTCCTTCCATCTCAGGCCAGACACCCTAAGAGTCGCTAAGAGGCTATTGGTTCCATTGCGATTGAACGCGTAAATATCTAAGTCCTTTTATCGAAGGTACTGGTTCGGATACCTCTCTGTCGACGTGATCTCGTATATTCTGCCGCAGGCAGCGAGCATCAAATTGATGAATATACAAATAGCTAGAATAACACGTATCGATAATAGTCAGCGGATGTCTAGCGGGGAATAGTTAAAGGTTTCGTATTATCAATGACACGTCCTCGCGATAAACAGTTGATTTCGAGATAACCAAACGCTTATTGAGTTCTAACTCTGTAGTCAGAATGTTCTCGATCCATAGCAGAACTTGTTGCTGGATCTCTTTATCAAGGCCCTTGTTGCAGTAAGATATTGCTCCGAAGAGCGACGCAGTATAATTAATCGCGGTACGTCTCGACATCTTGCCATTTTCTGAGTAGCCTTGTGCCCCGTCTGCAACATAGGACATGAACTGGCGAATGATATTTGTCGTAGGCGATGCCGTGTTTGAAGTAATCAAAAGACTTTCATTCGTAACCATCTCGGACTTTCTTGGAGGAAGTATTCCTTTTTTTTTTTTTTTCAAACGCGCGCTGGTCAAGTTCAGATCTTCCATGTTTTTGGAAAGGGATTCTTACTCAGCAGAGAATCACATCAGTATATCTACGTCTTTTCCATGATAGGAAAGATTCGTCGAGGTTTTGAAACTTACTTCCTTTTGTGAGCTTGAGGTCTTTGTATATTGACAAGGAAAAATTCATATTGACAAGGAAAAATTCAAGATAGGCATTTTGTTCATTTTGAAATTAATTATTATCGCCCTTTCTGTCTAAGGAGGCGTCATAAATAAAGTGCCTTTTTTTATAAAATCTAATATAATCGAGTTTTAAGTTGGGATGTTTTAACTGCTTCGACGTAGTTGAAAATGAAATACAAGTTGTTGTAAAAGCATAGCTGTTCCGAGGCGGAGGGGGCATTGGGCCGTGTAAACATAGAAGGTTTTTGATCTGCGAGTACTGTCAAGTACAGTGTTTTTGCCAGAACCTACTGGAACCGGGAGGAGAGGATCTCGTCGTCACTAATAAGCGAGTGCCTCATATTAGTCCTTGAATCTGGGCTCGTTTGATCCAGACTTACCAAAGAAGTGGTGCGAATCATATGGTCAGGGGGGCCATAGGCCGAAATATCGGCTTGGAGCTGTTGTAAAGCAAATGCCATGATAGAAGAGATTTTAGCTGAAGAGAGACAGGCTTGGAGCAAAATGATTCTTTAATATTGTAAAAGCAATGAAGCTTCAAGAGCAGTGAAGGTTAAAGAGTAGTAAATAAAGAGCGTAGGGAGACGAGAAAGAGGACTTGTATCTGTCTGCTTTGTTTGGTTACTAGTTAACTATACAGCTTCTTTATTTACCAAGCGACGCCAGATCACCTACTGTTCGAGCAAATCGAACAACCAGATGCATGTATATGCCCACGCTGGTCGCAATACCAACAAGTATGCTATACTTATAGGCATTATAAAGATTACAGTTAAAGTATACTTGCAGCTTTAACCATGTTTTCTCTATTTTTCTTAAATTAGCTAGTATCAACGATATAAGGGATAGATTCTTACTTGGTGTTGTGTCTCTCGTGAAGAAGATATCCTTCGTATCTTCCTATTAGCAAGAGTGTCAAATTCAGTCTTATAAATTCTCTGAGCGCGAGTAATGTTTCTAACAGATGTTCTCTTCTACGTACAGAGTGTGGAAGAAGAAATCAAATAGAATAAAGAGCAGCTAGAAGATGGAAGAGGGGTAAAGAGAGCGGATCGATTGAACAAGACTCGAGAGGTGCCAAACAATGAATAGAACGGTGAATAGTTGGTATTATGGGACCCTCGAATCATACTGCGGCGCCGTGAATGCCGGGTTAACGAGAGGTCAGATGGGAATATCTACTGTTTGGAGCTATCATGCAGAAATATATTCATAGTCAATCCGCAATAATAGACGTGGATTCTTAAGTATATATCATCTGGTTTTGTACGTTACATAGCTATATCCATACCGTAAATGGGAATGTCACAATGCAGTTCATTAGATACCATTATGTTCTCAAGAGATGTACGCCAAAACAAAATGAGTTATCATGAACCCAAACTCGCAGTGAGTATCGACAGGTCAATGCAGGTGGTGAATGCAGAGATATAGACCCAAAAAGAAGAAGGAAATGAAATTAGATGCTCAAAAATCTTTACAACGAATGAAGTTGATATTCAAGCGGTATAGTCGGCCATGCGTCTACACCGTCCAGGATCGCAAGAGCCATCCCGCCGCTCTGATGCACTTGGATGTGGCAATGCATGAGGAATGCACCGGGGTTCGTTACCTGGTAGCGGATCGCCATCCATGTTGGTCCCGTCGCCGCAGCGGGTGTGTAAGATGTGTCTAGCAAAGGCGGGTTTTTGAGGTTCAGACTGTGCGGGATGTGCTGCATTGCCTCACTGACGGAGGCGTAGGTCCATGCACCTTCTCCGGACCCGAGAAGGAAGAATTTATTAGAATGCTTGTGAATAGGGTGTGGAGGCTGGACAGGCCCGGTCACATTGAAGATGAAATCGACCCAGGTGCCGTTCTTGGTGCGGATGGTCAGGTCATTGTAAGCTGCTGGGGAGTCTGGGTAGAAGAGGAGTGGTTGCGATTCCTCCAAAGATAGCGGGTAGCTGCTGTTTCCGAGTGTCCAGCGATATGAAGCATTGTAGTGATTGAGACTCAGGATGAAGGTTTGATCAGCGGTCTGTGCAGGTGTCTCGACAGGGAAGGGAACCATCGCAGACTCGTTCTGGAAAGTGACGTCTGCAGTGGCATTGGATCCGACGAGATTGATGTATGGCTCAGACGGTCCGCTCTGTGTTTTCACTGCGTTGACGTACGTCAGGATAGCGCTGCCATTCATCATTTGGCTGAGACCATTGACAACAAAACGGACTGTGTAGTCTCCAGCCGGCTTGTCCAACTTCACGAGCACCGAGAATCGTCGACCATTCGTGATTGTCACAGCGTCCACGAGCTGCGGCTCGACGTATCGACCATCGACGGCATATATGTACATAGGGTGTTCGTCGATGGAGAAGGCAATATTCAACAGACTGTTCGCTCCGATAAGATCCCAGCTTACATAACCATCATGGGGATCAACAGTAAGAATCTCCGTACTGCCTTCCGTAGGTTCACAACCAGAGAATAGACCAGGTGGTATAGCACTGAAGTTATGCGGGTATGGGCCTTGAGTAGCGACGATAGTTGGAGGAATGCATCTAGACGTAATTCAATCAGCTTGATTTACTCACACCCCCACAAAACTGTTCAGTACACACCCCATATCGGTCAACTGAGTGCCATTAAGCAGCTGTTTCAGCGCAGGAGATGTAAACTCATCAATTGTCGCTCGCGACAAGCAGTTAACGGACCCCTTTCCGTTGATCAAGAGCGAACTGGCACAGAATGCGTCAAGCCCAGTGGCTTCTTCTGCCTGCCAAACCTGCTCGGAGGGCAAGTGGCGCCAGTCACTTAGCACAAGTGGTCTTGTATTTTCCTCTGCCTTCCGCATGGCCTCGAGCTCGTTTGAGTCGTTGCTGATCAGCGCAAAGGGCCTCTCCACGGAGTCGGCCGGCTTGATGTATATAGGACCAACAAGGCCATCTTCAATATGGCTTCTTTCATGTGCATGGTAAAAGTAGCTTCCATACTGGGTCGCTGTCCACTTGTATACGAAGAATTCTCCGGGCTGGATGCCTTTCTGCGACACACCCGGCACACCATCGGACCACGGGGTACCTAGCTGATCGATTCCTTTTGCAACGTCAGAGCTCTACACACGACCATGACAACCATGTGGAAATGTGAAAATACCCACCGTGGAAATGAACCGTAGTCGCATACGGCAGAAGATTCCAAACCGTGAATTCGACATCATCTCCTTGACGCAGTTCCAACATCGGACCGGGGAATTGACCATTCATCAAAATACCACCCGGCCTCTTGAAGCCATCATGGTATACCTCCGACTGCGTCAATGTGATTGCAAACTGCACAGGGGTTCGTGCAGTCGCAGACACATTCGCAGACAGGGTCGGTACGGCGTGGACCCAATGCAGGAGCCCGAGCAGAGACAGCAGGAACAGCATACCGCCGGAGATCCCTGAGTTACCCATTGCGGCGGCGATGTCGTGAAGCTTTCGTTTAGGTCAATAACGAAAGGATCGGGAAGGCTTTCATGATTTATGTACATGAGCTCAAGGGGGGAACCTTTCCAGTCTCCTTCGGCCGTCTATATCCATAGTGGGCACCGTCGTCGGCCCATCTCTCCACTTGGAAGACCTATGTATTATCAGCTCGTGGCTAGTCTACATAGACAGGTGATCGACCGAGAGTCGGCCTTACATGCACGATGTACGGAGTACCATGTGGCATGTTGAGTGTTCAGCCTTGGACAAGCGCATAGTGACAGATAAAAGTCCAAGCCAACGGAATGTCAACGCCCATTAGGCGTCCCACGACAGGAGTGACTGATGCCAGTTGGGCGCACACGGACGCTCGTATCTGTCAGAGACAGATCAGCAAGATTGTAAAAGGCCCCCATAGAGCCGGAAATAGCATGCAGTCGGTGAACAGTTCATAGCTGACGGGATATGGTCCAGCCCAGAAGAACTAGAAGATGGGTATAACTAGCGTGTTCAGCCAGCCGTGAAGTTCACTAATAATACGTTCCAATTGTCAGAGCGGAGCTCAGAAAATGCACTTGCACTTTCTTATTGTTCGTGATAACAAATGCTGAAAGTTATGTTACGCGAATAGTCAGCTTCAGCCATCTCCGTGAGACCCCGACGAGGCTGCAAGGGATCTATTGGAAAAAACGAAACCGGGTCTCCGATTGCGTACATTTCTTACCTAGTTAGACCCTGGAGATCTGGTGCTAGAGGTGAGACTGAAAGTGTCCACTTCTCTTGAATAATAGGGTACCCTGGACTCGGGGCTGCAACTTGCGATACAAATAGAGATCAAACCCCAGAGTCAAGACAGAAAAACACGGAACGTTGGACGGCGCAACACCGCTGCAGCCCAACAAATTCCAAATTCCCGCTTCTGTTGTTGGGTCCGACAAACAATTAACTATGGGCGATCCCTGCGAACCCGAGTATCCGGGAATTCACTAGTCGGAGGGGCAGAATTCGGTGGCTTGTTAATGTGGGATCCCGGACTGGCTCTGGTACAGCAGGAATCAATAATTGAGTTCCCACAAGGGCGATCTAAGTCCAATCTTGATCTTGCAACTTCTCCAGGCGTTCCTTAGCGGCTATACATACTTAGCGTTTGGCGTTTCCGAAGCTCAGGCCTCGAACCAAGGTTCGAATCTCGATTAGTCTCATCCATGCTAAAGCCCGAGTCGCCTAGCTTCCGGGTCAGCTCCGTGCTCCAGTAGGAGCTTGATTATAGCCTCATGACCGAAGTCTGCGGCGATTGTCCAGAGGTGTTTGATAAATATTATCCTTAGAGTCAGGATCAGTTCCATACTTCAGTAGGAGACACCCTTTAATGCTGTCCATGACAGTGGTGTTCGACCACGCTCATCTTCTCTATCAAATCGACCATCACACTCGATTAACATCTGCGTCAGACATTCCAAGCCGAAGTGTGCCACAAAATGATGGCCCGTGATTTGTTTCGGTGCCTGGATGTAGTGAACCCTGAAACCGATCCTGCCGTAGTTTTTTCGAGCTAGCAGACCCTAGCCACAGGCATTACTTAATAATAACCTTTGGTAGATTCTGCAGAAAGTTCAGAATCAATATTGATTGCATCAGTAACGGGCTGCTTTAGAGTACTGCAATCGGTAGTGTTCTTGACGAGCTTCAAACTCCTCACCCGTGCTGCAAAATCCGGCGTTGAAGTCATCAAGTGATAAATGAGAGATGCAAATCTTAGCTATCTCTTGATGAGCATCGGCGACCCAGTCTTTGCCTGTTTGTTTTCTCGAAATATTCCTGTGTGTTGTATAGTAAACGAGTCGAACATATCAGGTATCACTTTGTTCATCCACCACGACCAATCCTGCGCAGACAGAGATCATATCTTCTACTTCAGGAAGATCATCCTTGTCAAGGGTTGGTTCGCCAACCTCGACTGCAAGTGCGTGTTGCAGTCCTGAAGCTGTCGTCTGTCGCTCGGCGCAACTGATCCACGACAACACATGAAATGCCATCTCTTTTTGGTCAGATACCTGCCCCTGAATCCGTTCTATGGCATCTCGGTACGCAAAATAATATGCGCGCAACCCAGTTGGAAGGCTCTTCAATGCGTTTCGAGTGGTTTTAGGAGACCGTTTCCCGATTAATGAGTCAAGATGGAGAGCCAAGCGCGAAAGAACCTAAAGGTAAATTAGCTTGTTCAAAGACCCCATTGACCAGAGTAACCTACATCCCATCCACCGCATCTGTGATAACCTGGATAATTTCTTCTTGCAGTTTGGCATTCTGTGAGACAAACCGCGGAAGTCGACCAACAATGCCCTGTAGGTATTTCTCAGCGTCATAACGACTCGCTCTAATCTCCAGAGAAGGTATTCCTTCAAATCTCGTCTTAATTCCTGGTATAGATCGAGCCGTGGCAAAGAAGCTAATGTTAAACCGGGCTTGAAGTTCGAAATTTTCAGGTGCCGGTCACGAGACCTGTCTGTCGACTGGCATTCATCCAGCGCATCAACGATGATGAATACCTTCATGTACCCGCTGATAACAGTTTGTAGGGCGTTTGAAAAGTCACTTGGTCTTCCGCCCTCATAGTGCTGATGATACAGTGCCTTCACCCGATCTAGTAGAGATGGTCGTCCTTGAGTCAACTGTTTCAGCAGACTCTCGAGCACATCTTCCAGTCGCTGCTTGTGAGAGCGCCGAAAATTGAAGTAAATATAGGCAAGGCCAATGTTTTGATCATTTCCGCACACCGTATCCAGATGGTCTACTATGATAAGTAATAAAATATATACCTAATACCCTTATTAAATAGATTAATACAGTAAAACCTGGCTATAACGAACCCGGGTATAACGAATACCTCGACATAACGAATTTGAAACCGTGTCAAAATCAAAATCCTATACAAAATTCGTTATTCCTCCCTACTACGAAATTCGTTAATTTTTTCAGGCCTTTTCTATACAATTCGTTATACAAAGGTACAAATTTACCTTATTAGTCAGTGATTACCTCATTGACAATTTCCTATTAGGGTAATTTTTTCGAAAATTTCACTGCCCATACCAATATTACTAATACAGACCCACTTTTTATATAACGAATCCTCTATACAACGAATTACACTACCTGGCTAAAATGATTCGTTATATCCAGGTTTTACTGTACTTATATAAAAATTATAGGATTTAAGCTTAAGAGCCTATTTAGAGCTAATATCGACTAAAACTTTATGGTATACCTAGATGCCTTAAGATCTAACAGTATATCCACACCCTTAGCGCCCAACCCGGGATTACAGAGCTTGGGTATGGTATAGGAACATATGCCGCATGCACAGCGGTACTTTAGGTGCGGAACTGGTACTCGGGTCAGATAAATAGCAAGGGTAGAAGGTACCTATCTGGGGCCTTGCTGCTGTATATCCAAAAAAGAAAGAATAAGAGGCTGAAAGCGAAGAACAATACCGTCGCGATATACATATAACTTATAGCCACCGAAATAATATCCTATCGAAAAAAGACACAACCAAAACGCCTCCCAGGTATGCCGTTATCCCACCGAGTAAGTAAGAACTCATTACTCCGGCTCAGTCTCGCCTACCGGAGAGCTGATAAACCACTGCGCAAACAACTCCAAGAGAACAGCATCCTCGTATCGGAAGTCATAGAATTTGCTGTGATGGATAACCAGCTCAGTACCATTGAAATGGGCCTGGAGGATCCGCGCGTGTTGTGTGCCCATCATGGAGAAGAGGAGTACCTATGGTTCGAAAAGCAGTTAGCAACGAGCGGCCTGGCAGGACGGCTTTTTTTACAGGAAAGATCAAGACTGATCAAGACGGTTATCCCCGAGTCTATGTGAGGTAGGAACCTACCGGGTGGACAGGATATCTAGCAAATCTTTTTGTCTCCAGACGCCCCCGGATCATCCTGATCAAAGCGAGAAGTTCCCCTCGGAACAACATCTCATAATCGCCATCGACATCAGAGATCATCATGCTCTTCAGATGCGGGAATTTTGTGTCGTGGTAATGGTAAACTGCGTCGACGGTCCACTGGGGAGGGCACTTCGAATCTTCCATACCGATCTGCAGACCGTACTCCCAAAGGTCTTTTTTAAACCCATACTCACCGATGCTATATTACACCCATGAGAGAAAGGACACGAGGAGACGGCAGATGGGAAGGTCAAACATACTCTTGATAGCGCCATCCCGAAATCAGAAAGACGGGATATTGAACTTCCGGACAGCGACTCCGGTACCCACTCAGGGACTGCTCGAGGTAGTAACAAAGTTGACGCGCCCGGTCGATGGGCGTCTCATGACGGCGTTGTGCCCGTTCGCTGTCGTATTTGGGGAACTCGAACGGAACCCATCCATCCTTGGGCGCCATCAGAAGATCACTCGGGTAGGGGGCAAAGAAACTTGGAGTGAACTCGGGTTTGCCATTCTGACATTCGAACGGGGCTGGTATTATGCTAATCGCGGCGTTCTGCAGGTTAGCTGGATGGAATGAGAATTTCTCGAGACTAGTAACGTGAGCTTCCAGCTTCCGGAGGGCGAGACGGTTAGCCTTGTTGCGCTCTTTGAGCTCGATAACAGAAGTCATTGCGATTAACGGGCAGGAAAGAAAGACACTTTCAGGAAGAGGGCAACGTTGAGAGGAGAGGTGTGGGATGCTCTGCGACATCGATTGTTTTGTTGGTAACGTACTTATGCAGTCCAAGCTGGCAAGCGAGTTAGATCAAAAATACATTACTGATCTAACCATCTTGGCTCCTTGCAAGCTACAAATACAGTCTACTTGACACTCACATGTTTCCTATACTCCAGCCACCCTCCCATATTCGTGTGCAAGTTTACATCAAGGGTCTTGGAAGCTTCACTCTTATAGAGTGAATCTCTCCGCTGCAGAGATGATATATTGGCTATAGGGGTACCGCGACTAGATTCTAGAAGATATATACAGATACTCTGCATATACTCTGCATATACCGTTCAACTCAATTTGATGAAATTCCATAGAAAGCTCTTTTCACTATCGTTAAACGCTACTACATACATTTCTGAAACAGTCTTGCTTCCAACGAGATAACTCCACAGCACCAGAACATAAAGTCATTCGATATTTGACATCACCCTTCATCAACAAATCGCTCATATCATAGACCTTGTCACCGGCATATGTGCAAATTAATAGAGATAGTGGGAAATTGCGTATTCAGGTTCGAGATTCGTAAATCTATCTTGCTGTCGTCGTTGGACTTTAAGCATCTAACAACAGCAATTCCTTGCCGGGCTCGAGGAGTTGCGGTTCGATAGCTACCTCCACTTGATCCATACCAGCTTCAACTGGAGAATCCACGGCTAAAACTGCCGGAACTGGATCCGGATAATCGTCTTTCGAAGCCACTTTCTCGGAAACAGATAGACTAGAGACGACACTCAGTTCTGCAGTGGCCTGAGCCACGGGTTCCTCTGACTTGACGTGAACCGCAGGTTCGACTACAGTTTCGATCTTAGGCTGGGCTTGGGAGGAGGGCGTGTAGCTCACAGCAGAGTATTGCGCTGCACTGACCGCGGCAACAGGGACGGTTTCTGTCTGAATGCGGGCGACTTCTCGACCGGCCGGATGAGCTCCAAATGCAAAAAAGACGACTAGCACGCTCAGAAAAGCGATAACGAGGTTACGCCTGTCACGTGCGAGAATGCGAATATAATTGATCAACAAGGTTTGAAGGTCGATTTCTCTGGCCGCCTTAGGATCATATCCAGGAGGGATGGGCGATTGCTGATTCTGCTGCAAATCCTTTGGTTGCGGGACATGGAAGTGCTCGTTATTGAACCGTGGAGTATCGTCAAACCCGTCAATAAGCGTCGGAGCTGCCGCATAAAGGTCGATGCGTCTCTTATCCTCCTCGGAATTGCGGAACTCTTCCTCGGAGCGGTTGGCACGCTCCTCCAGAAACCTCTTCTCCAGCTCCCTTCTTATTTTGGATGGGAGCCATAGACTGACTTCCACGTCCACCTTCTCCATTTCCTTCCAGGCGGCAGCCCATGCCCCGGCGCGCATCAAGCCATTGGCCGCATAGACCTTAATCTCCCATTTCCTACCGCTGTCTTTGTGATCGACTACCCATCCACCGCAGTCGGGACATTCTTCACCCTCTTCACTCTCAGCGTCGATTTTTGTATCAGTCTCGGAGTCTTCTTTCTCCGTGTCATCTCCCCCGCCACTCAGGAAATGTCCATTCCGCAGTCTAGGATGCACAAGCTCCAAGCTTTCTAGGAGTCGCTCCTCCAACACATCATAAGCATCTTGCGGATGAGATATCAAGACACCGCGTTCGCGAAGAACTCCTGATCCGATGACCTTTTCCTCTAGTAACTTCCAACGTTTCCAGTAGCGCAGAGGCAGCACCTCCTGAAGAATCTGAGAAGTGGGATTTCCAATTCCAGCTGGAAGAGAAAGAGAAGGTGGCAGGAGGTTGCAATGAAGCAATACGAGCGGATATTCCTTCTTGACCTTCGGTTTATGCGCAGAACCGTAAGGCGAGTGGCAAGGTGACCGCTTCACTGGTGTCATTCCCGAATGTCGTGGGCTATAACCAGTGGCACGGCGCCTGGTCGGCGAGAGATAGTCCTCATCCTCATCTTCGGTATGCATTTGCATAGCTCTCACTGAGCTCGGTTTCCGGAAGGCTGGCTGGCGATCCCGAACTTTAGGCACGAATTTCATGGACCCGTCTCTCTTGTCCGACCAATCCCTATCGGCAGTAGCATGCCCATTGCCTGTTCTTTTTGAGTCCGAAGTAGTAGGCGTCGGGGCATAATCCGTCGGATGGATGAGGACAGATTCAGGAATTGATGAAATCGAAGAACGACTAGACGCTGCGGATTGTACATGAGGCGCGTCATCACTCAAGTCATCTTCGAGCGAGTCGCGACCGGAAAGACGAGAAGAAGAGGAAGAATTGTATCCATAGTTCACATCGCTGCCATCTCTAGGGTATTCATCGTCCGGGTGCTCAAGAGAGTCAGTCACATCGGCAGGAATTTCCGCAGTCACAAAAGTAGATGAAAGTTGATCCCCGTCGAAGGCATGTGGCTGTAATGTGGTATCGCCGTCATCCACCTTAGTCACTTTCGAGGCATCGAATATGTCCTCCATTTGAGATCTATCTCAACAATATTCCTCGTCTATTTCGACCGATAATGATATTGCTTTGAAGCAATATGCTCACAGCCGGAGAGTGTGGGGCCCCAGCACGGCAAAATGCCAGAGGGATCCACGCAGCGTGCCAGTACCTGATACTGTGAATATAACTAGTTCTGAGATTGAGAAGCAGAAATTTATATAATGTAAAACCTGAGGTGAATGCAACAACAGAAAGCGTCGTGTTATCACAATAATATGATGATGAGGTTGCTACACATGTTATCTGATGATGTTTATCCTCATCCGTTGTGCAGGGCAACCGCTGCCACCATGCAGCCTCTCACCGCCTTTCTCATCTCCCCTCGGTTGCTGCAGTGGTGATCTTTCGCGCCCAATGTATGTATTACAATATATATAAATTAGTATGCGCGTAGTATCCTCTAATATAGACGACCAAAATAGCTAATAAGATAGGTGGGCTTTTGCTGCTCATGTTTGGCCAAGACATTCTATACATCTATTGCTGGCCCTTGAAGTATAAGAAAAAATATCAATCAAATGCAACATGTTTTTATAAAGCCCCAAATGTAGACGTCTCTCATCGCTTGCTTCATGACACATATGTTCCCCAGATAAAGAAAAAGAAGTAGAGCGTAGACTAGTCCTATGTATTCCATCCACAACACTGGACTTCAGAACCCACCAGACGCCCGGGAAGATGCTCGCCTGCTTGCAAAATGACATATCATCATCCAAAGCTCCCGTGTAGAAACAATAAGATCGAATTTTCATACAGAAACTTAACGGACTGGGTCAGCGCTGTGGAGGACGCTGATTGGGAATATTAGCGTTATCTTGGGGACTCATCAGAGGACTGTAAGTCTGATGATCCCCGAAATAGCTGAGCACATCCTGCGGAAGGTACTCCAGCCATGGGAGAAGTTCGCCATTGAACGCAAACGGGAATGCCTCCTGATTCTGCAGGGTATTCATGTCGATGTCCTGAGTTCCAATCATCATATCGCCGATTTGTGCGCTTGCACCGGGACTAACATGGTCATTAGCATTACAGTTTGGGGGGTCGTGGTCGGCGCCTTCGGACCCAGATGCGGGAGCGTAGTGATAGGATGATGAGACGCCCACTGTCGGGGCCTCAAGATTCTGACTGTATGTTGCGGGCAGATTTCGTGCGACACGAGAATGAGAAGGGGTATAGGGTGTGTTCAAGCCGAGAAGCAAGTCAGCGTCTGATATATTTACGCCTCCTGTGGTGTGAGAAGGGTACTTCCGGTCCTTTGCAGGTAAAGCAGACGAGTGTGGTAGATTTGTTGATGGATATGCAGGAAGGCTGTCAGCATGCAGACGGCTGCTGTTCTGTGGAACTTGCGCTTCAAGCGAGACAGTTGGGTAGCTATGGCTGTACTGAGGACCGTAGTTTGCCTGTGCTGAAAGCGTATTTGCTTGGGCGCTTGGCATTTGATAAAGTAAGCTCAGATTCGGTTGCGAAGAATTAGTCGCGCCAGTCAGTGCCCATCCGATAGCTGTGACACGACGTTAGTGAAATCCAGAGAAATCCGAGAGAACACATTGCCTACCTTGGCTAGGATCGAATCTAGGCGACCCTGCCGTTTCCGACGTGCCGTCAAGTTCCTGCCCAGAAGCAGAAGGATAATACCCTTGCCTCGCAGGTGGCTCTATCGAGCTCTGGCGCGTAGCCGCTTTTCGCCAACCGCTTGGGGCGAGTGAGAGTATATCACCGGCACCATCCATCTCTTCAGCCGTGTACAGTTGAGGGTCGCCTATTCCTTTCGCTTTCTGATCCAACACGGTCAAAATATACCTGGTGCCTTCCCAGTAAGTCTCCAAGGATTTGAGAGCCTTGTAACATCTCTGGTAGTTTTCTTTTGCTGCGGAGGCCAATAAACTGTGTTTAGGATTCAGTCTCCGCTCTGGTCCGTTTGGAATCTCGATACCGGGTGTGAGGAAGCTGGCAGTTTGGTTGGCCAACAGCGGCTGTACAGGTGACGATCCAGATTTAGATGTTGGAGATGAATAATATGAACTCTCCATGAGGAAGGCACATGCGGCGATGTACATGGGCTGGCTGGTGAAAGGATTGCCTATGAAGCTTTTTGCGTCGATCAGTTCGGAAAAAGACAGAATATCCGCTATTGTCTTCGCCGACGACATCGATAGCTCACGGCTATTCGGATATAGCTGTTGTATTCGCCCTCCAAAAGAACTTAGGAGAGTCGGTTGATGTAATAGCACAATCAACGTGTGAAACCACTGCTCTCAAGGTCAGTCAGGGAACCCCGGGGCAGGTTGAGGGATAATCATCTTACGAAATGAAGCAAAATAAAATTAGTACCCTCTTCAGCTCGAACATAAGTTTGGAAATTGACCGCGTTAAAATGAAGTCTTGGGGATAGGCGTTGATAGATACCTATAACGCGTCAGATAGCCGCTATCTCGTGAAGGGAGCCATGATCATATTACTCACCTGTGAGGTCACTTTCCATACCAGCCAGACGCTTCAGCGTGTCTGGCGTGACGTGGTTGACCTCCTCTATGGCATTGATCAAGTCGGTTACTCTTCCATAAAGATGTATTATGCGCATCAATGGCGGGAAGGGGGCCGGCCAGCCATTCGGGAGCACGCAGTCTGACTGTAAGGGAAAGTATAGCTCAATGTCTTCATCCCGTAGCGTTACCGGCCTGCCAGTCCCTGACGAGATAACTCGGTCCAGGAAGAAAATACTCCAAAAGGTATCCACTCTTTCCCGTTCCCTTGCACGCTCATCGGCTGTCGCGGGATCTTGCTCCTGGCGTTTCTCGGGAGGATCGGGACAGTCATATTGTTCCTCACTAAGTTTCCCTGCTTGTCCGGTCTTGATAGCTTTGGGGGTCAACCCTGTTCGTCCGTATTTGTACTTTAGCCCCTGTAGCTTCTGTAACCCTAGATCCTGTGCCATCCGAATCGATATACCAAGGTACATCCAAAGACCACTATCGCGATTTGAACCAAATTCCTCGTAAGCCAACAAGAGACACGCCTGCACGACGGAGAGAGTAGGGCATGACAGCGCATCGACCAAAGCCATCATTGCTCTATGAGCAAAAGCCTGGCCATGATCTGACTTCTTGACGTCATTCTCAGGCTCTGCTCCATCGATCGATCGCGCTCGTGGGGGACTCAACAAGGGATGCGGAGAGAATCTCGCCGCTAGAGCACAAACCGCGTCCACGAGGATGGTATCGATCTTCTTTTCCTTGAGATCTCGCAGGAACCTATCCCGCTGAAGGAACTGGAAGCTGCAACCCAGATGCACAAAGAACAGCTCGCAAAGGTGTATGACGAGGTTGCTAACTGGCAGATTGTCGTCGCGATCATAGAATGGAATAGTGTTCGAATCGCGAATGTCGGCAAGTGCCGCAGCTAATGAGGCGTCTGGCGCATCAAGATTTGAACCCACTAAGGGCGAAACCGAGTCTATATGTTTTACCACACATGTTGGTCAAATGCTCAGAATTGTAGGGGCTTTTTGGAGGTTTCCTTTTACTTACCCGATGACATGGAAGGGTTACTCTTGCGAGACTCGCGAACACGAACCACCTGACCACTCGGTCAGCACAACGGGGTCTACCACACTGTATTCTTTGAGGAGCTCGTGTCTAACCATTTGCTTGAACCCTGGCACAATGGCCGTAGGGCCAAAGTACCTGAAATAGGGCACATGGGTACGATTGCTTGAGCTTATTGACGTGCGATCTGCAGCTTCAAAGGAAAATATATTAGCACCGCGGCGCAAGGCTGATAACGGTCAAGAAAAGAGGTGCACTGACTGCTCTCAGGACTTTCTCTTCCTGGTTGATTCTGGTCCTTACTGGTGGAAGGGAGGACCTCTTTTGTCAAGGGAACCGACTTGGACTCCGCAGCCTCCGGGAGAGTAGGTGGTTTATCCTGGCCACTCGACTGTGCACTTGGTTTGAGCGCACTAGGGGAATCACTTAGAGCTCGAGGACGGGTTTTCGTGTTCTCTGGATGGCTTGCTGGTGCCGCGCTTTGGGAAGTGATGTCGGCGGGGGGCTGCGACGGAGGGTCGTTGTATCCCAGGCAGGTATGGCCATAATCCGAGCACGTCTTGCACACTTGGGTATATTGTCAGGTCTTGTCTGCCTCGTGGGGATTGTCAAGGTAAAAAGAGAATACCTGGCTGCTCACCAGAGCACCTGATCTTGCGCTTGCGACACGTTCGACATCTGTGCGAATCCGCGGGACTATGTTAGTACATACAAACACGAGGGTATGGCGGCAGTGAGCCTGGTCGCGACATGACTTACGCCGCCGTCACTCTGCGCCGCTTTGTCTGCGGCTGTCCATCTGTTGAAACGAAGCGAATCTGCCTGGGTTGGGAGATATTGTTGCTGCCGTTCTTCTTCGCGGGGGAAGGCGGGCTCATTGCGAGCGGGATGTGGTCATCGGTGCCCGCGGCACATGGGCGGTCCCCTGTAAGTAGGTATTGAAACCTCTTAACCCAAGGGGCCAATGGTCAAGGTAGGCAATAGCAAGCCTGAGATGGAGCGAATCCAGGAAAGTTTCAGCAGTAGAGACGACACAAAATCCATGGGCCTTGTCGCAGCGCAAGTGACGAGATTTGGCTTGGTAGAAGGAGAAGAGTGTCTGGGGTAGATGATGATGGCAGTTCGCAGCCAAGACACCCTATCGACTTTTTGCTGGTCACTCGCACGCTTTGACGACCTTCTAGCCCACGCCATCGGGTTGACGCCCACCAGCGACCATCCCGGCTTCTGGTTAGCCCATTCCTACAAATAAGCAACGGCTTGTTCCCTTCCAGAACGTTTCCCGCGCCACGGTGTTACCTCCGTCCCTGCAGGCTCTCTTGGCTCGGGGAGGAGGATATTGCGAACAGTCTTCCCAAGATCTGCACGTCTAGCCCATGCCTAGGAACCCTATTATCGTGTGCGCGCATTCGAAGATGATATCTTCTATCTACCCCAGCCGTGTGGATCGTTGGCCCTTCGCTAACGCCTAAGATCCGTTGGAACGGCGACGGGGCCATGACTTGCGGTGGAGAACTGGCCTAGACCAGCGGGGTAAGTGTAGTTAGAGTTCCTAACTAGATTGACAATGCTCTTGAAGAAGCGGGCAGAAAGTCCCGATTCGAATGGTTCTCCATTTAATTGTTTCCATTCGACGGGGCTGGGCTCTCTCGGGTTTTAGTCTTTTGTACAGAAGAGAAAGAGAGAGAGAGAGAGACAGACATATATATATATACAGAGTACACAGGCAAACCCTCATAAAATCCAGAAGCTAGGCTTTTGGTATGTATCACGATATTTCGCCCATATGCAGTTCCACCTGAACGAATGTCGGTTTGAGGACATCCAGGTTAACAATGTCCTTGCTCTCATTGATGTCGTCCCCGCGCACCCAGAAAAGACCGGATAGTTACCTCCCGTCCTGACACACCATACAGAAGCGTTGGCTGCCTCCACGGAATCCTCTGAGACCATGTTGATGACATGAATATTTCTCACAGTGCCCTTTATTTGCTCTAAAGAGCCGATGAATCCAATGGCATAAAGCCGGGGGATCATTGTTGATGACTTGACACTGGACAGTAGGTAACTACAGAGCAGCGTGTCGAAATTCTCGTTGATCGGCACCGCTAGCGTTGTATTTCGATTACAACTCCTACTTCGTTTAACTACTTACTACTTCACCGCTATTTTCACTATTTCATCAAATATGAAGCTATCTAAATCAATATTCTATTCTGTCTATATCCTAGACCTTCCTGACTGCAAACACCACCGTGCCAGCGATTGTGCCAGCAACCCCGAAGCGATACCGATCTAAAATGCCTGTTCATCAAACTGCCGCTCGAGTTCAAGCTCTTACCTTACTCCTAGTAGGATACAGACCTGAAGATATACAAAAGCTCACAGGCATACCTCCTAGCACACAAAAAGATATTAAGAAGCGAGCCTTTCAACGCGGCTATCGGCCAGAGGAGGATCCTATTATTAAGGACGAATATGTGATCGATGCTCCCCGTTCTGGACGACCAAGAAGCACTACAGAGGTCACCAAAAAAGCCATCTTGGACTCAGTTCAAAAGGATCGAGCTGGGAGCGAAAAATCCGCGGAGATTCTTGTATCTGAAGCTGGTATCTCCCATGCGTCTGCCTCTTGAATTCTTCGCGAGGATGGATTTTCAAGATACAAGCTTTAACTATCGATGTTGGAAACTTGAGGAGTGGAAAAACGTCATATGGAACGATGAAACATTTGCTGGTTTGGATCAGCGCTGCGGGGCAATTAGGGTCTGGCATAAAGCAGATGAAGCTTATAATCCAACTTGTACACGACGGTGCTGGACTGGACCTTGTGACTTTATATTTTGGGGGTGCGTTTCATATAATAAAAAGGGACCCTGTGATATTTGGAAACCGGAGACCATCCAAGAAAAGAAGAATGCTGAAAAGGAACCAGAGCATGGTCCTTTTTCAGATACTCTCCTCCGTCGTTTGGACCGTCACCCTGCTTCCAGTCCTGCTTGGGTTGTTGAACGTAGGTGCATCCCGATTGAGATTGAAGTCCGGTCGTGAGGCTTGAATCTCCTCAAAGTTGGACCGCGTCCCGATCGCAGCAGATGAAGGGATCGTGGTCAATCTGGCAGGCTACTCCATAGTGAAATACTTAATGCAAGAACACTCTCTCATTTACTTCCCAAGCCAACGAAAACCGAAACTCCGCATAGTCCGCATATTGTGGAGGGCCCCAGGTACGTACGGCACGGCTTGATGCCACGGGAAAAGAAACGCATAACCGTCCAATTCCCACGATATTCGTGACATCATACGGATTCATACCGAGAGCAAAAGGGCTGGAGATACACTATTAATCTACCGATCTGTGGACCACGGGCCGATGCCACCTCGGGTTACCTAACTCGGAATACCACCACGGCTGCCGATCCTGCGGGCGTTGTATACGTGGTTCTTGTCCCTCACTCCCACGCAAGATGTTATGCGGACTTTCTCCGCGTGTCACTGTGATACTTTCGCTGAGCAACAGTCGAATATTTTGTCCGACCCATTTTTCAATACTATGGGGGTAGGTCCCACGATAGACCTACCTCGTGATTCTTTATTTATTCTATTGCATCCATGGATGCGGATCCTAATTATGCGATGGCGAAATAATAGTGATAATCTAGTTATGCAGCTGCTCCATGTTGTTTCTTTTGGTCTCAGCTTACATGCAGTCGCCTCCGGGGATAAGCGCTGCATCCCCCTGAGAGTGGGGATCTGGGAGCTTATCTTCAATCCGCCGCGGTCAGCGCGAAGATATTATTTAGATCATAGGAGCTCTGGTTAACAAGAACTCTTTGGAAGGAGTGCTCTTATAGAAAACTCTCAATATACAACAAAAAAAATAATAGTGTCTTCGCATAGGCGCTGTAGGAATCGGAAAAAACTACGTAACTAAACCAGTATCTCTGACTAAATACGACGGACGCGGCACTGCAAATGCGGGGAAGGTGTCTTATCAGGAAATTGGGGCGTTGTATCCTATCGCCCGACTCTCTAAGCACGCGATGAAACTACCCGAAGAGAGTCTTTTTGTCGCTGTTCTTACAGAGAATCACTTTCAGATCCAAGTTCGAGTTGTTACCCGCAAACGAAATATATCGAAAGCCAGAACCTTTGATTAGGAAACGGCACAATGACGGGCAATGCCGAATATGAGGTCTTCAAGCTAGGAGACTGGGACCTGCAGAGCGGTGAAAAGATCGAAGCCGCTCATATCGCTTACAAGACCTTTGGAGACCCAAAGAATCCTGCGATTGTGTATCCGACGTGGTTCTCCGGATGTAAGCATTCTGACCCCGCGGATAGGTTGATTAAGGTGCTGATAGATAGGTACTCTACGATTGAAGCTATCTCCGATAATATCTGGTTGATAGGAGAGGATAAGACTTTGAATCCGACTAAGTATTTCATTATCATACCGGCACTGTTCGGGAACGGTCAATCGTCTTCTCCGTCAAATCACCCTACGGCTAAGCCGTTTCCGAGGTGTTCTTTCTACGATAACGTCCGGGCTCAGTATGAGCTCGTGACGAAGCACCTAGGAATTAAGCACCTGCGTGCAGTTGTCGGTTGGTCGATGGGAGCCGCGCAGAGTTTCCAATGGGCGACGCAGTATCCTGATTTCATGGATCTGGTGGTACCATTCTGCGGCTCCGCGAGGACTTCTTTGCATAATCAAGTCTTCCTGGAAGGTGTTAAGAGCGCTCTTCTCGCGGCGAAAAAGATCCCTTCTGCAGGTTCGGGGGAGGGCGCTGTAGTTGTTGATGGGGTTGCGTATAGGGAGTGGACACCCGAGGAGAAAGACATTGGGCTCAAGGCCTTTGGAAGAGGATATGCTGGATGGTGAGATATGCGCTTGGTATGTAGTCTACGATCAATGAGAGGCTGACAAAGAGTAAATAGGGGATTCAGTCAAGCTTTCTACAGAGAGAAAGTATATGAAAACGTTCTTGGATACAAGTCGCTTGAGGATTTCATGGTCAACTTCTGGGAGAAGTGGGCTTGCTCGAAAGGTGAGACATGGCTGATAAGGAGATGATCGACGTAGGTTCCGCTGACCCATGAATATAGATCCTGATAACTTGCTGGTGATGCTCCAAACTTGGCAGAATGGCGATGTCTCGAAACAGGAGCCGTATAATGGAGATTTTGAGAAAGCTCTGGCTTCAATCAAAGCAAAGACCTTAGTTCTTCCAGGGAAGACAGATCTGTATTTCCCGTACGTTTAGCAGACTCGTCGCTCACATATTAGCTGTACTGACTTCCGGCAGGCCTGAAGATTCCGAGTATGAGGTTCAATGCATGAAAGACGGGATAGGCCAGCTAGACGTCTTTCCGTCGATATGGGGTCGTAAGTGTTTCCACCAACTAGTCGTGATTACAAAAGCTCATATCTGCTCACATCTGCACATAGACTGGGCGGGAGGGCCTGGAGATAGCAAAGATGACGTTAAATGGCTCGATGAGAAATTGGCCAAGTTCTTTGAATGCTGAAGCTGTCTGAAGTCGCCGGATAGGCAGGGTTACAGGGTAGTCAGAGCAGAGGAACGCGAACATGAAACTCCATCACTCAATCAGTTGCACTGTATAGCGTTTCATGTCTCCTAAAATAAGGACTCGTTCTTCACTTTTTGTCCAGTAACTGGGTTGTGATAAGCGCCCGGAGTAGTAGTGTTGGTCACCCTCAGGGCATTCCATCCAGTGATTGGCAGAAATGTAGCGCCACGTGACCACAGATCTTCCAGCGGCGGGAACTGGGGTTAGTCATCAACGGAGCGAGGAGGAGAATGGCTGGATGATAAACCTTCATTCATTGATTCCCTCCTTCCAAGGCCTCGCCAGCGCTTCAAGTTCGAAGGACTCTGTTCCGCGCCATACGTTCACTTGTGTTTCTCTTTGTACTTTTTTGTCTTGGTTTTCTTCCCTTTTTCGTTTCTCTTTGATCTCGGTGTTTCTCCCTCGTCTCTTAGTCTCTTCGTCTTCAACGGCTTGATACCCTCGTCCATCCCCAAGCACTTAAGTTGAGTGAACACGCGAGCGTCCAAGGGAAGCAATATGGCAACCCCACCGATGCGACAGTGGGGAGTGACTCCCCCCATTTCTACCGTTCTCCCGACGCCAGATGAACTGGCAGCAAATGATGATTTGATTGAAGAGCTCAAGGCGCAGAATAACTTCGAAAGCCCTGCCGAGACTGAGCGAAGGTAAGCGGGCAGCACGACGCCTTGCTGTATGTATCAGAAGCTGAATCTCGTTTGCACAGAAAGCAGGTGCTTCAGTTGATGCAGCGTGTCACGCTCGAGTTTGTTCGTGTCGTCAGCCGTAAGAAGGGGATGTCACCTGCGGCGACAGAGGCAGCAGGGGGAAAGATCTTCACATACGGAAGTTATCGTCTAGGTGTCTATGGACCTGGTATGTCTTGGTATATCGCGTTATTTAACATCAGTGAGATACGCAAAACCCCCTACTAACCATCGCGTCGTTACAGGGTCGGATATTGATACTCTGGTCGTCGGGCCCAAGCATGTCACCATCGATGACTTCTTCGCTGACTTCCCCCCAACTCTGGAAAGAATGTCCCCACCGGGAGCAATTGAGAAGATGACCCCTGTGCCAGATGCGTTCGTCCCGATCATCAAGATCGAGTTGTCTGGGATCAGCATCGATCTGATCTTCGCTCGCCTGATCATTCCCTCCGTGCCTCTAAACCTCGACCTTAAGAATAAAGATTACTTGAGGGGGCTGGATGAAAAGGAAGTGCGGTCGCTGAATGGAACCCGTGTGACTGACGAGATCCTGGAGCTCGTACCTCAACAGAAGACCTTTCGTCTCGCGCTGCGGGCCATCAAGCTTTGGGCACAACGTCGAGCGATCTATTCGAACATTGTTGGCTTCCCTGGAGGTGTAGCTTGGGCGATGTTGGTTGCGAGAGTCTGTCAGCTGTATCCACAAGCGACGGGCTCTGTCATCGTAGGCAAGTTCTTCAGGATAATGAACCAGTGGGCGTGGCCCCAACCAGTGCTGCTGAAGCCAATCGAAGACGGCCCCTTGCAAATGAAAGTGTGGAATCCAAAGGTATGTCATCCTGTTTCCTTACCATCCATCACATCTTTCTGACCCCTTTTTAGATCTACCACGGTGACAGGTTCCATCTCATGCCAATTATTACTCCAGCGTACCCCTCTATGTGCGCCACTCATAACGTTTCATTGTCCACTAAGGCTGTGATCCTGCGCGAGTTGCAACGTGGTGGCGACATCGTTGATAAGATCTTTATGAAGCAGCTTACCTGGAACGACCTTTTCAAGAGACACAGTTTCTTCACGAACGACTACAAATATTACCTGAGTATCACCTCCTCCAGCAAGACGAAAGAAGCGCAATCTGTCTGGTCTGGCCTCGTCGAGTCCAAATTGAGACATCTGGTTGGAGCTCTGGACAGGAAACAGACAATCGCAGTCGCTCATCCATTCCCGAAAGGCTTTGAAAGAGTTCACATTGTCAAAAACGACAAAGAGGCAGAGGCCGTTAAGAATGGCTCGACTCAATACCAGGACAAGAAAACCGGCACTGAGACTACTGACCAGACGAACGATCCGGCCCATAACGCGGCTGCTCAGAACGGCGCTGAGAACTCCGAGGTCCCAGTGACAGAGAAAACAGGTGAAGGTGATAGTCGGATTATCTATACTACCACCTATTACATTGGTCTTGAGTTGAAGCCACTAGAGCCAGGTAGGTATTTCACCACTCCGATGCGATTCAACTAACGCTCGAAGGCGCCTCGAGATCGCTCGACATATCCACAGATGCACAGATCTTCAAGACGACATGCACATCGTGGCAAGGCTACCAGCCCGGTATCAATGACTTGTCGATTACCCATGTTCGAAAGTAAGTCCATGCTAGCCGTAGTAGTCTTACTTCCGCTGACCGTTGGATCCAGCTTCGATCTACCTGACGATGTCTTCGAGCCCGGAGAAACGCGTCCTACGAGACCCAAGAAGAAGATCATCAAGAAAGCCGAGCCGACTGCTCAGAAGAGACCGATCGATGCTCTCGACGTAAGTGCATGCAAAGACAGAGCAACAGCTCGCCTCCCGAGCTTGTGGCTCGCGCTGGTTACAGTTGTCCCAGTTACCCCCTTGACTGAAATGTTACTCACACAACCTGCTTCTCTTTCTAGGAGCATCCCCAAAGTACTGCGAAGCGTGCGATGCCATCAAACACGGTACCGCATACCGCCACGCCCGTTTGAACAGGTGTCCCTTTGTGACTAACCGCTACATCCCTTCGGGGCTTGCCCCTTCAACGCAGTTACCCCCACGAGGTGTTCCCAGCTTCGTACCCTCTTCGAAGGCTCCCAGCATCAGCATGTAGTTCAACCATCTATGGTTCACCTCTAGGATCGACCGGCGATTCAGACTGATTTGATTCTAACACAGTAGTCTAGTTTTTCATGACCCCGAGACGGGCAGGCCTGATCAAGGTCGCGACTACGAGAGTGGTCGCATATGTCCCCTCCCAGATAGCGGTCTGATGGTAGGTGAACGATTATTCACCACAGGTCACGTTGAGGACAACCGGATTTTCTGATGCGCCCGGCTGGCTTATGACAGTTTCTGTCACATAGCAAGACAGGGACTGTTTTGGAATGCGTGGGTATCCTCCATCTGTACATAGAGCGCTGTTTGCTGTCTTCGAGGTAGCTTAGCCTTGTACTAGCTAGGCCATTAGTCAATACAGACAATTGAGCTGGGCCTACGGGCCTGTAAAGTAAAGCATGCGTCCGTTTCAGAAAAGCTTAGTAGAAAGACCAAAGTGGTGATTCTGTTCAATCCATACGCGATTGTTTCGTTGTTGAGCATTCGAAGAACCGTCCAAGAAAAGACGCGTGATACCCTCGTCTGAGGTTAGTATATTAGTATCAGTCTCACCAGCAGTACTTCTGAGATCCAGTTATATTAACCGACAAAAAAAGTGTCTCATATTCTTGTACCCACAACGAGGGTTAACTGGTGATAGTATGGTATGAAGTTAATCTCGGCTCGGATATCCCATTAAGTCCTTCCGAGCCGAGCTTGTGTGCCGCCACATAGATAGCACGTATGAGAGAGATCCTTAGTCCCTACTCAGTGGGCCTTTCGAAGGTGCATAGATGAATTATTTCACTCAGTAGATATAATATCTATAGCTACTTACAGTAAGACGCTATTTTCGATTGAATACAATAGAGTCTGCAGTATACTCGGCCGTGAACTATTCACCCGTGCAACAATGTCCCCCAATACTTAAATCTGCCGTGGCCACTTCCCGCTAACTTACCAACGGGAAGGGTTCGCTGAGTAACGCCGGCTTCGGAGATGCAACAATGCCGAGAAACAGATCTGAGACGAGACTCGGTGGTTCCAGGTTATTAATTATCAGATAATCTGATAACTATGGGGAGGGACTGTCGAATCGTGGCAAAAGATATCTCCGAGACTACAGTTCAGTCCATGACCCGCGGAGCTCGGTCTTAACGATGACCCTAGGGCGTATAAAGGGGACGGTTTTGTTCATTTTCCTGAGTATCATTACATGCTTACGATTAAGAGAAATATCGACTGTTCTTGAATATACGAAAATGACACCTTTGATTAAGAATATTGTCGTTGTTGGAGGGTCCTATGTCGGACGAGTGAGTTTGACGCGTAGACGGAATTATTCCGCGCTTGCTTGGATAGCATTCAGTTGCTAACGAGATGATACATTGTCATATAGGCTACAGCTCAGGAACTCGCGAGAATTATCCCGAAATCGCACAGGGTCGGCAATGTTTCCGCATTTCATGTCTTGTGAATGATGCTAATGAGTTATTCAGGTGCTGTTGATCGAGCCACATAGTCACTTTAACCACCTGTTTGCTTTCGTAAGCCTCCTTCTGCAGTTGTTCAGGAACCCCCAGTCCATGATACTGATTGAAGGGCCAATCTAGCCTCGATTCTCAATTGTCCCAGATCATGAGCATAAAGCCTTCATTCCATACAGTAACCTCTTCGCCGCTACCCCCGATCCATCCGCACATGCTGTCGTACAGGCCCGCGTCCTCTCAGTGCAACCTCAGCATGTGGAGGTCGACCGCGAATGGCAGGGATCTAATGAGATTCCCTTCGAATATCTCGCTATCGCAACCGGAACAGTGCTGTCTCCACCGGGGAACATGCCTTCTCACGATAAACAGTCTTCTATTCAGTACTTGAGACAGTACCAGTCTGAGATCAAGCGAGCAAAGTCAATCGTCATCGCCGGAGGCGGAGCCGTAGGGGTGCAGATGGCGACGGATTTGAAAGAATATTACCCCGACAAGGAGGTTACTGTGGTGCAGTCTCGGGTGCGAGTGATGCCACAGTTTCATGAAAAGTTCCATAGTCTCGTCCAGAAGAGGTTCGATGAGCTAGGAGTCCGGTACGTCCAAGATTCCGAGTTTTTATAACCTAGGAAAAATAGCTGACTTATCATTCTTGGGGGAGGAAAGACTCATCACAGGTGCACGTGTTGTTATTCCATCAAACGGTTTCCCTAATGATGGTAGCACATTCCAAGTCCAACTCACAAACGGAACAGGGATCCCAGCAGGGTTCGTCATTCCGGCCACGGGCCAGAGTCCTAATAATGAGCTTGTAAAGGGATTGTCTGCCTCCGCACCGGATTCCATAATTAATCCTCAGAATGGGTATATCCGCGTGAAACCCACGATGCAATTCTCGGATGAGAAATACCCCAACTTCTTTGCTGTTGGTGACATCGCCGATACTGGTTCGCACAAAGCAGCAAGACCGGGAATAGCGCAGGCAGCTGTCGTGGCGAAGAACATCCAAGCTCTGATCGAGGGACGAAGCGCGGATGAGAAGTTCTCGTGGGGACCTCGCGCAATCCATCTCACTTTGGGTCTGGTACGTTATCCTCAGGAAGAGAAACTGTCTCGCCATATACTGACCAGTATAAAGAAAAAGAATGTCATCTTCCGCGACCCCAACGAGGCTGAGGGAGACACGGAGCCGACCATCACATGGAAAGATGAGTAAGTCACCTACATAACTATCATCCCCTCTACAGGAGGACGAATCTAACTGTGAGATCAGTGGTCAAGAAGATATGGGCGTGGAAGGAATATGGAAGAGACAGGGCATGGAAGTTACGAGTCCGGAGCAGTACCACCTATAAATCCTGTATTAGAGTTCAGATGTCGCTGGCTGAGCTGGAATGACTTCTAGTAGAATGCAGGCCGTTCTATAGGTGTCCTTGGTTCCCCGGCGGGCAAAAGTTTCACAGATGAACGCAACAAATAGTGGATTTTTGACGGTTTACATTAGTCGGTTTCCTTGTTATTGTGCGTTGATTGGCTAGATAAACATATCCCTCTATGAAGAGGCGAGGCTCTGTTGGTTATATTGGCGCCATAGTTATACCATCATATCCGAAATCAATGTTGCTCCCGCATGATGACAAAACATAGCACATCTAATTCATTCCACGTAGTTCGAATCCGATAATTCATCGCTTCTTGCAATACAAGGAAATGACAGATGGATAAGTCTCTTAAGTTCCGCTTAGAGTTTAGCGGAGATCCATCAACCTTGGGAGTCAATATTGTTGTACTGTAGTAACTGTACATACATTTTGCCTCCGAAGGTACTCACAACCTCATTGTAGGTCGCCCGTGTAGTTATTCAGACACGATGAAGATATTACCATGCTCTTAATCATTCTACAAATCCGTCTATACAACATTATTGAATGGAGGCTCCTAATTAATTAATCACCTCCTCGAGCCGAGGTGTTTCGTGATCCGCGCTGACCCACCAAATAACTCGCTCTAGTGGATACCCATGCGCATATTTGAGCAACATCGCGAGCCATCTTAGTCTGTCGCGTAAGACAAAACTCCACGATGCCCGACCAGGACTTGGAAATTGTGCTCGATACCGCTCAATTGCTGACATGAAGGACCCTCGGGGCAGACCCCCTCGATTCGCCCCCGGGGTACCCTGTTTTCATACATAGATTAGGTAGGTATATATGGCAGAGACCCCTGCCGTGGAAGAGTAGTTGTGTCTTTGTTAATCCATACAATTATAACTTGCCACTTGGCTTGGTCTTGTATACATCGATATCTACTCAATAACTTTCATACTTTTTGAAGGTAACCATGTGTTGCGACGGAGTTGGCCGCCCAAGCGCTGGAGGGCGAATCGCAGTCATGTTCCCACCCAAGATCACAGGGGGGTCATCGGCATCACCTACGCTTAATCCATACACTCTGTTCTTCCACAATACGCAGACAGCGAACGATGTAATAAGGACAAGGGCGGTCTTCAGATTCGATGACCCAAGCACATTGAAGGCCCTGCAGAATTGCAAGAATGTCGATCTGCGGATAGAGTAAGCATAAATCCAACCATAACCTCTAGGCCGGGGGAAATCATGAGAGAATGCTCTTTGCTAATTAACATAATAAATGACAGGCGATATGGAGATTTGACGTCGACAATGTCTACACGACCTCTCCATTCCTTCACCCTCGACACGAGCGGTTCAAGAGAGATGCAATTCGATCTCCCAGAGAAATTGGACCTCGATATCTCCGACAGTGGCATCCTCGGACGCCAAGTGACGCTACTATCGCAAAATTCTATGCTTGGTACAGGAATTGTCGGTTATAATTGAATGGGCGTACTGGATGGGTTTGCTTGCATTTGCTAGAATCGTGTGTTTATTTTTTATCACTCATTAAGCGATGGATACGGCGTTTAGACTACATTGATCTGATCTCATGTTCTGGTTTAATGCCGTCGTTCTCATGATAATTGCTTAGATTGAGGCCTTCAAGATGGCAGAGCTGTCGATGCCCTTATTGTATCGCTCTTCCGCCGTGGCCCAGTTGATGATCTTCCAGATACCCTCCACATAACCGGCCTTGTTGTTCAGGTACTGAAATATAATCATTTAGCAGCTGCTGGATAACCCCTACAACGAAGAAGGGAATTACTAACCTGCAGGTAGTAGGCGTGCTCCCACATGTCGACGCCAAAGATCGGAATATCCGGCGACGTGACGGGATCCTGGTCGTGGGTGGTGATGATTTCCAGCTTTCCGCCGGGCTTGTTGGCAACAAGCCATCCCCATCCACTACCCTGGATACCGAGAAGAGCAGCGTTGAAGGCATCAGTGAATGCCTTCTCCGAACCCCATCGGCTGACGATCGCGTTCTTCAGCGTAGGAGCCACATCGATGTTGGCCTCTTTAGTTCCCGGGGGAGTCAAGTTCTTCCAGAAGAGGGAGTGGTTGATGTGTCCACCACCATTGAACTTGATCTTCTGCTGAAGGGAGATCAGCTGGGGCACATCGTTGGCCTGAGTAGCCGCGGCCTGCGAGGCCAATGCGGCGTTCAGGTTGTTGATGTAAGTCTGGTGATGCTTCTTGTGGTGCAGTTCCATGATCTGCTGTGAGATCACGGGCTCCAGGGCCTGGAAATACATCCATCAGCGTCCGATTCCACATCCTCGCTGACTCTTCTCTGACACCGGAGAGCCGGCAGAGGGTTTCAGGAGTAGCTTACATTGTATCCGTACGGAAGAGGGGGAAGAGTATATGTCGTAGAAGCCATATTGTCACAGATATTGATATCAGACAAGAAAAAAGACCTAGTAAATCGGTATAGAAACTCGAGAAGAGAACAGAAAAAGGTCAAACAGATCGTCTACCCCTCCATGAGGGGCATCTTGCGGACTCTTTAAAGAGGGGGATAGTCCAAGCCTCCAAGGTCCTCTGGGTCCGACTGACGTACTGGTATGGGAAATATGGGGCCAATCACCACCAAGTGCGTAGTTTTGCGCGAGTTTTCGTTGCACGCCATATCTGCTGCTTTGTAAGGGCGGGGTTGTTCGAGCTTCGATCTTCGTCTAGACTTGAGTGTCTTGCATTGAGAGAGCGGATAGAGGGGGGGTTTGGTCGATTATTAATGGGCGTCTTTTCTTTTTTCGCTGTCTGTCCCAATGTGTTGTTTGCTTGTGATTGAGTGAGCTAATGTATGGTATACATGCAACTGATCTACCTCGAACATGCATCCCTTTGGCGATTCGGATCTCCAAAGCGGTCGAATGAGGACCCAACGCTTCAATCTCGACGTGTCGGAACTTGTAATCATAGGGGTGGTAACGTAGATTATCATATGGTGGTGGAATTCTCCATTAGTCACCAGCTGGCTTTCATGAGGCGCCATTTGGGGATCCCATAGAAGACTAGAGTATTTATGGAGTGCAAAAAGCAATGGATTGAGACTGCTTGTCAACGCACTAAGGAACGGACGAATAGAAGTGTATTACCTCTAGGCCGGTTATTTGTAGTAACGAGCTGGAGTTACCTACTCGCACACGATTGATTGGCCGGAGCTTCAGAGTATATATAGATAGAACAATGAACTTTGTTGATCACCTATCAACTGTACTTCAAATTGGCGGCGGGCGCAACGAGTCACGCAGCAATGAATTAGAACAAAGTCATAGGGCATAAATAGTCAATAGATTTCCGTATCTTCTAGTTGTTCAAGCAATCGAGATTATATTCCAGTACGACATGCTTTTCTTCCTATCTTGCTTCCGTGATCCTAGATCTCGGCACAGTTCAACCTTGACGGGTAAAACAGATAAACTAGGTCCTCGTTGCTGCCATTCTAACCCGCTTTCTTGTGATGCTACAGCTACACAACATAAGCTCGAAACTAAGCATTAAATTGTTTGGCATTTCTAAAATAATACTTAGTTGAAAGGGGCACTGTTTCTCTAAATTAAAGCTCTAAAAATGCAATGGTAATGTGGATACACGCTTTCAAAATGTCACGTGGAAGTGTATGCATCAGGTGTATTAAGATGCAGCTTTTGCCTGCGCATTTGTATGTACACATAGTGCCGCTTCGCTAGTGCTATATCTGCACATTTCCTACTCCTGGCACGTCTGCTTTGATCTCGAATAGGTCACAATAGGTGGCTTAATGTTGCATGCTCTACGCCCTTCATATATTCAAACTTGAAAATTTTCCATCGAAGGTTTTTGTAATTAATAAAAGAAACCTAATGACATCACTGCTTAAAGACATCCAGCTCGATATATTTACTCCGGCCTGGAAACTAGGCTGTTCTCTCAATCACCTACGTGGTTCTAATAGGGAACCCGTGTCTCAGGTTAACAGCCCCCGCGCTTGATATATGGTGACTTCTGTGAAGAGCTAAATGATGACTGATCAAGTAGCATGCTCCAATAGTCCGATGATACTAAAAAGAAAAAGAAAATCTTTGATATTTCCCTGATCTATTTCAATCAATATCAACGGCATGTTGTATTGCGCGGTTCATATGGTGTCTTTGGAAGAGGTAGCATCTTTGAACCTTTTACACCATCTTCAGGTAGAGTGCATGAAACAATTGCTATCTTGATGTTGTGTTAGCGTTGCCGAGTTACACGATATCACTTCCAAAGGACGCTGAAGAGCTCCTGGAGGGCTTCCGTGTTTGATGTAAGGGGCTGGACAGCTTCCGGGAGAGCCTAATTTCAGATAGGCACAGTAGAATTCTACTTAACTAAAGACAAGCTTCTGTCGGAGCCTGCCTACAGGAAGACCTCCTATCGGGTTTCTCCCATGCCTTTCTAGCTCCGCCCACAGAGATAAATGAGCTGAGCTAGTTGCTAGAGATCTCAAGCTCAGCGAGCTTCGCTCCAAGAGCTTCAATTTCTGTTCGCCTTCTGTCAGAGTTCCTATTCTTTATTGAACCCTCTACTGTTATCTACCAAATGTTTCTGTCTCTGGAAGATTAACGGCGGAAGAACATTTGACTCTTTTCAAGAGGTTGGGCAGTCGTGTTTCGGCAATGTATGCAATAGATATGAAATCCGCTGACACCAATCGGAAGCAATCCAAGAGACATGTTGTCGCTGTTTACGGAACTTTGTTGGTTGAGTAGTATTGCCGAGCTGAAAAAGATCAGCTCCTAATCTAATAAGTGGCCAACTACTACTTCCCCAAGTGGAATAGAATTGATTGTTTCCCGGGTAACTCCGAGATATGCGGGTCCAGATCGTAAATGATTTCGTGTCATGTACAAGAACGTACATATATCTCCGTCTGAATGAGCCACATGGAGGATCATAGAAGATATATAGCTTATTTCATGCAGACTACTAAGGGGCCGCTGTTTGGCTCTCATAAAAGCCGGTATATCAGTACGTAGACACGGGATGTAGTATGTTTGTAGCGCGACTATCGAAAGGATAGATCGAGGAGATAATCCTTTTAGTAAATATAAGAAAAGAAAACTGCGAACCTCGAACTTCTCCGGGATTTGCAAGGGACATATTACCTCGAGTCTTCTTCCAGAGATATTATCTATCCGATATAGATTGTTTTGTCTCAGCTGAGACATGGAGAAGTCCGTCTCTAAGCGCTCCAGACAATCTGAAGTCCCACCTGGAAGAAGAAAAAGCAAATAGGCAATTAGCTTCTATGAAACTTCCAGCCACACTAGTGTCATAACGAGATAAGGCAGTAATACCATAATAAGCAGTGTCCCCGCAAGATCTCCTAGATTCATCTCACCGATATTCAGAACCATCTCCACCGGGACAATTTCCATATCTCGATTAGGTCTTTATAAGACTCCTGGAGGGATGCGATCTCGCACAGAAATTCGTTTTCTGTCACGATTTGCTGTTTTGCAGTTGAGATGAGTTGACCGTGGTGCTCGTAACTCCCCTCCCCCTACGATTCATCCATGTTCTCGGTTTACGATGGTGTCCAGGGTTGAACAGCACGCCGCTAATCACAATGAGTCTCTCTAGATCAGCAGGCAATGGTTCATTCAAGGAGATCCAGTGAAGCAGTCTCGCACGATCCCGAGGATGATGCTCTTTCCGACACTGGTCCTCAGTCGACCGGACATGATCGATTTCAATTCGTATTCAGCCCTGGCCAACCAGGGGCACGGAGTCATGCTATGCGTGCATTCTGGAGGCGCAGACATAGCGAACAGGAAAATCAACTCCGGCGAAATACGGCCAGTCAGTCTTCCCTGCGGAGGATTCTCCCGGGCTCCCGACCATCTTCCAGCCACGGTGAAGCAGACAGTGAATCGGCCTCTCAACTCTCCCAAACGATATCTACGACACAGACAACAGAGCCTCAGGCTTCGGAGACCATAACGCCTATGGTCCTGGGAATCCCAGCTCAGGTTCATGCCGATATCGATCATGCGTTCTCATTCGTCAGGCAAGAATACTTCAGCCAGTTTCCAGTGCAACTGACGTCCCAGGACAAAAGACTGTTGTACCACTGTACGAGGAAGCTATTCCAAATCTCCCTGCGGGACGACTGTCGGTGGCACTGACGCAAATCATGACAGGGCTCTGCGTTTATTCTGAAATGTTGGCAGACGGGCAAGCAACGAGAAGATTCACCCCTGTTAGAGATATTTGGCTTCCGCTTGACCTCTCAAATCCAGCTTCGTTCTATGGTTTGCTGGCCCATTCAGCAGCACATCTGGCCCACCTGTATGGCGAACGAGACTCTGCAGAGCCATTAAGGTACAAGGCTCAAGCTGTCAGCATCCTTAACCTATGGGTCAACGATCCTGATCGTGCGTTGAGCGATGACACATTCGCTGCAGTACTGCGACTCCTCATTTTCGAGGTAGGACCATTTTGCTCCCACAATTTCAAGCACAGCGGTCTGATACTGGAGTCTTCAGAGTTCAACTCGATACCTTCATGATGAGATGGGATGAGATTCAAATTACTGACTCAATACGGTTCAACTTAGAAGCATTGTGGGCAAGAGGACCAGTGGATCGTCCATAGAGATGGGCTGCAGCGGATGATTCAAGCCAATGGAGGACTCACACCCTTTCGGGATAACTGGCGACTGGAGCTCGCAACTTGCGTGTAGGTGTCCGTCGTTTAGATACCAGGGCGTTGTTATTTGTTCTATGCGGCTTACTTTGAGTTCTGCGAACCGACTAGACTCTCTCTGGTGTCAGGATCAGTGTGGCTGAACCACGTACATCCTGCCTCGGAGATCTGCGAAAGCTTCGGCTATACCCTCCTCTGCGCGACTCTCGATCCGATCACGGATATCAACCGCATTCGACTAGAGTTTCAGAAATATCCGACAGTGCAAGAAGCCTTGCATTTGCTCCAAAGCATCTCAACCCTCGATGTTCACGGACCCAACCTGGAAGGAACATATGCCGTTCAAGAATTCAACCGACTAGTCTGCCTCTGCACGCTCCTATTCATGATACTCGAGATCATTTCGCCATCGACTAGTGCATCGGTCAGTCAGGAGAGACAGAGTGCGCTTGTAACCATCAATACTACTCTTTGGGAGGCTAGAACGCAGTGGGCAAATTCAGTAGACGTTCTGCTTCCGTTTCTATATCGTCAGTTGATCGACGGACCAACGGGAGCATTGCATACAGATTTTGTCGTACCATTCGCGGAATCCTTGAATAACCTAACTTGGGAGGCACGGAACGGGGCAGAAAAATGTTTATTCTATGTCCTCTTATAGAGGTAGTTTCACGACAAGTGCTAGATTATCCCTCATCAGCACAGCCAGGACGATAAAGAAAAGCAATATAGACTGATTATCAGGTTCTGTGAGTCCGGAATGTTCCCTGATATAGGTATGTACTCCAGATGCTAATTATAATCCGATCCCAGCCTATTCTCTATCTAGAGTAGGTAAGAGCCGATTATCGACCAATGCAAAGCAACAGACGGATTAATGTTTGTTTAGTTGCGATGATCTTCCCACGTCCCCTGGACCGAAATAGGAGAAACACAGCCAGGAAATGGGGGCCATCACGTACCGTGGGAAAGAGGCTTGGTCTACACGATTTGTGATTGGGTCGCTCGGGTTCTGACATCACTGCTCTTAGCAACATGGAGACTCTAGACCTGAAATGGAAAGGCTCGTTGATGACCGAGAACTATGTGTATCAAAACTTCTTCTTCAACACCCCCGGGATGGCCAACGGTCCTAAAAATACGACCACAGCTGAGTCGAGGCCAGGCAAACCTGGATGTAACAATGACAGGAGAGATGCTAACGACTCTCCCCCGTGGTGTCGTAGCCAGTCATGTCTCCCGATCTCTCGTTTTGTTCTCCACATCTCACTCTTCTAGGGGTATTTGTTTCTCCAAACTTCGCGTACCTGTTTGGACACACTCAAGTTGTGCCGTCCTATAAATCTCATCGTAATGCGCGATGCTGGTCTATGATAATTCCTACCTGCAGGATTGCCTGGTCGATTCTCTCCCACTTTTCTTCATCCCACTCGTTATCTATTGACTTGAACGCTTATCTTGCCGACGACTCTCGTTCTCAGGAGCGATTTACGATCACTAAAGCGAACACGAAGCTGCCTTGATTATAAATACCGTCCAAACCTCAGGAATTACTAGCATTGTGATTCTCGATACAAACAATATATAGCACAGACACCCCTTTGCCCAAGGTTGTACTACCTCCCTACTGTAACTTCTACACAATCTGTCCCCGACCCCGCTAACTTCTCGTAGCGACACTCATTCTCTCAAACATCCCATTCTCGAACCCTCCTTATACCATCCCTCGACCTACAAAATGGCTATCAGTCAGAATGGAATCATCGTGCTCGTTATCATCGGAGCCGTCTGCCTCACACTGATCGTAGGCAGTATCTGGGCCATGTTCTCGGAACACGACGAGGTCATATTCGAACGTCCTTCGAATGAACAGCTAGCTTACATGCGAGAGCTAAGATGGAGGAATTTACTTATGATGGAGGCAGAGGCGCGATCAGCGCCCAGGAAAATAAGACCGTATGTCGATCCAGATCCTGTCGAAACTGAGAGTCAGTCGACGGTATAGCTAGTTAGCTGGGACACGAGAGTCTACGTGTGGGTTCCTTGCGTTTGTGTTTCAATTTAAGGATACGATCTTTCAGATATGACTACATCATTACGGTTCAGGATTTCGAGTTTGACTATTTACTGTTGTTATTCTTGGAGTCAATAATGAGTAATTAGTTGAACGTGAAACTTCTGGTGTTGGGTGTTTTTCGCATAATTATGCATAATAACCAAGATTACTCGACAGGAAAAGATCTGCGATGTGAGTAGATCGCCTTGAATTACCGTCCATTGCGCATCAGCAATAAAATCAGTCGAAATCACCGAGAGGTTCAAATCTGGCATCGCAACGTCCGGGTTCGACTTCATTCCTTAGGCTATCACACCCACCTTACTATCATATCAACATGAAAGAGACACGATACATGTTAGACGACTAGCACCGCCAACAAATAAACGTACTACTTCGTTATAGATGAAAAAGTACCGTAGCGGCCCCCAACCCCAGAACAAGAGATGATAGTGTCAAATCCTTCGGCACGGAAGCAAGGTCTGGCCTGAACGACTTGAATTGCTTGCTTATTTCTAGGTCTAGGGAGGGATTCGATCCCATATCTTTAGCATACAAAGAATCTAGATCCTAGTAATCTAGTAGCTTCTATCCTACGATCAGAATTCAAACAACCTGCCGCAAACGGATGATTGACAAATCACCTGGCGTCCGCTATGTACGCCGACAGTGTAACTATCTAAACTAATATGATAACCTTCCGTCGGTATTATTTCAGAAGGAAAAAAGGGTCAAAGATGAATTAGTGAGTCACAGATGTAAGACTCAAAGCCATTACTTATGCACCGAGCTCTTGCTTTTTCTTCCCGCACACACGAACACGTTTGGGCTTATGCCCGCCTTCAACAATACCTGAGCTAAATGAATACTATGTATATCAACTAGGTGCTCTTCTAGTTGGGTAGCAGAATATAGCTCAGTCGACTGGCACATGGCCGAATCAGCACCTGCGAGAAACGATGCAGGGCATGGGATTGGATTCTGTATTTGTAGCATATGCGTCCTGAGATGGTCCTTCTGCTCACAGACTTGATAATCTTTGCTTGTCGATTTGTTATAGACCGTAATCCGGAGATCTGCAGAAAGACAGGCATCACATACACAGAAAATGCAGAACCAAGAGTTTCTAAACGTTCAACAGCTTGTTTCCTTTATGCCTTGACTTGATATCATAATATGAAGGAGGCGACGGGCGGCAGCGCGGGCAGCGACATCATCCGAAATCTGCGATCCCGTTAGCGGAAAGACACCCTCAAGATGCGACAACTGCCGACGCGACTTACAGAGGCACTTATGGTGAACCTCCCGGCAGTGGGCGCACTTCCGCCCGGCATCAAAGATGCACCACGCCTGGCCAGGGTGCTCCTCTACTCCGTAGAGGCACCGCTGACAGGGTATATGCACGTATATTAACGAGGGACTTGTTGAGGTGTGTTCTGTAGTGGCTGATCCTGTCGGAGGGACAAGCAGTTGCTAGGGAATCCAAACCCAGCGAGCTTCGCTCCAGTGTATATAGTCGTCGCAGAATGCGCAGTAGAAGAATAGGCTATCGGGTTTCAAGTACGAAACCCCGTGCACGTGGGTTAAGTGCTCGATCCACGAGTGGGCAGTTCTCGAAAGCTATTCATATAGGGATTACATTACCTGGACCTCGTTCGGATCATCCTGAATTCCTCTTCGTCTGCATCTATCGACGAAGAAATCAAGTTGTCCACTTCCACAGCGAGAAAGTTATATAAAAAATCCAGTGTCCGTAAGGCTATGCAGGAGCACACCAATGCCACAAATGCACTCATGCAAACGTATACGTCAATATACTCTACACGTCAGGACAATAGCCTTGAGTATAGGATATATATACAAGGCCTCGCGGAACAGGCTCAGTGGGCTCCAACATGTCACCCGCGGCGGGCTTCCGGGTTTGTAGTTCGTTTCACCGAAAAGCTCCAACAACAGTCAAAAGTTATGAGGATATCAAAGTCCACCTCATCATCATACGTTTGAAATCCTTTCATGACCGCAGAGGCGTTCGCGATTTTCCCCGCGGAATTGGTAAAGAGTAGTTCGTTACCAAGATCACTGGCTGGTCACCTCGTGTCCCCGCGTAGTGGACTACGACAACGCAACTTTTGTGTCGAGTCCCTGGGCCAAACACCACCCAGGTTGTGCCTCATGTGATTCAATGACCAATTCGTGACTTTGGGTATCCGAGTATATCCATCATAGACTTCAAGCTTTTGAGATCACACTCTGCCCTGGTATTATCATCTTCCCAATGGAAATGAAAAAGCGTAACTATTACGATAGGGAATCTCCCGTTTGTAATGTCAGACTGAAGGGCACTTTCAAGGTCATCTTTCTTGAGTGACATCTTATTGGTTGCCGGCTGGTAAAAGAGCTCAAAGAGGAGCTCATTGTCTAAAAGCGAAGCCAAGAAGTCAGTATAATGAGCTCAAGAGAATGAGAACCTTATTGATGGAGATTACCCTAGGCGCACCTTTCCAAAATATAAGTAAGACCAGGAATCCTCCTAAGGCATTTAAGTTTTTGTGGAATGACATCAGGTTTAGCTCCGGAATCCCGAATTGTTCCGCGAAGATGATCGATATACTAAGAGACAGAAGCCGAAGGCTGTCTTCCGGAAATAAATTTCAGAATATGAATCTGTTGATTTACACAACGGAGTATGTGTGCCAGCAGAAATTTAAGCAGGGCAGAAAACCGGGTTCTCAATTGCTAAAATATGACATCGAAGATGATCCTTCTGTTCAATGACCAGATATGCTTTTCCGGTTGATTCATTGAATACGCCAATCCTTTCATCTGCAGGGAACTAGGAGTTGTGAACACAGATAATGCAAAACCAGGGGTGGCGGAGATTCAAAAACAGCTGTCCTTTGTGACTGCCCCTGATGTTATTGTATTTGTATAAATAGATTGCAACGAGGGCCTCATCCAGATAGCTGGAGTAGCGGTGTCTCCTTTCGATCTACGAGAGGGTTGCTGACCAGATGTACCTGTTGCGGAATGCATAGTAGAATAGCATGCTGTCGGGCTTTTGCTACAGAATGCCATAGACTGTGTCCAATGCAGCAGCCATTGTTCTTGAGTTTCAAGCTTCAATGATCGAGACTTACTGGAATTGCCGAAATTGCAGTATAATTGGTTCCAGCTGTGCTGCAATATGTGGCGCCGGTATTTGTCATTGTCTGCAAAATCTTTCAAACACCGCGTGCTGTCCTTTTTCGCCATCCATTCGCAAGGTATTCGTCTTTTTTGTTCGACAAGAGAGTCCATAGCTACCTTGAGAGAACGAGGGTCCTGTTAACTTACCTCTTAAGGATATCTCGAAACCCACAAAGATCAAATGAGTGCGCAGAGGCAGAAAACGCCCCAATGGTTAAGGCAGCGGCAGCAGTGGTAGCAGTGGTGGCGGCAGGAGCATGGATGCGAATGGATCATCTTTCTGGTCATAGACTTAATAAGCTTTGCCTGTTAATTCGTTATAGACCACAATCTGGAAATCTGCAGGAAGAGAGGCATCATATAGACAGAAAATGCAGAAGTAAGGGTGTCTAACGTTCAACAGCCCGGTTCCTTCATGGATTGACTTGATATCGTGATATCCGTATGCACGCATATCAACAAGGGCCGAGTTTGGTAAGTGGCTAATTCTGTCGGGGGATAAGCAGTTGCTGACCATATATAGTCGTCGCAGGATGCGCAGTAGAAAAGTAGACTGTCAGGTTTTAAATATAAAACTCCGTGCACGTAGGTTAGTAAGTGCTCGATCCACAAGTCACGGTTGGGCAGTTCTCGAGAGCTATTAACACAATTACTGAATTTACAGCGCTCTCGTTTCCAGCTGTGCTGTAATAGCTGTCTGCGGAACTTGTCATTATCCGAAAAGATCTTTCCACAGCGAGATCCATCCTTTTTCATCATCCAATCGCAAGGAACGCCTTTGTGTTCATCGACAAGGGCATTGTAATTCAATGGCTTTCTGCCAGTCGACCAAAAGGAGAACTCCGAGTTAGCCTACCCATTCTCCTAGTAGCTATTAGTACTCTCAAATGGAACCAATAAGGATTAGACGTGAATACTTACTATCTCCCCTTTGTAAGGCCACTTTTCCTTCTTGTGATGCGCGCAGTTGCAGATTTTCTTCTTCCTGTAACTAATCGGAATAGTACTACCAGTAAATATCAATATGTAATAGACTTACACGACTTTGGTGGTGCCCTTGGATGGGGTAGCCTGGGCATTGGGGTTACTGGTCGAACCAGTAGGATCAGTATTACCACCACCAGTAGGACCAGTGGGATTAGTAGTAGCGCCAGTTTCGTTACTAGCATCAGCAGTATTGGCAGTATTACCAGTTGTATTGGGAGTTGTCGCGACCCATATAACCTTAGCCTACCTGGATCTGTAACAGAATTTGCTGTGGTCTCTTTCACGATATGCTGTCTCCAACACTTGACTATATGGCTGTCGTATAGGTCTGCATATTCATAGTCCTGGGTGCAAATTCTGCATATCCACCCGTAGCTTCGAGGAGTCCATCGTCAATACTGTTGAGCTTCTCTAGTTCGTCGTCCGATTCATCGTTATGAGTTTCCGAGTCAGAAAGGAGATTTTCACTATCCAGTGCCTCTTCCTCATCGTCCTCGTTGTTCTGATCGTCCTTATTGTCAGAGTCAGTCTTAGGGTCGGGATAGAAATGCTAGCCCAGGTCGATTATGTCACCATCTTGATTGTAAGAGTCTGAACGATGAGGGTCTTTGTCCGAATTACTCTGCAGGCATCTTTAATGGCCCGTTTTCTTTGAGAAACTGTTGATATTCAGTTTTGAACTGCTCCGCTCTTAGTCTGCGTAGGCATACAGCCATCGCATCACGTCTCCTAAGGGCTTTACACTCCACGAGTGCGTTTACATTTTCTGGTTCCCCCCAGATGGAGAGGCCTCCTTCCAGAATGGCTGTATAGCCGACCTGGCCAAAATCGGTTCTCATCCCGGAGACGTTGCCGTGCGCCAAGTTTCTTCTTTGCCATACTCTAAAGCACTATCAGTATACTGCCACACAAGAGCACGGAGCGCCGGGGAGACGCTGCTACGCGCAATAGGGGACAATTCTGGCGCGGGTGACAGAAGCCCAGCCACAACAGCACATGTCAACAAACACAGAGTACAGCTCAGATAACGCATCCGGCCTAGAACCTACGACCATAGGCCGAAGGAAGGTCTAGAACGCCAACATAGCTGCGCTAAGGAAGCGCATACAGAGGGGGGAGCACTTACTTATATCACGGAAGGTTGGTGTATTGAAGAGGAAACGATCCGAGTGGCCTCGGGGCCATGTAGGTTTTATACTCCGGGCTCTCTTTGTCAGCCGCCTTGACAGACACGAACTTCTCCGTTAGAGCGTCTGTCGCATTACTGTACGTCTTCATAGCATCCTGTATATCTGGATGGTTTCTGACGACATCTTCCCCTTCCGGAGAGAGTGACTGTGGTGTATACTTAACGGAGTTCAACGAGATCCCGCCAAAGTGGGCGACGTTTTGTGGCTCAAGGCCACGTGTGAGGGCCTGTACATCAACTGTAGACGTCTTGCTTTTATATATTTCATATACTGGTTGCTCCCTAAATCGCGCCCCATAGCCCAGGTATGAGCATCTGGGGTGCAGGTGGCTTCCAGCGCAAACGCAGCGCTATGTCTGAACGCGTGACTGGAAGGCAAAGGTCAGCATATTACCTTAAGAGAACGATAGTCTTGTTAACTTACCTCTTGAGGATGTCGCGAAATCCACAAAGACGGCCCAGGCGTTGCAGATGACGGGGAATGAGGTCGGGTTTCGCAGCACATTGTTGCACTACTCCATTGGCATGGTCAAGGCTTGGTATGAGCGGTAGCGCTGAAGAAGACTCCTTAAAGGATAACAATACACCTGTCTCGCTATCGCAAGTAGCAACGAGATCCATTGGCTCTGTCCAGGTATTGATTCCTATAATCGCAGTAGATGTTAACTCTTTGTCGTTGGGCTTTGGCAAAAATGATGATATCTCAATCAGTAAGGCCGTGTAAACATACCTTTGATGTGCCCGTCAAGAATTGCAGTGAACAACAGCAGCCGAAAGCTGTCCTCCGGCCACATGTGGACAGGCAACAAGTTCAAGATGTACTCTTTGTAGTTCTCCGTACGATTCTTCCACCCTTTCAATCCAGTCACTCGAAGAGTCGCGGAGATAGTGACTATCCCGTTGCGTCTAAAGGCGTACACACGAAGATCCTCCCAGCGAAGATATTGGTCAGGATATCTTTCTTTCGATGTAATCTCGTGGATTCCCCCGCACACATTGAATATGAGATTGATAAATATGTCCACATGTAAGATTACTCTCATTGATATGACTTAATATCTTTTAACGGGCAGTGGAGGTTTCAAATGATGAAAAAAAAGTCTTCTTGATAGACAATGGGTTTCGAGATAACAGTCTGTTTACTGAGACCTAACTCTGTTAGGTTATACTCACCTACAGTCGCACTTACTAGGTAATCGCGCTTGGATCTCGGCTTGTATGGACTTTCTGGGATGACTGGGCGCTGCGGCTCAACAAACGGGTCCTCCCTATTGAGGCTCTTGTTTCAGTATGCCATTGCCCCGAAAAAGGATATCGTATAGTCGATAGCCGTCAATTGAGTCCTTTTGTTTTCAGAATGTCCCTGCGAGCAATCTGCCACGTAGTATATGAACTGGCGCAGCATCCCTGTGGTCGGCAAAGGGCCTCCCTTTTCGAAGTATTGGCCTCCATCTGAAATATTGAGAATGTATTCGCACAATTGCTTCCAGAGTCTGATGATGCGAGCATAGCCCTGGAGCGTTGAGGTGCATGGTCTCGAGATCGGTCCTTGTGAGGAGTTTGTCTACTTCTGGGAGACGTGATTCGTTTAGCAGATGGGTTTGATGCGTCGCTTTCCAATCTCCACATTTGTGCAGGATATCGCCAGTACCGCTCTTTAACGCATCAATCACGGCAACAGCCGGATATAAAATGTCCCTCAAGTATGAAAATTAAAAAAAGCAATGATTTATACAGAGAACCAATTAATTAAAGCTGGACATTGCCGTAAGTAGAGAAATTGCAGTAAAAGTTATAGCGTATAATATGGAAAATATATTGCGGAGGGGATTCCGACGGTTCTATTTGTCTGGATTTGAAATACGCCTCCGCTACGCAAAGAGGGCCTCGATATGTAATTACTGCAAAGAAATATCGGGAGAACTTAAATAAAATAGACTGTGACTTTCGATGTAACGAGTCACAGAGCAGGGCACACAGGACTCACAAGTGAGGTCCAGGATGATCTGGGGACAACCACCTAGATAGCAACAATTGGTGGGGTTTTAGAAAGTGATGAGTTAAAGCGATGATCGACGCCACGAGCTCTACTGTGGAGAATCCACGAATTAACTGAACACTAAAAAACGAGGAGATGATACCCTGTGCTAACAGGAATGATGGTTTACGATAGAAGACAATGATTTAATAATTGTAGAAGTCTGAATCGATGGACATGCTACCATATATTAGGAGATGAAGTCCTAAGAAGTTGTAGAAGGAAAAGAAGCTGTTCTATTACCGCGTTTTATATTGAACAAAGAGGTTGATGCATGATATACGAGAACATTCGATATATATTCAACTTGGCCGAAGAGAGCTGCTCAAGAGAGAGGATGGAGAGAAGAGGAGGAAGGGCGAGAGAGGCCGTATAAGTAATGAAAATACTGTATGGGGAAAGTGAAGGAGGCAGTAGAGGAGAGTATCTTAGTGAAGTATGTAACTGCGGGGTTTTTTATTCTATCTTTGTCTTTCACTTTGTCTATGCACTACCTTTCTCACCGTCGGTATCATTCCCTGATATAGATCCCTGTCGAGGCTTTTTCCATACGGCGCGAGTGACTGCTCTAGGAAATCGTAGATGCTCCGAACCGTCTCTGTTGGGCATCCGATAATCGAGACCCTGGCCTGACAGTCGGTGAGCAGTGGTAAATAAGATCGTTGACAGCATTTTGAAGCTTGACTTGGTTGTCTCGTAGTCGCGTGTTCATTATGTTGGCCATCTCGGCCGGCCCATTACTCGCGGCATCTTCCTGCCGCTGTTGGACTGGGTGCTCATAAAAGCGATGTTTGTGAATGAGAGTTTCAATGGAAGACGGAACGGCTGCTATAACTTTGTCCGTTGGCCTCTGATCGAGGAGCTCGTTCAATGAGGCCACCGCAGTAGTAGATGTCATTTGTGAATCACTTGCACTCGATGCTGACAATGATTGTCAGAAAATCCGGGGATGCACTGGGAAGAAGCTATCGATAGGCCAAGGGTAGCTAGCTGCGTTTTCCTCGTCAAAGCCAAACAAGGCTTCTTTCAGGGGCCCTTCTGGAACTTCGGCTCCCGACCAGCCGACCAAAATCCCATCCAAATTCCTACTCCGCAGTTGGGAACCCGTTGCATGTTTTTGAGGTTCTGTGGTGGTTGATTCAGGAGCAACAGAGCTACAGATACCAAGCATCAGCATCGCCTCGCCATTATGTGCTTGTCGCTCTCTGAATAATAGACACCCCCTCCCCCGGTTTCTGCTGTTTCATTCATCGTTTCTGTCGTAGCGCGAAGTCTGGAGCTTGATTTCGAATGCAGTACGTACCTAGGTAATCAGATTAGATTTAGAGACTGGCGGCTGACGGAAGGCGGTGAGAAGGCGGTATGGCAGCGGGCCAGCAGAATCGGCCCGCTGCCCGAACGTGACTTGCTCGACCAATAGGCGGCAATAATAATGAACGTGGATGTTAAGATAGTTATTTATCCCAGGTATGGCTGATGATCTGAATCAGTACTTGATTGCGACTAGACGAATCCTTCTATTATCTAGAACCCGTTCCTGTTCATAAATATTCCTCGACTGTAATTCTAGAAGATACAAGTTCCACTGTGCGAGTAAATCAATATGCAGCTCACTATTTCTTCCCTGTATGATACAAATCTCTAACTTGCGCCACCACAGGGGCAAAGTAGTCTTTCTTGGAACCGACTCCCGCTGTGGCACTTGGGACTTTCACCTCCGCTCTCATGTCACGTGCACAACCTTATTTGGCGATCTCCACACCGGCCGTGGCACCGAGCAGACGCTTGATGTCTATACCTCCGTTAGTCCTCTATAAACCACCACAAAAACCTCATAAAATTGAAACTTACCTCCGTAAATAGCAAATTGTCCTGCTGTCAAGGTACCCACCATCTGCCATTCGCGATTGGTTGTTAATGACTGGTCAATGTGCAGAAAAGAAAGGCCCAAAAAGGCCAGGAAGGGATCAACTTACGAAGAGACGAGCACCAATACCGGCGTAAGAGCCACGGAGGCCGAGCTCCTTACCGATCTTGATCAGACGGGAGACGGTACCCTCACCGGGGAGACCGGGGGTCTTGTTGATCTTGCTCAGCATAGTGTCAGCGGGCTGGGAAACGATGGCGGCGGCGAAACCAGCAACGAGACCAGATCCGAGGTTGACACCGGTGATAGCACCGTCAGAGAGAGTGGACTTGTCGACGCGGCGGAAGACCTGCTCAGCAACCTTCTCGAAGACGACGAACTTGGCCATGGTGTAGGGGATCCTGAGGACACGTTTAGTATTTTGTTTTCTTTTATGCATGACATATGCAGCGCACAGGGAGCCACTTACTGCTTGAAGAGAATGGGACCGAATCCGGAGTAGAAAGCACCGATACCCTCGTTCTTGAGGATCTTTCCGAAACCGCTGACGAGACCGCTGGCGAAGGTGGGCTCGGAGACCAGACGGATACGGGTAGCCTCCAGAGGGCAGAGGGCGATATCAGCGAAGAACTCAGCGAGAGCGGAAGAACCCAGGTAGACGGCAGTGCGGTTGTTAGAAGCAGTCTCGTAACCGAGCTGGTTGATGAACTGCTGCTTGAAGAACTCGTAACCACCGAACTTGAAGGCACCCTGGAGGAAGTAACCGGCGGCGGTAGGACCGAAACCAGTCAGCAGAGCGCCAGCACCCTCCTTCTGGATGACCTGGCGGAAACCACCGATCAGACCGCGGTTGTAGGTGACGGGGTCCAGCTGGATTCTGGTCTTCACGCTGTACAGACACGACTTCGTCAGTTTTCGAGCTCTTGGACGGGACGGATGCGGTCGACCGGACGGGTTGGGGCCTTGACACCGGACACGCCGCGGGAATCGGTCGTCGCAATGGGTTCCATGTTCGCAGGGCGACTTACACATCGACGGGAGTGAGAGCACCGTGGGTGACGGAACAGCAGACAGCACCAGCGAAGGCGAATCTGGAGTAGAGCTGAAGACCGCTCATCTGGGCCTCCTGGGCCACAGCATCCACCTTGGCGCTGCCAGTCGAGGTCGGGGGAGCACTAGTAGCCATCCTGAACACGAAACGAACGAGTTCGCTGGGAGGAGTGGAGGGTGAGAGTGAAGGTAATGGCTGTTGTTGGAGTGGAGGATAAGAATCAAAGAACGGAGCGAAAGGGATGGGCGGGAAGAGACTTGGGGGACGCTTGTTTACGGAATACCCGAAAACTTTTCGCCGGGCAGACGGCTGGGCCCCGGGAGATAACCGTCATAACTCCGATGCACAATTCAGCTTCATTAATCAATTTTATTTATGAGTATGATATTCTTTCATCGTCTGCCGTAGACAATATTAATATTATATTCGTAATAATACATCTGTTTACATCCTTCAGCTGTGTCCGCATCGAATGGCATATTCTGAAGACAGTTTCACAGCCTTTGTGCACCAATTCCGGTTTTCCACCGGGATCCAACTATCTATTATTAACTTGGCATTCCGCGACCGAGACTGATGACAAGATCGACGAGATGGGCTCGCGACAGCATCAAAGCTCGATTGGTGCTCGCAAACATGCTCAACCACATCTCGACCTATCTACCTGTACTCTTGTAAACTGCGACTGCTCACGAGAGTCACCACCATCAGCATATACCAAACTGGCAGTTACAAGCTAGCAGTTTGGCAGATGCCAGAGGAAGGCGCTCCAGGACCTCTTCAAACTGCTTGTCGAATTGCATCGTAGGCAAGAACAACCGGAGAGATTTCAGATGAGCTCTTGATTCAATCTCGTCTTGTGCTGATTTCTTCCATTATTCGACCATATCATCACATCGCTCGTTTGCAAAAAACATCATCAATCGTATAAGTTAGAACCAATCTATTGCCATTATCATAGGATTCTCTTCTTTCTCGCTACGATTCCCAGTCGTTCTTTTCGTTCTCGAAAACGCAACTCTCTCTCTCTCTCATCCTCACAATGCCTCTCATCGCCATCACAGATATCATGGACAAGCATCGCCAAGAAAAGGAGCGGCAGGAAAAATCGTCATCCGCAGCGGAACCCGCCGGAGACACTCACAATAATAATGATTCTAGCCACGCAGACTCTAAGGTCATTTTCCTTTCGAAGTGAAGAGTGACCACAATGCTCACTGATTTTGTAGCTGAAATACAAAGACGATGGACCAGCGCCAATGTTTCACAGCCATCTGTCCGAGAAGCTGAAACGTCTCAGCGTGATTGACACGGGAGTCGTGTATCGAGCGGCGGACGTCCATCCAGAGCATAAAATAGAAGAATCTACCAAGTCCAAGACCCCTGCTTTTGACATTACCCTCGCGCAACGAAACTCGTCAGGCGACGATCCGATCAGGGCACAACTACCTCATCGCCCTAAGGCACACTCTCATACTAAGGAAGATACAACGATTGAAGAACTGGCTATTGCTGGAATGACTATTTAGGTCCTGCCAGGCGGCCACGAGTTCGGCTCGTGTTGATAGTATCTCCGGATCAGACTGTCCCGTTGAGGAATCGTATCGGCGATATATAGTTAGAGCGAACCAAGGAGGTACACGCGATTCCTGGGGTCTCAACATTGCATTTTGGCGTTGCGGCTTCATTGGGGGTTTTCGATAGATAGAGCATGGTAGTTTCTTTGCGATTCAGATCTATGGACTATTTCTACTTGGTGAATTCTGCTCATTCATCTTCCTTGTTGCTCAAGCTAAAAAAAAAAAAAAAAAGACGATATTAGAACAAGCTGCATACGTCATGACGCTGTTCATTGATGTTCCTTGCAGCGGGAATTCCCGTTTGCTGTACCATAAGGCAGTCAGCCAGGGCCTTGCCAATTAGAGATGGCAAATCACTACCTATCTTCTAAGGCAAGAAATTGTTCAACGTTTCTGGCGGACGTCTTGACAATTTGTCTACAAGACAAGATGCTATCGGCAGCGGCGGTTGTAGACAATTTGCAATGCTCCATTGAGCCGGACTAGTTATCTGAATCAGAGATATGTATGCGGTGTCGGAACGCGACATAGATAGCAACAGAACTGTACGACTCCCCACTACGGATGCAGTACATGATATAGTGCCATTGAATGATTGTGCAAGCTCATCGAGTTTGACAACGTCAACTATTATATCCCCACCGTGAGTCTGGACCCTGACCCAGATAGCGCTGGCTTCCTTTGAGATCGCTACAAGGGTCCCACACCGCTCCGGCTGGACCCTGGAGAACTGTTCTTGTTTGACAGCTAATAATCTACTACTACTTGCTGTATGTACTGTTACTGTAGTCGCGGAATAATAGCTCAGCTGGCGAATGACTGAGGTTATTGCTGCTGGATTAATGGACCGGCTGGTTTTCAACTCTTTGATCGTAGGCCTAATCCTGTCCATGTATATACACAACAAGCTAGCGGCAAGTAAAAAAAAAAAAAAAAAAAAAGAAAGAGACATACTCATTGCCTAGCATATAGTCATGAGTCGAGATATCAGTTTTCGTCAGGCACCGATACGTTTAGGACCCACACACTGCATGGGTTGATGTGGATTAACGGTCCTGTATACTACTACCGTACTACAATAATGTAGGGATATTCAGATCCTGAGACATCTGATAGTTACTACTAACAAGTGATTATTCCAGCGTAGGGGTGGTGAATTTCAGACATTTTCTTTTTTATTACTGAAATACTGAAATTCAACCCTTTTTTTTCGTTTCGAAATTCAAAACGCACAGACCATAAGTGGGGCGCGCTAAAGACGTATTAGGAAATTAAGCGAAGAGAATAACCAATAGTAAGTACGATACTATTAATAAGTAAAAGCGCAAAATTTCGGTCACGTGCCTATTTGAAATTCAGAAATTTTTCGTGAAATTAAAATCTTTTTTATTACTGAAATTCATGACATTTTGAATTTCAAATCGCCATCCCTATTCCAGCGACCCTTTTGTCCCGACGGTGAGGTTCCGATTCGTCCCACGCGGATCAAACGCCGATCTATCTACTCCGTAGGTACGGCTCCGAGACATCACCAAGGAATGGAATTCTTGTCCGTGTTTGACCGTATCTGTACAGTAGTGACACTGGCTTAACTTTCCGATAACTGGTTCCAACCTGACCGCATCGAGCAGGATCGACGGTGAAGTCGCGATAGTTGAGTTATGAATGATGATAATTATTTGCATCTGGGACCGAGGTCGCATATTCTTCTGTACGCTACTTAGTCTAGCCCTAAGGCGGTGAAGGGCATCGGACATCGTTGCGAGGGACTGTCTGTGCGTTCTCGAAAGTTCGGACAGATGACATCCCATCGCATAATAATACGGGATGATTCAACGAGCAATTGGAGAGATTCTTGTCCCTGTGATGTTGAGTCATGAGACACCGAACGGTCACGGTAGAATAGAGTATCATACAGTAAGTGTGCGTGAGAGCTCCTCTGGTCTCTCTATGGCATATGCCCTGTTATCGAGCGGACTGAATCAAAATCCAGACCCCGTTATGGAGTAGAAGGATGCATATTTGATTTCTCCGAAGTGGGGACAGTTAAGTTGCCGGTCATGGTTTTCCGCACTGAAAAAAAAGTATGAAGAGTAGTCTAATGATCAAATATGGGACTCTGCTGAGCCTGGAGAGGATCCATCGTGAAGACGGCCCGAATCATGAGCCACTCGCGCGCTTTTTCCACTTGCCCCTCCAAGAGTCGTTGTATACGCGGGGGAATACCCAGGATAATAATCATGCACTCGAAGGAGAGCCTACTCTACACGATCCGACAATTCAATCCAATCCAGTCCAGTCCAGAACCGCTGATTGTCACCATTGTATCTTGCACATTATTAGCGGCAGATATTGCGCAGGAATGAGGACTCTGATCTCCCAGACCGCCACAACCTTGATGGTAGCTCGATGGCCTAAGCAGATATGGTTATTGAAACTTGCAGTGATCGTACGTGGGTAGAGACGTTGCAATTGGGTCTGACGGTTGGGTCCTGTTCCCGGAGACGCGGGGCTAGGTCCATCAATCCCTCGATTGTGAACAAATGATATCCTCACCATGACTGTTTTCTGCCGTCGCCAGAATTCTGGACGGGTCTGCGTCTCTGCTTCCAGAACCCACACGAGTTTTGGCAGCCCGTCGGCTCTAGAGCGAGGAGCCGTGTTAGCCGACTGTACCTCGATGATTGACGTGATGGGGCCGCCATGGATGCAAAAAGTTGGTTCCCCGGGTTAGGAGTCACATCCATCGCGACGCTATTACACAGTAAGTTCGCCAGCGCCAGCGAGCCCTGCCGGCCGGCCATTGGGCACGCATAGTTCTGGCGAGGAAGGTACACCCCATCGGGCAGTCTATCCGGTGATCACGTCGAAGTCCTGGCTACTTATGATACTCCCTGTCTGCTGTTTCAATCACGCATTGACTGCGCTGCCACGGATGGCTGACGGACGCAATTCGTGCGATCGAGATATCTTTGGGAGAAGAGTACCGGGGGCGAAACACCTTCAGCCGGTGAGTTCGTGGGATCAGGAGCACTTGACTTATTTTGATAGATACCAATACTGACGACTGCTTCAGAGACCATGGCTTCATCCAATGACTCACAGCACACTCTCCCGGGACAGGAGGAAGACTTGATCGTCGAGGCCGTCCACGAGAGGTATGGGGACCCTTCTACGTCCAGGTTTCGTCGCGTGGCGTCCAAGACGTTGGTCTCTTTTGGTCCAGATGATCCAGAAAACCCAGTGAATTGGAGTCAGGTACCGTCCCTATACTGTCCCCTGGACCCTATGGTGTTGCTGTTTTGCTCCGGACGCTGAGACTTAGTCATGGATGGTGTCCTGTAGAAAAAGAAATTCTATATCCTGATGGCTGGAATGCTGCAAGTCATGAACAGTACCATCGGATCATCTCTACCCAGCGGCGCCAGTTCCTTTATCGCCAAATACTTTTATATAACCAACCAAGAACAGCTGGTTCTACCCATCTCAATGTACCTCATCGGTTACGTTCTTGGCCCGTTGTTCTGGGGTCCAATGTCGGAGGCTTATGGCCGGAAAAAGCCCATGCTCACGTCTTTCACACTGTATACCATATTTATGATGGCATCTGCCGTGGCGCCAACGTTTCCCGCCCTTCTCGTTTTCCGGTTGTTGGCTGGTATTATGGCGTCCGCTCCTAATGCCATCACAGCAGGTCTTTTTGCTGATATCCACAATGACCCGACCAAGCGCGGTCGTACCATGGCGATATTCATGGCCGTAAGTTTTTGTTCTCCTCCCATCACTTCGACTACCGCTCTGACGTACTACGTAGTGTACAACGCTGGGGCCAATCATGGGGCCGTGGGTTTCAGGCTTTGTCTCCGTCGTCAGCTGGCGATGGAGCTTCTGGATCGGATTATTCTTTGCCTGTGCCACACTTCCATTGATCGTATTTTTGCCCGAGACCTACGGACCAACTATTCTTCAACGGAGAGCGAAGCTGTTACGCAAGGAGACCGGAAATCAAAGCATAGTTTCACCGTTGGACCTGCAGAACCGTAACCTGAAGGAGACCCTTTGGATCACACTGACACGACCGGTACGAATGATCATTCACGAATCAATTGTCTCATTTTCTTGTCTCTATATTTCGTTGGCCTATGCCATCTTCTATCTTTATTTCGAGGCATATCCGATTATCTTTCAGGGTACGTACCTTACTTCCGTGTATCGCGTACGCGTGACTAATCTTTGTCTCGCAGGCATTTACGGCATGAGCGCTGGAGTTTCTGGGTTGTGCTTTTTGCCGAGTAAGTCGTACCTCCCCGGCAGCTTTCGTGATTCTCTCTGATGCGCAAGCTGCAGTTGGCGTTGGAGCATTTATCGCGTGCGGTATCTTTCTATGGTATGACTCCTTTCTTGCAAAGGCGAAGGCTAGGGGTGCCAGATGGTCCCAAATCGAGGAATACCGTCGTCTGCCACTGGCTTGTTTGGGAGGGCCATCGTATGTCGTCTCCCTTCTCTGGGTTGGTTGGACGGCTTATCCAGACGTCCACTGGGCGGCTCCTATGCTGTCTGGTATCCTGTTCGGCATTGGGTACATGTTGATCTTCATGGCTACCTTGAATTATCTCTCCGATGCCTATGAGACCTTTGCTGCCAGTGCCCAATCCGCAGGTAGTTGCTCGCGGAGCATCTTCGGGGCCCTCTTGCCGCTAGCTGCAAAGCCGATGTTCAACCGTCTCGGGGTCCATTGGGCATGTAGCTTGCTTGCATTCCTGAGTCTGGGTTTGTCCATCATCCCGTTTGTCTTCATTCGCTACGGTGACAAGATCAGGAAAAACAGCAAGTTCTGCCAGGAGCTGTTGCGGTTGAAGGAGGCTGAAGCACGAGAGAAGCGGCGCGACATGTCGGATGAGACCTGTGCTTCTGCAGTGGATTCTCTACCTCCGAAGGAGGTTGCGGTATCTTCTACTCCTGTCTCCCAACCTATTGACCGAGACATTGAAAAGCAGCTCGATGCTTAGCTGAACCACAACAGGCTCGTTCTTTCCCATGTCGGCGGAGTGATCGCAGACCCTGAGTCTGCGACAGAGGCTGTGGGATTCAGCAGGGATCTTTTTATACAGCCTACGCTATTTGCCATATCTTTTCCAGTTCTCCCCGTCCATTCCTCTGAGATAAGAGCTAATCTCTGGACGAAGTTGACTGAGGCACAGTGCCACGAGGTTATGACCCATGGTTTTGCATATATGGCTACTTGGCCAATCAGACAAAAAGTGATTTTCGCAGAAGCGAGGGTAACGGCGCAAGGATTGATGGATTGTTTTCGGCGTCTTAGATTAATCGTAATCAATAATTAGGTAGTAGTCTAGTTATAGGTAGAGTTGCTTGAGAATTATCGAGAAAGAGACGTTGATCTTCTGACGTGTTCTCCATTTTCCTTACTATTTATGATAGAAAATTGCAGGAATTGGACTTGAGCTATGATGGCCAGTCGTGTACTTAAGTACTCCGTACGGATATGAGGGGAATGGCATCCTCCTAGTTGAAATGCTTGACGATGAGTGACCGTGTCTAGACTTCTTCTCTTCCGTTCTTTCTTCGGGGTCTGCTGTCCTCATGCACTGGGGGTATAATTCTTATAATTCTCCTGATTGTCTCTAATTGATCAGCAATGCACCTCTCTTCTAACCACTCAGGACACCGTACTTAACCAACACGGACAACGCCAGCCTTGAGCACACGACGGCCATCATGGCATCGATATCGACGACTTCTCAGCATCGCGCAGATCTTATTGATATACCCGCCACTGTCTGCTAGAGCTCTGGAATGCCGCACTGTGGCTGACTTGGTGGACCCGATCGCGGTTCGAGAACCCGCCGAGCTAGTCGACTCTTATTCCGCGGCTGATCATGAACGCAAACAAGAGCCACTCCAGCCTCAACCATCGCGATGCCTTTTCATCTCCGGAGGACGTCTCCTCTGACCTTCCTCGTCACGGCTCTAGCACGCAGGCTATCGTAACCAGAGACGCTGCGGCATCGAGTGCGTTGCGCGCCGCATCCGCCATTGACGGCCAGACCATATTTCGGGAACAACCCCCCAGTGCCGCAATTGCGGAGAGGCGTTGGCAGTCCGGAGCTTCTTGGGCCCTTGACGGATATTCTGGCGGCTCTGAAGCTGTAGCTAGTCAGTACCGTTCGTCAAACACCTCGTCATCTATATCGTCTGACATCCTCCGCGATTCCTTCTTTCAGTCCGATTGGAATACGCTAGACACGGCCCTCCTCGACACGACTCAGCTGTATCAAGAAGACGCCTCACAGGGCCTCCTGCAGGCTTCAAAAACCGGTGACAATCAATCTCGGGAGCGAACTACAGCTGGCGGACCTGTGGATCTACGTCTGGCAAGTGTGGCAGACTATCGTGGAACTTCGACAGTATCGTCGCAAGCACCAGCGAATCGAGTACAATTGCAGCCACAACAGTCGGGTCCCCACGAATTATCCGGATCTAGAGAGGCGCCCGCGGCCAGATTGACAACAGAGGGCTCCCATAACAACCAGCGCGCTCAGCGTTCGAATCAACCTGTGCGATCCGTCATACCTGTCTCATCGCCTTTCGCAACACGCCGCGAGGGGACGAAAATACAAGACTGGAGTAGGGGAATTTGGATAGGACAGAAGATGTCAGAGGTCTCAGAGGTGCCCGGTTCGACGACGACCACCGGACCCAACAGTGTTCAACCGCCCTCGGGTTCGCGAGCCTCGAGCGTGTCCTCGAAGAAAGGAGCGCGGCCAAAATGTACCCTACCCCCGGAGAAGGTGTTCCCGATCCAGATCGGGTCAGAGCTGTTTCGTTTGTCGGGAGCTTCAATTGCGTCTGATGGTCAGTGCTGCGCTGGAGATGATCCGTGAATCCGAGCTTGGACTAAATTCTTAGAGCACCTTCCTATTTTTCCCAATTCTTCGAGGAGCAGCTTCGTCAGAACGAGGATCCTTCCAATATAAGGACGTTGTATATCGATCGTGACCCAGTCACGTTCCAAGAAATCTCGAGACATCTTCAGGGTGAGTCACATGGACCATCTTTGTTTCATTGGAAATTGGCTTATTAACGGTGGGGTGTAGGGTACTACGTTCGACCAAAAGATGGCTCTCAATTTGTGAAATTATTCGCGGATGCGCAGTTCTATAGCTGTAAGAAGCCTCTATCTGGATGGGAAGCTGGGCGATGAGCTGACATCATTAGTGCCCCGGCTTATCTCCCAGCTGTTTGAATCGGAGATCTTTATTCAGATCGGTGACGATCATTTTCAGATTCCTCGCGATATATTCTCCAGTCCTGGCGATACTCCGAACTTCTTTTCACTGGGTTTCGCGGTGTTTTTCGCTTCTCCCCAGGAAGTATTCCCGGGTCTCGATCGCAGCGGACTGTTACGACCGCCGTCCATCCTCCCGCCTAGTGTGCCTAGTCGGTCTGGCAAGGTGTTTGCAGAACTGCTGCATCTTCTTCGAGGCTATCCGTTGCATATCGAAACTGAAGACCACCGCGCCGAGCTTTTACGGGACTGCCGCTACTTTCATCTGCGGGGCTTGGAACAGAAATTGATTCCGCATAATATCAGCTATAACCCTGAAAGGCGAAAGTCGGAGATTATCATTCGCTTAGAGGATGTACGGCAATCTGGCATTTCTTTTGTTAGTGATTCCTCCAATGACAACCCCATACTATCTGGATGGGTCCATTACGCACGGCCATTTGTCGATGAGACGACATATGAACTCATAGTCGAGATCGGCGGCGAGAACACGACCATCGATCTCAATGAGATGCGCGCGGATTTCCATGGCCTAGCAAAAGCACGCATTGCCAGCCTCTTCCAGGTGGTTGCCAACAAGATGAATCTTCCCACCAACGCGCCGTTGGGGTTGATGATGATGTCTGGAGGCGCAAGCGCTCAGGCAGCTAGCCCCGGTCATACCCCGCTCAGCGAGGATCGAGTGAAGGTGCAAATTGGACCGGATGCCGATGTGATAGTCGATGGCGAACCATATATCGCCAACTTCCTTAGAGGCGCTACGGCCGTTTCTCGGGAACAGCCACAGGGGCAGCAGGGACAGGATACTAACAATGCCTTGTCACAGCATGTGGACATGAGGCAGCCACCTGCAAAACGCAAACGGGCCGATAGCACGGACGATCTAGGAGACTGGATTGTCTACAAGGGCCAGTGGAGACTGAGGGTTCAAACCAATACCTCCGACCGTGGCGGTTTGGAACTCGTCTTTATCGCAGTGAAACTAGACGTCTACACGGGCCAGCGCGCTCGAAACAAGAAGAGGTCTTTCCTCTGATGAAGTTGGATCAAATTGAGATCCAATCCTTTTTATGGTTACGTCGGCTTTGGGCTTAAGCGGGAGCGAGTTGCGGAGTGATGTGTGATTGCACGTACCTTGTACATATTACTCGATGCTTTGGTTCCTATTTTGAACGTTAAGGGGGAACCATACGCCTGATGACAGCATTTTGCCAAGTTCTGTTTTTTGCACTCCTAGTCAGGTGTTTCGTTCATCTTTATGGACTCAAACATTGTGTTTTCTGTCCCTATCATTCTCAAATCGGACGCATATGGCTTGGGAGCCACGTATTACGTGGCGTGATGGCCGTTAAGGAGCATGGCGTAGTTTCTTGTGGGACAATATCCAGTTATTCACACTTACAGATCTTATCGTGTTTGACTCTTGCGCTTATCCATGCTACAGCCTTTTGATTGCCTCCCAGGAAGAAGGTCCGTACATCCAACTATCCAAGGATACAGGGTTCAGTACAGTATCTTGTCCGGCTATAAGTCTCACTTCCAGTTGCTAGACCAGTTAGCCCTGAACTTGGAGGCCAAAAGAGTCACCAGCCAAAGAAGCACCCGGCGGAGGAAGAACTTCAACCTCGGTTCTTGCAATTCCAGTAGACCTGAGAACGCTTCCACGTGCAGAAACTGCATCAGCCGAGACAGCATTCAGGATGTGGCCATTCAAAAAGAGCGATGTCTCGAAACCTGTCCTTTTGGACTCGCCCAGATATTGACGAGAACCGTATTCGTCGACGACGTCGTAGAACCGCCATGAAGCTGTCTCCGTGTCCCCGTTCCAGGATACGTAGACGGTTGTACCTGATTCATTCTTCAGAGAGACGATTGCAGGAGCTTCGTTCGGGAGACCGGTCCAGTTGTACCGGAAGCCACGGTAGTTCTGGACGCCTTCACCCAGAAAGCCGGAATCAAAATACGTGTGGAAAATGGGAGTACCGTCAGAACGGAATTCGGTGAGGGCACCTTCAGACCCCCAGTTTACGAGGACGTTGCCGTTGGGCAGGAGCTGAGTGCTTCCTTGAGATTTGGAAAGGAGGTTATCTGGCGGCTGGAAGGCCTGGACGATGGACGCTTCCCAGCGCTTGGTGTCCACTTTGATGATTTTACCCTGTGAGAAAGAGTTCGTGTGGACTTCGTGGCCGTGTCCGCTTTCGGTCCCGTGAGCGGCGTTATCGTAGAGGGAGATCACTTCGCTGTGGCTGTCCTTCGAGACGTAGCGAGCATGGTGCTGGAAGCAGAAGTCCACATTGGGACCGAGAGCGAAATCGGACTTCTTGCCACCGAGTCGCCAGATGATTTCGCCGGTTGTTCCGTTGATCTTGTGCACAGAGCAGGCGTCGCGGGCGGAAATGAGATAGTTACCTTCGGAGTCTTTGTCGACAGAGTTGATGTGGAAGTAATCCCAGGCGTCGGAGGAGTTGTAGCCGGATCCTGCTTGGCCGGGGTTAATTGGGAGGATGGCTTCTATATATTATGAGTTGGCTTGGGTGTTGTGATATTGATTGATTGAAGCTGAGCTTACCGTCCGGCGAGACATGTTCCAGACTGGACCATTCAAAGAGCAACTCGCCAGTTTCGATATCCAACTCTGCAGATGCAAGTCAATACTTAAGTAGTATGCAACGAGGGCTCACACATACGTACCCTGAATAATGGCATCTACAATCCATTGCTGCTCCGGACCCGCTCCCCACTTACGCAGGTCTCTAGGAACCGGCTGATAGATCTGGATGAGCGCCGTCTCTTCATTGATGATGTGAAACTCATGCTTGTCTGTCAACTTGTGATTTCCAGCTCTGAGCTCGCGAATCGTCTCATAATGCTGATCGAGGATCGTAGTGTGCCCGTGACCATGGCCGTAGGCGGGGTTATGATCTCCTTCAAAGGAGAAGAGAACATCTCTACCCTTCCAACGGCCCTTCTGGAAGTTGGTCGCCCAGATCGAGTAGTACGAATAGCCAGACCAGACGAGTTCGCCGTCATCACGGAAAATGTACGGACCCGACTGACGGGGACCGTGAGTCTCACCCGGCGGCTCGAGACCAGCAAAGGGGGCGATGAAGAGATAGCCCTTCTCTACATCTGGCGCGGCCGGGATGGTGATATTCAATCTCGGCGGTGCCAGGTCCGGTCGAGACTTGAATTGCCAATCGGCAGCTGCGAGATGCAGAAATGCCGCTATGCTTAGAAGGGCGAGATTGCTTTTCATCGTGCGGGCAGCAAAGTGCTAGGAAGGAAATAAATAATTAGCCCGTGATAGATCCATCTTGTCTGGTGGAAGGGTACATTAACCTTGGTCAGGTATTCTGCACTTTATTTCTCTGGGTTTGCGGAGCGAAGAAACAGTGTTTTTTGATTTTTGATCTTCACTAAATATATGTTGGATGAGTGAAATGTAGAGAACTTTACTGATGGTTTGCGATCGGTGTGGACAATTTTAAATATATAGGTTATGCCCTCAGGAATCCCACTTGTCAATGTCTCATTTTCACCGATATCGCATCATTCTAACCTTTTAGTTGGGAGTCTTGTCGAACCAGGAAGTTTAGAAGGGTTCCCTTCAACTGCAATAGCGGGAGATACATCCTATCAAGTTTTGAAGTGAATGTGCGGGGGATATGACGTGCTTACGGGAATCGATGGTGAAGTCTGAAGAGCTGAGATCAGCGAATTGAATTAGTTACTTACTACGTCTATTATGAATGTCCATAGGATGAGCAATTCTGAATCATAGCCAGGGCCAGGTGATATTGTTTGAAGTTTGCATTATACACTGCAGTGGGAAATACATTATTGTCCTACTTTAATTAACAGAGTATCAGATTGGTAGTGTTAATCAAATAAGCTTTGTGTGATTTGGACATCCTGGCTAGTCGATCTTCAAGGATCCAACTACTGAGTAAGATATGTCTTTACGGCAAGATTGTTGGCGGAATTCCTCCGCAGCCGTCGGCCAGGGTAAGTACTGTAAAATAAGCACAAGAAAATGAAGTAAGCATCACAGAAACTCAACAATAGATCTTGCTTATAGGATCTACTTCAACAAAGACTAATTCATTGAAAACATTTAGTAATGCTGCGAATTAATAACGAGACATAATACCAGCTGGAATCCTCTTATAACAGTCATGTCGGTGATTATTCAATGTACCCCTGGCACGTTGAGCTTGACGAGCGTATTTCCATCAGAATTGGTGGAATCTTCGAGGAAGTCGTCGTCTGCTCCAGCAGTACTCCTTCCCCTTTCTGCCTGCTGCTTGATGTACGAGCTGGGCTTATTGTTTTCTGAAGTCGCCTTCGCTGCGTTGTACTTCCTGAACGTTGCCTCGATGAGATGGCCAACCTGCTCCCGATCGGAACCGATAATACCAGCTGCTATCAGGGATTCTGTTTCTTCGACCCAGTCCTGTATCTTTCGGAACTCGATCTCATCCCTATGCAGCCTGTCTGGCAGACCTCGTCCATTCAACAGCGCCAAAGTGCCCGCGATAACAGTGTTGACGGCCCCCAGCACCGTAAGCACTGTAGAGTAATTCTTCGACGACGGCCCCAGTGCGGTTACCGAGGCGCTGATAATGATCTGGGCGAAGTGGCAGCAGTAGACAAGCAGGTTGACTGCCCAATACTGCCTGCGTCGTGTATTCTTTTCTCGTAGAACTTCTTTATATATGCCTGTGGCTAGTCTCTGACCTTCCTCTAGCTTGCTGCCCGAGTAGGACGGGGGCTGCGAGTTAATGCCGACGGCATGTCGGAAAATGGACACATGCTCGTTCATAGCTGTTTGCGAAAGATCTGGAAGGGAAGCTTCTGTGCTGCTGGAACGTCCTTTGTTCTTTGTGTCCTTTTTGGCGTTGGGTTGAACCTGGGGCTTGCTGTCGTCAGACGGAGCGGCTGGTGATGAAGTGGCCATTGTGTGAATTCTGGAATATGAACAGATTCCCTAATTGATTCTGTTATTTACATAGTTGACTCAAGTCATGAAGGGTCAACTTGCCTGGTATAAATAAGTGAGTATACCACTATAACCGCTGTCGCGATATAGTTCTAGCTGGCCTGTCAGCTGAAGTAAGCGATCTCAGCCCTACACGGCTACTGTGAAGAGGATGTATGTATGTACTATCCAATGGGATACAAAACTGGAAGGGTGAACCTCGCGAATACCCACGAGGCTGAAAAGGCAACCAGCCTAGGCAGATAACATGGTGTGCACGTGGTTGTCTATCCAGACTATAAGCTGAGCCGTGTTTCGAAGGTACAAGGGCTCGCGGCCACTGATTTACATAAAAAAGACAAGGCACCTACGAGCACCCAGAGAGAGTGCCCGAATAGATGAAAAACTCAGTATCTGTCAGATTTTGGCAAGATTGAGGCCGTCATAGCAGCTGAGATGTGGTGTGTTTCACGGGTGGGAAATGCTACTACTCACCCTATATAAAGGGGTATTATAGAACAAGCAACATTGAGCTACTGATTCCCACCTATATATGATCAAAGCAGACACTCCAGAAGTAGCAACTGCGCAGATATAGTGGCCGAGGCAGTGCTCCAGGCAGCAATTAACCAGGACGAAGTCCTAGGGCGTAAATGGTCGATAGATTTCGGTATACTCTAGCTGTTCAAGCAGTCAATATCATATTCCCATGTCAAATACTTTTCTTCGTATCTCGCTTCTGTGATCCTGAATCTTGACAGATTCTGTTTCTTCTGTCTTGTTAAGGCGAAATATAACCGAGGCTCAAAGCTCATATCTAGAATACCCTCCCGGCCCTCCCATTCATCACTCCATATGTGTATGTCACAATAAAGGGCTATTCTCCAACCAGGAAGCCAGAGTCGCGCAGTTGCAAGATATACGTCTAGCTACTCCTACCACCCAGGCTCTACTTAGCTTTGGAGCCTTCGTGGATTTCCAAGGACAAGGCAGAAAGTCTGCCCAAAAGAAAGATGGTGATTTTCGTAATGTCCTCGCAGCCTTTCTGATGACAGGAGTGGTAGAGGGTATTGAATTTTTTGTATTTTCTCTTATTTACTGGTGATTATAGTAATGTATGGTGTGGTTTTTAGCTGATTCTCCAGATACTGGGAATTTATCGACTGATATTTACATCGTCCATGTCGAGCTGGAGTCAGAGACATTTCTGGTAGCCGACTTTCTCTCTAATTAACATGACACAATGCATGCCCGCTGTAATCCCTTGTCGCGTCATTATTTCAGCCGTGGCGCGTAAAGACTGATCCCTGACCAGGCTCTAGCGCAGAGCAAGACAACGGCATTGAAGAAAAGGATGATGCTACTACGACTACAGCTTTGCTCATATGTGAATCACGTCATGATCGTCCTAGAAGTCCAACCTGAGTATTGCACAAACATACAACAGTGCTCGGGTTTTCCGAAGGTGATATCAAACATCCATAAGGGAGTCGGCTGCATCCGCGGGAGTTGATGCAGAAACGTTTTTCAATGGCCAAACCTTGGGGGTAGTGGCTTGACCATGGCCAGTAGTGGATGATCCCAAGATCGCTCCAGGCCTCAATTCACCGCAGCGATCGAAAAGCGGATTAATTCTTACACGCCAAACCCGGGGGACGCAACCGAGGGTGCGGGATAGCGTCCGAGCAACGACCAAGGCCAGTCATATCGCCGGTATAGCAATCTACTTATTCGCACTGACTGCTGAGAGTGGCGCTTAAAATTGCTTCTACATCGTTCCGCAGCGGTGTCTCTCGATGTGATGGTGCGGAACTAACCCCGCGAGCCATGCCGTTCTCACCATCCGGTAAACAATGTTGCACACATCTCAAGCGATCCCAGCGAGATAGACGGTAGATTTCGATTTTGGGGACTCCACTCCCCGCGGGGATTGTCGACCCGCTGTTTCTACCCCATGGGGATGTCCCACGCTTTTATAGAGATGCTCTCCCCCAGGTTTCCGTTTGCTTCTGTATAACCCTCGACAATCTTGCAGATTGCAGGGCACCTTACATTTCTCGTTAACCCCCGATATACATGGGCGAAGGCATCACTGGAGTGCGGGTCGCTCATTCAGATAACCACGCCATGTCCGACCTCAGCAGCGACGTGAGGAAAGACCAATTTGATAAAGCATCTCATCTGGAAGATGTTTCAACATACGAACCAGAAGCGCCTCCAGTGGACGCGCCAATCAACTGGCCAGCATGGAAGCGAAATGCGCAGATTCTGATGGTCGCTTTCCATTCCATGGACACTGTGTTTATGGCGGCAGGTATCATTCCCGGATATGATGCTATGGCGGCAGCATACAATGTCACCGTGCCTGAAGCGAGCTACCTGACGTCGGCTCAGGTATGAAGTCTGATTGTTCACCTTGTTTGGGAATCAAATGTGGTCTAATCAGTCCTGCGCAGATTCTGGTCTTGGGAATCGCTCCTTTTTTCTGGATCCCCCTCATAGCCCGATTCGGTCGCTATCATATTTTTATGCTATCGGTTCTGGTCTCGATGGTGTTGAATATCGGAGGTGCTTACTGTAAAACTTTTGGTGCTCAGATGACCACTCGTGTTCTCGTTGCCTGGTTCATCGCACCCCCAATTGGAATCGGCAGCGGCGTAGTGACCGAACTGTGCTATCCTGAAGAGCGTGGTCAAAAGATCGGATGGTGGACCTTGATGACTGTGCTTGGTATTCCCGGGGGTGCTTTCATCAATGGCTTCGTGGCACAGCACCTGGGTTTCGAGTGGATATTCTTTATCTTCGCAATCATCAATGCCGCCCAGTTCATCGCTTACGTGCTTCTGGGTGACGAGACCCTCTACGTCAAAGACAGTCCTCAACCTCGTCAGACGGGGCTGGCCCGTTTCATTCCTCACCGACTAGACCACCGGGCAATCAAGTTTGGTGACTTCTTTAGACCTCTCTCCCTGGCAAAGTTCCCTCGCGTCTTGATCCCTGCCATCGCTCATGCCGTTTCATTCGCCTATGCGAACATCGCCGTCATTGTCGAGACACCTCTGACTTTCGGAGAGAAGTTCCACTTCAACGCCCAGCAAGTTGGATACCAGTTTGCTGCCGTGATCATTGGTTCCCTCATTGGTGAGCAGATCAGTGGCCCAATGTCGGACTGGTTCCTGAAGACTCTGCGTCGTAGGAAGGGCCACACCATTCCCGCAGACCGTCTATGGCTATCATACATCGGATTCGGCACCGTCATTGCTGGTCTTCTGACCTGGGGATTCCAGCTGGAGAAAGCAAGCACATGGAATATCACTCCCAGCATTGGCATGGCCATCGATTCCTTTGGAAACCAGATTCTTACCACTACACTGATCTCATTTGCCGTCGACAGCCATCGAGAGTACTCTTCCAGTGTCGGGGTCTTCATCAACATGTTTCGTCAGATTTACGGATTTGTGAGTGTTAATCCTTCCAACTGCCGCAGTAATAATCATGTTCCTGACTGGTTGGCGTTCTAGCTCGGTCCATTCTACTTCCCTGACATGTATGCCGCACTCGGCCTTGGTGGAGCCGCTGGTTTGATGTGTGGTCTTATCGTTGTTGTTTCGCTGGCGCCTACGATCATAATCCAGGTTATCGACTCCCGGAGGAACCAGTGAACATTGTATATAGTAATTTATATTAGTTTCAGATGAGCAGCCTAGTGATGCCATTGTTCCCCCTGTACACCGAATAGTTCGCGTTATGTATATGCACGAATCATTGGAAGATATTCATTTATAAGGTAGCTGCATTAGGACTATTGTGGAAGCGGGCATAGTCCTTACATCCATAAGTATTCGCAGGTTTTCTCTTTCCAGCGTTGGCCGTCCAGTCTCAGAGTATTCCCACAATATATAGTTCTTTTGATCTGACAGTGTCTCGATCCGCTACCCAATCTGTGTTTTCAGTTTTCAACACCCCAAACACGCTAGGTGGCTATATATCTACCTCACTGAATAACTATAATCAATCCAGGACGCGGTTTAAACCGAGGCAGTATTATATTTGATTATAATCGATTACTTCCTTGATCGACAGCTGTCATGGATACTATGACGTCATTGTTCACCGTCGACACTGCAAAAGTCAACTTTCCAGACCGCCTCGAGTTGTCACTCCAGCGTATCTACTCATTTCTCTCCTTCGTGAGCACAACCCTCCGATCTAATATTAATGAATTTGGGTGGCTTACACATCATCCTGGATTAGCATTCCCATCCCCACGATGGCGGAGGACCCCGACCCTGCGGCACGGGAGCAGGAGCAGCGGGAGGCGGAGATCGTTTCACGACATCTTCATCCACAGTTCACCGCGGCTTTTGAAGCTCAAGATCAGGAAGCCGCCGAAGCAGAAGAAGCTGAAGAAGCAGATAACACTGCAGCCGCAGTTGTTGCGGAAGCTGGACAGCAGTCCTCTCTAAAACTGCAGGGCGGCGACATACATCGTGATCTGTATCGGATCGAGGCACGATCGAAACGGGCGCGACTCGACCAACGCGCCAAAAGCTTTTCCCATCCCGTGGGACCAAATAGTACCGATGATGACGAAGGGATTCCGAATCCTAACCCAAACGAACCTGGCAGTTTCCGTCGTGAATTCATTGAGCGTAGAGGGCGGCGTTCCGATGATGGTGCATTTCCGGTGACCAAGAGCTTCGTGGACTTTTTGGATCTCTATGGCAGCTTCGCAGGCGAAGATCTGGCTGAGTCGGACGAAGAGACCACTACCACGACCGAAGAAGAGCCTGAGACAAGGCCCCTGTTGCACCACCGCCGCAGACCCTCTCGGGTTCCCCGTGAAGGGGATGCGTCGAACCTCAAGTCCTTCTTTACGCTACTGAAGGCGTTTATAGGCACCGGTATCATGTTCTTGCCCAAAGCTTTCCGAAACGGGGGAATTCTTTTCTCCTCGATTGCCCTCGTTACTGTTTCAGCAGTGACCGCTGTATGTTTCCACCTACTGCTCCAGTGTCGGAGGCAACACGGTGGTGGGTACGGTGAAATCGGAGAGCGCATCTCAGGGCCCCGTCTACGGTCTCTTATTCTAGGTTCGATTACAATATCGCAGCTAGGTTTCGTATGCGCTGGCATTATCTTCACGGCCGAGAACTTGCATTCTTTCTTCAAAGCAATCACGACCAGCATGCCATATGCTCTGTCGATCAACGGCCTCATCATTCTACAGCTCATAATCTTGATACCTCTTGCGTTTGTCCGGAACATATCTAAACTCGGACCGGCCGCGTTGCTCGCAGACGTTTTTATACTTCTTGGCCTGGCGTATATCTACTATTACGACATTAGCAGCATTGTGCAGGATGGGTTGGAGCCCACGGTGGAACTCTTCAACCCGCAAAGCTTTACTCTGACGATTGGGTCCTGCATATTCACATTCGAGGGTATCGGCCTTATCCTTCCAATCCAGTCGTCAATGAAGCGACCTCAGCACTTCGACCATCTCCTCTACGTGGTCATGGCCATCATCACAGTCATCTTTACGGCAGTTGGTGCCCTTTCATATGGCACCTTCGGCTCGAAAACAAAGACTGAAATCATCACCAACTTCCCTCAGACAGACAAGCTTGTCAATGCGGTGCAATTCCTCTATTCGCTCGCCATCCTCGTTGGCACACCAGTCCAGCTCTTCCCTGCTCTCCGTATCATGGAGGGCAAGTTGTTCGGCCACCGGTCAGGAAAGAGAGATCCATTGACGAAGTGGAAGAAGAATCTCTTCAGAATCTGCATTGTCGTCTTTTGTGGAGTCATTGCTGCAGTAGGAGCTGGAGATTTGGACAAGTTCGTCTCTTTGATCGGTTCTTTCGCTTGCGTTCCGCTAGTCTATATTTACCCAGCATACTTGCATTGGAAAGGCGTTGCGCGTTCCTCTTGGGTGAAATGTGGAGATATCCTCATGATTACTCTTGGCGTTGTTTGCATGATCTACACGACGATTGTTACTGTGTCTGTATGGGTTGAGAGTAAGAGCACTTGAACTCATTCACTTTGAGATGCAGGTTATGGCTTATTAATATACTCAGTATAACTAGCATGCACATAAACGAAGCTATTCTCTTATTCTTCTTGGGAATTCTACAGGGAACTTTTTTTGCGTGTCTTGATTGCTTACTTATAATCTTATGATCATTTGTACTGGATACAACGAGACATTTTCTACCGACTCCATTAATAAGCCAAACACCCATTCATACTTCCATATAATGCATACGTGTTCCTCATATCGAAAGAGAGAAAAAAGAACAAATCACCCAGAAAATAGTGTAACACCTGAGAACTAGCCAGAAAGCCAAAGGTTTCTCAATAAATATACACAAATTCATCATTCTGCCGATCCGTCCGATCGAGCAGCGAGTCGTCACTGGATTCTGCGCCTGTTTTTGTCTCTCCATCCTCATCACCTGGATTATTCATCGAAGTGAACTTCCTATCCATCGAATGATCATGTATCACAGCCGATTTACCATTCGCGACACGCTTCCTGGCTTGTAACCGATTCAGAAACATGAGGTTGACGAGTTGGATGAGGACCACCGCTACGAAAGCGATTGTGATGCCGAGATCGGCTCGGAGACCAGGTAGGTAGGCTGGCGCGTCGGTGGCGTTGAATAGGAGAGGCCCGATGATGTTTCCGGCTGATGAGCCCGCGTTGTAGATTGACATGATGATGGATTTCTTCGTCGCGCCTGCGGTGTTGCCCATGATCCAGGAGACGATTAGGGGGTTGCATCCGAAGAGGAAGGCGATGAGGTAGTATGCTGCTAGTAAGGCGCCTTGCTCGCTGTTGTTGCGCGGGAGGACGTATAGCATCGCGAGACCCGCGACGACGGGGAGCATCAGAGCAACGAGGACGATGGATTTGAGGCGGAATTTGTGCGTGGCGTAGGATCCGAAGAGGATGACGAACAATTGGACGGCGCCGAATGGCATGTTGAGGAGGGATGTGATGGATTTGCTGAAGCCGAGGCCGTTGAGGATCAATGGACCAAAGGTGTTGGTGACGCTTGCTCCGACGTTGAGGAGGAGGGCCATTGAGAACCAGAGGTAGGATTTGGGCTCGAGGAAGATCTCGAAGACTTGGGACCATTTGAATACGGCAGATCCGATGCCGGTTTGGTTTGCTCGGAGTCGTTCCACTGCTTGTGCACGTTCCTTTTCGGTCAGGAAACGAGCTGAGAGGACATCGTTGTCTAACCTCCACCAGACGAATGGAGTGGATATAATCGTCAAGAGGCCTCCGAATAGGAAGATGCTGGGATGATGTGTTAAGAGACAACACTCTGTGAGAGGAAAACAAGATGGGGAAATTATCTTACATTTGCCAGGAGTGGATTGCATCGGAATGGATCTGACCCAGTCCGTACGACAGAGCTGATCCGATAATGGTTGCCAGACCATTGGTGCCGTACCACGCAGCAACGCGAATCGGCTGCTCTGCCCTCCGGTACCAGTGCGTGGTGATGATACTGAACAAGGGTAGACATCCAGCTTCAAAGAGGCCAAGGAAGAAGCGACATGCCAGTAGACCGGAATAACTCTTGCAAGCAGCCATGCAAGCCTGCGCGATGCCCCATCCCAACGCCAAAACCGGCATGAGAATACGATGGGGCACCGTGACGACGAGCCAAGAAGAGAATGGGAGCCATGCCAGCTGCGCGATTGAAGAGATCGATCCCACCATGGAATATTGGCTTCCGATGAGACCGGTATCTTTTTGAAGACCGTATACAGAGGCATATCCAAGAAGGGACTTGTCAAGGATCTAATGATGAGAAGTGTCAGGACATGTATGCGGTATCATATAGAATCAAAATAACCCTTTGAAGGGCTTGCTCACCTGAAGGAAATAGATCCAGATCAAGATCGGTAGGATCACCCAATCGGTCTTTCGTAGGATGCGCTTGTTCTGAGATAGCAGTAGATTGTCAGCCTTGAACACCTTTCCCTCGTTGAAATGAATGTGAATGGCGGGAAAGCGGCATCGTATGTACATACATCTTCTTCCGTGAGCACTACCCGCTCCTGACCACTGACTGTTTCATCATGCTGAACTGAAGGCGCCTTTCCAGCATTCTCAAATGAGTCGTCCATCCCTGCCCTCTCAACACGGGACATGGTTCAGTGCTGTATGAATTTTCTTGTCCTGAAGTGTTCACCCGGACTGACGATCGAGAAGGCCCGATAGATATGCTTAGGGACTGATATACAGTACAGTCGCGGAGTCCACTAACGACTCCAGATTTCGGATAGCAGATCCCCCGCAAAGTCGGAGGCACAGCTCGCTAGATCGACCCCATGAATATATTCTGACAAAAGAACGCTTTGACCTGGATTGAGTATTCTTCGTGATTCCCCCGCGTGGGGGTACGATTTCTGGAATAGGACGTGGGGAAGAAATCGTGGGGTAATTTAAGTACCTAGAGCGTGGGGGATGTTTGTAGACCGCGACTAAGCGCTGTATTCGGGTTGACAATGAGTATAATTCGACATTTCGCACCTCTAGAATGAATAATACTCCCACTCTCAGTTCTCCGTGGAAAATATGTGGGTGATACTCCGTTACAAGATGCAAGCCACCCGAAAAGGTTAACAATTGAACTTGAAAGCAGTCTGGGGTGAAAGCGCCACTTGCATTCACGTAAGCAGTCTATCTGACAACGTTCTATCCAGCTCCCAACTGGGTTCGTGGGAGTGAAAGTCTATCAGTCTCGTACGATTGATGTCATGGTCTTGAAAAATGTAACTCATCAAAGGAACCACCCGGGTCGCCAGGTTCTACCATCATTTAGGTACTCAAGCACGGTATCCATCAGGTAACATGCTCCTTTTCCTCTTCCTTGGGTATCCGCACCCAGATAATCGTAACCAAGGCAGCGACTAGCTGCATTGATAGTGCGAACCACCATATCGCTCTCAGCCCATCCAGCCCTATTGCCCCCGATGCGTCCTTGTCGACCCTGGAGCCGATGGCATCTGCAACACTAGTCATGATGGCGGAAGATAAATTCTGGTTCGTAACGAGCAAACTGCCGGCAGTGCCTTGGTATGACCGCGCCACATTGCTTGTAATGAAAATGCTCGCGGCGGCAAACGCCAGGTCTGGCCCGAAAGTCACAAGTGCCACGCCGGGAAGAGAGAGAGCCCAGTAGGTTGTGTCCGCTTTCTGCGGGAGGAAGAAGGCGGGCCCCAGTGTGAATGCTAACATAGACACGGCGTAGATATAGTGGCCCGGGACTAGGTGTAGGGTCCGACTAACAACCCAGGTGGCAAAGACACCAACGATGGCATTAGGGAGATGATACAAACCGACTGTCAGAGGGCTCGCGTGCTGGATTCGCAGCCAGAATTGGATAGCGTAGAACTGCCAGGCGCCGAAGAAGGAGCCAAACCCCAGGAAATAGGCGATCATGAGCGGTGTAAAACCCTTTGTTTTCCAGAGTCTGCTGGGTATCAAGGGTCTGGGTACACGGCGTTCGGCGAAGAACAGACCCACGAAGGAGAGAATGCCGACTACAATAAGCGCGTACGTATAAGGTGACCAGGAAGTGACGGATCCCTGCGTGAGGCCGAACAGCAGACAGACACAGCCAGATACCGCCAGACCGGCACCGAGGATATCAAACTGACGCAGGGTGGGGGCATCAGCACCCGCAACATCGGCAACCGGACGTAATGCTGGAATCGAGAAGTAGGCGGCAATTGCACAAAGACTCGTGAGGATGGCATTGGTCCCAAAGACCCATTGGAGATGGGTATACAGAGCGCCTCCCTGGATAGCTCCGAGGAAGAAGCCAAAGGGAGCAGTCGCCGCCATGGCTGAGAACACGCGATTCTTCCGCAGCCCCGGTTTGTAGACGCGGCCGAGGATGCTCATGCATCCAGAGACCAAAACACCGATCGCTAGACCCTGCATTGCGCGGACGATGAAGAAGAGGACGTACCGCGAGGGTGTAAGACTGAATGCCCCCACGACATTCCACACTGTCAGCCAGAGAAAGGCAGATACCATGAGACGCTTTGGCGGTACAAGATCTGCGATCGATCCCGAGATAACAACCGACATTCCGTTGGCGACGTTGAACGCTCCCACCAGCCAAGGGAGCTCTGTGTTCTTGATTCCTAGAGCATTCTTGAATTGCTGCTGAGTGACAATAACATCCCCCAGAAGAAAAGAGAAAAGCATAAGACCAGCTGAGCAGACGAAGATCAACACAATCTCCGAGGCGAAGTTACGTAGTTCTGGCGGAACTCCTTGCGAGACGGCCTTGATGCCGGCCGCTTCAACGTGGCTGGGTGTCACTGAGGGTCTCCTATTCAATACGGGACCGAGAGGGATATCCCGGCTGGTCAAGTTGACAACCGCGTCACCGTTCTGCGAGTCACCTTCCTGCTGTGAAGGCTCATGCGATGGAATCTTGAGCGTCTCTACCAGTGGATGGATAGGTGGTGCTGTTCGCAGCTGGCTTCCGCCTTCATTCTGTGAGAAGTAGTCAGACCGATGGCCCAAGAGCGGATCGGGCGTGTTTGTGCCCGTTGCAGATGTCTGTGTGCCTGTGGCAGGCGTCGCAGGTGTGGTTGCGTTGATTGAAAACGAGGACCGTGGCGATAATGGTGTTGAGGTCCCCGTATAAGGGTGGTTTGGATGTAGTTGCTCGATGGACATATCGACAGCGACCGCGGTTGGAATCGCTACAATGTGCGTTCACTCTGGCTGATCGTACTCTGGGTCTCTTATATTCCGTCGTCAAAAGTCTGGACTGGGTTGTCCTGATGAAAGTCCTTATCAGTCTCCTGGTCCGACGGTCCTGGATCCACTTGGTACGGAATATCACTTTCTATGCGGTGAGCTTGGTGAAGATGAGAGTGAATGGACGAGATGAATGTAAGAGCGCCTCCACAACTTCTCGGGCTGTTCCCCGCATAGCCGCTGTCATCGCGTCGATGCCTAGAAATTAGAATAGAGTAAACATCATATGAACCAGTTTTTCTTCCAGAAATTTGCTGCGCTTGAACTCCGACGGTCGGAGGGACGAGATACCGACCGGGCATTCCATATTCGGCATCCCGAGGAAGCTGCAGTATAACCACTGCGAACTGTTGATGAACCGCAATTCTTCTTCACATCCATGAGCATATACACTATTAACTTACTATTACCAATATTAGACTCGCGGAGGAAAATCACCATATAAATCAGTATCTGATTGCGCTGCAGAGCGCAAAAATAATAATCTTTAAATCTTAAGCTTTAATCAAGGTTTTGACGCAAAACGGCGCTGAAAGAAGAAAATAAACTCGCTACAAAGCGCTTCCTAGGCTGCTTCCTATAGACCAGGAAGTTTGTTTGAAGGCACTAACCGCTTAGGTTATCTTTTATTAATAGGATTAGTGGGATCCCCTTGTATTGCGAGTGTCGAAGCTTTCTCGATATATATTATATATATCATAGTAACGAAGAGCTCATAACAGCCTCAACAAGGTCGAAGAATGTGCTCAATCTAAGTTAGCGCTTAGCTTATTCACAGAGATCTACTCTTGTTTGTAAAGACATTGTTCCTTATTAGCTCGCTGTTCTGCTGCCCGGGGTTTCTCTAATAGGCTATGCAGATCCTACCTAGGTACAACATGTCAAGGGGTTTTAGATCAAAGTAAAAGAATCAAAGTGCAACTGGTGACACCGGATAACATGACTAGAATACTGTGCTAAAGATCTGAATTATTTCACATGTTCCTTTCTGTCAAATGGAGGGTGGAAGAAGTTAACGTATATCCAACTCTGTAGCCCATGAATAGCTTGGGCGGAGTAGTAGATACTACCAGTTCGAGAAATTCTAGCGTTGATGTGAAAGTAATGTTTTTTGTAGCAAACATGTGAGTTCTGGAGTGGATGTCGGTAGCGACCGGCCCTCCTTGCGTCGGAGAACCCAGTACGCAGAATAATGATCATAAGAGTCGAAATGCAATAGAATTGAATATTACAGAAATCGTGGTTCCCCATAAGCGCATGTCGAGGAAGGATAAGAAATTAAGAGGAAGGGGTCAATGAAACACCACCTTATCTCGAGGGGATTTCTCAAAACTAAAGGAAACCAAGTAGTAAGGGGACTGGAACACACGCGGAAGGAAACATGTTGATTGATGATTGATAAGACATTCGAATGAATAGAGTAAAATAAATTGAGCATCTAAAAGACCCCAAGGGGGTAGCCTCACACCCAGCTACGAAATAGCCACACACACACACACAAAAGCCCCAAGGGAATAATTATTCCAGTCAAATATAATCTACAGCAGAATCATACCAGCACCGGTGAGGACAGCGGTGATGACGTACGCACCGAGCTTGAAGCTGGTACCGCCAAGGACAGCAACGCTACCAGGAGTGCTGATGGCGCGAGCACCAGCGCCCTTGGAGCTGGAAGAGCTAGCAGACGCGCCAGAGTCGCCAGTGCCGGTGGGAGCGGAGGTGACGGTGCCGGTACCATCAGTGCCAGCCTGTTTCATCAGGGTAGCGCAAGTTCCAGTAGCCTTGGTGGATGCCTTGGTGGAGGCAGCGCCGCCGAAGTCGCAAGCAGAAGCACCGTTACCCTTGGCGGACTGCTCCACGTAGTAACGGTTCATGACAAAAGACAGCTGCTGCTCGGAATTACACATGCTGTAGGCACCATAGTCACCGGTGGTGGAGTTGGAGGCGATACCATCGCAGACACCGTAGCCGCACACGGTGCCAAAGAGCTTAGCGTATTCGGTGGTGTCGACCGAGTCCTTCACCACGCAAGTCAGCGAGGAGACCATGCACTCACAGAGCTCCTTGTTGGGGGTAGGCGGCAGCTTGCTGGAAGCCTCCCAGTTGGAGCCGACGGTAGGGCAGGCACGAGGAGAGTTGGTGGGCGTGTACGAGGCACTGTTGACACCAGTCGGGTTCACAGTGGCCATCTGCTTGGAGAGGTTGTCGAAATCCTGAAGAGTCTTGACCTCGTTACCGGAGATCGAGACCAGACCTGTTTATTACGTTAGTACGTATTTCTCCAACGGACAAGAGCTTATATATATATTATATATATATATGTCACTTCCGTGGTGACGATGCACGTACCGAAATCGTTGGCTTCCTCGTAGTACATGTAAACAATACCACCGCTCCAGACGTCATCCATCTTGGGACCGAAAAGAACGGGGACGTCGGTGAACTTGCGAGGGCTGGGAGTGTTGCAACCGTACTCAGAGAAGAAGGCAGGGATCGAGTAGTTCTTGAACTCCTCGGTGCGGGCAGAGTAGCCGGAAGTGACGAAGGAAGAGTCACCGCACCACTCGTAGATGTTGTAACCGAACATGTCGATAGCGTCGTCCTGGTCGCCGCAGTTCAGGTAGCTGGCCAGGTCGTCACGGATAGAGGCATCGTCATCGGTAGCATATCCAATGGCGAGAGAGCTACGGTAGTTCTTCTGCTTGATGTAGGCCTTCATGTCGCGCACGGCGGCCTTGACATAGGCCAGCGAGTTGGTGTTGTTCGCCTGGTTGGCGACTTCATTGCCAGCGAAGAAACCGATCACGTTGGTGTAGTTGGCCAGCGAATCGATGACACTGGTGTAGCGAACATAGAGATCATCGTTCCAGGAGGGATCGTCGCGGTTGATCGACTCGCTCGGGGACGACAGGTCGGAGATGACATAGATACCCGCGTCCGCGAGGGCCTGCATACATTCGGAATGATCGGCGGTCGGGTCGATGGCATAAGTACGGATAACGTTGGTGCGCAGCTGCACAAGGTAGGGAATGTCGCGATTGCAAGTCGTCGCATCAGCCAGAGGGTCGATATAGTTGGTGCTGGTAGTGGTGCCGTTGCCGGTGTAGTCCTCTGTCGGATCGATCTTGTATCAGCTGGACTGGACTTGGCACACGCAACCATGTGGAGGAGGATCGCCATGTGGATAGATAGATAGATAGATACATAGATAGACAGGAAAGATAAGTAGGATGGCTCAACAACGTACGTTGGTATGCGACACCACGGATGTAGCTGTCAACAAGAAGCCGTAGTCAGTTTCTCTCTCTCTCTCTCTGTTTATCCTCTCAGTAAAGGGGGCTTACAATTCAGTGCCATTGTTAGAATAGAAGAACTTGGAGCCCTATTGCAGCACAAGTAATTATCAGCAACTGGATCTATGGTATATCGATCCTTCAGACGGTCTCCGTTTATCTATCTACCTTTGCCACGATTGCGGGCACATCAGCAGCCAGTGCCGTGGACGCAAAGAGGGCGGCGCCCGCCAGAGTAGAGCCAAACTTCATGGCGGCAGAACAAAAATAGCGATTGTCAAGGAGACAGTAACGAGAGACTGGGTAAAATAAATGGAAACGAAGGTGGGAAGAAAAAGGAAGAGGAGTTGCCCAGTCGTGGCCTCTTGTTGGGGAGTACGAGGGATGATGGAGAGAAAAGTAGAGATAGAAACGAGCCGGGGAACGACCAGCATTCAAGAGGGCATTTCAACGATGCCCGTCTAGCCGGTTCGCTCGCTCAAGGGGGCTGAAGACGCCTAAGCCGGCTAGACCAGGAGAATTTGGAGCCATCGCAAGACATGGCGTGTCGCGCTGTTCTGTGTCTTCTGTGTGGTTCTGGCGGATTGACATGCCGTTTCACTGCGAATAATTAATCGTCGCAGAACGTTATCCTGCCCCACTGCCAGATCGACCGAGAGTCCTGGTCAGCGTAGCAACAATAATAATGATAATCATCATCATCATTATTATTATTACTCTGCTCTGCTCTGCTCTGCTTACAGAAGAAAATAAAAAAGAAAAAATCGAATCCCAGTGCGGTGGGTCGATTGGTTGGTAACAATGTTCTATTCTGCGGAACTCGAGAAAGAAACCTCACTGACTGATCCTGTCTTCAACTCTACAGACCATCTATCTATCTATTACTTGATACAACGCACACACACACACACACTCTCTCTCTCTCCTTCAGTGGCTGGCTTCAGACTTGCACGACTAGGGGCCGGATCACTGTCTGGGATTGCTCGCCCTCCCCCCTCAAGAAGCCACCCCTGCTGCGCTGGGTGCGACGCCGTCAAAAGCCATCGTGGTTTCTGCATCCCCACTGCCCATGGCATACGTATATCTTTGCCGAATCTTGGCAAATCAGAACGGTCGGTAACATCCGTCTTGGAAGCCAGATCGCGCCGGTTCACCCGAGCAAAAAGCTAAGAAAAGCTTGTCTCTCGACGACAATCGTCGGACATTCCACGCCCGTCACCTTTGTGGGCATGGTCGCTTCGCTAGTGTCTCCAGTCTGGCAGATGAGTGGACTGCTCCCTCAGACGAACTATTTACTATTATTAAGTCGACGAGGATGTCTCTGCTTCCGACGCTTTCTTTGGCACGGCGGGCTAACTCCCGTCTTCCGAGGCGCAGTCGATAAGTAACTCCAAATATAGCAGTGAAAAAAGGAAGAGGGGGGAAAGGGAAAAGGGGGCACGAACAGTCGACAAATCCGGTTTGCAGTCCCCCAGTATCGTTACCATGTCTCTGGGGTAGATAGGTCGGTCATGACTCCATGAAGTCAAGATTTTCTCAAGGGCAGAAGACCGATCAACAAGTACTCTACATCTACCGATCGGAGAGGACGAAAAGAAAATGCACTTCAACCAGGGCACTCAATAATCAACCATCACGGCGTGAAAGGATTACTGCCATCCAGGGACTGCCCTGTTCCGCCTGAATCTGAACGACCATATCAGTGTGGAGCGTCTTCCTCATACTTTCTTTCCTTTATTTTACCTGGATATGCCATGCCATCTATGGTAATAATATACTAGATTGTATCTCCCCGCCTGCCCTACAATCTCCCAGTGGGACTGCGAGCGGTTGTCTCGGGTATGCATCGGCACAATTTTATTATTATCATTATTGGCTCTCCTGGTGCCCACCCAAGCGAGATTTATTATTATTATTATTATCATTGCTCTTCACTGCCCGTCTAACGCGCACCAACCGTAGTAGTACTTTACTTGTCCACACAGGCAAGGCTGATCTCACATGCCGCCGCATAACAGACCATTGCAAAAGCCTTTCTACCAATGGCACTGACAGCTTGCGCGGCCCTGCGCGCTTTTTCTTTGTTTTCTTCCCGCCTCCCCCAGAATTAGAGATCTAGCGTGAATAAGCCTAACGTATTGAAGACGTCCGCGCTACAAGTATTATACGCGAGATCGTCCCCAGTGCATTCCATGGGGGGCATGGTCGACAAACTATAGGAATTCAAGCTTTCGCGGTTGGGGCTCCAGACGCCGTCGAAGCCTGCTATGGTCAATTTCTGCTCGACTTTCTGCCGCAGGAATTCGAGAGGGCCCCAACGCGCGCTCCTGCTAGATCCATCCGGGTCGTACGCATCATCTTGCTTCTGATACATGGCAAAGGTTGCCTCGACGGCTCGCCAGGCACGTCCGAGTTTCTCCAGGACGGATGGAGAACATGCTGTGGTTGTGTTTCGCAACGCTTCCAGTCGGATACAGAGCTGTGACAGAATGAACGACGTTGCGTGCCACTGGTTATAGAATCCAAGGAGCCAACGCCACTGTGCAAACTGGGAGTCCGACGAGAGACGCACCTGCGACTCCAGCAGGGACACAGACGAGATAAATAAATCTTCCAGGAAGGAATCAGGAAAGAAATCAGGCACTTGGATCGTTGCGTCCATATGACCAGGGCTCGAGTCCCGACTCCCAGGACCTGCTAACTGCTGCAGAAGCTTGTGATGAGCTACGAGCCGCGTCTTCGTGAGAACCAACTTGCCCGTCTCCGCGGCTAACGCACACAAAGGCGACTGTGGGTTAGAGGCAAAGTATTGAAGGTACCGCTGGTGGACATAGGAGGACAGCTCTTCGATCAACGCTTCCTTCTTCCTGAACGAAGAAGCTGAAGACGACAAACCTTCGACGGCATCGTCCGAGGTAGCGTCTGGATAATGCAGCTTCCGCATACGCATGGTAGCGGAACAGACATCATAGCGTAGGAGACTAAACGACATCTCCGTCAGCCCCTCGCGTTCCGTGGGCGGCGCCGTTGCACTTGAGTCCAGGTCGGAATCATTGATGTTCAGCGGCAAACGGGTGTTGGATTCGTAGAAGATACTCGTGACTCCCCCGTAGCTGCAATCTTCGGAGGCACGCATATCCAACAAGTGAAGCTGCCACCATAGTCGCCGACGCATCTCAATCTCAAACGGAGAGAGGCCGAAATTAACGCTTTCCTGGTGCAACCCCAGTGACGTCGCAATACGAATGGCCAGGCCGATCAGTGTCCACACGGGCTGCGAGTTCTTCCGCTGAACACACGTCTAGAGAGCATAACCGCGTCAGTCCGTACAGTTTCATATAGGAGAATGGAATTTGCTGACCAAGAACAGAGTAAATGCTTGAAGCACTTGGATGTCACGCGTCTGTATAAGCTGCGCCTCTGCCATTGCATGTTCAACAGCATGTTTACAATGTTGCATCGCTTCATTACCGTCGGCATTGAAAAGGGCCCTTGACCGCCATGGGTCCAGTGTCACCATAGCACAGAAGCAGATAGCGAGAAGTAAAGCGATTGAAGGCTTCGGGAGGCCTTCCAGTCCTTTCTGTTGAGCCTCGTCCAGCAGGTTCCGGATAGTCGGTTTGTGAAGAATCCGAACCACTGGGTCCACGTTCTCAAGAAAGATGTGCCAACATGTCTCCAGTTCAATCGGGGTAGGCACCCATGGCCTTCTGTAGGCACGGTCTTCTGGCGTCCATGACTGCGTCCCTGGAATACTGTTACCTGCTAGCGGAAATAAGTACATGTGCGACGGTCCCGATACTGTAGAAGCGCGATCGCCATCTCCCAGCAGCACATCTGTGAAGTTACTCTCCTGTCGAGGACGTCAGACCAAGGCCACATGATAAACCAATCTAATCAAGATTGCCCACGGGGGAAGACTAAGTTAACTCTCCATTAGAGTCGGCTGCTTACCTCAGTTTTGACATTAGCCCACGCATCACTCGCCAAGAATCTGCTTTTGCCGGAATGGTCCGCAACAAGATAGCCGTTCTCTTTGATAACAACCGGTGCGACTTTGACAAATATAATGTCGGCGCGGTCGTCCCTGCCGGGCCTTCTTCGGCCGTTTGTTGTTCGGTCTGCAAGAGCTGAATCACTTGGATCCTGACGTCGGGGCCGGTTCCGACGGATACGAGATCGCGGATAATCACATCGCTCGTTGGACTTGGAGCAATTAGAACATGGTTCGCGGCGATCACACTTGATCTTGCGCTCATAGCAAGACAAGCACGATCGCCGATTGAGCCGAGGAGCGGTGTGATCCGCGTTTGTATCTGCGTTTTGCATAGCCGCCTCTTAGATTGCCGCGGGGGAGGTGGTGAAGCCGTGGTCAAAAACAGTCGAAGATGTAAAAGTACTCTCCAGCCAACGTCTTACACCTTGACGCCCATCCATGCACAGCCTTAATCTCTGATGCATCTATCGACTTGCGTTTCAACGTTTGCCGCCGAGAAAACCGAAACGCCCGATAGCACCGAAACGCCCCCCTGATCCGGAGACACTTGGGCCAACCACCACATCCTAACATCGCAGGGCAGATTCACGTCGCACGATGTCTCTTTCTTGGCGTGGGAACTAGTCTGGGATCGATCCCTGATTGGAAAGACAGCACGGGACTCGACAAACGACATCAAACGTGACACAGACAAGAATAGTCTCTGTGGTATCTACTTGTGGTCCGTGTTTTCAACGCGTGTGTAAGATTGACATGGCCGAGCGTAGCATCCGTATGATCGGTCCTCTCGGGGCAATCCTGGCCTTTCGATCCCCCAAAATGTAACAGTTATGAGGATAGTCTATGTTATACAAGGCTTCTGTTTAGGTAACTGCACTTGTTTCTCCGTATCCGTCTCGTGTGTTGCATGAATATATATATATTCCGTGTCTGGTTGTATTTTTCCAAAGCAAAACTCAGGAGAATAATCAGGACACTAACATGATTTCTTCAGACATCCTCATCGTTGGTTCCGGACCAACAGGTCTTTGGTTAGCCCTCGAACTCCGTCGTGCGAATATCGACGTGCTGGTCATAGACTCGATCAGCTCGCGAGATGCAAGACCAACCTACTCCAAGGCGTTATCCATGTCCGCCGGTTCTCTGGCAACGTTCGAATCCAGAGGAGTTGCACAAGACTTCCTCGATGCCGGACTTGCTCTGCACAAGGCACACTTCGGTGCTTTGGAAACCCTTCTCGACTTAAACTATGACGTCCTAGGGATGCGCCACAGTCACAACCTGGCTATCCCACAAGCTCAAACAGAGGCCTTGCTGCTGAACCGATGCGAGGAGGCTGGAGTGAGATTCCTCTGGGGACTCAGATTTGAGAGCCTGTGCCAGGACCGAGAGAAAGTCCTTGTATGTGCTGAACAACTTACCGTCGGTGGTGAACTCACGCTCGAGGCTAAATTGCTCATCGGTTGTGACGGTACACACAGCGCTGTACGCCGCGCGGCTGAGATCCCGTTCGAAGGCAGTCGAAGCTCCATAGCTGGAATGCTAGCTGACATTCAGCTGAGCGAGCAAGTGGGAACAATAACAACCTCGAGAGGTTCAAAGGGAGGATGTATGATTGTTCCTCTCGGAGATGGTGTGCACTATCGATTCGTTGGACTATTCAAAGACTCCATGCTGAAGCCGCTATACGACGAGCCGACAATAGACGAAGTCAGAGAATGTATGCGAGATGGATTTGGCTCTGACCTTGGAGCGCACTCACCACTGTGGTTGTCACGATTTGGGAACTCTTGTCGCCTTGCGACGTCCTTTCGCGCCGGAAGGGTCTTTCTTGCTGGAGACTCCGCTCACCAGTTCTTCCCAGCTGGCGGCCAAGGCATGAATCTGGGAATTCAAGACGCGACCAATCTCGCCTGGAAGCTAGCACTGGTGCTGAGCTCCAAGCAAGATGACGACTTAGTAGAGCGCATACTAGACAGTTATACCGCTGAACGTCATGCAGCAGCCGAGGCAGTGATTTCCAATGTCCAAGCGCAGACGGCAGTACTCGTGGCCGACAAACCGCAGGATGTTGCCCTTCGAGAGGTTCTATGTGAAGCTCTAAAGAACCCGGATCTGAACGCGCTCTGGGCTCGACGAGTGACTGGTTTTGGCGAGCCTACATCCCCGTATCGTCTCCATGCAGACTCTGGCAATGGAGAGCAATACGATCCGCTGGTAGGGGCTAGAGTGACTCATCTGGGGTTCGAGACAGAAAACGAATTATTCCAGGCGACAAAGATTGACCGCTTTGTCCTTCTGCTGCGCAATAGCAGCCAATGTGACAAGGCAGCTGAGATCGCGGAACTGCACGCCGTATGTCAGCATTGGAATGATAAGATAACCAGGTTGTCATCCTCTACGTTCAGCACTACTCATCAATGGAAAGATGTCGTGGCTGTGTTGATCCGGCCCGATATGCGCATAGCTTGGGTTTTCAGGCGCTATACACCCATTGCAGAAGGTAAAGCAACCATCGAAGCTGTTCTCAAGTGCTGGTTTGGCGATAGGAAAGATTTGGCTTGATTCAATGACGGGATTATAACCCCCTTAACCACTTTGCGAGAGTAATCTAGTTGGCAAGGACTTGTGTATAACTACTTATAGAGTGCTACAATTATGAAGTAAGAGGTTAACATCACTATATAATATGTAGCTTTCCGGCCGCAAATATAAATAGAATACCTCTCTAATACATGCAATGAATGGCTTCCATATCTTGAGAGCACTATTCTAAGCGCAATAATAGCTCTATTATACTGACTTATTGATCAATATAAGTCCAAGGATCCTGCAAAGCATTAAGAAACTTAAGAGCTCGTCAAGACTGGGCATGATGCGTGATTTCAAATATCACTATTATACCATATTATCCTAGGGTATTGACCCGAAATTCATAATATTTGCCCTTCAACAGTAAACCTTCTGGTTACGTCTATAGCTAATTATGTATCACTTGTGCCAAATAATGTCACTATAAGTAACGAAGCGACTTCTCAATAACATCAGGGCTAACTTTTATACCAAAGGCCATTGAGCCTTAACTGCATCACCTTTCTTGGCTCTTATTTCGCAAGGCTGCTGTGAGCGCAGTACCAGCGTCCGCTCCAAGTGGGTATGTAGTCGACTGATGTCTGCTCCTGCATCCAACAATGTTTCTACTACAGCCATATCTCCATCCCAGCCATCTATTGCTGCTACCACAGCCATGCCATAATGTCCACACGATAGCTCCTGATTCACATCGGCGCCCACGTCTAACAATAGCTGGACCGTTTCTACGGATCCCCCGTATGCTGCTGCGGCCAGGGCGCTGCCATAATACCCACATGATAACTTCTGGTTCACATCGGCACCTGCGTCTAATAACAGCTGGACGATACCCGTGGTCCCCGTATATGCTGCTGCTGCTAGGGCACTTCCATAGCGTCCATAGGGTATGACTTGATTCACGTCTGACCCTGCATCTAACAGCAGCTCAACCGTCTCAACAGATCCCCCGTATGCTGCTGCAGCCAAGGCGCTGCCATAGTACCCACATGATAACTTCTGATTCACATCGGCTCCTGCGTCTAATAGAAGCTGAACTATCTCCACAGGCCCCGAATATGCTGCTGCTGCTAGGGCACTTCCATAGCGTGCATAGGGTAATACCTGATGCATGTCCGACCCTGCATCTAATAGCAGTCGGACCATCTCCACACGTCCCATATATAATGCTACTGCTAGGGCGTTGCCGTGATCTCCGGAAGAGAGCACTTGGTTGACGTCGGCACCTGCATCTAACAGTAGCTGGACAATTTCCATGCTTCCTGCATGTGCTGCTGCTGCAAGGTCGCTCTCAAAGGCACCGCAAGACAACTTCTGGTTCACATCGGCTCCTGCATCTAATAGCAGCTGGACCATCTTTACAGATCCCGGAGACGATGATGCTGCTGCTGCTAGGGCACTGCCATAGCGTGCAGACGGTAATACCTGATTCACGTTCGACCCTGCATCTAATAGTAACTGGACCATCTCCAGAGATCCCGTCGATGCTGCCGCTGCGAGGGCGGTGCCATAATCTCCGCGAGCCGATTGCCTATTAGCATCTGCTCCCAGACCCAGCAACATTTGAACCAGTTCGAGGTCTGAACCGAGGGTTGTCAGTAGAAGCAGTGATTCCCCATTGACATTGACTTGATTTGGATCACAGTCCGACTCCCACAACCATTGTAGAACATTACAGAGGCCAAATCTGCATATTGCTAGCAAAGGGTTGGAGATCGGTTGCAGCTGGTTGATTATATCCCATGTAAAAAGTCCTTCGTCCACGGCCCAATATTCAAACCAGTGGATATAAGCCGAACTGCTTCTTGTGACAGAACCAAAGAATTGACTTGTAAGCCAAGACAGTTCGCCGTCACTGCAGATGCTGTCACATCTTCTTAAATGTTCTATCCAGTAGATCGCGGCATACTCAGTAAGCTTATAAATAGTGCCGCTGGAGCTAAGCGGGGGTTCTGGCCATTCCTCGGCTTTCACATTGTCATCAATGAGTAACAATAAGCAAACTTTGGTCAGTACAATATGGGGTTGCCCAATAAGTGGATGATTTTCTTCGAAATATTCCCGTATAGATAAATGGGCAAAGTAACATCTCCTTGTCACAGGATCTATGACTAAAAGATTATGGCAAGCATTCAGAACAAACTGAATGTCAAGCTGAGGCTTGCTAACTCTATTGTTGCCAGGTTCCTGCCACACAGCAGCAAGTAGTGCGTTCGCGGATAGAGGAGTTTGAGCACCCATAACCCATTGAAAGGCGCGAGTAGCGACTTTAGCTTCGCTCCCTTTTGAGCCCTTTGTCTGTATCGATTCATATATCTCATCGTAGGTTGATTTTAGATCGGTGGGCAGCTTTCCTAAACGATCGCATATATCTTGTTCCACGTCTAACGATAGTACTTGGTCGACTTGTAAGGCCGCCCACTGGAACCTTTAAATGTTTAGCGGGAACAGAGAACAAGGGACCGGTTGGAACTTACATTCCGTGGCTCTTGTGAAGTAGTGTATCGATGATCTCGGATTTCAAACTTTCGGAAATAGGATATTGTCGATCCTTTTCGTTTTCTGAAATTCTCTCCGCGACAAACTTCGCTATGTCATCATGATTGTCCGTTGCTTCGATACTAATATTTGCTTTTCTTTCGAGTTGGCGCTTGATGTCTCCGTCACGTCGGCTGGATATGAATATCTTCGCGTTGATGACATGTTCGATAAGGTAATTGAAAAAATCAAAAAGCCTCTTCCGAGAGCGTGTCTCGGTCTCATCTAGAGCATCCAGGACAAATGTCACCTTTGGATATGTCGATGCAAGATCGGTAATGAGTTTCTCACATTCGTCCAGACTTGGATCTCTCGAGGAAAATCCAGTCTGCCACCTTTTGTCGTAAGAATTGATAAATGCTTGGTGAATAGCCTTTTTATCGTTCGATATTGAAAGTTGTTTGATAAAGCTGCGCAATATCTGCTCTGGTTTTCGGCGAGATTCCTCGTTGCGGTTGCAGTAAAAGTAGACCAAAGCCCCTTCACATAAGTCATGCTGGAGATTGTCAATAACTTGGGAAACAAGCTTCGTCTTTCCAGCTCCCGCTATCCAGAAGTCAGAATCTCATTGACAATCTCGACCAAGAGAGTTGTGCAGACTTACGGATTCCATGTAACCATAATATCGTAGACTGTTGAGACGATTGCCATTCTACATACTGATCGTGGCGCAAAAGCCATGTCCCAGTATCCTCTGTCCGTCCTTCCTTTGCCATCCTGTGATGGTCTTCAAATGGAATTACTGATATCCATAAGAGCATTTCGTGCCTCTTTTCGCCATCCAGGAATTCCCAGATGCCAGAAATCCTATCTTTGACAATTTCAATTTGGCCTTGGGTGGAATTCAACTGTTCAAGATCCCTAAGTATACGCTTCAAATCTCTCGTCTGCTGTTGAGAGACGAGTCGCTCGTGTCGGCTGTAAAGACGGTCACAGTTATGAGCTTCGATTTCAACGCGCGTCATAAGTTCCTGAAAGCGAGTATCATATTTATTGATACAGTCCAATGACCAGAATGCTGTAAGGGTCCTCTTGATGGCATTGTTCTTGGAAGTTTGAACTGCCACGGCCAAGAAGTCAAGAATGACGACATATAGACCAACTAGTGCGGATTCAAAATTTTGATAACTATCCTCTATGAGAGAATTATGCGGATAGAGTAATTCGTATACTTTGCACCGATCGATCAGGTACAGAACCTTGTCGAGGCCAACCAGGAGAGTCCCCATCATATGGGACTCGGAAGTCACTGCCTTGCATTCGGTTATTCAAAATGGACTTATAACGCCATGGAGATTCTTACTATAAGTAGCATCCTGATTCCGGCCCATGGAAGTCCTGCGTGTATAGGGTCGACATTGACCGTAACATCACCAACGGCTTTGATTTTATCTAGCCATTGAATTACCTTTTCTGCTTGTTCTCCCAGACTTATGGTGCGACCATTGAACTCGAAAGTCCATTTCTTTCTTTTGCAGATATCTCTCTTGGCCCGGACCTCTCTGATGAGAATATCTGTAAATCCATCGAAACGGCTGGTCTCTGAAAGAATTTTCTTCAGAACATCTCCATTGCCTTTATCCCTTGCAGAAAGGATTCGTAGCGCCTTCATCCAAAGGTCATCTTTGCTTGCTTCAGGTGTCGTTATTATGGGCGTGAGTATACGAGATGTAGCAGAAACAAGCACAGATATCCCTTGCGGTCTCACTCGGTCGTAGTGCGGTCCAGCCTGTGTCTCGCCATCAGTTACTGAGCCGCGCTGGGAACGTATTGAAGATATGCGAAGTTTGTCATGGATAAGTCTCTTCATGGACATGATAATGAATAATGGTATTTGTTGATCCTGTAGATAACCGTGAACTTGTGGGCGAAGTGCGCGAAGTGCGCGAAGTGGTATTCAAGAGATACTTAGCGCACGAGGGTGAAGTGACAGGCGAGGCTGAGTTCGCGCACTGCAGCAGATGGCCGTGAACGAGATGTGCATCCACGTGGCACCAATCATACAACCGGGAAGAGATAAGTTTTGAATTTCGAACTATCTAAAGGTCTCTAAATGGTGCCTTTGAGTAGACATAGAACTGCAATTAGTTATTCGATTATGGTTACTGAAGTGCCTGGGACCTACGGCTGCCCTGTTGTCGTGGGTCAGAGCCGAGCGCCAGGCTATCAAGTTCCGCATCAGCCGTCAAGAATACTCATGAGTTGCGAAGATGCTTAGTTCGGCAGACTGCCTAGGAGGCCGAAGTCAGCTAAATCCTATGCGGAAGGTAAAGGGAGATCCTACTACTAGACGAAAGTATTCTTGACTGTTCTGTTGCTGCGCCTGGCTCTCGAAGGCATTCTTCATCCGATCATGAAGTAACGGAGGCTTTTAGCTACATTCGTCGTCCTATGTACAAAGCCAGGACAGGTACGATATCTAAATAAATACGTGGTGGAGCTGATTTGCTGATTGTTGAAGCATCGAGCACACCGTTGCGACCACCACTTTTATGGGCATTGTCCAAGAACGCCAACAGGGGAAGTATGGCCTGCAACGATCAATGGATGGACGAATCGAAAATCTTCGAAGGAATGGCAGGCGCTCAACCGTTCGACCTATTCACGGATCCAGCGATCGCTAATCTCCACCAGTCGCTAGGCAGGAGCTTCGAAGGTCTTGGGGTGGCTAGCGGATTTATACTATTGAGAATCGCCACTAGAAGCGCTTCCAGTATATACCTAACATGTGGCATCCGAGATAGTTACACTGGGATCCGATGTATTAAATTTAGTGTGCGTACAGAAAGGTAATACACCCCCGATGTCCGTATGGTCCTCATCATGGGGGTGAAAAAGGAGCTACTGGATCTCCTGGTTAAAATAAACAGTGACGGTGGTATCTGTCATAGCAAAAATAATAACAGACGGATACCTATGGGTCGGCGTGTGCCCAAAGAGACTCATCGTGGTCCCAAATCCTGCCGATCCTTTTTGCCTGTATAAAAACCTAGGTACTGGGACCACGCCGAGGTTTATCTGGGCATAGATACAGGCCGGAGGCATAAACTTCCACCTAACGCCTCTTAGTCACGGCGACGCAGCGTGTCATACAGATCTTCAAGCTCATGACCCATGCGCCTCTCAGTGTCTTTCCGAAGCTCCCTGGCGGAGAGTGTCGACGTTCGTTTCGAAATGGCAGCCTCTGCCTCTTCATTCGCCATTTCAACTAATGCGCTGTCAGAGCTACGATAGTTCGCACGATCTTAAAAGAAAACTCACCATGTGCATAGACTGCCGCCGTCTTACCACTTGACATAGCATGAGGGACGTTGGTACTATTATCGCTGTTTGCGTCACCCACTGCCCACACACCAGTCTTGCTAGTTCTCAAGCCCTTGGCTAGGGAATCGATCTTATTACCGAGCATTTGGAGACCCATCTCAGTGCTGAGAGAGGAGCGCTGCTCGGTTGGGAAATTCGTGAGAAATGCGTTCCGGATTACCGGGTCACCTTGGTCGAAATGAAGACGGAATATATCGAACTGTCTTCCTTGGCTGTCCTGGTGAGCTTCACCGTCCTGAACACGTTCAATCTCGGTGATGGTGCGGTTGTCTAGCTTAATGCCGTACGAGGCAATAACCTCCCTCCAATTAGGGTGCGCTTTGTCAAGAATTGCTTCCTGTTCTTCCGTCTGCGTTCCACTCACGAAGGCGATGATATCCTTGTTGAGGGTGCTGTATACTTCCAACACAGATCCCATAATGTCTTTCATAGGGCCGAGGATGCCGAGAGGCTGGTCTCGATGCTCAAATCCATCACACCAAGGACACCAATACACGCCCTTGCCCCAAGCCTCTTCGAGACCAGGAATAGGGGGGAGAACATCACGGAGACCGGTGCCGAGGATGACTTTCCGTGCTGTATATTTCTTCCCATTGACGTCGGTAGCCAGGAAACTATTATTGACAAAGTCAATAGTCGCCACCTTTGTGTCGACAAAGGTAGAACTGTTGTATCTCGCGATCTGCTTACGCGCAAGGTCACGAAACTCGCTGGGAACCGTTCCTGTGGACGTCAGTGTCGGGTCCATTTGTACGCATGATCTTGAAATAAAGCTTACCATCGTTTCCGATCACGTCGTGCATATTCCTAGTGGGAGCATTGCGATATTCTCCCGAATCAAACATCACAGTCTTTCTGAGGACTCGCGAGAGGCCGCTGACAGCACTGAGCCCTGAGGGACCTCCGCCGACTACAATCACATCATAGTCGGTCTTTGGGAGGGAAGCCGTCAGTGATAAAGTGGCGAACGCAGTGAACAGATATAATAGAGCTATCATCTTGATCATAATCGCCGATTCGGTCGTCCACAAGGCTGTCAGTGGGAAGAGTAAAATAGCAAACTCGGCCAGCGACGACAATTCCTTCTTATATATCCATGTCACAACCACTAACTAGCGCAATGCGGCTTTCTTGCTGTGAAGAGCAGAACTAGTTTCTAATTAGCTTCGATCTATGATCTGCAACTCTGCAGGGAACCAGTCGATTCCGAATGTTTATGTAAAATACTGTATTCTGTCAGCCAGCAAGCATACGTAAATAGACCTAGATGTAATGGAAGCACATTCAGAAGAACACATATACGTTAGTAACAAGTCGTATACAAGAGCGTTACTCCTCCCAGGCCTAGTCCATAGTTCGGTTAGTGTCGACTAACATGCTTTCGCTCCGGCACAGAAATAACCCATAGTAATTTAGAAACCGGTAATGGGATACCTATAGATTTGTTCGAAGATGAGGTTTCTTGGCCACTACCATCGGACCCAGGTAATTACAGATCACAAGAATATGTCCCCAAGGGAAACGGTGTGCACGGCGCTGATGACCGCTACTCCGATCGACAGCTAGGGCTTCTTGGCGGATGATACTCATTACTTACCAGAACTCTCAGTGCCCACTTCGACTGTTCCGATCTTTCCCTACAAGGACAGAGACCGATTGAGTATTGTTGGTCAACCCGGGTACCTCACTGTTACTTTAAAAGACATGGAAGGTCCCGACATGCAGGTGCACATCTGCAGATCCGTCTATACCGGTTAACTAGTATGAGTCGGGGAGTCAAATGACCATAAGACTGGCGTACATCTATTGGTATGTTTTTCAGATCTAATAGCATTGTCATGATGGGATCCCAGTAAATCTCGATAGGATTAAGGACCATCTGAAGATCTGACCCATAATGATCCATGATGTCCCCATGTGAGCTCCAGAAGTTAGTTAACCAATTAATTAAAGACGACGGGGCGGACCGAACCGTTCCCAGCCAGCCACAATAGTACTCCGTACTTCACTTGCTCTGTGTACTATCACCAAATTTCTGTCCTTGCCTCGGGCAAATTGCAACCCTTACTTCTGATGAACGGGATCTGCAATAGCCAAGATAGACGATCAACTGGCTGCATTAGCGCAAAGCTTCTCATTATAACAGCGACACCAACTGCCACAGGATTAGGAAAACTGATTACCTTCTGTGAAAGTGTGATGATACAGAGCTTTAACTCGAGTCGATGTCGATACGGATACGAGTGTTTTCAGCATTCGTTGCACCGCCTTCCTCCTTCCCGCAAAGGTAGCGATGCCACCTTGCTTCCAATGTTGAGGACTCGGTTGAACATGGGGCTTACTCGACTCTGTTCCAACTTGGTCTGCAAGTATCAGTTGTGATCAGTCTTACAAATGAACTCTAACGTGATCTAGCCTTCAGCGACCCTGCAATGCAGTACCCACACGCATCTCGACATTGCGAAAAGCAAATTGCATGCGCGCTGTTCTGGGCGAATAATGATCATATGTTCCAGCATTATTCATGATTATTTCAGTACTGTCCGGGATAATTGGTTCTTCAATAGAGCACCCGCAAATATCTTGTAAGAACTAGACCCGGAACTTCTCAAGACCGTCGGCACAATCCGCCTGCGAGACAAGGTCATGCGGAGAATGACTGCAGGTAATTATTACGGCAACTTTGTCGTTCTTAGTCTTTCTGCAGCGATCTGCTAGCTCTTTGATCTAATTAAAAGAGAAGTTAAGATTCATTTCTCGAGACTTGGAGCCGCAGTGGAACTCATCCAGATAGCGTCCGAATCTTTTCAGGGCACACAGCGTCGAGTGCAGAAGCCTCTGGAATCAAGTTGGCCATGCGGAATACCGAGAAGGATACATTGTTCTGGCAATACTGTCTCCATGATATCAAGAGGGCCTCACTCAGTATAGAGGCAAGGGTGACAGAGGTACAGTAGTACTACTATGTCTATTGGCAACGCAGAGCAATCAGATTGGTTTTATGATAGAATCATGACTTAAACAATCAAGATATCGTGGGGCGGGCCTCGATTAGTGTCAGATTCAGTATAGAACATCGATCTTCTAAGTCTCACTTGAAATTCATCGAGCATAGCCATTGTTTGCAATGGCAGAAATATACAAGGCATAGTACTCTGCCGGAGCTAAGATTCAGTGGTTTAACAGCTTCCAAGATGTGCGAGATTCTTGTGGCTACGAAACGCTACCGTGGCTATCCAGCATCGTGGCTATCCAGCATCGTGCGACACAACTAGTGGAACTTTTGACAGTTGTCAATCTTGTATGGATGATTTGTAGGAATGGTGGATGAGAGCTGGTATGTTTGGTTAACTTCAGAGAGGAGGCTGGCGTATGGCGACAAGAGTAGGGCCACAAATCAGTCACAAAAAGCAGACCTCTATTGAAGATAAGACGCTAGGATTATGTATAATGGCAAGGCCCCGTCTATTTATGATTCCGGAGAGTGCAAGTATATCTATGTGTGGGGTGTTAGGCTTACCAGTAGATAAAAGAAAGGGGCCATCTAGATGGAAGCTTGTTGCTGAGTTTCAGAACAACCATAAGGGAGGTAACAGTATCATTTAAGGGTGAGCACCGAGGTTTCCTAAAGCTGGGTTGAAGCATTTGACGTAAACAGCGATTTAAGGCCTCTTCTATGGAGTTCGTCTCCTAGGTACCTAGCTCTCTTATATTACTAGGATCTATTATTTATATAGAGCGCTAGTGATTCAGTTGAGATTGTAGTCTGCTTTGAATATATCGTTGCCAGGGTTGATGAACAGCTCCTAGTTGAAGGATTCGCTGTCTTATTCCTGACAAAGGTAGTAAGTGTAACTATAGCATCGGTGTTGGCCTATGAAGTCGTTCTGTCATCGCAGTTCAAGTTCATGCTACGGCCTGGATGGCGCCTCGACTTCTGCCGGGATAAGTTCTGTTCACCCGTAACCAAGAGAGATTCTCCTTTTCTAGCGCAATGATACCAGAATGCACTTCCTCGTCCGACCAAGGCTTTCCCTTTCGGGATAGAGCAGAGAATATTCACAAGGTTTCAATACCCTTGGTACCACGAGATATTGCTGCAGAGGATATCAGTCTCTTTCAAGATCCAAGTTAACCTTCTAGGTACCCACTCTCGAGGATCTCTCGCGCTGTGAGGCGAGAATCTGGATCTGGATTTAAAACTTCAACTAGAGACTGGATATCTTCACCCGAAACGCCCTTCTCGACCATTTTATTTGCCCACATATACGCTTCTTCTGGTCGTGGTGAAGGCAAAATTCGAGCGTATTGCTTATCCTCAGCATAAAATGGCACAGAGAGTAGCTTAAAGTCAATTGCTAGCTTATCACAGACGGCCTTTTCTTTTTTGCTTAGGGTTCCAGTGGAGATTGAATCATATATCCCGGCGACTTGAAATCAACTTGAGCCTGCAATAATTGGGCCAACTATAGATCAAAAGAGTTAGTAGTTGGAGCGTATGCGAGATAGCTGCTACTTGGGAGCACTGATAATTATTCCCCAGGACCAGATGTCTGTGCTCTCATTCTAAGCTTTTCCGAAGTAAACCTCAGGGCTTCGATATGTGACGGATATGATTTCTCTAACAGATGGTCTGCTGACTATAGACTATGTTAGAAGTGCCAAGAAAAGCTAAAAAGCTCACTTACATAGTAGCTCCGCAATCTGCGAGTCTGATGATGAGATCACAAACATTCCTGTTTGGTTTTGAACGATCAAATCCGCCCAGTGCAATATTCTCCATCTTTAGATCTAAAGGCATGCTATGATTAGCTTGAATACTCGCTGTCTTCCAACAATTTTTATTGCTTCGTTCTTACCAGTATAAACTAAACCTTTCATATGCACCGTAAAGATACCTAAGCACCATGAAATCGTCAAGCGTTTGCAGGCCAGAAATTCCAATATACAGGGAGCCACCTCCACAGTCTACTCCAACTGAGATTGTTTGCTGTTGGTATATGCCGTCCACAGCGTTGTTTCAATCCTCATTATCCATTAACTGTCTAGAATGAAAGATTTCCTTCGCAAACTCGATCTCTATTATTGTTCGACTACCGCTGACAGAGCGTGGCGTCCGCTCGTTCCAATTGATGAGTATTTCTCCATCGCCGTTGGCAATAGAGTCAATGCCGGAATCGTCTATGCTACGAAGATGGAAATCAAGCGCATAACGCATATAGCGTACGATTGCAACTATCCGTCGGGGGTCAGTAGATGGCTGCGTTAGTAGATGTTATTGTAGGACAGGGGCTAATGATCATTTATTATCAATAATATGTGATTCCGGATGAGTTGGAAATAACGCTGCAAGGGCGGGTGTGCAATCAGTCCGGTTTACAACGCGGAATCTCACTGTTTTCCGCGATACGAATCGAAAATGCCATGCATGGATTCGCCCAGCCGCCTGCTCGTAATAGACATCAGTGGCTGGGGCGGCCATTATCAATCGACTACAAGCTGTCGTCGTCGATCTGGAACACTTCTGGTAGTCTATTCGTGGTGCATCTATCCGAAGTTTCGTTCGCCAGACGCTAAGGATGATCTGGTTCGTCGGAAGAGCTGTGTCCCCTGCATAGGAAGGCCTGAGGAGAATGTGCGTTGTGTCTATCGTTATGTGGTCATTCACTGGGAACGCTGGAGAAATACGAGACCAACCTGAATCGCAATTCCATTGACGTTGGTGTTGCTGCGCTCTAAAAGGCCAAGATGGACGTGCACCGCCTGGAGCAGTCCCGTAATTGCATCCCGGGCGCAACGGCCAATTTCCGATCTATGCCCTCTAGCTGGTCCAGCAGGTTGGGCAGATGGCTTGTGCGACGGAGGTTCTTCCCAACACTTTAGACAGAGGTGTCACGAAGGGAGCGAGATTCATATACAAAAAAACAGGCGAATTATATAGCTATATTACTTGATTACATACTACTACTACTAGTTACAGACTGGATAGAGACAACAATCCCACGGACAACGAGATGATCCGTTCCGTGATCGTGCCTGGAACTCCGTTCACGTGATAATCCGACATGGAATCTCTGAGCCAATCAGCAACGGGTCCGACCGGATGGTGCTGGAGATCCCTGCATCGAGAAATCCGATCTGCCCCGGCGGTTCTTGCGATTGATAGAAGGATGACCTTGTACGGGGTAGATCTGGCATTTTCCCCCTGAGTATTATAACACATATCCTGGCAAAGGATCAGAAAACAACAGCATGTACTACTCTTCTATGGTACGCCGGCAGAAGTGTCCCTGGGACGGCTCTGGCCCCCGCTAGATGCCGATCGGCCGGCGCATGAAAGGGAAAAAGCATCATCCCGGGTATGTCTCCGGCAGTACTGACGGCAACAGGGCCGCGGGGTTGCCGGGGAAAGCAACCAGAGAGAGAAAAAAAAAACAACAGAAAAATATAATATTATTATGATAATTACCGCGGCAGGCTACCGGACTACGGATAGGAGAAAAAGAGAAGAGGAAAAGAAAAGCGCCTTCGAGGTCGAAAGAGGTATACGATTGAGTAACGAAATCCACATGGCGCGGGGAGAGTCCGCTGGGGGAAAACCACGCCTATACCACATACGGACGACCAATCGCCGAACGGTCGGCCTGGCTGCCGTGGCTCGGAGTTGGCTCGTGGCGGCACGGGCCAATCAACGAACATATGTAGCGTTCCACCAATCATGTTGCTGCGATAAGGACCGCACGAGTCGGGTTAGCGCCCCGAGGAACCGTTGTTCGTGACGTTCGCGAGATGAAGAACGCGGATGATTGCCACCTGGAGATCCTCAAGTTTGAACTCACGATGAGAGACAGCGCCTCACGCTGTTTTGAGTAGAGCATGTATTCACAGCAGATCCAGGCTGATCGAGATGACGGGAGATTGCGATAATCGATGCGACGGATCAAACGAAGTTGGACCTGCCAGGGAATTATTATTATTATCAACTACCTAGGTACGTTACTGTAGTGCGTCTCTCGGAATGGCGCTGAAGACGGTTTAGTGGCTTCAAGCTCGAGCCAGTGGCGCCCAGCCCCATCGAGGCGCGATCGTCACTGGAGCCTTTCCCGAAAGAGGTAACCTGTCATGCCCGCCGTGGCGTCGCCCCAAGATGAAGAAGGGCGGTCTGGAATCTGATGCCAAGCGATGCGATGGATGAGGGAGTATGGTATATACTATGATCTCTATGGTAGAGACGAGATCTAGAAAGAGAAAATTGGAGAGAGAGAGAGAGAGAGAGTGCCATCAGGATGACCACCACGATGTACCATAAGCGAGGACGACCGGATCGACAGCGGCGCAATCCGTGGACGTTGACGTCGGGTGGCCAGAGAGAAAACCGGAGACCCCGTCTGGGGAGCGTCGCCCGACCGCGCTGGTTGGAGGAGACAGGCGACGTTGGCGAACATCGATGCATCATCTGTAGTGAACAGAATCAGCAAATTATCATCTATTGCGCGAAGAGAAAACTTGTAGAAACTTGTAGTGAGTCGTTTGGAACCAGAGTGGACGACCCTCTCTTCGTCACCACTTGTTGATGATGATTATTAGATTTCTGTCTGTGTGTCTGTCTGTGTCTCTCTCCTCTTCCATATTCCCGACTGCTCGAGTCGGATGCTGAACCCTTTTTGCCGCCATCAGCGTCCCGTCTGAGCGTCACGAACAACACCACGCTCTGTTCATCCCACGCCAGTCAAACCATACTAATCCAGTCTGTGATTAGTTTTCTTCTTGTTGTTGTTATTATTATAATAATAATAATAGGATTCTATATTCTATCCAGTTAGTTAACCACTACTACGTACTATCCACTAATCGACATACTCTTGACCGCTGCGACCGGGGCCAACCAAGCCACGCGCGTTGACGCTGACCGTCCTCATCCGAGCTCCACCGGCCTTCTCGCCCGCTTCGGGACTTGAACTGGGCGCCTCAGCCCGTCTGCTCGGGTCGATACTTCAGCCCTGGTTCTCACCCCCTTGGATTTCCCCCCCAGCACGCTCCAAGATCTTGATAAACTATCTTGATCGCGATCTCTCTCTCTCTCTCGCCTCAGCGCTTCTCTCTTCTCTCCGCTCCTCTCCTCTCTTCTCCTCTCAAGGCTCACCCTCCCCTTCACCCTCGTCCTCGCCCTGTGATCATCACATCGCACTCTCCGCGACTTCACCTGCCTCACTATCCTTATCCTTATCGCAACAATCTCGCAAAATGGCTACTCACGTGTCTGCCCCGACGCAAACTGCCCCCGCGGCGACCACGAGCCAAATTTCCATCTACGGTCACCCTTCACCAGCCAACTCGGCCACCACCACGCCCACCAACAATTCTCCCACCTCGCCGCGGCTGACCAACGCGACCCTGCACCAGCTGCCCTTGCAGTCGCGCCAGCTGCGCCCCCTCAAATCGCCGCTCTACGTCCCGGCTGCCCTGCGTCCGACAGAGAGACCGCAGAAGCCGTCGCCGCTCACCCCTCCCCGCAGTGTCCACGGCTCCCTCGACAGCCTGAACGAGGGCGAGACAAACGAACCCATCACTCGCCGGTCGACGGTGGAGAGCAGCAAGAGCGGCATCAGTAAACTAGCCGAGGACGAGTGGATGAAGGGAGAACACCTCGGCGAGGTCACGGGAATACCGACGAAAGAACACTGGAAGGTCAGTTCTCACACGTTGTGCTTGCTTTCTCGTTAGCTGTCGTCTTTCCTTTTGATGTCTCTGCAAAGAGTGCTGGGGATGTGCTCTTCTTTTATGTCCCCATCTTTTGTGTGGTCGAAATGACGCGAGAACGGCCTACTTCGGTCGAGGATTACGTGCTCAACGATCCACCTGGCGTTTTCCCCAATTGCCGTACTATCCATGCCTTCACACAATCAGATTGTCATTGCATCATTTCTTCTCAGGCCCCATTGGGATATTTTGATTACGCTCCTTATTTTCATTTAGTTCATCTTTCTCTGTTTTTTTCCCTTGTATACTTGAGTCTTGTTTTGCAAGGAAAGCCCCGCCCGCCGTTCCTGTGGATATCATGCTTTTTATTCAAAAGAATTGAGAAACATCAACATAGTTTCTCGATTTCATAACTGACATTGCTTCCTTGCAGGCGGACTCTGCATCTCCCAACTGTGATTCGCCTACCTGTCGATCTTCTTTCGGTCTCTTTCTGCGCCGTCACCATTGCCGTCACTGTGGCCATGTCTTCTGCTCCTCTCATACTCCCCATGTGATTCCACTCGACCAGAATGCTCGCTTCCACCCGGATGGAGTTCCATCGCGTGCCTGCGAGCTGTGCTACAGTGCATACCAGCGCTGGGAGGAGACGCGGTCGAAACGCCTGGACCGCATTCAGACCTTGCTGGACGCTCAGTCCGGAGATCCTACCGCTGTCAAGCGCATTGCCAATGGAGAAACCCAGGAAGGGAACGACCAGGACGCTTTCGCGGCCTCGTTGAATCAACAATCCGAGATCGCCGCCAGTGTGCCCCGGGACTGGAACTGGAGCACCTTTTGAAGCAGCAGCATCACAAACTTCTTCCGAACTTCTCCTCAATTGCGTCCTCCCAAGTGCCATGGAGAGGCCCCCCTCACCTTTGCATTGTCGATTTATGATTCCCACTACGCATCTCTTGATGAGCGTTCTGCGATCTTCTTTTTTTCTTTTCTTGTCTTCTGCGATTGTTGGGCGAATAATTTTCGTCGGGCTTATGCTCATGCCCCCTAGACTTCATTTCAGATCTATGTACGATTTAGCCCTTGCCCCTTGTTTCTGTTGTCATCGCCGTGGAGTTTCGGAGGCTGGCTAGCCTTATTTATTTGCTGGAGTCTCGGCTGTTTTTCATTTTGATTTCGGGTTTTAGACGGCCGTCTTAATTTTCATTCCGGGGTATTTATCGCATGTGGTCTTCTGGCTTTGCACGGGAGATCTTGATACCCTGTCACTTATGTCCATCTGTCGCTATCTACTCTGGAAGTGATGGATGACCAGTGGAGCTACCATGCATGCGGCAGACGTTGGCTACTATTAATGAAAATGTCCTGCGTGGTTGATGTATCGCAATTTTCCGAACTATTTCGATCTTTAGGTGTCTATTCTATCCGCACGGAGTTCCAGTCTATCAAAGGGTAATTCCCGTAGATAATCACCGCTCTTAATTTTATATACAGCGTAGCCATCCCTGTAGGCACGCGAGAAGTTGTCTGAACGGAAGTCTGCTGAGTCTATGCTGGGCCTTGCATGTCCACCCGCCTCCACATCCCGACATGCTCTATACCTTCCTCATACCACCGTCCCAGAGCCTCATCGGTGACGAACCCGAGTCGCTCATATAGCTTCTCCACCTGCACCTGGGCATGGACCAGCACGAGACCCTTCCAAGACATCTTCTCCTTCTGCTTCGTCTGTCCGTCCCCAGCACCACCCACCACCTGCGCGTAGGCCGCGGCGATCTCCCCCGGATGCTCCGCCGCCCACTGCAGCGCCGTCTCGACGAGAAACCGAGCGAGTCCCCTGCCCCGATACTCTGGCATCACGGCGACCCGTGTAAGTTTCACGTACGGTTCATGCGATAGGTCATATTTCGGCAGACTCGCCGCCTTCTCGGGATGGATCAGCGCTTCATGCGGCTCGTGAGGCGGCGGTACTAGTCTGATCACTCCGATGGGTGTCCTGGTAGAAGATGTTTCGTTCGTGTAAACCACCCACTGCCAGCTGCGCGCGTCGTCTTCGTCCAGCTCGCCTTCTTCAGAGCATTTCTGTTCTTCGATGAAGACTTTGGTTCGTACGATCATCGCATCTGTGAATGTTGGTGGATTCTGCGCGGGGTAAGGGTCAGCGGGGGTCGGGCGGACTGTGTTTGGGCCTGGAGGAGGCTGCACGGTCGTTGTCACGGCGGGGAGGGGGTTGGAGCCCATTGTGAGAGTGTATTCTGCGGAATCGATATTAAGGACGCAGATAGGGAGCAATTGGTAAGATGGTGGTTTGTCGACTCAGGCGCAGGTGGTTATTTTATGGACGTGGTTTGTGATGCGGGGATGGTAGGGACTGGATACCTATATATATATCGTCGCGGTGGTTAGTCCCTCAATTGCATCAAATACCGCCGCAGAGGTCATGCAGAAGGAGGAAGGAAAAGAGAAAAACATACGATACAATTGACAGAGACTAAGAAGAAATGGACGATGAGAGTAAGAAATAGTTCAGGAGCAGAACAGGAATCCGCCGAGCGGAGCGGGGACAAACGGCGCAAACAAGCCTGTCTGTCTTCGATAACTTTGATAACAGACGGCTGTGGATGGCTTTTCCAGAGGATTCTCCCGACGGTATTAGTATTGTGGCTATTGTCAGCTTTCCGCAATTAACATCGAGTATGTGCCACCCATGGTTGACTGTTTCAGCAATTCTGAATCCGCGCAATACAGGTTTGTGTATTTCTGTCGAATAACAACCCATTCTTTTCCTATCGTGATGCCGATTCGCGCGGAGCTGCGTGGAGTAATCACCGCTGCCTCAGGCTGCTACTGCGATTCAATAGAGAGTGGACAAGGCCACATGAAGGTTTCCCTTATCAGGTAGCATGGAGGATAAGATACAAGGTACTACGATTGGGTTGGCTTAATTGTCAGAACTTTAACTTAATCTTTCTATTGTTTAGTTGACCTTAGATTAATCAAGGTGATCACTTCGGATCCATGTCTCACATCACGTGATCACGTGTCATCGGCGTCGCTACCGGAGAAAGCGTAATTTTTTTATCGCTTAATTGTGATAGCGATTCGGTCCGCGATGCGATAGATACCCTACGACAGCATATTATTGACGCGCGTGTCTGCTATCATCGATAGGAGACAATGTCTCTTTACTACGATGCGGTGTCCATCCTGACGGCGCCATCCTCCACCGGCGGATCCTTCAAATCCCGCATCTACAACGCCCGCAACCTGAAAGCGTCGCCGGCGCAGGTGTTTGCGCTGATCACGGAAACGTCAAAATGGGATATTCTGCTCAAAGAAGTCATTGAGAAAGCGGACTTTCTGCATCTGGAACCTAAAGTGAGCGGCTCCCTTTGCTGGTGACCCTTGACCACCTCGGAGATGCCTGCTGACTGACCAAGGTTGTTTAGTTGACTCCCCTGCTGGCACTTCTTCTAGTGCACGATCATCTTATTGCGAAGAAAGGGATCGCGGCGCCCGCGGCGCATCCGCTCCGCCAGGCGATTGAGCGACACAAGACCCGGCTGAAGGCAGAGTTCGTCAAGGCCCGTGTCCGCCGTCAATGTGCCTCCATTGAAGAGCTGAAGGCTGCAGTTCTCCGAGAGAAAGGCGTTGATGCGGTACCTGAGGCATTATATCCTCGATGGGTACGGATCAATAATGTGCGCACGACTCTCGATGAACAATTGAAGTCGACATTCGCCAGTTATCAGAAAGTCACAGTTCTCTCCGATCTGGCAGGCGACGAGCGGAAGATATATCTGGATGAACATATTCCAGACCTAGTTGCGGTCCCCCCCGGCATTGATCTAACATCTACGCCGGCGTACAAGAATGGCGAAATCATACTGCAGGACAAGGCGTCTTGCGTCCCGGCGTACCTTTTGCTGGGAGATGCGACCACGAAGTGGGATGGGGATCTAATAGATGGATGCGCAGCACCAGGGAACAAAACGACGCATTTGGCTTCACTGCTGTATAGAAAACGGCATGTCTCGAAAGCAAAGTTGCCGGCGGTTTATTCCATGGATGCGTCTCCCACGCGGGCGAAGACACTACAGAAAATGGTGACGTTGGCTGGTGCGGATAAGATAGTGACCGTACTGCAGGGCCAGGATTTCCTCGCCTTGGATCCTTCAGAACCGCGATTCGAGAACATCGCTGGTCTGCTACTCGACCCAAGTTGTTCCGGAAGTGGTATCGTCGGCCGTGAGGACGTCCCTAAACTTGTCCTCCCCGAGGTGAAGGCTGGATCTGGGAATGTCCAGGGGAAGAAGCGTAAACGGGGTCGACAAGAGCCAGAGCCCCGATCCAACCCGCAACCGGAGGAGGCGCTGGAGACGGAGGAAGAAGCTCCCCATCAGAAGATTGACGTCGACCGTCTTATCAAACTGTCCAACCTACAAGCGCGTATTGTTGAGCATGCGCTGAGCTTTCCTAGTGCTGAGCGTGTCACATATAGTACATGTTCGATCCATGTCCTAGAAAACGAGTCCGTCGTATCCCGCATTCTCGCTTCTGACGTCGCAAGGAGTGGTGGTTGGCGAATCATGCGACGTGACGAGCAGCCTGAAGGTCTGAAGAAATGGAAGCACAGAGGAATCAGGACCGACGTGGTGCCCATTCCAAACGGGGCTGACCAGCGAGCGGAGGCGAAACCCACTGTGAACCTAACAGATGAAGAGTTAGAGGCTTGTGTGCGATGCTGGGCAGGTGATGAAGAGGGGACTGGGGGATTCTTCGTTGCAGGTTTCGTCCGGGACCGTGCAAGGGCAGAATCCCTCAGCGGCCGTCAGAATGAGAAGCGCGTATCAGATGAATCTCATTCGAATGACACGGTCACCTCCGACGATGACAGCGAAGAGGAATGGGGAGGGTTTTCCGATTAGATTACATTCTGTCGATCCATCAAAAGTCACACTGCATTTTTTTTGGGAAACTACACGAGTTCTCATGTCTAATACCCGGATAACTTTGACTGTAAGCCAATATCAATGTCAACATAACAATCTTCTACATGCTACGAACTACGATTAAATAATGGGATAGACGCAAAACAACAATTCCCATAGAAAAGACATCCAGTATATGGGGCTAATTGACAACAATCCTACCACATACGACCATAGGGTGTGGAAAACAGGGCTTCCCGTCCGCTCAGCCGTACTTAAGCCACACGCCGGCAGGTTAGTAGTTGGGTGGGTGACCACCAGCGAATCCCTGCTGTTGTATGTTTTTGTCTTTTTTTGGATTCTTTTTTCTCTTTTGATATAGTGGCAATGATGATGCTAGCGAGTCCGAGATTGTCGGTTCAACGTTTGTACACCGTGAATTCGAGGACCAGAAATACTATATATGCAGCGAGAAGCACCAGGCCAGCAAGTCGACTGGGTCCAAGAAATACGACCGCTGTAAAGCATAACGAGGACATCCAGACCGTGGCCAGGTCAAAAAGTAGAAACGTATCCGCCTCATCGACGGGGATTCCCGCCACCGCAACAATGCCCACACAAAGCGTCAGCAGAAATATATTGCTTCCTGCGGTAGTTGCAACTATAATACCTCCTTGCCCGCGAAAGCCACTTAGAATAGAAAGTAACTTTTCCGGCAGGGTCGTGGCAAAAGCGATCACCGTCAGGCCAAAAACGGTGCCCGATAGATGAAGGGAATCAGCAACGGCACCTGCACTATGGGCGAGAATATATCCTGATAAAGAGAGTGCAAGCAGACCCAACAAGAGCTGGAAGACATGTTGATATAATGGTCGTGGCGGATTTCTGTCTGTCTCCTCGACCGTAGTTATTGTTCCCTGAGGTGGATTCGCGTTTCCCAAGAGAGGAGAATTCTCTGAAGTCGACGGGCCAATTGGGCGTTCAGCATCGGCAATGGGTAATTCATCGTCGTTATCACTATCCGACAAGTAAGTCGGTTGAGTGATACCCCTATAAATGGCATAGCCAATCGACATGATATAGAGAGCGAAGACGCCGATGAGGATCCCACCAGTAACTCGATTCAGCTGATGAAAAAAGGCCAATGCAACGAATAGAGTGGTGACGGAAAGCAGGAGCACCGAATACATCTTCGCACTACTATCGAAGTCTACTCTGTCCGGATGACATAGGAGGCCCAGGGAAAAGGCACCGAGTATATTGGAAATTGCAGATCCCATGGCATTGCCGAGTGCTAGCGGACTGCGGTGTTGTAGGATTGCTGCGACAATGACGGCGAGCTGAGAGAAATTATCAGCACGGATACGAAAAAGTGCTATAATGGGGACGGATACCTCTTCATATTCGGCTCCAGCAGTCAGAAGAGCAATAAGAGTGGGCGAAATGCCCAACCGCTGTCCCACAATGACTGTATGATCAATGAATTTGTCCGCGCCAAAGTCAAGGACAAAGGCCCCAGCAATCAACGTTGCTATGTTGAAACATAGGCTGTCCCAATTCATGATGTGGCGTATATATACTTGGCCCTATTTAGCTATTGCCGAGCTATTGAAATAGGTGATAGGGGTATGGAATAGGGTCATCTCATGCTGCCTAGCGGACAGATGTGTCGGATCACGTGATCATGGCCGATTGTATGTATCTGTGCATGCATACATACAGTAGTAGTACATACTTACAATTGCCTAATGGACCTTAATGTCAATTATAGCATAATCAGGCTCAGACCGGCCACCTGGTAATACTGCCAGTCATCAGACCTGAGCACCAGTTCGCTACCGAAACCTACGGTTGTCCGCTTCGCCCCTACAGCATACCTACGTACCTACCTAACCCAAGCTCAAGATGGCACCGGGTTGGGCGCCGCTCCTGCAGGATACACCACTAGGCTAGGATAAGGCTACTCGTGAAGTCAGGGGCATTTGTCGTATTGCGGAACAAAGTATTATTAATGATAACAATGACTTAGAGGGTAATGCACATTTCCTGGATCCGTGCGCCTTGTTCAAGTTGACAAACAGCACGAGAGACGAATTCGACTGTAAATCAAGGACAGCCTACTTAGATGTCTTCTTGGTCCTCGTGACTGACATACCAGAGGCCAGTCTCTGTGTCATGGGTCATATTGGTCTGAACGGTCTGGCCACCCTTGAGGGCCCCATTTTCCACCACGCCTCCTGCAGGGACACCGGCAGCGCCACGATGGAGGTGGTTCTCGCCGCTCTTGACCGTAAAATTGGCCAAAGATATCTCATTAGGATTACGGGTCACCAGAGAGGGCATACCGAAGTATCGAGCCTCGACTTCTTCAGGGGTAATCTGCAACTCGAAATAACCGCGGTAATACATTTCAGACCACTGTAATTCTCTGTTTGCGGAGACGAGAGCCTTAGATGCTTTGACAGAGTCTGCGAGGCTAATATTGTGTCTGTATGGGGAAGGAGAACTAACAGCGGTTCCAGCAAACTCGACGCCAATAGATCCGTCTCCGGTCACAGGGTCGTAGGGATCCCGGTCAAGCCAGACAAGATCGCTTACCCAGTTAGCATGAGAGTCACCAGCGAGAATTATGTTATTTCCAATTTTATTGTCGTAGAGAGTCTGTAGGGTCCGGTTCTTGTTTGCCTGATACCCGTCCCACTGATCGTAGTTCAATGGGTTTTCACTCCCGTAAGCGATAGACTGATTCAAACGCGAGAACACTGGTCAATAATTAGCAAGCTGCTATTTCCAGCACTGGGGGACCATGCGGAACCAGTTGAGACTCGCCTATCTGGCTTCCAATTATTCGCCAATGAGCGCCCCGTTGGGCTGATTCCTTGAGCGATCGATAGAACCAATTCTCCTGACGACTTCCCATCAACGAACGGCTTGCCTCATTCGATATATCATGAATATAGTCTCTGTTCCAATAAAGGTCGGTGATGGAGCGATCATATTGTCGGGTGTCAAGCATAATCAGATCCACGAGATTCCCCAGCTTGAAGTTTCTCCAAATGCGAAGACTATCATCCATTTCCACTTGACTAGACAACCGTCAGAATGCACTCGTTCATGAACATGCAGCAACTTACCGAATGGGCATCCACTCGAAGTATGCACGAACCGCATTCATTTTCCGCTGGTCGACTGAAATACCGCCATCTTCGATAAATGATGCTTCCGTGTTGTTCAGGTGGGAGGAGCCATCCCGATAAGTATTATCCCCGACTTCTATTAATCGTTAAAACCGAGCCTTTTCTCTATAGGTTCAGAACATACCGTGATCATCCCAGACAGGAATCCATGCAAAGCTTTTGTGGCTATCAAGTAGATCGAGATCAGTCTTGTAAGTTGCAATACGCTTGCGATAATCGTAAAGCGTGTGGATCTCTCTATCTGGTAGAGGGATGCGTCCAATGCTGTTTCCCCATCCACTGGAGGATTGTCAGCACGTCTCTGAACGGTCGATTTTTGTGATTAAGATTACTTACTAGTCACCATTCTTGGACTCGTAGATATAGTCGCTATTAATTTGATATCAGTTATTGTTAACGATGACAGCATTCTTAACGCCGCTTGTGCCAGAGCTTACCCAAGATGCAAGACATAGTCCACCGAGTCCTTCCGCACAGTGTTCCCATAAGCATTGAAGAAACCGAAAGCTACTCGAGTAGTTAACACTGGCGACTCTTCAGTAAAAATGGAAGACGTACGGAAGTTGCTACATGAGTAGACGGCGAGGCTCAAACTATCGATTGCGTCTCGCGGACCAGGAGTCGTCTTCGTACGCCCAATAGGACTCTTTTTATTCGAGTTGCACACCTGAAACTGGTAGTAATAAGTGGTAAATGGCCGTAGATGGCTTGCCTCCACCTTGACCGTGTAGTCGACGTCGGAGCTTGTGAAGACAACACCCGAATCTACTACATGCTTGAACTTATGATCTTTTGCGACCCTGTAATCGAGGCAAACTGGCGCTTTCGAGACTGGGGACACGAAATGTTCCTCAGTATAGATTGGAACTGGATTATAGAGGGGTACTAATCCAACAGTACTTTTGCTGTCGTTGATATTATCGAATGCAGGAGCACAGCGGGTCCATAGGATAACCGAGTTTGGGTATGGATCACCAGAAGCGACACCATGAGTAAAGTTCAGATGAGAGGAGTCAAATGCCAGTCGAGGATCACTCCTGCGCACGACTTTCGGGATCGAGATACCTAAACCAGGATGGTTATGCGAAGGGCTGCGATAGTTGAGGTTTCCAGCATAGGACGCAGTCGCGCTTGAGGCGGACAGCACCAGCAGAGAAAGAGACAACAACATGGCTCGGTACGCAAGCAAGATCCCTTCTCGTTCTGCGATGGGGGTTGAGTCATTTTCTCAGTATCTTGATCATTTCCCACTGCTTTTATACATCTCTTCTAAAGCCAAGCACAGGTGCCAAGGAAGAGCGTACGAAGCGCAGGTTTCGCAACGAGCGCATGTTGCAAGGAGAACTCCAAGAATTATCTCCAAAAAAAAAATGGCAGTTGAACAGCTGGGACACAGCTTCCCGCATGGTCAGACGATTCACTGTCGGCGTTGGAAGGAAAGAGGGATCCGGAGCTTGGCTGATCTCACTGAACCCCGACGCAGGAGAATACAGCCTCTTCTAATTGATTAATGACAATGATAATCATTGTTCCATTAGGGCCCTCTGTAGTGGAAGCAAGCTGTGCGCCTGTGCCTCTGCAGAAAGTTGTAAGATGCTGGTGGGAGCATTTGTGTTGGTAAGTCTAGCGATGAGCAGTAATTCCGCCAGCACCGATCTCATGGTCACTGGCACAACTAAGAAGAATGGGACTAACAGAAAATCATGCATATTATTTGTGGTGCATAAACTCGGATATCGAAAAGAAGCGGATAAAGAGTAGCTACCAACTTGAATACGCCAGAGGACCAGTGGGAGCTTGTCAAATGCCCTCTATTCCGATGTAGCGTCGTTTCCACCACTCATGGCATGCATTCTCGGAGACTCATCTTTGTGTTGACAGCAGTTTTCCTCGAAAGCGCGAACTCCTAAGCGCCGACACTGACCCTTGCAGCGGCAACATATGTACGTGTTATGCGACCACATGCATTATCACAGACAATCTCTTTGATCGGATCATCGGCGTTGCTGATCTGCATATTCGCAAGGTGTGCTTACCAGTAAAAAACAGCATATACGCGCCGGTCCCAAACAAGGACGGGGTACGTGCACGCTGATGATGATCGACTCGAAATAAAGAAACAGATCCAATGCAACCATGGATCTAGGGAAAGGCGCTGAGTTGGAGCAAATATGAGCCACAATGGGAGCGACAAAGTCAGGATAATACTTGGCGATTCAGTACGATGTGCCCCAAAAATAGCCACTGGTGTGCAGAAAACATGGATAAAGCCTGTCCGCGAAGTACCATCCGTTATTTAAATGGTGAGGGGAGCCCGACCTTGCCCTCGGTAGTCACTTTATCGATATTAATCATAAATGCTGACCAGAAGCGAGGCGCGTTTTCATTTGAATGTGCAATGAATTGACTCCAGTCAAGAGCTCATAAGTTGCAAGGTCTTCACATATACATAGAGCGTCTGGCAGATAAAGCCCGACGCTCTCTGGATCTTCCTCATATCTATTATTCATTTACCACAACGTGATTAATCAGGTATAGTTCATAATCTATTCTCTGGGCTGTTCTGTACTGTGTTGATTCTCGTGTGCACGCCTGAAAGCTAATACATAGCTATGTCTATACAGCACAGCGTACGCGACAGCCAACAGTTTCCGCAGACGGGCGCCCAGGCCCTTGGAAGAATTGCCCACACCAAGCGCTATATCGAGTTATAGGAGGCTTCCTCGAATAGAGCTCGTATATCACAGGTGAGTCGTGTCTGGTTTCAGTTCAGTATACAAGCATCACAGAGGATGCCGACGCAAGGAATATATCGTGATATCAGAGTAACCAAGGTGCAAGAAAGTTGAGCTACGCTTACCGATCGACTGTTAGAATTGTATCTGCACCTGTCGAATATTCTAATCGCGAATCGCGGTTTCTGACCAGAAAATGTATTTGAGTCACGGTCACATGCAATTTGATAGTATCGCGATGGCGAAGGGTGAGTAGCCACAACCTACCAGCTTCCATTCTGCGCAACAGACAGATTGGTTCCCTATATAACGAGTGATGTGCTGATCTCCGATTGCGCAGTGCGTTCGCGCTATCTGAACCTTACGAGCCTTTTGCAAAGACAGAAGGGTGCTCCTAACTCCAGATTAGCTGCAGAATCCTAAAAGACGACTCCTCATAGCCACCATCGTCGGTTTTGTTTTATACTGCGTTCTTACCTTCGCAAGTATTCATAAGGCTTCGACAGCTGTCGTCCAATATACGCCGGAACCTGGTGTCCGTCGGATCACAAAGGTCTCCATGTTATATGGAAAGCCTAACACTTTTTACCAACGGGCTCTACAGACCCATCGAGGGCATGCACGTCGATGGGGCTACAGGATGGAGGTACTGACCCACGATATCGCTGTAGGTTACTGGAACAAGCCAAGTTACCTACTGTCGCTGGTCATTCAGGAACTGGCTAAGCCTGCATCAGAACGCACAGAATGGTTGATGTAGGTTCTCTCCTGCATAGGTTGAAGTCGAAGAAATCGTGTCTGGCTGTCGCTAATTGGATGCGTTGCAGGTGGGTGGACGCAGACTCCATCATATTGAATCCCGCAATTCCCGCAGAAACTTTCCTCCCACCGTTCGATCTGGACAATGTCCATGTCGTAGCGTCCAAGGATCAGAATGGCCTGAACACAGGCATATTCTTCCTCCATGTGCACCCGTGGAGCGTTGATATGCTGGTGGAGGCGATCGCACTTCCACTCTATCAGCCCGACATCGATCTCGGCACAAACCCGGACCAGCTAGCCATGGCGCTCGTATTTAACCAAATTGACGGAGGTCCATCTGGTCACGGATACAAGGACGGCGTCGTCTATCTGCCTAGGCCTTGGATCAACGCATACGAATGGAGCCATGCCTATGAAGGGAAGAAGGGCGATATGTTGGTGCACTTTCCGGGCATGCAAGAAGAGCGATGGACGCACATGTCGAACTGGCTGGATATTGTGGAGATGACGCCACAGAAGTGGGAAGTGCCATTCGAAGAGACTGAGTATCCAAACAGGACGAACCAGTTCTGGGCGCAGTACCGCACATCCAGAGACGTCGCTTTGCGAGTTGAAAAAGCTCTCGATGAGCAACCGTCTAACGCGGCAGAGTCGACTAGGACTGCCATTTCGTCTCTCTGGAAAGCGCTTCAAGAGGAAGCAGATAACTCTCATGTAGTCCGGCAGCGACTAGAGTCCCTCGAGGAGGCAGCCAAACTAGATCAAGTGCTGTCGAACAGTTGAACGGCTTCTCCCATCTCGCCTAATTGCCGAACTCTGCAGGAAAACCGAGGTACGGCACGACGCTGTACCAGGGAGATAAGAATAAGAATAAGAATAATAGTTAATACCATCCATTAACACAGAAGAGTGTTTCCGTGCCAAGATACTTACCCGCCCGTGCTGCGATCCTTCGCTTAAGTCTCGATTCGCTTCGCACGAAGACGTGGTGTAGTATGTACTTACTGCGTGGGGCGAAACTTTGGTTGCTTCAGAGTTCAGGTACCCGGCTTCTAGACATTATTTGGAGAAGCAATTAATAACAATTATGCACATCTATGGCCGATAGCAGAGTTATCTGGGAAAGATGCGCATCTTCAGATGGTCAAACTGTCATCGTTGGAATGGAGAGCCGAATCGCAACAATCCTTTGTTCAATTGATCCGTCCAACAACGGCGTTGGCCGGGATTCTGAAAGCAATTCGATCATCCAGCAAATCATTCTGGCTCGGGGTAATCAATCTACAACGGCTCATTAACTAGGTGATACTCTAGAGAAACATACCACTTATCTCTGACAATCTCATCCTCGTACCGCATTTGCTATAACCGGGATTTCTGACCCACATGGTTTCTCGAATCTTCGGTTGGTTTGTCATTATGGGTGTACAAGTGTCCTGCTAGTGATCCGTGTGGGAGAGAAGAGGGGAAGAAGCAGCATCAGGAGAAAGGAGTCGCTTTCCAAGCTTAAATATAAAATAGAGCTCGGCGACTGCGGCATTTGCTAATCGACATCATAATCTGCTGATACTGCATCCATCTAAGTTCTTGACCAACAATCGCTGCTTATCATCTCACTGCGACAAGCATTCTCCGTGCGGCATTTAGCACGTCAACATCTGTCACAATGGCACCATTCGGAACTATTTACACCTATCCTAACAACCCTCGGGTTATGAAGGTATAATAATACTATAGCCTCATCGCCTCCCCCCCACCAAAAATATATACAAACTAACTTCTCGATCTAGGTCCAAGCGGCTGCCCGTCTCAATGGACTCGAGATTACTGAGGCGCCCAACTTCGAGATGGGCAAGACGAACCGCGAACCCGAATTTCTGGCCAAGTTCCCATTGGGCAAGGTCCCCGCGCTGGCCTGCTCTGATGGATTCAACGTCTGGGAGTCCGATGCTATTGCTCGGTACGTCGCAGAGAGCGGACCCCGTGCCGCTCAGCTGGTTGGCTCTAACCCGGCTGAACGAGCACTCATCCAACAATGGATTTCATTTTCCAACGGCGAGGCTCTGGACCCGGTTACACAGCTAGTCCTGCCGCGGATTGGACTACGTCCATTCGACGCTTCTATCGAGGAGCGCAACCTTGAGAGACTGACGCGCTCGCTGGACTGCGTCGAGAAGCATCTTCAGAACCGGACGTGGTTGGCTACAGAGCAGCTCAGTCTGGCAGACCTCACACTCGCAGCGGCGTTCTATTGGGGATTCTCCATGGTGATCGACGCAGAGATGCGTGCTAAGTACCCCAAGACCGTTGAGTGGTATAAGAAGGTGCTGGGCAGCGAAGGTGTCAAGGAAGCATTCCCTGAGCAAACCATGATCGAAAAGCGCAAGCAGCCGTAGATTCCCTCGTCATGATCCCCGGGGTGAAACGCGGAGAAACCGAAATGAGATCATTGGCATGATCAAGTTTAGTTTAGCCAGGAAGATATGAAATAATCAAATATAGAATTTTATTTATTTCAAGAACTTTGCTATACTGGAGTACTGTGCCGGATCCTGAGTGGCTCAGCCACCTCGCGTGAAGTACGTACAAGTACAGGATCGAGTTGCGGACTCATCGAGGAGCATAATCCTCGTGCGACGATCAAATATAGTCAGATACCAGTGGATTCCGAATATAAAATCTGGGATATCAGATAGGAACAATCGTAAACTGATGTGTGGGGTAGGTATATGTACAGTCAGGAACATGATGATCCTATCGAAGCGGGAAATCATTCTATAGTCGCGCTCCCTGTTCACGACTTATCCCTCGAGCAACATTTCTGCTGGCCCAGTCGGCAATTGCCATGTTGGTGACCATTGGGTTAACACCGCTTGCGCTAGGGAAGACTGAAGCGTCAATCACATAGAGACCCCTTGTACCCCAGACTTGACAGTCAGGGCCCACAACGCTCTTCTTAGGCGAGCTGCCCATACGACATGTGCCCATCTGATGGGCACTCGCGAATACAGACCTCTCAGGATTGAGAGGGGTCTGGCGCCGGAACTCCGAGATCCACTCCTGGAAGGCAGGGTTGTTGATGCCCTCGTCGGGAACGTCAGGACCCTTAGGCTCGTCTGAGCGGATGAAAGGCGGCATGCCGCGGTAAGACAGATGATACTCCTTTGCCCCGGCGGCATACGCTATTTGGGCGGCAGCGATAACTCCTTCCTGTATATGCTTCAAGTCGAAGGGAGAAACAGTGTAGTCAATCCGAGGGCGTCCATCAACAGGGTCAGGGAAGACGCGACCCGTATCGCGCTCTCGAGCAATAACAATGAAGCTCGTCATCTGACGCATTTTGGATGCCCACATCTTATAATCGAAACCATTGCTCCAGGGGAACAACGGCAAGAACGTTGCGGGAAGCATGCAAGTCGCCTCGACCCTAGCTCCGTGTCCATGGCCGTCCAAATTTTCAAATTGGTTTACCAGGGTGGTCAAGATACCCCCTTCCCACGGACGGATATCCTCCTCAAAGACGGCCCCTGCCATGATAACTAGCTCCCTGTCAGTATAGTCTTTTAAATCATATGCAAGACACTGGCATTACCTGGATGTAGGTAAAGATGTCGACCAATGTGGGAATTCTTGATCCCGCTTCGTTGGAGCAGAAGGGGGCTATTCAGAGTTCCACAGGAGACTATTACACGCTTGGCTTTGATGATAACCTTGCACTTAACAGCATCCTTTTGGTTGACCCCCAGATAGCTGTCCCTCGATGTCCATGTTCCTTCGACCCCGGATGCGACTTTCTCGCCGTCTACATCAGTAAACAAAACTCTGTCGGCGCGAAATCCCTCCATGAATGTGGCACCTGTGTTTGCCGCGTCTACTAGAAACGATACCGCGGGCCCTTGCTTGACGTTGCTTGCACATCCGAGCATACAGTGACCGCAGTAGTGTTCCTGGTTGCCTGTGTTCTGTGGTACCGCTTTCGCACTGTATCCTAGCTTCCTCGCGCCATCGAGAATGGTAGTGTTGGATCGGTTATGTGGCGTGCGCTCCGAACAGACTCCCATTCGGTCACAGACACGGTCCAGCGATTTCTGGAATTCCATCGACGTGAAAAAAGGAAGTCCGTTACTTGCCCATTCTTGACGAACAAACCCTTGTGTCTGGAGGCTAGCCGACCAGTTGATAGTGCCACCACCACCCCAAGTTGAACCAGCAATGACTGCGATCGAACCGTCATCACTTACGGTTGCTCCTGAATTCTCTAGCATGTGCGTGAAGCCTTCTGCCTGTCCCATCGGGAAATATTTCGTGGAATAATGGTAAGACTTATCCACGACGATCACGCGGTGCCCTGCCTCTGCAAGGTTCTTAGCCGCAACACCACCACCACAGCCGCTACCGATAATGACGACGTCTGTTTCGACAGTTTGGGGAGTATCACCAGGAGGGAACTGGAGGAATTCGTATGGGAAGCTTTCGGCTGGCTTCCCGTTCACTGGGACTCGCGGGAACCCAAGCACGGGGGAAAGAGTCGGGCTTGACGCTACCCAGGTTTTCTTGAAGATAGAGGTCAGCATCCTGTACAGGAAGCGCAGTGGAGATAGCATGGATGTCTCCCAGTTGCGAAAGGTTTGTTCTCGAGCCTCGTTTGTAAGCAAATGGAAGGGAGTCGGCGAGCCGGTGAGGACCAAGGATCCAGCACGAGTACTATGGTCAGGGGTCAGCAATATGCTCTGTAATCTCGACCTGTGGGAGCTCGAGGAGATAAAACATACTTCAGAGCACTTAATATCGTAAGGAGCGCCTTCTTTCCTTGACTGTGGATATTCCGAGCAAACAGTACGTGTAGGGCATCTCTAAAATTGGGATTCGATGAAGCATCTTCCTCCAAGTACTGCTTCGCAAGTTCGGCAGCGTTCGGTCCTCCAATTCTGGATTTAAGCGTAGCAATCGCCGACTCGAGCTTCTCTTTCGGAACGCCTTTCTGCCTGCGATGGGTGACGGTGGCACGATCCCGGATCGAGGGGATGGCCGTGTCGGCCAGTGCAAGGAGAGTCTTCCATTGACCATCGGTAAAGACCTTTTCTGTCGGAAGGGCCGGTAAAGGCACGTCTAAAGGCACATGGATGGAAGCCGTCTCAGCGGCCATTTTGGTCTCTGCAATTCCAGCACCCGCTGGAGTCAGGAAAAGTAGACAGGAGTGGCGTTCCAATAAGGCGATAGGTTAAAGATAAGGGCTGCACGAAATTATACAAGGCAATGCCTTGCTACGCGAGAAATAGCTGAGACAAGGGCATATACGCGGGCTTTAACAGCTCTCCACGAGCGATGGATCAGTCGTACACGCCCCGGGACGGCAGCGGCCCTTTTGCGGGGAAGGGCCAGTGGCGCCAATGTAGAGACACAAGATGGGTTGGTAGAAGCTCTTGAATATCTTTGCAGTTGAGGCTACCGAGGAGCTAGACGTTCTCACATGCCAACTTCGCCGCATCAAACTCAGCACGGGGAAGACCCTGGTTCCAGCAACGCTGAACGTGTCAAACGAGCTCGTGGTCGAATGAACGTGGTTTGAGCGTCCAACTGGATCTCTTCTCCACGATTCCGTCGGTGCTGTGCTTTTTTTTCCTCGAGGCAGGTGAAAATCAAGAATCCGGGGAAAGGTCCGTGAACCGAGGCGGGGGATTACTTAGCCAAAAGTACGTACGAAGTTAGGATGAGGACGAGACTAACTTAAGTACTTAAGTAGCCAATCAGAGATGTTCCCGCGACCTGTGGTCTTTTCTTATGTCATCTAGCTTAGTCATTCTCTATTATATAGCCTTAGGCATAGATATCTCTTAGTAATTAATTTTCTTTTTCTAAACAATATCTGGTAGTATATCTAAATATCTAGATTAGGCAATAATAAGGGGATTATGCAGGCCTAGAGGGCTATAGCCTACATAGGCTAATGCTATTATATTATAATATTAATAATTATAATAATTACTATATTACTATATATAAAAAAGCCTAAAATATAATATTAAATATAAAAGATATTATTTATTTAGTAATATAGCAATTAGCTATAATAATAATAATATAATAATATATATAATACTAAGGAAACCTAAATTTAAATAATAGTAAACTTAAACTTTATCTTATAACTCCTTATTTATACTAAATTAAGCAAATATAAAATACTTCTAAACCTAATCTTATTGCTATACCTAGAAAAAAAGGGTAAAAATAAGGAATTATATTAAAATCTAATTTATAATAATATACTAGCTATAAAGGGTAAATAATAAAATATAAATATACCCTTATTATAAGAAGAATTAATATAGATATTTAGCAATTACTTTAATAATTAAGACCTTAAATAACTATAATAACTATAGCGGAAGACTTAGTTAGTTATATTAATTATATAGACCTAAGTAAAGATAATTAATTAATATTAGGCATTAAAATATTTAATTTAAGATAACCTCTTTTAGCTCTAAAATAAGCTATAAATACTATAATACTAAACCTATTACAACTAGACCTTAACTTATTAAGTCTTTTAGCCTAAGTTGCTAATAATATTACTAATATTATTTAAGTATAGGTAATATAAATAATAGGCCTTAATAACAGACCTAGACCTAAACCTAAAACCCCTTTTTTATATAAGGGTAAATATAATATAGAACTTCTAGAAGTCTAGAAGTTTAAAATTTATAACTATATCTAATAGTATAATATTAGAGACTAGTTTAAGAACTAACAGGAGATTATATAATATTATATTAGATTTCTCAGAGGTAATACAAGATTAATATAAGAAACTTAATCTAATAATATTAAGACAGGAAAGACTATAGGGTTTAATATCTTAGATAATTAATTATAATAGATCTTAGTATTATATAAGAATATTAATTAAAAAGCATATAACTGCAATAAATATTATTAATTAATATAAACATATTCTGTTATAAAATATATTACTAAATTGCTTATATTATAATAATAATTTAACCCTCCTTTATTAGACTATAAACTTAAGGAATATTTTATTTAAAGATTAAAAACTTATATTTATAATTATATAGAAGAAAATCTAGACTATAATAATCTTAATTATATAGACTATATTATAATAGCTAACTAATTTAATTAGCAATATATAGCTATATATATATATAATGCCTACTAATACCCAGAATAATAATCTTAATAATTATATATAATAAATAGTAAATAAGAGTTATTAATAGTTAAGCTAATGCTAAACTACTTATAATAATAAATATAGTTATAGCACTTATTTTACTCCTTTAAAGCAATATTACTAAAGAATATTTTATAAAAGGGTACTCTGAAATAGACTAACTATTATTAAAAAAATTGCCTTTATTTCTAATATAATTATATAAAATACTAAACTTATAATTATAATAAAAGAGGATATTCCTTTAGTTAAAATTATTAATTAAGATAATAATTATCTTATATAGTAAAGTTAATATCTTATTCTCTAAACCTATATTATTGCAGTTATAATAACTTAAAAAATAATTAATATTAATCTTATAATTGCTCTAATAATAAGATTAGATTTCTTAGTCTAATACTATCTTACTATTATATTTCTTTTAATATACTAAATAAAAACTACTAATATATTGCAGTTATCTTATAATTATTTAAATAAGATTAATTCTATATAAAAAATCTTAGACAATATATTATAGCAATTAAAGCTTATAAAATTAATAAATAATAAAGCTGTTTAAATAAATGTCTCTGCTTATTTTTAGGAAAGGTTATAAAGATTATAGGGGGTAGGTTTCTATTTAAAACCTAATATCCTATATATTATTTAATTAACTTAGGCGCTAATATAATATATGCCTTAGTTAAATTTTATAAGACAGCTAATATTCCTATTAATATAATTAAGTAATTAAAAATATAACTTATAAATAATTTAGCTATAACTATTTATAGTACTATAATAATATTCTTATAGTTAAATATATATTATATAGAACTATTTATATAGGTAATTAACCTTAATAATTTTAATATTATTTTAGGTATAATATAGCTTTAGTCTATAAACTTAAAGATTAATTAAGAAATAATATAAATTATAATTAATAATTATAATAGTCTAATATATTACTTAAGCTCTATCTTATAATATATAATAACTTATAATTTAATTAAAAATATTAATAATATTCTTATCTCTTATAATAAAGCTAAACGCCTCTTTAAGAAAAATATTAAATTATAACTTTATACTATATAATAACTTAATAATATAATAGTGTAGTGGGGAGAATCGGTGTGAAGAATGTAATTAGTTAAGAGGTTATGTGCTTTTGCTTAAAGTCTTTAAAAAGTCTATAAGTAAAGCAGGAGAAGAGAGATAATATCTTTTAGTTACTCAGAATGAAATAATTAGCTTTTCTTTTTTATTATTGTCCAGTATTAGTTTAATATTAGATTATTATTAGTTTACTATATTAATTTATAGCTAAAGCTTCTCCTCTAATTTTACTCTGAGCTCCAAAGCCAAATATCCTTCTCTTCCTTCTTAATATCTACTCGCTTAAAGACTCTATACTAAGTCTTAATATATCTTCCTACAATAAATTAGAGCTAAATATAAAAGATATTAAAATATTAAGCAGAAATAAGGGAGAAAGGAGAATTAGAAGCTAAGATTAAGACTAAAGCTAAAAAAAGGGGTAAGAAGTAGTAAAAAAATAAATAAAATAATTAAAAAAGATTACTATTATAAATAAAAAGAGATAAATATATTTCTTAGATTAGCAGAGACAGCAAATATAATATAGGGCAAAAATACATATTAATAATAAGAGAAAGGAAGAACTGCTAAATATAAGGAAGAGCTTAATAAGTATAAAAGAGAAATAGAAATTTAGAAGGAATAGGAAATTACTAAATAAGAACTATTTATTAAAAAATAGAAGAATTTCTTACTATTATTTTTATTACTATTTCTTTAAAAAAATATAAAGAAAAGTACTAATCTTTTTAGTATTAGTTAAGATAGAAGAATCCCTAGCTTCTTAATATTGCTAGGTCTAGAGATATAAATAGCTCAGGTATCTAAAAATACAAGACTACCGATAGCGCAGCTAATCTAGGTTATATTAGCTCTATAAATACTAATGCCTAAAAATCCTGGGACATTATATTTTAAAGGAGATAATATTATTTATTATTTAAGGCTTTTTAAAAGGCTATATAAGACAAATTAACTCCCAGAAGAGGAAAAAATTAAATAATTTATAAATTATTATAGCCCGTTAATATTATTATAGATAAATACTTAATCTAAATATAAAAAAAAGAACTACCCAAAATTAGCAGAAGCGACTAAATAAAAATATATTTATTATAATAAGTATTAAAAGAAATATAATATCTAATAACTAGAAAAGTTTAAAAATATAAAATATAATAGCTTTAAGGATTTAAGAAAATATAACTAAGAATATTAAGCTATATCGGAAGCACTAGTAACTTCAGGTAAATTAAGCCAATACTTATAGGGAGTTTAATATTTTTAAGGATTTCTAAAGGAGCTTAAACAGTAAATAATTTAGGAGTTAAATATAGACTACTATACTCTATCTACTATTAAATATACTAATTTTTATAAAGAGATAATAAACAGGATAAGAATAATTAAAACCTTTTATTACCTTAACAGCGGCAAATTAAAAAAAGATTAAGATATAATAGCTTTAATAAAGGAAAAGATAATTAAAAAAGATAATATATAACTTCTTATTAAATCTAATAAAACTTACCTAGATAAGAATAAGAATAAGACCAAATAATAAAGCATTAAAGTAAAGTTAATAGAGTAGTTATAGATTAATTAGTTAATAAAAGAGTTTAAGAAGTTAAAACTATATAGTATATAATATATAGGGAGGCCTAATAATGATATACTTAACACTAGCATAAATATATAAGCTAGGGCGCCTTTAGGATTTAACCCAACTAAAAGATCTAAAATATTTTTAAACTTATATAATTTCTACTGGGCTTCTAATTATATTTAATCTTATTACCCAGATTTAAAAAGCCTCCTAAATTAGAAGCTTATCTATTAGGGAGAAGACTATAAACTTTATTTTGGGCTAAAAGGATAGAATAGAGAAGTTATTTATCTTATATAGGGAAATATATTGTAAAAAAAGATTAT